GAGGCATGTGTCGGGTTTGACCGTGTGGTGGCACACCTCCATACCAAGTTAGGCAAGACTCTTGTCGAGATCCATGCTCCTGTGCCCTCGTATGAGAAGATTTGGGGGTACTAGTATGGAGAGGTTTTTCTCCAAAGTAGAAGTAGGGAAGAGCGTTAAGCGGACAAGACGTGAGAGTACCACTGAGGCCAACATATGAGTGTCAAGCTAACAGTCACAGTGGTCTGTTCAAACACACACAGAACTGTTCAATTGCAAGGGCAATCACATCACCGGCGATGACGCTTACAAGAACGATGAAGATGTTAGATATCGAAAAGGTAAACTCAGGCTCAACCTCGTACTTACAGCCAATCTAACACTCCCTTCCAGACATTCCTCCGCATAGAGCTGCAGACTGTCACCCGTCTACCAAAGACACGTGCCATCCTGTTCTCCTTCAAGACCTATCTTTTTCCATTCCGCCAGGTCAAAGGGGGAGGGCCTTGGTCCCGCTTTCGCTGACGCTCCCTAACCCTAACCCTAACCCTAACCCTAACCCTAACCCTAACCCTAACCCTAACCCTAACCCTAACCCTAACCCTAACCCTAACCCTAACCCTAACCCTAACCCTAACCCTAACCCTAACCCTATGCGCTGCCGCGCCTCTGCCGAGCGCTAAACCCGCGCTTACGCGCGTCAAGCGGTTCACCCACCCACCCAACTTATACCACTTGTACTGTTTTTCTTACTTACTTCGCATAACTCTCACGTCAGCGATTAGCGGTTAGCGGTTAGCGGTTAACGGTTAGTAATTACCCTCTTTTACTTTAGTAACCCTTGCGGTATATAACTCTTATACTAGCGGTTATTACCTACTGACCTTCTCTTCTTCTCTTTACCTAAACCACGAAACCGCTACCGTGCTTATACCTGCTATAAGCGTAGCCTCCGGCCTATAAGTCCTCTAGCAAGTAGCGGTTAGCTTTAACTTAACTTTTTTTACTTTACCGTTAATCTATACTCTTTTACCTAACCCTAATAACACTTACCGTTAACCTTAGCACTAGCGGTTACTATTTACTCTAAATAATCTTTTTCTGTCTACCTTAACCCTAAAACCGCTACCACGCTTACACTTCCTGTAAGTACCGCCTCCGGCGGACTATAACCTCCACCCCTTTATTCCTTATTTAGCTTTCTTTTCAACCTTAATATTTAATAATTTTAGTGGTTATTCCCTTATTTTATACTTTAGTAATGTTAGTGGTTAATACTTTTTATATTTTTTACTTTCCCTATTAATACTTTATACTTACTTTCCTATTTCTGCCTTATTACCTTACTAGACGTAATATAAACTAATTAAAAAATTCTACCTAATCCTATTTTAACCGTAATCTACCTATTTTAACCTTAATACTTCCTTTTTCCTTTAAAATATTTTCTTTCTTTTCTTATATTTTACTTCTACTTTATTTCTTTCTTTTATTTAAATTTACTTTTCTTTTTCTTTTATTTTATCTTATTTCTTTAACTAAATGCTTTTTCTTAACTTCTCTTTTTTAACCCTAACCTTATTACTTTTCTTACTTCTAACCCTTAAACCTTTTTTACCCCTTAAATTATTCTCTATTCTTAACTCTCTAGTTACTATTTAGTCTTTATTTTATTTTTACTATTTTTATTATTATTTACTATCTTTTAAATATTATTAATACTCTTTTTTCTTTCCTATTTACTCCCTCTTTTCTTTAATACTATTTTATTTATATATATACATTCCTATTTCTATTTCCTACCTTATAATAGTATTTCTTTTACTTAAGTAATTATTTTATCTTTTTACCGGTATTTCCTTTTTTATTTATATCTATTTATTATTACTTATCTTTTCCCTATTTTTTTCCATTATAGCCTACTTTTTTCCCCTCTTATAAATTACTATATTACTTCTTTTTATAATACTAATTTTAATACTACTTTTTATAATTCTTATTATACTTTAATTTACTTTTTTTTAATATTTAACTTTAATATTTTATCTTTCTTTCCTTAAGTTTTAACCTTACCCTATACTCTATATCTAATATACTAACTAATACCTTACTTAAATAATATCTATATTTTATCTTTTATATTCTTTTCTTAATTATTATATATTTTTAGTATAACTATTTTCCTTTATTTTAATACTAATAGTAATATTATAATCTTAAAACTAATACTCTCCACCTTTATATATCTTCTATATAATTACTTTCTATAATATATGTATATTTATCCCTTTTATGCCGTAAAACCGCCTCTTAATAACTAACCAGCAATAAAACTCTTCTTTATCCTTAACATTAATACTAAACTAATGCCTTGCTATATCTCGAACTTGCCAGCCCTATAGCCCTATTAATATAACCGGCAGTAACTTATCCTTATATACATAACTACTATCTTCCTTCTATGTTTCTTCATACCAGTCTAGCGGCAGCTTATATATAAAGTAGCATGACAGCTCCTTAAACTAAAGCTTCTTACGAACAATATTATACCCTTCCTTTACTACTGTCTTACATCACTGCCTAGCTTATTAATACCGCTATTTATCTGGTACCTATAATCCCTTTTAATAACGTCGGATATAATATACCAGACACTTTTCCGTAACTTTATTTAGCCACCGGAAAAGCATCCTAACTTGCATGCCTTCTTCTATGCCAAACTTATTCTAAATCGTCCCCCTTACTTTACCTATATTATTATTATCTTTCTCACTTTCCTTATAGTTATCTATTTTATACTTAGCCTTACTGCTAGTATTATCCTTTTCGTTTTCCCCCTTCTTTTTTTCTTTCCTAATCGGCTTATATTAATCGTAAAGTAAAGCCCTATCTATATCATTATATATCTTGCCTGCTATTCTATCTATAAACGCCGAAATGACAGCTTATTAACAACCCGGAGTTAATATAAATGCCTCTATCTATGCCTAATTAATACTATCTGTAAAGCTATAATGTGGATCTTATCGCTCCGGTCGCCTATCATACATAATAATTAACTTTACTACCTTACCTGCCTGCTATCCTCCTCGACCAGTCTGCTAGACGAAATCTACTAGTCTATATAGTTTCTCTATATAAATTACAGCCACGATCCCTTTAATATTAATACCTATTCCTAGCCCGGTTATTATTACAATCTAATGGCTTACTTAACTGTCTACCTAAGCCGACCGCGCTTCTATACAATCCTTTTTACTTATACCGCTATAATAAAACCTATAACCGATCTCCTTAGTTATAGCCTTATATTACTTTTTTAATTGGCAATATATTACTCCCTTCTTATAACCTGCCATATCCCTGTCTAGCTATCTAGTCACTTTAACTGTACGCTCTTTCAGTACTCCCATCCCGCGCTTTACCTACTAAACCTAATATTAATAATTAAGCTTAATTATACAGTCTTACACTATAATTACCGACTTTGCTAGTATCTCGCCGCGAAACCAATCTTCTAACACAATAGGTAGCGTTACTATTAGTAATATTATTAAACAGCCAAATCAATATAAGCCTATTAACTCACTAAGCTTAGCCCGATAGTTAATATTTATAATAACTATATGACATTTATTAATAAAAATCCGCTTTAGTAGCCTTACGTATAGTAATCCGTCGGCATACCTAAAAAACTAATTACTAGAAATAATATCGGCGTTTATAACTACTAATTGTACTGCTTGCGGTACCTCCTCCCGCCCGGTATTTATTAATATCCGGTATTAAATATAATCGACGCCTATTACCGTTACTTACGTAATCAAGTTATCTATAAGTGTAATATACGGCATAACTATAATACTTATACCTATAAGCTATATTACCGCCGGTAGTATAAATAGTATGCTTTTTCTAGCCCCCGTCGGTAATACGTTAATTACCGTCTGGTCTGTCTTAAGCGATATAATTGTCTATATATTCTTAGCCTGCTTTTCGGATTGCCAAGTCGCTTTCGGCCCTAGTAATACTTATAACCTTTCGGTTATATTATCTTCTATCCTCTAAGCTACTTCTTTAACAGTCTTTCTCCACTTGTAGCTTTTCTTCTCTGCCACTTAACTATCCTGCTTACGCTTCGGCGTATTCTTTTTATTTTTCTTTTCCTTATCTTTCCCCCCTACGTTACTTCCCTCTAAAAACTAATGCCAAAGCTTACTAATTTCCCTAAAAGTCGTAATTATCTCCGGTTAAAGCTTACCTAGAAAGCCGATATATACGGCATAGTACTACCTTACAATATAAGTTCCGTACGTTAACTGTAGATCCTATATAATATTCTAGCTTCCTCCGCAGTCTACCGGCTCACCTATAATTGAATTAACCTTAATATTATTATCTTTATCTTTATCCTCTATTTAACTATCTAGCTGCTTTATAATAAGCCCTTAGATCCTCCGCCCTATCTCTATAGTAATCGCCCGGTACCGTCCTACCCTAATGCTCACCCCCGTGCCGGTATATATTATACATGTAAGCTTCCTGCTTAGCCGCTTAGTGTCCTATACTTGCAAGCCGCCATCCTGCTATATATACTCTAGCTGATTACTATACGGCTCGGTAAGCTGACACTCCTGCCTTAGTACCTTTTCTGCCGGGATTAACTATAATATATATATTACGATTATCTACCCGATCGAATTAGGTAGAAACCATACTACCTTTTGGCTATTATTACGGATTGCCTTTATCTTATCCCGGTCCGTAACGATTATAACCTGTCTATTCAGTATAAATACATTCCGGATTAGCTGCCACGAGTTGCAGTGCCGTAGCGTTATTACCTCCGGCCCCCTACCTGGAAGCCCGCCCTATATATGTGTAAGTATAAATAATACCTCTTAAAATAGCCATAAATTACAAAGCTATATTCTAACCTTCTGCCGCTTCTACCGATTCCGTATTACGTCCTATATTAACGTTTCTATTAGTTGCATTACCTTTACCGGCCCGGGCTTTAGTTAACTATTCTTCGGATTGCTTATAAATAACTGACTTACTCCAAGCCGTACTATACTGTTACTGATTTGCCTTATGTTAACTATTTTATTAATGTTTTACTGTTATAATCCCCTGAATAGCCGTTTTAGTATCTTATGCGCCTTCGTTACTTAACCGCAGAGCGTGTAGGTGAACTTTTTGATATTAACCTCCTTACCTATATAAAATAGCGCCTCTTTATTATTTACCTACCGTATTAATAGCTGCCTTCCTATCTTTTAGTAGTGCCCTTTCCTGTATGCTATCTACCTAATAATTATATTTATAACGGTATAACTGCCGATGCATATCCATACGGTATGTTATTTCTTAAATAAAAGTACTGCCTTTATTCTGACCTTATCCTAATCCTACGGCTTATCCTTAAATATAGCCTCTAGAAAAAACAGCCAGGCCCACTATAATATACCTACTAACATACCGGTATATAAATACAGCTCTATATAACCTAGTGGACGTTATCTAATGCTAAGTGCTACACAGAAGTATAGTAACGGGTTCGTATATATATTTCCACTAACTTTCGTTTTAATCGACGAAATAATAAACTAGAATATAGCTCGGTTAAGTGTATTATACACTAGACTGTTTATACCGCTATCTTTAATCTCCTCCTTACACTCGCTAACCTCTTTATCTCTATCTTCTTCCTTATCCTTAATATCTATATTTCTTTTACTATAGAACCTACTATTACGACTTCTAGGAAATACATTTCCTTTAAGCTCTTCGTTAATATCGTACAGTAAGCTCCACTGCTTATCCATAAACTAAATAGCCTAATATTAAAATACCTCCTTACGTCCGATACGGTATAACCTCTAGTAAAAACTTAAGTAGTGGTAACCTATAGAACGATATTTAGTTATTAATACCTCCTTACCTTTCCGGCCAAACGGCACGCCACTCAGGCTTATTACTGTAATACTGGCTAGCCACTATAGTATTTCTATCGGTACGCTATCAAGTTGCTAACAGTAATAGTCTACCTCGCGGTTAAAGCTCTGCCTAAGTCGACTAAGTAATACTTATTTACAGATTACTTATTTGTCTACTTACCTAGCCTGACTTCCTATTATTACCCTTGCTTATACCTATATAGTTACGTTATGGATACTAAGTAAGTCCCGGAAGCTAAAATGCTATACCTAACGTAATCTCTTTACCTACGGTAAATTATAGTTAATATCTTCTTTTAAGTTGCTATTCTGAAGTTATATAGCGTCTTCCTCCTTTATTTAGGCCTGACTAGCAGTAATAGTCTTTTCTATAGCGTTATATCTCTTAACGTTATTACTATCTAACGTAATACTGGTATTACTATTATCTCGGACAATCCAGTATTAAGTATACCTCTTACCTATCTAAGTCTATAATATAACCTCTTTCTATTAGGTCTCTGCCGCTTTATGCTCTGCTTCTCTTCAGTGGCAGACAATATTATCTCATACTACCGTCAGATACCTATATATAACGTAGCTATACCCTCTCAATACCGGGAGCTATTTAATAGCTACACTGCTATCTTTTAAAAGCTTTAAGTTAACTGGATTTACCATATCTCTATTAATATAATAATTAATAATATCTTATAGTATACTGCCAGTTAGTTAATATATTTACCGAAAATGCTTTATAAATGTATCTAGTCGGAGTGCTATTATGCATTTCTAGTAAATAAGCATACAGTACTTATCGTCAAGTTTTATATACTTATCCATTACTATTAAGTACTACTTAAATAATTATAATAATAAAATAGAATAGAGTAATAAATACTATTATAATCCTAAGTTCTATACTGTAAAACCCCTTTTACCAGACCGCTATAAACCTTAAATATAATACTAACCCTAAGCAACCCTAACTAACCCTAAGTGGATTTTTTAACTAATTAGTAACTCGGCCCAGTAGTAAACAATATTATAGTAATATACGGCCTATAAAATTACATTTATATAGACGATTCTAACAGAATCGTCTGCGAATAATTCTTAGGCTATAGGTAAAAGGTATAGTATTAGATTAGATAGTCTATTTATATAGAAAGGTAAAAGAAGAGGATAATAAAAAAAAGAGAAAGAAAAAAAAAAGAAAAATATAAATAAAAAGGTATTACCCCTTTATTACTAATTTATTTATATTTTTTTATAAAAGTAATTATTAGGTTTAAAATAAAATAGCTAGAAAGGTAATATTATATTACTTAATATATTCTATAAGAGATAGGAATTATATAATTAGGTAGTTAGGAGTATTTACCGAGATTTATAAAATAAACTAGCTAGTAATATAATAACTTTTTAAATATAATATATAAAAAGGTTATTATATTAAAATATATTATATTAAAGTAAAGGTATTAATACTTAACTTTATATATATTATATAACTTTATTTTAAATCCTTACTATATAATTTAATATTTTTATATATTTCTAATTAGTAAAAGACTAACTTTTTAAAAATATAGGCTAGTTATTAATAAATATAAACTAGTAATTAAATATAGACTAGCTATTAAGTTAAATATAGGCTAGTTACTAGTTTCTTAAATAAATTAAATATAAATAGGTCTAGCCTATATTTATAAAGGGTCTAATTTATAAAGTATTTAATTAGATATTATTAATAGTAAGTAATAATATTATAAAAATACTAGGCTACTTTAAGTAATTTACCTTACTAAGGTTAACTATATTAAAATCTAGCCTATTTAATAAATAATTTAACTTTAAATTCTATAGAAAGCTTATTACTATTTTAATAAGTATTACTATATAATCTAATACTTATATAAAGTTATTAAGACTTTTAAAGTTTTACGATTAATAGAATACTAACTTTTATAAAACGTAGGCTAGCCATCGATTTAAATATAGGCTAGTAAGCTAGCTATTAGTATTATACTAGTCTCCTATATAAATTAAATGTAGGTAGGTCTAGCCTATGAATATAATTACTCTAAGGATGTCCCTATCCTAGATATTATTATTTACCCGACAGAGATAAGATAGCTTAGCTATGAGAGCAGGCGTAATGATTTAAAGCCTGTAGAATATTATAGCAGACGGTCTGAGGAGAGTAGGCCTTGAACTCTTAAAATGGTAATCAGAGGCTGCCTTTTAGTGCTGCGGTACGTAAGCACACATAAAGGACCACTTTTTTATTCCCAACTGTTATGTCGGAGCGACGATTACATACGCGTCTCAGCCTTAAATGATGTTAATCGCCAAATCCTTAGCTTTGCCAAGAAACTGACCGGTGTGCAAGAGGATACGGGGTTAGTTGAAAATGGTAAGGATTTGGAAACGAGGCTGCGAAAGCCGTGTTGCTGGTTGGACCGTTAGTAATGGCAATGGCGAAGGTTGCACTCCTTTGCAGAATAATAATCAGTGTCAGCCACAAAGAGATCAAAAGTACCAATTAATCTGAATCGAGGCTATCATCTGAGTAAAAACCCTAGTGCAAAATCAATTAGGCTCTGGTCTGTCGTCATTCATTGTACGGCCTGATCGAGATGTATGGGTATCAGATCATTCTCAATGATGTGCCATCATCTCACACCGAGTCACCATGAACCAGTGCGATGCTGTCAGCCTGCAGTCACATTACGAGTGGATGGAATGCTAACAGTCATATACCGCCGAGGCGTATATAATGGCTGCAGACTCGGGCGGTGGGTGGTGAACAAAGGGTGGTTCAGCTGAGCCAATTCCAGTAAAACCCCCACGCTTTCAGAGCCCGATTTCACCAACAGGTACAAAGCGAATGTCCACTTGCAAAACCTGATTAGAATTCGATCAAGCCTGGAACCTATCACTATTAAAGATATTTAAATATCTTCTACATCGCACCCATACAAACAAACTTGTTCTACAACAAACCGCACACAACTTCCAGTTCTGATATCCACTGGATGCCATGTCATCACCGAGGCTTTATAGCTCCTTACCGGAGGTCTATGTAGAACCAGAACATACTTCTGAGCGTCAGTCTCCTCCTCAAGTACCCCCAAAGCCTCCTTACCTGACCAATGCCATGCCCGGGGCAATTGCGTCGGGATCGCCAAACCGCCCGCTCTCGCAGACGCAACCTCAATCCCGAGCCTCCTGCTGTGCTTGCGATAGCTCCCAGAAGGCCTGGTACTGTCTTCAATGTGGTTATGCGTTCTGCGATGAATGCTGGCCAAACGAGCGTCCCCACAAGGTTCGTCATACGCCTCTATCCCCATTGCTTTTTCTCTAGACTATCGACCTTGGTCCCCAGAAAAGTGTAACATTGTCGACTTTAACCCTGAAAAAGCCTCAATAGGTTTACAAAAAGATAAATGCTGACAGTTCCATGATTAGCCAGGCATCAAAGGTATTGACGGCCAGCCGCACGAAAAGGTTGATCAGGAAGTCATCAAAAGGCTGTCCCAGACCTTCAGTAACCCACCACTCGACGAACAGAACAGGAGGCACGAAAGCGATGCAGATACCACTTGGTTTGGAGTTGCACAAGATGCGAACAACTCTTTTCTGCATTATTCAAACCGACTTGTCGAAATTCTCCGCGATAGTCAAATTGGCCAGCATTCCGAGCGGTTCCCTCAGCTTATCTCATTCGTCGGACAAACTGGTTTGCCATCCTCACATACTTTCGAACAAAGCTTATGTACAGCTGACCACCATGAACCCAGGCGCTGGAAAAAGTACCATCATCAAGATGCTCATTGATCGCGAGCGAGCTAGAGTGGAAAGCGTTGACAATTCCAAGGCTTATGATGTTCCTGTCCCCGGTCTTGTCGATGATAATATTCCTACGACAGGTGATGTTCATCTTTATGAAGACCCCGGCACATGTTGGGCACAGCTACCCATTTTATATGCCGACTGTGAAGGACTGACTGGCGGAGAAGCCCGACCGCAGGGCTTAACATGTCGAGACAAGTTGGATGCTGCGAGGCGTCCTGGGCAATTTGTGAAGAACAAGCTCCGCAAAAGACTTGCTTGGGCCGAGGGCCCCAGCATGCAGTCACGAGAATTCGCTGTCAGAACTCTCTTCCCAAGAATTTTGTACACCCTCTCAGATGTCGTGGTGTTCGTCCTGCGTGAAGTCAGGTAAGCTAGTCTTCTACCAAAAACTCATGGAACTTGGACCTGACAAGAGCTATTCAAGGACGTTTCAAACCGATGTGTTACTAAATTTAGTGCGATGGGCAGCCGAGTCTATCGACAAGTCAATCAACCAGCCATCCCGGCCACACATCATCATTGTAGTCAACGCAACCGATATTAATATGGACGAAAATCAATGGAACCCAACCACGGCGACCCGTAGATTACTGGATGACTACCAAGACTCCATCCATCAGGTACCAGCTCTACGAGAAATTATTGGTAAGCTATCGACGGTTAGCCAAACAATCACAACCACCAAGGAACTCCTGGAGTACTTTTATTCCTCTGTTTCGGTGGTAAGAGTCCCTGCCAAAGGTCGCTACATGAAGATCGACGAGCAAATAGGGAGATTATACAATCTTATATTTGAAAAATCTCGGATATCCCATTGGAAAAAGAAGGGGATCCGCATGCATCTCAATACTCATATTCTTCCGCAGTATGTCACTTCGGCTTACGATCACTTCTCAAGACGACTGGACAAACCTTTCGACTTCGCTGCAGAGGCACGTCGCCATGCCCCTCTTCCTCGAGACTTCGGCGGTCACGTTCTTGATCTCATTCTTTCCATGTACGGTAATTACGATACGCGTCCCGGTCGTGCGAAAGATCTCTTTGTGAAGCTCAGCCGACCTATTGCCTCTTGCATAGTTCTCGATACTACCAGAGACAAGACACAGGGTAATAGCATACGATTTTAGATTCAACGCAACTTTATCTAACAACTCACTGACGTTATCTAGGGACATATTCCGCCATCCTCCGGCACACCTACCATGACCAACTTCTTATAGCCTTACAGCAATTTTGCAACTACTGGTTGCGATGCTCATTTCAGAAAGGGGGCCAAAAATGTCATAACGTCAGAAGCTCGCACGAAAAGGGTCATCAAGCTCACACCGGCGAGGTCTTGTCGTATCGCGGCAGCTACGAATCGACATTCGTGGTTGAAGACTTCTTTCCCACGTGGTACGATGAGATTGATAAACACGTCAAGGAATTGCAAGAGCGCGCTCAGCAAGACAACCGAGACGAGAGCGTGGTTATTGCCGATATGCACATCGAAGTGATGAAAGAATTCTATAAAGCTGTCCACCCGGGGCGGCCACCATCAGAGTTCAGAAGTAATTCTACGTGTCTTTGTTGTGTGAGCAAGATCCCTGACAACGTCTTGACTTGTGGTCATATTCTTTGCAAGAAATGCATTCAGGCGTACGGAGACAAACTTGAACAAGGCTTGTTCAAGCTGCATTACTGCCCTCTTCACCCCCACGATGAAAATTGGGTAAAACCAGTCTTGATCAGGTTTAAGCCAGCAGAAGCAGGAGTAAGAATACTCTGCTTAGATGGGTAAGATTTACATAATGGAACGTTGTTTTTCTTGAAGGCTAACATACACAGCGGAGGGGTACGTGGCATCGTCGAGCTGGCTATTCTCCGCGCAATTGAGGAGGCACTTGGACACCACATTCCGATTCAAAACTTTTTCGATTTGATAGTAGGCACTAGGTTTGTCGTTATATGTCAAAATCTAGAGATATTTGGCTGACTACTTTAGCACTGGTGGTATAGTTGCTCTGGGACTAGGCGTGAAGCGTTGGTCAGTCTCTGAATGCATCAAGAATTTCAAGGATCTCTGTGGCTACGCATTCACCTCAAGGGCTTTTAAACCGATCGCTGTATTCAGCCACAGGAGTTACTACAAAACCAGGCCCCTGGAAAAGGCATTACAGTCGGCTTTCGATTCAACTACACCCCTGTACGGTGGGCTGAACTCGACCAGCTCAACAGCGATACGGGTCGCCGTGACTTCGACAATGGCAGTTGACAAATGTCCTGTGGTTCTTGCAAACTATAACACAGAAGGGAAACGAGATGGTTGTGAGCGATACTGAGTCCTATCGTGATAGCATTAGTACTGACGAGTCTGAAATTAGTGCCGTACAAGTTCGTTCGACCCCGAGATCCAACGAGTGAGATGAAGGTATGGGAGGCTGCCCGAGCAACTGCGGCTGCTCCGATGTACTTCAAGCCATTCACCCAAGATGGGACATCGACAGTGTACACAGATGGCGGCATAGACCATAATTGTCCAGCAATCATCGCCGATCATGAGCGTAGGCTTCTCTGGGGAGACGTCAGCGATTGGGCGCCGGACATCTTTTTGTCCATTGGCACTGGTCTGGATAACGCTCAGAGGATGCCTTCGCACGAAGCTCTATCACCTACCTCTTCGCGGTCACGACAGAAGTTATCCTCGAGTCCATTCAAAACTTCTGGGATCAGTTAGATGTGGCGAACCGGCAGCGCTATTATTGAGGATCAGCTAAATTGTGAGCAGATCTGGAAGAAGTACCTTGCTAAGGCTACAGCCCCAGGCCAGGCTGACACTACTTGCAATGATGGCCGTAACATACGTCTAAACGTCATGTTCGAGCACGAGCGACCTTCACTTGACAAGGTGGAGGAATTAGAGAACATGGAGCGATACGTACACAATAAGATGAAGGATGATCTGAGAATTAACGACGTGGCCAATAGGCTTGTGGCGAGTTGTTTCTACTATGAAACCATTAAGGCTACCTGTAACAAGCAGTTGACTTACACTGGTGAGTGGAAATAGGTTACTGAGGTTGATAGGTACTGACCCTATACAGGAAGAATTGAGTGCCGGTTCGATGAAGGAAGCCAGGAACTCAAGGGCTTAGGTAGGATTCTGCGAGATCGGATCAGAGGCCCTAACTTCCTGCCTTCCTTCTTCCTGGAAGAGAATTACGGTTCAGAGGACCAAAGAGAGTACGAGGTGCCAATCCCAACAGAGACCATACACAACATGTGTAACGCGGGTTTCTTCACGCTCCCGTCAGAACTTCACATCGATGCAGGTTATCAGTCCAGCGTAACCCGCTTATCGCTGTGTTTAGAACCATATGTCCCTACCTATGGCGGCGATATTAGCTACCGACAGAATCCTGCTCATCCTCTGTTTCCAATCAGTGGCTTTCCTCGAGTCCTATCCGCCCAGCACAGCCTACATTCCGTTCACTTAGAAGAAAACCTCGGGTCCGAAGGCGAAGATGCTTCAGGATCACAAGACCCCGAAGTCATACTGGCACCTAAACCTACACTTCCACATTTGGCAGTACCCAAGGGAGGTTTTAAAGGCTCGAAGTTATACAAATCGATTTCTCAAATGTCGCTCTCGCCAAAGGCTAGGAGCCCTGACGGGAGCGCGGGAGATTATTTGAGCGGCAAAGAGGAAACACAAAGTGACCTTTCAGGGTATAGGTCGAGTTCAAAACTAGCAAACAATAGTCAAAGCTCACGGTTGTCATCTGACACTACTGAGAGCCGGGGTTAGGTAGACTTTCCAGTTTGAAATAAATAATTAATATATATAACAAGCAAGTAGACTACTTTTCTTAACCTCTTAGCTAGAAATAATAATAAGGATATAACAAAGTATTTAATTGACTAAAGTTACTTAGTAAACTCTTTAATAAAGGCTTTATTAACTACCTAGTAGGTCCTTGAACATACCTATTAAGCCAGAGGGCGTGTTAAGATAAAGGTCTTGATAGCTACTAGTATCCTAATCCATTTTTGTATTTTAATATAGTATTAATTTTACCCCTGGTAAAAGCAAGTAAGATTGTACTATAAAATGAGTGTATTTATTAAGCTTAGGTCTAGTCAACAGTGTGCTTCTTGAACAGGAACTTGAGAGTTACTGTATGAGCTGCTAGCAGGAGTCTAGAGAAGAGTGCAAAGGATCTAGGCCCACTCCCCAGGCTTCTCGGGATCTAAGTTCACATTGAAAGAAAGTATAGCGAGCAGTCTCCAAATATCTGTTTTGTCCACATGTCTGCTTTGTTAAAGACTGGCAATTTATTCCACCTCATTAAAGTTCATTGGTGAAGGGTAAAGGAGTGCCAAAGACTCAGATGGGCTAAGATGTCTCAACCATCAAAGAAGTACTATGAAAGAATAAGCATATGCTTAACAAGGAGAATCAGCGAAAGTGAGACACTAACCTCCTGTGTATCATATTTCCACCTAGGGAGGGTTAGTTCCAACTGCCCAACTCGCGGTGGCTCCGCAGTTCATGTTAGCAGCGATAACGTTGAAACTACAAGATTGCGATTAGCACGTAACAAATCACATGGTATCTGTATCAAAGCTTACCCTCCAGTGTCGAACTGCTGACCGCCCATGCTAACGCCTTGGTATGAACAGCTATTGCTGATTCGTGAGACATAGCTTATAATGAGACTAGTGTGGAGTGACCAAGTGAGGTCGTTTCGCTATTCTCACAATTAGTTTTCCGCTTCCAGTTGTCCGATCAATATCCTACATCATTGCAAATCGCGATACCAGCGTTCCACGAGCAACCAATACGAGAGCAACGGCGTGGGGCGATGTTGAGGTAGGCATTCATCCTGTCCAAACGGAAGACCTCTTCCTGCATACGCAACATGTTGACACGTCTATTGTCCCAGCAGACAGGGTTTCCTTGGACATCTCGCTTGTTTAGCTCTTTGTCATCGGGTCCAAGAGTCACGTTGACGACAGGGCGATCTTTGCCATAATCGGGGTTCAGGTCCAAGACTTTCTTGTAGGCTTCCTATAAAGGGTATTTAGCAATACTCTATGGAGAGAGAAAATGGGAACAGGCTTACCTCAACAGAGCCAGAGAAGTACTTTGGCTCTTCATCATCAGAGACCTGGACCTCCCACAGTGGCTCATCGCCCTGGAATGGAAGGTCGTTGTCGTCGGTGATAATGCGAGAACCTTCTGAAGGACTCCCAGTCACATCCTGTTTATAGGGAAGACAAGCCACCTGAGCATTAAGAGTAAGTATCAAAGACCTCCACATGATAGAAAGGACTAACCTTGGTGGCTAGGGCCAAGAGTGGAAGACAGCTGGTAATTCTCATAGTTGCTTGAATGTTGTAGAGTGATGTTTGTTGCTTGTGCTGGTGAGATAGAGAAGTGAAGTTCTAACTCAAGAGCCGGTAAGGCCACGCTTTTATATTTAAATTCTTCACCCATTCCGTAATTTCAACATAGAGATGAGGCCTTCTGGGGACTCTCAAGTTGAATGTACCAGGGTTAATTGTAAAGCTGTAAGCTGACGTGAGATTCATATGGACTGTGGACTTATCGGACTTTATATCTCGGCATTGTGGAAACTTTAATGTCGTCTCTTGATATACAATGATATGCATGTTATAAATCAGCGAATCGGATTTATAGCCAGTAGCTGTACTGCTTTGGCGAAACACCGCAGAGACTCTACTAGGCAGGTGCCTGTACAAGGCTCAATCTATTGACGAGGTATATCCATACGCGATCTGAAATTCAGGTTAATTAACCTCTTATTCACTTCACTCTTACTTGTCCTCTACTCCATAGGTTGCAAGGGTTAGAATCCCAGCGTTAATACAAGCCCTAGATTTCTCATTCCAGGTATATTTAGAAGCGAACTTAGTCTTCCTTAACAAGTAGCGACTACTATAATAAAGATTTATATAAGATCTCTGTTATTATATAAATACCTGTCTATACAAGTTATATATCTTTGTTTCTAAAGACACATCCAATCTTAGATATTAGACTGAAGTAAGGCAGGGATAACTTTCCGAATTTGTACCCTTGTAACCTTCACACCATGGGCAAAATAAGCATAATCCTTATACCTGCCTCTTTTGATCTAGCCCTTATAAGATACATCAGCTGTTAATATCTTACTTTAGACATGTTATTATTATACCGGGGTAAATGGGACTTTGGTATTATAGACCGCCCTTTTACTGATCTTAAGGGAAACTTCTGGAAGCGAAACTTGAGATATCAGGCTAATTGGGAAAGGCCAAGTATATCATTTCGAATCCTTGTTAAATTGATAAGGTGATCTTTGCGTGCCTTGCATTGCTGGGCAATTTATTTTCTATCATTATGTATTACTAAGTGAAGTAAACACCAGAATAAGGAATGTTACATTCTCAATGCGTGATTTGAACTTAGCCATTCGATATTCAGAGATTAAACAGTGGATAAAGTAGGCAATACTAAAGAACTTAGGTAGCTGACTTTCTAGGGGACCTATGTTTTACTTTAATGCACTTGCCTTCGCTATCGCTCTTTTATCTATGTATAGTGACTTACAGCCTGTTTAGGTGTTTGAGGGACTATTGTTCTACATTAACCGAGAAGGATCCTCGGAGCTACTGCCTTACATTCGGTTAGTAGCGTTACTGAGATGCTGACTTGATCCACCTAAAGCAGACTTCAACATAATAAGCTTCTGTTTCTAGAGAGGCAGTGCAAACATGGAACTGACCCCTGCATTGTGACTGATCGTCTGCTTTTTGGGCATTCGATTACTGCCACTTTTAGGTCGGTTGATCACACTTGACGCGACCCTGCATGGGGGTTGTCTAAAAAGAGAAAGACACCGTTCATGGGGTCCTGGCTCATTGCGTGTGTTGAGAGATATACGTAGTCAAAAACAGCGTCTGGTATTGAACTCACTATGCAAGAATGTATGAACTAGAGAAAGGAATTGTAAAAGATTAAGGAATGTAGTCGAGACTTCCCAGTATGACTGCTAAAAGGTTACCCTTCCCACAATAGTCCGCAGCGTAGCGCTTGCTACTTCATGAGATGGACAATACACCTGATCAGGGACTTTCTAAGGAGGGATGTGACGAGGGAATTTGCATGCCGAGCCAGCCATGGAGGCAAATATGCTTGAAACAGCTGCTGAACCAATCGTGACAGAACGGGGCAGAAGTTTTTCCATACTCATACCCATACCTGCTGTTAGGTATTTTAACTTTGCTACACGAGTCCAGCAGGGTTGATTACTTGTCGCAGCAATAAGGTCAATCTGCTTTGAGGACCCTTTGTGGTGAAGATAATAGCAACGTTAGTATTGTTGACACTAACGGTAGTTTCAGGGGGAAGACAAAGAGCAGTTTTCTAGAACCAATTAACAAAGCGGGAAATAAACTGCCATAGACCTTGTGCTCTCCATGTTAAAAGGGTATCTATATACGCTATGTTGAAGATAAGGGCCAGTTCTGGAGTCATTAACTAAGGAACTTCCTCCCGACCACTAACGCTATTCCCACTGAACTCGCCGTAGTTCCAGACGTCATAGAGGAGTCTTCATTCCATACTTAGTGCAAGTCCAGGGTTTCGGTATAAGAGAACAATAGGCATTAATGGCGACAGATTGAATGTCTCGTTACGTAGGAATGCCAAGTCAACTTCCATCACGCTAGGGGTATTATTTTGTTTCTCGACTGCCTCATTTTAAAAATAAACAAGCCAATAGGGGAAGGAAGCAAGGTAGAGTGGCGGGAGATACCTACTGCAAATAAGTATCTTGAGAAAGTGCGTCGTAGAGATGTCGATTGAAGAGCTCACAAGGGCCTTAGCAATGGATTCTCACACTCCGTCCTTTTCACGCATTAGAGCAGGTGTAGTTGCTCCACTGCTAGCGCAATATCAGCGTCGCCGTGTTGTCGGCTTGGTAGTTATTGGTTGATAGATGTTACAATATAGCCGGTGGCGTAGCAGTCAGCCCCAGCAGGGATCATTTGACTCCAGGGATGAATCTTGACTCAGATGCTCCCTTAAGTGACCAAGAACATGAATCGTGGGTCCTAGATTTAGGCTGACCAATGAACGATTGTTCCAAAGTGGACAGCGGAGCCACCAATAACACCACTGCTCCGCTGCCAAGGCTATTGTCACCTCATGGGGGCAGGACTTGGTCGGCCTGCTTCGTGCACTAGAGGGTGGTTTCTAGCTGTAGGATATTATGCAAAGTCAGACCTTCCCGAAGGATTTCCGAGGATAATTAGTGTGTGGGAAAATGATAAAATCAACTTCGTTAACTGCGCAAGGATGTATACCATTACCCCTGTCTGTCTGTTAGCGGTATTTACTTACAGGGGCCTATTATAAATATTATTAAACTTTAGGCTATAAAACATAAGAACGAAAACTAATTAAATATTATTCTAAAGGTAGTAAACTCATCCTTGAACTAATTTATTTTCTTAATAATAGTTATTATAGGGACAGAAATAAATACGTTAGCTGTTGTTAGTTAACTAATGTTAAACCACTGAACCTTCGAAGGCTAAACTATAGTAATATCTGGCTAAATAGGAAAGTGTTTATATTACTCTAGGTTTAAAAGTTAAACAACTAAACTTCTACATTAGATAGGCTTAATAATCAGAATTATATAACGTTAATGAATAAAAAAATGTTATATTTATGCCTACCTTTAAATCAAATCAACGAGGTTAGCCTTTACCCTACCCTATAGCCCAGCTCTCACTCTCTGTATAATACGCAACCTCTTTATTCAAGTCGGGGCTGTGCCTCATAGAATGTACAGAATGTGAGAAATCTAAGATTAGAGACGAAAGGTAACCATTTTATAAGTTAAGATAAGCACTCTGTAATGTACGACCTTACGTCGTGCTGGCTAACTTGAGGTTAAACGTGGATAGACAATTTTGAAACGTAGAACGAAGTAAAATCTAGTAAAGTCTGATAATGATATCGGTCTGGGAATAATAAATGAGTCCTGTTGTAGAGCTCTGGTCTTGTTTGAGAAGACGTGAGGCTCGTCCCAGTAAGAACAGCATCAAGTAGGTACATATCTTTTTATACGATAATACAGGTCTGGTATATTTTAACTCGACATGAGTGAAGTCAAGAACTGGAAAATAATTTAAATACAAATTAATCACTCTCAACTTTACTTCAACAATATCCTCGGTACAGTCCTACTAGTAGTTGAACCAAGATTGACTATTCGTCCATGGTACAATGCCAGTATGGTGACTTATTGAGCCAGACCAGGCAAGGCCTACAGTCTCAGAATCTATTCATTCAGCATCTAACTCTTTTCTACCAACGGTAACAGGAGACGCGACACTCCGTTGTAATTCCCCTTTCAGACTTTGCATGCTAAAATGATTGTCAGGCATGGGATATAGCAGCACCTATCTTCTTAGACTCTTTTATCTCAAGTATAACTATACTTAATAAACAGTTATGAGTTTTAAAAAGCCGTAAGCAAGTATTGTCTCCTATATACACTGTTTATAGGGCGTCACTTACGCTAACAATAGCTAGAAAGTATTCTACAGGACTGGACTTGAGGATGATTTTAGTTAAAGGCAAGCCTGATAAGGGAGTTCAGTTATTACTGTTTGTGAATTTCATTAGATAACCAATCTTTATAATTATGTTCACCCTTAGAATAAGCTTTAGCTCAAATCTCATCTAAATTCTCCTTGGGATAATTCTAAAGGGTTATTTAAAACCAAAATATTTTAAATAGGGTCAAGGTAACAGTGTTCAATTACTAAATCGTGAAGCTTTAGATGCTCATACCTAAGCTTTGTACTCTTAATATCGTAGCTATCCTTATCGAACTTAGATAACATTTCTTCCCCGATGGTCAGCTTCATGTTTAGGGCAGCAGTAACAGTAGTCCATTCCTCAACAGTTTCCACGTCCAATAAGATCTCATTATCATTATTTCTCTAAGTGATGGAAGCTTGACAATTAGACTTTTCAAATTGAAATAGAAACTCATATGCGTTGATAACACCCCTTACCTCTAGAAGCTCAGGATTTTACAGATTCGGGATAGAAAAGGCTAGTTCTTTCAGTAGGAGCGCGATTTCCTGTTGGCGAACCGGGAAATTAATATCACTGTGTTGAAGAAACAATCATTTCTATTATTTAACTAGGAAAAGAATACAATAAGGTCAAGATTTAAAAACTACCTTGCTATTGCATATCTACACTTAGCTATTCTACCTTATTTAGAAACGATTTTATAAGTAGGTAGAATTACACTCTATAGTACATTGGCTTCGACTCCTTCCATAGCAAGTTCGAACTCATGAATAGAAGCTGGCGTCTGAAGATCGACTAACCCAATATCATATGCGAAAAAGTCATCTGTCTCATCTAACAATTGTGCTTCTGACGAAAACTGGTCTACTATGGCTTCAGATGCTTGATACTCGTACGCAGAGCCTTTGTTCGTCGTCTCACCAATCCTAGGTTCAACACCCTGATATTGAACACCAACATCAATAAAGACAATCCGTGGAGACGGGAACCGGACGGAGCGGGGTGAAAGACAAAGAGAAGAATCCTCCGAATAACGTCCAAAGGCCAACGAGAGATCAATGGTCCGGGACAGTCGGAAGTAGAGAACGGGCTCCTGAACGAGTACATTGCCCCAGTCGTTAACAGCTTTGATACAAGCTGATGATTTGGAAGGAACAGCTGTGTCGAAATGGATGTCGATGTCGTTGGGGAGGCACTGCCCAGTATCATGGTCCTCTATAGTTGCATAATCGACAGCTGTTCTCACAAATGCCCAGACATCATCTACACCATCATAAAGATTCTGCATGCCTTTCATAGCCTCCATGTATACGTTGAGTTTACCCTGCTTCTGAGCTGCCTGTGAAGGCTTCTTTGCTAGCTTGACGTCGAGAATGTGAAGCACAAGGGGCAAGGCTGCGTATGCAACACTAGTAGATTGAGTCAGCGAGGATCATTTCGGAAGAGGTGTCTGGACTGACATGCTGATTGGTAGATACCTGCCGAGCTTGAGTTGTATGAGTTCCTTGAGATTATCTGTGATTCCAACTGTAGCATCTTCCAGTTTACTCCTTGTTTGCCACAGCGTGTCGTTCACGACAACTGGCTTCGAACTTAGGCTGATAATAAATGCTTCATGTTGATACAAGGCAAAACGAGCAGAACTACGTCGCGAGACATGAATATTAGGATACACCCTGGGGTTTAGGTAGTGAAACTTACTGGTAGTATATATACATCAGGTTCGTGTACAGAACAAGGGATTCTTCGGTATTGGTGATCCCGGCGGGAGTAGGAAACTGCACGGTTGCGCTTTCAAACCAGGCGTCTAAACTGGCTTCGCAGGATTGGATAGACGCGCTGGTTTCTTGCAGCCTTTGGATGACGGGAGAAGTTGCGCTAATTGGTCGTCCAGTAGCATAGACTGTCCGAATAACGTCGGTAAGTAGAACAGCCAGGTCACACAGGGTAATAAACAACTGAACCAAGGTCCGCTTCGTCTGCGATCCGTACACGCGAGACTCTTCGATCTCTCTTGTGAAATCTTTAGCAGCCAAGGCGTGGTCCTTCAAGTCCGAGTCTATAGAGTCGATGTGCAATTGTCGCCGCACATCAAGAGGCAGGATTCGATCTCGCACTATGCAACACCACCAAAGTCGTTTTAGCTGATTCTTAGTGGCTAGACTTTGATCTGAGCACGTGTGGAATTGATCTGCGCCTGCTGCTTGTGCCAAGTGAATAGCGGTGGAGAGCCAAATGGAGTTGGTTCGCTTTTGATCTTTCATTGTTGCATTGTATGATAGTAATAGAGCTCCTTGCGAATTGGGTATGAGGCCTTTCTCAGCACCGAGATCGAATAGAAGCTGAGATCAAGGGTCAGTATGTATGTTCTTACTGTGGGTATCAGGATTGATCACCTTGGCTCGACGGTAGTATGTGTCTCTGGCACTGCGCACTGAGCTAAACCCGAGGCTTCTCAGAGTAGAGAAGGGGAGATACTGACCCAGTTAGCAAATGACATGAACACACCTGAAACTAAACACCTACGCTACACGAAGCGAATAGCATTGCCTGGAACACGAAAAGTGATAAATTCGCCCGGTATTGCGATGAAGCTTGCCCAGAATACATTTCCCAGAAAACAGCCTCGTCCAAGAGTGGAAGTCCAGGATGAACGTGCAGAAAGTATTCTCTGACAAAGTTGTCCAAAGCTTCTCGAGTAGGAACTGCAAAGCAGCCCTGGGCCTGGAGATAGTGGATATCGTCAGGTGACAGGCCAGGGGTGGAGAGGTCGAGAAACGTATAGTAAGAGTAGATGACGTGCGACTGATTGACGAGTTCTGCGTCTGGATGCATCTCTAGTCTCGATGTAGGGTTGAGCTGGCTGTGGAGACTTCCAATACCTACCGAGAACATATGAGAATCAAGCCTCTTGGTGTTTGCCATCTTACGTACCAGTTTCAGAGATATCCAACTCATTATTGTCTTTTGATGAGTCAGTTTGACTGATTTTATTTCCACTGCACTCAATTGGAAGTGGACCCCAAAGCTCCTTGAAGCAGGTAGACGGGCTTCCTGGGCTATGTTGTGACTGTTCTTCTAAGACCGCAGTTGGTGAATATATATCTATCGGCGGGCTCAGGTCTGTGGTTATTGAAAGTCCATGTATATATTGGGGTTGCTGAAAACTATTCTTGAATTTCATTGCCGGGGGGGCTTTGGGTAGCGAAGGAGTTCTTTTGCGGCTTCTCTTTGTTAGTTCGCAGAAATTATTCTTCTCGTAAACGACTAACTATTTGATCAGCCTGTCTTTAACAATACACTGAGTGTTGTCGAGGGCACAGTTTGTGCACTGATGTGGTCGGTGAATGACATCGCAGCGGACCTTTCTAGAGCGACAACCCATGCATGCTTTCGGGGCTCGTCTCCGACCTGGAGTTACTTTGGGCGCTCCTGACTCTGGCATACCGGGCAATGAAGCTGTACTGTAGCTAGGTGTATGATTGTCGGTTGAAGATGTTTCGGTTCAAAAAGCAAATGGGTCCTAAGTGGAAAACCACCTTGGGGCCTGAGATACGTATCTACTCTTGGACCAAGTCTAAAGTATGGGGCGAAACGCGGGACAAAACGCGGGGAAGCCTGTAGCTTTCTCCCACCGTTGAACTCTATTTACCTTCCTCGATGCCCTGACTCGATTTCACCGACTCAGAATACGAATGCATGACATCACCTGTTTTCCGAAAGGGCTGTCTCTTGTGACAAGAACCATAGAAATTGGGGTCGGGTCTAGATGTAGACCTTCCATCTGTGTGCCACACACATTATAGGACGTCACATTCTCCCCGGTTGAAAATTTCTGCCGAGGTCGAAATTGAGCCGACACCTCCAACTCATCTGTAGCAAATCATGCGCACCTCAAAGTCGATCAAAGACGGGACCGAGTGTCGCTACTCGCATGACCATCCTTCAGCATCCGTCGTAAGATCTTGCCAGAACGAGACTTTGGAATAACATCAGTAAAAATAACGCCTCCCGTGATTCGCTTATGCGCCGAGAGTCGCTTGTCCATGAATGCGAGAATTGACTCTGTAGTGACGTCCGGCTGCCTCCGAATAACGTGCGCTTGGGGCTGCTCGTGGCCATTTACGCTTAATCGTTAGTTGGAGCGTTGCTTTCTGTTCAAACCAGATAAATCCTCACCGTAAAACCCGGATGACTGCGCAGTCTTGTACTCCTGGATGCTGAAGAAGATGACCCTCGAGTTCCGATGGTGCCACCTGGAACCCCTTGACCTTGATGAGTTCCTGGAGCCTCACGGTTAGTGGTACACGTAATATGAGTGTCATGGAATTGCCAACCTTTTTGCGATCCACGACACTGACAAGTCCAGTCTTGCTGATTCTCACAATATCCCCTGTAATGAGCCAGCCGTCTCCAGTAAAAGTCTCTTTGGTCGCAGCATCGTTCTTGTAATAGCCCTTAAAGACGTTGGGTCCTCGAATGATCGCCTCTCCTTCTTCACCATAAATCGCACATTGACCGTCCTCTTTGATGATCTTGATCTGCATGTTAGGCACCAAATACCCAACACTTTCGTGAAATGGATCGAACTCGTCAGGTCCGAAGAGAGTGACTGCCATGGTAGCCTCACTCATACCCCAGCCTTGTCGACTACGCGCGCCGGTCTTACTAAAGATTGTCTCTAGCTGGAGTTCTAGCTCGCGCTGGAGAGGTGCTGCTCCGCATATGAGGAATTTGACACTTGACAGGTCGAATTGGGAGACAAGAGCGCTATTGACCAGCATTGAGACCACTGGGGGTACTAGAAGCAGATTGGTTACTTTGAATGATTGAATGCTCCTCAGAAGCTCTTTGAGATCGAATCTCGGCATTATCACTGTAGTGGAGTATCTCTTAACGTTGACGACACAATATGTAAGAATGCCCACTATTCCCCTGTCAGTCCAGGAGTTGACATCCTAAGGAGACTGTGAACTCACTAGCATGGTAAAGCGGCAGAAAAGCGCAATGGACGTCGTTGACCGCGTAGGCTGGGTCCCCTCGTTGAGCCCTGGCCATACGGTCAAGGTGCAGTGTTTGTTCTGAGTTGGCTACCAAGTTGCCATGTGTGATGCAGCAGGCTTTTGGAAGGCCGGTTGTTCCGCTGCTGAAGTTCAAAACAACTGGCCTGTGCATTGTATCAATATCCACAGAGTTAATAACGATACATGTAACGGCTGACCTGTCAGTAAGACTATCGGCTTTCGATGCTGTTTTCCATGAATGTGATCCATGTACTAGCAGGCTTGACAATGTTGGTATATCTGCCATTTTGTCGTCGTCTTCCGAGTCTACGAGAAGCAATGAGCTTAAGGGTAGCCCGACAGCCTGCGTAGCTTGTAAGGCTATTGCAAGTCGCTCCCTATCGGTAAATATACACTTCGATCCCGACACTTTAAGCTGGTGAACCAGCTCTGCCTCTGCTATTAGATCAGGCTGAATTGTATAGTGACGAATGACAATGGTAGTTGAGACTTACCAGAACAGGTGTATCCTGGGTTGGCCCCGGTAAAGATACCTCCGGCACAGATAGTTCCTAACATGACGATCGGATACCAAATCTGCTACCATTAGCTAAATAACGAGTTCCTCTATGGGTTCCACTGACAGAGTTTTCAGAAAACATCAAGACGACGTCATGATCTCCTACGTTAAGCACTTTGCGCAAGCCTGCAGCCAACATCTTTACTGTAGCCTGCAATTCATGCTTGTTGATCGTTTGAGTTGGGTCACTAGAAGTGATATACAAGGGGGTGGTCGGCTTGCATAGTTCTGTTTTTGTCTCTTCTTCTACCGTCAGCTGTATTCTAGCTTTTGAGAAGAGGAAGACTTGTACCAAATAGATAGGTGAGCAGATCAACCTTTGGTATGTCAATTTGATACTTTGAAGAGAAGATCATGACGATTATGCGTTGATACAGTGGTAGGAGAAGCTAAGGTACTGGTAGTGTTAATGTTTGCCGTGCACGCTTACGATTTCGTCAGTTGGATGAGGCCCTAAAATAACAAACACATATCGCCCAATGCTTGCAAGGGGTCCCTCCACTGCCGGCTTTGATAGCAGGCTGATCCGCGGCTGGAAAGTACTTAGCTCGGCCTGTGGATGATCCCGCTAAATTTTGTCCTCGGCTGATTCTGCACGTAACAGAAAGATTGATAACTTTCGCTTTACTATGGCTGGTAAAGCATTACCGAGGGACAAATCTATAAGCTAGTCAATGCACTATCGTCAGCCAATATCGATCGCATCCATGTTAAATTAAGCTTCGACAAAGTTCAGAATCTGCAGGAATGTTTTCATCAGTGAAGAATTGCGGTTTACATTGGCGATTGATCTCGACAATACAACTTACTCAAGCGCAATTATCTTCTTCGCTTACATGTGTTTGTGCTTTATTCACACGTCACACAAGGATAGAAGAGGGTGACACAGTATAAATAGTGTACCAATAACTAAAAAGATATAATTTATGTAAAGTCTGGCAGCACCTTTAAAAAAGAGATCCAGCTGTCCCAATTAAATGCACAGAAATATGAACAATAGAGGTCTCTATACAGACCGAAAAGCAACAGCGTCTTAAATTCAATCTAAAAAGATATAAAACAATACAACAAACCACTCTCTACCACAGAATAACTGGCTTTACAGTTCTGCCACTCCGCATGTCCTCCAAAGCAGTCTCAAGATCTTCAGGCTACAAACCTCATCAGTGTACATCCAACATAGCATAGGACTATTAGTCATACCTTGTAGAAGCTAATTAGCTTGTCAATCGGAAATAGTCCGTCTCGATACCATCGGAGCATTTTTGGTATGTACTATAAACTTTGTTAGATCTATAACGATAGTGGGATCTTTGTATATACTTCTGAAGGGATGACATCTCCCTCTATGCTGCCCCGGATGATTTTTCCACTCTGCTTCACGTTGGTATGGCGATTCAATAAATACGTCTGAAAGACCTACCTGCATAAAGCGTATAATATGCACGTCCAAAAATGCGTCAAGTGGTGGGACTCCCACAATGATCAACTGGCCTCTGTTGGCAGTAAACTCCATGCCTGCTCGAATGATGTCCATGTTGCCCGTTGTATCAATGGTGATAGTAGATCCTTTTCCACCTGTAATGTTCTGGATCTCCTGTTGTATATCGAGATCTTTGTTGGCTGTGTTGATCACGTGGGTTGCTCCTAGAGATTTTGCCAACTGTAGTCTATCAGACAATCGATCAATACCAATAATGATTTTACAGCACTTTAACCTAGCGGTCTTAAACACCGAGTCAGCTTGTTCCCTGCCAGTTAGGATTTATATGTATGCTTACCATGATAGAAACCAGTCCCACACCGCCAAGGCCTGCAACAACAAGTATATCCTTCTCACTGGCTTGAGCAACGTTGTCAACTGTCCCAGCACCAGTCTGAAAGCCACAGCCAAGTGGCGCAAATAATCTCAACTCATCTTCACTTTTGGTAAGCTTGGATACGTTGACGATGCTCGTTTCTTTGACAACGGCCAATTCAGAGAATGACGACTGTCCGAAAAAGCTCCCACGCAGATCTTTGCCGTCTGCGGAGTAGCCGGCGGCTTCTCCCCCGTAGTTCGCGGCCGTGAAGTTGCTGCAGAAAGCTGGATGCCCTTCTTGGCAGTCGTGGCAGGACTTGCAGTTCTGGAACGAGAGGAGTACTGAGTCGCCAACTCGGGCTTTTGACACATTGGATCCTGCCTCTACCACGACTCCCGAGCCTGGTCAATTGTCTTAGTGACACCTTTCAGTCGCTCGACAGAGTTTCCCAAACTAACCTTCGTGTCCGAGAACCTTAGGATACGGGATCTGATCGGCAGGCCAGGTTGCAAAGATTAAATCTGTGTGGCAGACTCCAGTGGCAACAACTCGAATTAAAAGTTCGTCATGATTAATGGCTCGTAGAGTGGCCTGTTGAACTCTAAAGTCCGGTTTGTTGTCTTGAGGCTCGTACGCTGCGATGATCTTGGTATTCATAATTGTAGACTTGAAAGGTATGACTCGGTTTTTGAGCTGCTGAGCTGGACTTTCTCTTCAACTTGAAGTCGTATAGAATGTAGCAATTTGTCTTGTAAAATATCTCATGACACTACCTTGGGGTCGTGGGGCTAGTCCTGTTTAGGCCAGTCGTGTGCTTACATCCCAAGGCTGAAATTTTAGCCGATAAAGAAGCACCTCGGCTGAAAAAGCAAGCCACCCTGGAGAAGAAATCAGGCTAATTAATCGAGTGGTGTATTAGAGCATAGAACCAAACTAAATCAAGGAATTACAATTCAGATATAAATGAATTCAAAACCCATATACAAAATATGTATACAATTTATCAATTCACCACATCTACCAATCTGCTCAAAGTCTAGCACAATGGCTGCCACCTGTGATGCGGAGAAGATCAATTTCAAAACTTTTTCCAACGTCATCAATGGCCAAGTTAGATCGACTGTGGCTACACGACATGGAGTAAATCCTTCTACTTTGGAGGCCTTGTTTCCCTCCCCGGTGTCAACCTCTGCAGACGTCGAAGACGCTGTGAAAGCAGCGCGTATTTCATTCCAAAGTTGGAGAAACACGTCGGTCGAGCTTCGTAAAGAAAAGATCAGACAATTGGCAGTCGCACTTCTAGCGCACAAGGAAGAATTTGCGCGACTACTGACTACAGAGCAAGGAAAACCAGTATGCGCACCATACCAAAGCAAGCACAGAACGAAGCTAACTAGATCAAGACACAGTTTGCCGAACATGAGATTCTGTTGGCATCGCAATGGCTTACTGGGACCTGCGACCTGGAAATTCCATTGGATGTGGTAGAAGATAGCCCGGAACGACGAGTCTTCACTCGATATGTACCCCTGGGAGTCGTCGTTGGGATTGTCCCATGGAACTGTAAGTCATGGAAGCCACACCTTTTGTCAGATGCTGAATGACACAGTCCCTATCATGCTTCTGTGCGGAAAGCTAGCTCCAGCACTGATGACTGGCAATTGTATCATTATCAAACCCTCCCCCTTCACACCATACTGTGGTATGAAGATTGTCGAGCTTGCTCAACACTTCTTCCCACCAGGTGTTGTACAAGTCCTGAATGGAGGCGATGATCTTGGCCCTATGTTGACGGCGCATCCAGGGATCGACAAGATCAGCTTCACAGGTTCAACAGCAACAGGGAAGAAGGTCATGGAGAGCGCAAGTAAGAACCTGACTAGAGTCACTCTAGAGCTGTAAGTACATCCCGAAGTAGGAGTGCCAGACGAGAACACAAAGAGTTGACGTTGGCTTTAGGGGAGGCAACGATGCCGCAATTGTATGTTCGGATGCACATGTGGAGTCTGCTGCGCCTCAGATTGCTACTGCTGCGTTTATGAACTCGGGTCAGATATGTATTGCGGTCAAACGTATCTACGTACACCAAGACATTTATGACGATTTCAAGGATCGCTTCATGGCGCATCTGTCGCAGTTCGCGGTCGGTGACGGATTGGCAGATGGAACCTTTATCGGTCCTATTCAGAACGAATCTCAGTATGGACGCATTCAAGAGTTCCTGGCTGATGTTGAGAAGAATGACTACCCAGTTTTGAAGGGTGCGACTGTCCCAAAGGATCAAAGTCAGGGCTACTTCGTCCAGCCCACAGTGGTGGATAACCCACCAGACACTAGCATGATTGTCACTGAGGAACAATTTGGGCCGTTAGTGCCTCTAATAAAGTGGTCTGGGGTGGAGGAAGTACTATCCCGTGTCAACGCGAGTGTTATGGGCTTGGGAGCCTCTGTCTGGACTGCAGATGATGATGTTGGAATGCGAATCGCAAAAGGTCTGGATGTTGGCAGTGTTTGGTTTAACGAACACTTATCAATACAGCCTACAGCTACGTTTGGGGGTCATAAGAAGAGTGGTGTTGGTCGCGAGTGGGGAGTCGACGGGTTGAGAGGGTACTGTAATTCTCAGACGCTTTTTGTAAAACGGACTAAGTAGAGTCTCTAACCGTTCTTACATTTAGTGTTCTGCGTTAGATACTATTAGTACTGGGCAATTAAATTCGCATGAACAGACTCTTAGATTATCCGGTCTTTGGCTGTTAAAAACAAGTGTTGAGCCCATGTGAATTCCTTTTCGAGGCCAGGTTCAACAGATGCAATGAGCACATTTCAAAGTGACAATCTTAATGTATTTGAACTCCACATATTAGACTTCCTGCTAGCCCAATTGTCGTCACCACTCTAGAGACTTGTCTCGTTTAGCATGGTTCGTTTCAGCCGACCAAAGTTACCGAGGTCGAATTCAAAGCCGTAAAGTATCCCCAGAATATCGATTCGGCCTTGAGGTTACTGAACTTGGCATTTTAACTTACACTGCGAAGTCTTTTTAACAAAGCGTCTAATCCCTCGAACAATTCCCAATGTCCTGCAAGTCTTCATCTGAATCTCAATATGACTTACAACTTCAATACCGATCCCAGAAGTCTTGAGCTTCTTGCCTCTGCCTTTGCAAGCGGGTGTGTCCTACACATTCTCCTATGGCGTCGCGGAGAATGGGACTTGCTTGCGCTCCCTATTGTGCAGGCCTACGCCGCATTGCCCATCATTGTCACAGGGATAACGCGCTTAGCTGAGGCTAGGGGCCTCCTCAACGACACCTCCCTCACCTTTACCGCGATCATGGTACTTGAGATTACTCATATTATGGGTATTTTCAGTAGCATTCTTATATATAGAATACTCTTCCATCCGTTGAATTGCTTTCCCGGACCATTGATTGCTCGTATTTCCAACTTTTATCCCACCTACCTCCGGATGAAGAACCTGCGTTTGTTTGAAGAGGTCGAGGATCTGCATCACAGACACGGCGATTTTGTCCGGCTAGGCAAGCCAATACCCCAGAGCTTTCCCATTGACTACTTGCTAACAGGCTCCGGACAGGACCGACAGAAATATCTATCATTGACCCTAAGGCTGTTGAAGCGATATACGCCGCTAGATCACCATGTACCAAAGGTCCATTCTATAATGTTCTCCACCCTCGAATTCCATTGAACATGATTCGAGATCACAAAGAGCACCATACGCGACGCAAAGTCTGGGATAGGGCATTCAGCTCTAAAGGTAATACCATAATCATGTCACTTAGGAGATGTTTCTAAGATGTAGCCAGCCCTACACGATTATGAGCCTCGAGTCACAGGATACACAAGCGAGCTTCTTTCGCGCCTTGCCGAGCTCCAAGGTAGGACCATCAATGCCTCCGACTGGTTTAACTTTTACAGCTTCGACGTCATGGGTGATCTTGCCTTTGGAAAATGCTTTAATATGCTGCGTGGCGGCGTCAAGCATTATTTCATGAGTGCCTTGCACGCATCAATGACCTTGAACGGCTACGTTGCACATACTTCTTGGATATATCCATTTTTAAAACTAATTCCTGCAATCAACGCCGAGAACAAAAAGTTTTGGTTGTGGTGTCAAAGTCAAGTCGATGGACGTTCAAAAGTATTTCTTTCCCACTAGAATTCTAAAGAGGGGCTAGCGAATGAAGAGGGCTAATAGAGTCGATTATAGTCTAAGCCTGATAACCCCGACGTTTTCTCCTGGATTCTTGAAGAATATGAGCGCAGCCCGAAGACGAAACAAGCAAAGCTCAATCTTGACGGTGAGGCGTATCTGATCGCAGTCGCTGGCAGGTAAATGAGTGACGAGACCTAGACCTAATCAAAGGCTGATCAATTCCCAGCGATACCACCGCTGCAACTTTGACCAGTCTTTTCTTTGAAATTGGCTCAAATCCGGCCCAAATTGTCAAGCTTAGAAACGAGATTGATGACTATTTCAGCCAAAGGGACTATGCCGACCCCAGCTCGCTTGCCGCGCTCGCCCATCTGAATGCGGTTATTAACGAGACACTCCGACTGCACCCACCTGTTCCGTCGGGTCTGCAAAGAGTCACTCCACCTCAAGGGCTGATGGTTGGCGATACCATGATCCCAGGGAACACAATCGTTCAGGTGCCTCTCCACACTATCCAGCGAGGTATGATTGAGATGTGTGATATATCCGCTTTACAACGGCTAACTGGACGTGACTAGATAAGCGTCATTTCGCCAGACCTCTGGAATTTATTCCCGAACGATGGACTAGCTCGCCGGAGTTAACCATGAATGGCTCCGTCTTTGCGCCTTTCTCCATTGGTAAGAGGTTTGAAGATTATCTTCGAGTTTACGCTGACCAATGATAGGACGATATTCTTGCGTTGGGAAGCAGCTTGGCCTGATGGAGCTGAGATTTGTCGTAGCCCACGTAGTTCGGGCATTTGACTTTAGGTTAGCCGACGGGCAGACCAAAGAGGACTTTTTGCTTTCCAAGAGGGATACTTTCACCCTCTCTCTTCCGAAATTGGATATGGTGTTCTTGTCTCGTCCCACGGGAAAGTAACATCAGGCTGAATTATTAGCTACCTTCTTTTTTGTGTGGTTGGGAATTGTCTGTAAGTCGCTCTTTTACCCACAAGATAATATAAAGAGTGGGAATGTCTCGCACACGCCACAACTTTCACTGGGCTTTTTGTCCTCATCGAAATTTTTATCTCGGGCTTTAATCAATATGCTTCGAATGGTAAGCCATGTGACAGAACACTCAGTTTCCTAGCTATTTTATCTCGAGAACTCTAGATCCTTGCCTTTACAGTTCCATTCTTGGTATCCCGCTTCTGCTTGATATCTGCTTCCAATATGTCAGGGTAAGTCTTACTTGCTGAGAGCCCTAAGAATTGCGGTACCCGCCAAGCCCCTCCATCAACAACCAGGACGTGGCCATTGACATAGTTACCACTTTCACTCAGAAGATAAACAGTCGCGTCAGAAATCTCTTTCAGCAGTCCATGTCTCCCCAATGGCACCCCTCGTCCCACTCGGTCATCTTTACTAAAGAGCCTATCAACACCCTCTGTCCCTTGTATTGCACCGGGACTGATGACATTGGACTGGATGCCTCGAGGCCCGTACTCAAGCGCGACAGAAGCTGACAAAGCGTCAACGCCAGCTTTTGCGCAGGCCGCATGGGTTTGAAAGGGCATTCCAGTGTAATGGAATGTCGCAGAAATGAATATGATTCTTCCACTGGTTGCCAACGATCCTTCGGACTTGGTTCTAGCCACCGAGTCGAGAAGATGCGGCATCGTGGCTTTGACGGTATTGAACGAGCCAATAAGATCGATATTTACGACCGTCCTGAAAGCATTGCTCGACAGACTTTCTATAGGTGCAAGAAAGTTACCAGCAGCCCCAACGCTATCCCAAGATTTGTCAGCGGCCTCGAAAATAGTGAAAGACGGTGTATACATACATCACATAATCGATGCCGCCAAGTTTCTCGATGCATTCCCGAACAGACCGTTCCAAGTCTTCCAGGCTCCTCACATCAATATTTCCAATGCCCAGGACAACGCAGCCTAGTCTGACTTTGCTTATCTCCTTGGCTACATTTTGTGCCTTGGCATCGTTCCGTCCAACGATACACGCGTTGGCACCTAGAGACACAAGGGCGCGGACCTGGGCCGAGCAGATGGAGCCACTCCCCCCGGTGCAGAATACAACTTTGTTGGCTTAAATTGTGTCAGCCTCATTCGAACAGTTTGACAATTAGATAGCACCTACCGAAGAGGTTATCCTTCCAGACGTTAGAAACAAATTCTGGCGTAGAAACCATATTAATGGATAATGTAAACTCAGTATAGTTTTATATGTAATAAAGGGCAGAGGTTGAGAGACCTTGATATTGCTATATATAAGAGTGTTTTGTATCTGTTATGCGGTCTTAGTAAATACCTGCTTTTATACCTCGGTATAAAAGAACCCTCGGCTTAAATTTGAAACCAGTGCTGTAAAATTATAACCTATCCTTTACCTAATAGTCTGTAAGTACTGCTCTAAATTTGTATTCCTTATTACTAACTTAGACTGTCAGTTTAGTACTTTACTAACTCAAAAGTACTTTTCTTATTAGTATAGCTTATAATAATAAGTAAAAGAAATAAAATGTATAGAGTAAGCTAATAAGAATAATATTGTACTATTAAGTAAACAGGGATATCTTACCGTGCATTACTATATTTAGGGCCATTATTACAATTGGAAAACTTCAATCTTATAAACTATAAAGCAGTATATAACAGCTACTAAAGCCTTAATAAGCTACATGTTGTAAGGATAAGGGAAGGTGTCCATCAGATAAAATATGAGAATTAATAAATTAAGTTCATAATAGACTTAACCTAAAGAATATAATTAAGGAAGCTATTAAATTTACCTACTATTAACTACTAATAGATATGCCTTACCGTTAAGGTTGAGCTTTACTTATTTTACCTGTAGGTTATACTTATATTCTTTATAAATTCAAGAGAAAAGAGGTCTAGATTATTAATTTTACACTATAATTAAATCTGCTAGCCCCATTCATCGGTAGTACCTCTTTAGAATTCTATCTAGTTCAATGTCATCCTCTTTTAACCCCCCCCCCTTGTTATCTAAGCCTCACTACTGTATTCCTTAAAGCTCTATAGTTCCATTAACAGCATGAACTCCTGCAATAGCAGCGTCGAGATCCTGCTGTCCTGATCCACCACAGACACCAATGGCGGCGAAGAATGTACCATTAATATATAATGGAACGGCACCCGGTATCGGCAGCATACCATCGTTGGTATGCTCGAGGCCATAATCCTCTTTTCCTGGCTGGACTAGTGGCTGCAGGTCGCCTGAGGTAAAAGCACCATTAAAGAGAGTGACGGTTCGGGTTTTTCTGATACAGGTATCGATGCTCTCGACCCATGCATGATCCATGCGGAGGAGGTTAATTATGTACCCGTAGGGATCCATAACAACAATGGAGGACGGAGCACTGTAACATGTCTATTAGTAACCCCATTTGTAATATATAATTGACAGTAGAGCCATACTTATTGCTTTCTGCGACAGCCACTGCTGATTGAACCGCTACTGTGGCCTGTTCTGCATTCAGGACGAAGCGCTCGTTCGGAGACTTCAGTGTGCTATACCACCGAGATTGAGGGGGGATAGCCCAAGCACACTTGGAGAAGACCGCAAGGGCTGTAAGGATAGGTATAGAGTGCTTCATCTTATAACTTTACAGTAATTGTAATGATAACTATGAATAATAATGACATTATAGCTACCTTTTATCTATAACGACTAGTAATATTATTAGTTTAATAATTGAATAGCGGGGCTTAAAGCTGCTGGTAATGTCCGTGTCCGCGCTTTCCGAAACTTTAAAAGTTAGTAGTATGGCTTAGCTTACCAAACACCAAGGATAAAAAGCCGAAGCGCGCGGGAGTACTCCTCCAGGCACCGGGCTGACAAACCAAAAAGGACCGTATTAGTTAGTTACGACTAAGTGTATTACCGAGAGCAAGTATCATGATAAAGTAAAATATGTAAGCTGACTTAATTTCCGTCCAACTTCATCAAACCCTGCGTGCTGTATTGCAGATAATAAGCCCTATAAAGCTTTGCCCCCCTACGTGAGAGTCCATCAAGTAATTATTAGTAGCCATTTCTCAATCTCTGATTTTCTCCCACCTCTTGAAGCAATGATACGCGCCTCAGTCATCTGTATATCTCACGGCGGAGGTGATTTAACTCTTTGTTATAAAATAAGACAGTTGATTTAGTCGAACTAACTCTCGTCATGCAGGCCCGCTTCCTGTTATCGGTGGACCAGGTCACGAAGAAATCACCTATTCCCTTAAAACCCGGGTCCCGAAAATCCTCAAGCTTGGCACCCCCGAAGCACCGCGAGCCATCATTTGTGTAACAGCGCACTGGTCTGAACATCAACCTACCATCTCGTCCGCTAGTCACCATGATCTCTACTATGATTACGGTGGTCTCCCAAGAGAAGCATATAACCTGGAATACCCGGCTCCGGGATCTCCCTCTGTCGCCAATGAGGTCAAGAATGTTCTTACAGAAGAAGGCTTTAAACCTGGTCTCAATAGCCAACGGGGTAAGTCATGTATCCCATTTTAATAACACTTATACCAAAAGGAAAAAAGGACTATTTGAATTAATAACTGAGTTACGGTAGGCTGGGATCATGGCGTCTTTATCCCGTTCATACTTATAAATCCGGATGCAGACATTCCAATTATTCAATTATCCATCCTCTTATCCGAAAACCCTGCCCAACATATTCGCATGGGTCGTGCCCTGTCAAAACTTCGAGACTCCAATATTGCCATTTTAGGCTCCGGCTTTGTGTCCATTCATGACAATAGGAAAGTGGTTCCATTAATGTTAACTAACACTAAAGCGCCTAAACTACTCGCTAAACATGTCCGTGAATGGAACGCGGAGTTAACAGCAGCGGTAATAAAGGAACAGACAGAAGACAGAGAAGAAATACTACAGGGGTGGAGAGGCTTTATACATAGTTACGAAATGCACCCGCGGGGTGCTGCCGACCACTTCATGCCTCTGTTAGTATGTGCAGGGGCGGCAGGTAACGAGGTTGCTAAGATGTATAAGGATGACTTTCTTGGTATGGATATCTGGACGTATTACTGGGGAAATGTCTGTGTATAATAGTGAACTAGATAAGGAGCCTAGGTCTTTCAGGGCGGCAGGTCTTACAGACCCTATGCTATATCCTTACACTTATCTTTTATATGAAGTAGTAAAGTATTCCCTTTTGTATCTTTTAATAGATGTTTCCTTATTGCTATAAACTTAATTACTTATATAACTACTTACCTATTTAACAATCAATTATTATTATTCTATATAGTACCCTTCACTCTGTATATACTACATTGAGATTTAGTAAAGGCATTAATAATACTATAATATATAGTTACTCCTTTATTCCTGTCCCTTTAAATGATATTTTAAGTGATCTAGACTGAATTTGGAATATTTAATCCCGGGAGGATAGGTGTGAGCTGACCAATCCCGGTAATACCATCGGACGTTCCAGTCGAGACACCACCTTGAGCAAGAGCAATCTGTTTCTTATCATCATGAAATACAGCATAAACAGCTGTGAAGAAAGGGGCACCGAAAGTGCAGCCCCCATACTCATCTCCCGAAACGCTCAAGGCACAGTATTTGGAAGCGTCGTAGCCCGGTAATTCATCGTATTCACCACGAGCGTAACTTCGAATAGGAATAGCGACGGTGACCTTCTTGCCAGGAGTGGCTCCAGAAAAAGTAAAATTAAAGGTCGCAGTACGTGGAATAGACTCGCAAGTCCCGTTCCAAGCCAACGCCAGTGGACTCTCCAATTGAATGAGCCCTGTTGCCTTCATGATCTCCTTTTCGCTGAAAGGGAGCCTATCCTCGCCGGTTCCAGAGTCAAGGAGGCATTGTTTGACCGAAGAATCGGTTAAGCCAATCTTGACAGGTTTACCAGGCTTGCGGAAAGATGTTGTGGTCAACTCCGGCAGCGCTGAATAGTATCCGACGTAGGGTGGCTCGGGATAGTTTTGCTTAATGCGTACAAGCTCGCCGGTATACTTCTTTTTAGAAGGAATGGCACCGAAGACAGCTGCGCCTGAGTATGGAGACTTGATGGACTTCGGCTGTTGATCAAACCACATGGTGAAAGAGGAGGACTGCGTTTTCCCAGTGCGACGTAAGTTGTCTCGAAAAGAGGGCCCGGCAAAGCCCTTAGGAAACGGCGCCAAACCAAGAATGCTGTGATCGAAATCGCTCTCAGGGATTCTGCACTTGTCATCGAGTTGAGCAACTTGTGCATAGTCAGCCAATCCCACTTGATTATTGATCAATTTGGAAAAGTTTGGGTTAGAAAAAGAGAAGGAGTCGTTAATAGTAGCGGGTGCTGATATGAGCTTGCCGTTTCCGCCGTAGGCATAGCCCAAAGGCCCACCTTTGGGTTTGACAGCGCCTCCTTTGGAATGAGAGGTTGACTTGGGCCAATTGTAAAAGGTCTTCACCGTTTTGTTGCAGGGTCCCTGCACGTAATGCGCGTTCGTGCCATCGTTGATGATTGAGTTGGGACCGAAAACCCAGAAACTAGGAGAGCCTGTATCAAAGATTGTAGGCACGGGAGACTGCCCTGGTGTACCCCATTTGATATCGGCTTGTACACTACCATCTAAGTGTTAGCTTCTATACAAGACTACAGTTGCGGACAGATCGATCACGAGAACTAGATAACTCACCGAGGATAGCCGCCATAGCTGTAGGATATGGGGATAGTTGGAGGCTGCGATTGCGGTGATGGAGCGGCCGCAACAGCTGCTTGCAATGATGCGATTGAAAGGAGACTGATCGGAAGTAACATTGCTGCGGTCGTCAAGCAGAGATTGTGTGTGATGAACCGTGATAGAGTGGACTGTAAGGTGTGGAAGTATATGCCTCCTGAAGGACTTAAATACTAATTGATCGATACGAGATCAACGCATTAATGCAAAAAACCAAATACTCTGATACAAAGGGTCCGGGCAATTTGGAAAACCCCTGGAGCTACTTTGCCGAGTGCCGAAGCTCGGTTGCATCAGCTCCCAGGAATGTACTCAAATAGTGCCATTGGCCACACTAAGGCTCTAAGTGTGTTTCGTTAGTTTCTCGTATTCGATATGACTAAAGTCTCTGGTGGCTAAAAGCGCGCCAATAATTAAAGCCTAGACAAAGTAAAGCGTTGACAGGTTCGGGCATCATCTCCCAGACTGGGTATGAATCGACAGAGTGAAACTCGTATCGATACACTTCCGAGCTCTTTTATTAGACAATGACATCATCACTATACGGTATTTGCATTCCCGTAGACAGATCATCGACATTGTTAAGCACGGATCTTCTCAAGACCAGACCCACCTTTCGCCGATCATGGTTCAAGATGTTCTAGACCGAGCATTCCATACGATACGAGGTAATTACCCCAAAAAGACGCCATTGACTCGCACCCTTCCGGATGTAGTGTGTAGTCTAGACCCTGGATTTAAATCATAGCTTCTCGCCGTTCTAGTCTACATATGCATAGCCCAGGTATGTTACTATTGATAGTACTGATACAGGCGGTCTTTTTGGTTCTTTGTGGTGTCTGAGGGAACACTGCAATTCCCCATTGAAGCTTTTATAGCAATTGCACACCACTATTTTGACATAACTCTCTTCGCAAATTTGTTAATATCCATCGTCCAAGATGCGGTACGGTCGCTTAGCTTTCTTGTGGTTCCTCTCTCCACTCTGCAATGCATCGATTCACGAGTCCGTTGCCCAACTACCTAGCGACTATGTACAGCTAGGTGTTGTACCTGGAGATGAGCTCCTATCTTTGAGGATTCATCTTACCGACCTGGACAAGCCTTATCTCAAAGTGGCTCAAGAGGTGTCAGACCCGAAATCGAAGCAATATGGCCAATATCTGGGATCGCATGAGCTACGATCCATCTTGCCCGATAAAAGCCTCGCTTCAACAAAAGTGACGAGCTGGCTTCAAGACGAGGGCTTATCCAACTACGTCTTGAGTTCCGACCATGTTGATGTTACAGCCGCTATTGCTGAATGGAACCGCGTTTTAAACACCACTTTCTATCGGTTTCAACACAGACCTACCAGCCGTACTGTAGTTCGCACTATTGAGTACAGTATTCCAAGCACGCAGCAGGATACAATCAGTTATATTTACCCCACCATACACTTTTTTCGACTGGTTGCCAATAGTCAAAAGCTTGAGAAGAGACAACACATTCCTACTGGACCCAGCAACTGCACAAACAGCATTTGTCCATCTCACCTGCGCACGAAATACAATATCAACTACACGCCCATCGATGGCAAGTCAGGTAGCACAATCGCTATTGCGGGCTTTTTGAACAATTTTCCCAACATCACAGATGTAAAGGCCTTCTTAACCAAGTATGACAAGAAGAATCCAAAGTCTATCCCTGCCATCAACGCCGTTTCCGTCAATAAAGGCACTTTGAAACCGCCAGCAGATGGGGGCTCACTCACAGTCGAGGCTGAGCTTGACTTGGATTACTCAATGGCCTTTACCGGTCCGCTACCTGTCACATTTTACTCTGTTGGTGGTCATGCACCCAAGGTCGGCCAAGCCCCCAGTGGGCATATCTCACCCGACGACAATGAGCCATATGCCGCTTTTTTTGACTATGTGCTCAGTTTGAAGAATCCACCCAAAGTCATATCCATCTCGTATAATGATGACGAAAAGAACGTTCCTGTAGCCTATGCCCAGCATGTATGCGATCTTTTTGCGAAAGCTGCTGCCCGCGGGATTTCTATCATTGGGTCCTCTGGAGATGGGGGAGCTTCTGGAGCAGGTGGTGACACGACTTGCCTTGGGGTATCTGGGAAGAAAAGGCTCTTTGTACCAACGTTTCCGTCAAGCTGCCCTTGGATGACATCCGTTGGTGCTACGGCAGATTATGGCGGTGTGGCTTCTTTTAGCTCCGGAGGCATGTCAAATGTCTTCAAACGTCCTTCCTGGCAAGATAAGGCTGTTTCTGGTTATATACAATCCTTGAAGGGCAAACACAAAGGCTTTTACAACGTCAGTGGCCGTGCACAACCAGACGTCAGTCTCCTAGGCGATGATTACCTGACACTTACTGGGGGTAATCCCTCCACTCACGACGGCACGAGCGCATCTGCGCCAGTATTTGCAGCCATGGTAGCTCTTATTAACGACATGCGCCTTCGGGAAAAGAAACCTGCCTTGGGATTTTTGAACCCTCTGTTGTATTCTGCAAAAGCTAGCTCAGCCTTCCGAGATGTTAAGGACGGAAGCAATACAAATGGATGCGCAGATGGTAACTTTATAGAGCCAGGTTGGGAAGCTCTCGCAGGCTGGGACGCGGCTACTGGACTTGGCGAGCCTGATTTCACGAAACTCGCCGGCATCCTTAAAGCATAGGTTAGAATACTGCCCTAAGTAATGTAAAATGCACAATCCAAATTTTCGCTTAAACACAGAAAATCCCATTAGCACCGTTGTCAGTGCTGCAAGTTTTCAAGACATCTTTTTAGGTGAGATAAAAGAGCTCGGATATCACTAATATCACTGTTACAAACCCGGATGGGCGCAAATACTTCATCCGATTGCATAACGATGTACAGATAATTTATGCTTTCTAACAAAAGCGGTGAATCAGGCTACAAAAGCCATCCTTACTGCCTAGAAGATAATACCTATATTATACTCTATAGAGAAAGCGAGATACCGCCAGTTAAACTACTTAATGTGAGGCGACTTAGGTTCTTTATGATGGCAGATCTTTCGCAGGCTGGGTCTACCGCGGCCTGGTCTTGCCCGGGACAATAATGAGTGCCAAGGACAGGACTGATATTTAGGACGTATGATCCGGTGTCGGACAAATTGAGTGAATTCCGGAGATGGTCTTCTCTACGGACAGCCCTCCATATTCGTGGGAAACAGGGGTCGGAAACACGATCCCGACTGGCCGGCGCCATCCCCGGTCGGGCTGACAATTTCCGGTGCCACTCAAGAGGACCATTAAGGGATAACAGTAGCGGCGGTCAAACCTTAATGGACATAGAATGATCCCCGGACTTACATCAGTGATGTGCTGCGGTTATATAATGCTCGCAAACACAGGCAGAAAAATAGAGGAATCAGAAGCGTAAATTGCTTTTATTGCACCTTGTCCTGTAGACCCAGGCCATACACCAAATTCGGCAAAGATATTATCTCATACAAAGCAATGATCAACGATCAGGATTTGGCACCCATGGTGCCTTTGAATAGCAAAGAACAGCCTCTGGTCGAAAAGGCTAGGGGGTGGCGAGAAAACCTCGACGCTGACGACAAAGCTGTCCTGGCCCTGCGAAACCTCATATTCGATATCTGTCATCAAAATGGTGGCGGGCACGGCGGCTCCGCCATTGGTATGGCTGCTATTGGTGTTGCTTTGTACAAGTACACAATGAGATACAATCCATCTAATCCAGGATGGTTCGATAGAGATCGATTTGTCTTATCTAATGGTCAGTCATTTCTTGCGCCAATTCGGGTTACATAACTCACCATTGATCCGCAGGCCATACTGCTATGTTCTTGTATGCTTTGAATCATCTTGTTGGCTATGAGAACTTTACAATGGATGAAATCAAGGGCTACGGTAGCGCCAAAACTGATGGTTATACTACCATTTGCCATGCTCATCCGGAAATCGAGGTTCCAGGTGTTGAGGTTACCACAGGACCGTTAGGCCAGGGTATTGCCAATGCCGTCGGCCTTGCAATCGCCAGCAAGAACCTCTCAGCGCGCTTCAACCGGCCTGGGTTTGACGTTGCGACCTCTCGCATATTCTGTTTGACCGGAGATGGCTGTTTGATGGAGGGTGTGGCCCTTGAGAGTATCTCACTAGCTGGAAATCTACAGTTAGATAACCTGGTGGTCATATACGACAACAACCAAGTTACCTGCGATGGACCCCTAGAATGGATCAACGTCGAAGACGTCAATGCGAAGATGCGTGCCAGTGGGTGGCACGTCCTCGAGGTGGATGATGGATCTTACAATGTTAAAACTCTAGTATCAACACTAGAGTATGCAAAGACCCTTGTCAGCAAGCCTGTTTTCATCAATGTTCGTACTGTCATTGGTCTTGGCACCTCAACTGCGGGTACATATAAAGCACACCATGGAGTTTTCGATTCCGGGAGTGTGGCCGAATCGAAACGTCTTGCAGGACAAGATCCATCATCAACGCATCAAGTTCCCTCCGACGCCTTGGAATTCTTCAGAGAAAGGAAACAACACGGCCAAAATCTAGAAGCTGAGTGGAAGGACTTGCTTGAACGATATCAATCGATGCATCCCATGCTAGCCGAAGAGTTCCAGAAGAGGCGAGCTGGCGACAACGGTAATGAGTGGAAAAAAGCTCTTGAGGGAATAGACTCAACCCAGTTTATCGGAAATGCAACTCGTGAAGTGAGTGGTTCTCTCATGGAGATTCTTTGGAAAACTCACCCCGCGCTTGCTGGAGGGGGAGCAGATTTGGTCAACTCCAACAAAATTCCCTACGAAGCAGCTCAAGTATTTCACCCTTCCACGGGACAAAGTGGACGCTATATACGCTATGGGATTCGTGAACACGCCATGGCGTCTATCTCAAATGGTATTGCAGCCTATAACCCGAATACCTTCCTTCCGTTCACAGCCACTTTTTTCATGTTTTATATTTATGTAAGTGATTTCGACTACCTTCAAATCCCCAACACAGCCGCCTTCACTACAGAATACTGACATGCACATACTTGTCAGGCTGCCCCCGGCGTTCGCATGGGTGCTCTAAGCCACTTACCAGTCATCCACATTGCGACACATGATTCATTTGCAGAGGGTCAAAACGGTCCGACCCATCAGCCTATCGAGCTGGATTCTTTGTATCGTGCTATGCCAAATTTGACTTACATTCGACCTTGCGATGGCGAAGAAGTCATTGGAGCATGGCTCCTTGCGTTATCCAAAACCTCAGGCCCTTCCATGCTTTCCCTTGGTCGTGATCCAGTGGGTACAGTACCAAACACTGATCGGTCTAAGGTTGGTAGAGGCGCATACGCCGTCATTGATGTGGAGAAGCCAGACCTCATTCTCGTCAGCTGCGGAACTAATTTGCACTATGCTGTTGCCGCATCTAAGAATTTGTCTGACTCTGGAGTTGCTACACGAGTAGTTAGTGCTCCGGCTTTCACCTATTTCGATGCACAAGAACAATCTTATCGAGAGTCTGTCTTTCCGCTAGATGGCACGCCCATCATCAGTATTGAGGAATACGTTGCGACAACATGGGCACGCTACGTAACAGCAAGTATCGGAATGACAGACTATGGCTACTCTGCCTCAAATGCCAGCAACTATGCTAGATTCGGCCTCGATGCGCAAGGAATAGAAGCCAGAGCGAAGGCTTATCTGAAGGACTTGAATGGACAAGACGCTAGGAAGGCAGGGTGGCGCCAGATTTAAAGACATCTATCACGTAGATACATAACTCGAACACGGAATTTCCATGTTTTTATATCCCGTGAGAGACTTTTTTTGATCGTTTTGATGTGCCAAACAGAAAGTCCTTGGATGCGTTGAGAAATCTAGGGTAAAAGAAGGAAAAGACCATCATGTCAATAAGAACCCTGGTATAATAGTTCGATACAGAATGATTGGTTATTCGCAATCCTACACGGGTTGGATATACACTTGGGCTGGCCAAGACTGGGTCTGGTGCTAATGAACCCAGGCTACTACAATTGTCTTGTCGCTCTCCTTTCCTCTATAAGCATGAGATTTCAGGAGAATCAAACCTAAATAAAATCGGTTGGTCAGCTTGAGAGCCCGACATAGAGCTAAAAAGGGTTTGCCATCACAGTCGCTTGGAAACATGTATTCTTCTAATATCTCTGTCTCACATCTCGTGGTTTTAAAACGCTTTTACTCATCGATTTATGCTTTGTTCAGAGCATCCAACAACACAATCTCACTCAGCCACGGCACAATACCACTAACTCATCTAACAAGGTGTATGATTGGGATGCCGCTGGTTATTACGACTTTCATATCTTACACAGATTTTACCGTACCATCCCCAACACCATCGAATCTCTAGGGGCTGAGATTGATGCCTCGACCATAGCTTCAGTTCGGTATGTTTTAAAATAAGTAAGGGAATTAAAAATAACGTTCTATAGCCGATGCATCATAGCCAATCGCCGCCCTGTACAAAATTCTGAGGGGTTGAGAAGATTAAGCAGTCAACATAATTCATCACTTAGCGGGCGACACCACTAAGTGGGCCCCTTTTCTTAATTGCACACCTTATCAGCTCGAACACGCGATTTCCTTCACCATAAAGATTTTAGATCTTAATATCACATCTAGTATTATCCTTATAAGTGTAAGGCGTAAATATCTAAAATTGAGTATTCGATCTCGCGCAAAGTAGTTAAGTATCTCGCGGACAATCTTATAAGCTAAAATCGCTAAAAGGCCTTTGATAATTAATGTGTAGCAAGTAGTTGAATTTAAGAATAGCCGAACAGGATGTGATTGTTTATTGCATCTGGCTGTATCCTGGTTGTGGTCGACGAGGTTTACTTGCCTGATACCGAGGCTAATAAGAGAGAACTGGACACACCTCTTTGGCTTTCGTATCCTAAATGGGTAGGCTGTATAAGTCACGTTGTCCATCATAGGCTGGGCCAAGTTGGAACAGACATACTATTTTGTTGGATATGTACCTACCCTGGACTGGATCGGCGGGTATCCGTCGGAACCTCGGCTACTCCACGGCGGTCTGAGGTCATTCCCAGCCTGCAGAAAGCTGGGCTGGAAAAGAGGGAAAGCCAGGGAGGATAATTACTACACCCTACTTTCCGACAATTTTACTGGGACGCGAACCAAGCCTCACAAATGGTTGTGCAACCCACAGAGAAACACATGTTTTACCCTCCACACGGCTCGACTGATCATGACGAAAGGCAAACGATTCTGTTCTAGCTGGCAGGGGAAGTGACATATAAAACTGATACCATAGCTAAAATGTAACTGTTTCGTTGATCCAAAACTAACCCCGATTAATGAACGTGGCGTAACTATATTCACTGGTACATTCACATCCGGTCACTCGAAGCTGACGGAGGGAATGCCGATGACCAAGTATCGGTGACGCAGTTCCCCAGAGGATCAGCGGGGAAGCCTCAACAGTTCCGAGTACCAGATGACCGATCAACCAGAGCGCTTCCGAGTCGGCAAGTATGTCAGTCTAGTACTAATGGAGCGATCGCGCTACACTACGGAAAAGCAGTTACCGGGCCACAGAGCAAGCTGTGCAACTATCGCGGGATTGCTTTTCCGAGGTCATCTCGGTTCTCTCTCCGTTATGGCGTTCTTAGCTCGGTCCTCACAGACCCGATCCTATTTTACCTTCTTTGATCTACTGTCGATTTTATCGGCCCTCATCCTTGTGACCTTGGGCCCGCCTTTAACTCATCCACATTGTGGGATTATTAAATCACTCTTGGAAAAGAGTGATATGCAATATAAGCACCCCTTCTCACACAGTCCTAGCCCATATTTGCTTAGGATTCAGTAATCCTATCAATCGCACAATTGTTCCCTTACCATCTGCCTCCGTTTCCTCACCATGACGAGCGAGCGTGTAAAGGCTTCCGTCCTCTATGGCGCGAAGGACCTCCGTTTAGTAAGCACCAGCACTCTAAGGGTTTCTGTGCCTCCTAAGGTACCAAACTAATCCATGGGACAGGAGGAACGCGAGCTTCTCCAGCCCACCAGTCATGAGGTCCAGGTTGCTGTTCAGTCTACTGGTCTCTGTGGCTCCGATCTTCACTACTACAATTACTTTCGCAATGGCGACATTATCGCTCGGGAGCCACTAACTCTCGGTCATGAGTCTGCCGGTATAGTTGTCTCTGTCGGCTCGGAAGTTACAGATCTGAAGCCTGGAGACCACGTCGCTCTCGAGGTTGGCCTGCCCTGTGAGGCATGTGATCTTTGCAGTGAGGGCCGCTATAATATTTGTCGAGATATTAAATTTCGTAGCTCTGCCAAAGCGAATCCTCATGCGCAAGGAACACTTCAAAAAAAGATTAACCATCCTGCAAAGTGGTGCCATAAGTAAGATATCTCAGACCTTGAAGATAGGAAATCAATCTAACAAAAACCTAGGATGCCCGACCATGTCAATCTTGATCTTGGTGCTCTGGCTGAGCCTCTTTCAGTTGCTATGCATGCTAGAGACCGAGCTGCTCTTCCAGACGGTTCCACTATTCTTATCATCGGCGCTGGCGCCGTCGGACTGCTGGTAGCTGCTATCGTTAAGGCTGGCCGGGCTAACACTGTTATTATCGCCGATATCCTTAAGGACCGTCTTGACTTTGCTACTGCCAATGGATTCGCTGATGCTTCCGTATTGGTTCCTATGGATCGTCCACAAACCATTGGGGATAAGCTTGCATTTGCTCAGAGCGTAGCTGCTCTAGTGAAGGAGACTAAGGTCAATGGGTCGAAAATTGGAGAAGTCGCAGCTGTCTACGAATGCACCGGTGTTGAGACCTGTCTGCAAACTGCGATCTATGCAACTAAACCTGGAGGCAAGGTCATGATTATTGGTATGGGGACTCCCGTTCTTACTATCCCAATTTCAGCGGCCGCTCTCCGCGAGGTTGATATTATAGGCGTCTTTCGCTACGCGAATACATATAAGAAGATCATCAACCTTCTTGCCAGCCCTCCACCCAACATGCCCGATATAAGCCGTCTTATCACTCAAAGATACAATAGCATAGATAAGGTTGAAGAAGCCTTCCAAATAGCGGGCAAGTCGCGGGATGACCAGGGTAACCTTATTATTAAGGTCGTTGTAAATTTTACCGAGAAATGACTTGATGATAAACTATAGAAATGAAAAACTTTGGATGAGCTGCTTGAGTTCGTATTTATGCATGAACGGGTTAGAAAGCGAATATACTCGATAATATCCTAAGGATATCAATGACCCTAGTGGTCTGCGAGTAACATAACAATGTTGTTGATCAATATGTCACTTTGTATTCACTTAAAGTTCCACCAGCCATCTCGCCCCGAGGTATCTAAGAGAAGGGGATATAAGGAGGAAATTACAAGCAAAAGATAGTCGAAACTAGGTAGCTGAGACAATGTAATTATTTACAGCTAGGTAGGTCCTCACTATAATGACAATTGATTCTCGATTACTTCCGTGTCACTCCGTCTGACAGATCTCACACCAGACCCTAGCAGGTTACGCGGGCTTTAATAATACGATTGCGACAAGATATACATTGCAGACAGTAATACCCCTAGCTTTGCCAGTGGCGGGAAGCTTCTATATAAGCTTCTAACCGTTAATATGGTTATAAACCGTTAGGTTTCTTTGGAAACTTATTGTCATTGCCTTCAGGGTTAAGAAGAAGAGGCCAACGCTAGAACCTTTTAGCATGCTAAATCTGGAGTTAAGATATATTACGAGATACCACCTACGACCAAGAAGAGGTTAACATAATCGAGGCCGAGTGCTTCTAGGCTCTTATCAGGAGCCAGCACGACGCGAGTATTGTAAGTAGCCCAGACCTTGGTGACAACAAAGATATCCTCAGGCTTAATACCAGCCTTGAAAGCAACCTCAAGGCTAGCGCCGACTTCTTCCTCATTTCTATAGTAATAAGCGCAATCAATCAGTTGATAGTCATCCTGAAAAGCATATATAAAGGCCTTCTCAATCTAGCCAACTGAGGACTGTTATATACCTGAAGGATCAAACCTCAATTAAGCTTCCTTGGATTGAAGGAATAAAATAACTACGCACCGAGACCGATAGCAGGTATTTCCTAGCCAGTGTTAAGCTTAAAAGTAGTAGGTGGAGCCATTACGCAACTCTTAAAAAGGCACGGCGTCCTGATGGTTTGTAATGAATGGAATCTACAAAGCAAAAATAACTAATGAGGGCATACACGAGCGCGAGGCCTAAAGACCATAAAGCACGGTTATACCATATTGCCCGGAGTAGATAATAAATTACCCATAAGCTGATTTGTGAACACCTTGCTTGCCCCCCCCTTTCGCGATTATTGGAATTCGGAATTAGAATTCCTTGGCCAATCACCGAAGCCGACACTAGCCCCGGTTCTGATTCTGGCTCCGACATTTCCGAACACCTAGCAGTTACTATTGGTGGACCGGGAACATTTTAAGGGATATTCAATGAAATGGTCATGGTCGGGGGTCCCATACCCGGTTCGATTTCGACCCCGAATCGGAGGTCGTTTACATGATTCTCTGCTCATCATTGACGTTTATCAAGACGTAATCGTCATCTTTTAACCAATAACGCAACGCATCACTTCCTACGGCTAATTCACATGCTTCTCGGAGTGGGGCCCAATACGTACATAGCGTCTTTTTAAGAAGCTGGCATGAATCTTTTTGTTCATTTAGCTACCTAGTAGATAACCTTTGTGACCTTTCTGTTACCTAGGTTGATCCTTACTCTCCCATTTTTTCGTTCTCTAGTCTACCAGTAGAGGCTTATTTTACTTTTATATCTCGACGGATCTGTTACTCTAAGACTATTGACACAATGGCCGAGAATTACCACAAGGAAGTCATTGCCGGCGTATGTTACCTGAAATCTTCTTCCCTTTAACGATGTTCAATATGGCTAACCTACTTAATAACAGCTCAAAGATAGGAGCCTTTTTATTCAAGAGGCTTTTATTGACGGCAAATGGGTCTGCAAGGACAATAAGTTTGATGTCTTTGGTTCGTAACGCCCTTGGCATGAGTTTAAAGGTTACAGAAGTTGACTATTGTTACAGAGCCGTCTACTGCAACTGTCCTAGGACAGGTTGCCAACTGCTCCCTCGAAGATTTTCAAATCGCTATTAAGAGCGCTGATGCTGCTCATGCGAAGTACTTTCATACTACGACCGGCGCCAGCCGAGGTGCCCTTTTAAGGAAATGGTATGATCTAGTAATTGCTAACCAGGAGGATCGTAAGTAGACTCCCCTCATTTATTTCTAATACGACGACTGGTATAAAAAGAAACCTAACAGTATGGTTTTTAGTCGCTAAGATTCTCTCTCTTGAGAATGGCAAGACCTTCGCCGAAGCCCAAGGTGAGGTTGTCTATTCTGCCAGCTTTATCTCATGGTTTGCTGAGGAGGCCACTCGATCCTATGGCGTTACAATCCCCTCGTCTACCCCTCATACCACTCTTATGACCATTCGCGAGCCTGTCGGTGTTTGTGGTATTATCACCCCTTGGAACTTCCCAGCCGCTATGATTACCCGAAAGATCGCCCCTGCCCTCGCCGCTGGCTGTTCAGTGGTCATTAAGCCCCCCTCTGAGACACCTTATTCCGCCCTTGCCTTTACTAAGCTTGCTGTTGAGGCTGGTCTTCCTCCCGCTACCATCCAGGTCCTCCCTACTCGGGATCGTCAAGCCGCTACTGAGCTGGCTACAAACCCTCTTGTAAAGAAGATCTCCTTTACCGGCTCTACCAATGTTGGCAAGCTGCTAGCTAAGCTTGCCGCTGGCACATTGAAAAAGCTTAGCCTAGAGCTCGGTGGTAACGCTCCCTTCATTGTTTTTGAGGATGCCGACCTTGACCTTGCCGCCGAGGGCGCTATGTTTTGCAAATTTCGATGCTCCGGTCAGACCTGTGTTTGGTAAATTACTCCATGATTTGTGTATGTTAAGATACTAATTAAGTTCCCTATAGCGCAAACCGATTCTATGTCCAGAAGAGCGTTTCTAAGGAGTTTACCGCTAGGCTTATTGAGAAGGTCCATGCCTTGAAGATGGGCAGTGGCCTTAATGTATCTACTACCCAGGGGCCTCTTGTTAATAAGTCCGCTGTCGATAAGGTTAAGGAGCATATTGCCGATGCTACCTCTAAGGGCGCTAAGGTCGTTATTGGCGGCAGCACTCCTGATGGACCTGGTTTTTTCCATCAGCCTACTATTCTAACTAGTGTCACCCAGGAGATGGCCGTGGCTAAGGACGAGACCTTTGGTCCTTTGGCCCCTATTTTTGAGTTCGAGACCGAGGAGGATGCCATCCGCTTAGCCAATGACACAGAGTTTGGTCTCGCCGGATACTTCTTCTCTAAGGATATCAGCCGGGTTATGCGTGTTGCGCATAGGATGCAAGTTGGTATGGTTGGTGCCAATACTGGTAAAATCAGTGCCGCTGAGGCTCCATTTGGTGGTGTCAAAGAGAGTGGCTATGGGAAGGAGGGTAGTTTGTATGGTATGGCGGAATATCAGAATATCAAGTCTATTACTATTGGTAATCTTGATCACTAAAATAAAATATTATTTTAACACGCAAGGATGAGTTTGAAACTATTTTGAAGACTTGGAAATTGCATTATAATAACAACGTATAAGCAAAACGTATCAAAGTTATAACTCTAAACACACACACATATATATAAATAGTCGTGCTAACGAGGACGGAGAGAGTTATCTTTCTAAAGCTGCTTGTGGCTAGCTAAGGTAATTTCGGGCTCGAAATCATCGATAATAATGTATGCTCCCTTGGCCACCTTATGCCGATCAGTAACTACTACAAGACCAACGGCGTCTCGTGTCAAAAACATGAATGAAGGTGAAGTGGGGGCCGATAGAGCAACCTGTCGAAATGTATTGATTTTTCAATTTTATTGGAGAGAGAAAGGAGATGTACGGACATGCGACTACATATAAGGTGATCATGAGCATCACAGGATCGGACTAATGATATTCCTGACTTCCAACACAACCATCCAGGCTCCCAATAGCTCCTCGGAATCGCAAGGACGAATGTGCTGAGGATTTGGCATTGCACAGTACAGAGAGTCAATCTCTACCGGTTGATGAGTAGGTCCGTTCTATCATTCAGCAAAGGAGTCATGAGTCGCGCAGTGAATCACTGGCAGGTGGCTGGGAACTCCACGTTACGTGGGAAGGATAGAAGCTGACTTCAAGTGGAGCACTTACACACAAATACAAGATGAGGAACGTAGCCGTCGGTCGCAAGATTGTTCCAGGATTAAAAGTACCCAGACCTTTAGAAACAGCGGCCATAGTGTGCTTACGTATGCTGTGGCGGACATGGCGACCTTTGAAGCTCACACTGGGATGAGGAACGTTGTCATCAGTGTACGGAAACATGTTCAAGTTGACCAGGTCTGCGCTACTACCACACAGGTCAGGAATCGCCTTTGATATCTTATCTCCGAGAACAACTTTCGTCTATCTCGTTGCATTGCCCTTGAAATCCTCCGACTTGTGATGTCTCTCAGAACATCAAGGCAGCAATCGCTGCAGTGACATTTCCTCCTTGCCTTAAACTCTGTCGCTAATTCAGGCTATAACTTGACGTACTTTTGAAGCAAGTCACTCCACTTAGCCTATAGAGGTTCTATATGACCTTTTCTTTCTCTGAACTCGACTAATGCTTTTCCGGGAATTGAGTCGGTGGTGTCCAGGTTCTGGCTAACTATGCGTTTGGATATGACGATATTATCCTGATCAAAAGCGTCTTGATAGACTTTGAATATACCTGCCACGCGGGTTCCCAGTCCGATGGCGGTGCGAATATTAAAAGAGGTGGGCTTTTCACTATTTATAATAGATAACCAGAGGGCGGTAATGATATTTTGAACATTATATAATCCGTTAAGTATATCTAGTATATACTAGCCGGAAGCCCTTATATGCCTATTGATATCCTATATATCGATTCATTCTAGAGGTCTCTAGCACGTTACGGAGATATTATTTTACAGGAGAATAAAGTTATCAAGTTCAAGGCTACTAGCAAGAGAAACAGCTTCCAGAGCCGCACCCTCCATTCAGCAGCCATCCCTGGTCATGCAGTAAACCTTTGACTACATCATATCGTAATCCGCCTTATTGAGTCGAGCAGCAAGGTTCAGTACGTAAAACCACATAGCAGTTTGTCCGTTAGATAGGACAAAACGATTACGGTGCTCGTGGGTCAGGCTTGGCATTCGCCTTGGTTGTTGCTGAGGTTGGCGGTAGCGTCGCTATACTTAATGCGGCCGAGAAGCCCCACGAGCACTATTATGTGATTGAGATGAGGCACCCCGACCTAAAGCTTAGATAGTACCAGTAGGAATGCTAATTTAGCCTTCGTCTTGTCCGCCCTATTGACCCAAGATGCTGTGGGACTGACGTTACCGACTATGATCTGCCCAAGGAGACCTTTGACGATGTCATCACTGACTCCAGCCGCATCATTGGTTTGTAAGACACCGCAACCTCTAATGCTCCTATGCACCATTGTTGACATTTTGTTCCAGTATCACGGCTGCTGGTGTCTGTCCCAACGAGTCTTCTCTACAAAGAGACCCCTAGTCTGTAACCCGAACTTTTAACATCAATGTTGACGGCACTTACTATGCGCCCCAGCCTGCCGCCGCCCACATAACCAAGCAAAAAGCCACTGAAGCCGACCCCCGTGGAGGTTCCTTCGTGCTGATCACCTCCACTGCTGCTCACGTAGCATGTAAGGGTCAGACCACGAGTGACTACTGCTTCAGCAAGGGTGCCGTTGTTTCGCTGCTGTTGTTTCGCTAGCAAAGGCCCTTGGTGTTGAGCTAGCGGCTTTTAGAATCAGGGTAAACAGCATCTCCCTAGCTACATGTTGGCGGATATGACGAACGATCTGGCCGCCAAACACCCCCGACTTGGGCGAAATTATGAGAAACGAGCCTCCCATGAGATGCATTAGTGACAAAATTGATCTTTAGACGCCTGTTCTTTACTTCTTGTCCAGAGCAAACGTCCACCACATATCGAATGACATTCTCATTACAGGTGACATCCACGCGGGAGGGCCCATGTAGTATTAGCCAAAGAGAATCAAAGCTTTGAATATAGAATAGTCAAATTCACGACATAGCATGACCACACTGCTAGACTTAGGTTGTGTTCTTCGGTGAATTAGCTAAGTTTATTGGTATTTCTTGGATTGCGTCCAGTTTATGTTTCTTTAAGTCTAAGCTCGCCCCAGTACTCAGATGTTTCCAGCACAAACTACGGTCGGACCATTCATAGCCTACTCTTAGTAAAAGTTGGCTATTGTGGATTATGGTCCTATTAATCTACCATACTTAATTACCTTTGAATTGCTTCCTCACATCATCCACCTCCGCGAAAGTTCTATTGTTGTCGTCATGTGCGAACGCCCGGAAGATCATTCCATAAGGTTGCTAGGAGGAAGGACGTCAGCCTCTGACTGATGACTTCGTGAACAAAACATTCAGGGGTCCTTACCGGCTCCAGCAAAAATACAGTATCCTTAGGGATCGGCATCTCAGGCAGGTCCTCTCGTTGTAGATCCAAGAAGTACGACAAGAGAACCCGAATGATTGCACGATGAGAGATTACCAGAAGATGTTCTTTAGACCTCTCGAGTTCCACGATCATCGGTCTCAGCCGCTTTATGACATCAGCGTACGCTTCTCCTCCCAGACCTGGCCATCTGTAGAGAAGCTTGTGTTGTTTTCGTGCCCCATACACCTTAGGAAAGTTGTCTCGAATCTCTTCGAATGTTGCGCCCGCCATATCACCAGCATTGATATCGTCCAGAATTTTCTGCTTTGTCTTCTTGAAATTATGGTCTGGGAAAGCTTCCGCTGTTTGGGAGGCCTGAATCATTGTCGACATCCAGATGCTGAGCTTCCTGAGTGACTCTCCTGCTGGTTGTGGTTGCCAAGAGGCGTTTTCGTTCTGCACGAATTGGGCAAGATCCTCTGCGTATCGTTTTCCCAGATCACTGAGATTAGAATCTCTTCCTATTCGCCCTACTCTATCGTCCTCACTCTGGCCAACGCACGATAGTCAGATTTGTCGGTTTGTGAGGTTAAAGCCAAGCATGTATTCGACTACCTGCGTAGACAAAAAGCCTTGAACCATATGTGCGCTAATCTTACGGCCAACATCGATGATTTTCACATAGGAAAAATTCTCAGCCTCTTCGTCCTTGCCGATTGTGACGTATGCTCGCTCGTACAAAGCGACTCGTTGCTTGAAATCATTCAGTGCCTGCTGCGGGTCTTGCGTCCGGTAGTCTGGACCAGAAAGCTTCAAAGCAAAGTTTCTTTCCAGAATTGCACTATCCGAACAGCAGCTCTCTAGAAAGAGCACCGGCAAATCTGGCCCTGCAAGGACTCTTATGTGTTCAAGGATAAGCCTTCGTCGCTGGCGGGTGCTATTGGTAGCATCGAGAATTCCCACGCGGCTGTCGTCTTGCATTATCCACTCAATCAGCTCGTTCAGAACACTGAGAGCAATTTCATCGCGCTTCGAAACGTTTTCATTGTTACTCGGGTCAAAGAAAGACGACAGTGAGGTGCGCTGTGATGCGGACGCTGTATCCCCACTGGACGCTAGAGCTGCTTTTCGTCTCAATTCTCCGGCATTAAAGATCCTCGTAGACTGTTGTAGCCAGTTAAGATAACGAGCGAGCTTTTTGACGATGAAACTTTTCCCCCTTGCAGGCAGTCCCACCATCACAATGACTAGTCGCGAGGATGGGTCTGTCGTGTTACCGCGGGCATCGTTGATCATGGTATCAACGCAAGATGCTGCGTTGTTAACTGCTGGTGTCTTAACCAAGTTCTATCATTGCTCCTCGTTGCAGAATGTTTACCAGATTCGTTGATTGTCTTCGAAATTATGCATCATGGCGTTCTTCGTCGGCGACCGTGTGTACCGAGCCCGGTGGCAGTGCGTCCAACACCCTAACACCTCCATCACCTCGGAAATCGCTTCCCGAAATTCGAAGGGAGCTAGCATCGGGCCAAGCTCAGAGACGTCAATCTCTTGCATTTGTTTTTGACTCTCGACCGATTTCGGCCAGTTGACACAGCTTTGGGCACCACTGCTAGAATTCTTGATACACGGTACCGGTCGCTGAACCTGTACGGCATTGTATGATATTTCTACCAATGACAGTCAAACGGGACATTAAATCCGTGTTTTCCTCAGCTACATGAGGCTTTTCATGTTTTAGACAGCACTACTTGAAGCACCTAAAATAACACTACACTATCTCAGAGTATCTCACATTCATTATCTTACGTTGCCACATATCGAAACGACAATTGAATCAACACCTGAAGCGATATTGTTGTATTCCGTGGGTATATTCTAATGATGATGTTGCGTCGTCACAAGATTGCTACCATACCTGGTGACGGTATCGGGGTAGATGTTGTGGAAGCCACAGTCCAGGTCCTTCAAGCCTTGGAGGATGTGCACGGAACCTTTACTCTCGATTTTGAAACTTTCGACTGGAGCTCCAAAAATTATCTCAAATCTGGCACATATATACCCGAGTCTGCTTGGCCCAAGCTGAAAGCCTGCGACGCGATTCTTTTTGGCGCGGTAGGATCACCAGGTGAATACCCATCCATTTTAGTGCATACAAACGTGCTAACAGTTTTGAAAGATGTTCCCGATGATGTTTCGCTGTGGAAACTCATTCTGCCGCTTCGCAAAAGGTTGAATCAGTACATCAATCTAAGGCCCATTCGTGTGCTACCAGGGCTTTCCTCACCCTTGAAAAACTGTGCTCCTCATCAGCTGGACTGGGTCATAGTCCGCGAAAACAGCGAGGGCGAATACGCCGGCCAAGGCGGCGTCAGCCACGAAGACACACCGGACACCATTGCCAACGAAGTCGCAGTTTTTACCCGGACTGCGATAGAGCGGACCATGCGTTTCGCTTTTGAGGTGGCCGATTCTCGACCCCAGAAGAAACTTAGCCTGGTTACGAAGAGCAACGCCCAACGATTCGGGCTCGTTCTCTGGGACAAGATATTTTACGAGGTGGCCAGGGATTATCCGCAAGTGAAGACAGATAAGATGCTGGTCGATGCAATGACTGTCAGGATGGTGCTAAAACCCGAAAGTTTGGACACTATGGTGGCTACGAATTTACATGGAGATATCCTTTCGGATCTGGCGGCGGCGCTGGCTGGCAGTATCGGTGTCGCGCCATCCAGCAATCTTGATCCTACAAGGAAATTTCCCAGTATGTTTGAGCCAATCCACGGCAGCGCTCCCGATATCAGTGGGATGGGCATTGCTAATCCACTGGCTACGTTTTGGAGCGCATCTGAGATGTTGCGGTGGCTCGGAGAGCAGTCCGCGGCGGACCACCTGATGCGAGCGGTGGAAGAGACCACTCAAAGCGATGTGAAAACGCGGGATTTGGGGGGTTCAGCCACCACCATCGATGTCACCAATAGGGTCATTCAGGCTGTCCGGGATTCCCGTCGCCATTAGCTAGCAAGTTTTCCTTCCCAAATTCCTTCCTGACTCAATCTACCCGTTGCCATCGCAAATTTGACTGTGGCTCGCACCACCTCCAGGTTAGGTCTCCACTTTGCTCCGTCCGACGCCGACTTTCCTCCCAGGAAGAAGGAAAGGCGGCCGAAAGCGGATATCATAATTTGTACATCCCAGTTGATAATATTGTTGATACCATTGTGCGTTGCATCACGGAAGAAGGCACAGTGGGATTTTGATGAGGGTCATGTAATCTGATTCAATTCCTCGGCCCGAAGGGCTGCCTTGACTTTGACTTTTTCCTCCCACCAATTTTAACCTTCCACATTTCTGCCCCAGCCCCTCAGCGCACAACTTCTCTGCAAGGGTCGATTGACTAGGTAGTGTGCTTGTGGTGTGGATCAGGTTGAGGGTGTGGGGAGGGAAGCCAGCTTTTATGCGTACGGCTGTTCTACGTGTTCACTTAGATAGAGTTTAGTTGCCGTGTGCGACTTCTGCTGCCTTGATCATATTGAGTTTTGACCTTGGAAGGGTTATTCTTATTATTAATATCATTGAGAGATTTGGAAAGCCTGGGCTTGATAAAGTTGAAGGTTAAAGTAAAAAAAAAAACAAATTTGTACATGTAGACTTATACCGGGAATGCTACAAATCCGATCGTGATGGTATAGGTAACACCCGAGTGATCATCTGGCCACCCAGCCCCATATTCGGGAGTTGAATTCCGTCCCGGATTCTGAGCTCGCGCAGTGGGCGGAGGCACGACCGTTACAATTGAGATGATAGCATCGACCGGCAACGGAATGCAGTATGCTAGGGAAGTCCAAAAAGTAGATCATAATTCGGGAATGTCTCGGACATATCAGGAAAAGACCAAGTATTCACATGGCAGCTAATTACTAACAACAAACAGCCTCAAGTTGACAGACCATGCTTCAGCTGCTGAAGATAGGGTGTGAACATTTGGAGATATTAATTGTCAGCATTTAAACAGGCCCGTCAAACACAGTCAAGTAAACGGGACTAGAAAAGACAGGACTTGGGAAGAGGATTGGGGCTTTCTTTTGTGTAAACTTGATGAAAAGCGGGGGATATATGAACAGTCTAGCGTGGCCAAAGGCCCTATGAGATTCGTTCGCCCAGGCGTAATGAATACTACTACTACTACAACAATATACACAACATAACAGAAACAGACTAGAAGCTCGGTACAACTCGTGTCTTGGCAGGTTTTCAGTGGCGATATGTCACTGGATAAGACAAAATAGTTATAAAAAAAAATCAATTACGTTGACGGTTCCCTATTACCATGGCGATGACCTTCGGAAGTATGAGGACGGGAAGGTGATAAATTCCCTGGCCGGTAACCTGCGGGAAAAGGATCTACAACCGTAACTCGACGTGGCACACAGTAGACATTTCCGAAGCCTCGGAATTAGTATTCCGCGAGACATAGTCCAATTTGCGACAATTAAAGACTTTATAAAGACGTATTGTCGTTGGATCTGGAAATCATAACCATCGTAACCATTCACAACTATATAACATAATTTTGCATATCTGCTTCATCGATCGCAAGCGCTCAATAACGACAATGGCGCCCTCAGTTGTTGATCCAGTCCATGACACAGTCATCCCGCTGGCCAACCCAAAATCGAAGACTGTGGTGCTTGACCATGACAATGTGCCTAAGCCAGTGGCTGATAACTTCATGTACGATTTCAAGTTCAATCATCGCCTTCCGACTACCGACGTCCTCGGCTTGGATATTCCTACCAATTGCAATGCTCAAAACGAAGCTGAAGGCATTGTCGCTCGTCTCTCTGAGGCAACTGCAAAGGCAGATGCCCATGCATTCTCTGACCTCTTCCTCGAATATGGTAAAGAAATCACCTCATTTTAAATGGACACGATCTTGCTAGAGCCTTGTTGCTGATACACGATGCTAGGTGTGTGGCGTGACAAGTTATCTTTCACTTGGGATCATCGAACATTCAACTTCCGGGACGCGATTTTCAAAGCTGCCTCCGACTTGTTAGCCCAAACAGCTGCAACCAAATTTACTTTCCTCAACCCCGCACCAAAAGTCGATCGTCCTTACGACGATTTCTCACAATTACAGTTTGTCGTTAGATTTGAGACCAAGCTGGTCTTTGCATCGGCTGTCATTAATGCAGTTCTTACTCAAAATGGCTGGAAGATCTACACCATGCATACTGTTGCGGAGGGTCTTCTGCAATTCCCAGAGCGCGCGGCTCCAGACGGGCACATGACGGGTGTCACCAGCTGGGAAGCCCAAAGAGTTGAGACTGTTGATAAAGCCGATCCCGAAGTCTTGATTATTGGTGGAGGTCAGAAGTAAGTGTTTCAGCGCGTCCCTTCACAGTCTACAGTTATTGACCGACTACGTAGTGGTCTTGCTACAGCGGCGCGCTGCAACATGCTCGGAATGAACACCCTTATCATCGAACAGAGTAACGAAATCGGTGATGTGTGGAAGAAGCGCTATGAATACCTCTCGTTGCACTTTCCGCACTGGCCTGATGCGCTTCCATACTTTAAATATCCCGAGCACTGGCCTACATATACTCCAGCACAGAAGCAAGGCCTGTATATGTCGTGGTATGCCTCTGCACTTGAGCTTAATGTCTGGACTAGTTCTACAGTCATCAAGGCCGAGGAGCATAATGGTGATTGGACTATAACAGTCAATAAGCAGGGCGAGACTCGTACACTTCACCCGAAGCACGTCGTTATGTGCACTTCGCTTTGCGGCCTTCCATCAACCCCGAATACACCTGGCATGGCTGATTTCAAGGGTGTTATCCGCCATTCCACTGCTCACACCACCTCACGTGGTTTCAAAAAGGTCTGTGTCGTTGGCACGTCTTCATCGGGATTTGACACAGCCTACGAATGTGCGCGTTTGGGTATTGATGTTACTCTCCTGCAACGATCACCCACGTATATCATGTCCTTGGCTCACTCAGTCCCCCGCTTACTAGGTGCCTACGCCCCTCGCAAGGATGGGAGCCGTCCAGATATGGAAGAGCAAGATCGACTCTTCTTCAATATGCCTACCGGTCCTGGAGAAGAAATGGGCAGGCGTATGGCTAAAACTCTGGAAGACTTGGATAAACCATTACTTGAAGCTTTGAATGCTCGGGGACTACGAACCTGGCGTGGCCAGCGTAGCACTGGTACCACGACTCTTGGGATGACTCGCAATGGAGGGTTCTACTTCGACGCTGGTGCGTGTGAGGAAGTAGTCAATGGCAACATAAAGGTTGAACAAGGTTATATCGAGCGCTTCACAGAGGACAGGGTCGTTTTGAGTGGCGAGCCTGAGCGGGAGCGAGATTTTGACCTAGTTGTGTTCGCTACAGGCTTCTCTAACACGATTGACTCAATCCGAGCAACCCTTGGTGAGAAGATTGCGAGCCAGGTCGGACCAATCTGGGGTATTGATGAAGAGGGAGAATACAAGACGGCTTTCAAAGAGACTGGTGTAAAGAATCTGTGGCTTATGGTGGGCTTCCTTCCCATGACCCGTTACGCTTCGAGGCCACTGGCTTTGCGCTTGAAGGCTTTGAGTGAAGGCATCTCACCACCACCATACAAAGTTTGAATCATCAAAGAGATAGAATCTGTTAATGAAATATAGCCTGATCGCTCAGCGTCAACCATTTCGCAACGTTCGAATCTCCTTACAAGGTTGGATTAGGTCACGCCCTCATAGCTACCTCTCCTTGTATAATTAGCTTAGGAGAGCAAACAAGAAAGCATGCAAGTGTAAACCCGCATGGCCACGCCCCCAACAAGCACTTCCTTACCTAATATTACAAATTCATCACTCGAACAAACCAGCACTCAATATCTCGTAAGCCCCACAGACAACTTAATAGACTTTGTCATATGGAGCGCAGAGCGGGATGTGCCTTTTCTATCCCCGCGGTGTAGAAGTATTCCTACTCTTCTGTTCCTAATTGTCATGACCCTAATTGCTGCGTACCCCTATCCATTGCTCACATAAATGTCTATCTCTGTACCTCACACGCTCGGGAAGCGTTCACGCTATCTATATAGTGACGATCGTGCGTTTATAGCTCGGTATAAATATTCCATACTAAAAGGAATTTGCTCTATATAAGATAGTAGCTAACCTTTAATATTAATAACTCCTTTATTACGGTATTTAGATCTAAGTATAAGGCTTAGTATAACTACTTAGAAAAGTAGGTTAAATAGGTAATCAAGGCCTTGAGGTTTATAGATAATCCGTAAAGCTAGAACAGACCATCCTGGTCTTGGCCTGAGACCAAGAGTGCGCGGCTGTCGAGGACAGAGAAGTTGTGCGTAAGGCGCTGAGGGGCTGTCGGAAGAATATGTATTCAAAGTCAAAATTAAAGTCAAGGCAGCCCTGAAGTCAAAAGTGACTTCGGGCCGAGGAATTGAATTAGATACATGACCCTCATCAAAATCCCACTGTACCTTCGTGATGCAACGCACAATGGTATTAACAATATTATCAACTGGGAAACCGGAGGTATAGGCCTAAAAGACCCAAAGCCCACTAACTAGTGGAGACCACTGTTTTGGCTCAGCGGGTTCAACAGGTTCGAGTTCTTGTCCGTGAGGATCGGCAAAAGGTTAGGGTTCATTCCTTAATGGGTGGCGCCGGAAACTAAGGGCCCGAGTGAAGTAGATCCCTATGGCGTGCCGGAATAGCATTCCCGACCTCGGCTCCCCATCAAGATAGTGGGGGCTTTTTACGGAGCAAGTTTCGGTCCCGACCTTAATACTTAATGTCTCTTTATAAGACTGTGACCAACTTTCTTGCTTATCCATGGTTGAGTTCGCCACTAACAATTAGATCAACCAGCCTCCATCCTATCCTTACCCAAAACTGCACTTTCGTCGTCTTAAGTCTTAGAACAAAAACACTTGACCCCGCTTTCACTTCAAATACGTCATGGCTGACCAGGGAGACCGTACAACTGGCAAGGCAGTACTGGATCGCAACCCAGACAAGTTCCTCAACAGGACAGTGCATGATCTGATATCTCTTAAAGGCCGTACCATTGTCATCACTGGCGGCGGCCGAGGTCTAGGCCTGGCCTTTGCCTTTGCCGTCGCTGAGGTTGGCGGCAATGTCGCCATCATCGATGTGCTGGACAAGCCGCACGATCACTTCAATAAGTTGGAATCAGAATTCGGCATCAAGGCTAAATTATACAAGTGAGCTCCCCTATACTGATCTCATGGACGCCTGCAAGATGGCTACCACAGGTCTTAGATATGAATAACAATAACATCTATACAGAAGCGATGTTACAAACTACGAAACCTTAAAAAGTACCGTTGACGAGATTGTAAAGGATTTTGGGCGTATTGACGGCCTGTGAGTAGAGTCATCAAGACCGTCGCCTTCTCTCATAGATTGACCGCTGACGCCCTTTTCTTAGTATCACTGCCGCTGGCATTTGCCCTGATGAGCCATTTCTCAAGCGATCCCCCGAATCCGTCGCCCGATGCATGAATATCAACGTCCTGGGCACTTACTATGCCGCACAGCTCGCAGCTGCTCAGATGAGCAAGCAGGAGCCTACTGACTTTAACCAACGTGGCGGCTCCATCGTCCTCATCGCTTCGATTGCCGCCCACGTCGCTAGCAAGGGACAAACAACAAGCGATTACTGTGCCAGCAAAGGTGCGGTTGTTTCACTTGCTAAAGCGTTGGGAGTCGAATTGGCGGCTATGGGCATTCGTGTCAATTCCATCTCTCCTGGGTAAGCGTCCCCTTCTGCCTCCCCCAATCCCGGAATACCTAGGCTGTTGTGTATCTCGAAAATGGCTAATTGTTGTGTTCTTGTAAATAGATATATGTTGACGGATATGACGATTGATCTTTGCGACCGATACCCGTGGCTCGCGGATATTATGATGAATGAACCACCTATGCGCCGGATTGGTGATCGGACAGATCTGAAAGTTCCGGTGGTCTACCTGCTGTCAGATGCTAGCGCCTACCATACGTCGGATGATATCCTCATCACCGGAGGTATCCATGCTGGGCGATTACTGTAGGAATGTTCGGTCTTTTAGATGAACTAACAATAAGGCCCTGGTCCAATCGATACGTACAGCACACTCGATATGACGCCTACGTACATCAGCAGCTGCATAAATTGACTGATGTACCTGTTGTGTGCAGGCTGGCGGGCTAAGCTAGCTACTCTATAGCTTTTTAGAGTGGGGAGGGGCTGTCTTATTGTGTACGTTTGTAAAAAACCGTACGTATGTAACTAGTGGATCATGGCCTAAGAGTCATGAATGAATAAATGAAATCTCGAATGACAAAGTCTGAAGCTCCAAGGGATTACTTCTTAAACTTCCACAATTACACGCATCGAAATTGCTGCTGGGAAAATTAATGGGATATCTAGATGCTTTCACTTGGAACAGAAATAATGATTTCTTGGTTATGTAGAAGCAAGCGCGAGCGCCATTATGCCTTACAAAGGAACATAGTGTTAACCCAACCCTAGGGAGTTTGGGAGGATTGCAAAAATATTGCCCCAGTCCCCGGGCATACCTTCTATGCTCGTCCTCAGCATCCAATCAAAATCTATATCTGTGCTAAAGCTAGAATCTTCGTTGCCATTGTTGGCCAGATGACTTCCCGAAGATGATAACATATCATCGCCTCCCCACACATGTATATCTGACCTCTCATCGTTTGGTACACACCGCCGCTTCCTCGTGCTCGGATAGCTATTACCTGTATCACCGACATCATAGTCACTGCGTACAGTCTTAATCCTCGATCGTTGTGCCCATAGTCGTTGCAGCCTGATGAGAAGGTCACGAGCCCGCCTGGCTGTATCCCATGCTGATGCCAGCTCGTCCAACGCTCGGTAACAAATGTTAAGATCTAGGAATATATCGCTTCCCTTCTCTGGCTGGTAGTGAGACACCGATGCAAACAACAGTAGCAGAGCGGCGGACAGAGTGATCGCTACAGCCTGAATGTTTATCCTCCGAAGCGTATATCGTTCCTCGTAAAGCCGGAGAAGTTGCGCAATAGCGCTCGCCGAGTCCATACATATCTTCTGGGAATCACTAGAAGTAGGAGCGAGTACCTGATCCTGCTGTGATCGGCTTTTAGACATCCACGGGCGATGAGTGTAGATAAGACTCTGATAATACTGCATGCTGAATGCCGTTTGTCAGCATAAGCTTCTTTGAGAATGAAATCAATTCGTACTGAAGTAAAAGAACATGTGGGAGATACAGTGCATTCCGATCATGCAAGTCTACTAATAGCTCGACTGGCAGACCGCTTTTCCAATCCGCAAGCTTTTTGACTACCATGGCGTGAAGAGCTTGCATATCACTCTTCGAGCTAGTCGCACCACCGTGACTATGATGGGCAATTAGCGAGGGATCGACAGTACAGAAATAATGTGGGCTGCAAGACTTACAAGGCATCACAGAGGTGGGCTATGATACCGAAGAGGGAAACCTGATTTCTAAAAACTTCTTCAGTGTAGTTTGATACGGGAAGGAAGGGTTGGCTCGCGGTAGGGCTAGTGTACGGAACCCATTGCCCGAGAGGCTGCGAGCATTCCCTTTGTGTCGGTTTATCAAGGGTAACGCCTTTCATAGACATTCGGAATGGCTGACCCAAGTGGAGGCTCCAGACACTACGTGATAGAAGTCAGTGTGTAAATACAGGCCACAAGCTTTGTAAGTTATCTTACTGGTCAACGATGAAGGCAGCCCAAAAGACAACCCGGCGTAGATCGGCCTCAGCCCTGCTTACCACACCTTTAGCTATATAGGGCTCTAAATCTTGGTGTAAGCCTAGGTTGAATGACAATCGTGTCGCCATGCCTAGCACATCTAAAATCAGCTACGTTTGCCAATTTGTGATCCTTCGGTCTAGATGTAGGTATCATACCGCTAAAGACCCACCCCCTCGCATCCCTGCCGCATCCGATGTCATGGGAGCTTAGAAGGATCAAAGCCTGGATGGTGGCGACACAAGGCGAGTCTATCTCAATCTCCAGTAGAGCCTTAGCCCTGTCGGCGAAGAAATCGGCGACGGATCGAGGGAATGTCATAAATGTCGGATGGTATCGAGTGTCGAAAGCCGCCCCCAAAGCACATCTTTTCGCTCGGTCAGCCGTGAATAATTTAGTTGCAAGTAAGAAAGGATTACATAGCATTTCGCAAGGACTCCGAGTAGTACGCTGTGCCCTCAAGCTGGTCATGGCATGTTGGCTTCGATTTCTCGAACATGATACGATCCACAACATGGCATGATGGGTCTTGCCAGGTAAAATAAAGCTCAATCAAGTGCTCCTCAATAGCGGACGGCACTTTGCTGTTGAGTCCAAGACGATCCAGATGCTCAGCTCCATCGTTCCGAACAGTTCGATGAACATTCATGGTGACGTCTGTTGCTGATATCCTGAGAAGACTAAAGCCGCATGTGGGTCCGTAGAACCGGATATGTCCTTCAGGTCGTATATGGAGAGTTCCCACGCAGTCGGATAGCTGATTTGCAAGCTCATCAATAGGTTCCGTGGAGCTAACGTTGCTATCTAAACTCATAGAATAACAAGTGCGTTGATCACTGAGACCGGACTGTCGTACTGTGGCTGAGCTTGGGTGGACAGGATCATAGGGAGCGAAGCCTGCTGCATCGCGGCCGGCGTATTCTTCAGAATCTGAAACCATGGATTCGGCGGCGATATTGCACATTCCAGCAGATTGGTGATCTGTTGCGTTGTCTGTCATCACATTCGCCAATCCCATCAAACCTTGAGTAGCTCGAGATGGGTCGGCTTGAGAGCTATCAGACGAGGGAACAACGATCGGGCGGTTCATCGTTACTCCTATGCCACCAGAGGGTTCAAAGCTATAGTCCGGGCCTGAGTTGGCAGAGTTCTCTTGAATTGCATCATTCCCATCGTCATGCTGGGCTTGGATCTGGTGAGTTTGTAGATCGGCGATTTTTAGGGCCTTCAAGGTGTACGATAATGTCTCAGTATTTTCTGGACTCATAGGAGGAACTTCGAGTCCATGGTGACTGATGAATTTCGCGAGCTCCCTTACCCTGGCGGCGAGCATTTCAACAACCACACGAAGTGGCAGCCTGCAAAATCAGTAAATCATGACGGGAATCAAGATGGACTGTAAGGGAATCAAAGAGCAACGAAGCAGGAGAAAGGTATGGGAGACAGGTTGCAAAACTCACTTGCGCTTATCATCTTGTGGCTTATATCGACACACTTTTCCTTTATTCAGGCAATGCGAGCAAGAGGGCGTTAACCCATTACACTTACTAGACATCAGCGATGACTCTGGCGAGGGAGCGGGAGCTAGAGTTCGGCCAAGGCCAGTATACCTTAACTTTGCTCTCCCGACAAGCAACACAGGCTGTCGTGACATGCCTTCTGGGAACATCCTCCTTCGGGGATGTAGGCGCCGGCGCCTCCATGTCGGTCGATACTTGAAAACGGGGCCAAGCGGCGTCGGCCAAGATGACAATAGAGGCCTTTCTCCTGTGAAAGGCGCGATAGCAACCAATTATGAAACGCCTATCTTGATTTTCCCGTCAGTTCATCCCGTAGCTAGTAGATATGAAGTGTGATCCGGTGGAGCGCAATGCGTGACAATTCCAGGAGGCTTCCCTGAGATATGCTTTTTCCGAAGCAATGAGAGTTCCAACTAACCTGATTTGGTTCGCGGGCCTTCGTTTCCCCGCTTCATCTCGCCACGCGCCCCCACCCTTCCATCAATCATGTCGACATGAATTAAGAGCTCAAATATGTCATTCGCTCCCTTTATTTCCTTTTCTTTCCATTTTTTTTTTCTTCGTCTTGTGATCCTGTCATACAGGAACTCGTTCTTTTCTTCGTTAAGTTCGACACTTAGAAGCCGTTTCGACTTAGTGACGTACTGGAAGTGTGGTACAGTGCCACTTAGTGTATGACATCTCACTGTCTGGGACTGCTTTCCAGGAAATGATGATGTAGCTTAGACGTTGTATTGAGTGCCACAAGGGGTTAGTATACAAAGCGTAATTGTGAACTTGTGAAGTATCGGGGGCAATAGATCCCCCCCCCCCCCCCCCGCCCCTCCCCGCAAACTGTTTGAGGAGATTTGATTCTCGGAAACCATAATCCGAGATTCCATCTCCGGATGCCGATGGCTTATCCTCGGCCTGTGATGGAAATACTGCAAACTACTCAAACATTGCCGGTCTTCTTCGCGATGAAAAGTACGTAGACTCTGGTTCGTTTTTCAATTCCGATGATCTTCGGTTCATCAGTTTGAAGGTCGCGAGAGGGTTTATGCTTACCGCTCAATCGCTTGGCACGACATTCGTGAGGCAATATCAAAAGTCTTGATTGCCATTGTTTATACAAGAATTGATACCCACAGTTTGCATCGCCAGGCCAATTGATGAGCATGGAAAACTTGTGAAATTTCCCCATCTTAGAGCACCCTTCTCGACCTTTCTGAAATAGGGGTGACCCCGACACTTGGATGAGGCTGTCAGAGAGACAAATCTCCAGTATACAGGAGCCGGATAAAAAAGCGACATGGTTACCACCAAGATCTGCATCTGCTTCCAGATTTGACTGCCCTCGATTGTTGCCGCACCCATTATTTTCAGGAGTTAGGACCCTCGAAAACACGAGGAACATGTTACTCCCCCGGTTTGCTAGAGCAAGGAGTCCTGGGACAGTTATTACGTGTCTAATCTATCAAGTCGCCGAGCTATCGGAGTACAGAGTCCTGCTTGTTAAGCCTCTTGTTACAACAATGTTATCATGAGCTGATGTATCAGTTGAGAGAATAAGAAGAAACCTTGTTTGTAGACCTTGAATGGGAGAAGCTGGTCAACTTTAGGTGCCCTCAAAGAGCTTAGAGCCTGACTTTGCAACCCTTGCAATTGTAGCGTTCCTAAACAATGGTGTCGTGCAAGAAAGCCCTTCCATCAGCATCGTGTGATCTAATAATTGCATCTAAAGAAAGTAAAGCTATACATGCTACCTTTCGTTGTCCGCAAAGATTTACCAAAAATGTTTAGATATCTGAGGCTCGATCAGCCGACAATCAGCAATGAAAAGCGAAACTCACGTCAACATATTGCTTCACGATCCACGACTGTCAGCTTTTGAGATGAGGTAGTCCAAGAGACTTTATTTCTGTCACCCATTCACAAATTGACTGGTGGAGTGTCTTGTCAAATCAATGCCGGATTGGTTTGGGTGATTCTTCGGAAATGCATTCCCAAACCCCACCTCCGCTTTCTATGTGGGATCAACCCTGTCTCTCCGCACTGCTTACCTAGCGCCCCCCGCAACCCCAGGAATCAAGGAAAGCCAAGGACCATGGTCGAGACGAACGGTCTAGGCCCCTGTGGTAGTTTTAGGGTCCGAACGCTGAGAGGCAGCATTATATAAAGCAGAGTTCCTCATCCTGATACAGAGTCTCATTGTTCTCTAAGAGATTTTACAATTTTACAACTTGTTATTCATTACCCCTCTTAAATTTCTACCATTCTCGTCTTGAGACTCAGTCATGCATCCAGAGAAGGATATATCTGATGCTGCTCATCTCGAAAGACAGCAATCATCTGGAGATGACAAATCTGCCGCACAACGCCGAGCTTCCCAAGCCTCAGATATTATGAATACAGAGGCACCCGTTTGGGAGTTGCGCAAAACTTACACGAAGAGTGGCATTGCTGGCTTAGTCTCTTCACGATATGTCTTTTTGTGCGCCCTCTTTGCCACTCTCGGTGGTATGCTGTTTGGTTATGACCAAGGGGTGGTTTCTATCACCCTTGTTATGCCACAATTTCTTGAACAGTTTCCAGAGGTTTCTGAGCAAGCTGCTGGAGCTGGGTTCAAAAAGGGCCTCATGACGGCCATTCTTGAGTTGGGAGCATTCCTTGGTAAGTCAGCGAAGCCACTCGACAAGTTACTCAGAGATGCAGCTGACTCGAGGCCACAGGCGCTATGAACCAGGGCTGGATCGCCGACAAAATATCGCGCAAATGGAGTATTTTGGTGGCTGCGCTCGTATTCTTGCTTGGCTCTGCACTGCAGACAGGGTCTGTGAATTACGGGATGCTGACTGCTGCGAGGTTCATCGGAGGCATTGGTGTTGGCATGTAAGTCTCCTATTCCTAACTGTTGGTGAGACCTGAAGGTTGACAACGAAACATTAGGCTTGCTATGGTTGCTCCTCTTTACATCTCCGAAATCGCTCCACCTGAAATTCGAGGTACCTTACTTGTTCTTCAAGAATTGTGTATCGTCACGGGCATCGTCATTGCATTCTACATTACGTACGCGACTCGCCATATCCAGAGCCATTGGTCATGGCGCTTGCCCTTCCTTATCCAGATGGCACCGGCCATTATACTCTGCGCAGGTGTTTTCATGTTGCCGTACTCGCCACGTTGGCTGTCGCAACAAGGTCGAGACGAAGAAGCACTGACGACGCTGGCCAAAATCAGGGAGTTACCCACTACTGATGACCGAGTCATGCGAGAGTGGTGCGAGATTCGCGCTGAGGTGGCATACCGGAAAGAAGTCACTGAAACCATGCACCCGAATCATGGGCAGCCGGGATTCTACAATGCTTTCAAGCTTCAGGTCTCTCTATTCGCTGATTGCTGGAAGATGCCTATTTACAAGCGAACACAAGTAGCAGTCGGCTTGATGTTCTTCCAGCAGTTTGTGGGCATTAATGCTCTCATCGTGAGTAGCGATCATTCTAATTGTCCTGCTGGACTAACACTTCTTTAGTATTACTCACCAACGTTATTTGCTACCATGGGCCTGGACTACGAGAACCAGCTTACCTTGTCAGGCGTCTTGAACGTGTGTCAAGTCGTTGCCTGTATCTGGTCGCTGTGGGGCATGGACCGCTTTGGACGTCGCAAGCTCCTACTAGGAGGTGGCGTCTGTATGTTTCTCTCTCATTTCATCATCTCTGTCCTAGTGGGGAAGTTCAGCGGCCGCTGGGATGAAAACAAAGCTGCCGGCTGGGCTAGCGTGGCATTCCTCTTGTTCTTCATGCTTACTTTTGGCGCAACCTGGGGCCCCATCCCTTGGGCAATGCCGGCAGAGATCTTTCCTTCCTCACTACGTGCTAAAGGCTGTTCTTTCGGAACAATGTCTAACTGGGGTAACAACTTCATCATTGTTAGTATCCGCCTAGACCGTCGCAGAAGCTCTAGACTGACTTTTTGACAGGGACTTATCACCCCACCTATGATCCAGAACATTGGCTTCGGAACTTACGTGTTCTTTTGCGTATTCTGCGCCATTGCCCTTGTCTGGGTCTACTTCCTCGTCCCGGAAACGAATGGACGAACCTTGGAGCAGATGGACTCAGTTTTTAAAGATAAGATTACTGGGGAGGAACGAGCAAGAAGGGAACAGATTGAAGCGGCGTTCCTCCAGAATATCGCAACTGTTCGGTAAATAACATAGCCGCCATCAGAGAGGGGAAGGGAACAGCTGTCGGCAGCCAAGACTTGTCCTCAAAAGCAAACCCTTGCGGTTTGTTGCGCAGCATTTTCCCGAAAACCTAGACTGAGAGTTATGCGGTGGCGTACGCGTACCGGAAATCAAATTCCATAATAGTGAATCCCGAAGTAGGACAGATATCTGACTGATCATTTGAATTGCCTGAGCGGACTGCAGCATTGCCCATTCCACGTTTGAACCAGGCCCAGTGAGTGAATGCTAGAATAATAGAATTTCTAGTCGTTGGCTGAAAAGGTACTAAACGACCTTATTACATGTAACCTTTATCTAGCTGTAGACAAACGATAATAAGATATTAGTATCTCGAGATAAGGAACAACAATCATCGACAATCATCGATATTACCACGTAGGAGTACTATGCAGTAGTCATCCATTAAACAACTTCGTCTGAAGCCGAGGTGCGAATTCCGAGCGGCCGCTCAGCCGGGACTAACTTCGGGCTAGCCGACTCCGTGTCTCGGAGTGAGGTATCCGAGCGTTATGGTGAGAAAACTGGGGACTAATGAAACGACCCCTCGCCAATAAATATCCTATCTTTCTTCTATATTTTTTAGGGAAGATACAATAAAGCTATCTCCTGAATTCCAGCAAACCGCACATCAAGCAGCTATTATGTCTCAGTTCGTAAGTTGCAATAGCAGTCTCCTCGAGTAAATATCTAACGTCGATGCGCAGAAAAAACAACACACTCATAATCGAATCACCAATCACATAGCCATATCGGTTCACGACATCAACACCGTTGTACAATGGTATTCTGATGTATTCGGCTTCAGGCTTCTCGGCCAGATTGCTCACATCAAGAGGTCGGAGAAACCAGACGCTGATATCTTTGGCATCTACCCAAGATCTTTGAACGAAGTAAAGGTGGCATGGATGACGACAGGAAACGCTGTTGGTTTTGAGCTTTTCGAATTCGTTGACCCTAAGCCTCAGCCTCACCCCCAGGGCTTCGAAGCCGGTGACTTCACCAAACCCGGATACTTTCACATGGCGGTCACCGACTCAGACCCCGATAAGTTGGCTGCGGAAGTGGTTAAAGCTGGGGGGAAAAAGATTGGAAACACAGTGGATCCACTTGGTTTGGGGGCAGAAGTTTTGTATGTGGCGGATCCTTGGGGCAATGTGATTGAAATTCTTAATGTCAATTTTGAACAGCTAGTATGCACGTCTCCTGCCATTGAAGGAGTCAAAGCTAAACTATAAGATAAGTATAGATAAAGTAGACTTTACTTTATAAACCCCTTCAACAAGCATTTTTAATAGGTTCCCTGGTATACATAGCATGCTATAGTGTAATAAAGAGAACTAAAAACTAAACTTATTCTCTTAATACTAAAAGCGAGGTTTTGGCACGCAAGTACCGACCGTGGGCCCATGCCTCAATCAATATCTCGGCTGCCATTGGAGCCATGACTGGTCTTTTGGTCGGGGGTGCCTGGACAAAGAGCAACCCAGACAACTTCCGCAATTACTGGTACATGGTTGCCGGTATGTATGCTTTCAGCGCCGTTGCCTGTCAGCTTCTTTACAACCCACAACCAAGACCGCTCCAATTGCAACTGACTGTGCGAGGAAAGCTGGGCCGCTTGGACTGGATAGGCTATGCTCTCCTCGCACCTGCGCTGATTCTCATTTGCATGGCTCTTACGTGGTCCCAAAACCCCTACCAATAACCAAACCCCCATATCTTGGCACTCTTCCTTATTGGTGTCGTATTGAGTGCCGCTCTAGTCATCTACGAGATATATGGTAGATCGGATGGCATGTTCAACCATGCGCACTTTAGACACCGCAACTTCCCTATAGCATTGAGCTGCATCTTTGTGGAAGGCATCATTTTCTTCTGCGCAAACAACTACTCTGCCTTTGAAGTAAGCGTCATTTTTGGAACAGATGCTTTTATCACTGGGCTTCACTACGCCATTGCTTTTATCTCATTCGCCATCTTCGCTTTCGCAGCTAGCTTATGGTGCTCACAGACCCGTACTGTTCGTATCCCGTCCGCCACAGCATTCGGCTTCTTTATGCTCTTTTGTATCCTTATGGCAACCATGGACCTTCCAAGAACAAAGCAAAGTCAAGTATGGGGATTTCCAGTGTTCTTCGAAGCAGGTCTTGGAATATGCTTGACGGCGTTGGTTACTGCAGCACACTTCGCCACGCCCCCTGAACTGGTTGCCATTACCTCTGGTCTCTTGATCTCCATTCGAAGCCTTGTTGGATCGATTGGGCTGGCTCTTTACACCGCTATCTTCTCCAATGGCATATCACACTTGGGATCAAACATTGCTGGCGCTGTGATTCCTCTGGGGTTTCCAGCATCTGGATTATCTCAACTCATCCCAGCCCTTGTCACCCACGATACCCAAGCATTGGGTAATATCACGGACGCATCTCCGGAGATCATTAGGGCTGGATATGGGGCTATTGGGGATACCTATCTTGTAGGCTTCCGCTACGTATGGGTGGCCGGCGGGTGCTTCTCATTTGTCGCTATAATCGGTAAGTCAAATTGCGTACCTCTTTCGGAGATTGTGAAAGCTAATGAGTACTGTTTAAAACAGTATGCCTTTTTCTGGAAGACCCTGCTGCAGAGTTTGCCTCTCAGATTGACGCGCCAGCTGAGTCAGTTTCCCGTGGAGAGAACGGTGAAAAGGTTTAGAATACTATTCTCCTAGAGCGGTAAGATTTCCAGATAGTTTCGGCAGAAGAATTTTACAAATACCTTTCATCCTTATAGTGATTCAAACTAAGATAAAAATTACATTCATGTTCATATTAAAGTTGTACATATATTACCCTGATATATAACGGGATAATGCATGTTTAGAGCTTATTTTCTCGAAATCTATGTGACTGAAATCGAATTACAATGTTTCACCATTAGTGGTTCTAATATACTTGTAAGGAATCTTAGTTACATAGTTATAGGCCATAGATCAATTGATTTTCATCTTGAAGCATTGTTATTACACTCCCAGCTCATCCTATGAAACATCTACAATAACTAACCTACCGAAAGCGACGGAACGCAAGGTAGAGACCCGAGATAGTAAGCACCTCAACTAGAATCCCAGTACCTTTCACAAAGTAGTCTACCTGATCAAAGAATCCAATACGTTGGCCTAATGGTTCGGGTTTCAAAAGTTTAACGAGCCTTTAATAACTAGCTCGAATACTGGCAATGTCTTCTGACGTTCCAGGCACTTTGTGCCGACAAGTATAAACCGGCACTGAGAAGCTGCGGGGTGCAATAAATGTAGTTAATAGTGGCGTTTTCTGACTACGGTCAATTTCTGTGCAGGAAAGAGCTGGTTAGCAGGATCATTTTCCAGAGCCAGATTTGTAGCATACCAGGCAACGTGATAGAGCATATGCTGCCCACCGAGACAAGCCTCGCAGGCACCCAACGTCTAACAAATTCGTAGACTTTGGATTCTTGGGGCCCAAGGATGGCTAACTGGGAGATCGGGGTAGAAAGACCAACCAGGGCATAAGTGAATCCCTCCCGAGAAGTTCCTATCACAACCAAGAGGGACCCCTCGTCCTTGACTGACTCGATGCGGGATTCGAGGTCTGTTCCTGCTTGTTTGCCGACGACATCACCCAATGCCACAATTGTCACAGATTGACTTACAGATGCCCCTAGAGGCTTTGCATCCTCTTCCCTGACGAAAACGACGTGCAGTCGATCTGAGAATTCTAGGTCTGATGCTCGCTTGATTTCATTGCTGATTCGTGGCCAGAGCTTTTTGCCCTCGGTGATGAGGACAGCATTCAATCCTACATCGGCGGTATCGACAAATCGGACCTTAGGGCTGGATAGTATAGTAAGGTAGGTATTGATTGAGGTGTCTTTACGTGGCCATCTTGTCAGCATAGACGGTTCATTCGGGAAAATATTCAGGTACAAGAGGAACTGACCGTATATCGTGGCCTTGTCGATTTCGTCAAGATCAAGTTCCGAGGTTACAAAGGACGTTGTTAGAAAGATGCTGTCCCGATCCAGATAGCGATTCCATTCACGTGAAAGGATAGAAATAAATCCCTTATTTTCTGTTGTGGTAGTAATGATGGTCACATTTCCATCAGCAAGTGACGCGGCCAAAGGGCCAACGATCCATCGAAAAGGGTTAACATGACCGCTAATAATAAGGTTTCGTCCGAAGGGGCGGTACGTTATATCGAATATGCCAACAAAGGAAAGCTCAGTCGAGGAATGGGATCCAACTTGGCTGACCAGGGAGATATGCTGTGAGATATCGCCAACGAGGCGGGCACACTCTTGTTCGTGAACATGCTTGGGGACAGCTACGGACCAACCTGATTCGTTAGAATGGACTGGCTAGACATGGTGACTGCTACAGCCAAGGACAGAATACCAGGTAACTCACAAGTAGATAGAGACGCGATCATCTCATCGCGATGATATATTATGAGCCGGTAGTGTTTATGCAGCTGCTTAGGCTTCCATCGCTTGTCTCCCGTGGTGTAATTGCCCTGCCAGGACAGGTCGGCAGAGGCTAGCGCATCAGCGAGATTAGTCGCCATCGTGGACAGTTCGTGGGTCGATAGGTAGGTTATGTAAATCTGTTTGTAGGTGGGAGCAGCGCACAACTGTCGGGAAACGTGACAGGAGTCAGTAGTAAACCAACACCAGGTATACTTGAGTGGTTAATTTAATAGCCAGGTCAAATAGACCTTTGTTGGACGGGTCTCAATCGGATTGGTAACAATTCTACCCCATACCCCGTAATATACCATTTGTGCTCTTTAGCTTGTTACCCGCATACTGTAGCATATTGGCTCTGATGATCCCCCGTCGCTGCCGAATCTAAGGATTATAGGGTTCCGATCTCACAACTTCGGAACCCCCACAGGCGGACATTAGATACACTCGGGATGCGGGGTTACCACACATCATAATGCACTTCACTTGTCCGAGAATACGAGGGCAGGTTATCTAAGTAATTGTGGCAATGAGAAATAGTCAATTCTAATTCCGGCAAATGGTAATTGGCATTGGTCCTACAACCGATCCATCTTTGCCCACTTTGCCGAATTACGCATACTATACTACTTTCAATTTATCTTCCATCACCCCCCTCTTCAGCGGAGTAGGTTTCTTTGGGTATTAATTTCCAATATATGAATGTGCACTCTGCGTGATTCTATAACATTAATATTGTGTCTTGTTGTGTCTAAACACCTCTGTACTCAAATACTCTTCTTGTGCCAGCCTGAGTTGCTCTTACGTGCAACACTTTCCTTATTCACCCGGCCGACCCTCACACATCCAAGATGACTGAGGTCATGAGCCAGGAGTCACTTGTACCTGCGGCATTCTGGTCGCACGGGTCTCCCCTCATGTGTCGCAAGGAATCTGCCTCGTCTGCATATTGGACCAAAGTGAATCTCCTCAGATTATATCGACTCCGATATTACTATTTACATATCCATGCTAATCTGTTTATTAGTTCGGCAAAGCCGCTAAAAGTCAAGGTATTAAGGGTCTTATTTTCATTGGTGCCCATTGGGAGGAACTGGGTGACCGAATCCGAGTCGCAATAAAAACCAAGCCCGAAGTTGTCCAAATGGATATGGTTCCACGCTCATACTGGGAGAACTATCCAATCAATATTGACACGGGCTTGGCAACAAGAGTCGTTCAACTGTTGACCAAGGCCGGTTTCCCCGACGTCGATGAAGACCCGGAATTTGACTGGCACGATGACACTATCACGCCTGCGCGATAGATGTTTCCCGATGGCACTCCTCCCGCTACAGTTGTGAGCTTGAATGCTCGCTACAACCCCACGTTCCACGTCAACATCGGCAAAGCCCTGCGAGAGCTTCGCAAAGAGGGTATCTTGATCTGCGGAACCGGCGGGGCTGTGCACAATCTATATCGTAACAACTGGTACCCCGTTCTGACCAAGGGCGACAACTTCCAGGAGGACCGCACACCTGCTGAGTGGGCCGTTGAGTTTGAGAAGTCGGTGAGCGATGTGGTGTCCAACAACAAGGTAAGTAGCGACTGAAACAGCCCGTACAGGCTGGCCTTAGCATGACTGATGAGTGTTTACTAACCATTCCAAGACAGGGGCCCCAGCTTGCAGGAGCCTTGACTCGCTTAACAGAGAGCCCTCGGTACAAAGATGCGCACCCTACAGATGACCCCTTTTATCCCCTCCTCGTGATTGCAGGTGCCCTTATGCAAGACAATGTGTATGGCAATAAGATGGCTCAGACTTGGGAGCTCCAGAACATGTGCAACAGCCAGTTTGTCTGGGGAGACTGGGTGACGCAGTAGTTTGGTGTAGAATCTGGATTTTACTTGTACTGATTACCTCTGGGATCCCACATTCCGTATATACAAATACAAGAATTATACTCCGAGATTTGCAGAACGTACCAAATTACTTAAAAGAAGCTATGAGAAGCCATTGCTTTCACTTATAGATAAATTCCTAATTACTAGGGGAGTATGTATTCTTTTGTAGATAAAGCTAAAATATAAATCAAACTTAATCTAATCGTTTCTATTTATAGTCTTGCAATCTTTCTTATGGTATAGGCCCAACTATGCACAATAAGACTCATTCTAGACCTTACTCAAGCATCATTACCACTTTGTGGTAGACCAACAACTCCTCGGCCAAGGTCCTCCCCGACCTTTTGACCCCCAATGACTATGCTCTGACAGTCTTGCAGCACGAAAATCATACGAGCCCACTCTGTAGTGCTGGGGTTACGCCACGCATGCATAGTACCGCGCTGAACAGCCACGTCTCCTCGACGCATCATCTGCGTCTCACCAGAGTCCAACACCAACTCAATTTCTCCCTCGAGAACAATGCCGTAGTCAAGGCTCTGCGTCCTGTACATCATGCAGTCGAAACCAGGGGCAAAGTCCACGATACGACAGACAGTTCCATTCTTATTAACCAGACCGAGTTTGCCAGATGATAGAAGCTCGTCGTGCATCTTGATGTCGGAGTTGTTGTTGAGTGAGGGGGGAAACTCAGATGTGGTGTAGGCCACATTGAAGGCCATTAACTTGTCGTCATATGCTTGTCATGTGCCGTTTCGCTTTTCTTGGACAAACGCCTTGCCGGTGGACTCATCGTGCCCAGTCAAGTAGAAGTTGGGACTCGGCAAAGCATTAAGCTGTTCAGACCTTTGGGGTGTTCCCGTCATGGCGAAAAGGAGTTGGAAGTCTGATCCGTAAACTTGTAGATGGGGTGGATATTTTAATACACTTATAGTGGACTAGATAATTCAGGAAGTTGAAGAATACAGCAGATAATTACGTGTCTTTATACTGCAAAATCAAGGTTTCGCTGAGACTTGAACCCCATATCTACCATTATGTTTACCAAATAAGCCGGACAAACACTGGGCCGAGTGGTAAACAGACTTACCCCACCACATCCGACCTGGATCCGACTCAGACTCGGGCCCCCATGTCCATTATGGCTATGCCTTAAGATAGCTAGAATCGTTAATAACCATTCTTTTTTATAATCTTGGCCGACACTGTTACCTACCCAAACGAGATACTCTACAAACTTGTTTTGTCCTTAACGATGGGCGCCAAGATCGTTATCCCTAAAGAAAGTCCCTTCAGCATTCACAACATCCCTTTTGGGATTATATCAACCTCTGACAACCAAACACCTAGATGTGCTGCTGCGATAGGTGACTATGCCATTGACTTAGCCAAGCTTGCCGAGGCTTCATGTCTAGATCATCTCGGACTTGAACCATCCGCTCAGGAGATGTTCAACAAGGTGAGAAAGAAAGGCCTACCACTTTCGACATCATCGCTGATCAATCTCGACTAGCCTTACCTGAATACTTTTGCCGCATACCTCCGTTCAGTCCACAGCCGTGTGCGTGACAGCTTGATTAATGATATCACCAATGCAAACATACCTGAGCAGTGCCTCGTTGCTCTAGACGACGTGTTCATGCATTTGCCATTCCAAATTGGAGGCTACTCTGACTTCTATTGCTCGATGGAGCATGTACAGAATGTAAGACACTAGCACTCCAAATGAATGACAAACTGCACTGACCACAAAAGTGTTCCGAGACAATGGCAGCTAACGCTATCATACCAGAGAACTGGTTCTATGCGCCTTCAGTGTACAACTCTCGAGTGTCCAGTGTTATTCCCTCGGGTCACCCCGTCCGCCGACCACATGGTGTGTACTATGGAAAGGATGGCAAGCCCATGTATGGCGCTTCTCAGGAACTTGACTTCGAGCTCGAGATGGGGCTGTTTATTCCAAAACCTATTCCATATGGCTCTACGATGGATATTGGTGATGTTGAAGACCACATCTTTGGGTTTGTTTTGCTTAGCGATTGGTCCTCTAGAGATCTGGAGGTGTTTGAAATGAAGCCTCTGGGACCTTTCCACGGCAAAGGTAGGTCTTTGCCCCATGTTCTCATTATAAGCTTTTGTCTACCTATAAGTCATGGCCTAATCACTCGAATTTACACATATAGGATTTGGAACGTCTATTTCCCTCTGGGTAGTCACTCTAGATGCCCTACAAGCTTTTCAGTGCCCTCCTAAACGGGAGCAAGATCCTCCTCCTTTCGAACATCTGAGGTGGCCTGGCCAAAACGGAACATTCGACGTCAAACTCGAGGTTGAGCTCAAAAGTGTGCATATTTAACCTTTTGTCCGTAGATCTAAGTTACTGACAGGTTACAACAGGCGATGGTAAAAGAATAAGGCTCGGAACCAGCAACCTTCGATATCTTTATTGGACTCCTTTCCAACAGCTAACGCATCACGCTTCAGCTATGTGTGGAATGCAAACGGGTAATTTAATAGGAACTGGCACAATCTCAGGTGATGTAAGTAAACCTCGAGGAGTAGAATGTGTTTGACCTTGGCTTATTCTAATTGTGCAGGCCACAAATGATAAAGGGGTAAAGCTTGAGCTTGGTTGCTTATATGAAGCAACTAAAGCAGGAACTAAAGAGGCTGAATTTGCTGATGGTTTCAAAATTAAATATCTCCAAGATGGAGATGAAATTATTTTACGAGGCAACTGTGGCAATCGAGACCTCATTTGGGTTTGGCGAGTGTAGTGCTGTACTTCTTCCCGCTTATGAAGAGGAAAGATAAAAGGTTAATAATAGACCCTATCTATACAACACTTTTCTATCTATCTATATTATCTATTTGAAATGGACTTGTCTTTTATTAATAGACCTTTACTCTCTAGAGCCCTTACAAATCTTTTACTGTTATCTATATTAGCAGGGAATCCACTATATTTCTTTATCTTTGCAAGGTTTGAGAAAGCTTGGTAGGGATGCAGTGTCCACACTTTAGACCACAGGGGTCTTAGACTGTATGTCCTCCCACAAGTGTGTTTCAATTTTCTGTAGCGCTGCTACCCTCTCCTGATGGAAATAAGCACTATCGAACGGAAGAGAAGCGGCACGCAGGAATGCGTAGGGCTGCCCTGGCTTGAGTCTAGACTAATAGCGGAGTGGCATAGTGATTGGCGCAACTTAGTACTACAAAGGTAGTTAGTATTTAAATAAAATGTGATATATTTTCTAGCTAGACCTTAACTTCTAATATTGTCTAATGTTGCCACTTTCCCCCCTTTCGTTTTAGACTTTTAATCCATGCCGCTCGAAAAGTTAAATTCCAAAGAGGGCTAATGGATCCGGGGATAAGATAGCTATTCCGCGACCAAATTAACTAGGTCCATGCTCTATCCCCCAAAACTTTTAGCGTTCAGGGCTGTCGATTATTCTTCTATCCTCTGTTCCGCAAAATGTCTACCATGTAAACATTCCTGACTCCATCATCGAATTTTCCTACGATCGATTCTGCGACCGCGAAAGATGACTGTCGAGGGCCTTCTCGATCTGTATCAGGGCCAGGTTGTCCCAAAGGCATACAATGCGGGCTACGTCGCTCTGAGCTACCTTATCAGTTTGGTGGGCGCTGCTTCGACTCTCGAATTGATCAATCGGCGATCATGGTTCAACGGTATTTCAAATCAGTATGCACCATGTCCAATTTCGCAAAGGCACGAATTTTTTCAAGGACGTCTGCTAATACGGATGCGTTAGTCTCGTACTTGGGAGCTCTGCAGTCACTATGGGTGGTATAGCTATTTGGTGCATGGTAAGTTGAGTATTCTTGTCTTCTTTTTATTTTTATTTACCCGAACTTTCACTTTGTTCTGTGCATACATACTTACGCCTGTTAAGCATTTCATTGGAAACCAAGCGCTCGTCCTCGCTGGCGGGGAGGCACAGATGCAGATTGTCTATTCCAGCGGCATCACAGTACTTTCTTTCTTTTTGCCTGTCCTTTTTCTTCTTGCCGCGTTTTACGCCATAGGTATCTCGAACCGAGTTTCTTGGTGGAGAGTGATAACTGCCGGTATCCTCTGCGGTGCAGCCATCTGCGGGATGCACTACTTGGCTAATGCTTCCATCAAAAACTACCGCTGCATCTATAGTATTGCATACATCGTCGGGGCTGCTACGATTGCTGTTGTTGCCAGCACCGTGGCTCTGGCCATGTTCTTCATTTTCCAGTCCCTCTCGGCGAGTACTTGGTGGAAGCGGACCATCTCTGCTATCGTCCTGGCTGGAGCGGTGTCCAGTATGCATTGGTGTGCCTCTGTTGGTACCCAGTATCGACTAGTTCAGCTCATGGAAATGGAAACAGGATCACGTACTGCGACTGTTATTGCAGTTATTTGTTTGGTAAGTGTTTGAGATTCCATGTTTCTCTGACACGTTCCCATGCCATTTATGTGCAGGCCGACTAACCTTAACAGTCACTTGGTGCCTGTATCATCATTGCTGGATCAGCGATTCTCCGATCCCGTACCCTTAAGCAAGCAGCTCTTCGCGCCCAGCAGATTGAATTGGGTGCTATTGTGTTTGATAAGAACGGGCGTCTTCTCGTTGATTCCAGTGGAGTTTTCCCGAGTACTGTTATCACTGATTTCTTCATTGGCGAGGTAAGATCATCACTCACGTCCTGGCCTAGCAAGTCGCCAGTCTGCAATGTGAACAACTTATAGTAACCCGTCCTCTTAGAACGCCAAGGAAAGATTCAATACCTCTCATCCACAGTTTCATTGGATGTTCCAAGCCTCGCGGAATTGGATCGGTATTTCAGGACTGATAAATGGTATGAAACAGCATCTAGCACAATTACCACACAAGAGCCGCCATAAAGACGCCAGGAAGGGGATTCAACTCATTACCGACGACGGGAAACATATAGAGGGATACGAGATTATTTTTCGCGAACTATTCTGCGTTGCCGCCTCTGTACTCAGCGACCGCCTCAACGAACCTCTCACAACGATTGGGATCCTATGGGATGATATCCTACCGAAAGGCACAGTTGCAAACCCAGCTTACCTTCAAGCACTCGAAAAGCACCGAGCCGATCAAACCGTGGAATCGATCGAGACGAGCAGCAAAGGCTCAACAACGGTTGGTCACGGTCACCTGGAGAGCGGAGTCGGATTTGGGAACGGGATGGAGGCACGAGGCGCGCTGATGTTTCTGGTTCGCCGCCTTACATCAGATGACGAGGTACAAAAACTCAGATCGGCCGGATATCGTTTTGTCGACCCTGGCCAAGTAAGCAACAATGCAGGGTCCCATTTGCAGATCCAGCCTACCGAATTCGAGTTAAAACTTCGCGACATGAGAAACTTCATTGATCACCAAGTTCGGATCAAGTCTGGAGCCCAGCTGGCCTTTTTCTCCGTCCAGGATCCAGGGCTCAACGCGTCTCAAGTCCTGGTGCGAAAGGACACTCGTCATTTACTGCCCTCAGTACCATTACACATCGAAAAGTTCCAAGAATCCCACATGGGGCTTTTGCGAGGACTTGCTGGCTTACCAGTGCCCGAAGTCATCCAGAGGTTGAGGACAACAGGTGCAACGTCGCACACTCCTGAAGAGGCTCATTTTGCCGAGCGTCTTTCCAATGCTATCAGCTCACTACGTGGCTGGGTACAGGAACCTCTTTATAACGATGCAGTGTTGGCATCATCTATCGTGCGACTTCCTTTTGGTATTGACGGCGATCAAGTAGACGAGACTGTGATGATGGCCTTGCGACTGAAGATCCATCATCCCGTCATCTCCTCTGGTCCCAACTGCCAATGGGCCCCATTGAACTTTTTCAAGATGCGACAAGTGCTGGAGCAGTCTCGACAGGAATTCATACGGGCTATCCACCATGACTTCAATCCTTTAAACCTGCCTACAAGCTGGGCTAACAATAAGCTTACTTCTGGACCTTTTTCAACACTCCGGCGACTGAACAGTGCCGTGGCCTCGGCAGATTTGAAGGGCAGGAAACGAGCTCCGTTACAAGATCCTGCACGGTCAACCTCAACAATCAACTTATGTCCTCCAGGAGGTAGCGAAGGCAACAACGAGCGCCCTCAGTCGACAGAAACAGTGGGCGCCTACGCCCCTCCTGAGCGACATTACGTCGCACATCAGCAACCATTCTTAAACGGTGGTATTGTGGTATTCCAGGAAGTCAGCGTTCAAGTTGAAGCCAAGAAAAACCAACCCCGAAATGATTTAGCACCGTCTTGGAGTCATGAGACAGTCACCGAGCCACCTCGTGCACGCCAACAACATTCTCAGCAAGGTTCTCAACATAAATTGCCAATAACACAAGATCTTGAGTTGCAGCCGTATGGATGGGGGAAAACAGATGTTTCTGTTCAATCTCGTTGGGTAGATGATCTTGGCCAAGTGGATAGCAACATAACCACAATTGCTTCCTTTGTAGATGCTTTGCTAGCAGAGTCTAATAACTCCAGCACCTAACTTTAATTAAACTTAATGAACAATCTTTATTTCAAGCCAGTTTCTATACTTTAGTAAGCTGTTATGAAAATACTAATGCTTTCTTGAATTATATGTCATACTTGGGAGAAAACAATTCTCGAAATAACTTACTAGACAACTGGTTGCCCTGTCCGTACTACAACCAATGCAATTATTATCGGCAGCTAAAACATCACCATACATGAAGGCCAAGGAGTCAAAAATTGGTCGATTATATCTCGGCAATACATACTAGTAGTATTTCTGTGAGTCTGATTTGGTGTGGCTATGACTTTCTGCCTGTGCTGCTGCGGTCCTGGTCAGTAGTGTCTCACTTTCAACCAGCCACAATCATTACTGCACAAATTCCTGGCGCCCAACCGGATCAACATCCGCCTGCAACTCACTCGTATGCGCCCCCTGTACCCGCGGGTTCTCGCTTGGATTTGTACCGCGCTAGCCTCCCCTGCTCGATGTCAGCCTCATTATCAAATGTATCCGCCATTGCGACTTAGAAGAAAATCTTCAGGAGTCCTGACTTATTGGAGACGTTGACGTCGGTTATCTTCAGTGGCAAGACTCAGTGTAGGTCAATTGAGAGGTGCTGCATGATGTTGAGAGTGTCACCCCCAATACCGTCCTCCTCCTTGGCCCCCAAAATCAGAGGCCCCACTGTGCAAAGACGGAAGGGTCTAGCTGTACCAGCCCGGATGCGGATAGGGAAACCATAATGTGTGGCGCTTGTGGAAACCTGTTTTTGTGGATGATCTTTAATAGCAGCGATTGGCTGATGTTTCATTAGTGTCTTAAGTGACAGGGTATAGATACGAGGTAAAAAGCAAAACACACAGTTAGCCCCAATAGATCAGCAGTCTGCAGGGGAGGAGATATGCGAGTTATTGATCGATAAGACAAAATAGCGTTTGTAAGAATGCAATCACTAGGACAAAGACCCGGCAAAATGTGGAAAAAACATGAAACTGAAATGTGCTATAACTAGGAGTTAGCTCATATGAAGATCAGCTCAAGTTGAGTTTCCCCTGACAGGGGTACCGACGCACTTAGCAGGTGTGGAACTCATGGTTGCCGCAACCAATAGTCAGGGTTAAGCGTTAGTAAGCCGTTAGGTACAGGGTAATTGTTTGCCGGCATTGACATTGTTGCAACAACAACCAGATGGGAATGTGTTCATCGTTAGTTTGGAAGCTTTATTACCACTATCTCACCCCCGATCCTTAGCTGTATTTTTTGAAGACACAATTTACAATGACTTGTTGTAAAATACTGAGATCTTTTATTAAATTTATAACATTGATTTGTGTTGCCGACTCACTTAAATATCAAATTACGTTATTTGATTAAAGATGTGACTCCCAATGAGTTGAATTGACTGGCATTTATTGATTGAAATAAAGGCTGATGAAATTTACAGAAGGTGAAATAAGAAATAAAGATCTAAGTATCTACTAAGAGCGCACCTTTATTAATAGAATTAGCTATTTAAGATCATTAAGCACCATAGACATTTATACTTCAAGGTAGTAGAAGGAATGACGCGCTCAATTTGTAACATTATAGCAATATATTAAACACTATAGCCATCCTAGTCTGCGGCAGAAGAAACCTCCACCGCCAAGAAAACCCGTTATTCCTGTAAAGACAATAAGAGTTCCATATCCACTTCCGTAACCTGCCAATGCTTGATCTTTCCACAAGGAATTTTGGACTAGCACTTCACTCAAGGGCCCTGAAACAAGATTTCCGATGCCTCGGCCCGCCTCAAGCACACCGAAAACCATGATGGGGTCAAAGGCTATACCGCGATGAGGAGACCCTGCGTGATCTGATGGTGTCGGACGCGAAGTCATCTCGGACATAATACCTGCCCACGTCGCTGAAAACGATCCCGCGAACAGACCGTACATTATACAGAATACGAACAGGACTGCAAGATTTTGTGCCAAACCCCACAGGAGAAAGGTTCCAATAACAGTTCCAAATGATGAAACCAAGATGCAAGTCGTTACATGAAATCGATCAATCAAGAACCCCATGACGATGTTTCCAGCAGCCGAGGCGAGATTAATAGTAACAATCGTGAGGGCAGCTACTTTCGAAGATGCGTGGAAGACGGTCCGAGCATAGGACGGCAGCCAAATACTCGGGATGAAGAATCCCAATGCTTGAATCATGCTCGGTAGCTGATAAAGGAGGAACTTTCCGTTCAAGACGAAGCCTAGGTTGATTCTCCGAACGCTCTGTCCGTGAACTTGAGATGGCTTCACTCGAGGCTTGACAAAGTAGAGTAACGGTATGGTCACGGCGAACAACAGACCGCTCCACAGGCGGAGTGTGGTTCGAAAACCATATTTTCCCAAGAGGAACTCCAACAGTAAAGGGATAGTGCATCCTCCGACACCAGTTCCCGCCCACATTGTGCCCAGGGCCAAGCCCCTACGCTCAACAAACCACTCTTCAACGTAGAGAACACAAGGACAAAAACAGAGGAGGCCGCCGATAGCATAGACAACTCCCTGGGTGACAACCAAATGTGTCACCTGATGAGAGAATGAGCTCGTGGCAAGCGACCCGCACATAGCCAGGGCACCGGCAAATGGGGCGTATCGACACTGTTTAGGGAAAAACCTCCAGAGGGCCATGACAAACGGGTTTCCAAAGTACATAATCCCCTAAGAAGATCAATACCGGTAATTATAGTAGACCTAGCTTATGAGATGACTTACCATAGAAGTAGTGCCAATGGTGGCAATTTGCCCCGAGCCTTCAAAGGGCTCATGCGTAAGATAATAATCTTGAAAGATGCCAAAGGAAAAGGGAAAGCCTGCATCTTCTATCAGCCAAGTCAAAATCAAGAGAAAAGGTTAGGATTAAGGTTTGCCTAACCCCAGACAAAACAATCAATTAAGAAAGCTGCTCCTAGAAACAAGTACGCGTCTTTTCCATAATCCACAGGAGGCAAAGAGGATGCTTGGTTAGGATTGAGGGTATCATGGCCAGAGGCGAGTTCTTCTGGTGACCGGACCTCGTCCAAAGGGGCTTGAGCTGATTGCAGCTGGATGGACGTTGAAGCCATTTATATAGCTTGCCGGCGGAGGATTGCTAGATAATCGTATGGAAGACTTGTGAGGAGTAGACTTCCTGAGCAATTGATTGAAGAATGAGGGGAAATAATATGACGTAACCCCCGTTGCACTTTGTATGCTTACCCTGAGTGGAAGACGGCACGTGATATTAAGTGCGAGCAAAGTTTCACAGGAATAAAGACAGTAAAAGACATTTAAGCGGTTGGTAACAAAATGGCTTTAAGTATCGTACAAAGAAGGATTCAGAACCTTGTATGTAAGCAATATCCACAGCTCTCCTACCTTCTCAAGTACGTCATAGAAAATCTGACCATGCACAGTAACGTAATGGCATGTACGAGTTAGGGAGGTCACTTAAAACACAAACATGTAGTTACCTCTGATTGATTTGAATGATATTGTTTGTGGTGCCGTAGGTAGCCGTCCCCAGTTCCTGTAGCCCAGCTCGAAATGGCCGATTTAGTTATCAAGCCTCTGGTATAGATTTGCTTATACCAGCCTTCTAATAGAGTATCTAGCGCGAAAGCAGTAGTATAACTAGAAGAGACTAGAAGCTCTAGAGTAGCAACGCTATAACGGAGAGGTATCTAGTAAGGGTATATGTACGGTAGGTGGCGCCCTAGTCCACACCCTACAAACGGTGCAAATGCAAAATTGTAAAAATGCAAAATGATTAAATTGATGTTTTAAACAGGTAAATTGTATTAGTTAATTACACCACTTAATTAAAAAAGCACCTCGTACGGTTAGTTACAGCAGTTGATTGTAGTAGTTAATTACAAGGCAGCTCATCTTCTAGAAAACCCATTATCCTGGGACTGGTGGCTCGAGCCGCGAGAGCAGATAAGCTTCCTTGAGATTTGCATGAATGGTGGTTCTGGGCGGTCTTTCATGGCTCCACCGTCGTGTCCCTTATATTAGTCCTCCTGAACCATTGTCTTGCCGAAGATGGATCAAGTGGTCTGCTATGGGATATATCATCGGTAACGTTCCTGGCAGCATTGCTGTATCGAAGTAATGTCCCTCGAGCCTTTCGAGGCACGGACTACGGATCAGAGGATATGAATGGATTACGCCCTTTGCGAATAAATCATTTTCGGGTCGATGGAGACCATACCACAAATTTGGAAGATGCATAGTTTGTTGAATTAGCCTGCGCTTCGTCTGCCAGGGGAACTCGGCAAATATAGTCGCAAGCATGATCTAAAGTCCCTCCCTGGCTCCGCAGGCCTCCTTCAAATTTCACTTGTCACTCTACATATGCTTGTGATGCCGGGGATGTGGTGGGTAACCTTAACGAATTCGAGATGTTGTTGCGTTTCGGTCTGTGTAGAGACCTCTATGGTTCATATTCCTGTGGATATTATTAGGACAGCTGGATCTCTTTTTCAAAGATGCTACCAGACTTCACATAGATAATTGCCGGTGATGGTTTGGGCGATGTTAAGAGCCATCCGGGCATCAATACGACATCACCCCGTGTCGAAGTATTACAATATCTCTGCCCCCTTTCTCGAGTATCAAATTTGTCTCCCGACTTCCTTCACTGAGTCTCTGTGCCTTCTTTTACTTCCGACTATTTCGACTATGTTATTGGTACATTTGTGGATGACCAGCCTTGCTCAGTTCTACAAAGCTCGGCTATCATGGGTCGGACCTACAGGGCATCTACCTTCTGGAAAGAGCCTTACTCTTGATTACACAAGGTACTGGATTCCTTTGGCCAAGGTAATTAAGAACAAAAACTGGTTACTTTGTTTCATGATTATATTATTATCATTACTGATAACCTTTCCAGTTGTGGTGATGAGCTTGTATCATTACATGGATCGTGTATAACATTAAAACCTCGTTAGTTCGAAGACATTATATATGGAACTTTCACTAATTTAATCGTAACAAGGATATCTCTGTAGTTCATGTTCTACAGCAGGTTTTCCGGAGCATGACAAATTCAACGGCACTCCCAAAATGGTCATCATCATCTAGAGAAGCCATACTACCGATAGATCTTTCATCGGTGAATGAGACCGAAGTGCCATACGCCCCAGCCTACAATGAAGTCGGATACTGGGAGGTTGAGTCAGAGACTGTTCGAGCTGAGCTGGAATGCGAAAAACTGCCCCTATGGTCCCCAGCGACGCTTTAACCTTATAACCTTACCCTTCGCGAATAATTCCAATGAGATATGCCGAGATGGAGGATTCTACTTGCAAGGGGAGACATCATTCTGGCAGTTCACTCAGATCACCTGAGCATGAAGGTTTGAGATATTGTGCTAGTTTGTATGAGCAGTGAGCGACTTCCCTTTCAGATACGTATATGGATGTTTTTCATAGTTTGCCCATAAGCCTCTTAATGACTCGTTCAAGAACATTCGAACCCGACTCTTGGGAGTCCAACACTTCGGCATGCAAACTTGTCTGCCCTAGTTCCATCTCCCGTCTTCTTGATATCAAATGTTTCAGCATCGATGTGAAAATTTCGACAACCCTCGGCTGCACTACTGCAGCGCATGAACGCATTATAGGAGTTGTTCATGCTACCATACCAATCTCGTAGCGTGATATCTGAGATGTTAAATCGGGATGTGTTACAATCGCCAGGCGTGCCCTGAAAACTGACGCATTGGGTAATCTGAAACGCCTCGTCACGTCCAAGGGTATAATTTAAGCCAGTGATAGCTTGCAGCCAATTAGTTCAGAACAATTGAAAGATTTAGAATTGTAAAACCCACTGATGTTCTTAATATCTGTGTGTCGCTATCAGTTTAATTTCTTCACAAGATGATCAGTTGCAAACTTACGTCCCAGGCCGCCTCCTCCACCATTGGGTGGGTACCCAATCACATCTCCAGTAAACGTCTTGATGTATGCCCCGTGCTTGGTATTTATTGCGTTGGTATTACGCAGTGTGACATTCTCAATCCTTTCGTACTTTCCATTGTATTGACCAATGCTTCCCAGAGCAAACCCTAACCCTTTGATAAAGGTACTGTCTTCGATGAGGACATTTGTTGAGTTTGCCTTCAAGGAAATGCAGTCATCTCCATTGACTATGTGCCAGCGGCGGAACGTCAGGCGGTTGCTAAACATTCCATCCACGCCGTCCGTATTACGTGCCGGATTCTTACTGGAGCTTGTCGAATTCACGTATATGTCTTGAAGCAGCACATTGTCGGAATCGCGAATCGTCATAGTCCTACCGAGCCTTATATGAGAGTTTGGTCTTATGTAATTCGACGGGGTTACTAACCACATCTGCGACTGCACAAAACGGAGGCCTTCAATCACACTGTCCTTTGCTCCGATGATGGTAATTTGATGTGGACGGCCTGCGTTGGTGAGATGAGGGCCACAGACTCGTCAATACGCGTGGATCAAGAAGAGAGCATACCTGGGTAATTAGACTGGCCTTTGACAAAATCGTACCAGGCTTGACCGTTTCCGTCCAACGTGCCGTAGCCGAAGCCGCGAATAGTAAGCCTCTCCCCGCCAAGATGCCATGCGCTGGATTGGTTTTGATAGCCATTTGGAATAGAGTTATTAAGCCAGTAATCAATATCAGTGCTCCACTATTTCACATTTAGTTTTTGACAATCAGTGCACCCTGTCAGTAACTCACTAAAAGAGTGCCGCGGATCTGGATCTCGGTATCTCTAAGGCCAATAGTCTTCATCACTTTTCCAATATGATACGTAGTGTTTGTAAAGATGATACGGCCACTCTTACCACATTTCCTAAACGCCTCGAGAATGGCCGGGGAGTCATCGTCTCCAGTATTCTTTGCTGGAATGACGCACTGAGCACGCTTCCACAAGGATGATGAATTATCCTCAAAGCTGGGGAGTCGCGATTCGTCGACTTGGGCAAGGCATATAGGCAGCCCACTAAGACCGACAAGAAGGAATGCGATATTAAAGATCCTCATGTTGTTCTGCTTGACTCACTAGAGATCACTTGAAGTCGGGTCTGGTGGATAGAAGATGCCTTCTAAACCCCCTTTGAAGGTTGCGGTAAAGAACTCATGATAGATGCTAGCTCTGTGTCCTGACGGATAGTTACTGTCGGGGGCCGGAGGATCTACGAGACCGGCGTGGCTAAGAAATTCTATCGCTCGCCTCTACTTGGTGGAAAGATTAATTATAGCCACATGCCTAAACATGCATTTTTTATCCGTGGCTGCTGGCAGTTAAACTACGAACCTGAATCCCCACGATGATTGGTTGTTGAACCGGCTAAACGCAGATACGGAAGGTGCAGTTTTACAATCCCCGTATCTACTCCACTCATCCAATAGCCCATATCTTAAAGGTAGTCAAACTGCATGTAGATCCCGGTCTAATCGGATCGGGGCCTGGACAAACTATCTACACAGTATAGAGATAGCCAGAATTAGCCAATTTAGCTGTGAAGCCTCTAGGATAGATTCATTTAAATGAATTCTTTTCTAGAATATTTGATATTGAAAGAAAAATATAAATAGAAGACACTAGGAGCCTTATAGTAGAAATATTATAAGAAAATAATATCTAGTAGGGGTATATATCTATTGATCCCTTAGTGAACACTTTATGAAAAATTAAATAAAAAGAAATAAGAATAATAAAAATGATAAAGATAATAAGAGGAACAAAAACAATTAAGATAATAAGGATGATTAGAAAAATAAGAATAACATTTTAAGTATGTTAATTACATTAATCAATGATAGTAGTTAGTTATGACTTTTACATATCAGTCTTAGCATACTAATTCAGTTATATCTTTGGGTAGTAACGGTAATATCTAACTAGGTTTTAGACGACCTTCATAGCGCTTATACGTTTAGTCGGCTCTATTCGTGTACTCTTCTTCTCCAGTAGACAAATCCTTGCTAGTGAGCTACTCAAGTCCTCTCTTGATACAACTCGTACTCATAGCTGGAAAACAGAAACGGGGCTACTCCCTTGAGGTCATTCTCAAACAATGGCATACTGGCGTAGTACTAAAATATGTCAGCTTGATTCATTAGAATTTACGGGGGACTAACCTCAAAAGTGCCATTGGAACTTAAGCTGCCAGTTTGGACCGTCCACTCCCAAGCCAATGCCCCATCATGCGGGCGAGGCTGAGTAAACGTGGAGGTCATTAACTTATACCCAGTCAATGATGACTGAAGGTACTTATCGCCTTTGATGTATCCCTTGCGAATGGCTTTGAACAGGCCGTTGACAAACATGGCTGTACCGGAACTTTCAATGTAGTTTCCAGACTTACCCTCTAAGCCAGGATCCATGACGAGCCACCAGCCCTTGGTGGTCTTGTCCTGAGACATCACAAGAGCATCTGCCAGAGTGCGTAGGTACTTCAACAAGCGCTTTCGGCCCTTGTGTTTCTCAGGGAAGTAATCAAGTGTGTCGACAAGAGCCATAATGTACCATCCCACACCGCGACTCCAGACATGAGGTGCAGCTCCCGTTTTAGAATCAGCCCAGACTTGTGTTTTACTGGCGTCATATCCATGGACTGGCAATCCTTTAGTATGCTTGCTAGACCTCGTTGCAGCGTCGATAAGATCGAATTGTAGAGCAATGTCGTCCCAGGCTGTCGTGTTGTCAGGCTCAAACTCATAGGTCCAACGGGCGTAGAAGACATCCAGCATGTAGAAGCCATCCAACCACATCTGATCAATGTAGGCAGGGAAGCGATGGTAGAAACCACCGTCGGGCGTGCGACCTGTGCGATCAATCTGCTTCCGCATGCTTGTCGCAGCTTTCTTGTAAATCTCCTCTCCTGTGACATTATAAATGTCAAGGAAAGTGTGGCCAATGCGGATGTCATCGATGGAATTGCTGTTATTGTACATGAGGACAGTGCCATCGTGCTCGGGGTAGAGTAAAATGTCTGCCCCGCGTTTGACGTAGTCGAAATACTTCTTATCGTGGGTTCTCTCATAGGCTAGAAGGATACCCGAGTAGAAGGCAGAGACTGTATAAGCAAGCGTAGGCTCGACTCCGTGCTGGATTTGAGAGTCGGCCATCCAAGAGAGATATCGCGGCTTGCCTTTGAATTGAGTATGCTTGATCTTTTCGGTGGGTTGGAAGGTGAACCATCCTTGTGGAAGTGTTATCCCAGCAGCGAGGTATGTGCTGGCAAAAGCGCCCAGAGTGAACAATGATGCTTTCATGGTGCCGGCTTATGGTAGAAGAATTGCCTGAGAAGCAACTTGTACTAATCATCGTTCAGTGACATGAGGTTTAAGTAGTTCCTTAGAAGTTCTTATCACATCGGTCAATTATCCATCTCAGGGTCTTGGCTTTTCCGATTCTCAATTGAAAAGACGGAGAACTGCCTTACCTGTTATGGTATTCAATTAATTACGAGGTTCTAGAGGGGAGATCGCCGCTTCAATAGTCGATTGCGGGATCTAGGGAAGTGGGGTAGAGTTAAGCTTAATCCAAAACGCGGAGGTCCCACAGGACACAGATGATATTTGTGGTGGAAAATTTATCTTCAATGCTACGCTTGACTTGCATCCCGGAACTAATGTTCGGAAAAGCAACAGCGGAAAACCTGCAGTTCTTGCATCCCAGTACCTACAGGCCGACGAGCCTAATTAGTATCTTGACGAGATGCGGTGGTAGAATAAACAGTAGAGCAAGGAAGTCTTTTCTACCCCGCAAACGGTCAAAAGGCTCAGTACAAGCTCAAATGTACTCAGGTAGGAGCGGCACCCACTCGGGTTTACAGGAAGGACAGGAAGTGGGAAGTAATACCGCTGTTATGTTATAGCATTATTAAAGAAGAAAGTCCACCAGATCCTAGATCTTCTAATTATCCAATAACTTAATTATCTACCGCAAGAGTCCCTCCTAAAACTGGTGCTTCACGGATGTCTTGAGCATCTTGTTAGGTTCCTGCACTTGTAGGGATAACCATTCTTATACTTAACAAACCATACTACTTATTGTGAAAACTCAGTGGCCCGCGATATGGGTAAATGTAGTAACATGGTTAAGATTGGGTATTCCTTCGGTGCGGGCTTTATGGTATACTATTAGGCCATCCAATTAGTCACTTTTGAAAGATTCGTGATTCTACACATCGCTTATAAGCCACTAGGTCATTATGTAACAAAAGTGATGGATGAAGGCATCGCCACCTTTAGTGGAGAGCCGGGTCAGTGGATAGTCCGGATCCGTAGAGGTCCGAGCTTGGTGTGCCCACAAGAGCAACACCAAGGTCGGGCCATTTCAATAGAGACATGCCACTATAGAATACCTTCATTTTGCCTTCAAGCATAAGTGACGGTATAAAAAAGCCTTATTTACACGTAGTGAATAGTATTTAATTTGCAGTAAATAGGAAGGATAAAAGAAAAACACCCACCGCTCGTCCTCTTAAGAATGGGGTAAATTTTAGGTTTAGAGAGGGATAAATGCTAGAGCGTAGCTATCAGCGGTGGTAGAACAACTTGCCGTGTTTTGGCTTGGCCTTATTGGGAATAAACCCACGCAGTATTAACAGGCCACTTTTACGGGCTACAGAGAGCTTTAGCGGATAAAAGCTCATCCGAATTAACACGTAGCCGAGGTGATTAGCCCTGCTAAATTCTAATGAGTCTGAAGAAGGGCCGCAGCTTTTACGGGGTGAGTCAGGGAAATGTGTAACTACTCAACCCGAGCCTTTAAATGCAAACGCCTGGGCTATCTGCTGTTCTTACTTCTCCCGTACAAAACAATCCGAGACTCATATTATCGAAAGCCTTATCACGCTGTCTTGCGTAAACATCTCCCTCTTGTCACATTATGACTGACTCCTCGAAAGTAACGATTGCTATTATCGGCGCTGGCTTGATTGGGCCGCGACACGCAAGAACTGTCGTTCAAAGCAACGATGCAGAACTTGTGGCCATTGTTGATCCTACGCCCTCCGGCCAGAAGTTAGCTGATGAGCTAAATGTGGCCTATTACACATCCGTTGCACATCTTCTGCAGTCCACGCACAAGCCCGATGCAGCTATTATCTGCACACCAAATCACGTCCATGTGCCGGTAGCAAAGGAGCTGTCGTCTGGTGGCATGCATATCCTAATTGAAAAACCTGTTAGCAGTGACATAGAGAGTGGGAAAGAGCTTGTAAAGCATCTTAACAACATGGCCGTCAAGGCTCTTATAGGCCATCACCGCCGCTTTAACCCATACATTTCTGCCGCAAAAGAGATCATCTCCTCTGGCCGACTTGGCAATATTGTCGCTATCAACGGTCTATGGACGACGTATAAGCCTTTGGACTATTTTGACCCCCCCGCTGAATGGCGGAGACTCAACACAGGAGGCGTAGTCCTCATCAACATGATCCATGAGATTGATCTCCTCCATTACTTGTTCGGCCCTATTGTCCGCGTGCACGCCGAGAAAACTATCTCCCAGCGTGGCTTTGAGGCAGAAGAAGGTGCTGCACTTACCCTCCGTTTCAAGTCCGGCGTCGTGGGTAGCTTCCTGGTCTCAGATAGCCTCCCCTCACCGTACAACTTTGAGTCGGGCACAGGCGAGAACCCCCTAATTCCTAAAGCTGGACAGGATTTCTACCGAATCTTTGGCACTGACGCAGTGTTAAGCGTACCGGATATGACAACCTGGTCGTATAATGGCACGCACAAGAGCTGGCATCAAGAGTTAGTTAGCGATAAGATTCCAGTGGCGGATGCGATTCCATTCCAGCTGCAGCTGAGTCATTTTGTAAAGGTTGTCCGAAACCAAGAGTCCGCTAGCTGCACGCCAGAGGCTGGCCTTGCTGCTCTGGCTGTGTGTCAAGCAATCAAGGATGCATTAGAGGCAAGCACGACTGTTGATGTCGAAATCTTTGATTTCTAAGCACGACCTAGATGCAGCGAGGGAGACAACTGGGTCAATCTTACTATTGCGATATCCTGTTTCCTAAAGGGAGGAATTCATTGACTTTAGTTTAGCTTAACGCCCAGTTGAGCCTCTCTACACTCCCGACCAATTATACCCGAGTACAACAGGTCAAGGCATGGTGTCGAACATCCCAAGACTCCATTGGCTGTTCGCTCTGACAGGTCGTTCTTTTTAACAGTAAAACATTCAGAGAAGTGTGATTGGAATGGAAACGCTATCTTACAAATTCTACAATTTTTAAAATCTTCAATTTATCCTTATAATTCCATCTCTACAAGCCGTATCATCTACAGACAAGGTAGTGGTATGTACTGCGACTAGAGTCTTACTTACTCTACTTTCTCCACAGGCTTGAGTGCTCTCAGCGCCCTAAGAGTGCTTGAAGTCCTTAAAATCCGTCGCAAAAGCTCCTTATAATCCCACCCTAAGCCATTTGCAGCTAACAAAGTTAAACTGGCTTGGTCATCACGGCCGGGCCGCCCAGGGCCTGTCATGTTCTGCACTTGTCTTAGCCGGAGAAGAGTGAAGGAGAGATCAGATTTACTTACAGGCTTCATGTTGACGTCGAACAATGCGTATGGTGATTCAGACGAATCTTTGAATCTTCGAACATCAATGCGAATTGGAGCAGTTAATCCAAGAAGACTAGCTGCTCGCTCACATTCCTTAGCCAGCCGGTGATGAAGAGGCCCGGTTTCACTTTCGGGTACCACACTTGAATTGGCCGTTACGGCTACAACGCCGTTATATGGTGCAATGCCATCTTGGTGATTGAAGCGAGTGACGACGGGAAGCGACCAATGGTCTCTCCCTTCTGTGGTAGGCGGCATGACAGTCACTGTCGCTTCCTCGCCTTGGAGGAACTCTTCTACCATGAAGGCCATGTCTTTACTGGATAAATATTCGGCATGAGCTAGCAACTCGCTCTTGTTGTAACACACCTTGACGCCGAAGCTTCCGCGTCCACGAATGGGCTTCGCAACAACTGGGTAAGAAATATCACCCACCGATTTGGCCACCTCGGCCAGCGAAGATGCAGTGAATGTTCGCGGCATAGTGAATCCGCCAACCGCCCGTAGGTAATCGTTGACAAACTTTTTGTCATCATATTTATCGACTACTAGTGGGCCTTGGCCAACCACCCGGACGTCATCTTGGAAGGAAGTAAGTTGAGTCGAGGTCTGCAATGGATGCGAGGCAAAGACAATAGTATTGGACCAGAGGTAGTTTGCGCCCTTATAAATTGCGTCTAGAATACCCTCCTCGGTATCAGGAAAACACCAATCCCCGTCTTTGAGAGGATCTGCTGAATTGCTTGGTGTTACGACCTTAACATCGTCGCATTGACTGAGGTTGTAGGCAATATCGGCGCCCGAGTCCTGATAACCACCTGGTTTTTTTGGCTTGCGGATACCATTGATGATGGGAGGGTCTAATGCCTGATAAAGGACCGCGACACGTGTAGATGCTTTGGAGGATGAGAATCGAATGCCGGCATAACGCGATCGAGCCAGATAAGATGTCCAACAGAAATTCGACGTACCACAGGTTGTGAGCCGAGGCACAAGAGGTGACTGCATTGTAGTGTATAGTGACGAGTATGTAAAGACCTATCAGGTCGAAACCAGCCGTTGGAGATTGCGATTATGTTTTAGCCTGACTATTCTGCATTGTTGTCGTTTTGAGACTCGGGATAGTGCATCGGATGGACGTCCCACGATGGGTCAATTTTCCTTAACGTGTAATAGGTTCTTACGCCCTTGGACGACGGCCTCTTAATACTCATTTATAACTTTGGGTCGGAACTTTAAGAATACTACTGGGATCGGGTTACGTTTATAAACCGTTAGCTTCTTGCAATTACTTACCTGTATGAATAAGAGCTATTGTAAAGACTTTTATTATAAACCCATAACTCTTAAATGTTAACCATTGCCTGGATTGTAGATTCAGAGTATTGTAAAAATGATAAGGAGACATAAACTCGCAGCTTCCTCTTACAGCGTTCCAGACCAAGACTATTGGCGAGAATGTCAATAGTTAGAAATATTTACTCGGGTCTAGACCACGTGGAGCCAGCTGAAAGGACTCGTTAAATTGCGTGGCGTGGGCTGACTCCACGCACTATCAACAATAGCTTGTGTAGCATTAGCTTTAAGAATAAACTTAGACTTAAACAGTAAGCATTATTTAATAATAGCGTGCTATTTATCGCTGTAATAAATCAAGGGTCCGATTTTATTGTTTTTAGGTATAGCGTTGCTGCCAAGACAAATACTTTAATACTACGATACAGTTCATCTCTTTATGCTGCTGTGATTAACCCACCTGCCATTCTTTGTCGTCATCTTTTCGTCATTCGTTTGAGTTCTGACTGCGTTAACCGTCATGGTTCTTTTTTCGGTCTTCCTGTCGGTATTTGCGACGGGCGCCGCTGCAAGCAAATGTCGTCCCTCGTCTAACCCCCCTGTCTCAAACACCTTGACGTCGTCTTCAGGTAGGCATTTTCGGTCGGAATACAAGGCATGATAACTCATTGATAGCCTACAGATGATACGACCTGGAGTACTCACCTTCTCGAGACAACGACATCCGAGATAACGTCGAGCGAGCTCCCAAGTACAACCCAAGGACCGCTTGTCGTAGACAATCTTATCGTCAATGGAAACCTTGGAACTCCGGGCCAGGACTCTAGCGACATATACGGCTTCCAACATGGACTCCGGGCTCGTGCACTCTCCCAAGGTGGCTACACCGGTAGTAATACAGGGGAAACACAATGTGTGGAACTGAGTATTCTCCCTGAGGGTCGTAACCCAAAGAGAAAGCGACAAGCCGATACGGATCGTTCGACTAGCATCTGGCAACACATCGTTATTCCTCATGCCCGGCCTGTCTTTCGACTCTTCTATAAGGTCTTGCAGGTGGACGATGGAAATGACTGCAAAGTCAATGTGTACTATGGTGATCAGTTGTTTCTCAGATCTGATTCCTTCCAAGGACTGGCTGATTGGCGCGCTATTTCTGGTATGCCTACATTGACGACACTCAGTTCCGACCTCAGGGTTGAGTTGAGATGTGTCAACGCTGCAAACAGCCCGGCCCAGATTCTTGTCGATCAGATGTTCATGTCGGGTGCCATTGGCCTTGGTGATCTTGATAGAGTCAAGATAGACTGGAAGGCTGCGACTCTGGTGCAGCCGACGATGAGCAGCACTATTTCTGACGGATCAACCCAAGCGGAGCCTAGTACAACCGAGACGCAATCGGCTTCCGAGACTGCATTCTCCAGCCAGGCCGCTACCTCGGATCCAGCTACCTCTACCGAGACGAAGACAAGCACCGACGCTTCCGAGTCCAGCGCCTCTAAGGCATCATCGATGGTAGACTCCGAATTGGCCACATCGATACCTACTTCTGCATCTGAAGCTTCTACCTCCAAAGTGTCCGAGTCAACCAGCTCGGAGACTACAACTCCAACCTCTCTGCTGATGTCTGGATCATCTACCGTTTCAGAATCGTCTTTGTCATCCGACTCAAACACGTCTACGTCTCCGGAGGCGACTACATCTGCAGCACCAGAGTTGACTTCGACTTCTTTGACACGATCAGAGTCAACTACATCTATCTCCATGTCTACAGCGCTCGAGTCCACATCTTCAGCATACGAGTCAACTACTGCCAATCCCTACTCGTCAACAGAATCTTCATCTATTACGAGCTGGACTCTTACTGTATCCGCCACTGTCTCGCCTACATCGACCACGTCATCCACCACAAAGGGCCCAGGTCCTCTTCCAACCTCGATCAATGATCTGTCCCCCGCAGCCAAGGAAATCTTCGACTTCCTCATGGATAAAATCACACCCGAAGATAGAAACCTTCATCTTCCGGCACCAGCTCAATCCGACGCTGACAAGGTGCTGCACCCCAGTAAATTCGACCCCAGTGATACCGCAGGTCAAAAAGCTCTCGCTGGCCAACTATTGGACATGGGTCTCGATCCCGTCGACGATTTTGTTAAATCAGCTGAAGGCAAAATTCCCAGCAACGATCCAGAAGAAGACGGCGGTGTGTGCCCCAATCCGAACACCAGCCAGAAACGAAGTCTCCCGCCTGTTCTTCGTCGTCGCGAGACACTCAGTAGCCGAAGACTCAACACCCGCTTTGCGCAAGCTGCTCGTAGGCTAGACAACTATCTTGCTAAGCGTGATGGCTGGGACTACGCTTGCAACGAGATGCTTGGGGAATTCATGGGCGTGCTTGGTGACGTCGGAACTGCCCATGAACTGGTCTGCTCTGGCAAGGATATGTGGGACACCAGAGATGCTTTTGTATGCATGTTTGGTGGCTGCGGCCCAACTGTCAAGTATGAGGAGTGGACTTATACCTGGAACTACGAGTGGGTTGTGGACTTCCCGACTATCTCGGAATGGTTTGTCCAGCCTGGTGATGGCAGCTCTCTGAGGTGTCTTGACTGCAGTATGAAACTGACCAGTCTTAAATTCACTGGTACTATTGTTGTCTGGCTGATTGATGGCAAGGTCGAAATCAAGTCGGCAGATCTTAGTCCCGAGGTCGTTGGCAAGGCGAGTATGGTTGTGGCCCTCGAGGCAGTACAGGCTTGGGAGTCTCAGTGGAACTGGGTGTTCGAAGCCGCGCCGCTTGAGACAATCGAAGAAAAGGGGGCATATTCAATCAGATCTAAAGTACTCTACGAGTTTGGCATCAAATGGAAGACAGCTTCTGCTGTCTCCGTTGCCAAGGCCGGTGCTTCCTTTTCACTCAACGCTCAAGCCAATATGGACATCTCCAACGGGGGTGCACCAACCCTTCAGTCTAAGAAAGGTTGGGAGCCTCAAGTCACCTACACATACCCTGTGTTCACTACCTCTGGTGGAATTTCGCTTATCCCCTATATCCGCTGGGGCGTTGAGTTCGATATCGATATCTATAACCAAGTCAGGCTTAAGCCAGCTCTATCATCGCAGACACTTGTTACCATCCAGTCGAGCTACTCAGACGAGCCCCAGGGCCAGTGTGCGGCTAACAAGCTGGCCGTGAGCACCTACATGTCTACCAAGAGTGTGATGAGACTCCGCAATGGTGTCTATGACACATTATACAGTGGCTCCAGTCGCGCTTTCAATCAATGTTTCGAGGCACCTGATATGATACCCACGGCTGAGGATATCAACGAGCTGTCTGAATTTGCCGGCGAGTTCTGTACATCTTATTTAGATTACAGACCGCCTCGCACCACTTCGATTTCGACCGCTACATCAACGAGCGGTTTAACCACGACAACTGAATATGTGACCAGCTGGGTTCCACCTACAGTACAATATGTTTTCCTCACCACAACTGAGTATAAAGACCAGACTGGTTGGATTCGGTCAACTGCTATAACACATACCCTCCCTCAACAAACCGCAACTTTCCCTAACATGGGACTGAAGAAGCGCGAAGCCACAGCCACGCAACAGCTTGCTGCTCGTGCAATCTATACACCAGGGCTGGTCGCGAACTGGGACAGCAAGAAGATTTCATTCGCGTGTAAGCAGATTGCCACAGGGACCGAGACAGTAACGCAGCCTGTGACTACGACGATTGGTGTTGGAGTAGCCACCGTCACAGCCACGACAACTGTTGCTAGACCCGGAGGAGACGTCAAGTTCTACACCAATGGCCTGTATAAGTGGAGAAATATTGGCAGTACGGAGTATAGCCAATCGTGGAAATGGGAAACCGGAGCATGCAGCTCGCCATCTGCAAGGTCGGGCAAGTGCTTCAAAATCAGAATCAACGGCCCTAAGTGGACTGATGGCGAGTATCTGCGTTACAGCCATACCGCTGTTGACTCGATCATGGCAAGCAACGGAGGATTTCCCTATCTTAACCTAGACACATGGTACCTGACAGAAACAGGTCGTCTAGTCACCCAACACCCTTACATCAAAGCTGGCTATGTTGCAGCAGTCCAGAAGTCGACCAATATCATCTTTGGTACTCCTGCTGGCGACCCCATCCCAGATGACGCTGAGGCCCTATACTGTCAAAAGGACCCCAATGATGTCTGCTCCGGTGTGCTTTCGTGCAGCACAGATACCAGAAACGGCCTTTCATTCAGTCCAAGAATCTGGGAGAGCTATCGTAACTACCTCGACTCTAAATTATACAATGCTTTTAGACCCCGACTTGGCGATAGTACCCCAGGCAGTGAGATGGCGACATTTACTTGGGAGGGAGCTTTGTGTGCCTGTGACTAAGGTAGGTAAAGAAGGAATTGACTCTATTGCATATCTATTAATAATGCTCTATTTAATACATACACTCTATTACTTTCTAGACATCTAGTCCTAAACTTATATTATATGTTAGACTCCATTACAATACTCATAGTCCTACGATAACGTAGAGGACAATGGGGTTTAAGCCAATTAAGCTGCAGCAACCTTTCCGGATACAATCAAGGTACTCAGAAACTTAGCAATCCGATATTTGTAGATCTACTCTCTTTGTATCGTACAGGGAGATACTGTCGATTGGGCATATAATGCATCGCTCATGGGAAGAGTTTGTCAGTGTGCATATCTAACAATCGCTACTTCCAGAGCCTTAGATTATTGCGAGAACCTTTTGGGGTATCGACCGTCTCCTACTTCAACACTAAGGGTCTTCACCTCTGGAGGAGAAAGTGCAAACATCTGCCTCCAACCACAAGAGAGCTCGAGAGATTGCTCTAACAACCCCTTAGACCCAAGGGCTTAGAATTTGCAAGAGCAATATTTATCACGGCGCCAGCTTCGATTCTTAGAAAATAAGATTCGATGAGAATCACAGTAAATGGTAATGGGTGAGTTAAAAAGAGATCCCTTTAGGTATTACGAAAAGAATTATTTCATTATCTCATTCTAGGCGCCAGAACGTCTACACGCAGTGAAGTACCTTTATCATTGTCTGCAGTATCAAGGTAAAGACATATGTGGACAACTCAAAGATGGCTGGCTTCGCCTGCAAGCACTTACTGCTACTCTCATCGGGCCAATTGACAAGACTTCGAAAATTGATTGCTATTGTGTGGAGGGTATTGAGCACATGATACAAGTGTGAGTTTGGTTTGACACGGAAAAAAACTAAACAGAGAGGGTCCTGGGGCTCGTATTAATGCGTGCTACTTCCTAAAATGACCCGAGGATAGGAAAACTAAAGGACACTATACTCTCCGGCATTGCAGTACAAACAGTAAAAGAAAGGCTGACGCTAGTAAAAGTTAATGGCCGAAGGTATAAATACTCATTAGTTAAGAACCTTGATATGATTATCTAGACATTCATGCCCTGGTTCTAAATACCCTATGCTAGGGAAAGATTACCAAGAATGTCTAGAGAAGGCCCTTATAGGGACTAAAAGTATGGATGGTGTGACGTAGTGTTCTTCTCCATGGCCTGCAGACAATCCCAGTGCTCAACAATACATGACCCCTTGGTCCTGTAAACATCAAAGACATTTGTCAAAGAGTTGTTAGCGCCTCCAGCCTTAATATGAATTGTCGTGTACTCCGGTCCAACCATAACGCGAGCAATCTAGTAGATAATGTTACTTCCACCTACATACCTACTGTTGGAGATCAGAAACATACCTCAAAAGTATTATCCTTAGATTCGAATAAAGGCGACAAGATCTTCACAGCTGCGTCTTTCCCATCCGGAATGCTGGGGTTGTGCTGCACGTAGTTGCTTGCTACGTAACGCTCAAAAGCACCCTTGACGTTTTTCTCCGTGTAGAATGTATATGCGAAATCGTTCATGGCGGTTTGAATCATGGCTTGGCTGAGATCAGGGCTTGTGGTTGAAGGACAGTCCCAGACAGTTACGTTGCTGGTATTAATGCCGGCGATTTCGACGATGCGTTGTGTGTTTGTTGCTGTTACTCTGCCGGTAAGTACGAGCAGTGCGCTCAGCATCAGGGTGTTCATTATTACGTGTTAAGACTTCTTGTAAGATGGTGAGCAAATGTGATGTCTTGCGAAGTAAGAGTTGGTTGACTATCAACTTATACTTTTTCCGGGGTGAATTGCTAACGTGACTAAGACGAATATCCGGGGTAAAATCTGGGGGTGGAGGTCCCGACCCGGTCCGAACTAATCCGATCCGAATTAATTAGGTTTATAAACCGTAGGTTCAACGCTCAAGTAGCGCAGGTGAGGCTGGTGAGCTAAATAATTCTTGGTGGTTTTTCCACGGCTTTATCCGTTTTTACCCTCACGGTCTGTATGGACTTAGGATTGTTGACTTTGTGGAGGGCTATGTGTGAGGGGAAGTAGTACTGTTTACTGCTCTTCGAGAACTCTATTGAAAATGACTATTATACATTGACCTACCAAGGAAAGAGTTGACTTTCTACGTGATACTACCACTCGCAGTAAAGGGAGGACTTGTACTTCCAATACTTGCAATCGTGACTTTTACCGACGTCCTTCTCCCTATAACACGTAATCCCACTAACCCCATCACAAACCAACTTACCCACTCTATATGCACCTCCCAAGTAGAAACACGAGTGGTCGTAGAGTTTCTTCATGCTGGTAAACGCAAATGGGAACTTTGCATCATCAGGCTCACTCAACAGCGCCTGCTCGCCCTTGTAGACGTTATCAAACCCACAATATTCAGAAGGTACATCCGCTCCCACCGGCCTCTGCTTGACAATCCATTCGCCGCTGGGAGCTTTGGTGAAGACGACGCTATGCTTCTTCTTAGAAGTATCAGGGTCGCCACAGCCGTTGAGCCACGCACCGATCGCCCCTGTCCCAGGATCAACGGCAACGTAATCGTGGCGACCGGTTGATTGAAGCTTGGCATATCGGATGTTGGCGCCAGAAGTTCCAACACCTCCGGCGATCTCTCCAGTTTCCTTCCATGTTGGCTTGTTGGGGTAGTTGTTGTACCATACCTTGACGCGACCGTCAAGCCGGCTCGTCCAGACGTAATCAGCCTTTCCATCTCCGTTGAGGTCAACAAAGTCGATCTCGTCTGGGGACTGGTTTATGCCAGAAGCATCTGCATCTGGCATGGGCGCGTACTTGTCGACCGACACTTCAGGTGCGTAGATATTACGGTATATGGTAGTACCGCCGTTGTCTTTGAGGAATATGTAATCATCCCGGCCATCGCCGTCGATGTCAGCGATACGCACTCTCTTTCCGGGGCCAAGACCAGATGCGATGGTGTCGATGGCCCTGAACTTCCAGTCTCCTTCCTTTCCGAGGTTAAGGTAGGCTTTGAGTTGACCCGTTGTTGCATCCAGATCGAGGTAGTCGTCTAACCCGTCGCTATTAGAAGTTAGCCACCGAACCAGAGCCGTGATACTGAGTCAACACATACCCGTCAATATCACCAAACACCACTTGACTTGCGGGCACTTCACCAATGGAAATTGGTTTACCGCTGTTCAATGGCTTCCATGACCACCCTAGAGAGTCTGCATCGTCAACCCCTGCGTTGAGACTAAAGGTGTCGTTAGAACAAGTTAATGGAAGAATAGTGATGGGACCTACTAGACTGTTGCAGCTCCAGACTTGGGGTCCAGCCAAACGTAATCATCCACCTGCGACGCCATAAGTACACGAACCGTAAGTCATAATTGACAAATAACTTACCCCATCGCCATCAATGTCTGCAAAGCGAAGGCCATCTATAGCCATGGAATCATCTGTAGAGCCCCGGTTGTACCATACCGAGAGGGCACCATGCTCACCAATGTACACATAGTCGTCCTTTCCGTCACCGTCCATGTCTGCTAACCTGATAGTGCTTGGCTTCTTCTTAATTCCATCGGCGACTGTCTTGGCAGGACCTTGATTGATAAAAAGTGGGACGCCTTCGTTGTTCGTAGGTTGGTTGAGAAACCCTGTCAATCCACCATCCTCATCCCAGATCAGATAGTCTGTCAGACGTTAGTCAGTTAAATACAAGGAATTCGGAGGAAGTTTTACCGTCCCGGCCATCTCCATTCATCTGTACCTGAATGTCAGTGCATATTCAACGTCATGAGACTTATCGACTTACATCGGCAAAAACCAGTTTGGAAATGTCTCGGACAGCACCTGTGGCGATACCACCCATAGCATGGAACAGCACGTCTCGTCCTCCAGGTGAGCCGGTGTTAAGATGATGCTTCAACGAGCCCCCTTCACCAATGTAAACATAATCAGCTCTTCCGTCGCCATTGATATCCGGGAATCGTAGAGTTTCTAGGTTAGCATGTGGCACGCCCGAAGCGATCTCACCACCAGGGACGAACTTCCATCCGTTGTCCCAGCTCTTATCAGGACCAAAGTTCCACCACACGCGAACGGATCCCTTGTCAGGATCTACGACAAGGTAATCATCCAGCTGATTTAAATGTGAGTACAGGCCGTGCTCTGTAGGTTTGCAACTTACTCCATCGCCGTTCATGTCCTACAGTGAGAGTTAGCCTTGGCCAGATTGTGCACATACTGTAGAAACTTACTGCCAGATAAATGGTCTTTGCAGGACCTACGCCGCTGCCAATGATGCCGTTATTGGTGCCGGCTTTTGACCAAGGCTTGGGAAGATTGTTGAGCCAACATGTAATCTCGCCGGTCTTTGGATCGATCCAAACATAATCTAAAGCAGATAGTCAGTCCAAACTGCAAGCTTTGTTACTTTATTCTTCATAAGCATACCGGCTTTACCATCACCGTTCATGTCGTGCAGTGTGACATAACGATTATCCAAACCAAGCCCTTCAGCAACTTGTCCCTTGGATACCCAGTTCTTGTGGTATTTCCAGTCTCCATTCTTACCAACCCCTCCCTGGGCAATCTTGCCTGTGGCTTTATACCACGGATTTCCATTGCATGTGACCTGTTTCTTGTTGCCGCCAGTGGCATACTCAGCGGCCTCCGCGACAATCTTCTTTGATGTTACTTGAATAGGGCTCTTGCCCCAGTCTGGCGCTGGAATGTTCTTGTCGATACCCCCATTTGTGCCATCATCGTTGTCATTTGGATCAAACCCAACCGGCTTTTTAACCCAACTACTTGGAATCTGATGGATGAAGCTGTACCAATAATCGCCCATGAGCTTGTATCCGTCGTTGGTAGGATGAATGCAGTCTTGCAGATCGCTCGTCTTCAAAGTTTTAAAGTCAACAGCGAGGACATGCTGTCCGTCTTCGCGTCGTGACTTGACCACTCCCGGGATCAGTTTCTGGTACTCCTTTGTCGCCGGCGATTGTCTTTTGTCGCAGGTATCGATAATCATTGCAACCAAGATAGTTGCATCTGGGCATGCCTTGATCATCTTGTCGATGAGCTTTCCTAATCTCTCGACCGCTCCCTTCGGGTCGTTGCCTTCTTTCGAGATACCGTGGTTTGGGTTCATGTCGTTCGTACCGGCCGCAAGGAGAATGATATTGGGGCGCTGTTTGAGGGAAGGTTCTACGTGGTCAGAGATGTATTGGATCGTCTTTCCAGACCATGCTGCCTACAAAGAGTTAGATGGGTGTGATTGGTGTGGATTGTAGCTTACATAGTAGCCACCGCTCATAGAACCTGAAGACTCTGTTCCAGCAAACACAATATTGTCTCCTGTAGAGCAGCTTTTAGCATGTCATTCCTCGAAGGAATACTGGAAGATCCTTTGCTTACCAGATAAGTCCTTCTTCAATTGGCCGCGGTATCCGTTACCATCGCCTCCCTTCCTGTCGCTCAGGTACCCGACTGTGATGGAGTCACCAACTGGAAGGATTCGCAGCTTGGTACCTTTCTTGACTGCCTCTCCTGCTTCGACCTTCTTGTATTGCAGAACTGTCTTGCCGTCGGAAGGATTGATCGGGCAGGAAGCCACAGACGTATCAAGTAGTGGCTCCGGCTGTAGCTCGTTCTCTTCCATTCGGCGGTTGGAGACGTGGAAAAGTACAAGGTTCGCAATGAGTTCGTGCAGCAGGATCTGAGGATGGAAGACACGCCCGTAACTAGTCAAGAATGGTGTTAGTATCTGTAACAACCACCTAGTTCTTACTTCTTCACTTACCCGTCGGGCAACAAGTTTGGCACATCTTCAGTTGCCCCTTGTGCTGCAGCTTGCTGGGCATTTAACTCCGAGGTGGTCTCGATTCTTTGTGCCTCTCTGAATTTGACATCCGGGGCAACAAACTCCGTCGCTCGTGCAAACATGTTCATGTAGCCAGAAAACGACCCGTTCTTGTGCTCGACAGTACTTCGCTTCCAAGGATTAGATCCCCATGGATCAAATGTGTCCAGCTCATAAAACATTAACTCGGGTCTTTTGGATATTAGCAGGCGATGAGGTACTGATTTGTAGATCCCACCTTGTATTGCTCTCGGTAGAGGCTTCGTCAATGCCATTTTCACAATACCGACCTTTGAAGTGGCCGACATACTCATCATAATTGACAAACATAACCTTATCGCCCGCATTCTTCACGGCAAGTTCCTATAAGAACTCATTAGCCTTTGCAGTCACTTGAGAGTAATGGGTGAGCTTACTATCTTTTCATTTATAAGGTCCACCAATCGATTTATTTCCCTTCGTCGCAACTCTTCAAGGCGCGCTGCAGGTTGCCATATGTTGTATGATTTCTAGACGTAAACTGTAAGTACGTGAGCTCCAAGTTTTCATGACTGACTTACAAAGATCCATGTTGACCATGACACCTTGTCGCAAGCCGACCCGTAGTCGGTGCTCCAGAATTTGGCATATCTAACGGCTAATTAGTCATTTTCGTATCAATGCTTCAGTTGAACAAATTCTGACCCTGTGTAGTAAATCATACCGCTGTGGATTGAGAGGTCAATAAGATATAACTAAGGGCATGATGTGGAACTTACTCCGAAGCCAGCTTCTTCTTGGCAGCTTGGATGACAGATTCCAGCCTTTGCGAAAACTCATCACTGTTGATGATGTCCTTAGAAGCCTTGAGCTGACCTGGGCACCCACGAGCTGAGGCATCCCAGTCCCAGCCTTTGGCCCATGGCTCGCCTTTCATCTCTGCAACCTTGCCAACGGTTGAGTGTTGCTCGTTTAATGCAAACCATTGGAACACACATTGGTTGAGAATATTGACAAGTTCAGCGTCGTTGCCTCCTAGAATGTTATGTTAATACTGTAAGCGAACTACCTGGGGATCGATGTCTTGGTTACCTGCAGAAAGAAGTATGACTTGCTGGCCAGAGTCGATGTTTGGCAGTTGATCTTCAATCACATTCTTGATGACCGCACCAGAGCACGATTTGAACTGGAACTTCCGCTTTGAAGCGTCACCAAGCCTCTCGTCCTGGTTAATAAGGTAGGGGTAAGAGTGGTCGTAACGCCGGCAGTTCTCATCTAAGAACCTTTAGACCATGTCTTGTTAGGAATTGGAGTTAACAGAACTTACCGCCTTCGCCCTGTAGACCATCTCCAGCTCCTATACCAGCTGAGTAGGAATCCCCGACAGCAGCCAGTTTCTTGATGAATGTCAAGTCATCAGGGTTGAAGAAGTCGTTCGTGTCTCTGGAAAAGAGATTGCTCATGGGCATGGACCCAAACTGTTGTAAAGGAGGGGCAGCAACCACATGGCCAGAGGCCACGAATACAGCCAAGAGATAGGATAGTCGATTCATGGCAAAGTTTTATTCAAAAACAAAGTCCAGAGCCATTACTTAGAGATAGATGGTTCCTTCAGACATGACCTCTTTTTATCTAATGCATTGTACTTGGACTAAACTGAAATTGTGGGATCTACATCGCAGGGTTCAACAACAGCCTTACGTTTCCTCCTCCTTTCTTATTCGAGCTTGACGATTTAAGCGCCGCTAAAATAATTTCAACCCGACACTGGAGTTCTCCGCTATTCCTGCGTGATATTATTATCACGATGTGTTCTAATTAGGCCGAGAAGCCATGAGGCGAAACACAGTGGCGGAGGGACTGGTGGCATGTATATTGAGGTTGACCAGGTACATAACCAACACATGAGTGATTAAATTTACAACTTTCCTACGATCTGAGGAGGCTTTGCAGGGATCATCGTGTACTGCCCCATTGTAGAAAAGGTCGAAAGGCTCTTGCGGACAAAATGGTAAGTCGAACCAACAACTCTGTTTCATTGTCTCTTTAGCGCTGTTGCAATGACCAGTAAGCCCTAGTCTAGTTATCGCTATACCGGGGGTCTCGCCTTGAATGCTCTGATGTTTTGGTTGTTGGTTGTTGACATCCACTTCGCAATGAGTCGTGGTTGGTTGTTTTCATTAATGAGTTTCCATGCAGTGATCACAGCGCCTACTCAACTTGCAACCAAAGTGACAATGGGGCTGTACATGAGAACTAACAACTAACAACAGACTTCATGGCTTCTCGGCAGCTGATCTTTATGGAAAATAGTGACCCTTTAATCTTGGATAGTTGTAATGGCGCGATCTTGACGCCGATAATTCCGACCTACCATCTCATCTGGAGCAGGGCTATGGCAGTCTCTTAGGCGTGAATTGGTCTCAGACTGATAACCAGAGCTTGGCGGCAGGCATCCCGATCAATTTACCGTACTTTGCCAACTTGTGATACATATTTAGTGCTGCGATGTCCTTCGTCTGTTGTGAATTTAGGTAAACGAATTCCTCTCCCAGCTCAGTTGTCCCTCCGTTGTAATGTCCTTCCTAAGTATTTTTCGTGCCTCTGCACTTTTGTTCTTATCCATCTTTGTGTACACTCTACACGCTGCCAACCTAGACGTCAAACATCCTGCAAAGGGACCACTCGGGGTTCGATTAGACTATGGGCTTGCAACTCAATCGACTGACCCGCGAGATTCAGAGCATAGATGGGTCTACACCTCATATCTTGAGTTCAAGGAACCAGTTTCATCCATCACAGATGGCCAATTAAGGATGATGGCTCAATTGGCACATAAGGAGATGGAAGCAGACATGCTCCAATACGACCCTCAACGTGATGATGGGGGTCCAATGCTTCCTTCTGTCATGACCATTGTCGCCTTCGATAATAAGATCATCCTCTCCTCATCACAAAAGGGACGTAGCGGGTTCATCAATGAGTGGCCTGATAGTCCCGTTCGACTTGCCTTGGATCGTTGCAGTGCACTTTGGAGGGATCGTGTCATTGCTAATCCCAAAACTCATCAGAACCCAGACAGCTATCATAAGAACCAGGCGAAATGTGGCGAGGTTAATGCATTTCATCAATATTATATGACAAACGACAAGCCGATTCCCGATCTGGCTCCTAAAGCGCGTGTCACTACGGTTATAAAACAAGGAAATGGTTACGCTATTATTCCTGCGTGCGGGACAGAGAGAAACGGCAAGGATAGTAAAGTGAGTGGGACATGTTCCTGAGTCACGAACTAAACGATTGGCTAATATCATTTCAGACCTTCTGGGGTTGCAATCTACTCGTCTCGGACCAACACGTGTCTTACATCGGCAACGGACAAAAAGCACAAGGCTATGGCTTGCATAAGATTGCAGGAGGTGTTGAGAGAAAAGGTCAAATACAAATGTGCACCAAGAACAAGATTATCTGGGACGACGAGTGACTGATAGTGCTGTTGGTCTTTATTATATAGTTTGCATTCTAGTCTAGAGTTGATCCAAATAAGAACCATTTTAGATGCTGTGGCTACGTGGCTAGCTAGTCGATCGACTTGTGTTGAAGGTTAAATTCACACCAGATCGACACTCAAGTACTTCTAATCTCTCTCGGCATTCCTGAGACCACCCACGCCGGTAGAACGATCGAGGCAGGTAGATACTTTTCAATGATGTTGCATTTGAAAGGACACCATTTTCAAACTCCCTTTCCAAGGCCAAAACCATTGCTTCATCCTGGTTCTCTGACTCTTGATCATCCATGAGTTCACGGGTCAGGGTCAAGTGGTGAAGGGTGACTGGAAGCGCAGGGCCGATCTGCTTAGCTGTGAAAAGGGTACCCGACCCAATCAGAAATGTCCATGGAACTTGCAATGTCTTCAGCCTACTCATCCGTGAAAGTTGTATCAGGGATTCTTGAATGGTGACTTCTGGCTTTTCACACTCGCCTTGTGATAATGCAGGTTGCACTTGAGCAGTGATCTGTAGCTCTTCAAGCGTTTCGCTGACCTCCAAGAAGGCTTTTGCCATGGTTTCAAGCATAACAGTGTCTGCGCTGACATCTTGGTCAAGGTCAGGGCGATAGAACCAGTTATACCGCAGCCATTTGAGGCCTTTTGTCGCAGATAAGATGGGAGCAAGGTGACATTCTCGTAGCCTGTGGATCTCCAACGATGTCAAGAAAGCTGGGTTGGGAGGTAAAAGGCCTGGCCAGGTAAAATGAACTGGGTTATCAATTGAGACGGAAAGATTCCGAATGTTTGGTAGGTAAAATATTGAAAGGGCTTCTGCGGTGTTTTCAGGATCTAGGTTTGGATCTGTTTCAAGGGTTGATGCAACTGACACGTCCTTCAAAGACTGAAGATTCGGAAACGGGCAGTGAGAAGGGTCTCCGGTTGTCGGACGGAGAGACAGTCGAAACACGGCACCCAACGTGCTTATCTCTCCAGACCAATTGATAGATGCAGAGAATCTGGATAGACCTGGAAGAAGGGACAGAAGAAGAGCCATAGTACCGTCAGCCCATTCTTGTTGAGCTTTACTGATTGTATGCAGCTGGTGGTTTTCCGGCACGTCCAAGTACGTGTATGCTTCGGAGTAGAGAACTTTGCTGATCCAGCTATCTGCACTGGTTTGTGAGACGCCTGTTCTCTTGATAATTTTGACAAGGCGATCGAGAGGAAGCACGGGAACGTCGGGTGGCTCCGGCGTTTCATCCGGTTCTGGAGGGTTGTCACAGTCAATGTGACCGTCACCATCAAATTCCAGGCTCCGGACGTGGTTGCAAAGCTCTGGTCTCTCAAGCAGCGTTCGAAGAAAGCAAAGCGCCTGCACGATGGGCGGGTGGTATTCTCGAACCCACAATAATTGGATCGTAGAATAAATCAGAGGCTGGGCAACATTGCGCAAGGACGAACTCGTCATGCAAAGGCTTGCCAAGTCATTCTGTGAAATAAATCCAGCAATCTTAAGCTGAACCTCTTGGGGGCAGTCAAGAAGGGATCGTTGCTCCATCCTTGGGTGTGATACAGTGGGAGTAAATGTACAGGAGGTGAGATTCACCTCGTAATGTCGATGCTTTTAAGAGGAGCTGAGAAATGGTTGACCCATATTTATAGTAATCGACAGCATGAGACTGGCAGGCGCTAGGGTCTGAAACCTTACCCCTGGGATGATCCAAGCGCTAAGTGGAACTTAAGATAATTACTGCCCCAGATTTCTTCCAAGGGGCTAAGGTCTAGCCACAATAGAGGTTGGTTGTCGGCAAAGCACCTGCCGCAGCTAAGCGTGATCAGTATGACGCTGAATTTCAGCGGCCACGTCCGTTCTGTTGCTATATGGTTGGCGATGATGCCAGGAAGGTTTTGCACGATCCAGAGGGAGATAGAAAGAACTTGGATGGGGATGGCGGTCTTGTCCAAGAGGATCACGAGAGGAGGGGTCACTAGGTGGCAAGATCGCTGACGTTCTTTTGCTCTCCGATCGACTTCCCTGAGTCCGGACGATTGAGCTCAGCCTAGCTAGGACAGCGACCTAAAATGGGCTAAGCGGCTACATGACTTCTACTTACTTATTCTCGCTTTTACGCATAGAGGAGTTTGGTGTGTTTTCTTGCTTTAGGGTTTGTTTAGAGGCGTGGCCTAAGCTTCTGTAATAGTTATCCTACCCAGTGTTATCTTACTTATAATTTTTCATCCTAACTTTTTATTTATTTATTTATACTATGCTTTAAGTATTTACTAGTTGATAAAAAAAAAGAAAATCATAACAAAAAGAAACCAACAAAGTAATAAAATTAACCACCATGTCCAAATGCAGGATAAGTAGGATTGCTAGAATCACAAGCAAATCTGACAAAGTATTTACTCGAAGACCCAGAGCCATCAACAATTACAGTACCGTCCGGAGCTGTAACAGTAACTATCATAGAATAGTCACCTTGAGCATTGGCCCAGAAAACCCGGAACGGTGTGTAAGTACCCGCTGTCAGCTGCATCTTGAGGGTCTTGGAGCTGGAAGGCCCTGATGAGTAACCCTGCTCCAGATCTGCATTGGCACGTGTCCATGATGACAAAGCCTTATTACCGTACCAAACCAGTGTAATCTCATCCGAGTATGGGACAACAACAGAGTAAGTACCATTGATAGGCGCATATAGGAATGCTCGATGGTTGACAGCCTTATACTGCCACGTCTGACTTGGTGAGCCAGGATAAATAACCTGAGCAGGGCCTGAGTTTCCTGCCTTTACTCCTCCCGGTTCTGTAATGCCCATGGAACTCGTAATACCACTGTAAGTCGGTGTAGCTGTGCCAAAATATGCTACGTTGAGGGCAGAGTAATTAGGTGGATCAGCGTTGTAGAACGAGTTGGTATAAATAGCATATTCCAGACCAGCGTTAGTACATGTTTGATCTGCAGCCTTTGTTCCAACTGCGGGAGCAATGACAACTACAGTGCCAGTCTGACCGGCTGAAACAGGTGTCTTAGTAGAGGTGCTGACGCTTGAGACAGTGGTATAGCTAGTTACAGTGGTGTATGGTTGGGGTTGTTGCACAACCACTGTAGCAACGCCGCCCTGAGAGATTGGCGACAAGGTAGTAGTACCAACTGTTGAGAAGGAACCCCAGCTTGTGGTAGTTGTATAGGGCTGAGGCAAGTCCACGACGACAGTGGCTACGCCGCCTTGGTACGCTGGTGCCATTGTAGTGGTTGACGCTACTGCAAATGGACCATAACTGGTCACAGTTGTATATGGCTGGGGTGATTTTACAATAACAGTGCCTATACCACCTTGTGATGCCGGTGCCATTGTAGTGGTTGATGGTGCTGTAAAGGAACCATAACTGGTTACGGTTGTATATGGCTGGGGTGATTGTACGACAACGGTGCCTACACCGCCTTGATACGCTGGTGCCATTGTGGTGGTTGCTACCCCTGAAAAGGGACCGTAACTAGTTATAGTCGTATATGGCTGGGGTGATTGTATAACAACAGTGGCTACACCACCTTGTGATGCTGGTGTCATTGTAGTGGTTGATGGTGCTGTAAAGGGACCGTAACTAGTCACAGTCGTATATGGCTGAGGAAGCTTTATCACAACACTAGCAATGCCACCTGGAGATGCCGGTGCTAGGGTGGTTGTTATAGCTGCTGGATAGGGGCCATAACTGGTAACAGTTGTGTACAGCTGAGGACTCTCTACAAGAACAGTAGCCAAGCCTCCGGGAACAATCGGAGATAATGTTGTAGTAAGAGGTTGAGTCCAAGAGCCATAACTAGTCACAGTCGTGTACAACTGAGGACTCTTAATGACAACCGTGGCAGGGTCCCCAGGACGAACCGCTTGATTTGTCGTGGTCAAAGGTGCAGTTAGACTGTCAACGTAGGTCGTGATAGTTGTATAGGGTTGGGGAAGACCAAGGACTACAGTCATCACATCGCCGGGATTAGCTGCCGGTAAGGTCGTAGTTGTCGGGCCTGAGAGACCTGGAATGTAGCTTGTAACTGTCGTGTAGGACTGAGGTAGATCAACCTCGACGGTAGCAAACTGTCCTTGCACATCGACTGGGTATGTTGTGGTCTGGGCTGCGGTCAGGCCATCTCTGTATCTCGTAACGGTTGTAAAAGGTTGCGGAAGATCGACTTCTACAGTGCCCACCACCCCTGCAACAGAGGGAGGATATGTTTTAGTGGTTGCTGCGGTGAAAGAGCCATAGCTAGTGACTGTAGTGTAGGGCTGAGGGAGATCAACCACGACGGTAAGAGTTGGGCTGGATCCATCACCGCTTTGAGTTGTTGTACCGGCAGCCGTGACGGTTCCATATCTGGTGATAGTCACATAAAACTGAGGATCAAAGACGACGACAGTGCCCGTTTCCCCTGGATTAAATGGAGCTCTGGTGGTTGTAGATTCAGCCGTAACGCCTCCGTAGGAAGTAACGGTTATATATGGCTGATGCTTTAGAACTAAAACAATACCTGTCTGGCCAGGAGCAGGAGGAGGCGAGGTGTATGTGGCATCAGTCGAGACGTCTCTGTAGGACGTAATGGTCGTATATGGCTGTGATTTGAACACAACTATGGTGCCCGTCTCTCCTGGACTAGATGGAGCTATAGTTGTTGTCGATTCAGCCGTAACATCTCCGTACGAACTAATGGTCTTATATGGCTGTGGATTGAAGACCACCACGGTGCCAGTTTGACCTGGAGTGGGTGGGGATATGGTAGATGTCGATGCAGCTGTAAATTCTCCAAAGGAAGTCAATGTCGTCCACTGATAAGCCTGATACACAACAACAGTGCCTGTTGCATCTGGAGCAGTTGGAGATATAGTAGATGTAGATGCAGATGTAAACTCTCCGTAAGACGTGACGGTATCCCACTTATAAGGCTCATATACAATGACGGTGACTGTCTGTGCTTCAGGAGACGGTGATAAAGTGGTTGTGGATGCGGCTGTGATCCCTGGATCGTAAGAGGTGACGACTTGCCATTGGTATGGCTGATAAATAACAACGTTGCCTGTTGCGCCTGGAGCAGTTGGATATATGGTGTTTGTTGACGCTGCCGTGACACTTCTATAGGAAGTAACTGTGATCCATGGATCTGGCTTGTATACCACAACGGTACCTGTTTGGTCTGGGGATGCTGGGGAATTAGTCTTTGTAGATGCGGCTGTGATTGTTTGGTCATATGAGGTGACTGTCACCCATCTATATGCCATATACATGACTACCGTCCCTACATGACCAGACGCAGAAGGCCACATAGTCGTTGTATGGTCAGACGAAGCGGCATCGTCATAAGAGGTGACGGTCTCCCACTCGTATGGATCATAGACAACAACAGTACCAGTCTCTCCGGGAGCACTGGGAGTTATTGTACTCGTGAATACAGCTGTAATTGAGCCGTCATACGATGTCACGGTCACGTATTGAGTCGATAACTTTGGTACCACAATTAAGACTGTACCAGGGCCAGATCCTGACGGGGCCTCGGTGATGGTGTAAGTACCGGTGTCGGTGCCGGTGCTAGTGATGGTGGTATAGTCAATCGGGGAAGACGAGGTCATTTGAGACCTGGGGAGCATAACCCGGACCGTTCCTGTCTCACCAGGTCTAGTTGGAGATTGCGTGATGGTCATAGTATCAGTACCAGTCCCTTGAGAAGTTATTGTAGTCCACGGCACTGCAGGATCTGCAGTAGTTGTAGAGTAGTCCTGAGAAGGAGTCTGTATGATGCTAACAACAATGCTATCAGTGCCTTGCCCAGTTGCTGTAGTCGATGACGCTGAAGGATCTGAAGAAATAGCAGAACCACTTTGAGAAACGGTAGAACTTTCTGACGCGGACGGAGATAGAACCAAGGTCGGAGTCTGGGAAAGAGAGGCATTTGTATCAGCTTTCCTGTAACCTTGCATTCTGACGATCACGGTCACTATGTCGCATGGGTTTTCGGTTGGCAGAGTGGTTGTTTCAGGCGCACTTATTATACGATCGGTCGACGATAATATAGTCACATGGCTCTCTACCATAACAGTCCCGCAAGACGGCCACTGAGAGTCCATGAGGGGGATGTTGTACGTAGTGTTTGGTTCACCATGTCCATAAACGGGGGTAGTGGCAGTGTAGGTAGCATCAGTTCGCATGAGAAATGTACTACAGACATTAGCTAAAGAAAACCAGTAAGGAACCTCTACATCGTATACCTTGATAAAGTATCATACAATGTAGACAATCCGTTGATGATCTCAATTGGCTGTGTTTGAATGGCCCGCTTGCCTACCAAGGTTGCATAGGATACTGTGCCTAAGGCCAGGGCCCAGAAGCCCACCAGGCGGCGAAGAAACATGATAAAGGAGCGTAAGGAATGAGAAACTGAATGACTGGCTAGATAATAGGAGAAATGAATAAATGTTCAGTCAGTCAATAACAGTAATTGATGAAAGCAATGGAAGAAGGAAATAAATGAATTGCACAATGTAAATAAATAGGTCAACAAGGCTGTTATCTAGCTCCTGTGTTGGTACTACTAGTAGAACCTATCTCATTTTAGTTTATTCATTTCTAATCATTTTCGGTCCAGAGTAAGAATGCGTGGAACTTCCGGAGGCTTTTTGGCACGGTTCCGTTCCTGTACTTATAAAGAGGATTCGAGAGCGTATAGAGTGTCTGACCTGACTCAAGAATGCTAAGCAAAGATGTTCTCGGCTAGCTTGGTAATGGCTTTACGGCAGTAAGAAATGGGCTTCTGTATTGCAGTTTGGGCTAGTAAGTTCCATATGTCTCTTGTGTAACTGGCCTATATAAGGGCAGTAGTGCAGATGGAATGCTAAGTTCCCATGAGGGACACAAACTTTCAGCCACAAATCTGGACTGCAAACAAAACATTTAAGGAATGCATTGTCGTTTAGTGGTATTCCAGCTTAGGTCTAGTCTGGCAGAGCCAGGAATGCTAGACCCACAGAGTGTGGTGCCCGCATCAGACATTCTAGAAACGGCATTCAAGAGACTCAGAAGGACATTCTCACTGTAGGCTCAGGCAGACTTAGTTCTATACTGTCCTTAGAACTGTTATAGCGCTGAACCTTCCGGACTGTTGAGGAGCTTGCTCTAGTGTGGTCGCAAACCGAACACTAAGGAACGGCAGCGAACGCATGAGCGCACGTGAGGCACAATAACAGAATGATGGTCGTATGATTAAGGAATGGAGGATCTGATTGGGGGAAAACTAGAGGGGGCCCTACATCACGTTTATATCATTGTTATAGTCGCAAGGGTAGTATAACAGTAGGAGTCACTCTATAATTAGCGGGACGCCTATATTGAGGAGTGAGGAAATGTTCTGGAAACTTTTACCTTTATTCTCTTTATACTTAAAAAGTGAGTATTGAACGTAGATAGAGTTAAGACAATATTGGTTACGTAGGTGACAGACGAATAAATATGTTGTGAGTTTTAACTGATATATTTATTACGAATAGTGATTTGTAAACTGGACAGTGAGTACTTTTTCCTTTTGGATATTAGAGCTTTGTGAAAAGCGATTAGGACCGGAGGTTATGACTCGAAGAGTTTAATATGATAACGTATCCGTTAGGTAAGTTTATTATATGAACGGAGTGAAATATGCATTTTATTGAGGATGACAGAGTGACGAAATATTATAGCTATGGTTTAACACCAGTTAACATAATCTTGATGCGGAAGCGTTAATGTATGGGAATACTAGAGGAGGTGGACCGAATCTTAGACCTTTGTTAATTCTTTGACGTTGAGGGCAGCGAGAGGCGGTTGAGCCTTAGTTTACCTCATGACCAGATCGAAGATATCTTTTATAGGGTCGTTATTACTCTAGACTTAGAGTGTGTTGTATTACCTGTTAGGTATGCACAGACGAAAGCGGTTTATCTTTGTGGTAATAGCTATAGTGACATAGCAAGAGGATTGTATAGCACTTAATTCTTTTACGATGATGGGCGACCATTAAGTGAAGATAGCTACCCATTACAGAGAGATGGGGAAGTAAAGATCATAATGGAAGATGTGCCTCTGAATGACAGTATAGGCGTTAGTTACCTCTTTGTAGATTGCGCGAAGGTAGGGCAATTACCGGAGCTACGTAAGATACACTAACGCCTAATAGTCTTGCCTAGATATATCCCCACAGCCCCTTGCGATAGTCTATTGGATATCAATTGTCCTCTCATCTGTCCAGGAGTAATTCGTTGTGGCCCCAATGCCGACTCTGCGATAGGTCGATCCATTTTCTACCGCCTCCAAGAGAAGGAAATAATACTGCTGGTGGTGGCGGTATACAAAGTCGTTATCAGTTGTTTGATGAGAACAGATCAGAAGACATGAAAGCTTGTGGAAATAGCGGGCGCCTTGCTGCTTTCCATCAAGTGCCACCCACGAACCAAACGTTCCCTCACCCGAAGCTAACCTGTAGAGATGACGGATTGGGGGGTCAAAGAAAGGAGAACCAATCGACTGTTCGTTTCTGGTTGCCGAGACCTTGTGCAAGTCCAACACCAGACCTTTCAACGACAGAGCCCGCGGTTGGTCAGAGGCACCGTGAAAGACTTCATCTGACTGCTCCATCGGGGTGTTGTTTCCCACGAGACTGAATGAGGCCTTTGTGAAAGAGTCAGACAGCATTCGGGGGTATATGACCTTTCCTTTGCATCGAACCCAAGACCACGAAGGAGGTAGATCATGGGCACCTACGGCATCCATTGCCAAAGTGGTTCCAGCAGCATCAATCCACAAGAGCCCCAAGTGTAGAGACCTTTCCCAGAGTCCGAATAAATATCGACCTGTTTCGCTGTTCTTCTGGAACTCCTTTGCCAAGCTGGCTATGGCAGGTAGGCGGTCTTTCTCGAAGGTGAGAGAGCAGCCACTGTACCGCTCCACAAGGCTATACCAGTACGTGGAGCCTCGAAAGGAATCGTTTATATCGAACTTGTGCTCGGCCCATGAGTGGCTCACTGGTATTCCGGTACCCCCGAGATCATCAGTCTTGACCCCGGATCCATCTTCAAAGAAGATATGATGTTTGACGAAATGTAGAATGCGGCGAGCTAGAACTCGTTCTTGAAAAACCCAACCTCGCTGACTGAGGAAGCTTCGAGTTACCTGGTCATAAAAGTTGCTTGCAAGTGTCATGTTAGAGATATAGCGGCTCTTGTCATCCTTTGACCTGACTTGGAAGGTAGGTACTGGCTCTAGTGTGTCGTCTAGAAACCCCGACTCGCTATGTCGAGAGGTGTGGGCGGCAATACAGCATGCAGCATTGTGATACACAGACGCCATGCGAACTGACTCCCTTAGCCAATCATCTGGGTCGTCTTGTACAATACACAAAGCGTCTATCCAAATGTATCTGTATCCCAGTCGTCTAGTTACTATCATTGCATCCTGAAAGGTCTTGGGTAGCGACGAAAACGGAATGCCCTCCTGAAACGATTTAATCTTATCCTTTGTCAATTTGAAATTTTCGGAGTTACCCCAACGATGACTCAGTGCAAGGTACTGACCATTCGACTCGATAGGAGTTGTCCATAATTTGACTGATGTTGATTTCATCTGATTCCGTAGCCGAGTGATCTTTGTTCCCCGAAAACTCCCTGTACCTCCTATGTCTAGTAATCGAGTAGGAAAGGGAAGTGCCGATAACTTGTGATTTAAAGTCGATGGACTTTGATGGTAAATTTGACCAGGTCCCTTCGATAGGGTGGCGCCTAGCCAACTCCGAGCATACTCGAAGCGATGCCGTTCGCTGTTCCCTTTGAATTATTAGATAGGCCAAAAATCACTTCCGCAAACTCACATCTTGTAAGACATAGTCTGCCTCCGAAAAGGAATAAGAAGTGCGTTGGATGATTCATTGGCCGTTTCAGCTTCAGTCTGCAATAGTGAATCATGTACCCAATAGGTCCCCGAGGACGATACAAATGACGGTAAAAGATGCACCGTAATTTGTCGTTTCCGCGACCGAGTTCAAGAATGATAGCTGAACACCCGTTTGTCAGTTGGAGACTTGACAATCCTGCTAACGTTTGTGTCTTGAAGGAACATGTACGTCCCCGAACTCCCACGGTTGAGAACGTTTGCTCAATCGAGTCTGGCTGTAGATAGAAAGTCTCCCTCAGAGGATCTTCGTTGTGAGGGTAGTCATCCCCGACAAGGTCGCCCAGCGCTTCCCTCAATTCTCGGCTAATGGACCGAACAATCGAGCATGGGCTCCGGAACTCAGGCAGCTTATCGGAAAAAAACCCAAAGCACCCACAGCATAGACAACAACAAGCCAGATTTAATCCGCAGATGATAATTGGGTAGGAGATTGGGGCCACGATGAGGCCGCCCATAAGTGTGATGACCCAACCCAAGTCCTTCACAAATTTAAGTGAATAACGGGCACCAGAACGTAACTTTCGTTTGATTCGATGTTGGGGCTTTTCAGTGCCCTTTTGGCTCACATTCAGGCTAGTTCCTACCGAGTCCGTCGGCCCAGGTACAGCTTGTTCCTCGCGCGACAGATGCATGGTGCGAATGCATTCCAGAAGTGTACGACACGATGCGCAATTCCTGGCGGAAAGCCGAAGAGATGTGTAGTCGACCTCGCTCTGGGCGGAATCGCTCCAATGACCGCAATGCCATAATGGAACGCTGAGTGCATAAGTAGGCATGTGCGCGGTAATATTTCGTCAGCAGGTGTCGCGGCGGTGTCGAAACAGAGTATTTAATTGAGGGGAGTTACGGTTTGGGTGCCAGCCTTTATAAGAATAAGCGTACGTCAGGCGGTAGCCTCTAACGTTAGTATGTCTAGCGACAAGCCTGTTGTGGCTGTGCAAGTATGTAGAGCATACTAGGCCAACCAGCATTGAGCTTTCAAACCTGGTGTCCGCCACATCGGACCATATGAAGACCTTTTAGTGTATCGAAACAGTCCGAAACAACACTGCTCTGTGTGTTTCAGTTAAGGGCTCCTCAGCCTAACGAATACAGTATGAATAAAATCCTAGTATTCTTTTTGGTCTGTGCTTTTTACCTTGACGATGATTGTCTTCTATTAATTACACGCTACTAGATTGGTTACTATATAACTATTTTACCGTAGGTTTGTATAAGCTTAATTAATATTTAGTTTAGGATATAGTCTAAGATTATAATTACTGTTTTTAATAATAATAGCTTTATATAGGGTAGGGTAAATTTTAGTAATAAGAGTTGAGTAAAGTTTTATTAACTAATTGCAGCTATTCATCAAAGAAAACGCATTATAAAATATTTTATATTCTATTTCTTTTTCATATTAAATAAAAGAAATACTCAATTAAAAGAAATAAGTATTTAAATTACTTTTGAGAAACAATGGCGCTGATGAAAAATAACTAGCTTATAAACTTTTTAATTTTCCTATTTATGTAATAAATCAACATAAATAGTAGTATTTTATATAAAGATAACAAAAAAGGATATGTCTATTAATAAAGAATAGCTTGAGGTTTACTTCCTAGAGGAATATAAGTCTAGCTCGGCTAACTAAACGAAACTCCTACTCGACTAGTGTCCAACAACATCACACCCTATATTCCTGCTAGGTGATTACGCGTCGCCCGATAGATGCTTGAAAGCGGATGAGATAACCGTCAGGGTCCGCGACAAGGAACTGTTGGACTCCCGCTTCCTCTATTCCACTAACGTGATACCACTTCGTCTCCGGCGGCATAAAGAGTGGGTAGTCGGCTTCGGACAAAGACAAGAGGATCGGCTCAAGGTTTGAGACACTGACTTGGAAGTTAATCCCACGCCCGAATGGCTGATCAAGGGGCGCTGTGATCCAGTTCCGGCCGACGCCACGCTGTTCGAGCATGACGTGTGCGGTGCCGCGCGAGATATATGCAAAGCCTTCATCTGCGCGCTGATATTTGATCTCGAACCCGCAAAGCCCGCACCAGAACGCGATGCTCTTCGACGTGTCGGTGACGAGGAGCTCGGGAACCAGTGCAGGTTCGGTAGCAGCGGGACCGAGGGGCTTTAATTCTTTGACTGGAGTGACGACCGTGATGGAGTCTTTTGGCAATATAGGTTTCTCGACTGAGTTGGACTCGGTGTTGTTGGTCGAGCTGGATTGACTGTTCTTCTGCATAGCGGGCATTGTTGAGATGAGTGTGTTATGTTGAATTCTTTTTGGAAGACGAAAGGCTGGTGTTGACTACCGGGAACTATTAACACAAAGGTTATATTCTTGCCACTAATGGATCGGAATAGCCATTAAACCGTTAACCAATGGATCTTAACAGGTATGACTGAATCATTCTTAACTATCTCTCGGCCCAGTACTATGTATATAGCTCTTTGAAGGAGGTCGTGCTAGTGGGTCTTGATGACGTGACAATTTTAGCGTAAACCCACCAGCACGACCTGGCTTTTACTTCTGTTGAAACATTGCGACACCGATACAGCAACTTCAGCTCCCTTAACGACATCCTCCGTTACCATTCTATTAATTTCTCCTTGCTACAGACCTTGGAAGATTTTGAATACCTCGCTTGTTTCTACATAACAAAGGCATATTCGTAAAATGTTCTTCACGCTGAAGCCTTTTTCGATCCTCAGGCCCACACAGGTCGAGGTGTTGACTTTAGCATTGTCGTCAGAGGACTACAGAACGCTCGAAACCGAGCTGCTCTTCAATTTCCCGATACGAGCATACCATTCATACCCTGCTCACTTCGTCATCTACCTTTCGACTCAGTTCACCGATTGCTTGCTGACGCCGTAGAGACAGGGCATTATTCTGGTGGGCTTTTTTCTAGGTTCGGTCTATCATCCTCTGAGCGAGGTAGACCCCCCGCCCTCTATAAGACGGCCTTTGAAACATCAGAGGCTGCAGGCATCTTTAACTCTCTTGCATATTATGGGGAGGATGGTCCAGCTGAATATGTAGCAAGCGCTATCTCCGATCTTCATTTCAGACGGGTCGACTATGGAATTCGGGCTGTGGACGATCCGGCACTTATTAAAGCATCAGCAGAAGGAAACGTCCTCCTAGCAGTCTATTCCATCTCCAATGTCAGGCTCAAAAGTGTCAAGCAAATAGAGGATGTCCCTATTAAGGAGTCTCTACTGTCGTGCATCCCATTCCCCATTGGAAGTGATAATCCTGCCTATTTTAATGCTTACATTCTCGAGAACTACTGCGCCATCCAGGAAGCCTTTATACTGGCCGTAGACAATTAGGAAAGAGTTTCAAAATCTGCGATGGGAGGAAGTTGGTGTAATGACCAGAGAAAAGCTTAGCTTGAAGAGAAGCTCAGAAATGTTCTTACTAAATGGAGAAGTTAAGGTAATTAAAAGGCATACCTTCTTCTGCCTTTGTAGTCCCCCACCGTAACCCCACCTTCAGCTTATTACTCTATCCCTCTCCACCCTAACGGGCCTAATCATATCGTTAGTCCGCAACTCCACAACTCCGTAACTCTGTCACTCACTCTATAACTCCGCAACTCCACACCTCTCCACCATCCTAGCTTCAGTCCGCAACTTAATATCCTCATTATTTTAGCAACTATAAGTAGAGCTCCTTAGTACTATTAAAGACCTTTTAGATCTCTGGCTATCTACTGTTACTTTGTACTAAGATTCTCTTGGTGACAAACTAAGGCTGAGAAGACACGACAAAGCCTTCAATCCAATTTATCTCTACCCAGTATTTATCACAAGACAAACCAGCAAGAATGAACAATTATACCACCCCTTCGGATAATACAGTACTAGTCCTCGACAGTGTAGGCCAACCGCTGAGAACAGAAGTCCGTCCGATCCCCAAAGCAGGTTATGGCAGCGTTGTGATCCGCGTTCTCGCTGCCTCAATCCGAGCCAACTCACCAAGCGTATACGAAGATCCTGAAAGTGGCCACCCTCTTCCCATTCCCTTCGTTCCAGGCTTTGCAGCTATTGGGAAGATTCACGAAGCCGGCCCTGACGCATCAAGGCTGAAGCCCCGCCAACTTGTGTTTTTTGACCCCTACATTCGAGGGAGGGATAACGACGAGGCTATATACGTGAGTGGGCTCATGCATTGGTATAACGAGGCAAGTGGCAAACTGGCGAAGGATATATGGCGCGATTCTACCTACGCCCAGTATGCTCGAGTTCCACTGGAGAACTGCCATCCACTAGACGAGCGGCTTCTGGCATCTCTAGAGGATGGCGGGCTGGATTACACCATCGAAGACCTTACACATATGTTCAGCATGTTGATCCCATTTGGTGGACTTGCCGACATCGACGTCAAAGCTGGGGAAACCATCATAATCGCACCAGCTACTGGACGCTACGGAAGTGCAGCTGTCCACCTTACTCTGGCTATGGGAGCCAAGGTCATAGCGGTGGGTAGAAATACACGCGTCCTGTCAGAGATTTCAGGTATCAGTTCTCGAGTCAGGACAGTCCAGCTTTCGAATGAGGTCGAAGAAGATACGAACGCGATTATGGCAGCTGCCCAAAATCCAATCGAAGCCTTCTGGGATATGTCACCCATGGCAGCTAGCGCGTCATCTCACTTCCAGAGCTGCCTAAGAGCTTTGAGTATTGGCGGCCGAGTTAGTATTATGGGAGCCGTTTCTCCTGATGTCGGATTTGGGTATATGGATATATTGGTACGAGGGCTGACGATAAAGGCGACTTTGATGTGCACAATGGAGCAGACCAAGAGGATGATTAGAATGGTTGAGACAGGAGTTCTGCCTCTTGCAACGAGGGCTAAGATGGGAAAGGTAAAGACCTTTGGCCTGCCACAGTGGGGGCAGGCCTTTAACTATGCAAGGGACCATAAAGAACCTGGTGAGGTTGTTTTCATTCCATGAGTATCGAGATTAATTAGGGCTATGAAGATAAGTTAGTTTATATCCTAAAGTTTATTGAAGCCTGTTACTCTAGAACTTACCATTACAGAGCCTGTTTTCCAGGAGTCCACCATTGAAGAACCCGAACTTGGCATTTAAGTTATAGTACTTAACTTAGACGGCGGATTTGTTACTATTCAAGCACTTAATACCAACGAAACCTTCTATGAAGCCCTCAAGGCTGTTTCTTAGACTGATACCAAGACCCTTTTCATTGACGATGTTGGTCAATTCGGGCGGATGATCAAGGTTAATATATCGGACCCGGCCGCAACCGGAAAGTTCCCTTTGTCAGATAACATAGCGAGGTGGCCGAGCTGATAAACTTGAAATTGTGGTCAATCAACGGCACGAAGAGAAGAAGCCATTCCCACCACTTAGCCCCCACTTGTCAAGCAGTCTTTTATCGCCACCTACCCACTCTTCTAAGGCGTCAACGCCATCGTAACTTGCCAGGATAATGATTCCCAATTCATCAAGGTCTTCAGGAGATACAGCCTTGATTCCGTCATGAAAACTCGACATATCTAACTCGACCCAAGGCTTTTGCTCTGTAGCTTGGAGCCACTCCGTTGGCGATCTTGCTTCCCATATGTCGACTTGTCCTGTAAAGCTCAGCTTGGCCATTCTAGCACTGGGCTGGTACCAGCCGAATCTAAGAAAGGTGTAGATGCCGTGTAGCAGCTCAGCAAAGATGATTGTACGTCGGATGCTTTCCGCTTGGACCCAGTCTTTCCAGGCGCGAAGATTGAGCTGTGTACCGCTTGAAAGGCTCTCCCACGACCACTGAGTCTGTTCTTGCAAAATGTCGACCCATCGGGCAAGCGACTTAGCGTCTAGCTCCGCCTGAGTCTGCTGTGCAATGTCGCCAGTTGACAATAGCCTCATGCACTGGTAGATGAGCATGGCCTGTACAGCGGGTAGGAGAACAAGATTGTTGGCGGAATGCGAACTGGTCGGCGTCAGAGAGATGGCTGTCTCTGTAGCCTCAATAAGCAGTTCTGCCCGCCTTTTAATCTCCGATAAAACAAGCGACTGATTTTTAGGGTTGCGTGTCATATTTAGGCAGCAGGCAGCAAAAGCATCTTGCAATATAGCAGAGCGGTCGATATGGGAGTGGTGGATAAAACATGTTTGCCCCGTTTCTGCCAAAATCCTAACCTGACGGACTAGGCGGCTAGCAGCGTACTTTGCACGTGCCTGGAAGATCTTGTCTGTGTACAGGAGGATACCGCTGGCTCCCTGTAAAGGGGCTGGTGGAATGCCAATGCTATATGGAGGTTGGTGTGTGTTTACATCTGGGCTCGCATTCGAAAATGACGTGTCGAGGAATGAAAGATGGGGGTCTGGGGCGAGGAATGATAAGGTTCTCCCTCGGCCGGTAATTTCATTAACTAGTGATACCAGGGCCGAAGAGAGTGTTATGGGGGCTGGGCAAGATGTAGCATCATTATTGGGATGGGCTTCTCCTAGCTCAGGCAAGTCGTGACTCGATTGCGATGTTTCGGTAGTGCCGCTTGGATCAAGATACTTATGTGGACTCTCTTGTTGTATGCGAGGACTTGGTTTGGTGGGTTTCATTAGGTCCTGGGCTTCTTGTGGTGATATCCAAGCGTAGACACAAGTGACTCGCCTTGCAAGACATCGCCCACACTGCGGGAACCCGAGGTCGCACCGCCTTTTACCACGCGCACAAGCGGAGCAGGACTTTCGTCTTGATGATATCATGTTTCCACGAGACACAATTGCAGCTCTTTGTAAGAGTGTTGGCCGACTAAGCCCAGAAAATGAAAGTCGGGTCGAAAAGATTTACGGCATTTGAAAAAGAAAACAACCAGCACCGAACCCGGCAATTCCGGCCTGACCAAGATAGATGCGGGGCGATGCGGAGTTCCGCACACTAGACCAAACCTTCATGTGGATCCGTTCCGGTCTCAATCGCCCATATCGAGGCCGAGGACTTGACAAATGGGTTATAAATATGTCCTCGCAAGCCGTCCAAGTATGACTTTTTTAATTCAACCAACTTAAGAATTCTTCTTTACTTCCCAAACTCATTTAAACCTCTCTTTTAGTCACCATGTCTGATACCATTGAACCTTCTCGTGCCTCGTCCACACTTGGTAAATGGGTTGAGGAACTTTACAACCGCATTTTCGTTCAGCCAGACGATCAGGTGTCGACGAATGCTTTGAAGGACGATGTTACCCCGGATTTTGTTGCGAGGTAAGTCACATGTTAACAAGTTCAACCGGTTCAAAACGAAGCTGACCCAGTCGTACCACTAAGAATCAACCACGACCAATTCACGCGTCAAACATTCATGGAAGCTATTCAGAAGTTTCGCGTCGATAACAGAACAAGCATTCAGAGCACTAAGGATATACAAATCTGGGAGGCAACCGACGGATCTGGCGCTGGGTGTGTCGCGCAGTACATGCATTTTACCGACATCAGCAAGGAGACTGGCGTTGGACCCAAGTCGTCTACTCTGCTGATCGCAAGTGTTAAGGTTATTGATGGAAAGAGGAAGCTAGTTGAATTGACTGAGGTGTTGAAGACATCCGAGTAACATATACGGATAACAAAACAACGATTGGGTTCAAGGGTGATCACGCCTTGATTAACAGTCTGACTGCTGTTCAAGTGCCTTCGGACAGTAGACAAGGCGTTGGACAAGTAAATTTTAGTCCTTTACAATTAGGAACACCATCCAGAATGTAACTTGCTCAATTTGGTTGGCTTTTCTATACCACTCGTCTATATGTTCTGATACAGGGTATCCTGCTCATGGTACAATAACTAATCTAGATCTATGAATAATTACACACAACAGCAATACCAATAAAACCATCCAAGAAATACAAAAGAGAAATAAACCCAAGAAGTTTGTTTTTAACTCGCAATCCTGATAGCTGGAGTTCAAGACTCAGCCTTCTTGGTAGCCTTAGTCCTGAGCTTCATCATGAAGAAGACGAGTCCGTACAAGCCAAACACAAAGACAACAACGATACCGGCGTTCCTCCATCCATACCATTCTTCTTTGAGGTTCAGTGTCTGGAGGTAATCTCCTCCCGTAGTGTACTGGCATACGCGGCAAGATGAGGTGTCATCTGGGTTGAGGAGGCTTGTGGCGACTCCCATGCCTTGCTGGTAAACGGAGAGATACTCGCCGCATGTCTGGTTGGAAGGCGGGTCGAATACGGCAAGTTCATTATCCTTACAATGAACAGGCTTATCCCAAGTAGTAAAGACAAGCAGGGCACTCATGAGGTAGTTGAAAGGGTCGATGTAGTACATCCTGTGGGAACCAATTATTAGCTTATGTTTCCAACGAAAGGTATAGATATCTCTTACCAGTATTTCCAAAACGGTTCGATCTGGCTGTAAGGCACCATAACACCACAGAATGAGACCAGAGTAGTAATGACCAAGGGGTTTACAAGAGATGCGAAAACAGCGTTGGGAGTGTATGCGGCGATCATCTGTCCGATCCCAGTGTACAGGAACTCATACATGACCTTTTGATATGTCAGTTACACTATTGGATGAACATGAGAGGTTGCTGTATGGGCAACAACTTACCACAATGAAGAACACACTGCCTGCTTGGTTAGGGCCGGTAGGAAGGCCTGCTGTGAAGTACCAACAGACATAATAGAGCAATGCGCACACAATCAAGTATGGAAATTCCGAGACGATCAAACCAGTAACGAACGGAGCCCAGTGATACATCTTACTCTTCTTTTCCCTCGCCTCGTAGATATCGCGACGATCGATGAAGAGAGGTTGAAGCTGCGAGATAATTCCTGGAGCGATGAAAATAAAGTTGAACACAGTAAAGAGGTTCTGCTGAAGATCTGTAAGACTATCGCCGATCATCCAAAAGGTGAAGCCATTGAGTAGCGCTAAGCTGATGTGCATGGCTATTTTGTTGTACACATATTCGGTGTTGCGGAAGAGTGAGATATTCATGCGATGGGAGACTAGCTTCGTCTGCGTCCACATTGAAGCGGCGAACTCGTTTCCATCATCATCGGCCCCTGAAGGTCTAGAGAGGGCATCATCCATCATGTGATCCAGTTCCTTGCCGAGGTTTGCGTGTTCGGATGATTCAAGCCAAATCTTGTTCCAGTCTTGCTGATGAGACGGCCCACCGTTGCCCGACACCACATCGATTATGTGTTCAGCAGGATTGGCTTCAGGCGGGCATGGGGCTCCAAGACGACCAAAGTATGACTTGATGGTATTCGCATTATCACCGATATCACCAAAGTATACAGTCTTTCCACCCTTGGCAAGTAGCAGAAGGGTATCAAACTGGGCAAAGAGTTGTGCCGACGGCTGGTGAATGGTGACCAAAATAGCCTGTCCAGCTGCTGTAAGCTTTCGGAGGAAGCGAATAGTATTACAAGCAGCCTGGCCATCGAGTCCGGATGTAGGTTCGTCAAGAAAGATAAGAATGCTTGGCTTCGCAACTAATTCTACACCGATGGTGAGGCGCTTCCGCTGTTCAATAGAGAGGCCGTTACCTGGACGACCAACAAGGGTGTGTTCCAGATCGTTCAGCTCCAGAAGGTCCACAATAGTATCGACGTATCGCAACTTCTCTTCGGTGGGTACATCCCGAGGCTGGCGTAAGAGGGCCGAGAATTCGAGAGCCTCACGAACAGTTGCCAGGGGCTCATGAACATCGAGCTGCTCAACATAGCCAGCAGATCGTTGGAACGAGACAGGAATAGGGTGACCGTCTACTAAAACGGATCCATGGATAGTTCCTTCGGTTTTCCGTTGTGCGAGAACATCAAGAAGCGTTGTCTTACCAGCGCCTGATGCACCCATTAGGGCACCGAGCATGCCGGGCCTGACGTATCCCTGTACGTTATCGAGAAGAATGCGGTCACCATCGGGCGTTTTGACGGTATATGTCAGGTTTCTCCAGGTAAAGATACTTCGGTTGCGAATGAGTTCAGTATCGGGATTCGTCTCCGAGTCAGAACCAGATTTGGCTGTGGTCTTTTCAGAAGCCGGCGACTCCTCGTCTGCTGCGGGCTGGAACAGGTGCTTGGACTTGTGTTGTTGTTCTCGTGGAATGAGGAGGCTACGGCCACCTTCTCCGACTTGCTTCCATCCATTGGTAAAGAAGATAGTGAGACCAATGAACAGCACCCAAAAAGCGCAGACGATGCCAAAGTTACGCCAGATATGACTGTGGCCAAAAGACATGTATTCGAGATACTGCTCGCCTGTAACGCTCGTGGCTCCTGGGGGAGCACCGCCAACACCAGCACATGCCTGTCCACCCTGTCCTTCAGTATAGCCAGGGCCGTTGGGGATAAGATAGGGGCCAACACAGGGAATATTCTGGCCATGGAATTCATTTGACAGAAGAGCGTCGAATGCGTAAGCCATGGGGTTGATCCAGAAAATCCAAGAAAGCCATGGGTGCATCTCTGGCTTGACTATCATATATCCCATGTAGACAAACAAGGCTACAGTGGAAAGACCAGAGACCTTTGTCGCAGCGTCAAAGGTAGGGAATGCTGCGCCGATAAAACGGAAGAAAGACGTCATGGATAAGGCAGCTGTATAGTTGATCACCAGATAAGTGAAGAATGCGCCAGCAGTCATCTTGAGACCGACCATGAAGTAGAGAATAAGGCCGAAATGCGAGACTTGGAACAGCATGATGGGAAGATCTGCTACGACCTGGGCGATTACCACAGCTGCTGGGTTGTAGAGAGCAAAAGAACGGTGCTTGGCCAAGATGGGTCTGCCAGTGAACGAGTCGGTGACTTCAGAAAGGGCGATGAGTGCGTTGTACAGGATAGAGAAAAACAGGGCACCGCCTTTGAGGAAGAGGCCAGCGGAATTGTTGGGGGCAGAGTAGAAGAGGGAACCTCCAAGGAGAGCCTGGATGACTGTTGCACCCTGCTTCATGAACAGGGTCGCCTTGTCTCCCCACATAATCTGGTACTGTCTGATAGTGGCTGTCTTGACCTGGGTGTAGAAGTCGGCGGTAACGGGCGACTTTGCAGATACACCTTTGTGCTTCTCGCGAGCGACCATCTCTTTGAAAATAGCCGTGTTGTCTGCGGCTTCCGGTGTTTTGGGATAGGCTCGAGCCTCTTCTAGCATCTTGGGATAGATGACAGAATTCTGGTAGGCGTCTCGAACCGCATCAGCAGTGCGAGGAAAGGTCTCCTCGTAGCCAGGGGCAATAACTCGCTCCTGAGGAACCGTTATGCCAGTTAAGAAATCTCCTCGGTTAGAGCCACCGTCTCGTAGAAAGCCAAGGTCTTCCATGAAAGGTACAGCATCCCGTTGAGGTCCGTAGAAGATTTGCTTGCCCTCATCAAGAACGAGAACCTTGTCGAAGTGCTCGTAGATGCCATTGCCCGCCTGATACAGTGTAACAATAGTGGTAAGACCGAGAATGTCGGTCATGACCCTGATGGCCTTTATCCACTCAAGAGCGGTACTGGCGTCAAGGCCTCTGGTCGAGTTATCCCAGCAGAATACACTTCCGCGAGTGGCTAGAACTTCGAGAATAGAGACTCGTTTCCTTTCTCCTCCGGAAACACCTCGAACGAAGGCGTCTCCAACCTTTGTATGGGCGGTATGGGAGATGCCAACTGATCGCAAGAGGAAGTCTTTGTAAAACTGGGCGTAGTCTTCATGTGTCTTGACCCCAGAGGGCAGGTGGAAAGGGACCTTCATGCGGGCAGCGAAATCGATAGTGGCTTCGACGGAAAGGGTAGGAAAGAAAATCTCGTCCTCGGTGTTCATAATGATCTGGCCACGGTACTGCTTGGCTTCGTCGGCACTCATATTGCCGTAATGGACATCTCCTGTGACTTCTTTGTAGCCGCGGCGGTTGTTGGCGAGCACGCTGAGCAATGTTGTGCAGCCTGATCCTGGACGACCCAGAACAAGCAACATCTCTCCAGGCTTGACGCATCCGTTTGAGTTCTCTAAAATTGTCTTGATCGGTTCGGTTTTGTCGGTTTTGTGGAAGGGGTAAAGTTGAGAAAGTACGTTTTCGTTGAAGGTCGCGTCGGCGCTGACACCCTTGACTGTGAGGTTGGTCCAACTCACGCCGAGCTTTTTGGGCTTCTCGCCGGCTTGTTCGTCTCGCTCTTGTATCATTTGCACCTCGGGTGCCATGTGCCATGACATCTTGTCGCGAGAAGACTTGGTCATCTCCAAGTCAGCGTCCAAAGGTTGGTCCGCTGCTATGGACTCTTGGTTCACAGTTGAGGAACTGGAACTCATGGCCGGAAATGAGGTACTTATGCGCAAAGCAAACTAATAGGTTAGGTAGGGGATATGAATTAGAAGTAAACAGTTTGCAAGGGAATTCAATAGACATTTAAATATAACGTGTCGAAGAGCTGTGTAAAGAAAGGAACTGTCTATGTCGTGCTTCTCTTGACCTTTCGATTACCAAAGAAATGTACGACTTCATGACCGATCCAACAGAACGGCATGCACCAGAGCCGCATGTCGGATATCTAACATCTATAAAGCCTCCGGCGCCCAAAATCCAAAGTGTGTGCTGCTGTTGTACAGACCAATTTAGGGCCCTCCAATTGGTCAATTTACAGTTTGAAACGGATGCGAATGCGATGGTCGTGTTTTGTTTACTAATCAGATATTAGTGATATCCCCGACGACAAGTAAATTTTTAATCACTAACCTACACAAAGGGATGATCCTATAGCGCTAAAAGTTTAAAAGCCTCCGCGGAGGCTTTAAACATAAGCCTTTCCCTCGCAATTATTCCGAGAGTCTCATAGCGTTCCCTGCAATTTCAAGTCAACGCGTCAATCAAACTGTCATCAATTTTACTTGCACATTGCGGTCTCTATCCACACATAATAATCCAACCCATTGTTTTCTCTCTCTATCCACAATACCAAAAGGGTTGCTTTACCGACATGGGTGCCACATCAGTTCATCCTTCGCAGCGGCGTATTTCTTGTGAGGCTTGCAGGAAACACAAAGCAAGATGCCAACGATTCAACCAGGACGACCCCAAATGTGCGAGGTGCACATTACTCGACTTGGCCTGTACCAGTGGGCAGCAGAAGAATATCGGGAGGCCTCGTAGGGCGGCTGCTTCTGTCACACCTTCGAAGCCGACCGTTAAGAAACCTACAGCCAACACGAGCCTTCGGGTAGTACCTCCTTGGGTCCCTCAAGACAATGCTCTCCCCTCTACAGACACAGTGGACTGGACAAGCTTGATGTCTTCAGCTTCCACCCCAGTCCAGGACACTGCCGCGGTCGAAATCGATGCCTTCAGTTCTGCATGGCCCACCATGGAGATTAACTCTTTTGTCCAATCTTCAAATCCATGGGATACCTTTTTAGGCTTTGCCGACGCTGGATTCATTCCCTCCCATGACTCGGCCTTTGGCGCTCTAGCACCATCTTCTGACGTCCCACCATTCTATCTTACCCAAAGTCCACCAAGCACCCCATCCAGCGACCATGGTGCCTGTTTGGCCGAGGTACATAGCCTCGAGATATCTGGAGGACCCAAAAAAGAAGATTGCATCGACGTGTCTATAGCTCTCTCAGAGTTGTCCAGGATGAATATCGACTTGCACATTCGGGTCGCGGCCGCCGATACCCATAAAGCCGTCTTGAAATTTGACAACTTGGTACAACGAGAAGGCCCCTTATACATTGAAGACATCACTATGGTCGAGTTCGTTACCAAAACATCTTTGAGGCTGCTCCAGATCGTCACCAGACTCCTTAGCAACCGACAAAACATAGATTCGCCAGCGGAAAATACGCTTCCTCTAGAAACCCAGCCGATAAAGCCGAACTCCCAGCAAATAAGCCAGGCCGACGCATTCTCTTGTTCACCTCCCATTGCGCTTTTGATCACGAGCATTTTTACCCAGTTGATTTCGCTTCACGAGCTAGTTCTTGGATATATAATCACCCGCGTCGAGCGAATCTCTGTCGATCCTCTCCCTTCAATGACAGGTGTTTTGTTCAACGATTTACCGCTTGAAAATTCGTGCGCACAGGGTATGCTCTTCTGTCAGGCCGTTATATATCTACTGGGAAGAACAGAGACCGCTTTGGGCATCAATTCAAAATCCAATCCAAGTCAAGAAGGGTTGCTTTCAGCAAGGCAGATAAAAGTACTTTGGGGTGAATTGGACAGTAGACGTCCTATCATTCCAAATCATGGTCTTATGCGACCCTCAACTTTGAGGAGGTTATTTGGAAAGGTGGCAGGTATCTTTAAGCAAATGTTAGGGGATTCTTCATATAGTTAATCGAGATACACAATAAGGTCGTTAAAGAAGATTGAACTTGGCAGTCATTTGGTAGATAGGGTCACGGTCTTCTTCTTCTGATTAAGGTCTGCTTTGAGACCGGACCTGGAGTTAGTCTTCCAGTGATAGGAGCTAGTAAATGCTCTCGGATAGTTGTGAATCAAGCAGAACGTACATACTGGATAGGATGAGACGAGTTGTGTCGAATAGATCGTCGTTTGATTGTTTACAAATAGGACGGTAGCCTTTTTCTTTGACTTCTCGAATTGGGCTTCTTCGCGGCTTATCTCATGCATAGCTCAGGACTTCACTTTTATTCTTCCTTGATGTCCTCAGCCTTGTCAAAGAAGGGGTATCGTCCACACCAAACAGCATTGCAAATTCCAGTTAATGGCCATGACAATTAAATGGCAACTTATCAGCCAGTCACAGGTTGTAGGTTGGGTACCCTAAAGTGAGTCTATATGTATAAACAATACTTAGCAAATCAACTTAAACTTTTGCCAATAATTGAACAAGTTGTGAAGTTTCAAAGCATTTTACAAAGACAAGTAAGATTCAACCAAGTCAAAAGTAAGAAATTAAGCTATAAATAATGACACATATACCCATTTGCAATTAAGACCCTCAACTAATAGGTTTATAAAAACTACAACCTAAAAGGTTCAGAGGTAATCCATAACAAAATCTTTGCCAAGCATTCCTAATTGATTGGCAATCTCTCTTGCACTAAAAGACGTGGCGAGGTTCTTAGCAGGCTTACTAATTTTGCTCTGAATGCTCATAATTAGAAAGCGGTGCTTGAGAAGTTAATGACTGCCACTTGGATAAATCCGTTAATGTATATACCTGAGTGGGCTTGTTATGCTGGTCGTGAAGACAAACCCAACGGCCGTCGCCGTTTTAATCTTTCTCCCCATACTGTAAACGGTCGCTAATACTAACGATCCAAGAGTCTAAGATAACTCAGTTTGGGTTATATACTGCGATCACTTAACTTACTGCCCTCCAGTCTGGCACCGGGAAGTCTACCAATGTAGTCGCAACTCCCGGAATCGGCATAGAAACGATCCTGGATAAAGATCATAATATCTATACGTCCCTTAGATTGGTTTTGTGCATTGACGAGGTAGTAGTGAGCGGTACGACTTTTACAGGATTGATTCCATGGGACCTCGAGGATGTTTCGCTCAGATTCGCCGCTATGAACGGGAATAGTTAAAACATCGTCTGTGGTAGGGTAAGACATTGTGAAGATATTAGTTAAAGATGTTTGAACAACAGAGTTGACAGATACCGTTTAGCAATTGTACTAACGGTTTAGTAGATCAAGATTCATAGGGCCTAATTAGGTGTAAATATTTAGGTAAATTATATTAAAGAATAAGTCCCGGTATTCTATACCATTACGATAAGTGAAACTCCACATCCAATAGCAGAGCTGAAAAAATAGTCTAGATTATAATAGCGCTCAAGTTAATTTGTCGCCGTGACTTTACCCGCACTACCTGTGAGATGATCATCAACCCGGGACCAACAGTAAGTATTGAGTGGAATTACCTGCAGTGCTCTCATAGTAGCTGCTATGGCCCTGCGATTTAAACCTGATCGCCATGAGGAAGTATTTAAATGAGTCGCAAACAACTTTTATTAGTTCTGGCCTTCGACATAGCCTCAGAGATAATGAAAGCACATCAGGAATCAATCTACAATCCATAAATATCACCCCTGTTACCTATTGTTATTATTGGAGAGGCATCTCTTCCGCTTAGTGGTTCTTGTAGGGTCGACGTGTAGTAGAAGCGTGGCACCTGGGAATAATAGAGAGATTTCAGGCTGACCTCAAGACGCCTTTATCCTTCAGCTATCCTTGTAGGATTAGCTCGTGGATTGTCTGGGAGACGACACTGTTATAATTATTATTATATCTCTTTTCGATACTCTTCTATTCTATTTAACGGCGACAGTGGGATTATATTAGTTAAGCTAAACTTCCTTAATCTTGATTATGTCTATAGCAAAATCATCTCGGTTATATTACTATTAAATTGCTGTTAGTTACCTCTTATCTTATCTAGTCACTGTAGGGAGGGGTTATTAAGTTATATAATCTCGGTTAATTAATTACGGTAGCTTCTTCCCTTAGACCGAAGGACTTTTTAACCTTTAGTAAAAAACTCTATTTTATATATATAAATTTTCTTCCTATAACTCTAACTTTAATAATCTCTTTATAGTCCTTTAATTACTCTAGCTAGAGTTTAATATAATCTATTATTTAAAATACCTAACTAAATTAATTATTATTATTAAGTCTATCAACTATTTATTATACCTACCTCTTATTAGATTTATATTACCTTTACTTAATATATTAAGGAAGGCAGTCTTTACTATTATTAATATACTAGCTAGGCCTGGCAATTTAAACTTCTCTTTAAGACCTTTAAAAAGTAATATCTCTATCTTAAGCTATATATCTTTATCTCTATAGTTATTATTATAAATAAAAAGGCTAGGTAATAAAAAGACCTTATAACAAAAGATAGTAAATATAACCTTAATCTTTTAACTTATAGGCCTAGTACCTACCTTAATAATATAGTATAGGTTATTATTATAAAATAATTACTATAGCTATTTATAGCTATATTAATTACCGGTAATTACTTTAAAAAGTATTTCTTAACTATACTAAAATTCCTCTCTATAAGCCCTAATTATATCGCTATTATCGGCTGGCTAAAGGTCTTTATAAAAGGTAGGCAGGGCGTTAATTAATATATCGGCTGCGATTAAGGTTAGCTTTATTAATCTAATTATAAAACGGTTAGGTTAACTTATAGGTAAGTTAGAGGTATATATATCCCGTCTCTTAGTGTTATTAATAACTGACGTTTAGTAAAAGCTTAGTGGGTTACTTATTATAATCTTCGTCTTGTCTTAGGTAGGTTAATTAAAGTAGAGTGTAGAGAGGGAAAAGTGGCCTTAGCAGTCCTTATAGGGGTTTTTATACCATTAAGAAATAAAGTTATAATTAATATAGTAGGTAACCTTATTAAATTTAAGTTATTATTACTTTTCGGTCTATATAGAGACCTTTATTATTAATATTTCTATAGGTTTAGTTAGGATAGCTAGATCTTTTTTTTAAAGGTACTACCAGACTTAATGTAAATAAATAGCAAAATCATACTCATCCCTGCATCTCAACCCATCCAACATTAAGCACTGAAATCATCACGCTATGTTAGTAGAGCTAGGTGCTTAAACTTGCCACTTCGCGGTCACAGTCGGTCAGATCCTCTTGGCCCCTCCTAGAGCGGAGTCATTCCCGTAATCAGTCTTCTCACAGTCTCTAATTTGCAAGGGTGACCCCTGGAGGCCAAGATGCCATTTCTCGGCTCTGTTTCTGCCTGCTTGGCCGCTGCTATTAATACAGAAGATTTAGTTGAGAACAGAATTCACCTTCTTGGGGCGTGCCAGCTTTCTGGTGCTCACTGCCTTATCGGGCTATGTGGCAGATATACGGCGGTAGCTGTGTGAAGATGGCTGGAGGAGGATAATATAACACCCAATGTGTGCCAATCTCCATGACCAATTAGTTAATAACAAGGCACCTAGGGTACTGAGTCGCATTTTATGGCGACTCATTGCGAAATGAAAGGTGTTTCCTATGATATAATGCCAGCCAAGAGCGACGACTCGTCAAAGTTGGAGTTTTAGTATGCTTCAGCAAATGAGTCGACACTCGTGAAGCCAAGGGTCTCCAAACCTGCAATAGCAGCCTCAAGGAGCTCCTCCGCCTCGGGGTTTGATGCTTTTGCCAAAGACTTTGTGACAAAGGCGTTACACCGGTCAAACGTGGCGCCATTCGAAGTGACTGATTGCGTGTCGTTGTTGATTGATGATTGTTGTTGCATCGAGTCATCTGCGCGGTGCGAGCATGGGGCAGTCTCAAGGCCAGAGAACTGCTGGCTTGGCATCCACGTCGCGTTGGGAAGGTCGCTCATGGATGTAGTCAAATCCATCATAATTTCTAGTTTATCAAAGTCCGACAGTGACCCACTAAAGGAATCTGTCATCGGGTCTGCGTTCGGCATTATGGTTTGCGCTGCCGCGGCGGGGTCTGTTGCGCATAGCGACCATTGTGACTGTCCAAGGGCGAATGGCGATTTGGCAATCGGGACGTTGTCACTTTTCGTCTTAGCCGCCGCTTCGGGCGGATTATTGATCTTGGCTAGTAGCTGAATCTGGAAACGGTGGAAATCTTGGAGTATCGACTGTGTCAAATTTGCCGTCCCCGTATTAGGATTGGTAGAGGGGAGGCGTCTCAGTAGTAGGTCTCCTCACAAAGTTGTCAGTTGCTGCAGCATCGCATATTTACTGGCTGACAAGCTTGTTACATTTGGTCGCTGACTTGGCGATTAGTGACGCACTTCTGGTGACTCGCTTACTGATTATTCACGTTTGTAATGGCTCACTTGGCCAGTGGGGTACTTATGCTCGGTTGCTGACTTGGACATTAATGTCAGCTTTTGACTAAAACGTCCCGGATTATCAAGGCTATAAATAATTGTAATTCAACTTGTTAGAGAACTGATGGTCTGAAGCAAGTCATTTGTTGGAGACATTGGACCAATTTTACAAAATGTCTACACAAACAGGTTCTGAAATGGACTACGAAACAATGAACCGCGCCAGTTAGAATGAGCGCGCACCAGCTGTATGTTAATGCCCTCTGTTACAAGACCGAATCTAACTTCACATAAATGCAGCACAGGGCTTGACTTTTCCGCAACGGCAATTACGGCGGCGCGGGACCTTGCTGCTCAAACAGCTGGTAGTGGCGGTGAGAAGCTCAAATTTGTCGAGGCTTCTTTATTTGGCGCTTCAGACATCTTACCGCCGGGTATCTTCGATCCTGTCTACATCAACATTGGCTCCTTGTGCTTCATGCCGAAAATCAAAGACTGGGCCAAGATTGTTACTGGTCTTTTAAAGCCAGGCGGGCGGGTACTTCTCCACGAGTTCCATCCAGTGCTGTGGTCTCTAGACAGGAAAAGCCCACAGGATTTAGTCATTAGCACTCCGTATTTTGAGCGCGACGTACCCACTATTCTCGAGGCGCCAAAGTCCTATGCCGACTTAACGTCCCAGGACTTTGCGCTGACCAAGTTTGCCGTGTACAACCATGGAATCGGCGAGGTCATACAAGCGCTGCTGGAGGAGGGAATGAAGCTCACTTTACTGAAAGAACACCAGAGTGCACCATTATTAGGTATGCTAAGACAGCTCATGGTAAAGGATAAGGGTAAGTCAGCATCAATTCAATACGTAGATACAACGCTAACATATTAACAGGAGAATACTCTCTGGAGGACCGGCCGTGGCGCCTACCTCTTTCCTACACGATACATGCTATAAAGGAGTAATGAAGTGTTTGAATCTTTCCTCCATTAACCTTAACCTAAAGAAGCACAGGGTTATACGGATAAGTAGAGGGAAGTGTGACAAAAGGACGAAGGGCATCCTGTCGTTCCTCAAACAGTAACTGAATAAGACTCAACAGGAGAAGCAAGAGAGATAAATATTTACTAAGGTTTGCTAAAAGGGTATAAATATCTCCCGAAGCTTTAAACACAACAGGGTTGATAATTCCATCTTATAGATACTTGAGTGACTAAGAAGTGTGCTTTTAGGTAGAATAAGAATATTCAGGTTTTAGTAACGAGCACATAGTAGAATATAAAATATAATATAAGAAACCTCAGGGACTGGTTGTTATATCTAAACCATACTCCACAGGCATAAATAATTTTATCTTCCTACTGGCCATGAGCCTCCGGAAGCAGGCCAGAATATGATACCATTAGCTTCTTCGCTTGGAACCCAGACGGGATTATCGTCTATATGCGTCTTATTGATCATAGGCGGCGCCCATGGTCCTTCTACCCCCTCAGGGTGTGCCGCGAGTCTCATAGTGGATGTGTCATATGCGTACAAGCTCATGAGGATACATCCGCCAGTCTCAGGAGGATCCAGGACATATGCACCTCCGTAGCTAGACTCAAAACTCCCTTCTGGGTCTTCGCAATAGAAGCCAGCACTCCAGCCAGCGAGGCAGAGGTTGAAGTTTGGCTTGTCCGGGGCAAAGGCAAATACTTCTTTGTCACCACAGCCGGTCTGATCAGGTGCCCATTTGGCTGATACAATAACTGTGTAGCCGCTCTGTTCAAGGGCTACGTTGTGGCCGAAGGAATTGGCGGGGTCGAGCTTGTATTTGGAAGCGCAGAAGTTACCAATGGCCTTCTCAGCATCTTTGCGCGTGAATTCGACATAGCCGGAGTCATCGGTGAAACAGTAGGCTTCGCCTTCGTTGATAAGCGTGTTAGTTGGATACGATATGGCTTTAGTGACAGTTGTTGAAGTCTTGGTAGTTGTGGTCGATTTACCAAAGGTGGTTGTGGCCTTGGCTTGGGAAGTGGTAATGATTTTGACATTTGTCAGTGTGACGGAGATGGTAGCGCCGACATAAGGAGGGAATATAGTAGCCGATATTCCTTGAAATTTGGTGATTTTGGGAGATTTGACGTCGGGAATTGAGTAGGCTGTCTTGTCAAGGGTCGCATATCCATCTCTAACAGGGTACCGCTCAGACGACACAACGACACTCGCAGGGTAGGTGGTTTTGGTGGCTTGACCAAAGTGCTCACGTCCACTACCGTCATCATCGTCGTCCAGAATCTCACCCCAGGGATCAACAGTGATCAGGGGACAAGATGAAGCGGTTGTTGTAGTAGTGGCGGTGAGGAAGCAGCCAGTGATTATCTCGGTTGCGGTGGTAGTACATGAGGAGGACTTGCATGACACCCAGTAGTCGGTAACCTTTGAGGTTGTGCAGTCGCAGCCACGATATGTGTTGCAGATAGTGGTGCAGGGTCTTTTTGTGCATACCTGATGGCATTCAGTGTTGGTCTCAGTGGCGCAGTCCTCCTCCTCTTCCTCATCTTCATCGTCGTCTTCGTTGCTCTCCTTGCAGCCAGCACCAACACAATTTTCCCCTGGCACAGGGCATCCACCACCAATGCATCCAATCGATCCACCACCACCTCCCCCGCCACCTTCAACTGGTGTGCAACCAAAGAGACAAAGGGTGCCGCACCCTGACTTACAGATAGGACCAGGGGGCCCAGCTGTGACGATGATGCCAGGAGCAATTCCTGGCGGAGGTCCAATCTCGCCTCCAGTTCCAGTCGGAAAGGGACCAGGTTTGTATGTGTAGGTGATGCCATGAGTGGGCTCGGTCAAAGTAATTGGTGGAGGAACGACACTGCCGCGAACGGGAACAGACTTGGAGGTTGGTACTGTTAGGACAATGTTGGAGACCGCAAGCTTGGAAGTGGTAAGAGGCGGAAGTGTGATGCGGACAGTAATCGTAGTGGTGCGATATTTGATAACACCGTCTGTCGTTTCTGGCCATGTTTCTCTAATGGTTTCGGTCAGGACTGGGAAATTGATGGTTGTCTTGAAGGAGAGTGGCCACGGTGGTAGGACAAGGGTACAAGGTGGCTGACAGCCTGCGGTCGGTCTGCTGGAGCTCCAGATGGCTGGGTCGATGTATATAACGTTACCATTGTCGCCATCGCCTCCGTCTCCTCCTCCGCTGCCTTCACCTCCACCTCCACTACCACTACCACCCTCACCGCCACCACCATCACCTCCACCACCATCACCTCCACCACCGCCTGTCTGATCAGGTACTTCAGGTAGCTTGGGCACCCAGTTGTTGATGTTGATGTACGCATTGATGGCGCCCCCATCTGATACAACGAGGTAATCATCCTTCCCGTCGCCATTAATATCAGCATAATAGACAGGCCCCTGGGGATTAACGCCAGCAGCAATCGTGCCCATGTCGTTCCACTTACGTCCCTCCCCAGTAGGAATTCTACCATTGTTTCGGTATCCAAGAGCTGCACCGCCATCGTATTGGACAATGTAGTCAGCCTTGCCATCTCCCGTGAGGTCTGCAAACCGAATCTTACTGCCAGGCTCGCCAACGCCAGTCGCCACAGTAATACCCTCCTTCCAAATACGGCCGCCGTTTATGGGTGGGATATTCTTATTATTCTGCCAATACTTAACAGCTCCACCATCGTAGAGTATAAGGAAGTCCGCATAGCCATCACCATCGAGATCTGCAAATCTGACCTTGCTGCCAGGCTCGCCAACGCCCGGCGCAATGACAATACCATCTTGCCAGATGCGTCGGTCACCAGGGTTTGGGAGATTCCCTAGGTTCAGATACGCTTTGACGGAACCGCCGCCATAGATGACCAGATAGTCAGCGCGCTTGTCTCCATTAACGTCGACAAACTCAATGCGTGCGTCTGAAAGATCCTCGTCAAGGCCCGGTGCGATCTGGCCAATCGACTGCCACTTATCACCACCCTTGTTGAGCCACGCACGAGCTCGACCCTTGGTGTCAATTGAGATAAGGTCATCAAAGCCATTGCCGGTTAAATCTGCAAAACGTATGCTCGTCCCTTTGGTGCCAGTGATGCCAAGGTTCTTCCACATACGAATGCTTCCATCGTCGGCAACGGCAAGGAAGTCGGCGAGACCATCTCCGTCCATATCCGCAAAGCGAATCATGTCGCCCGTGACACCGGAAGTACCAAGTGCAATGGTGCCAAGGTCTTCCCAATTGCGTTCACCCTCACTTATGGTGTTACGGAAAGCCTTGACGGCTCCGCCATCATAGACAACCAGATAGTCTACAAACTAATTAGTCACTCATCTCCAAACTGAGGTACACCCGATACGTACCGGCTTTTTTATCTCCGTCAATGTCTCGTATTCTTGTTGACAACGTAGGTATACCAGCAGGACCCGGAGCAATGGTTACCTCAGTCTCCCAGTTCTTCTTGCTGCTATCCTTGCCGTTATTATGGGTATTTCGTGCCCACTTGACAGCACCGCCGTCGAATATAATGACATAATCAGCATATCCATCGCCGTCAATGTCTTCAAAGTAGACCTTGTCTCTTGATTCGAGGCCAGTCGCCCACTTGGAATCGAAGGACTCAAACTTCTTTCCGTTATCGACATTCCTCCAGACCTTAGCAGCGCCCTCTTGATATAGAACAATCAAGTCAGCCAGACCGTCATTGTCCACATCGGCAAGACGGATCATATATCCCTTAACAGATTTCCAGTCCGGGTTGATCTTTCCGATGCTGGTCCACTCGTTAGGCTTGCCTCGATTAATCCAAGCTCGCAGCGTACCATCGCTGTCAGCCAAGATATAGTCTGTGATGCCGTCGCCATTGAGATCCGCAAGAATCAGCTTTTCGCGGCTGCCATTCTCAACGGATCCACGTATGGTACCCATAGGTTCCCATGTGCGAAATCCTTCGAAAACAGTGCCCTGTTTCTCCCAGATCTGACCTTCGATCTCCTCCCCAGTACCGCCGCTACCTCCGCCGATGCCTAGACCTACACCTGGTGTTCCTTTAGCATCCCGGGCGACTGGATCCTTGAGCCAACCTCGATTGTCGGCTTCTAGGATACCCTTCAACCAAGCGTTGGCCATCTTCTCATAGCCACTGTCGTTTGGATGTTTCTCGTCCCAGAGGTCCGCCACAGTGATATCTATGGGGACTTCAAGAACATGTTTGCCATCCTTTTGTCTCTCTTCAATGATAGAAATGACCTTGGGGTTAAACCGATCGGTATTCTGCTGCATTTTTGGTTTATTAGCCCAGATGACTGGGGCAATAAGAACAGTAGCATCAGGAGCATTGGCAAGGAGGCCGTCAATGATGGTTGCTAGCATGGCGGGGGAACCTTCGAGATCTTCTTCAAGATCCATGTTGTTGGTTCCCGCATGGACAAGAATCACATTTGGACGTGCCGCGATAGAGCGCCTCCAGTACTCATTGATTTGTGCAAGAACACGCCCACTGTGGCCCTCATGGTCGTTGTCTGCCATTCCAGTGGAAGGATGCTTCAGACTACCAATCATGTCGACTGAGGCCCCTCGACCTGTGAGCTTCTCACGTAGGCGGTTGCGGTATCCCTTTTGATCTTTTGAGCCATTTCCCTTTGTGATGGAATCTCCGAGAGGCATGACACGAAGGGTAGGCAGCGCTGAGGCTAACGGGGCTAAAGAGGAGAAGACGAGCACCATCACTAATGTGATGATACCCTGAAGCGTGGAACACGCCATGATGAATATGTGTAGGTGAAAATAAAGAGTGAATATTTGTTGTTCTGTAGAACGATTTTGTACAAAGACGGAGTTGTTGATGGCATTAAATTATGTTCAGCGGATTTCCCCAAGGCTATTATATACCCAGTCTTTTCTGAGTCGTAGGATATCTCGAGATACTAAAAGTTACCGTCATAAATGCCGCGGCCCCCAAATTCCAGATTCTTTACAATAACGCCTTCATCTAATCATGGCCTTACATTTCTGTTGGTCATGAAAGAGCGGTCTATTTTGGAACATAAAAGACACATCCATTCTAGCAGGGTACGACGCAACAATCCAACAAAGGCGTATTCGGTCCTTTCCTCACGGACAGGATTTAGCATGAGGCATTTGATATGCATGCTATTTTTATTATCTTGATGGTTTCTTCACGTCTAAATTTGGTTCTTTGGGTACATTGGCTGTGTTGTAGTGATTGTTGGTTTTGTACTGTTGGTTGAAGAAAAGTCAACAGGAGGTGTGATAAACAAGGCAAGGGACACCAATCGGGTGTCAAGTCCGGGGCTGTTAGTTGGTCAAATGTCGGCTGGGGTCCTTCCGTGCAGATCTTGTCCCAGTGTGCTCGATTCTGCCTCGTGCGCCATCATGAATAATTTTATGGGCAGATGTTGTTGGTTCTGTCATTAGGAATGTCTTCACATGACCTTGTTGGTTCTGGGATGTTTTTGTGTTGATTTACAAGGGTTGAGATATTCCCTCGGAAAAGTCGTCGGATTGCAACCCTGAATGGGATCAGGTTGGTAAGAAATGTAACTGCCGATTCGTCCAACACTATGTTTATCCGTTCTTGGCAGCGTTTAACTCTCAGCCCCCAAAATCTTAATGCATGTTGGATAGGACTACCAACACATTTTCACGACAAATTTTCGGAACTCGAATACCGTGTTAGTGATGGTAGGACCCCGGGATAAATCAGTAGGCAGTATCATTGGGGGCGCATTTCTAAAAAAAAGGAAAGGGGGGACGCAGAGGTAATTGCGAGTATCTTGGTTTGGTATATGTGAGCTCCTTTTAACTATTAATACAGCAGCATGGAAGCTCCTCCAAAGCGACAGCATTAGCAACCACTCTTGACATATACTTTACCGTCACGCAAAATCACCCTCAGGAACATCTTTAGCACAAAATGGAGAGAAAATCTCAAACATGGTCGAGGTTGCTCTTCTCTTGCATTTCAGCTGCCTTTGCCTCTCTTGCCCTCAGCATCATTTATGCCGGGGCTTGGAAGAGCCTTGACTTGAAGCTTAACACCAGCTTTGCTGATGTGCGTAGTCTCCACGATGATACGTTTGTCAATTTGACCAGGCGAGCATCTGATTACGACGCAGCTGTTGAGAGAGGACGCAAACTCCATTGTCTGATGAGCATGTCCCAGGAAGAAGCTAAGCAAGCCAACAAGGGCGTTTCGCTGGAGAGTCCTGAATACCTCCAGCAGTGGCCAGGGATCGATGAAGTCGAAGGCTGGAGCATTGACGTCGAGGACAACGAAGCTCCTTATTTTCAAAACTATCTTGATACGGCATTACAAGGTCTTGGAATCAACAAGGATCTTCATCACGAAGCCTGGGCAAACGACGGAGAGGGAGAGTTCTACGAGGATCCACTCGATCCTGATATTGACAATGTGCAAAGATGCTGGGTGAGTGCTTATATACCAATGAAATAGATGACCACCACTGACTCTTGTCCCGATGCTTAGCCGTCAGGCGCATACTTCTACACATCCTTTATCTTGGACAAGGGTGTTGTAATTGGTGACAATGCCCTATCTGTCATGCCCGCCTTTCGCGAGACGTATCGTGGTCTAGAAAACTTGAATGTCCCTATAACACACCTCCGTCAAGTAAGTGTAGGATTCAGCTGTATGAGAGTGACAGATTGATGTCTCAAGGTCGCTAATCAAGTTCCAGTGGAGTGACGTGGCCTGGATGCAATGGGTGAGTCACTTTCGCTGTTCTTTATAACTTGCATTTCCAGAAGTACATACTAACTACTTCATTTATTACATTACAGACAAGGGCCTGCTTTGACAACCCTGATCTTATTGACAGAATCAGATATGTTATCCAAGCCCAAATTACGAATCGCTCGACCCTTGGGATACTATTTGAGGCGCTGTACAAATACGCTGGTGGGCAGATTGTCATAGGTAAGTGGAATGGTCGCATCACCCTGGATGTGGAGAAGGACGATGAAGCGGAGGCGTTCTATGCATTTCTTGGCAGTCCCCATGGGAGAATGACGACATATTTGCTCCTTAACCACAAGAAAAGGTTGGGTATTAAGACAATCAACAAGGTGGATATATTTGTTCCTAATATTCCCTGGACAGTTACGGGATCGAGTGTCCCCGAACTCGCAAGAAACGCTAAGGTTTCTTCTGTACTTTATGTTACAAATGTCTAAGCCCTACAGTATAGCAAAGCGTATATACAATCTATAATCCATAAATAGGCCGCCATGCTGTTTAAGAATCCGTTGAACAGGACATCTCGAGTACTAAATCTTAAGTCTGACATATTGCTAACTGATCTATGCCTTGTTGTATCAGGTGTTATGTCTTCCCTAATAAATAATCAACCGCTTACAAACCATGTACATAACGACCTTGGCCTTGCTGTACAGGAGATTTAGTTCTGGGAAATGGATAGTAGGTATGAAAACAATTCGAAGCTGTCTTGTCCCAGAGTCTGATAAACAAATTCTATAATGATATCAACAGTAACGAAATTTAAGACGAATCAATTATCCTTGTATCCCGAAGAGCGGCCTTAATTCTTTCAACCTCTCCGGGCGGCAGAATACTCTCCCATGCGAAGAAATAGAAGTGGTCACCATAACGCACCCCGGTTCCTATCCCAGATGCTAATCCCAACAGATACAGCCTTCGTCGGTCCCAGAACGCGAGACCCAGCGGTCGAAATGAGTCGAATTTAACGCCAGGAATAGGCGACCCAACCAACATGTCGTTATTTCTCAGCCGAATCCAAAACGAGATCCCATAGGGTCGGTTGTTAAACGCGTCTTCTGTCTGCTCCCAATGATGTGCCTCAGTCAATACTGGAAGCTCAACAGGGGTTGCTCCTTCTGGTACTGCAGCCAAAGTTGAACCTTTCCGCAAATAATGCAGCTTGTTGTTCAAGCGGAAGGCCTTGAGTTCCATAACACGCTCGTTGCGGTTTGGCCATCCCGCAATCCAACGATTATCTGCCGAGGGTGTGGGAGCCTTAGGCAGTCGGTAGAATACATCTTTATAGCAGCCATTGCGTGTTGTTAGATAATAAATGGCTGACTTGATGGGTTCTGTGTCACAGATTTGACTATGACGATCATGGAACAAATCGACCGGGCCCATCCCACGTATCGTAGAGACATCGTCATCGGACCAGCCAATCGTTTCTGGATTGTCTGCGACTAGACACTGCACCTCGCCCATCAATTGTATGATCCACATAGCCCGTACGACTCGCATTTCTTCCACCCATGTGGGCTGTCCCATATCAACGATTGGGACAGGTGCACCAGTAAATTGACGATCCCATGCTCTAACCCACATGTCATCGGGGCCATAGCTATGCGTGTAATGCGGTTTAGGATCATGGGCGTGCAATGGCCTGAACCCTGGGCCTCGTAGTCGCTCTAGACAAGATGCCAGGTATGCTTGTGATAGAGCCGAGATATGATAAGCTGTTGCGACGACAGACCTAAAGACTGTCGCCCCAGCTGACGACGACAAGGAGTCTGGTCCGAGAGTCTTGAGAGGTGTGTTCTGTGACACAAGGAAGGGAATCATACCCCGCATGAATCGGCATTGAAACTCGTCCAGGTTTTCGAAGGGAATCGCCCCAGAACGTGTGAGTATTACTCCTCGTATAAGCTCCCTGACTTTTGAGGGTATGATTGAACTCGGTCCTGAGAGTATGCCTTCGGTAATGGTAAAAGATTCAGCATCAAACAGTCGCCAAACTCGAGGTGATGCTCTCAAGAAGTTCCACAGCAAATCGAGGTTGGGAAGGTTATTAAGTATGAGGAGTAGTATATCTGATGGAAGCAGCTCTAATGATGCTGTCCCACGTCGGGCGTTTTCAATCATTTTGTCGAGACTTGTAATCTGCTGTGCGGAGAAGGGAAGTTCTGGTATTGGAGTGCGGATGTGCGCGACTTAAATGGTTTCATCCAGCCCCTGGTCCCTGTTGGTTCAGTCTTTGTTGGCACAAGGGAAATCCAGCTCCCATTATGATCATCACGTGATATTCGGTACCAGCTCTGTTGATATCGTCAACGAACTCCCCAAGAGCCTACTGGCTATTCTATACCTCTTTACTGTGGTAGTACTACTACTGCATTATTCAGGTCGTAATGTATACTCTAAATTTTACAATAAATGGTTCCTTTCCCATATACTATAATCTGGCTCTTTTCTAATTATTATACAGATTCGAATAACTATAATTTACATCTTAGTTTCTTCTAATTAATACCTGGTTTTAACGTGTAATGAATTAGAGTAAATAGTTTGTTTAACTACATTGGTTTCTGTAACTACCTAAGATATTCTTAACGGTGGTTTTACATAGGTTACTTATTGAAACATCTGATTATAAAAAATAAATACACTATGGGTTAGAATTATATAAGTTTAAACAGATTAATTACCGACCTCATATAACATTGAATAAATGTTAATATTAACCACACTTTTAAACCCTAGACATGTTATTTGATTTCCTGATACGCACTATACCCCCCACAGAACCTTTGATCTGATCCACAGGGATCGGCATTTTAAGGCTTGTAGACTCCTGTCCCTGCTGATGATAAGATGGAAGTGGCTCTTGTACAACCCACATATCTCGTGCCGGGTCATACGTCGGATCAGGTCCACAAGATACCCTAACAAAGTTTTCCCAATCGCGTTCATCAAAGATAGATGTTCCCAATGCCATCTGAATGTCGGAAAGACTGTAGTTAGGCCGTATTAAACGAACCAGAAAAGGTATGTAGAACTTCAAGCAATCCTTGGTCACCGTGAAAGGCTTGCATTGCTGAAGCTCTCTCTTTAGCTTTTCGAACTTCTGAATGCTTTGTAGGCGAAGGATTGAGGTGGGAGTATCTACTGTAGAGTGAGTAAACATACGTTTAGGGGCGAAGCGATGTGAAATAAACTTACCCATGAGTATGAGAACTTCAAAAGCAAGATCATCTTTCCATTGCAGGTATAGGCAATCTGTCAACTTAATGACCTCAAGCACTGTCTTCCTATCCCGAAAGATCGTATCGTGGCATAGTTGCCCTTGATGCAGCTCAACGAGAGTCTTGTCTGCAAGTTCATCATTCCCAAGATGAACATCAACGACAGTGGCTGCGATGACAATTAACTTCTCCCAGTGGTCTAGACCAAGTCGACGGTACGGGTGTTGGTTAGGTTCAATCATCTTCAGCCGCGCTAATTTATGCTTGGCCTTTCTTGGGTTTTCCAAGCCGTGTAGCCTTCGCATTTCAAGTTGACCTTTTTCTTGCGAGAGGTCTCTTATAAGAGAGATGAACTGTTGTGGTAATTCAAGTGACGGTGGTGGTAACAACTTTCTGAATTGCGGCTGTTCAATGACAATCTCGAGTGCTGGAGCCGCTATAGCAGGCATTAAACCCAGGTCATTTCTTGGTGACGGCCTGCTGTGAGGTTGATTGTAATTCATTGTAATGTAGATAGAAAGATGGAAAGATGAAAAGAGGGGAAGTAATCGTGAGGCCTTGAGACACTCTCTTAGCCACTCTAATTAGCGGCATTCTATACGTGCCAGAAATGGTTAGTAGCTTGCAGATGGCACGGCTTAAGCAACGAATCACAAAGTTGTGTTTAACTTACGTCACACTGTTACGCCCCACAGTAAATTTGGATAAACATTATAGAAATACAGTTACACATTCAGGTCTACATTGGATATTACTTTATAGTTAGATCTTAATTGCTTTCAAGTAACAAACTGCAAACCATTATTGATCGGACGCGACCGTAGTGAATAACCTGCACTCTATAGAATTAGTAACTGCTGTAAGTTTACTTCGATAAGATTGGAGGTAAAAGTTTTGGATTTGACAGAGCGCTTACGGTATGTAAAATCTTCGATTCATATTGAGTCAATTCAATTTAAATTAAATATTTTACTTTCTAAAAGAAGCTAATGTTATACCCTTTATACTTAATTTGGCTAAATTGTAGAGTATACTATATTTCTGTATAGGGTAGTAAAATTTCGATTAAGGGAGATTTAGACTATTTTTAGCCTGTCCTGATATATCTTATCGGTATCTTATCGTATTGTATCTCATCTTATCTTATCTTATCTTAAGGGAAAGCTTTAGCCACATAGCCATTAAAGTTAATTTAGATCTTAATATTTTACTGCTGGACTTCAATTGAGGGGGATACTTAGTTTTAGGATCCTAGATTTCTATAAAGTCAACCTAGTTTCACTTACTTAGCATACAGTAGAAGAAAATTAAATGTTGTCTTGAGATAAAGTCTATATAGAGCAACTTTCCCCGTCGCGTTATAGAAGGAGTAGATACAGTCTCTATGTTAATGTTTATTTAGTTATAGGCTCTCATAGAGGGAAAGAGAGACTACGCAGAAATTCGTGCTAGTTTGTACCGTTGAATTCATAGCGGTGGCTTGTAGACCTTGAGCAGCTCTTTGAAAGTAGTTGCTGGTTGTGATTGCAGAAATTCCAATTGGGTTACTTACTAGCTTTGACGCTGAACCTGCTGTAATAACTTGAAAGCTTCAATTAGGAGAGGTAAGAAATATTTAAGGATTTGGGTATTGGGTTTGATATTGCAAATTGTTGCCAGTTCGACACGACATCGGAACACTGGGGTTAACCACAACTAAGGTAGTTAAGCTTGGAATTCCAGTGTCATCCAACCTGGGAGAGTTCAATCTTCTAAGTATTAAATAGCCATCGCACCACTTCCATAGAGTCTGGCAAGGATTGTCAGCGACAAGGAAGGTAAGGTATAGCCCATAAGCAAGATCTTTTATCAGGTGAATGCAACTAGCAAGGTAAAACCTTACTTCGTGACGGTCCTTGAGATCATGGAGAATGTTCCCTCAAAACAGAGAGCGTGAATACGGCATAACAAACTCCAGGTTCTGGTCGATTATACAGTTCTTGAAAGTTGTTAAGTACAGGAGCACGAAAAATATACCTATGAGTCTGAGACTGGTCTGGACGAGCATATCAAGCACATGTACTTTGGCTCCTTCACAGAGGGCCCGCTTCCCAGGTCAGTGCAGCAGGGTGCTTCTCCAGCTCCAGGCACATTTAAAATTTCTGCTCGATCATACGATAGGTCCACGACTATCATGACTGCCAAGGGGTCCTGTGATTTATGACCAGATTTGTGAGAATAGACCAAAATATCAATTAACTCCTGCACGGGAGGCCATTCTTTACTTAGGAGATTAACCCAGTGAATCCGCACAATTGGATGATAAAAGAATACAGAGAGTGGGCCATACGATTCCATGGGAAAACAGCTGAGTGGATGTTTCCCATAGCTCTCTTACTTTCAAAGATGATCAATGCAACCCTCAGGTTAGTAAAGTCTATAGCAGACTAATGCGAAGGGTGTCCCAAGAGGGTTGCATGCAAAAGATGTCACAATGGTCGGGCGAACTTTGCGGAGAATGTGGGGGAGACCCTTGACGACATTCCTCGTTCTCCGAGTACAGAGTACACCCACCTTAATATCATTGGCTCAACCAGGAACAACTTTATGGTCGCTTAAGCGCAACTAGATGAGGTATTTATGCGAGGTTACCTGTGATCACCTCCTGCCTTGTCGATCAGTACATTTAGAAGACTTAGTGCATTTAGCAATTACGGGGAGCCCGATGCGGATTTGCCTCCGTGCTGGTGTGTGCCAAACACACAATGATATACTGTTCCACTGTCAGGGCATGAGGTTTTACGGTCAGCAGGCTCTAGGAGACCAAAATACTTTGTTATTTTTGCATTGTGACGTAATAATGGATTAGTCTTATGAGGCTCTATTTAATCTGACTGGTATATATACCATGTTTGGCCACAATGACTGAAGGTATAAATCAAGTGGACTACCTATGATACTCAACTGATTCTCTCTAACAAGCAGTGAGATCATCTGAGGCATTTTTATTATCATTATTATGGCGATACCTTTCGTGTCATTGTCGAATATGCTGGCGCTCCGCTTCTTTCCATTGCTATCGTTGGCCCTGTATGCCAGCCTAATCTCACCTGCTGCCAGCCAGACCCGACCCAGCTATCACATCACCCCCGAGAAGAAGTGGATGAATGACCCCCAACGTCCGTTTTTCCTCGGGAATGAGTGGCATCTCTACTACCTGTACAACTCCAACTGGGAAAGTTCAAACCCGGGTTCAGGAGGAACAGAGTGGTACCACGTTACAAGCCCCGACATGATATCCTGGACTCGTCAGGGCGTGGCTATCGAGAAATACAAACCAAACCCACCGAGCGGCAAGATCCTTGGCGACATTGAGACCGGCAGCGCCGTGATTGACACGAAGAACACGGCTGGTTTTGGCAAGAATACCGTTTTGGCCATGGTCACACAGATGGCAGATGGTGTGCAACAGCAGTCTCTTTTCTATTCCACCGATAACGGGTATAGCTTCACCCCTTATGAAGGCAATCCTGCAATGCCAAACCCAAATCCGAGTACCAAACCTGCCTTTCGCGATCCCAAAATCTTCTGGGATGACGAAGCCGGGCATTGGGCTATGGCACTCGCTGAGGGTAGCAAGATTGGTTTCTATGCCTCTAAAGATCTCAAGACCTGGCAGTATATGTCTGGATTCTTCCCTGGGGATGGTCATATAGATTTGGGAATACTCGAGTGCCCAGATCTATACCAGATTGACCTAGATGGAGACACCGCAAAGCGCACCTGGGTTCTCGCTATGGGCGCAAACGGCTACCGCTACAATAGGCCAACGGGAACAGCATATTGGATCGGAAGGTGGGACGGTCGAGGTTTCGTCGCCACAAATAGTCTCCCTCAGTGGATGGATGACGGGCCCGACTTCTACGCCACTGTCAGTTGGGAGAATCCGAAAGATACTTACGGCAGTCGCTTTGCTATTGCTTGGATGAACAACTGGGACTACGCACCGACGTTGCCATACTACGGAGATTTTGCTGGCCAGACCAGCCTGATTAGGGAGGTCAAGCTCAAGACCGTCAATGGTGCCCCTACGTTGGTCAGCAGCCCGATAACAGGGTGTGGCTTTGACGAACCTTCCAGCTCCGTAAGCGGAAAGACCATCACCACAGATCCCGCAACTGCATCTCTCCCTGGTAACCTTCGTGAGGGTGCATACGTCATCCATGCCACCATCTCCAAGAGTGACGGCGACACGGGTGATGAAGTCCGCTTTCGAATCAAATCCGACGGGTCCTTTAGTACGACAGTCGGCTACAACTTTGTGAATTCTGAAGCCTTTCTGGTCAGAGACTCGGACGGTTCCGCGACGGATTCCCTCGCTGAGGGTCCGAAGAAGACATACAACGCTATACGAACGGCCCCGAATCCTTCAGGAACAAATACGGTGAAGCTGGTGATATATGTGGATTGGAATTCAGTCGAGGTGTTTGTTGATAACGGTGTGGCTGTACTATCAGGACTTATTTATCCGAATGAAGCGGCGAGTGGTATTCAGGTTGTGTCGGATCAGGGAAGCTTATCGTTGGCGTCGTTCAGTTATACTGGGTGCGAGAAATAGCTTCCAGCTACTGGCTCAATACCTGTCAACTTCGCACGGAAGTAACGTCAAGATAGAAACAGGGGTTGTCTTTCTTAACAGAATTCATTGACATCATATGACGCTCGTTATGCTAGCCCATCATTAAAAAAAAGAAGTGCTGAGCGCAGCCCAGAGTAGCTCTTCAATACATTTTGCCTAAAAGCCCAGCATCAGACGACCTTACTGCCCGTGCTGGTGCACGAATTATAGAATCGTCGGCCCTTTCCAAATGCTCAACTGTCACGCTCAAGCTTTCAAGACGGCGTATGCCGTCGAAACTTCCCACACTCCGCCTCGCCATATGGTTATCCTGATTGTGCATCTGAGCGCTGCTGGGTCTACTAAAAGGAAGTGGATAATTCTGGTCCATCTTGTATCGACTCAGCTTATCCAGTGCGGTTTTGAAGTCGTCCAGAACAATAGTATCGGTAAAGCATTTAAAGATAAATGCAAACTTCCAGAATGGATTAATGTAGCCGATCGGGATAACAGGGGTGACGGAGAGAAGATCAATAGTGATAAAGATAATACTCAGAGACATGCTCAAGAGTAAAAGACCGAAACGGGGGGATATACGGATAATCTCCAGGGGCTTAAACTCGTAACGGTACTTAATGTTCCAGAAAAGGTTGATAGCTGTGAAGATCCACCAAGGGTCACTGGTGTTTATTAGTTTGACTGCCAAGTATCTCCGGGTGGTATTACTTACCGGCAGACAGCCTCAAGAGGTCGGGTTGAAGAAAAAAGGTGGTTGGAACTATTGAAGTAGGTAAAGTTGGCATATATCTCGAGGACCCAGTAGGGCTGGACAAGTATAATAGTGCCGATATATATATAATTATTTCGCTTTGAAAGAAAGGGCTTGTTCTTTATCCAAGCGATGACGTTATGCAGGTTCCACGAGATGATGAGGAAGATCGCAGTCGAGGAAAGATACCATCCCCAGGCCGGAGGGTCAAAGAAGGTAAAAAGGCCATTTGGTATGGCCAGAAGGAGCTTACAAGATGTGTCAGATGTTTATGGTTGTATATTAACGTGGTAGCGACAGAGATGCTCACCTCAATCAAGATAAGCTTATGCAGTAACACACCACGGCGCATGTTGGCCAAGGTGATACCAATCATAATAATTAAAGCCCCAATCATAAAGCCCTGTGACCAAGCTTCCAGGGTGAGTTTTGCTGGGCTCGCGGGCCAGGCCCCAGGGACTGACATTGTAACACAGCAGGATGGAGCATATATGAACAAGAGAGTAATTCTGTGGGGGGTACTGAAAGATAAGAAACGTGTGGAGACAGAACAGTATTAATATAGAGATCAATATGGCCAAAAGTCAAACCATTGCATTGTGTTACCCCGCGTCTTTGCTGAACCACTAGTCCCCAGCAAGCAGGCCGCTAATTTAGTTATCCCCATGGGGTGGCCTGAGCTGGGCCTCAAGCTTGCATGTTGGAGCTTGTCTCTTGACACTCGATGTAACGCTATAATGGAGAATAGACTAGAGCGGTACGTACCCTTTGCTAGCAAGTTGCAGTTTCCGGGTGACTGGTCTGCGGGTTAACGGTTGACCTGGGAAGACTAAACCAGCCGAGAAGAGGTAGCATTCGACAACGCTGCATCACATCACACAAGACCAATTACATCAAACTGAGCAGCGCCACGCCGTTCGTTGCAGATGTTTTATTGTATGAGACAGAAACAATTCAAAGCGGCGGTATTTCTGCTTATGAGAATCTTTACAAGGGTAAGACAAAACCACGCCACCCATTCCCAACACTGGAATTGGGTTAATTAGCACCAGCTTGAGCCTAGTGGCGTAAGAGCAATTGACTTTACTGCCAAAGCACCACCGCTCGCGACCAAGTCAATGTCCTGCGATTCTTGATACCTTGGAAAGACAGTAGCCGAAAACACCGTCCCATCGCTAGCGAAAATCTCAAGCACAGACCTATCGAGAAAGATATCTAGAGAGAACTTTTTGCCACCAGCAACGTCAACCAATGCCTCCCACTTGCCCGCCTGCCCGTAACCAGCATTTGTGGTGTCAAGGGTGAGACTCCCAGCCTTCTTGTCGAATGTCAGCACCACGGATTCACCAGCCGACTTGAAGAGCGAGAGGGCGAAAGATGTCGCATCCGAAGAAGCGAGATCGAGGTCAATGGTGAGTCTGGCGCTGTTGGAGCTACCGACATGGAGGCCTTTCTGAGTGACCTTTGTGGCCCCAATCTTCTTAGTGCGACCAGATGCAAGGGTCTTAAGCTCTGGGATAGGACGTTGGCCTAGCCCGCCATCCTTGCGGATAAACATCTCGCGGGTGATAGACTGCTGTCCAGCCCACCCGTTGACACGGCTTGGCCATTTGGGGCTGGGCCAGTTCGCCATCCAGGTAATGGCTAGATCACGACCTGCCTCGTCCTGGTACCACTGCATGGCATAGCTAGAGGGTCCGGCATCAACAAGGCCGCGCTTCTCGCTCTTGAACGTTTTTCCGTTGTGCGTGCCAGTCTCGTAGTAGCCAAGTCCATTGCCGCCATAGAAGAGAACCCATTTGTCTTCCAGAGGGAAGAAATTGGGGCACTCCCATAGCTTTCCAGTGCTGCCATCGCCAGTGTATAGAACGCCGACGTGAGACCAGGTATCGAGATCTTTAGATTTATACAACTGGACTTGGCCGCTTTCGCCGTTCGTGGCGCCAACAGCCATCTTCCACGTGTTATCTGTAGGATCATGGAAGACCTTGGGGTCTCGGAAGAACGGGACTTCTCCCTTAGGAGGTCCCGGGACGATGGGCTCCTTGGCAAGGTCAAACTTCTTTCCATCTTTGCTTGTTGCCATTATAACACTCTCCTGGACTGCATCAGGATGATAAGCGAGGTTGATGTAATCAGTCAGGATAAGCCGCAGCTCATTAGTCTTCTTGTCGACAACTCCGCTTCCCGTAAAGCGACCAGAGTCATCGCTCGCGTTGGTCACTTGAGCAGGGTACAGAGCAACAGGCTGTTCTCTCCAGTGAACCGCATCATTGCTTTTGGCGTGTGCCCAATGCATCGGACCCCATAGGGGAGCCGCTGGGTTGTACTGACTGAAGAGGTGATGGGCCCCATGGAACTCAGCCAAACCTGCCGGGTCGTTGATCCACCCCTGGTAAGGCGTGTAGTGGTACTGGGGTCTGATGGGATCGGCAGCGTAGGAGGAGCAAGCGGAGTAGCTCTGAGGGCGTTGGTTTGCCTGGCCGAGGATGTTGAAGGAGAGGCCTTTGCCGTCTCCAAGAGCATGGCAGCCAACGCGGACATCATCAATGTTGATGTGGCCCCAGGACTTTGATGTGCTGCTGTCGTGCACGAGGATATGCACCTTCTGGCCCTGCCACTTGCTTGTGTCCCAGGTGATACGGATGAGAGCCTCATCGTTGGTAGCTGTCTGCTTGAGGAGGAGCTTTCCGTCTGAGTCGCGGACAAGAGCAACGTAGAGGTGGTCAGGATTATAGCCTCCTCCGATCAGAAAGCTCAGGACAGAGCTAGCTTTGAAGGTACTGGACTTGAGTTCGCCCACGGCTTCCTCGCCAGCTTGTTTGGTACCGAGAAGAAATCGTTTGCCATCTTGGTGAAAAGGACCATCCCAGTAGGTGGTCTCACTGGAGATGGAGTCTTTGCCGAACGCAGTGCCACTGATGACCTTCCAGCCTTTGAGATCACCAGTCTCGAAACCTGGGTTCTCGGGGCCTGGATAGCTCTTAGCCTGACAGTCCTTGGCTTGAGGGAGCGAAGCTCCAGTGACCAAGGTGGCGGCCAGAGGGAGGAGAGCTGAATAGATCATGATAGCTTGAGGGGAAGTAGAAGATGGATAGGGAAAGTGTAATCTGGGCAACTGCTGGACTTGTTCTGATCATTTCTTCATCAAGTGCAGTTCTATCGACGCCTTTATACTTCAAATGCATATCTCACAAGTCATACTGACGGAGTACTATCACTTGGTGTCATGGCCTAAAACAAATGCGCGTATGAAACTACAGTATACGAGCAAACGTTAACCTCCTCATAGAGTGGTGGAGAAGACATATAGAGACCGGTGACTTGACTTCAATGGGCTAGAACTATTCTAGAAGCACAAGAGAAGAAGTTTCGCTCATGCAGAGTCGGGGATATGGCGGATGCTACGTAGAGCTAAAGCCATCCATACTTTCGGATTGGTTGGAGAGGGTAAGATCTGCGAAAGGTGATCCTTGGTGGACGAAATACCCTCACAGCCTCGTCATTTTTCACATGCCATATTCCAGACAGAGCTTTGATAATTCTCGCAAACGAAGTGAAGCACGGATCAACTGCTTGCTTAAGCTTGGAGATTTGTTACTTGACATCGCCCGTTTAGTCTTGACCATGCGCTTGTGCATTCGTCGATTATTAAACACCGCGGATATTGGTAACAGCTCCGGGCCAACGGGCGTACATGAGAGACGCTGTGATAAGGCCAAGGGGTCTTGTGGTAGTTCCACATATTGTGTTCTGCAGTATAATAGGTCGGGTCTAACATGAGATGACGATCAGCACGCAAGGATGCCAGGAAGACAGGCCCCAAGTTCAAATGGTATATGCATGGAAGGACAGAACAGGCTTAAACTGAGACAGCGAACCTTGTCCAGGGTTAGGCTATGTTCTCATTGCAAAGTGTGAAGTCCGGAAGTACGGAGTACGGAGTACGGAGTAAGAACAGCGATCTCACGCCATGCATGGCACTCAGAACATGCCACATGTGGAATAGCCAACTTCCGAGCCATCACGGTGATCCTCTCGCGATGCAACACGACCCTTGACTGGATGGACAATGTAGACGCTAGTAAGCGATGTGTCTGCTTGCGGGTTTCTGGAAGGTGAATGGAAGCTGGCATGACGCACTTTGAACCACGCCTCTAAGCGACAGAGGGGCCAGTGTTACATCGTGGTATCTTGCCGGCCCGACAAGAGACACCATTGGGTGATCATTGGCAGGAGGAGGGTGACATCGGCCAAAAGCGCGTCGATCATGCTTGTTTTTCGACGTAGATTAACCCCATGGGGAATAACTGATTATAATTATGCGGGGGACTTGCAAGAAATCAAGTCAACGTCTATGCGGGGGAAGCTTCTCTCATCACTAAAAGGCTTCTAATGCAATCACGGAGTACTCCATACTCCCATGAAGGAGGGTATAACAGCACTAGTCTAAACCCAACATGGCCTGATACTTGCCGATCTTTGAGCTTGATAAGGAATGTGAAAGGAAATAATTCCGTACTACAGCTCAGCTCCAACGGCTAACAACCCAACCCCGCACCCATCATGATGCTATCCCCAGCTTCAATTCTGGTCACTGCTGCATTGTCAAGGACAGACATGCAGAAGAAGGCGACTCAATAGTTCAAGTTAGCTTCGGGTTCACCGATGCATTCTAGAAACATTCTAGGGTCAAGTTCGCCCGGTTTCGCTGCAAAAGCTGTTCATCCATGTCGCAGTCACATCATAACCCTTGTTCATGTGCAGGAACGTGAGGCCAAAAGATGAGATGATAGGTGGTGCGAGTGATGATTGGCTCTATCTGGCGCCATTGTGTTTTGATATCTCCGGGGTGTATGATAATGCTTCTCAACACGTCTCAACACCAGCCTCACAAGTTCGATTACAGTGGAACACATTGGATGGCGTGGGACTCTGGGAAACATGTGAGAAGACTGATTCCGACTCGTGTTGGTCTGCTATTGCATACCTAGACGCGATGAAAGAGATTGGTCAAGTCATTATCACTGGATCCAGTTTCTACATCTGTGTAATGACCAGAATCCATTCAGGGATAAGATAAATGTGAAGAATATGAAATATTTATAAGAGGGTGAGGTTTCCACGACCAAGAACATTATTGCAACAAGAATTGTCGACTCACAGCAACCAAACACCGTTTTCTCAACTATTCTATCTTCTATCTCAGCAGCGACTCAGTATCTTTTATCACTTCCAACATGGGACTCACCGGCAAAGTGTCTCTTCCAAGGCCTCGCGATGAGCCTGGCAAAGCATGGCCTGCCATCGCCGTCGGCTTCTTCGTAGCCTTTGGTGGTGTTCTCTTTGGGTTTGCCATATCCTCCCTGTCTTGACTACCCAAGATGACTGACCTGTTCTGTAGCTATGATACTGGCACCATTAGCGGTATCCTGGCCATGCCTTACTGGCAGCGAGAATTCAGCACAGGCCATATTGATGCTGATGGGAATCCCAATGTCAGTTCGTCTCAGGAATCAGCCATCGTGTCCATTCTCTCTGCAGGCAATTTCTTCGGCGCCCTCGCCTCGCCTCTCCTGTCTGATTGGCTTGGCCGTCGACCTGGCTTGATGATCTCTACTTGGATCTTCAACTTTGGAGTCGCCTTGCACACTGCCGCCACCGATATTCCGTTGTTTCTGGCAGGTCGCTTCTTTGCAGGCTTCGGTGTTGGTCTGATCTCTGCTACTAGTATGTACCATGTTTGAACTTGTGGTGCGGTGGCTAACTATCCTCAAGTCCCTCTCTATCAGTCTGAAACAGCACCCAAATGGATCCGTGGCGCCATTGTTGGCTCTTACCAGTGGGCAATCACCATCGGTCTTCTTCTCGCCGCCGTCGTAAACAATGCGACTTCGCACTGGGATAATTCAGGCTCCTACCGAGTTCCCATCGCGCTGCAACTGGCATGGTCTCTCATCCTCTTCAGCGGATTGCTATTTCTTCCAGAAACTCCACGCTTCCTTATTAAGAAGAACCAGACAGACAAAGCGGCAAAGGCTCTGAGCCGTCTTCGACGACTACCTGCTGATTCCCCAGAAATCGCAAACGAACTCAACGAGGTTATGGCAAACCATGAGTTTGAGATGAGTCTAGGGCAATCCTCTTATCTCCAATGCTTTAAGCCTCCCATGCTCAAGAGACAACTCACGGGTATGGGCGTTCAGGCGCTGCAGCAGCTTACAGGTGAGCACACACGCCACACCATCTCTTGAACAATCACTGACTATCTCTTTAGGTATCAACTTCATCGTAAGTTCACTAACACTTACCTATACTAAAATCGAAGCTAACTGACAATCTTTTAGTTTTACTACGGCACCAAATACTTCCAGAACTCGGGCGTGTCTAGCGGATTCATCATCTCAATGATCACTTCAGCCATCAATGTCGTATCGACGGTGCCTGGAATGTATGCTATCGATAAATGGGGACGCCGACCTATGTTGCTGTGGGGAGCTATTGGCATGACAATCTCTCAGCTGATTGTCGCTGTCTGTGGCACTCTATCTACTGGGCAGTTAGATAATGGTGAGATTTTTATCAAGAACCTCGCCGGGCAGCGAGCGGCCGTGGCCTTTGTTTGCATCTACATCTCCATCTTCGCAGCTACTTGGGGCCCCCTCGTCTGGGTGGTTACAGGCGAGATCTTCCCTCTCAAGACACGAGCCAAGTCCCTCAGCATCACGACCGCTACAAACTGGCTACTAAATTGGGCTCTGGCTTATTCCACCCCGTACATGGTCAATTACGGAGAAGGCAACGCAAACTTGCAGTCCAAGATCTTTTTTGTGTGGTTTGGCTGCTGCTTTCTCTGCATTGCATTCGTTTGGTTCTTCATCTACGAAACAAAGGGGCTCACTTTGGAGCAGGTTGATCTGCTCTACCAAGAAGTAAGCGTCGCACGGAAGTCGGTTCACTGGGTCCCGTCTTCCTCGTGGGAGACCCGACAGGGTCACAACTTGAAGGGTGAGGAGGGAGCAGAGTTAGAGGAGGTTGGCAACTAAGGGGAACTTGGTGGAAGATATCACCCGGTCTAGAAAGTGGAACATTGTAAGCTAAAGCTAGCCTGTTGCAGTGGGCACCATTTATGTCTTTGATCTCCAGTTCAATAAATATCTTGCCACTAAATGACGCTGTATGTTATCTAAGGCAACGAAGATAATTTATCACATTCAAGTCTAGCTATCCTTGAAAGCAGTGGAGAAAGGAGGAAGTAATCGGAGGCTTGTCGGATATGGAGCCTGTAGGATACACTTGGTTACTACCCGTTTTAATCACTAGGTTACTACAAGTATAACAAGCCATCAAATGTAAGATCCCACAGATCACCACTGAGATCAATCCCACTAAAGAGATCTCCTTCTTCAGAGTTCGTAAATGTAGCAGAACTTTGATCCTCGCTGGGATTATCTTGGACTCGTGCTATGTGACATTAGACCTCTCTTCTGCATCGCAAATGATATGGATTGGTTGGCATTGTAAAAGCTCTCAACCTACCTCCCTGTTGAATTCTAGTTGCATTCTTGGTAGTTTCTAAAAACTGCTGCAACTTGTTCCGAGTCTCAGCAGCCCCCTCGACGTGCGGTTCATGTGCCTCAAGGATCTCAAATGCCTTCATGACGCCGAGTGCATGAGGAGATGTAACTTCTTCCAAATTGCCACCGATCGAGGGTATAATTGAAGATGCTATCAATACTGTTGTCGCCGAGAGAGTAACATGCAGGGCATTTGCACTAATAATCTTTGCCGAAGATTGGAGGTTTGTGTGCAGTATGTCAAGTGCTGAGAGGGCATTATGAACGCAAATTTGATAAGTTTCATCACGCAGAGTAATTTCAATGCGGGATTGTTGAATGTCGGGTTCTGGTTCTCGGTTTGTTAGAAGCTGTCGGGCTGTTGCGAGTAGACTGGGTCGCAGGAGCAGCAGTCGCACGTAAATAATCCTGATGTTTTTGAGTGAAATTACATTAACACAAATGCAATCAAGCTCACCTCAAATTCGTCACTTCGGCCTGGAACCTAAGTACTTTATCTCTTGGGGTATCCCCCACATTCGAATCGTACCTTAAATGATGTGGCAGATCAGCTTCGATATTGTTGAGTTTTCCGTCGAGTTCAATTAGACTTGTCAGCTCTGGCATCTTTGCTTCGCCGGTAAACGAGGTGATGTTGACCTCACGAGCCTCGGCCACAACGTTGAAAATTCGAGCACCGATCGCCAGGGCGTCCAACAAACAAGGTCTGCCCGGTGGTTGAATGCCAACCCCTTCTTCTAGAAGATACTCATCGTCAATCATTTCGGGGAGTGGGCATGTGTTATCGTGCATCACTAAACTGCTCCATCCAAAAAGTGATGACATCAATCTGGTACGAGTTAGAAGACTCTTCAGTTTCAGGTTTGACATATGAACCTTTGCATAGTCAAGCATAAATGCCAGACTCGTTTCCCCATCTCTAGTTGTAGCTGGTTTGACGAAGGTGGCTTCTGAGCTTGATGTAAACCTATGGTCTGTGCAACCTGAATGGCCACAGCCATTGTGTTGCAATATCGATTGGAGTATTTGGTAAAGCTTAGGTAATTACCTGTCAAGAGGAGATACCGAACCACCTCAATGCTTGGACTATCCAGTGAGTCTAGGGGCATGATACCACGAGCGCGGTCATAAAACGTGCTAGCTGTCTTTAGTATGAGGGCTGGCTCGATCTTGGAACTGTTCACACAACCCAGAGCAAACACCATATTGATAGTTGCTTTAAAGGTTGTGTCTACAGCTTGAGCGCTGGAAGCACGTTCCCAGAGTTGAAGATATCTCCTTTTGAAGGTTGGTAGATGAAGGACAGGAAATATGGGATATACCATTCTCTCATAGCAGTCAACAAAGTCATCGGCAATTTCTCTCGGTGGGAGGCTGACTTGAAGTGGGATTATACCGTTAGATGATGCGATCTGGTGAGGCCCATGGTGCGTTTGAACTTTAGGGTCGCTCTGATCGGTAGCTGAGGCCTGCGTAACAGATGAAATGAACTGCGCAGTTGGGTTGTCAGCATAAGCCAATGACTGTTCATCCTGCAGTTTAGATGTAGATGGAAAAGTGGTCGAAGTAGCCCGGGATTGTCCTAATCAGAAGATAAGATTTCTCTACTCAAGTGTCGTAAAAAAGGTATCATACTAGCAATTGATTCGGCTTCCAACTGTTGCACTCTCTCATCAAGGAGTGCAATCTTGGCTAGAATCTCACTAGAAATTGGAACACCCGGCTCGTTGTATTCGCATGGAGCATTCTTGCTTAAACATGGTGAGCATCTCGGGCGTTGTCCGTCGCATCGAGTCTTTTTCGATCGGCATAACTTGCACGACTCGGATATTCGGCTGCGCTTTGGTGGCCGAGATTCGGTATTAGATGCCATCGTTTTCTGTGGTTCAGTTATTCTTCACTGAGATGCTCGGAGTCTTACGCGGGGGCAAGGATTTGATGACGGAAGTGCCCCGGGTGGACCGGAAGTGGCTTTGTCAGCGTCAGCTTCGGAAATCTCCCCGTCGCGAGTTTGACATGACTGGTCGGAATGATCTGCCCGGTCCACTAAAGTTCGCCGCTCGGTTCACTCCGCGAGATTCTAGTGAAGATGGGTGAATATGTACGTGTAAAATGCCTATGGGTTTCGATTATAAAAGATTCTCTTTCTTCATATTTTACAGATATCCCAAACACAAATCAACTCTTCACTGAATACATTCAACCTACCAGGAAACATCCCAATTAATCTACACTCTTCAATATGTCTGATACTCCTCGCATTGACGTCCACCACCACATGATCCCTCCCCAGATTGCTGGTTAGCTACTCCCTAATCATCATGAATGAAAACCTTCTCTAACTTAACTCTTAGGAGTCGGAGCTGGGCTCAAAGGCATGAAAGTTCCAACATGGACTGTCCAGAGTGACCAAGCCTTCAACAAGAAATACAACATCGAGTCAGCCATCTACTCTGTCAGCACTCCTGGAGTCACCCACATTTCTGATCCCGAAGAAAGTGCAAAGGTAGCTCGAGAAATGAATGATTACGCCGCCAGCCTTCGCGATGAAAACCCCACCAACGGCTTCTTTGCTACGCTTCCATCTCTTCAGCATACCGATCTTGTCCTCCAGGAGATAAGCTATGCTTTTGATGTGCTCAAAGCAGATGGTGTTACCCTTTTCACCAGCTATGCCACTCCTCAAGGATACCTCGGACACCCTGAATATGTTCTTGTCTGGGAAGAGCTCAATCGTCGCAAAGCCATTGTATTTGTCCATCCCATCAACAACGTCTCTGCTGTCTATTTTGACGAACGACTGCCAATGCCTGCATTTGACTGGCCTCATGAGACGGGGCGTACAGCCATGGATATGATCCTCAACAGACGTCTCCAGCAGTTTCCCAACGTCAAGATCATTCTCTCACATGGCGGTGGAACGCTTGCTGCGCTTATCCGACGAGCTACAATGGTAGCTCTTCCTGAATTCGGGGAGGTCATGACTGCTGAGGACATTATCAGTCAGGCCAAGCAATTTTATTTTGACACGGCTCTTGCGGGAAGCCAGGAGGTGTTTCCCATGATTCTCAACTTTGCAGAGCCAGGGCACTTGCTTTTCGGCAGTGACTTTCCGCACGCACCTGAGGTCCTCAGCAAGGGGTTCACCCAGTTTGTCGACGGCTTTCACATGGATCAGAAAAAGAAGAGAGAGATCTATTATAAAGCGGCTTTCAATTTGTTCCCTAGACTTGAGAAAAGGTTCAGTGTTCAGGACTAGGAATCACCAGTAATTATCCGTTCTTGATATAATGGTCGTTATTGTTTGTTTGCTGAATGTGAAATTAATCTTATATTATATCTTTAAATTAAAAAAAATTATAATAACTTCAATACATATATTATCAATCTTACTCAACTCGTCTGACATGGTGTAGTCAAATCTTCGCACTGTAATTCTAACTTTACTTCTCACTAATTTCGTTCAATTATATTTTAACCTTTCATATTTAGAGTTCATTGCATAACCTACCTGAGATATAGACTTACAAATCATAAGAAGTGCAAATCTAGTCATACTTATATAAGCCTCAATATTCTCCTCTCTAACATACTACTTTCAATCCCTGACATGAAAATTGTCAGCAGTCCAACCCTCTCCCATTGTGTAGTCCCTCTGTCCCCGCACGAAGGAATCTCTTGTAGAACGAGCACGTAAGATCCATAGACATGCCCCTCTTGAGAATGATCAGATGGTTCCCCTAGCACGATGCCAAGCCACGAGTCCTCGAGCAGCTTGTGTTGTAACTTGGAACCAGCAACGTTCTCATTAGCACCTGATGAGGGAGACAGGTCTTTGTCATCAAGCTTGAATTCCCCCTCCCAGATGTCGTTTCCGATAGACACGGTGCCACGCAGTTCAGTGGAGTCTCTCTCTGCGTAGTATCGCCTATAGAAACGAACCATAGTGACATTAGCTGTGACGTCAAGTCGATGATACTCAGAAGATGCGAAGCCAGACCGGTTCTCTCTGGAAAACACATTCCTCAGTCGATTGTAGTAGTCATTCCAAGGAATAGAGGAAACGCCGTCTGGAACCGCGATAGAAACTTCGACGTCGAATCCTTCGGCAAATGAAACTTTCATAGGAGATCCACGCCAGTGGTCGACTACACCGTCCCATCCAGTCCACGACCAACTGGGAAACCCGAACCGTCGGACTCCTGGATACTGGAGGGTCCAGCAAAGTCCACTCACGAAGCCCAGTAGAGCAATACTCGCATCTTCATCGCCGATATCACTACCGGCCAGTCGAGAAGCATGGTTAATCTCTGGGTCCCGGATAATAGGCACGCCACAGACGTGGTAAATTGGGTTCTGTTCTTTGGCGGCATATACCCTGAGTACGCCCAGCATCGCATTCAACGCGTCGTGTCTATATGTCAGCTTCCGCCCTGTGTAATCAGCTAGGAGATTGAATAAATCACTCCCGCCCATGAGTCGTGATATAAGCTTTCGTTCACTGTAGACCCACGAGGGTCTCATGATACGCAGTTCTCGATGACACATGGCTCTTTGGATAACGTACGGCAGTCGCATAGCCTCACGAGCAACGAGATCAGCGCATTCGAAAGACATCTCAGTCTCTGAAAAGAAGAGACGGCGGCGAGACAGCAGCCCTTCCTGGTAGGTCCACCCCCGCGTCATCCACGCTGAAGACTTGATTTGTGTGGCGGGATCAGGGGCTATCAATGTCAATGCATGGCCCTTGATCTTCAAACAAGGCTGCGGTACCCTAGGACGTTCGCTGCAAACGCCAGGAAGTCCTGCCGATGATGCCTGTCCGGCTGTCGCCACCAAAGTTATATCGGCATTCGTGTATACCAAGTCCATGCTTTGCAACTGTTCAGCTTTTATCTTCGAATCCCCGTCTTGAAGAACGCAGTATCTGTCCACCCACAGAAACTTATATCCAAGTCCTAATGCCACCTTGATGGCATCTTCGACAACGGCCTCAGCACCCTCTGGAATGCTATTGTCGCTAGATTCCAATGGATCCTTCATCCCAAGTCCGGCAAAAGCCGGAACACCCCATACGTAGCTCAGAGCTGCGTATATGGGAACTTGCTCGACCTGCTCGACTATCTTACGGGTCGTGCAATCAATGAGCCAAAAATGGGGTATGGGGACCAGGCTTTGAGTATTACATCGTACTGAATGCTCCTCTCGACAACATGTGATCCACTCTTTAGCAACAGCATAGTCGACCTTGGCATCCACTCGATGAATGGAAATCGATCTTGTGCCATGCTCGCAGTTGGAACCAAGGCGGCCGATAAAGCCCGTCTCAAAAACAGAACGGACACGGTCTAGACTCATCAGGGTGTCTGTTCGATCACGTATGGCCGTAGGAAGGAGAGTAAGTAACATGGTGTCGATCCAGGGATGGAGGAAGTGTTGCCATAACTCCTCCCGGTTTTCACAGAGCCACGTCCCCGTACTTGATACAGCAATCAGTACAAGATCACAGCCATCCTCGTCTCCCGCATCACTATTACCAGCAAGTTGGAAACGTGAGGCCATGGCCGCAATGAGTCGACACATTGGACAATCCCTTGCCATCCAAGTTGTGCGTACTTTGCCCAGTTCGACAATCACGCGCCCCCTTTTATCAGTATTCCGTATAGAAAATGCGTCTTCGAGGTCGATGGCGCTGCACCTTTCGCACATGTCACCACTCTCGTCTGGTGTAACATGTTGTGACGCGTTCAGAGGCAGAACAATGTTTCTACTCAGCTGATAGTGGACTTCCATTCCTTTGTATGATGTCATAGACATCTCGGAATTGCCGGACGAATCCCGTCTTTGTGAGCTGCTCTGCGAACCAGCCGATTCCTCTCCTGTTGGTGACAATATTTGACTCCCCACAACACCCTCAGCATCTGAGGTACTGGACTCACAATCGGAGGCAGCTTCAGACTCCTCATTTTCTTCCCAAAAACCCCCCTTTTTGCGCAGGATCGAAGCAACTGCAGCATCACCTATCTTACTCGCAAACGCGATGGGTGTAAGTCCGTCCCGGCTGGGACGGTTAACATCGAGATCTTCACGCTCAAGCAGAACTCGCACCATCTCGTTAGCATGATTTCCACGAATAGCCCGAAGAAGAGGTGTGAGACCTTCCCCGTCTTCAACGTTTGGGTCTACCGTCTGAATTTGGAGAAGTCCTCGTATCATCTCCACGCTGATAGGCGCATCAACTTCATTGGCGACTGTTTCAACGGCCCATGCAAGAGGAGTTCGCCCAAGGGCGTCCTTTGAGTTAGGATTTACCTTACTGCATGCCAAGAGTAGGTTGATTGACTCTAAGTTCTGGGAGTCTAACATAGCCCCATTGTTGTTTCCGCATAGTATTGATAGTGGAGTCCTGCCCTCGTTGTCGACAGGGTCTGGATCAATATCTTTTGCTTGGAGCAGGGCTTGAATTGTATCCATAGGTCGGTGCAACTTCACCACCATATGTAGAGGTGTTCTTCCTAACAGGTCCCGAGAGTTTGGGTCAACTCTATTGATCTTGAGCAGTTTTTCGACAGTTTTTACGGAACCCCCAAAAGCGGCCATAGCCAAGGAAGTTCGACCACGTGCATCCGGTTTGTGTGGCTCAATACCAGGTTTCGAAAGTAGTAGGTCAACAATATCCTCCATTCCTTTATACGCGGCTATTGAAAGTAGTGTGCCTTCGAGATGACCGCGCTCATTCTTTAAGAGCTTGTTTATATCCGTACGACCTGATTTGAGAAAGGCCTTCACCACATCGATATGGCCATTATCAATAGCGACGCAGATTGCCTCTTCCTCGTCTTCAAGGCCTATATCTGCCTTGACATGGTTAAGAATCGCTTCGACGAGGCCCGTGAGACCGTTTTGGGCCGCCCAATAGAGCGGAGTATAACCGCCATTATCTCTACAGTTCACATCGACGCGGGCGTCAGACACCAATCTCACAGCCACGTCATTAAACCTTTGCTTTCCACCGTACAACACAAAGCCTGCACCCACGGCTGCAAGTAGCGGTGTTATTTCACGTGAGTTTTGGCTGTTCACGTCGATTGTGTCGCTCCTGAGTAGAGCCTCCACAACCTCCTTGTGAGAAACCGAGGTCGCCAAGTGTAGAGGAGTACTTCCGTCTTCACTCCTCTGGTTTATATCAATCCTACCGTCCTCCATGAGCATTTCCACAATTTCGATATGTCCGTTTGCCGCAGCGAGAGACAGCGCTGTCCCACAACTGTGCGTCGCGTCTAGTTGCATGGACTTGTGATCTAGCAACAGTCTGACGACTGAACCATGTCCCTGCTGCGCTGCTAGCATAATCGGCGTGAGTCCGTCGGGATTGTAGGAGTGGTCTTCCATCCATATCGCGTTTGGGTCAACTCCGTGTGTCATGAGCAACGTTCCAGTAAGCTTCGTGCTCCCAATGTAAGCTGCTTCAGCCAGTAGCTTAACGCCAGGTTGATCATCGTCGGATTGGTGGCCAATTCCGTGCTTGTCAATAAACTTCAGAGCCATGCTTTCATGTCCATTGCGAATTGCCAACCCAAGGACTGTGGTAGAATCATACCCAGGGCAGGCATAAGGATCAATACCATCCGCATCCCCCAGCATCTCCGAGATCTCATGGAACCCATCCTCTAATGCGGAGGCCAGAAGGGCAGTAGCATCTCCTGATCCTTCCTTTAAGCTCAATTCTGATAACTTCCCGGTCTCAATGAGCACCTTTACCACTGCCACATGATCGCGTTGCACCGCATACCAAAAGGGAGTAGTCCTTCCTAAGTCTTTCCAATTCGGATTCGCACCATGCTCAACGAGTCGTGACACGACCAGTGCATGACCGTTTTCTGCAGCATAGGATATAGGAGTCCGACCATTGTAGTCTCTCTTGTCGGCATCCACATGAGGATTCGCCAAAAGCATTTCAAGTATAGCACTGTTCCCTGCGTAAGCGGCATAGGATAGTGCAGTACTACCATCATTATCTTGACAGTTAATGAAGTTTGGCCTAGTACTTTTTGCAAGTAAGGCTGCGACGAGGTTAGCTGCGCCAGCTCGCGTCGCAAGATGAATTGTTTCCGTCATCCTAGGATATCTTGAACTGATATCTCCGATACGATTACGACTTTTCGTGCCTGCGTATTCGGCCTGAAGTGCCCCCTCCCACATTGTGCGATCAGCTAGAAAGTCTCGAATCGTCGTGTCAGAAAGAAGCGGCGTCTGGATACTTTGCACGTGTTGCCCCCAGTGTCGCGCAGCGTAGTCATATAACGGATTGAACTGTAGCCGCTTCTCAAAATCTGCGTCGGTCTGGCAAGCACCACCGTCGGATCTGCTTAAGAGATATCGAATACAAGAGACCCCCACATCATTCTCGCTGTGACAGAGTCGTCGAAGAAGATAGTCTTGTGTCGTTCGGTTAAGCAGCCGGATATAGTCAGTTCCGTTAATACAATCAATACGAGCAAGTCCGCCGCAGGAGGAGACCATGAATGGAATTTCGACAGGATGATATTCAAATCCAGGGCCAATGTTCCCGTTAATGGACACCACCATCGCTTCCTGAACTTCCAGCGCAGATAACGGTCTTTTCGCAAATGTGAGCCATGATAGACAGCTCTGGGCCACATGTGCTCGGTGGGGGGTTTGTGAAGCGATCTGATTCATAACCTCGGCGTACAGCGAATCGTAACTAGTACCCAAAGTGGGGATCGAGTCGGCATAATCGAGTTGCTGCGATGATTCAGTCGACTTGAGGATGTTAAGACAGAGTTTAGCGAACAGAAACCTGAAAGCTGGTGTTAGCTATCTGCCAGGATGATCACTCGAAGATTGTATACAAAGTGCGTACCTTCCGTCTGCCGCCGCCACAATTTTGTGAATCAAAGCTTTCTGGCTCTGAAGTTCAAATGGTAGATTTTGAGTAACGTAAACTTGCAAATCCTGCTTCAAGGCGAAAACTTCAAGTCCTCTCACGTTTTGGAACAAATCCTGAAATTGTGTAGCCGGAGCCCAACCTGTTCGCCATGATGCCATCACGTTCAGGGGAATATTGTCCGTCTGTACCTTTGCCAAAAGAGAAAGCAAAGGTGTACGAGCGGTTTCTGTACATTCGTCCAGTCCATCCAGAATGACGAAGACTGTCGAGTGTTTGCCATGTCCTACGATTTGCTCTTCCAGGAAATAGGACACACCATCCTCGGACAAAGTGCTAATAGGCATACCGCCATAGCGACTTGGCATCCATTCCGGCCGCTTCGGCCTCTTTGGACCACATCTTGTGGTGGCGAGCTGTTCTGAGATGCACAGGGCTATGTTGTCGTAACTCTGTTCCTCATGGCGGAGTGAATCGAAGAAGATATAAGCTGCACCGGCAGTGGCTTGTTCGCTCTGCTCACTAGATGATCCAGCTTCTGTCTCATTTCGACTGTATCTAGAGATCAAGTCTTGGATAAGTAGGGATGTGGCAACAGATTTACCGGCCCCGGGTTCCGAGAAAAAGAATAGTGTCTGTGGACTGGACCTGACCCATTCCCTGTATTCGGTCGATTCAAGTATGTGGTTGAATGTTTCAGGGTGCCGTGCGATAGCATAAGTTGCCAGCTGATAGCTGTAATCAGTTTCCGTAAGTGGCGAGGTTGAGTCGGCTTCAACTAGCCAATCTGCTTCAGAATCTGAAGCCATTATGATGATGACATAAATTGGTGACTGCTAGTTTTTGATGGCCTTGAGTCTTTTGAAGTAGTAATTGCAGATTATGGTTCACGTTTACGCTCCACTTTTCGATGGATTGGGTACATTGGAGTTATGTAGGTAATCATGCATTGGTGCCTAAATTATGTCAGCAGTAATATGCCATCTGATGTCTTTACTGTACTACCCTATTGATGACTCCGGTCCATTCTATTGAGTGATCGCTAAGTCATATCTAGTAGCAGTTTTCAACCCTTTCTACTCGTCAAGCCTCAGGGCATGCGAGGTATATATAGAATAGTCGACCTATTTCACTGTGAGAGTGCTGATGTTGTCCAACCAGATAGATATCCCACATCGAGTTCTGTATTAGTATCGATTTGCTATCGATCATGAGATGTTCTTGAACCGACGACCAAGTCAAACCCAGCTTTAGATGAGGCTGTGAAGATTAATGGTCAAAATCGGCAAATTAGCTTGACAAAACTACAGCCTGATTTGTGACTTGAGAACGTCGGTCCCGAGATCTTTGAGGGGACGGCTATGTACTTGTCGTATATAAATTGACACTCGTATCCATTAATTAATGCAGGGATAGCGTCATTCCCATCTGAGGGGTGCAAGTCTCCTAGCCTTATAGTTTAAAACATTCGATTCTCTGGCCAGTATGTATGGACGTTATATACAACTGACTGCGTGTAGTTTCTCTAATAGAAGCCAAACCCCCATGAAGTAGTGAATGCTTACTACTTTCCAATTGAATGTACACGCTTACCTGCAGTAGCGAATACCTCCAGGACCCATGTTATCCTGAGTACAAACTAGAATTTATATTTATAAGATTATTTATATTTTATTGTGGAGAAAAGGCTCTTACCTCCGTGGTGGATATCACCAATAGAATTCATCCAGTACTTGCAGCCAGTACCAAGAGGGACCAAACCACCTGACTCCCTCCATGTACAGGCTTGCCAAACACGGTCTACTAATGAATTAGCCTGTGACTCCCTGTATATTAAGATGCGTGCATAGAGCACCCTCACAGGCCACGATTGAGCAAGTCTGTGTATAGAGACAACGCCACACAATTAGGCCTGCGGGTAAAGATAACTTACAACCACTGTTATAATCCCAGCCCAACTCATTGTTGGCAATCCATTCACCATTGGCAGCCTGGGCCCAGGCTTGGGCACCAATGCCAAAGGACAGAGCGGTAAGCATAGTAGTGAACTGCATTTTTAAAATATTATGAATAACTGTTGGAGGGTAGGAAGTAATAGTGAGTCTGTCTAGAGAAGATAAAATTGAAAGAGAAAAACAGCAGCAGCTTTAGGACCTTAAAACTAGAACTTCTTCACCTTTGTGGAGTATAAAAATACGAAGGATTCGCGGTCAACAGTGTTTAACCGAAGGATTGCTTTCATCCCTGTATCTTGTAAGTCTAAGTGGGTTTGACCGGAAAAGTCTACGCTACGGTCCACAAATAATTTACTATGCGAGCTGCGAATACGAGGAACCAGTTTAGCATAGTTTATCTAAAATCGTAGTTCTTAATCTAGATGCATAAGAGAGGCTGCTTATAGATTCCAACAGTTAAAAGATTTGTCTCTAGGGGTAGTTATAGAGCGTATGTCTATTAGAACGCTGCGAATCCAACCACATAGGTATTTAAGGAGTGGGTTTAAACAGCGAGTATTATAGAAAAGCAAATTACACATGGTAAAATTTCCACTTAACACCACAGGCACAATGGTTCAAGAAGTAAAATGTTAGGGTGCTTAAGCAAAAGGTCCTGAATGAGCTAGTAGATTAGACAATAGCCTATTAAAGGGTTGTTGAGTTTAAAAGCTAGTTCTGTACTCCATACCTAAGTATAGGCTAGTATATAGATTTTAAAGTAAAAGGCCTTTATTATAGTCAAAATCGTGGTGTTTTGTAATTGTGTGTTCAAAAACTAGACCTTACATTACTTATATTAGTATATATGTATAGTATAAGAATCAATAGTTCTCAGCTTCAGTGAATGGCGGTGAGGCTATTAGTGATTCCTTCAATCGCGAACCGGAATATTTAACCGGTTTCTATGTCTAGACTATAAGGGGAACCGACCCCCCTGTGCCTTTTCAGTGTTGGCGAGTGGTCGGTCTGCCAATTACTAGTACCACCACGTGGCCTAAAAACTCAGCACTCCTGTCGCGCTCCCCTATACATCTTAATTATCCAATTGTCGGCTGGGGCTCAATGCCCTCTATTCCCCCACGCGTCCGGCGTTTGTCATCATACATCCAGTGCAATTTACACTTCATAAGTAGCTTGGTAAAAGGCAGAAGTGGAAAACTGGCGAGATGGTATATAAGACAAAACCTTAGGAACCCTAAACTCAAGAGTTAACGAAGGGGATAATAACATTTTTTTTATTTTTTTTATCTTTAATCTTTAACTTTATTAAGCCCAGGCTTTCTAAATCTCCTAATAATATTAATAATAAAAATAACCTTTTTAAGGTTAAAACTTAATATAATTAAGGCAGTAGAAATTATATAAGGTAACTAAACTCTATCTAAGTGAATATATAGACTGTAACTTACACAGCCATATATATAAAAGCTAGCTTCCCCCCCTTATACCCTTAACCTGATCTATACCATAAGCTACCTAGTTAATCGACCCTTGCAGCTACAGTCAGTCAATTAACCCCTGGCCCCCCTTCGGTCCGTATCACTAACTTCTTTATAGCTACCATAATAAGTGTCTAAATATTAAGTATTTCGCGCGACGTAAGCCTCGGCCTAGACTATAATAACGTCTATATAGCTATTAATAGCTATCAGGGACAATAATATAAGATCTTAACCCACAAGACCAGATCTAATGAAAACTTACTTAGTTGATCTCATATTACGTACAGGAAGTCACTGGCTCCTTCGCACACTTAGGGAGATAGTCAAGTTATTAACAGCAACCTAGCCAGACGAACCACACAATATAATAACCAAGGCTGGCTCGTGCGGAAACACCTCCATTCGTGAGCTTCGGCGACATAAAAGGTAAATACAACCGCAATGTCGTTGATATGGAACAAGTTGAAGGGAGTGTGGGGGGGAGCCAGCTCTTATACATACAGCTATATAAGTTATCTATATGTTCACTTGATTAAAGTTCAGTTACTATATGTAACCTTTACTGCCTTAATTATAGTAAGTTTTAACCTTTAAGAGTAGTATTTTTAATATTAATATTTTTAAGAGATTTAAAAAGCTAAAAGATAAAGAAATAGGCAAAAAGTAATATTATTAAAATAATTCTACTATTTATAGCTCGCATTTAAATGTTTAGGCAGGATAGTATGTTTAATTTAGAACTATATAGTAATTACCGCTTTTATTTCTATTACCTAGCATTTTTAATAATTAATTAACTATATAGTAAATCTCTAGTTCCTAGTTTATCTCTAAACGAGGCTCGGGACTCACGCATTATAATATACTCATTCCTCGCTAAAGAATCCATGGTTTTAACCAGCCATATCTACTCGCCAGATTGGATACTGACACAATCCAATTCCTGATAATGTCAGTAAGAGAAAAAGAGACTTTCACTCACGGGATAGTCATAAACGTAATCGCTGCAATAACCATCTTTTTATCACATGTGCGGCGATCGTGTAGTACGAGGTGTTAAGCCCTGGTAGAACAGATAACCCATACCTTGACCTACTCATTCTGCACCTCAGCCGGTGAATGTGAGTAGACACCAACGATAGGCAGGGGGTATTTTTAGCCCCCCTGGCTTTCTTTGATGGACCAATCAAACAAGAGTCATATTGCTTATCATAGCTTTAGTCAAGCCAATTCCGTTCAGCTTCAAGATGAAAGTCAAAATCTAGTTCCGTCTGTACAGTTCAGCTGAGCTCTTGCCGCTCGGGGTGGCACAAGTCAGCCCAGAGGCCAGGGCCAGGAGACCCAGAGTGTAGGCTGAGACGGCCCATTTTTAGTATCGCATTCAGCTGCAAGGGTCCTCTGACCAATCCGCTGCCTTCATTTACTCACATTGTTTCAGGTATCAGAAGCTAAAGACCAACATGCATATTTATGTAGGAGTAAGAATCCATTGGGAATGAATAATGCAGCAAGGCGTGGCGTTGTTGGTGATATCAATTGAAGTAACTGCATATCACAAAAGAGCCAGCTTCTAAAAATAAATTCCGGCGGTTATCTACAAGGGAGAGACCGATGTTCAAGTTTGTGAATTAACACTTTTATGTTAAGATCAGTCGAGTTTATCTGGCAGTTTGTCCACATGTTTCATTCTTCTCCCTCTAAATTCACTATCACTGCTGTTTTCAATCACATTATTCAATCTCACTGTCTATATTAATCTCGATATTGTTCAGACTTACTTTCTGCTCATCTGTGCTTATTTCCGTCATTTATTATTTTCATCTCCACCTCGACAGAATGGCATCTCCTGTTCTCCAACGTCCCGCCCTAGGACAAGTTGCCACCCTGGGAAGTCTCTACGATGCTCGCAGTGACACCTTCCTCCCATTGTCCTTTTTCAACAAACCTTTGCCCGTCGACGCTGTCAAGAGCACCAAATGCTCATCCCCCGAAACCAGAATCATCAGCGGTGACACCTTAAAAGACAAGTTCGATGCATGTGGTATCGATGGTGAACTGGGTGTCAGCGTCCTGGCTGGGCTTGCCAAAGTCGAGGGATCTGGTCTATACTTGTCGCACGAACTCGACACGAACTATGCTGTGCAGGGTTCTCTACTCTATGATGACAGGAGTCTTAAAGAGGACCTTAACCTCTCCGCTGGTTGTATTAAGGAATGCGTCGCACACACCAATTTGGATACTGGTGCCGCCACTCACGTCGTGACTGGTATCTCCCGGGGTGCCCGCTACATTTTCGCCGCCAAGCGACGACTGCAGCCCTTTCAAGACAGACCCCAGGCATCTGAAGAGCTAGAGTCACAGTTGTCTATTCTCAAGGCAGCAGTGTCATCAGGAGTTGTGGAGACGACCTTTGATTTCACTGGAAATTCTACCGAACTAGTTGTATATGCAGATAACCTCGCCAACGCTCCCTTCTCGACTAACTTTGCTGACCTTCAAAATGTCATCGAGAAGTTACCTGGTGACGAAAAGCGCCAACCAATTTCCTACACCCTTATGCCGCTCTCCCTAATGGCTGCTTTTGGAATACTTGACATCGAGGCCGATACCACCTACCGTCCGTTGGGGGTTGACTGTAGCCAAAGATGTGTACAGATATTTGACGATATCCGAGACGCAAGCCAGAGACTGAGCAAATATTTCGATGGACTAAATTATTATCCAGCATGTGCTCCAGCTGAACATGTTTACTCAGTCAAACGACTCCTCGATAGGGCCATAAATTTCCAGACAATACCCGATACTGACTTCGCATTTCTGGTTACGGAGGCCCGAAATGGTAAGGTGAGCAACCAGGAACTCTGTACTCGGCTCACAGACCTCACTGGTGAGCACTCGCCTCACGCCATGGTAGCTGCCAGAACACATGAAGGGAAGATGGATTTCCAAGACCTTCTTACGCAGAGGGGAGCACACATGGTCGGCTATGACAGCCCATCAGTATCGACCTTGTTGCACGAGAACCACTATGATGAAGCCTTTGTCCTTTACTTCAACGAACATGTACGTCATACATCCGACGCGTGGGCTGACAATCTTGCTGCCTTCCTCGATATACTGGAAGATCAGTCTTATGAGAAACTCGCTATCGCTGTCGACCAGGAGGCCGTTGACAACGATTCTCATGGTACTTTCCTAGAGAAACCCTATATTTCACACCTACGCAGAGGAAGAATTGTTAGCGAAGACCTTGTAGAGAGTCGCAAGATCCTCGCAGCTAACTGTGTGATGCGGGTTGCCGAGGACGCGCTGGATCGCTCTGTGAACAGCAAACCTCTTGACCGAAGAGCCGTCAGGATCCCCTGCCCACACTATGGCTGTGACCAAAAGTTACAGTGCAACTGGATCTGTGGCTCTTGTCAGGCCGGTGTAGAGTACGGTATTGTTGATGGCCTCCTTTACTGTGATTGCGGAGCCAGCACCTACTACAAATGGATGTTTCAATGCAATGACCCGAGACACGGATCGGGTTGGCATCGCTACAAGCGAGAGGAACTACTTGAGTTGCTGAAGGCGCTGGAGCCGTTCGAGGATCTTAACATCTTGATCCTAGGCGAGACAGGAGTCGGGAAATCGACATGGATCAATGCATTTATCAACTATCTCTCGCATGAATCAGTTGACGACGCATTGGAGGCTGAGAACTTCAAATGGGTCATTCCTTGTTCGTTCCAAACACAAACAGTTGCTGACGGCAGGTTTGTCGAAACTGAGATCAAAATTGGCTCGAGCCAATCGGAGAAAGATGGTTCTGGGGGTCAATCGGCGACGCAGTCGACCAAAGTCTACACTGTTGATATCGGCAAAACACGTGTCCGTCTTATTGACACGCCAGGAATTGGCGATACTCGCGGTGTCGACCAAGACAACTCCAACATGAACGACATTCTGTCGGTTCTGCGGACTTATGATAACCTCCACGGGGTCCTCATCCTCTTGAAACCAAATGCCGCTCGACTGACCGTCATGTTCCGATTCTGCATCAAGCAGCTGTTAACACACCTCCACCGCAATGCTGCCAACAATATTGTATTTGGGTTCACCAACACCCGCGGCTCCAATTACAAGCCTGGCGACACCTTCAAGCCTTTGAACTCTCTTCTAGCCGAGTATGAAGATGTCAAGATGGGCTTGTTCGAGAATAACGTGTACTGTTTCGACTCAGAAAGCTTCAGATATCTTGCCGCTAAGAAAAAAGGAATCGACATGGGCCACTTGGAGGACAACCGTCGCAGCTGGGAATATTCTGTAGGGGAGTGCGAGCGGCTTGTTAAGTACTGCCAAAGCATCACTCCTCACCAAGTACGCAGCACTATTAACCTCAACGAAACTCGAAATACAATCCACCGACTCACAGAACCCATGACGGCTATAGCAGAGAAGATCAGAGCGAGCATCGACGTGAACAAGGATGCCATCAAGGAGCTGCAGGACTTTGAGCTCACACGGAAACAGCTCCAGGAACGCCTCTTTGTCCAAAGGGAAAGTCTTATGTCGGTAAAGGTTGACAGGCCCCAGACAGTATGTACACACGATGATTGCGTCGAGATACGCACCGATTTTGAAGGCACTACAGAGGCCACAACTGTCTATAAGACTGTTTGCCATGAAGGTTGCTTTTTGATTAGTGTTGATCGCAACAGAAAGGGTCACCCTGAATTACAAAGCTGCGGTGCTATGGGACCAGGCGGAATGTGCGAATGCAACCACAGCTGGATGGATCATATGCATATCTACTACAAGTATGTGCCTACAATGACCCAGCACCGAGATAAAGCGATAGACGAAGATCTCAGCAAGAACGCCGACAAGATCCAGTTGAGGGAAGAAGCAATCCGGATGAAGAAAGAGGCCATTGAGGAATTCAAGCTCGAGCACCGGCAAGTCCAGGAAGCGGCCATCCAGTTTGGCTTCTTCCTCCAGCGACACGCCATCACGCCCTATAACGACGCTACAGTTGAGTACCTCGACATGCTCATCGACCAAGAGAGGCAGAAGATGAATGCCGGCGGATCAAACCAACGACACCGTAAACTCAAGAAGGAAAGAGCGGAATATCTTCAGAAAGTGGAAGTACTGGAGAAGGCCATGAAACATGGCGATGAGTCCAAACTGCTCGACGATGCAGGTGTAGCGCAGCTGGTAGATAGCCTCTACGGCCTGCCGCAATTTGGTGGTGACCTTCGAAAAATTGTCAATATCCAGGAGAGGGCTGCTGATGCTACATATCGGGAGCGGTCCTACAATGTTACAGGGGGCGCGCGATTCCGTCGTCGACAAGAAGCCCGAACTGAGCATGAACATCTTGTAGGGTCACCTTCGGCTCCGATGAAAAGGTCTTCATCTTTTGAACGGATCCCTGGGTCGTTTCCCAGGGAACCGACTGGAGATACGGTCAGAACGGAACGTCGTGCACGTTCTATTCCACAGAGTAGATCAAGCAGGCGGGGATTCTGGACAACTTTCAAGAGCTTTATCCAGCTTTGAACAAACTGCAGGTTGAAAAAGCTGAATTGGCGGTTGGACAGCAACATGCGAGACAAGACCGGAACCAGCGAGGGGAGGATAAGAGGTACTTTTTTCTTATGCTTTAACCTTAAATAAGCCTTCTAAGGTCAAAACTCAATATAAGGAAGGCAGTAGAAGTCGCACACGGCAACTAAACTCTATCCAAGTGAACAAGTAGATCACACAGCCCTGCGCATAAAAGCTGACTTCCCCCCCCCCACACCCTCAACCTGATCCACACCACAAGCTAGTCAATCAACCCTTGTAGCTGCCTGGATAAGAGGTACCAAGGCATTGCAGGGTAAAGAATACGGAGAGCGCTGGCATGCATCGACAAGTTCAGGGTAACCGTGAATTCTGATAATAAATTCTGTGAATATTTACATGCCGAGGTACCTATACTTCGGGATCTTAGGTAAAACTCCACTTCCACGCGCCTTGACAATCACGTCTTCGCCTGGGATGATATCTATACAGTTGTCATCCAAGGAAACGCCTCCAAGTTCTTCGAAAACCAAGCCCTTGGTCGGCCTCTTGGCTGTGATTCGGTATTCACCAGGCGTGACCTGGACATCGACGCCTCTGTCCGAAAAATCGAGATACTTGAGAGGTTGTGGCCAATCGACATCCCGAGAAACACACACGCCATCTTTCAGAACACTGACTGATATGACGTGCGGCTCGTCCTTGGTATTGTCGATCTGTCCAGTCAATACATCGGTAGTGCCGTTGGGAACCAGGACCAGGTCCTTCTTGACCACTTTGTCTCGAATGTCCTCGCCTGTCTTGATAGAAACATAGCGAACCTCCACAGTGACAGTTATTTCCTGCTGATGATTGCTGGCAACCCAAACACTGAATGTAGATGTCTTTGCCGGCCTGGCATGAACAACACTCCAGTCGTGATGTTCTCGTTGGACCCCTGCTGCAATGGGCTTGAGGGTTCGACGTATTGCGTAATATGAAGGCTTCTTGGTAAGGAAATAATCGACGATGGACCATGAGATGGCGGGCCAACAATCGTTCATTTGCCAGACTAGGACACCTCCACACCGACGATCATCGCCCCATTGACGACGCCAGCTGCGGTATGCATAATTCATGGCTTCACTCTGGCAGAGCTGGGTTATGTATAAGTGAGACTGACGTCAGGTTAGCAGGAATGGGCCAAGAATTCAAAAGTACGTGGGCATTACCTCTAGATCCGGAAGGGGACGAAAGTTCTCCACTACGTAAGTTGCAATGCGTCGTTCATGGCCATCGGCCTTGTTATGGAAGTCCATGGTCTGAGATTGTGGGAAACGCTCGGATTTATCCGTGATGCAATAGTTGATCGTTGACAAGGCTGGGAAGGCCTCCATGCCGAATTCGCTGTTGAATCTGCCACCCAACGTGTCGAATACCTGGTATTTCTCCTGTGTTCCATGCCAAACTAGCGAGATGTTAACGAGTGAAGAATCACTTAAAAACTGGGTCATATACCATTCCACTGGTGGAGGTCACCCGTAGTCTTATCTGTGGTATCCTTGCCCCCAGAAAATGGCGACCCAGGCCAGTATATCGCCCCGGGAGACACCTCAGATACCACCTCTGGTAAAAGATACTCATAGTAATATCTCGCAGGGAAATTTGACTTGAGCCAAGAATCGGGATCCTTATCTTCTGGGTGATACTCGAGGCCTGCCTGCTCCTGGACCTGGTAATCCTCATTGTTGCCGGCATAGATGATAATAGAAGGGTGGTGGTGTAGTCGGTTGACATTCTGTTTGGCCTCTTCACGGACTGATTTGATCATCGATGGTCCTGCAGGATAGTTTCCACAACCAAACATGAAATCCTGCCATACGAGAATACCCAGCTCGTCACAACAGTCATAGAAAACATCCTCTTCGTAGATGCCACCACCCCAAACCCTGAATACTGTTGTCAGTAATCTCATATCAAGAACCGATGAATTGCCTCTTACCTCGTCATAATCTGATTGCCTTCTATCATAAGTTTCAACCAATCTCGATACTTGCCAGCTGTGATTCGGGGCAGAAAGTTGTCCGCTGGAATCCAGCACGAACCACCACAGAATATGTCAATATTGTTGATCCGGAAAAAGAAAGATTTTCCATGAGAGTCATCTTGTTGGACAAGTTCGTTTCGTCGGAAACCAGTCTTCTTAGTGGTTTTGTCAAGTTCTTGGCCGTCTTGGAAAATGCTGACAGTTACGTTGTATTGTGACTGGCGGCCGTACCCAGCCGGATACCATAGCTCGGGGTTATCTATTCAGAGCCCGTCAGTATTATGAAACCTGGGCTATAGGGTTGCGATTCCATACCGATAGTGAACGGAACAGACAGTCGGTTTTTGGAAGATGGCTCTATTGTCCGAGTGTAGATGACATCTTCCTGGAGATGGATAGACACATCGGCCTTATCAAACGATCCGTCAACATCGACTTCGATTGTCCCGTTAATCTTCTTAAGGTCTGGTGAAACCACGTATTTGATAAGAAAATTTTCGATGTTGGCAGAAGATACTTCAAGTCGAACAGGTCTCCAAGGGCCAGCAGTGTTGAGCATTGGACCCCAATCCCATCCCTGTCCGTTTGTTAGCAAGAGATTTCTTCGCTCTCAAATTCCTTCTTACCCAGTGGTATTGGGCTTTTCTAACGACCAAGCGTCCAGCCTCTCCATTGAAAAGCTCCCAGCGATGATTTGGATAGTCCTTTTGTAATTCTCGACCTTTAAGCAATGCACTATCAAAATTGATGACGAGCGTATTGCTCCCCTCATTCTTGAGTTGGTCACTAATATTGACCCGATGGCTTAGAAACATGTTGTCGCTGTCAAGGATAACGGTATCGTTGAGTCTGACTTGGGCAAAGGTATCGAGGCCGTCGAAAAGGAGGTATACTGAGGCGCCATTGGTAGATGGAGAGTCAAAAGTGGTGCGGTAAGTCCAAGCTGTCTCTCCGACCCATTCGACATCCAGCTCGTTCATATCCAAGAAAGGATCAGGAATTCTAAAAGTTCGAATTGTCAGTTTCTATCGAGACGTAGAAAGTTGGGTACGAACAGTCCATTGTTCAGCAAGTCTATATGAGCCACCGTGGGCACACGAGCCACAGGCTTCCAGGCATCATAGCCATCTGTTGTCTTTTTAAAAGACCACCCTTTTTCAAGGAGGGTTTGTTGTGCTTTAACAGGCATAATGAACAATAATGGCTGACTAGAATCCACTAAATGAGATACGACAGAGCCTTGGTTGATAGTAATAGTCAAGAGTAAGAGAGGCACCTCAGCAGTCTAAATATCCTTTCGCCCACTGCTTATAACCGATTACTTGGTGAGCTAAAAAGGTTTGAGGCTATGAAATATTACTATCCCAATTTGGTACGGGAGGTGGGGACCCGTAACCAGGGACTCATGAGCCGCGGAATGTGGTCTTCCGTGGCTGCTTTGGGCCTTAGTCCGAACCACTCACCCCATACCCCATAATTCCACTCGTTGGTGATGCCGGTAACTCTTTCAGGCAAGCTTCATTGTCTTGCCGGACTGTACACTAACGTTAGGTAGATCATGAATCGTGAGTATAAGATGGAGACTTGTGGACCTTTCCAAGTCGCACTTTATCTTTTGACCTATCTACATCAACAAACGACTGCTTTCTAGCCCTTCTTTCACTACCCGGTATCAGAAAGATTAGGTACAGGAACTCTGCAATGGAGGACAAACTCGATGCACATACCCACGATGAAGGTGGGGAGGTATGATGATTTCCTGAACTGACGCGTTCACATCTTTCCAGCTCACAGTTACTAAACCATCGTTTGGCAGAAATTTACCGAAGTGAACGAAACGAAACTCGTCTCGGGCAATGAAGCATTCGCCAAAGCCCTGATCGAAGATCCACCATCGGCCTGGAGTAAGGGGCAAATACTCATCTATTGCTTCTCTTTCGTCGGCTTTCTGTGCAGTACGATGAACGGCTACGATGGGAGTTTGATCAACAATCTCTTGCAAAACCCCTGGTTTCGCGAGAAATACGGCGTTGAGAGCAGTGGCATCTGGGCGGGCATCGTTTCGGCCATGTACCAGATCGGAGGCGTTGTTGCGTTGCCTTTCGTGGGTCCCGTACTCGACGGTTACGGTCGTAGGATGGGAATGCTATCTGGCTCTCTGCTTATCGTTGTTGGAACCATCATCCAAGGTCTCTCCCATTCTTCTGGCCAGTTCATGGGAGGTCGCTTCCTTCTTGGATTCGGCGTGTCACTTGCAGCCTCTGCGGGACCCATGTACGTGATTGAGATGAATCATCCTGTTTATCGAGGTCGCGTTGGAGGTAAGTTATCATCATACAGTTCCTTGTCTACCCAATTGCTGACTCAATGTCTCAGCCATGTACAACACTTTATGGTTCTCGGGAGCCATCATCGCCGCCGGATCCGCTCGAGCTGGACTCAACACAGGAGGAGACTACTCGTGGCGGCTAATTACCTGGTTGCAAGCCCTTTGCTCCAGCTTGATCGTCATCTTCAGTTTTCTTATTCCCGAGTCCCCACGATGGCTATACGTCCACAACAAGAGGGAGGCTGCAGAGGCTGTTCTCACGCGATATCATGGCCAGGGAAATCGAGATTCGCCTTGGGTCAAGCTTCAGATTGCTGAGTACGAGGAGGCGTTGAACCTGGACGGCAGTGATAAGCGTTGGTGGGACTACCGCGCTCTTTTCTGTGATAGACCCGCGGTCTACCGTCTTTGTTGCAACCTGGCCATCTCTATCTTCAGTCAGTGGGCTGGAAATGCCGTGCTTTCTTATTTCCTCGGCGCGGTACTCGAGACGGCCGGTTATACTGGAACCATTGAGCAGGCCAACATCACCTTGCTCAATTACTGCCAACAGTTCGTCTGGGCTGTCCTCGGTGCCTGTCTTGTTGACAAGATCGGTCGTCGTCCTCTGCTACTGTTCTCGTTTTCTGCGTGCACAGTTGTATGGTTGGGCATGACCATCGCCTCGTCCGAATTTGCCAAGTCTTATGTAGGTCTTGATGGCGATGGAAAGGCAATCTACTCCAACGCTACGGCATCCAAGGCATCATTAGCCATGGTCTTCATTTTCGGTGCAGTATTCTCATTTGGAATCACACCTCTCCAGGCTCTTTACCCAGTCGAAGTTCTATCTTTCGAGATGCGCGCCAAAGGAATGGCATTTTCCAACCTTGCTGTAAACGCTGCTGGTTTGTTGAACCAATTTGCTTGGCCCGTTGCCATGCAAAAGATTGGCTGGAAGACATATATCATCTTTACTGTCTGGGATCTCATCCAAGTTGTTCTGATTTATGTTTTCATCCCCGAGACCAAGGGTCGAACAGTGAGTCATTTCTTGGGGCAGTATTGTGTTAATTTGGCTAACCAAATCTGTAGCTAGAGGAACTTGATGAAATCTTCGAGGCTAAAAGCCCAGTCAAGATGTCTACGCAGAAGAAAAGGGTTGCCCTTGACAGTGAAGGCGCCGTGGTCAAGGTTGAGAAGGTCTAGTCTCTTGTTTTAATGGCAATTGCTTGAATGTAGTGGGTGTCTGGTTAGTGTGATGGGTTCTTGGGGGGATGGTTAGTTCGACGAGTTGCTTTTGCGATGGACCTCAATAGTTTATTTAGCTCGTTCGTTACATTCGATTAATAATATTGAGTTTCCTAATTGGAAAGTTTGCACTGTACCCGCTCAGTAAAGACGAGTACCCCTGCTATAGATCCATGTGGGAGTCTCATAACCGAGGTCATCCAAAGCCCACTAACACCATTCTGGTCACGGATGCTCCAAAGCCGCTTCTGTTCGGGCTAGCGTTGGCTTCATCCTCCCCCCTCATCCCGTGGTCGATAAGATTTTCTTCCCCGGATTTTCAGTATCACCTCACGTACTGTACTCCACACACATCACTTTTCTCCATACTCACGTGTAGCATCAGACGATGTCACCCTTGTAAGACTCTGGGGATCTTCCCACTTGACATTTAGTAGTCACCATCTTTCCACTACTACATCACAAGCTCTTTTCTCACGTTTCTCTCCAAGCACCCATTTACATCAATCGAGCAGACTAATCTACGCATGAATCCATCATGTTTTTTTCTTGTAGGTCCATCCACCCATTCACTTGAGGCCCTGGCTGACAATGTTTTCCCTTAAGTCCAGAGCACTACCGAAGCGCCTAGCTTCCAATCGCCCACTGAGAACCGACCCCTCAGAAGTCCGCACGCTTGTACAGATTGTAAGCGGCGCAAGATACGATGTGATGGTCGACAACCTTGCAACCAGTGCGACTCTAGGGGTTCACAGGCGCGATGTACATACATCAAACACACCGAGCGTCTTGTGCCTTCAAAAGGGTCAGTCTCCTGCTCATACCAAAGGCGACTGTACTGTCCACCAAGTGTCTAACAGTTGTTTCAGAAAGATCGAGAGCCTATCCAAAAGCCTCAAAGAACGCGACGCCATTCTAAATCGCATTTTCCCCGATCATAATGTATTGGATCTTGTTTCACTATCAGGGCAGCAACTCCGTGAGCTTGCATTACACAGTACTTCAACCGGTACAGCTCTACCGTCTCCATCTGACAGTACTCCCAAGGAGTCTGTCAATCAAGACTCACAATGGGATGAAGATCGACGAGAACGAGATCCCCTCCCTGCTGAAGCCGACGATGTCAATGCATTGTCCCTTCCGTTGGACCGACAGGCTTCCTATCTCGGTATTTCGTCCATCAAAGCCGCACTTGGAGCTATGCTTCAAATGAGACCTGAGTTACGCGCCTTGCTAGCATCCCGCCAGTTGAACAACGTCAATCCCGTCAAGGATGATGGATTTACACCTTGTTGCCAACCCACCCGATCTACAGCCCAAAGTCCTCGTACAAGATGGAGCAGCAAGGGCCAAGCGCTGATCGATGCGTACTTCCAGCGCATCCACATATTTACACCCATGCTCGATGAAACCTCGTTCCGAACAAACTATCTCAGCAGCCAACGACAAGATTCACCTTGGCTTTCTCTATTGAACATGGTCTTGGCAATGGGTAGTATCGTAGCCAGCAAGTCAAGCGACCGGGTCCACTGCAAATACTATACCGAGGCCATGAGGCATCTCGATATTAGCGCCCTCGGTAGCAGTCACATCGAAACGTTACAGGCTCTAGCTCTTGCCGGAGGGTATTATCTCCACTACATTAACCGGCCTAATAGAGGTAATGCCATTCTTGGTGCCGCTTTTCGGATGGCAGGTGCACTTGGTTTCCATCGGGAGCCTCTAGAACAAGATGAGGCAGCCGAGATGCGGCGACGCACTTGGTGGTCTCTGGCTTGTCTAGATACATGGACCACCACGACCTTGGGTCGCCCCTCATTCGGTCGTTTCAGTCCCTCGATTGATATCCAACCTCCCAAAATCGGTACCGACATGGTATTATGTGAAGATTACTCACACTCATCTACCTCAAATCCTTCTCTACTGTCTCCCACTTCTCGTGAAGAACAGAACTCAGGGCAGGACATGGGAATGATGACGCTTAATGAAAATATCCGGTTCTGTAGGATCGCGACTGAGATACAGGACATTCTCGCTGTCGCTCCTTTTCTCAACCCCGAAGATCGGAACCGTTTTGATGACATGCTGAACGATTGGTATAACCATTCACCAATGTTCCTGAGCGGTGATGAAGACTGTGCTGAGCCAGTTCATCTTGCTCGATGCATCATGAGATGGCGGTACTGGAACTTACGTATGCTCCTACACCGGTCAGCACTCTTAGATGCGGCAACCAAACGTGGCGGCCACTCTGAACTGGCTTCCGCATACGACTACGAAGCCATCGAGAAATGCCAGCAGCTTTCAAAGATAACCACCGAGGATATAGCCCAGAGTTGGATGAATCATCAAATGTCGGGGTGGAACGCAGTATGGTTCCTTTATCAAGCCGTCATGATACCTCTGTTGAGTATGTTGTGGCAGCCTCAAAACCCTTCTGTTGCTGAGTGGAAGAGCCAAGTTCAGATGGCCCTCAAGCTTTTTGAGGATATGCAGGACTGGTCCTTGACTGCGCGTTGTAGTAAGCGTGTTGTAAGCCAGATTTACGAAGCCAGTTGCAATTTAATATTTAGAGGGGAGGAGTCTCTGGCTGAACTAGGGATCGAACCAACTACATCCTCTGATCAAGATTTGTACCTGGGGGCTGATGGACTAGAGGTAGATGATGTATTGGATATGTTGTATCAAGATTGGTCATGGGATGGGAATTGTACTTGGACTCGGGATGAGTTTGATAATGCATATCAGTGAGTGGGAGGCGAGATATGTCTAGCTACCTTGAATCAAACATCATAAGGGTTGGGGTTAGGTGAACGTGTTCCACTGTCGATTACAGTCCGCTGGATGGTACTACAAGAATTGTACACGTTTGAGCATGTAAGATTGGGTGTTAAATTCATTGTCTGAAATGCGGAAAATGCGGACATATTTCGTGTATTGAAACAGTTAACCCCTGTATACTACACTTTACTCATATCCATTACCGTTACGAAGGCCCTTTTCCCTCTTAACACTAAGCGGCATAACTGTAAGTTCGATTCCCGCTTCCTTATCTACACTGCTGGTATCCATATCTTTCGACCTTGCTATGATTCTTGTTTCACTGCTGGCAGAAGAGGCGACGTTCACTCCGTAATCATTAGCTAGTCCGTGATTATGGTGCCGGGGAATTCCAGCTGGTAGTGAGGTTCCAGTATCTGCATCACTATGGCTTTCCGAAAAGATGAGCTCGCGCCATTGACTAAGAGAAACCTCATTGATTCCATAGATTACCGCATCAACGAGACCTTGAGAAACAATACAAGCCTGGAATCACAGCATTAGTCTTTACATGGAATGAGACAATTTGGATTATACTCACTTTATCCAGCGTCTGCAATGCAAATGGAGAAGGAGTATGTGTGATAGCCTGATAAATTCGAATGGCTGTGGGTAGTGTCCAGACAATCATATAAACAACAGGATACATAAGCATGAGCTGCGCAATCTGAGGCACAGTTAGCATTCAATCAATACACACCAAGCAATAAAAGCTGCAAACCTTTTGAAGCTTTCGACGACCTGCAGCATCTGATTCATAGTACCTCCACGCATCATGGTTTGATCTCATGGCACCCTGCGTAGTCCGATGTCCAGATGCCGGATCTGATGTTGAGTTTCCGAGTGAAATAAAGCTCTTATGCGACTTTCGTAGAATCCAGTATAGACGAGCATACATAGCAAGAATAATAATAATAATCACCCATCGTGGTACGAAATTGGCCAGAAGGCGGACTTTGTCGGAAGTAAACCAGCACCCTGTTACTCACGTCAGTAAAATGTTTCAACAGCTCGGTGAGTATAATACGTACATGCTCCGATATCGCCGTATCCTGCAAGCTTCAGCCCGATGCCAGCCCAAAGAAGACTTAGCGCCCATGGTAAACACGAGAGTAAGATGCGCTGATCCTGGACCCAAGAGGATAATGACTTGTGGCCTGCCAGTATGACATAGGTACACATGGCGATGGTCAAAACCCAGTAATCCGTCTGGATCACGAAGACCTGCGTTGTAAATCCATTGAAGCTGCAAAATGTCTTTTGCTCGCGTGCACCGATTTCTTTACCACCGATATTCATAGCCGTGGATGATAAGAAGTTCAGTGCCATCAAGAAGTCACTCAGCGCAAGACCGCTAAAGCATGTCAGTATGTATGAGCTTTAGCGAGGAGGCATAACTGCACGCACAGAATCAGCTGATGGCGAAACGACCGAAGAGCTTTGAAGCACTGAGACGGGTAAGTATTATGAGCATTTTGTATGAGCTAGGTGTGGGTGTGTAAAACATACGATGAAGCTCAGTATAATCCATCCAGCCCCCAGGAGAGACAGGAGAGAGACGACCAAAATAAAAATGCTTTGAAGAACCATCTGCGACTCATCTGACGGGGCAGCTAGGGCTTCCCGCTGGTAGATCTCTGGTGGCGATCGCATCGCGGCAACGAGTATTTTGTTGATCACGTTTCGTTTTCAGCTATTGCAGTAACAGTAGTGGAAGTGTAAAGCACTGATGTTTAAGACAACCTCGTGGGCGTAAGTAGAAGTCTATTATCATTTTGTTGATCATCTACTTGAAAGGGGTTATAAGAGGATGCACGGACTTTGCGGCTGACTTGATGAAGATAAGGTGCCGCATGCTACCTATTTGCAAGGTACGAGGACCTGCAATTTGCTTTGAACTGCACTGCCCTGACTCGACGAGTTGAGCATAGCCTCCTGGCCCCTAGGAGATCGCAGTCTACTCTGGCCGAGTTGTCAAATCTCATATACTTATTTCGGATCATGCCAATCATCGTTGTTAAATCATGCCGAAGGAATCGATGCGGCTTTCCGTTGTGTAGAGCTCGAATGAAAGTTGCTTATGGCGTCCAATAATGCGAGCCTCTGCTTACTGATGTGCTGCCCCTGGCAAAGCTAAAATCGCATTATTGGGATAACTCTTATCAGTTGTCGAGGCTTTGCGTCTGGGAAAAACAACAAATGGATTAGTTGGCACGTCTTTTTTCGGGCAGTTTAATGTTCTGACCCCTTTCAAAAGGGTTTCACATCTGAAGGAATAGTTGGTGGCTTGCTCCAGCCACCAATTGCTTTGTCTTTCTGTGGCAGGGAGACAAGGGCGTTATCTTTTCTAGTTCGATCGACTTTATGCTATTGGCTCGGACTCCGGAGATGCGACTTTTGACGTTTTGCCCCACTCTACGACTGATAAGAACCTGCAGGGTAGGACTGAGATACTCAGAGTCCAAATCCATGGTATTAGCATCCCCATGATAATGAGAGAAAGCGAGTGAGAGATTAAGGAGGGAGAATGACATAGGAAAATTGTTAAATGCTAAGCTCCGTTAAAATTTAGCGTAAGGGATTTCATGTAAGTGAACCAGGCACAAGATCAATGCCGACCTCAGCTCAGAGACTACTGACACAAAGATTATAGTGTAGAGAAACTGCTAGTTTTGAACCATTACGTATAACCGAATACCTTAAAGCTCAGTGACAAAGTAAGGCGCCTTATTTTTGGCCTCAGGGTTAGTTTGACACCAATAAGTTAGCTCTACTGATCATGAGCCAAATTAGCACAATCCTCCACAGGCTCATGTAATATATTAACAACATGTTATAAAACTGTAGTTAATAGATATAAAAACGGGCTGTATAGGGTAAGAATAGATTTAAGGCTAGAGTTAAGAACAAGATACAAGTTTCAAGACATTTACAGTACATCAATAGAGACTTAATTGGGTACACACTATGGTTGACCAATTAGAAGCTTTCAAAGCATTTCTTGGGGTGAGTCAGGTCTTAGCTATCGGCTGGGAAATAAGCGGGGTCTGAAATTAAATGCCTCTTCTCACAACAGTCAGTTCTTATAGTTTCAAGGTCGATTACCCATAAAATAGAAACGTCCACTACAAATGGATCCAATCACAGCATTTCAAGTTGCTGGCACCGTTGTCGCATTCGTTGAATTCTCCTACAATCTAATCTCAGAAACACGCTCTATATATAGGTCTCCAGATGGCAATCCAACGACGGTCATTCGCTTGTCGACAATTATTAACGACCTTTCGGACATCAATGATCAGGTCAAGCATGTCCTTGACATTTCCACCTCCCAAGCAACGACTGCCTCGGATGAAACCCTTGTCAGATTATGTCGTGAGAGCCGAGACATAGCAACAGAAATCCGGACCGGTTTGACGTCTCTCCAAGCGAAGGGGACTTCCAAACTTGACCATGCCAAAACGAGTGTTATTGTCGCTTAGAAGGCCATGTGGTCGAGGGACAAGCTGGCGAGTTTAGAGCAACGGCTCCAACAAATCCGGTCGGAGATGATGATGGCAATGCTCGTGGCCCTCTGGTAAGTACTCGAAATGTCGATGTCGATCCGAATCTTATATTCTGCGCAGGGAAAAGGAAAGACTGCAGGGAACAAGAGGCGATCAAGGACTAACCACCCAGATTGATCACATTTCCAAGGCCATAGATCGCAACAACGCCAAACTCGATGATTTCCTTACAGAGCTAGATGCAACGGCATCCAAGGACAACGGTCTAGGGCCGGCAAGGCGCCATAGACTTTTTAGTAAACTATGGGCCACAGACTGGCAACCGTCTGATGTTCACCTGCAAGGGGGCTTCCAAGCCTCAGCGAGCGATAGTCAGCTTGAAGAGAATATTCAGAGTCAAATTATCCGAAGCTTACACTTCCCTGGAATCGAGGCAAGAGAAAAGTTAATACCCAAGCCGTATCAAGACACATACCAGTGGATCTATCGTAAAGATATCAACAACAGCCAAATCAGGCGTCAAAGCTTGCCGCAATGGCTCGAAGATTCCTCCAACAAAGTATACTGGATTACCGGCAAGCCAGGATCCGGCAAGTCAACGTTGATGAATTTTATCATCCACAACCCCTTGACAGAGCGATACTTGCAAACTTGGGCAAAGCCTCTTCCTCTGCTGCGGTCCAACTTTTACTTTTGGGAGGCTGGGCAAAACAACCTACAAAGGTCGCAAGAGGGCTTGATGCAGACGCTCCTTTGGCAGTGTTTGCAGCAAAGGCCTGGATTGATAGCTCGGGTGACGCCTCGGAGATGGATGGTTCATCAAGTCTTGCGTGGGCTGGAAACGCCTGCGCCGGCTTGGACCTGGGAGGAGCTCCAAGTAGCCTTTTCTATCTTAGCATCCGAGAACGGTAGGTCATTCAGGCTGGTTCTGTTCTTGGATGGACTAGATGAATTTGAGGGCGAGCCGACAGTACTGATTCGGTTGGTGAAGGACCTTATCACAATCTATGGTGTAAAGATATGTGTGGCTAGTCGCCCATGGACAGAATTTGCAGACGCCTTTGATCAATATCCAATGCTTACGATGCAGTCTCTTACACAAAAAGACATTTCAGTATTCATCAAAGGCAACTTCGAAGCTTGTAGAGCGTTTCGGGAACGAAGAGCGCTTTTCCCTGATCAAGCCACAAATCTACTCCGAGAGATCTCAAACAAAGCTCAGGGTGTGTTTCTATGGGTATTCCTCGTGGTTAGAGACCTGATACATAGCCTTTCAAGAGGACGGAGCTTGAGTGAGCTCCAAGTGATCGTCGACGATCTTCCTACCGACTTACATAACCTGTACAGCAAAATGAGAGAAAGGGTCGAACCAGAGGATATTGAGAATTCGGCTCGTTACTATCAACTTATGGTTGCCGCCCTTAAGCCGTTGCATGCGGTAACACTTTGGATGGCAGATGGAGAGAACCTCCCAGAGGGCGATACCTTCACAGACGAATTGGGAGACAACATAAACAAGATATTGCAAAGGCGTTTGGACAGCTCCACAAAAGGCCTTCTGGAGCTTGACGACAACGGTATCGTGAGCTTTCTCCATAGGACCGCACGAGACTGGGTACTTCAAACAGCTGAAAGTGCGGGACTGCAGGCTCAAGCACCGGGTTTCAACCCAAACTTGGTCTTGTTACAGGTATTAACCAAGCAGCTGGCCCACGAGAAGATCTACCAATGTCTGGGCCAGTCTCAGCTTTCCTTTTGGAGCTTTGTCTTTCTTGGATTATTCTACGCGGCGCAAATCGTCGACTGCCCTTCCATGAGCCCTCATCTCGTCCAAGCTATTGATGACTTTGATGCTGCCTTGTGCGAAAGGGCGACTAACCTCGGTAACAAAAGCTATGTCTTCAGTTCAACATCTGTAACACCTCAAAAGGCAGCATTACAAGTACCAGGTCGATGGTCCTCCCTGCTAGGGAGGCGAAAGAAGGCAACTAGCGCTTCTGCCAACCATTGGTCATGCACACAATATAGTGCCTATGGATCTAGTGATACTGGGAGTGGAATAGTTGCTATCGCTGCTCAGTTCGCTATCACCCCATATGTGATAGAAGTGATAAACCACGACAAGAGCCTTCTTAAACCTGATCCTTGCAGGGATTCCCTGTTGGAGAGTGCTACCTTTGGCTGGCACCAGTACAAGTACCGCACCTACGAAGACCTATCCGAATATGATCTTGTCGCGAAACGTCTCCAGAAGCGGTTGATGCGCTAGAGGATCGAGACAGTAAAGGCCTTACTTGATCGAGGGGCACAACCAAATGAAGCAGGCTGCGGGGTTCTAACCAAGGTCGAGCAACTAGATGATGACTCGAAGATAAAAATATGCCCTCCAGAGTATTGGGAACAAGTCTCAACACTCTTACGTGCTGGGAGGAGAAGGAGCCGTTTTGGTTTCAGATAATGATAATCCTTAAATTATAATGTGGCTAACACCACTTAGCAAGTGGATTCCAGGGGAGGCGAATAGTCCCTCCATCTCTGCAACATGCGATTCCAACATCTCCTGTGTCAGTTTTATAATAGCATACGAACGTCTTTGGCTCCCAGGCCCAGAAGCCACCTGCTCCAAGACTGTCACCCGTACCGTCCAACTCACCTTCCTTCTCCAACTGTTCTATTCTAGCTCTTCTGCAAAATGTTCTTAGTCCACGCCACGCAAGCCAAAATGTGTCTGGTAACTAGTACTTACGTTAATGCATTCCCATATCCCCATACCGCGGCAATGATTCTCGAGGGTGGTGCTTGGTAGAATTCCATGCGCTTTTTGGATATGGCCTCGTGTTTGATCTCGATATTAGACGTGGTCGTGCTATAAATCGGAAAGGTTAACCTGTGAAAGCCGTGGTTAACAGATGAGACGTTACTCACTCGGCGGCAATAAGCTCCATAGGTCGATCTCCATATGAATACAGCACGTTGAACATCTTCCGTTCCACCTCAGGCCATGGATCCCCAAATTGTTGAACAAGTGTATCTCCCTTGATTTGCAGAGTTTGTTGTCGAGTCACCAGGCTTCGAACAATGTTCGTGACATCCACGTCTGCGAATACAGCACCATATATGTGCAGTGGTGGTCCACCCTGGGACGGGGATGCAACTATAGTGCTTGGGCTTTGGAGGGACATTGGCATGTCTCCGGTTTGATGTGGTGAGGCAAAACTCGAAACTCCAGTGGGTGTGTGAGAATAATTGGAGTCGCCTGGCGGATATTGATTATATTGAGGCGGTTGTGGCGATGCTTGGGATCCAGGTACATAGAATGGGTAGAAATGTGTTTGCGTATGTGTCACCGTTTGTACTGCTGGTTGTTGCTGTTGCTTGTTTCCAAAAAGACCTATTATCTTGGCTCCAACGGCACCAGCACCGGCGATTGCCACAGACTGAGCAACTTTGCCCAGCCCGCCTTGTTGGCCGGGGCTTTCTTGATGGTTCTCGAGTTTATTGCGGAGGAAAGAACCGGCCAGAAAGCTTCCACCCAAGGCCAATGAAGCCTTTCCCAGACCACGATCTCCCTCTTCAGGAGGCTGGGTAACCTCTCCCATTTGTGTGTTATTTGGGGGATCCGTAGTCGCATGCGTATTTAGACCTTGAACAGCCTCGTATTGCCGTTGGATAGGTGGGAATGTAGGAAGTGCCCATTGAGTCATGCCAGTAGCAGGAAATACATAGTACCTAGGCAAGAAGTGTAAGCAAAGAATTTGAAATACCTGATGGTATGGATGTTTCTGCGACTAACCATGCATTGTGCTCTGGGCTCCAGTTTGCAACCCAACCCGGAGGTAAGGGCGAGCCATTACCTCCCAGTGATGTCTCTGTAGACCGCAAATTTGACATTAGTATGTGAGAAAAACTGTCGTCTTAAAAATGGTCCGCAATGGGGAGGATATTGTTCGATTTTGAGAATCCACGACTAAGGACAACGATATGTTGATCATTAGTCACGGCATGAATCAACATGAGGAAACTGGGTGAAACGGCCCCTTGGACATGCAGGAGCAGGGTTCATATGCTTTTTTATCTTGCGTGACGTACAGTGTAGTAGGGCCACACACCTTCATCTGACTGGTATGCCACTGGAGAGTGGCAGTGCCTGTACTGCCTGTTTCTTGATATCAGGTGCTTCAGAACCGGCTGCTCGAAGAACCTCGAGTCACTACCGGAGGCAGAAGGTCTGCCATAGTAAGGAACAAAAGGCGCTGTCAGTATCACGAGTGCATGCTGTCCCCAGTCACAGCGCTTTCAACTTAGCCATGTGCAGCCAAGACTGGCAGCCATCCCCACTTTCTTCGCCGTTTTATATCGGAAAAAGGCATTCAAGTCCAAGCTTAGTGGCCAGAGCCACATTAGTAGGACTCAGCCCTGTATCTGACGGCTTGATGATGGTCGCAATTGTGTTGAGGCTTCCACATCAAGTGCCGATAGCCGCTCACTAGCCCAGCTAAGCTTTAGTGTAAATACAATGCTAGCCACATTTTCGCTTACTGAGCCATTTCTCCCATGTAACTGGCCAGAAGGAATTGTCGGGACATTATCTCATGCAAGTATCCGTACTTGAGCATCCATCGTTAAGTATGAACTTTTAGTGGCTTGGATGGCTTGTGTGCCAGAGAGGCCATGACATTTAGATCAACCTTTACTGCTCAGAAGGTACCTGTCCTCTGAATTTCATCGTTATCATTACAACTCATGGTGAAATATCTCATATGACTTATTTATAAGCTACTATATTATTACTGATAATGTTTTTACATTATTTTGTACTTGTCCAGTGACCGACCTACAGGGAACTAAGCCCTGAACAGCGACCACAGACCTCGACCAGCCTAGGTGAAGTTTGTTCGATGACTAAAGGCGGGAAATCATGGCATGGTAAGAAAATAAAAGGTTCGCAGTAATTAGAACCCTTGAACATTTTTAGATAGTTGCGCTTCAGACGAGACTAATATCCTGCGTTCAGAGAAAGCAGTACAAAATTGCATTAGCAGGATCGGGAATGCGGCAAAGGAAAAAACAAAAGGGGAATATCAGAAGAGAACTGTAATTGAAATTCTTGCATCTTTATCTGTGGCCATGAGGCACAAGCTTAATCCGACTCATATCCTCCACAGAGATCCCTTTCGCCGCAGCGACATCGGACACAACGTCAAGACTAGTTCTTCTCATTCCCACAGTGAGGCGTGGTGGGGAAGTCGATATTTGGCCCACCACCTCTCTGACATAATAAATTATGACTAACCTCGGATCCGGGTCTCGACATAGTGCTATCCGTACTAACTTGTTGGATGGACGTAATTCCAGCCCCGCCAGGGCCATGAACAGGTGTTTTTCAAGAAACGACATTTACCATAGCTCAGCTCTTAGACGCTTGCGTGCGAGAAGCAATGGTTTTGTCAGTCGGTCGCAGATGTCCGTAGGCTTGTGAGGCTGGCCAGGATCTATGGTCTAGCAGCAGTGCTTGTACAGGGCCTTACTTTCCCCGCTTCTCACAAAAGTCCACCCTTTGATAAGTTTATTGTACCCACCCATACCATGCCCCTGTATTTTACCCAACTCGCCCCTACAGAGAAACCATTCCATCACCACTTTGCTTCTAATCCCCACTGTTGACAAATATTTTTGTTGTCACCCTCGTCTGCCATACAGCCATCGAGGCCAGGAGACGCCATTGTCATGTCTGATGCACCGTCTAATGACGCATCCCAGAAGAGGTAATCTTCATGTCTACTCGCTTCGCCGCTAACAGAATTGGCTGACGAGACAGGCTGCGTAACCGCCTATCCCAACAAGCATTTAGAAAACGACAGAATGCCTACATCAAAGACTTGGAAAGACGCCTTGAGATAAGGGACAACGACGAGAATGGGCAGATTGCTCAGCTGGAGAGAGACAACCGCGCCCTACGGGAACAGCTCACTAAAGCATGTAGCAAGCTGGAACGTATCCAGATTACATTAAGGTCACTGTCCAATACTATGATGAGTCATGTATCTCACGGTCCGGAAGCCAACCTACAGACGCCTCAAGACTCCATGACAAGGTCCTCGTTAGTAAACGAGGATGAAGGTGAAAGGATGGAAACGGCAAATGGCGCGAGCGCCAGCGCACCTACGTCCCCCGATACACCCGAACAGACTGGAGAGCCAGTGCCAGGACATGATGAAGATGCCGATGCCGATGCTTTCTTCCCTTCATTTCAACCAGAGGACCTAACCACGCCTGGCCAAGACGCAAGTGAAGTCGTTATGGGCAACCTTGACAGCTTCTCTACGGCTCCGCCAGTTCCAGGCAGCCAGGAGATATTGAGCTTAGAAATGTCGGTTCTTCTCGACAAATTCCCTGATAATAGTCTCTATAATATTCGAGGTTTATCGGGCATATGGTCGCATGAATACCAGATGGGTCTTTCTGCCTTCCAGCATCAAACATCCAATACAAATAAGACAGGCCGTGCGCTTGTGGGTACTAATTCCTCCTTCTCGGACCACACGCAAATGATCAGACGGTGTCTAGTCACGAAATGGACAAGAGCCAAAATCTTCCAGCCACACGCAGTCACAGAGTAGGCATAACTTCCAACCTTCCTTTCACTTTGTTTGGTTACTAACAGGTTAAATTTCCAGAGATGGACTTCGTCTCTCCGGTACACTCATGATGTCGCTCTTTCACAGCCTGAGCCGTCCTGCAGCTCTCACTTGGTACACAGCCACCAAATTCCAAGAGAACATCGCCGACCTACTCCTCTGGCAGATCAACCGGTCGCGCGTGGTCTACTCACGCTTGCACGCAAACTACAGACCGTCAGCACTTCAGCTTGTCGAGGATTACCCTTCAGTCATTGACTGGTGTCCGTTCCCGACTATCAGAGACAAGCTTATTTTACTACATGCCGCGAACCCTTGTCTAGATCAGATCATCTGCGATATCGCCACCGCTTACTCAGTGGAGGTTGATATTGGTAAATTGATTCTTGGTCAGACTGGGAAGGGTTATATTCGTGTCTGGGACTTAATATGCGCCTTCGAGACAGAGGATATCGAAACTGACGATGGTGATGCAAGTGCCATATTCGACTATTCCTCGGTCCCCAAGTATACAGACTCCCAACTTCCGTTCCTCCGACCTGCCCCCAGCGTGGAGTGTCTATTTGAACCACGCTTTGCCCGGGCAACCTTCAAAGCACTCGGCTTAGGTGATGGTGTCCCGAGGTTTAAGGTTGATCCTAGTATATTCATACAGTATCCTGAGCTATACGACGCTGGAGTTGATATCATTGCCGCGGGGACCGCCATTGCACCCGATATTCAGACAAAGTTACCCGTCCCAAGCTCACCGAGACGCGATACGCTTGGAATCTATCAGAATGTCGCGGACTGGTGTATTGGCGCTATATGTAAAGTGTCATTAACGTAAACTGTATCAGGAAAATGAGCCAAGCCATATACAAGTCACTATCCCATTGCCTGGCTTATATCTCTGTCATTGATATATACGATAATACTGAAAATACTGTCCTGTCGCAAATCTTTGGTCTAAAAGTTACAACCTTGCAAGTGGCCCGTCGACTTTCACCACTCCGAGAGAAGCACGTGTGATGTCGGCAATACTCTTACAGCCACAAAGCTGCATACATCTCCGAAACTCGCTGTAAAGAATGTCCAAAGTCTTGATAACTCCTGCTTCTCCGTCGTACTATCACCGAATGCATTAGTATTTCATCCTCGACAATAGGACTGTAGGTTACTCACTGCCAAGCCCCAGATTGTCGGGCGACCAATCCACACGCACTTTGCCCCAAGAGCCAACGCCTTGAAGATGTCTGTTCCATTTCGGATTCCGCCGTCAATGTGAACCTCGATCTTTCCATTCGCCGCCCTGACACACTCCGGGAGAGCATCAATAGTGGCTGGCGCCTGATCAAGTTGTCTTCCTCCGTGATTGCTGACAATGACGCCATCACAACCATACTGGATGGCAAGGTGGACATCCTCAGCGGTCAAGACACCCTTGATCCAGATCTGCATCTTGGTGACGCTGCGAAGCCAGGGGATTTCGTTAGCCCAGGAATGCGAGTCAGAGTTGAACGAAGTAAATCCGTCGTCGTGAGTCTGGGCGCGAACCGCCTCTGATGTTCTCTCTAGCATGGGCAGCGCAAGACCTTCTGGCGTCCTGAAGTCGTTACGGAGCTCGTTGTACCTGACGCCGAGTACTGGACTATCCGCCGTGAGAAAGATAGCAGTACAGCCTGCTTTTTCGGCACGCTTGATGATCCGCAATTGTGCCACACGATCCTGCATTGAGTACAGCTGCATTACGTGATGAAGCGATCCAACTGCGAGTCCGGCAGCTCGGATATCTTCGACAGAGTAATTCGAAAACGAGGAGACGCCCATGTGCACACCACGTTTGGCACATGCTCGGCTCGTAGCAAGTTCTCCTTCAGGATGCGCCATGGCTTGAATGCCAGCAGGGGAAACGCAAAGGGGGAAAGGAATCTTTTGTCCAAAGACTCTAGTTGTCGTATCGGCCTTGGAAACGTCGACAAGAACTCGAGGTCGCAATCGATACTTGGAATAGACTGTCGTATTCTCTCGGACCGTAATTTGATCACTGGAGCCAGCATCGTAGAATTCTGTAAAAAGTAATAAGATCAATCGTGGTATTGTTCGTCATCCATCACAAAGTCTTACCTCTTGCGCTGGTAGAGAGCTTCTCGGATGCAGCTTCTTTGATATCGTCAAGAGTAAGGATCAGCCTATGATCGGCCTTGGGTGCCATCTTTACAAGTGATTAAAAGAGAGAAGTAGTATCTGATGCGTGGACTTGGGTGAGTTTCGTCGTGAGATTTCCTGACTGGGACTGTCGAACGGTCCGGCTTATACTTAAAGGTCGACCAGCAGTCGTACCATCAAGCCTGATCCAAGTGGCGACATCCGACCATGTAAATCATGGCACCTCTATAGCATCCTGGAGTTTAGTCAGATCAAATGCCAAGCGATTTCCCATGACTAATTTTTTATTAGTGGTTACTGTGGGGGCGAATGATGAGAGCGTCGTTTATTAGTAGTAAATCGTTATTTGTCAGGGTTGGTAAAGTAACAAGTGGGGGACGTCAACTATGAGACTAAATGAATCCTTGCGTATAAGAATTGTCATTTTTTCTTTTTGAAAACTTGTTTGTATTTTATCCTTATAATTCTTAGATTCACGTTTTACCTGGTATTTTGCTCTGGACAGGTAGCGATCGACCCTGGAACTGGTGTCCTGGTCCAAGGTACGGTTCATGACAGGACGGTCAGTGTTGGCTGTGTTAAAAAGACCGTACATGACTTATTTCATGATTCTTCAGAAACAAATCCTACTTAACCTCGCTGAAGTCCTTCAAGCCAGTGGCTTAGGATTAGAGAATGTTGTCAAGGCCAACATTTACTTGACTGACCTGGAGGATTTCGCTGAGATGAACGACGCCTATACATCTTTCTTCCCGAGCCTGAAGCCAGTAAGCATTTTAATTGCTTAGACCGGTTGACATACCTAATGCGTAACAATAGGCAAGAACATGCGTCGGTGTCAAGGAGCTTCCTTTAGGAACCGATGTTGAGATCGAATGTATTGCGAATAGGAAAACGCTGGACATGGGGCACTTGTAACGAAGCACAGTAAGGGACAATACTTAGGAATATTATGTGCCGTATTGAGCATGTATAGAGTGGGCTCTTGTCCGCGCATATCCATTGTTTTGCTTTGAGGAAGAAGTTTTACTATACTTGAAAAAATTGTCTGTCGTGGCAGAATTGCTAATACCTGAGCATACAAGAGTAAAGACAGACATAGGCACTAAAGCATCCGTATATTCAATCCTATTCATTCATCAGCGATCAATAATTCTAGTCTTATCGTAGGGCGAGCCATTTTTGGTTCTGTTCACCGCATAATCCCGATGCCTCTCCGTCTGCCCCCGTACCGTAACAGTTGCGCTTAAAACCTTTAGCCTCAATGGACACAGAAACATGCCATTTCTTTGATTCTGCGCCCGGAACTTTGTTCTCGTTCGGTTCTTCCATTACTGCCTCACGGTCCTTCACAAACGCCCATGGAGTCTTCTCAGCCCAACCACGTTGCGTCTGCTCATTTATCGCCAGTGAAAACCAGTCCAGATGTGGTGTCGTTAAGTCATCGTGTGCCATTAAAATGGAGACATTGTCAAATCCATCCATGTGCTGCATCTTGCTAATCGTGCGATCAGCCGCTGGCACCTTTTGCTAAGTCCCACTAAGGTGTCACTATAGGTTCTAACTATGTCATACTTATGTCTAAACCCCACACTTTGCGGCGGGGAAGAACAATGACTAACAAAAGGTTACTAACAGCCTGAACAGGGCATATCGATAGGTAGGTGCATTAAGTAGACGCTGTACGACGGAGAAGAACCTCCCATGGTAAATCTCGATTTGCAATCGCGTTTTACTGAAAACCTATCGAGTGGTTCCCTAATCACTTATTGTATTCAACACCTGCCCTGTATGAAAATGACCACAGCACTGGCAAGATTACGAACCATTGCGACTACTCGTCGCCTAGCATGTATTACAGCCTGGGACTACCCCAGTGGCTTGCTTGCAGAATCAGCAGAGATTGATTTGGTACTAGTGGGTGACAGTCTCGGCATCACGGCTCTTGGATACAAGGATACAAAGGCCGTGACCTTGGATGAAATAGTACACCACACGCGAGCTGTCGCCAGAGCTTACAAGACCGGTTTTCTCCTGGCTGATCTTCCTCTTGGCTCTTACGAGAAGTCTACCAAACATGGTAAGGTTCTCTCCTATGCAATAAATGATAAGGTTTCGAACGCCCCTGAACTGAAGACTGACAGCCTTTCAGCAATCGAGTCTGCCATCAAGCTAGTCAAAGAAGGCGGTGCTCATGGTGTGAAGCTTGAAGGAGGTCGCGACATGGCCCCTGCAATTCGAGCTATCTCCAAAGCAGGTGTTCCGGTGATTGGCCACATAGGACTCACACTGCAGCGAGATCTGGATGCATCCAAGGAAGTAGATGATGGCAGTGAGGCTCTTGAGGATGCCAAGAGCGTTCAGGATGCTGGTGCTGTGGCTGTCGTAGTAGAAGCAGTGGCTTCAGGAACAGCAGATACCATCACCAAGACGTTGAGAATTCCGACCATCGGTATTGGGTATGGCTTTTCACGCAGAATATGGTCTCTCACTAACCCTTTCCCTAGTTCTGGCCCTCATTGCTCAGGGCAGCTAGCCCTTCAGACGGAAATACTCGGATTCCAGAAGATATTGTTCCCAGAGTGAGTATTTATCAGTTGTAAAACAATTTTCAGTTAACTTATTCTGGCATCATAGGTGGCACAAGCGGTATGTTGAAATCGGCAATCTAAGTTTAGAAGCCCTCCGTAAATTTTCCCAGGAGGTTCAAGATAGCAAGTTTTCTTTAACAGAGAGCTAGGAGCAGTGAGAGCTTTTTTATCCTCATGAAGTAGAAAGACTAGTTAGTAACTCTTTTATTTTTTACTCGAACCGTATGCCTTAGTATGCCCACGGACTATATTCTTCATATCACTTGGTGTTATGAAAACAATCTTTAAGTTAAACCTAATAAGCTAGTAATTACTTAATTATAGCATATCTTAATCTGATTATATCAAGCCAGGAGTACAGGCTTCTTTCTAAATATATTGCGTAGCTATTACATCTCTAATACTATAGCTCCGTAATTATTATGAGGGATCCTTAGCTGTATGTATAATATCCAGCTTCAAACAGTGCTATCGGTCACGTGCAGTACCCCTTAATTTTAAACACGTATCCTTAAATATCCCTCGTCAGAACACCTAAATACAACACTTGTCCACCTATAATCTCACTCGTCAAATTGCTTATAAGCAACCCTTCGGCGCCATGCCTGAGATTCCTGGAAACTCGCCCGGGCTCCTTAAACTATCTAACGAAATCCTGCTCATCATTTTTAGTTTTATAAGCAGGAACACAGACAAGTCCGAAGACAAGACAATCTTCAACTTGAGATTAACGTGTTGGAGATTTTGTTTGCTATGCGAGGATAAGATCACCCGCCGCACTGCAAGCGTAGACTTCAGCCGTCCTGAAAGCCTTACACTGTTTCGTCAGGTACTAAGTAATCCTAGAATTGCCACAAGCATTTCCGAGGTCAACGTGCGGCTACACTTTTACCACCCATGGATTGCAGCAAGTTTCGACAATTTTGTCGCTGCAACTTATTCCGAATGGAAGCAGCGATGCCAAGACTGGTGGGGGATGGATGTCATGACAGATGGACGAGTAACATATGAGCATATGGTCGACCGGTATCTGAAAATCCATCACGATGAGGTGATAAAGGAACACTATCCTTCCAATGACAACAACTGCGACGCACAAGCTTGGTCTGGAAACATCTCTCGCCAGGCTTACAAAATCTACAGAGAAAGATACAATTCTCAAACAACATCGCAAAGCAATAACGCTTTTGCAATAAAGCTAACTGAAACCATTGCAATGCTACCGAATCTTCGTCAAGTCGCACTTCATGATGGTGTTCTCGAAAATAATTATGATCTGGGGCGTGAGATCGATTCGGCTGATGAACATGACTTATCAACCCAAGCCGGCATCTTGATTCAAATATTCTCTCGCCCAATGCTATGGGAGGAAGCGCGTTGGATCGAACCCACCGAATTCATCTGGCCTGGCGTTCCTATACACTTGCTCGTGGATATTCCATTGGCACTGGGTACGAGCGAGTCACTGATTATTGACCGGCTCTGTATTCATGTGTCAGCGGCGCCTGAATACACGGCACTGCAACTGAGCGATGATTGTTTGGATAGACTATCCGCAGCAATCAAAAGCATGGATCTTTTCCAATTTACGTTTCAACCTCGGTGTCGCAGTGGATGTGGTCCATGGACTACTGATGAAGAGGGTGACTCGAACTATATATCCAGGACAGCGGATGAGCTGACTGCTATAAAACGGTACATAAGCGCATTCTTTGCTGCCGGAACTATTAATGGCGCCGATATAAACTTTGGGGAATTTTGGCATAGCCTGGGATGCGGTTCCATGCTCAATGCTCAAACTTCTGGCACTGCATTTACTTGGCCCTTCAATTCCGATTTATGGTCAGTTAGTCTCATTGAGACCGACGTCACTGATGTAGAGCTGGGAACATTGGCTAAAGCTCTTCAACCAGAAGGACAGCTTTCACTATTTGCCGTGTACATACATCATGGCTTATGGGAAGATGCGCTGGACAGACTGAGAGAGGGATTGCGCAATCCGCATTTAGTATCCATTAGGCATCCGGCTGGCGGGGAGATTCTTAGTCTTGAAGACGACCAAGTCAAGTCAATTTTCAGTCCTCGAAATAACAAGGAAGACACTGAAGCCGATCGATATGTTATGGGGAAATCTTTGCAAAATCCTTTTGAAACATTTAGAGAGTAGAAATCTTTATGTATTAGCCCGAGAAGCGTTATGGATGCCTTGGCCGAGTCTGAAATAATAGGAGGGGGCTGGAGGAGTAACATCGAGAGTACCCTCTTCATCTCAAGATGGCTAGCTGGATGATCGTAGTCGTCGAAATATATTCCATGCTCTTCTATGTCGAAGTTAAGATACCATAAATTAACTTAAAAAAAGGTACCACCACCTTCTTCCTTACTTTTCAATACTTAAGTAAATCCAAGTCTTTTCAGCTCCATACTTAAACAAGTAGCACGGGAGGATATCAGTTTAGCTAGGCGAGGATTACTAGCTGATAGATCGGCAAGCTATTTTAAGATAAAAGCAGGAATTCCTCAAGATGAGATCCCTCAGGGAAATGGACAGCGTCATTATCTCTCGTCTGGTCTCATAGAGCACGGTTGCAGTAGTTTCTGTCAATGGTTGCATGTCTCGGCGAAGTCAAGTCTCAGACCAGAGCTTTGGGAATCAAATTATTGTTGTTGAGATACAAAAAGGGACGATTTACTTGTGGTTATTAAAACCTGTCTCAACAATTATAAACATGATTCCTGACACATATGCCTCTCATACAAGCCTATAGAAACAGGTAAAGATTCCTATCAGTCCTCGCTCCTGGGTCGAAGATGACAGTAAAGCAGTCCACCTCGTCAAACCGAGTATCATACAAGTGTCTAGTACTTGAAAATGATATATATGGCATGAATGAGACCTGGAATAAAGACTGACTGTGTTAGTATCCTATAGCTTGGCGAACAAAACTGACGTACATAGACATGTGAGAAGTAGATTGATCCAAAAATCACCTCCACATCCTCGCTCCATGAATACGCCAAGAGGAGGGAGCAGGATTGCAAGAATGATCTTGCAAGGGTCCCTATAGGTTTATTAGCCCCTTTGCCTACGGCGAACGGTGGAAAAGAAGAAATTTGAACTTACGAGCAAGTGAATGGCATCTTGTTGATGGTAGTTAATGGAATAGAGAAGATTGCAAAGATTGAAAAAGAAGTAAAGGTATTCGTGCGCTGTCACAAGAAATGGCTATTAAGTAGATGTTAGGAGGGTAAATGAATGAGTGAGTAAGTGAATGGTAAGAGGAATACTATCTTTCCAGACGGGGAAGCACTCTTATATTAATTGTATTATCCAGTATTCCAACAAAACCTTGCGTGTTATTCGGCAGCTATAAATACCAGAACTAATAGGCGCGTCGCACTGACGTTACAGTTTTTACCAACAACTGGAGCTGAGATCCTAGTCGGACCGAGAGTGGATTAGTGCATAAGCCGATCTGTCTCCGCAGCACAGCGGACATAACACGCCAGCCTCAAGTCAGTTTAGACTAGGTAAATCTCACATTGTGATTGGCTTTCTCGTGTTTATATGCTGTCGGCACTCTCCGTACCCACCTTTATCCCTGAGTCAATATCTTCCCCTTACCGTCAGTGCGTGCATGTGGTGGCACAGGGCGTCATGCGGTTACAAAACACTCTTATCATCCAGTGGTCAAATCTTCTTCTCTCCCTATAGGCTCCCTCGTGTTTCAAGCAATGTTGCAATCATGGCTGTCCAAGGAATCGCCCCTGCCAATGTCAAATACAAGCGCGTATGTGGTCCTAAGAGCCGAAATGGCTGCATCACATGGTATGTTTGCACGAAGTCCTTTTGTCCAAGACCATACACTAATCCGTATATTGTCCTTCTGCAGCAAGTAAGTGGCGTAGCGAAATCTCCCTGTTCAAATACTTATCATGACAGGATCCGACATTTGAAATGCGATGAGGCCAAACCGGTATGTGAGCGTTGTTCCAACGACAAGCTGAAGTGCGACGGCTACATGACACCCAAACCTCGCAAGTCCCGAAGAAAGCCGAAGCCAGAAGCTATGCCAAAATCTACGAAACCAAGCTTCGAGGTCTTCCCTCTGCGCTCTTGCATTCACGATATGCCCTCGTTGACTAGTCAAGAGCGGTTGTACTTCAATCACTTTTTCCAATTCACATCCACGCAACTATCACTTTCCGCCGAATCGAGCAACTTTTGGCTCCAATACGTTCTTCCCATGGGCTACCAGTCTGAGTCTATTCGATACAGTATGATCGCAGTTGGGACCTCGCATCGACTATTTATGGCACAGTCGCTTGGCGAGTCTAATCTGGACGAATGGAAGAGCTTGGCGATTCAACATTACAACAAGGCTATTACGTCCATCATACTAAACATAGCAGCAAGTTCAGCACAAGATTTACATATCATCATGATCTGCTGTCTACTCTTTATCTCTTTCGAAGGCCTCACTGGTCGGTACGATGAACTCTTGCGTCATCTAAGCGCTGGGATAGAGTTATTCCATCTGCCTTTACCGTCATGTACCGTTGAGGACCGTATTATAACCGAAAGGCTTGCCGAGATGTTCTGCAGACTTGGAGTAGAGTCATCTAACTTCATGAAGAATGATCCCCATCTTTCGGGAATGAAATACTGGTATCGCAACAACTCGAACCGGGGCCCGCAATCACCAATCCCTTTTAAGAATTTCGATGAAGCGTCTTTTGCGTTGCGGCAGTTGGATGTTCTCTATGAGATCAAACCATGGTATGATGAGGGCAGCGACGACGAAGACAAAGTGCGCCTCGTAAAAGAGAGAAGCAAAAGCCTCCAAGATGCTCTTGATGAATGGACCAAGCGTTTTGAAACGCTCTACCAGCTTCGGAAGGAGGAGCTACTGACCAAGGAGGAACAGCAGTACCATAACCTCTGTGTACGTCAGAAATATTGGCAGATGGTGATAGACGCACACGCATCGGAAGAAGCAACAGCAGATCACATGATGTTTCAGCCTTTTCTTGCAGCAGCCAGAAAAGCAGCGGCTCCTCTCATCGCTCTAGCCCGGCCAACATTTTCACTTGATGGGGATTTGATCACTGGTCTGACTTTTGTTGCATCGACTACAACAGATGCAAAAACCAAGGTACAAGCTCTGGATCTGCTGTGGCAATTGAATCGCCGCGAAGGTCTTCTAGACAGTCGCGAAATTGTTGAGATGCATGAGCTCGCTAGGGCCTTCGAAACGTGCACGACCGAGCCCGATTTTGATCCATCTTGGGAACCCACGGCGGCGGCTGGAATACCCACGATTATTGAGAGATTGAGAAAGAGCCTGGGACAGTTAACCCTATAGAAAGATGCTAGTCTTGTCTTATTTAGAGGCAGTAGTTGGATGTACATAGATCAATGTGTCATAATACTGAGTTTTCTATGTAATACTCCTCCTAATAAGTGACTAGTTATAGCTTTTAGGGTCTTGCTGGGAGTAGGTACTCTTATTTAAGTTATTTTACATCTACAGCAACCCGTAAAGGCGCCACTATTTCCAATGAGGAAGTAGAATGGCTACTCAAATACCGAAATGCAACGATTTCCAATTTTCGCAAATTTCTCAATATTCGCGTGAAAATAGATCTTGCCGCCGTCCCTAACAACCTCAAACTTCCAGCCACTATTGTTCACAGAAACTTCCATACTGAGTATTTCTCCACTCACACATCCTCCTCAGTTCCAATTCACTACCATACAAAACTGTCATGAAGACCCTGTCAGAAATGAGATCCGGCTCCGAGTGGACAGGACTATCATCCCTCCCCCAGCTGAAGCGAACCACTTCGCCATGTCCAACCTGGACTCTAGGAGTGTGTTTGAATTTGTTTGCCAGCCACTCCCTCAATTTGGCATCTGCATCATCCATCTCGTCTTCCGAGGGTTCATGTGCAGCAGTCCCCAGCCACCAATAGTGTTGCGCTTCCCCTTCCCGCTGCGTAGTATACACAGATTCATCTGACTTTAGCATGAGCGTAGACGGTCCAAGTAATGTGAGCCCATATTTGCTCCGCACAACTTCTTCACGTCCTTCGTCGTACGGATACATGCAACCGTCTTGATGCCATCTTGGTATTTCGAATTCAGTACTGCGCTTTGTAAGGCGGATGGTAAGCCAGCAGGCTCTTTTCTCTTCTGCATTTCCTGTACAATCGTTTTGCGTGATGCGTAAGAACGTCTCAATAGTGTGTTTCATTTCCTGCTCTACTCCATCAGTAAGGCGGGCAAGAAAATTAGTCGCCTCCGCAGCAATTGAAGCATTAGCGAGGCCGTAGTAATTGAGTGTTGACTCTCGTTTCGTAGACGTGATACGGGGAACATTGATGGATGCCGTGAGGATTGCCAGAGGTAACTGATCAGACATTTTGGGATTTGAAAAGACTGCCTATATGGTATGATGTATTTGTGGGACGATTTAGGTATCGATGTGGCTTTCTGTCACTCAAATTTATTATTCATGGGCTATAACGAGAGAGCCAGCGAATTATCATACCCTCAGGTAAGCCATCGACTTTTGAGACTTCCACGGTCTGCTACGTATATGCGCTGCTGCCTAGTATTCCCGGTGGTGCATATATTTAGCTTACTAAAATGGATTTTTACGCAACGATTAAATTTATCAACTCAGATAGAAGAGCGCAGTAATAGTAATAGTAATTAAAAAATGCAGAAATATAATTACTAGTTTATATACATACCTTAATGTCTCGTAATAATCACAGGATCAAAATTATCGCAGCTCATATCAAAACCGGCCCTGTGGATGCAACACCCTTTAGTTCCTAAGCTCGCCCCGCATAAGTAAACAAACACCACCAAACTAACAGTTCATCTTCTTTCCTGGTTAGTCAAATGCCCGAATTGCCAAACCCACCGAGTCAATATTCCAGCTGATGCTCATACTGAAGTAGAGTTTGATTTGGAGCCAAGCGATGCTTCAGACTACAAGCTGGTGGTCGTCATCTTATCCAAGACCTTGATGAAATTTCAGATTCTAGTCGACCTTGATCATGACCTACGCGTTGAAGCGGGGTGGGACCCTTATTTGGATGAGAGTACTGAGTTTTGAACTTTTAGGGATGGGTAAGGGTCCGAAACCATACCTAAAAGTTGGGAGAAGACCATGGCATGTCGTGTTTACAAAGTGGCTCTTATCGTTAAGGATACCTGGGAGGTAATGGTTGTGAAGTTTGAGGTAGACGTACGTTATTGGCTAAATTGCTAACTAGATCGTGGCTTGCCCACCATAGCCGCAAATAGCATGTGGAGATTACCGTGTACACCTATCTGTATAGCTCCGGAGTCATGCCCAGAACCGGTAAGCTGAAGCTAGCGAGCTGAACTAGATAAAGATCTTGACCGGATCATTTCTGCTACTACTTGCCGAGACCAAGCCATGAAATGACATGTCGTGAAGGCTTGTGCATAGCTGCCGAACTACCAGAAAGAAGGGTTTCAGGTTCTAATGGCGAGTCAAAAGGGGAATAGAAGACTTTGGTTTCTGTAGATTACCTTACTAAACTGCCTATTCGTATTCAAGCTAAGTCGCATGGCAGTTATATAATAGACAGTTCCTGGTGCCTGATCCTTATTATATTCAGTGATAAGTCTGGTTTCGGCGCAATTCCCACCAGGTGATATTGCCAAGTCACTGATAAGAATTCAAGAATAGCTGTTCACTCCAGACGGGACTTTCCGAGAGCCAATGGGCAAATGGAGATTATGAGTTTTCGCTTACAAGTGAGCCGTTTTCGGCACTTGCCCGTTGGCATGAAGACTGAGATTCCCATGGCCCCACAAGTTCGAGCATGTCAGCTTGAATCGAGGGATGATGTTACACAACGCAAGAAGAAGAGGAGGTCGGTAATAACATGCAGTTAGGTCGTGGCTGTTGCGATGTAAGTATTGGTAGATGGGCTCAACGTTAGTATTTCTGCCAGGCCGGTAATAAAAGCTTTATGATTTTATTAGAATATAATTAGATGAAGTGTCTGTTGATCTCCAAGAGTATAGCCATCGTCAGTATGGATATCAACATCTAAAGAAGTCACTATAAGAACTACAACATGCTGGCCGCCTTGGGGTGATGAGATTGAACTTGTTCAGCTGGGCTGATTCCACACGTACTACGTAGGGCTACGTGGTCTAGACTTTGGTCCGACAACGGGTCAGGAATGAGATTTAATTAAAGCGTGACGAAGCACTAAGCAACAATCCAGGAACCACAATCGACTGGCTCAACGTCATCCATGTGGCGCATGGCTGTGTCAGCCTTAAACTATGTGCTGCATTGGTCTTAGTCGTAGATTTAGGAGGCTCGAAGAACTGTAAAAGACTGATGGCAGATTTGATATCGGGGGAAAGTGCTCCGTTCGTGCTTTATAGAGTCTAGAGGATTTTCGCTCAACGATCCTCGGAGAAATTGATCTGACAGAATGCTCCGGGCGTAGAATGTGAAACTCGCGCTAAACCTGGAGCCCTACGATAGCCGGACTTGGCATTGGTGATCCTGGGGTAGAGTGCCTTCTACCAGTACCAGCTGCATCATATCATTTGGGATGTGCAGACGAACTACCGGAGGATCAGCCGTAAGAAAGTCAATTATCTTCTGTGAAGGTTTCATTCTCCTCATCGACTACCTACCAACAGAGAGTAAGCTATAAACAAACTTTAGAATCCTTTTCCTTGGAACGTAAGAGAAGACATATTACCTTATCTTCATATGCTTGGGAAATAAATGTCACTTGACGCGTATGCTACAGCCCAGGCGTGCGGCCGTTTACCATACTGTGGAGCGCCGATAATCCCTAGACTAAGGGGAGGTGTGTGCGCCTATTATGTTGACATCGGTCTGCTGTATTTTGAACTATTTAATGTTTTGCGTTTGACGATCTGTCTTTTAAATTATTTTGCTAATATCTTCTTGCCTTATGAAATCTTTATGTAAAGCATCTGTGCTACAAACAAGATGCTTTTGCCTCGCGAGCATGCAACAACTACGAATAAGGCACCAATCGTTCGGGCTATGACGGCACTACTAATGGTTATTACCATTCTCGCCGCTACCTTACGAATAGCGACGAGGTTGACCATAGTGGGAAGTCTCACTTTGGATGATGGGTTCGTCGCTGCATCCGCCGTAAGAATGCTTCCCCCCAAACAACGTAACATAATGTTACACATTATTGACGTCGGTGAATCAGTTCTTGGCTATTATACAGTCAATTATCGTTATATTTGAGGGTTCGGCTGGTCTTGGCATCCGTGGTGGTCTTCATGCTAATCAGGTTTCATTCATCCTGAAGGTACTTTTTATGTCCTTCATCGACAGATCATACGTTATCAACAAGTTAACAAATCCTCTGGATTTAGAGTCAATACGCCTCCGGTATTCTGTTCATCACTGTAGTATACCTTGCAAAGATTTCAGCGACAAGAACGATTTGGAGTATGGCACCTCGAGAGCGTCAACGGTTAATCCTCATTACTGAGGCATTCATCAGTGCCTGGGCTTTGTGCTCCATTGTAGCATCCCTATTTGAGTGCAGTCTACCAAAGCCTTGGGATTATATTCACGGCAACTGCTTCAATCGTGTAAGCGGCACTATTCCTTGCTCAGCGCAATAGCGGTGATTCTTATCTCTGATCGATTTAGTCAGTATTCTGGACCGTGTTCGACATAGTCAACATTGTTACCGACATAATCATCACAGGGATCCTGATTGATATGTTCAAGAGTCTTCAGACCCCAATGTCTAAGAAGGTGTTGGTGATTGCAGCATTTGGATGTCGCATGTTGTGAGTGTATTAGCAATGCCATATTTTACAACGGTAGCTGACTACATACAGGATTACCCCAGTCATCATCTCTCACATCTACTACTTGCGCAAAGCTACAGAACTTGGCAACCCCATATTTGACATGTGGGCACCAACTGTAATTGTACAGATTATTCAATGCCTGAGCATCCTGGTAACATGCGTTCCCTTCCTCAAGCCTTTCATGGACAGTCTTGAATCAGGACAAATGAATGCGGGCGATGGGTTGCAAACACGAGGCAAAGGTGGCTACTCTAAGGCCCAGACCGGCGACACAGTGGGACAAAGATATTTTGCGCCACAGACTTTTAGGGCAATTTCGTCTCTGGCCTCAAACGCCTCATCGCGGACGCGAAATTACGAAATGGTCGCTGGGGACAGTTGGGGAGATAGACAAGAAGCGGGGACAGTAGCCACAGTGACGGTATTACCCACGAAGCCCAGAGACACTTGGGACGGCCAGAGTCACACGAGCCAGTCGGTACTGGTGCAACAGACGTGGCACGTAGAGATTGAGAGGCTGAGCAATGAACCGTAGGCTATTGGGTAGATCTTTCTATGCGTGTAATCCTATTTTTACATTATTATTTTAAGAACTAATAATTATTTGTTACAGTACCTCATACTCAAAGCCACTAAAGACATTAGAATATGATATCATACTTTAAATTTCCATGTTAATTCGATCAATGGATGAGTTAACACGTATGAAAATAAACACAGGATTTGTGCGAGGGACGAATCATTTAGGCTCGAGCAGCCTTTCTAAGTCTCATGACCTCACTGGTGTGGTTTACCTTAAGCAATGGCGCAAAGTAGCATTATCTCATCAACATATTCAGCCCCTGTATCCAAGCGTATGGCGGCCGCAGGCATGAACTCGGATACTTATCCGAACATTTGAGCCGTTTTCTGTCAGTGCTGGGCAGACCGAGTCGTAAGGCTTGTGTGGAACGCGTATCAGGGTTCATACCTGCCGCCGCCACAAGGCTTGATCATCGATCGATGCAGCCTCTGGTGTTTCACTAGGGGGAAACCGGCGACAAACAGACTTTGAAGAAAGCGCCACCATAGCTGGTCCATACTACAACGAAGAACTAGCCCAATGCGTAATGGAACCACGGCAGTTGAGTACTTGTATTTGATTGGGTATTTGGCTGTAACCCAACAGAAGACCTCTGTCGAATACAATATGCTCCATATCGAATGGGTGTTCCTTGCGTTCTTCACCACCTACGTTGGGTGTCACCTATGCCCCCAACTATTGCGCGAACCACTTCCCACTTGATTCATACTTTGTCAGTATAAGTGACCCATCCGATTGGGCTCCACTGCGTCGGTAGAAATCGATGCCTCCAACGCTTGTTACTTTTTATTAATATTTACTTGCATCAACGCAAGAAAGATGAGCGCCCAACATGAAAGCCACGAGTTTCGTAACCTTGGCACAGCGGAGATCACAACACCCAAGTTGGTCGTCATCTCCAGATCTACCGGCGTCGATCACGACTACCTAGATCGCGAACAACTAGCAAGATTAGGAAAGCGATCGGTCCTTAAGGTAGACACTCTCATAAGATCTATTCTTCTGCTTTATGTGTACAGCTTTCCATATCTGGGTTTCAAACTAATATTGTCTTTCCCAGCGAAACTTTAGTTATCTCTCAATCTTGGGATTTAGCTGTGCCGTCCTCGTGACATGGGAAGGTATACTTATGAGCTTGGCCCCCGGCTTGGCAAACGGGGGCCCAAGCGGTCTCTTCTATGGCTTTATTTTCGTTTGGGTCGGTAATCTAAGTGTTTTCTCAACCCTCTGTGAGCTTGTTTCTATCGCTCCTACATCTGGCGGCCAGTACCATTGGGTGGCAATGTTGGCTCCTCGGTCTTGCTCCAAGTTTCTAAGCTACATTACAGGATGGTTGACTCTGGCCGGGTGGCAGGGCACCTGCGCTGCATCTGGCTACCTTACTGGGACCATGTTGCAGGGTCTTATCAAGTTTATGGTACCTTCATATGTCGGTCAAACGTGGCAGGGGACGTTAATTGCGTGGCTACTCATCCTTATCGCTATCTTCGTCAACACTGCTATCAGCTCTCTGCTCCCCAAGCTCTAGGGCATGATCTTGATTCTGCATATTGTTGGCTTCTTTGCCGTCTTTATTTCGCTTGTGACCTTTAGCGCTGGAGGTGATGCCGCACAAGTCTTCCACGAATTTCGCAACACTGGTGGTTGGTCAAGCCAAGGTTTATCTTGGTGCGTAGGGCTTCTGGGAAGCGTTTATTCTTTCGTTGGTAAGTGCTCGACCCAACTATCTGATGATACATACCTAGAGAACAGCAGCTGAATTCACGCTTAGGTGTCGACTGCTCTTTCCATGTAAGATACATCCCTAATTATTCCTATCCCTTGTCCTCCCCTTTTGCTTAGTGCAACAACTGATATAGTGAAAAGATGTGCGAGGAGGTCAAAAATCCTTCTCTGGCTGTTCCCAGATCTATCATCACTAGCATCGTGATTAATGGGTTCATGGGCTTAGCCATAGTCATCGCGATGCTTTACGGAGCGACCGATATCGACAAGGCCATCAGCTCGAACACAGGATACCCTTCCATCGAGATAATTTACCAAGCCACAGGATCCATGGGTGGAACTGCTGCCATCACATCTTTTATTGTCGTCATGAGCCTCTCTTGCCTTGTCGGCACTATTGCCGCCACTTCTCGTGTATTCTGGTCTTTCGCTAGAGACCACGGTCTTCCTTTTTGGCCAACTTTATCCCAGGTAAGAAAATTTACGGAGCGTGCTAAATGTGTACTTTTGCTTTATGTTTCGTATCCCTCTGCTGATCCTGTAGATTAGGTCCATTCCAGAACTGGCATCCCTGTCTGGGCTGTCGGTATTACTAGCATCGTCTCTTGCCTTCTTGCCCTCGTAAATATCGGCTCCACAGCCGTCTACAGCGCGATTATTTCAATATCCGTATCGAGTCTTTACTCTTCCTACCTTATTGCTGCCAGCCTTCTGCTTTATCGCCGTGTCGGAAAAGGATTTAAGCTTCCCGGCCTCAGTGCTTTCCCTGCTCTTGCAGATACTGGAGATGACGAAATCCAAACTTTAGCCTGGGGCCCGTGGCATGTTCCTGGTGTTTTCGGCATCATCAACAATGTTTATGCGTGTTTCTACATGGTTCTCATATGGTTCTTTAGCTTCTGGCCTCCGGCAGCAAATCCCGACGTAGCTGGCATGAATTTTGCTGTCCTAATGACTGGCTGTGTTTTTATCTTTAGTGTTATCTACTACTTGACTTGGGCTAGGTCGGAGTACAAGGGACCTATTGTTGAGAATCTTAGCGAGTAGAATCAGATCAACAACAGATGGTGGTGCACGTGGTATCGTGTAGCTGGATTACCAGTCATACTACTATGATGGCCCCACAACAATAGCACAGTCTAATAATAGTAAACCGTTTGCAACATATATTATCATACTATTTCGGGCCCATTTGTTTACACGGGATAAAGCTAAATGTAATACCTAAGACATACTCATGAGGTGGCCGAAGCAATTTTATCCCCGAGATACAGTATCCACGCACTAGCAGTAGTGATTCTTTATTGAAAGCTAACTGTCTTGCAACTTGACATAACGGTCGAGAAAGTCAATCTGCACTTTAATGTTCTTCTCAAAATAGTCTCCCGTATAAAGATCGAAATGTCCACATCCATCCAGGTAGAGTAGTTCTTTGGGCTCTCGAGCTTTATTAAAGGCATCCATTTGGGATGCTGTTTTCACCAAAATGTCGTTGCCAGGAACAACATACAAAAGCGGTGTTGGGGAGACTCTATGAATCATAGACTGGCCCTCAAAGCCGAGCATATGCAGTTGGGTTTGCGAAGTGATACAATTCTCCCAACGGCTTCCACAAGTCTTTTGGAGAGTCATTATATCGTAGGCGTCCTTTGTGGGAAACATGGCGTTTGTTGTGGTTGGATGTGAAGACTCACGATCCGCAGCAATCAGCGGCACAGTTGGTGGGTTCAGTCCGGAGGTAATACGAGACCGGTCCTCCAGCAAAGTCGGAATACGATCTTTGAAGGCAAGTGACCTAGTCTCGCCTGAAACGGCTGGGCACTGAATGATAGCAGCCTTGATCCGCTTATCTATCGCTGCAGCGTAGATGACGTTCCCACCAGAGAAGCTGGTACCCCAGTACACTATCTTATCCTTGTCGACGCAAGGAATAGTGTCTGCGTAGTTGAATGCATCATAGTAGTCTGCTTGCTGTAATGGTGGGTTGGACTCCTGTCGAGGCAAACCATCACTGTCTCCCCAATTACGGTTGTCATATAATAGTACCACGTATCCTGCGTCATGAAAGGCGGACGCAAAATTCGGCAGCAGAAAGTGGCGGGTGCCACCAAGCTAGACGAACATTGCATATTAGCGATCATTTAACCTCAAATGCGATCCGGAGCGGAGGCTGTATAATACTAACACCGTGGGTCATGATAATACATGGTGAGGTCTCCTGCTGTGGGTATAACCAGCCACGTAGTATGATACCATCGCAAGCTCGAAATTCAATGTCTTGTCGTGGGAGTCCCATATTTGAAATCGCTTGTGGTGTGTATCGGGACCGTGAATGAAGCAGAAAATAAGCCGGTTCGTCAAGTACAAACGATGATTACACTGTCCTAACTTTACCGCGGACTGCATCCACTTTCATATTGTCATTGAGAGTTTGCAATGGCAGGGTGCGGGGTGTTTGTTAAAGGGCGCAATTCTCCCACTGCGTCTTCAGGTACGTTATAGTTTAGAGCTTTCTTAAAAATCCGAACAATACTAGAACTGCCAAGTGTGACGGATTAATAATCCATAAGTTCTCATCGCATTTATCAACAACCCGCACCGGCCTTATGTGTCAGAGTCCCCGACGGCCACTTTAATCCAAAAGACCATGTACTAGCTTCCGGTCGACCCTTGCCACTGGCTAGCAATTTGATCTGCGGATCTTCCCAAGCATGTGCGGAATACTGGAGAACGCCAACTTCCACCTCGGTAGCTATTATGTTCAGAGGATGAACTCGGTATTTACGAGACGAGTATTGCAGCCTCCAGTTATATCATGGGGGGTTAAGGTAATATAATGACAAATCCACCTCGTTCACTCAATAACCTTGAGAGGCAGTATAATGACTCACCGCTGTGTTGCGGCGGCTTTACTTGACCTCGCTGATATCACTGCACAGACGATTTAGACGACTAAGAACTTAAAAATATCACTAGCAGTGCCGTCTCGACTGAGTAAATTCACAATGAGCCGTGGATCCGTTTTCATTGATTTAAAGCCTCCGATTAGTCTATAGTGGTTCAAAGATCTGACATTGCAGAGTCGATACGGTACCGTGTCTATACGGTAGCGGGGCCGGAGATGGGGAGAGTGGGGCTGCCGCGGCTTTAAGGTGGATCTCCTCGGCTTGTCCACTTATTCCCCACAGGGCAGGAATCACACGTCACTTCTTCTAGTTGAGATACATAAGGCAACGGATAGTAAACAGGTTTAATAATCAAAAGCCGAGTCATTAATTCCATTTACTCTAGATGAGGCGGAAAAGGCGTAAACACCTTGGATCTAAGCACCGTGCTATCAGTCTAACTAACATAACTGGAGGCCCAGTTGATGCCGATATCCTAACAAACTTGGAAGCACCACCTTATAAATCCATTTTCTAGGTTTCTTGAGATCGTTCAATCTTTAAAACATTAAAAGCCTGTATTGTACTTATCAATTCGTAATGGCTACCATGAAAGCAGTTGGCGTGGCCGAATACGGCCCGGTTGATAACTTCGAATCACGTAACGTTCCACGACCGGGCAAACCGACTGGCCGTGATGTTCTAGTCAAGTGAGTTCCCCCTGGTAAAAGTCCCATCATCTGGGTCTAACCAGAGCGTTAGAGTCCAGGCGTGCTCTGTCAATCCTATCGATGTCAAAATCCGGTCTGGGATCTATGACGATGCTCCAGGTAGTCAATCCAGAACTTCACAACCTCTGCCTTATATCGCGTACTAACTGAGAGAAAGACTACTACAAGCATGCACCAAAAGGCTTCCATATCATCGGATATGACGGTGCTGGAACTATCTTAGAGGTTGGCCCTGAGTGCAAGTTTTTCAAGCCCGGTGACGAGATTTCGTATGTTGGTGCTTCAACACGTCAAGGCAGCTACGCAGAGTACCAGCTAGTTGGCGAATTTCAATGTACTTTAAAGCCCAAGTGTCTGGACTTTGTCGAGTCTGCAAGCTTTGGCTTGACCTTTGGAACGGCCTACCAGTCTTTGCATCACCGGCTGGAGATCAAGCCCAACGAGAACGTGGGTATTCTGATCGTGAGTTGGACTTCTTCCCGACCACCCCTTGCGCTATCTTTCACCCTGACTGACGGACATATTGCGCACCGATATAGATCAATGGTGCTGGTGGAGTTGGAAGTGCTGCTATCCAGCTGGCGCGCAATGTCTTGAATCTACCTGTAGTTGTTGCTACTGCGTCTCGGCCGGAAACAATGGACTTTTGCAAGAAGAACGGCGCCACACATGTCATCAACCACCGACAGGATCTTGTGGAACAAATCAAAAATCTTAATTTGAGCGTTCCAATTAAGTATGTCCTTCTCTCCTGTGCTATTAATTACGACCACTGCTTACTTGACCGAATAGGTATGCCTACATCTTGGCGAACACTGAGCAGTATGTCGACGCTATTGCAAAGATATGCGCGCCTTTTGCCAAAGTTTGCACCATTGTCCAAGCTGATGTCAGCCTCTATGGGACCGACTTCATGTCAAAGTCAATGACCTTTGCATGGGATTGGCTAGGTTCGGCTGCCTACCATCATGTAAATCTCGAAAGTTATCGTGAAATGTTTGGTACCATAGCGCGACTGATGGATGAAAAGAAGTTGGTTCCTACCTTGGGAAAGCGGTACAAATTGACTCTTACTGGGCTGAAGGAAGCTCATAGACAAGTCGAGTCTAAAACTACAATAGGCAAGGTTGGCCTAGGGATCAATGAGCCTGGCGAAGGGGCTCCCTTTGCTTGAGATGAAGATTAGGTCGCACGTGGACTCCGTGCCTCTTTCAGTAACATTCAAGTCATTATTTAACTAGTTCTTATTCTCGCTAAGGCAACTATAGTGTCAGAGCTTTAGTTTATGTCTGTCTTCGTTTTACATTCCGTTCTTGATTACTTTCGCTACTGTTGTCGTGAAAGAGATCCATGACTTCGCCAAAACTGATTGAAGTTGAAGAGAGTTATTGTAGTACTCCTTGGAATTAAATAACTTACATCAATAAGCTTCTTCACCAACTTAAAATAACAATTCATTGTCGGCTACATTTCCGTTTAAACAAGATATAAAATCTTATCTCGCAGAATGAATTCGCCCTCTACTCTATGCAAGAAAAGACATTTTTTCGAACGGGTCCTTTTCTTTATTTCTCAAGAGGAAATGAGGTTCCCCTTTGTCGATAAAGGTTGAAGCCATACGTCAAGCAAGGTGCGAACACAAAGCGACTAAGGATAGACTACCCCATATTTCAGCCTCGGCTCGCGTTCTAAGCTCACGAAAAGGCGAAGAAAAGCGTAGAATACTTGATGAGTAATTCAAATAATCAGAGTAGGCCAAGTTTACTAATCAGGAGAAGCCATGACAATCCTCACCAACCTGACAATACGTATATACGGTACATGTATCTACCCAGAGTGGTTAGGGTGGATCGGATGATTATAAGCCTCGGCATTGCCATAAGTCTCCACAAGATTGCTATTCATAAATACCTATGGGTTCAGCCATACGACGATAACTTGGAAGCCCATATCTTTAACATACGACTAGTAAAGGGGCTCAAGTTTATACGTTACCCTTGGTTCTTCAATACCTTTATCGGCCTAACCTAATCCATACACATACACCTCGACGTGCACAATGCCTCAAGTTGTCAGTCACGTCTCCGGTGCGCAGTGGGAGAAGGATGGCCCACAATCACCGACCCAAAAGTTCTTCAAACAATATGTCAATGCCGTTGACTCGAGGGGCTATGATAGCGGTTCTGGTCTTGAGTTTTATTCCAAAGATGTTATCTTCCATAACCAGAATAATGCCGTCTACCACGGAGGAGATGAAATGTGGGCATGGATGAAGAAGCTTTTTGACGTGTTTGAACGTATCCATCACGACTGGATCCACTTCCTGGAAGTTAAGCGCGATGACGGGACCAGCCAGATCTATACCCAGAATATTCGAAACCTTTGGCTCCGCGGAAACAAAGAAAGCAAGCCGACTGTTAGCATCCCTATCACGATGATTGCTATTATCGGGAAGAGTGGAAGCGATGAGACTGCTGAGGGGCTACATTTCAAGGAGGTCTGGCTCTACTGGGACACGGCCCTTCTTCTGCCTCATCTCCCCAAGGAAGCTGTAGTCTTTAAAACGGAGAATGTCTTGCACGAGAATAAGGACTAGTTCTAGGGGCTGCGATCCCGGCATAGTCAAATAGATCAATACAGCAATCATACTTACTATCCTCACTATTTGTAATGCCTTGGCACAGCACAATACTGGACCAAGTGTAAAGTATCCCTACCTTATTTAGCGAAGACCCCGCTGTGTGTCATTTTCGTTACACTCATGCCGCTTATATACGTCTCTGTTGTTTGTGTTCCAAACCCTGACCTTAAACGCAATAGCGAAAAAAACATGAATGCCGTCATGGGTTAAGTATTCCGCTACCCATTTGGCTTCTTTGGTCCAAGCTACTCGTACATGCAGAAGTCACTTATTATAGCTAGGGTGGGTTAGCTCCAGGGTTTGGCTTCGGTTCTCGGGTAGGTCTGCCCCAGGATTTGACCTTGACTCCCAGGTAGGTCTTAACAACCGAGGCGGAGTCGATTACTATACAAGGTACTCTGGAACACAGTATGAATATCTATTCGTACCGGTATTGCGTTTCCTCACATTATACTCCATATGATTACTTATCACGCCCGTTGCCACTCTTGTCCATGCTTTTGGTCTCTTCTCTCCATCAATGGTTACAGCAATATCTGCATGCTCCTTATATTTTGTTAGTTCTAATTGCTACGAACTCAATTCCCTGCCACCAACCTGTCTCGCTAGTATTTATCAGTTCCGTCCTGTAATACTCTCCACGAAGTGTACAATGTCGTCTAAAAGGCGGTCTGCATAATTAAGGACCAGAACTATACAATACTGGTTAGTCATGCTCAGTTTCGCGTTCAAAACTGCCAACTCACCATGTCCTCCTTCGTCATATATAGTCAGCTTCGCTCCAGGAACCGACTTCTGGACAAGTTCTGCGCTTATTTCGGCGGGCACTCCACCGTCGCCTCCCCCGTGAATAAGCAGGAAAGGTTTCTGGAAGATTTCCCCGAACCTCTCAATCTGCACAGACAGGTCCTCGTGAGTAAAGATTTGCAAGCAGCGTTCAAGCGCGATCGGGTCATTTTCCCAGAAGATATTCTCAAAAAACGCAATCTGCTTGTCGGTGACCGAACCGGATGTTCCAACTCCAAAAGGCCCCCTGAAGCCGTTGGCAATGAAGTTGGGCCTATCTTGTCTTATGGTCATGAGATTTGCATCCCATACGCTCTGTGGCGGAGCTTTCGGATTTTGGGGTGATGCCGTAGGGTACGGCAGGCACGTACTTATCCACATCATACCCTAACACATTGATGAGTCGTTGGCTTTATTAAGCTGGCCTGCTGTGTAACTCACCTGACAGTTTTCCTGTATATAGGGGCTGTTGAGATACGCCATGAGCGCTTCGCCCGTGCTCATACTGGTAGCGACAAAGACAAAAGGCCCTGGCTGGGTTTTCTCTAACAGACCTGACAAGTCTTGCCCAAGCTCTTTGTAGCCAACGGGAACCGTGGAATCATGTCCGTCCCAGTCACTCTTACCAAAACCTCGCCTATCAGGGGCAATAACACGGTATCCGTGAGTCTCGCAAAGTGACAGCAAGATCGAGTCGTACATGCGGGATGAGAGAGGCCATTGGTGGAGAAGGACCACGGTCAGGCTTTTGGCTGCCAGAGGCACTTCTGTTGTAAGCGCCGAAGGTCTGCCTTCTGGTGTATAGTAGCGATAAAACAGTTCTGCGCCATCAACGGAGCTAGAGTATCGAGGCATTTTGGTGACACAAGAGTCGAACAAAGGCTGATAATGCGGATTGAATGTATGGCAGAGATTCGTTGCGCTCTCAAATTAATCAAGATGTAGATTTATTAAACAGAGCATGGACTTGTAACACACTAAAACCGATGCTGTATTAGAAATCCAAAATTCAAGTGATTTTGATTACTTTTACACAAGTCTGATCACTATTCAGAATTACTCATTCACTTATTAATTCCTCCGTTAGGGGCAGCCTCATAGTCATGGTACGTCAAGGCTCTATGATCTTCATCCGTATAAATACGATAGGGTGGAGTATATTCAAATATGGACCAATACTGTTGTGACAAAGAGAAGCGGATCCCGTTCCCAGCCACTAACATAGCATGTCCATGTTCCACTGAAACTTAGTTGCTAGTTAGCGCCCTTTAGAAACCAAGACCTCCACTGGGATGAGTGTTTCCCGTACTGCTATGCTAGTACAGCAGGGCCCCAAATACTCCGAAACTCCACCTCCATACCCTATGGCGGATCAGACCTCGGCTCTTCGCGAGTACCGACTGTCAGTTACAGGTCGCCTGTCGTGCTAGAATATAGTTATTACTCAACACTGTGCTGACAAATGGTTCAAATGTTTAAATACTCGTCTATTAAATCTCGCTTGTCAACGGGGTTCAAGGTGATTCGGTCTTCTCAGCATTGTTTGTGACAAGCCCAACACAGAAGATCACCCATTAATCTATTTCAACAACATGGTTTTACAATTCAAAGTCTTTTTCAGTAAACGCAATTCGGCCACTAGGACTGGCCCAGCTGGTCACGATCACCTCAAGTGGGTGCCCACTTCTTCCACCCTGATATACGGCGACCAAGATGCTGTTTTAGTCGACGCCCAGTTGACTTCCAAAGCGTCAAATGAACTTTTGGACTGGGTAGTTGAGAGTGGCAAAAGCATCACCCATATCTACATCACACATGCCCACGGCGATCACTTCTTTGGCAGCGCGCCCATTTTGGAACGATTTCCTAAAGCAACCTTAGTCGCAACGCCTGAAGTCGTGGCTAGGATGAAGCTAGAGACTGCACCAGAACGGATGACTGGGCTTTGGGAAAAGCTATTTCCGGGCCAAATTCCGCCCAATTTGAGGCTTGCAGAGCCACTTCACCAGGACTATCTTGAACTAGAAGGTGAAAGGTTGGAGGTGGTCAGGACGGGTCACACGGATACTGATGATACGACAACTCTGTGGGTTCCCTCTCTCCGACTTGCCGTGACTGGCGATGCTGTGTACGCGAATACTCACCCATATTTGGGAGAGTCCGGAACAGCTATCAAACGAAGGGAGTGGATCAAAGCACTGGATATTATCGCCGCACTTCAGCCTAAGCATGTTGTGGGTGGGCATAGTGATCCGAGCCGTCCATCTGGGTTTGAAGCAATTATCGACACCAAGACATATTTGGAGGACTTTGAGAAACTCAGCGCTGAGACAAAGACAGCCGAAGAGCTTTATGCCCGCATGATGGATATTTATCCAGACCGTCTTAATCCAGGGTCTCTATGGGCTGGAGCTATTCTAGTCCATCAGTTGTAGGAAAAAGTAGACTGCGAGTCTTGGTTCAGTTGATGCATGGTTTCATTGATAAATTCCTGGATGTTCAAAACAAGCATTGTTTAATATCTGTCCGCTACAGCTGAAAGACTTAGTATGAAATTTTTAGCGGCGGTGGCTGACGTTGTGTGTTATCCACCGGTATAGTGGCGCTTTCCATCGAATCACATGCGTTATTGAATCCATAAATGTAGACTTCAGCCACTAGCCTGGCTACTATGTCCAAACTATTGAATTGATATCTACGCCTGAAAATTCTAGATTCTTATCTCCTCCCCCTAATCTTATATTTAATTTAAATCAATAAATAAGACCGCAATCCATATTTCCCTCCCCTTTGCTGTTTTGTTACACTCTGTAATGAGCTGCATCAAATTATCATGCGTCCCAAGATTCTTCATTCCATAGTGCTCGGTTTTGCTGGCTTCCAGGCCGCAGACGCAAGTGTCTGTAAGCCTAGGTCTTTGTGTAAGCTTCCTATTTGACTTAGCAGAAGAGAATAAACTAACGAATCTGGTCCAGCATCCGGGCTTCCAACCATCGCATCAACGACTTTGATAGCATTGGAAACAACAAGCTCTGGTTTCGCTTCAGAGTCTTCGGTGCTCAGCTCGACTATTGCTTCAGCTTCTACTGAAGTTACAATTGAAGTTGACACGACTACTACCGACGCAACCACTACCAAAGCCGATACAACTACCATTGAAGCAACATCTATCACTATTGTATCCGCTTCTACTGAAGTGACTTCCACATCCGATTTAGCCGTCACCACTCAAACAACAGCTTCCACCGAGATTACAGCTTCCACCAAGGCTACAACTTCCGCCGAGACTACAATCTCATCCGGGACAATTTTAATTACCGACACTACCACAGCCCCAACATCCATCCAAACCACTACTACAACTGAGGCTACATCAACCACCACCGCAGAGCCCCCTGCCATTACCAACTTCCAACTTAGAGGCGCACGCGCCCCAGTCGAAGGGGTATCTATCTATTCAAATGGTGTCGGGGGAAATTACCTACTTTTCTCTGGAGGCTATCCAGGCTACACTCTTGCTACCTTCAGTGTCGAAGCAATTAGTGGCCGTCTTTTGATCGAGAACTCACTAGCCGTCTGTGCATTTTTCCAACCCAACCAAGACATTGCCACACTGTCCATATGTAGAGACACCCCCGAGTCTCAAGCAGTTCCCATTTCTTGTACACCTCCTGTTAAAGATGGAGATGTCTTGAGCTGTAGTGTGCCAGCCCAGACTTGTGTTGAAACCCAAATTTCGTTTTTCGAAACCACTGTTACATGTGCACCCACTGGCGAGATGCTTATGGACACATCTACAGACTTCAATTATAATGTTAACAAAAATATTCCGGTGATAGGACAGATAGCCAATGGAGTGAACTTTATGGTTCATGCGGTCTAGGGAGGAATATCCACAAGCATTTTGTTCGTAGGATTAAGTAAAGACAATATTGTTTCAACACATAGGGTTACATTCTTGTCTTAGAAACAGATACAAGAGTTTAGACTCTGTCTAGAACACATGAATTGTTTACTGAAGAAGGTAAAAGATCATTTATAGAATAATTAATAAGTCTAATAATGAGTCGTTACTCGATAACAGAGATTTCTCCATGAAGCATGTAAGCTATAGTGTAAATGAAATATACCGATGATAAACGCTTTTGGATCTTCATATCTTTCGAAGCGGCACCAAGGCCATATAGGTTGGGTTTGTTTCCTTTATTAGCTGCCTTGAGTGTTGTCGCTTTTCTTTTAACTTCAAGTTCAAGATTCATATTGATATCATGGCTATAATAGGGCTGCTAGGCTTCGGCGGAGTGTTTGTTAAGGCCAAATCCGATACTATGCATAATTATATGTTTGCCCTATTCATAATAAATACTAATCAAAAGGCCTAGTTAATAGGGCTTGTAGAGTAAGGTAGCTCAACCGCTGGTTCCTGGAGTCTTTGTGCAGGCAACTCTGCTACCCCGAAAGGTAATTCCTTGGGCGGGCGAGGCGGTGGGTGAGGCGGTAGGTCGCTGAAGTCAGAGAGGCTAGATTTATTCGTAATTATTCACTAGGGCTGATTCTTGAGTGGGGATCATACTAGTTTGTGTTCAAGTTGCTTTCGGTCTGAGGCGTCACCATCCCACTGTTCTGCTGGAAATTATACAGAGGCGAAAGCGGCGGACTTGTGTGGTGACTCTGACCGATGCTGCTAGGTATTGGACTCGTGGGCTTGTATACCCAATAACCTGGCATACTAGTTGGCGACCCAACCTCAACCTCAGTAACAGGCTGCACTCCATTCAGGTTTCCAGGTTTAGCGTGGTTGCCAAAGGATTGGTGATATGCGTTGAAGCCACCACGTCTACCACATAGGTAAACAACACCAATTATGATACCAAGGACAGCCACACTGCCGATCACAATTCCAGCAATTACACCGCCACTCAGACCATTCCCATTGGGATGATAAGTGGAATTGCTAGTTGGGTCTGTAGTGATAGATGTGGTCGACTCGGGCATAGCAGATGTAGTCGACTTGGATATTGCAGATGTAGTTGAGGTTGGGAAGCCTTGTTCCGTGGGGAAGGGTTCCCCAGGTGTTAATTGGAAATCCACGCCATTTGCATTCTTCAGCCAGGCGGCTAAGGTGTTGTTCTTAGACTGTCCGAGTTGTCAGTAAGTCAGGTGCAAAGACATTTTCAGTCAGGCTTACGGGATTGACGACGCCCATCATATGGTACCTTACACAGGATCCAGGGGCACCGCAATAAAAGAAGATGGGTTTAGTATCGTTAACTCTAACACGAAACCGAGGAGCCTAGAAGCATCAGTACTGCTGGTTCACGGTGCGAGGCTACTCGACCACTTGCATCGTTGGTAATAGCCTTGACAGGCTGGGGGCCACTCGAGAAGCCCGTCCTGTCTGTATCAACATACTCGTATGGGATACATGGATTATCGAAGTCTCCTCGAATCACCCAGTGTCCATCAGGATAGAAACGATATTCGACTATGTCTCCAACATCTGCTTCGATGTTGTTAGGAGTAAACTTATGTCCAGCCTGTTGTATAGGTTAGTGCTGGTTAAGAGCTTCGCAAAAGAAGTAACCAACCGCCCCAACGTTGATTGTGTGTGTCGTATATCCCGTCGTGGTAGCGGTGCTCGTTGTCATATCCCCCAATGTCGGGGAAGGGGTCTCTGTTGGCTCGCCGGTCGGCTCGCTGTTCGTGGCCGGTAAATTCGCGGTAGGGACCTCCTGAGCCCAACATCCCACGAGGAAAGAAGATAGTGCTAGCAACTGCTTTGACAACATGGTTATATAATGTGATTCACACAAGCAAACAAGTGATGTTTACATAAGAAGCAACGGAGGACAGCGGGTTACGGCAAGGGTTGTCATATGAAGCCCAAGTCACGGTTGTTAATGAAATCAGATGGCGGGAAGGAGGAGAAGGAAAGAGAGGAGAGCGTCGTAGAAAACGGCCATAAGGAACATATGACAGTTTGGAGCTGGAAACAAACCACGGTACGGACTGTATGTGCAGTACTGGTGAATAGTGGCAGGTAAGACCTGCACGGGTAACGCGGAGCTGAAAATGATGGAGATGGGATGGATAACCCAATCAACCAGTAAATGATGACATGCAGCAAGCCCCATTGAAGTCAAATGTGGACTTTCAACTGCCACTCCTAACGGAAAGTATCGAACCTTTGGTGGGGTGGATATTCATGAGGGAAAGCCGTTATGGATGTCACGCTTAGGACAAACAAAGTCGCTGTGATGGTGAGTGGTGAAGAGAATCGAAGCGTTTTACCTCCGTTCTAATGCGGGCATGGAATGTGGCTGGAAGCGTGGCTTTAGAGCGTAGTCTAGACGAGACCTGAAGGGCCATCCGCATGACACTGTGGGTGCAGATGAGTCTTTTGGCTTTTTCAAGCATTAGTGTAAGGCAGAAAGTCTTTTCAGCCTCTAGGCGTATTTCTTGAACCTTTATGAGCGTTTAGTCTTCCTGACTGAGATTGGCAAGCCATAGCTCATACAGCAAGCTAGGAGTTTTTCCACTTCGGAACTTTAATATGCACTCGGTGGACCCATGATTTGATACTAGTAATGGAAACGTCATTGGGCATAAACCTTAGTCTTGAACTTCAAGCCTTCTGATATCAGATTCTGATGTGAAGAATTATGTTTAGCTTGCTTATCTGTAACTAGGCTTGTAAAACGACACGGCTTTATGTCTGAGCAGTGTTACTGGCCTTTGTCTTTGCTTACTCCACAGCCAATTCTCTTGTCCTTATCATGTAGCTCCCTATATCTTTACTGGATTTATCAAACTAGATTCTATATATGTGAAGTTATTGCTATTAAATCGTCAGCACAGTTACAGGGTAGGTGTCTAAAGACTTTTAGCACGTAATCTTATCTTATCTGCCGTACAGAGTGATAGTGGATGTGCATGGGTCGTAGTTCAACGAATCAAGAATTGGTACAGTAATGCTCACGTGTGTAGATCTGTGGCCAGTAAGAGGACTTCAAATACGCCATTGAGACACCCTCTTTCAGCTGAAATGAAACCCCTCGCGGCTGAGTACTATCAAGAGGCAGCCAAACCTCAACTTAAATGTGAGTAGAACTACAGAGCTATAATGGCCGAAGCCCTCGGTATCGCATCCGGTGCCGCAGGCCTCCTAAGCCTTGCGATAGAAGTGACCAAGCTCAGTTATACCTACATCGCTAGTGTCCGAGGCGCGCCTAAATCATTAACCTCCTACATTGGGGAACTTGCAACGCTCACCTCGGTTCTTTTACAGCTCGATGACGTTATCCAGTCTAAAAAGATCAACAACCAGAATAGCCAGATTCTCAACAAGGCTCTCAACGACTGCAAGCAAGAAGTGGAAACCCTGAGGACAAAGTTAGAGAGAAAAGTGTCTTATGGAGGAATTAAAGCTAGGGTGGCCGCTCTGGCTTGGCCCTTGTCAGAATCGGAGTTGCTGGATAAAGTAAATATGCTGCATCGCTACAACGGCATTTTTTCATCTGCCTTACAAGCCGATACTTTGTAGGTCGCTCGATGGGTGCATGTATCTTAGCTAATGATTTGTAAAGAACTATTGCAATCGCCACGAACAAAGAACTGCAAGACTTCAGGAATAGTAAGTCTTTTCATTATTCCTCTTTCAATCCAGTGGACAAGGTCCAACAACATGTATCTATAGGTACCGAAACAAAGGAAATTATTGCCTGGTATAAGTCGGAGGCCACAATGGAGGTTTCAACCTCTCACCTCGAGGACTACTGTCCCTCTACATGGCAAGCATTTCTAGCAGGCCAAGTCTACCACTCTTGGCGCAATGGCTCAACGCCTGTCGTTTGGGTATATGGACAACGTCAGTGTCTTTCCATCTCTTGGCATCCTGCATACTGAATGAACCTTAGCTGGTTCTGGGAAAACAGTATTGGCGTAAGAATTCCACCTGATGGTATTGCATTAGTTGGCGACTTGATGATATTAACTGCATTGGTAATAGTGCGCTCGTTCTCCGAGACATCAAGTCTGGTGATTTGCCTGGTACAGCCATCGCCTCGCACTTTTTCAGCAGTAACAGATCCACCGAGTCTGTGAGTAATGTCCTCCGTAACCTTATCGCCCAAGCACTCCGTGGCTGTCCTGTCATACCTCAAGAGGCATTGACCCTGTATGAGAAGCGGTCCCAGAATCTAACGATGAATGATCTGATCAATGTTCTTGGAGCGGTTGCCAAATCAATGACCACTTGCATCATTCTTGACGGCCTTGACGAATGTCCATTTCTTCCCAAGCTGTTCAGCATCTTGTCGATATTACAGGAACTAGGAGTCAGAATCTTCGCAACAGGGCGCGATTTGCCAAAGATTAGAAAGCATTTTGAGAAGAAGCCAAGCGTGGAAGTTTCTGCCACAAGTCAAGACTTGGATCTCTACGTCAATCATCGATTGAAGGATGGAGAAGTTGACATTGAGTTGATCGGAACAGAATTGAAATCGCATCTTATCTCTTCGATTGAGAAGAAGACGACCGGATCGTAAGTTCGGTTAGGAAGCATTTGGAACGCGATGGACTGATTGGTTTGGCAGGTTCCTCCTTGCGCGGCTCATCATGGATCACATCACTAGTCTGCTCACTGTTAAGGACATACGAAAAGCCTTGATCTCATTACCTGCTAATTACGATGAGGCGTACCTAGACACATTTGATCGTATAGTCAAACAGAGCCCTGCCCTGAGAGAGCTCGCCTTGCGATCATTAAATTTTATTTGTTATGTCAAGGAGCCTTTACGAATGGTTGAGCTGCAGCATGGCCTCGCTATCGAGGAAGGCATGCTCGAAATCGATCCTGAAGATCTCCAAGCTTCTAGAACCATCACATCATCCTGCCTCGGACTACTTATCGTTTCAGGATCAGAAAAAACTGTCGAGTTCGTACATTCGACTGCGCGAGAGTTCCTCCAGAGTCGACCAGAAGGGATGGATAAGCACCCCCATCTGACAATCGTTCGCAGTTGCATCTCGTACATGTCAACGAATGAGATGCGCCAGGGGCTCTGTAGGTCCCACGAGGAGATGACTCAACGTTGTGAGAAGCAGCCGTTCCTACGTTATGCAGCGAACTTCTATGGCTACCATGCTGAAGAAGTCATGGAAGATTGCTTCGACCAGCTTTCGGAGTTTTTGGACGACGATGCCCTACGGGAAAGCTCTTGGCAACTTTTGAACTTCAAAGCTCATCTCGATACCTCTGTCTCCGAATCTGTGTTCGACTCTAGTCCCAGAAATGTACTTGCTCTACACGTTGCCGCATTCTGGGGCTTTTATAAGTATGTTGCCAATAGCGTAGACGACGCACAGCCTGGAGCTCAAAGCAGGAAGATACAGAATCTAAATGAGCCTGACTCCCATGAATGGACACCTCTGCACTGGGCCGTATCCATGGGCCACAACAGCATAGTCGAAATTCTTCTCAGATCTGGAGCCAGTCCTGATCTCCCGGATCTTGCAGGATGGACGCCAACATTCTGGGCAGCTTTTAAGGGACACGGGGATATCATTGAAATACTGTTGCGGTATGACATAGCTCCATTTCGGTGCGACAATAAAGGACTTACACCACTTCACTGGGCCATATCCACGGGTCAGACCGAAATCGTCAAGCGGCTTTTGAAAGTCAAAACCCGTTTTGGACAGTATGAAAAGTCAAGCGTGACCTCACTCCCCTCATTGGAAGACTTGACGGTTTCAAGGGCCCGTGCCATGACAAGCAAGGCAAACCAAAGTCCCTTCAAATTCTATTCAGAAGGCACAGACATCGAAATGTTTTCCGCCATCTTCAACGCCCTTAAGCAGAGCTTTATTGAGAAAGCAAACAAGCCTCGCGAAAGGAGCAGCGGCTACTATACAGTTGATCCGTTTCTTTATGGACCCTTTGGACGAAGTCTCAAGGCTGATCATGGCAGAAGAGCAAGACCAGACCGCGACTACGAGTGGGGAAAGCCGGATGCTGATTTTCTTGATTTTGTGGATAACCTGATGATTCACGCTACGCGGTCACAGAACCTGTCTATCAGCAAACTGGTATTTGATCTGAAGCTTGTGAAGGCTTCCGGGATTGATAGCCTTGCTCTTCTTCACGAAGCGGCAGCATCAGGTTGGGTCGAGGGTATGTCTGCCTTGATCGACCTTGGGGCAGATGTCAATCATGGGCGAGAAAGAGATGGGAAATCACCTCTTCACGTGGCATGTCTATGGCAACGCGAAGAATCAGTCAATCTGCTGTTGGGTATTAACAAAATTGACATCAATGCTCGAGACAGACGTCGACAAACACCAATCATGGATCTCATGACCGCTTCCTTTGAAGAGAAAGGACTGAGTCTTTGCAGGCTATTGATAGTCAGAGGAGCATCAACATCCATCAAAGACTCGAAAGGTAACTCCCTCATGCATTTCGCTATGCGGACATGTAATGCTACGATGATCCAAATGTTGTGTACGGCCGGGTTAAGCATAGAATCTCCAAACAAAAGTGGCCAATTACCGTTGCACTGGATGACTGAATGGAGATACTTCGAATTCCGCAGAGATTTTACGCCTGATGAAGCCCAATTCTTGAAGCAAAAACGACACGATTGTATGGATCTTATCTTGAAACTCTCCAGCCCCAGCTCCCTGGATTCTGTCTGCGATTGGAGCCACGGAGCAGCGCCGCCCAAGCAAACACCTTTGTTATTAGCTTTATCAAGTCACAATTGGGATCTTGCAGCCGAGCTAGTGAAACGAATCAAGAAGCCCGGGAATACGAGTTCCTTGCTGGGTAAGGATGACTAATAAGTCCGGATACACTCATGTGAGATACTAATGTGGATATAGATGCCAAGACTGACTACATACACGAACTTTGTAAGGTATCGGAACGACTAGCCTCAGTCTCAACGCCCAAAAGCCTCGATCGAGTTATGATGTATTTTGAATCCCAACCGCTTTCCCTGGATGACTGGACTTGTCTACTTCAATATTTTCTTGACGCCGGAGCTGATATCAATCGAGTTAATTGGGAAGGGAAAACGCCTCTACAGCTTTGCGTCCAAAGGGCAGCCAGTGTACAAGTCATTGATACCCTGCTCAAATTAGGAGCCAATCCCTATCAGGCAACGAATGATGGTTTGGATTGCTTCCAGCTTGCATTGCTGTATCATGACAAAGCAGGAAGTTGGGAGATAATGCTTTGTCTTCGAACTTACGCCAACACTCACCCAGAGCCAGCGCATTACTTTTGCCAAGGAGGTTTCCTAATTGCCCCTGAAACTCCGATAGAAAACGAAGAAACTCGCTACCTTCAAGTCCTCCGCCAGACTAATGCCATTAACTATGAGACACGGTCAGGTCGTACGCTTATCTTCGAAGCCGCTAATCGGGGTAACACACATCTGGTAGAACGGCTACTGGACCATGGTGCTTACCCGCATTATATCGATGACTTTGGCAGTTCCGCACTGCATGCAGCTGCGAAGAAGCAAGCTCCGACCACGGTAGCCGCTCTACTTCAGGCTGGATCAGATGTCCATCAAGTTTCTTTCAGTGAGTTCGGCTCGACAGTCAGAGGTACACCATTACATGTTTGTCTCGAAGCCTGCAGTCACGGTCGAGTGTCAATCGAAACTGTCCGCATCTTACTGAGCTATGGTGCCGACCCAAATTATTCGGTGGCCAAGGACGATTACACGGAGACGAGTCTCTCACTCCCTCTCAAGGCACTGCGCCAGTCAATAGAGTACCCCGATCTCGAAACAGTCGATCCTGAAAATTCAGATCACCTGGCACTAGAGGTACTGAAACTACTGGTTGATGCGGGAGCACGAGTCGCTGATAGCGTTGATGATATCACGACCGGTGTTGTTGCGAAAATGGAGGGTTATGAATCGCTATGGGAGGAAATTAGATCGCAATTAATGCCTAACCAGGTCATAGACCCTTAGGGCTGGGGACTGAGTGATGGAAGCCTGGGTAACAGTATTGGTGGCAAAATATTTACCAAAGAACAGATGTAATAGATGTGGCAGTATTCCTACTGATGCCGGAAACAACGTGGATAATGAACTGACTGTCAAATATGTGTCCTAGGCTAGGTATTCTAATCCCTAGCATCTGTTCGGATTGTTTTACTAAAGTCATATCGCGGTACTGATGATGGTGCCAAGGTCTTCAAAGTCTTCGGCACTACGGAGTAGTTATGGTAATTTCTGACTACGGTGGACAGGGGAAGGTGTGCAGGTGGAAACATTACTAGACAGGCGGAGGAAATACTGTAGGCAAAGTAGACTTGACGACAAGAACCAAGGCTTAGTAACGATGAATCTAATTACTACACCACAATCCCAAAAAGAATTATAAAGTTATAGTGACTTCTGGTAGAGGCCACACGATACGCTCCTTTACTCCCTTTTCCTCAATCCTAGTTGCCCTCGGCACCTTGAGCATGGCAAATGTCCTCACAATAGTATGTCATCTTTCAGTAATGTCAGTGTCTGGATTCACTTTATAAAGAGAATGTCTTACCTCATCACCACCGATATGCCAGCCAGCAGAGTTACAGTATGTACCATCCTACAAAAGTCAATTTGAAGTCCATCTGCTGTGAAGATGCTCAAAACTTACAAAGGTGCAATCAGGGCATACATCCCACTGGTTGTCTCCCGTATTGCGCTGCTTGTAGGCCTCACAAGCACACTTGGTCGCATCAGGAAGGATCTCGTAATCCTTGGACCAGGTGTAGCTAACGCTGAAGGGGGTGCCGCCGATGTTGGAGTACTTCCTGTTCGAGATGCACACAGCAATGTTGTGCAAGTCGGCACAGACACTGGAGGAGGGTGAGTGATTGCGAAGAATGAAGGAGTGAGGAGACTGACCTGCCAGTGAGGGACAGAAGGATAGCAATGGTAAAGTACTTCATCTTGGCTTGCTGAAATTGCTAATTGCAGTTGTGATAAAGAGGGGAGTAGGTGAGAAAATGTCAAAAGTTGCGTGAGTGTTGGAGACCAAAAACAACTATGAGAGATTGAGAGCTGACTTATATGGTAATATCATCAATGCCAATCAGATCATACATCGGCATATGGCCCGGTCGAAAGGTATGAAGCTGAATCCGTTGACAACTGCCGTTCCATCATGGATACCGACAGCCTCGTATTTGAAGCCCACATGTTTCACATTTGAAGCTTTGCATCTGGAAAAAGCACAGAGCTGCCTACTTGACAATTCCACCTGCCTAAAATGGCATCTCGTCTTCCAAGAGGGAAATACCTCTCTGGACATTGCTGCGCAAAGTCCCGTGTGGATAGAGTGATAGTCACTGTCAGATTGCAATGTCTCCAGACAACGTCACGCAAATACTACATATGGATAAGTTGATAGTCGTTGTTACATTGCGGCCTCTCCGTATTATGGGTCATAGTATCCGTTATCTCCAGACGTACGTCACATCTTTTCCAAACATGATGGTTAATATGGGCCTAATACAGCTATTATCATTCGTGGAACATCCGACATTGTATCGGGACCCTTATTTAGAGTTGTCCAGCCAGTGACGTCTGAAGTTCAATTGAATAGAGTTTGCTAAGTAACAGGGATCTGGGTCTGGCAGGGATGACGGTTAACGACTCAGGTCTAAACCTAAATGTATGGATTTCTAAAAAAGGCAATATACTAGACTGATCCTAATATACATGAAATAGTCACTACCGCGTATCTCGTATAGAAATGCACTCTCGATAGTTCATCTGCCGAAACAATGTCTTCAGATTGCAGGTATAAGATACTCAGCCAAGAGCTGGAATTATATCCAAATCATCAAACAGTCACTCAATCACTTCAATACAGACTCCAGTCTCTAGCCTTTTGTTAGACCTCGCTCTTTTCTCCTACGCCCAAGATGCATTCTGTCAATATTCTTGCTCTTGCTCTGGCCACCACAGTCAGTGCTGTTCCCTTCAAAGGACTTAACAGTACCAAGTGGACTCCAGAGCACATCCTGAAGACTGACGAGGTTATCCTCTATGGCGAAGGACGCAGTAAGTGCACCTTCCTCTCAACTCCAATATTTCATTCTGTTGTACTTTCAACCTTGAGAGCTGGATACTGACCAATTGCACAATAGTGGAGGTTGTCCACAAGAGTGTCTATCACGAGCTCATCCAATCCAAGCATATCTCTGAGGACATCCCTGCCCTACCCGAGAAGTTCCCAGTTACTACCCCAGCTGTCGGGTCCCCTCGGCCCGACAATAGAACCCTCGACGAGAGAGACGAATGCGACCTCACCACGGCGGTCATCACAGACCGTTCCGAGACCTTTGTCGACTGGGATGTTCAGATGTCTCCCGTGATTATCGGTACGGGCAGCAAGGGCATCACTGTAACTGTCACTTCGGGCTTCAGCGTGGCCAACAGCATCGGCGTCAGCGCCAGCGGTGACTGGGCTGCTGTCAAGGACAAGCTTGGCCTCTCTTTTGGCATTGACTACACTCGCACCTGGACTTCATCAGCAGCCATCAACATTGGTGCTACCGTTGAGGATGGCTTCTCTGGAGTCATGGTCACTAAGCCTATCAAGACCAGAAAGTACGGCCGTGTTTTGAAGGGCTGTCTTGGATCTCAAAAGGAGTCTGGAACTTTCACCGCTGATTCTTTTGAGGAGAAGGAATATGCTGGCATCAAGTGGGTTTCTGGTAAGTCATAACCCTCCCTGGGCTAGGGTGAAGGACGAATCTAACTGACATTTTGTAGGCGCTATCACCCTCTGTGCTAAGAAGGAGTTCCCCCTCTCTCGCTGCACTGGAAGTGGAAACTTTGTTTGAATGGACATTGTGAGATAGTGTGGTGCTGGCTATAGACTTTAGCGGCGTGAAGTGGTGTCGCATTAATTAAGTCTATGATATCTATTTCGCTATTTTTCAGGTATGTTAAATGCGGGAGTATCTTTCTCTTTTAAATCTTTGAAAGCTTTCAAATATGCTCAGCGAGGTTTAAATCAGGCGTATATGTAGGCCAGTTTATGAACTTAATTCTATATTCTATTCACCACTTTATTGCGAACCCTAAGACGTGAATCTGTACTGCATCCTACTGGAATCAGTTGATTATACTGTAAATATAACGTAGTTCCTGCATCAGGGTAGATGTATATTTTTTCAAAGGATATTAGTTTCCCTGTATTGTATTATCATGTACTATAATAATAATATTATATTTACCATTGAATTACACTCTTAACTAAAACGAATATTTTAAACTTCCTGTAAGCAATAATACTAACAAGCGGCTGATAAACTTCTAATATAATAAGGTCTTTAGAAAATTCAAACTTATTTGTAGATAAGCTGTAACTAAATTATAAATGTGCTACTAAAAATGTTCAAAGTCATCTCTCTCTTTTACAGAACTTCGTGGATTTAATAGGTACATCACCATAGCTCAGGGCTAAAACAAGCTAACTCGCATAGCATATAAGCATAATGTCTTCAACTTACAGCTATTGGTTTAATCGACCCGAGCAGAAACTTCATTTCCACCAGTTGCGGGTGAGCGCTGTGGCTATTGGCTACCCGGTAGCGAGTTAATGAAAAGGAGGAACTAGTTCGTTTAGCTCCTAATAGTCTCTTCAGCCGCACTCAACAGGTTTTCATCGTTATTGTTTAAAGACAGGAAATAAGTAGAAAACAGTCCAGACATACTCTTCAATCTAAGACAATTGTCCTTGTCAGTTACATCTCAACCACCGCTTATCTCACACATTCAACCCAGGCCAGTCACCAACATGGTCTCTTCAAAACTTATAGCCACCACCTTTGCATACGTCACCTTTGCCGGCGTCAACGCTGGACTGTGTCGGCCTAGTTACTCTTCCATCGAGCTCTCTTCTTCCACTACGCTACTGCCTATTGCTACCGTCACTGCTGCTACGACCACAGAGACTGGCGCATCTGCCACCACTGCTGGAGACACAGAGACAATCGCAACCACTCTCTCAACGTATACTACGACTGCGAGCACTGAAACTCCCACGACAGCGCCCCAACCCGACACCAAGCTTGCTGATATTTTCGGCCTTACATATGTGCAGTGTCTCGCTGCATGCGATAATAACCCTGCCTGTGTGGCTGTCAACTACCTCCCGAACACGCAGCAATGCACTCTGCTTCCCAACCCCGACACCAAGCCTGGCGAGATTTTTGGCCTGACATATGTGCAATGTCTTGCTGCATGCGATGCTACCACCTCCTGTGTAGGTGTTGACTACCTTGGGGTCACACAAAAATGCAAACTTCTCTTCAGTTCCACAAATCCTCCCGATCCCGGAAGCAACCTTAATGAGCTATCTGGCCTTACATATGCCGAGTGCCTTACTGCGTGCGATAATGCCCAGTTATGTGTAGCTGTGAACTACTCAGCGGATACACAGAAGTGTACTCTTCTCCCCTCTGCTTTGTAGAGTATTTTCTTCAAGTTATTTTATTTATAGATTATACTTAGTTATTTTGTTTCTTGGTAAGGATTTAATACTATGGTTCTACTAGTTACTTGTTAATATCGAAAATAGACAGTTATTAATAGTATAGATTTAAATTGTATTATAATAAAGGTAGGTCTATTCTATACTTACAATTACTTGAAGAACAACTCAGCTAGTTTCTATAGTACAATATACCCTCAAGAGCCCAGCTATATCTCTTTAGAATACCTGTAAAAGGTCCTTTTACCATACCTCTTATAGATTGTTTGCGGAGGCCATAAAGTATTAGAGGCTAAAATACTAAGTCAATCCACTTCTTTTACAACGAGAGTATTATGTAACTAAACTTCCTCTCTTCAGGCTATTCATATCTAATAATAAATTTAATATTCACAGAAAAGCTTATTCCTATTCTATATAGTCTGAAATTATAACTTATCTCACTACTCTATAGCTTCAATATCTTTGTACATGCTCTGGAGACTCTACATCGCTAACTGACAAGTTCTCAGCACTATTAGTAACACACAGCTCAATAACAGAGCTGTTGTCTGGCGCATGGTCACCCTGAGCTTTAGGGATAGAGCTGATGCGGAAGACATCTGGGCGACGAGCAGCCGAGTTTCCACCACTTCTCTCATCACTTAAGATCACTCCCCCACCTGTGTTGTTGGAACTCATGTCCAATTTGTGGAAATAATGGCGCACGAAGGGTCGTAGTGTCGGAAGGCAGGCGCAAACCAAAGCCGATGTGATCTCGACCACGGACCACAGCGTGGACTTGACTTGCACCCATGTGACATCCAGGTTGGTACTGAGAAATGGAATTCGAATAAAGGATATTATCACGGTACTAAACACAGATTAGTATTATGACATGGATGTACGCACACCTGAGGCAAAACTTACAAGGTGCCCAGGATAAAGATTCCAACGAGATACCACTTTTGGCGATTGGGTAGATTAAGTTTAACAATGGCAGGAATGGGAAGAATGATAACAATAAGGTCGGTTGCAATATTGCCAGCTACGTTGGAATACCACATGACTGTCGTGTTGATGCAGTGGGTTTTGACCGAAAAGTCCCAGAAGCCGTGGATTGGCGAGCATCCAAAAATTGCAACTCCGAGCTGTGATACTGACCAGCTGCCTACAAGAATGATGGCAGCGATATAAAGTTTTCTGGAGTTTTGCACAGCCAGGACTCGATAGTATCCGACCAGCAGGGTCATCTTGAGGAACATCACTGCACTCGTGTACAGGACAATAGTGATGTAAAAGTTCTTAAATGTCTTAGAGTGAGTTCTGAAAAATGTTGCGATTGAATCTTACCCTGAGATAAAGCAGTAATTCGCCATCTTTTAGTGTCGTCACATGCCTTCCAAGACCATAACGTGTTTCTACGGTTATCAGCGGCGAGGCTCGACATGTATAAGGAGTTGACGTGACGTACGACTGATGTTAGAAAACCCGCATGCAAGAACACATAACTAATGAATTGGCAGTTTCAGTATTTGCCATCTAATTCGAGTTTGGGTAAGTTTTGCCTACCAGGGATACAATTGCAAGGTAATCATCAGCACCAACAGCACGGACAATCACACCACGGGTCCACAAGCGAAGTGCCACAACAAAGACGGATAAAACCTGGCAAACCACAACAACAGCGATGACAGTCGGAGACCTGTTTTCTTTCGAAGTTGGTAAATCCATTGCTGCTATTGATCGCGGGTGATGTTGAGACCACGCGTGAGGAGCGAGACACAAGCAGTAGACCACCTCTTTAACACTTCTGTTCGGGCATGAATAATCCCGTGGGCCATTCCGCTTTAACTAGTCCGCAAGCCTCCTCATCACTTAGAATTCTATCAGTTCTCAAAGCGGCGAAGCCTCGTGTGATAATGACATTGTGGTGAAAGTCTATTTTGCTGTCAAAGCGCTCGGAAGAGCGCCGGGTTTTACGCGAGGTGGTGTTATGCGCGCCATGTTTTGTTAGCGGCACCAACGACTGGCGCGGGATCGGAATTACCACCCACACTGTCGGGTTGGGCAGCCAAACTCAGTTAGTAGGTACATTTGGTGCACTCAAAATGCTGCCACCGTCTCAACCCAATTCATCCCTAAGTATGACTGACTCAGTGCTCTCTAGATAATCACTCAGCCATAAGCGCTAGGAAGGCGACAACAGCGTACCGGGAATCCGGACGAGAGCCGCAAAGCTTGAACTCATTCTAGAATTATGAGACGTGGCTTGCAGATGGCGCGGTCTCGGTAACATGTCGTATTCTATACGACTCTGTCATTCTTTCACAAGGCTGTAGATCACGGGAGAATCCATTGAAACGATTGATGCTGATACTTCAACTATCAGAGTTCGAGTGAATGAAAGATATAATTATGCGGAGGTGATCTTTACAAGCTGAACTTGGAAACGCGCATGTCTGGATACACAAGAGGATCTCACGCGAAGATTTACATGATGACGCGTGCAAGAGGTTGCGATTGCGCCAGGTTATCGCATTGCTACACGGCCAAAGCCGGGAACTCGACTTGCAGCTTATTTGTATTAAGTTCTATAGATATCATTCATTAATATATATGACATTGCAACTCTTCCAAATTGAAAAGCCCTGTGAATCCTGTGAGTCAATGTGTTTGTTATCTGTTAGTTATACTAAACACAGCCTAGGGCGAACGCAGTCTAGGCACTCGAGACTTTTAGTGGTCGGACAACAAATCAGCCTTTTCTAAGTCGTCTCATTTTACCGGCTCTTATTTCCGAGCGTGATGAGCGAAGCTATCGAGCCGAAACAGCTCCTAGAATTAATATAAGAGTCTAACCTAACCCAGTCAAGGAGCAATGTCACATGCTTACAGATCTCTGCACCAAGTCGTCGGGTTCGCAATCGTATCCCAGTCGTGGGCCGGCGCTGAACTCTATTGAAAGGTGGCTTGGATGTTTCTGGCGGGTGATGCTCAGGGGTTAAGACTGTTGGGAAGGGTTTCATACCAGAGACATTTTGGTGGGCCCCTCTCTTAGCTTTCTTTATTGACTTAACGAGATCTACAAGGGTACAGGTCACTGCAACAGCATCTGGAGGGCATCGGCTTGTGAGTGAAGGGGTCTACTAACTAAAGCAGAAATTGCACAAAATGTCGTCAACTCGAACCAGGTGGATCAGAAGGCTGAGGCAAGAAACAACTCAGCAGAGAAAGTTAGCGGTCGCAGTATTAGTCAGCATCTGGAAGCTCGAGACACATACAATTATGAGGTAAAAAAACGGATGCATTGGCCAAGATGCAGAAGGCAGAATTCACCTGGTTGTAACAGGAGCTAAATGGCTTATGTAGAGGGGTAAAGATCCGGCGGAGAGTCGAGATCGCCTTGCCCCTGTTTTGATTCCAACTAAAAAAACATAGACAGTGATAAAACATGGTATTGAGTGGAGAGAATAATCTACAGAGAGCTATAGCGCGTTTCAACAAGCAGAACATAACGAAAGGGCATGATATTCTGAGTTGTTGTAATCGTAATCCAAGTTGAGCAAAAGACTGGGTCTCTGTCGTGAGAGAAGTAAAGAAGGGTTGTCTCTACCTCAATCTCCAAGACGCAGAATTCAACTTGGCGACTTCATCCTTTGACTAATAAAATGGAATAAATACCAGATAAAGAAGGGGCAGCAATTAGATCGGCCCTCAATAGCCCTGGCATAGAAGTGGTAGAAGCGGGGTTAAAAAATAGCCTAAAAGCTTTGACACTCTGAATTCCTCAGTTTAAAATAGGAAGGGTTATTTCCAAAATAATTATTGTAGTTATAACAATAGTAATTAATTGCAGTATCCTAGAGCTATTAGAAAAGGATATTAATTTTAAATAATACAGAGACTTAATTAGAAGGTTGATACACTAATAGTAATAATACACTGAATAGTAGTTATTAATAGTTAAACAATTCCCATTTGCCTTATTAATTCTATTACTTAAGTTACCGAGAGGCAAGGATTGGAAATTCCATCGGGCATCTATACAACCACTCGCAATTGGCTATTATATCTAACCAATGTTAGAATGTTCTGTGACCATAGACAACTGAGGCTCTGTTCAGGCGATAGTCTACTTCGGATGGCTGTTGAATCCCAACCAAGGCATTGCGAGGGGTGTTGCTCTGGGTTGTCTGTGTGCTGCCCCTGCTGGGCGGGAGGCCATTATTTTTGACGGCTGGCGAAGCTGTAGACGACCTTTGGTTTGGACAATGTGACAGCACGGGCGGGACTTCACGGTTCAGTGTCCTTTGTTGATGGGCTGATTTGTCTACAGAGGCAGACCGGGGAGCTTCGAGCGATTCGTAGGCCATCGATGTCTCACTATAAGCCCGCAGCATCGCATTTGTAACAACGTCGTTTGAGGCTGATGAGCTTTTGGACAAAGATTGGCTTGGCCCTCCCTGAGCGTTATCATCCGGCACTGGTTTATCAACCCCTCGAAGCGTGTTGCTACCTCGAGGATCGGCAGTTGGTTCGTGTGCCCTTCCCCAAAAAGCGAGATACTCAGAGGAACTTATCATGGCTGCTTGAGGTATTGGAGATTCGGCGTCAGCTATGGTAGGTTGGACGTCAGAATCCGCCGTATTTGTCTGTTGAATATGGTGGCCGTGGGTTAGCCACTCATTGGGGAGGCCAGTGCTGCCCTGAGGTTGCTCATCGCCTTGCACTGTGTTGTTGTTTTGATGCAAGGCCTGGACCTGGGTCATGGGGCGATCAGTCGTACTGTTCATGTTCGTATTTGTTGGGTGTTCTTTGGGCCCGATCGAGGACTGATATGTCTGTATATCTTCGTTTTCACTGGACTCGCTGTCCTCGCACATGTCGGTAAATTGTATCGCAGGCTGCATCTGGGGGGAGTGGATGCGAGATTCTGGAGCATCATCGCGGCTGGCTGCAGCGGCCATATTCACTGGATTGGTCAATTATATTCTCATCATGTCGCATGCCTGACTAGGGACTTACTCTCAGTTTGACGTCGCAAATCCCGAGGACTATCCTCGCGGTAATTACGATATTTGTTCAAGAACTCGTCAACTTTGTCCTTGTAGGGAATGCTGTTGTCATCAGAGTCATATGGTTGCAGGTTAGCGACAGCAACCCAGCCACTGCGGCAACTCTTGGGAACCTCGGGCTCATCAAAGTACATGACAGGGTATCTCCGCTTCAGGGCTGACGGACCACCAGGCTTGTAAGCTTCCGCCCACTCTGCAGTCTCGCTGACCGGGTCGTATCTGTAACAGGCTGGTATTTTGTTCAAAAGCCCGGTGTGCTTGAGTGACATATCCCAGCCAAATTCACGGAAGCTGCCCCACGGAAGGATGAGGACCGCGTAGAATCGCTTCTCACTCTTCCAAAAGGTCGTGTAGACTTCACCTGGTTTGGGCACGATGTGCGACGCAATCCGATTATGAGTATTCCGGGTCTGGGGTGCGTCGTATTCCGGGTCCTGAGTACCACTCGGTTGGGGTGGAAATGTACAGGTGCGGGGTTGAGGACGAGAAGCCCGTACGTAGGAGGGCATTCGAGCTACCTTGTTGTTCTTTTCCGCAAGGCCGTCGTCGCAGTCCAATACCCTCGTACCAAGCATACGAATGACTTGCTGGTGTCCAACCGACAGACCATGGTGTGCCACACCTTGGAGATGCCTGCGAGCGCCATGAAGAGGATTGCCGGCCAGGAACTGCTTCTTGTGTGCTTTGCATTCAACAATGTACCAATATCCTTGGTATCTCTGAATGACATATTTTGTCCGGGCGTTGCCGTTCTGGAATACTTGATCAAAGTCGATGACCTTGTTTGTCAACGGTTCGGAGAGGGTGTTCGGTCGGGCGCGTTTGCTGGCTTCGGATACGGTTGGTAATGGAGATGTCGCTCGCTTTCTCTGATGTGTTGGTGGGACGCTGTCGATGGGTTGGTCTCTTCCGTTTTCGGTGGAGGGCATGTCAGGGATAGGTTGGTCTGTGGTTTGTCGCGTGAGTGGCTGATCTGCGATAGGAATTTGCTGGACGTCTTCTTCGGGTCGAGTCTCGGCCTGTTCCGTGATTGGATCTAGTTGTGTTTTTAATGAAGCCGAAGAGGGCTGAGCAACACGATTGCGCCACTCCACCACAGACCGATCGGAAATGGACGGGCCAAGTATGCTGAAGAGGTCTAGTACCATGGATATGTACTGTCGTGCGAACTTTTCCTGGTACTCATACTCTTCATCGTCTTTCTTCGCCTCGTGCTCTGCTTCGAGCTCATCGACTTGCTGTATACACTGCGAAACTGCGAGGCGTCTTGCCCTGAAGGTGTCTCGATCGCCGGGAGCCACTGAACGCGAGCTCGATGAACGCACTTTGTCGTCGTAAACTGCTCTAGCGGCTTCCAACTTCGCCTGGAAGGCTTCCTCTGGGCTTTGTACAGAGCGAACTCGAGACGACCATTGTTTGAGGTGATTTTGAATGGGGACTACCTTCTCCGACGGTGGGGTCGAGTTAGTGTTCATTTTTTTCGTCAACCTTGTAGTGCTAGGAGGTGAGCTAGTCTGCTCGATATTCGTATGCGTTCGGCTGGTAGGCTTGTTGACCAAATCAACCAACTCCACAACCAAAAAAGATTCCGCAAAATGGAAAAAGGTGGAGGAGAATGGAGAGAGAGATTTAAAGGGGTTCCTTTGAGTGAAAACAGTTCCACCTTTGCTATTCTTATACCTATTTTTCGGAGAATCGACAGCCTGATTCTAAATGCGTCCAATCGGAATGTTGTCGGGAGCACCGACCAGTAGACAAAAGCAGCCAATGACGGATTTAACACAAACCGGGGTAAGGTATGTTGGCCATTCAACACTATGGTCAGTCAATACTGTAATTTTATCATCCTTGTTACACCGAGTTTACGCGATTGTGGCTTGAAGCAGAGTTTCCGGGCCAATCATTTCTCTCTTACCTCCTAAGAAACCCCTTTGTTGCGCGTCAACGACGTAAAAAGGCAAACAAAACAAGCACTGACCGCTTATGAATCCACGCGAACTAGGCAGTCTAGAGGCTGAGGCCAGGACTATTTCACAACCGTTACGCGTAGAAGTCCTGTTCTTAGATATATAGTAGAAGGCAGGGGTACGCGTTGATCCTTCAGGTGTGATACACTCTATTTTTGTTACTTAACGCAGTATGTTGGTATTAACTACTTACTAGGTATCCGCTGAGTCAGGTAAGATTACAGTCTCACCTGACTAATCTCCGGTTGCCTTATGCGAACCATGCTTGAATAATGTCAAAGTCGTGAGCCGTGGAAACGTGGAAACGTGATTAATTAGTTATTGAAACAAGCAGAAATGCGAAAGAATGAAGCAGACTGATCGCTTTGCCAGGTGGTCTAAGGTAGCCAGACGCGTAGAGACATTGATGAGACTGCACATGGCACTTACTATTATGGATTGCAAATCCCTGTTACTCTTCTTCGCCGTTTCCAGGTTTGATCGCGGTTTTGGCATATATATTTTCGCGCGCTTTGTGATACCATAGAATAAAGCTTATGAGAGAATTGGAAAGCCTGGACTTGATGAAGTTGAAGCTTCAGTAAAAGATTAAAAAATAAGGCACAGCTGTTTTTGCAAAAGAACAAACAACTAATAGATGCAGATGTAAGGCAAAAGGCTCTGTATTCTATGTGTGATAGGAGGCCCACTTTAGTCCACAACGAGAGCTCGTGCATGTCCCCGACGAGGTAATAGCGGACAGTATAGACTAAGATCTAACACAGCAGGTTTACTACTAAATAACCTTGAATCCCTCGCTACTAATGCTTTGCTCAAATCTATCGGAAAGCTTACTTTACTCTATATAAGTTCAGATAGCTAAAATTCATTTTAATACCATAATGTATTTTCGTGCGGAAATTTCATTTATTCATGAACAATCGTTCTAATATATTCGACATTAACGATCTAATCAGGCCGGGCACTATCTCTAGTGATATTCCTAATTAAACTCCATAACTCTAGAACTCCCGCTCAGTCAAATGCTATAAGTAATCACGCTGCCCACTCCTTAGAATACTCAAGTCCTCGAGTAGATTATGATGCCTAGATTTTTATTACTAATAAGGAAAGTCTCTAACTATAAAGATGCAAGGGAGGTATAGATTCAAAGCAGGCCTCTATTGGCTCTAGTTAACTCAAAGTCGTCTATGGCGGCTGGTTAGCTACTTGTGAATGGGAATGCGCGCCGGTGTGCCGTAGTGAAAAAGCGGCTTTTCCGCCTAAAAGTGGAAAAGGTTTAGTTAAAACGTTAGCTAGCGGGAAAGAATCGTAGGTCTAACTAGCAACCATGAACTGATCAATTCTTTATGCAAGTCGACCTGTGCCGTTTTAACCCCAGAGAAGCAATATGGGTAACCCACAAGCCGATGCGGGTGGTCGGGGTAGCGTTGCTATTCGAGGAATTATTCTTGAGGTTGACAGGGTTCCCCTCAACCCCAGAATCAGGAGCTTTGACCTAACGTAAAACTGAGCCGTTTAGTTTGAGCATCACCTTTAGCCGCGATCAAAGTGCATCCTACAATGTTCGATCGAGGCGTGATCGTCACTCAAAAATGGTCTAGAACGACAATTCTAGGCTGTGGCCTGGGGAACTTTGCGAAATCCGGTTGGCCACATGAGTGAGCTAACATGGTCTTCTACTCCATGTGAGGAATGGTCATGTTATTTTGCGAAAACCACCATGTCGAGCAAGGGAGTAAGTGTGTGGCTGATCGGCTCTAACCGTCCGGCATAAGTTATCCGCGTATTCGGAACTCTGTCGTGTTACCCTACCTCGCCAAGGACCTGGATCATAAGCTACATTGGAATGTCACTCCAGGACCTTGATATAAATACTGCTGCTCCACCGATGCTCCTAGCTGCATTTTAGCATTCTTGATCTAATATCTAATCAACAACTAGAACAGAGACGCCAGTATGCCTATCCTGGCGCGACGAGAATCTTTCGAGCGTCACAACATCTATCAAGATGTCCAAGCCGATGCGCAAAAGTCGGGCGTCGCCGTCGAAGAAGTTGTCACCGCTCGAATCACAGATGACCATTTGATCACCAAATCGCGGGAGGCTTTGAACTTGAAGTCTAGAGCTGGATTCCGCATTTTCTTGTACATGATGGTCATGGGCGCAAATCAGGCCGCGTAAGTCTGTAGTACTTCCTTTCGTGACAGCAAACTGACTGGTGAGATTTGCAGCTACGGTATCGATTGGGGTGTTATCAGCAGTATCAACTCCAACGTTCACTGGCATGAATACTTTGGCTTCGAAAACAGTGGCTCGACACTTGGTGTTATTAATGCTCTCATGACCATTGGTAACTTCTGCGGTGCTCCGTTCCTTTGTTTCTCTGATAAGATCGGTCGACGAAGCGTCAACTTTATCGGTTGTTTCCTCACTATCGTCGCAGCTCTTATTCAGTGCTTCTCGCCAAATGTCAAGTTGTTCATGTTTGGTCGTTTCGTCCTGGGTTTTGGAACTGCCCTTTGTACCAGCTCTCAGTACATCGCCGAGATCGCACCTCCTCATATCCGTGGGCAGTAAGTATATTTACATCTCATCTTTGGGCATCAGACTAATTAGTGTACAGCATCGTTGGTATCTTTGGTGCCTTCTTCCAGGTCGGTTCCTTAGCTGTCGTTGGTATCATGATGGGCTTTACACACTGGGAAAGCAACTGGAGCTGGCGGGTGGCCTTCCTCATCCAGGCCATCTTTCCTCTCTTCGTCTGCGCCACCATCTACTCGCTCTGCCCTGAGTCTCCTCGTTACATGGTCATGAAAGGCCAGAGGGAAAAGGCTCGACTTACAATTTCTCAATACTTCACCTCCTCCGAGGATGTCAACCATCCGTTTGTGGATGTCATGATGTCTCAGATCGATGAGTCCATTGAGACTTCGGCAGTTGGCTTCCGTGCCACCTGGGACTTCCGCGTCTTTTTTACCAAGGCTGTGTGGTTCCGCACATTCATCCTTCTTATCTACTCAATCTTTCAGCAGTGGAACGGTAAGAGTCTCTTTTGTTCCCGGCGTCTGGAACTCTCACTAATGCATTTCAGGTGGCGGTATTATTGGTCTCTACTTGGATCCGGCACTTCAAACCATCGGTATTACTAAGAAACTCGATGTTCTGGGTATCAATTTGGGACTGACCGCCACATACTTCGTTTTTACTCTCTTTGGTGCCTACCTTGTTGAGTACTTCCGCCGACGAACCTTGATCTTTGTGGGTTTGATCTGCATCATTGTCGCCCAGACAGCCGTCACCATCACCAGTTGGCGCGTGGAGGTGCAAGGAGATAAATATCTCTCCTACCTTACCGTCATGTGGATCTTCTGTTTCCAAGTTTGCAGTGCCTCTTTTATTGCGACCATGCACAATTTGTACCCTGTTGAACTGCTGTCCCTGCCTCTACGAGCAAAGGGTATGGCGTTGTACACCATGTTCCAAGTATGTCTTCAATTATGCCGTTACTGTTTTCTTACTAATGAGCTGTAGGGTGCTGCTGGTGTTGTCCACAACTACGGAATTTCTGTCGGAATCAGCTCAGTCGGCTACAAGATCTGGGCCGTCTATATCTGCTACAACTTCATCCAACTCATCATCGCTTACTTCGTCTTCCCTGAGACTGGAAAGCTCAACCTGGAGGAAATTGATCATATCTTTGAAACCAAGAACACTAATCCTATTAAGTTGAGTGTCAAGATTGCAGATGCCAAGTGGGCCTCGATCAAGGAGGACAAGGTGCGCGCTCGCAACGGGACACTTGTGACTCACGTTTAATCATGAGCACGTTGGTGCGGAGAAGATCAGACCATATATTAGTTTGAGCTATAATGAGAAGATGAATCCTATGAAATATGATAGTCGCATTTTCTAAGCTGCGAATGTTTAATAGAGTGTTGTTGACCACATCTTGTCATTTATCGCACTCCGCGTTCTTAAAGACAACTCGTATACCAGTATTTCAAGGGCGGTTCAGGCGAACGCTTCACATGCGACTTAATATGTGTAGTTCTCTGCATTTTAGTCTTTCAAAGTTCCAGTGACTCCAATCGACTGCTTTCCTTGTTTCTGGTTTCTCCCTGCGACTCCCTGAGAACTATTCCTGGCAATCAAGACTTCAGCATCCCGATAAACGCTTATTACAAAAATATCAGCCCATCTCGGGTCACTTGAGCATCGACTAAGGATCAGCTAGTCGTGATGCTGGGTCTAATGGATAATCCTGGTCAATGCGGGGTTGGGGATAATCTGGGGTTGAAGGGGTAAATGGACACACGGCCCGACATGCGAATAACCATCGACGATCATTCGTGCGAAAAATAGGACGGACGAACCTCGGCCATAGCTTGTCCGAAGAGCCACACCTTTTTGTACCATAGTACACAAGACATACGATATAATCATGCTTGCTTATGGGTCGACGTCAAACTGAACCTCCACTTTCCCCATGCAAGTGCCCTACTGCCAACGCAACATGATGAGTGGCGCACCATTACTTGAGAAGAAGAAGGTCTCACCTTCTAGTACCCGGATTCTTGCCCCTCACTTCACTCTTCACCCGTCACCTCTCTAACAATGGCTTCCCATACTGATTGTGACGAGTCCATCAAAGGTGCCCTGCCTCCAGACTTCATCTGGGGATGGGCCACAGCAGCAGCGCAGGTCGAGGGTGCGTGGGACAAAGATGGCAAAGGCGAGTCAATCTGGGATAAGTTTGCCCATACCCCAGGCAAGGTCAAAGATGGAAGCACTGGTGATGACGCCGTGCGGTCCTACGATCTTTACAAGACCGATGTCGAGTGGCTACGCAAGTACAGAGCTACAGGATACCGATTCTCACTTGCGTGGTCGAGAATCATTCCACTGGGTGGAAAGGATGATCCCGTTAACGAAGCGGGAATTGCCTACTACAATCGCCTCATCGACGAGCTTATCGCCAATGATATCACGCCCTTCGTCACCCTTTTCCACTGGGATATTCCACAGGCGCTGGAGGACCGCTATGGCGGCATGTTGAACAAAGACGCCTATACCCCCGACTTCGTCCGATACGCCCATGTGTGTTTTGAGCGGTTTGGGGATCGCGTAAAGAACTGGATCACATATAATGAGCCCGGTGTCTATTCTCTTGCTGGTTATGCCGCCGGCGTACATGCGCCCGCACGATCGAGCTTCCGCGATCGTAACGAAGAAGGTGACAGCAGCACGGAACCTTTTACCGTTGGGCACACGGAACTCGTATCCCACGCCTATGTGGCCGATATGTATAAGCGCGAATTTAAACCTACTCAAAAAGGGACCATCATGATCACACTACACGGCAATTGGTCTGAACCTTGGGATGCTGATGATCCTAAAGACCAAGAGGCCGCGGAAAGAGCTCGGGAGTTCGAAATTGCCTGGTTTGCCGACCCTTTGTACAAGACGGGCGACTATCCTGCTTCTATGCGCGCGCAGCTAGGGGATCGCTTACCTCGCTTCACCCCCGAGGAGAGCAAGCTTGTTCTTGGGAGCTCCGAATTTTACGGTATGAACTCTTACTCAGCGTTTTACGTACGCCACCGCGACGGACCTGCCGATATTAATGACCACCTCGGCAATATTGATAAGCTCGATGAGAATAAACAAGGCCAGTGGAGAGGACCCATGAGTGACACATACTGGCTGCGAACAACCCCTTGGGGCTGGGCCAAGCTGCTTCGCTGGATCTGGAACCGCTACGGCGTCCCTATCTACATTACCGAGAATGGTACCACGGCACAAGGCGAGCATGACTGGAAGCCCAAGGGTCCTGACGATGTACTTGAGGATCCCTTTAGAGTTGATTTCTACAAGAGCTACCTCGCCGAAGTTGCCAAGGCGTCGCAGGAAGGCGTTGTGATCAAGTCGTACTTTGGCTGGACCTTCACGGACAACTGGGAGTGGGCTGCAGGGTTCTCGGATCGATTTGGGGCGACGTGGATTGACTTTGAAAGTGAGGAGAAGACTAGATATGCAAAGAGGTCGGGGTATTTCTTGGGCGACTTCTTCGATCATCTCATCAGCAAGAAATAATGACAGCAGAGGACTCGCGATACAGCAATCTTTTACGGGACATTAGACATAATAAGCTTATACGTTACTTTCAATCGCTGCTCAAGATATGTGAGCAGCATGCTATGCCGGAATTGTAGCGCCGAATTACCTCGCGGTCATATCAGTGAATGTCGTTCATACCTCTTCGCAGCAAGGTCTGCGGAGCTCAGGCTCAACACCTCCTCCACAGTATAATGATCATCCAGCCGCATGGGCGTAAGTGCAATCTTGCTTACCATGAGAAAGCCTGAAGTGTGCAAGGGTACTCGCAGAATCGTTTTCCCTCAACCCATTTCTGCCAACATGTCCATCCGAGCAATCCCCGAGGCCACTGGCATTGACCTCCACTATCTTCGAGACCTAGATGCGACGGGGTACTGGCGTACAACTCTCTATCTAGATGATTACTATCCTACTCCGTGTAGTACGACTGTGAACATCCCGACGTATATGTACCAGGTGCGCGATGATCTACCGACTCATTGACAGGACGTGTAGGACATTTTGACTCTTATAGCTATTACGGAGAGAGAGCTTCTTCACATTTTTGGCACGACCTGTCGTTGGCATGCGTTTCCATATTTCCAGAGCCAAATAAATTCTACTCTTATATGGCTAGAGTGTGAAATGATACGTAAACGGCGCGATTGATATAAGGTTTTTCACTTGAAAGTTTTTTAAACTGATCTTTTCCCCCATGGTTACTAAACACAGACTTGCAGTGAGCTGTGTACCTTTTTAAAATGGGTTTCAATAATTTAAAGGAGCACGCTCACCCTATATCACAAACAACATACCCAGGTCATCACGTGTCTGAAACCTTCCTCGCCAGTCATAGTGGCCCCCTTGAAACAGGAGACAATCACAAACTTGGGGTTGCATTGGACTGCATTAGGCTGCACCAACACAGCCAGTAACCGATGTGCAGCATGAATGTCATTGGGTATCACGGGGAACCGGCGGGTGAATTCCGCACCTATTCTAGGAAATCGTCATTAAGCTTAAGCTACATCAAGTTAGAGCATTAAACTCTACAGGTGGCGATTACAAAATGGTCATAGAAGCCTCCAACCCTGCCTTAAGACCTAAGTATGTAAAGTGAGTCGATTCTAGTCTTTATGATTGCATAGTGGCTATCTTGAACGACCTGCAAGTTAACTGACCCAAATGCCAAGTAGGAATGTTTCAAGTAATCTCAAAACACGGGCTGTGATACTTTATCTTAAGGTACGCTAGGGAGCGCCACTTGACGTACTAACAGTTACGGTTGACCAGTAGCGGCAGTTACTAATTAGTCAGGGGAACCCTAGCTCATAAATAATAAACAAACATTCCCTAGCATTTTATTCTGTCTCAACACGTTGCAATCTCCCCCGTCTGCTCCTTGATGAGTGGAAGAAATACGCGTGCTCTCTACGCAGAGCTAGCAGTAGCATCAGCATCAGCATTAGCGACCAGACGATGCAGATTACGACCTCGATAGTATGATTTGCGCGACATTTCCAGCCAAGGCCTTAACCTTGTTCGCTCCTCGCTAATCAATCGCGTGTGCAGGTGATTCAAGCAATCCTTCTGGGTTTAGCTCTGCTGGTCATCATCCTTCGCGCCTGGGCGCGACTATACTTCGAGAAAGCCTCACTCACCATCTCTGAGTACTTGACTTGGCTCGGCTGGCTCTTTACGTTAGGGTGGTTTATTTGCTCGACCATCGCTCTGCAAATTCTAATTAAGCATCCAGCTGTTGGCGCAGAACTTGTGGTTAACAACGTGGCTTATCTCAAGGTATGTGGCCATCTTTTTAATGGACAAGCTGTGCCTACCATCTGGAAACGTCGCGAAGCTGACCGATACTTGACTTGTAGACTGTGTTTATAGCTGAGTATTTCTTTGATATCGGAATTTACTGGCCCAAGCTTTCTATCACCACGTTTTACTGGGTTTTAATACCCGATATTTTTCAATCTCTCAGGAAAGCACTCTACTTGATTGCTGCCTATCTCGTTTGCGCTTTGGTTGCATCTATACTTACAAACGCATTAATAACACAACCTATCTCAAATAACTGGTAAGTCAACTATGATGGGTATCTGGCGAGTAAGCTAATAGTCTTACCAGGTCCATCGAGCACCAACTTGAGTCCGCTTGGAACTCCTACCCAGCCTTTTGTGTCCAGTGGTCTCTTAACTTTTCTACTGATTTACTTCGTACGTTTAAAACCCCCCTCTGTTGAGGCCTGTATGACACTCTCTGACAACACATATGACGTAGTCTTTTGCTTTCCGTTCTTTATTCTCCAGCACTTGACACTTCGAAAAGAACAAATATTCGGCCTCGTCGGTGTTTTTTCTTTGGGTGCAATAACCTTAATAGTCAGTCTCGCACGCTTCATCGCGTATAATGTCACGGACTTTGGACTTGATGATGCAGTTGGCAGTATGTGCTCCTCTTACCTCGCGTACCCTCACGCCACTGCCAAAGCTGGCAAAGGACGATTACGGATTACATGCACTGACCTTTTCAAGATACGCTATGCACCGCAGAGATGACTACCGCGGTCATTGTTGTCTGTCTTCCTGGCCTTAAGAAATTCATCGTGCGGTCAAAATCTTCCACGAACACGCCGAATCATGAAAGCACTTCCACACAATCTGGTTCAGGACAATTATCAAACAATCATAGATCCAAGCCACGGACAAAACACCATCCCTACGCCGAATGGGGCGTAAGGGATGACGAAATAGAGTTGGTAACAAGTGCTCACAGATCTTCTCCTCCGGATACAGAAATATTAAATAATTAGGAAGCTATAATGTATAAATAAATCAAATCTGCAATTATTTTAATTTTAATGACTACAGTTCAGCTAGGCCATGGCTATGACTATCACGTTTCCCTACAATGGCTTTGTCGTTTACTCGTCTGGGTCGATACCAAGCTTGCTGCTTAGGCTACGACGATGGTGAAACCGGAAAATGTATCAAATTCTGCTAACGCCTTAATCACCATCGCTTGCCCATATGGCGTTAGGTACTACCAGACTTTACATAAAAGTATAATTTTGTAAAAGGCCTGCTGCCTCGGGCAGCAATTGGATTGGTCCTCAATAGCCCTGGCATGGAAGCGGGGTTAATAAAATAGCCTTGTGGTTGCCTGTCGTGGCGAAGCGGTCGCTAGTGGAGGAAGGATTCAGCCGCGTATTATGCCTCGCCATCATAAAATAGCAACAAGTTACATATCGGCTTATTAGTACCCATTGATAATTCTTTTTAACTACAGAACCAATGGAAAATTCACCGCTGCAGCACACCGTTCTACACCCGTCCGAGGTTCACGATGCAGCCCAGTGTGGTGGGCATCCTGTACTGACTGAGTCGGGTACCGAGTATTGGATGAAATGGCAAGAATGGATGCCACAATTGATGGACAGTTTTCAGCAACATCAGATTTTGCGATTGGAGGGTTTTGTGAAGCCTAGCCTCGAAGCTTTCATGGCACTTGACCCAGAGCTCTTAGGCTCCGTCGGTAAGGAGCAAGCCAAGGCATTACTGCTCTATATCGCTCACTTCACACTCATCAGTTGTATCCGCTGTGTCATTTCCCGAAAAGGTTTTAGAAAATGCCCCATACGAAGAGAAACAGAGATATCTCGTCGACTCGTACAATTCAGTTCTAGACATTGCCCTTCCCAAGCAAAAGAATATCGGACCTGCAGGTCATCGGCTTTCCCAGACGCTGCTATCTCAATATCGCGTTCTCTACCAACAATCAAAGTTTGGAGACCCTACCAAGATGATCAGGCTCCTCGACATCCTTCCTGGTTTACCAGATAGCCCCCGTATTGAAACGCGTCTCTTCAACACAAACTTGCATTCCCCAGATTTTAGCTACGAGGCGCTCTCGTATACTTGGGGCACGGTTTCAAACCCCCGCGAGCTACGCAGTATCCGAATCAATAGTCTCACACATCGTATCACTCCAAACCTATACGATGCGCTGGTGGCACTTCGTCTGCCAGATCGTCCGAGAACAATCTGGGTCGACTCAATCTGCATTAACCAGGGCGACCTGAAAGAGCGTAAAGAGCAGGTCATGCTCATGTCTCACATCTATGCCCACGCGGAAAAGACGGTCGTGTTTCTTGGACAGTCGACACCCGCCACTGAGGTCTTTTTCAAATTCCTAGCCTTGCCTGTTTGCGAGCTTGTCCCATGTGCTACATGCCCGAGGAGTCACTCACAAGGTCCGTGGCAAAAGCCTCCTTCTGAAGCTTGTGCCGAGGCTGGGTTCGATGAGCAGGACGCTATACAAGGCTTTATACATCTTTGTAGTCTGCCATGGTGGTCTAGAGTATGGATCCTCCAAGAGTTCACTCTCAGCAAATCGGACCCAACCCTATACTGTGGTCGCGACCACATCTCGAATGCACTGTTCACAAAAAACTTCGATCGAATTCACAGTTGGGTTGATCATAAAAGATTGCACTCGCAATTGATCCCGGGTTGTTATGAATGCTACGTATTCGCTGGAAAACAGGCAGTAGATGTTCATGCATCGAGTATGGCAATGACTGAAAAGCACCAAGACACTTCGGATGGTTCATTTCGCAACAATATCGATGATGAGGATGGAGACACGTCACAAAAAGGGTCAGATGTCAGCCTTGAAAAGAAGGATAAGATCCTTGGGACACGGAGTGGCTGGCAGTTCGATTCAATGAGCTCTCCCGGACATGAATGGAATACCTGGGGACGCCATGCAAGGCTGACATTGGCCGTTCTAGATAGACGTACCGCATGCCGTCCGTGGCACGGTGCCCAGTATGTCTACAGATCGCTTTGGTCGTCCTGTACTGATCCTCATGACATTGTTTATGGTCTACGAGAACTCATCGACCCTGCTTTTCGAGACATTTTCAAACCCAACTATGCCATCTCAACCCGCAGTCTTTTTACGAGGCTTGCAGCTTATCTGTTAGCCCTCGAACACTGGCCAGGAATGTTTTGGCACTTTCCTCATCGTCTGAAAGACAAATATCCAAGAGCATCACGAGATTTTACCATCATTCCGTCATGGGTTCCCGACTTCACCAGGCCGATGGGTTACAAACACGGGGAGAAGCCTGTTGACGTCAAGGAAAAGCCGCTACTGGACAGTCCTTTCATCGTGGACCATGTGCTGTTCATGACCGGGTGGCTTGTAGACGAAATCTACAATGTATTTCCACTGCCTAAGAATGACCCATTCAGACTGTTACAACAGCTATGGTACGTTGAGAGGACATTTGGATGGGCCACATACGATTTGGTCGATGGGCAATGTCCCGTAAACCTTGGCGACGATAGACCTGAGGGAATCCCTTTCTTCCCCAGTGTTATGTGGGCGACAGAGTTCCATAATTCCTCAAAAGAAACATCAGTCGTGCAAATCATTGCAGACTTTATTGACCTCGACGGCCTCTCTGACGTATTTCGCCATAGCGTTGGATTGATCTTGCCCACTGTAAAAAAGATTTTTGCGAGACAGAGGGAGGAGGCTGGAGATGCAGAATCTGAACCTTATCGTGACGAATACCGGGATCGAGAACGAGACATGCTAGACAGGTTTCAGAGCCTATTTCACCAGCTAGTGGGCGAAAGTATGACAGATTTCATCGGGATCTGCGCTTTTGATTTTGAGGGTCTTCGTTCCCAAATCCTCCACCGTTTATTGCCCATGACGCCGTGGCAGCCTTGGCGATATTACAGGCCAAAGTATTTGCACGAGGAGGAGGAGAACATCTGCAACCCTCCGCTGTTCAACGCTGCCCTGCAGATGCCCATGATATACAGAACCATATTGACAGCTATCAACAAAGACATCCAAGACCACGAAGAGCGCGAGATGCGGCAAGAGGCGGTCTTGCACCTTGCCGAGTTCATTCACGATGCCGTGATGGAATTGGTAGGAGGGCGGAGTGAAGTTGATTATCACTATCTGGGGGACGAGATCGACAATGTTTGGAACCCTCACACGCAACTATCCCATCAAAGAAGTAAGGGCAATAACCCGAATGGGGGTGTCAGTAACGAGACCGGCGAGGGAGCGAGTTTCGTTATCGACGATTTCATGCTATCGAGCATGTCTGAAGATGCAGACGATGGCAGCCGCCCAGACAGTTCCTGCTATGTCAATTGGGATTGGGGCAACGGGCCCTACAAGCAGGGCCGTCATCCCGAACATGCAGCGTTAAAAGGTAACACTTGGTCATCTATCTTGACCGCGACAGAGAGACAGTTGAATTCGGAAAGGTCAGGGAGCAATTCTGGTAGTAGTGACAAAGACTCGACCGGCAAAGGTAAAGGCCGGACTCTACGTCCTGGACCCAACGGCGCTGCAACCTCATGGCGTCGCGTCGAGAAGCGCACATCTACTCAGACACATTTTGTCTTTCGAGATGTTTGCGACTTTCTTGCCGGGCGTGAAATCTTCCTCACTGATAAGGGTTTGATGGGACTCACCGGCCCAGGAACTCAAGGCGTCTGTGACGGTGATGATCTGTTTATATTGCAAGGCATGGATTTTCCACTGATCGGGAGGCTTGAGCCATCGGATAAACTAGGAAACCCTAAAGCACGACGCAGGGATATGCCCACAGTAAGAATGAAGAGGGAAATCATAGGCTCAGCTATCGTTAGAGGTATTGACCCGAAAGGGGGTCGGTTACATGAAGTTACATTTCCGGACGGGTTTGAGCCTTTAAGTGGTGATGATATAGGTTGTTTTCGATTTAAATAGCTTCCACTGTAACGAAATCACCATCAACAACTATACAACCTTTTTGTCGAATGGGCCACTCTTAAACAGTGTGTCGTAAATCCAGTCTGTTTACTTTAATGTTTCTAGCCTAGATGTATGGTATATATATTTTAAATATCAAGTTGGTATTAAATGCTTATAGATCTTATCTTCTGGATATAAGAATATTAAATAATTAGGAAATTGTTAAATAATAGATAAATTAAATCTGTAATTATTCAATGCTCTGTGAAGACGCCGACAAAGAATAAACGGACTATTCAACCAACTTAGGTGTCATTCTGTGGACCAGATTGCCAAGTTGATAACTGATAGTCCCTGTCGAAAAGCTGATTGTTAAATCGCTGGGGAAGGCCGCAGAAATTACCCATGAGGGAATCATAAAATGCTTCTATAACAGTGTAAATCGAGAGAACAAGTAAGAAGGCGATAGCTTTGGGGCACTCCCTGAAAGATTGGTAGAGTGAAATGTTCTTTTGGTCTTTGGTGACTGCGTAGGTATCTTGAGCGATACGATCTAAGTTAATTAGGCCATTAACGACTTGCCTTTTAATTGTCTCTGTGTTAACCAGATCGCCTTTGAAGTCGGCCCAAGCCCGTCGTGTAAGCTGGAAGTATAAGTTCAAATATGGGGGAAAGGTATATGAATTTAGGGAAGTATGGGTAGTTTATCGGGGATAATTTGGCATCAAATGACTTATGTATATTACAGATCACGTATTGGAGCCTTTAAGTAACTGCCTTTCGAAGAATCTTTATGGTAATAAAACTGTATCTTGTCTTAGTGGTGATACATAGCCTTTTGATTAGTGTTACCCGAGATAGCATAGTTAGATGGGGCTAAGTGGTCGCTAGTAGAGAGAAGATTCCGCTGAGTAATATGCCTCGCCATACGTAGCATATAGCAATAATTTATATATCAGCTTTGTAGTACCCATTGATTATCTTTTCAAACTGTTCAGTCACCGTTTTCTACACATCTGCCCGTAACAATGCAACAGTAAACAGCTCAAAGCCAGGGATAGCATTACAATGGGTGCGGGGGTCAGTCCCCTGGTCAACGTCATAATCACGTAATAACACGATTCCAATGCTGACCCGGAGCTAGCAGCTGTTTCACCACACACAAAACCCAAACCCGTAAAACATCTTATCGGAGTCAGCACCTACAGTAGCATTATCACGTCGACAACAGAGCAGCGGCAGTACCAAAATCTCAACGACCAGACCAACGCTATACCTGCACGCATGAGCATGCATGGCCTGTTTGCAACACGAGGCGTTTGCCGATCTACAAACAAAAATGTTTTGGCACTATGTCTAAGTCAGCGATACACTAGACATAGGGGTTCGTTAGGTAAGAATGGAGGTGTAAATCAACAAAGGATGTTATCGTTTCAAAGAAAACCGCAAGGCCCGAGCCCGATTAGACCTTACCACACTTCTCTGGACCCATCGGAGGTATCACGCCTAATGAATCTCGAACTCAGGCGCCGAGGGGATTTCCGTGACGCCGATGACCTATCCGACTGGGAATTCAACCATGTATATCTCGACGCCATGTCGGGGTCGTGTGAACTCGACGACGTACATCTCGAAGGCATGTCGGAGTCGGATGAATTCAACGATGAATATCTTGAGGCAATGACGGAGTCGCTCAAGTCCATCAATAACAGATATCGTTACATGTCTACACCACAGCCTCGCATCAATCAACATATACCACATCCACCCATCGACCAAGAGATCAAGCCCACCTTTCTCCACTCACACAGATACAACCCCCATTCTTCATCCTGGGCAATTTTTGGCTACAGCGATAGAGTACTTAAGCCAGGAGACAACCTTAAAATCGCATCCTGGAACTTGTTCTTTTCTGATCACGCCCTGACAGCTCGCACCTCTGCTGCCATCGCCAATTTGCGTACCATGTTTGGACAAGCACCCCAAAACCTTGTGGTCATGTTCCAAGAAGTCCGCCTAGAATCATTACAAATTATCCTAGGAGACAAATGGGTTCAGCAAAACTTCGTCCTCTCCGATGCAAAGCCACCATGCCTCCAATATGCAAATAACCAATCCTTTGACGAAAAGCCCGACTGCAAACCAAGTGACTATTTCACTCTCATAATGAGTTCCAGGGATTTGCCAATATCGAACTGCTTCCGGGTCCCTTTCGTCTCCAAACAGGAGAGAGATGCCCTTGTGGTTGACATTCCCATATTCGAAGACCCTGGTACCGAAAGATCAAAAAGGTCACTTCGCCTGTGCACAGCCCACCTTGAGTCACTCTGGGGAAAGGATCTCCGTTTTCGCCAACTCGTCCAGGTATCAGCGCTTCTTAGAGGCGACTTGTCTCAGGGGCGGATAATCTATGGCGGGCTGGTAGGCGGCGACATGAATGCGTATGATCGGTCCGAGGACGACAATCATCGAGTACCAGAGGTGGATCTTAAGGATGTTTGGGAGGATGAGCCGGCGCCAAAACCACAGGTCTTGAAGCCCTTCCGGAAAGATCTCACATTTGGTAAAGCTAAAGGACATACGTGGGGCTACCACTCCGTCAAATATAAAAAACGAACACGGTTGGACAAGTTTTACTATACAGGGTCCATCAAGACGTTTGCGCTGGGTGAAGCTCAGGACACAACTGGAAAATTGGGTCGCTTTGGAATGGGGCTGAAGACTAAAGTTGGGTCGGATGATGTTTGGGTTAGCGATCACTTTGGGATCGCTGTAGGTATTACGGTAGTCTGAGGGTTTGACCTATGTCGCGTGTCACAATGATATGAATTTAAGCCTGTTATCTTAGCCATTAGAGACCTTTTCGTTTCGAGCTTCTTTGTCTCCCTTTCCAACCTGCTTGATAAATCCGGAGCTTAATGCCCGTGAAACGGGATGAAGAGGTCTCCCTCTCTTGGCACAGATGCCTGTATGAGCTTCACAGTATTAGCATGATGATTGACCTTGCCGATTCGTCTCGAGGAGAATGAGGATGCCATCAAGGTGAATGGGTGAGAAGAGGTTGGTCAACGCTTTGTGGATGATTCGGGCTTCTGATATTATTCTTGGCCAATGGGATTCCTCGTGGCAGTGGATTAACCAGATAGACTTTTCTCTGTCGTGAACTAGACCACTACTTAAACTTATCCTAAAAACCTCTGTGTTTGATTGTGGTGTTGACTTAAAAACCGAATGCCGATCAGGCTAGTAATTTCTTGACTCTTAGCTCAATTGGTTACATAAGAAACCGAAAGAAAAAAAGTGATTATCCTCCTGATAGCTATAATCCTCGGCATTTTGTTCAATGGATTACCGATAGGCAAATCCATTTTAGCCACTACCCTATCCCTGCTTGTGGAGTCTTCCCAGGACAAAGAGGTTGTGGGCCATTGCCACCAGCAAATCAAGTCAAAGAACAAGATTGATAAGACGACATGGCTCGGACGGGCCTAGTTCCTCTTTCATCCAAGAGCCGATAGGTGTACCATCTATCAGTATCAATTCCCTCATACGTTTCTGCCCGTTAGCGTTATGCTAACTATAAGCTTGTTTTTTCTTTGAGTCTAATCAGTGGATCATGAAGGATACCTGCCATAATACGTAGTATGAGAGTGGCTAAGTCATGTCTTGGCAAAGTGGTCTTACAAGCTTGAACAGGGTTCTTTTTGTAGCGTCGTGAACCATGGTCGGGCAAACCAGGTCCGGCGTCGGATACTCGCATTCATCTCGTACCCTGGGTCGTCGTATAAGAAAGACAGTTCCCGAGTAAACAGGATCAATGCCGAACTTCGATCACGCTTCCTCACCATTAGTACAGTCGCTTTTGCCTGACTGCAAACATGAGAGTTTCTACCTCTTCGTTATTTCTGGTGGGCAGTCTGGCCTCGCTCATTGACGCAGCGCCGTTAGACCCGCCTTCTGTCAAATTCGTTTCACCTTCAAAGCTCAATCCCGGCAGCGCACAGAACGTTATTGTCGAATATTCAGGCGATGTCGACGGGCAATTGATTTTGACCTATGGCTCATGCGATAGTGAACCTGTCATCTCAGAGGCCAAGCAACGTATCGGATCAACGCACGTTGGCGGACACCCGTCAGCTGAGCGTCATCTGGACCACCAGGACAGAAGACCTACAAAGTTTGTGTGGTTGGCTCCAGAGGAGCTCTCTAAAGGCTGTCTTCGTGCTTTCTTGGACGACGAACTCATTGGCCAGTCCGATGAACTCGTCATCACTAAGCGATTGGGCCGTCGAAGTGAGAAGAAAGCATCGTTCGCAGACGTTTCTGGAGACGATAGTTTGTGGTTCAACGGTGTTGCATATCTTAAACAAAAGCAGCCCGAGGAATCCTTCGTTGCCGCAGTCAAGAACAAGTCCTTCGCCATTCTGGGTGGTGGCATCTCTGGACTTCTCACATCTGTAAGTTCCCTGACTTGTGAAGCAAGGGATTCAATACTAACGAGCTTTGCAGCTCATCCTTGACTCTGTAGGCATTCACAACTGGAAGATTCTCGAGTCTTCTGAGCGCATTGGCGGTCGTATCAGGACTGCTTACTTGAACGGTACTTCCCCAGAGGAGGGACAATACCATGAACTTGGACCTATGAGATTTCCTTATGAGCTCACCGATTCCGAGACCAACGAGACTTTTCCGTTCATGGACCAGCGCATGGTTTTCCAACTAGCTGATGTCCTCAATGGAATGAATGTTGGCAACAAGTCACTGCAAGTCGAGTTCTGGGATTGGATTCAAAGTTCACCAAACACACCTGTCAATTCACCTTTCCGACGACCAGACGGAACTTTCCCTGGAAAGACTGAAGTAGCTACTGATCCTGCTTACGAGAACCCCACGGTTTATCACAACGCCACAGCAGCTGAAGAAGCTATCAAAGCGTTGGATGATTTCAAGGGCCTAGATCCTGAGCGGATCCGAATGTACACCAAAAACATCTTTAAGGCCTACAAGCAAGCCAAGGAGGACGGCGGGTTTGACTATTCGGAAGTGTCTTACCTTCGAGACGTCATTAAAACCGACCTCAACACGACAGACGAGGTCACGCCATCGCAGAACTATTGGCCTATGTGGGAATACGAGACCGTGTACTTCTTGGCTAGCAAATGGGTGACCATCAAGGGCGGTCTCAGCAGACTTCCTGCTGCCTTCGAGCCTCATGTGAAGGACCGAATTCAGTACAAAGCCAAGGTCAACGGTTTGCAATACAACAAGAACAAGACAGTCTCTGTTTCTTGGAAACCCACTGGCTCTGATCCCTTCAAAACTACTAACAACGTTGAGAACTTTGACTACGTACTCAACAGTGTGCCACTCAACTTACTCAAGTTCTGGAAGCTGCCGCCATACTCGAGTCTGCTCAAGCGTGCGATTGACCGGACTCTGTTCGCTAATGCTTGCAAGGTTGCGGTTCAGTTCAAGACGCGATTCTGGGAACACCTTGAGCGACCTATTTTCGGCGGCTGCACTCGTATCACCAGCCCCCAACTTGGTCAGGTCTGTTATCCATCATGGCATCTCAACGCCACAGGCCCAGGAACATTGATGGCCTCTTACCTCTCTGACTATGAAGCCACCGCTGCGTGTGCCATGTCGGAGGAGGAGCACATGGCATACATCAAGGACGCTCTTACTGAGATACACGGTGATGTCGTCGAGGAGAACTGGACGGGTACCTGGGCCCGACAATGCTGGGAGCAGGAAGAGCATCACGCTGGTGCTTTCACCATGCAGATCTTTTCACAACAGCATTTGTATCTTCCTGCATTCTATCAGACAGAGTTCAACACTGTTTTCATCGGAGAGGCAGCTACTTTCACACACACTTGGCTTTTCAGCGCCCTGGAGAGTGCGACTCGAGGAAGCGTCCAGCTACTATTGGATTTAGGACTGGTGGATGAGGCTAAGAAGGTCACCGAGACCTGGATGGCACGCTGGATAGAAGTATAATTTGCGATAGCTTATACACCCATTGGAGTCTTCTAAAGTGCAAAGCCTTCTGTATTATTTACTGCTTTTACTATATTGATCCTATAAACCCTTCCCCTGTCTCTCGACGTAATGTCTTCCACTTTTCGTCACAGCTATTCCTTGACCCAGACGCCTCTCACGGCTTCTTGGGTATGGCTAGGATCAAGTATGTCTTATTCTCATCATGAAGGCTACGACTCTAATTAGGCGACTTCAACCCATTCAGCCAATAGATCGGCCACTTGAGCTGTTACTGGCTGGCGATACTCCCTCGAGGGTTTTTTTCAAGTGTGTGATGCGCTCTCTTGGGGCAGTGGCACCCTCCTGGGGCTCTACTTTTCTTTTTGCTCTAACCTTGAACTTTATCAAGCCCAGGCCTTCCAAATCTCTCAATTATATCAACAATGAAAATGGACCCTTCTTCCTAGGGCTCTACACAGAGAGACTCACTGGTGGTTATTGCCGTTAGACTTGGTGACTTGATGGAAAATGCCAATTCTGTCTGATGGATTCTGTTTTGTGCAGCGTTACGTTCCTTTACGTTACGCTACAGTCTGGAATGGCGTCGGTCGTCTTTGTAGTTTTAGCATCTAGGGGGTTGAAATACCAGTTACTTGCTCGCGCGAAATTCACTCCTTCTGTCGGGAGGACTGCCACGTATCTTGATCCCTGGCATGTAATCCCTACCTGGTCGCGCAATTGGAAGGTGTAAGGTTTTGCTTTGTCTCTTTTCCAAGGTATTCATGTATATTAGACATGCCCCATCAATAGAGTAGAAGGAGGGTGAATTATGGTATGAAGTTTGAAAATTCCGTGAATTGGGGATCAGATAACTAAAAATATTAGGTACATATTATACAATCTCCATGCTGGGGATATTTCCGCCAATTAAAACAACATTATCATAGCATTCGGGACAGCCCCACAATGAGATCAGCAGTGTACTTACCTTGAACAGCCCAAGCTCCATAATTGCACCGACGTTTACGGGTCTGTTGATGAATTGGTCCAAGATGTTATGCCTCGGATGTAATCAAATGAAGAATTTTGATATACCCATGATGACAGAAGTATCTATAAATACGGAGCAGGCAACATGTTTGAGGGATCAACTTTAGCTTCCTTCATTGAAAATTTCGATGCGTCTGTCAACGAGCATATTGGCATGCTTGGGCGGCTATCTAGCCCAGGCTTCTTGCCCATACGCTGAGCAACAAAAGTCACTGGAGCGTCGATCTCACAACCAAGTCATAGAATCTCATCATGTCACGAATGACAAGAAAGGAATCTTCTATCTGAACCGAATCGCACCCTCTAGTTCATTACTTTACATTGCGAATGCTGATGGCAGTGACGCAAAACCTTTGATGAAGAACAAAACCGCAGCCTTCGACTTTCATCCATCTTGGTCACCGGACGGCGAGTGGATTATCTTCAGCAGCGAGCGCCGCGGCGATGGCCAATCCGATATTTACAGAGTTAAGCCCGACGGGTCGTCAGTGCAGACACTAGTTCAGACCGACTCTTTTGAGGATGCCGGTGTCCTGTCTCCTGATGGCAAAACCCTAGCCTACGTATCGACTCAGGGCAATTTTACAGCAAATATCTGGGTCAAGGATCTCAAGACTGGAGTCGCAACGAACTTGACCGATACAGCGGCAACTCGAGGTAGTAGACAAAGTCCTCAAGGCCACTTCCGACCTTCGTGGTCACCTGACGGTCAGTGGATTGCGTTCAGCTCTGATCGAAACACCGAGTGGACTGGCCATAGTAACGGCACCGGTTGGGAGCATACACAGACACTTTCCATCTACATTATCCGACCGAATGGGACCGACTTTCGCCTGGTGGCCAGTAAGCCTGGCTATGCACTCGGCACACCGCAGTGGTCACCGGATGGGCAACGCATTCTTTACAACATGATATCCACAGAAGACACATATCACTCTCATGGCGTCGCAAATCAGATGGCAGAGATTTCCGCTCAAATCTTCAGTATTGATGTTGCTACTGGTCTTGACGTTGTGCAGCACACCTCGGGCGCATCTTTCAAGATAGGACAGCACTACATCGGCAACAGCAGCAATCTTGGCTACGTCATCAAGGCTGGCCCTGACGAGGGTATCAACTATACAAGCCCTGATGCTTCACATTCGGCTTTCTTAGGGTCCGGCATACGCAACCCATCCTGGTCGCCTGATGGTACACAGGTTGTTTACGAGGTGTCAGGGTGGGACACTCGGCCTGGCGCCAAGAAGCTTTTCAGTTGGGACGAAGAATGGGATTACCGTTTTATGGACGTATTTCCGCAATACAACAAAGCTACGAATCGCATCGCCATTACGCAAAAGCAATTGGGGAATTCGTCTGTGGTTGTATCTTCGACCGAATACACCGATCTCAAGGATGTCTTTGATGTTTACGATATCTGGTCTACCGACAACTCGACAGAATTTGCAAACATCAAGAGTGGTCTCGGAGGAGCTTTCCAGCCAACTTGGTCTCCTGATGGTTCTCAAATCGCCGTTGGTTTTGGCGTTTGGTTCTTCAATCGTAACGGAAACCCTGCTACGATTTACCTTGCCAATGTTACTACTGACGGCTTCACCAACCTGACGGACACAGAGAGTAAACACAATGCTGGATACCCGTCCTTCTCCCCTGACGGCACGAGGTTGGTTTATCGTCTTTGGGACGCTGAGAAAGAAACCCCATTGGGCCTTCGTATACTCGACATGGCTACGGGAGCGACTAACAACCTAACATCGGGCTGGGACAATACTCCTAGCTGGTCTCCCGACGGCGAACGAATTGTGTTCACGAGACAAGTGAATTGGACGGCTGAGTACGGTAGCCGTTGGTACGAGAATCGATTCGACATCATGACCATCCGACCTGATGGCAGCGATCTCCAGCAAGTGACTGATAGCCCTGCAAATGACGCGCATGCCGTGTGGTCTTACGACGGCCGAATTCTGTGGAGTTCTGGCATGTATGGTTTCAGGGATGAGTCTGCTCAGTATGAGAAAACTTTCCAACCTTATGGGCAGATTATGGTTATGAATGCAGATGGCACGGAGAAGCGTTTGCTGACGGATAGTATGTGGGAGGATTCTATGCCGATGTATGTACCAAGGGGTGAGAAGTAACAACGGGTTGAAGATTCAGATAGATATGTTGCATAACGCATCACTTTATCGATATTAAAAAGCAGGATTGTCGAAGTCGTGAACTTCCTCTTGGGCTTGAGCCTCTGGTAGTATTTATTGCATACACTGTTTGAAATGTGCTATCTAAATCACATGCGTTCACTAGCTCCTGTTCCAAGCTTAAGACCCTAAAAGCAACCAGTTAATAGTACACTTAATACAAAAGCCTAATCCTGTATAGCTTTTAGCAGCACATCACATTAGGAAAAGCACGAAGCAGTGATTTATTACACGAGCACCGAAGGAGAATGCTGGCGCCAAGCAGCTCTGACTATTACCGCTTATAGATAGATCCATTAATATTAATATTTTCCCTAATAACAATAGTTCTTTCGCGTCATATCCATTAAATATCCTCTAATACATGGGCGTAAAATCTTCCTTTTCAAGCCGCCCTCAATTCCAGTCATTGAGTGCAATTCCGCTATTTACCAATACCTAATCCTTGGTCTCGATCGTGTCCAACAGGAGTCTTGTCCTGTTGAACGTGATGCTCGGGACCGGCACTCATCTCGAGGGGCATTCCCGATCCACCGTCCATTTCAGAAACTTGTGGTATATGGGGTTGACCAGGTTGTGGGTAAGGCTGTTGATAGGGCTGTTGGTAAGCAGGCAGGTTGGGGCTCTGCGGTAGAGAGCCCGCCTCGGAGAAGTGGCCGTATGATTGACGCTGGTCGAATTGGGAGAATTGAGGAGAGAGCTTGCCGGAGTGGTCCATCGAGGAGGGAACACCGCTAGGGTATTGGTGCCATGTGGTGGGCGATGGGGCAAAGGATTCTAGATATTGTCAGTACAGTTCGGTCAGCATGAAAGGGGAGTGTCTTACGCTGGTAGCCGCTCATAGGAGATTGCGCATGGTATGTTGGTTGTTGATCACCGCCCACGAGTGAGTAAGCCTGCTCGGTCATAGGAGGTGCAGGAGGAGCAGAGGTAGCAGCCGGTTGAGTGCCCTGCTGCTTCTTCTTCTGTCGAGGCTTCCACCAGAACAGCCAGGCCAAAAGGCCTAGGATTAGCAAACCTCCTACTGCTGCACCCACAGCAATACCAGCGGTAGCCCCCGTACCCAAGCCGCCATCGTCACTGTCCGGCTCTGCTGTGCTAGACGCCGTGGCGGAAGCACTGGAGGATGCAGCGGGACTAAGGAAATTGTCTTTGTTCTTGGCGATCTTGGATAGCCTCGCTGGCTCAACCCTGTCTGCTGGACAGCCTGAACCACAAGCATTCTGACTGCAACACCCTATGAACGGGGGATCGGTGTAGGCGCAGGTATACCAATTGTCGAGGCCTTGGGAGTTGGCACAGTCTTGAGCGGGGAGGTCGGCGTAGGAATCGCCATTGAAAGTCGTGGCTCGTAGATCGTCGTCGGCGCATGTGCCGTTATTCTTGCCGCAAGGGTCGTTGATACAGCAGCCCATGAACGGGGTATCGTCGTCCTCACAGATATAGAACTTGGCCGCCTTGTCTGTGCAGGCAAGACCCCAGTGTTGGCGAGCTTCGGACATGGTGAAGGTTGATTTGAACTGATGGTGAAGATTTGATGTAGGCGTCCCTTCGATACACAGCTACACAAGAGGAAGAAGAAAAGCAGAAGAGAGCAGGCTAAGGCATTCAGACATGGAACGACTTTTTCTTTATTTAATTTTCCTACTTCAGTCATCATTGCATATATCCCAGTCAAGCACGTTGTTAGCGTAGATCCTTCAGCAGGGTCAAGATGGATGTGAGTGGCTCGCTTTACGATAAGCAACATAATTTGGAGCCGTAGGCATAAGCCCTACCAGGATGCAATGGACTAGTTAGGAAGATGTGGCTGTTTAAGAGTTAGCCTACTGAGTTGGCTATTTCGCTTCCGCAGCTAAGCCCCGTCTCGGCTTACTGTGGATATTGCCCATACCTTGTCTTTGTCTCTGTCTCTGTTCCTCACTCTTCAGCATTTAGATTCGAGACACAGATTGCGATAATAAACAGAGCACGTAAATTATCTTAATCAGCTAATGGTAGTTGGTTACTATGCGCAAGCCTCTTAGCGTTAGCTCTACTTGACTGGCGACTGGCCGGCCCGCGTATAAGGCGGATTGCGTTATGGCCTGTTGTCTATTGAAATCCCTGACATTTACGGAGGACATATGAATTAGGGATTGAAGCCTTTTTTTGGTGGGTACCATTCCTTGTCCGCAGTTCAAGGCCTGGCCGATATCCCTCGGTAAAAATAACTCTGCTGTGCCTACGTCCACGAATTAAGATATCATTACCAAGATAAACCTCAATCCTATGTTGTTCTGCAACATGAACCCATTGGTTTTGGTAACATTGGCGACAAGGCTGTCGCAACACAAGGTTTTGGAGAGAAATTCATCCGGGCTAGGACGAAGTCAGTCCCCGTGGGGCAAGGTGGAACCAGAACTCGCGTCGACGTGTCATAGTGGGCTACAAAGAGGTCAAGACCAGGTCTGATCTTGAGAACTGCTATCTAGTGATTATGAAAGCCGTCAAGGTCTTGCCCCAGCAGGCTGAGTGGTCCCCATTCCCCTTCCCGGCGGAGAAGGACCAGATCGACTTTACACATGGTCTGCTCACGCTGGCTGGTAGCGATGACCCCAACCTCGGGGAGGGCCGAGTGGCCCGTGGGTACATCACCGAGATCCTGGGGCTCGACATGGGAACTACTCGATCTGAGCCCCATCGGCGGCCACGGACTGGCCAATTCTTGAGACTTCATTTTGCCGGTCGCTTATATTGATCAAGAGCTTTTGACTGACTGTCCCGATGTCATGAAGCTCAATGGAAAGCGTGTTTGAGTTCAGTAGGGTCATTCGGCTTTAAACGTGGTCGCTCGGGACGGAAACGCTGTACCATCCAAGGTAGGAATTCAATTTAATCCAACCAAACCCAACCCAGTAGCTCGCTCTAGGGAGAAACTTGCTATTGCTTTGTCCTTTAAAAGTACGACTTGACAAAATTTGCCTCGCAGAACGCCACGTCTATAAACCATACCGACCCGTCCGTCAATACCATCCTCACAACCAAATCCAGGGGCCACACTCCCCATGGAGGCTTTGATGACGGCTATGTTCAAGAAGTCAAGCTGCAGGAGAATGAACCACATCGCATCCTCAAGAGTATGCTACAGCTATATAAAGAGATTGACATTGTGCAGGTACTGGAAGAACACTACAGACCAGATGACGATTATGATTGAGACGAGCCAAAGCTTTCTCTTTACCGAGTATACATGCAAGGGCTGTGGCGTGATGCATACGCAAGAAACAGATGTCCATGTCCGGAATAAACTACCGGTAAACCGCCTGTCGTTGAGAAGTAGAGGCAACTCCAAGGTAAAAGGTTTTTCAACAGGATCGAGTCTCGGCCAACCCCAAGGTTAAAGACATGCTGCAGCGGCTCAAGGAAGAGAACAACATAGAGCAGACCAGACTGGATTATCATCATAGCGTTAGTCTCAAAGCAACTGGTCAGCGAGAGAGTAAAGTAGAATTATAGGGCTTCATAGCCCAATGGTCCAGAAGACTTTTGTGACCCTCAGCGAAAAGCTTGAAAGCTACTTTGAACGTTCCGGTGCTGGGACTGCGCACTGCTGACAAAGACCACGTCGTCTGGTGTCTTTGTGAGGAGGCCGCGACTGGTGTGGCATATGGCTGCCACAACCAGCGCTCCTAACAAATCAAATCTCAAATCAGCTTTACCGTATTTAATTTAAAGTACCTGCAATTTCAGTCAGAAAGGTCATATTTAAATTAATTTGAATACGGAAAATTTAAATCAAATTGATTGTAGACCTTATCTCATCTTATCAATAAGCCTATCGATAAGATAATCAGTTAGATAAGATATCTTTATTATTCTATTTTTAAAAGGAAAAATAATTACCCTATATAAAAATAGAGTATATTCTACAATTAAGTTAAATTGAATAAAAAAAGGTGCAGAATTAATTCAATTTAAATAGTAAGATCTTCACTTTAAATTGACTTGACTTGACTTGATTTGATGTGATGTGATTTAAACTTGTCGCATGTACTTCAAAGACAAAAGTAGTCCACCATCCTTCGCTAAGCCTTCCAGAAAATCTTATTTTCCGACTGTGAGAGATGGCCGACGCTTTTTACTAACATACGCCCGGCACGTCATCAAAGACTTTCACAAACCTCGTGTTTTTGTGACTGCATCCCGGAGCCTGTTCATTAAGACAAATACCCTACGCCGTCCCGTCTTGTGGGGAAGCCGCCGCACCAGCATACCCTGCCTCTACCTACCATTCCCTCCGACTACTGCCGGGAGTTGAATACTAGACCATTGCTGGTGCTATGTGCTCTGCAAGTCTAATGACGTATTCTATCTAATTCTGGATTCTGACGTTGTCCAAGATCCCGAATCGTCGCCACTGCGCCTGAACGCATCCGGCTAGGTTAAAAAGCATGCTCGGGATAGCCCCACAGTGGGATCGTCCACGCGTCTTGTATCGCTGAAACAAACAGGGATTCTCTCAAATTGTTCTCTCTCGTCAAAGCTAACGGCTTGCCCACTTGAATCGATATTCTTACTACCTTTACTCTAGACAAAAACTCAAGCCCGTCACGTACATTCTTATTCTTCTCTCGGTACAGCCCCACACATGGCTATGTCGACTACCCGCTTCCATGTGAAGACGGGCTGCCGGACCTGCAAGTGCGTTACCCCAGCTTTCACCCTAGATCTGGCACTAACCACGAGAAAAGAGCCCGAAAGATCAAATGTGACGAAGGCAAGCCCTCATGCAAGCGTTGTATATCGTCGCGTCGCGTTTGCCACGGTTACCAAGACACTGCCGCTGAGCATAGCCTGACATGGTACCGACCTAACCAATTATCTGCAGGCGACCAGAAAGAAGGCAGAGCGTTCCAGTTCTTTACAGAAATGGTCGGGCCAGTTCTTTCTGGACCTACAGACTCTTACTTCTGGACTCATCTGGTCATGCAGTTCAGCCACTTTGAGCCTACCATGCGACATGCTGTTCTATCTATCAGCTCGTTATATGAAGAATTTGCCAGAGGATCTCGTATCACTCGGCAGATTTGCGGCAGCACCTTTGCTGTTCGTCATTACAACTCGGCTATCAAGCAAGTCAAGTCCGCCAGCGATGAGCAAACGGTACTGGTGCTCTGCGTTCTTTTTATTTGCATCGAGTATCTACAAGGAGACTTCGATGCCGCTCTACAGCACTGCCGTCATGGCATCATGATACTGAATAGCTCTTCACGTCCGGCTTGGGCCTGTCAGTATCTTGTTCCCATATTCCGACGTCTAAGTATAATTCCCCTTCTCTTCGGCGGTGCCAGTCCTTCGCTTCTCCCGCCGCTCGTTGGATTCGAGACACCATTGCCTTCAAAGTTCAACGATAGTCGAGAAGCACAAACAGCCATTGATGATCTAATGGTTCGGACCTTGGAGAGTCTCCACGATGATATCGACGACAAGACTGAGCTGGCTACGTTGCTGGATGAATGGGAATCCAAGATGGATGACCTAGAAGGCTCACTTCCCCCAGCTGCGACAGCTGACAAATATGCGATATGTGGAATGCGATTCAAACATAAAATTGCCAATATTTATATCCAAAAAACAAACTCGCAAACAGAAATGTGGTGGGATCAACATCTCTGTCTTTTCCGGGATGCTGTGAATTTGGCAGAAGAAGCATTTCAACTATTGACGGCACCAAATCACCAACGCTCACCACCATCGAGCTTCAGTTTCGAAATGAGTTGGCTACCAATGCTGTTCTTCATTGTCCTAAAGTGTCGAGACTTGAAAACTCGTCTTAGAGGATTGTCCTGGTTGGGTCAGCTTGGACCTGCCAAGGAGGGTCTATTTGACGTGGGGACTTTGTATAGAATCGGAAGACGTCTTGTTGAGCTAGAACTTGAAATATGCCTCCAAGATACCGATGACCCGGTGGGACTTACAAGTACCGTTATGCCATCGGAGGAGAAACGCTATTTCGCTATTCCGGTGAAACACGAGCTGGAGGTCATCCGCAAGGAGGACGGCACGGTCAATTACAGAAGACAGGTTGAATTCCTCAGAAGAGATGCAGAGGGCAACGTGATTAGTCTGGGAGAATACATCTATGATGATAAACCTCGTGGATGCAATATTAAGATTCCACCAATGAGATGTTCATATCGTCTCTAGGAGGGTAGAGCTTAGAGTCATAAGGGAGAAGCTAAGATGAATCTATAAATGCTACCCCAGACTAACCCTTTTGAGTTGCACCACGTACTCCTTGCCGTTTCAAGCTGACGTATATCTGCCGACCGGTTCATGCAAGTCTCCATCTCTCCGAAGTTTACTTGTGGAGCTGTCCCGAGAGTGGTACTAGCTTTAATTATATGCATATATATGAGCAGGACGGTAGCTCAACGATAGAGTCTTGATACCGATCATTTACTTTCTTTCCAGCGGTGATCGCTTCTATGTACTAGCACTTGATTTCAACTTCATTTGCCTTGACAACATTTCAAATATCCATGCATTCTTCGTCTTTGTTCCTCGGCGCCATGCTCTCGACAGCAGCCGTGCAGGCCTCATCTTTGAGCGACATCTGCTCCAGCGGCTACATCAAATCAGCTCTTTCCGCCATCGACGTCCTATCCGGCATTACCATAGACTCGTCGTCGATTCAGACCAGCCTAGTCTCCAATGCCAGCTTCCAGTCCGAGTGGTACCCCTCTGCCAGCGCCAGCTACTGCAACTTAACCTTTGCCTACTCACACGATGGCATTGCCGATGATGCGGTCCATGTCTCTTATTGGCTTCCTGCCCCGGACAAATTCGAGAACCGCTATGTATCCACCGGTGGTGGTGGTCTCGCCATCAATTCGGGAGGCCAATATGCTCCCTCTGGACTGATTGTCGGTGCCGTTTCTGGTATTACCGATGGAGGATTTGGATCCTTCACCACTCAATGGGACGAAGTATTCCTTCTAGCCAACGGTACTATCAACTGGCAGAGTGTGTACATGTTTGGCTACCAGGCCCACCACGAACTTGCGCTACTTGGAAAGGATTTAGCCCGAAGCCTGTACAACGTCTCGGATAGTTCAAAGGTCTACTCATACTATCAGGGTTGTTCCGAAGGCGGTCGTGAGGGCTGGAGCCAAGTGCAGCGATTTGCCTCTCAATTTGATGGCGCGGCCATTGGTGCCCCAGCCTTCCGCTACGGTCAACAGCAGGTCAACCACTTGTTTGGCAACGTCATTGAACAGACTCTGGACTATTTCCCACCTTCTTGTGAGCTGGACAAAATCTTGAACTTGACTATTTCTGCTTGCGATGGCCTGGACGGAAGGGAGGATGGTATTGTTTCACGCTCAGATCTTTGCAAGTTGAACTTCAACCTCAACAGCACAATTGGAACACCCTATTCCTGTGAAGCTTCAAGTTCCAGTGGTGGACCAGGCGGACTACGCGTTCGTCAGTTCTCTCGACCATCTACACCTGCTCAGAATGGAACCATCACCGCAGAGGGTGTCGCCGTTGTCCAAACCTTCTTTGATGGCCTTCACGACTCCGAGGGACGACGCGTTTACCTCAACTATCAACCGGGATCTGGGTTTACTGATCTTGCCACTGCCTATGACGAAGAAAGCGAGAGCTGGAAGTTGAGTATCAGCGGTCTCGGCGGCGAGTGGGTTGAACGCTACCTCTTACTCCAGAACGCGAGCACCATTCCCAGTCTTGACAATGTAACATACGACACACTCAAGGAGTGGATGGTGTATGGTCAGAACAAATATGCAGACTCTCTTCAGACATCGCATCCCGATCTCAGCGACTTCAAAGATGCAGGCGGCAAGGTAATTCACGTCCACGGCGAATCAGACGACTCCATCCCAGCTGGTTCGTCAGTGCATTATTACGATTCTGTTCGCAACGTCATGTTCCCCGACAAGAGCTACAATGAGAGCGTGGCTGCTCTCGATGACTTTTACAGACTGTTCCTCGTCCCTGGTGGAGCTCACTGTGGAAGTAACTCTAACCAGCCTGGTGGTGGTTGGCCACAAACTACGCTGCAGACTGTCATTGAATGGGTTGAGAAGGGTGTTGCTCCCAAGACCCTCAAGGGCACTGACGACATTGACACTATCTGCCGCTGGCCTCTTCGTCCCCTCTGGTCAGGCAAGAATGCTTCGCAAAGCTGCGTGTACGATCAAGAGTCACTTGATACCTGGACGTATGACTTTGATGCTTACAAGCTTCCCCTGTACTAGTTGTGTTAGGGACGGTAGCGAAGGGAAGGATTGATACGGTACCAGGAAGTTAGAGATAGTTTCAGAGGCTAATAAGCTTATTATGGTAAAGCTTCGCATTCCCTTGCCTAAAATAGATTAAGTCATTCACAGACCCACACTTTCCCCTCCATTGATAACCTCGATAAGACTATTGTACTGGAGTGGCTGGGGTAAGAAAATCCACCTTCCCCTCTTTTTACTCATTCCAGGTCTATGCATTTGAATGCAGGCTGTAACTATCGCGGAGATCCCGTCTCGTAAAGGTCGATTTACTGTACCAACGAAACTTGTCCTTGAAATCTAGGCGCCTTCAATGATCTCCCATCCAAAATCGCGTACTGGATGCCTCCGATGTAAAGCCAAAAAGGTAATTTAATAAATGGCCAGTTCCCGCCTTGTCACAAATACTTATCTCTACGTTCCCTTCAGGTCAAATGCGATGAGCGAAAACCAGCTTGTTCTCGGTGTAAGGATCGAGGCATTCAATGTCCTGGTTACCTTCTCAGTATACGATGGTCTCATAGACATCAGCTGCAATCGGCCAGAACTTTAATACAAACGCAAGCCACTCAAGTTCAGCGCAATTCTACTATTGTTGAAGCTCAACAAGATGCTTCAGGTGACGCTGATCAGTCATACTCGCAAAGAATGCCCGCATCGAACAGGGTACAACAGTCTCCTAACAGCATAACCGAAGACATCCACTGGCCTAGCAACATTTCAAACACTGATCCCAGTACGCCTGCCCAATCAACATACACGTCATTCCAGAATCAGGCATCTATCAACCAATCTCCGCTACCATCGATCGACTTCTCCTGGGAAGATGACCTACTGCCCATGTCCGGGCTAACCTGGAATGATTTCGACAGTCAAATGCTACCTTCAATGGAGTCGAGTCAAGCTCCTGATAATCTATTATTATCCAGCGGAAATACGGGGCCGCTCAACCAAGGAGGCCCTTCAGGGCTGTCCAACAGATCCATATCACGTCAGGTAATTGATATTGAGGACAATACCGACCAATCAAGATCTTTGGCCGTCTTGAACGAGCCCTCTGGCTTGATTATATCGCTCCCACAATACTTCTTCCGTCACGTTATTACGCTCTACTGCGTATGGGATGGCGAGTCAAACTCATTACGCGATATCCTCAAAAATCAGTGGCAGTCGTCTGGCGCCTTGCACCACATAATTAGAAGCATGGCAGCTGCTTGCCTGTCCCAAGACTTTCCCTTCCTGTCAACGGTAGCCAAACAGGAACACAGCGAAGCACTGAGGTACATCAAGGCCCGAGGCCAACAGAAGCCGACACTCCAGGACCTGCTTGCGTGTATGCTTCATGGACATACTTCCAGCTGGTTGAATCCGCATGATCTGGCGATAGACATGTTTGGAGAAAGCTCTAGACTATTGGCTGCTCTCGACCAGGATAATAGTCAAGGAACAAACACAAAGGATCTTTCGTTTTTTCACGAAACAATGGAATACTGGGCCATGCTTTTGAGCTTTCTTGTGGGCGACCCGCAGCTCGATAGCCATCACAAACAACATTCAGCCAAGGCAACTGTAGAACCTTCAGCCAAGCCTCACCCCTATTCAGGAATTTCACGCGAGACGGTTCAGATATTAGCAGATACCGGGTCTCTGGTATTTAAGTACCGCCAATACATGTCGAGAGTCAAATTCTTTGAGGAAAAGGACTTTGACGTATTCCGGGCAACGTTGCGAGAAGCTCGATCCCTTGAGAGAAGGCTCCTTGCCCACCGTCTCCCAGAATCGTCTAGCATAACCGACCCCGGGGACCCAAAAACGCCTGTCCACCATTTCAGACTCATGGATGAGGCGTATCAGTACACGGGGCTACTACAGATTTATCGCGTTTTCCCCGACCTCCTCAACGAGAGATATGCCCCATGGAATGAGGAGCACATACTTCGACCCCCGCCTGCTTTGAAAACCCCCACGGCAGAAGAAAGGAACAGCTGGCTGACACAGTTGGCTGTGCACGTGCTAGATATCCTTGAAAGCATCCCTTTCGAGTCTCGCACTCGCAGCGGCCAACCTTTTATCATGGTGGCGGTATCTAGCGAGTTGCGGCGTTGTACTGGCGGCGATCTAGCTACGATAGTAGTTGGCAACGATGTAACTGTGCCTGCAGTAAGTAATGCTTCTGTTAGAGCACTGCATGCGAGGAGATTCATACGAACGCGTCTCAACGCATATGCTCACGTTCTGCCACTTGATAAGATTGGCGTTATCTCAAAGCTTGTAGATCATATCTGGGCAGTATTGGATAGTGGCGAAGAAAACGTGTACTGGCTAGACATTGCGGCGAAGAAGGGGCTTGGGACAATGATGGGATAAGAGCTTAGCTTCTAATATGTAGACTCATATCGAGAGCACGTGCTAACACGCTTATACGAGACTTTAAAGTCTAGATTCCCGGTGACCTGCTTGAGGAATGTTCTCGAAGTTACTCTGAGATCTTTCCACTGTCAAGCCCTTGTCGAGCCGCTCCTTTGTGATGAGAAAGCTCTGCGGAAACCAGCTTGGAACTTGGCTACTAACCATCATCTCGACCAATGCCACACCAGTCAACCAGCATTTATCCATACCATATCCATTAAAACCTGCCGCAATCCACTGCCCGTCATCTCCAGGCTGCTCTCTCATTCCTTCTGGCACTCTACCAACGATAGGCAGTCCATCCGCCGTGTGACCCTGAATCCCTGACCATGCCGCGGCTATTTTTGACTTTTCCTCGTTTGTCTTCCAACCCTTGAAGAATAATCTTGGCAGAACTGTCTCTAATGCGTGTTTTGCCTCGTCTGGTACATAGGTATCATCAGAGGTAATAATGTTCTCCAGATATGCTGTCTCATTACCTATCCATATCTGCCCTGTTAGAGCATTTTGCTGAAGATAATAGAGACCAGTTGTATATAGGCCGGTGCGTAGGTCCATACTGGGGGCGTGAGAAAGACTCCAGGACCTGCTGTCACCAACCCTGGGGAGGAGAGGACCAGGTTCTTGCACCGTCATGGTCCCGCGGAAAGGATAGAGCTTACCCCTTAGACGAGGCAAAAGATGCGAGGCATATGCGTTGGTGCAATGCATGACATACTTAGCACGGAGAACACCCCGTGGAGTTTGAATTAAATATCGGTATTCGGACTCGCTATCCGGGGAGAATTTAACGGATGTGACTGGAGTGTTGGTTTCGATTGCCAGTCGCTCATGGTGTGTCTCCAGTAATTGCTCGTATATTCTCATGAGGAGACGATACGGCCAGACGGCGCCAGCTTGGTGCTCAACAGCACCGAAAGAATTCTTGATGTTCCATCTCTGTAAAATGTATTTCTATTAGCAGTGGACCATGGTTTCATTTGAAGCTCCTACAAGCGAAACCAGCTTTGCAGGAGTACAATGGAAGACTGGGAATTTACCTCAACAACGTGCTCCTTCTCGATAATTCTGTGATAGGTGCTGTATTCTGGCACTGCTTGCTGAAAGTCCAGGACAGATCTTTTTACCGACTTCCAAGTCTCTTCATCCCCAACAGCCATGACCTTTAAGACTTTGCGGATCTGGCAATCCTCTCGCAAAGCAGGATCCATACTGAGGGCTAGATTAAGCAAGTGTTCGATATTCAAGATGCTAAAACGTGTGATTTCTTTAGCCGCTTCCCTGCCATGCTTATCTCGTAGCGGTCCATAGGTGTGGCCAGAAGCGGTAACAAGATGTCCGCCATTTCGGCCTGTAGCTCCACTGACTAGAGTTCGTGCTTCAAGAACCGTTACATGAGCGCCGGCAGCTGCTGGGTGTTCCAGGAGAGCTTTGGTAGCACTGCATCCAGTAATCCCAGATCCGATGACAGCATAGTCAGTATACTCTGGTAACTGAGGGCTTCGATGGGAAGCCAGCGGATACTCGGGTACCTGCCACGAGGAAACTGTAGGGTTTGCTCGAGGGAGACCGGGATCTCTCTCAAGTGCAGATCTAATTTGAGACAAGAAAAATTCTTTCTTTGACTGAACTATGAATATAGGTTAATCATTAGCGAAGCTCTCATGGCATTTAAATGGACGTTACCGACTTACAACTGGTGAAATCATTACTCTTGGGCCGCATCTTGCTTAAGATGAGATGAGTAAAACGAGCATGTAGCTCGTTAGATGTAGGTATAAGGCAAAATATCGAATCGGAATTAGTATAAGAGACCACTTCAGAGCACTGTGCTGTCAGCTATTGTTAAACTCAAGGGCTCGGTATTCAAAGATAAATCTAATAAGCAACATCTTGCAAGGTAGCACATTCTGACGCTAGGGAACAAGGCTACCGCTCTTACTTACCTTGTTTGGAAACTCCAAGCGAACCGAACAGACGCGGGGTAAAGCAACGCCATGAGTCAAGTTATCGGCCTGGGCTTTATACTACTCAGTCCAGGCCTTCCTGAACTACGCCACGTTGACCAGTAAACCAGCTATGGTTTATTTTCTTTAGTAGAGGTCACTTTAATTTAGTAGAAGTTCCATACTTTCTTAGCACACTGCATCACGAACGGTTAAAAGATTAGCTGTTGTTTGATCGTTGCCATGTATCAATTATAGAAACAGCCGCAGTATTATATATTGGCACAATGATTACATATTTATAGAGGTGTAGTATACACTGTAACACACTCAAGAATAAATTGAGTGATGACTTATCTATAATTTCTTAAATTTGTATGTAAAGCAAAACTAGTCCTGCCTCCAAAGGGTTCTTTTCAAGACTTTCCTTGAGGCTCGCGAATCATCGTAAATAGTCTAATAAAATCGCCCTCATCATCGCATTTCATGTCCTTAACAAAATCGAATCCCAGCCGCTCATAGATAACAATATTGGGAACATCACGGCTTGACTCGAGATAGCAATACATATCTTGAGCATCGGCCTCGTCTGTGACCGCTTTCATCATTTTGGCGCCAAGTCCTTTACCCTGTGCTTCTGGCAGAACCACCATAATGTTAAGAAAGTAATAACCTCTTGGGTCAGTCCAGATTTCCGATTGTGCCTTTGCCTGTGCATCTTTCCAGATGTAGTAGCGCTGTCCATTGAGAGACAATACCTTAGCTTTCGTATCCAAAATGGTTATTTCTTAACCTGGCGAGGGGGCATACCTTGACATTCAATCCGCCACGGCCATAAAACATATTCATACCTACCTGGGATGCCCATAGTCTCCAGTCTTCGAGCCAATCATTCCAGGTGGGAGGTGAGTCTGGCAATCGAGGGCGTAGCCACATTGCCACACCCAACACTTTATCGCTGCCTTTCTCCTTGGCAACGTGGAAAATACCGTTTCGCATACCCCATCTCATTCGTATTGCGAGGGAGACTGAGTTGCGCCGTGGGTTGAACTTGAAATTTAAGCTTATGTCAGAGTGCTTTGGTTATACTACAAATTGGGGCGGGGACAAACCTTTGCCTGATCATAGACCCACTGATTGTAAGGATCGTTTGCAAATGCATCTCTAATACACGAACACATTAAACAAGGAACTTTTGAGGAGAGACGTGAGGGAGAACGCACTGGACTGCCTTGACTGCCCCTGGTATATCCTCTTCTGTAAGATAGGTGACTTCAATGGCCATTCTGTTTGATTGGTGTTGATGTTCGGCACGAGCGTTCTTAATGGCTAGAGTTAGGAAGAGGTACTGGGGTCCGTATTGCATATATGTAACTTGATCGATGAGCGTAGGTATCAATTACAGAGGTGCATCATGTGAGCAGGCTCCGCATTCCAAAACAATACCCCCTCGTTTCCCCGCACGCTCTGATAACGCTAAGTCATAGCATGACCTTCCGTATGCAGTATGTCGCTGCGAATTCCAATCATAGGTTACATGTGCGTTCTTGATCCACCTCTCACCTTTCTCAGGATGAACGTTATCGCGTCAATTGGGGGACTGTACACTCCCAGGTTCGTATATCAATTGGCTAGAGATAAATCTCACATGTGAAAAAGAACAGAAGAGCTGAAGACAATTTGGTATGAACTATGAACTATGAACTATGAACTATGGAAAGGTATCAAAATACAAAGTATTACAGGAAAGAGAAACCCAATCAAACAAGACCACTAGACTACAAGGTGACAGAATTGACCTCATATTTTGACCTCGCATAAACGAACCAAAGGGTGATGGCAAGAACAGCAACACCTGCCAAAACAGGTGATGCATAATTCATCTGTTCAACAACGACGGGGAGGTAGTAAGGAAAGCAGTAAAAGGCCAAGGCAATCGAAGTCCAAAGGAGCATGACAACATTGGCTAAAAGGCCCAGCTTCGGGTACCAGAAACTCCCATGTCGAAACCTGGAGCGGCCGTTGACCAGAACGAGAACAACCGGAATGCAGTAGCTAAGATATTGCAAAAGAATTCCGGTGGAAATCAGTGAGTTAAAGGCAAGGTCCGATGCGAGATAGAGGCACCCGAGGATAGCAGTGAAGGTTGCTGAAAACGCGAGAGACCACGTGCAAGTGTAAAAGGGCGCGGGTGCAAGTTTGCTGAGATGTTTGTGAAGAGGGAAACCCTTCTCACGGCTGATGGCCCATGCCAAGCGAGACTGCCAAGTTTGAATAGACCATACTGCGCCAGCTGTGGTAATCAACACGGGTATCCATAGGCCAATGGCAGCTGCTTGGCTCCCTGTGATGCGGTAGAAAAGGCCGAGTGCTGAATTATCTCCATCTGTATCAATCCCATCGATATTAAGCAGGACGGCCAGGACTACCAGGAGTCCAGATCCAAATCCTATAGCAATGGTCCACATAAGTGATTTAGGGATGTTCTTCCCGGGTGAAGGAATTTCTTCCGCTAGATGTGTGGCCACATCGAGGCATGAAAAGCACCAATTTGCCCCGTTACATCCTATCAAGAATGCAACTCCATCTGGCCATCCAGAAACATTAATGATGTTAACAAAGAAATTCTCGGCTGACATATGAGTGTCGGACATGGAGAAAAGAGTAATAAAGACAGTAGTAATTGTCAAACAACCGAAAAGTAGCAGGATGTTTGCGATCTTGGGCAAGGCGTGTTCGAAGCAAGCTGCCAGAACGGTCAAGATATTGAGAATCTGGTATCCAACGAAACCCATCCATCGCTTGTAGACAAAGGTGGGATCCAGAACCGTGATTATGGCACAAAAGCCAGTGGCAACCGATAGACACGCCGAGGCACCGGTGGAAACGGCACCAAGCCAACTGATCATGGCGGTCAAGTATGAAAGGAAGCGGCGGGACTGAGCTGGCGCAAGATGGTTGACCCAGATATATTGACCTCCCGGGTGAGGCATGGCTGAACAGAGTTCCGCAAGCGTAACAGCTGTGGCCAAACCCACTCCCGACATTGCGAGGAAGCTCCAGAACAGGAGTGGAGGGCCACCCATGGGCAACACGGATCCAAGGACGAGTAAAAGTCCCACAGCAGTATTTGTGACGCCGTACCCGATCCCGATTGCCGACAAGGTCGTGAATGGCTTCTCAGTTTGGACGGTGAGGTCAAGCTCCCTTACGGAGCCATTGGCGATGTTTTGCAGGTTGCCCTTTTCAAGCCGGCCGTCATTGTCGATACTTGTCGAATATGGTTGACTCCCCATTGTTGGTAAGATAGCCTTGCTGGCTAGAAATATTGAATGTTTACTATCGGTAGTACTTGAGTGTAAATTTATTCTGCCAGAGATGCCCGAATTGGAGGTAATTGAAAAGGTTGGCCCTGGATCTTATATTATCTATCCATGTGGTAGTGACACCTCGTGCGGGGTACTCCCCAGAATCTAGAGCTAGCTTATCTTTAGTACCCCAAGTGTCTCTCCGTTGTGAAGAGCTGGCGTTTTAAGGATACGTTATCATTTCACTAAACTATAAACAGCAGTTCGGAGCGAATTCGCGAACTAATAAAATGCAGTCTCCTGATCGCTTAACACAAATAAACACATTGGTAAATGATAGCCTGACGAGATAGATAAGGGGTAACTCACTAATTGGCTTAACCTATAGTAGCTTAATAGATCATGGAAGAAGAAGAAAATAAATCTCTTGGAGCTGTGGCCGAGGTAGCCTGAACTGATGAGGACATCGCTGCTGAAAACCCAATCACCGAGCACGACTTAGACGTAGATACTACAGCGTTGAGTGGGGAAAAGTATTAGGGAGACTTCTTTAAAGCAATGAGGAAGGGTATTGTTGGTTCCCAAATAATGGAATGAAACTGAATGTGTCTACCCTGTAACCTCAACGTACGCCCTGCTGAGTTTCCTTGTTGAAGGACAGTTTGTCGTAGACTGATCTATACAGTGTTGATTGACGGTACAGAAGCGAGGTACAGAAGCGGCAGTTACAGAAGGTCCTGATGCGGGACCCTTCAGTCAAAGTAGCAAAGCTTTACTTGAGCACTGCTACTATTACTGTAACTATTGCAAGACTCAGCTTCGGTATTGTTTCCAAGATTCCATGTAATAAAGCTCTTTACAGTGAGGTAAGTAGATGTTACGATAATAAATAGAAACACTCTTACATAAGGAGCATTATATAAGGGTTTACATACTTACTGAGTTATGAATTCCAACTAATGCTTACTTCGGACTAAAACTTGTAAAGGTATAAGTCGCTACGAAAATCCGTTTACTGAATATATTTATATATTCTTTCGCTTCAACCTGTCAATTTCTTAAGCCTAGGGTTTCTAAATTTGTTAATAGTATGTATTACTAACAAATAAGCGTTTTAAAGGTCAAACCTGACATGGTCTGAACAATAAAGGCCGCATCGGCAACTAAACTCTAATTAAGCGGGTACGTAGTGTGACGCCTATAGCCGTACGTATAACAGCTGGCTTTTCTTCTCACTTACTTAACTATCTTGAGAGACCTCCTGATATGCAAAGCTAGCCAGTAATGGTGATTGATAGAATATCTTAATGCCCGGTTCGGTAGGCTCTTTTATTAAAGTTTGTGCCAGGTCGGTCGGTTCCGCGTACTTCGTATTCTGCTACAATCAACGGGATGACGTGATTTATTAAAAGCACAAATGAATCTGATAGTTCTAGGAAGATGCAGGGCTACTAGTGCTGAAATGGAAGGTAACGAATCGTATAGCAAGTCTTGGCTATAATTGCAAGGATAATACGGGCCAGGGTTGGTGCGGACATTTGAACTATAAAGGTAAGTGGTATTCACAATCAGTCTATTCCAGGGGATTAAAGATGGCGATCAATGGGTACGACCGAATATAAATATAACGTGTTGTCGCTGATGATTTTATGGTCATAGGTAGCCTCCCTAGCATTCATCAACATGTCGTATAAAAAGTTGGTCTTAGTTGGTCTTGCCGCTGTTGCCCTTGCTCTTCCTGCGGACAAGAGTGCCAAGGGTGTTATCCCCGGTAAATTCATTGTCGCGCTTAAACCAACAGGGGTCGATCTTGACCTGCATGCTCGATGGGTTTCCGACGTTTACGAACAAGCCCTGACACGTCGCGGCGTTGAGTCCAGTGGGATCGACAAGACATTTAGTTTCCCTGGCTTCCAGGGCTACTCCGGCTCATTCGATGAGGAAACCATCGAGATTATCAAAGCCAATTCCAGCGTAAGTATATCAATAGCTTGTTAAGATTAATGACATTAATGAACCGGGTAACAGGTCCTGCGCGTGGAGCCTGAACAGATCTTCACTGTAGCCTCGCCAGTTACACAGCAAAGTCCTCCTTGGGGTCTTTCGGCGCTTTCAAATGCCAATCCCCCATCTTCAAGCGCCTCGTATACCTACGACTCCACGGCTGGTGCGGGAACGTTTGCCTATATTCTAGATAGCGGCATCCTCCTGGGGCACCAGGAATTCCAAGGCCGTGCTGTCTTTGGCGCAGACACATCAGGCGTTGTTACCAAGAAACAGCATGGTACTCTTGTCGCCGCTCTTGTTAACGGGGCAACATTTGGAGTCGCCAAAAAGGCCACTGTTGTAGATGTTCAGGTGTTGGGCGACGATGGCGGCTCCACTAGTGGGATTCTATCTGGTCTTAGCTGGACGGTCAACGATGTTGTGGCTAAGAAGCGTGCTGGCAAGGCCGTCATCAACATGAGTTTGTCGGGAGGATCATCGCAGACCCTCAACGACGCGGTGCAGAAGGCCATCGACGCCGGTATTCCGGTTGTCGTAGCCGCCGGAAATGAGAACCGAGATGCCTCAGACTCAAGCCCCGCAAACCACCCTAACGCCATCACTGTGGCTGCCAGCAACAAGAACTACCAGCGATGGTCTCAGTCCAACTATGGATCAGTTTGTGACATCTTTGCCCCAGGCCAAGACATTATATCCGCTTCGTCTACTTCCACTTCGGCATCACGCACTTCAAGCGGCACATCAGAGGCTGCTCCCTATGTTGCGGGCGTTGTTGCTTATCTTCTTGCGTTGGAAGGTTCGCGTACGCCTGCTCAGATTTGGTCTCGACTCAAGGAGCTGGCAATTAAGGATAAGATTACAGATCCTAAGGGGGTTCCAAATCTTCTACTCTACAACGGAATTGGTAAATGATTTGTATATACCTTTGATGTTGATAGCATTGGAAGGCTTATGGACAGGTAGGCGACCTGGCGGGTTATATATCAAACTTGTTCCTGTACATAGTTGTCTACTTGTTCGATACACATAGGTTACCCATTGGGCTGGCTTGAGAAATTCGTCGTCGTCCTTACAAGCCATAATCTTTCTTCCATGTCCTTCTTCTCTAGCCACCACAATAGCACCTAACCCTCCTGGGCGTGCACTTAGCGCGGGGGCCGCTGTTGAAATTACAAGCTGAGTTGGAATAAAGTTTATACCTAAGTCAGCCGCAGGGCGCTGCGCCACCACCCCGCTTCTCTTCCATTCCCCCCTTACAGACTGACTCATACTCTTTCTTCAAGTTTTATACCATTTTGTAGCGTTGTGGCTTCATGCTTTTATCTCATTTAGTTTCTCATATATCCCGTCTTGCTCAATAGAGCCCATACTTGTGCAAATGTTGATCTTTGGAGCGAAGACTGTTGATCCTCAAATGGATTCAGACTCACCATGCAGACATCAAAAAGTAGGGGAGCTTTGCCCGACTTCTCCATTGGCAGCTTCCTTCAACCTCAGAATTTGTGGTCTACGAACAGGATATACACTGCACTTGACGTTGACAGGCGAGAGATTCGGATAACATCCATACTACCAGGAAGGTGGTCCGAAGACGTCTCCTGTAAGCTTACGGTTGTGTCCCTTGACAACAACCCCGTTTACAAGGCCTTATCATATACATGGGGAGATCCATTAGACAAGACTCCTATCCTTCTGGAAAGTGTGCCTTTCCTTATCACTAAAAACTTGCACTGGGCACTGCGGAGACTCAGACATGTTGAAGAGACACGACATATCTGGGAAGATGCTCTTTGCATCAACCGGTCATATAGTAAGCAACCATTGCGCCCAATATTTATACTGGCTATCTTTTATCCTCAAAACTGTTCAACGGAATAATACTAGATTCATCCATGATGCCAGACCCTTACTACTTCTTTGTATACCAGAGAGACCCTAACATCTTCATAGAGCCTGAGAAGACGAGACAGATCCAGATGATGAAGAATATCTATTCGGGCGCCCGGGAGGTTCAAGTCTATCTTGCCGAGAGCGGCATTCTCGACACAATTTCACTAGAAGAGCAATCAACCTGGGCAGACCCTCCACGATCACCCTGGCTTGGGGATCACAGAGACAGTCTCAGCGTCAATGACTACGGTACTTTTCAGACCATGAGCGATGACCAGCTTTTGCAACTCGGTCCGACCACACGCGCAAGGCAGGCTATTTCGAGCCAGTAGACAAAATCGTATCCTGGAACTCCAGCTTGGGCTTCCTCGGCCTGGCATACTGAGACGCAAAGGCCAGCCTTCTTGGGATACGGGAATGTATTGCCCAATCCTGGCTTTGTGTGGTTCATCCTTCTGTCGAATTCGTCTTTCTTATCGAGCATAGTCTTAAGATGTTTTGATACGGCGTCATCTTTCCAGTCGTCATAATCTCTAACCACACGACCAATTATCCAAGACGTGTTGGTGCGCGTGTATCCCGATTTAGCATTGATGACTTCGCAAGGAGTGTCAGGGGAGGGCATGAGCTTATTATCCCCCATAGCACCCACGACTGCAGACACAGCATATGCAACCCATCCTAAAAGCAAAATCAGAAGTTGAAATATGAGAACAGCTGGGGAGAAGACTTACAAAGCGAGAAAGCAACTGGGGTTATCCTCGACCCCACCAGCTGTGTAAGGGCGCGGGCGACGACATCACCGCCAAGAATGAGGAGCACAGAGAAAACATCGCCAGGATTTTTCCATTGAGCCGAGAAACCACTCGATGGCTGGCCAGGGTTGAAAGTGCGACGAACGAATTCCAGCAAGAATGGAGGCATCGTGTTGGAATGTCCAGACTTGTATAGTTTGTGAAGCAAGACCAGATGTACAGAAGCGGAAACAAGATTTTTATCGGTCAGCTCTTGGATCAGATGATCTTATTTTGCCTAGCAAGGTACAATCCTGCAAATCACCTAGGTGTGATGAGCTGCTGTGTTCATGAGTGAAGTATATGAGGAGGCTGAGCCTTATTTCAACCCCAACGTTTCGCAAGCGGGGGAGCCTGCTAGGCTGTTGAATGTAGCAGAATGGATGGCATAATTAGGTGGTCAGCCAATCAGGATCCTGGAGTACGCTTCAACATTTCCAAAATATTTATTATCCTCATAGGACTAAGCGTAAGGCCTGCAAGTTCTAAGCCTTCATAATGACAATGGTCCAGGTAGACCTAAAACACAGAAGGGTAGCCAATACCTACTAAATTGAATCGAGAATGGTTAATCTAAATGTAATAGAAATCGAAAACTCATAAGTTTAGAAAAAGCTCATTTTGTTTCCCTGCCGTACATCCCCATTAGCTTCGACATGAGATCCAAACTCGGACCCCTTCTGGAGATAATTTCGCGGCGGCTGGTTAGACCTCACACCCATCTCGTTGCCCTGTTCGACCTTGTTTCCTTTTACGGTCTCGGTGTATGTTGACCCTTCTTGAGTGGCTGTTGTATGCACAGACACTCCAGCTCTCGCAGGTTTGTCGCTCTGAATGTACTGCTGAAGGATTGCCTTTGCAGTCGCGGCTGCTGTTGCCGCTGCAAAGTCCTGCCACTTCTTCTGCTTGTTCACATCTGCATAGTCGCAGACTCCCTTCACAACAAGGCAAGGCAATTCTGGCCATACTCCTGCACCTTCCATCTCAAAAGCGACGGCGCCGTTCTCCTTTGCCAACTTGTCGCGATGTTCTTCGGATTTGATGACCGCGCTACCGGAAGCAATGGGGCCAAAGAAGATGGCTGGAGTAAAGGAACTGGCAGCTTCCATCTGACCATCATCCTTCGCCTGTGGAATCTCCCACCTCTCTGATGTTGCTTTCTGTTGCAGTTGCTCAAGGGCAGCTGTCGTCCTACTCTTGAGTCGCTCCAGCCCTCGATCCGTCTGGATGATGACAAGGAGGTTGCGAATATCCTTAGTCGCTGGACCCAGCCCGCCCTCGGTAGAGTCTTTTATTTCAAAACGATCGGGATTTTGCCTTCCATAGTCATGTTGAAACACCGACTTGCTGATAATGATATCCCCACAACGTATGTTGTCGTCACCCAACTTGGGGACGGCACCGCACACACCAACAACAAGAGCCATCTTGATGTTTGGGTAGCTTATTCGTAAGGCTGTTGTGGCGCTACCTGAACTGACCGGCCCAATGTCTCCAAGGAGGACAACAACGACGTGAAACCTGCCGATGCGGCCTGTCTCATAATTGTTGTAGTCATTGTTTACTCGGCCATATGTGTCACCATCGTCGTCAAAGAGAAGACAAACGGCATCGTATTCGCGACGTAAGGCGCAGATAACAGCAATTTCAAAGTCTTCGCGACTGGAGGGTCGTTGATATTCCGCCATTACGGATGAAGGGGCCTTGGCGGTTGATGGGGTGCAAGCTGGGTCTGGTAGAATACCGTGGTTGTAAGAATGCGTTCAATCAAGTTGCAGAAGGCCGCAGTAGATATTTAGCAATACTAGTGAAATGGATAAAGAGATATGATGGGATCAATTTGATTGAATGGACTGGGGCAAGGGTACGTTATGAAGATGCACAGATTGATACCAAGAATCACATGGTTGGACCAAGTGTTGGCTCTTCGGATCACAACAAATATTGCCTCTTTGACCAGGCGACGTCAGGACGCATGTGTGGCCATCCCCGCCTTTTCTCTTTCCGCGATGTCTCCCTTCATCCACGGCAGTCAATTGGGGATTTGTCTCAGTGTGGTTACTATTTACCATGTGTTTGTTCACAATTGGCTGGGCCATCGTCCGGTGAGGAGCTGAAAGTGAGCTGAAAAGCAGGCTGAGCAGCCACCTTGCCATCGGTGTGAGACCGCTGAACTGTGAAAGAAACTTGAAGCTGATCGGTGACATAGGCTTTAAAACTTAGTAAGTACAAACTACATGTGCAAGAGGTGAGAATGTCTATATGATTGCTTGTAGCTTACACTGCCTTTGGCTGGGCGGGTTGTAATAGATTCTTTCGCAGCCGAGATTCCATCCGATGCAGTGTAACAGTTTCGGAATCTACAATAATCATGAGGTGAGACTTCCCCGTTTCTCAGCCAATTACATACAAGTCTCCGCAAGCCACCAGCTTAGGCAAAGTAAAAGTCCCAGATCGCCTGGTCTTATTTCTTGCTGTTATTAACACCAATACGAGCTCTTGCAGTTCGCACTCGGGCGAAAAGAGGAAACAGGAAACAGGAAACCAGTCGAACTATGTTGCTACCTAAAAGAACTTCGCCACCTAGTCACAGGATTCTTGTCTATATACAGCCTCGAGAGGCAGATAAAGGGTCCTACATCTACTTCTCAGATGAGGGGAAAGCTCGCCCGACTTGAATGCAGCAGCCAGGATTAAACTCTTCCAATCATGACGTCCGAGAGTGTTAGGTCGGTCCAAGAGGGCTCCGACTTCCACGGTACGGTTATGTCAGGACGCGACAGCCACGTGGGTAATCACTTTCACCAGCATACCTATTATGAGGAGCAACCACAATCTTCCACGAAGCAAGACGAGGCAGACCTCAGATCTCTTCGTGTAATCGATCCTCAGAATGTCCCAAAAACAATTGAAAACCGCACTGAGCCATTGTTTCGCGAGGCGTCAAGCTGGATTCTCGATCCTAAAAAGTGCCCTGCATTTGCCAGCTGGAAAGATGGCAAATACAGCCTCCCATCGTGTCGGCTGCTGTGGATTAGTGGACAGCCGGGAACTGGAAAGACAATGCTTATGATTACGATTGTCCGAGACCTCGAGAATGAGAATAAGAATTTCTCATCGTCTCGAACCCTATCATACTTTTTCTGCCAAAAGAAGGAGAAGGGTCTCGCCAATGGAAGAGCAATTCTGAGATCATTAATCTGGATGTTGCTCAAACAACAACCGGGACTTATGCGCCATCTACGAAAAAAGATAAAAGAGTCTGGGCAAGACCTTTATGATGACAGCAACGCCTTCACTGCACTATCCGCTGTCTTCTTGGACATGCTAAAAGATCCTATCTTGTCACCTGTTTACTTCATTGTGGATGCTATCGATGAGTGCGACATGGAGACGATGAGTCTGAAAATCCTCTTTGAACTTATCAAGGAGTCACTAGAAGCTTCTGTCAAGGTCAACTGGCTGGTGAGTAGCCGTCCAGAGGATGCAGCCAAAGCTCGGAACTGGAGAATTGCAAACACCCTGATAGACTTGGATGCGCAAACATTGCAGGCTCCTGTTGCAGCATATATTGCCCACAAGCTCCAAACGCTCGAAGGACAGCCAGGATACACTGGACTTCGCTTGAAGGAGATCTCGGACGAGATCCACCAACGGGCAAGTAACGTATTCTTGTGGGTGTCTGTTGTCCTGAGAGCTCTTCATTCACAGAGTGGATGGACTGCGATGAAGACGCTCAAGACCTTTCCCTCCGAGCTATCAGATCTATTTGACAGTATGATGACTAGGCTCGAACATGGGACTGAGAACTTGGGTTTCTGCCTAAGTGTCCTTGCCAATGTCTTCCTCGCCTACAGCCCACTCACGCTCAAAGAGCTTACAGTTCTGGCTGATTTTGAGTCAACTGATATGACAAAATATATGGTTACTCTCTGCAGCTCCTTTTTGACAATTGACGGCGAAACCGTTTCACTGCTTCATGAATCTGTCAGAGAGTATTTGGAGTCGAACTATGAGCGAAAACTTGGGCAGGGACAGGTAGTCCAAGGTCACGCAACGATCTACAGACGCTCAATCCATGCAATGTCACAGTTGAAGGAAAACATGTACGGAACTACAGACCTCGGATATAATCCATACAGTTCGCCACCTTGCCACGCCAACCAATTGCCTTGCATACCATATGCCTGTCTCTTCTGGATCGACCATCTATACAAAAGTCAGAGGCGGGATCTTGAGGAGGAGCTGGCTGACAATGGAACGGTTATTTGCTTTTTGAAACTGCACCTCCTCCACTGGCTAGAAGCTTTGAGCCTCATTGGCAGATCCTATGACAGCATGGGCCTGCTACAGAGATTGACAGACGTTACTCCGGTGAGTTCAATGTTTTGGAACCCGTACATCGCTGATTTATAGCAGGAGTCTACGTGTTACAACTTATCCAGCTTCGTAGCCGAAGCTATCCGATTCGTTGTCAAGAATGGTCGTACAATTGCTACTGCTCCATTGCAAATTTACTCTTCAGCCATCGTCTTCTCCCCTAAGCAAAGTCAAATACGCAACACATTCCTCCATCAAATCCCCCGATGGGTCCTTGTCCAGCCCCAGACAGATGATAACTGGAGCTCACACTCTCATGTTTTGAGCGATTTGAAATGCGAAATCGATTCACTGGTCTTTTCACCGAACTCAAAGCTCTTAGCGGCTCAGTCGCAGACAACAATGACTCTGGCTGTCTGGCAACTTGAAACTGGGAGATGTTTGCATCTCCTCCATGACGAAGGGAATAAAACCTATAACCACGCTTTTCCAACTCGTTTTCCGTTGGTATTCTCTGCTGATTCTGCGACATTGATCTTTTCTTCAGTCGAATCCGTCCAAATCTGGGGGGTTGAAACAGGCGAAGTCCTCAGAGAGATAGACCATTCCTATACTTTTGTTTATTCAACAGCATATTCAAACCAGGGCCTTATCGCTTGTTATGTCGATGATGGTGGAATTGACATTTGGGACGCCAATACAGCATTGCTCCATTCGAAACTCGACGGTTACACAGGGAAGAAGAATACCGGTATTACTCAAGTGCGAGAGACAAATCAAAAGGCGACATCAGGTTCACTGGCCTTCTCACCCGACGAACGATACTTAGCCTTAATGCTGGGCGACAAGTCGGTGCGAATTTGGTGCACCGAGAGCTGGGCCAGCACAACCGAGTTCAGTCCACCAGACAACGACAAGATATACTCAACATGCTTCGGAACTGACTCGAAATGGATTGCTCTGGCTACTTTCAACAGTATCAGAATACATTCCACAGATACGGGAGCCTTGGTCCAACGTATATCCACCCCACAGGCTTGCATGACCTTGATCGCTTATCCAGGCTCAGTATTGGTTTCCTTTGGCACTCAAAACAAAGGTCTATGGGTGTGGCAAGCCATGACCGGCGATTTGAAGATCAAGCTTCCATCTGACGAAGATGACTGGTCTCGCCACCATAGCGTAGTGTCTTTTGGCTCATCGAATCATGCAAGACTTGCGGTCTGGGGAACCAGTCAATCACTCAGGATTTGGGACCTTGATAGAGGATGCTATGTGAGAGAGCTTGTTAGAAGCAGAGCTATGATAAATATCGTGGCTATATCACCCGATCAAAGGTGGATAGCTTCTGTTGATTACAGGTATCAGGTGAGAGTATGGGATACAAAGCTCGCCATCGATTCTCCACAGTCAGGATACAAACCTGGAGAGGTCATGAAAAGATATTTGTCATCAGACTCGAGCCTTATTGCATCTCAGCTGCATGGCGGCGGGAAGACGACCTGGACAATTTGGGAAACTGGAGTTAATCAGAGCCAGTTCGAATTTGTTGTCAATCGTGGGCCACAAGTTGCCATCTTTTCACCAGACAACAAGTATGTTCTACTCTTTGGAAATGGCCTATTAATCTGGAGCATTAAGGACCGAAAACTACTATTCGATGTTCTTGATCACGAATGGCGTTATCACACTACTGTGGCATTTTCACCAAATTCCGAACGATTCGCATGTTCGAAAAAAGGCCTTCTAGCGATCTGGCAGATATCGCTAGGGAAAACACCTATCTGGATACACCGATTTCAGAATGCAGAGCTCATGAATTGGCCGTTGAGCTTCTCATCTGACTCCAGGCGGTTGTTGTCTGGAAGGGGCACCGAGGTTCACGTTTGGAACGTCGACAATGGCCGGCACATATCATGCTTCAATACTGAATCAGCAGATACAGAGCGACAGAGCAGGTTGAAGTCACTTGCTTCTACAAACGAGCCAGGAACCGTCGCCTTGGGATGGTCCGATGGAACGGTTGAATTTCGAAGTTATCTTACTGGCGATTGTTTAAGAGCAATTCAATTCAACCACATTCCTAATTACCTGTCAGTTGAAAGCCTTGGCACACATATTTGCACAGAAAGAGGAGTGTTTTCAACTGGCATATCTACGCCAGGTCAGGTTCAGCCTAGTCAATCAATCGCAATAGGCATCAACCTAGATCGAGATTGGATTAAATGGGGGAGTCATCGGCTTCTTCAAATCCCAACTGAGATGAATGATTTGAGAGATAACGAAGTACGGGGCTCATGGGTTATTCTCCGCGCCACATCTGGCGGGGCACAGTACATTAAATTTGACATTAAGGAACTGGCTAGAGTGCATGGAACTGGTCTGTAAGCAGTACCATGTTATTGTAATACAATATTACTTTTTTAAATAGGAATTACTTGAGTCTTTTAGTTGTTAGTATTTTACAAAGAGGAAGTAATAGTCCTTATATTTATTGTTTTTGGAACACAAATTAAGTAGTGAGAGACTTTATGAAGATCAGCTGGAACAACTGATAATATAGCCTTTCCGTCATATTACTAACTATCTACCCCAGTTTAACCCAATATACCCATTTGCCACTGAGGCCATGTCATAGTGGTTCAAATTCTGATTCCCTAACTATAGTATGGTGGAGGTACACCATCAGCTTGTTCGGGCTGTCTTTCATCTTGCGTCTGGGCGTGTTAGCGTGACTAGTTCTTCTGATTCCTGAATATTTTACTTACATAGCAGGGTAATTCTGTATCTTTCGCGGCATCAACTCTGTTAACTGCTACTTGCAGTGGCAGAACTAGGGAAACCGTCGTGCCGTAAGTGCCAATGGTCACGGCCAGGGTGAGTCGAATCCGGTATGTTCGGCTCAGTAGACACGAGTAAAATGTCGGGAGGAAGAACAGTTTCTCGGTGGGAAGCTTAAAAGACTGGATAAGTCTAGTTTTGTACGATTCAATCTTGGACGGAACAAATTGCTGACTGACAAAACTCGAACTTGAACATTTCGACGTCTCGGTGACGTGTTCTCGAGTACTTCGAGTCGACTCTGGAGCACGTATTTGTGAATTCTCTACTGAGCAGAAGGGCTGTTTCCTTTCCCACGTCACCTGATTTGTACAATCGAGGACTAAGCGATGTGAAGTTGACCACGGTGCTATTGGAGAGGCTGTGTTTGATGGTCGTTGCTGGTGGTCAGGCAGATGCCCAGCCTGACCGAGCCGGAAACTGGTAAATGTCTCGATGGTGGCTGATTTGATCCGTATTCCAGGGCAGGTTCCGCCAGGTGACCCAGGGATGTATTCAAGGTCAATAGGTATCTGAGAATGAGATGTCCCTAAGTCGTCTAGGCAGATCACAATCGGTCTTGGCTGCGTAGCTGAAGCTCTTATGACTCCCATCTTAGTTCTTGTTATTGTCTTGATCGTCTTGGTCTTGACTAAGCAGTATTCTGAGTCGCTGGTGTTGATATGCAGTGGCGGTTGTTCGGGGAATATTGGAAAAACCATGATAGGATAATTCTCATCGAGATATTGAGCATTTCCCCGTTTATCCTTCCCTAGTATGAGCCGCGCCCTGATCATGTAATTAACCTGTGCGGAACCGCCCGTGAGATCATCACAGCCCCATACTCCGATACTCGGTGGTGGTCGTAGATGTCGCTCCCATACTGCCGTATTCTCATGACCACATACCGCAGGAGATAGCTGATCAGGGACGACAAAGACAAACGGAATGTTATAAGATCTTCCGACTTCAAGTGTCCGACTAAGTGGTAGAGTCGATGCCGAGATCGGCATTTGTAGCTGCATAAAAATATGGGTAACAAAAGGTGTGCCATACTGGAATGCATGGCCACAGGTTGTAGTCTTGCCTATCAAATCAACCTGCACATCTTGGAAAGGGATTTGAGTCTGGGCTGTTATAGTTACGAAGCCGGAAATTGTTGAGCCTGAGGTATAAACTTTTGTCTCAGAATGTGCATCGAGGTGGATTTCGAATGGTGAGTCTTTCTTTGCGCGTGAAGGAAGCCAACAGTGACTTTTTGGATTCTTGTGTGAAGGCATGATTACAGATGAATGAGATCTACATTGTTTTACGTACACGAATCCAGCTCTTATAGTTATCGAGAAACAGCCTTATTTTTCTTTATCGTGTATTCATTCCTATCGCATCACCTATAACAGACGAATGGGATAGGACGCCCTTCACAAGCATGCTCAATGGCATTTCGTAGCTTGAATCAGACATTCTGATTCGTTGGCCATGCCGTGATCCAGGCAGCCCCGATTGGATAGTTCTGCCACTGTCAGTGAAACTCCCTGTAATTGGACGATTACACCGAGAATCGGATCCCTGGTGCGACATGATTGGCCAATCGTGCCGATATGAAGAAGAATTAATCAGAGCAACTGACAAATCCAACACAAATTACATTGTTCGTAAATGTTACACCTAGAACTGCACTGCTGCAGCAAGCATATGACTTCAAGAATTTAATTATCGATTTTGCCCAAGACCGTCAAGGTTGGCAATACGAGCCACACCATTCAGCCACACCACCTTCAAGCCACATTTTGGGACCATTAGGGGTGGATAACAATAACTAGAGGAGGTTGGGGTACCCTTGAAACTCAGCTTTGTTACGGAGTATATACGCGAACTGCTACCTTATTGCACCCTTATCGGCAAATCCTACAGGATCACCTAAAACCGAACCTGCAATGCCCTGTCATCGTCATGGGTCTCAGAATATCGCGGCCAAGAGGTCACAGCCGTCTCCTATTTCTGGACCAACAAGTGAGTTCATCCACTATCGCCCCCTCTTCTACGACGCTAATCTTCAAGGACGTGCGTGTACAAATTGCCGTCAACGGAAGATCCGCTGTGATATAGTTGACAAAGGCGTCCCCTGCACCAACTGCAGCACCTCTAGTCGACCAGGATGTCATTTGGGTCCCAACAAGAAGCAGGGCAGACAGCTAGAACGACCTGCTACTCTTGCTCCCCTCCTCCCGCGCGAGTCAGTCAATTCATCAACGACTTCATCGCCATTGCCCGTCGAAACGCTTGTTACCTCTGCCAAGGAAGACGGGGAGCAAGATCTGGGCGCACACCTTCTCAATCGCCACGATACAAGAGGTGCTGAGCTTGGCCATCGAACTCGTTCACATTTTATTGGATCTGAAATATCTAACTGCCATTACCTCGTTCGCCAAAGCTCGTCCGAGACAAGCTATGATAAAGCATTCCACTTCAACAATGGTCAATGGGAGTCTGGGGAGTCTTGGTACAAGTCACATGGTATCCCAGACGAGATCTGCGAACGTCCAGAGAAGCACCTTGAAGTCAGGTTAATAACAGCGTATTTCGAGCTCGTCAACCGCGGATGGCCGATAGTTGATCAAGAGTTATTCATGATGCAATATCATGACCAGGATCTGAAAAACCCAGTCTGCTTGACGCTGCTCAATGCCATATTACTTGTGGGAGCTCACGCTCTAGCATCGCATGATAAGACTATGATTCCGCTGTTGCCTGTCTTTTTCCGGAAAGCAAAAGTCCTCACTGAGGGTGACTCTGGTTATGATAGGCTTGCCGGTATTCAAGTGCCGCTACTGATGACATGGTATTCCGATGTCAATGCCTGGCATTGGATTGGGATTGCCATCAGAACAGCTATGGCCCTGGGAGTTCATCGAGATGTTACTCACTCAACAATGCTACCAGTCTATAAGCGCACATATACTCGGCTTTGGTGGATTCTCTTCCAGTTCGACACAATCTCAGCAACGTCAGCTGGTCGACCTCAGGTCATGTGAGTGTTCTGCATATGCACTAATCTCTAAGATGCGCCTACTAATTCTTTTAGAAACCTGGCGGATTCAGATGTCCCAGATCTCCAATATGCTGATTTTGAAGGCGTCCCCGGAGCAGAAATGGACTTTATGATCCATCAAATAAAGCTATGCAAGGTCATATCCCAAACAATAAAGGACGGTTGGTCGCCTCGAGCTTCCATGGAGACACGAATACAAGCTATCAAAAGCGCAGATGAGTCCCTTGGCGATTTGATGCTGGGAATCCCAGAACGACTCCAGCTGAAGCTTTCCAATATAGACATCTGGCAGTCTCTCCTTCATCTAACGCATTACAACTTTGTTCTCTTACTTCATCGCCCTGCACCTAATTGCAGTCCAACGGACACGTCCGCCGGAGCACATGAAGATGCTATTCTCTGCAGAGAAGCCACAATTGCCATTGCATCCATATTTGAGGCTTTGCTTAGCAAGAGGGCTATATCCTCATTGTGGCTCTATAGTAACCATGTTTTGTTTACGGCAACCATCTACATTCTGAACCAGATCAACAGTAGTACGCCACTATTAGCTGCTAAATCTCGGCGAACACTAGACATATTACTAACCTCTCTGCGCGAGCTCGCAAAGTACTGGACCTATGCGAAAGGACTATTGCAGGTTCTTGAACAGAGGGCTTCCAAGCTCAAGAGTCTACGAAACGATGCTCCGTCTGCAAGTTTACAATACGTTGAACCACTCGAGCAGCATAATAACATGTCCTTCGATTCTCAAACTGACGTTCCAACCGAGAAATCCTCACACAACCAGGCAGGCGAAGTCTCGTCAGGGTGGAATCGCGGAGGGGGCCAGTTGTCAAGCGACTCAGGTGCAGGGCTAGCCGACCTTGGTTTAGACACCCATACAGCAGCCGCTGATTTCAACACGAGCACGGGCTATCAAGGGGCCAGCCAAGACCCTCTATTAGATGATTTGTTTCTACTGGATGCTTCTGCATTTGAGTTTCATTTCTATGATAACATAGGTTAGACGGTCAAATGAACTGATCAACAAGAGGGGCAATGCAAGTATTTCTAAAAATCAATATCAGCTTTAATTTATTCCGCCTACTTGTAACAAAAGTACGCCGATATGAAGACCCGAATATAAATATCTCCAGTCAGACCTTTCCTGATTCAATAAGTGCGTCTTTAAACAAGCGAGTTTGCCTACCAGGGCCCTTCCATTGCCTTCGAGGCTGGAGATGCATATCGTTGTTATGTATGTAACAATAAGGCGCTCTTTGATTGATTGGCAGGCAATGCATGTGACGTAGTCAACCTTGTAGGCTGGATTGCAGTCCCTCACAGGCGCTTACATGTCGCTGCTCATTGGCAGATGCATCAACTCAGGCAAACACAGGATTGGCAAGGCAGAATCCTTGTGCTGTACACCTGAAACTGAGGCCAGAACCTCGCGCGCTACCACTTCTTACTTCTTTACTCTCACAAAATTAGATCCCCTCACTTTCCATCTTGCAATGGCTGAAGTTGTTGGTCTCGTCTCCGCCGGAGTCGGCATCACCGCCTTCGCCCTTCAGATCTCGAGCGGTATACGCACCCTACACCAATTACAATTGAAACCGGAACAGGCGCAGAAGGATGTAGCGGTTCTCCTCGAGAGTTTCAGAATTCTCCACCAAATTGTATCCTCGCTGAAGGCTCGTGAGCGATACCAACCTCTTGACGATGTCATCAGTCATGTACAACGTCGGTATGAGGATATTGAACCAATTCTTCGAGATCTTGGTAGAAAATATCAAGTGAAAGGAGAGAGACATCGTCATCGTTGGAAGCGGGTGAGGTCAATGCTCGCCGAGGATGCAAAACACCAAATGACGAATTTGCAAGAAAATATCAATCATAGTATCATGATTCTGCATTTGTATATTACTACGTCCTACCTTTGTGTTATCCCGGCTAATTAGATTATTCGCAGGTCGCTTACAGCGGCACAACATGAAGCTGCAAGCATCCATTACCTCAATTCACTAGCCAAGAAAGACCCCAGCTCATCGCCAGCACAAGAGAATGACCCCCATTTTGCAGGGCGTGGGGAAGTCACTGATGGATCCAAAATCTGTTCCAATGCGGCGATTGACAGGAGGTCGGAGCCACAGCAAGGAGATCGCATCATGCCATCTCGAGCAAAGAGGTATCCACGTGCTTGCGGTGCACGAAATTATGACTGCTCTTGCCACCAACCCGGTATCTCTCGGCGCTTCTTATCTCTACAATACACACCGCTCTCATGCTTCACTAGAAAGACCAGTGACGGGCCTTCAGATTGCAGGTGTATTGGCCTACGCTTACGAGTAGCTCTGTCAATGTACGGCGTCCCGATAGCCATAGTTGCTGGAATCGGATTCATGGTTGATGGGGCGGGATTTGAGCTTCGACCTACCCTCAGAGCGGAAATAATCGTAAATTACACATCACCAGGCTTTGAGACCATATGGCGTCTCCAGAGATCTTTGATCTCACTTGAAGAAGCGCGTGGAAGACTTGTTGAACTACATCGATCCGACAGTTCTTTCAGACATCACAGGGATCCTGCAGGAAACACCTATATTCACGTAAGCTGGGAACAATCTGATTTAAACTGTTTCTTTCACTAACTGCTATAGACACTATTGCATGTGCCGTGGAAGTGGCGCCAAGAAGACCAATTTGCTTTACTCCATACGCTCGTCACCGATTGCGAGATGACACTGACAGACGAGACTCAAAGGTCAGTGGATAGTACGTTGAACTTCTGTGTAAGCTAATGGATCCAAATACAGTTTCCTCGTTCGGTGTGCAGACTGGATTGGAGAGGGACGTCACCTTGACCTGCTTGAGGCTATCTTATCATATGGATTTGACGCTACCGTCATCCACGCATCCTCTTTCGAAAAATGGCCTGTTCCATGTTCAACAGACTGGTATGGTGGTGGACGTACTCCAGATCCATTCTTCGTGGAATATATCGGGACCATCCTGAAATACAGCCCCAGTAAGCTTTTCCCTTACATAGCTCATCATTCAGTTAACAAGTTCTCACAATACCAGGCTACTCGGGATCAACAAACCTACATCAAGTCCTTCTCAGCGGGTCTCTTAAATCCGCAGCTAATTGGTTGCACCGATCACATCCACTAGAGAGAAATGTCAACTTCTTGGGACAAACTCCCTTGCACATCGCGACTACCTGTCCAGAATTATGTCAACTCGTATTAGAAGAGGGACACGACATGAACTTAAGCGACAATTACGGAGCGACGGCATTAATGTATGCCGCGGCGATGGGTCAGACGGAGGTCACAAAGCAACTGATCTCCAGAGGGGCAAATCCTGCGCTAGAGGACTCGAGACTCAACTGGATGTTCCTGGACTACGCCTTCTTTGGCGATCACTGGGAACTGGCCTTGGAGGCCCTTCTGGCCATTAAAAATAAGTTCAGCGAGCATGTTTTCCAATTATACGTTCGACGCGCTATCATGAGCGCTCTTGGTCACTCAGGGGGTCTAACAGAGGAGTTCGCTTCTCTAACAAAGTTCATTGAGCTTTGCGACGACGTGAACTTCACATTCGAAGATGACGGTATCAAAGACAATAACCTAATGCACTACGCTCGTAACCTGGAAATTGCATCGACGCTTGTCCGATGTGGGTTCAGCAACTTCAATCAAAAGAACAATCAGGGGAAACTAGCAATCAACTCACTTTCCAAATACTGCAACGCCCCCCTCATCCATTTCTGCCTTGAAAATGGGACGGATGTAAGCAATGTGAGCCAAGATGGACGATCTGTCTTTTTTGATCTCCTTCCACGACTCTCGTCATTTGACTGGCTGACTTGGGACGTAATTGACGGTATCAAGCTTTGCCTAAGCGCAGGAGCAGATCCATTTGCTGCAGACAATTGCATATGCCCGTGCTCACCTGACGGCTGTCATATAGCCTCAAAGCTTGCTCTCAAATTCAGTCCTCACTCGTTTCACAGTGGCATATCTGACCCAGTGTGGGTTTTTGAGTTCATTAGTCTCGTTGAGGAATATTGCGGCCTTCGAGCCGCAAGAAAGCTGCTTCTATCCCTACATCGGCGAGTTCGTTGCGACCAAATTGACATCTCCATAGCCCACGTCTGCTGCCATAGAGGCCGTGCCATTGGACGAATAGGGTTTGAAGATCGAAGTCTTAAAAGTGAAGACATTGAGGACATTCTGGATGAAGAAAACGAATTCATCGATGTTCTAGATACAGAAATGAGAGAACTTGCTTCATTCACCTTTTCAAAGCTTTTGACTGAATTCATCAATCATTTGAAAGTAAAATACGACACCGACCTTGAAGGTGCAGGGAGGGAAAAAGAGAAAGTCATGGAAGAGTCCAAATCCAAATACCACGTAAGTTGTTACCAATTATCGTGCCCGGCCTATAGCAAGTTTGTTGAAAATTGCTAACAACAGGAATAGATATGCGAGGTTGACTATAGAGCGGACAGGTACAACGAGACTTTCTTAATATACCCCACGGACTTATCAGAAACCTCAGTCGCACGTTCAATGGCGGAATATGCCTTCTGGCTCCAGCATGAGTGTTCTAGAACTGATAAACCAGTTGTTCATAACTCTAACCAAGCTGACTGGCTCAAGAGACGGATGTCATGGTTTCTTGAGTTGATGACAACAATGGGAGTATCAGTGGAGATACTGGAGAAGAAAATGAGAAGTATATCTGTTAGAGAAACACGTACTGGAGTGATCAACTGCGAAGAAACAGTCAACGGCTTTTTAGACATGTTGCAGAAGGCTTCAGTTGAAGATTATAGGATCGAAAGTCTTGGAGGGCAGTGAGGTATTAATAGCTTAGTGGAGCAGGGGATCAATGGTTCATTGCCCAGATGTTAAGGTTATGTAGGTAATTGATGTGTAACGTTAATATCTCAGGTGTTTTACGCATCTCAGGATGAGTGATCCGGTAGATAGCTTGGTGGTGAATAATAAGAGAGCAAAAGATGATTGCAAGAGGGTTATAGGCAGAAAGATGAGAGAAGACTTATCGTCACCTATTGCGTTCTTCAAAGCTAAGCCAAGGTCATAGAGATCAATCCTGTGGACTGTTCAAGATCATGTCCATAGGTCACACTAGACCATTCTCCCTGAATAGTCCGTTGCCTTCTTCCAAAATGCAACTAAATCCTTGACGGAAGAGACTTGTAAAACAGCATAATGTCTTCTAACACTTTAAAGGTTCTCTCACAAGTATTTGCCAACTCCCAACTATCCCATACCCCCGCACGTCGACGTATAGATCGCAATAGCATTATCGACTTTTCCCAAATCTCTATATTCGTACGCAAACCGCGAATGGTAGAAAGCTCCCGTATAAGATGACCGTCAAAGACAAATAAGAGCCCATCCCGAGAGTCATCCAGACGGATCCCCGATTCTTTCAAGAATGATCTCACTCCTTAAACTGTCGGTTATCTCACTCCAGTTTGTTACATGGAGGATAATTACCTTGGGCAGTACTTGTTCTGCAAAAGGCACGAGGCAGTGCAGTCCAGCTCATGTAACCTTAAATTGATAGTTGGATACATCTACATGTATAAATTAATACTCTACGTAGGTAGTTACTTCAAAAATGCTGTACAGTGGGATAATACTGTGAGATCGGATCTAGGTATGGACTGCCGTTTCATTTAAGGTTTAGAAAGGCGTTTTCTAATTTAAGAAATAAATGCAACGCTCACGGTTTCATGATTACGCCACATTATAAGTTCTAGGGAAAATAATGTATCTCAGCTGACAGGCATATTTATAGATGATATGTGGGTGGGAGTCAGCTGCCATTTAAGAGGTCGTAAGCGTAGTAGCCCCGAACTTAAATTTAGAGAGGGTCTTAAATGCGGCTGGCCAAATGCCCTTCTGTCTAGATGTACAAAGTTGTCTTTCTCTTATATTACTCCATCGATAATGCCTTATACTTGTATGAAAAACAATTTGGAGTTACAGATTGTAGAATCCTCAATTAAGCATAGTAAACCGTTCAAGCTATATTCATACTGAAAGCTGCTTGCCAGCCGCAAAAGCAGGGATATATAGTAGAATGAGATACGTCATTGATATAAAATTCACTTCCTCTCCCAACGTAGATAGTGTAGATCAGAAATGTCTGGGGGCTTTCTGTTAATAATAGGCACGAGGTGCTCTTACATCACAGGATTAACTGGTCCAGCCTTCCTAAAAATAAAATGGATGATGTCAAGATCTATTAATAAAGCACATCTTAGAGCACCGGCATAAATATAATAAAATCCTATACTTAAAGGTCATTTAGATGAAATAAAACCCTACTTGCGATAGAGACATTATAGGATAGCCCGTGTCATTTAATCAGCTTATATTGTACGAAGTATTCATATTAAGCTTCTGTAAACTATTGTAGACAAACACTTGAGTTCAAGTCATAACACTCTTCTCTCACCACAATAACCTTAGTCTATATCATTGTGGCACAAGACCGCCTCTCCGTTAGGAAATGGAGAGGTCACTCACCTGGATGTGGCTTCCGTATGCAAACGGGATGAGGCTTCGTGGCTGACAAAGTCAAAATGTACTCATCTGATGTCAGCTGTAAGTTTCTATTTTAATTGTTCAGTTGTCACTATAGTCCAATGCACCCGACTCATATAAAAGGGTCTTGATATTCCGGGTGGATATGGATATTATTATTCATTACCACTCATCCAAGCCGTAAGGTCATTACAAGCTTTTATTCAGTCTCTTGTACAATCTATACTATTGAGAACCCACACGACTATCATGAAGTTTGTCTCTACCTTGTTCGCTATCATGGCTACTTTTGCCGCCACTGAAGCGTCCCCAGCCGATGACAATCTTGGCTGTGAGCCTGGTACCTATCAATGTGATGGAACCACAGGTTGGGAAGTCTGCGACACCAGTGCCGTGTTTGTTGTAAGTCTCCCATTTAAGATCCAGCCAACCAAAAAGACTTGTCTCCGCCGAAATGGAGTATCTAACAAAGCAAATTAATGCAGTTCGCAGGCTCTTGCCCCCCTGAGACCGTTTGCAAGTTCTTCGAAGGCAGCAAGAGCCCCTACTGTGTTCCTCCAGATTTCGAGATCTACTAGACATGAGAGACATTCTGTCATGTCGCAGACGCATGGACTGAGAACTTCCAATATTTTACTATTAACCCTAATCAGAAGTAAAACTGTATTATGGCGTTAGGTCACATATCCACGTCGAGTTCTAGTCTTTACAACTAGTAGTTATCTTTGATTTATATAAGGCATTAATTGAAACAACGATACCGAGGAGAGATTCCACGGGTACATTTATCTTTCAGAATGTATCAGCATTATTTATGGTCTCCACATTCTCGTGCTAAGGTTTATCTTTATAACGCCTCCCCCAGTACATATGGTATACATTTAATTACAATATGGAAACACAATCACATAAATCTTAAACGCCTTCTTATATTTGGTACCACTTAAAAGCTATATATAACACAACATCCCTTTCCCTGATCACGCTATGCTTCTCAGCCCTGCCTATCCCTCTCGGTTTTATTGGGGTAATGACCCTTAGCACATAGGTAAAGTGAAGCACAACTACGGACAGTCAAGGACTAATAAATAGCGTTATCAACGCCAATCTGTATATATCGCCCGGTATAAATGACAATAGTTTTCCTCGTCCTGGGCGGCCTGACATCCACTTCAATACCATGCCCTTGTTCATTATCGCTATCTTCCCCTCAGTATTACAGCCCGCATCCGGACAGTTACATGCCTAGTTTTGAGGGGATGGGATCTGAATGTAGCTAGTTAGCTGCCTGGTGGCAATACCACAATATCATATCGGAAAGTGGCTCACACTAGTATCACTCAGTAGGACATTGTCAACTATCTTGATGTGATTAGTTAGGCTTGGGCTTACGCAGTGAATTCTTTACGTGAGAGTAGATAGCCATACCGCAATTAAAACAACAACTAACATTCTTCTAAACTAACCACTATCTATATACTTTCTACATACATAGTTTGAACCGTGACCAAAGTTCCGCACTACCTTGGCTATATGAAAAAGCTCATGGTCTGATCTTAACCTTCATATCTAATTATTGTCATATGGTCTTTCCACAAGTGATGACTCTTACTTAGCAGCATTCCAATTCTTGACATGGAGGTCCAGTTCCTACCCAGGGCCATCCTTTTCCACATCAACGACAATAATGTCATCACACTCTGCACTAGCATTAGCTCGGTGAACGTAAAGATGATTATTTATCAGCCACTTACCAGGGGCACTGTCCGCTGACCTTGTCAGGGTCGGCACAGTGGTAAAGTGCATCAGGGCAGCAGACCTGGCCAACAGGGCAGAAGAAAGAGTCTCCGCACTTAGGTCCAAAGGAGGGAATAGACGGAGAGGCTGCAGTGGTGGCCAATGGTTCCTCGCGATTTTGAAGGGCTTGAATCGGTGGGCATTCAGCAAAGCATCCAAGCTCAGCGACCCCATTGATAATGACTTCGCAGCACTTGGCTTTATCAGCAGGACAAACTTGGTCGCCACATTTGTTTGGGTACGGCTGGGGAAAGGCGTTGACAGAGACGCTGAGAGCAAAGACGACGATGGCGTTGGTAAAGAGCATATTGAATACTTGAGTAGTTCTTGTAGTAGGAATGCTGATATGGCTGAGAAATAGAGACTTGGATGAGTCTTGCTGATTGTTGTAATGTGAAGATGTGTTTGGTTGTTGTGTTTGTGCAATTGAGCTATTTAATTGATATTCCTTGGTATTGGGAATTGGTCAACATTTATCGTCGAGAAGTGCTATATTGGAACTATCCAATACTTAGACCAAAACGGAGATTGTAGTATTTCAACGTGATAAACCGGCATTCACTCTATCCGGTCCCTGCTAAAGGACGGAAGTTTCCACTTCTCAAAAAAACAAGATACGAAATTATCCTCATACGAGCTCAGCTTAGCTATAAAGTCATCGGAGGGATGGGAGGGAAAGTTCCTTAGCAAGACTGCCGCCGGCTATCGCCGATTAACCCGTCAGTCTGTTAGAAGATAACTGGTAGTATCTGTATGGTGGCGCTTTATTGGGGCCATCTGTGTGGGCTGCGCAACGCACTCACCATTAGTGGTATTTACAACAGCCGCTGATGTAAGATAAACGGCTTTCTCAAAACGACGGGAAACAGGATACAACTAACTTATAAAAATTTCTATGTTGATGCTGAAAAGCCATACCACTCGTCTGAGCCTCAATTTCACCCTGTTTATTATCAATTCTGCATGTACAATACTTATATACCGGTGAGAAGCAATAACTGCATTCATTATCTGTTATAAGTCTTTTAAAAATGCTGTAGCTAAGCACACACTTTGTATCTCCGCACTGTCTTATGAAGAATTACCCGACTTTAGTATACTATGAGCAAGTTGGAATTAACGCATACAAATTTAGCATTGGAGATACGAGGTATACCCGTATCTCGGCAATAATATACTGAACAACAAGGTCGGTATCTCCGAAACGGTAGGCCTTAGAGTTGTGATCCCAGCATTTCCTAGAAAAAGAAAATAGATTGTTAGAAGTCGATATTGGCAGCAATAGTATGTGGCAAGAAATGGCTTTTACCGTGTTACGCCTGCCCGGAGTTGGCATAACTTAACAATTAGCTTTAATCCAAGCTATTGTTACATGCAACGTTTCTAGATGATCTAACCGTAACGTTGTTATAGAGGCTCTACTTAGATGTAGAGAGTTTTATTGTATGTTAAAAGGACCGAATTTGTGTCTGTTTATAGATATTCACATTGGCTAATGTTGTTTATGGCGTTAGGAACTAGACTACAGCGTTGTCGCTACAATGAGGGAGAGGACACCCCGCAGTTTGTTCTACCGAATGCTTGAGACTACTTCAATTGAGATAGATTTAATTATTATTTTCATAAGAGGTAGGACTTAACTAGTGGATATCAGTTGTGAATAGTCTATGGTGATGGCGCCTCTGTAGGTTGACATATCATACGCACCATTTGAGTAATAATTGGTAGAGGGATAGATACTCTTCAGGATAGATTATCTTGTATCCTAAGATTGTACCCAGTCGCAGGTCGGGCCTCAAGTCAGATTTCAGGCAGCAACTGTGAGGTTACACGAATGTTTGTGCTTATTCCCCCACTTATCATCACCATCTTTCAATGGGCTTGATACATTTTGAACAAAAAGATTTTCTTACCACTTCATCGCGTCTCCCTCGTGTTCAGCCATGTCAGATTCAAACTCCCAGGTCGTGGTTGGCTGCCTCCTTGACGTGTCAGGCTCCATGCGTAAAACCCTAGAACCTGACTGCTCAAGTGAGCTTGCTAGTGAGCGACTTGGAGATGTCCTTCGGGCGGCACTCAAGCTAGCACAGGCTGAGAAGCGTCAAAATCCAGATGCTCTCATGTTTGTCAATGTATTTAGACTAAGGACATCGGAAGAGGCGCCTAATCCACCCGCGGTAGACTTGTGCCGCATTGCAGAAAGCTTGCTCGGCGATGTTGGAAATCATGATTCTGGTCATGACCTCCTCATCGCTTGCGTTAATCAGAACAATGTGGGCCATATATCAAGATACATCAGGTCAAAGCTCAGCAGGCGAGAGGCCCGAATCATCAACGCATACCTTCGAAGACACCCCGAAGAGGTGGAGGAATTCGTCGACGCCATTCCATCAGAGGGTACAGTGAACAGTCTACACCGGTCCGCTAAAATAGTCGGGATGATTTTCGGATTAGTGTTTGGTACTGTGCTAACTGGTGGTGCGGCTGCTTCGGCCGCTGCTGTTACCGTTTCGGGAGCCGTTGGGGGTGCCGTTTCGGGTGCCGTCGGGGTTGCCGTTGGAAGTGCCGCTAGTCAAACAATCGAAGACAGAAGCGTCGAAAATTCACGGGCCTTGGCACTGGCTCGTCGCATCCAAAGGGAATGGTTACTGGACTTTACTGAATTTGAGCCTCAACCAGTTTCTGAGGTTATCGACATTCTGCAGCGGTTCCAGGACTATGAAGACCACCAACACCGTAATCTGGAGGACAATAACGACAACAATCAACTCGACACCTTACGCCAGTACATGTATGGTCCTACCCCTATGTATCATGCTTTGAGTAAGGCACTACAGGCGTTTCGAAGTATGCAGAATGTGGAACATCGCGTGCTCATCCTTATATCCGATGACGAGTAAGCAGATGGCGATCCGACAGCAGTAGCAACGAACATATATCGATAGTGACAGTGAGCCTCACAGAAACGAAGCCAAGTATTCAACGGACCCTGCATTACGAAGCGGATACATCCTGGGATCAGGGTACCCGGACACTTTTTACGTTGGCAACCCGGGTCCCTGCATCGAGTCATCCGATTCCTGTCTTGGCCTCTGTGGGTTGGAAAATTCCCTCGGCTGGAGAGATAGCACTTTTCTCCTCGGTATGCAGTGCCACAGTATTGGATGAGTTCTGTTCCCTATTACTGTCTGCGCGATTTGGATCAGCAGACGCGCTACTGGATATCGTCGGCCGAATTCATTTCGATGATTACATTAATCAAGCGCATCTTGAGGTCCGAAGAAAACCTTCTGATCAAGGGACAGAATGCACCTCTTACGCACATGCCACAGCATTTGTTGTGCACATGACATTACTCCGTATCGTTTCCCGAGATGGTGGGGTCCCTTCTCTTGATGAGATACGAGCGAGAATACTATTGAAATTCCCCGAAACGGATGATGGATATGATGCTTCTAAGGTACTAGTAAGAAGCCGCTTGTGGTTGGTATCGGCCCCTCCAGTATGAAGAGCTTGACGAGGATAAAGCTCGCCAAGCAGTACTGCATCGGCGCCCCGTGTTGGCCACATTTGTTTTATCAAAGCTCGGATGGAAAATATTCTGCAAACACTTCGAGAAGCCTTCTCAAACGCGTGGTCCCGTCCTCACACAAGCTCAAATGGCACCATACTACTTCCAAAAGCGCAATGGGGGCCACGCCGCTGTTCTAGTGGGTTGTAGCCCCAGCTCGCTGACTTTTTTGAATTCCTGGGGAAGTTCATGGGGAGACAATGGAAGCTTCAGCGTCGAAAATCACAGCGTCCCAGGACGTAAAAGTGAACCCATGCGATTTTATGACGTTTATTGGCTGGAGAGCAAGCTGACGAGCGCTGAGCAGCAAGCTTACGACATCAAAGTGGATGAGGAGTTACACCGCCACGCTGATAAGTATCCGAGTATTTTTGAACTTGAATATCGGTGCCCTAAATGCCACGGTAATTCGCCTCTTGCTAAATTCAGGGGTAGTGTTAGGAGAGCTATCTGTCCAAACTGCGGGGAGAAATTTGAGCCTGAAGCAGGATGTCTAGTGCAGGCTTTACATGTACAAGGAGGGCTGAATGATGTTGCTTAGTGCTGAGAAAATCATATAAAGTCAGATGAAAGAGAGGCTTAATCCTTTAGTTGTAGACACTAGTAAGAGAACTTAACACGAGGTACTATGTTATAGTTTGGCAGGAGTTTAATCTTGCGAGGTAAGAAGATATGATCAAATCTGCCTTGATAAATAACAATTTAATAAGATTTTTCCCCACTGGAGTAATTTCTACGAGGTTGTAAACCGTAAATGTCCTGTATTATTAAACGTGACGTGTGAAGACAATACTTACTGCCTACCTACGCAACACTGCGCAATTTGTTCTGGCTTTGGGTCCAGTAATGATGCAATGGTAAGCATTAATTAGGTAGACAATGTCAATAGTAAGATCGGGGGCGGATCCTATAAGGCTTTCTTTCTATAAATAGCTGTGTCGCACTACAGTCTATCTGACTATATTATAGTCCCTTCCACATTTTTTCCAAGGAGAAACCATACAAATTATACTTGATTACCCAGTGTCTTCTGATACTGATAAGCCTGCTAGCACTTTAATATTCTGACAACACAAGTTGAAGCACTCCTTAAAATGGCGAATGGAACAGACCCTTATATTCCGACTGCCTTAGGACTCTATGATTACAGTATACAAGCGGTGTATATTGCGGTTAGTAACAGAGCCGTACTTGAGACAGGATACTTATACTATGGCCAGGTCTCCTATCCCTGGTTTGGCCTCTACCCAACACTCATTGCTGCGTGCCATTGCAGCAATCTGACTCCCTTTGCCTCTAAAAGGGAACCTTACCCCACCGTCCGTTGGCCTACAATATTATCTTTGCAGGCTGCCTTCCTTGCCAGAGGATTTACCATATGGGCGTCTATGGAATTAATTCAACCTCTACTGATCGTTCTTATTGGAAATTATCCTCCAGCTCACTTCGCGCGGTTCATTCTAACCATCCTCTTCGCGCCGTTCAAGCTGTCATGGATATGGTCGATTATGTCTAAGGACTGCCCGCCTTATGGAACACTGGTCCGATCGCTTGGCAACATCCGGTTACTATCTTGGATTCAATACATCACCGCGTTATTGGCATGTCACTCAATGGAAGTACTGTTACCATTGGTAGTAGACCAAGTCTTGAGTATATGTGATATACACGATGGGGTAGAGGTTGACAGCCTTATGCTACTATTTAAGCAGTTAATTTACTTCCAAGCTCAGTCCATGGCCGCTTTTCTGAAGTGGGTTCTGGTCACGGTAGCCACTACGCAAGCGGCTTTGATGGTTCCCAGTCAAGAGTTGAAGTTTTCATACAGGGACGAACGCGGACTTTGGAGCGCTATATATGTCTCAATCACTTCTATGAAGTTTTCATTATGGGGGAGGTTTATTTTACATTCTTGGACAGGAACGGCTGCTATATTGTCGATCCTGGGAATTAGGGTACTTACTTACTTACTCGTGGATCTTATGGAAAAGTAGCCCTACTTATAGACTCTTTCTCGACGGAACGGGTAACAGATTCTTAACTACCTAAGAGGTGCGGAGTATAGGCTCTTAAACTATAATAGCTTATAGCATTGATTAAAAAATAAAGGTATATAACATTACGTAAAGGTTTAATTCAAGCTAGCTACTACAGGTAAGAAAGTTTTAAGATAGAAAGGCCATCATGATAGACTTCAACTATCAAGGAGTATTGTAGACTGAAGGGGCTGCTGTTTAGCTGCGTAAAGAGTGGGACCTACTTGTCCTCACGGTCGAAAAGTCAAGTCTAACTATTTCCAGACAGCACGGAAATAGACGGCTAAGATAACAAGAGATGGCCAGGGTCAAAGACCTGTTATCTCCGTAGAGTCTAGTCCTATTTTGGTCCCCTATGAATGCCTTATTCATATATACCTACAATCGGCACTTCATCTAGAACACAAGGAAAGAACAGTTAACATTGACACCATTCGCAACATCTCGCCTCTTTATTGCCTGTATCATGTCCATTGAAACAGCTGTTATAAGCCAACCGAGGCTAGCCCACACAGCCAGTTGTGAGCTCAACGACTTCAATCAACCATCAGCTAGCCGGTCCGGCTTAGAAACTCAGCAACAGTCTCAACCAGTGATACCAAAAGTTCAAATTCTCGCGGCCGGCTTTTCATTCTTTTGCGCCGGCGTTGACGGTGCCACCCTCGGACCCCTCCTTCCGTACATCATTCAGTCCTTCAGCATTAACGCCAGGGAGGTAGCGATTATGTGTGTACCCAATGCCTATTTTCTAGAGTAAATACTGACTCGATGTATGTAGTTATGCGTGCATTTTTGCAGGATGGGTCATCGCCGCAGTTACCAATCTCTTTCTTACCAGCAAACTCTCATTCTCAGTGCTCTTGACACTGGGTGCTACTCTCCAGCTGCTAGCACAATGTCTGCGTCCGTGGGCGACTAAGCCACTGTTCTTTGTGAGCTTCACAGTCCAGGCCGTCGGCATGGGCTACCAGGACACTCATGCCAATGCTTGGGCGGGTGGACTGCCACAGGCTCATCGTTGCCTCGGGTTTATCCATGCCATGTTTGCCCTGGGCTGCCTTGTCGGGCCATTGACGGCCACTGCAATTGCTACAGCCACAGGTTCAGGGCATTCACAAAAGAATGGCATTGAGGCCTGGAGGATGGGTTATTTTCAACTCATAGGTATTCATGCCCTCAATCTCATCTGTATGCTCCTTGCTTTTGGCAACCCATGGAAGAAACGAATAACACGGGAGCCGTCAATGCCTCTAGCTCCCGCCACAGCTGCTGTTGATCCTGAAGTACTTGAACGACGTCGTAACAAAGAGGCAATTCGAGACGTGGGGCAGTTGTTGAGGATGAAGAGTTTCTGGCTTATTGGTGGCTTCTATCTATTCAATTGCGGCGCTTGGTCGGCTGCTGGAGGTTAGTCCTTCCTCGTACCCTCAAGGTCTCTCCATCTCTCCTTAAGACCTGTCTCACCTGATTCAAATTCTAGGCTGGGTGGTGGAATACCTCGTGTCCCATCGGAATGGCGCTCTTGACAAGGTTGGCTACGTGCCCACCGGTTTCTGGGCTGGTCTTTTTCTCGGTCGTCTACTCTTAGCTGAGCCTACGCATCGCTTTGGCGAGCAACGGTCTATCATGTGCCTGAGCGTTATTTGCCTAATGTTTCATCTCTTATTCTGGCTTGTCCCGAACCTTGTTGCGGGCGCTGTGGCTTTCTCGTTTATGGGGTTCTTTTTTGGTCCCTTCTTCGCGACTGGTATGAGCGTCGTATCTCGACTCTTCCCTCGCAAAATTCAGTCCACAGCTTTGGGTGAGTATTACTGTTCCTTTGAGTCATTTGACCGTCAATTTCCCCCCATGAGGTCATCTGACTGGTGCCGTCAGCTTGAAGATTATATTCTAACTGGCATATGAGGTCTCGTTTTCGTACTGGCCCAGGCTGGAGCGGCCATATTTCCGTCAATTACAGGTCTCATAGCTACCAGGGTCGGCGTACAGGTGCTTCAGCCGGTAATCCTTGGCCTAATCATAGGTGGTGGTGTCTGCTGGTGGTTTATTCCGAAAGTACCAGACCATATCGATGGATCATCAGACTAGTCATTAGGATGAATGCCTATTTTATCTTAGTTTTCGTCAATGGCTGTTGAGCTGAATAAAGGTGACGATGGGAGAGGAAAGATATTATCAAGCCACGACCTGAGGTAGATTGCTATCGGGCTCAAATGGGACACTACTGTCAAACTCTACTTGAACATGTGTTTGAACTTGATTGACATTGTAAGCTATCTTTGGAAAGGAGTGTGTGGATGCTATATTAAACGAATGACTAAGAAAGAAACAAATGGAGATTATTTGCTCAGTGGTTGGCGAGTTTTGAGAAAATGGTTGAGCATTCCCCCAAAAGAATGTGTTCCTCCGGTGACTCGAGTCCCTTCCTTTCTCCGCTGTCGGCACTTCAAGCTGTCCCAATTGGGTGTCTAGTCGGGGCAGCAACGGAACCTGTTGAAGGAAGACGCTGTTAAGCAAATTTGCCGGGACCATTCGATTAACACCAGATTCTGGTAAGGAAGTCGAATTGTTAAGCGGTGTGGGATCGGATGGTGCAGATCTACTTCTGCATATTTTATCAGACTTTTGGGCATAATATACGAGTAGAACATCAACGTACCCATCTAATAAAGCTTCATGCCTTGCGCGTACTTGACAGGAGAATGCCCGTCAATATTGTAACATTTCTTAGACTGGAAGTAGTCTCCGTTCCTGGAGTATGTATCATAAAGGAATGAGTCTTGTGAGCAACTAGATTGGGCATAGAATGCAATTCTCTGCCCGTTGCCTGGCCCAAACCCATTCTCCCTGTAAGATTGGAATCGCTGAAGGTCGGCATTACAAGCTCTACCGCCATCGACAGTGACGGCCTCTTCATTGCCGCTACAGTCACGACCAGAGTAGGTCTTAACACCCACGGCATGACTGCCAACGACAACGGAGCTGACAGTGATGAGGAGCTTGGCGAAATGCATTTTTGAAGATGTTAAAAGTAATAAGAATGGGTTTTCTAGACTTGAGATTGAAGACGATGGTAGGTTGGCTGTGATGATCGAAAGAGTATCTATTACGGAGATATGGGTGTTGGTTTATATACGTATGGCTGTCATACCTCAATGTTCAACTATCTAGATATCAAGTCATTAAAAACAATTCAAATGTTGAAGCGTATTCGTGCTTCTGCGCGTATCCAGATTTTGGACCGTATTTAGCTTCCAGCGCGTATCTGCCCTGTAAAGCGTATTCGGTTGCGATAGCATAAGCGAACTATACGACAGGTGCTTGCACAGACACCATAGGTCGTCGATCTTTCCAAAATCAAGACATGTCATAACCTACCATAGTCAAAGTCATGAGACCTAGTAATACCATTCAGGGGCACACAGCAAGGCATTCTACGGGCAAAAGGCTTGTGGTGCTTTAAAGATGGGTCAGCCTGCGGCCAGATTTTGATATTTTCTGGTCAAGATGGGGGGAGAGTAGGCGTATATACTGACATGTTGGCTTCAGATTGTATTTATTAATACGGCTAGTCACTGGCGAATAGATGTAGATGTCCGGTGAATAAAACATATCTCCGAGAGTTCCTTCGATCTCCTAGATGCTACCATTGCATTTGAAAAGGCGGCCGGAATTAGGTGAACAGATCAGACGTTAGGACGTCATTCTCTACAAACCTATTTGCTTAAGCTACCGTAGTCTGTAGTTCTGAAGCCAGTTCGATAAAGGTCTTGGTTGGCTGCGCTTGGACGATCCTTCTCCTTAGGACTAGCAAGATACGGTAACATGTCGACACTTCCAAGTCTCAAGTTAGGTGGCACGTAGCTCTAATTGACGTGTAAGCATGCCGCAGTATCATACGCTTTAGGTTAGACTATACCACCTTATTACGTGAGTTTACCTCTAAGGATCTTAACAGGGTTGGTGGTTGCAGGAGCGACTTACTTATGCCCGACTAACAGACCACATAGTCATGATAAGTTCCATCATCAAGGAAATTTATAGATGGCCCTTGGCTATATCTATTGATTGTAAAGTGTGAGATAAACATAAGGATTGACAAGCAATAATAAAGCGTGAATTTCCTCTTTTACTTGAACCGAGATGGATAGCAGTACTGGAGATGGAGCATCTAATGGTAGTATCAAACGAGTTTTGAGCACTAACTAATTAGTAATTAAGAAAGGAGATTAAAACTTCATTTCAACAGCTTCATTCCACCTATACCCATAGACTTCATCTCATTTTGTAAATACTCAACCGCGCGATGCAAAGTTTCTTTTCCTCCATGACAAGCGCCGCTCTCAATGTGCTGTGCCAAACCACTCACGGTCGAAAAGTGCTTCAGAGGCTTCTTTGTGCTAGTGCCTTTCATTAAGGCTTGCGGGCAATGGAACGACATTTCATCGGTTTGTTTCTGGGCTAGGGTAAGATACCCCTTAGCATGAACGCCTGACGACAAATGTTGCTGGAGTGCGCCAGGATCGAATGTGCGGGTTCGGGAGGATGGGCAGAAAGGACATCGTTTACGACCGGCGACAGTGTCAAGCTGCATGCTGTACAATTGACTGAGTTTCTCGTCCACCGACGTGCTTGAAAGTAAACCTCGTCGGGGCGTATGGACAGGTGTGGATGGATAAGAGTCGAGGAAATCAGTCGAAGTAGGGGTGAGTAGTGGGCTCCTCGTCGGCGATATCGTACTTTCAGACATATTTTCTTCAAGGAGCCACTTTGTTGGAGCTTGAGTTGTGATAATTCCATTTACGTCGTGTTTTGCAATAGTTGTATTCAATTGAGACTTTGTTATCTTCGACGGGCATGTCCCGCTTTCCAAGTGATGCAACTGCGCTGAAGGGCAATGAAATTGTTTCTTGCATTTCCCACTTGCCAGACACTTAATCTGGCAAAGCGGCTGGTGTCGAATAGATCTCTGGTGTTGCCCTAGTGCACCTACACTCTGGAAGGTCTTTCTGCACATGCTGCATTTTATGGCTAAGGATCGGACCGGATTTTGTAGCTTTTTCTTATTTGCCTTCTTGTGTCGATGAGCTGTACTGTGCAAAAGATGTGCTGAGAGTCCCTCATCTGTTTTGAAATTACGGTTGCAGTCGCAGCAGCGAAACTGGGTCGGGAGGAACTGCATCATGAAGCCGGAAGATTAGAGTAGTCGCTATAGAGTGTGACGGAGCGAAATGGTAATAATAATATGTTCTGAGGAGCATGTCTAATATACATGACTTGAAATGAGGGGTTAGGATTAATAGAGATATAATGACGTTTGTATTACGATGCACGTTGAGAAGTAAGCGTGACGAGCTATGTATAGGGAGGTAGAAGGATGATTGGTATTCATATCGTAGCTCGGCAATTTATACTTCAAAGGTACCCATACCCTTTTATACAAGTAATGCTCAATTTTCGTTCCATGACGTAGGCGCCAGGTTTGCGTATCAAGCGCTGTTTTGCGGACACCCTGATTGGTCCCGGTCAACAGTGGTAAAATCGATAGTTCTAGACCTTCTCAGATAGTAAGAAGAATGGGTGGACAAGGGCAAATGACTTGGTCTTTAGGTTTGACTTGATTCGGAGTTGTCCAGAGGGAGTAATTTTAACCGACCTAGGTACGCAACGCCACCAGTTTGTTATCGTATCATCAGAAAAGGTCATCGAGACTAGGCGAACTACTCAGACGTTGGGACGTCGTTCCCTTCACACGTTAGCTTGCTTCAAAAAGTCTTAACAGGTCCATTAGCTACAGGAGGGACGAAGTGTCTGTTCCATGAGCAAGACACTCGTTCTAGGCTGATGGATCAACTACCCAAGATGCCATCAAGAGAATACGCTAACTCTTGGCTGTATCTGTTAATTATACCGAGAGCTTTCGGAAAGTAATAGGGCTCGACAACAGTACTACGTTTTATAGGTGAGAGGATATAAATAACAAACGCGTTATTAATAAAGTCTATAATTGGCTTCTTATGTATAAAACATAATTATTTCGGGTGGATAAGTTACCGAAGCTACTTTTCTAACTTCTTTCTGCCCTACCACGAGCCCTGCAATATCCGGATGACCTGGACAAACATGCTGATGTGTTGCGGAATATAGTCTAAGATCGATAATGCAACCGAATAGCTGGGCCATCCATTGACCCTTCTGTTATTTAAGGAATTTATTTTAAAGCTCATCAAGCAATAAACTTAGTTAAAATAAACAGCCATAATTCTCTAGTAACTATCTAATATTCGTTTCTTAACATAAAGTTGGTAAACATGCAAAGCTTGTAACACAACGACAAACCTCCCGCTCAAATGAGATGATAGTCATGCATTAACTTACCAATCTGGGACCCCTCCAACTTGTGAACAAGAAACCTGCGAATACGATCTGGCAACCATTCAGCCAGCTCCTTGCCATCTCTCAGCTGACAGATAGCATCGAGCAATACTCTTACATCATAAGTCGAGCCAAAGACCTCGGGAACGCCACGATCAACTCCAGTCAGGCGATACACAGACTCCATACCTGTGCGAACCGAGTACTCGGTAGTGAAGATAGTATCGCGCGTTGTCTCGGCAAATTGGCCAATGAAGGCAAAGTTCTCGGCTCCAGCTGGAACAATATCTGGACGGTCACCAGCTTGGCGCGGCATGAAGAATGAAGTGACGTAGGGCATCATGACTGGGACGCATTTGGCACCTTCAGCTGCGAGAGTAGCGATATCGGTTTCAGGAACGCCCAAGTGATAAAGCCATTCCTGAGTGATCTCTTCTCCAGTACACTCTTGCATTGGCTTCTTGACGTAGTCACCATCTTTCTCAATGAGAAGGCCGTACACCCAGACAACAATCTGATCTTTGGGTTGGTTCTTGAAGTGAGGCTGACGATTCACCGTCCAGCTCATGATCCAGCTTGAGTCACGAGCCGTTACAATGCCTCCAGTCACAACTCCCCCACTGAAGGGATCTCGCTTGCAGACCTTCTGGATGTAGTCGGGAATACGCGTATCCAAGGTCGTGACAGTTGCGGACATCCATTTAGTTGCAGGGATATTGCTACAGAAGACATCTGGACGCCCAAACGAAGCATTTTTAGCCGCGATTCGACGCCACAAATCCCATGCTGGAGCTGGACCATCGTGAATTTTGGCTGCGGTATGTTGGTCACCCAAGCCAGAGTTCTCGGTCAGCGAACCAATAGTAGTGAAAAGAAGGTCATTTGTTGTAAGGGCCTGACCACCCTTCTCTCCCTCTTTGACCCAGTGAATGAAAGTGGCGGTCTTTTTGTCTTCCTGGATGTCGAAATCAACATCCTGCACCTCAGTGCTGTACTGGAAAACCACTCCCTGGTCCTCGAGCCACTTGTGTAAAGGCAGCACCAGAGACTCGTATTGATTGTATTTAGTAAACTTGAGAGTCGAAAAGTCCGGCATGCCTTTGATGTGGTTGACGAAGCGGTGGAGATATAGCTTCATCTCCAGAGCCGAATGCCATGTCTGGAAAGCAAACATTGTCTGCCAGTAAAGCCAAAAGTTGCTCTTGAAGAAATCTTGGCCAAAGACTTCATCAATTCGCTTGTTCTCGACTTCCTGCCTGGTAGAAAGGAAGAGTCTAGTCATCTCAGCCTGTGCCTTTTCGCTAAGAGTAAAGTTTTGACCAGTCTCTGCATTCTGGCCTTGTTTGATAGTAGCTCGCTGCAGTGAGAAGTTTGGGTCACGCTTGTTGAGCCAGTAAAACTCATCAAGAACACTTGCACCCTTTTCCTCGATGGAGGGAACGGAGCGGAATAAATCCCAAAGGCACTCGAAGTGGGACTCCATCTCTCGGCCGCCTCGGATGACGAACCCTTTCTCCGGTTCCTTGATGCCATCCAATGCACCGCCTGGGATCTTAAGTTCTTCGAGGATGGTGATGTTCTTGCCGGGCATTTGAGCATCTCGCACAAGGAATGCGGCTGTGGAGAGTCCGGCGAGGCCTGAACCGACAATCCATGCCGTCTTGGCCTCAATGCCTTCCGGCTTGAGTGGACGAGCAAAGGCTTCGTAGTTGCCCTTGCTGTAATACATGGTGAAGAATGGATTTTAATATTGTGTAAAACTATTCGAATATTGTGTTATGGGTATCTGTAAGCAACTTCTTCAGTTATCGGCGGTCACTCCGTTGTATTTATTCTATCCGCCAGCTGCCATGACGCAAGCTTAACCGTAATTATGTTACGATCAGATCATTATTAACATCACCAAATGGCAATTAGTGTCCGAGGCCTGGTGGACATATGCAAATATCACATGCCAATAGCTTCTGATAGCGGGTCTAATTGAGAGAAATCATAACATCATAACTCCCTTGGCATTCATACTATTACACTTCAGGGTGATCTCCTTATCGTAACTGGGAAACCTTTGGATGCATTTGTCAAAATCATCATGTGATGCCCCTGTCACGCGGCCTGCTGAAGTTTTAGACTTTTCACTGTCTCTTTTGTAACCTGATGTAACCTGATTCTACCACTTGGTAGCCGACCGGACTTTATTCCGACGCCGATGATCCCGCTATTCCCCGTTCTGAGCAAATCCACCTGGACCCTAAAAACTGGCGAGCACTAATCTTTTGAAAAAGAGATTACCTACTATGATATGCGATACAGTATTACATTTAAAAATCGTATTTTACTTTGCGTCATACCTTTGGTTGACACTTGTAGCTATCCTTCAGGTATGCTTCGGTATGCAATTTGTACTTATACCATGTACTTGATAATTGACAGACCCAACAAGTTATACCTCAAAATTCAAGCTAGATTTAAAACCATTTCAGTTCCTTTCCAAGCCTTCTGGACTTGAAGGGCCTCCTTTCGGCGAAGGACCTCTGGTCGGAGCCTAGGGCGAATGTTGTTCAAGGGGTTCCCATGAGCAATTGGGTGGGAAGAGCCCTAGTAGTCGCTGAACCCGCCGAGAGATCATTTTCAAGAAAGATAGTCAGTGACTTTTAACAGTACTGCGAAGTCGCTGGGGTACTGAGTGTTCGCCGCTCAAATAGTCACATGCGGCCAAAAGAGCAACTTTGCCATCCGGGGTCGTTGCATTGGCCAGTGTGACTTCGCTGTTTCCTTGATTCTGGTTATGCCAGTCCTCCAAGTTCGGGACCGCGTCGAAAGTTACATCGGTATAGTTAAGTATGCGGTACCAGTATAGACTGTTTTATCAGAGTCGGGATCCTGCAATTGATGTTGCAGAAAATTCCCCATTGCAACGTACTAACTGTCTTATTGAACAATCATATCAGAGTACTATGCTGTAGGCGGTGGAGTTACACCCAGAGGGCTAATGTGCTGTTCATGGACTTAAAAAGCTAATATATGTTGATCTTGTTGTTGCTGTCAAATACAACAGGACCAATAGCCAGTTGGCCTTTGTCTGTATTGTTAGATTCCTTAAATTGAAACATCCAAACCAGGCGGTGCCGAGCCAAGTTCCAAACTCCCGCGTATTGAGTTGTGTTGTGGAAAACAAAGGAAAGGACGACGAACATGACCCCAAGGACTACACCAGCGCCAAGGAAGATATCTCCCCATACAAGACCACCCTCTTCCTTGATATTGACGTTAGTAGCAGCTAAGTATAGAGGAGATATCTTGCACCAACAGCTTTGCGATAGTAAACTCGCTTCCTGCTTCTTCAACAATGTATCCCTCCCCGATGTTGTCCGCTTCATCAGATGCTTCTTCCTCTTTATCTCCCCCTTCAACGGCATCGGGATCATCAGCGACATCCTGAATGGCGTCTCCCATTGCATTCCGAAAGCTTTGAGGGCACTTTTCATGATTCCTTAGATCAGGTTCAAAGGAAGAGCACTAGCAAGGCTGACGCCAAGCCAACAAGACGTGTCCGAGAAGTTATAATCACTCCAGCCTTAAGTGCATGAAAGAACAGCAACTTCGTTGCAAGTGACTCCATCGACCACAGAAGTTGTATTGTTGATTTTGATATTGCAGTTATCATCCAAAGAATCTTTTCATCACTTTCTAAATGTACAATCTTCTGATGAAATGGCTACGGACCTGCTTAATAACTAATTCCGGCCAAATCCAGTAAATAGTGTTATCCCCAGATTAAAACAATGTTATACCATTCTCGAAACCCTCTATCTATCAACCATACCTACCATCCTAGCAGTTCATGACTTCAGTAGAGTGTTTGAGTGTACAAAGTAAACAGGCTGGAGGGTGGGCCTAAGGCAACGGTGTGGGAAATTGATGTTTATTAGCAACAGCGCTCCTAGCAAATCAAATCCCTTGAGATTTAAATTATATTAATTCAACTCAAATTAGCTAGATTGTTATTCAATTAAGTTAAGTCTAGACCTCTCTTTACTCTGTTCAACTCACTTATAGGGTATGTTCTATCTTCATATAGGGTAGTTATGTTCTAGTGAATATGTCATCTAATTCTTATCTTATCGATATGCTTATCGATAAGATAGGATAGTTCACCAAATTAATTCAAATCATTTATCACATCAGATTAAATATAACCGCTCTAAATCAAATCAGAAGGCGTTGAAATCGAATACGGAAAAAACGATTTGAGACTCAATTTAATTACTGGGAGCCCCTGTTAACACTTGCTGTCGGGACTAGATTTTCGGGCAATGAGATACTCCGACGGACATTTATTTCACGTGACTTTGCTGAAAAGAAGCTCTGCCACGTGGTGCCCTTTTACTTGGTAAGTGACTGGCGCGACACGCTGTAGTCATAGGCATTCAGTGATCTAGAACCAACGAGGGTAGCTCAATTACAACTTGCAATATGCCTTGAAGCCGTTAGATCGTCCAATCTGCCTGACCGTCAACGGTTGCCAGCATCAGGCTTTGGGCCAACCAATTTGGACTAATGACAGACAAAAATGCCCAGCCGGCAGGCAGTAAGCTTTGCTCGACCAGGTACAGCAGATACGCGCTAGGAGCACGATTGGTAGGCAGGACGGGCAAAATTGACCGGTCAGCGGCTATCATTTTTGTGTGCTTCCTCTCCGTTCCGTAACAAGTATAAAACTCAGGCTATCAGGTCATGGAGGCAACAGGTTTGGGGGCCAAGTGCCGATCGTGCATCAGCCCGCTGACAACCTACTGTGAAATGGCGTTGTACCGGACTCCTGCAATTACCTGTAGGGCGAATTGCATCGGAGGGGCAACAGACAAGTGCGTCTTACCTGCATTAGGGAGTAACAGAAATGGCATGGATCTCCGAGACACCCTGCACGGGCCAAAAGCTTGTCTACAAGTTGTTCGGCAAATTAAAGGATGATGCTAGATCGGTTGCCTACCGAAAGCTTGAGGGGGGACTTATCCGATTGAATCATGATAAAGTTTTGTATTTTACGAGATTGCGGATACAATGTCCAACTTGCTGCTCACAGCCCCAAACATCTGTGCAGTAGGGATACACGGCATGAGGGCTGAGGCGCTGTGCTTACATTAAAGAGGGGCAGGTCAGACTTGTGCTTGGGTCCCCTGTATCAGATTCATTGGACCCCAATCACTTTTGCAAGGAATAAATCCTTCGGACGGAAGCAATATGAGCGCAGACTGAGGAGCAAACCTGGCAGACCAAGCGGCCCGAAACTAGTAGGGTTGAGTACATGAAGGATTCTTTTTAAATCCTGCGTTTCCCCAGGCTTGGCTTCGACTTTGTCGTCGCGACATTTCGCAAAGAATCCGTCGAAATGTCTCCACATCAAAAACAGTGGCTAATGCTGCCATGGCTACTCCTCGTAGCGTGGATCCAGCCTACCTACGGATACAGCTCCGCTCTCTATGCCTTCGCCACCGACCGAACGACCCAAGTTGGAATCCAGGATCCTTCCACGGGCAAGATTTATTATAGCAGCTGCAATAGCGAGGATACGCCCATTTTCCCTCTTGACAAGCCGAATGTCCTCGACACGGATAATAAACCACGAAATGGTACTGCGCTGGCAGGAGCCGGCTGGTGGGATACGCAAAAGATCATTGTATGTAGTCACCACCCTTAGACTAAGAGCAAAATCTAACGCGTAGTATAGGCATCTATTTTCTGGCAGGCAGAGGATGGCGTTATTGTGAACGGATACTATGAATGCAATATGACAACAGGAAAGCTCAATCGCATTGGCGAGTACACCATCTCGTTGACCGCAGAGATCGACTCGGTCCATAGTGAATCGGGTCTTGCTGTCGACCTGCTCGGGGGTGGAGACGAAGGCGGATATCGTGTCTTCTACCACAACGAAGAGAGGCAGATGAAGATGATGTCGTATACAGACGACACCAATTGGATCGACGGAGGCACCGTCTCGCAAGACTCCGCCGATGGAATCGCAATAGGGACTGTCTATTTTGATAAGAAGAATATGACGGTGGCTTTCCCCAAAGGAACGGATAATGTCGAGACGACTCGCCTGATGAAGAGTGGAAAGTGGAAGCTAGGTATGCACTCCCATATCCCGTTTTCAGGTCTAGAGGCAATTACTGACGCATCTCAGCTGCTTTCCCACAAGAGTTGGCGGGTAATTACACAAACGAAACCGGTTCAGCCAAGATCCGCATGAGCTCTGATGCAGCCGATTTCTCACTGCCAGGATGGAATTCCTCACTTGCAGCCATAGGCATGGCCACAGATAGATCACGAACCCGAAGCCTGTTTTACCTCGGCGACGATAAAGTACTCCGCGAAGCAATTGCAATAAAGAATACCTGGGAGATGGCACCAAACCGATCCGAGAGCGTATGGCCCCTCGCTGATAGCCCGAGTGACAGTCTGGCAGTGGCGTACCAGCAGAGCCAAGGCAAGACGTGGATCTACTACTGGTCCAACGAGACAATTGTGCAGGCACACAAGAACTACGACGGTGAATGGGAGGATGCTATAGTGCTGCCGCAAACGGTTCCCAAGAACGGGACTGAATCGGATAGCAAAGACAAAGCCAAGCCAGCAAAGGAAGACGACACCACCACCGAATCCACAGGATTGACTGGGGGTGCCAAGGCCGGAATTGGCATTGGAGTTGCTGCTGGAGTCCTTGCTCTTGGCGCTTTAATCTGGTTCCTGATGAAACGACGTCGCAACAACCAGTCTCCCCAGAAGGAAGAAGTTGCTGTTGAAGCCGGCGGCACACCTATCACGTATCCTGCTCCGAAGTACGAGAAAGATACTTCCAAGCCAGGTGATGAAACGTCGCCCTCGGAGTTGAGTGGTCATGGTCAGCCTGCTGAGTTGGACAACCAAGTTTTTTACGAGTTGCCAGGAAACCATACCAGATAGTTGTTAGAAAGATGTGGGGTTGGGATTATAACGAGGTACCCTAATATAAGGTTTTAATTTTGCAAAATGTGAGGTGCACGTATTGTAGACGCCGAGGTCGTCGCATCTTATAGGTAGCTATAAGTACTACCGTAATTCTGATCACAGTAGTTGTGGCCTGAGCTTTTGCTCTGTGGCTTAAGACTTGTGCAACCGTTACATCTTATGGAAGAATGTTGTCCTCCTATTACTGCATTCCCTATTATTATCGCTCCCTGTGTTTCTCTACTTTTTGTTTCCTTACTTTTCGTTTCTCTTTTCTTTTCTTCTCACCCTCCTTCTGCTACGTATAGCATGCAGCAAAACTGCTTATGTCTAGCTTTCAGTTATCTATTAACGCACCTTCCCAGGAACAAGATACTATCTTAGACACAGCCACCTAAGGTAATAATCACGCCACTACTTCACTTAATACTCTCCGACTGGAGTTGCTTAACTAATACTGACTGCATATATAGACGAACCTGTAGCATAGTAGGCATTATCACCCAAATACAGCTACCATCATTGAATCAGGCAGATAGTTGTAGAAAGCCTCAGAGATAATCACACGCCAGGTGCTTAACTTGTGTTTGGATTTGCTGTTAGAGGCAATCTGGTGACAATGCAGCGCTGCGACCAGCCGAGAACATAGCACGGACCGCGACTATACTTGAATTTCTGATACTCAAGACAACCTCATCCTTCACTTCCTAGTTTTCACAATCTCTATTCAATATGGGTGCAAGAAACTCAAATAAAGCGCTTACAATATCTCGACTATGCCTGGTTGAACTCAAAAGACGGTACACTCGTTCAAGATGACGAGAGAGATCTTGCGATGACGGCATAATGACAGCGTTGCAGCGCTACGGGAAGTCGTCACATCGAGCCATCGACCCATCACATGGTGACGAATGTCTAAGATCCAGTTTGACAAGGAAGTGCCATATTGACAAGATACTGGTTATGCATATATACCAGTCCCTTGCTATAAGGTTCCGTGATCATATCCGCCATACCACCTCCCATCATCGAAGATGCAAAGTCTTGTTGAATGGACTGCGGCCAAGCTAGGGACTTTGCTTCGGACCCTGGTATCAGTATACCCAACGACTCTTGTGGGCTATCGACTGTTTCACTTTGACTTGGACGACTTCGGCTTGTTGAGCCAAGGTTGGCTTGAAAAGCCGAAGAATCAGGGAGACCACTCTCGACAATCCTCTTGGCCTCCGACGCGATGTAGGTTTGGATGAGAACACAGCTGCAACTCGTATGCTGTAACAGCTGGGTCTTGAGATAATTTATCTCAACAGTTAAAGCTTCTATGCATGCGGAAAGATATCGGTTCTGCTGTTCCAAAGACTGCTCTTGAGAAGTAAGCGCCGATGCCTCATCCCGTCTGCGGCAGCGGTATTTGGCCGCGGCCGTGGTATTATTCTTAGCATTGCGCTGACGTTTGGGCTTTTCAAACTGGTCTGTTTTTGGCATTCGTTTAGGCTTTTGGTTTCTAGGACGGCTTGGATCGACCCCTGAGGAGCTGCTTTGTCCCGAAATCTGCATGATTTGCTGCAACTGCCCCCGGGCATCAGGCTGCCAGCTGCCGACTCTTTCGGTCTCGTCAGTTGGCAATGTGACTGACGGGGGATTGCCGGATGGTCCGGGTACGCAATCATATCGACGCAACCCAGGCTCCATGTCAAAAACCGCATTGGGTGGGATAAAGAAGCCATCGAGTCCTTCTTTTGAGGAATACAGCCCAGGCACTTGATTGAGAATAGGCGGATGTATTACATCAGTTTGAAATGCCGGTGGTGGTACTCCAATGTGTTCAGGACAGAAACCTGGAGTATATCCTGGCAATGTGATTGCCGTGGTGTCATTCATTGAAGAGATTGATGGAAAGTCCTGATGTGGTGTTCGAAGCGTTTAATTAGAGCTATGAGAGATGGCCGTTATTGTGGAACTGGTGAACAAGGCTGGCGACAGTACAGGATGGTATCGGATACGAGGGATACTGGTCCACTGGATACGTGTTATACCTCTTGGTGATATACAGCCACCAAATCACACAAGACAGGCACCATTCATCTCTCAGAGGGGCTGGCTTTCACTTGGACACTATTGGCCTGCTATCCCACCGAAGTCGCATGGCGCAACCGCTCAGCGCTGTATGGGCTTTAGGTCAACAACGGAGAAAGCCCCGGACACTTGCATTAGCACACTACCCCTTGGTACCCGTCGCTTGACTTGGTTATCTAGGGGGTGTAAGAACACGACAATCGGATAGGTGGGAATTGGAAGGACTTTGATATGCGCGATTCTCATTTCCTCCTTCATATCCGAGGGCTCATCCTGTGCTAATTAAAGATCGACAGAGCGGGGCAGCATCACGCAAGGACAGATCATGGACCATCAGTTAGTGGCAACAGCTCTGGCCGCACCCAACACAGCTACGCTGGCGTTGGTCAGCACCACTTGTGGCGCCTCGACTTGTCTCAGAAAATCATGATTACGGAAACAGCTCTGGTATCAATGGTACTAACTCGAAAAGCAATGACAGAAATTACCATCACGTTTGATCACGGCAACCTAGACAAGCACGAGCAGGTCGCGCCATTGTTGGAATGCAACCCTAGGGATTGCCATCAAAGCCGGAAACCAATGCCGGTTGTTAAGGCTCGACCCCCTATCTTCCACCGTTTCCTATCGTTACCCAGCCCCAGAGGCGATCAGTTGTTGAGACGTACGGTATACCTGTTGAAGGTGCTTACTCAATCTCACAGGAGCTACATGTTACTGTGTTCAGCTGGAATCGATACTGCACGTCTTACTGTGGCTGTATGGACCATCTCAACATCCGATTTGTGGCATATTCCCAAGCGGCGCTTGGGTGTCGATCCAGGCCCTGGAAAGACATGCAGAGGAGCTACTGTGTCAGACTCGTATACAACTATCTTCCCTCAAGTAACAGTATCTCAGAATTTTGAGTTCTAGCTGCTAGGAAGTTCTCCAGCGACCTAGATCTGTAAGCGGTTTCTTCTAGATCGATCAGAAAATTACTCAGTGGTCGCTAATCTGGTTCAAAATCAAGGAGCCGAACATTCTGACTGACTCCGCAGTAGATCTTTACTTCGACCAGCATTATTGTCCACCCATCTCCGATGCAGGAATCGGAGGTAGGGGCTTCAGAGCCACATCGTATGATTCTTCTTAGGTGCGGCTGACAATGGCCCTCTCTTTGCATGCTCCTGGCGTTTCTAGCGTCAGATCATCCTTCCAAGCCAGTCGCCACCGCCTCGCCTTTTTCGTCGATATTTGTCGCATTGAAGCTCAGGTACGGAACCACTGAGATTGTCTTTGGGTATTCATAAAAAGTTCGCGGTACTCTAGTCTACAGATGGATACAGATTTGGCAGATAACTCACCGTCTATGCAGCACGCAGCACGCAGCACACAGCCCGGAGCTCAAAGCTCAGAGACTCGGCGTCGTTAGTGAAGTGGGACCCCCATAGATGAAATCACTAACACGATCAAGGCCAGAAGAAAAGAAGGCGACAAAAGTATCAATAGCGGAGGCAAAGCCGCTTACCCCCTTCTAGCAGCCTTTGCGCATCTGATTATCGAGCGTTGGCCCGACCAGCCGTACTTATTGAGCAGCCTGTGGATGAAAAATAGGATTGGTGGCCTACAATTTTGATTGCGGTTTCAAGGCGCTTGAGGGGTGCGTCCAATCCCGGCAAACCATCAGGAGACCCCAGTTGCAACCCTAGCCGTGCTACTGAGGCCCTAACTGATCTTAGCTTGAACGATCGTTAATCTCTAAATGGCGGGTAACTAGACTTAGGCTGCTTGGACCATGATTAGTCAAAGAGAACCAACATCGAAGCTTCGAAGCATGAAAAATTGATAAGAATTGAGAAACCAAAGCAACAAGAAATAATGAGATAGGGAGAGGTAATGTTGATCCATCCTCGGGCATCCTCACATTGCAGGTCGCCACCAGCTGACTCGACTCGACACACCCACTTTTACCAAAAGAGGTACTGGAACTCACCACTGTTATTGGACTAAAGCCTGCTGAATAGCTGGGTCGTTAGCTACAGTACAGCTATTTGGAGCCACCACCCTCGGATGAGATACCTAACTAGACTGATCAATGGCTTGGTAGCAGATTCGAGAAGTAAAAAATACACCCACCACAGGATTTATTATCACCTTCCCATCTTGGGAACAAATGCAGCATCGGCAAATGTTCCGCCTCAAGTTCATTAGCTATGTCGGAGCTAAGATCACTACACTCATCATGCCGCCAATTTCCGATTGAATCTCGCTGGTTATGATTTGGCACAAAGAAGCTACAATTCATTGCTCTTGCATAAACATGCCTGCAATACCATTTCTCACAGTCACTGAGGGGTTTTGATCTATTCTGGTTAAGCGTATCTCGCAAGATCGTCAAGCTGGTGGCTACAATCTGTACAATCCCTTCCTTTCTTTTTTTTTTGAATTGATAACACGCCTGCATGTCATCCCAAGCCAGAAGACGTTTATTGGGCTTTTTCTAGTGAAGGCGGCACCTCATGCACCCGAGCACCTTTCTAAAAGCATAGGCAACGCTCCTCACCACTTGCACTTTTCTTATCACAAGTCCAGCCATCGTCAGGGTGTGTTGCATAACACATCCTCCGGCCATGGATCATTGGAGAAGAAGGTAGGGGGCAACTCATTTTTTTCTTCGATTTAATCTTTAACTTTATCAAGCCTAGGCTTTCCAAATCTCTTAATAATAATATCAATAATAAAAATAACCCCTTTTAAAGTTAAAACTCGATATGATCAAGGCAGCAGAAATCGTACACGGCAACTAAACTCTATCTAAGTGAATACGTAGATGACTCACACAGCCGTACGCCTAAAAGCTGGCTTCCCCCCACACCCTCAACCAGGGGGCAACACATAACCTGCGTATCTATGCGTGAATTGCTTCTGCATAATAAAGACCGAAGCTTTTCGGGACTTGCCAACGAAGCAGCGAATCTGCCACTGTACCACAACGTGGCGTGAAGCATATAGGTGCCTCTTAGCTCGAGGTTCCTTCCTCTATATGAGTTCAGGGTGATAAGCCATTGGTTTTGATACCGCATTAGCGTGTTCTCTATTATCCATTTCTCTCTCCTTTTCTCTTCTCTCTGATGCCCTAATGATGACGGGAAGTGAAGACTCGTCATGATATTGTCATCTACTGTAGATGCATGAGCCTGGATACCAAATCAACCTGCTCGAAATCAAATATAAACAAATTTAGCGGATACCGATTTGCATTTTACTACATAACTGTACTACGAAGCTCACCGTGTGGGCTTTTACAGATGCCGGTCAATATTATTCCTGCCATGGATATGCAAAGTAGAGGACACATGTGACCTCATAATTATAAATGATTCATTAGGACCATCTTTCACTATAAAGCTAGCCTGTTATCGTTTTGACTTTCTCTTGACCTTTGCTTCGTTAGTTCCACTGGTCGTGTCGCAAACACAACCAAGAAATCCTTTTTCATAACAACACCTGCATAGAGGCAACACACACTCTCTGTACTCTTTAGCGTGATGAAATCAGATCCTGCAGGCGTACAGGGGTTCGCCTCATTGCCAGATCACCCAGGAGCTTGGAATGGGCGTCAATATTCAGACGAGTCCAAGTATATTTATCAGCTCAGTTCTCTGGAATTGCAGGAATTAAGCGATGCTTTATTGAAATTTAAAGGTACGGTTTATCATTATTGCTGGAGCTGCATTTACATATATTATCCCTTTTACTTACCTGTTCGTAGCACTGGGTTTGGATGGAGATCTTGTGTGCCCGGCAAACTTTCCACTTCCTACTCTACATCGCAAACTAGCTAGTTTGCGTTTAGATATTCATAGAGGCAAGGGATTTGCTTTGATTCGCGGGTTGAATCCCTCAGAATACTCTTCTACAGACCTCACAACCTTGTATCTTGGCATTCAGTCATATATCGCCAATGTCCCCGGTCGGCAGGACGAGAGGGGCAACATGTTGGGTCTGTATAACGAGTAGTCCCCGTTGTGTAACACGCCGTCTTACTTACCTGCTGCTATAGTCCATATCGTGGCTAATAATGCTTCTGAGCTTACTCGTCAGCATACCAGACACTCAACCTCAGAGATTGTATGTCTCCTAACATTCCGTGCAGTTGCCTCGTGGTCAATGAATTACTAACCGATTAGTCGTTTCATAACGAGGAAGCCGGTGATGTTATAAGTTGGCTGACACGGAACGCTGCTGTGTCTGGAGGGGAATGCATCATTGCCTCAGCCTATGCCGTCTACAATACGTTGGCCAGTAAGCATCAAGATTTGGTCCGCGTGCTTACTCAGTCCGACTGGGTATTTGATGGGTGAGTATGAGATAGCTCCTTTGGCTATACTCACTACTTCTAATGTTCTAACTTGAAGAAAGTCGTGAGAATGACTGTAGACCCGTTCTCTTTTTCCAAGACGGTGGAATCATTATCAACTTTGGACGAATCCCGTTAATCGGGAATGAGATACATCCGCGCCCTCCTCATCTACCACAAATCACCGGTCAACAACTCAAAGCTTTAGACGCCATCGAGAATGTGGGCAGAAAGGTAGAGCTTGTAATCAAGACCAGACCAGGTGACATTCATTTCATCAACAATCTATTCATCTTACATCGACGGAATGCGTTCGACAATAGCGCACAGTCGAGTGAGTCCCGACACCTGGTCCGTATGAGACTTCGCGACGATAGCCTCCGCTATGAGTTGCCCAGTCAGCTTGAGAAACAATGGTCTCACTACTTCAATGAAGCGTTGGAGAAGGTGTGGCATATCGATCCCATGCCTGATGGCTTTTTCCCTCTCAGATCTTACCCAAACTGAACTAACTGGCGGCCCTCATCAGAGTAGATGCGCCCAGATCAAGGAGGAAGCTGATGAATTGTTTAAGACCGAGATTGAAGAGTCTCTTCTGATCATGGCTCCTTGTCCGCTAAAAGCGTGATTGGGTGAAAAAGGCGGGGTGGATTATGGGATGGTCGCAATAGATAGCAATTGCTTGTGAAGATTTGCTGACTAAGCTAATCAAATGGTGCAATACAGGAGGGCGATATGCGAGGTGTGAGATGTGAAGTGTAAATTGCGAAACATAGGGGCACTCTTTTTTCTAAGAATTTACATACAGTAAGCCACTAATTCTGTAAGTCTTCGTATCCAAGGGCCACCTATACATATATGCTTCCGTCTCTTTATTGTCCAAGTTATCATGCATATATTGTCAAGACCATGTAAGAGCGCCCCTCCTGCAAGTCGTGCTTGAGCAGGCGATAGAAGGCGTAACTAACATTAGGGAGGGTGAGCACGGCATGAGTGTTCCGTCTTTTAAGGTCCGCTGAATCTAGCTAACAAAGTTAATCTCACAAGTAATTGAGTTCACAGAACCTATCTCCCACAGATCTTGTAAGCTATTTGTCGTTGTTTTCCTAAGATGATTGCTGGTGTCACGTTGGCGTCTGGCTGAGTCATGCAAAATTGAACTGAGCCCAACATCACCGCAGTTCAACAATTGGCTTCTCTCATTTAATATAAACGCTCTCTTAGACGTATAAACAACCCCCAATTCCCAGCTTTCTTTTCTGTAATCCAACTTGCCATTAATATTTCAGGAATGCAGTTCCTTGCAACCTATAAGCTTGCCATTTCTGAAGAGTATCCTGCCTATTCTATTGCAACTACTCGCAACCTACCATCTTTGCGTAACTGCGCCCAATTTTCCGCATGTTCCATATCCACCAGTCCAACGATCCTCCATCGGTATAACAACTTCTCTTGCCTCAGTACTATATGGTGAAAGACGCCAGGAACAGAAAACAATAGATCGCCCTTATCTAATTTTCCAGTTCTCAGAATACCCAGACCCTCAGCTATTGCATTATCAGTGTAGACTATTGTTTTGTCCTGCGACTTCATGCACAGTAGACCCGCTTTAAGATAATTGCTAATGTGAAAGAACATCAATAGCGCACGCCATTTCTCTGATCTCCCCAGCTTGTCTGAGGGATAAAGGGAGGTGAGCCTACCAAGCTCCGATATGAGCCTGAGCAACATTGTTCTATCCTCGCGTAGCAGAGCAGCAGCTTTTTTGAACCCACCTTTCCATACCGGTAACCCCTGTAGCTTCTGTAGATCAGCAGCATGAACAACTTTGTCAACCGTCCTGCATCGCCCTTCCACTTGAAGTGTCTTGCCAGCGTCGGTTATTCGGAAACGAGTCCGTTCGCGACGTTCTGTAAACTCATAGGCGGATATACTAATCTCCTTTGACCAATCCGGTACCCAGGACGGTTTAGTATCTTCCTGATCCTCGCCACAGGATACCGCATCGAGAAAAGATAAGTTTCCTGTCCCCTGAGAAAGATAGACTGCTAATGCTGGAAAAATACTAGACCTATCACTTTCATCGCTCTTTAAACCATCTAGGTCCCTTATGCACTCAGAAGTGATATACTGAGGCCGGCTGATTCTCCAGTGTCTGATAACTGAATCATAGCATCTAGACCATAGCCATGGGGCAAACCTGAATGCGAGCTTGTATATAATTGAAATCGTTAACCGATTCTTTAATGATATTTGAAGGGAGTGAATTAATAGGTAGTAGATGAAAATAGTTGTTGTATCGCCGGCAGGGCGTCTCATGAAGAGGGCGATCTTCCGCCTCGGACCTACTGCAACACCTGCTGCAATGCCCAGCACAGCATACAGTCGATCTCGATCGTCTCGACATTTGAACCGACCCGAAGTTTGGAGCAATATGCGTTGCAGGCGCTCAGGGAATCGTAATCCGTGAAATAAGTTTTTAGAGTGTAAAGGGATAATTATCTTTTGAGGATCTTCCCAGGAAGGGGATAGTTGGTCGTGAACAGACGAATAGCGAAAGTCTCCGATAGTCGTCATAAGATGGACACTCGGCCTGAAATCATACCTCAGTTCTGAGCATGCGTGGAATAGGGAGTGCCAAACGGATTGAAAGTCGTCAAAATCACAAGTATTGCGTCCACACCGGATATAAACTCGGCCAGTGGAGAGGGAAACCTCCTGAATTACCCAAAGCCTCTCCCACCAGCCTCTCTTCGCCAACTCGATGAATCCATGTCGTGATGATAGAAAGAGCCTTTGCTCATCGGTGTCAGAATTCAATCTGAAAAGGGTTCGCCACCCGTTTAAGAACGAAACCAATTTGAAAGCCGCCTCAATCTGACGACTATGCTCGCAGTCACTAGATGGGCTTCCTCCACACCGTTCTGGTTCCACTAGTCCATGGTATCCACCTAGCCAAACTGTCGTAGAGGTTGCATTGGCATATATCCGATCCATGCGCTGGACCTGCGCTCTTTTTTCATTCTCATTTCTTTGATCGATACACAAAGCGTCAATCCAAAGTGTCCGCATTTGCTTCTCTCTTCGAAGGTGACGCAAAGCGGATTCAAGATTTGTGGTCACCCGCAAGGTAGTGAACTCCACAGGCTGCTCTGGCGATTTTAGATCAAATGATAAATCGAGTAAAAAGAATAAAGGTTTCGTTTCAGTTATTTCAATAGCACAATCGATCAAAAACAAGGATAGTTGTGCAAAAGCAACACCCAGTAGTGCACTCATTACGGCTAAGCGTATAGCTGGGGGTATAAACTTTGGGCCGTCCAACAGTGGCTGCTTATCAGGGGGCGAGGAGTCGAGGTGCCAAGCAAAACCGGTCCCCATGCACCAAGCAAGTATCCATAGAGGCATGAGTGGCGTAAGGTAAAACTGTATGGCTTTGAGAAGTTTATCCAAAGCCGTATTGGTGCTTTCCAGTAATGGCCACCTAGTTGCAAGCCGGGATCTCATCGGCGCGACAGAAATGGGCCTCGTGATAGATTCATCTCCCCATTGATAGGATATTGCCTCATAGCTGGTCATAGCGAGTTCTGGTCGGGTCTCGAGGAAGCACCGGATATCATCAGTAAACTTTCCAGGTAGAAGATGTATAACGCGATATGCCGATTCTTCAATCGGTCGGTATAAATGTGCATGGGGCTTTTGATGAGAATTTTGGTCAGGCATGATGTTCGAATTTTCCAGTATAAGAGTTTTAGAGTACTAAGTTGCATTGAACCTACTCGGATGAACAATATATATGTAGTGTTAGCTAGGCACTTACTTTTTGCTGTTTGTTATTGTGGCGGTGGCAGTACAGTAAATATCCTGCAATTAACACAGGGGTTTTCATTGAATCATCAAGTAAAATCAGCCTCACTAGTAAGGCATAAATGTTGCAATTGCATTTTCAACTGAGCTTGACAGCGTTCGCTAATGCGGTTGGTTTGTTTCATGGCCGCCTACTAGGTTGTCAGCAAATGCAGACTTTTAATTAGTTAAAATACTACCGCATAGCCACTCACTCTTCCTCAAAACAGCTCACCGCTTTTCCAAATGATAGTTAGCAAGAGAAGGCTCATGAAATTCTTTTTTTCAATACTCAATTGGGCCAAGATAAGTGCTGAGAACACAAGCAGTATGATCTGAACACTTATTCTAATACATGGCGTATATGATCTTTTTGCACGTTTAGGGAAAAAAGTCATAGTAACTAACATAATATTCAAGATAGTATTACTTTTGGTAAATATAGAGATCTCGAGGATTAGTGCTTCTATAGGCTTTATTAGAATAGCTAGATCTCTTTTTTGTTTTTACTACACTAAGAACTAGTATTAATCTAGTCCGTCTCTAGTCGTAGAATCTTTTGCTAAGCAAGTCTTTAGTTCGTCTTGCTTGCGCACGATAACAGTGATAGCTAGATCGCGGACTTGGGTGCTGGGTAACTTCAAGAGGCTGTCGAGCACGGTGCCTCCACTGGCTTCTCTTGAGGTTTGGTGTCCTGCTAGTAGAAGGTAAGGCTTGGGGATATATTGGCTTACATGTAGCATGTGGCTCCCGTGAGCAATAGTGAGTGTGGGTCGTCTTTATGATGCGATTGCACGCAAAGCAATAGGAGAATGGGCGGCAGGGAGTTTCATAATCTCAGCATATGTGTCTTTTAAGCATTGATCTCTGTGATTGGAGAGGTCGAGGGTGACTTGCAGTATGTATAGTGGCCAAGCAAAAGTTTCGATATTTTCCTCTGCTCTAAATTATATCGAAGCTTGATACATTATGATAAACCCTTCTGAATTTTTCAAGTCATCCATCAAAGAGCCGACTAGGTTGTCTTTGAATATAGATCACGTATACCCCACCCGATACAATGTAATCCTCCACCAACCGCGAAAGGATCCGAGACAATACCATCACAGTTTAATCTATGATATCCTCCCCAATTACCGCGATACTATTATTACGTAGGTACTTAACTATATCCTCACAATACGTAGTCTTGTGAGGCAGTTCTAAACATTGACGCAGAGTGCTTAAACCATACACTAAACGATGTCAGCAACCCGGGAATTGCAGTTTTCTCAGACCACGTCGATTACGCCAAGTGTTCGTAGACGTTTGTAACTCAACACAACCATGCAAGAGCCAGCTCCATTTCTCAAGAAACATCTCTGTTACCTCCCAACCCCCGGGTGACCAGGAGTCTGCCCACGTAATCATGGCTGCGGATTCAATACCAGCCGTGGCTCCCCCATCTGTGATGTCGTGGCAAAGAGCATCCTCATCAAATGCATCTTCCCCGTGCTCGAAAACAACCTGTAAAAGATTATCGCGCATGCGAGGACAGGGGAAGAAGTCAATCCAAGGGTGGTGCTCTACTTGGACCTGCAAGGGCGTGGGTCGCATGCTGACGGGATAATCCTGTGGATTTGGGGCTGACACCTGGACGGGGCCTTGCTTGTTGAAGGGTGAGACCGCCTCATACGTAAGCCAATTGTCGTCAAAGCCGAGTACCTGAGCGTTGCGGACGAAAGCATGAAAGATGTTGAAGCGGATTGTATCGGTTAGGTGGATGACGTTGGGAATCCCGAGTCGATAAGATTCAAGTGCTTGTTCGGCAAATTTTACCAAAAGCTCACGGTGATCGGGTCTCCCTATCAAACAAAGCATCGACGGCATTGTGAGTACGGCATTGTTTTGTTGGAGATTTTGTTGCTGGAGACTTTGTTCGCCATTTCTCTGCCTACGACCTAAGGGCGTCCGATTTAGCCAACACACTAACAAAAGAAGAGCTTGGTAGGACGTCAAGTGGCTGCAGGTACATGTACTCACGTCGAGCTCTTTGGTTGAGGCGGTTCTGTAGTTTTCTTCTCTTGGCTGGCCCTGTAGAACCCGTCCAGTCTTCTTCGACACTGCGTAATTCTGCTAATTGCGGCAATTGCTGAACAGGAATTGTCGGGACTTGTTGTGCCATGACGTCTTTGAGATTCTGAATCCACTAGTAGATTAAGTCAGAGGTATAGGACATGGTCTGCTGTATGCAAATGGCTGACAAACTGATAAGAGGTTGAGACCGTGGAGGGGAGAGAGCAGATAGATTGTATGGGGTCAGTGCAGCGGCACCTATTGTGATAAAAATGGAGCTCAATTAGTAAACCAACGCTTGTTAAGCAGGGCTGGATCTACGTCTGTGCTAAAGTGGGGAGCAAAAAGTATAAATGCATACAAATGTGACTATCGACATGTACTCCGGAAGGCTAGCCTTAATAGGCATGTATTATGATCCTGCTTCGATGGCCTCGTACGCATAGCTCCTTTGGCACTGGCCAAGTTGACATCCCAGACACGGTTGGGCGTTATTAGAACCACATCAACATCGGGAGTGCCGTCTGGAGCATGGACTGTCCATCGCGTTTTGGCCTGGTCCGGATCTCGGTAAGGGACGGAGATGGCCCGATTCGACATCGGAGATCCGCCGTTAACTCCATAGCATATGTCAGCGTTCAACTTCAGTATCGCATAATCATGTTCCAACAAATAGGCAGCTTCCGCCTAAAGTATATATGCCTGAATTCTCATCATCATCATCGAAGGTGAGCCTGCAACCGCACATGAATCATCCATTTGTTACCGAAGTCAAACGCTTAGCTGCCCCAGCACTGATTACGCCATGTCTCAACAGTATGACAATCAACAGCCCGAGGATTTTGTCAACCACGTTAGGGCTATCGCAATTGTTGGTGTAAGTGCCGTTAAACTCGCATATTCGCATGTTGAGTATCAAACTGAGCAGTTGTTCGCAGGCAAGTGGCCATGTCGGACACGCCTTTACTAGCCAGCTCCTCCAGACGGGAAAGCACACCGTGACGGCCATCAGTAGGGTTGGTAGCAGTAGCGCCTTTCCCAAAGGAGTAAAAGTCGCTTCTGTCGACTACAATAACCAAGAATCTTTGGTTTCCGCCCTCAAGGGCCAAGATATGCTCGTCATCACCTTGTCCCTCAATGCTCCCCCAGACACCCACACCAAGTTTGTAAAGGCAGCTGCCGAAGCCGGTGTACCCTACGTTGTGCCCAACGTTCACAGCATCAATTTCTGGGATAGTAAGGAGCTTCGCGAGGATCTCTCTGTGGGGAACAATATCCTCGCCAACATCGCTGAGGTAAAAGAACATGGCCTTGTCAGCCTTTCCATGTTTGAAGGTTTCTGGTACGAACATAGCCTCCCTTTTGGACCTATCACGTTGGGCATAGACTTCACAAACCGCACGGCTCTGCTGTACGATGACGGCAAGAAGGCCATCAACATCTCCACATGGGTCCAAATTGGGCGTGCATTGGCTGCCCTAGCGAGCCTCAAAAGGCTCCCTGAAGATGATAAAGATGACTCTCTGACTCTGGCTCGCTTCCATGACCGACCAGTCTTCGTGTCCAGCTTCAAGATCAGCCAGGCCGATATTCTGGAGAGCATCAAAAGAGTCACGGCAACCAGCGACAAGGACTGGAAGATCTCCTATCAGTCATCTGAGGAGCGCTACAAGGAAGGCCAGAAGGAAGTTGAGCAGGGGAACCAATTGGGCTTCTTCAAGTCTTTGCATGCCAGGGTGTTTTACCCCAGCGGTGACGCCGATTTTGAGCCTGATAACCAGCTATTGGGCTTGCCGAAGGAGAATCTTGACGATGCTACCAAGCATGCCCTTGAGTTCATAGAGAAGAGCTCATAAGAACGGAAATATGCGAGGCATTGCCGACTTGAGTACGGATACATAGAGCTTTAAATTGAGATGACCAAGAAAGACGTTTCAGCTACTGTTGGCATTTTGTGTGGTACGGCAGTGTCTCACGCAGCTCATTTTACGGCGGCACCCGTCATAATTAAGGGCACACACCATACCTATTTATTAGTGTGATTTTATAGCTTTACTACTAAGAAGAGACATTATTACTGTATAATTGGAGCCTATTTCCTGTATAAAGTTAATACTATTTGGCTGGCGCTCTAACACGTAGATGGCTATAGTTAACTTCCTCTTCTTGACACGGTATTGTAGCCTTAGAAAGAGTTTATATTTCATGTATTGTGTGCCTTGGCTTTTGCCATGTGCCCTAGTACTATCATATCAGCTTTCCATCACATATGCAACATACGCCCTCACAAACGCCAGTCACCTGAAACATTTCTGTTCACCGCTCGGAACTTCCCAGATTAATAAGCCAATTAGAGGGATGTCAAAGCCAAAGGTGTTCGACACAAGCTCGCACTCAATGCAGACTACTGACAATAAAACCTTAATTAATTCCAGTGGCATGATATCAAGTTGTATTAGCTTCTTTAACGTGCACTAGCTTATCACTTGACTTGCAAGGACTTAGATCCTTAACCCCGAAAAGCCACCACATGCCGAAACCCACCAACACGTACCAAGTGGGTAATAGCTCAGGGTATATTAAGTACGAGACGGCACGCAGTATGATAGTAGCAACTCATCTCTCATTAAGCCATTTCGCACTCCCGTAAACAATACCATTCAATATGACTCGAGTTCTTGTTACAGGTAACCACACCCAACCGCGTGTCTGTCATCCTTTTCTTACCTGATATGTTGTCTAGGTGGCACTGGCTTCGTTGCTGGCCATGTTATTGATGTGCTCCTCAAGCGTGGCCACAGCGTCGTGACTACGGTCCGTTCACCAGAAAAGGCCGAGTCGATTCGCAAGGTCTTTCAAGGAGTCAGCAACGATGACCTTGACTTCGCTGTCGTCCCTGATATCGCCGCAAAAGATGCCTTCCAGGGGTTAGACAAATATGGCCTGGAGGCTGCGCTTCACGTCGCCAGTCCGGTAAGTCGACAACGTTGAGCATCATTCTCCTACCTATCTCTTAAGCTCATTGCCTATCAGTTCCATTACAACGTCACAGACCCCAAGAAGGATCTGATTGATCCAGCTGTCCTTGGCACAACGTCAGTTCTTAGGGCTCTCCATGAGTTCTGTCCGACCGTCAAGCGTGTTGTCGTTACCTCCTCCTTCGCTGCAATCTTGGACCCAAAGCTAGCTTCTACTGGCGCAGAGAAGGTATACACAGAGGCTGACTGGAGCCCTCTTACTTTTGAGGATGCCTATGGCGACGCTGTAATTGCTTATGCAGCATCCAAGGCTTTGGCCGAAAGAGCAGCATGGGATTTTGTTGCAAGCAACAAACCGAACTACTCTTTATCAACCATTAACCCTCCGATGATTTACGGCCCAGTCAAATATCCTATCAAGTCCCTCGACTCTGTTAATACGTCAAACCAACTACTCGCCAGCATCATTGGTGGAAAACAGAAGGATGGCTTACCCCCAACGGGACTTCCGCTCTGGGTTGACGTTCGAGATGTGGCCTTGGCCCATGTCAAGGCTATGGAAACTGAAGGGGCAGCAGGCAAGCGCTTCTTCGTCACTGCTGGACACTATAGCAACGAGGAATTGTACAGAACCCTCTACGACAATTTCCCGAAACTGCGAGATCGGCTGCCGGATGAAACCAACAAAGGAGGAGATCCTAGTCCAGTCTTGAAGTCTTTTGGCTACGACAATACTCAGGCAACCACAATTCTTGGAATGGGATGGACATCATACGAGAAGACTGTCATTGATTCAGCCAAATCTCTTCTAGGAACCCAGTCATAACTTGCAGATTTGTGTAATACAGTGCATTTCAGTCTGGATTGAATGCTTCGGCATTCCAGTAGATGATTTGAGGACGTTCGATTTCAAATAAAAAAGGCCAGAATTAACAAGATTGGACGAGGTTTAAGTTAGATTGGCTGTGGATCTTATCTTATCGATAGTGTAAGGCTATACAGATAAGAGACTAGATGAAGATAAGACAAGACATCTCTTTTTTCTCTTAACTACCCTATATAGAAATCGAGATATGTCTACAGTAGACCCCACAGTGAAGTCCAATTAAATGAGTTAAAGTATAGAATAAATTTTGTTTCAATACTGCAATCTCTAACTTGAACTGAATTAGATCCATGGCACAACATTGTTGAGATTGCAGGACACGTAGGGTTTACGAAACGAAGTTTTAGTCCTCAGACCATCGAGGCCTTATGGCCTCAAAATGAAGGCTTAGACGGAAAGAAAGATCTTCAATCCCACTGGTTCAACTCGTAGTTACCACACTACGAATTATATCCAGCAGCAAAGACAAAAATAAGCCTGAAATCAGTATTTAGTGAATACGGCGCAAGTTCGGGTTGGGCAGCTGCCCAATAGATCAGGCTGGCCTCTTGTGTTAGTGCGAGGCGCCGGCCCACTTGAAGGAGAAACAGTTACAGTTCTAGGTAGAATGCACGATAATGATCCAGCTAGCAATAGTTATGCTGGCATACCGTGGATGTGCAGAAGTTCCGACAATTTCCTCTATTCTAAATTATTTTTATAATTATAGAAATTACTATTAACTGTTGTTGATTTTATACGGTTTTATATAACATAGTACTAAGATTACATGTAAGGTTATCTAAGTACAGTATATATTATATAGTTTATTTTAACATCCGTATTTCTTGTTAGCTTATTGTCGAAACTTTTGCACGGAATTCTATATTTGTTCTAAAAATCTTAGAAGGAGGGAAGTTGTCATAACTTTTACAGACCCACTACAATCGAAGGACACATTCAGCCCATAGGTATCCTTTTTTACACGTTGCGTATGCCGGGTTTATTTGGCTTGAAAAAGCACAGAGCCTGATAAAACTTAAGAGTTGAAGCGAAGACCAATAAGATTAAGTGAAGTATTGTAGTGTTCTGAAATCCATCCACACAGCTATATCTAGAGCGAACAAGCTAGCATTACATCAATAGGTTATACTCGGAGCCCTAATGCCAATGGAGGCTTTTCCATCAACTGCAACATGCTCAGTCATAGGCGAAGTACTGATTAAACTTACCGTGTAGGTATATTTAGTTAGCTATTATGATGAGAGTAGTTGGAAAGTATCGATGGCTTGGGAAAAGCAATTCTTGGAGGATTGGGTTGACACGAAAGTCGCGTTGACCTACGTAGCCTGATTTAAAACTTGAGCGCTTATGCATCCACGCAGCGCCAGTCACGGCTGAAATCCGCCAGTATCTAGACATAGCCCCTAAAAACTCGAGCCTGATCATAATACTGCACCCTCTGTTGTCTGTAGATCAGCGACTGCGCCCAATCGCTCAGCAAGAGCGCTCCAGCAATCCTGCCACCGGCTGACATCGCGCAGGTGTCTTGGCAGAGGAAGAGGCTTGATGGTGTTGGGAAACATGTCCATCATCTCTGGCCTTGGTGTGAAAGCACTGGTAGGTGGGCGTTGGCAACCAATGCGGATCTTGCACCAGATGACCGAGGATGGGCAAAGGATCGCAAATCTAAGCCCAGCTTACAATACATAGACGCTATCTTTATGACATGATGGCAAGAGCTAAAATTTAATGACAATTGAGGATGGCCCCTGTCGGCAAATGCAGCTGACTACCTTGGTCCAGGCCTGGCGCTGATATAGCTTATGCGTGGTCTATCTTTGGAAAGGAAGGTGCATAGCCTCTGAAAGGCAGAATAGAGGTGTGTATCATTGGACTGGAAGTCATAGTATTGATTGCGAAGAGCATCATGATTGGAATACCTATTTTTGTGTGGTGTCACAATGCATGCGGTGGCAGACTAATGTGAACATGACAGTAAGCTGTGCATCAAAGGAAGAAGCGCAAATCCAATAGCCTATCCAATAATGTGAGTGCGTCACCACCTGCATAATAATTGTATTAGGATCACCTGCTCAGCCTGTCAGCCACGGGAGTTTCCCACTCTGATGATTAGTATCGCAGCATGAAGATCCTTCTGGTTTGAAAAGACTATCCTAAGTTATCGAATTTATAGTTGGACTAACTGATTCATATGTGACTCGTGACAAGCCTGCGGAGAGAAGAAGAAAATGATTTGTCGCTTTTGTGTAGAAAACACTAGTGGCTCCAAGCTTTGGTGCTAAACATGCCGAATGGCCCGATCATCAGGTACACAGTAACTAGCGTCCGTTAGTCGACGTTGGATGCGATCCTCCCCGCCCTCCCCTGAAATACGAGAGGATCGTCTCACCGTAGGAGTCTAGTCAGAACTTGCATTAGCCAATTAAATGTTTCTGGTTTCCAAAGTTGGCGTCACAGGCCACAGCCTCAAATACGAAGGTCAATTAGATCTAGAAGCTAAACACCTGTGTGTTAATTGTTATGTAAATGTATCGATGTTAATAGAAATAAAATGTGATAAATAGGTCCTCCATGGCCTGCATACAGATTACAGCCAAAACAATCCTCCGTACATTCTTTCAACTCGACCTTTCCTTTCTTGCATCTAACTGTTTCTCTATTTCCTATCTAGTTTCTTCTATTCTATCAAAATGAAATCTCTTCTTACCCTCGCTCTTTGGTTCAGCAGCGTTCATGCTGTTGCCATCTCCCAACCGCAGAAGGCAGCTCAAGCTAAAGCTTACGAGGGAACTTTGCAATTCTTGAGCCTCAGAGCATCAGCTCCCATCGGCAGTGCCATCAACCGTGACAACTGGAAAGTTACTTGTGACAGCCAGCAACCGGGCAACGAGTGTTCCAAGGCCATCGATGGCGATCGCGATACATTCTGGCACACCACCTGGGGCTCCAGCGACCCAAAGCCTCCTCATACCTACACCATCGACATGAAGTCCACCCAGAATGTCAACGGTATTTCGATGTTGCCTCGTCAAGATGGAAGTCCCAACGGCTGGTTCGGTCGTCATAACGTGTTTCTCAGCACAGATGGGAAGAATTGGGGTAGCGCTGTTGCAACTGGCACTTGGTATGCGGATAATACCGAGAAATACTCCAATTTCGAGACTCGACCTGCTCGCTACGTACGTCTTGTAGCCGTCGCTGAAGCAAACAACCAGCCTTGGACCAGTATCGCCGAGATCAACGTCTTCAAGGCTGATTCTTATACCAAGCCTCAGACTGGTATCGGCAGTTGGGGACCGACACTCGATTTCCCGATTGTTCCTGTAGCTGCTGCAATTGAGCCAACATCTGGAAAGGTCCTTGTTTGGTCTTCCTACCGCAACGATGCCTTCGGAGGGTCTCCCGGTGGCGTTACTTTGACCTCGACATGGGATCCATCTACAAATGTTATCTCTCAGCGTACTGTGACAGTCACCAAGCACGATATGTTTTGCCCTGGTATCTCATTGGATGGGACTGGGCAAATCGTAGTCACTGGTGGCAATGATGCTCAGAAGACCAGCCTCTATGATTCCTCTAGCGATGATTGGATCCCAGGTCCTGATATGCAGGTTGCTCGTGGCTATCAGTCATCAGCTACTTTGTCGAATGGTCGCGTCTTCACAATTGGTGGCTCTTGGAGCGGAGGTGAATTTGAGAAGAATGGCGAAGTCTATGACCCATCTTCCAAAACATGGACATCGTTGCCTGGAGCCCTTGTCAAGCCAATGCTGACGGCCGACAAGCAAGGCATCTACCGTGCTGATAACCATGGATGGCTATTCGGGTGGAAGAAGGGATCGGTATTCCAAGCCGGACCAAGCACTGCCATGAATTGGTATTTTACCAGTGGGAAAGGTGATGTTAAGTCAGCTGGTAACCGTCAATCTGATCGTGGGACTGCTCCAGATGCTATGTGCGGAAATTCGGTCATGTATGACGCAGTCAAAGGCAAGATTCTCACTTTTGGGGGCTCGCCAGACTATCAAGATGCGGACGCCACTACCAATGCTCATATCATCACGATCGATGAGCCTGGAAAGACTCCCAAGACTGTCTTTGCTAGTAACGGCTTGTATTATGCTCGCACGTTCCATACATCAGTTGTCCTTCCTGATGGATCCGTTTTTATCACTGGTGGTCAGCAGCATGGTGTTCCGTTTGCCGACACAACCCCCCAGCTTACACCAGAGCTCTACGTACCCGATGCGGACACCTTTTACAAGCAGCAACCAAACTCTATCGTTCGAGTTTATCACAGCATTTCTCTACTGCTGCCTGATGGTAGGGTATTCAATGGTGGGGGCGGTCTTTGCGGCGATTGTACTACCAACCACTTTGATGCCCAGATCTTTACGCCAAACTATCTTTACAATAAGGACGGCACCCTTGCGACACGTCCCAAGATCACCAAAGTATCTACTAAGAGCGTCAAAGTTGGCGGAAAGGTTACGATTTCAACAAATGGTACTGTCAAGCAGGCGTCGCTAGTACGATACAGCACAGCAACCCATACCGTTAATACCGACCAGCGTCGCGTCCCCCTATCGTTGACCAACACTGGAGGAAACAACTACTCATTCCAACTTCCGAACGACTCTGGAATTGTTTTGCCTGGTTATTGGATGTTATTTGTGATGGACTCGGCAGGTGTCCCAAGTGTTGCAAGCACTCTCTTTGTTACTCAATAATTCTTTCGCTTCGTCTCTGGAAGTAAGCTGTAGCTTGGTTATCTCAAACAGAAATGTCAGTCCTTATTTATTACAACGCCTGGTTCCTCACAGTCTACGTAAATGAAATGCGCAACAACACATAATTAGTAATGTGGAGATTGAAGTCCAGTAGCTAGCGAATAAGAAATCCTTTTTACAATCTTTGATGATGAATCATGATAAAATAACATAACCCTAAATACTAACCGATTAAACCAAAGGAAAAATACGCAAGTGGAAAAAAACCCAAAAATAAACGCAGGGTCTAGCTTCAACGAGATGTCAAAGTAGCCTCATACGCCTCTAGCCACGCTAAAATCCTTTCCTGGTAGCACATCCTGTTATCAAACTCAACTGTCACAGACACACATCCCTGCATGGCATGCACAGACACATCAAACAACGCAAAACGGTCAATCGCTGGTGGATTGGCCACTGGCAGGCCTTTGAACAGAGCATCGTCTCTCTCCAGCTGCTGGAATTGGCCGTAGTAGTTGAAAATGACCTCGACCGGGAATTGCGAGACAAAGGCATCGGCGGCCTCAGGGCTGGAGAAGCTCGAAGTAAAGTAGTCCCAACCATTTCGGTCAAAGCTACGGATGGAATCAGAAGTCTTTTGTAGCATTATTCCAAGGTCGGTGGTGCTTTCTTCGATATGGACTGGATACATCGTCGTGAACCAGCCCACCGTTCTGGAGATATCTAGAGACTCGTCCCAGGCCTCTCGCCCGTGACTTTCGTTGAAGACAACGGGCAATGGTCGGTCGATGAAGATAGAATTGAAAGAATGGAGCATAGACGCTATCAAGATCTCGAGAGGCCGAGGCCCTGTGCTGTCATTATGCTTGTTGAGTAACATTTCCGCGGCCTTTCCCTCCACCCTGAAGGTCTTCGTGTTCGTACACGCCATGCTTAGACGTACATCGGGACTCAAGCCCCAGTAGGATATGGGTGCAGGGAATAGTGTCTCGAATTTGTTGTGGAGGTGCGTCGATGCATACTTGGATTGTAGCGTGGACCATGCTGGGAAGCTCAGGCTGCGTGAAGTCGTGATTTCTTTACCGTTGAGGAGATCCTCTAGTTCTCCTAGGATAATGCGCCAGCTCATCATGTCGACGGCCAGATGGTGTATCGAGATGAACAAGGTTTGCGTGGAGGCATTCTCAAAAAGTACCACTGCTACCAATGGCCCGTTTTCGATGTCGAGGCTTGATCTACTCTCCTCGATAACTCTGTCCTTCTCTTCCACGGTCTTCCCGATGTGCCTTGAGATGCTGAAACTGTCGTTCGAGTCACGAGAGAAATATTGCTTGACACCATCAGTTGTCTTTTTGTACCGCGCACGGAAAATTGAATGTGTCTTCAGCATGACCCGGAAAGCCTTGTCGATTGTTTCAAAGGGGATATGACGCGTAAGCTCGAAATGGAAACATTGGTCAAAGACAATGGCTGGATTGTGGATCAGTTTAAAGTAAAGTTGCTGGATCGGACTCAGTGGGAATGATTGTCCAGGGTCTTCAGTGAAGCCACTGAGGTCGAGCTGTTGTGGCGTTTGGGTGGATTCACCAGCTGCTAGAATGCGAGAGATTGTCTTTTCCATCAGAATACGACTGGTCGAGATCTTCAACGCATCGGCCAACGCCGCAGCCGATACTTGCATGGCAGTGATAGAGTCGCCTCCCAAGCTGGTGAATGTATCATCGAGGCCGATGCTGGTAGCGTCCACATTGAGGATCCTTGCCCAAAGGTTCTGCATCGTCACCTCCTCATCTGTCACTGGCATCCGTCTTTCTCCTCTGTTTTCATTGCGCAGCTGGATCATGTCCGATGCGGAGAACGAGGACCCAATCTGCTTGAGTTTCTTGCGATCTGTCTTGGTTGAGTTGGTGACAGGTAGATAACCCAATTGAAAAAAGACTGTTGGGATCATGTAACCGGGAAGGACCTTTGCCAGGGCCTCTTCTGCCCCTCTGGGAAGGGACAAGACACTTGACTGAACATCAGTTGTCGTATCTTGCTTCTGATCTTGTTTTTCGAAAACAAGGAAAGCGGCCAGTTCCTCTCTGCCGCCAGGCCCAGATGGCTTGATGACCTCAACAGCGACTTGTTGGACATCAGCTATGGCAGTTCGTAGGTGGTGCTCAACTTCACTAAGCTCTAATCTCTGGCCGCGTAACTTAGCCTGGTTGTCCTTTCGTCCCTTGAACACCAAGCTGCCATATTGGTTAGAATAGACGAGGTCGCCAGTCTTGTAAAGCGTTGAATGGCGCCCTGGGTAGTTTGCACTACCATCCTGAAGCCATTGGGGACTGGATATGAAGACTTCCTCAGTGCGAGACTTGTCTCCAAGATATCCTCTTGCCAACGTGTGGCCTTCGACAACGAGTTCTCCAACTACCCCTGGAGGAAGTAGGCGGTTCGAGTCATGGGGATCGACAACCCAGCAACAGCAGCCAACAGAAGTACCTATCTCGATAGTGTCACTTGGTCGACCTACGTTACTGATCGTAGCTATGATGCCGCATTCTGTTGGACCATATGCGTGGCAAAGGTTCTCAATGCAAGCCCACTTCTCAACGTCCTCCTGTGTCATTGACTCTCCGCCAAGGGCGAGTGTCTTGAGATTCGGCACGTCTGAGGGACTCAAGAGCTTAGCGACTGTTGGTGTGAGTAACATCATGCCAGGATCGGAGGCCTTGGCTGTTTCTCGGAGGTTGTTCCGTAAATCGTCCCCGGAGGGTATGACGATGGTGCTTCCAAAGCAAAATGAAGTAAGGATTTCAACCATACTAGCATCGAACGTGTAGGACGCGAATTGAAGTACTCGAAGCTCAGGTGCGTAAAAGAGTCTCTCTCCGTGGGCCATGCAGGATGTGCTGATTGCAGCGTTGTCCAACACAACGCCTTTTGGTAGACCCGTGCTACCAGACGTGAAGATGACGTATATTGGTGCCTGCAAATTGGGGCTCGGTAACTCGGTTGTTGGCATATTCCTGCAGGCCGCGATTGTTTCGGGGCCTATAGCCAAGACTAAAAGACGTTCCCCGTATGACACGGAGGCATGTTTCACTGACGTCAAAACGAGGCTTGATCCGAGCTGGTTGAGGATCTGGTTCCTCCGTTCTGGTGCCTGCGTTGGATCAAGAGCGACGAAGGCGGCTCCCGCTTTCATAATAGCTAGCATGGAGACAACAGCCCAAACGCTCTTTTCGAAGAACAAGGGTACCTTGTCCTCAGGTACCACGCCGGCTCTGATCAGCTCAGAGGCCAGAATGGTCGTCACCTCATCCAATTCCTTGTAAGTCAGTCGGCCGTCCCAAGCATCTATGGCCAGGACATCAGGGTGCTTCTGGGCGTTGATTTGGAATATCTCATGGATGCAAAGGTCTTGACGTGCTGGGAGCGTAGAGTTCCAACCCCAAACTTGCTCAAGTTGACGAGGAGACAGGCTGTGAATCACTGATAGAGATTGCAGTGGATCATTCGTGGCAAGTTGCGAGAGGACGAAAGCGAATCGATCAAGCATGTTTTCGATATGCCAATCTTCGATGACTCTGGGATCAAACTTGGCTACTAAGTCGAATCCATCTTCGGTTATCTCGCACAGCACAGTCAGTGCGTAAGTGGTGAATGCATTGTCTGATCCCGGCAGAGCACGCCACGTGCCGAAGGAAGAAGTGGTAGCCTCGCTATTCCCGCCCGGCTGAACTACCACAAGAGTGTTGAATTGACAAGCCCTCTGTGTATGTTGACTAAGGCGCGATATGTTCTGTAGACCGAACTGCTCATGCGGAATGGTCGCCGCAGACTGACGCTGGACTTTCTCAAGGTAGCTCGAGACCGTGTCTTGCGGGGAGATCTTCACGCGGAATGGTACCGTTGCAATGGTCGGTCCAATCATCGTTTCAATCGTGGCTACTGAAGCATTTCTCCCAGAAACAACGGATCCAAACACGATATCTTGGGAGCGGGTGTAGTCGCCTACCGTCAAGGCCCAAGCTGCATTGACCATGGATGCTTTTGTTACGCCACCAGGAAGGACTGGGGGTAATGTACAATGCGAGGTAACTGTGCCACTTGAGCTAACGCCTCGTAGAGCGCGTGGAATAAGTGGGAAGGGATCTTCCTCGAAGCCCAAAAGACTCTGCTTCCAAAATGCAGCTGAAGCATCCGAGTCTGACTCTTGGAGGTACTTGATGAACATGTTGTACCCCAGCTGTGGCTTTGGTGCTTGTTTGTGCTGTAGTTGGTACACAAGGTCGTTGATAAGCTGCATAGAGATCCCGTCGTACAGCGCATGATGTATTGTCCAGACAAACCATTTTACCCCTGTCTTGGGCTCAGAGACGATTGCAAATCGTGTCAAGGGTTCCCCAAGCCCCATAGGCTTCTTCTTGTCCTCTTCTAGATAGCTCTCAAGACTGTCTGCCGTGTGCCATGCGACTTTGTGACTTAGTACCACCTGGAATAGTCCCGAGGTGAGCTGAACGATTCTGGTACGAAGAATAGGACTCAAGTAGACAGCGTGGTCCCAGACATCTCGCAGTTGATCGAGGTCGGTGTTTTCTTCCAGTTCCATTGCTTGTTGAAGGATGTAGTCACCGTGACGCTTGGAAGTCAGAGCGAGTAAGCCTTGTTGCAGGGGAGAGCAGGGGTATATATCCTGGATCTCCTCAGACTGAACCGCACAAGCAATGGAAGCTTGCTCTTTGTACTTTGAGATATCCTTGTTGCCTAAAAGAGAAAATGGTGGGATCTTTACGAGTGCCTTGCTTGTGTTGACTGATAGTCGTTTGGCTTGGTCTTCCAGTATAGGATTTTGGAAAACCTCTGCCACAGAAATAGCGAACCCTCCGCGGCGAGCCTCTGTCACAAGTTTCATTGCAATGATAGAGTCTGCACCGAGCTTGAAGAAGTGATCATGTATGCCTACAGAGGCGGCATTGAGGTTGAGGAGAGTTGCCCAAAGTTTCTGTAGGGCAGTTTCGCTGTAGGTAGTGGGCTGCTGCTTGATGGTGCCGGAGTCATTACTAAAGTCGTGAATCTGTGCGGCTGTGAATGAAGACCCAATCGTCTTGAGCTGTGCTCGGTCTGTCTTTCCCGAGATATTCAAAGGCAGTGACTCGACGGCGATGAATACATTTGGACACATATATGCTGGGAGGGCTTCAGAGAGCTGTCTGGTTGTCTCGCTGGGAACGAAGATCAACTGTGGCGTGGTAACGTCCGAGATACGAAGAACAACAAAGGCCGCCAGCTGTTGGTTATTGGAGGCTCCGGCGGGCGTGATGACATCAACGGCAGTTTCAACAGCGTCTGAAAAGCATTGAAGAACCTGATGTTCGATCTCGCCCAGTTCCACACGTTGCCCGCGAATCTTGATTTGCTGGTCTTTGCGTCCGAGGAAATGCAACTCGCCATTTTTGTTGTACCGCACAAGATCTCCAGTCTTGTAGAGACGACCCCGTCGTCCTGGGTAATTCTCACCACCTCCTCGAACAAGCCAGGATGGATCGTTGATGAAGGCCACCTCTGTTGCTTGAGGGTTCGAAAGATAACCATTGCCGTCATTGATAGGGCCCTCGATGAGAAGCTCTCCTGGAGTTCCGATGGGGGCCAATACTTGATGATCTTCAGGGTTGACGATCCAAGTCACGGATCCAGCTCCTGTTCCGATAACAATGTCCTCATCATCGCGATGATTACCGAGATTGAAAATCGTGCTGGTTGGAGTGCATTCTGCAGGTCCATATGTGTTGATGACGCGGACGTGAGCTGGCCACCTCGAAACATCGCTCGCCATCAAGCTTTCGCCACCCAAGATCAAGGTCTTCACGCCAGGCACCTCGCTTGGGTCGATCAAGCGACTGACAGCAGGCGTCAGATCGATAAAATTGGTATTGAAAGAGTTGATAGAATGCGTGAGCCTGTTCTTTCGATCATCTTCCGACGGGATGCAAAGACATGCTCCTACCGTCAGGGTGAAGAGGATATTGGAGATGGAGACATCGAAGGCATATGAAGCAAAGTCGAAAACTCGACATGAACCGCAGTAGCCCATACGTTGTGCTTGGTGTTGAATTGCAGAGGCAAAGGATCTATCGCTGACAAGTACGCCCTTAGGCTCACCCGTCGTACCAGATGTGAACACAGCGTATAGGCCTGATGAAGGGTCAGTGGTGGGAAGTTTTTGAAGAGGTATGGAATCAGATAACGAAGGCGTTGGGCCAACAAGAACAACCATGTCAGCCATAGGCTGTGCCCTTCGGAAAGTGCTCTCGGTAGCAAGCAGTATAGGTGACCCTATCCTGTTCAACATGGTATGTAATCGCTGCTGCGGAAGGCCGGTATCAAGAAGCACAAATGTGGCCCCTATTTTCATGACTGCGAATAACGCCACGATGGCCCAGCGGGACTTGTCCGAGAAAATAGGAACAAGCGATCCCTTTTGTGCACCAAGGTGGAGCAACTTCATGCTCAGTGAATATGCCTCAGAATCTAACTCGCTGTAGGTAAGCTTTCCGTCCCAAGAGTCGATAGCTGGATGATCTGGCTGTTCTCTGACTTTCGCTTCAATCATGCTTCGTACAGACGTCTTGGAGGCTTCAGGTAAAGTTCTGTTCCAGATCCATAAGCACTGTCGATCCTGCTCGGAGAGGCAGTCCAGCTTCGATAGAGTGGAAGAAGAATCACTGATTATCCCAGACAATGCATTGGAGAATGAAGATGCGACGCGTGAGCTCTCGGACCCAAGGAAATCGGACCGGCTGACGATGATAACCTCGAAAGCTTCATCGCTGTCTATGGCTTGGATCCAGATATCATACTAAATTCTTCAATCAGCTTGGAGACTAAATAATAGAATAAATTGGATTAAGAACTTACCTCAGTGGGATCCTCGCCGGCAATAGAATCAACCTGGACAGCCGAACTCTCCTGACTAGCTCCCTTGACAACCTTCTGTAACGTCACGACACTATTGAAGAGTGACGAAGATCCAAGTTCAAGGAGATTGTGTATCTCGGCAAGAGAGACGGCTTGGTGTGATAGACCTTGCAGATAGTCTTTTTGTAGTGTTTGTAGAAGCGCCTTGAAGGGAGCATCCGGCGTCTGTGGGGCCTTACATGGCAACATACCGATGAAAGGGCCAAATATGTCGTTCACGCGATCGATTGGCACATCCCGACCGGAAGATAGGACGCCAAATGATGGACAAGAAGAACCTGTGTATAGGCTCAACACGGCCGCCCACGCTAGTTGCAGCACCGTGGCAGGCGTCACCTCATGCTCTGCACAGAAACGGCGCAGTTGAGCAGTGTCAATGTCAGGAACCTCGATGGCCGTTTCCTTGGTGTTTGCATAGCTCTCCGCCAGGCGGGGAAAGAAACAAGGCTCAACTTTGTCAAGATACGATCGCCAATGGGCTAGGCCTTGCTCATGTGACGTCTTCCCGATGTACGTGATGAAGTCTTTGTATGAGGGACATCGAGTGTCGAGATCGCCGTCGAAGGCTGCTCGAAGGTCATTGATGAGGATACTTTTCGAGTGCGCGTCTGTTATGGCGTGGTTCATTTCAAACATAAGACGGGCAGCTGTTGGGCTTTGGCGAGCAATCAGCAGTCGATGCTGTAGTCTGGCAATAGGTATAGATTTGCGGTCCTCATCATCAGTATTGTTGAGAAGCTGACCGGGCTGACCTCTCAATTCCTGAACCTCGACATCAGGTACAGGATCTTTGAGAACAACGTGAATGTGCAAGTGTCCGCCTTCAACAATGACGGATCTCAAAAGCGCGTGTTTCTTGACTACTTTGCACCATGCGTCCCGAATACGTTGAAGATCCAAAGGTATCCCATCATTGCTGGTGGAGAGCTCCACTTCAAAAGTCGTCTGATAGTTTTCAGTGCTCTTCATTTGACTGACCAGCATACCTTCCTGGATCGGTGCGCAGGGGAAGATATCATCAACCTCTGGAGGAACGTTTCCCAAGTTGGGCAAGGTCGTGTGGATGAACTGGTCCATCTCTGCATAGGACTCGAACACTCCCGGGAAGTCTGCCAGTGTCCATTCGGCTACTCTCGTAGCAAAGTCAGACCCAATGGTTGTGAGAGTCTCCGCGTAGTGATGCATCCACGATTTGATACCCTCTTGCCGTAATAATGTCTCGTCATAAACCATCATTACATGCAGTTGACCGTTGCTAACCTGGACAAGGATATCGAACAGGGACGAACGCTGGTATTTAGTCAACGAAGGGGGGTTACTGCCTTCTGGCAAGGGGATGGTCTCGAACAAAGCCTCCTTCCGTTCCATCTGCTGATACAGGCCAGCATAATTGAATGTGATTTCTGAAGGGAGCTGAGAGATGAAGTCTCTCGCCTTGTCTGAGGTCGAAAAAGAGGAGGTAAAGTAGTCCCAGCCGTTCCTCGGTATGCTACGCATCACATCTTTGGTTCGACGAACAAATTCTGTAATGCCTACAATATCGTCGCCGATGGAGAGTTGAATCGGATAGAGTGTTGTGAACCAACCAACCGTCTGCGAGATGTCAATTGAGTCGTCCCAAACTTCGCGGCCATGACTTTCGTTGAAAACGGCAGGGACTCCTCTATCTGGGAATGCCTTATTGAAAGAGTACATGAGGGCTGATATCATCAGCTCAACCGGCTGGGTCTGGAAAGCGCCATTGCATGCACCAAGGATGGCAGAGGTGATAGTTTCGCCCAAGGAGAAGTCTAGGGTACTAGGCATCTTTGATGTGGTGTGACTGGCATCCAGCCCCCAATAGGAGAGCATAGGGGGCGAAGGCGTGAAGAGAAGCTCAGATTTCGAGTCTAGATGTTCAAGTGCATAAGACCTTTGCATTCTAGTCCAGGTTGGAAATGCCAGGCTTGATTGAACGGGAGATGTTCCAAGGACTAGGAGTTCCTCTAGTTGTTGTAGCAAAACTCTCCACGAAACGAGATCGACTACCAAATGGTGAACTGAGATGAAGAGTCGTTGAGAAACTTCTTCTCCTCCATCAAATAGTATGGAGGAAAGCAGGGGACCCTTCTCAATGTCTAGTCTTTCCCTTGCGCTAGCAACGAGGACAGACACTTCAGTCTCCTTGGGGCATTTCTCGTACTGAACGGAAAATGACGAATCGAAGTCATCAGAAAGTATTTGTTCCCATACGCTGGGCGATGTTTCCCGGAACCGAGTATGCAAGACTGGGTGTTGGATAATCAATGTTCTCAATGCGTTGCAGAGCTCTGCATGTGACACACGTGTCCTTAGCTTCAGAAAGAAAGCCTGGTCAAATGATATCCTCGGGTCGATCTGTGTAGAGAAATAAAGGTTCTGGATGGGGCTTAGAGGGAAGCTCTGGCCTGTAACAAGCTCAAGAGGTACGGGAACAACAGATGAGGACTTTTGATTGTCTTCAGTTGAGGCCAAGATTCGAGATATGGTCTTTTCACGAAGGATTTGAGCCACAGAGACCCATAGCCCTTGGGCTCTTGCACCCGAAGAGACTCGCATGGCAGTGATGGAATCTCCACCCAGCCGGAAGAAGCTATCGTCGAGGCCAATGCTGGAGGGTTCGATATTGAGGGCGTCGCCCCAAACATCGCGAAGAATGCGTTCAGCTTCTGTTGTGGGTGCTCGCTTACCAGTACTTGACGGTACAAGCATAGAAGCAGCAGTGGTAGACGCAATCCTTTGCAGCGCCTTGCGGTCCGTCTTACCCGAGCTTAACAGCGGCATATGGTCCATCTCCCAGCAGATAGTCGGGATCATGTAGGCTGGCACCTTCTTGACCATGTCGTTTTCAACATCGACGGGGAGAGAAAAGGTACGTGGGGTTGTACTTTCGGATATCTTCGCCGCATCCTCATTGTTTCGTGTAAGCGTTACAAAGGCTGCAAGGCGAGGTGCCGTTCCCTCCCCAGAAAGTTGGACAACCTCAGCAACGACTTCAGAGGCTCGAGGCAGGCATGACTTGAGGGCGTGCTCAACTTCACCCAGGTCGACCCGCTGTCCTCGTATCTTGACTTGGTTATCCTTTCGTCCCACATAGCTAACGCTTCCGTCTTGGTGAAGAAATCCAAGATCTCCTGTCTTGTACAAGCGGCCAGACCGACCAGGTATTCCGGTGGCGCCCTGCAAGAGCCATCTTGGGTTATCGATAAAAACAGCACCCGTCTGGGCTTGGTCGTTGGTGATTGGGCCTTCAATTAGGAGCTCGCCGATCAAGCCAAACGGCAGTAGCACTTGATCATTCTTCTCGTCTACCACCCAGACATTGCAGCCAGTTGGCAACTCCATTTGCTTCGGGTTTCGGTGCCATCCACTAACTGCCAGAACGTCCGATTGGTCTTGCACTCTTTGCTGAACGATTTCGTGAATGGAAAGGTCAATACTATCCGGCACGTCTTTATTGAGGAGCCAGATCTTGCTTCTCTCGTCGTCACTCAGAAGGTTCAAGTCAACGATACGAGCATGGGGTGAAGAGACGATGGCTGACAATGCGGAGGAGAAGCTACTGCCAATACGAGAGTCATGGGCTGTGATCGTCGTTGCGGGCGCCTCTATCATGACTGAGAGAGTGCTTCCATCATCAGTGACATGCACATTTACATCGTACTGTGTAGTGATTAGCTAACTTTCCTCCATTTGTGGGCACATATCTCAAACCTCTGTTGGATCATCTCCGCCAATAACTGAAATTATATGGCTTCGACTATTGCTGACTTCCTTTTTTCCAATGCGTCGAAAGGACATGGCGCTATTAAAGAGCGAAGCCCCCTCCAAACCAAGAGCGTTCTGAATAGAGGCAAGGGACACCGACTGATGAGATGATCCTGCGATGTAATCTCTCTGTGCCGCCTTCAACGTTTCCACGACATTCTTCTCGCCGTCCAATGCTACCCAAATTGGCAACATACCAATAAATGGGCCGAATATTGAGTCTATACCTGGTATAGGCAAGTCTCGTCCTGAAGTCACCACACCAAAACAGGGCCGTGCTGTTGATCCAGTAAATTGGCTGAGTACGAGAGCCCACGCTGTTTGACAGACGATAGCCGGTGTGAGCTCGAATTCAACACAGAGTGCACGGATTGCATCGGAATCGATGCCGGCGACTTGTATCATGGTCTTTCCCTGGTTTTTGTCTGAAGCATCACCATCCGCCAGAACGGAAAAGTGGCATGGATCAACTTCTTTCAGATATTCGGTCCAGTACGACAATGCAGCTTTTGGCGATTGCTGGTCGATGTGGGATACAAAGCGGCTGAAGGAGACTTGCTTGGTGGTGAGAGTCTCGTCAAGATACGCTTTGGTGAAATCGTTGAGTAGGATATCCCTGGAGAAGGCGTCTGTAATTGCGTGGTTCATCTTGAGGACGAGTTTGGCCTCTGTATCACCCTCAGGTATGATAACCAACTGATGCTCCAGAAGACCCTGGGCTCGCTCATACTCTGTAGTGGCATGTACCTCATTTGCGTTATCTCCTCGATTACGGATAGTGATAGTCGGTTCCGGGTCTTTGAGGACCACATGCATCGTCCGGCTGGCTCCAGGGAATTCGGGGAAGAAGACAGCTCGCAAGAGCGCATGCTGCCTTACTACAGCCCGCCAGGATCTCTGAAGCCTGTCTATATCCAGTGGAGCACCTGTTGTAGCTGTCGAAAACCAAAAGACGTTCGTGGTTCGATACATGTCAGGGTTCTTCGCCTGAGTGAAAAGTATCCCTTCCTGCAACGGGGAACAAGGAAATATCTCCTCAATGTCATCCAAACCTATCCCCCTCAGCTTCGGGAGAACATGCTTTTTGAAGTCATTGATGTCTCTGTAGGTTGCGAATACTGATGGGAAATCTGACAGTGTCCACTCAAGCTGGCGGGTAGGGAGTCTCAGTGTAAGGTCTTTCAACGTCATTTCATACAGGCCCAACCAATTGTGAATTCGGTCCTGATGCCTCAAGCTGGCATCAAACGAAAAGTTGCAGCTCATTCTGCCATCGGTATTCTGCACAAAGACGTTGAACAAGGCAAACTCGCGGAAGTCTCGGGCCGTCTGAGACTCGCAGCCAGGAGGTAAAGGAAGGGTCGAAAACATCGTATCCGGCTTCTCAGAATGCTTTGTTCCTGCTCCTGAAGAGTAGTTGAACATTATCTCAACAGGGAATGAGGAGATGAAACGCCTAGAATTATCAGAGTTGGCGAACTGGGAGGTAAAAAAGGACCACCCATTCTTTGAGATACTGCGCATCGCATCTTTGGTCATACGAATGGCATCCCATATGCTCAGGCCTTCTTGCCTATCCTCTGCCATCTGAACCGGGTACAGGGTGGTGAACCAGCCAACTGTTCGAGCTAGGTCAAGCCCATCGTCCCATGGTTCACGGCCATGGCCTTCGTTCCATATTGAAGGAATGGGCCTGTCGGGAAATGTGACACGAAACGAATACAAGAGAGCGGCGAGTAAAAGCTCTAGTGGCTGTGTTTGGAAAGGATCGTTACAATACCCAAGTAGAGCCTGGCTGACATCTTCACTCAGTTCAAATGTCTTGAACACCTTGGGCTTGCCTGACTCATCGTTGTCGCACCAGTATGATAGCATTGGTTTAGTGGGTTGGAGCTCGTCTAATGCCAGGTTTGAGGTCGCGTAGTCATCTTGCAGAGTAGACCATATCGGGAAGCTGATCTCTGGTGGCTCCGGCATGGATCCTTGCAAGATGCTTTCTAGATCAGAAATGAGGATATTCCATGACACAATATCGACTGCGAGATGGTGTATGCTGATGAACAGTTCCTGGCTGTGTTCGAACCAAGCTGCTGCAAGAAGGGGTCCTTCTTCGATATCGAGACAATTCCGTGTCTCAGCTATCACACTCGAGCGATTTCCTGTGTCGAATTGCGGCTCACTGTTGAGGATACAGGCATTGTCTTGTCCCTTCGCAAGATATTGCTCCCATCCCACAGATGTTCCTTTTCGGAAGCGCGCCTGGAGAGCTGGGTGTAAGGTGACAAGGTTTCCGAGACCATCACTCAAGAGCTGGTGTGATAGCGAGGTATGCACCTTCAAGAAGATAGTCTGATCAAAGGCCATACCAGGGTTATGCTGATAGTTGAGATAGAGCTGTTGCATTGGACTCAGTGGGAACTGGTCCCCAGGTGAGATTTTGACGTCTGAGCTCGCTGACAACGATGGCTGTGACTCAGAAAGGGTATCAAGGATGTTGGCAATGGTTTTCTCCTGGAGGATCTGTCGCGTGGAGATGTCTAAGCCGGCAGCACGAGCAGCGGAAGACACCTCCATGGCACGTATCGAATCACCCCCAAGCCGAAAGAAGCTATCGTCGACACCAATCTGGGAGTTCTCTACTCCTAAAGTACGGGACCATATCGTCTGCAATAAGATTCCCTGTTTTGTTGATGGCGGACGCTTCGTTCCATGCGTGGTACTTCGCAGGGCGGAAAGCTCAGACTCCGTAATGGACGAGCCGAGGCTTCTCAAGACCCGACGATCAATCTTGCCTGTTGTTCCAAGCGGGAGCCAGTCTACTGACACAACGAGAGTTGGAATCATGTATCCCGGTAGTCGAGTGGTCAGCTCCTTTTCCACAGAGCTTGGGAGTAACAGTAGACGTGGTTTAGGCTGTTGTGACGTGTCCTGGCTTCCCATGCCTACAGTCCGCTGATTATCCCTGGATACCACAAATGCGGCCAACTCAGTTCGACCAGTCACTCCAGAGGGCTTGATTATCTCCACAGCGACATGTTGAGCGTCAGAGATACACGCCAGGACGTGATGCTCGATCTCGCTGAGCTCTACTCTTTGACCTCGGATTTTCACTTGGTTGTCTTTGCGGGCAATGTAGATAATATTTCCATCATCGCCCAGGCGAACCTGGTCACCAGTTCGATAGAAACGAGATTCATCTGGGAGACCCAGTCGTGATGCCCACCGTGGCCTCTGGATAAACACAGCTTCGGTCTGTTCTTGGTTATTGAGGTATCCTTGCGCCAAGACAGGCCCTTGCACCAACAGCTCTCCAGTGGAACCGATGGGGAGTAGTTTGTGGGGATCATTAGCATCTACAACCCAAGTATTGCAACCAACACCTGTACCTATTGACTTGAAGTTTCCTACTTCAAAGTCTATGCGACCAATGACGCACAAGATAGACGCTTCGGTCGGGCCATAGCCGTGGAACAAATGGGGAAGATGTGACCAGCGCTTGAAGTCCTCTGGCTTGGACACTTCTCCAGAGATGAGCAGAGTAGCGAGGTTAGGCACCTCAGATGGTTGAATCAATCTCGCTACTGACGTTGTGATAGCCATTAACGTGATGCCCATTTTCCTGAGTGCGTCGTCTTTATAGCCCAGACGATCCTCGTCTGAAAGCATGCAGACGCAGCCACCGAATGTCAGGGTGGTAAATATCTCCAGCACGGAGGGATCAAAGGTGAAGGAGGCGAATTGCAAAGTGCGGGTGTCCTTGTTGAAACCCATAACCTTTCCATGGTAGAAGCAACTGCTACTAACCGCTGAGTGCTGAATGAGGACTCCTTTAGGGGTTCCTGTACTTCCAGATGTGAACAGAATATAAGCTAGACTTTCAGGGTCAGGAGGCGGGAGGAGTTGTTGACTAGACGGTTTATGACCCATATGAGCGGAGTTCGTACCAATGTTGATGATACGATAGTTGGGGCTTAGCATGTCCACTTCGACACTTTCGGATGCCAACACAATCTTCGCATCAAGCTGCTTGAGAATTCCTAGCCTGCGCTCTGGGGCCTGTGTTGGATCCAACGGGATAAATGCACTGCCTGTTTTCAGAATCGCCATCATAGCCACGATAGCCCAGCGAGACTTCTTGAACCAAATTGGTATCTTGGCGTTGGGCTCGACTCCGATGGACATGAGATAGAAGGCCAGCTGATTGGACAAGAGATCAAGCTTCTTGTACGTGAACTCTCCGTCCCATGCGTCAACTGCTTGCTTCTTGGGTCGGAGGCGAGCTTGATCCTGGAATGAACTATGAAGACACTGACGGATAGGTTGAGGTACTTTAGAATTCCAATTGTGGATCTGTTCGATGTGTTGGTTACTCAGAAGGTCCAGGTCTGAAAGGCGGGATTCTGGTTTGGATTGTACAATCGCTGAAATGGCCACGCCAAGCATATCCGCTACTTGATTGCCACATGAGCCAAGGATGTCGGTAGGACTCGTTATCGCAACTTCAATTGCATAGTTGCGGTCAGTTACTTGGATACAAACGTCGTAATCCGTGTTGTCGTCTCCATCAATCATTTGCACATTGACTTCTTTATCCCCACTCTTAGGTTCCTCCTTGACCTTTTGTAGTGAGATGACGCTGTTGAAAAGGGCCGAGGTGCCAAGGCCAAGCTTGTTGTGGATGGAGGCAATGGGGACAGTCTGATGGTCCATGTTCTTGAGCATGTCATCCTGAACAATATTGAGGAGATCTCCGATCGTGGTCTCGTCCTTCAGAGGCACCCGGCAGGTAAGCATACCTACCAGTGGTCCAAATATTTCCTCAACGTCATCGATGGGTAAGTCTCTGCCCGATGAGATCACGCCGAAGCAAGGGATCAACGATCCTGTGAACTGCCTCAAGACCAGTGCCCACGCCACCTCAACCAGTGTCGCCGGGGTAATTTCAAGGCTCTCGCAGAAAGCGCGCAAGGCTGTTGTGTTGAGCCTGGTGACTAACCTATCTCGAGTGGTGGAATTTGAATCGGTGTACTTTAACGCGGGAAACTGACACGGCTCAATTTGGTCCAAGTATGTGGCCCAGTGCTGCAAGCCATCGTCGAGAGACTGTTGTTCAACATAATCTGTAAACCTATGGAATGAAGCGGGACTTGCTGGTAGTCGGGACGAGTAGGCTGCCTCCAAGTCATGGATGAGAAGATTTCGCGAGTGTGCATCTAGGATGGTATGGTTGATGGTTAGGAGCAGGTTGGCCTCTTGATCGCTGATCTGGGAAATAGACAAGTGATGTTGGAGACGGCCAGAGTTATGTTGTGATATCGTGGATGAAGTTGCCATGTTCGCTTCGTCAGGAACATGTACATCAATAGTAGGGTTTTTGAGAATAATATGCATCGTTTTCTTGCTTCCTGGAAAGTTGTCCACAAAGATGGCGCGCAGAAGGGCATGGCGACCAACGACCATATGCCAGGCCTCTTGCAGAGCACCCAGGTCAAGAGACTTGGTGCTCGTGGAGATACGCATTTTGAGTTGTGTCTGGTAAGCACCAGCATCCTTGGCCTGGCTCATGAGAATACCCTCCTGCATTGGAGAACAAGGGAATATGTCCTCAATATCTGACACATCAATGTCTAGTCTTGGAAGCAAGCCTTGTTGGAACGACTGCATGTCCTCATAGCTTGAAAAGGCGGAAGGGAAGTCCACAAGTGTCAACTCTGGCGTCCTGTCTCCAAGTTTGCTTTCCATGTCAATGAGAGTCTTCTCATACAGACTGAACCACCTGGTAAGCTGGTCCGATCTGGTACCGGATATTCGGCTATCGGTAACAAAAGTCACCGAGATGCGATCATCAACAGCTTGCACGAGGACCTCAATCAATGCTGTCCGTGCGTATCTCTTCATGGCTTCGGGCTGGCTGTTGGCGGGCACAGGAATGCTTTCGAATATTGCGTCATTCCCGCCCGAACTTTGCTGTGCGCCAGCGTAGTTGAATAAGATTTCCACGGGGAATAGAGATGCAAAGTCCGATGCTGACGCGGGAGTAGACAAATTGGAAACGAATGACTCCCAACCATTGCTAGTTTGAGATTGCATGTGGTCTTTTGTTCTGCGAATTATGTCGAGTAGATTGTGAGGTGACGCTGAGGAAATATCAATAGGGAACATGGTGGTAAACCAGCCCACAGTGGAAGTGATATCCAGTGATTCATCCCAGCTCTCGCGGCCGTGACCTTCATTGAAGAGTATGGGCAGTTCTCTGTCGTCAAACACCCTACCAAAGGAATACAGTAGAGCAGAGATCAATAGTTCGACAGGTCTTGTGTTGAACGCGTTGTTGCACTGCCCTCCGAGTGTTACTGAACTAGTTTTCTCCCCAAGAGTGAATGTTCGGTCTTCCGAGAACTCGTGTAAATATACATCTGTTTCCAGACCCCAATATGATCTTGGAAGAGACTTGAGGCGTTTGATGATGGCGGGATCCGCTTTGGTGTTCTTTGTTACATACTCGGACTGTAGGGTAGACCAAACTGGAAAGGATAGACTCGACAGAGGTCCGAGGCTGTTATCAGAGGATGATACGAGCACCTCAAATTCGTTTAGGGTAGTTCTCCAAGAAACTAGATCTACCACCAGATGGTGACAAGAGAGGAATATTTGCTGAGATGCTTCACTTTCGATCAACAGAGCAGCAACCAAGGGTCCCTGCTGAATGTTGAGGCTTCCCCGACAATGTTCAATGAGTTGAGATATGTCAGTGTCACGGACATCGGTGGCATGTCGGAATGAGATGGCCTTGTTCACTTCGTCAGTGATTGTGGATTCCCATCTGCCCGTAGAATTGAGTTGAAACCGAGCGCGAAGCATTGCGTGACGCGACACGAGAGACTCCAGTGCCTTGACGACCCCTGCATGTGACACCCTCCTGTTCAACTTGAGTAAAACGTTCTGATCAAAAGGAACAAACGGGTCTTGTTGAAGGTCAAAATAGAGTTGCATGATGGGACTCAAAGGGAATGGCTGGTTCGGGACTATTTTAACATCGTGAGCAATGGAAGCCGAGCTAGCCGGGTTAGCCATGATGTCTAGTCCGTCCACTATTCGCCGAATGGACTTATGGCGAAGTATTTGGGCGGTCGAGATATTCAACCCAGTGGCTCGAGCAGATGAAGACACCTGCATCGCCGTAATGGAATCGCCACCTAATCTGAAGAAGCTCTCGGTGACGGCTATTGCCTCGGACTCCATGTTGAGTACCCTACCCCAGATGGTTTGCAAAACTCGTTCTGGTTCGGACAAAGAACCGGATTGGGGTGCGCTTCGGAGGCGAACCAGGTCGGTAAATGGAATTGACCCAGCGATAGCTTTGAGTCTCCTGTGATCGGTCTTTGCGGATGCACTGAGTGGAAGGGCCTCCAACTGGATGTAGATGGAGGGTACCATGTAGCCTGGCAGTCTTTCTTCGAGAGACTCGTGCAAAGATCCGGGCACCTGAAGTAGACTGGCACTACCACTTTGACGTTCTTCACTGGATCTCAGGACAACAAAGGCGGCCAATTGAGGGCCACTGTTCTGCCCTGCCAAAGTTACAACATCAATAGCGACCTGGAGCGCCTCAGGGTAGCAGGTCGACACATGATATTCGATCTCTGACAGCTCGACGCGTTGGCCTCTGATCTTGACTTGACTGTCCTTCCTGTTGACGTAGGACAAGCTACCGTCAGTATTGTAGCGTACGAGATCTCCAGTCTTGTAGACTCTTCCTTGGCGGCCCTGTTGTCCTAAAGCGCCTTCAGTGAGCCACACTGGGTCGACGATAAAGGAAGCGCTAGTAGCTTCGACATTTCCGAGATACCCTGGACCGACCAAAGGGCCCTCGATAACAAGCTCGCCCACAACACCAAGAGGCGCTAGACGTGTATCATCATTGACATCCACTACCCATGTCACGGTTCCCGCACCCTTTCCTATTCGAACGAGGTGCTCAGGTTCACTACCGTGGTCACTGATTGTGCTGGTTGGTGTGCATTCCGCGGGCCCGTACGTGTTTATCAGGCGTAGATTCGGCCACCTGGCTGCTTCCTCTTGGCCCAGCGCTTCGCCTCCCAACATAAGCGTCCTCAAATCCGGGAGAGCGTTAGGATTGAGCAATCGACTAACCGTAGGTGTAAGGTGAACCAGGTTTGCACATGAAGCCACTATAGCCTGCATCAAGTCATCTTTGCGGGCTGTATCTGAGGGTACACATAGACATCCGCCCGTAGCCAAGGTCATGAGCATGTTATTGATGGACACGTCAAATGCGTATGAGGCGTAGTCAAAGACTCTAGCGGACGAGTTGAATTGTAGTCGTTCGGCCTGGTGAAGAATCGCTGATGCAAAGGCCTTGTGTGTTACCATGACGCCCTTCGGCACGCCGGTAGTGCCAGAAGTAAAGACAACATATAAGGTATCTGAAGGTTGAACCTTGAGTACAGCTGCGTCATTCTCGGCTGTTGGGTCTGATGTCTGCACGAGACCGTCATCAACTCCAACAAGAATAATCGTGCTCGCAAGAGACTCTGCAAGTATCTTTGTTTCTGGAGACGCGACAAGAATGTTAGACTTCGTTTGCTCAACGATAGATTGTAGTCTACTGGAAGGCAACGAAGTATCCAGTAAAACGAATGCGCCTCCAGCTTTGAGAACTGCAAGCGTAGCCACAGCTGTCCACATGGACTTTTCCAAACAAATTGGTACAATAGATCCCGACAAAACTCCGGATGCTTTCAGACGACTTGTTAGGTTTGTTGCTGAGCGCTCTAGTTCAGCGTATGTCAGCGAACCGTCCCAAGCATCAATAGCTAGGCTTTGTGGTTGAATCCGCATGGTCTCGGCGATCATATCATGAACGCAGAGATTGGCTGGCTCTGGTACCGAATGGTTCATGGTCCAGACTTCGTCCTTGTCTTTATCTTCAAAAAGACTGATACTGTTGTAGGCCTTTGATGGACTTTGCAAGATTGTCGAAATGGCGGTGCCCAGGTGTCGGCTGATGCGTGCCCCAAAGGCCCCGATCACGTTTCTTCGGCCGACAACCGACACATTGATACTAGAGCCATCATCAACGGCCTGGATCGATATGTCGTACTATTTGATTATATAAGTCAGTGCGGGCAACAGTAATACAATGACGGGGAAGTCTTACCTCGGTTGGATCTGTTCCACCAAGAATAGTTACATCAAGATCTGAAGGATCGTCCGGGGAAGGCTTCTGGTCTGCCCTTTGCACAGAAACAATAGTATTAAACAATGGCATTGTTCCAAGTCCAATCGCATTGTGGATTGCAGCGAGGGGAATTCCTTGGTATGGTAGCGCATGAAGATAGTCTGCTTGAATGTTCTTCAAACTCTCTGCAATTGATACTGGGCTCCTCGCGTCTACTCGACAGGGCAAGATCCCAATCAGCGGTCCGAAGATGTCATCAATACCCTTGAGGTTACTGTCGCGCCCCGACGTCAGTATTCCAAAAGAGGGCATGGTTGAGCTTGAGAATTGGCCCAATACCACAGCCCAAGCCGCTTGTATGACCGCAGCTAGGGTGACTTCCAAATCGGAGCACACCTTTCGTAAGAGATCAGTATCAATGCGCGGAACTTGAAAGCTGATTTCTTCCTCTTGGCCATCCAAACCATTGCCATCACTTCCTAGTGCGGGAAAGTAGCAGGGTTCAGTTTCGGACAGATATGACTTCCAGTATGAAACGCCTTCTTCGACAGGCCTTTGGTAGATATGCGTAATAAAGCTGCCAAAAGAAGGGGCATCTATTGATAATGAGTTATCGTACGCCGCCTGGAGATCTTTGATTAGGATCCCTCGGGAATGGGCATCAGTGATGGTGTGGTCCATGTCGACGGTCAGACGTGCCTCTGAGTCACCAATTCGACTTATGATCATCCTGTGTCTCAGATCTCCCATCCCATATGCAACAGGCAAGTCCTCTAACTGGGCATTAGGCCCTGTGCTGTGGTCTTTACGTTCAATAGCTGGCGAGGGGTCCTTGATGATTAGAAGCATAGACCGTGTGCTCCCCGGAAAACTTTCAGCAATAACAGCCCTGAGTAGCTGGTGTCGTTTTACAACCCCTCTCCACGCTTCCTCAACCTTGTTCAGATTGATTGAGCGACCCTTTCGACGAGTTGAGAGATGAAGTTCCATTCGGGTTTGGTAGTGCGACGGGTTCTTGGCTTGGCTCATCAAAATACCTTCTTGCATAGGCGAGCAAGGAAAGATATCCTCAACATCGTCAAACCGCAGCCCTAATGTCGGCAGAGTCTCCTTTTTGAATTGCGAGAGGGCATCATAGGAATCGAAAGCTGACGGAAAATCATCCAAGGTCCAATCAGGAACCATCTGTGGGAAGTCTCTGGCGATATCCAGGAGTGTGGACTGAAATTGTGCGACCCAGGCGGAGACCTTTTCTTGTTGGGAGATCCGTTGATCAAAGAAAATATTCACCCCCAGTTCTCCACGGGTGACAGATGTGTTCACCTCGAACAGGGAGAATCTGTGAGCACCCACGCTGGTTTCCGGGGTACAGTCCATAGACGGAGGGTCAATATTCTGGAAGAATGCATCTTCACGCTCCATCTGCTGATACAGACCGCCAAAGTTGAAGACAAGTTCAAGACAGAACTGTGATTCAAAACTTTGCACGGATTGCTCGTTGGCGAATTGTGATGAGAAGAATGTCCAGCCCTTATAAGGCACTTTCCGTATGGAATCTTTGACCCGTTTAATGACATCCAATAAGCCCATTGTTTGCTTTTTTTGCTCTAGATGAACAGGATGGATGGTCGTGAACCAACCGATGGTGCGAGATATATCAAGAGATTCATCCCATACTTCGCGACCATGACTTTCGTTAAAGACTGTCGGGGGGGTTCTATCGGTGAAGATTAGACTGAACGAGTGCAAAAGGGCTGCAATCATAAGTTCCGAAGGACGAGTACCGAAAGCCTCATTGCATTGTCCGAGGAGCGTGGAAGTTGTGGCGGCGTCAAGACGAAACTCTTGATTTGTCACATCTGTGGTGAGGGAAGTCACTCCTTTGATGCCCCAGTAAGAAAGGTCAGATGGACCATGAGGCGGTGACGGTAAGTTCTCCAGAACGGGTCGGGTCTTGATATAATTGTCCTGTAAAGTCGCCCAGGTCGGGAATGATATACCGGCAAAGGGTGGCAGAGGTCGGCCGCTCAAAAGTTCCTCAAGATCGCTCAGTAACACTCGCCATGACATGAGATCTACAACAAGATGATGGATTGAGATGAATATCATCTGAGAGCCGTCTTCATTGTCGAATAGAATGGCTGAAACAGCCGGTCCGTTCTCGATGTCAACACGAGCGCGACATGCTTTGACTTCTTGGCTTATCTGATCTCCGTCAAGTGACGTACAGTGTTTTACGTCAACCCCCTCGTGAGATGAAGCGATCAGAAATTGCTCCCACTGTCCCGAAGATGTCTTGCGTAATCTTGCCCGAAGCATGGAATGTGCCGATGCCAGGTCGGACAAAGCTTGGACCAGAGTAGGGTAAGCAACGCGACTTCGGGGCTTTAACCAGAAGTATTGGTCAAACACGATCTGGTCGACAGGTACGTCTTTTTGTAAGTCCAAGTAGAGCCTCTGAACTGGAGTGAGAGGGAATGCCTGGCCAGGAGCTACATCCACGTGCTTCAGAGTAGTCTGGCTGTGCTCTGTTGATGGCCCAGCAGTTGCCAAGATACGGGCTATTGTCTTTTGTCGCAAGATCTGTGTTGTCGAAATGTCTATGCCCTTGCCTCGCGCTGCAGATGATACCTGCATTGAAGTAATGGAATCCCCTCCTAGTCTGTAAAAGCTGTCGTCGAGACCTATAACCGACGGGTCGATATTGAGAGTACGGGCAATGATGTTCCGTAGGGTGACTTCAGTCTCAGTAGAGGGCATCCGTTTGTTGTGACCTTCGCTGGTATTGCGCAGCCCGACCAGTTGTGCAACAGAGAATAGGGATCCAATCCTCTTGAGTTGCTTACGGTCTGTCTTACCGGTGGCAGACCTTGGTAGTACATCCACGACGAAGAATGAAGTGGGAATCATATGTCTTGGTAGCAACTCTGCCAGCTGATCCTCTAACAGATTAGGGGCGCGGACCGGAAAGCATGTTGTGCCTGTATCATTCTTGAAGTCTGGAGATTTGCGTGCCCATTTGTCCGAGATATTTGAGTCTCGTTGCAATACCACAAATGCCGCCAACTCCGCTGTTGTATCATCACCACCAGATGGTATGATGACTTCGGCTGCAACATGCTGCGCGTCTGGGAAAGCCTTGGAGACCTGATGTTCAACCTCTCCAAGCTCGACTCGCTGGCCCCGGATCTTGAACTGCGTGTCCCTTCTGCCGACGAAGTGTATACTACCGTCTTCTCCATAACTGACCAAGTCTCCTGTTCTGTAAAGCTTTCCGCTGCGTCCACCTTGCAAGAGCCAGATGGGGGCATCGATGAAGGCTTTCTCGGTACGCTCAGTGTCTCCCAGATATCCACGGGCAAGGATAGGTCCCTCGATGAGCAGCTCGCCGATGGATCCTATAGGTACAAGCTTCTGAACATCCTCAGGGTCAACAACCCAGGCAGCACAGCCTACAGCTTGACCGATACGGCGAGGACTGGGTTGATTCACGTCATACTCGCCAAGAAGACAAAGGATAGCGCACTCGGTTGGGCCAAAACCGTGGAAGACCTTTGTTGCTGGGTTCTGTAGCCACCTCTGAAAACTTTCTGTAGTCGTAGACTCTCCTGCAAGCATGATACTCTTCAGGTTAGGATGATCACTCGGCTCAATCAACTTCGCGACCGTTGGCGTGACCTCCAGGAAGGTGATGTCCATTCTCTCCATGGCAGCACTGATGTTTCCCGTGCGCTCTTCCTCCGTAGGAACGCAGATACACCCACCGAACATAAGCGTAGCAAATATCTCGCTCAGTGACGGATCGAAGATGTAGTTGGCGAATTGGAAGTTCCGTGTTGTTTGGTCAAAGCCGAACCTCGATCCATGATGGTAGCAGCTTGTCACCACAGCTCTGTGCTCCAAAGCAACACCTTTGGGTTCTCCAGTACTACCGGACGTGAACATAACGCACATCAAGGAATCGGGTCTGACCAATGGCAACGGTGGCAGATCGTCCATGTCATCCTCTGCTAAATGCATGTCTGTTGTGGCAGGCCCAACTGGGATAACCTGGTACTCATCCTGTGTGACAAGATCGGAATAACGCTCAGAGGTGAGGATGAAGCGAGCCCCGGTTTGCTTTAAGATCCGCCTCCTCCGATCCTCTGCCTGGGTAGGATCAACAGGGGCAAAAGCCGCCCCGGCTTTCACGATAGCTAGCATTGCTATGATTGTCCATGCCGACTTCTCAAAAAGTATGGGTATGACATGTCCTGTTCTAACACCTGTCACAACCAAATGACGGGCCAATAGAGAGGAAATGGAGTCGATTTGACCATATGTGAAATCCTGATCAGGGCCATTAATAGCCTCGGCGCCATGTTGGATGATTGCTTTTTCCGCGACAATATCATGGATACACCGTTCGATGGCCATTGGCAAGTCTCGGTTCCAAAGCCAGATATCACGGCTATCGTTCGGAGTTATCGCATCAAGCTCTCTCAAGGTCATGCTCGGTGGTTCAGTGGCCATCTGCTGAAAGGCCCAGCCAAATGAGTCGACAACCCTTGCCATTCTCCACTTTGGCACAACTCTTTCGTCATACAATACAGTGACTTGGATATGGTCTTGTTTCAAATGGCACAAGAGTGTGAGAGCGTGGCTTGCAAACTCCTTGCTTTCTGGAAGAGCTTGCCACGTGCCAGCCTCAGTTCTTTCGCCACTGGAGTCGTCTGCCGGTTGAACAACAAGAAGAGTCTGGAATTGGGTAGCGTGTTTGGCTGGTGGGTGCAGCTTTGCGATACTTTGAAGGCCGATCTGCTCAAAGGGGATCATTTTTCGTGCTTGGTCTTGCAGCCTTTCAAGGTAAGACTGAATTGAATCTGAAATCATAATAGGGATGCGAACAGGTACTGTTGCTATGGTCGGTCCAACGATCTCCTCTATGCTTTTGACGGGGGCGTTTCTGCCGGAGAGAATGGCACCAAAGACGACATCTTGGTCACCAGAATGGCGGTATATCGCCAATGCACACGCCGCCCGTATCATTGTTGCGGTAGTAATGTCATCATCTCTTCGTCGAGGTACAGTCCACTTCGTTTCTAAACGGCAGTCAGCATTTGGAATCGTCACATCCCTCGGGAGCACTGGAAATATGTCAGCTTCAAAGTCCGAAAGCTCGTCGTGCCAGTAATTCTGAAAAGAGGGATCAGTGTCTTTCTTAAGATATTGAACAAAGGTGTTGAATCCAGTTTGTGTTTCAGGTCTTTCGCCTTGTAAGATCCGTGAAAGAAGGCCTCGAATGGCTTGCAAACTCGTGGCATCATATAGAGCATGATGGACCGTCCAGACGAAATGAACCGCCTTCGATTTGGAGTCGATAACAATTGCTACTCGGGACAGTGAATCTCCCAATCCGATTGGTTGAAGCTTGTTGTTTTGCAAATAACCCTCAAGATCATCTGATCTTATCCATCTTGGACTCTCGTCTAGGACAACTTGAAGCAATCTCACATCTTCCAGCTGGATGATTCTGGTGCGGAGGATTGGGACTAAGGCAACGACACTTTCCCATGCTACCTTAAATTGCTTGACGTCGGTTTCTGGATCAAGGTTCAAAATGGTCTGCAACAAAAAATCTCCCGGTTGCTGTGTGGTCAAAGCAAGAAGGCCCTCTTGGAGTGGTGTACAAGGGTAGGCATCTTGAACACAATCGATTTGCACTCCACATGCTTCAGCGATTTCTTTCCGACGTTTGTCCTGGTCAGCAGATTGAAGAAGTGAAAATGGTGCCAAAGCCTCTTGGGGAGTTTCATCAGTGGAGGTCACCATCAGTGCCAAGTCCTGGAGCCTGGGATGCGAGAAGACATCTGCGACAGTGAACTCAAACCCTCTTCTGCGTGCCTCGGCAACAAGTTTCATAGCACCAATCGAATCTCCTCTCAGCCGAAAGAAGCTATGATTTGATGTGATTGAGCGAGCTTCGATACCAAGCAGGTCAGCCCAGAGCTGCTGCAGTGCAAGTTCTGAAGAGGTAGAGGGTTCGCTTCCCTCCTCGCCTGAGCTATCTTGACCGAGTGCCGCTATTTCGGAGTCTGAGAAACGTCCCATGATACTTGTCAACGCTTTAAAATCAGTCTTGCCGGATAAGCTTAATGGCAGTCGTCCAAGCGTTACCATTATCGTTGGTATCATATAGCGTGGAAGGCATTCTGCAAGTTGTGACGATATTACTTGCGATACAGCATGCAATTTTGGTGTTGTTTCGTCTGGCGATACACGGATGTCTGGTAGTGATTGGCCTTTCTCAAGGACGACGAACATGACCAGCTCTTCTCCATAGTGAATATCTGTAGTTGAAAAGAGCTGGACGGCGACCTCTGTGATCTGTGGCAAGGCTTGCCGAACGTGATTCTCAATCTCTCCCAGCTCGATACGCTGACCTCGTATTTTGACTTGGGTGTCTTTTCTCCCAAGGTATTTCAGTGACCCATCCAAAGAATAGGACACGAGATCGCCAGTCTTGTACAGCTTCGCACTCCGGCCGGGATGGCCAGCAACGCCTTCTATGAGCCAGGGCGGGTCCTCAATGAATGTCTCTCGTGTCTTTTCCGGGTCTCCGAGGTAGCCTTGTCCAACGAGAGGGCCTTCCAAAAGTAACTCTCCTGTAGCACCCACTGGAACAAGCCTGTCACTGTCTTCAGGGTCGACCAGCCATGTGTTGACGCCCATGCCAATACCAATACCGCTGTGGGCTGGATCATCACTGATGGTACTAACAGGTGTGCACTCGGATGGACCGTAGGTGTCGATGACCTTGACATGAGGGCACCATGTTTCAAGTACATCTAGACCCGTCTTTTCTCCTCCCAACGCCAGTGTCCGCAAATGAGGCAACTGAGTTGGGTCAAGAAGTCGACTTACAGATGGCGTGAGATAGGCCAACGTTGCCTTGGACTCGTGTATCGATATTGCCAGATTGTTGATACGATCATGTTCAGATGGTATGCATAGACAACCACCGGAAGCCAATGTCTTCAGGATGTTGTTGACAGATACATCGAATGCGAATGATGCAAAGTCGTACACGCGTTCATTAGGCTCGAAGGCATCACGACCTGACTGATGGTATATCGCTGATGAGAAAGAGTAATGCGGTACCATGACTCCCTTTGGCTGACCGGTTGTGCCTGACGTAAACACGATATATGCATTCGACTTTGGAGACGACTTGGGCAAGATACTCTGTGAAGATTCGAGGTTTGAGAAGAGTTCCTGGTCAACAACCACTGTCCTTTGAGTGAAACGGTTGCTGACTGATTGAGTTTCAACCGATGTCATCATGACCCTAAAGTCTACCTGGGACATGATGGAGTCGATTCGGTTCTCAGGCTGGGTTGTATCCAGCAGGAAGAAGGTGGCGCCAGCCTTCAACACGGCAAGGACAGATACAACAGTCCACACGGACTTCTGGAAGCATAGAGGGATAATATCCCCGGGCTCAACGTTAAGACTTAACAGATGATGAGCGAGTGTGGAGGAAAGGGCATCAAGTTCTCCGTATGTCAAACTTCCATCCCAGGCACTGATTGCCTGTGCTTCAGGTCGGAGGAGAGCCTTCTCGACGATTATCTCATGCACACATCGCTCGTGGACTATTGGCGCTTGGCTGTTCCAACCCCATATAGTCTCCAGATCAGAAGTGGACATGCCAATGTCTCCCAAGGTTTGCTCTGGGCTTGTTTGGGCCAGCTTCTCAAAGACGAAGCTGAAATGGTCGATCATTCTAGACATCTTCCAGTCCTCAATGACTCTGTTGTCGTAGGTGGTGATGATGTCGATATTGTCGTCGGACAGTTCAAACACCATGGTCAAAGCATAGGAAGTCACTTCACCGGCGAGTGGTTGTGGTCGCCACACTCCCAGTGTATTTTCCTCCGTCTGGATATCTCTCATCGGCGGCTGGATAATAATTAAACTCTGGAAACGACATGCGTGCTCCGTCTCATCGTCAATTTTGGCAATGTTCTGCAAACCAAACTGCTCTGCAGGAATCGTCTCCATGCTCTGCTCCTGAACAAACTCCAGGTATTCCATAATCGAACTTTCCAGGTCAATTCCGAGGCGAATGGGGACAGTCGCGATAGTGGGAGCCATTATGCCCTCAATGCCGGGAAGAGGAGCGTTTCGCCCTGAAATAACAGCGCCGAAAACGACATCTTCTGAGCCGGAATAGTGGTGAATGAGTAAGCCCCACGCCGCTCGAAGCAGAGTGGAAATTGTCATGTTGCTCTCTGTAAGCTCAGGTATGGCTATCTGCCTCTCTGCACTGGCTGTTGCACAGGGCTCGTTGACATTTGCCGGCAGTGCGGGGAATACTTGGCCGTCATAGTTGATAAGATTCCATTCCCAAAAGGCTTCAGCAGAGTCTCGATTTGTTTCAGTTGCGTGAGAAACGAACAAGCTGAATTCTGGAGCAGATACTACCTCTTTTTCCTGCATTATTCGGCCAAACAGCTCTTGGATCAACTGCATTGATATGCGGTCATATATAGCGTGGTGTATAGACCAGACAAATTGATGCTTCCCTTTGCCACTGACGATGGCATGTCTTGAGAGGGCCTCACCCAATTCCATCGACTTGGAGTGGTCACTGTCCAGGTAATCGTCGAGGTCTTCAGCTGTAATCCAAGACACACTTTCATCGATGATGCATTGAACAAGTCCAACTCCCGTGAGTTGGACAATTCGAGTTCGAAGAATGGGTGTAAGGGCCACTGTTTGCTCCCATACTGCACGGAGTCTCTCCATGTCTACTCCTGCTGATATGTCCATCACAAGCTGGCTCATGTATTCGCCTGGTCGCTTAACAGACAATGCCAGCAGGCCTTCCTGGAGAGGTGTGCATGGGTAGACATCGACAATGCTCTCAGGCTTGACGCTGCATGCTCTTGATGCCCTGTCTTGGCATTCCTCGGGAGATAGGTAGCTGGAGAGAAGAGAAAACGGTTCCGGGGTCTGGTACGAATTCTCATCAAGATTTCGCAAGTGCTCAGCCAGATCGTGCAAGATAGGGTGTTCAAACAAAAGGGCGACCGAAAGGTAGATTCCAAGGGTACGGGCCTCTGCCACGAGCCGTATAGCAGCGGCTGAATCACCACCAAGATGGAAGAAGCTTGTGTCTTGCTCAATTTCAGCCAGGTCGACTTCCAGAACCTTTGCCCATAGGTAATGAAGCGCAATCTGCGACTCTGTCCAGGTACTGGTTCTGCTCCAGTCATTGTTCCCTTTGACCGAAACGAAGATACTGCCAATCTTACGCAGCATCTGGTGGTCCACCTCGCCGCTCTCCGAGCTCAGTGGCATTTGATGCAGTGCGACGAAACTTATGTTCATACGATCTGGTCCTCGCCTTGCAATCTTGGCCACCAGTGAATACGGTGCCTGAATAAGGCGTGGAATGCGGCTAGTTGCCTGACCATCACGCACGACAGACGGATTATCGTCATCGCGATGCACAATAAATACAACAAGCTCAATATCGGAACTGTCGGGTCGGGCGGTCATGACTTCCACTGCAACATGGCCAGCTCCCGCGAGGTTCTCACGAACTTGTGCTTCAATTTCGCCGCTTGGAATCTGCCTCCTATCTTCATCCAACTCTTTGGCTGGTACGCCGTGGAAGGGGCCTGGCTCTCTGGTAGCACTTGGTGTCATTGCGAATATTTCGGTGGTTTTGATAATCTGTTGTTAACAGATAAGATGATGTTTGTTGAAATGACTTCTGAGAGAACAGTGCGTGTTACGTTCCACAGTATCAGAGAGGTTGAGGTAAGGTGGTAATTACAAATGGTTACCAGCACATGTTTAGTGCCTCAGACCATGCCTGCACAAATTACGAAAAGATAGCATTTATTTGGTAATCACTTTTATGCCCCTGCAGATATCATATCTCGCCATGATCAACTAGGAGACGGACGAGACCACTAGAGATGGGCTTAGCTACCCGCCACTGCCATCAAGATGTTTGGAAGTATCTACCACTGAGTCGTTTCACAGCCCCATGCCCTCTTGGTCAAAAGATACCCGGTGGCTGTGCCCCCACCGGCTCGGGAACCCGCACACTTGAATGCTAGCTTCCGTTTTCAGCTGCCTATTTCAGTTTAGCACACCAGCTCTATTCCCTATTAAGTTTCGGACTTTAATTCTCCACTTTCGGACTTTGATTTTATACCCCAGCAGGAGCTTTCAGTTCAATTTTACCACCTTACCTGCCCTGGATTTACAGTGGGCCAGGATTGGCAGCAGTTGGATGCACGTATAACGACTTTCGTGGTAACCAATCATTTCGCACGATCGTCCTAGCACTTGACCACCACACCACCCTTGTTTGGTAAAGACATGATAGACTCCTGCCTATCTCAGATATCTCTACTTAAATCACTTCCTAAAATCTCACGCGTCGTGTGTTTTGTGGAGAGTCCGTCCGAAGATAGGCTCAGAGTCTCACAATACGTCACCTGCCAAGACGCGTGCTCCTGCAGGAGCGACGTGCATTTCAACCCCAGTGGTTCCAGAAGATTGTGACACAGGATTTCAATACGATGCCACACCAGCGGGCGTCTTGCATATTACTTGCTTATGCGTGGGTGTTACGATGCATTGTATTGTAAGCAGAAGCTGTAATTTCACGATGGTGCTCTTTTGGCATCAATATTAGTCATGAGGCAGTAAAACACTAGAAATCTTTTTGAGGGAAAGTAGCTACCCAATGTAGATGGGATGCTTCTTTAAACATCATCTAGAAATAGTTATCCGGTTGAGATAATTTTCCTTTTTTAGACTCAGTGGTATCCTAGGGTAAGCTACCCATATGTGTAGAATTATTTTGTAGTTGGATTAAGAATGTACATAAATTTTTCAATTCCTTGCCTATATACTGTGGGCGTGTAAAGGTTGTGATAATTTCCTCTAGTTTAATTTTTATAGAAAATTATGTAAACTGTAATAAGATTTTTCTAGTGTACACAATGTTGTATAATCTTCAAACGACATTGTACAATAAGTCTTCTAACAATAACATATTTTAGATGTCCTTTTAATTATATATCTCTTATTGGCTTATTGTCGGGACTTTTACACGGAAATGTACTTACTGAAATGCATCATAGTGCAATGATTTGTTTTTCAGTAGATTTCATTATATAATTTGTAATTCATTTTGGGGGCATCTTTCTTCGCGCTGTGACATCTATGCACTGAGTCCACCCACACTTTTGAATTTTGGATCCTGCTTAACCGGACAAGGAAGGAGTTTAAGATACCTCGTTTTTACAACGGTTTGTAATGAACAATATTTGCCGCCTTGTGTCACCACCCTGGAAAATTCCAACTAGGCCCGTCTCACGATAATGTTAATTTTGACGTCCGGGCAGTATCCCCCAATTTATTGTATTACGTCTCTCTCATTCTTTTAACAGGTCAAAAAATCAGCAGACCTATATTTTCATTCTCTACGTTGACCTCGCCATGCACACACCAGTATATCCCCCTATTGTAAGGCATAAGCTCTTTGTGCTATCACCTGCGGCTAGTGACGTGGAATTACCCACGGCGTACGTCAAGCAAAAAATAGCAACGAACAAATCTAGCGATGGCGGAATCAAATCCATCATCGACCACATTCGCCTCATCACTCAAGAGGTGGTACTACAGCATACCACCAGCAGCCTTGAAGAGACACAACAGCGGGACTTTCTACGCGGTATTATCCGGGCCTTTGATCAGATTTGTTTGCGTGGCGAAAACATCCACGTCGCGGTTCAGAAATTAGATGCGTCCACACTCGAGAAAACGTCTGTCATTCAATCATATTATGCTGCAGCTGCTACGAGTGGACTGCCAATCCTTCCGCACAATTCAGCTTTGCTGAGCCCCCGACGCTCTTCATCTACTCCCACCATTGTTTACGCTATTTTTGGAGGTCAAGGCATTAGCGGGCTCTATCTAGATGAGCTCCGGTATCTACTTACCACATATCAATCGCTTATCAAAAGTACACTACGAGCCTCAGAAGAGCTTCTACTTTCTCTGCTTCACGTAGCTGATGCACCCGACATCTATGCCCAAGGTCTTGCCTTCATCAATTGGTTGGAATCAGATTCGAGCGTCCCCAGCAGAGAATATCTCAGTTCTGCTCCCGTTAGCTTTCCTCTGATTGGAATTCTCCAGCTGGTTAGTTACGAAGTTACCTGTAAGACTCTTGGTCTGCATCCAGGGCAACTCCGAGACTCCTTGTCAGGCACTTCAGGCCACTCCCAGGGCTTGATAGCGGCGGCTGCTATAGCGATTGCTGACAGCTGGGAATCTTGGAGAACAGCAACCCGGGTTGCTGTGACGGCTCTCTTCTGGCTGGGGATGCGCACTCATCAATTTTATAGACCCGCTGCTATTTCTCCTGCCATGATCAAGGATTCCGAGATGCACGGCGAAGGTATACCAACATCGATGTTACATCTCAGGGGATTTGAAAGGGACGAGATACAGACGCAAGTGTCTAAAGCCAACAAGAAACTTCGCCCGGGGTCTCAGATCGCGCTCTCACTTATCAATGGACCTAAGAACTTTGTTTGTTCAGGTTCTTCGATCGGGCTTTACGGACTCAACCGTCAGTTGAGGAAATTGAAGCAACAAGATTCACGGACGAGCCGCTACCTTCCAGTCTCGGCTCCCTTCCACAACGAATGCCTGGCTACGGTTCCTGATATCGTTTACAGAGATCTTGATGGAGTCGCTATTCACTCGAGCGACCTCAAAATACCGCTTTATTGCACGAGGACCGGAAGGGACCTTAACTCATATGGTGATGATATTATACCTGAACTACTTCGTCTGGTCCTATCGGAACCACTGGACTGGGAAGCCGCTAGCGCCTTTCCAGGAGCCACCCACATTGTCGATTTTGGTCCCGGAGGTGTCCACGGTATTGGCTCTTTGACAGATGCAAACAAGAAGGGTAAAGATGTTAAAGTCGTCCTGGCTGCTACAATGCAAGGAACATCTTCTACTCTTGGATATCAAGCGGAAATCTTTCAAGGGCCTTAAATTTGTCGTCTAGAGCTATGGAGGAGCTCTAAACCGACTCACTAGTTCTTATTGTTATTAGACGGCTTACTCGGAGATTCTCAATTTATGCGAGCAGTAAATAGATAGAGTTTATCAGGATAGTTGTGAATTTGGATCCTCTTAGAAAGATGAATAAACCGCTTGGAATAGTTGGTTAAGTTGATCAAACTCGACAATAGACCTCGTCTACTCCATATGTGGGCTCCGCCTATTCCGGACATATCCATCGGTTAGAGCCGGAGGCTTACCACTCTGAGCACGTAAAGCCTCCCATTCATAAATTCAAGTCACAGTAGGGTCAGACTGTCAGACACGGACGGACGTAATTTGGTAACTGTTAAGCGCGGGCGTCAAAGCTCGTAACATGTTAGCAAGTTTACACTGGAACAGTCAGATTCTAATTGATTGGAATAGCACCTTCTGGTTTAAGACGAGCGGAATTCCGTTACATCCCAGGCCATGATTCATCGGTAATATCTGACCCCTGTCCAAGGGTGTATGGAAAAAGCCACGGATAGGAAAATGCAAATCCTTTCTTGCGCGAATTAACGCTCAACGTCTTCCATCTCGTACAACCTGTCTCGTCACATCGTCTATGTAAACGCCAAGAAAAGAGGCGAATGGAGTTTGCCGTGAGCCTCCCTGTCATACTCCGCTCAATTGGGAAGGTAAAGGATTCTGATCCTGATCGATAATAAGCGTCTAGCCCCCGCAGAGGATTTCCCAAGGATTTGAACTGGTTCTTCGCATAGAAGGATCAAGATACCACCCACCTCTAATCTGACAGGCTAGAAGACCGAGTAATAGAGGAGCCAACTACCGTTACGGTCCACCAGGCGGCCGCCGTACTCTATCTCGCCAAGAATTACTCAAGATAGTCTATTTATCCCTGCAAGTTCTAGAAGTGGCTAATCTGTCAGCCGCTGTACGTAGAGACCTGGAAACACCACCCACAACGCGTGTTCAGAGAGACGCTCGATATTGACGACAGCATAGGTTGTCTAACTCGCCAAAAGGATGGACAGCAAGTGCCCTCCACGCAGTGATCAGGCATTTGGTCCTCGAGTCGATGTGGCGTGTCGCTCGTTCGACTTTACGCTCTTATTTCAAGATGCATTTTTTTCACTGTTGCCCGCGAGCACATTTCTTCTGCTCGTGCCTTGGCAGATGAAACTAGTATGGCGAAATGGACTGCTTCATTCGGCAAAATCCAGGCTCCTCGGCATCAAGATGGTATGCCCGACGACAGCACTCCTCTGACTACATACCAAATTGTTAACAAATGTGACTTCTTAAAAATAGATTTTCATCCTTGGTCTGCTTGCGACGCAACTTAGCTTTTTGATCCTGAGGCTGGGCAAGCCATCGTTAAAGACGGGTGCATCACTTGCCGCCGATCTTCTATTGACTTTGTCATCAGTCGCTGTGGGAGTGGTATCCTATACCACACATAGGCGGTCATTGCGGCCGTCTACGCTGCTTTGTCTTTATCTATCAGCGCTACTGTTATTGAGCGTACCTCGAGTGCGAACCTTTTGCTTGTTCGATGATGGATTTTTAAAAGAAAGAGCCTTGATTATTTCCTCCACAGTTTTAGTTGCTCTTCTCTTCCTCGCAGAACTAACCGAGAGACATGGACCTCTGAGCATCCGAGTCAAAGAGACGCAGGCACATGAAGAGTTCAGCTCGTTTTGGAACCGAGCTGCGTTTTTCTGGCTGTCGGCTACTTTCTTGAAAGGCTACTCGAGGATCCTTGGAACGGAAGATCTGCCAGCGCTTGACAGCACATTGGGATCGAGCAAAGTACGAGAAAAACTACTATTATCCTGGGAGAAATGTAAGAAGCAGCTCTATCTCCAGTTCTAGACCTGCTCTAGTATTATTTCTTACCATTTATGTATAGATGACAAGTCGGCTAGACATAGTCTCCTACGGGCTAGTTTTAGAGCCTTTTGGCCATCTATGATGCTTGCCGTGGTGCCGCGTATCTGCCTTACCGTCTTTAATTTCACCCAGCCCTCGCTGTTAGAAGTAACTGTCAAGTATATCGGTCAAGCTGAACCAGACGCATCACATGGTAAAGGCTTGATAGGAGCATGGGCACTTGTATTCTTGGGCTTGGCTGTCAGTACTCCTTCCCCCAAGACTCATTGTCGAGAAATCGCTAGCTCATACTACTATAGGTTACCAACTCCATCTATCAATACCAAATGTCACGGTTCATAGCTCGTTTTAGAGGCTCCTTGATCGGTATCATCTATCAGCAGACCTTGCAGGCTAGACCGGCCGATCTAGGTGAAATCACGGCTATCTCTTTAGTTGGAGCGGATGTAGAGCGGATTGCTATGGCGATGAGCTTTGTTCACGAAATCTGGGGCTGCATCCTTGATCTTTCAGTTGCAATTTGGCTGCTGGAGAGACAACTATCCGTCGCCTGTGTTGCACCCGCTCTCGTGGTCATTATTATTATCGCTATGACAGGCCCTCTCGGTCCTATGATGAAGACAGCACAGCTACAGTGGATCCAAAAGGTACAAGAGCGACTGCGTGTGACAACGGCAATGTTGGAAAACATGAAAACAGTCAAGATGCTTGGCCTGTCTGACGTCATGTCTTCCATCATTGACAAAGCACGAAATAACGAGATTGCCTCGTCCACAGCCTTCCGCAAGACCCTTGTGTTGCAGCTCATTGCTTCCAACGCGCCAATTAACATTGCCCCCGTTGTGACATTTGCGGTGTATGTCATCATCGCCATCTTCTGGAAGAACGAATCCCTTCTTGCAGCACAGGGTTTCACCGCCATCACCCTCATCAATCTCTTGACAACGCCGACGCTACTGTTCATTCAAGCATTTCCAACGCTCATACGTTCCATCGCATGCTTCGATCGTATACAAGAATACTGCACCTACACTGATATGTCTGCTCATGGTGACTTAGAAACTCCCGATGGTTCTTCTAGGGATCTCAGTAAGTCAGAGAAGCGATTTCCTGTCAGTGTAACCGCACAGTCGATAGCTTGGGCGAGTTCGAAACCTGGGGTTTTATATGATATTGATGTCGACATTACGGAGGGGACCCTGACAGTTATCACCGGCCCAGTCGGGAGTGGCAAATCGACCTTGCTTAACAGCATGCTGGGTGAGACCGTTGTTGTTTTGCCCACATTGTCATCTGCCGACCAGCAGGCCAATCCTTCAGCATACTGTGCCCAGGAACCATGGCTTGGTACAGGAACAATCCGCAGCAATATCATTGGTGTGTCTCCATATGAACCACAATGGTATTCAACCGTGAAGAATGCGTGTGGCCTCGATCCAGATGTTCAAGAGATGAGAAAGGGTGATCAGAGCCCTGTCGCCAGCAGAGGCACAAACCTCAGTGGAGGTCAGCGACAACGTCTGGCACTCGCCAGAGCTGTCTACTCGCGCCGGCCTATTGTGATAATGGATGATGTCTTTAGTGACATGGATGCGCATACATCAGAATTCGTTTTTCGACAACTGCTGGGAAAGCGAGGATTGCTGAGAAGGTCAGGAATGACAGTCATTCTGGCGACCCACAACGGTAGGTTGCCGATACATGATCTTGACATCTGGAATCTGTTTAGCTGATTAATGTGACAGAAGCTCTCATGGTATTGGCCGATACTCTCATCATTCTGAAAGGTGAGAGGATTGATGCAATTGGGAGCCCCGAGGCACTACGGTCGGAGGGATACCTTGTTCAACACGAACAGGAACATTCACAGGACGGCAACGACACAGAACATGGCCAAGTCGAGACCTTACTAAATCAGGAGACTGCTCCTCCAGACCAAGACGTGGAATCCTCTTGTGAAAGTGAGGGTGAGGCCAAAGAGGATGATCCGCGGAGGAAACAAGGTGATATCTCAGTTTACAAGTATTACCTCTCAAGCAGCGGGTACTTCACAACCCTCATGTTTATCGCCTTCACTATGGCATCGGTATTCTGTACAGAATTCCCCAGTATGTATATTTTCCATCGATCTCCTGTCCTCATCTGTCTGGATTCGTACTGACAGGCTTTTCCTAGCAATTTGGCTGAAATGGTGGGCCGAGGCTAATGCCAGACAGCCGAACCAAAGCGTAGGCATGCATATGGGAGTCTTTGCTGCTGTGGGAACTCTGGGAGTTCTAGTCACGGGCCTTGCCTGCTGGTTTGCCTTTATTCGTATTATCTCCAACTCCGCCTTGCACCTTCACTCTGCCCTTCTTAGGACCACAATCAATGCCCCTTTCCGGTACTTTGTTGCAGTCGATACTGGGAGCTTGATCAATCGTTTCAGCCAGGACTTGGAGCTGATCGACATGAATCTCCCCATGGTGATGATCAACTTTGTGCTCGCGCTATTCTCGAGTGTTGCCAAGCTCATCATCCTGGCAGTCTTTTCCCGCTACCTCTCCGCCGCAGTCCCCATTTTTGTTCTGGTACTCTATCTCCTCCAAAGGTTCTATCTCCAAACATCCCGTCAAGTTCGTCTTTTGGATATCGAGGCCAAGGCGCCTCTGTACAATCACATTCTCGAAACCGTAGCAGGAGCATCGACGATCCGTGCGTTTGGGTGGCAGCTGGAGTACGCCGAACGCAATTCCCGGTATACTGATACATCACAACGTGTATCATACATGCAAGAAAGTGTTCAGAACTGGCTGTCCTTTGTTTTAGATATTATTGTGGCAATTTTGGCCATCGCACTTGTTGGCATGGTTGTGACGTGGCCGCAACTATTTGATGCTGGCAGCGTTGGTGTCAGCTTGGTCATGCTAATTTCCTTTAGCAACCTCTTGACACGTCTTCTCAAGGCATGGACGTCAATGGAGTCGAGTATCGGGGCAGTATCCCGTGTGAAAAGATTTGTGGCAGACACTGAATCGGAGAAGGATCCGGGAATAGGCAGTGCCGCAGTACTTCCAGAGGGGTGGCCCTTAAATGGAAAGGTGTCACTGGAAGACGTGTTTGCTTCACACAGGTGAGTAAATAACTAGGAAATAAGTATTTCGGTTACACTAATACGATTAGGCCCAATGCTGAGCCAGTCTTGAAAGGGATTTCTCTTTCCATTACCGCGGGCGAACATATCGCGATTTGCGGACGAACCGGCAGTGGAAAGAGCTCACTTATCTTGAGTTTTCTGCGAATGCTCGACGTAAATGGGGGTCGTATTTTAATCGACGACTTCGACGTGTCTCAGGCTAGCATTGGGGATCTTCGTAGGCGTATAAATGTTGTCCCGCAAGATCCATTCTTTATTCCAGGGACCATTCACCTGAACCTTGATCCATTTAGAGTAGCGTCCGATGATGAGATCGAGGTAGTGCTGCGTAAGGTCGGTCTCTGGGAAACCATTCAAGCTTTGGGTGGACTGGCGCAAGAGCTAGACACGGCTGCGTGGTCTGCCGGTCAAAAGCAACTGCTATGCCTAGCTCGAGCAATGTTACGAAAGAGCAAGATCCTAATCCTGGATGAGGCTATGAGCAAGTAAGTGCATAGACCTGATTTATTATACCTGAGCCAAAACTAAACGTAAGCAGTGTCGATACCACGACGGAGTCTATGATGCAGAATATCATCGACACTGACTTCCAGAAGTGTACCGTTATCTCTGTTATGCATCGCCTGGTACATGTCACAAAGTATGACAAGCTAGCGCTACTAGATAACGGGAGATTAGTTGCATTTGATACACCAGTAAAGATATTAAGTAATGGGCGTAGAATAGAGGATCTTTACAGGATGGAAGGTCAGGGAGGATCTAACAATTGCAATGGGTAGTCAGACTCATTGGGCTTTTATCTGGGTTCTAGTAAATACCATGTTGACCAAGTTGCCAGTTATTACGTTGTGTGATCTGCAGACGGAATATGATGTCTCGACGATCTGCGATCTTGGAAGTGCTGATAAGGTCACAGGAGGATGGGTAGTTAATGTTTCAGAGCAATGAGGAATTGATTCCGCCTTTAATTACAATCATGGGACTTGTACACGATTGAAGTTCTATTCAGAGTCCCTGACTAATAATACTGCCATAACGGGTGTCCGTTCAATATAGCCTGCTCTTACTGTCCACTCTCTTCCCGAGAACCGTCAAGGTCTAAGTGAGGACAATCCTTCGGATCAGCATAGAACGTCCCCCCAAGCTGTTGGATAATCTTGCATCGTTCTTCCATCGTGAAAGCATTCCCAATTCTTCCCAAGCCCTTCCGCCTGGATTGAAATAATGTGGCATTGATAACCCAAACACCACCATCCGTGGGCCAACCAGCGAATAGAAGCTGTGCATCTGGCTCTTGGTTTCGAAATTTTGCTTCAGCGCGTATTTGATGGTTCGGGTTACGAAACCAACTGGCTCCGAGTTGGCGCATTTTAGAACAGTGCGCTTCCTCTTTCTCAGGGTCGTCTGATTTATCAGAGGGCTTGAATCGGTCGAGGCCCAAGAATTCAAGTTCGGCTATAGTGCAGAGGTAAGAGTAGTAACCGCCCTTGGCTGGCCAGCCGTGCACAAGGCCGCCAACAAGACTGCCAAATTCGCATCGGGGAAACCATGTGACGCCGAAATCGCCGTCCCATCCGCCTTCTGTCAGCATTTGAGATGTGTTTTCTTCAAGTGTTGAAAGAAGAATGTGTTGATTAGGCTGGGAAGCGGTGCAAGTGATTTCAAAAAGAATGGAGGTAAGCACGAGCAGAATTGCGTGTTTAAACATTAGATCAGAGTCTGGAAGAAAAGATGTTGACGGGGAAGTCTTGATGCTGATGCCTGGAGAGGGGTAAATCAGCCTTGGGAATATTGGATGTTCCGTTCCCGCAGTCGCCAAACTGTCGCGCTTCCCTGACATGAGGATATCAATTGCGTTCTAACAACCTCGGGAAGTATTACAGTCATACGTGGCGTGATTTATGTACCCGAAGGATCCAGTGAAAGTTCAGCTGCGTCATAAAGATTGGAAAACAAGGAACAGAGGCATAGTTGAAGCTCCTGAATTCTGTGGCTAATTCACACAAATCCGGGCATCCGGAACTCTCGTTACTGCCAAGCCGTTGTTGGTTGTGCTCTTCAGCAAGTGTGGCTAATCAGAAGCATCCATTAGCCCCCCCTCGGCCCACTAAATGTTGTTGGTTGTTGGTTACTGATGAACATTATGCAACAGTGAGTGTCATCTATATTAAAACCATCAGCGCGTAAAACTTTAATTGTGGGTACAATGTTTCGGGCCAAGACTATCATGTGCGCAGGCGCTATCGTATGCCCTCACGTAGATCCTAAAATAGCGACTCTTATGGTGTCTGTTGGTTGTATCTGTAATTAAGTACTCAGCCACTACCATTTGCCGTGAATTCTCCCCACCCTTGCTATCCAGTCAAGTGTATGGATAATGCTGTTGGCAATGTCAAAGCGGAAGTAAATAACAGGGGGGAAATGCTGATCTCTAGTGAAGTGGCACTGGATTTCATGTTCAGTAACAGTCACGCCACAGCCTGCATCATGTCGATATCGCTGGAGTTCCGTTCATGTCTAAAATACAGCTTGTATATCTACTGGTCGAATCCTGGTTTCTTGAAACTATTTAGAACAAGACAAGTTTTGTCAGACAGTGATCGATATAGTTCATCATCTTGGAGCCTTGGAAATTCAGCCGCTGTTAGGATCCTGGTTGTAATCTAATATCTCATTCTGTTGGTCAGCTCAACAAATGACGCTGATGACTATGTCTGAAACTCAAACCAACCAACTGCATAAATCCTTGCATTACATATTTCAATCAGTTAGGTGAGCGGCAAGCTAGCTATGTCTTGGTATACTTACTCTCGTTTAAGATATGTATAAAGAATGGAAGACAGCCTCTAGAATGAATGACAGAGCAACAATCTCATACCTACAGAAGACCCTATAGACACATTCTCATCGCAATGAAGATTTTCCCCTCCCTTTTTGCCCTAGTGGCTTATCACCTTGTCTTTACATCTCATATCACTTTTGCTGCACCCACTATCACCCAAAAGGACCGACAAGCAGCCATCAATGATTTCCGGGCTGCACTCCTAGACAGTCGCTATAACTACACAGAGGGTGATGTCAGTGAGGCGGCCACTAGGCTATTTGGCTGGCAAGGTTGCAGCTCTGCTCAGAGGCAAGCGATCTACTCTGGCTGGCAGCAATCCTGGAAGATGATGGACGTCGTGAAAGGGGATAACCTGGACTGGAATCAGGCAGCTGCTATCGACTATCTTGGTGACCCTTTCAACAACGATGAAGATCAAGCAGAGATGAAGAGTATGCCCACCGACTCACCATTGCTTCTCATATGTCCAATATTAATTTTCTTTCAGAGATCCTAGAGACTGTTGGAACAATCAAGGGAGGCTGGAACATTAACCCGCTTAAGTGGTGGCTTCATGCCCGATGCGATGACCCTGACAACCGATGTCCTTGCGGCGGTGTCTCCTCTACCGTTGCCTACACCACTAACAAAGACCCTGACTCAGGATATGCGCGTATCAACTTTTGCCCGCGGTACTTTGGACTTGACAATCTCGATCAGAGAGTAAAAGAAAACAGCAAGAGAGAATTACCTATTTCACATCGGGCGGATCTCGATAACTACATTCAGAACAAAGGTGCGTGCTATTTAAGTGTAAGCAACCCTTGTCGATCTAAAGCTAAGACCATCGTCCAGGGCGCACTTGGTTCCATGAGTTGCTCCACATTGACTGGGCCTCTGGAGTCTTACCAGGATGGCATATCAAGGATATTGCTGCCTACTATACTGGCCCAGGTGACACTTTACGTCACACGGTACTCTATGGCCCAGAGAGGACCAAAGCTCTTGCCAGATACAAATTCAGCCCATCCTATTTCATCAGGAGAAACGCCGATAGCTTTGCCATGTACGCAATGGCCAAATACGTACAGAAGGCTATTGGCAAGTATCCTTTTCTCCCATTGGCGCTGACATTGGGTGATGTAGATGATACATCAAGTCTTTTCCTTATTGGTGACATGAGTATTGATCTCCAAGGGAAAGTAACAATTCCTGACACTCAGGATGAGCATACCTGTCAGACGTCCGATGACGAGGGCGGTCCTGGGAAGGAGCCGGACTCTGTACCATTCAACTCAAGTGCATGGTTTTGGGGAAACTCCGTCTATCCTGAGGATTATCAACGGCAGTTCCGAGGCTGGGTAGCTGAAGCCACCCCGCGTCAAAACCGTGTCCGTATAGTGCTGATGCAAACGGCGATGGGGCCGTTGTGGATGGCCTTCCAAGACACGATTGAGAAGCCTATTGACGACTTTTGTGCCGCAAAGATTCTTGCAAAAGTGCCTGCAGAGGGAGACGAAAACAATTTGCAGTTTCCCACTGAGCTCCCAGCTTTTGACGCACACTCAGCCAAAGGATGTGTTTACTCGGGGACTTCTGATGTTGTGGGTGGGCTCACCTGTGAGGACGGTGCTTCGGATATTCGTTGCTGGGAAGATTATGACTGGGGTGAGATGTCTCATTGTGATGGAGGAAGTTATATGACTGGCATAAAGTGCGATTGGAAGTGATACGTAGTAGGTACACCCAGCACAGAAACGTCTTGTATAATATCTATGTTAGCTTAAGCAGTCACACTTTATTCTACATTCTCTAATTCGTCGTATCCTATAACCCTTATTATGTATGTGATACCAGTTGATAGAGACACATAATTAAACCATCGATAAGGGTCTGAAAGGTCTTGCAAGAAGAGGTCGTGCAATGACTTTAGTTGTCCATGGAATTCTAAAGCGAACCTTGTAGTCTACGGCTACGAGGCGGACACCATGCCCGAGTTCCGGCAACAGTAGCGTTTTGGCTTGATAAATGTACATTGTTCCTATAACCTTGATTCTATGTTTGATTCAGATAACAGGTTTAGGTGGTTCGTATCATCCATAGCTACACAGTGCCGCGAATATTTGTACTGAACCATCACTCGTGAAAAGAATGCAAATATGTTGTCAGGAACATCGAGATAGATCAGTGGAAGGAGTGACGATCCAAACGAGGTACTTTGCCTTGGTGAAGTGTAGTCAGTGGAAAAACTAAACATAATCAAAGGACGCGTATTTGTCGACCTGGGTTAGAAGAAACCCACTAAGAAGGATTGAGGTGATTCAATTTACAGGCCGTGTAATTAACATCGCTGCACGACTACCCTACATCCACGGCTAAGGCTAATTTTGTGTCACAGTGGGACACAAGGTCCAAGCTTCTTGTGGAGAACTCAACGTTTATCCCCGGAGGAAATTTGAGTTTGACGACTTCCCGGCTGATACCCACTTATTGGCAAGGCGACGGAACAAGATTATGGCCCCGAGCGGATTCATATCCGACAGCGCCGCTAATCCGTGAGATCCGAAAATAAGCACAGACTTGTCGCCGGCTACGACGGTTTTAGAGATTCGGATTTCACTACTGAGTGACCAGACAAACGCTTATAACAATGGCATCGCAACTCAAATTACTCTGATATTCGATTCATCACGACATCAACATCCCCACACACCATACCTTCCCACCACAATGCCTCTCCCTATAAATTTCACCCTCAACACTGGAGCCGAGATCCCGGCCGTCGGGTTCGGAACCTGGCAAGCTCCCCCCGGCCAGGTTGAAAAGGCCGTCGAAGAGGCTCTCCGGAGTGGTTATCGCCACATCGACTGTGCTTCCATTTATCGCAACGAAGTCGAAGTTGGTGACGGTATTCGCAAGAGTGGTGTCCCCCGATCAGACATCTTCATTACCGGCAAGCTCTGGAATACTAAACACGCACCCGAAGATGTGGAGAAAGGCCTTGACAGGTCGCTGAAATGTCTCGGTGTTGAGTACCTGGACCTTTTCTTGATGCACTGGCCCTGGTAAGTCGTTTTTTCTTGCAAAAATTATCATTAGAAATAGTTCTAACTCCACAAAGTGCTTTCAAGTCTGGCGATGACTGGTTCCCCATCGACTCAGATGGTGTCTTCGAGTTGGCCGATATTGATCCCTCTGAGACCTACAAGGCAATGGAGAAGCTGATTGACACCGGCAAGGTTCGAGCCATCGGCGTCTCAAACTTCACCCAGCAACGTCTAGAGGATCTCATGTCCAAGACCTCAGTCGTCCCTGCAGTCAATCAGATCGAGGCTCACCCTTACCTCCAACAACCCAAGCTCTTTGACTACTGCAAGTCCAAGGGCATCCAGGTGGCGGCCTACTCCCCTCTAGGCAACAACCAGACCGGCGAGCCGCGCACTGTTGACGATCCTCTGGTTGCCGAGCTTGCCAAGAAGTTAGGATTGGATATCGGACAAGTGTGCTACTCTTGGGGTGTCCAGCGAGGATCCGTTGTGTTGCCCAAGAGTGTCACCCCTAGCCGCATCAAGTCTAATCGAGAAGTAACCGAGCTGCCGAAGGATGCTTTTGAGCAGCTAAATGGCCTGGAGCGAAACAAGCGTTACAACTGGCAGACAAGATGGGGTTACGATATCTTCCAGGAGCTAGGAGAGGAAGAGGTCAAGAGGGTGGCAAAGGAGACAGGCCCTGAAAACAAGGAGAAGTTTGGTAAGAAATAGTTTCAGAATAGATGGCGAATTAAAATTTTATTTTGTGGGGAGTTATCAGGATATCCGGTTTATCTATTTCCCTTCCAACCCAATATAATTTCCACATCATCCAAAATGAGGAGAGGTATAGTGAGCCGAGTGCACGGGAGGCTATTTCCAATGGTCTCATAAAGATTTTCTTTCCTATGTTTAATTCACTCTGTCTAGAAACAAAGAAGGAACCTTTATCTGCAACAATTGTAACATGATGCCCATGTTTACTTAGTCCAGCATACTCCTGAGCCAGGTCCTGGCTGGCACTGCATGCGACCACCACTGCAAGACCAGCAACCATAGTCCCCAGAACACTCGCATTTGCCTGGGGCACAGTTTGAGCCTGGCCTACGGCACTCTGGAAAGCAATTACAACGCGTTTCGAGACCGCGAAGTGCCAGAAGTCCCTGTAGAAGAGGATTAATAACAGGGTGATATGATCAACCTTGGGATGCTCGCACCTTATCGATACCGGTGTAAGTGTATTCACCGTCCTTGATGACTGTGTTGTCGGGCTCAGGAATAGCCAAGACTTGGGCAGAGAGGAGAGCGGAGAAAAAGAGTGCAACCTTCATGATTTGGGTATTGATGGCGGATTGAAACAAAGGAGTTGAGGTAGTTAGATGATATTGTTAGAGAATACCAGACTGTTTGAGACGCTCATCGAGGGTTTTATAATAATGCTAGAACTTGACTTATGATTCTCATTAGTAAATTGCCGTGGAGCAGCCCATCGCAGCACAATGATCAGCCCGGAAGGAACAGAGGATTCCTTCAAAGGATCGATCCCGCATTGATACGATGCAGAAGTCCAAGCCACCGCTTAGCCAAGAATAGGCATAGGGAAGGTCAGCTGAAATAATCGTATGTGGACCAATGAATAAGCCAGCTATCACTTCAATCCTACGGATGTAGGCTTGAGTACTCCATCGCTATGCGACGATCCGAAATAAATCATCGACTTCCACCAAGATTGATGCACCAAAGTTCTTATAGCGGTGTGACGAATACTTAGTCGGAGCCAAGAGAGCTTTGAATCATCACAGTAATACTATACGTGTGCACTCTGTTCCACAGCCAAGGCGCACAAAGGCAAGAGCCTGTCCAATGCGAAGATCATGCTTATGACTGTTTTATGCAATAATGATAAATAATTCATATTGAGCATCCTATACTTGTGAGCGGGATATGATGCTCGTATACCAAGGAGAAAGGATCGACTAGTTCTTCGCCTTTCAACTAGGGCTGATGGGAGCCTGGTTCAAAATAGCCGATTGGAGGGACCGTAATCGATGTAATGAAAAGGTACATGGGCCAAAGAAATTATAATAATTCAAGATATATACATACCACCCATCTTTGCTAGTATAAGGGATACCAGCAATTTCAACTCACAAATAGGCCTATCACACATCACGTTTTCAGCGCTTATTTACTAGCCTTGATATACCAAGCTAATGGAATGCAAAAGCCGGACAGTCACCTTGGTTGCATTTCGGCTGCTCGGTTCGTCACAGATGCAGGGGAGAGGCACGGAATATTACCTCTCGCTTATTGGACACAACAGGCTTGGCAACAAACAACGGAGACGGCATAAAATAAATGATGATCGCTTTTGGGTGGGCGAATTATATTCGTAAACGAGACGCTTATGAGCGAAAGAAGGAAGAATAATTGTTAGTTGAAATCCTAATACCACGAGCTGGATATCTAGCCTTGTGGCCTGCCCTGGTCATTCGGGGAGGTCGGCCTCTGACCCTAGTCGAGTAACATCTCCGGTGGATTTCACGTGAATGCACTTGGAAATCCCGCATCAATTCTCCCGTCTGGGGGTCGGTGGCTAAATAAAAGGGCGATGTCCCAGCACGGCAGAAACTGACTGGCTCATGTTACGCTGTGACGGTCAAAACTGTGATATGTACTTGGTCAAGTGGACATCTGTGTTTGCCCTTTGGGCTAGTCTTGCTGCTGCAGTACCAAAGTGCAATCCTTCCCGGTACATAACCGTCGACATAGCCAATGGGCCCATTACAGGACATGTGGCAGACAACTCACCGTGTGTTGTCGAGTATCTAGGCATTCCTTATGCCAAGCCTCCTGTCAATGAGTTGAGGTTTGCGCCTCCACAGCGTATTACGTCGTACTCGAAGACCCCCTTTGAGGCGACAAAGTTTGGCTATGACTGTCCTCTTTCGCCGAGCAAGAAGGTGGATTATCCTGATATGACACCTCAGGCCCAGCGGATCATCTCCTATTTTGCCAGTGGTGCCGGGACTCCGCAAAGTGAAGACTGCCTCACTCTTAACATTTGGTCAAAGGCCACGTCCAATTCTGCCAAAGCAAACAAACCTGTGCTAGTCTTTTTCTATGGTGGTCGTAAGTAATCTTATCTCTTATATCAAGCTGGGCTAACCCAACTATCAAGGGTTTGCCATCGGAAATACCAACAGTCCTTTTTACAGTGGCAAGTACTTTGCTGATGCTGAGGATATTGTTGTCATTACCGTCAACTACCGTGTTAACATCTTCGGATTCCCAGGTGCAGCTGGCGAGGTTCAGAACCTAGGTTTGCGCGATCAACGTGCTGCCGTTGAGTGGATTCGCGATAACATTTGGAAATTCGGCGGTAACCCTTCGAAAATCACTATCGCCGGTCAATCATCCGGAGGTGTGGCTGTTGACTACTGGACCTATGCCTACAGAAACGACACAATAGTAAACGGCATCATTGCTGCATCTGGGAATGCGTTTAGCTTTCCCGTCAACTCTGCTGCCGTCCAGGAGAAGAACTGGGAATCGGTTGTATCTGCCGTTGGCTGTGACGCTGACAACGACGTAATGACTTGCATGCGGAAGGTCGACTGGAAGGATATTAAGACAGCGGCTGCTACTATCAAACCTGCCTCCAGCTCCAGTGTTCTTCGATCCATCCCTCCATTTTACCCCAAACCTGATGGAGAAATCGTTTTCTCGGATTATGTCGATATCACAAAAGCTGGAAGCTTTGCAAAGGTTCCCATTCTGTTTGGTCATAACAACAATGAAGATGGCTACTACCGCATTCCTGCGTATGGCAATGGGATTACACCCACTGACGCCCAAGTTCAATCATTCCTCCTCGAATCCTTCACCTGCCCTGTTTCCTACCAGGCCAAGGCACGAAAAGACCACCAGGTACCTTCATGGGTATACCGATACATGACAGACTGGAATAACACAAGACTATTCCCTTCGAGCGGCGCATACCATGGTGTGGATCTGCATATGATCTTCGGCGCATCTGGCGATGTCAGCGGGGTTTCGCCATCGGCAGACCAAGAAAAGCTTACCAAGATAATGCAGCATGCATGGTTCTCTTTCAGTGACAACCCTTGGTTTGGTCTCACGCAGCTCGGTTGGCCTGAATTCGACCCAAATCGCGAGACGTTAATTGAACTGGGTAAGGGTTCTAAGCCCCAGGTAGACTTTACACTGCCATCAGTCTATGACGCGTCTTGCTCAACAGTTAAGACGGGGGCGCCTTCGACTCCTTCATAGAATAAGGATGCTATCACACCGTGATTCTTTTCAGAGCAGCTCCCAAAAATGATCGGAGCGCTTTTTTCAAATACTAGAGACAATGTACTCCATCATACAAAGATGAACGCGCGACCTTCCGTCCTATTACTCTGCACATGCCCTTCCGCCAACCATTCCATACTACCCAGAGTGACCTTTGGATTCAGTATTCTTTCCCCATCATGGACCAGTAATATAACCCTCCGCAGGCTTCATAACCATCTCAGTGGTATTTATGTGAGCAGATAGTAGATCAGTTATGGTCTTGTAGCCCTTCCTCAAAGCTATCGAGAGGGCTGTGTCGCCTTCGTTGTCAGTCGCTTGAACATCGACCTTACCTGTTCTCAGAAGTAACTTCAGCGCCTCCTCACCACCGTTCTCTGTGGCCTGCATCAGCGGTGTCTTGCCTGATCGGTCCTTGGTATTAACGTCAAATTTGCCCGAATCGTGAATCAAATGGACCAAGCGGTCGTTCCCTTTTCCGACCGCCAACCAAAACAAGCTACTCATCACACTTTCGTTTTCCGTTCGAAGATTGAAACCTTCATCCTCGAAAAGCAACTGAAGCACATAAACCTTTTCCGATTCTATCGCCCATGAAGCCAAAATTTGTACCAGCTTCTCAATCCCTTCGTGAGTACTGACGCTACTTAACTGGAGAAGAAGCCGAATAGTGTATTCTGCCTCATGTCTCATCGCCCAGAAAGCTACTTCTAGTACAGTCTTGATATTCTCCCTGTTTATATCGAATGTCTCCGACTCAAGAACCCGCTGAATAGTGTCATCATTTCTTTTTTCCTCCAAAGCCAACCGCATCAACACTTGGTCAGTCATCTTCTCGAGCTGCCTTTTAAGGGTTGTTGAACTAAAAGGATGCCGGGTCGTGTTTTTGTCGATCTTCTCCAGAGCCCACCACAGTGGTGTTTGACCGTTTTCGTCTCCTTGATTGCCATATATTCTTTCGTCCTTGAGAATCAACCTTACCATCTTTGGTGTTCCATGCTTGGTAGTCCACCAAAGTAGAGCTTGAAATTCAACAGGCTGTTGACTGAGGTCAGAGTAGCGGCGGTCAAGAAGAAGCTTCATCATATTTCCGTCCTCTTTTACAATAGCTCGACAAACTGGCGTGTAACCCTCGTTATCTTCCTTAGAAACTAAAACCTTTTCGGTATCTGTGAGTAGGAGTATATTCGCCATCTCTAAATTTCCTGCCATCACCGCTATGTGCAATATGGTTTTTCCTTCTTCGTCGCTGGCGCTTATATCAATGTTACCACTTTGGAGCAGAGTTGAGACGATTTGCTGATGATTATTGCGCACAGCTACAAAAAGTGGCGCAGATCCATAGTCAGTCGGTTCGGTCAGTTGTACTGAGTTCCTGTATGTCTCCAAGAAGATTTTCACAAAGCCTTGTTGGCCTTCTGTAACAAGTTGATTCAACACTTGCTGGGAGGTTAAATATCCATCACTTCCGTCAATCAATAGTTGAATACCTTCAAAGATATCAGAGATGAGTCCTAGGTTGTAGAATATCACCACTTCCAATGCCGTTTCACCTTCTTCATTCTTCCATAAGACTGTTTGAGGCGAGGCTTGAAGTAAGACCTTGGCAGCCTCAAAGTGTTGGTTCCTAATAGCAGTGAACAACGGAATGTCGCCCAAACGGTTTATGAGCGTGGCTGAAGATGCGTGTGAGAGAAGCAGGCTGATCTCTTGTGCCCTTCCTTGTCGAGATGCTAGAAAGATCGCCTCCTCATCAGGATCGAAATCCTCATCGTCACTCTCATCTGCCTCATCGTAACCATTGACCTCGGAGCCTACAAATCTCTTTGTATTGGCACCAGCTTCCAGTAAATGTTTCAAAAGGCCATGCCAGATATCATCACCATGCCCTGCTTGGTTCAGGCATTGGATTACGAAGAAAACAGCGCCTGCAAGGTCCGCACCTCCTTCTATAATCCTAGATAAGAGTGTCTTATCCTTAGTGCTTATGGCATAGAATACCAGAGCCTTCTCGTATTTGACCTCAGCACCCGCGTCGAGCAAGTGTTGGATAACTCTGTCCGCTCGCACAGAGACAGCAAGAGCTAAAGGCGTCTCTTCCTCACGATTGGCGGTATTGACGTGAGCAAGACAATCCCTTCTTTTTATGCTTCCATTCTCTGTATCTGTGGAGGAGCCTTCGTATTGCTCGGTCTGCCAGGTCCTTGATCGTTCCAGGATCATGAGGGCTAGATCTTCGTTGTTTTCACGAAGGGCGAGGTGGAGGGGAGTGTTTCCTTCAGAATCTCGAAGTGTTAGATCTGATGTGTCTTTCTGAAGAAAGGTTTCCATGAGACTTAGAGAACCAAACGCGACAGCAATATGCAAAACTGTTGCCCCTACAAATGGCCATCCCCTTGGAGCGTGAGTACCTTCAGGGTCCATTATTCTCCATATTGTCGCGAGCATCTTCAAACGTTCTGGTCGGTCCCACTGAATGAGTTCGATGAGATCATTCTGTGGAATACCCTCAGCTTCAGCAGCTCTAATGTGACCGAGGAGAAATGATACTCCGTATGGCATTAGTGGAAAGGTTGCTGATAGTCTCGCTCTCGACAAATCCTCCCCTTCTAAAACTTCTTCGAGTGTTAAGTATTTGAGGAAAGACCTCGAGATCTCATAATGCCCCGAACCCACTGATGATCCAGGCATTGGTTCTCCAGTAGCATGAGCGAAGAGTTTCTGAGTAATGAAATCAGCAGCCGATTGATGAATGAACTGCGCTTCTCGGTTCCACTCCTCTCCTCCATGCTCATACTGCTCGTAGATATCTCGGTCTTGGAATTCCACTAGACCTCTTGAGATATATCGAACACGCGTTTCGAACCGGGATACACTCTCAGACCAGTTTTCGTGAGATCTGAGCTGTGAGACTGTCGTAAAGGCCATATCTTTATCAGTGGAAAGTGCCTCTCGGAGTTCATGCGCTGATAAAGGTCGACCCGCAAACAACACCCACTGGAATAGCTTTATCATCTGTTCGTGCTTGTCGTTGGTCGCCCCCTTCAATATGATGCCGTAAAGTTCGTCCAGGTCTGGTGGGATAGATGAGATCTTTTTAAGCAGATCCTCTGTTTTAGCGGCGATGGCATCTTCGTCGAGTATCATGTTGGTGACGAGTATGGCCCACTGAAATCCTCCATGGGCCTTCAACAAAACCTCATTCTCAATCTGGTGACGCCTCGCGTCAGGCTGAAGCTCTCTGAGTCTGTCTTCAACAACCACTCTAATATCTCTATCGTTCTTCCTTTCCACGTTGACTCTCAACATTGTGTCATGGCCAAGAATCGGGAAGTGTCGCGAGCTGAAGCAAATCTTTACCAACGATCCTTCTCGTTCAGCAACTTCCATTAGGCGCTTGAAAGAACCCAGTAGGCTTTTCGCATGTTCTTCTCCACATTCGTCGAGTGCATCAACGAAGACGACCACCGGTTGGTCTTTAGTTCCCTTTGTTAAAATTCTGAACAAGAGTGCTTCCAGCTCTTTTTCATTCCAGCGCCATCCATGCTTCTGTTCGTATGACCCATATCGCTGCTGTTTGTCCTGAAAGGTTTCCGTGATCTCGGTCAGGTAGGTTGGAAACGACATGAGCAGTGAATTTAACAGCGCCCTGAGCATGCCCAGTGGGGTTCTTTGTAATGACACTCCACGACCATGAATGAAAAAGGACACGACAAGCTCTCCAGTCTTTCTGTGTCTCATCATATCAACGGCAAACTTCATGAGGACAGACTTTCCTGTTCCAGGATAGCCCTTGATCCAAAAGAGGCCACGAGGTTGATTCATCCATGCCTGGTATTGAGGGTACTCAAGAAGCCACTCGCAAGTATGATCAGCAAAAGAAATCTCCGAGTATCTGTGCTCTTGTTCCACAAAGGATAATGATCTTAGACATTCTAAAGGGCATCAGTAGTTGCTTACAGGGACATTTTGGGTTCCATACGCTGCTGATCGTCCGAGATCTGAACCGGAGCTGAAAGAAGGTGAGTATATGAACTGCATACATACTATGAGCTGGCTACGAACCTTGAGGCTGTCCTCCTTTAACTACACTGCTGGGCCCTCCTCGTGCAATGCGCATTACAGGACGAAGTGCAATCATAACTCGCCGGTATAGTTGGTCATGTACACCAGTATACTTTACCATCTCAGAGTGATTACGGTTAATCGGATGCTGTTGTCGGCAACCGCATGTTGCTGAGAATACATCAACCAACACTTCAGTCGTACCAGATGGCCCCCATTTGTTATCAATCTAAGATACACGTTAGACATACAAGGTTCTTAACACGGGCATGAACTTACCCAGGCCGCTGTCGGGGACCTTTCGGTCTCGTAAAAGGATACGATAGAGAAGCCCATAGTCTGCGAGATCTTATCAAACTCGATTTGCAGGCGTTCCAGAAGGGGCGAATTCTTGTTGAGTGATTCTAGAAGTGCCCTGTTGGGATTGTCTTTGACCAAAGGAACGAGGCACTCCACTGCGAGGCCTCGATGAGGAACCCCAAAGAATGCGAAGCCAAAGATGGCCTGAAGTAGAGTTGAATCGGGTTCAAGTGGCTGTTCCTTCAACATGCGAACAGTCTGCGCATACATCAGCATGGAGCCCAAGCGAAACCCAAAGGACTAACCTCTTTGATCACAAGGCCGCCCAAACTGTGTCCTATGAAGAGTATAGAACGCGATTTGTTTGGATCCTGAAGAGAGTATCAGTATACAAAAGACGAAAGAAATACGGTTGGGATTTACATACGCGAATGCCTTCAAGGTCAACTTGCAATGCTCTTCCCAAGTCTGACAGGTTTTGGAAAGATCGACTCTCGACGAGCTGAGTATCATAACCATAGGTAAAGACTCTTGCATTAGGAACATCTGAAGGGAGACCGTCTCGAACCCAAACGAACGGGCCATTCTTCTCTTTGAAGGAACCTAAGGCATGGCCTCCAAGACCGCATACTGCAATCACACTGACCCTACGTGTCAGTAGCTCATTGAATCGATCCAAGGGGCGCCAGCGTTCTTTGTCTCGTCACTTACTCGATATGGCAATCCTCATCACTCGACTTTTGAAACGGTGTGAAGCCCGCGAAGTGGTTATCAAAGACAAGAGACCTGCCGAAACCGATGCTGTTGTCATCTGCCAGGGGAAAGATCCACTCATTCTTCGAGCGATCTGACAAAGGCTCTGGGATAGAAGGGAAGCTGACTGTGGCTATCTTGCTGTTTTGATCGACAGGACAAAGCGCAAGCGAGTAAACAGTTGGGCTAGCACCTGGTTCGAGCCCAAGGGTCTGCTGAATAAGGCTGCAGACCTCACTCTCTGTTTCGTATTCAATGGGAATACTTCGTAGTCTGAAATTCCTATGTTGACTTGCTGCCATGGTTACCAATGCTTGCGTCGCGGGAATAGCCTAGCATACTCGAATGCCACTGAATGAAAAGGAAAGAATCTGGCTTTGGTCCAGGGAAAATTTCTGCGTGGGATGTCAGCACTGCATTTGAGGCTGAAGGGCTGGATAGGCGCCTTAGAATGCCATTTATGCGCGAGTCAGGGGGTGGATGGGCGGCCAGCGAATGATAGCTGCTGAACTCATGCATGGTTGGGTTGAAAATAGGCAACCACACCTTCACCGACTCCGTGCCACTAACGTCTATTATTTTAATGATTTTAATTAAAAATCAGATCATCTTTATGACAATGCTTTTCTTTTACTGTATGTTGCTAGAAGATTTGTTGTTCAAACGGCAACTCGCTCCGTCTTGGTAAGGCGACGCCGTTCCTTGATAGCAAACTTCCATTCCTTGGCAATCTTATACGACAGCAAAATTCCAAACCCGAAAAGAAGCCCAAATGAAACCAGGATCGCCATGACGCTGATCCCAACCGCCAAGCCTCTCCAGTTAGCGCCGACATCTGTTTCAAGCGACGCCACGACCTGCAGGCCACTCAAGGACACAGACGTGACTCCAATTGCGAACAGAATTGGTGCGTAAAAGCGCGCAAAATATTCGCCGTATTGCGATTCGACCCTTTGAAAATGTGATTTATTGAGGACAAGCGGGGCGTAGAAGTTGAGACGCGTAAGGCGGATTTGACCGTAAGCATAGCGAGGAGAAACGTCTCCATCGGGGATGTCGTTCAGTTTGGACGTGAAGTTGCAGAATTGCTCCCAAGTAACGTTCTCCGGCACAAGACACAAATTGAGATCCTTGGCGATGCGAAAATCTGACTCGTGCTTGATTAAATGGTAGTACGTGCGCAGGTAGCCCAGCGCGGCCATTCTGATGCGCGCATCTTCGAAATTATCTGCACTGCAGAGGTGTTCTTCCCAGAAATAATATGAGACGATAAAGCGGGGGAGAGGCTTGATGAAGATACGGTCGTTAATCCACACGAGATGCAGTTTTGGATCCTCCGTCACGATGATAGAGCGTCGCTTGACTAACTGACGGTGTAGCGGTGATATGTTCGCGCTGTCTTGTTTCGACATCCACCAAAGCTTGCCTGCAACGCGGTCTAAATCGTCTGAACAGAGCTCTGATGTGAGAAATTTCCTAATCAGAGTCTTATCGTGACTAGGGATGCGGGGGAATCCTGGCACATAGCCGGTCGCTTCATCCCGAAGAAGAGACTGAGTGGACGTGAAGGGAGGTTTGAACATGTTCAGTACAATAGTATAATTAAAGTTAAAATAACCCGATTTTAATATGGGATAACGGTTAAATATGTATTACTTGAAAATGCTCAGGCGGTACAATAGGACTGACCAACTGTGACACAGCCTTATCAATGGGCGCAAATAAGCCTTAGCGCTTGAAGTCGAATGGTCATTGGCTGGAAATAATGGCTGCGCTGTTAGGTTGGGTGCCTGACAAACGGACAATTGAAAGATACCCAACGATAGTGGAAGGGACCTTTCCTTACTTCCCACAAGCTACAGATATAGGTATAATAGTCAGCTTAGTTACCTCTCCATAGTAACGAAATCAAGTAAAGCACGTATTAGCTTTCAGCTATGGGGAAATCTTGCCGTTCTTTACGATTTGTGGAACATTGGAGTTTAAAGTGGGATCGTCTCCACAACTCTAGAACAGAAGTTGGAGAACATCCTAATAGGGTAATTTTCTCCGTAAGAGAGTGTGCTGCTATATAAACGCACCTCGCAAATTATTTAGATACAGTCCCGATCACAAACCTTTTATCTTCTTAAAACCATCCTACCGAAAAGCAATTATCCCTCTTTACCGTTAAAATGGTTGTGATCAAGCGTTTCCGAACGGTTTGGGGAGTTGAGTCAGGAGATGATTTCCAACACTGGATCCCCTGGTTTCCTGAGTTGAGGAAAGAAGGCTTTAGTTAGTTCTACCCCTCCGACGTGATTCTTCACAGACACTGATATAAGATAGCTGGTGTTGAGGTAGACATCACAGACAGAGATGTTAGTGACCTGAAGAAACTACGCCAGCTCTTGGATGAGGCTGGCTTGGAAGCCACTGTCTTGTAGGTAAAACACTTTAAGGGTTGAGTTAGAGTCTTACATCCCACAGAATTCACACAGCATGGGCTGGCTACGTTGGTGGTCGCCCTACAGATCTTACTCCTGATGTCCACCTCGACATCTACCGTGGAGAGCTAGAGCGCGCTAAAATTCTAAAGCCTGTTAGAATCAATGCTCAATCCGGCGGGTATGTCTCACTGCCAATCCCATTGTGAATTTACACTAACTTCTACAGCGATTACTGGTCATGGGACGAATCTGTCTACTTTTTCGAAAAGACCCTGGAAATCGATGACGAATTAGGCCTGACAGGTCTCGTCAGTCACGAAACGCATCGCAACCGTTCGTTGTTCACGCCTTATGCAGCCAAGTACATCTTGCCAAAAGTGCCAAAGTATGTATTAATCATGGCTATCTGGATATATACTTACAGACATCTAGGCTGCGTGTGACAGCAGATATCTCCCATTGGGTTGTTGTCTGCGAAAGACTTCTTGACCTTGGAGAGGACGATAAAGAAATCCTTGACATCTTAATTCCTCATGTAAGTTCTATTTCCGTACTCTTATCAAAGATACTAAGAATTGTACCAGGTGACACACATTCATGCCCGTATCGGAACGACGCAGTCTTCGCAATGCCCTGAACCTGAAGATCCCATCTTCAAGGAGGAGCGACAATTCTTTGAGAAGCTGTGGCTACGAATTGTCAAGGCCCGCAGTAAAGACAGTGATGTCATCACGTTTGTGCCGGAGTATGGGTGAGTGATCCAATTAAACGCATTGCTCATACGCATAATCCTAACGTCTCTAGTCCATTCCCTTACCACCCTTATGGAAGTGTTAGAACACACGGCGAGGTTGCAAACAGTGAAGGAGCGAGACTCCAGAGACTGTTTGAGGATAGCTTGTGAATTTGAAAGTGCAGTGGGAAATGACGTAGGCAGAAGTGGTTGTAGTAAATATCAGTGCGCTGATCCAAGCTCACCCTATAGTTGAAACTAAAAAAGTCATATCTATAAGCAATGATGATATTGGCATAGATAAAGAATGGTTCGGAGTTGTTGTCTCGATTGAGGATTATGGAATTCTTCCCATCTTTCCCAAACTAAAGTACTTGTCATATCGATTTTAATTTTCTTAATCCTGAAGTCGTGACCTTTAGCTGTAAAAACTAGTGGCTACTGCTGAAAAGGAGTGGAGGGAAAGACACAAGGACAGCCCTGTGAGAGATTACTAATCAGTTGACTGGAATGCCAGATGTTTCACAGCAAGCAAGTCACTTCGAATGGAATGTTTTAAATCGTTAATTGTGGCTGAATTTACGCGTTCCCGTAGATAATATATCTGGCCTCTTTCCCCTCTTTTGGGCGGATATTCTATACTATTCTCTTTTGAGACTTGTCTTGGCAGGTCAATTTCCTTTTCTTCATCTGAGGTTCAATTGGCCAAAACAAACAGCGTATCTCGACACAATAGCTCTGGTTCCATCGGATGTATTTATGAATTTTCTAAAATTTCTACGGGAAAACAGAGGGCTTATTATGACTTGTTATAAGGTCGACAAGCAAATATTACGCTACTCCAGAACCAGAAGGTCAACTCCTCAGCGGAGACTCAACGCCTCGATGAAGCAATATGCAGAAAAATATCTTCTTTTACGAGATTTTAATTTAGTAATGATACGTCGGTCATGGAGAAGGTTTACCATACGTGCATGTGATGCTCGAATACGGAGTACAATAGAGCAATTTGCTCGAAATGCTGCTTTGCGGCTGAGCTTACAGGGGAAATTCAGCCCCCAAAGGATTCGCTGCGACCATAAAATGCGACTTCGCACGTGCTTCCCAATGGGGTAGTAAAGTATAGGTAAGCCATAGGCACAGTCTTCTGCCTTTTCTTTAACCGCGATGCATCAAAGTGGAGTTGCAAGTAGTCACCTTCCAAGTGAGTAGGGCCTGGAGCTGAATGTGAGACACTTTTGACTGAGTAAGCTCTGGAGGATTTCTGCAGGCAAAGTATAACCCGTATTTCTATACGGATATGCGTGGAGTTCCACTTATCTTCTCTGCTTCACAACGCAACTGGACGAGATACATCATGCTTCAGAGGCACGGAGACTATCAGTTTGAAGATACAGAAAAGAGCGCGTAGATAGCGATATGTCAACGAATAGGATGGCCAAACGGTGCATGTGTTCGCCTTGGCCAAGAACTTATTATTGTCTACCATTATGGCATATGACTATATTGGGATCAAGGCAGAGAGTATGCCTTTGAGTATCCAGAGCAGTGATATATGCTTGAAAAACTATAAAGAGGCTTCTACATTCCGCATCAATCCATCTCAACTCATCCACTCCATCACCTTCTCATCTCACACAACACCTTCAACAACAACTACCACACTCAGCAACATGCAGTTCAAGCTCCTTCCTCTCCTCGCCCTCGCCGGCCTTACCACCGCCACTGGCTCTTGGCTCGGCATGGAAAACCTCCCTGATGGTCCCTACAAGGGTGTCAACCACGACGATGGCTCTACCACCGTCACCAACCTGAAGACTGGCGAGTCCTTCGAGTTCGGACTCAGCAACGAGTCCGCTGCCAACGAAAAGCGAACTGTCGCTATTGAGAAGCGCGAAACCTCATGCTGGGGCTACGAGCTCGACCACGGTGGTGTGGACTCCGCTGTCGTGCAACTCAAGAACTGGGCTGGTTCGGGCCAAGACTTGGTTTCCCGCGAGAAGCCCACCTACTTCGGCTACAACGCCCGAGGCGTTTACGTCTACTACTGCATCAACGCTCCCTGGAGTGGAGGCAACATCGATGTCAATGATATCAACTATGCTCTTGAGCAGATGGACGGACAGTGCAAGCGATATGAGGCTGGTTTCTACCGATGGGACGGCTCGGCTGAGCTTGTTGGCAAGGTCCGTTCTGGTACAGCTGTCTGCCTGGGTTAAGTTGGCTCTTCGAAACATTTGGATTTGGAGGAAATCAACAATAAACTGTACATAGTTGTGGCGGCGGGGACTATGGACGCCGGACCCCACGCCCATTATTTCCATTCTCATCGCCTTGTTTAACAAGGAGTATATCTCTAATCAGTCAATTACTCTGAGGAATACATTTGGTTTCTGCTAATTAGTTCTCTTGAGTGACATGTTGTATCGCAAGCGAATTTGAAGTCTTTGTAGCAGATCGACCATGCATGGTAGTGATTGCAGTCGCATCAGCTTTAAGACTAATTAAGATCCACAAGTGATATAGCTATGTACTGCACAGTGTGTCGGAGGGTAACTCTATTGATCAATACTCAACCACAATCTTGAATTCGTCGTAGGGACACAAGTAGAGTCCAAACATGTAAAAGTAGGAAACAGTACGTTCCAATGAAAGGTTCCACACTATTTTCCCACCCCCAGTCGAAAGCATCAGATAATCGATAGTGCCCACCAGAGAGATACCATAGATATCACCCTGCACTTGCGGCGAAAGGACTATGTGGATGGTATGGTAAGGCTAGTTATAATTACAGAATAACCTTAAATTGAGTATGGGGTTGCTATCATCTAGCTCTCAAACTTGGGTAATTTTCCACCAACCAATGCACTAACCAGTAGCCTAATTTATAACAAGGATTGCCTGTCTTTGAAAAGGCGTCGAGGCAGGACAGAAGACGGATACACGGTTGAAACACAGGAAAGGAGGATACTGTTACGCCGACTGAGGTGAATTATGGGTCGTTCGCGTACCACCTCCAATCACACTAGGGCTAATTAAAGTTTTCGTATCATCCCCGTAAACTGCCGGGAACGACCCAATGAATAAGCAGGATGGTATTGGCTGATTCCACCGAGCTAGTGCCTTATCCTCGAACCTAACAGGGTAGATCGTAGAGACCCTTGTCAGTCGAGATTTCACGCACCAATGTGAATGGCCGGGGGCCGACTGCCAGGGCTCATACGCATGTTGACTGCTCCTACGGGCGCTGGGCCGAGGAAGAACTCGGTGTGAATGGCTCTATCAAGAGTAGTCCGATTTGAAAGGTGACATCGTGAAGTTTCGCCGGATCAACGAGGCTAAGCGTTGCTTACGGATCCACGAAGTGCCGTGCCATGCCCCCTCATCCCGCTTGCCACGAAGCTTAGTTTGCTTCCCCGCGGCAGACTAGGGTTCGTCAATAAAAACCCGAGCAAATCCTTCGACTTCTCGCACGCATTGCCTAATTCGACACTGACACCATGGCCATCAGATCGAGAGGCCTGCCTAGTCCTGGCTGCAGCCGCTGCCGCAGCAAGAAGATCAGGGTCTGCACCACCTTTACCCGTCCATCGTGGGGCTTAGGCTGATTTGATGTAGTGCGACGAAGCGAAGCCAATTTGCGGGCAGTGCGCCAAAATTCGCTCGGTCGATTGCAAGTATCGTGATGAGTTTGAGCGGACGTGGCGGTGGCAGACTGAACTGGTAGTCAAAAAGGCCAAAGCGAAAGCGATAAGCACTGAGACTGTTCCGATAGCCACAGCAGACACAAAGAGCGACACGGTAAGGCATTGAGTCTGACATACCCACTCTACCTGCTGGCTCCGACATCCGACGAACGCGTAGGGCTGACCCATTACTCAGCAGCAGCTAAATCCTCCGAATCCCACTATCTTGGACAGGTTCTTCTTTGATTGGGTCGTTCAATCGGCCGCCGGCTCCGAGAGTGTCATTTCTTTGTTCAACTCACTTCCTGGGCTGTACGCCAAGTCTAGTGTGAATAGCCTTCTGTATAACTCTATCAACGCCTTGGCCAATGCAGGCTATGCGCAAAGATTCAATTCCTCAAAAGCACTGACAGAAGCAGCCGAATGGTACGGAGAGTCTATCCGTATGTTGAAAAACATACTGAGTAGTAGTGGGGGGCGACCATCGAACCAGGATGTTATGGTCTCGATCATACTCCTCTGCATGTACGAGGTTAGTAAATAAAACTGGGCGTTGAGGGTACTCACTAACTTCTACGCCAGCTGTTGATAGATGAATCTGTTGCCTTGGAAGGCTGCTGGGTTTCTCACTTGGGCGGTGCAACCCTTCTTTTGAGGATGCAGGGGCAAGAGACAACAGAAGAGTCTTCCGCTGCTTTGGAGGAGGAGGTCTCAATGGTCATATACTTACAAATGGTATACCTAAAATTCTCCTTCTCCATTAAAATTGCAACACTAATATCAGTCAGATCCACAATAGTCTCTTGACTGGCCAAGCGCCTTCTGTTCCGGTCAATGAACTCAAGCTCCGAAAGCTACCGCACATTAGCGAGCACATGGAGCTAATCTACAGAGCTGCATGTTTGTGCGCGGAGTGGAGATCCGCACTCTTCCTCCCCCAATCACACCATGGATGGAAGCAATTATCCATCATTGCAGGTAAAGCCATGTCACTGGACAAGCAACTTGAAGAGTGGTCCTGGAGCTTGCCTTCACAACTGGGTTGCACGGCCGAAGCAATATCTGTTCATTCTCAACCTGAGTGGTTACAGCCTTTGCTCACCGGTGCATGGACTCCTCTTAACACTCACATCCACCCATCTCTCACCGTCAAGATCCTATGGAGATATTATTGGCAAGTTCGATTGATCCTCAATCAAGCGCTTTTATTTACCCACAGCATCCTCGAAAGAGGTGATACCACAATCAACCCCATCTCATCCGATCTAAAGAATATCAAGACTCGAATTGTGTCGTTTATCGACCGCTTATGCGAATCTTGCCTTTCAACCTTCATCGTTGATCCCGCAACGGAGACGCGAGATCACCGAACAGAGGACATCCCTGGGATTATAGGATACCTACTCATGCAAGGCTTACCAACTATTGGTCTGAGCCTGGAACAGGTTGTTCTTGTTGATTTTGATCTTTCGAGTCGAAAAGAATGGCTGGCCAAGATGAAGAAATTCCTGAGAGATACTCTTGGTGTCGGGAAAGGTGCAGCGGCAAAGGAACCTTCTCAATATGGGAAGATACCTATCCAAATTTGGGGCCTTTAAGGGCGGGCCAAAGATCATTTGCCTGGGTTCAAAGGATGGAATGATATTGTGCTCTCACACGCGTCTGAATTAGCGTTATATTTTGATAACCACGAATGAAAACATTGCGCTTTGTGGAAACCTGGATTTTGCTGGCTGTGATGTGCTGGCTGAGACATTGCAATCGCCCAACGCCGGGCTAGAATGATTTATCTACACCATAGCCAGTCACCTCCACAGGCGCAAGACAGAACATCGCATGAGTTTCCGTAGGCGTTATATCGGGGTTACCAGACGTCGAACTCTTCGGCCCCATCAAAAGACACCACAGCGCTTGTCACAAAGTTTTTCAACTCGGGTAGATGCCTGCAGCGATCCTTGTGGATAATGATGGACTCCCAGCGCCTCCGCAGCTTGAACAGCACTTTGTGTAAGCTGCGCTGTGTTTGCCCATGTCTTCAGATCATTGGAGTTTTCTGACAAACATGCCACCGCATCGGCACCGCCATCTTGCAGACACTCTCCGTGGTATTGCCCCTCTGTCGTGCAAGCGAGCTTCGCAGACCAACATCCTTAGAAATGGAGTGTGAGTCTTGATCAGACGCTCACTTTGTCTTGGAACTAGGAGTGGCGTTGCAGACCATCTGTATTCATTCTTTTTCCATGTATGCCCTTTCATTCATCGTTTATCAACACCAGATGCACTCTGCAACTCGCAGCTGCAAGATGACAAGCTTCATCAAGAAAGAGCAGGGGCTTCGTCTTATTCCTCCACACTACGGCTGCGAGTTCCCATCAGGCAACACTTCACTGCGCTGCACAGCAAAATCGATGATGCCTAAAGCGGATGGGTGAATGAGAAGTTCCGGGCAGGTGCATCTCGTGCCACCTGCCACTGCCACTCCCTCGTGGAAAAATGAAGAAAAGGTCACGTGCTCTGATTCACCAAGCTGGTGCTCCTGTTCACGGCTTCTACTTTCACATTCTCCCATCTTCTTTCTTCTTTTCTCCTCTTCATCTCTCCTACTCAGTCAACCTCCGAGAGTAGATGCGCGCGAGTGAGTTGTGATGGCGCTGAAGGCGACATATCTAACATATCCCAGAGACCATGGCCGAACCTCCTCGACCGACAACTCCTACAGGAGAAACACGCGACCAACCGGCCCCTGACAGAACTTCACCGACGTTCCACCCCTTCCCCAAGCTTCCAGTCGAGATCCGACTCTCCATCTGGAAGTACGCATGTTTCCCTCGGTCCCAGGTCGATCACGGTATTCAGTATGTCACTGTCAACATCGTGGATGAGGATATTGATGAAGATGACCTTGTTGTCTTTGATGACAACCTGGAAGGATATGATGATGAACTAGCCGTAGAAAGCGACGAAGATGGCTACATCACCCTGACAGCTCCGAAATTCCCGTTCGACAAACCCGCCGAACTCTGTCGCCCCAACCCATCGGCCTGCCTTTGGGAGGCCGGCCTTTTGACCGCTTGCCGTGAGTCCAGGCTCGCTGTCGCAGAGTATCATAACCTCAAGGGCTGGCGAGAGTTTCGCGAGCAACCAATGAACACAACCCAGACAAACGAATGGTACGACCAAGCCTACCCCTCGACTCTCGTCCCCCACAAAGGAGACAAGAAATGGTGCCCGATGGTTGTTCCTCACTTCGACATATTTTGCATCGACACGAGCTGTATCAGAAACCTGCCAAAGAGCCTATACAGCATGAAGCTTCTGACACCCTTCCTCAGCACACGAGCTTTCACAATCAGGGAGAATTGGAACATCGCACTGAAGTACGATAGCAGCTGGAACACAAAACTCCGACCCCAAGACTACCGACTGAAGCGTGAAAACACCCCGCGAGGACTTCTTGCGAACTGGCTTGACAGATTCAAGGACGAGATCTATCCCAAGCCAAGTCTTTGGATCATCGATGACAGTGTTAGCTGGGTTGCGAAGGGCGAGCAGACATACACCCCGGTGTACCGTGATTGTGATGGAGAGTATGTCCAGATCGACTGGGAGGATACTCGTGGCGATGGAGCCAAGGGAGATGTCACACGCTTTTTCGGATGTTTGAGCGACATATTGGACTACGACAATGATTTCTTTTCGTTTAAAACCAAGGAGATTGTGAAGCTTCTTGTTCGCAAAGACAACGAGATACCCTGGAACTCCGATGAAGAGCTCGAGTTGAGTGACGGTGAATATTCTTGGAATGAAGACAGGGATTCAGATCAAAGCACTGATGACAGTTGTTATGAAGATTATTGAGATGGGTGTCATAGGTTGCTTTGCTTGCCCAGAAGGAACTATCAGGGAGTTTAACGTACTTGGAAGAAAAAGGCATGTTTGTGCCAAGAATTCGAGAGACAGATGGGGGACCCCAAGTCATGGTTTACTGCCAGTCAATAGGCCGTAGCATACGGAAAAGCTGAATGCAAGCTTCTACAGTTGAGCTATCATCATAAATCTGTCCATACCTTCCGTAGCCTGATATGAACACATTTGACTCTATTGTTCTCCTGTGGCCTTTTCCAACTGAATAGAGCTGAAAGACCTGTATCCGGAATCGGAGTGTTCTCTTGTCGCACCGGTATCACTGCCTCCACCTCCACCTCCAGGCCCCAACAAGTCTTCTAGCAATCCACCATTGTCAAAAGCAAACTCCGATTCTCCTAGTAGTGCGAAAGGATCAAAAGAGTCCAAGTTGAAGTTACTTAGCCACGCCTCGCTCTGTCCCTCATAAGGCAGGTTGTTGTTTGCCGAGCTGCCTTCTTGGGAGGCAAGGCTGCTTGAACCTGCAATTAGCAAACCTGATTCTTCACCAGGCCGGGATTGGCCGTCCCCATCTCGGTTCTGCCTGAGTTCGCGGAAGGCATCCTCAAGCAGAGTCTTTACCCAATCACCTGCCTTTCGCCTGAGACTCTCCTCGACAATGGTAAGGTCTCGATCTAGTTCTCGTCCCAAAGCTTGCCGAAGGCGCTGGGGGACTTCTCGCACCATGTAGTCTTCGCATTGTGCCAAATAGTCAGACTCAGAGTGTTCATGGTTATCCCCCTTCTGGGATGTCTGGTGGTATTCATAGACTGTAGCTATCAGTATTACAGTTTCCCAATATCCCGATGAAACAAACTTACAGGGAGACGGAATATCGTCATCCAAAACATGTGGGAACAGGATCTTGAAAACTCTCCTCCACTTATCGTCCTCCGAAAGCTCTCGACCAGATCGTTTTCGAGACTTCAGACTTCGTTCTTGTGCTTCATCAAACCCCTCAACATGTTCCATTTCTCGCAGTGGGCATGCTTCCTCAGTTCGCAGATGGTTGAGATAGCACTGTTCATCCTTAAAGGGCTCCCAGCAGCGCCCACAGCGGTATTTGGGCTGTCTATGGCGTCGGTAAAGATGCTCTCTACTCAAAGGTTAGTGTAAATTTTAGGACAGATTCATTGTCTCTTTAAAACGTACTTGATTCGATGGATATCGGCCCAACCTGGTCCTGGACAAACCCTCCAATCTCTGTATTTGGTTGGGTTGTATTTGAAATACGGGCAAGCATACTTTCGATTCTTGTGGTCCTGGCTGGGCTTTTTACCGCTTTGCCGATCTTGTTTCTGCTCCTCTTCGTCATCTTCGTCTGTCTCGTCATCGTCAACCTCCGTTAGTTTTCTTTTCTGGTTGCTAGGCTTTGTACAATGAGACTCCTTGTCTTTCGAGCTTGATTCTTGCGATTTGCTTGGTCTCCCTGATGCGCCAGCTGAATTACCACCTGCACTTTTACGACACGAGTCGAACATTGACCGCATCCACTGCGCCACATTGAATACAATGCGATCGATAATCTGTCTTTTCCTCTCGTCAATGTAGGTTTCTGTTGGGTTAGAACTTCCGTCGCTTTGAGTTGTTGGCGAGGAACCTCTGGACTCCAGTTCATCGGGCAATTCTGGCAGAGTTGGTAAAGCATGCTGTTGGATATAGTTCGCAAGAAACGGCGCGGTAGAGGTCTCGGCAATCCACTCGCTCAGGTATGCTTCGAATCTTACCATCCGCGGCTGGGTGCCATTTCCGGATGGGAGTTCAAGAGATGCTGAGTTATTTGACCAGTAAGTGTTGGAACTGGAGTTCGGTAGCCGGTCTTCTGTGACTATATCTGACTTGGGCTTGCAGTTCTTCGCCAAGATATCTGTACTGCCAAGACCAAGATCCCTGTGTTCCTCGCTACTCTCACCTTTTGGTCTACAACCTGTGACAAAACGGCGTCTCTACGCGAGCTTAGTATTGCGCGAATGACAGCAGAGCGGTATCAGAATGAACGTTACTTACCATCAATTCATCTTCTTGTGAAAAGGACGGAAATGCATCCGTAATTCCATGAATCTTCATTTTGTGCTTTTTGAGGTTGTCATTTCTCTCGAATGAATGTTTGCACTGATCGCATTTGAAAAGGCGCTCGCGGATTCCAGCTCGTTTAACACGATAGACGGCTTGCAGTGCGATATAGTCGCTCACAGCAGAAAGCGACTGTGACCGTTGATATGAGCGAGCTGCTCCATTAGATAAATTGGACTTGTTGTCTTCCATGAGGTGTGACATTTCGTCCCGATCCTCAGACTTCCAACCAGCAGGCTATACTCGGTATTGGTGCTTTATGGTATGCTTGTACCTAGTGGACCATATCTTTAAGAATCATTAGGCAGATGAGGTTTCATGTGGTCAAGACAATAATACCATTATCAAAATGATTAATAAGTAAGGTTTTTACAGAAATCTCAAGCGGCAAGGGAATAGTAATTACAATATGAGAGTGCGGGGTATACTTATATCCGGCAAAGATGCGACCAATCAGGCTGAGGATTTTCTTTCTTCGTTATGCGCAGTTGCGCATAACTCAATCAGCCTCGCTGTTTGGATCTAATATTGATTCCCGTCCTAGACCCTTTGTAGATAGACATAGATAAATGAACAAACAACCTTCTCATCTTTGTGATCGCGAACAAAGAACTCCTTGGTCCTACTAACCCAATCCTGCAGCAGAGCATTCTCCTCGACTTCGGTATAACTTCCCTGAGATCCCAACTTGAGAGCTTTGGTGAAGTATCCAGAGCAAACAGCCATCATCCAATCAATGACTACATTCGCATATTGGCGACTAGCCTCCTCATCGGCAGTAAGGTTGCTTCTCAGGTCGTGATTAGCCGGATGCGTGATGTCGTCTTCAAACAGGCTGTGAACCGCCCATGTTTCGGTGTTCTCGTTCAAAACCTTCTTGACATCGTCTAAAGTCCGGTTGTAGGTAGGCACTCTGAATGATTCTGCCACGGAAACTGGGATTTTTCCCTGCTGAACCATCTGGATCATGGCATTGCGGCACGCGTCGACAGGGCCATGATAATTCTCATACCCAGCGGATGCTTGGCTGACAAACGAGAGGACGAGTGAACCGCCCGAAACAATCTCCTGCGAGCGAAGTTGCAAGAACTTGGAGAGATCGGTGTGGGCTTGCCGCTGAAGGAGTTTGTTCTCATCCAACTGGTCGTTGCCGGGATTAGGAACGTGGTCGAGGTGGTGAAGAGCAGCAAGAGAGAAGCCGAGGTGTGCAGACTGTGGTGGAATGACCGCCTGATAAAAACTGCGAGGTATCATGCTGGGGAACAGCAGTTGGGGAAACTTCTCCTTATCGAGCTTCTCTTCCCAGGTAGTGATGGTCTCGGATAGAGTGGCAAAGTCATTCTCAGGACGGTCACTGAACAGTAGTTCCACCGAGCGGGACGGCATCAACTCCAAGATGGCCTCCATCGGCTCCAGGCTGAACAGTCAGTAACGTGCGAATACCGGGCCTTTTACCACTCACGAGTTATTCCCATGGGCAGATCCATATTCTACAATGGCTACACGAGAAGATTCACTCTTCGTCATTGTCTTGGCGGCTCTCTGGACGAGTGGGAGGGCTTTGAGCATAGCCTCATGCTGCAGTGCTGAGTGAGAGCTGTAGGCGCCTTTGCCCTGCATAGGGACGTTGTTAACGTTGGATTTGTCAGCCATTCTCAAGATGTGGATGAGGGGAGTAGATAGAGAGAAATAAAGAGGGGAAGAGTTGCAAATGACTGAGTAGGAGATGGCTGAGGTTATATAATTTCACAGACACTCAACGGATTCAAAACCCTGTAAGGTCAGGCGAAGGCAGTCTGCGTGATAAAATTGATGATTTACAAAGTTACACAAGTAGCAATCCGCAAAGCTCTATCACGTGTAATCCCGTTTGATGGCAAAAAGAGACATATATGTGACTCTACATCTTAAGATCAATTGTCCTGCGCCACGCCAACAACAATCTGGCTTAATGTATGATGCCCTACACACTAACTACCCTCCACCTCACCCAAGTATCAAGTAAATCTTTTCTTCACTTTAACATTATAGCAATCCGTTGGCAACTGCTGCGCAATGCGAAAAACGGTTGTCTCGTCCTGGCCGGGAATGTACTGAAAAGTGAATTTCCGTAGGAGCGTCGCAAGAGAAAGGTGCATCTCTTGGAAAGCGAAATCCTTACCGACACAAATTCTCGATCCTTTGGAGAAAGGGTAATACGGTACGGATGAGGCCTGATTTTGAGAGTAGATATCCAGCCATCTCTCTGGGATATACCGTTCTGGCTGCTGCCAATTATTGCGGTCGAGGTGAGCCTCTTGAGTGTTGGGGAAAACAGTGGTTCCTTTGGGGATACGATATCCGAGTACGCTTTCCGTCTTGGATGCCTGACGGGGACTCCCAGTGGCCTGACCAGGAATGAGACGCATGGTTTCGTCAATACAGGCTTGAAGATAGGTCATGCCAGTCTGCGAGTAGGCGCATTCTGTCTCGCGGTCCGGCTCGCTAGGAGGGTACCATTTGTCGACCTCTTCTACCAGCTTCTTCATGACATCTGGATGCTTGAGGAGTTGCAAGACAGTGAAGAGTTCAGCATTGGCAGTGGTCTCGCTTCCGGCGGCCAGAAGAATGACACTCTCATCTTGGACGTCTGAAGTGCGGAACTCGGACTTGGGAGAATCATTGCTAACATCTACAAGATGCTGTAGGAGGTCTTGATGTTTGACGGCTCCAGACTCCTTACGACGCTTATCGACGATGTCGAATGTGAAGTTCTCAATGTATGGGTCCCGCTTGGGGATGAAAGGGATGTATTTGATCCATGGAACGACTTGCATTACTCCAGAGATCCTCATGCCTGCCTTCAACCTAGAGGGGAGAGGGTGACTTCCATTCTCAAGCACATGAAAACTGCCGCTGAAGGTAGTGACACCAATGATGTCAATAGCCAATCCATGGATAAAGTGTTGAAGATTGACGACAGCGCTGTTAGACGGGTTGTCGCAAAGTCTGTTGAGATGGGCAACACCTGCATTGACGCAAGTTCTCATGAGAGGCTCGAGGCCTCGGATATACTTGATGCCAAACATGGAAGACAGCATACGCTTTCGTCTGGAATAGGCCTTCTTCTCCGTAAAGGCAAGTAGCGTTGGCCGATTTGGGTCTTGTCTGAAATTACCATAGATGGCTTCCGACTTGACCCAGTCCTCCGTCTGAATGATGCGTTTGATCTCTTTGGCATCACCAACGGAGATCATACCAGGAGCAAGAACCACGATAGGGCCATATTTCTCATGTAGATCACGAGCAAATTGGTGACTGTAAAATGGTCAGTATAAGTCCTTTGAAGTGGTGAAGTCTGTCCAGATAATTACCTCTTCCCTTTGAACGTGGCAATCTCTAATGGCCATGGACTGAACTTGTTGATGAGAGGGCCGGGAATGGAAAAGATGGGAGAAAACAGCTTTTTTAAGAACTGTGAGGAGTTAGCAGGCTCTACGTGCGCCTCACTGTGATTACCTACCCCAAACAGACTCGGCACAATAATGATCAGGGCCACAAAGGCTCCAATAGCTTTGGTCACAGTAAGGTTATCCCAAACGTCAGAGACATCTTGCGGGATGGAATTGGGCTTCAGACCCAAAAGGTCATGGAGTGCCTTAATCTCCATAATTGGTTAGATGTGTACCGAGTACCGCTCTTGGCCAAAGAAAAGAGTGATATTACAATTAGCAGTGTGAGGATCGAACGCACTATAAAGCGCCATATAAGTTACATTCCATAGTCTTTCCTCCTCACTGCAGACAAGGACTACCACCATTCGTGTCATTCAAGCCATCCTAGGGCAACTACGCGGTGTCATGGATCATGTTCGGCGACTCCCGGAACGAAAAGTAAGTTAACCGGGCTATGTATTTATGAGCTGATGCGGCATATATGAAACCAATATCCCGATCATACGAGATGAGAAATCCTCCAGGTGGTGAGTTACCTACAGTAGGATTCAACAATTACGACTAATAAGCCTAATTGAGTGGGGAGAAGTAGGCAAACGCGTGTGTGGCTAATTACACGGGGGCATGTAGGTGGAACGGAACCATTGTGTTGGAGTAAATCCTCCACATTGCAGATCACAAAGTACCCAAAACCTTTCCCCAACATGCAAACAAGCGGCCAAGTGATCGGATATAGAGCAGGGGGGTGGTCTTGACCCCAGTACCATGGGTAGACCTATAACTTGTACAGGTACACAGCCTTGGTCTGGCAGAAGGATAACAAACCCTGCAATCCGTACTCAACCCCCAACCCACTGTGCTTATGACCTCCAAACGGCACATGGGGATCCGGTTGGGGCGGTCCGTTGATGTACACATTACCGGCCTCGAGTTTAGCAGCAACACGCCTTGCGGCTGAAATATCCCCACTCCATACGCTGGCAGCCAGACCACTGTCGCTGCTATTGGCTAGATCTAGCGCTTCGTCGAGAGAAGAGAACTTTATGCATGAAACGATGGGGCCTACGGGAAACTCGTCAGCAGGTGTGGCCATACCTAACTTGGCAGAAGGATTCAATGTGCTCAATAAAATCGAATCATGCTAACTGCAAATTCCTCACAAACTGCGATGATCACGTACCAAAGTTCTCCTGTTGGACAATATCTGCCTGTGGTGGTGGGTTTCTAACAATGGTGGGCTGGATAAAGAATCCTTCATTCATGTCCGTGTGACTAGGCGGCAGGAGCTGAAGGCCTGCTGCATGTGCGTCTGCAAGTACCGTTTTGAGTTTCTCAAACTGCATCTCGTTCTGAATCGGTCCGACCCCTGAGATGAGGTCCTTTGCGGTTGCGGCTGTGGCTTTGGCAAGCTGTGCCACTACCTCGTCGAAGATGTCTTGGTGGATATACAGTCGACGTGTAGCGATGCAGACCTGACCCGCGTTGAACCACAAGCTTCCTGAGATTTTAGGAACGACTGCTTTTATGTCAATGTCGGGGAGGACGATGGAGGCGTTGTTACCAGCACTTTGAGTTCCAGTCAGCCACGAAAGGAATGTGTGATGATAAGACCTACGTCTCAAGAGTAATTCTCTTCATAGTATCAGCTCCGTCTCGCAGAATCTGCTTTCCAGTAGCAGTTGATCCAGTAAATGATATCTTTTGGATATCGGGATGCTTGACCAGTAGAGGACCTAGATCATTGCCTCCGTTGAGGACTTGAAGCACTGCTGGAGGGAATACCTGCTGAGCTAGCTCGACAAGCTTCAGGCTCGAGTAGGGTGTGAAAGGGCTATGTCAAGTCAGTAATGTGTCTGGCGTAAGAACGCTGATAAGTTGATATACGATGGCTTGAGGATGACGCAGTTGCCTGTAGCTAAAGCCGGTGCGATCTTTCCCATCGCTATGATATCTTAGTTTCGTTTCCCCTTTCAATACATAAGGTGAAGTTACCAAGCATCAGCGGGACTGCAAAAAGTTAGAAAACATTTGACCAATGAATATTGTACGGGGCAATGTACAGTTCCATGGACAGATAGCCGCAACCACTCCAAGAGGCTCATAAGAGACAATGGATACTTTAGCATCATCCTCGATCTGTTCTTCAGGAATCTTGTACTTGCCTGTCAGGGTCAGTTTCCACAATCACCTTTCTGGGTGGAAGTATAAAACATACGTGGGTACCGCAGCCATTGTGTAGAGAAATACACCTCTATCGCTGCATTCTCAACCTAGCAAGTCAATCGTCAGGGTGATAACGGGAGCTATAGGAGGAATGGTTAACCTACAGTCCTTCCACACTCAGCGGCGAGGAGCTGACAAAAGTCGCTGGCGTGAGAGGAATAAAGGTCGGCGAATTTCTCCAACAACTCAGTTCGCTGCTCGTATGGCGTCTGCGACCATGCAGGAAATGCTTCCTTGGCGGCGCGCACACTGTCTTGGACATCATCCGCAGTAGCGACAGGAACAGGCCATAGTGAAGATCGATTGAGAGGATTAATGCCTTCTTTGGTTGACTCGGAACCACGGGGCTCGCCATTGACAATGTTGTGAAAGGTATTGAAGTTCATGGTGGAGGAATGTTCCTTCGAGACTCATACGGAAGTGAAGGTTTCAATGAAGACTGATTGACAAAGCAGTGGTGTTTTATATCGTAGAGCGCTGATGATTGACAGGGGTGCGCCGAGCCTTGCCCTGGACTCGCTATAACGTAAAAGCCTTTAGTGCTATCAATCACCAAACAATTCTTCCATTGCTGTAACACTTGCAGAGTCAAGGCTATACCGGGTTTGGAAATCAAATCAGCCAAATACACCAGTATTGATAGTATCACGGCACGAACATATAAGGCTTGACAAAAATAACTGTTATTAATTTTACATGACTGAGTAATTTGGTAGGTATCTTGAAGTTCATTCCATCACTAACCGCCCCGGTCGAAATATCGTGACTATTTCAAGTCCTCATAACACCATCCTCGCTTGACTTCACCTCGTTTAATTCGCTCTTCTCCTCTTTCAACCCATACTCAGTGTTCAACTCATCACGCAATATTAACGAACGAACAAAGAAACACAAGATGAAACCCAGTAGGCAAAATGCGATAGACACTTGCCACACAACCTTGAGGCCGTTCAGATAGACCTGAACGACTTCGGCCTTAAGATCAGGATCAGAATCAAGGGTCTCGAGGAAGTACTTAGTGGCATGCTCGTATGCACCACCATTAACTAAAAGGCTCTTGACTCTATCATCAGAGATCCTATGAGCTGCGTGATTGACGTGATTGTTGAAAACAGCGGCTGGAATAGCAACTCCCCAGATGGACCCAAAGTTCCGAATAAACGTCCAAGCACCAGTCGCAGTGGCTACATCTGAGTCTGGGAGACTAGCGAGGATAGGAGGTAAAGTCGAGGTGAAGACGCATCCACAACCTACGCCAAACAAGATCTGAAAACCAACCCAAGTCCCAGTCGAGGAATCCTCGTCCAGAAGGGTAAACAGACCGCAGGCAATAGACATAAGCACGAAGCCCGAGAAATGCCAAATGCGATACTTTCCAGTCTGGGTGATTGATATACCGGCAGCAACTCCCGCAGGAGCGCTTGTACAGGCAATAGGGAACAACATGACAGCGGAACGAGTAGGGCTGGCTTCTTTGACCGCCTGGAAGTATACGGGCAGGAAGTAACAGATCCAGTACAGAAGCAAGCTGTGTATGAAGCTGATGATGAGCAACGTAGATGATGTCCTGTTACCAAACAACCTAAGAGGCATGGTGGGTTCCTTCAGCCATGGACTACCCTGATACACAAAAAAGGCGGCAAGTGCAACCAGACCAACGATGAGGGGGACAATGGTTTGCCAGGCAGACCACGAATGCTCAGAACCACCCCAGCTCAGCGAAAGGACAATGGAGGTGACTGAACCGATAAGTAGAATACTTCCACCCCAGTCGATTCTGGCCATTTGTTGTTTCATGGTGCCAGATGGCGGACGGGCTAACTTGAGGAACAGACCAAGAGCAATGAGGGAAACGCCAGCAATGGGAAGATTGATGTAGAAGATCCATCGCCAAGAGATGTTTTGTGCAAAGGCACCACCCATCACAGGAGCAACAACAGCGGCGATGGCCCAAACACTACCGATGATTCCAGCGTACATCCCCCTCTCGCGGATAGATACCATATCGCAAACAACAATCTCGCTCATGGTCAAGATACCTCCACCTCCCAGACCCTGAACAGCCCGACCGCCAACCATCATGGCCGTGTTGTGCGCACCGCCACATAGACCACTACCAAGGGTAAAGATGCAAACGGCAATGAGGGTGAGGCTACGGCGACCATAGATGTTGGCGGCTTGGGCAAAGATGGGAATGGTGGCCGTGGAGGCGAGGAGGTACGAGTCGATGATCCATACGTAGAGAGAGTCAGATCCAAGGTCTGCTGCAATTGTGGGCAGAGCTGTGGAGATGATGGATGTGTCGAGTGCAGCAAGAAAGGTGGTGAGGGCAATGGCGACGAAAATGAGCCAGAACCGAGCACCTTTCTTGCTTGGGTTTGGAGCTGGAGCTGGAGCTGGACTTGGATCTGGCGGTGATTGCTTTTCTGCTTGTTCAGGTGAAGTTGTCGCGTTGTTTACAATCGTCATAGAGACAGAGTTGTGCGTTTGAGTCATTGTGAAGCCGCGCAACACGCAGTGAGGCGATATTCCTGGAATCTATCACTGTATAATAATAGGGGAAACGATATTTGCTTGAGTGTTTTCAGCTAACAGAGACTTGATGTTCGACAAGTTTTGCTTAACATCAATGCTTTAGAGTATATCCAGCACTCTGTTACTACAAAACAACGTTTTTCATCACCGGCCGAGTTCAGCACAACATGGCACGATTTTCAGAAACCCTCCGCACGAGGGTTCCACATTTAAGCCTCAGTTTCTCGTTACGAATTGGAGTAACAAAAAGCAAAACCGAATTGTGGAATGGGAAAAACCTGCGACACAATCGAATGGGTCGTGTAGGATTCCCACCCCTGTCAGCCATCAGTCCATTATTGTACCAGCCTAGAACAAAGTGCTGAAGGATTCTCCAGCAAACCAGGGTATTAGAAACCCTCCGATGCTGCATGTAAGACGGCAAGGAAGGGCGCCAGGTGGCCCAACCGTAATTTCCCATCTCAGATTCAGCAAAATACGAGTTACCGAAAATGGAGCTCGATACGACGTCGAAGAGTTTCGTTCCCGCATGTATCCATTGTCAAGGTCAAGACGAGACCTTTTTGGTATTGGTATTACTAGCATTATTCAGGTGGTGCCCATTTGATCCCTCTTGCCAATCATTACTTTTTCAAGTGGTGGGGTGAAAGGAAGGATTTGAGTTACAGGTCAATTCTACATACTCCATCATACGTTTGATGGCAGGCCACAGGTGAGAGCGGGAAAGGCCGGAGGCTGGGAAATACGGTGAAGTACACTTGGCCGATGCAAAGTGCGCCGACACAGATTAGACACAGCACCTTTATGTTTTCGTAATACGAGACTCAATTAATTATAGGAGATGAAACATCGGATTGGTAGCATCGGCTGCAGCAGGCTCCATCTAAACATCCAAGTTATCTCAACGTAGTGAAGGAGTACACATGAAGTTGGATGGTCTCAACATCCGCCCTACGTTCAAATTATGTTTTTCACATATGGCCCTTGGTATTGTTTGCCAACTCTGTAGTATTTCGACATTTAACCGTTTATGATTAGCTAATTTATGTTATCTTGGGAGTAGGACCCCTTTGCTTTATTGTTTGTACATCTATAATTTTGTACCAATTGTCGGAGGTGACTCATCATCTGGTTTGCGAGACAATGGCTAGCAAGACAGAACTAATCTGTCGACGTGTACACTGGAAGTCAACAACCACTACACAAGATATCCAGTGGACAAAGTGTAAACCAAGGACTCAAGACTTCTCATTATTTACGTAGGCAGGTCAAGTCTATACTATGTAATTCAAGCCAGCTAGTCACTCTTTATTTTTATGTACATTTGCTTTGATGCTCTTCTATGTCAATCTCCATCTCTTCCAATCCTTTAACTCCCGGGATTATGTTGTACTTGAATTTTAAATCTCAATTGTAGCAGTCATAGAGCTCGAAACCTTCCTTTGCCAGACAGTAGACACTCTCTTCCTGTTCAGTCCTCTATAGATCATAGAGATGGCTTCAGCGATCTGTTGTGTGACATCCTGACTGGTAGGCATGTGATGCCCGCCGTTGAACTTGATAACCCTCCTGACACTCTGCTGAGTACAATGTCTCAACAAGAGTTCACTCTCTTGGAGATAAGGGTCTGAAAGCCCCAAGACGTGCAAGGTCGGTAACCTAATCTCAGGAGTTCCAGAAACAAAAGGGGGAAATGTTCCACAGAAAAACACACCAAACAAAGGATTCGGTGTGAAGGGCTGTCTTTGTTGCTCAAGCAACATACTGGCAGCGGCACGCGCCCCTTGAGAGAATCCAAGTATTCCTACGAAAGGACCATGCTGGAGCATGAAGCTCTTGATATATGCGATAGCGTTGTCCTCTTCTTCGCTCTTTCTCTGAGACGGCAAACTATCGTCGTCGCTCACCCAGCAAGAGTATTGGCCATAGTTCTCAAAGAATGGGAGAACTCCAGGACCAGGTTCACTGTCTAGAGGAGCCTCGAGGTAGACGAGCTGAAAGCGGTTGCCCAAAGCGCATTCCAACTTGGCAAACTGGACTCGGAGAATGGCGGCGGAGGCACCGCCACCGTGCAGACAGAGTAGTCGTGGGTAGTGAACCATGTTTGCTGAATGAGAAACGATAATGTTATGATGGTAGGAGAATCTGTTCAGACAAAGAGTTGTGAAATCAAAAGAGTGCTCAAAACCTTAGAGCGAGGATTCAAACAATTTGATACCCATTGTAATTCTGCCGGCGATTTCCGGACCAAATCATCTTATTTCTCTTGTTTCTACACGAGATGCCATTTTAGGCTGAGGTAGCAGCAACTCCATCGTACTACCGATGTAATCCTGGATGGCATCACGGCGAAGCAAGTATCTGAAAGGAAACAGACTTTCCGATTTTACCTCGTCGCCGCCGTAATGGAACTTGACACCCTCAGGGGTTGTGGTTCATCGGCACCGTAGAACATGGTTCGACGGATCTAGTTCCTTGTCTCCATCATGCAGGGGTGGTAAAACGAATACAGTTCCACCTTTCTGCAAGATAAGGCTGAGCTTAGATTAAGTCCATGCAAGTATCCTTGGCAAATTTCTGGCAGTCGTTCGATCCTCGTTCAGGGCATATCAGCAGCAGAGATTTGGGGGCTACACATTGGAGAACATCTCGTAATTTGTTCGGAATTGCTTGTACATACTAGTGTGTGGCTGAGTTGACTAATATTAAAATTTAGATATGGAAGAAGTAATCTTTTCGGAGCCAGAGTCAATGGTTCAAGCATGGACGAAATGTGATAAAACATGTGTGATGACCTTTGTTTCTGTGGCATTATCAAAGTGACCCTCACCCCCAAACTTGTCTGTCAGTCACAATTATCACTTCGCTTCCCCCACAGGAGATCCGCAATCATGCTTCTCAGTGCAACCTTCTACATCGTTACGACGCACCTTATCGGAATACTCGCCCCAGCTCATGCAGCTGCTTTACCCTTTACCGCTGAACGAGGTGTCTCTGGCCATGGCAGCGGTAATGCTGTTGCAGTTCCCGCCCGTTGGGACCATTATGGTTATCTCTTCAATGTCACTGTTGGTTCTCCACCACAGAACATCACCATGCTCAGTGACATGACGTGGATGGCGCTCTTTGTGCGGTCTGGTCGGTGTATGGACCAGTTTAATCCCGAGTTCTGCACAGCCGAGGGACAGTCTATGTTCAGTGAGCGTGACTCGGATACGTTCAGAAATACCTCATTTGCACAATCCACGTGGCCCATTACAGCTTTTGCGCCTAATTTCACCGTCGACTACGGAAGAGACCAGGTCTGCATTGGACAGATCTGCAGCAAAGACACGTTGATGCAGGTATCTGACTTTCCCTACCCTGGCAGTGTTGTGCCTGTGGTTTCGTTCGGAGGTATCTTTGGCCTGGCACCCCCACCAGCCGTACGCGCCGAGATATCTGAGCCAGCCAACTACCAAGCGTGGAAAGAAGGCAAAATGGGATCTCTTGTTGGGTGGCACACGTGTGATGTTCTAGAATCGAAGTCTAGCTGCCAAGGAGGTGATGCCCAGCTGGTGTTTGGTGGAACTGATACTGCAATGTACGATGCCCAAAAGGTGGAGTCCTACAGGATTCAGAATCCCGAGTGGCTTAGCGATGCGTTTTACCCTGCAACGCCCCCTCGCAGCAACTACTGGAGCGTTCCATTGAGCGGGATGTGGATCAAGACGACCAATGCGAGCATCTCCAAGAATTACGCTGTGCCCTTCAAGGCTGTTAGCGGTGGTAAAAAGACACTCCCGTTGGCCGTAGTGGATGAAGGGTCTGAAGGCCTCGGAGCACCACTGTCGCTCAACGCGTACAGGAACCTTGTCAAGCACACCAAAGCCAAGGTTGCATCCAGCACAATTGTTGAGAAGATTCTTGCACAAGGCTCCACAGGATACAACACTGGCGAACAGGATTGGTATACAGTTCCTTGTGATGGACTTGCCGGTTATCCTGATCTTGTATACGAGCTTGATGGGAGAAAGCAGTACACGATTCCTCCAGGCAATTATGTAACAAGGCTGGCCAACACGTTGGGATCTGTGTGCTACTTGAATGTCAATGTTTGGAAGTTTGGACGCACCAAGACTGGTGATGCGAAGGTGGTCCTTTTGGGCAAGGCATTTCTTAAGAGGCACTATCTTATACTCGACTTTGAGGATCGCACTTTTGGTCTTGCTCCTCTTCGCACGGGGTAGTGTTTGTTCATGAGTTACAGCCTTTTGTTTGCTATTCCATAGTCTGGATTGAATACTAGTAAATACTTATGTTTTATCATAGCCTTTATCTGCCAAAGGGGACCACATGCTTCAGTGACAAGTGCTCTAAATCTACCTGTCTTATTAACAGACCTCTGAATTCTCACTACGGTTCTCAGTTCTCACAGCAGTGTTAATGTGTATTCTCATGGTTTATGGCACTTGAATTTCGGAACATGTATGGATTACCATCTGCTGCACACCCCGCAGGCTACTCGGTTCCCAGCCGTCGCTTCTCAATGAGATTAGGCTCTCCAAAAACATCCTTGACTTGCCCATTCTCAATCGTTCTAAGGTACCAATCCACGACTTTGGGGTACTGCTTCCTCATAGGTTCATCAATGACGTGCATAAAAGCCCATAGGAGAGTAGAAGCACCAGTCAAGTCTGCAAGTGTCAATAAATCGCCCACGAGTAAATCACTGTTCGTCAAATGTTTCTCCAGCACGGTCAATCCATATTCCAAACGACCTAGTGCCTTGGTCTCGGTGGCTTGGTCGAAATGGATCATTCCCACTCTCCACATAACAAGTTCAAGGACAGCGGGATAGATCTCTTCAGCGAAGAAAGAAATCCACTGTCTAATCTTCGCCGACGTGACGGGGTCTCGGCCAAGAAGTTGACCAGCGTAGGGTCCAGATTGTGAGACGTATTGCGCAATGGCGTCAGATTCCGCGAGGCAAAAGCCATCCGATCCCTCGAAGGCTGGGACTTTACCAGCAGGAAATTTGACAAGAAATTCGGGTGACTTGTTTGTCACGTAGTGTTGATAGGGGGCAATCTCAATGTCGAGGTTATTGAGTTTTGCAGCGGCAAGGATCTACGTATAGGGTAAGCACGTGAAACCAATGCATATCCACAACAGGTAGAGGGAGGAAATGACGGCGTTGACTGTATAATGGGAAACGGAAACTACCTTGAAGACTCTGCCGTTGGGCATGAAAGAGTAAATCGTTCCGAAAGGGGCCATAATTGTGTGTGCTGGTTGAGTGATGGTGTTGTTTGTTGAAGATTGCGGTCAATCGAATTACAATTGTTTCAAAAGGCATTGACGTAAATCTAGTTAGTTGTCAGACATGCATTGAGATGTCTCACATGCAAAAGAGGTTCGCCATCGTACGATTCACTCTGTCACCTTGATGTGTATTCCTTCTAGAAATTTATAGCGCGGAGGATCACAATGAACTGACGCATGAGGTACCTGTCAGGCATTTCGTTACCATGGCGCAAGAAGGCGACAGGGGGTATGCTAAGGTTTGACCGTCGGTCCGTTTTACCAACTGGAGAGAAAAAAGGCTGTATGCAAGCATATGAATTTCTGTTGAGGATGTCGATCGCTCCCGCTACGGGAATAACACAAATCTTGATCCTTGCCCTTACACTTATTCAGCATGATTAGATCCACACTCGCTTACACGGTGGTACTTGTACTTAGCACAGCCCTCCATTCCTAAGGCGAAACATCACTATGGGTAAGAAATCTTACGAGGGTGGGTCCCAGACTTTGACATGTGGATTGAGTAATACATCGGCTCTGAGGTTGGAGGATTACGCTGTGACCAGGATCTACACCCAACGCACCGGAAACCCACCTCATTTAAGCTTTCCTAGGGCTGAGGGCAATGGCGGATACTATAGCACTTGAAGGCTCGCAAAAGTACCTGGACATTAAATGAGAAAACTAAGCTAAGAAAAGCTTGGACTGAAACATTTTCGTACAATTACAGCCAAATACAGGAAGTCACTCATAGCTGCTATAGACCGAGTCTCACAATACATCCCGTTTAATCCCGAAGGTACTATCTAGCCACGTAAACATCTTATGGTGAACTACTGCCAAAGCACCAATCTTGGCCTGTAAACCACCACCATCCACTCCTTTACCAATCCACAGGTGCTTCTCACTGGGTCCCAGCCCCGTCAACCCCTCGAATATGGGATAAGCATTGACGTCGGGCGTGAAGTAGAAGGAGTCAGCTGCACCAGTGACCAGGGTAGGACACTTGATCTTGGACAGGTAACCACCTTTGAGTGAGGTCTGTTGCATCACCCGCAGAACATCAGCCGGCGTGTCTACCCCATAGACCCATTTACCGTGACCAAACTCCCATGCCATTTGGAAGTTTACAGCTGTCAGACAATTGACGACCCAGTTGAAAACGCCGTCGCTCAACCAGCCGGAGACCCATCCGTTGATGAACCAGGGCGGCATACGGCTACGTGTAATCTCAAAGAGATCTAGAGGCCCATCACATGTGATACATGCTTTGATTCGGGGATCAACTGCAGCCCGCAATGACAGGTAACCACCAAGTGAAGCCCCGAAGATAGCTAGACGGTCCAGATCAAGATCATGTTCAGGTGCTACTTCAGCTGTGACAAAGTCTAGCACTTGGCTGACCACGCATTCCCAGTCGGGACGCAGCTTCAGCTTGCCCACGCGCAGAGGAAGACCTTGGCCAGGCCCGTCGAAGCTAAACACAGCGTATCCTCTGGGGAGAGCACCGGCAGCGCCATAGAAGTATAGCTCCTCTTGCGTAGAGTCAAATCCTCCTGTTTGAAGAACAACGGGGATCTTGCCGGGCAGTCTGTTGTGAGGGGCAGGAAGGTAGAGTCTTCCAGGCAGTTTGAGACCATTCTCGTAGGGAATGTCAAAGTTCTTAACAGTTGCGTCTAGAAGAACCCACCCTTTGTCAAAAGCCTCAACGCTGACTTTGGACGAGGCTACGATGCGCGGATCGTCAGGGTTGCAATGAAGCAGAAACTCGCTCGCTCGCCAGTAATTGGCAGCTCGTATGTAGGCCCAGCACGCTCCTGTCTTGTCACCGACAGCAGTAGCTTCTTCGGCCATAGCCAGAGCCTTCTGCGCCTGCTCATGCCAGGCACGGTACCAACTCTCTGGGTCACCGTCTTTGATGCGGCCTGCAGCGATCAAGCATTCTCCAACTTCGGCGCCTTGGAAGGGGACGGTGCCGAGAAGACGGAGGAATTCGAAGTTGAAGAAATCCGAGGGGAATACTCTATGCATTATGATGAACAGAACGAGGTAAAGGTCATTAAGAAAAGAAGGTTTATGGTGGGAGCGAGGTTGTCTCGGCCAAAGATAGTTTGATTGGGCAATGTGGTTGTAGTTTTATGCCCCCCCGACTTGAATTCTGTAGGAAAAGCCTTGTCATTGTCAAAGTCAAGTGCCGACTCGACCCAACAATAACCTTGCAACTACTACGAGAAAATCCAACATGCGCCCGTATAACCCCATCTTAGCTGTCATTTACAGCCTGTCAACGGTCGTCGGCGCCAGCCGTAGCGTATACCATCCGGAGGATTTGACATCTGCACACTAAACGTCCAGGATAATAATCCTACCGGAAAATCAGCTGACGCGTAAGACACGAATTGCCATTTTGAAGCATGAACATCTACCGGTAATTCAGGATGTTTTAGTCCACGTTAGGATGCATATATCCCTAGCGTGCAGCACTCCTTCGGCTATAATCGGTATTTTCGTATATGCAGTGTGCCTGCACGGGGAAAGGATCCTTCGCGAACATGATCCCGGGCTTTCCTCAACGTTTACTCCCCTCCTTCACAGGCATGGTTCGATCATCCACAGCGGAGGAGTGAGAAAGTTGAAAACAGTCAGCATCGCAAACTAACGGGAGGAGAATTGTTGGGGTATTGCGAACCATTCGGTGGCATGATAGCCATGTGGCTGTGAACGATCTGGACACTCCACAAGAAAGCAAAATTTATGAACTGCTAGCATGTTAATGGACAACTATCTAAGTGAGAATACCAGACTCTGGTCGTTGCACTTATACGGAGTCTCCTAGAATTAATATCTAGAATCTAAACACCATTGACCTTTCTCTTTTTCCACTTACTACAAACTAATTCAACACTGTGTTCTAATACATCGATATCAACATGGACAGTCAAACATTTCCAAAGGAGCCCATAGCTATCATTGGCACCTCTTGTCGATTCCCAGGCGACGCCAACACCCCTTCCAAACTCTGGGATCTCCTTTGCGAGAGAAGAGACGTCCAGTCACCCATTCCTAAACAACGCTTCAATGCTGATGCATTCTACAACAGAAACGGAGATAAGAATGGCTGCACCGACGTTAAGAAAGCGTATCTGCTGTTAGAGGACATTCGGGCATTCGATGCCGCCTTCTTCGGGATCAACCCCCGTGAGGCTGAGGCCATGGATCCGCAGCAAAGACTCCTTCTAGAGGCTGTTTACGAGGCCACAGAGGCAGCTGGTCTGCCAATGGAAGACCTCAAAGGCTCTGACACAGCCGTCTACGTTGGTAGTATGACGGCTGATTACCATGAACTGCTCATGCGTGACCCCCAGGATATGCCCAAGTACATGGCCACTGGCACAGCACGCAGCATTTTGTCCAACCGTATCTCGTACCTATTCGACTGGAAGGGTCCTTCCATGACCATCGACACAGCATGCTCTTCCAGTCTTGTTGCCGTGTATGATGCTGTCATGGCCCTCCGCAACGGCGTATCGCGTATCGCTTGTGCTGGAGGGGTCAACCTCATTCTTGGTCCAGAGATGATGATATCGGAATCCAAGCTGCACATGCTTTCCCCGACGGGGCGAAGCAGAATGTGGGATGCCTCTGCCAATGGGTATGCCCGAGGCGAAGGCGTGGCAGCTATCATGATGAAAACTTTATCTCAGGCACTGAAGGATGGAGACCATATTGAAGGCATCATTCGGGAGATTGGTGTTAATTCAGACGGACGTCAGTTTAACAAGAATAACCTTGCGCTCAAGCTATAGAAAATTTTGCTAACAGGTTTTCAGGCACAAATGGCATCACACTTCCAAGCCCTGATGCACAGAAAGCACTCATCCGACAGACATACAGAAATGCCGGTCTAGATATTTTCAAAGACCGCTGTCAATTCTTTGAAGCCCACGGCACAGGCACACCAGCTGGTGACCCTCTTGAAGCCCGTGCCATTCACGAAGCCTTCTTCAGCGAAGGCGAGATCATCACTGAGCCCATGTATGTGGGTTCGGTCAAGACAGCCATTGGTCATCTCGAAGGATGCGCCGGTCTTGCAGGTTTGATCAAGGCCCTCGAGGCTGTCAAAAGAGGTATCATCCCACCGAACCAGCTTTTCGAGAATCTGAATCCTGCCGTCAAGCCTTATGCTTCCAACTTGAAGATTCCCGTCGAGGCCAAGCCCTGGCCCAAACTGGCTCCTGGGATGTTTCGACGCGCGAGTGTCAACTCCTTTGGATTCGGTGGCACCAACGCTCATGCTATCATTGAGCAATTCGACAATATCCAGAACACAAGTCCCAAAGCCGAGATCATTTCTAATCCCCTTGTTATCTCTGCTAATTCCGATCTTTCACTACGCGCGCAGATCGGACGTCTAGCCACGGCGCTAGACGAAGCAGATGAGAGCCAAGTGCACAGGATCATCTTCACTTTGGCACACAGACGATGTCAGCTCCCCATCAGAGCCTTTTTCTCAGGGCATGACCTCCCGAGCCTTCAGCAGAAACTGAAAAATGCTACTGCTGATGATGCTGTATTGCCTTTCGCCAGCCAGGATGTACCAGTTGGCCAGAAACCTCGCATTCTGGGCGTGTTCACTGGTCAGGGTGCCCAGTGGCCTACTATGGGACGAGAGATTCTCAACTCGTCTCCTTTTGCTCGAAGCTTGATGGAGTCCCTGGAGGAATCACTAGCTAGTCTGCCAGAGCCGCCATCATGGACTCTTACGGAACAGATCATGGCTGATAAAGAGACGTCTCGTCTGGGCGAAGCTGCTGTCTCACAACCACTCTGTACAGCAGTGCAACTGGTGGTCGTTGAGTTACTACGGAAGGCCGGTATCAAGTTCTCTTGTGTAATTGGCCACTCCTCCGGCGAAATCACTGCTGCTTATGCCGCCGGCTTTCTTTCTGCCAGTGATGCTATCCGGGTGGCATACCTCCGTGGTGTCTGTGCCAAGCTTGCTGGCGGAGAGGACGGAGCTAACGGAGCCATGATGGCTGTTGGTCTATCATTCGAAGAAGCTTCTGTCTTCTGCGAGGAGAAATTTCCTGGTCTCATTGATGTGGCTGCCAGTAACGCCCCTACTAGCACAACACTTTCTGGAGACAAGGCAAGTGTTGATGAGGCTAAGGTGCTCTTGGATGAACAGGGTACATTCGCCCGTGTTCTCAAGGTTGACACGGCCTATCACTCGCATCACATGCACCCTTGCGCTCAGCCATATCTTGATATGCTGCAAGCTGCCAATATTAAGAACCTCCCTGGAGATGACTCTTGCGAATGGTACTCCAGTGTTTTGGGCGAGCGCATCAGTGCGTCACTCCACAGCGATGTGCTATCTGGCGAATACTGGGTTGAGAATATGATCAACCCTGTGCTATTTTCTGTGGCTTCTGAACTCGTTGCCGGTTCTAACTCACCATGCCACATTGCTCTCGAAGTTGGTCCTCATCCTGCCCTCAAGGGCCCTTTCAATCAGACCTACAAGTGTGCCACCGGGTCTCAGCTCCCATATCAAGGCACATTATCTCGAAATGTGCATGACGTGGAGGCTTTGAGCGACTCTCTCGGCTTCCTCTGGTCTCGCCTCGGTAAATCCTCAGTCGACTTCATCACATACACCCAAGCATTTTCCGCATCGCCAGACACAGCTATGGCAGTTGGCCTCCCTTCGTATGCATGGGACCACACACAATCCTTTTGGAGAGAGTCTAGAAAGTCACGCAATTTCCGCCAGCGAGTTCATCCTCCTCACCCGCTATTGGGCACGCGCTCGGTTGAGGATCCGGCTGATAGTATGCGATGGCTTAACTACCTCCGGCTTGAAGATGTGCCTTGGCTTGAAGGTCACAAAGTCGAAGGAAACGTAGTCTTCCCTGCCGCTGGATATCTAGTTATGGCCATGGAGGCTGCGCGAGCTATCGATCGGACAAAGGAGATCCAGCTCATTGAGCTGTCCGATGTGCATATATTGAGTGCCATCCAGTTGAGCCACGACTCCCAAGCTACTGAGACCGTATTCAGCCTCGAGGTTGAGCAGAACCAGCCTGGGTTTGCCACCGGACGTTGGACTTTGTCGACTCCACTGAGTGGACGAGATGACAATTGGAGGTGCAACGCAAAAGGTCAAGTCCGTGTTGGATATGGCTCTGCTGATGCTTTACTTTTGCCTTCACGCAACAAACCCATCGCTTCTCTCACATCTGTTGATGTAGAAAGGTTCTACACCTCTCTCGCCAATATCGGCCTCGAGTATACCGGAGAGTTCAAGCATCTCGATAACATCGAGCGGCAGCTGGGCCTGGCAACTGCATCTGCACGCCACATCACCCCCGATCTCAGTGCCATGATTCATCCTGCAGTGCTGGACTCCGCTTTCCAGTCCATTTTTGCAGCATACTGCTGGCCTGGCGATGGAAGCCTTCAAGCTCCATTTGTCCCTACATTCTTCCAAAGTCTTCGCATCGTCAATACGAGCCATCTACAAAACGGCGAAAACTTGACCATTGACTCTTTCTTGACGAATACGAGTGAGCGTGAACTCACGGCGGACATGGACATCTTCCAGTCTGACGGTACGCCTGTCTTGCAGCTTGAGGGCTTGACCTGTACGTCACTTCAGCGACCTGGACCTAGCACTGCCAAGGAGCTCTACGCCAAGACAGAGTGGGAGGTTGACATTGCGAGTGCCATTGCGAGCCCAGAAACTCAAGATGCAGACAACGCGTCTGATCTAGAGCTTGTCGATCTGTGCGAAAGTCTTTCGTATTTCTATTTGCGGCAGCTCAACGAAATGGTTAGCAGAGACGAAGTCTCTAGATTTGACTGGCATTACCAGCGTGTCTTTGAGTGGATCGACCATCTCTTCCCCCTAATCCAGTCAGGTCATCATCCAACCATCAAGAAGGAATGGTCATCCGATTCCAAGGAATGGCTTATACAACAGGCCTCTAAGTTCCCTGGGAGCATTGATCTGCAGCTTATCCAAGCTGTTGGAGAGAACCTTCCTGCTGTCGTGCGCAAGCAAACCACTATGCTTGAGCACATGGTTAAGGATGACATGCTGAACCGCATCTACAAGTTTGGCCTTGGCTTCGAAAGGGCCAATGAGTACCTTGGGCAGATCTCCAAACAGACCTCTCACAGATACCCACGTATGAACATTCTGGAGATCGGCGCAGGCACAGGAGGCGCCTCGAAGCAGATTCTCGAATCCCTTGGTACCACTTTTGAGAGCTACACCTTTACGGATATTTCAACCGGCTTCTTTGAGGCAGCTGCCGAAGCATTCGAACCGTGGGCTGCCAAGATGATCTTCAAGCCTCTCAACATTGAGAACGATCCAGCCGAGCAGGGTTTTCCCGAGGGGCACTACGATTTCATCATCGCGTCTAATGTCCTTCATGCCACCAAGTCTCTGGCTGTGACTATGCAGAACACCCGCAAGCTTCTAAAGCCAGGCGGTCAGCTACTTCTCCTTGAAGTTACAAGTGACATTCTACGGGTCAAGCTCATGATGTCTGGGCTGTCCGGCTGGTGGCTTGGTGGTGATGATGGACGTCGCTATGGACCGACCATCCCTGTCTCTCAGTGGGACACACTCTTGAGACAGACTGGATTCTCAGGAGTTGATAAGACAGTCAATGACTTTATTGATAAGACCAAGTATATGACATCGGTCATGCTGTCCCAGGCTGTTGACGACGAGATACAGCTCTTGAGGAACCCTTTGTCCGTGTCTGCCGACTGGCTTGATTCCCAATCCATCACCATCGTCGGTGGCAAATATAAGGCCATCGCCCAAGATTTGAAAAATCTCATAAGCCAAATCTACGATGCGACCGAACTCACTATCCACTACTTCGACAACTTCGAGGAACTGGCTTTATCTGATCCCAGCTTCCACGTCAGATCTGCATTGGTCTTGGAGGACATGGACGAGCCCATTTTGAAGGATTTGACCGATGACAAGCTTCGAGGCGTCCAAAGACTTGTCAATGAGGCTCGGCAGGTTCTCTGGGTGTCTAAAGGGTGCCAGAGGGACGAGCCTTTTGCCAACATGTCTATTGGAATGTGTCGTAGTTTGGTAAACGAGTATCCTCACATCTGTTTTCAGCACGTCGACATCGAAGGCGGGGTCACCTCTGCCACAGCGTGTCTCCTTGCCCAGGCACTGATTCAACTTATTTACAGAGCATCTCTCAAACCTGATGATGTGGTTTGGTCTATCGAACCCGAGATGGTCCTCAGGGATAACAAGTGGTTCATTCCTCGAATCAAGTCTGACCAGGCACTCAACGACCAGCTCAATGCCAGTAAAATGAAGATCCAGACGCAAAAGGTACTCGAGAGGGATTCCATTGAGATTCAACAGCGAAGTAATCAGTTTGTCATTGTTGAGCCTGTTCCTTCTCTTCCTCCGTCCGGTTCTTCGCCTCTTGTTGACGTTATTGTCACGCACTCCCTTCTTTACCCTTTCAGTATGGGTAACAAGTCTTCTGGGTATCTTTGCTATGGCTACACAAACTCCGAGCCTAGAACTAGAGTTCTCGCAATATCCGCGACGAATAGATCAAATATCTCAGTGCCTTCGTTCTTTGTCTGGGATATGTCTTCAAACAATGACGAGGCTGCTAGTCTCTTGCGAAAGACTGCATTCACAATCACTGTCGAGAGGGTTCTAAGCGACGTTGATAGTGGCACTACCGTACTTGTCCATGAAGCGGACGAGTTCATGGGTGCTGCTCTTCAGTGGAAGGCTGCTGAGCTCGGTCTCACAGTCGTCCTCACGACATCTGACCGCGAAAAGGCCAAGTCTGACGGAGTGGTCTTCGTTCATGCTTTGGCACCTGAACGCTTTGTTAGGAAGGTCGTGCCTCAAAGTACCAGCGTTATTATTGATCTTTCTGTCAATGACTATAGCACTATCGACTCCCCTCTACACCGCTACCTGCCAAGCCGTTGCAAGTTCTACCAGCTGCAAGACATACTTAGTAGCACCTCACAGGGCGTCCAAGACCCTATTATTCACGGTATCCGGGATGCTAGTCGCTCTTCCCTTAAGATTGCAGAAGAAGGTCCATTGTTGAAGCCTTCTGAACTAGCGAACAAGACAATTTCAGTCAGAGATTACGCTACTGTGGTCGACTTCACATCCGATACCACCGTCTCTGCTATTGTTCAACCCCTTCGAGGCGACCAACTCTTCCGTTCAGACAAAACTTATCTGTTGATCGGCTGCACTGGAGGTCTTGGAAAAGCTCTGTGTAGATGGATGGTCTCCTCTGGCGTTCGTCATCTTGCCTTGACTACTCGCAACGTCACCGCAGTTGACAAGGTTTGGCTGGAAGAACTACGACTCCAAGGTGCTGAGGTCAACCTTTACCAGGCAGATGTTAGTGATAAGGACGCATTACAAAAGGCTTATCATCAGATTTTCCAAGAGATGCCCCCCATCTGTGGTGCTGCCAACGCTGCTCTACTCCTGTCAGACCGAGCCTTCAGCGGGCTCAAGGTCGACGACTTTCTCAAGGTCTTCGGTCCAAAGGTCAAGGGTACCCAGAACCTCCACGAGCTACTTATTGACCAAAAGCTTGACTTCTTCATCATGTTTTCTTCCTTGGCCAGTGTCGTTGGTAACCGTGGTCAAGCAAACTATGCTGCTGCAAACTTGTTCATGAGCGCCATTGCCGAGCAGCGGCGCGCCAAGGGCCTCGCTGCTTCCGTCATGCATATTGGTATGGTTCTTGGTGTTGGCTACGTCTCTTCAACTGGTGCATACGAAGCTACTCTCCGGAGCTTGAACTACATGGCTATCTCGGAGACCGATCTGCTCAACATGTTCTCCCAGGCCATTCTAGTTGGGCAGCCTAATTCTACGCATGCGCCTGAGCTCATTACTGGGCTCAATAGGTATAGTCTGGAACCAGATGTTCACAAGTACTTTTGGCATGATGATATGCGTTTTTCCCATTACACCGTCGAGGAAGAACATCAAGAACGCTCGTCAACAACAAAGATATCCATTCCTCAGCGACTTGCGGAGACCAAGGATCCGTCTGATGTCTTGGCCATCATCGTGGAGGAGTTTTGTACTAAGCTCGAGCGTCTTCTCCAAGCTGAAAGTGGCTCAATCAAGGTATCACAGTCGCTACTTGGTTTAGGGGTGGACTCTCTCGTTTCTGCTGAGATACGATCGTGGTTCCTCAAGGAAGTCGGCGTCGATATTCCTGTTTTGGAGATCCTCAACACTGCTTCTATCACAGAGCTCTGCTCTACGGTAATATCCAACCTGCCCGCTGTTTCAGGGCAGGAGACTCAATCAAAGACTGAAGTCACCAAGGAGGTAAGAGCGGGCTGTCCGGTGCCACGTTTATGCTGTCATCCTATTTCATGTGTCCCACTTACTAACATCATTCAGGCAATCAAGTCGCTTGATGCCGTCGCGGCATCAACGGCGGTATCATCGGCCCTCCCAACCGAGAATGAACCCTTCACACTTCGAAACACCCCCAACTCTACGCAGGTCACTAGTGAAGCCGATATGGGGGAAGCCACATCTGTTCGTGCCGATGTCGAAAGTAGTGGCCCTTTGTCCTTTGCCCAAGAGCGTCTTTGGTTCCTCCAGCAATTCCTCCAGAACCCTTGCACCTACAACGTCACTATGCATTATCGCATCAGCGGTCCTCTTCGACTCAAGGACCTCGAAAGAGCTTTCCAGCAAGTCATCCAGAGACATGAGTCCCTCCGTACATCATTTTACATCGACACTGAGACCGACCTACCGAGACAAGGAGTTTACAGACAATCCAGCTTCCAGCTAGTGCAGAAGAACATTTCAACGGCCAAGACTGAGTACGAGATTATGAAAAATATCAAGTACGATTTAGAGAAGGGAGATGTCCTTAGAGCTGTCGTCGTTGCCAACGCTGATGACGAGCATGACATCGTTTTCGGCTTCCACCATATTGCTCTTGATGGCTACAGCGCCCAAATCATGGTTCGTGACCTGGCCAAGGCCTATGCCGGACAAGCCCTCCCATCGAAAGGACAAGACTATCTCGACTTTGCCACTGCTCAAAAGGCGGCCAGTTTCCCTAGCGACACCATCAAATACTGGAAGTCAGAGTTTGAGAACCTGCCACCAACTCTGCCTCTGCTCGACTTTGCCGAGTCGAAGATGCGCGTTCCATTGACAGATTACACCACAAGAGGGTATGAGAGAGCTCTCTCCGCCGAACAGGGAGCAAGCATCAAGGCAGCAGCTCGAAGTCTGGGCGTAACTCCATTCCACATCTATCTTGCTGCGCTCCAAGCTGTTCTTTACGACCTGACCTCGAGCAAGGATGTGTGCATTGGTATTACTGATGCTAACAAGAATGATGCTGCTCACATGGATACTGTTGGCTTCTTTGTCAACGTTCTACCCCTGCGGCTTCATTCGTCTGCGTCACAAACTCTAGCTGATTTAGCTTCCAATGCTAAAGCGAAGGCTGATGACGCCCTAGCACACTCTCAAATCCCCTTTGATGTTCTCCTCGATCAGCTCAAGCTTCCCCGGTCCACCACCCACAGCCCCTTGTTTCAGGTGGTCCTCAACTACAAGATGGGGTCTACCCAGAAAGTACCCCTTGGCGATTGTCAGGCTCAGCTTGTAGCCTTTAAGGACGCGGACAACCCTTACGATCTTACCTTTGACATTGAAGTATACAATGATGGATCTACATCCGTCAGTATCAAAACACAGCAATACCTGTACACTCACAGCGAGCTGGACTTTGTCATGGACACCTACGTCAATGTCTTAGGTCTCTTTTCCGAACAGCCTGCCCAGACCCTCGGACAGCTATGTAAGCCAACCACAGGACAGATCCAAAAGGCTTTGAGTCTGGGCAGAGGTGAACAGATTCCATCTCCACGGCTCGAGACGATGTCACATTACTTCGAGGATTGGGTCAACAAGCAACCTGAGGCCACTGCCCTTCGTACCGATGACGGCAAGGTCCTAAGCTACCTTCAGCTGAATGCCCTGGTCAACCAGATTGCTGTCAGATTGGTGGATATGGGTGTCGAGCAAGGCTCAAGAGTTTGTGTCTATTGCGAGCCTAGCCTGCATAACTTTGCTATACTTATTGCTATCGCTAAATCAGGTGGCGTCTACGTACCGCTCGACGCCCAAAACCCAATCAAGCGTCTGCAGCTGATTGTCGACGATTGTCAGCCGGAGGTGCTTCTCATCGATGACTCGACTAAGGGCAAGGCTCCTGAGTTGAACACAACTGCCAAATTCGTCAACGTCTACGGCATGAAACCTGGTCTACTGGATGTTCCTCACTTTGAAAACCGTGCTCGAGGTACGGGAATGGGCTATATCTACTATACTAGCGGAACAACAGGTGTCCCCAAAGGTGTCGCACTGACCCACGCCAACCTAGTCCATCACATAGATGGCCTGGTCCAGTTCTACAACCTTAGAAGAGGTCGGATGCTCCAGCAAGCTCCCCTTGGTTTTGACATGTCACTTACGCAGATGTCTATAACCGCAGTCTTAGGAGGAACTCTGATCGTTGCATCGAGTGAAACCCGAAAGGACCCTATCCAGATCGCACAGTTGATGCTTGCTGAAAAGGTTACACACACCTTCATGACACCAACGCTTGCATTGGCTGTCATTCACCATGGCTACGACTACCTGAGCAAATGTGTCGACTGGGAATTTGCTCTTCTCTCCGGAGAGGCCTTTCGTGCCCATGTTCCGCCCGAGTTTAAGAGACTTGGTCTCAAGAACCTCCAACTGTACAATGGTTACGGACCTACTGAAATCACCATCAACAGCAGTAGTGGCTTGGACGAACTTGGCGAGACTGCTCCCCACGACACACGTAATCCGAGCATTGGCTTTACCCTTCCCAACTACTCCACCTACATTTTAGATGAAGATATGCAGCTTGTTCGTCCTGGAATGGCTGGCGAATTGGTTGTTGGGGGCTCGGGGATTGCCATTGGCTACCTCAACAGGGAAGACCTTACAAAGGCCCGATTCATTCCTGATCCTTTTGCCTCTCCTGATTCTATTGCTCGTGAATGGACTCGCATGTACCGTACAGGAGACAAAGCTAGATTCCTGCCCGACGGGCGAATAGTGTTCCTTGGACGCATCGCAGGCGATTCGCAGATCAAGCTTCGAGGTTTCCGTATTGAACTCGAAGATGTCGCAAACACCATCGTTAAGGCCGCTGATGGAGTCATCTCTGAAGCGGCTGTATCGCTCCGAGAAGGCGTCAGTGGTGACGGGGACAGTGCATACTTGGTTGCATTCGCTGTTATTTCCCAGACTAACCGTATTTCCGACATCAAGGCCTATCTCAAGCAGCTTCTCAAAGACTTGTCCCTTCCAAGGTACATGATCCCTGCCAGGATTGTTCCAATGGGCCGACTTCCAATGAACGCTTCTGGCAAGCTGGACCAATACGCGCTTGATGCACTGTCTGTCCCTCTCGAAGCTGATACCGTCCATGAGATTCTCACCGAAACTCAAGATAGACTTAAGCTGGAATGGCTGAAAGTTTTACCGCCTGTGGGAGCCGATGCAACAATTGGCCCCGACACGGACTTCTTCTCAGCAGGTGGCAACTCCCTTCGTATTGTCACTCTGAGAGAGCACATTGGGCGCGAGTTTGGGGTAACTATTTCCGTCTTTGACCTCTTCCAAGCGAGCACTCTCGGAGATATGGTGGTCAAGATCGAAGGCTGTGCCGTACAAGAGGCTACAAAGCCAATTAATTGGGAGGAAGAGACATGTATCGACTCGGATTTCGAATCTCCCATAACTGAGGCAGTGCTCGCTTCTCAAATAACCGAAGGCCTACAAGTCGCCCTGACCGGCTCAACTGGATTCTTAGGTCTCTCTATCCTCAAGTCGCTGCTGGAAGATGAGCGCATATCTAAGGTTCATTGTCTTGCCATACGGTCTTCTTCCAAGAAACGAGATACCGTCTTCTCCTCCCCTCGCGTTGCATGCTACCAAGGAGATCTGTCTATGCCCTGTCTGGGATTGACAGAGGACCAATTCGATCTACTCGCTAGGACAGCTGACAGGATCATCCACAATGGCGCTGATGTGTCCTTTCTCAAGACTTATCAGTCCTTGAGACGATCCAACGTGGGATCGGTCAAGGAACTTTCCCGCATGGCAATGAGACGAAAGATCCCTCTACACTTTGTGTCAACTGGAGGTGTTGTTAATCTCACTGGTCAGGATGGCCTTCCAGAGGTTTCCGTCGCAGACGCGAAGCCCCCAACGGATGGCTCTCAAGGCTATGTTGTTTCGAAATGGGCTTCCGAGCATATCTTAGAAGAATATGCAGAGAGACATAGCCTTCCCATTTGGATCCATCGACCAGCCAACATCACTGGTGCGAATGTTTCGCCGACAGATCTGATGCAGAACATCTTCCATTACTCACTCAAGACTGCTTCCCTTCCAAATTTGTCTTCTTGGACGGGTTTCTTCGATTTCGTACCTGTTGAGACAGTAGCTAGAGATATCGCCAGGTCTATTCACGACGCTGGCACCGACAAGGTCGTTTTCAGACATCACTGCGGCACACACAAGATTTCTGTTGATGATCTTCCAGCACACTTGGAGACCCAACTTGGCAGGAAGATCGAGATGGTTAATTTGGAGGAGTGGCTGGATCGCGCAAAGAACATTGGCCTTGATGGAGTGACGGCGGCTCTGGTTGAGAAGACACTGAAACAAGGCGGGGGGGTCATCCCATGGCTTCGGAAAGGGAAAGAGTAACATTTATTACTAGGTTGACTTAAAACATATCGGAAGATTATAGTTATGCAGCCACGCCAGCCAAAGACATGTCGCTGCTGTCAGATCATTGCTCCGTGTTGACATCACAAAATAAAAAATAGTAGCGTGCAGGCCACTATTTACTCATTCCCGTTGTCGTGGCCTCTTGTTATTCGCATAATGTTGCACAGTACGTCAGATCTTGGATAACGGGTCCCCTTGGAACTGGCCCCTAGCATCCTCAGCTGGATAGAACAGCTTTCGCATTAGACCACAGTATATTTTATGGACAGCGTCTCAGTCGAAGAAGTTTTCATTTCTTATAATACGTCCCTGCGTTATTCCTTGACAATTTATGTGTTAGGTGGTACAAAGCATATGAGTGAAAAGAAAAGCAAAGAGTGTTTGCAGTTTGTATTCATTTCAATATCAACTACCTTCTTACTTATCATAACTCTAACTCCTCTTCTATATCTAGCAGTTTACGAATATAAGGGTTAAGACTTCTCCCAGCTGACAATCGTGGCGTCAAGCCATTCAAGGTTGCTGCATCGTTATCGCTGCCTGCGTTAATAAGAAGCTCCACCACGGCCGCCTCCTCTTTGAAATCATCGTCATTTTCACGCAGGAAATCTGCTCCATCCCATTTAGCCCCCTTAGCTTTTTTATGGTCACGAAGCCAGGACTCATACCGATCTTGATGTTTCGCCACGGCTACGTAGAGGGGCGTCATCCCTTCCCCATCCTGAGCTTCCTTATCAGCACCCTTATGAAGAAGCAGTCTCACGGTACCCAACTTCCCAGCCTCCACAGCAGAATGTAGGGGCGCTGATCCTTTCTTGTTGCGGGCTTCTTTATTGGCACCTGCATGAATGAGCATTGCAGTAGTAGCCTCATCCCCTTGCTTCACGGCACTGTGTAAAGGCGAGAACCCTTCCTCGTCTTGAGCTTCCATATCGACACCTGCATCGATCAGTACCCTTACTGTGGCCTCCCGCCTTTTCTTCGCTGCCCAATTCAGAGGTGTCAAACCCTTTTCATCCTGGGCTTCCTGATCAGCACCCGCATTGATAAGGAGCCTCGCGATAGCCCCATGCCCGACCTGGGCAGCGAAGTGCAGGGGTGTACTGGCTCGATGGTCCCGGGTTTCAATATGAGCGCCTGCACCAAGAAGAAGATTGACCATATTCTCCTCTTCTGCATAGCAAATAGCATGGATGAGAGGTGTAAATCCGAGATCGTCTCGCCGTTCCTTTTCGGCGCCGGCTACAAGAAGCAGCTTCGCAATGTCTTCGTGATTATGTGACGCAGCTAAGTGTAGGGGAGCCTGACCATAGTCGCTCTGCGCTTCCGCATCGGCACCCGCTTTAAGGAGCAGCTTCGCCATACCTCCGTGACCATGCTGCACGGCTAAATGTAGGGGCGTCAACATGTTGATATTCCGAATTTCCGTACTAGCACCTGCTTTAATGAGGAAGTTTGCCACGATCTCTTGTCCTCTCCTTGCAGCGCAGTGTTGTGGTGTTTCGCCGTAACGATCCTGAATGTCTTTGTCGGCTCCATTTTCCACCAGTAACTCCACGACGTTGTCCAGACCTCTCTCCGCAGCGTAGTGTAGCGGCGCTTGACCGTTTCTATCTTTAGCTTCCGTATCAGCACGAGGTTTTTGACCGAGCAGGGTTTTGACCATTTCAATCTTGCCTCCAGCTAGTGCCAAGTGCAAAGCGGTTCTCCCCTTGTAGTCGCGCAGCTTGTGAGACGTCTCAGGCCACAGATATTGCACAACTGATTCGTAGCCCTTGCGTACGGCCCAGTGCAACGGTGTAGTCCAGAAGGCATCGACAATATCAACAACCGCTCCTGCCTCAACTAACAATCTCACCACGTCTAAGCGACCTGCCATCGCTGCACAATGTAACGGTGCCTTCCCATCTCTACCTTGTGCATTCATCTCTGCGCCTTCTGCTATGAGAGCCAACACCATCGGCTCAAAGCCACGTAGGGAGGCGTAGTGTAGAGGCGTCCAGCCCATAAGATCGCAGGCGGTGGTATCCATCTTGTGATCGTAGATTTCATTAATATACATCCTATCAGAACCCACCGCTGCCATATAATGCAGTGGTGTCCAGTCCATGACATCCTTGCAATTCACATTACCTGCGCTTTTCACAGCAGTCGTAAGTTCAGTCCAAGGATCGCCTGAGCATAAACCGTGTGCAGCAACGTGATGCACGTCTGTCAGACCCAGTGATGGTGTGTTTATGAGTCTTCTGAGCTTGTCAAATTCATGTTATTCGTCAAATTCGAGATCTATTTCAGGCTCGACTTTGATTTCAGATCTCTCTTGTTCCAAGAGGCTACATTCCCAGCCACGGCCTTGAGCCTCGTACATTTTCTCAAGATTTGAAACGAGTCCAGAGACAGCACGAGTCCCCTCAACTGTGATGTTGTCTCTCACGCGCTGCTGAATACCCCGTATCTGGCTTTTAAGATTTTTGAGGTCTCTCTCATCATTGTCAAGTGTTTTTAACTGGATAGTTAAGGTGAGCTGCCTAAGATGCTCCACTAATACAGCGGTGGCTCTGACGCAAAGGAGATTCTCTGGTTCAAACACAGAAACGGTCTCGAATAGCCACTCATAAATATGACCAGCCTTCGTCAACTGCCCCAATTGCTCATATCTTTTTGCTTGGTCTCTCGCCAATCCAATTATAGCCTCAGCCTCCGGGAGTTTCTGTCTGACACCGAGTGAAGGAACTACGCTCAAATATATATCTGAGGCGTTTCCAAGACCAGTATTTTGAATGTCCTGAACCATCTTGGATAGTTGCTGGTTCTGAAACTTGAAAGATTGCCATGAGTCGGCACCGTTCGTGTCATCAATCGGCCGTATGTCAGCGACTCCTGACATTGGGGTAGGTAGTAGTTTTGCCGCAGTCCACATAAACGTAGAGAAGATATCTTGAGCGTACAGCAACTTCAATGAGTTATACGTTTCTGTGATCAAAAGCATTCTTCTGGAGTTCTTGTTGACTCCCGTGCTGGCATTGTCACCTTCAAACCAACAACGTACACCAGATCCTACGACCCTGTGTGCCTCAACCTCCGTCAACACTTCTTCTTCTTCATTACCAACTTCCGAAATGCTCGCTGCTTCAATTGGCATCCACCATTCAAGGTTTCGGCTCAAGATGTCGGTACGCGAGCCCAGTACTCGCAGGCTTCTTTTCAACGACGATCCTTTCGCACGATGCCACGCATCATCTTCGATACTTGGCTTGCTAGATGAGCTTGAGGAATCATTTCCTTCCATCTGGTTGACGGAGTAAAGCCATAGAGATAGTGAAGCTTCAATCTCATCCGAGTAAGCTTTCCATTTTCCACTGTCTTGTCTTTCCAGTCGGAAATTGACAGGATTGTGTTTCCCTCCAAATTGAGCGCATAGAGACCAACTAAGTATAGAGTCCTGGTGGGATGTACCGAAAAGAGTATCCATGGTAATCTCGATGGCCCTGGTAGTAGAAATGGCTTCTTCGGATGCAGGCCCACGCCAGTCAGCCAACCACCCGAGATTCCTCCTCAGCTTCATCACTTCGTGCGCAGAACTTAGATGCTCAACCTTTAGTTCAGCCCCCAAATTCATTTGCCTTGGAGCCCGAATTATCGGCGTTGGGGGTTTGGTCTGTTTTTGATCCGTCATCATTGTTCTGGGCTATCTCGCCTGTCCTGATAGTCCACTCTCGAAATGGGTTTCCTGTTTGGCTATTACTGTCTGGGGCACGCTTAGCCATCCAAGGAGCGTTGTCAATGCCCCCCAGCGTTGTGGCAAACCAATCAAGCTCAAACCCAGAAGTAAGCTTGATACATTGTGGAGGTTTTGCTAACCCACGGCGAACCAGTGCCCTAAGGGCCATCATGATGAGAACTGCCAGAAGTTGAGCGATTGAAGCCGACCAATGCATGCCTCGCAGGCCAATGAACTGTACGATGAAGCCGCAAAGACTGATGGCTGTTCCGATGACAACTTTGATGCCAAACTGGTCCACAAGCTTTTTGTCGTAGACACTGTCAGTACCGCAGCCGCCTGATCCTAGGGTTACATCCAGAACACGAACAGGACCAGAGCCTGATTTGACCGAGGTGTCGACCGTATAGAGTAAGACACCAGGGGCGCAGACGTCTGAGTCAATTCCCTTGGGGACACGGGCCTCGGCGACAAGTGCTGAAGTATGGTTAACGGCGACGACAACGGCCTTGATGTCTTTGTCAGAAGTCTTCAGCTCCAATGGTATAAGGGTGTGCTCAGTGATTCCTGGATCTGAAACACAGTCGACGGAATCGTCATTAATCCAGCCCAGGCGCCATTTATCCCAGGCGAAGAAATCGGGACCAATGCCAGAAACGTCTCCCATGGCACTCCAGCCACCGACGTAGTAACTAACCCAGGCCAAGATCCTCGAACGGGTAGTAATCGGCCAAACACATGGTGTGTCCTGTCTCGTGAGCCAAGGCAATCCAGCTTTTCGGCCCCCAAGTTGTAAACGCGTCGGTTCCGACAGTGACGGTCTTCCTGGCAACATAATCACCTTGTCTGGTGCTGGCTCGTGTAAGGAAGGTAATGGATCGAGAAATTCCTCTACCACCGACGCTATTTACAGGAACAACATAGAGTACATCTGACTCGGGGGGTGGGGGGCGAGTGCCTTTGGCTGTATAGGCGTCAAGAGCGTCTTGGATGTATTCTTGATGTTCTGCCCATGTGAGACCTCGTTCCCAGCCATAAGATGCAGCAGATGCAGGCATGCGATAGAACTTGGACAGATCAGCTGTGACATTGAACGACAGAGCCCTGTGAGAGGCCTGCTTGTACCATTCGGTAGTCTGAGGAACCACGGCGTCATAGAGCGATTGGGGCGTTTCGCTTTGAGCAGGTTGGGCATCGGAAAAGTCGACAAAGATCATGAAGCCGTTGAGAGTTCCGGTGCTTGAGGCACAGTCTCTATTGGAGTCGAAGCCGACACTTGAATCCACGTTGTCAATAGCAGCCAGCTTGCAAGCGGCTTTCGACTTAGGGGGCTGTTGTTTGCAGGCCGCAGCGCTGGCTACAGCAGGCCAAAGAATAGAAAGAAAGAAAGCCTTCATGATGAGAGAAGTTGGTTGGAAGGATTGAGGGATGGTGAGTAGAGGGTGAACAGTCCTCTACGTTGTGCACCAGGGCATCCTTTATACTCTCATCATTCTGCAGCCCATGAGGCGTATCTCGTACCACTAAGTCAGGATTCTGCCAGCATTTCCCGTTATTCGAGTTTCGCCAATTGCCAAGTCTAAATTGACTCGCGCGTTTCAGCTTGGGCAGCCACTGTCAGCGGACCTCGGTGTTCATGTCAGCGAATTCGCCCTCCCCGGATCTTAATTTTACTAGCCACCCAGTATCCATTAGGGCTATGCCATGCTTCTCTAATCGGTTATCGTAGGGCTGAGTTAAGGGTCCAATGCATTATTATGGAGTCACCATCATCAACTATCTAAATAGAGTAATTGTCAACTTGCGATGCTACGCCGCAAAGCGTTTTAAGCACAGCCTCCCTTAGCTCAAAGCTCTCTGCCGGGGTCGGCGCTGGCCGAAGCGATAATGTGCCGCTATTGGTGGTAGTATTTGGTGAGATGGGGTAGTTTCAGTTCGGATGGTCTGATTCTGACAGGAGCTGAAAGCCTCTATTCGACGATTCTGAAATAAGCAGTAAAACGCTGGTGGGGACCAAGATCAAAGCTAGCAAGTAGGTCTGACAATGGTATCAGCAATCATCATTTCACTGCCTCGGCTAAACCATGATATGGATAGAACCATACAATCGTCTTGCAACTACGGCCTTCAACATGATGATGTAAGGAGAGAAAACATGTCGAGAATTGTGCGAAACAACAAGCCGCGACTCGATTATCGAACGAAGATCGATTGAAATATTATGCTTTCGCACCTGAATTACAATACTAGCAGCTGTCTGTTCCTGCAGTGGTAGTCTGCTTATTGTGGAGGCTGTTGCTGCTCTCGCTTTTTCATCATATACACCTCCCTTGCGATTTGCCTTACTTGAGATCCCAAGTGTTGCGCCATAGGCCACATCTCAGCGTACTTTACAAGCGCCCCAATACTTTGAGACATGTTTTGACGGAGATCCTCATCCTCTTGGGCAACAAAGGCTAATGACCATTTGCTGAGGTGTATTGTAGATGAGAGTGTCAACATGTAGGCAAAGAAATGAGTGTGTGAGAGGAGAGGAACGCGGAAGGTGGCCATCTTGCTGAGCTCCCTCGCAGCCCGGATCGTGCGTTTTGTATGTGGATTGAAGGCATCGCTGGATATGGCCGGCGTGTTGGGTGCGCAGGCCTTGATGTAGTGAGTTGAAGATGGATCCAGTTGCGAGTGAGGCTGGTGTAAGAGAATGGATATGGCGTGCCACATCATGATGGCCTGGAACATCATCTCATCAAGCTCGCCATTGCAATAAGCGTCATATTTTGCAGGTGGTAGGCGAAGCATCCAGTTAGCGAGAAGCTTATCGATGTGTTCAACCTGTGTTGGCATCCTCTGTAGGTTTCCCAAGAAGGAGGCACATTGAATTCGATAGGTGTAGGATGAGAATGGCCTGCCATCGAACAGTCCAATATTTTCCCTATCGTATGGGTGCATAGGGGTAGGTATTTGCTAGGACTCGTAAACATACAGTAAATGCAGGGTTCTATAACGCGACTTACCCCTGTAAGATATTGGTACTCTTCACAAGGCAGAGCTACATCCGCAGGAACACCATACAGAGCAAAGGTGTCTGTTTGATGCACACCCGACATTAGAGCATCCACAACATAAAGCTCCCACCATGTCCTCCGCCAGCTCTCCTCAAGTATGGGCATTCCTTGTCCGTTGGTAGTTGCAAATCGATCAGTGTTTAGGCTAATCTGGATAGAGATATCCCGGGCTTCTGTCATCAGCCTTTCAGCCCTTTTTCGTTGACGGTTGCCGTCAAGTCCAATGATGAGAAGCAACCTCGCCTGCACTGAGAAGCCATCTTCGAGGGGATTACCTTCTATCAGGCGGGAGGCATCCTTAAAAAGGCTGAGAGGGGTGTCTTTCTCGATATATAGAGAACCAATCCAGCGTATAGCTGCAAGCAGAGGCTCCAGGGAGGTCTCCTGTGTTAACACGAGAAGAAGCTCCCTTGGTGGTATGAAAGGATGCGCGGCGTAGAAATTCCGATAGAACGATTCGAGGAAAGGTTCTCTCAGAGGGAGAGCCCGAGGTACTTTTACGCCAAATCCTAGGTCCGGCTCGCCTATACCACCACACGGACTCTGGAAAGAAAGGACAGGTAAACTAGTTGACGAAGTTGTTTGAGGATGTATGACGATTGGGACAGTTCTGTTTAATCCAGGATAACCTGGGACAATGCCGGAAAATATGGAGGGATCAGTGATAGATGGGATATCAAGTGCTGGTACTGGGGGAGCAGAACCGATCGTGGTTGCTGCGAGAGCGACAGTATTGACAGAACTTTCTGCTGCTGCAGGTTGACTAGAGGATCGACTGGCCGTTCGTTGACGGCCATTGTACCCGCGCCTGGAAGAGACATAGACGCAGTCTAAATTAACATCTTTGCAGCGGGAACAAGGACGTTTTCCATCGCATTTCACGTGCCGTCTACGCTAGGAGCAAGAGTCAAGTCAGCATTCATTCAGTGCCTTTGAGCACTATTGAGAAAAGAGGGTGGCAACGGAAAAAGAAAACTGTAGGGGCAGTCTGCGGAACTCACGCAAATAACACATGCAGCTGGAACAAAAGGGATGTTACGTCGAGTTCTAGAAACCGCCCAAGGATTCATAGAAGGCAGAGGGGTCATCTGCGAATTCACAGCGGAGGGGACCTCGAGCGGGGGCATCCTGATAAGCGTCAAGGTTGTATAGAGCGCTTTCGTAGTGAATGCACAGTAGGTATCAGCAAGTCCGTACGTCAAGAATACGAGTTTGTTTCATTATTAAGCAAAATTTGGTAACAATGAAACACAATGGGAATGCGCATATGAAATAGATACAGCATGGGATTCTAGAAATTTAGCTGCTCCTGCTCCTGCTCCTGCGCCTCCGCCTTTTTCTTTGCTTTTTTAGCCTCTAAGCTTTCGAGTTATGATTGGCTAATTGCTGACACGGAGTTTCCCGAACGTGAAGACTCATCTACAGCCGCGGCTGAACTGAAGTGGACCCCGGCAGGTGAAGAATTCATAATTACGTGGCCCTAGAGTGGATTAGAAGAGTGAGGTACCTTGAGAGAGGATTGGTCCTCTGCTTGACTCCCAATTTCTTTCTTAAACTTTAATGCTTGACTACCTGATACCCGCAATTCCAAGGCTTAGCGTTGTTCGACACCTCTCTTACCCACATGCAGATGAGCCAAGATGAAACTCGAGAGGTGACAACCCTCTTTTGCGTTGCTTGAACGGTTTGTTATCATTTTTCTGCACTAAGGAAACTTTACATTTTAACGGCTTTTGGCCATAGATGTATACAGATTTGATGACGGTACATGACGATGGTCGTCAAGAGACCCCAGAATTGATTGTTTGTCCCCGCTCCAAATGGCAGGGGCATTTTGTTTTCATCGTGACGTGAAATATTCTTCGCTCGTCCAGTATGTGGTTTTACTCGGATACAGACCAGCGATTCCCATGAATTTTCTTTTCTCAAACCTTCCTAATTCAAGTCGCTAAGCAAACCAAAACAGCTTCACGCCCTCATTTATCGAATTTGATTTAATTCTCAGGTTATCTTTTGATTGTGTATAGGGTAGTTATGCCCCTGTTTCATCATCATCTTATCGATAAACCTATCGATAAGATAAGCATCACAGCCAAATCAAGCCTACCAAATCAATTCGATTCTGACCTTTAAAAACAAATCTGAAGGTCGTCAATTCAATTCCCAAAAAATTGGTCCGACATTCGATTTGCTGGGAGCGCTGATACATACCAGTACCGTCACTGTAAGCCACAATCTTAGCTTCGATCAAAGTTGCTTTCTGTGGGGTAGAGTGACATTGGCAATTCCTTGTTGCATCTGTGCTTACTACGAAAAGCGATGCGTCTACAGCGACTATGTTAGAGTTTGTGGGCCTTGCGTCATCCTCATACTTTGCCATTTCCACAGTACATTGTATTCTACCAAAATGAAACCTCGACGAGGCTGTTGGACTTGCACAGGTTGGTATCCAGCTCTCGCCGGAGCGTCATCACCTCTGGAGCTTTTACTAAGCATCCCACATCAGGTCGCAAGATTCAATGCGATGGGAATCGGCCAACGTGTAACGCATGTGGTCAATCTCAGCTCATCTGCCAAGGCTACGAACCCCGCCTGTCTTGGCCCAAGGATAATGACAAAAAACGGGCTATTCTATGCGATAGTGCTTCGCATGTCGTGTGTTTTCCTCGGAACACCCGGAATATCCCTGGCAGGCTTTTCTTCATTAATACAGCAAGACAAGACGTAGAGCTGTACCACTGCTCGTCTTTGCAGATGTATCAGCGCCATGTGGTCATGCCATCGCCAAAATTGGTCAAACCGCCTCAGCTACGTGAAGCTCAAAATGACTTATTCCAATACTGTAAAACAAAACTTCAAGATAAATCTCAATCTGATCTTAGACTCACTAACACCATCAACCCCAGTTCACGACAAAGCTCATGTCTCTTTGGCCACCTTTGGGATGACGCCATTGCAGATCCATGACCTACTCATGAGTATGGTTTTGGCAAACAGCACGACTCCGGATTCAGCCCTTATCTGTGCCATCATGGCCTACTCTTCGCTTCACCGCAATGGTCTTAACGAAGAAGCAATGAGACTCAAGATACAGGCGATCCGTTTTCTTTCTACTACAACTCAGGATGGGCAGATGTCTCTATTGCATGCTGCTCAACATGTAGCCACATCGATGCTCCTAGGATCATCTGAAGTAAGGACCGTATATTCGTTCGAGTTTAGATACTTCTAACTATTTATGTAGAATTTACTTCTATCTGAAAGCTCCGGCGAATGGCTGTGGCACACGTGGGGGGCTATGGACGTAATCCAAGCCACTCAACTCAAAGACCAATCTTGCCAACTACTCATCGATTGGGCTAGTTACCATCACACAATTTCCCAATTCAGCATGCGTCACTGGCACCACAAATCACTCGCCTCTACGTCGTCAATCGCAAGTCGTAGACTCTCTCAAAATTCTCTATACCCACCATTAATCCAGTACAGACCAGTAAGTTTTACTCAAGGAAACCACCAGTGACTTGATCTTGCTAACACTAAATTTAGAACCCGCCTTCTTCAAATCCAACATTCGCAGTTCTGAATCTTCTTTCTGAGGTGTGCAACACCGTGGTCGACTCCAGAGATTCAATGAGCCGCAGGCCCGACTACCTCAATTCCGTCCAAATTCTTCTACAAAGATTGGACGACATCTCTGTCGTTCCAGTCCCCACTAGTACAGACTCTGAGACTGCCTTTGCTATTGAACTGTATCAAGTGGCAACGCGAATATATATCGCCCGAGCGACAGCGAGCCCCTCTGAAGCACCTGCAATGTTGGAATCCCTGATCGATGCTTTGTTCAACGGACCTGTGAAGACGTGTAATTGTCAGCACTTCTTCCCATTGCTGATCCTTGCTTGTGAGGCGAGGAAGGATGAACAGAGGGTGGCTATCCTCAATCTTATCGACAGGACGCAGCGAGATTCGCGTATCAGGAGCATCAAGGGGGTTACACATGCAATCCAGTCTATCTGGGTTCACCAAGATCTTCATGCTGATGACGATCTGTTGGTAAATTATCTTGATCTTTTAAGCATTGGGATTAGCTCAGGTAGTACCATCCCATCATTTGCATAGTATTGTATTCATAATGGCCTCCTGCATACTATTGCCTACAATTATGACAAGATGAAGCCACTCATTTTAACGCTGTGAACAATGCCTAACGAGGTAGTGAAAAGGCTGGCGCGTTCGCTACCACGTTTCAGCTGGCGAGATCTGTGTGTGCTGCGCACACTTGCGTCATTGTTCTCGAATGAGCCAGTGTTGCTATTCCACACGCTTGCCGACATAAAAAAGCGATCTTGGTCGACCACATCATGCCATTCTCCTGGCACGGAGGAACTGGATATTACCAAACAGAAATCAAGGATTGTGAGTGGCTGATCTCTACCTATCGTAACATCATTCACCCCACAGCAAGCAACTTTTACCGACGCTAAGACTAAAACTATCCCTGTCACAGATTTTAGATCCTTTCGCTGCTTACGCAAAATGCACGTCCTAACCAAACAGGAATCGTAAGTCTGTTGAAGCCGTTGTTAGATTATAAATCAGGGAAATATGTAGAACTTCGAATGGAGAAAGGGAATAGTTATATATTCTATGTAATCCACTGGATGGAAAGTACTCTGGCTCAAAAAGTCACTTCATCAACCTTACTCATATTTCCCCATCTTGATATCGAGCTTGACTCTCGCACGCCAATCTTAACACCACTACACCTCTCTCTACCTTGTATCACAGAGCTCCAGCGCAGCCCCCAAGTTCATCGAGTTCCAGAACTAGGAAAATCCATCAGCTTCCACTATGTCACACCCTATCATTTTTAACGGCAGCTTAGGCCTAGGCCTCATGCTAGTCTCGCTCGGCTTGAACGCCACCTTTCGGCCTGTCGCCCATCTCAAAAACCTGGAGTTTCCTGTGCCTACGGAGCCAGAAGCTAGGAGGCTCAGCCACGCACTCATGCGAATTTGGGGTATCCGCAATATTTCTGTTGGTCTCCTGGTCAGCCTTATCTGGACAACAAAAGATGAGACCCTAATGGGGAAGGCCTTGGCTATCACGCTGGGCATGCCTATTACTGATGGATTTGTCAGTAGACTCCTCACCGGAGGTGGTGAATTGCAGCATTGGGTGTTCCCTCCTGTCCTTGTAGTAATGATTGCTGGATTGTTTGGGTGGTTTTAGACACCATTGGATTATTGCATTGGTCTTTCAATATATGTAACTGCAAATTTTGATAACCAAGTCTGGTGCGGGGGCTCATGGAACACAACACTGGCCAGTATGAACGGTATGGGCTGTTACGCTGTCTTGCACCAAAAGCGCCTTCCTGATACGACCATCAGTCGAGACTGCCACCTTCTACCAGTGGTCATGGGAAGGTAGCAGTGGTCGTGGGAAGGTACCAGTGACTGCCATCAATATTTTAACATGTTTCTGTCTCTAGTATTGCTCTGATCAAGCATCATCACACATCACGATCAACTTGGCATAAATCATCTTCATTCTATCTCAACATTATCAAAGCACAGACCAATAAACGACAATGTCACTAGAAACATCTTCTACCTCCCTCCCATCGGCTATCGCACTTGACGATGAAGATGCCGCCGTTTTGCGGGCTTGTGACCTGCAAGTTAACATTTTGGAGCCCTGTAATCCGCAAGATTACCGAGCGGCATACAACGTCCAAATAGCAGAGATAGGCCGCCAGAAAAGGGCTCGACAACATGCAAAAGATCCCAAACTTCATAAGAGTAAATACATGGAGGAAACGTCCTTGGAACATGCCAAGTACGAGCAATGGACCACCTTACAGAACGAGCTTGATGTCGAATTCTGGAGGTTTGTATCTTCTATCTTTTATGAAACCGTACCAGCAGGTTGGGATAACTTTTTCTTGTGGTTTGACCAGAAGTTGAACGGTCCAGTGACCAATGTTACGGCTGTCCAGCAGATGTTGGACATGGCAGAAGAGCTGGCCTTTGCGACAATACTGTATGCCACTTCTGACTACTATCAAGTCTACTTGCTAAAAGAAAATCAGGAAAGCAAAACATCGGAATCTGTTTCTGGAAAGATATCCGTTGACATACGAGACAATTAGTGCACGTCGCGACCACGAACGTTGGGTCCAGGAAGCCAAAGAGGACGCAGCCAGATAGGAACAAACAGTCGTGATGCTAGAACGCTGGGGGAAAAGATCATTACTTGAAGCTTCTATGGGCTGATTATATGATAGAAAGAAGTACTATGCTTAGGTAGGGACTACAACAAACGGTTATCATAAATAATTACCATAAACGATGACCACAAATGATTACCACAAATGATTACCACAAACGATTACCACAAATGAATACCAAAAGGAAGGACTACCTTGTTCTTTTACCAAAGCTACTAGCCTTCGAGATTCCCCACATACTCTACACCCAAGTTCGAAATCATAGAACAAACATTTGATCCGGTCACTGGCCCATTAGCCTTGCCATATCATCCCGCCATGAATTTCAAAAAACCGCGGAATGGCAGGCGGGATGAATTGAACATCCTTCAATTCACCGCTGTCCTCCTCATCTTGAACATGTGAAGAATCGGCCTCAAGCGGATCATCCAAAGATCGTCCGGCCCAATAATCCTGCCATTTTTGAGACCTTCGCCTTAGCTGGTGATGTCCCAGGCCCACAACATCGCTGACCAACTCCCGTTGGGTAGCGAGGTGGTCCCATGATGGTAGACATGGCTGATGAGTACTTGAATTAGTGAAGAATATCCAGGCTCGTTGACGATATATCGCCGACTGAAGGTTTTGAAGGTGAAGTTGTTGTTTCTGCTGGTGGATGTCAATCCGGGGTCCAACGGAAATGCCATGCCTGCTGGATTGATTCCGCGACTCCATCCACCATTTCCACTGGTCGATTCTGGTGCGAGAAACATATAGATCGTGATGTAGAGTAAAGTGCTGGCTCAGGATCCAAGAACTGTCGGGTTGTTGGGCCAGGCCACCAACCCAGTGTGTCATACGGCATCCCTTTGTGTTTATCAATTCCGGGGAACGGAGGATCGCGCTGAGACTGTCTAGCCCAAGACAAGGTAGGCCTTCGAGCTCCAACAGGCCTAGGAAAACCTCTTTTTCCATGTCAAAGTATTGATCATCAGAAAAAAGCAGTCCATAGTTTTTTGCGGATAGCAACACACCTTCATCGTTGTTAGCTCGGCGGCCTGGAACGTTGGTCTTGGAAACTGATCGTTCTGGAAACCAAGAATCCTGTCGGCAATGCGCAAATATGGCACCATAAAGGCCCTTAAGATATTCGAAAACGCAGTAAAGTTCCTCGTAGTCATTGAGACCTAGCTTCTCATTTGACTTGTTTATCATATCCGCATACGTGGTTCCTTCGAGGTGGGACCACACACGCGGATGATAAACCTTGCAGCGCAACTCAAATCTGAGAAAAGCTTTTAAGAGGTGGCGCTTAATCGATTTCTCCATGCTACCAAATACCACGGGCTGTATGTCAGTCTCTTGACCTTTGAACTGCGCAGTAGGTACAATGCGTCCAATTGTCGGGAGTGTCATGCAAGCTCGTGCAGTGAATGGGTCCAAGGACTTCGAAAGATAGTCTTCTATGAAGACTACCAGCCGCTTAAAGAAATGATAGAGGCCGGTCACGGATTCTTGATTGGACTGCTGCGTCACAGGGTTTGGAAAGCTCTGGGCATCCCAGCTATCCAGGCATTCGGAAATGGCGCCAAAGGATACTTCGGGTCCATCGATGGAGGGGAAGCACATGATGAGTTGAGCATCCTGCAGCATCGTACCGTCGATGTCGAGATCGAGAATGTTAACGAGTCGTTGTCGCATGATTGAATATCGGTACAGGTTATAGATCCTCAGTGATTCTGGCGATGCACTTATAAGGTTTAAGAGATCTCTGTCATCCTGGATCTGGCCGAGGACGTTATTCAATACCAATGAGGGCAGTCGAGAGAAGATGTCCATCTTGCTTGTTCACAAGCCGGTGTCGGAAGTGCAGAAGGTGAGACTCGAGTTCAGCAATCGGTTGAAAAGAAGGAAAGGGAGTGTGTGAAAGATTGGGGCAAACCTCCTTTAAGTACTTGATTCGGAAAGTCATATTATAAATCCTTGTGGAAGACTTTATCTGGATGTCACATTTGAGTTTGTGCGCTCTTGCAAGCGACGAAGCTTATGTGACGCTGCTTGCAACAAAGTTCCAGGCAAGTAATTCATTCGTCGCGTATAATTTTATTTGGCTTTTTTGACGCGTTAAATCGTAAGTTTAATAAACAGGCAGACCATTTGCTGTGAGAGCTTATCGGCGCTCTGCAAATCGCCATCGACGAATTGGGTATAGAGTTTTTCAAAATTGTTAGCGAGCCGAAAGAAAACTTAAGAAGGGTGTGCAGAGAGTTCAGAGAGGTAATAGTCACGACTAATCATCAAGTTGTAATGATTTGAAAAGTCCTTTTTGGTAGGCTGAAGTATTATAAACGGAAGAGCAGTGGCTAAAAGGTCGGCGGGGGCTGATTGGACGTAAATGACATTATGGATTACATTTTGCGCTTAACCTTCAAGCCCAGGCTTGGCTTTTCTATTCCTGGATAAATATATTAACGTCCTGTTCCCTTTTGGCAAGTCTTGTCAAGTAAAATTGATAAATCTTTACGGAGTAACTACTTCCCGTCTACAAAATCGCTGGCTATAATACTCCACACATGATACCCACGACCCGCGAATAAGAGCCCTGGAGTGAGGCAGTTTCGCATAGCAACCAACAACCACTGAGCTAGCAAGGGGTTGAATGATGGCCAGGCTACCATCTGGACTAATCAGGTGATTTCTCGCCTGTTTACTCCTAGGATGAAGTTGGAAGTAGAGCTGAGCCCCTGCCTTGTGACTAGCTAGAACGGGGAGGTGTGGTTGGGGGCTACTCTTTAAAAATTTATAAATAATCAGTTGCCCAGAAATAAAAAAGAATTCCAAGTCTTTTACATCATCTGAGCAATTTATTTTAACAGTCACGATTGCCGCAATGCACTTTTCAATAAATACTCTAAGCACTCGCATTGCTCTCACTACATCATATAGAGAGCCAGCTAGCTGCCAAAATAACTTCAAGACAATAACTGCATCCGGGCCTGGTAGCTCTAATGTCATTTCTATCTTGGCGTCGGAGCCTAACACCTTATGCTACCCGTCTGGCAGGTTAGTGTCCTGATAAAGTACACGAGTGAGAGACTAACAGCCCAGTGGCTACCATTTCAGGGATAACAAGAACCACCGGCTGGATAGTCCGGTAGTCTCCAAACAATGCGAACAATGGATAGAGAGCAAACCAGAGGACGATGAGACCGTCACAAATACTGATAGGACAGCCAAGGCTCCCGACAAGACCCTTTTGGTCCATCAAGCATGGCCCACCACTTGGAGTACACCTGAGAGGGTCACAATCTCTTCAAATCCACGTATTCTAAGCAACGGACACGCAATGCCAACATCAGAGCCTTCTCAGCTGATGAGAAGAGGGGAACCCGACGAGGACACTAGTTTGACCTCTTATCTACACTTCCTGATGATAGGCGTACCTATCATTGTAGCATCGATCTTGATCTGCTGTGTTGGACTGTGTTGGTGGAACAGAAGGAAGATGAGAAAGAGAGGACAAGAGATTCCTTTAGACACTGTTCCGCCACAGACAGGAAATGAAAACTGGTCAACAAGGTAGCTGGGATACGCCGAATACAAACTCGCTACATACCGTCTTGCCAGACCTCGAACTTTGTATGGCTGTGACGGGTGTACAGTTTAGGAATTTGCTAGCGCTCTATTGACACCCAAACTGGTGGTGGCTGACCTATGGTATAAAGTCTGGCCTGAAATTGATAAGGCCATATACTTATGGAATTAAACCTTTGGTACTATTTCTTTAGTATTTTTAAAAGGCTCATCTAAACACTTCTTCTAGATCTTTACTTATTTTGGAAAGTCTTTCGCACAGCATCTCCGAATCGTCTAATAGCCTCTTCGACCTTATCTAAAGGCGCGGCGGCAAAGGTAGTTCTAAAGAAGATATCTTGGATCGGCTTTTCTTTCATCGTATTGAACCAACTACCGCGAGCCACAAGGGTGCCTTCTGCAATAGCGTTATGCCATATGTCCTCCTCAATATCTACGAGGGATTTGAGACCCGCACCGGGGTATTTTTGCCAGTCCACACGTAGCCATTGCTGAATGAAAAACATTAGAACCCGACTTTGTCAAGGGGAAAGCTATTTGCAACACTTACATACATGCCTGCGTGGGCAGGCTCCCAGGACACGATGTCCTTGGGCAAGTGGCGCTCACAGGCGCGAACCATAAAGTCTCGTCGGTTGGTGTATTCTCTTCGAATATGTATCAGCCATTCGAGGTAACCGGAGTGATGCCAGTGTTCATCCAAGAGCTTGAAGAGAGCTAGCTGACTGAAGCCACTAGGTCCTTGCGTTGAAACATCCGCGTGACTCTTATAGCGCTCAGTAATCTCTTGGGGTGCTGTTATCCAGCCGATGCGAGATCCAGGACTGACGACCTTGCTGAATGAATCCATACGGATAACTCGCCCGTCGACATCAATGCTAAGGTATGAGGGTATGAGTACCTCAAGTAGATCAGCCGGGGAGTGAATTGTCTCTGGGCGGGAAATGCCTGAGGGATCATATGGAGCCATCTGAAGAAAATAGTAAGGGTCGTCTTCTAGGATAATCATATCATGCGCTTGAGCCACCCGGTAGATTTCCCTACGGCGCTCAAGGCTTTGAGTGGCACCAGTTGGGTTCTGACCAGTGGGGATGAGATAGAGCAGAAATGGTTTTCGTGCGTTTCCGTTCTACTCTGGTATCCAATTCTCGAGCGTTGCTTGGAGAATTTGCGGCAAGATTCCCTCGCTGTCCATCTCTATGCCGATAAACTTGACGCCCATAGGAAGTGCAGTCTCTACGGCTGAAGCGAAGGTGTAGTGGTCCGAGAGGACGCAGTCGCCAGGCTGTGAAAGCATCCGTAGAGCCATGTCCAGTGCTGATGTACTACCGATAGTCATGGTGCACTGCCAATCCGCGTAGGGTGGATCATGAACCATTTCCGTGTGCTCTACAATCCAACGGAGAAGTTGTGCAGAGCCGCTGCCTTGGCTGTAGTTCAAGGCTACGGAGATGTCGTAGACACTCCTGCCCTCTAAAAGATCGTTTTTTTCTGCGAGAATATTGCTATTTCCATGATTTTCGTTTATTTGAGAGCCTCCGATACTTGACAAGGAGGGTACTGCAAAAGTGAGACTTTCGAATGGGAAGTATTGGCTAAGCGGAAGTCCACCACCAAGGGAAATGATGCCTGGGTTCTTAAGGTGCTTGAAGGCCCCCTTTAGAGACGAACCTGTTCGACCGGCTGACTCAGGGCTCAACCGATCTGATACGTCATCAGCCACCGTGCGCAGAATACCCCATGGCCTTAAATAAAAGATGCCAGAAAAGAACAGATGACTCGATATAGACTTACAGGTCCAGTCCTTGGCTATTGGCTTGTGCTTGTGGCTTCTTGTCTTAAAGCTCTCGCTGTTGCACGGTACTGCTACACCCCACTGCGAAAGGGGAAAGTCGCGACGGGTGGGATTGAGAGTTGAAGTATCCATCTTTCCGGCCTGCTCAGTCGATGGTAAGGAAACTATAGCTTCGGGCGGAAAAGTAGTATGTTGAGAAGATGAGGCATCTTTACTTATTTAGACGTATATAGTGTGTTGGACTGAGATTTATATCACGAAAAGTGCCCACAACATAGCCTGATGAGAACACGACGAAAATCTTTTGTAACTGGCCGTAAATGAACCCTGCTCAAAGAGGAAACAGCAAATATGTTTCGGAGAGGAGTGAGGACCCAGAGACTTCGGCATGTAGTGGGGTACTCCGGATTTCGGCGTAAGATGGCGGGGCACTACGGACAAATCGGACAAATCGGACAAACATTGAGCACCGTCATCAGATTTCTCCGAAAGGCAGAAGTTTTCCTCCCCGATATCTTCTTTACAAGAATTCCTCATGTCATCATCGCGCGTAAGACTCGCCGCCTGCGAGCCCTGTCGGCGATCCAAGCTTGCTTGTGATCACGAGCAGCCCACTTGCAGCCGATGTCGCACTCGAGGCCAGAACGCACTCTGCACGTACAGAGAGCGGCCATTCCGCAGAAGAGCGCTGAGAAGTCGTAGCAAGGAGATTGAGTACGTGCGAATCAAGACATGACTCTGTGTTTGGTTGCTTACCTTGTCTCGTACCATAGAGAATCCATACCCACTGAGACCGCGGCATCTTCCCCTGGACTTGGAGATACCAGCTTGCCTGAAGTAGTAACAACCTCCTCAGCGCGTCGCTACCCAAATCCAGGCTACCTTGGAATATCTAGTCACTCAACTCTGTTTAACCAAGTTTCCTCAGGAGGTGAATCCGATCCAAGTTCCCTTCCACCGGCCTCGACAAGATCAAGGCCAGGTTCGCCAATACACCTTTTGGACAACCAAGTAGTGACAGACAGAGCGATTCATGCCTTGACTCGCCTGGATAGAATAGATATCTTCAAGATCACCCCATTGGTTCATTTATGGCTTGATAAGGGTACCAACCTTCCTTTGGCTGAACCTTTCGTTTCCGGCTGCTTGGAGTCTGTGAAGCAATGGAGGCAACTCTTGACCTCCGACTCCACCATCGAAGCAGGCGATTTTGGGCCTGAAAGCATGGGCTCTATCTACGTTAAAGCACTGCTGGCGAATACACGCAAGTCTATCGTCATGCATCGAGGCATGAGCCCGCAAGAGTTTCTCGCCCAGATGCTGGAAAAGAACTTAAGATGGGAGAGCTTAGGCATCTTCTTCATTGCTGCTGCAAGAGCAGCATACGATATATCCAGTTTTACGCCGCTCTATTCCACCCATGAGCAGCGCCATAGGCTCATCAAGACGCTAACATACATAGGAGACTGCTGCTTGGAGACATGCATTGAGTTGGACTGTTTAAACGACTTGCAACTCGTTTTGCAGTACGAAAACTTCATAGTGCACTCACAAGTGGACGGAGATCAGAGTGAGTATTGCTTATTCCACCTGCACACACTCCGTCTGAAGAGCCTTAGGCTGAGCTTATATTCTCAGGTTATCATTCCTGGAGGAGAATCGGAGATGTTGCTAGCTCCCTGTTTGCCTTGGGTTACCACGAAAGAGTTGAGGGTATCGACACCCCACCCTTTATCATCGAGCTACGAAAGGCTTGCTTCGCTCGTATATATGCTGCTGACAAAAGTTTGGCCGTTTTCCTTGGTCGCCCACCGCGAATAGTAAAGGACTACTGTTACTTCAAGATTCCAAGCAATCTAGAAGATGTATGGGGAATCAGTCGTGATACCACAAACCGTAATTCTACGCGTCTCTTCCAGGCATGCGGTAATGGTGAGGAAAACGGCCAAGTTACTCACGATGTCGAGCCGATCAACTATACTGCTGATACACGTTGCTCAGCTTTGTTTGCGTTTCTCAAGGAGGACGTGCTCCAACTTCTCCGCAGGGGCAACCTTTCAATTGATGAAAGAGATAAAAAGTATGCTGCTACTTATCATCGCCATTCAACCGACCTGAGCTGAATATTGATTCTATAGCAAACTTCGTTCTCGAATTGATAAGCAGTGGGATGATCTTCCAGCACACTTCCGCCTTACAACCAGTTTGAAGGATTGCCAAGGGGGACCTTTCGAACGTGACTTTCTCGCTGGGACCCGGCTTGATTATTTACATGTTCATTTTCTCCTGGGCTTAGTATCTCAAGGAAGTATATCCGAACCGGGAGATGATCTATTAAAGATAGCTACTGAAATGCTTTCAATTACGGTGGAGGTTATCATCTTGCGTGACCAACTGGTCAACTCTGGATCATGCCTTATCTGGAAGGTATGTGCGACGCATCAACATCAAGACCTACCCCAATCCTCGCCTCGTGATCTAACCTGCCTTATGTTAGGTTGCTCAATATGGGCTCCCTGCCGCGGGGATGATATCGCTAGCACTTTTAAACGCGGTTGCCGGTGAGACAATGTCACACTCACGGTCAAAGATGATTCAAGCTTTGTGTACTCTGGTTGTAGAGATTACAACTGGGGCTTGGATCCAGGCTGGAGAGCCTAACTTTGCTCTCTTTGCCCGCGCAACTCGAACTATCCAGAGTCTTTTAGATTCCTTGTTAGCCGCTAGGTCGCCGCAGACTTTTAGTCACGATGCGGATGCAGCTTGGAATCCTTACGCTAATTCACAACTATGGGAATTTGAACTGGATTTCTGGGCGAACCTCGCCGAACACCCCAACTTGATCGAATTCTCTGGCAGATGAAGAGTGAACTACTTTTGTCTTCGCTCCTTTTCTTGATCGTTCGCGGCATTGCCTTTGTGGTCTTACCTTTGTAAAGTGTCACTCAAGATTCAAAGTTAAAGTAATCCTCTATCATGCTTTCAATCACACGCTATGTCAACGATATCACGTACCACCGTCACGTTTGAGGCTGGCAGGGTCCATTTCATCTGTCGACATAGGGATGAAAACCTTAGAACAGTTTCAGCCGAAGAGATGGAGGAAGAAATAATCCCTCAAGATTCGAGGCTCGCGGCACTTAGTCGGTATAGACCGTTCAATGCTCTACTATTGACTGTTATTTCTATAAACTCCTTATCATGCCTCGCCTCGGTTCCTTTTGACTAAATACTGAACAAATGACACAAGCGACTGTGGAGCATCAGCTGAGCCCATTATTACTTCTACCATGTTCAATCCCTTCCCTTCCTGAAGCTCTGGACAACGGAGTATCGTTTGAAGTTCACCCCAATTCCTAGCTGAAAAAGTCCTGACAGGATACGTGGGGTCATTTTTAGGGGCGCCAAAATAATTAGGCGCTTCCAGGTTTCTCCAGGGTTGGACATCATTGTAGCTCTCATCGAAACCGTGGATGATCCGTTCGATGGTATAACCGTTGTTGTTCAGGACAAAGATAGTAACATCGAGCCTGTTCCGGATCATGTCACTTATACTTTGCGTAGTCATCTGAAGACTTCCATCTCCTTCGAATAAGATGGTTCGACCTGACGGCCGCGTGCCGTCCTGTTGCATTTCCCTTTGAGCCAGGGAAGCACCCTGGGCAGCAGCGAGCATGTAACCAATGGAAAGCCATATTGTAGAATTGATCACCGTTGTATTGTCTGGAAGAATAACGCTCTGGCCACCGTAAGACGCTGTACCAGTCTCTGTCAAGACGATGTCTCCCTCGCGGATGAAGTTCGAGATAAGAAGCCAGAAAGAATACTGGTCCACAATAGCATCCTCCCTTGGTGTGGGTAGATTTTTGAGCATGGTTCCAAGAGAAAGGCACTCGGCCGGATATGGTTCTGGTATCGGAAGTGGAAGAGATCCAAGCCGTCGCAATAACTTTCGGAGAGCCGATTTCGTTGAGAGGGTGCAACCGGCGGCATCCAGACCATCCCAGTGGATCGAATATTTATCGAACGTCACCGTGACTTGAGGATCTGGCAGAGCGGTGAACCCAAAGGTGTTGGTCTCGGAGTTGAGTGGTCCAAAGCGAAGAACTAAATCTCGAGACTCGGCCCAAGTCTGATGAGCCGGTACCCCTGCAGATCCGAAATGAACGCCGTGAAAGTTGGGCAAGCGTTCGCTAACGACTCCTTTGCCGCCGGGGCTCGTCAAAACAGGAATGCTCGTTAGCAAGGCCAGATCGTTTATCTCAGCATCGATGCCAAGTCGAGTGGCAAAAGAGTCCACCATAATCATGGGCTTCTTGCTGTATTGGATGCGAGCCACAAGGGCATCAACAATTTGGTCCTCAAAAGATTCTTCGAAGCTGGCACTAGACAAATCTAGTGGTTGGCCAGGCGCTGAGACTTTGGTTCTGACCATATTTGTAGGTACTTGTATGTAAACAGGCCGGCTTTGACGAAGACACTCCTTCAGGGTTGCGTCGATCATTTGAGGAGCCGTTGACGCATCCGTAAGGTTTGCCTGAGCAACAGTAACAGTTTTATACATATCTGCAAATGCTCTGAAATCGCCATCACCTAAGGAATGATGTAGGCAATCCCCAGCTTGCTGAGAAGCTACCGGAGGTGTCCCGACGATGTGCACCACCGGGGCTTTCTCAGCATATGCGCCGCCGATTGCATTGATAGCCGAAAGTTCTCCAGGTCCAAACGAGGTAACGAGGGCTCCGATACCTTTGACTCTTGCATAGCCATCGGCAGCATAACCAGAATTCAATTCGTTTGCGTTGCCGACCCAAGTGATTCCTGTCGACTTGATATAGTCCAAGAGAGTGAGATTGTAGTCTCCCGGAACTCCGTGGACTGAACCAACGTTGAGTTGAGCGAGTCGTATCCAAAGATACTCGGCAAGATCCACTGTTGCTGCCATATTTGAGTGATATAGTGTTGAAAAAGCTCGTGATGGTCGAGTATAAGTTGGGAAACGTCGAATGATACAAATCTTCATGTTCATGCTGGAACAAAGGACTAGCCCATTGCCGATGTCTTATATCAACAATCAGAGACCGGGGAAAGTCTTCTGAAATACCTTTAGGGGTAGGGCCGAGACATGCAGTACCCACATTATCCCGAGAACGTGGCACTTCGTTGTGCTCGTCTTCTTGGAAGGCGTGAATGGGATGTCGCCTTGAAAGTATCGGTGAAAGGGGTAGACGTGAATTAGACTAGCAACCTTGCTGAAAGAATCGCATTGGCCATGGGACTTCAGTGAATGTGGCTAAGATCTCCATTTCACCCCGATTGGTTACACCTCTCGGAGAAACACTTTCGGAGAAACACTTTCGGAGTAAGGCTTTCGGAGTGACATGTCGAAAAAGTCGGAGGGTACGGTGGTTCATTTCACCTACGCACATTCCATTACAATCCGGCAATTCTCGGAAGAGAAGCAATCACATCGTGCCAGGAGCATTGTTGATTAGTCTAATCATAGCGACCGACGACCTCCCATTGATGGGAAACATCCTTCCAAGACAAAAAAGCTAAAAGGTATCATCGCCGTCGATAAGAAACTCCAATAAGTCTTGGTCGACGACAAGATGTTCTAGCTAAGAGAGCCTTAGGCTTAAAGGTTGGCTCTAAGGTTGTCTAAGCTTACAGCAGGCAACTTCAGAACACGGATCGCGTTGCCTCCCATGAAGTCTTTAACGGACTGGTCTCGAAATCCGCCCTTGGTGCCAACGAGATGACTATTGAAGTTATCGACACATTGCTTCAGCCCCAGCTGAGGAAAGTTGGTTCCAAACATGACCTTACTCCTCCCTGTAGTATTGGCAAAGTGGATGAACTCGGGCGCATAGTACTTGGGAGACCATGCGCTGGTGTCGATGTAGACGTTCTTGTGCTTCCATGCGACTGCGACAGTTTCTGCTGCCCAGGGGTATCCTATATGACCCATGATGATCTTGAGGTCTGGAAATTTGAGCGCGATGGTATCGATGTACGGGATCGGACGTCCAACCTCGCTAGGACATGCGGGTGCGGTATGTCCAACTTGTGTTAAAAACGGCACATCAAGCTCAATGCATTTGACAAAGAGCGGCCAATAGTGCGGATCGGTAGGGGGCAATGCCCACAGCCAGGGGACCACCCTCAAGCCGACGAAGTTCTCGACTTCAACGTAATGCTCAAGCTCCTTGACTGCTTCAACCGGGTTATGCAAGTCGACAGCAGCAAGGCCAAAAATACGGTCTGGGTACGCCCGTGTATACTTGGCTACCTCCTCATTAGAGAAGATCATCTGACCGGGGCGACTCCAAGCGGAAAGACAGATGTGGGAGACGCCAGCTTCATCCATCAGGGCGATGAGCTCGTTGGGAGAGCGCTTCTTATCAGCAACTTCAGGGTCTGAGTGGCTATATGCAAAAAGACGAGCCACCTCAGGAATTGCGGCGCCCAACTGTCATGACTTGTCAGCAGAGGACGGCAAAGATAGAAATTGGAGGGTTTCTACCCCAGGGAGGTTGCACCAAACATCGACGATAGGGTACTGAAACTTGGGAGCCATTGTGATGTTCGTAATAGTAGTTTAACCTAGGATGGTTATAAGATGTTTCGTATCTGATGATGGGTTCCTTTCTTTAAACTAGGACTGGTCTTCATTTGAATACACTGTCGCTTTGGTATCGGCAAAGTTGGTAGGGCTTGGTAAACCCCACGAACAGCCGCGGAACTAGAAGTGATGAATGACCGCAATACGCCGAGGCAAACACTGTTGTCTAACCGAGTCGGCGCCATCCCTTCGTTCTGGCTCTTGTCCTAGGTTTTGGTTCACTTAGTGCTCATTGTATTATATCCATGTGGCCCAGGAGACTCTTGTCTTTTGAACACGCTCGCTTGATTCAAGGCATTTCAAAATTTCTTTCTAGGTACATGGTCACTGTTGTGAGCAGGGAATTTCGGAGTACAGAGGGCTTTTCCTACAATTTCGGCAGTCAGCCCCACATTACTCCGAGTGTTCTGTTCTGTTACACCGAGTTATGTGTAGGTACTCCGTAGCCCTCACTCAAACGCTAGGGGGACATCTAGGGTCCTAGGGAGGTGCCAACAGACAATTGGTAGTTAAATACGATCGCCGACAGGTCATGAGAAATTGCAAGGTTTCATTACATTTCCATTCTTTCCATTCTTCCATCTTTGTTTTCTTAGTTCTATATCCTTTCTACTAGCCCACCGTGTAAATTAGTAGATAGAGCACTCATCCCAGGAATCTTGCTTACTCTACGATTTAGCATTGCTTCCTCGTCACGAAAACTGACAATGGAACTACGCAGATCCATTTCTGCAGCTATTGATCACCCTTCCACTCCAAACTCATATACTCATCATGCTTCATCTTCAGAAACCGTTGGTCACGCAAGATCTGCTGGAAATTCAACAACATCCGGAGATGGGCTACCCTTGAACGAGGCTCAATCTACTACCACAGACCCTCCTGACGGCGGCTATGGCTGGGTCGCCGTAGTAGGAGGCAGCACCGTATCATGGTGGATGATTGGCATCCCGTATTCATGAGGCATCATTCAATCGGCTCTCGTCGATCAAGGCGTGTCCACTCCCGCTGTTCTTTCGTTTGTTGGCTCCCTGGCTGCTTGTCTGCTAGCTGCTCTGGCCATCGTCAATTCCAAGATAATGCGATCGCTCGGATCCCGGGGAACGGGTATGTTGGGCATGTCGATGATGGGTCTTGCAAATTTCATTACCAACTTCACCTTTACCAACATTGGTGCATTATTTGCAGCTAGCGGCGTCATTATGGGTATGGGTATTAGGTAAGATTCGTCCCTCAGCCTATGATCTGGAGATTGTCAACGTTATAGACATTTAGTCTATCCTTTGCGGTATGAAACTTCTTCTTTTGGCCTGTTGTCTATTAAGAACTCAGCTTCTAACAAACTCACATTTAACCTCTCTCAGTCATCTCGACGCAGTACTCCAGTAGTAAACGAGGTCTTGCGAATGGTGTTATCTTCGCTGCTGGTGGCCTTGGCGGCGCAGCTATCAGCTATGGATTGGACGCTTTGATACTGCAAGTCGGTATTGGTTGGGCCTTGCGCACTGTAGCAATACTTACAATTGCTACAGGGGTGCCGGCGGCATATTTGGTCAAGGAAAGAATCCCTTACAAGTGTACTGGGTTTGTCGATCGGTACGTAGACAGCATCTCATACCAAGCCTCTGTTTTTCACTAATTTCTATAGGAACCTATTTAAATTACCCACGTTTTTAGCCATATTTATCGCTGGGGCCATCGCCACGTTTCCCTTATTTGTCCCTCCATTTTTCATACCGCTTTACGCTAAGTCTATTGGACTACCGTCCAATGTCGGTGCCGGATTAGTAGCAGGTTTCAACTTCGCGTCAGCAGTCGGAAGGATTTGCTGCGGCCTTCTCTGTGATCGAATTGGCGCAATGAACGTGCTCTTTCTATCTTTAGTTTTGACAGGGCTTAGCAATCTAGTGATCTGGTCCTTTTCGACAACATTAGCCCCGCTGATTCCTTTTGTCATTTTGAACGGCATGGCAAACGGTGGCTTCTTCTCGACTATGCCCACGGTGATTGGGAGTGTTTTTGGACCCTCTCAAGTCTCGGTTGCCATGGGCATGTCCGTAACAGGATGGGCCGGTGGGTATCTTATGGTACGTTTGTGGCTTTATTTCAAGACATTTATGATTAACATAGAATCTTCAGGGTTCGCCAATCGCTGGATACCTCCTCGATGCATACGGGGGAGCTGAAAGTGGCTTCAGAGCGTATCGACCAGCCATGTACTATGCCGGGTCACTAGCTCTGGCTGCAGCGGGCATCATAGCTATGATTCGCCTTCATATCAGTAGGAACATTCTAGCAGAATTATGATCTGGACAATTTATTATTATAGGCAAAGGAGATCTGTTTAGGGAGTGGTTGTGATAGTCGCTTTTCAAGGTGATTAAGCCCAATTCAAATGCATGTATTATCCATCTCGGAGTAAAATCGATTAGGGACACAGTTCATAAATCTAGTTAAAGTTACAACGAATCCGCACTGGAGGAGTGTGTCATTACAAACGAGATGAAGGGTGCTAGAATCTAGGACGTCTTCCCGACCACTGTGATCAAACACAAGAAACATGTCTTATACACTACTCTCATTAATAATATACGGCTGGCAATCGCTATTAAAGGTTATGATTCTCTAGTGCTCAAGTCATGATCTACCTGCAAGCCCATCGCCATGCCTCGTGCCATATGAACAAGCATGTGACAATGCAACGCCCATATTCCCGGATTGTCCGCCACAAATGTCAGTACCACGTGGCCTCTCCTCGGCACACTGACCGTATCCTTACGCAACGGAAAGTCCAGATCCAGCCCATTTGGCGGCGCTTCACCAGAGTATGGATTATAGCTTCCCCAACTACCACGGCCTTCGTCTCTATATGATGAGAGAACGTAGAAAGAATGTCCATGCAAATGGAAAGGATGCGCGCCATCATCTAGGTTGTTGATTATGATGTCAACTCTTGTAGGTTTGCCTGGTGATATCGCTATGGAAGGAATGAGTTGGTTTTCATCCCAATCAGACCGGTTCTGAGAGACAAGTGGTGGATTCTGTGGTTTCCAAGAAGTATGGTTAATGAATCCGACAGGCTCGTAGTCCATATGAGCGAGCTTTTCTACTTTCGCATAAAGAAGGATAGTTCGATCGGCGACTGAAGGTATATCCATTACCTTTCTAGCGGCCTTAAGATTTCGAGGGTCAAGGATCTGTGTTTCATCTGGCTCTGGATCTTTACGATTTGGTATCTCAGTACCATAATCGAAGATGGGAAAACTCTGTACCGGGTTTAATGCTTCGTTGGGATAGCCAAAATTTCTAGCAAAGCCCGCCAATCAGCATTCGGATTCATATCGTGAGCTGCTGCAAAACTGTCACTTACTCGTCATCCATGTATATTGTAAGCCAACGATGGTGAGGATGATCGTCCTTCCACTCGACATCGACGTCCACTCTTTCACCAGGATAGAGGATACCGACGGTCTCGGTCGCTTCGGAGTGGACATCGAACCCCCCATCCACCCGAACTGGTCGTATCATTGCTCCGTCCATTCTTATAGTAAAGCCTGCGATTGAACCTGTATTCACAACTCGGATTCTTGTCTTCCCATCTTTCACTCTTGTAAATAGTGGCCTTAATTCTTCCACTGCGACTTGAGAACAAACAACTGGCCTTGCGGGAACGGCCATAGAGCAGTCAAACCGCCCCTGGCCGTTGACCAGCAGTGAATCTGGGACGGGTTCATTTCCCCGACTGCTTGCATCTGCAAACCAGCTCAATACATCGGTTTGATTCCGATGAAACCAATCGCCGATCGTGATCAAATGGTCTTCTGGAGGTTGGTCGATTTCATCTGGAGAGTGTACCACTAGGCCTCCCCAGAGACCATCTGCGCGTTGAACATCGGAGTGACTGTGCCACCAGAAGGTACCATGTTCATTGTCGCCGATGGTGAAGTTGTAGATAAAGTTGTCACCAGGATGGATGGGAGACTGCGTAAAGCCCACAGCACCGTCCATGACATTCTGATCTTTCATACGAATACCGTGCCAATGTATTGAAAGACCTTCCTCCGAGAGACCGTTGCGAACGTGTACCACGACTCTGTCGCCGGATCGAGCCTCAATAAGCGGGCCGGGGAATTCATCTGTTTATCCTGATTAGATGAGAGTTACCTTTTTGACTTGGTGATACCTACCATTGATAAGATACACACGTTTCTCAACACCATCTGGTGATCTAATTCCAGCAGTGACATTCCAGCTAAAGACAAGTGTCGTTGGCGGGCGAGATGTATGCTCCAGAGCATGAAGTCGATAAGCGAGAGGGGTATCTTGGCCATTTTCGGAGAATTGTTCCCGTGCACCATGTGATGTAATTATCGCCCCAAATACGGACAGTAGTGAAACCACGATAAGAGACGCTATCAATCGGACCGTGCATGATCTCTTTAAGAAGAGTGACGATAATGCGGGATATGTTGGCAGACAGGTTTTACCATCTTGTACACTATTATCCTGGCCGTAGAGTTCGTGTTCCTCGAGTAAAGCGTGCGCTTCTTCATCGTGAGCCACCATAGTGTGTTGATTGAGTCCGAAGCATTGTTTCAAGTAGGAACCCAAGCGCAGGCGATGTCGTAGAATAAATTGACCAAGATTTAGGAACCCATTTCCGTGCCGTATACCCGCCTGGACATGGCATTTTTGACGCTTGTGATTGATTGTGCCGGAGAGAGACGGTGGTGTATAGATCGCCCACGAGATCAATCCCTGCACGCCTATTGGTCGATAAACAGAGGGTTACACCACAGGGTAACTTGCGATAACAAAAGTACTTTCCTTTGGGAAAGATCTTCATCGACGTGATACTTTGCATAGTCCGTGATTGAGTCTCTTGCTAATCACACAGATCTGATTTGGAACGTGTGAATGAATCTTTGTTGATCATCGCCTTCAAATCCACAGCATTTTTCATTCTGCTCCACCGCGACAAAACGATCTCAACGAATAATCTCGGTAACGACAGACATATATGTCCAAGATGCGGCAATTCATCGAGTCTTGGCTTTTATGGCTCTACCACTACATTACCGACTGGCCTTGTTCTATCAACATGTTAATCTCACGAGGCTTGGCGCTCGCCCTTGCAGCCTTCCTAGGGACCATAAATCCCGCGCAGACGGAGAGCCTGGCTGATATCGACCATGTCATTTTATTCATGCAAGGTAGGCCAGTCACTCACATGCTTTCATGATGTCATCTAACAGTATACAAGAGAATCGTGCTTTCGATCACTACTTTGGCACCATGGCCGGAGTTCGAGGCTTTGCGGATCCAAACGTTCAGGTCAACGACGGAGTCCCTGTGTGGAAGCAGAAAGTGACGACCCAGCAAAACAAGGACACTGATTACATCACCCCTTGGTATCTTAACTACCTCGGAGGCACGTGGCCCGAAGCCACTCAGTGCATGGGTGCTGGGTCTAACGGTTGGGATGCTAATCAGGCTGCTTTGAACCATGGTGCCAATGACCGTTGGGCTATGAACAACACCCCGTACAGTATTGGGTACTACACACGACAAGATCTTCCCGTCCACTTCGCTCTAGCTGAGGAATTCACCGTTGGCGACATGTACCAAGAATCTGTGATCGCTTCAACCAACCCCAACAGAGTCATGTGGATCAGCGGATCCATCAATGTCCCAGGTTCCCCTCAAACGAAAGATGAAGGAGGTTATCCCTACATTGACAACAACGAGACCCCTGGCTGCGACAAAAACGGAATCAACTGCTACCCTCTCAAGTGGACCACAGCTGCCGAGAAGTACGAGGCTGCTGGTGTGTCATGGAGTGTGTACCAAGACGCTGACAACTTTGACGACAATCCTTATGCATGGTTTGAGCAGTTCCAAGACTCCAAGAAAGGCTCCAAGCTGAACGAAAAAGGCATGAAGGGAAAGTCTTTGGACACATTCTTCACCCAGGCCGCCAGCGGAACCCTGCCTGAGGTCTCATACATCGTAGGACCAATGCAACTATCAGAACATCCTCCTTACTCACCGCATGACGGGTCGTGGCTGCAGAAGAAGGTTGCTGAAGCTGTAATCAACTCGCCAAAGTACTCTAGGTCTGCGCTTATCATATCCTATGATGAGACGGGTGGGTGGGCAGACCACGTTACACCTTATCATGCTCCCGATGGGACAGCTGGTGAATGGATCGATGATCCCTATGGTGAGGTTGGCCGAACCCCTACTGGTCCCGGCTTCCGCGTGCCATTCTATATCATCTCCCCATTCACTCGCAAGGGAGGCGTTTATACTGAGCATTGTGACCATACCTCTCAAATAGCCTTCATCGAGAAATGGCAGGCTGCAAAGGGTCGGGATGTCAAGTCAGAGGAGGTCGTCCCCTGGCGTCGTGAGAACATGGCCGACCTAGTCAATGCCTTTGACTTCAAGAACCCCGATTACACTGTTCCCAATCTCCCTGATGCTCCCCAACCTCATACCAATAGCAAGGGAGAATACGACGGCTCCTCCCATTGCTCTTCTCAGTATGGAAACGGCAGACCTGCTGTTCCTTATACCGGAGAGGGGGCCAACAACGATACCGCAAGTTTAGCGGAGAAAGGCTTCAAATCTGTCCGTGGACTACTAACGGAGGGTCGTACCCTTGTGTTTGAAGCTGCAAGCCAGGCTTTGAGTGTCGCTACAAACGGTCAAACAGTTGTCTTGGGCAACGCCACAAAGTCGCATGATAATATCCAGCAAGGTTGGGTTCTTCAGGCCGTGGAGATTGGTGGCAACGAGTTCACCATCAGCTCTGCTAAGACCGGCTTGTATATGTGTCCCAAGTTGAAACTTTGCAATGATCATAGCTCAGCTACTGTATTCGTTGTCGACTTCCAGCCAAGCAAGGGGCACTCACTCAAAGATAAAGAGTCTGGCCAGTATCTTGCTGGCAGTACAAAGAAGCAACTAGACTGGCAGGAGGAGGAAAGCTTTTGGAAGACTTTTAGTGTTACTTACTAATAATGAAGAATGGGAACTAAATTATTCTAGACTAGCTGAGTTGCCTATTACATTAGTTTTGTTAAATCAAACTTAAGAGTGACACGAAACCGCTTCGTACTACTGAACGTTCAAATTATACTTCTTCCAATTCATGAACACATAGGGTCTCCATCTCCGATCTGGATTCCGCTCTCAACAGTGCCTTGGCCACCATTTAGCCCGTGCAACTAAGACTGTCTACGCCATATTGGCGTCTTCCAGACTAGTATTCAGGCGCCCACAGAACTTATGAACGGGACGGGGGATCCTTAGATGAATTTAGATCTAGAAGTAAGTCGCTGCTCGAAGTCAAATAGATTCCCTGGCTAGTGGGAGTGCGGCAGGTGGAGATTACAGTGACACCGCGCATAAAGAGTGTTCACCTGGTACAATTATGTTATAGTGGAAACTAGATTGGGTAATCATGAATCCATGTTTTAGCAACTTTATGGATGGACGAAGGAGAGAGGTAGAATTAACCCTGATGGAATTTATAAAATGACAGGAGGAGTTTAATATTGTCAGATTGAGACTAAATAGAAAAGACAAAGGGAAAAAGGTGATGTGTTCTGCGTGATCAAGCCTAGGAAATCTCATTGATGGGCAGACTCCAGTCCTCAGGAAGCTCCCACTTTGTCTCTGTCTTCTCACCACCCATCATTGTAATATCTCCCAGCTCATAATGACTATGTCCGTCGTAACCACCTACGGAACCGCTCGCTTTGCTCAGGAGGGATCTGTAAAAGGATTCCTCCTTTTCATCGTCACCAGTTTGGTGGTTCTCATATGCCCACTTGAGCCTCCTAGCCTGATCGTGAACAAGCCCACTCAGGTGTTCTTGGTCATGCATAGAGTCATTGCGATCAAGCTGTCCAACCTGCTCGAGCAAGTGGACGTGGATGTCTCTGGCTGCTCTGTGATTGCCACAGGTATTGTGGAAGCTTGCTCGGAGTGTCTCACATTCAACGGTCAGGCGATGGACTGACCCGTAGACGTCACGCAAGTTATAACAGATGCTCTCGAGAAGAATAAGAGCCGACGTCTGATGACCAGCAGCAAACTTGACCTCGCAAAGGCGACGGCCAGTGGCAACAGTAGCGGCACCAGACCAATTGCGGCTCATGCGAGTATCCCAAAGGCATTGGAGGATTCGCTCCAGCATGGAAAAGTTCTTCCTTTGGCCCAGAAGGCGGATGATGGCATTGAGTTGATTGAAAGGAATGGTGCTGAAGTCCATATCCAAATGACCGACTTTGAGAACCTCAACAAGGATCTCAGAGGAAATAGTCTGAAGCTCGATAAAGTAAACATCGGTAGACACAACCTGGCGTCGTGAGAAGCATTCCGAGATTCTGAAAGCCAAAGCTACGGCCCTAGAGTGGTCTGTTCTTGTGAAGTGGTTGAAGTAGATCTGAGACCAGCGGAAGAATTGGAGGGCCACGCTATAGTCCCGAACCTTGGTAAAAATGGCAAGGCCAACATCTACCAAACATTCGAGTAGAGTGAAAGAAACTGTCTTCTTGTGGATGTTGGCCATGGTGAGCTCGAACAGTTGCCACATAGACTCGGTGCTAATGGAACCGGGGGCGAAGTCCTTGAACATCTCCCAGATCTCATTTCTCAACTGTCGCATTTCCGCATGTCGACCTTTTTGATCCAGGAAGGCGACCAATCTAGCGCCAGCAGCGAGACGGACGTGGATATCTCGCTTGCACTGGTGTAGAGAGACAGACCACGCCTCGTACAGGCAGGTTTCAGTGTAAATGTCTCGGATGATCTCATCCAGCATCTTCTCTCGCTCGTAGCCACAGAGAAGCTGCTCAAAAGAATGGATGAAGACGAAACAGCGTCGGTCAAGCTGAGCAAGCTGGCCGTGACCGAACCCGCAGTGGCCTTCAACGACAGTATGCTGGCCACCGAGAACCTGCTCCTTCACGTGCTGAATAAATTTGATGCCGATCTCGACAGATGATAGCTCGCGATAGAGTTTGGCTAGGGTGCGTGCCACGCCGAAGAGGATCACCTCGTTGCGCTCTTCAACTAAGAGACCCAGCACATATTCCTCAATGACCTTGATGGCCGCAGAAATACTTCCCTGACGCTTCTGCTTGCGGTGGTATTCAATGATACGGGTCAATGCGATGATGACCCTTTCATCGGAGTAAGACAACTCCAACTTGAGGTTGGTGAATGAATCGATGAGTAATATCTCGGCACGATGGCTCATCTCGGGATGACTCTCGAAGATAAGTGAGAGACGATACTTAGTGATCTCGATCAAAGCCATGAACTCTTCCCGGTGACAGTCCTCAAAGCCATGGAAGTCAAAGTGTCCCAGCTCCTCGTAGATGGTTACAGCCTCTGTATAACGAACGCTGTCCAGTTCAAGTATCTTTGCAAATTCGATCCGAGCACGAAGATAAAGTAAGTGCTTTGAGCCGAGCTCAATTAGTACCAGAGACTGGAACTCCTCAGCCAGAAGGATACGCTCGCTGAAGTGCTCATGCAGTCCCAGAACGATGAGATACTCTTGATAGACCTCGAACCATTGCTCGTGGGAAATCTCACAATCGTGGCGGTGCTTCTCTAGAGAGGTCCAGAGAAAGCGGAACCACTTCAAGGACTCGGCATGTTCCCCGTGAGAAGGAAGTGAGAGACAGACCTTGATGAGGATGTGGAGGTAAGCTGGGGGGCAAGTCTCAAGTCCAAAGTCTTCGAAGCCTTGTAGGATGAGGATAAGGGTGTCGGTGGAGTGGGAATCTCCGTCGCACCAGCGGACAAGAGTCTGTAGGTAGAGCTCCGCACGCAGCTGTGAGAGTCTGACCATGATGACTTCAAACCTGGACTCGAATTGTGTCACAATAGTTCTCTCGTTGACACCACCTTTGGAAATACCGAAGGAAGCTGTGATGTCAACCACAATGTCCACTACCATGGCTAGAGAGGACTGGAATATGCTGTAAATGCGGTGATGGGAATGGTCATGCTGTCGGTCCAGCCTCTTGGACATGCCGACGATAACAGCCATGGCTTCATCCAACACGGTGAAGAATCTCTCCACGGCGTAAGAGTACTTCCCAGCAAGTCCAAGTAGACTCTTGCAAGACGACAAGACGAGTGCGGAGCTCTCGTAGGTAGGCATCTCGATCATCTTCATGGCCGCCATGAGCTTGTCAAACTTGATACCAAAGGACTCAGCCTTCTTCAAGATCTTGTCAAGTCGGCTTCCCTTGTCAGGCATGTACCTCAATCTCTCGTTGGTGACCATGGTCAAGAAGTCTTTGGACGTGACGGAGCGCTTGAAGTCAAAGGCGCAACCCACAGACCTGACATAACGGTCTAGTGCACGTTGCATGTGGGTATCGAGCTCGATCGTCAGGGACGAGTTCTCGACATGGTCCCTATCAAACTTCCACAATGCGGAGGTATCATAGAGGGGATTGTTCTGCTGATGGTGGTGGACCATGGAGAAGTTGTTTACAGTCTCTCGCTTGGACGCAACAGACATAGCCTGAGAAACATGGCGATTGCTCATGAGACCTTCTGAGAAATCGCGACGAGAGAAGATGGTGGTTCCATTGACACCGGAGTAGGATGAGGTCTTTCGGAGTAGACTAGAGTCGACCTCCTTATCAAGAGCAAGTGTATTTGCGTCGTGATGAACGATGGTGGCGTCTGGACTTCCGTCGTCGTCAGAGAGGACGGACTCCAGGGGGATAGGCTTGCTGTGGACGGATGGAAGCCATGTTGTTTTGAGGTCGGAGTTGGCAGACTCGTGCTGTCGAACTGCGTAGCAATTGTGTTAGTTACTGCTCTTTGCTGGTTTGCTACTGCGAGGTAGAGCATGATGGATTGGACTTACGTCTTGAATGACTGAGCATCTTGACTGTTGGACGAGGGATTGTTGACAGGGGAAGATCATACACAGTGAGGGGAACTTGACAGAACGAGCTTCCACCGGCAGAAGATAAAATACGGGGACAGGCCTGTGCAGTGGGAAGAACAGTTATGCTGGGGCTGAATTCGGCCGCTTTGGCCAGCCTAGCGAGTGAAGGGGAGAGGATCTCACTTATCGAATATTGGGGTGGCGGAATTAGGAATTGACCTTCTCACCGAGGGATAGAGTGTCTGACCTCAGCTTGGAGATGAATGTGATAGAGTCGGAGATGGTGTGTAGCACAAAAGACATAACAAGTCTGGACAGTTCCAACAGGGAGGCTGAATTGCAGGAGGCCGCTATCGAAGGCGTTTATGCTGCATGTTAACGGTAGGGGCTGAAGATCAAGGCTTGCGTAGGACTGTTCGGCAGACAATTCGGAATAAGATCGACCGGTCACTGTAATCCATCGGTCCAGATCAATTCCGGATATCATTCCTCCAGTGATAAGAGATAGCTGCTTGAGAATACAGCAAGCCTCGTGTTCGACCAAGAGACCGGAGCCATCCCAATTGAGTAGAAAGGCTGAGAGACATGAGCTGGGACGGCCTTATTGGGTTTAAACTGGCAATAGTCTGGCTGGCTGAAAGTGTTTCAGGGTAGGAATTCAGAAATGGAGGGGGAGTGTTTAGATTACCCCGCAAAAGCTCTACCTAGTCTTTTGAATTCTTGGATGTACCAGTACTTCCTCAAATGCGCCACAGAGTGTGGTACTCTCTGAAATCTTATCCCAGTCCTGATGTGGTATAACCTACCTCGCATAGACCCGTTACTAGCACGAGCGCACTATTGATACTATAATGCATCGCTTATCACGCACGATAGTAACCCTGCAGCTATGCAATTCCTGGTTCGTCACATTGGTTCCAATTGACTTTGCTTATGGTCGATTGTGACCGAGGTTTCATGCATGAACTATTGATGCACGTCTTATCGGCGCTGACTAAACGCCATGATTTAGGGAGTGTTTGCTACATTTGCGTTACTACAGCTAAATCTGGTCCTGAGTCTGAGGTGAGCATAAAGGTTCGTCTCGAGTCAGCTGGGTGCAATCATCGAACGTGATTGGGTTTTAGTGCACAAAGAGATTCCGTGAGATCGAGAGGAAAATCTAGCGAATTCGCTGATGGCGGTAATCCTCCGGGACATTCCAGTTGGTCAACGCCTAGCTTAATGAGAACAACCTACACTCGCCTGAAGCATAAAGGCGAATTCTAAAGTGACCACATCTTTCCAAAAGGAAGCTATACGCAACTGTCTTACTCTGGGAATCACGGCACATAAATAATAATACAGGTATAAATACGCTCATAAAATTATATAACACTCTGGGGAACGCATAGATATCCATTATAGACTATAAAGAGATAAAAGAAATCTATGGAGCTCGGAGTTTGAATAGCTTTGTGTGGTCATACTGCACCTCTGTCTGACTTGGATCATTCTGGTTGATCATAATACTCTTTAACGTAATCTTAACAGTATACTCCTTACCCTTCGGCACATCCCAGGGATAAACATGAGCCATAGGTAGTAGAAAACTAGCATCAGGAGTATCCTTGAGATGAACACCCCATTGCGACCTCGGAACAATCGACATGTACAGCAAATTCGCCTTCAAATCCCATTTCTGAATAAGCACATTATAGCGCAGATTCGACAGCATGATTGGCGCTGGACCATCTGGTCTGTCGTTTCGAAGCAAGGCGCGAGGCGTGACGTAGTTGTCGGGCGGGATGGGGGACTTGATATCTGGGTCGCCGATCTTGATTTCTAGATCCCAGCGCTTGATACGCATGGGCCACACGCTGGGGGTGGTCTTCTCGTCACGAAGGATGCTGAAGACTAGATCGATGGGGCGATCGTTGTTGCAGGGGATGAAACCGTCGGCTTTACGACCGATGGGGAAGAGCCCAAGCGTGTATTCGGGCTGGGCTACTGGATGGATTGGGTCTTGAAGACTCGGAGGAATCTCAGCGCTGCCATCTGCTTCGAAGTCTGATGCTTCGCTGGGTATATTAAAAGCAGTCTCGATATCGTTGAAAGCAGAGATGATGAAGGTCTCAAACTTGAACGAAGCCGGTTCGACAATTCTCAGGCGAGTCGCTGGGAAACTCGGCAGCTTTGAAAATGAAGCAGTATTTGTCAACGACCTTTTGGTCTGGAACTTTGCTGTTGGAAATGGAGGCGGATGGAATTGAAATGTCCTTGGCTCATGTAAAATCATCCACGAGTCCAACTCCTCGCGAGTCGCCTGCTGTGGCAGCTTAGGCTTTTCAGCCGTCACACTGAGTGTATAGATTGGCTCATTCAACTGCAGCGAAAACACTGCCGATGTAGGGCCTGGGGACTTGTAGTCATTTGGCATCTGCTTTTGCAAGTTGTCATGGATGTATCTCGCGTAATCTTCAATCCTCAACGTGCGAGCGTCCCAGTCAAACAGCTTGTTCGTGGGGATGGGATCCTCGGGCGAGTCTAGCAGAACCTTGCGCTTCTCAGGATCTGGCTCGGGAAGCGGTGCATCGGCGCCTGTAGCATAGATGCGTTTGCACTGCAGCTTCACTTCCTTCTCGTTGAGGCCAAAAGCGGCGATGAAGGTCTGCTGATGGGCAGGAAGTGTAAAGGTAATCCCACTCAGGTTGGGTGGCTCTCGGTCCATCAGCACCAGCATCATATCAGGACCAAGTCGTCGTTGTACCAGGATAGGGGTCTTGGGTTTTACTTTGTCCCAATCCTCGTTGGAGTGTACGCCTTCTTTGCTAAACTCCGCTTTGACAGCCAGATCTGGGAATTGCACCAACAGCTTCGAGCGTAGTATAAACCCGTATGCAGGATTTTGCTGACAGTAGTCGTCTACGGTGGGGGTCTTGAAGTACTTCGTAAGAGACGCCTTCAATGCACTTCTGCAGTAGTCCTCTTCCGGACTGGAAGCCAGGTGATTTGCAAGACTGAGAGCGCCATCAATGAGAGCGTCCATCCAGTTAAAGTCAATGTGGAAGAACCGTAGGGTTTCTTCAGGCACATAGGTAGGGTCGGGGAGATAGTAATGTACAGGAATACCAGCTAGGTGTAGTTTGTTCAACACCCACTCCTGGATGACGGCGTAGTCAGTGTTGCTCGGAATGGTATGGTAGTGGTAAAGCCCTTTATCATCTGATGCTTTGGCGTTGTCCAGCATATGAAAGAGCGCGTTCTCTGCCATTTGAGGGTAAATATGTTCAGACAGAAGATTCATCAAGTCGTCTTCCTGTCCATGTCCTGCTCCAGTCAGGTCTGTCATTGACTTTCCCCGGTCAAGGGATGGTGACAGTGGACTGCGTCGTCTCCAGCGGTTCGTTGAGAAGGCTGTTCCTACATCATGCACGGTATCATTGATACCATTCAACGCCTTGACAATCTCCGCCATGTCTGACTTGATCTCCTTCTTTGGCATGTAACTAATATGAGGGTTCTGGTCTGAAAACACAGACAGTCTTGCCCTTGCAGGTGAGACGCCTTCCTCCGTTGCAATAACGGGAGCTCTGAGCGCCTTAACCTTCTTCTGCCTCTCCAGTTCCAGCGCTTCTCTGTGCACCAGCATGCGAAGCCGGGAGAGAGCGGCTGTAAAGGCTGGATCAGCCATGGCAAGTGTCTTTCCAAGCTGCCAGGCCGATGCATAAGAGATATCCATCAGGCCGATATTCGGATCGAGGATTTGAAGATCGGTTCCAAAGTTGGACTGGAAAGACACCTTATCGTGTAGTGGGTAGGGCACACGTGTGGGAGTTAAGGGACCTCTATACATGGCGGCCGTTTGTTCCCCAGTAATGACGCGGTGGCGGACGAGATTGTATCCGTCCTTCTGCCTTTTATTGACCATTTCCTCTGCTGAAGGACTGGAGGAATCATCCGTCTTGGGGGCATCATCCTTATCCATGTCTGTTCTCAGGACCGCCAGACCCTTGCCTTCACTGCCCAAATACTGGAGCATACTGACAACGTCAGGTGCTCCGGGCGGTAAAGCGGTGTATGTCCAACTGAATAGACTTGTCATCAAGACGTGCTTCTTGTCGTTTATGACACTGACATTCGTTCCATCAATGCCTTGGAGAGAAACCAGGTGAGCCAAGACAGGTGTAGGAACCTGAACGTTGGTTGGGCCCAAGCGATGCGAAATAACAACGCTCAGAGTCTGTGTTCCCGCCACCTTTGGATCATGGTCGTTATCGGCTATAATCCCAGCTGATAACGTCCCTTCAGTTGGAACCGTTCGAACGTGAGACATAAGCCTGTACGGCTCGACGTCAAACGTGGTCTTGTTTGGTTTGGGAGGGAATAGCTTCTTGAATACGTCCGCTTTGACGGAAATCAGACTAGTCTTGGTCTTTGCTTTGACGTCTGGAAGTAAAGGATCTGGGATTATGTTGACCAGATTCTTGGCTGTGATCCCGCCGATTTGATCAACCGTCACATCCCAACCAAGTGTCTCATTGATACTCGCATTGACAGCAGAGAAATAGTCTTTTCTGTCGTTTTCCTCAAGCTCTAACTCATCCGCTGAGAAGACAATGAGAGCAAACCACGGAATTGAGTTGTTTTTGTCTGCCGTCTGCTCACTGACACTTCTCACCCACGGAAGTTGGGCATCTCGAAGGACTATATGAGGAAGCGTTCGAAAAGATGGCGCCACCTGACCGCTGGCCGGGAACACAGATAGAACAACTGCAGCTTCTTCATCACTTGTGTTGGTGGTCTCGCTATCTCCATTACTCGCCGCTGAGAGGGCCCATTCAGGTGCGAGGACTTCAAGCTTGCGCTTGGCAGGTTCGGCACTCTTTGGAGCATCTTTTGTTGGGGTGGTGATGGTCTGGTCAATGACTAAGGAGTATTCTCCTGCTGGGAGAGAGGGGAGATAGTAAGAGGAGAATCTTGCTTCCCCTGGGGCCAGAGCAGATGATGTGCCGCGGAGTAGATGTCTCTCGTGGCGGAGGGTGATATGGCGGTGGTGGCCTTGGAGGGACATGTGGACTCAAGATAGAAAGTCAATTATTTCGAAGTTCTGTAGACAAATGAAGTTGGAGTATTATTGCTGTTAAATTTGATCCTGCTTGTTGACTTGTTGAATGCAAGATAATTCGGTGCTCAAAACCACGGGTAACTCATCGACACATACAGCTTGGTTTACCAATCTGCCGTTGAACAATTGAGGTGGGTAGTCCACGTCACGTCGAAAAGGCGCTTGTTGCAAATGTGAGAATGCACAAGACAATCTTTCTGAACAGACTGTGGTATTTGCTCCAGCCAGCCACGAAAAGTTGACCCCAAGACTCTTCTTTTGCAGTCGAGACCGTCAGCTTTAGGGTAGCAATTCACACACCCCTGTTACATTACCAGGGATCAACATCAAGCTAGGGGCGTGGCGTGTTAACAGGCCTGCACACCCTCTTCTTCTACTCGCACTAACAATCGATAGCTTAATCTTGAGCATAGCTGAGACAGGTACAAGATGGTGTGAAGCCAAAAGAAGAAAAGCCTGCTCAACAGCCACTCACAACTTCGAGGACATGCGCATTCTAACGTTCCATTGGAATTTCAGCTCATGCACCGCCGCATGCCGTTCACATAATTGCGAGGTTACGGAGCAGATTGACCTTCTCGACAGTAAACTATTGATTCGGGATTGGCATGGCCGGGGTCAATCAGGGTAAGCTTCGCTTCCGCCACTATCAGCAGTATACACAAGTCTCAGAGTGTGCGACCAAAGACCCCTGCATGAGCTAAGTTCCGCCTAAGGACTGGACCCTTCAAGCTATTGGCATTTTTTGGATGATCGATTTGCCTCCCCAACCCTGCGCCGAGTGATTCCGGTCAGTCCTCAACGTGTATACCATTTACCACGAAAGTACGAGTAAAAAGCTCCGAGTCAACTTGCAGCACCAATTTGAAAGTTAATCCGCCTTGCTGTTAATCTGATAACAGCGATTGATCATTTTGAAAATCCTCCATTTCAATCATTATCATTTAGCAGTGTGACTAAGTTTTGAGAGAAGGTCCAACTTCAATCAAGCAATGTCAACAGACCAGAATGTCCTTATTCCCGTCAAGCTTGACGCTTTTATTCTCAACGATCCTGTCTGTGACGGTGGTCCTTTGAAAGCCAAGATCGCACCCATCACACAACCAAACTACACATTTCTCCGTCTTGACACCTCTTATCTCCAACCCGACATTAGCTACAATGTCGACCTACATAGCGTCTCTGGCGCTGATGTGAACTCCCGCATCACCGACCTCGGAACTGGAAAAAGACGTGAAAACAGACGCGGTGTCTACCTCCATTGGACTATTCCACGCATCTATCGAAGTGGTGTGGCTGATGCAGAGGAAGAAAATGCGGCATCTGAAGGGTTGCCGAACTTCCCTGAAGCACCCTCACGATGGCTGGTCGTAAGACAAATTGAGGACATGAACAAGGTTGAGCCCGCAGCTGCTAGATCTGTCTTAGAGCCATTGACGGCTTGGGTTGTCGAGAGCGATCGATGCAGAACAATCGATGGACTCAGAAACAGCAGAGGAGAGCACAAGGATCCTATCAACATCTTGCCTGATGACACAGACTTGCAAGTAGATGTTTCTCCCTTTGTGGACGCAAGTTCAAAGAACGTCGAGGGGAGCGTCCTCGAGAAGCAGGCAGAAATCTTCATTGGCGAAAAGATCCCGGCACCAGAGTGGACGGAAACAGCGATAGAAGGACAAACAGATCCTAAAAAGAGAGTCGACATCCGGCTGATGGGATCTTCTAACGAGCTTTTTCCTGACTTCCAACCTCATTGCTCCAACGTCTTTTCTATTGTGGACAACTTCTATTACGGAAAGGAAGACAAGACGAACAAACCACTGTACGCTACCACTGTCAAAGCGAGTTATTCTGTTATCGGATGGAATTCGATGGCGGCAGACGACATCGTCAAGTTGGGAGTGGCAGACAAGCAAACCAAGACGTACAAAACGCGACAGGGTCGGTTCCGAGAGCTGAATCTGCATATCAAGGGTTTCCAAAATGAAGCTGATCCTATGGCGTCATATCCCACTGAGATCGTGGATTGGTTCCGCAAAACGGACGGCAAAGAGGTCGTTACAAGAAGTATTTGCCACGGGGCCATGTACGGCGTATCGTGGGATCTCAAAACCGCCCCCAAGAACATCCTTGCAGACAGATTCGCCAAGGTATTAGCAGAGACCCAACCAGTGGCCATTGGTACGACGCCCATGGATGCCATCATGGCCTACGCCGGTGCTCACGAGGACATCAAAGGAGGCACAACAGGCAAAATCGAAGCAGCATTGAAGCGTCTCGAAGCCATTCTTCTCAGTCGCGACGATGGCGTCGAAGCCCATATGCAGGCTGCTGACATGATGTACAACTGGAACTACTCTCGTTTTGACGGCGGAGATTGCTACCATGCTGCAGCGAGTGGTGAACAGACCAAGGCCATACCAGGCCAGGATCCGAAAGAAAGGAAGAAGGAGACTTTGAAGCTGTCGCCTGAGAAACAAGCTACTCTTTCGGAACTTAACAGACTGAGTCGTTTGAGAGATGCAGCTAAGAGACGGCTGAAAGAGCAGCAGTGGAATGCGTTTTCGCTCTGGTGGCTGGCTGTAACCAAGGCCAAGAAGAACGAAGAGACTCGACCCCAGGTGGAAAGAATCGCCAAGAATATCACAGCGCTGCAGAAATGCATTGATACAAGTCAGGAGAGCATGAAGAAATTGCTATCTGGCATCAAGGCAACAGACGCCCTTCCGCCAACACTACCAATTGACCCTGACAAAAATGAAGTCAACGACTTCGAACCTGGAGTTCTAGACCCATACCAACAACAGCGTGATCCAACACTCCTTGTTGGTGGAATCCAGTCAGGTTGGGAAGTAGATTACCTGCTCAAGTTACTGGTGCGTCTGGATTGTCAAATCCTCCCGCCCACGCAAGGCGACAGCCCTCTCTGGAAGGCCTTCTTTGACAACTTTGTGGATCAAAAGATGCCGGACTTCATGCGAGGTACCGTCAAGGCACTTCTCCGCGAGTTTGTCACTCTGAAAACGCGCCGTGAGGATACGGACGATGGTCATCCTCAGAAGCCCAGCATGCTTCGGGAGCAGGGACTGATGAACTCTGCCGACTTTAAGCCTTTTGGCGACGACTGGCACTTGTACATTAATTCGGAACCTGAACGTCCAGCTTTGAAAACCGAGATTCCACTGTATCATGACAGACTTGGGCGATCTTACGACAACGTCGGTAACAAAGAGGATACTAAGACCCCCACTCCTGGAGTGTGGCGAGACTTGTGGAACGATACCCAACCATGGTTCCCTCTATTTCTCGAGTGGGAGGTCGAGTATTTCCACATCAAACATGATGACTGGGATCTCACAAAGTCAAAGTGGTGGGCGAATGAAGGCGCAAAGCTTCATTACAACATCCGGGAAGGAACGGATTTGGCTAAGGCTTATGAAAAGACAAAAGATAGACGTCCCTTCGCTGGTCGGGTTTTGATCCTGCCCCAACCAGGTTTCACTCTGGAGACCAAGGTCACGCAGCTGCTTCAGGATACATTGCCATCGGAGCTGGATAAGATTCTGGGCAAAGAGGAAAGGGAATATCTGGTCCAGAATCTCAACCAACTCCAGTTCTTATCATCGCCTTTGTCTGGATTTAACAGCCACCTCCAGACAGTCGACCAAGGAAACCACGTCAAGCCATCACTACGCGATCCTAGCAACGGATCTATCACGTTTTTGCCCGAAGCCAATCGGGAACTTGCCGGTTTCAACGGTGAAGCAATGAAGCTCATGGGTCTCGAAACAGACGTCACCCCGTACGGTGCCATGAAGAAGCCAATCGATGGAATTGAGGGTCCTTCGTCGTTCAAGCCGGTTTCTCATGGACAATTCAAGCTCACAAAGGTCAACGTGATTGACAAGTTTGGCCAGGCCATTAATCTGCTGGACCCAAATCCATTGAAATATGAGCCTAAGCCGGAAGAAATACCTCGAGCTTGGCCGTGTCTGAGTGATTGGTATGCACCTGGGGCTAAGCTGTCGACCCCTGATGGAGATAAGAAGCCTGCCAACTTGGTTCCCAACACGGTTGAAGAGGCTCCTGTCTCCAGTGGTGAGAAACACGAGGCTCAGTGTGAATTTGCACAGGTACCTCCTCAGATCAATCAACCAGCACGTCTGAATGCCACGTGGGTTATGCCCAGTGAACCCGCGAAGACCACGGCGTATTCTTTATTACCCCATGAATCTGGCATCATCGGCGAAGACATCCCTACTAATCCACCTCCAGCATCGCCGCCTCCGTTTTGGAGAGCAGCCAGTGAATGGGACTCCCCGATCTGGGGTTGGGTAGTAGTCAACTATGCAAACTACGGCCTCCAATTCTTCCTACCTTCGGGGGCTTTCTATCGCGAAGTGCGCACCGGTGGTCCCGATGGCGCCATGGAGTCTCCTGACTGGCTTCCCTTCACAAAACCAGACGATCCTGAGAAACGCGGAGGGAACGAGGATGGAGGTCCTATGGCAAAACAACTTGCACGTCTCATCGAGAAGATTGCTTCCAACTCCGGCTATCTCAAGGCGTTTATCGCCATGGTGAATTCTGCGACTACGTCCACCGGCACATCAGCGCCAAGTGCTTACTCGGAGTTCAAGAGTGCTCTGGTCGGCAAGCCTCTGGCTCTTGTAAACATGGGCTTTTCTTTGGAGCTCTCACAGGCATCGCAGACATCTCAGCTTGTGAGAGACGGCAAACCGGAGAAGCAGTTGTATAAAGATACAGTCACCAAGAAGACGCCTGGGCCTGGTTGTGAGAAGAACGATGTCTACGACATGGAGTACTACCGCTTCCCTGTGCAACTGGGAGATCTCGAGCGTGGTTTTGATGGCCTAGTATGCTATTTCAAGCCAAAGTCGCCAACCGACCTCAAGATTGGCGATGCCCTGGATCTTGACATGATGTACACTCATTTCGGTCCGGATGTGCCTTTCTTCCAAGCGGAACTTGCAAAAGCTACGCACCGATCTGAGGCGCATATCACGGGATCTGGGAAGAAAGGTGATCCGTACAACTATATCACTACCATCGGACGGGATAACTATCCCAAGTTGCCACCTCACTACATCGATCCGTTGTCTGACACTACAAAGGGCATCAGTTTGAGTTCTCAAGACTACGAGGACTTAGCCAACGGACAACTGGCTGCCTTTGGAGCCATCGTTGACCCCTTCTCTGCTGTTCACGCTTACTCAGGCGTGTTGCCCGTCAAGGAACTGCTTCTACCCGACTGGACATGGCAAGGACCAATTCAGCAGATCTCTGCTTTCTTCCACGCAGGTCCAGTCCTGGTCACGTGGGATGTTCCCAAGTTCGATGCGGGGAACCAACTGACGCAGGGTAAGTTGATCCCCAAAATTGTGGACAAGAAGAAGGGCGAGCACGGAGTAGCTTTGCCGGGAGGGTCTCTGGGACAGTGGACTTGGCTGCAGCCTTACATGGAGGACAATCAAGGGAGTAAGCCCGGTGGGCCTTCATTGCTTGGGGGCGGGGAAGAGGGGCCGGAAACTTTGGAAAAGTTCATGCCGGTGGCGGTGGATTTGGTAGACGACATGGCTCACCTGGAGAGGGGTCCGTATACGGCGTTGGAGGGGTATCTTCAGATGGCTTCTGGTGCGGTTCAGGAGCAGCAGTAGGATGGGTTGGTTACAGCGATAGTGATGGTGTATTTCAATTTCGATAGTTTAGCAATGGTATTTCAGCTTTCATGCGGTGCAGAGCTAGACTATTTGGCGACGGGCGCGTGGAATGGGAATGTTGCATCGTGAGACACAAATGGCAAATCGTTGGGATGTACCGGTGCGTATTGATAGCTGGTAGGCTACAGATAAGGATTTGACTAGGGTCATTACATCCGTTCCTAGTGTGGGTGGCGCAAGTCTCCAAGATCGAACGTCGTATCTGGACGAATGAATGGTTCATGCGAAGGTCGATCGATGGGAATGTGATTCGTGTGATATGCGAAACAGCATGAGTGAAACAAATTCAAGGACTTACTGCTTTCCCATTCAGGCCATGGGAGCTCAACGTGCAGGACACATTCCTCCACTATTGGCAATAGTTTGACTATTTTCGGATAGAGACTTTACTACCGTTGATGTGGCTTGGCTGAAAAGACTAACCTAGACCCCATCCCCGGCGCGATCCGCCCTCCCGCCTTAAACTCTAATTTCACCCCTCTTCCTTAAAACGATTTGATGAATCTCTATAATCTCTGAGGGGCGAATAAGCTAATTTAAGCACCTCACGTGTATCAATTTATCTTGCATGAGTGTGGGGAAACCATTTAGGCCAGTCATCTCGCGGCGCGGGGAACCTTGAGCTCAGTCGCTGCATGTTTAGCTTCCAGGGTCCAGAAGGTCAATTGGACATGGGGTTCTGGCCAATCACTCGTCCCGGACCTGACATTCCTCTTATGGATGCATTTTAATGTACACCCCTCAAGCTTGGGGTCTGGAACCCAGACCATCAGGTGGACCCTGGAAGCCCTTTACTGAGCTGCATCAATGAACCTTACCAGGCTTGCTTATCACTTGAATACGGTGCCTTTCCCTGCGCCCAGGTTTCTGATCGACAGTAGCTCTCCGTAGTTCTACTAGACAACCTCCCCCGCGCAAAATCTGGACTTCCCCTCCCAGCTCATCCATTCTAACTCATGTCTAGCCAAGTCGCAACCAAAGAGCCCACCAAGTCTGAGCTCTTCCCAGCGACGAAAGAAGAGCGCCTACAAGAAGCACCGCCCAAACAAGAAGTGAAGCAAGAAACAAAGCAACCGTCAAAGTCACCAGTCAAGAAACAAGACATCATGTCTGTGCAAAATGTGGCCTTCTCTGCCATTCGGAATCCTGCCAACCGGGAGCGCGTTTTTATCTACCGCGTTGCACCCCAAGACTGCACCCTGAGCTACGAGCAACGGGCTATTCACAAGGGCGTTTCTGCTCCACGATGGAACAAGAACCCTGATGCTAGTGATGGCGTTCCTTCGACTCTCTTACGGGGAGATTCCAATGTTGTGACTTTGATCTTTGACGATGTGGTGAGTTTCTGGTTCCTCAACCACTGCGATGTCTGTGATGGGTTCATTTGACTGACATATTTGTGCTAGGTTCATATCTACGGCGTCAGCTCGTCTTCCAACCTCATTAGCCTGCTAAGTCCTTTCGTCGAACCACTTGCGCCCAAAGCCGAATGCTGGAAGGGCAAATTGGCTGGGTGCACCTTCACGGAGCATGATGAAGAGCAGGCCTGGTTGGTATACGAAACAAAAGACGGGTAAGTCTTATTAAGCAGGTACCTTTTGACATTTGATCAGCTATTGACCTTCATGCTACCTACAGAGACGCCGATGATGCGGAGCCCCAGCTCATGTACTGCGACGTTACCACCCCCGAGACCCCAGACAGTCCCTCCAACGCCAGCGACATCCTAACGGGTACATCTTTGAGCCTCGTCCATGACAGTATACGTTGCTGGGTCATCTACCAGAACAAGAGTGGCCAGCTTGTCGCATATAACGAGAAAGACCAGAAGCGTAAGTCACCTACTCGCATCACCTTTCTACGGAGAGATACTGACTCCTTATGCAGCCAGCGTTATCAGCGCAGACACATCCCATTTCGAGAAGAAAACACCCATCGGAAGCTGCTTCATCCCAGCCAAAGACATTGACAGCTCTCAAGTCCCTGGTTTCAGAAGCGACTCCATCGGTAGACTGATTGTCTACTGGGTGCGCATGTTCAACGGCAAGCCACGGCTGTATCGTTCACATGCTGATCTCACTGAGAGAAGCTCCAGCGCCGACTTCAGTGAGCCTCGACAGGCCACCGAGAATGGCGTCGCGGTTGAGCTACTGGCGCAGATCAGTGTGATTGCCAACCCGGAGACACAGAGCAACTACCTTTTTATCACAAAACATGGTGGTGACAACATCTCGAGTGTTTCTGATAGCTGGGCTACCAAGAACGAGTCGACTCAGGGACTTGACATGGCCAATTCGGAGCTGTTCAAGAGATGGCAAGCCAGGATCGTTGAAGAAGCGATCATGGGACGCCGCCCTGACAACGGCCACGGTGGGTACCCAGGTAGCCAGCTTCCTCACAACCACCACAACGGCCATCACCATCCCCAACTACTCCCCGGTTACTCCAACGGGTACACCAACGGTCGCAGGCTGACCGAAGAGGAGATGATGGACAAGGTAGGAGCAAAGATGATGGTGGAGGAGATCTTGGAGGATGAGATCACGGGGAGAAGCGAGAGTGAAAGCCGAGACATGCCTCTTGTTTGGCGGAACAAGGGCGATGCGACAAAGCCACAGCTTCATTCCGGTGTCTTTACTCGAACGGCTCGTTCCAAGTGGTCTGAGGCTGAGGTGCAGGTGTTGATTCCTGCTGGATCTACAATTATGGGTGACATGACGATTCGGCTCAAGGTGCGACCTACTGATTAGTCTATGTTTTGCTATGAGGGTGCCTTGAGGATGTCGGAGTAATTTCTAGCATTGTTGTTTTCCTTGCATAATGTCCTTTGCCGAATACGTATAATTATCCTTTTTTTACAACATCATATCGTGACGAAAACCACTAACTTGATTACTTCTTTATTACACATGGTGGATCTTGAGGTGCGAAAAACAACCATTTCGCTGATAAGATGGATAGACAAAGGACAGACAGGATAACGCCCTTCCATTCAATTATTCTCTATTAAAACGATGATTTCGAAGTTCTGCAATGATCGTAACCTCACGTGGACAAAACACCGTATCTGCTGCTACTGAGCAATCTTTCAAGCCTCGGCTCATATGCTCTCTGGCAAGCTGTATCGCTGTGAAACTACTATCACAGGTGCATTCTGTGCTGCCGCTTTCGAATTAGCACACCGAAGATCTCAAATAATGCCATTTGATAGTCGGTGCGGCTGATAGATAGCGGCTTGGTCATATTTCACTACAACAGGTTTTGTACCTGTACTGTAACATCGTGAGGGATTCTGCTAGTGGTGGGGGTGTGTGCGGTCGGGTTAATGTACATGAGTCTGGACCTGGAGCGCAGCTAGCCACGTTCTGAGCTGGAAAATGGTGGCCACTTACCTCCTCACGCTAGTTTATCACACCCACGGAACTAATCATGGACTTCCGGCTGGTTGACTCTAACTTTGCGCGTTCACTGGGGCAAAGATCGACTGGAACTAGGGTCCAGTCTTCTTTCACCAAGTAAGGTGTGAGATACCAGTAGAAGCTTGGCCACATTGCCAAAACTATTACAGAAGGACTTCTACAGGGTCCTCTACGATCGCATCTATATTGTCATCTGCTGTATATCGAGGTCCTCCATCGTCTCCCTATACCATCCTAGGCCTGCTGGAAAACAATAATCCTGCTTCCAGTCGTCTATCTGCTGCAATACCGTTCTCCTTAATTCCCACCTATGGAGCCAGAACTCCCTCGAGTAGCTGCGACGGGCCTCCGAGTGGAATCCTTCCACTTGAATGTCGGAGCAGGCGATGGAGCTATCCATCTACTTACTTGCGATAAACTCGCTCAATTTGCTCCAGACGAACGTCGCGTCGTCTTGCAGGCTTATATCATAGACGGCGGCAGAAAGTCACTTACATGCACCAACCTGATTTCTCAACTCATCCGACGTATCGAGGGATGGTACAAGAGCCCTTATACACAAAACGGCCACAACTATCTCAAGTTTGATGGGTTTATGGTCACACACTGGGACAATGATCATTTTGGTGGTCTAGAGAAATGGCTTGCCATTCAGATTGCTCCACATACATTCGGAAATGGAACGACCCGGCACATTATCTCAAGAGCGCGATATGACGTTGACAATGGAAATCCTCTCAGCTGGATGTACTCGCCATGGGAGTGGCCCGATCAGTCTCAATTCTCAGTAGACGAGGACAATGGCATTGGATACCTACGTCAAGGCAACAGGCTGAATCTAGCAAAGGTCCGAGTCAGGCATGAGATTCTGCTTGGACGGAATATCTTCCGCCAGATAGCAGAACCGATCGATCCAAAGTACAGCCTTCAGAAGGTACAGAATCTGGACGTGCTATTAAATACAGTCAACCCCGTACAGGAACCAGATACTCCTAATAGCCTCAGGTTGAAGGTGGATGGGACCACGGTGGCGATGCCAGCAATGTACTGTATTGCTGCGGAAGGTAAAAAGCTGGGAAGGAATATCGCTGCTCTCCATACCGAGAAGAACATGTCGAGTCTGGTTTTCATCGTGGTATGGAAGCACCTGGATGGCACACACCACATCTCACACTACTTTGCCGGTGATGCCCATATCGAACTGGAGCAAGCTTTGGCAGGATGGCTAGATGGGGGCTATGCCCCGAACCAAAAACCTTCCGCGTACCCAATCACCACCACGAAGCTGAGTCACCACGGGGCGCATTCATCTAACCCTAGAGGGAGTTTCACGCAATTTCAGGCCAAGAACATTCTTGTTTCTGCCGGGGGGCAGTATAGCCATCCGAGTAAGTCCAATATTTTCCCTGTTGATGAACTTTCAAGAGACTGATGACTGACCTCTCGGCAGCTTGGCAAGTAGTATTAGCTATATACTTCTGGTTCCACCTCAGGCAGGAAACAAGCGACACTCCCTTTCGCAAACCTTTTATTCCTTGCCGATGGCCGTATTGGCTACTTGCAAACAAGAGTGGAAGAAATGTTCTCTCCAAGATCGAGAAAGCCGACATGGCACGGGAAACTAAGAGTCTTTCTGGCCTGAGCCTGAAGGACGAGACAGCCAAAGTGTTCAAGGACGTCAACGGCACTAGAATCAAGCTAAAAAAGGCCGCTATCAAGAACGTATTTAGACATTGCTGGGACGACGACGATGATGTGGACATGGACGAGTTACTGAATACCTTTTGCACGGTAATGGGACAAATCTCAGTCACTTCTACTGCAGCACCTGGTAGTCTCACCGTGGGCCTCAATGGACCGACAAGAGTCCGTGTTTTAGATATGCTGGGATACCAAGTCACTTCTGCGCCGACCAGTGACCAAGACGGCGTGGTGAACGTTGTCGGCTCGAATGGACTGACCAATCCTGTGTATCACAACCTGGACGCAGCTGTTCAGCACTCGCCCTCCTCTCGGAGTATCACCAGACGCCATAGATCTTCCACGAGATCTCCGGTAATGGCACAGGACTTCCCAATTAATACCTCCACTGCCCTTCTGGCCGCCAGATCTATGAGAGGCTTATTTCATTCCGAGACCGATGCGCCAGGAGGGATAGACATGCATCCATACAAGGGCTTTGACCAGCCGCGGATGTTCGATCTTACAGATGGCCCTCCGGATTGGGACAAGATTCGAAAGCTGAAAGGCCTCTATGGGAATTCCTCAACACTGGTTTCGGAAATCACGGATCCGCCCAAGTCGAGTGAGCAGGAGCAGTTAGATGAGGATTGGGAAGACCTGGGTGACTCGCTATCAATGTCAACTGGTTCGCGTCGAGCGAGCTGGGCTACCAGTGTTTCCCATACGAATTTGGATATCGCCTTTCCTACGGCTGACACCCAGACACCAGCCCGAGCACCTCGACTAACCACTGTCTTATTCCAAAACGTTCCTCCTGAAGTTCGTGCTCTGGCAGCCGAGGTATACCTGATAGTGAAGGACGAGAAAGACCCAAACTCCGAGCCCAAGGCACCAGTTGGAAGCAAAGCATACGTCTTACCTGAGGAGAGTTCGCACTACGGCTTCTTGAACACGTTGCACTATCAAGGAATAGGCCTCACTGGCGAGCCTCATTCGGAAAACTCCACTCCCGTTGATGACGAAGACGAGATCTTCCAGTGGCTGGCTCGGTATTCTAGCTGGGATCCGGAAAAGAGCCCAGTGCCCGATGGATTTGCACTTGCAATAAGACCCGTTACCAAATGGCCCGTCACCGATTGGGAGAACACGAAGTTGCACTTTGAGATGACGGTCCCGTTCCTAACCAAAGCACATCTTCGTTTCAGCACAGACCTAGGAGCTAAACTCACGTTTTCGAAGGTCGATGCTACAGATGTTACTCCGTCCAAGAGGGAGGTGACCGAAGATGCACTAAATGACTTTCTCGTCAACCGCAGGTCATTGGTGTTCGGGTTGGAGTCTCTAACAACCCCATTAAAGACCACCCTCGCCGAGCTTGCTACCTACATGAGAGTCGACATGCTCTCGAGCCCTCTTCTTGACTTCCTGACAAGAGAGCTGGAGTTAACATTGGATACCAACAAAGACTTCCACAACGCCATTTGGTTTCGTCCGTCGATGGATTACGAAACCATCATGCGACTACAATTTCATGCCGATATTAGTGGCTTCAACAGCTGGCTTCATACTCTAAGCCCATCACTTAAAGTCGACACCCTTCGAGTGATAGGACGAAAGAAAGCCAGCTGGGTCTGGATGTCTCCCAACGACAAGATGGTCTTTACTTCCTCACTTACCTTCCTTTGCCAAATGAGCATCTCATCAAAACTACAGCTTGAGGGTGTTTTTGCAGCAGCCGAGGACTCAGTCTCCCTTACATTGACTCTTAATCGAGCAGCGATCGAGAAGAGCTCATCTTCTATTGAAGCCATGTCTGGTTCTAACGGTGTACTGCAAGATATCATGTCTTGGCTTGCTGCCAACTTTCAAGTATCGAATAAGGAAGGGCTTGACGAAATCCTTGACAAGGCCAAGAACTCCGAACAGGGTGTCATTGGCGACAAGAGTATACTCCCAAGGCGCATCGAAATCCTACTCGGCGTAGGTCCTGACGGAAAGATCACAGGCGTCAGAGGTGTGAGCATCGACATCGAGGCTCGTTTGACCATCGGTAAACCTGCTACTGCTGTCGTCGCTGAGATGCAGGCTGTTTTCCTGTTTAATGTTGGTTGGAGCAAAGACGATGGATTTAATCTCAAAGGAAAGCTTTGGTCTGTCATTCCAGACACCCCCTTTGCACAATATGACCGAGCTTTGCCGGAGTTTGAGGAGTATGAGTATCTGGATCCTATCTCTCCTGTCGACACCAAGAACCAGATGCGCACCATTGATATCGCTAGGCTTCTTTCTGACAAAGACGGTGAAGTCACCAACTTGCCGGCTGGTATCCCAAACGAGATTTACCTCTGCGAGATTTCCCTTACACAGGCCAATGTGGCTTTCAGCGGTGCTATACGCTGTTCCAAACCACTTGCTGATAGTCCCGGTGGCAGTGGGACACCACCACCACCAATGCCTCCAACAATCTCTCTGGACAAGGTAGAGCTCGACGCTTCCTATACTTGGGGAACCACGAGTCCCAGCGATAAAGGATTCCAGATGAACTTGGCTATTTCCATCGACCTTTACCTCGGTGGCGAGTTAACCGAGGATAAGAGCCTGGAGGATCAATATGCGGAATCAGCAAAGCTCTTTGGTCAAGTGACGTATGATCGGGGTAACTGGGCCATCGAGGCTGCTGCATACGAACTTTCCATCGAGCATCTCCTGCAATTCTGGGATCTCGATGACCGTGGACCTATTTCGGACTTTCTGGGAAAAATTAACATCGATTCCATCAAGCTCAATTATGAGTTCAAGAACGGCAAGACAGAGACTGGAGCCTTTATTGACGATGGCAAGGACGTCAAAGCACCGAGCCTGCTGAAGATCGAAGGCGAGTTCACTATCGCTGATGTTGTTTCTTTGACTTTCGACTACACAAACGAAGGAGGTGAAGGTTGGGCTTTGACAGCTGGTCTCGGTCCGTCCAAGACTCATGAGAAGGCAACTGTAGGCGGCTTATTGTCTGGGTTCCTCGATACCGTCGTGGTCAACAGTCTACCAGATGGCATCCGAGACGCAGCTATCCAAAACGCCGAGGGAGCAAAGGCATTGCGACTCTTGGTAGCCAAAAGCCAAGGTGTCTCCGTCTTTGCACTATTGATCCAGATTGAGAAGGTCAGTGTTTGGTTCATCCAACTTCGCCAAGGTCCCAAGGGTGTGGTAAAGAGAATCCTCAAGGCTGCGATCAGCAAAATCTCAGTGGACGTATCTGCTTTCCAGACCACCATCAACAGTCCCTGGGAGGAACTCTTTTTTATGTGGGTCCAAGACAAGACTGTTCCAAAGCAGGGCGTTGATGCCTTGACGGGTATCTCACAGAAAGAGTTTGAGGCTATGTCACAGGTGATGAAGGATAAGTTGAACGTGACAGACGAACAACTTCTTCTTTTCAAGCCCGCTGCCAACAAAGACCCTGCTCCGACCGTTCAACGTCAGCTTCGTCGCATGACTCCATCCGCTCCTGGCGATGGAAAAGATGACAATGGTAAGGATGGTGACGATAAAGAGGCGAACAACGTTGTCATGGCAGCAGGGTCTCACTTGGTCATCGTGGCTAAGAAGGACGGCAAGCCAGGCGTCATACTTGACTATCTGTTCGGGGCCAAGAAGAAGCCCGCTCCTGGGAAGAGTATGGTTCCTTATGATGCTCCCGTCGTCAAAGGAAAAGGCCCAGACGCCAGTGGTTCCGAGAAAGGTGTCAAGGCTCCCTACAAGGTCAAGATCGGGCCACTGTCAGTTGGCAACGTCGGTCTTTGGTTCAAGGATGGTATGATCGGCGTTACTCTCGACGCTACCCTCCTCATGGGGCCTCTTGGACTGTCACTTCTTGGCTTCTCGATCGGAGTTCCCTTTGGTGGGAAATACTCTCTTGCCAATCCACCACCTCCAAGTGCCATTGACTGGGGTCTTTCCGGCCTTATCCTATCCATGGACAAGCCTCCTCTTACTATCGCGGGAGGTTTCATGCGCGATACCTCCATGGAGAACGTCGAAGTTATGTATACTGGCGGCCTCATTGTCGGCTTCAAGCCGTGGAGCTTCGAAGCCATGGGGGCTTATGCCACGGTGTACAAAACACAAACTGCATCAGGGGAATGGGTCACTACGATTGACACCAAGCCTTTGAGCCAGTTCTCTCTACTTTCTCTCCAGGACGATGTAGAGGATACTGATGGAAATGAGGTTGTAAAGACAGGCGGCGAGAAGAGACCAACCTTTACCTTCTCCTTCATTTACGTCAAAATGAATGGTCCTCTATTCTCCGTCGGATTCGCCGATGTGGCTGGTCTCGTCGGTGGATTTGGCATCAACTCTGACATCACCCTCCCAACCGTGGAGCAGGTCATCTCCTTCCCCTTTGTCGCCGAACGAGATTCTGCAGAGGAATCGACCCCGGTGCAGCGTATGCAAGACCTTATGCAAGGATCTTGGTTTCGTCCTGCAGAAGGACTATACTGGGCTGCTGCGGGTGCTCGAGTCACTGCTTTCCAAATGTTTGCTGCCAATATTGTCCTTGTCTTACAATTCGGCAACGGAAACCTCCTATTTGGCATATTCGGAGTGGCTACCTGTGATGTCCCTGCTTTGGAAGCGCCTGTCAAGTTTGCGCACGTCGAGCTAGGTATTGTCTGCACGTTCGACGTCAACAGCGGGATTTTCAAATTCGAAGCACAATTGTCCCCTAGATCCTTTGTGCTAGCTCCTCAGTGCCATCTTACAGGTGGTATGGCTCTCTTCTCATGGGCCAAGGGTGATCGCAGTGACTCGGACCCCAAGAACCAAATCTCGGCTGGTGATTGGGTCTTGACAATTGGAGGATATCACAGAGCTTTCTTTCCACCCAAGCAATATCCAAAGCCGCCACGATTGGGCATTAGTTGGTCGTTGAGTTCCTGCTTAAGTGTCAAAGGAGAAGCCTACTTTGCCATCACCCCCAAGGTATGCATGGGCGGTGGCAAGATTCGAGCGGCCCTCAGCATTGGCCTTTTATATGCTTGGTTCGATGCCTTCATGGACTTTTTAATGAACTTCGATCCATTCTACTTCCAAATGACAGCTCGTGTGTCTGTCGGAGTACGCTTCACGCTGGACCTTTGGTTGGTAACTATTCGCATCAGCGTCGAGATCAGTGCTGGTCTAGACTTGATGGGTCCTCCATTTGGTGGCGTTGTTCATGTCGACTTTTGGGTGTTTGGGTTCGACATCAAGTTTGGTGCTTCGCCTAAACCACCACCCGCTATCAATCTGGACCGTTTCTTCCAGGTTGCCACCAAGACTGGCTCATCTTCTGCATCTTCTTCCCGATTCTTGGAGGGAGACTCTGACAGTGCACTGTCGCAAGCAAAGTCACAACCTGATACCGCAGCAATCCTTCTCACGTGTGAGACAGGGCTATTACCACCGTTTCAAGATACAGAAGCCAAGCCTGCTACCTCAACTGCAGGTGATAGCCCTGAAGACGAGAAGTGGTACGTGAAGGGCGGTAACTTCACGCTTAATGCTTCCTTCCAAATCCCACTCACTGCCGCTCGACTCACCGAAAGGCGGATGAAAGTCGTTGGTGATGGGAAGGAGGAGGAAACCCGGTACGCCGACTGCATTATCGAAGACAAGTACAAGAAGGTCTATGCCAAGCCCATGCAGCTCCACGAACCCCTTACTTCGACAGTCGTCATCTCCGTCAAGGCGCCAGAACCCCGGAAGAAAAAGACACAAGACATACATGTTTTGGAGAGTTGGCAAGATCAGAAGTGGAAGCTCGCGGCGCAGGTCAAACCTGTTCAGAGCTCCATTTGGGGACAATACGATAGGAACCAAGACCCGAGCCAAGTCAAGGGGCCTATCGAAGGGTTACTGAATGGAAAGGACGCAACCATGCAATTAGTCACGGGCATTAGTATCGTTCCTCCCAACCCGGCCGTGGCTGGTGACTTGGTAAACAAGTTCAATGTTACCAAAGACCACATGGCTTCCGTACTTGACCCCAAGAAGCCCGAATGGCCTTTGTTCATTGGTGTGACGAAGGAGCAGGAGAAGGCTTGGGCACCAAAGGAGAGAGGCACAGATTGGGATGATTTGACTGGTGAGTGGAGAAAGGTGGGAGATACAACGACGTCGAAGGCTGTGGATCTATGGGCCAAGAGGATGCGGTATGATGAGGAAAGTGTGGAAGGGGATCAGAAGGACGAGAAGCTCAAAGGGACTTTCAGCCCTCTGCGAGGGATTGCACCGAAGAAGCTTCTGAATAATTACACGCAGCTGGTGCCTGCGCTCCCGTTGGTGGCGGTCGGGTTTTGATCTGAAGTACTGAAACGAGGATACATGGGTGGTGCTCCGGGCTGCGATACGGATACATAGTAGCGCATTATTTTGTTCAGTTCTTATTTAAAGTATTTATCATTCTGAAACAGTGGAAGGTTCTCACAAGAACTTTTCCTGCATTTGTGTTAGGTGAAAACAGGCTTATGGTATCCAGAACGTGCTTCGTTCACCTCCAGCGCGTCGCGTCTATAGACCGGTTCTGTCTCTCTTGATAATCCAAATCTACTGCGACATCGGGAACATTAGATCGCAAAGCTCTAGACGTTCCCTACACAAATAAGGCAATTATTCACGGGCCATTTGACACCAAATCCACAATTGGACATCATCGTTATTGACTATGTACGGGTAGAACAAACACAATCCCACGGTCGTATACGTGTGGAACTGTAAGATGCCAAACCCCATCAGAGCTAATCTGCAACACGCTATAAACTAAGAATCAGGCCCACATGGCTAGGAAGAATTGAAAGATAATGCCTGAACTAGCCAGGCACACAACCGTCATGCTGTGTTGAATGACGAATCCTTACAAAAGGTATGGACTAAAGTCAAAGGCAGACTCCGCCTTACCCGCAGCAAGTCCAGCAGCCTTGAGAGCACCCCAGTTCACATCGTTGATACCGACCTCATAGTCCCAGTCGTAGTGGGGATCAGGGTTAGGCAGAATCTGCCAGTAAAACCAAGGAATGCCCGATGCATCAATAGCAGCAGCCCAATTCTTGATGTTGGCGTCTCTGGTGCTTGTAGACAGTGGCGAGCCGCCGTTACAGTTGTTGTTCGCTGCGTTTGTGTAGCAAGCACCCCACTCCTGCATGATGAGCTTCTTGCCGGCATTCTTGGCCTTGTCAACGTATGGCTTGAGCTTGGCGGTGTTGAGGTCCCCGGTGCCATAAGCGTGAATGGCAAGAACATCAAGGCTGCTGCAGCTGAAGTAGCCATCGAGGAGGGAGTCGTCTACGTAAGAGCCACCGCCAGTAGTGACCAGGATCTTTGTGTTTCCCTGTAAGTTGTCCTTGATGCTCTTGGCCATGGTGCACTGCCACGATTGGAGTGCAGGTTTGTTTCCCTACGCGGTTTAGCTAGGTCTTGGTGAAGGTCTGGAAATCTTGGTTGCTATTTACCTGGGGGTGCATGGCTTCGTTCTGAGCCTCAAAAGCAAAGATGTATTCAGAGCTCTGGGCCCATGTCTTCCCATTCTTGGGGTTCTTGTGCGCAAGAACATGAGCAATTCGCTGCTTGAATTGGGCAATGGCTTGGGTATTGGTATAGAAGTCGCCGGTGCCGTAATACTTTCCATAAAAGTCACGGTTACCCTCAAGAGCATTGTAGCTGTGGATGGAGATGAGGAGCTTAATGCCGTAGCCATGGGCCTTTGCCATGAAATTGTCAAGTCTGTTCAGAACAGTATCGTCCCAGTCATCGGGACCTGTGCCTTGCAAGCCATTGAAGCTGTTGATGGGCGTGCCTTTTGTATTGCCAGATTGGCCTGAGATCAATGGTTAGTTTAGAGGAACGATTAAAGGCAGCGTGTGGGTATTATACCGTCTAGCCACACGCGAAGAACCTTGACACCAGCGCTTTGGAGACCGGTCAAAAGAGTGGTCTGCTGACTATCAGTCAAGCCAGCGGCGTAGTATAGGTTGGAAGCCGAGAAGGATTTGGCAGCAAAGGTGGTTGCCACGGAAGAAAGGACAAGCGCCAAGCTGGCGAACGAGGGCAACTTCATATTAGCGGTTACCAGAATGAGGATGGTGAGTGATCACTGGTAAAGTTTCATGGCATATATGCAATCTTATATAGATGGCGAGATATAGATGGCGAGGCTACGATGAGGTATCGCCGTTAATGGCCCCTATCTAACGGTGGCAGGGACCGGAGATTCAAAAACGCGAGAAAGTCTGGGGGATGAAACAATTACTTGGTCATTTCAGGCAGGTCAGCAAGCCCACTGTTTGATAGGCTGTACCCCACATCATCGTGTCGATCACGCAACTTATCGAACAAGGCTCGGGGCTTCTTTTCATGTCCGTAACGGTACTTAGATCGAAGAGCTCACCTGGAGAAGAGAGCTTTCTTTTCGCGGCTCACCGGAACTAATAATGTCTACCCCGGAAAATGCTAATTAAAATTCCTTAAGGATCAATAAACTGAGCAGACAAGTTAAGAGAGCGCAACTATGTGTCAGATGAGTGGCTCTATCGACTGGACTGATACTGAAGTAGTATCACTATAACAAGCGGAATATCCTTTTTGATATATACTGTATGGCAAATTTGCATCGTGCGTGCTAAGCAGACTATTGCTCGGATGTTGCGGCAGGATACCAAGCTCCCAATATTATATGCAGAGCTCATTCAACAGCAACAGGAGCAAAAGCCCCATGACTGTTACCTGCGAATCATATCTCTGCGATGGAAGATGCTTGCACATAAAGTGGAACTGAGTCGATGAACCACTTTCGGCTTATGGTCAAATGTACTACGAACATGCCACCCAACAGGGCTATGGTTGAAGATGAGGGAATGATTGGGAGCCTGACAGGTTACAGTCAAGGCGTTGTGTGGTAGGTCAAGAAGCTAGGAGAGAAAGGGCCTTTCCCCCTCTCCCCCCTCAAAGGTTGAAAGCGGCTAGAATAATGGCATGTTACAACACAGGCCAAGAATGTCTCACCCGCGCTGCAGCCCATCGAGCACATCGAGGGACAAAGGGATAGGCAGATTGGTGCTTTAGTGGATTAGGTGTGGTAACACGAATCCACTTACGAAAGGATAGATCAATTATGGCTGTCAATATTATAGGGTAGCCAGGCTAAAAGCTAAAGAAACACTTTCTGACGTCACTTGTATCGCACCGAGGTTGATGTTCATTATGGAAAGATCAGATGGAATAGAATAATATCTACATTACACAACAGAGCAAATTTTACTTACTATTCAAGGATAAGCATCAATTGAGTTAACATTGAGCTCGGTCAGCCACGTGCGTCAGTTACCATAAACAATATGTAAATACAGTTTACTCCGTATATCCGCGAAATGGGTCGCGGTTAACATGGTGACGCGCACCAATTCTTAAAGCTCCAAGCCCTACTATCCACTGGCAAGTACGGATATAGACATACCCAATACAGCGGGCCCCAGCGAGACATATTTCCACGCTAACTATGACCAATTTCGCGGATATATGGATATAGACGGCACCCCAGAGAACAGACGGAGACCAATGAAAGGCCACGCTACATACCATGACCCTGAAGAGCGATGGTTCTCTTCATCAGTAAACTTCAACTTCCCTGAGCTAAGCTAGACTACCCCAGCGACTTAGTGCTGGCCTTGCGAGGATTCTCCGCTTCGAAAACTACGCTGAGCTCTTCAAGCGTTCGACCCTTGGTCTCAACGAAGAAAAAGTAAACAATCGCGAACTCGAACAAATCCCAAAATACGAAAAATACATAGCTGTTGCAAGTTTGTTAGAAATGGTCACTATTTTAATCGAGAGAACTTTTACTTACAACCAATAACGGATGTTCTCCATCGCAACTGGAGCTGCAAAAGTGTTGACAAAGCCGGCGCAGCCGGAAGTGATCATAAAAACCATCATGCCATTTGCTCGCATATCATCTATTTCGGTCAGCGATAAGATAACGCGGTTGGGAAATGGGAGACCGAGAACTCACTGGCTAGAACTTCGGCAGGATAAATGGGTTGCATGGGAGTAAAACCGACTGCAAAAACGACACCAAAAATGAAGATGAATGCGATACTGGCGGAGCTTGCAGGCACGCTTCCGGAACGCTCGTATTCGGCGGCAGTGGCAGCGACAATCGCCAGAGCTACCGACATACTTAGACAAGAGCCCATGAACATTTTACGTCTTCCCACAATATCGTGCAGACGTGCTGTCAAACAGTCAGTACATCTTGCATCAAACTCAAAGACGCCATATCATACCTCCAAGTGTAGCAGCAATCCACCCGGTCAACGCATAAAATGCGTTCAGCAGCAAGATGAGGTTAGTAGAAGTGATACCAACGTTCTTTACCATGATTGGAAGGTAGTAGCTCGATACGTTATTGCCGGAGAATTGACCGAACCAAGACATGGCGATGACCAGCATAAGACGATAACGACGAGCGGGAGATTTGTATAGACTACGCAGATCAAAACAAGACCACTTTGAACGGCCTTTAACTTCGGAAAGTGAATCCTGGATTTCTTGCATTTCGATGCCAACAATCGGATGGTGGGCGTCACCGTTGGCGTGATGCTTGACGATAAATTCGCGGGCTTCTTCGTCTCGCCCTTGGGCAATCAGCCATCTTGGGCTCTCGGGTAGCATCCAGCTACCGAGACACACCATGCCAGGGCAGAGGATCTGAAGCCATAGGGGGAGTCGCCATTTGATGTTGCCGCTGAGATGGAGGTTGGCTCCGTACAATGCTAGACAAAGGTCAGTAGCGGCCTAAGGTTTGGATGAATAGGACTCACTAAAGGTTGCAATGATGCTTCCCATGTAGTAAAGAGTGTTGTATATGCCCGCCACTGTTGCTCGGTGTAAGGGAGGAGCAATCTCAACCAAGAGCATTGGTGCGGCCACGGTATTGATGGTAGAGAAGAAACTGAGGAGGAATCGAGCTCCAATGAAGGAGGACAAAGTCGGAGCGACCGCGGTAAAGACTGCAGAAACACAAATAAAGAACGAGCTAACAGCCAGAGTGATCTTGCGGCCCCGCCAGTCGCAGATCCAGGTAAACAAAGCACCCACCATCTGACCGATTTGGAAGATAGAGAAGACCAATCCCGTAGAGGTCGATCCGCTTTCGCCCAAGTTGTAGTAGGCTTGATATTCTGGGAGGACGTTGAGCGAGCCCATGAGCGAGCCATCGTATCCGTTCATGGTAGAGCACAGGTAGATGAGTGCGCAGGCCATGTAAAGCTGGATGTGTCCACGACCCCAAGGCGACGGAGCTGCACCATCAGCAGCAAGCGCTGCCGCTATGGCATCTGGAGTGTGTGGGTTTTCTTTGGTGTCCAAGGCACCTTCGTCAATATGCTGGCTTACAGCTTCCCCGCGCTCCTTGGCCATATTGACTGGAAAATAAAGTAACTGGCAGCAGGGGTGTCAGAAAATAAAGGTGATCGAGGATGAAAGATAAAGATATAAAACTTAAAAAGATCTACGATAGGCGTGGAAGATCCATATATACATCCACTCCTTGAAACATTAATCATTCCAAGTATGGGGTAGTCCGCGTTGGGGAAAGGTCTGGCTTATACTAGGGCGGGGCCACGGACTTCCGAAGCACCGTGTTAGCGCGAATACGACGTCTCAATTTGGGGTAGGATGGTTGTGTCAGGTCATTGTAACCGTGGAAATGTCAAGTGATACAGGCAGAGTCGTCTTTGGGTGTAGACACAGCCAATTGCGACGTTACTTTTACGTGGTTAAACGTCTGATATGGGTCAGATCAGCACTTGCACGGTAGTATTATTCCCTTTTAACCGGTAAACAGCCTGTCCGCAACGTCATAAATAAAACTGATCCATCCCACCAAGGTCGCATCTTGTTCCTAAATACATTTCGACCCTAAGCAGTCTCAGTGGCTTGCCTTACTCGCCATGCCAGCCACTGCACAGACCTACGACCTAGCCACGGGCTGGAGGTTCAGACGCACTGATGAGGGCGATGATGCATGGATGCCTGTGGAGAAAGTCCCAAGCGTTGTTCATCTGGATTTGATCAACAACAAAAAGTACGTGATATACGTTTCACACAATACGAGAGCTTATCATTAACGGAAACTATCAGAATACCTGACCCGTTCTTGGGCACGAATGAGCTCGACGTGGAGTGGATCGGAGAACACTCTTGGACATACGAAACAACCTTCGACGGGCCTACCATCTCACAAGGCAGCTCTGCGTACTTGCTTTTCGAAGGCCTCGACACTTTCGCAACTGTTCGGCTCAATGACGTAACCATACTGGAGAGTGACAACATGTTCCTCAGTCATAGAGTCGATATAACTGAAGCACTGAAGCCATCCGCCGACAACAAGCTCGTTATTGACTTTGACAGCGCCTTGCTGCGCGGGAGAGAACTTGAGAAACAACACCCTGATCATAAGTATGAAGCCTTCAATGGAGAGAGTAGCCGTCTATGCGTTCGAAAAGCACAATATCACTGGGTACGTCACAACATAGCCTCGAACCATCGATCTGATCTAGATCTGACAATTTAGGGCTGGGACTGGGGTCCAGTTCTCATGACAGCGGGTCCATGGCGACCTGTCCGGCTCGAGGTATCCTCTGCACATATCGACAGTGTGCGAATTGATCACGACGTTGCCAAAAACCTATCTTCTGTCACTGGCTCTGTTGTTACAAATGTGGAAGGCTCGGCAGACGAGATCACGGTCATAGTCAGTGATGGGGACACAGAGGTATTTCATACCACCCAAAAAGCTGTCAAGGGAAACAACAACATCGAATTCGAAATAGGTAAGTCAATATCTGCTCTCCCGTAATAATCTCCCGTAATAAACTTAACACTCATAGATAATCCCTCACTATGGTTCCCCTACGGATACGGAGAACAATCTCTATACCAATTCACCATTCAGGCAAAGCATCAAGGCATCATCTGCGATACCTGGACAAAAAGCACGGGCTTTAGAAAGAGTGAACTCATAAAAAAGGCAGACGAATACGGAGAATCGTTCTATTTTAGTATCAACAACATTGATGTTTTCTGCGGTGGTTCTTGTTGGATCCCAGCCGACAGCCTTCTTCCAAGGATTAACCCAGAGAAATACCGCAGCTGGCTTGAGCTAATGCGTGAGGGTAACCAGATTATGACAAGGTGGGTTCACTGTGCAGGGTTCACTATAGTATACTGACCAGCCTATTAGAGTCTGGGGAGGTGGTATCTACGAAGATGACGTCTTTTACGATACGTGTGACGAGTTAGGCATCCTCGTTTGGCAAGATTTCATGTTTGCTTGTGGAGCATACCCCGTCTGGCCCGAATTGAGAGATTCCATCGAAGCCGAAGCCAGGGACAACATACGACGTCTTCGACACCACCCATCAATTATTATCTGGGCTGGAAACAACGAGGACTATCAAGTTCAAGAGCAATGTAATCTTGAATATGACTACGATGATAAAGACCCGGAATCATGGCTCAAAACCTCTTTTCCTGGACGATACTACTACGAACATCTCTTACCGGCCGTCATGGAAAAAGAAGCACCTGGCATGCAGTATTGGCCAGGATCACCCTTCTCAAACGGCAAACTTAGCTCCGACCTGACGGCTGGTGACTTACATCAATGGAACGGTATGTAATCCAGACCACCATTTCCACGTCCAATTAACTTACTGTTGTGTAGTATGGCACGGAAGCCAAGAGAAATACCAGCGATTCGATCAGATCGGCGGACGATTCAACAGCGAGTTCGGAATGGCGGCATTCCCTGTTCTTCAAACCATCAAAGGCTTCGTCACGAATGAAAAAGATCTATACCCTCAATCGCGCGTCCTCGATTTCCACAATAAAGCTGACGGACACGAGCGACGCATCGGGGCTTATGTCTTGGAAAACTTCCACAATTCATCAAACCTTGCTGTTAGTCTGTTCCTCCTTTGAGCTAGTGACTCCACTGACATTCCGTCTTATCCGCTTCTAGACCTGGGCGTATTTGACCCAGTTGGCGCAAAGCGAGGCGCTGACTTATGCATACCGTGGGTGGCGGCGTCAATGGGGAGAGAGTCGGCGATGCGGTGGTGCCCTCGTCTGGCAGCTCAACGATTGCTGGCCTGCAACATCGTGGTCAATCGTCGACTATCATTTGCGCAAAAAGCCAAGCTTCTATGCTATCAAACGAGCTCTTCTCCCGCTAGCGGTGGGCGTACAGCGCGAGCACCATGACTGGAGTGTCTGCCATGCTCGTCCTGCAAAGACATCCTCCTACACGGTCTGGATCTCGAGTAGTCTGCAGAACGAGGTCAATGTCGATCTCGAGCTTCGCTTTATCTCTATCAACACTGGAAAAGAGGTGAAGTCCACCGTTACGAAGAATAACATCGTCGTTACCAGCAACGGAACGACTGATGTCCTCGCTGGCGAAGTCGATAATGTCGCTGACGAAGATCATGTGCTGGCTGTGAGAGTCTTCCAAAACGGGGTATGCGTGTCTCGAGATGCAGACTGGCCACAGCCTCTCAAATATCTGTCTTTCGAAAACAGGGGAGTCCACGTGGAAACGTCTACCGGGGGTATTTCGGTCAGTTGTGAAAGACCTACCAAGGGTCTTGTTATCGAGGAATCAGATGAGTACTCGTTGAGCGACAATTGTTTGGACCTGATGCCTGGGGATGCTCAGGTTATCAACGTCCGAATGAGCACGCCCAAGGTACCTGAAGTTCGTATTCGATATCTAGGCATGGATTAAACCCAGAATTAATGCTCGATTATCTTGTTTCATAAGATTTATCATCCATCGTTACCTAGCGTCGGCAGTGCACCTTCTGTTTCTGTGACATAGGGCACATGAATCTGACATTGCCGAGGCCTAAGACGGAGTTTGGTAATACCACACTAGCGCCATCTTGAGGCGTCCACTCACAGCTTGCTTACCCCACATATTAACCACATACTCAGGCTCGGAGTTCCCGATCACTGAAACAGCCACTAACCACTAAACATCTCATCTAATTTACTAGATCAAAGCATCTTAAACGGTTGCCTAGAGGCACTAGAAGGGAGACAATAAACGTTCTCATCTGCCAAGTCGATCCAAGAGGCCCCGCTTGCCTTTCATCCTTTCGCGCGGCTATTCTCTTTACCCACGCTTACACCTCCAGGGCATTCAGCCGAGATAATGGACTTCTCAGAGAACAACAACTACCAGACCTCGAATGCCCAGAGTAGGCAACCTCGAGCTACTTCATCCTGCGCTGAGTGCAGACGTCGACGTGTCAAATGTGAAGGGCAGACCACTCCTTGTAGACAATGTGTCTACTATCTGGTTCCTCACCTTTGTCACTACCCAGCACGAAAAAGAAGACAGAATGTGACGTTAAAGTAACTCATACCCGTCAATGATAGCTGGAATTGAATCAAATTGTTCATTCTAACATGTCATCATCTTTTACAGATCCCATGTCGAACTCGTCGAAGCCTACACTAGGGCTCAGAAAGTCATTGATACGCTTTTTCCGTCCAGTTCCCTTGAGGAGCTCTCATCGATGACACGGCAGCAGCTTCTTATACGACTGCAGTCTTGCACTATCCCTCAGCGCACGACAGATGACATATCACATGATAGCCTGCAGGTTTTAGAACCCCAGGCTGAACAGAATTTTACCTGGGACGAAGTCTCCGAAACTAGCAGCGAGACATCGCGTGTGGCAGACGATGTAAACGGCCAAGCATTTTCTCGACAATCACTGAATGCCTCGTACTTGGGTTTATCATCGGTACCTACGATTCTGAGAGTCATTGTTCATCTTCGCCCCACTGTCCAGAAGAGGGTCCCAGAAGGTCCCCAGGCATGGAGGAGTCCATCGATGCACACTGGCAGCCCAGACGAAACCTCTGTGATGCAAATTGACGAGATCTCACTCATCGATGCGTATTTCGACCAAATACACCCTATCATCCCTATGATTGACGAGGCAGAGTTTCGATGTCGATACTACACAGCAGACCTGACACAAGATGAGACTGGCTCATGGCTGGCTCTACTCAACATGGTTCTTGCGATGGGTTCAATGGCGTCTGACTCTATACACCTCACCAGCCATAACATCTTCTACAAGAGGGCCCTCTCGTTTATCAACATATCGTCCTTCGGGTCCGGCCACATACACATGGTACAAGCTCTAGCCCTCTACAGTGGAATGCTTTTACACTTCTTCAACCGACCCAACACTGCGACTGCTGTAATGGGGGCGACAATCCAGATGGCTGTTGCAATGGGTCTGCACAGAGTTCAGGCGACACCGGCCAACCTGGACAGCCTTGCTTGTCCTTCAGCTGGTACTACAAATACTCGAATCCGTACCTGGTGGTGTCTTTTGTGCTTGGACACGTGGGCGTCCTCGACATTGGGTCGTCCAAGTCCTGGATATTGGAATCCAGCAACAGTATCAACAACGACCCCGTCCGCCTTGGAAAGTTCGGTAAGTCTCTGCCTTATTCTTCAATTGATAGATAAAGGATTGTACACATACAAGCCTTTTACAATTTGTTGTAAACCCGTCATAGCGTCTGATGATTCTTTTAAACCTTTACTATGTTATTTGCTTCATGATGGATCTTATGAACACCGTCTTAGTAATTTCAACCGATCCAAGCCGCTAATGAACCATGTTCTTCTTACAGGACTATGCGACATCACTTGCCTGCAGTGAGCAATTCTGCAGAATTGCCGCCCGCATACAGGAGCGCCTCATCCAACTACCCCTCATTAACCTAGATGAAGTCAATGAGTTCGACCGTGATCTTCTTATTTGGAGAGATTCGTGGAACAAATTTATAACTAATCGCGAACAAGGCTCTGGCAACACAGCACGGGCAATCCTAGGGTGGCGACTCATCACTACTCGTCTTACACTGTACCGCCCACTCCTACTCGTGACGGCTATCCGTCGAAAGGCTTGGCATGAGCTAAATCCCAGCGAAAGAACGAACTTGCGCAAGTGTCTGGAGATTGCTCTTGAAGGAATTGATATGATGTGCAATGAATGGTCTTCCAACCAGGTTATCTGCTGGAATATTGCCTGGAACCTCTTCCAGGCAACGCTAGTAGTCATCCTGTGTATGATGTCAGACAAAGCTGAGGCCGAACAGCGTGGTTGCAGCGAGTACATTGTTCGCTCGATTAGCCTGTTTGGTCAGATGGAGCCTCTAGATGCTGGCTGTACGCGTAGCCGCAAGCTGATCCAACTCCTCTTCGACAATGCCAGGGAACTGGAACCAGAGGTCATGACTTGCAGGGAGGGTGATTGGAATCAGTCAGCACTTGAGTTGTTGGATTTTGATCTCCTGGGGGAAGATATAGATTGGTTCTTCAGCGGAAGTTAATAATGAGAAGTAGGGATTACTCACCAATCGCAGAACAAACAAAAGGCAATGAGGGAAGGAAAGGCGACACAGTGTCTACGTATGCGCAAGTTGTAATTATATGCTCACAGTGCACTATCTGTTGTAATTAATTTACAAAGCTCCCACCTTCCTCAGCGAAGACCAACACAATGGTATCTTGCAACAATACCTTGCTGGCTACTTGCTGTCTGGCATGATCGCAAACGTACCTCCAGAAGCATCACACGGCATCGTCGACTAATATGGTCAGAAAGCCCATGTTCTTGGTGACTAAAATATCCTCTACATGGACGTCCGACTAGACAACTTCTTGGTTGTTCCAGAGAATGACGCTTTCCGTGTTCGTGAATGGTATACCCCACCGCAACAATGAGTCTGATGCAAACTGGGGTTGGGTGAAGTGGGATCAGGATGGGGAGGGTACTGCAGCACTGATTACGGGAGTAAGATTGAGGAAAATTGAGTTTGAGCCGCAGCTTAAACGGTCCGAGAGGTATTTGAAGGGGGCCTCTGGGGATGATGACGAGTAAGAAAAAGAGCGATAAAACTCGTTTCGCATGGATACCTACCATTTGTGGACTCACGTTCAAGAATCACTTTTATCATTTCAGAGATTGCATAATGGTAATGACTAAGGAGGGGCAAAATATGTTATCAGCTGCTAAAAAGGACAAATGAGAAGTTTATTGCTAATGATAGTTTGTTAATTACTTGGAACATTTGCTATACGCATAACAAGCCCTGTCATAAAACGACGACGTTATCTGACCCTTGCCAGACGTTACACCCAGGCTTTTGAGCTTCTTGCTGTACAACTGACACGACTTATTGCTACCGTAGCCAAAGCCAAGACATTGCGTGTTCTTTAGACAGATTTCAGCACAGGCGCCTACATTCTTCACCGCAAGTGCAGTGCTAATGACAAATTTGGCCGGGGCTTTGGCTTTGTTCACAGTCCTGTTGCAAATGGACCGCGGTGGGGTCTTGGTGTTGGCGACTGCCGAGGGCTTACAAACTGGTGAAGCCTTGCTAACGGCATTGGCGGCTTTGGTGGTTGTTGGTTTGGCCTCTTTGTTCTTCACTGGCTGGGCAATCTTCGTTGTAGCCTTTGCCTTGGTGCTTGTAGTCTTGGTGGACTTGCTAGGCTTTGTGCTGGTGGTCGACGGATTAGCCTGCTTGGTTGAGCTAGAAGACTTGCTGCCTGAAGAACCACCAGTCTTTTTCTTGGTGCTGCTTGACTTGTTGCTCTGTGTACTACCCTTCTGTACAGCAGGCTTTTGCTTACTCTGCGCACCAGCTTTCTTGGTAGACAGCGGATCAAACACCGGCGCTAGTTGCGAACCAGGACGACTTCCGAACATGCCACTTCCGCCACTACCAAGACCGGTGCCAGAAGACATGCCGTCGCTACCTCCACCATCATCACCTGTCCCGTCGTTGACATATCCGATGCAGCCTTCTGCGATGGGATCGCTCTTGAGAGGCTCGATGAGGGGAAACTCGAGAGGATCAAAGCCATCAGCGTCGATGAAAGCATCCAACGCGTTCTCAAAATGAACGTTCCAGGCAATGCCGTAGCAATCTCCTTCGATGCTTGTCTCAATCTCTCCGTCGTCGTTGAGCTCTGCGCTTGCGGAGAAGCCACCTTCGAGTACAACAGATGGGGTGTCCTTGATACCAGCCTTGGCCTCGTAGAAGAGGAAAACGTCGAGAGCGATGCCAACACTAACTGGTAGACCCAGGGACGCCGACATACTGAGCTCACCAGCGGCTTCAGTTCTGGGCTTGAAAACTGGGGTAAGACCGTTTGAATGGCTGTTGCCAGAGTCGAGCAAATCGATCAGGATATCGACATTCTCCCACTCTACCGAAGAGCCAATGAGCAACGTTCCAGTAGCTTCAATCTCCATCTTGGCCTCCACGCTAAGGCCGATGAAAGGACCAACAGAAAGAATGACTGGAATTGAGAAGGCTGGAAGGTCTAGTGTTACCAGGTCTGTCTCCCAGGACTTCTCGTACTTGACAAAGGCTTTCAGTCCCAGGTTTAGGCCTGCTTTGAAGTTCATATTGAACTGGACTTGAGCCGTCTCGATTTCGAAAAGGCCCACGTCGATAGCGCCAGCCAAGGAGGCTGAGCCGCTGAAGCCGCATTCGACGCAGTAAAGAATCAAGCCATAACTCAAGTCACGCTCTGAAATTGTCGAATTCTCTGTACGTTTATGATGGCCGTTTGGGTCAGAGACTTCACCTTTGGCGTAGGAGTCGTCTGCTTCTCCGCCGTCGCTGCCCCATTCGAACAGCTTTGCAGCATCATCCCAAGGCGCATCGTCATCGGTACCGAGAAGGTCATCGTCGTTTAGATAACGCGACCAGCTGATTGTCCACGGACCAAAGTCGCGCTTATCAAGAGCATGAGGCTCAAACATCTGCGACGTGTGAGGTTAGCTATACGATCCAAATCATGGGTTAGGGCTAAGAATAAACTTACAGCTCTTTTGTCAAGCCCGCGCCTCACGTTCAAGGTTCCCAGAGGGCCCCATGTGAGACTGAAGCGTTCGTGGACATCGCGATACTCAACAGTAGAGCCCTTGGCCGTGAAGGTGTTGGTGTCATCGGCAAAGCTGACCGAATTGGAGAGGAAGAAGTCGTTGGCATGATCGTCACCACACCCATCCACAGACGAGATGAAGAGGATCTTGCCAGCACCCGTCCACTCCTTCTTGACATATTTGTAGGCACCCTTGTTTGTTATGACACCACTAAGCGCTCCCTTCACACAGGAGACGTCCGACACGAAGGCCGAATGATCAAGGGGGATGGTTGGGTACCGGAAGGTGAAGTTCGCCTGGGAAAAGACACCATTGTCACGCTTTCGCATTCTTTGCGAACCAGGTTCTGATCCGGGTGAGCCAGCCCACGCAAGTGTGACATTCCTTTCAAGGGCAAAGATGGAATAGTCTTCTGTGTCAACAACGGGGGGTACTACAGGCTCAAGGGTTGTGTTGCTGGAAGGGATGGTTGTGGTGTTGTCTTCATCTCGAGAATGAAGAGGGGGGAGCTCAGAGCTGGGGCGAGCGTGTGTATTGGTGATGAAAAGAGTCGCCAGAATAAGCGGCGTGATGTTGTATAGCATCATGACGCTGAGTGTATTCAATACACCAGAAGCCAGAAAAGAAGGATGAATGGGAGAAAGAAGTTATGGAAATGCTACCATAACTCGCAATCAAGTATGAAGCAACAAAGCTGGTCAAAAGATTGAAAGGATGTATCCAGCTGATATGAAAGTTTGCAATGGCTAACATTCAACAATCCAATCCTTGTCGAGTAGCTCAATCGCAAGGTCACGACAAAGGCATCTTGAGCTATCCCTAAAGCCCCAATATCTTCTAATCTCGACGGTTCGAGTCTATTGCACTATGTTACGATACTGTTACGCGAAAGGACACCCTGTCGACGGAATGGCTCTGACTTGATGAGACGAGTGCTAGTCTGCTAAACCCTCTGTTTAAGAATTCAGCCCAGTCGAGGCCCCAGTGGCTGATGCGAACGCAGCTTGGCTCCTCTCAATGGTATGACTGCCACTCCCGCTAGTGATAGATATATCTTCCCGAGATCAATATCCATTTTAACTCTGATGGGATTCCTTAGGTATCCCCGTATGCAGCGACTTTCTTTATCAACTTACCTAGCGATTGGAATGCATGCCTTAGCTAGCCTTGTGTGGGTGCCACATGGCTATCGTTGAGTGCCCCAAAGCAGTTTAGACCCTAATACTGGAATCTGGTTTAGGTCGAGATTAACCTGGGCCGAGATCAGGAACATTGATCTCGTGGATGGTGAATGAATATGGTTTGAGATGTGGACTTCCACATTCGCAGATAGCGTGTGATAAGCATGACGCTACTGGGATAAGCATTCGCTAATGCGGCCACGCAAGGGACGAAAGCTTGTTTTGAGCTGCCGTGGCTGGGGTCTTGCTGAAAGCGGGGAATATCTGGATCTATCAAGGCTTAGTTTTAGTTTATCTTGGTTGTCAGGGCTGAAGACTATCCAGATCCGTGGTATGGGATTTCTCTCTAGCCAAAAGATTTAATTCATATCATGTGAAAATAAGAATGAAAATGGGCGTTGTAGATAATGTATCATGAGAATTGTTCTGTAGTGGAAACATTCCTGTCACGCTAGTTCGTCGTCGCAACATTGCTGAAGGTTGGGCGAGAGGGATGAACAGACTTTCGTACAAAATGTGTGGTATGAGCACAGCAAAGACCCATGACTATCCTAATTGTACTTGTAATTAAATATTTATAATGGACTTTGCTTGTTCATACAAGTACTATGAGTAGCACGATGTTTGATATGTACCGCCTTCACTCATTGATGGTAATGTAGGGTAGCTGATGTCTTCAAACCCGCCATTCGGGACCGGCATCCGTCTAATGTCACTCGGTAACTGTCCCTATTGGTTCCCCAAGCTCCTGGTCTCATTCTACATTTGGCGACTAAAACGTGGCCGGCTAACCATGTTCCTGAGGTATGGGGAAAAGCCACATTCCCTTCTTCACATTCCTTTGCTCGAGGTCTGGGCAACGCCTTTTTGTAGTTTGGCTGAAAACCTTTCTGGGTAACCTTTTCTAGCGCGGTCATAATCGGCCGCAATCTTCGGGTACTGCTACACTACACATGGCCGTTCGCAGCTGGATTACCGTAAAGATTATGGGATGTTCTGGATTCTGTTTTGTAATGGTGGATGGTTTGGATATACTGTAAATGTTTGAGGGCAATTCCTATACTACTTCTGAACGCTTCATTCTATAAATCACTTCATCTCTGGCTTTCTATCTTTGTGGTCAAACTCCAAGACAGTCATCCCTCCTCCTCCACCTTTCCAGCCCATACCCGATTGTCTCAAGTGTCATCATGAAGACCACTCTCTTCTCCACAGCCCTCGTACCCCTTCTTGCAGCCTCAGCCTCTGCAGCATCAGCCTCTGGAGCAAGTGATGTAAGCTGTCGGACTGAACTTGGCACTAAATCAGTCGCCAGCGTAAAGACCGATACAGTCACAAAGACCAGCAGTGTTGGCCCAACCACTACCATAACGGTTACCCCAACTGAGACCAAGACGGTCCCTCGCTGGTCCACAGTCACAAAGTTCTCCACAAAGACGTTTACTGTCACCGGCCAGGGCGACACCGACACCTTGAGCGTCACAAGTACCTTCTTCAAGGTTGCTACTGTTACCGTTACTGCCACCGCTACTACCACCACCACCAAGACAGGCACAGTGTCGTCAACGTCGACTACTCAGATTGCAACCACTGCAGGATTCAAGTCTATCGCAGATACCGTCAACTCTGAGGAGTTCGTCGCTCAGAGGCGCATGTTCGCCAGGAACCCTCATTCTCCTCCCTTTGCCAAGCCTGGTATTAAGGCTTTCACTTTCCCAGCCAAGGTTCACTGTTAGTATCACCACACTCAATACATAGATCATCCACTCTAACCCTTTTGTACAGGCACCAAGCTTCTCCCCAATACTACAACCAATACCGTCAGAAAGACTGGCAACCCAATTACAGTTTCCGTCATGCAGACTACCACAACTACCAAGGAAATCCCAATCACTACTACCATCGTTCCAGATGATGTCTCTGTGACCAAGGTCTCCACTCTCACCATGAGTGTCACTACATACTCTACCACATGGAAGACCACCACAAAGTCTGCCACCGCGACCAAGACCAAAGTTCTCTCCGGGCCTACCGAATACGCCGCCTGTTCAGAAGGCAACATGTTCGGCCCCAACTTCAACAGCGGAGGCACCCAATATTTCGTCACTAACGTCCTCAACAACGGCCCTGGGATCAACTCCGACTTCCAGATCGTGGCCAATGGTGCGAGCACTGCCGAGGAGTGTTGTGGCTACTGTATGCAGTTTGGCAGCTGCGAGACATACATCTTCCGCGCAAGGGGACGAAACTGCTTCCTGCTCTACCACGCTGGTGCGACTTGCAAAAGCCAGGCCAATCACCCAAACTACTTTATGTCCAAGAAGGGCGCTGACGATGGTACTGGTTATGTTGTTGGTAATGGTATGTGTGGTTATACATACAGCGGGAACAGCGATGGCTCTGTATTTAGTGTGGATGTTTAAGGCACAGTCAGGTGGAGGTGTTATTCTCATATGCTATGAACCATACTAGTGTCATATCAATTTCATTTGTTCTATAATCCTTAATGAAATATCGCATCATTCCTCACTGACTGAAAAAGTCCTCCACTTTTAATGTAGGACTTGGAGTCCTAGGTGAACTCATCAGCCAAGGGTCACAATCTTTTTGTCGCTATGCCTAAGAAATAGAGATAATTTATGGACCTAGGTGTTTCATACACGACCAACATATACAGTCCTAGTATTCTCGTGCCACTCTGTGCTCCATGCGTAGGTGATAATTGCTTGGCATTTTCGCGTTGGGACAACCAACAAGCTGACCAGGATTTGAAAACAGGTGACCTAGCCCTTCCAGGACCATTATCTACTTGAGTAGCCCCATGCTTCCGCCATCACAAATGGCTAATACCGTAGGCTCCTAGCCAACTTCATCATGGAGCTCGATCCGGACGACGAGGGCGAAATATTCATCGACCAGTGCAATAAGATCAAAGCACTCTTGTCTAAAGCTTTTGACCGATGTCCGGATGATTTTAGAAGTGGAGTTCAAGATTTGGAAAACCTCAAAACTATGGCGGAACTCATCACACAAACACCATACTATTACCAAGAGACGACTGCTAGGGTTTTCTTCCAGTGGAACTCTCACACAGGGAAGTTGATCGCCCTGCTTAGCGACTTGGGCACCGAAAATGCACACCTTGGGACAGTGCATGATGACTATATGACTAAGAACAAGTCGCAAATCGTGAGTTTGTTCGCAAGTCTTGGCTTGGAACTTATTGGTATACTGCTGTAAGTATCACACCGAACGCGACTTAACCTCGGAATTGACTGGTAGCTTTAGGCAATACAGTCAAATGGAGAATGTGGCACTGCAGCCCAAGCCCGAATTCATCAGCGGAAATGGTAGGCACTCTTCTACCCGGCAAAAAGGACTTCAGTATCTCTTCGCAACGGATGTCGAACACGATCGCGCAGACATCAAAGCGACGAAAGGCGACAGTGTCCAAGGGTCGTGGGACTGGGTTCTCCAGTGTCACGAATTGACCAATTGGCTTGACTCAGATGTCAGCATCCTCTGGATTTCAGGGAGTCCTGGCACTGGTAAGACCCTGTTAGCAGTTCACCTCACGGAGCAGCTACCGCTTATGCTCTCCTCTGATGAGGTCCTTCTGTACTATTTCTTCGATTCTAAACTGGACATGCGCAATAACGCTGAGAGTCTCGTGCGAAACTTGATATATCAATTGGTCCAACTTGATAAAGACCCCCACAAGCGCTGTTGTAGCTTGGGGCCAGCATGCAAACTCCCGGTTGTATGGTCTATGTTCGTCTCGATCCTTGAAGCAATGGAAAACTCTCGGATCGTCTGCGTATTGGATGGCTTAGACGAATGTGAACTTAAGTCTCTAGAGGCTCTTTGTTCTAAACTTGAAAATAACGCTCCTGGTCTCCCAATCAGGTTCATCTTGCTGAGCCGCGAACGACCTACGGCAGTGGGAAGCTTTCTTGGCCGATATCCCAGAATCCACCTAGATGACTACTTGCAACAAGTCAGAGGCATCCTCCACAAGAATATTGCCGCAAAGCTGTCAGGACTGCCATTTGCCGACCACTGTACCGCCGAAGAGTAAGAGCGCTGTCACGAGATTTTCTACCGAAAGTCTCGTGGCTCACACCTTTGGGCTAGGCTTGCAGTCCAGTTTCTCCAGTCATCTACAGCTGCCCAAGTTGGAGCCACCATTGATACCTTGCCCAAGGGGATTGAACCTCTCTATCGCTGGCTACTGTCTCAAGTAGACCCCGGCGAGCGAAAGTTCATCAAACAAGTCCTAAGCTGGTGTGCATATTCCCAAAGGCCAATGGAGCTGACCCATCTGGCCGAAGTCTTGCAAATCCAGGCTGATGGTATTTTGTCACCAGTCGATATACTTCAGAATCGATTGCAACGCTATGGTGCTCTCATCACTGTCGCATCTCATTCATGGAAATACTTATTCATCGATGGATGGTTGAAAAGCAAGACCATCGTTCATGGTGCGTATGACACGGTGACACTTGTTCATCGGACTCTTTTTGAGTTTCTCACTCGTTCCTCCGCGACAAAAGAGTGGTTCTCTCTACACGCCGTCGCATTCCATCAATCGGACATAGCCAAAACCTGTCTCACCTGCCTGGCTTCGCCAAATACCCAGGATTGCAAAATAACGGCCGATGAAAAAAGGAACATAATTCATTCTACGACTATGCTAGAAAGAACTGGAGTTACCATTTCCAATGCTGTGGTGGGCATACCGTGAATGTCGTTAAGGGCCACCCAGAAAGCTTCGCAGGATCTTCAGTCCTTCATATGTGGTTCAAAAGCTTAGACATCTCTCAGGGTTCTATTTGGTGGCAACTAGGACTTGCAGCAGCCGCGGCTGGTCTCGACGATCTTGTCAACTATATTCTTAAAGCCGAACAGTTCAAGCTACAACTATTGAAGGCCAAACCGTTTGGATCCATAGCTATCAGGAGGCTTGGAACCACTCCACTCCATGTTGCGGCCAAACGCGGGCATCTCTCCACAGTGAAGATGTTGATGAAAAAGATACCATTCGCACTCGACCTCAAGGATCACAACCACCACACGCCTTGCTTTCTTGCCGGTATGAATGGACAACATGAGGTTGCCGAATTCCTTCTGCAATCCGGAGCAGATCACGCTAAACAAAATCCTTTGTTCAGAGCCATTCGGTCACACGATGAAGCCATGGCAAGATTGTTCCTTGAATAGAATCCCCGGATTTCAGCATTATCGATGATACAGGCGTCTTCGACCCCCATCTGGGTTGACGGGACCAGAGACTCTATGCTTGCGCTGTTATTGCCACACTATATACCAGAGCAAGCCTACCGATTGAGACAGAGCTACTCGCCTATGGCGCGTTGCAGAAGACGTGTCCAAAAGGCGTTTGGCATCCAGCCTAGCGGAACGTGGGCTACTGATGGCGACATATTATTCAAGGCAATTTGAAGCACTACATCTGTGAAAACCTTGAGGGCCTTGCTTGACCTCTCTATCACTGGTCTCGGCGGTAGTGAAAGGAATCAATGCATCCTCGTGGCGTTCTTGCGTGGAGATATCGCCATTATTAAATTATCAGCGGAGGAGTATGGATTTCTAATTCCCATCGAAAACGCAATACGTAGCGCTAACTGCGACGGGGACAAGAAAAGGTCGTTGGAGAAGCTTTGGCTGACAGAAGTTTACCGGGCAGATCCTTCCGTTGTCAAAGATGATGGAGTATCTGTGGTATCATAGTGTACGGATGAAACCAGCTCGAATGTGTCACATATGCATAAATAAGTCACTACCTAACTACGTAACCATTATATTGTATTTCAGATAGGTTCAATGAACTATGTCCATGATTCTAGGCCCATTTTATCGTTTTATGTGATATCTCGACAAATGGATCATTACTGAATGAGTTGTATTTCTATGAAAGACAAGAATGAATGGATCATGGAAGAATAAAGACTCTTTCTTTAAACTGTGATACCCCTTCCCAGACTTCTCAACTATTACGGGCTCCTCGGATCGAAGTGGGTCACTTTCACATCTAAACCCTGAGGCGGCTATTATAGGGATGTGGACATTATAGGGATGTGGGGTGTGGGGAATTAAGGCTTGATAAACATGGAGAAAGGAAATCCGGGATAATGTCACGGTGAGTAATTTTAGTCAGGTATATAATACTTATGATGACCGGCAAATAAGAACACTTTAGGTAGCATAGCCACTTCCTTCTTGAAATTCGTTTTTATATAACAGCCAGACATTTCTAGTGAGGATGTGCTGATGCTGCTGTAAAACGCTTGAGGTTGAGCTGGAATAGTACCAGAAAGGCCAAGAACAAGCGAAATGCCGAAGAGGTATACTGTTGGAATAGATCGACTTAACAAATCCAGGAATATTTTAAGGATCGAAGGTTATTAAGGAAGTTGGATGGAGTGTGAAGAGAAGGCTAGAGGTCTAGACGGATATCCTATACTTATGACAACCACAAAACCATGTACCTTATACAGCTGAGCCCTCGCTGTTCCTACACATAATCATGATTATTATTATGTGCTTAGCTTCTTGCTTACTCTACTGTTCAAACAGGTTTGGCTGTCTAAGTGTTAAGCCGTGGAATTTCTGTTCTTTTTTTTTAGATATTTACTTCAGTAGAGCTTCTCCAGTATATTTATTTCAAATTTATTTAGCTGAGGAAGACGACGGTTTCATAATTATCTTTGTCGTTCTATAGCACCAGGGATGAAACTGTTTATTTATGTGAAGTCCGGTAGCACCTTTGAAAAAGAGATCCAGCTGTCCCAACAGCTTCCAAGGTTTACATCCTTTACGCTATGCCATAGCAAAATTACGACGGTTAGCAATCATTCAGAACAAATTATTTAAATCTCTCAAGTTATGTCTATTGACAATCAAGGGTTGAAGACTAAGGACACAGGCTCAGTAGGCATGAGACTAGAATCCAAGTCAGTGGTAACATTACAGTACGTTCTGTTCTCCACCGTCTCTTTTCCCTGAAATGCATACCAAGTACAGGTTTGGGATTAATTTCGGCTCTCGCTCTTCAAGCTCCCCGATGCAAAGGATGAATTATCCTTTCAATGTCGGTGTTCGTGCTTCGATCTCGGCCTTCGCCATTTCAATTTGCCGATATGGATATACGACATGCCGATCACTGATAGCATCGACTCCACATCCCGACATTGTAGTCTAACTCAGACAGAAAATAAGCCATTGCTAATTTTCTTCCGAGTAGTAAATACAAGACAAAGGTTCTTTTTTCCGATAATTCTAGAGATAGAGACTGCTTCTATACAAATCAATATGTCTCAGAATATCTTCTTGCAGAACGGCTCAGTCATAATTCACGATGAGCATGACCATGTTCATATTCTTGATAACTGCGACATATTAATCTCGGATGGCATTATTGCGCGAGTGGGAAATGATCTCTGTCCCCCCACTGATGCAGAAGTCTTGGACTGTTCAAACAAGATTGTCAGTCCAGGATTCGTCAACACCCACCACCACTTATGGCAAACGCAGCTCAAGGGCTATGGTGTAGATCATTGCTGGCTTGAATACTTTTCCGATGGTCAGTACCATGTTGGCCATAGTAGCCAGTGGCTAACATGTTAGACCTTCTTCAATCTTTCAACTACTCGCCTGAAGACATCTACTGGGGCCAGTTAGGAGGTTGCTTGGAAGCGCTCGATGCCGGAACAACATTCGTCTTGGACCACTGTCACGGATGTTGCACCCCAGAACATGGTAACTGATAAAGCCCTACCGTCAACCGTGATCAGAACTGACTCAAGACAGCTGAGGAAGCTATAGCTGCGTTTGCGGATTCCGGTATCCGGGGAGTGTTCGCGTATGGAGAAACGTTTCTGAATCTCACAAGGTGGGATACTGAGTCCTGCGTACCTGGTGCTCCTGCTATCTCTGAAACATACATGCAGCATCTAGAACATCTAGCTCAGAAGGGTCCATTGGCGGATGGTCGCGTCAGGATAGGAATTGGATTTGACGGCTATCATTTGCCACAGCAAGAAGTCAAAAAGCTATTTGGCCGGGGCATCAAGGCTGGGGTCAAGCTCATCACTTCCCATTGCGGGAACTTTGGTAAGAACTTTGCGGCAATATTACAGTGACCATATTGACAGTTCTAGGGCCATCCGTACCAAAGCTCCTCGAAGACTATTCCCTGTTCCCTTCGCCAGAACATGATTACACTCTCGTCATGTCTTATGGAAACTACCTGAATAAAGCAGACCTGTCGGTGATTTCGCACCGTCAAATTCCACTTGCTTGCTCACCTGCCACTGAGGCTCAGGGCTCCATGGGCTGGCATCTCTTATTCGAGCCGGGACTCAACACTGCCCTGGGCGCAGATTGTCACTTCCTTAATTCTTCAAGTCTTATGCAGTCAGCACGGAATGCCCTTCTATTCCCCCGCCTTTAAAACACGCTACACCTCAAGTCCGACGGCCTTAAGCCAGCTAAGTTCTATCAGTCACATCACGATGTGTTCAATAAAGTGACGATACAAGGCGCGAGAGCTGTGGGCATGCAGGATCAGATTGGGTCTATCCAAGTAGGTAAACAGGCAGACATTCTCGTATTTTCCAGGACGTCCTCTTTAGCGTTCGGGGCTTCAGTGAGAGAAAGGCCCATAGAAGCCATTGTGGCTTATAGCGAGCCTCGTGATATTGAGGGTATCTTGGTCGGAGGAATTTTCAGAAAACGTGGTGGAACGATGGCTCCGATTTTCAGGAACGGGCAAGTCATAAGGTTTGAGTCAATTCTCTTACAACTCCAGCGGAGCCAGGACGGGATCAGAGAAAAGAGAAAAGGGTGCAATTTGGAACTATCAAGAGACCTCGTCTCAAAGATTGTCAATATGAGCTGATAGAGGCCTAGAGTTAAGAGGATAGTCTTTTAGAACTATTGAATAGCTACTGAATAAAACAGGGTAGAGCCGACTTATACTAGAAAACTGCGCGAAGCTTTCTTATCCCCCGTCCGATCGTTGATGGACCGCTGATACCACAGCCGGTCTTCAATTTCAAGTGGCTTGATTGACCCGCGATTGAAAACAAGTTGCATAGAGAAGGAATAAAAGAACGGCGCTTGGTGCATAATCGTTAGCTTCTCAGGTCGGGAGATGTGAGTACGTGGGCGACTCTCGGTAGTTTCGGTTGGCTTGTCGTATAATAATGGACAAAGATAGCGCGAATCAATTCTTCCATTTCTATGTTACACGTGTGCCTCTTCCAACTTGATCCCCAGGCAAAATGCTGGGGTAAATCTGAAATAACACGATCAGCAGCCCCGCCTCAAAGTAGGTAACTAAAGGCTCCAGATCTAATAAATGGCTCGAGATATATGGAGGCGCCACCTTACCAATCCAATATCGAATTTGTGTCATGATGTATTCATGAATAGAGTCTACTAAATAGTTAAGGCTTTTGTGACGTTGGACTTTGAGGACTTTGCTTTGTTCTTCATCTCTTTCTCAAGCTGGTAGACCGCTGACGAAGATTGATCTAGCAGTGTCGTGGATGTGTATGGCCTTTATCTGGTAAATTTATAGCCTATGCCTGGCTATATAAGTGGAAATACCCAACGTGATTGTTTTCGGACTTATCTAGCCTATCAATACTTCACCCACGCATTCCATAAACGATCTCCAAGACAACGCCTGATTTGCGATACTAAACGAGGGTGCCGACTACGGATTCTTGAGTATATAGAGGTAAAGGTTGTGATGCTGAAAGGCCTGAGGCTTGAATCATGTATGATGTATTTGATTTACCACAAATAAGGAAATATGACATTGTTTGCTTGTAAATCGAGGACAACTAGTTACTCCTATTAGAAGTGCTGCTTTACCAAATCCCTCGCTGCTCGAATCGTATACTCAACAAGCTCAAAGCTGTTTAGTCCAGACGTGAAGTATGTATGGTCTGTTCCCTGGAGAGCATTGAACTTCTTATACCAACCATCAGCCAACGCCTTAGGTCCCACATGGGGGAAATAGTCGATCTGTCCACTGAAAGCGCGTATATCTGAAGCAACCACCTCTGTACCCTGAGCATGAGCATTATTCAAATCTTTATTAATCTTGCTCAAATCAACAAGAAGATGACTCTTGACTCGGGAAGCGCTCGGGTGCGCAGGGTCATCGGCGGAGTAAACGTTGACAATATCGGACTCTGGATGCAATGGAGTCAGATATACGGGTTGGCCTTCCGGCTTGAAAGGTTCCAGAGGGTTTGGAAGCGCTTGTGAGACTGTCAGGTTGTCGCCAAGCTTGTCCATGCGCACGGCTGATGAGAAATAGCCGTTGACGCCGACTTGTGTAAAGAGACTACGTTCAGCCCCCGAAAGTACCAGTCCAGATTCCTTCAGAGCTTTCGATGTCGGAGGGAAGGCCAAGATGAAATCGGAGCAGAGCTGTGTATTTGAGTACCGCCCCTTAGCATCACGGTACTGAATAGTTGGCTGGCGGCCTCGATCTGGATGAGTCAGCTTTGGTTCCAGTGATAGGCAATAGATCACATACTGATCCGCTCAATTTTCGTGCCAAGATGAATTGGGCCCTTGATGGTCTTGGATAAACGTTTAAAAACGTCATAAAAGTCTGCGACGAGTTAGTTAACCAGTGGGTATGTCACTTGCTCGCTGGGAGGTTACCAGTTTTGTAAGGCTGAATCGTTCCAAGAAAGCTGGCGATAATATCCGGCGCGAAGAACTGCAGGAAGTATAGCTGTGATTTTGGTTAGCTACATAGCCTAATCAGTACGTGGACAGGATGTAGCTCACTGCTGGAATTTGAGTATAGTCGCCATATCCATAGTTCCCAGCAGCGCGGTTGATAACAGACGCGATGATGGGGAATTTATTCGAGAGAAGCCATTCTTGAGCAGGAACAACGAATTGTTTGGGGACGCCGTTCTGCAAGCCAAAGTCAGAGTCGTAGGTCAATGCGTAGATAGCAACACACTCACCTTATAGCTAGGAACTCCAATTGGAGCAAACTCCTTTTGCCAAAGACCGGCATATCGAGCCAACTCCTCCTGCAAAGCCTTGATAGTAGCAGGAGCGAAAGGCTCCATCAAAGCCGCAGCTCCAGTCTTTGGGTCGTAATTGTAGGCGTAGGCAGGGTCAAAAGTGTCGAAGGCGGCCCCAGAGGATTTGACCAATTTGAAAGTCTCCGCATAGCTCGGGCTCTCAGTGAAAAGGACAGCGCCAAGAGGGAAGTATTGGCCGCTTCAGAAGCCAGTCCATCAGTTGACACATTCCAACAAATGACTACCGACTGGCACTGGGTGCTGGAAAGATGAACTTACTCTTCGTAATGTGATTGACACTTTCCACCAACAGTGTCGCGCTTCTCAAATATGACCGTCTTGTGACCTTTGTCCTCGAGTGCCTTCGCCGCCGTGAGACCAGATATGCCAGCACCAACAATACAAACTGGGTGATTATTCTTTGCCGTGGCCGCTGCATTGGCCAGCGATGCCAATGCCACTACTAGTGAGAAAATCTTGATAGTCATAATGATAATTTGTACGCGAGAGGGTTGGATGGAGTTTGTAATGAGCAATGTGCGGGTTCACGACTTTATAATGCGCCATAGTCCTCCGTAAAAAGCTGGAGGTCTTGGGTTTAGCGCTTATTTACCTCTTCAAGTCGGATAAGCGGCGTCCAACGAAATTGTAACAGGACACTATTGTCTCACTAACGTCAGCCACCAGTCCTATAGTTGCTATATTAGTCCTCTTTTACGAGGCGGCAGCCAATGGTTACTCGCCAACTAGATCCAGGCTGAAAATATATGTCTGAAAGTTAGGAGTTATTGCCATTGGTCCTACACCAAATTATAAGCACTAATATGTTCTGGGCGGGAAGGTTCGAATAGTTAAAATTAAAGATAAGACAGACACGTATGTCTATACGTATTGTATTACCTGAGGTCTTTGATGTCTTTAATATCACCCAGAGTCATGGGTGTTCCGGGGATGAACCATTCTGATCCCTGGGTTCTCCTGCATTACAGTTAACTTATAATTTCCGCAAAGGTCACTAGACCTAAGTCGAATTGATATTCCATACCTCTTTATTGCTCTCTGCGACATAGACCTAAATGTATAGTGATGTACAGCAAGAGCACCCCGAGGCATACTGATAATTAACCAGAGGCAGCTTTCCATGAAGTAGACAGTATGTCTGACAGGTATTATTGTCAATTGGATTTGTACAGCTACATTTCTTCAGAACTTAATCTCAGCCCTGAATATACAGGGCTGAGAAGGGTTCTTAGTACTCCAATTAACTTATCACGTTTCATAATCTTTACTTGCTTGAAATTGAAGCTTGAGCTTAATCGCGCTCAAAATTGGAAGAGGGATAGCCAAGTCTTTGTTTTTATTCATTTGGTTTCACAAAGTCTTGGTCAGAGACCTAGACCATCAGAAGTACCATGAAGAAAGGAAATCATTACCTATAATACGTGAAATCTATGGGTAGCCGAATGCAGTGGTTTATCTACCTGTGGGCCGTCTCTAGTAGCATCTATATTTCACACTATATTTGGAGAGCCTGCAACTACCTCATATATAGATGTGTGCCGGAAGTAAGCAGTGTTTCCTTTGGCAGATATTAAGGTGTGCAACAGTAGTCTTTTAAACTAGATATCAAACCGCGACCTTGACATGAAATACTGGTAGCTAGTCTAGCCCAGACACACGGGTTATTTACACTTAAGATTTCTAGATCAACATTATCAAATAAGTCTAGTCTTTTTTATTACCCCCCTTTCAAGTATTGAGAAACAAGTCCTAAACGATTAGATTAACTTGAAATAAATCATATAGGACAGCGGTTCACTGACATAGAAAAACATTATATCTCTCGATATAATACCGTATGGGACTCTGGCTTAGCTGCTTAAAACTGTCTCCTGCAGCCACTAGTAGTATCGCTGGTAAAGGGGATATGTCCCAGCTCATTTTGACTTTGCCAATTAACATTTAAACAGAAGCAGGTTGTAACGTTATGTGGTCATTTTCTACATTTTAATCGCTTCACTTATCCGTTCTCGGAACGGATTGCATGTCAGCTTCTTCAGTCAGATGTGGCGCAGTCTGATCGTGCTGATTTCCGTGGCCATCAGTTGATGCAGCTTAAAGACGTAAACTTCGCGAGGGACAAGCAGTTATTTAAACTATAAAAAGTACACGGGGTTAAATGAATATTTCTAGTTTCAATAACACAAGACACTTACTCAAGATATATATGTTTTCTCTTTCTCCTCAACCTTCCCCCTACTCTAGCTCAGGCGGATATGCAAGTCCCAAGATTGTCGCCATCGGTCACACCTTAGCGGGCCTATCACAGGATCTTGGGAGGGTTTTACCGCCCATAAATGCAGTTTGCGCCTTGTACGTGCAGGTCTTAACCAGTGCTAAATACGAGAATGTAAGGCACCGACACTGTGAGTTAGGCATAAGAGAGTGATAATCCGTCAGAAATCTAGGCATTTTCTTACATACTCCGTACTTCTTACCTCTTGCCACACATTTTGTTCTGGCGTTGAGAAACTTCCACCCCGGAATAAATGCCGAACTCTGAGAATTCCGACGGGGGTTGTCTATCGGCTTTGACCTGTGGACTGTTGAGCAGACGAGAAAAAAGGCCACCAGATGTTACCCAGTCTTCAAAACAGGCAGACACCAAGGTCGGCAAGCCGACAAACTTGGAATCGGCGCCACTCCCAATTTCGTCCACAAATCCTGTCTCTCAGGAAATCTCTGACTCAGCACATGGCGACAGTGAGGCGCTTATTTTGGTGCCAGAAAAATCAACATTGGAATCTACTCTAGTGAGCGAAAATGGGTCAGCGCCAAGCAATGCGGCATCTGCTCAAACAAATGCACAAAAAGACGGTACTACGATATCGCTGGAATTGTGGAAAGAGGCGTACGAGAAGGTTGATGATAAAACACGCGAATGGATTGGACGTGTCCCGGAGATTGACAATGTCAAGATCTTCGCTCAAGACTTGGTCGAAGTTGTTCACAGACAAGAGGAGGAGTACGAGGGTGACCATTTAGACCTCGAAGTTGGCAAAGGGAAACGCAGAATTTTGTGGAGGCTTCACGCGGAAAGAGTCGTCTCATGGCTGACTGCAATTGGAGACATTGCAATTCCCTTTGCTCCAGCGCCCTCTTCAGCTGTCTGGTCGGGTGTCAAGGTACTTCTGAATGTAAGTGCACTTAAAGTAAGACTGTATAAGAAGCTAACGAAGGTCAAGACAAACGTGTCTCAGTGCAAAGAACTAGTAGCAATTCTGGGGTGTACTGATATACTTCTTAACCTTATCAGACGTGGTCGAGTATATGAGAAAGTATATATGTGCGAGCCTTCCCTCACTGATCTCCAAAGGTTGTTGAGAGAGAAGCTTGTCAGTATGTATAAAGATTGTTTAGAATTCCTGACCCATATGCATGAGAGATTCAACAAGAACCTAGCCAAACAGTTCCTTGATGCTCTCATTGATCCTGAAGAGAGCACGGGAAAGGTTGCCGAAATGCGGAATTGGGAGTCACGGCTATCCATCGTGGCTGAGGCTTGCGGGACTGAAAGTATTCAATCCAGCAGCGCGGAGCAAAAGAAATTGCTTCAGAGCCTCCAGGAGCCACTTGGACGGATTGACGACAGAGTGGCAGGGGTTCTTGAGAAACTGGAGGCCCGTGAGGCAAATGAAGCATTGGACTTTATCAGCACAATTCCAGTTGGCCGCCATCAGACCGAGAAGCGTGACTCCAGGACAGAGAACACGTGTGAATGGTTGATAGCGCACCCCAAATTCCGCCGATGGGAGGATGCGAGTTATTCATCTTTGCTTTGGCTACAAGGCAACAGTAAGTGTTGCGGTTCTAAATTCGGCCTTAGAAATAAACTAACATCTTTCATAGTCGGTACTGGCAAATCGTTCCTCTCCTCGAAGGTGATTGACCGATATTTGTCAACAGTGATGAGCCGGAGAAGTGGTCCAACAACCACGACGATGCCTTTGCCTACTTCTATTGCAGCCGCTCCGACCTGGCAAGACAGAACATCAGTTCCATTCTCGCAAGCTATGTCCGTCAGCTAAGCGAGATGCCACGCCACCCTGGAAATATTCACGTGTCTTCCTACAAATTGGTCAAGAACAAGGGGAGCGTTCAGAAAACCACAGAGGTCCAGCTTTACAAAAGAGTCCTGGTTGAAATGATCAACAGCTACCCTCGAACTACCTTGGTACTCGATGCCCTGGACGAGTGCGAATTCGACACAAGGAGAGAGCTTGCAATTTTCCTTAAGCAGCTTGTCGCCGAGAGCAAACACCTGCTTAAGGTATTTATCGCTAGCCGCCCACAGAACGAAATTAAGCATCACCTCATTGCATCCCAAGGTCCTCAAATGTTGGTTGAAATCAACACTACGGATAATCAGGGCGACATCGAGAAGTATGTGAATATTGAATGGGAAAGGTTTGTCAAAAGCCCGCCTTTTGATATTGGAGACAGCCTCGAAAAGCTTGTCAAGGACACGCTGAGTAAAAAGAGCGCTGGAATGTAAGTATCGAATTTCCCATTATTCACGTTGAAGCTAATCAAGGTACAACAGGTTCAGATGGACATACCTCCAGTGGGAACAAATCAAAGCGTGTAGAAGTAACGCTGCTATACTTGAGAGACTTGAATTTCTACCTAAAACCCTCTCTGATGCTTATGATGAGATTTACAATACTCTTCAGGGATCCGAGCGCTTGATGTTACAGAGGGCTGTGAGATGGGTCATGTGCGCACGAAAGCCGTTGGATAGCTGCACGCTGCTTTCTGCCATCAGAGTAGAGAGTGAGAGTGTGGATGGCAACAGTCCACTCAACAAGTCAGATCTCGTTGAGAAAACCTTGGAGTCCGTCTGCCGACACTTGGTTGTCAAGGATTCTCGGCTAGGAATCTGGAAGTTTCCACACGCATCGGTTCTCGAATACTTTGAAAGTGAAAGACAAGACGAGCCGTGGTTCAAAGACGCAGAGGTTGAAGTTGCTATTTGCCTGATCGGATGTGTTAAAGACAGCTGTTCATACCTCCCCTCACTTTTGCCGTCATCCCTTGTCAAGGATCGCGTTGGATCATCAGACATAGAGGAGTGGTTCCGATCAGGCACAGCAGACTTTGATAAAGCTTCAGACCCTCGACATCCGCTCCAATTTTACGCCCAACTAAACTGGTTGGATCATATCTATGACATCAAGGCTGGAAATCCCAATATTGAAGAAATAGCCCAAGCCCTGAAGCGATTCCTGGGTAACAGTCCCAATGAATTCTCGATGGAATTTAACATCTTCTGCGAATACGTTGTGAAAGTCCGGGCGAAATATCACAACATAGAACGTTGGATGAAAGTAATACGTCATCCAGCTGTTGCACTTATTGGACTAGGTCTTCATAAAGTGCTTCACGGATGGTGGGACAGAGATCTCGACCTCTCCTCAAAGGAGCGACCAAACGGGTCAGACCTCTTGACAGTTGCCACAGATTTTGATCAGGAAGACCTCTGCGAATACCTCATTGAACAGGGATGCAACCTCAACGGAGCTACTGACCGGATGGAACACAGTGCAATCGGCAATGCTATTCATTCCAACAAGATTGGGCTTTTAAAGCTTTTTCTAGACAATGGCGCAAACCCCGATCGTGTTATTGAAGGCCAGAGCCTACTTTGCCTGGCACTCGTGACCAGCACTGCAGCTTTCGAGCTTCTCTCAGAGAGATGTCAGAATGTCAACATCAGATGTAACACTGACTTCCAAGGTGGGATCGACTGCAGGTTTGGGTGTGCATTATCGAGAGCTGCTTATTATGGCAACATCAAGGCATTAAACATTCTTCTTGATAAGCATGCATATGTCAACCCTGAAGATCTCCAGGATGCATATGGAAGCCCTTTGATTGCTGCTATCGATGGCAGGGAGCTTGACTGCGTCCGTTTTCTCATAAGCCGCGGGGCCAAAGTCAATGCTGAACTGAGAACTGGAGAATTTGGCACCCCATTGGCTGCTGCGGCATCGATGGGAGAACTCGACATTGCTCGGGTTCTTGTTGATAATGGCGCTAAGGTCAACGGCTATATCCCGTTTGGAAGATATGCGAATGTTTTGGCGGCTGCTATTCTTGGGCCTGGCCCTAGTCTCCAGATGGTTAAGTTTCTTGTTGAGGAACATCAATTTGACTTGAAAGCATTACCTTTCATGCAACCCAGGAATGAACAAAAACGAGATGAGAGACGACTACGGGGGGATCAAGTTGAAATCGTGCGATATTTTGTACGGGAGCACGGTATGGATGCTGAGTCTTTAATTAGTATTGGTATTCCGCCTGTGGTGATGAGACTTGATACAATGGAAAGCGAACAAGAAACGGAGGTATGGACCCTATCAGATTACGAGAGATCACCCAGCCCTTTTTCAAACTAATGAACTATTGATAAATTCCTCATTATAAAATGGCTTCTCGGATCTAAAGACGTTTAGTTAAGATAAGATGGATAAGTAATAAGTTTTATGCAGGAGTAAAAGACATTTACTAACTCGATTATTCCACTCAGGCGGACGATCAGATAGATGGGACGTCGGCTTTGTCGTCATCGTCGTATTGTTTGAACACGGCGTCTTTCCAGGTGACGGTGACATTTCTGCTAGTCATGGTTGGGGCAAAGACGCTAAAGCAAACTTGATATCGGAGGGTATTTATACTGTTCTTGCGTCTTGTCCTAGCTGTATGTATAAAAATATGAAGACGGTGCGATGTTGGACCTGGTCAGACGGTATGGTGATTTCTGTGAATGATATTATCAGGTATGGTGGGAAGGAGATCATCTTTGGATTAAGAAACCTTGAGTGTAATAAATCTTTCCCGCTTGCTAGAAGTCTGTCTTTTGTAAGCACTCCAGAGAACTGTACTGTAAGTGGATCATACATCAAAACCCTTTTCCAGATTAATTGAAAGCTATTGGGTTAAATAATACTAAATTAAATAGGAGTATATATACTCTTGTAGAGTATGTGGTATTATCCTTTGGATAATGACTATCTTTACTCAGGTAAGGGGAATGCGTGGCGGAGTGTGAGAGTCGCATTGTTGTCGAATTGAGCCACAGTCTTGAACTCATCTTTATTTTCAAAAATTGATGACTTTTGGAATGGCTGTGACGATGATCAAATTCTACGAGCGAACTGTCCCCACGACTAGTAAAGAAAGACTGATCATGTTATTGGGTAATAAAAAGAATGTGTCTATATGTATACCCGGTAACTACCCTCCTCAGCTCTGCACGACCACTGACAGCTTCTATACCATTCGATTGAACTTGAACCCTAGGAACCGGGACAGCACCTTTACTCAGTCTACTGCTCGACACGGCACAAAACCCAGCCAAAATCAACAACGTTTGTGGAGATGTCAGCCTGCTTTCCCTTCTTGAACTCCAAGCTACCCAGCTGAAGACCGTACTGATCCTTATATCGACGACACCTGACCTTGTCGTCCTTGGGAACCGGAAGGCCGTCGCCCGCGACCATAATTCCCCTGACTTCGAGCGAGGTGATAGGAAGCTTGTCAAAGTGCGTGAGCTTCCCAAAAGGGATGCGGACAGGGGTTGTGGTTTGCTCGTATCCAGACCCTTTGATTGCACCGATGACGACGACTGCGAGGTTGTTGTCTGGGGCTGCTTTGGCAACAGGAGCTGGCTTTCCAGCAGGAGTTGCAGCCGCAGTGGAGGCGATGGCAGCGATGATGGTGGTGATGGCGGTGAAATGCATGCTGATGATATTTTTGTTGAGATATTGAAGAAGGGTAAAAGTAATTGATTGTGGTGATGGTTTGGTTGGTGTTGTGGTATATTGTTGTGCTGTGATTTGTATCGGGAAATCATTCTAGGTCTGAAGTGCTACCTTTAAATACTCAAAGAGCATCATTTTCTTGTGCTTCATTGCATTCTTCGTGTAATGTTGATCTAATATTGGTATACGATAGACAGTTTGTTCGGCCCTGGCTATGCGTAAACATGATACCACTAAAAGCCCCTTCGTAAAATCAAAAGACGCAATTGGCCTGTCCGTCCCTGACAACAGTAAGCTGACGTGCATAATGCTGCTTGTTGTTCCTTTACGAAGAATGCATGAAATCACGAGAGCGCTCCCCGCATATCGACCCATTTTAGTGAGGCTGAGCGTCACGGGTAGGGAGATCATGCCCATCACTCTACATGATGGGTCGCAAATAAAGATTTAGTGGATCTGAGCATCGGAAGAATATGAGCTCGCAGGTAAGCGTAACATCCTACGTTGTATTGTGGCTGAATATCCATGTCACAGTTTACGAGGTGAGTCTTATTTGCTCTAGAACAATCGTTGACAACACATTACATTTTTTAACCAAATGGGACATTAAAATACAAAGCGGCGATCCTCGAAAAAACCACCGTAAGGTAGAAGATACCAAAGAGGAACAGGCTAGTTCCCACCAACCCTGAGGGTACTGCTTTGAAGGTTCCATGCGTCGTAACTTTAGCATGTATTATCAAGGCGCAGTGTCGGTCACGTCTTTTCTACCTCCTCTAACGCTTTCTATTTGCCCTTAAGCCACACTTCACTCCTTCTCTTTCAACACAAACATACTACCATGCCACCCATAAGCCCGCGTCAGTCTTCGTCCATGGCGTCTAGCAACCTCAAAAGGGATCTTACCCTTGGGATGAGGCTCATGGAAGTGAATGCCCCGCTCTACATCCAAGCTAGTAGGGGAAAACTGCCAAACGGAACCATAGAGCTTCTCAATCCGAAAGCCTGTAGACGCCATGGAATAGAGAAAGTCATGCCACGCAATGGAACCCGGTGTTGAGGTTACTTCAGGGTTGAAGAAGAGTGTGCGGAACACCTTTAGTACCCGCGCATCAACAGCGAAGGTTGGCTGATTATCGACGGTCTCAATATTCGTGGCGTTGACTAGTTGAGCGTCGACAGCGTCGCTGGAGACTTGAGATGCTTTACCCTTAGTTTTGACTTTGGTCTTGGACTGGACGCTTCGAGAAGTAGGGTCTTGCCCCATTTTCTCGGACTGGCCCAGGAACAAATTCGACATGGGCTGATTGAGAGCCCAGATGTCCTTCTCCAAGCTAGGCTCAACTCTCTCACTTTTCTTTGCAGGCTCTACCCACTGCGCAGTTCGTCTCAATATACGCGGCTGCGAGAGAAGGCGATATAACGCTGTGCCTTTAAAATCCATAACTCTGGCTTTGGTTACATCGTCCACCTTGGCCCAGAACATGTCAAGATTCGCCTCAGCCTGTCGCAGGGCGTCCACCGTCTCTTTGGTACGTCGCTTACCGTACGGGTAGGTAAACTTTCCGCCAGACGGCTCTCCCACTCTAGCAGCGCTGTCCAAGTGCTTTTGTAAGAATGCGCCATGGAGCTGCGTCATAGGCTTCTGCAGGGCAGTGAACTCCTCCTTGAAACCATCTACATGGTCCGCGGAAGCCACGTCGAACTGTTGGGCCCATGGCTGATAGAGTTCAAGTTGCTTCTGGCACTGCGTCAGAATAGCCAACTCGCCGATCATCTTGGCCACATGGGCAGATATAAGCGCATCAGCCTTGGGCTCAGCTTGTAACAGACGCTCCAGTTCGTCTACTACGATAGGCGGGCGCGCGAGAAACAGAGCATAGTCATCCTCCCACAATGTTCGCAGAAGCCATATCAACTCAGTCTCAGCCTTGTCCATGTTGACACCAGTGCGGGTTCTTATCAAGATCTTCGTACTGTTAGGATCAGCAGGCGGTTCGCGAACAAAGAACTTCCGCATCGGCGGCGAGGCTACCACGGAGATTCTCAGCTTCTCCAAAGGCGCTTTAGACGCCTGTTCCAGGTAATACTTGAACCGAAGCAAGGCAACCATGTACTCCTCAGGCAACTCATTCGTGGCTTGAATCTTCTTTTCGAACTTTTTCTGCAGATGGCCGAGATTTTGAGCTTGTCGATGAAGCGCAGTAAGAGTCTCGAGACTTGCGTAAGCATCCATTAGCATTCCAAAAGTAACACGGGCCCAAAGAGTGGTCTCGCGCAGCTTTTGGGTCGCCGGATGAGGCTTTCCCTGAGTATCAGGTATCATTTCCTGTCGGTGATCTTGGATCTCGCGGAATTGGTCGGCAAAGTAAGCAGGATCTTCACGAAGTGACCAGACGTGATCCTCCGCTGTTAGCTTCCTCGCCTCGAGGAGAGAGCTGAGTTGATCGAGGTCGAGCTTTGCTGGTAATCGATAAGGAGCTTCGGTAGCCATGACTGCCAATGAGGGAAATCCAGAGGCATCGTTATCCGTCTTCAGCTGAGGCTCAGGTTGAACCGGATAGACATCGCTGGTAATATTCTCCTCAGGGATCTCGTGGAGAATTTGACGACAACAATCAATCAAGAACGACATTAAGCGGGCCTGTGCTTCAAGGATGAGAAGGCCCTCGCCTGGGAGGAACTGCTTGCGGGTATGCATCCAATCAAAGGCGTCTGGATGAGAATCCCAATCAAGAAGCTTTCCATACTCCTCAGCCCTCGTGGCCCCATGCAGTATCATTGTGTGTTCATTGAGAAATACGGGAATAAGGGCTTTTGTGACCTTGCCTAGGTGCATCGCGTCGTTGTCAGCTGCCGCAAACGCTGGAGGTGGTCTACGGCCTCTGGCGTTTATCAACAGAAGCATGAGCTTAGACTGAGACAGATCTTCCTGGTTGATATTAGGCCACATAAAATGATCCCTGAACTTGGTTCCCTTCTCTCGCTCCTCCTTGGGTTCTTTGCGAAAGGCCTCAAAGTCCGGGCGGTGGGAGGCTGGCATGGCCGGCCATGCTTTGAGAAGAATCTGAAGTCTCTGCTGACGAGTCTTTTTGGTCCAACGTTTCTGGATGGTAGCCTCATGTCGCTCAAGGATACCCTTCAGCAAGTCATAGCTCGTGAATATTTTGGATGAATACCCTGCAGCCTGTTGCCGAACCTTATCAGGTGAGGGAAGCTCAGGCATGGGACCCCCCATTGCGGTGAGGAACGCATGCGGATCAGACCAGTCAATGTCCGGCAAAGGAGGACCTTGCTTATCGAGCTGTCTCGCCTCCTCCGAGAACGGATCAAATCGGAGGTCACGTCTAAGATTCATCTTCTGTTGAGTGATGCTCAAGCGTAGGGCGATGGATGGATTCTCTTAGTAGATTTTGCGGTGGTGATATTTCGAGATGGCGGGGTATGATCACGTGCTCCCTACTACCTGTACTCTAGGGAATTTCCTGCTATTGGTGATGACTTCAGCCTTATCCTTGAAATGTATAAAACGCTGGCCGATAATGAGTATTTGATGGCCTGATGTAGCTAAATCTACATCACTACCACACATAAAACAAACATATCACCATAGCTAAGAGCACAGCGCCCCAGGATTCTGGAGTTACAGCAAATCTCCTCATCCGAGCATGCACGCCCGTTTCTTTAGTTTTTTTCACCACCACCCTCGTTGTGCTTCACCGCCGCATCCTTGCTCAGACAGAGAATGAAACTGATCCCATGTATGCTTTTCTCTTGTTATCCATGTTGCATATCGATATGGTTCAAAGCCTTACCACCTTCCTCGAAAAGCAAATTGCTGACCGATGGGGCCCTTCAAGAAACGAGTACGTGATGACTTGAGCCCTTCTCCTCGCGAACGTGTCCAGTATCAACTAGCACAAAAGAAGAAGCCGCTCGCCGTTTCACCGCCGATTGCGCGGCGGCTCGCACTCCCACTGTTACCCAGGGACACTTGCCCGCCATGTGGAAGCTAGTCGAAAATGTAGCTAGGAAATACCCAGACCATCACGAGAAGGTATGAGAATCATCCGTTGTTGTTGCTGTTCTTAGCTGATGTTGGTACAGCTTGTTGGCTTGCTTTATGAGGTCCATGGCCTACCTGAGCTCGTTATCCGAGGCGAGACAGCAGTTGTGTGGTCTGAGCTACCCTCCCTGGTGGAAGGCTGGGATGAAATCTACAATCGACCCGAAAACCAATACTCGGAGGAAATTGTGTCTGTCATTGGTTTTATCACGAAGCTCCTTACTGCCAAGCTCATTCCACTAGATGAGTTCCTACGCTGGGTAGACTTGAACATGCACACTGCACTGGAGAAGGGCCCGGAAGACCTTTCAACGTAAAACAAGGCCGACCTTATCCGTTTCAACGTTAATATTCCTATAGCAGCCCAGTGGATCCGGCACGATGGCTTGATCATATGGAACTGTGAAACCGACCTTGGTCTTCCCAAGAGGGAGGATGGACTATGGCATGGAAGTGCAGGCTTTAGTTACCCTCGCTGGAAGTTCTGGAAGAGCCGGGTGAGCGAAATTGCCAACTCAAGACTCGTCAGTTCTAGGACACGCGACTTTGCCAGGGACATGATGGAGGAAATGACAAGCATCGAGAAACTGGACGACTTGTAACTGAGTAGTAGAGTATTCCCACTACTGTTGCATCTCGTATAGTACTACAAAGGGAGCGGAAAACCAGAGAAGCTACTCTAAGATTTTTAACACCACATTATATTATATACATATTTTAAGATTTCCTCTTATCTCATACAAACATTCAAACTTACTTAACTATTTTACTCAATGGGAAGTTATTAATCTAGTTCACTATCTCCTTCAGTGAGGGGGGACCACATAACGTGAACCATTAAGGTAAGAGCAACTTACTCATATTGAATAATATCAATTAGCTAGAACAACCTTGCAGTGTTGTCTTCCACTTTTAACATTGTTAAAGCATTACAGCTTTAAAAGTTACTGATATAGATTGATGTCCTTTTTGGGAGATTACATCGGAATGAAAATGACAATTGGGCTGCTCATTTTTGGGTCTTTGTAGCCGCTGACCAAAGCGTGCTACACCGACTATTTGAAGCTGTCTCACCCCCATAGGCACTAATTAGGCCATTAAAAGACATAGTAAAGTGCTGGAAATATAATAAACAAGAATAGGAGCATAAAGAATATTAATGCTGTTATCATGTTGGCGACTTAACAACTGTAGGGTACCTTTGTCTCACAAGTTCTACTTAGCTCATATCAAACGGAGAAATAGGTACTTTACGGAACAACATACACCGAGGAAACGTACCGTCATCCCACGTCTAATTGACTCGGACATGCAATATTCGGTTGATCTTCATTCCGGCGGTTTTCACAGCGGATCACCTGGCCTTAGGCAACTCCGTCTAACCTTCGGCGAAAAAAGTGAATCCCGCTGTCATGCCTGTCATTCGAATCGAAACGTGGTCTACCAATACGACAGCACGCAAGATGGCGGTGAATCTATCGTGCTCAATTGAATAAACTCAAATTCCAGAGGCGTGGTATTGTAAACCACCCCTCCTCATTTATCCACGCCTCCCCCACGGCGGCTAAGCATCTCAAACAACGGTCCGCGGATCGACATCTCGGCGATGGGTCTAAGAAAAAGGTGGCACCCTTGCACCCTGGGGTGTGCATATTTGGCTACCACCTCATCTCGCTTTGCATAACCCTTACCCGCATCTCGCGGAACGTTACAGCTGACGTCGCCGACAGCAGGGGTAAAAAGCTTATTAGGGTCCCAGACAGATGCCCCATAGAAACGAGAAGAATCTTTGAACAAATATGGATACTACCTTTGTGGATGGAGACAATGCTAAGCTTTGAGGGGAATCTGACTAGCCATGTCTAGAGTTTGTGACGTGGAAAAGAACTATTCTCAGCCCATTCTACCCTTGCGAACAGTCCGAAGGATTGCTTAGCTTCTCGGCAGGAACTCTTCCTAGAGTCTATGCTACCCTCGAGGAATTGCTTCCTTTCAAGCGTGGTAGAACGCTAACATTGCGAACTATTGACGGAAGTACCGGCACGGCCCGATGGAAGTCAGCCTAGCTCAGGAGAAACTCAATGTCTTAGATAGGACTAAGATCGAGGAGGTACGCAAGCATACAAGCGCGTAGTGAGACAATTGTACCTAAAGGAGAGGGATAAATGTATCTCACCTTCCGCCTGTAGCCACCTGCAGCGATCAACATCTTTCTACCAAACAAGATGCGTTTTCAGGTACTCACCGCGGTTGCTACGCTGGTAGGCTCTTCAACCTGCCAGACCCTTTGGTCTCGGGATGTCGACTACAAGACCCTTAGCAAAGAGCTCTCCAGCTCTGCCAAGGTGTACTTCCCAGGCTCGGATGACTTCAAGGCTGCGTCTAATCGTTGGTCTAACCTTGGCCTGCCGACTATCAACATTGTTGTTGTTCCCAGCACGGAGGAAGATGTTGTGAAGACAGTAAGCCTTTCTTTTATACCTTGGTGACATGTCTTAGACATGCGCCTTTGACCTCCCCATTATTCCGCAGCACATCATCATGCCTGTCACATCATGCAGCCCATGAACCAACACCAGATGGCTAACGGGTTTCCATAGGTTCAATTCGCCAATAAGAAGAAGCTTCCTTTCTTGGCATACAACAGTGCCCATGGAGCAATTACCACTATTGGAAAGATGACCCAGGGCATTGAGATCTATCTCGATCAGCTCAACGATGTCAAGATCTCCAAGGATGGAAAGAGTGTCACCATTTCCGGTGGAACCAAGTCTAAAAAGGTGACCCAGACGCTATGGGCGTCAAACAAGCAGACTGGTAAGTCTATTCCCCACAGAAGCTGGACTTCACAGCGTACAAGATCGATTCTGATACATCATAATAGTCACTGGTTGCTGTGAATGCGTCGGCTATGTCGGCCCAGCCCTGGGCGGTGGTCATGGTTGGCTCCAAGGTCGTCACGGCCTTATTGCTGATCAGTTCGAGTCGATGAACATTGTTCTCGCAAACGGTACTCTTGCTACCATTGACTCCAAGTCAGAGCTGTGGTGGGGTCTCAAGGGAGCTGGCCACAACTTCGGCATCGTCACCTCTGTTACATCCAAGATCTACGATGTCAAGTACAAGAACTGGGCTTTTGAGATTATGACCTTTAAGGGCGACAAGGTTGAGGAGCTTTACGATACTACCAACAAGTATATCCTCAAAGATGGCAAGCAGCCCACTGACCTCATCAACTGGTCTTACTGGTTCAACATTCCTAGTGTTGACGCTACTGGGGTAAGTCCACTTTTGATACCAATTTCGTGCAGTTTCTCACAAATGTGCAGCCTATCGTCCAGATCCTCTTCATGCAAGAGGGTGTCGAGGCTGTTGACTCCGCCTATACATCTCCCTTCCAAAAACTCAACCCCATCTCCGTAGACAAAAAGAAGGGTGCCTACACAGACTTGGCCACGTGGGTTGGTGTCACCACAACCGACGGACCTTGCCAGAAGAACGGAGCCATGAACCCGCGATTCCCTCTTTACCTTGAGAATTTTAACGCGACTGCCCAGAAAGAAGCCTTCAACTTCTTCGCGGAGAGCATGCGTGTTAACACAGCCTTCAACAACTCCCTGGTCACCTTTGACGGATATACCCAGGAGGGAGTCAGGTCCATCGACTCCAAGAGCACTGCCTTTGCGTACCGTGACCAGAACATTCTCGTCGGACCTTTGATCACTTACACGCCTGGCGGTGCTGATCTAGATGCCAAGGCTGCAAAGGTTGGTAAGCAGATCCGACAGCTTCTGCACCAGGGAACAGGCCGTAAGCATATTCCCACATATGTCAACTATGCCTTTGGAGATGAGGGTCCCAAGGAGTGGTATGGTGGTGAGAGCTGGAGACAAGATCGCCTGCAGAGCCTGAAGAACGCGTATGATCCTGAGGGCATGTTCAGCTTCTATGCACCTATCATTTAGGTGCAGGGGTCAAGAGTTTGTTTACTGGATCAACCTGCGAGGTGTACAGGACGTCTTTGGGTGTGGGTTGCTGGACGGTGTAGGGGTTTTATTTCTTTCTACTGTAGAATATTTTGAGTAATTTGGACTGCCAGAAGTTCATGAATATAAAATAGAGGCATCACGGGTAGCGATTTATCTCGACCTGTAGCTATTAAGTGCCTATCTTGAAGTTATGCGGCAAATACGGCTTGCTATCACACTAGAGTGGGTTATGGTATTCTTCACACCTTCAAAACGCCCTCACGAAGGGCTCAAATTCTGTTATGAGACTACGAACTAGCAGGAACACCTTTTCAGTAACCAAAACTTTAGGTTGTAGAGAAATCACAAAGCCGTCAATCGTTACTCGTATTTATTGTATATATGTATATAATGTCTAAATCTACTGGGGGCCTTCAAGCTTCAAACCAGTGATGTCCTCGCATGCCTTAACAACAGCCTCCTGTAGGTTTTCATCTGCTGTCAAAGCATGAGTCTGGCCTCTCTCCTTCTTAGGGTCGAAGTAGGCACCAGTCAAGCTTGTATCATAATCACCCTCGGCCAGCATCACATATGTCTCGACACCATCCTCCAGCTTACCAGGTGCGTCTTTACCGGCAAGCTTGGTGGGCACATACCCTGGATGCAAAGAGGTCACCGAGGTACCCTTGAATCGTCGTGCTACTGCATTGGCGAGAAGAACGACGTGGAACTTGGAGTCACAGTAAGCTTGGAAGTCGGCCCACTCCTTCTCTCCACGCTCTAGCCAGAAGATATCCTTGATGTCTGTGTTCTTCGTTTCGTGGTGGAGGACAGAGGCGATAAAGATAAGACGCTTGGGTTGCTTGAAGAGAGAAGTGAGGATGTAGGGAGCGACGAGGTTGACGAAAACCTGGGCTGGGACATCAATCTCCGTCTTGCGGAAGGGACCGTAAAGAAGTCCGGCGTTGAGGATAATAGCGTCGAAGGTGCCAATAGCGTTCGCATCCTCAGCGAGCTTGCGAGTCTCAGCCACGGTCGTCAAATCGGCAACGAGCACGCCGGCAGCACCAGGGCACTTCTCCTTGACCTGCTCAGCGCGCTCTTGGCTTCGCGCATGGAGGTAGACCTCGTGCTTGCGCTCGATTAGCTGACGGGCTGCCTCGAAGCCGAAGCCGTCGGTAGAGCCTGTGATGAGGATGCGTCCCATGTTGCGCGAGCTTGTAGAGTTGGAACGGAAGTGGGAATTGGTATGAGCGGAAGGATGATGGAAAGGTTCAAGGTTTTGGGAGGGCTGAGCAGGGGATTGGAAATAGTGTCTGTCGTGAACGATCCCTAAAATGAAGCGGACGAAGGGAAATCGGTGGATGAGGTAATAGATTGCAAAGTCTCAACATTGGAAAAGTTCATGTTACTCTAAAAATGGGGAACCCCGTTTTGTATTTCCGTTGGGCTCGGAATTCCCGCGACTCCGAAGAAATGGAGCCTGAACAATTGCGGAGAGAAGAGATGTTAAGTGGATGTCTTGTTTACCGTGACAACCAACGACATCGCCAACGGTGTTACCTGTACTGCTACATGCAGGGTCAATTTAGAGTTTGATCTATGTAACGCTGCGGTAAGGCGTATGCATACTACCTGATGACGATTGTGGTCTAAATACCGCAGGTACCCCATCAACATGTAACATCGTGGGGTGAAGGCGTGAATAGAGAAAAGTATTACTCGTGCCGTTTATGTAATAGCCAATACTCCGCACTGGATGCGTTCTAACGTTAGCACGCTCTAGAGCCTAGGACAAGGGTGCTGTTGGTTCGTGGCTCATTACATGCAGGCGGCTGAACCTAGGATCTTCGGGTAGACTACTCCGTATCACCCTGTCAAATCTACGGGAAGCAACTTAAGTGCCGTTACGAATGACCGTGATGGCCAAGCCACATTCTCCAACATGACTCGAGCCTTACACGGCAGATGTACCGGGAAACAATTGCGTCACAAGTCCTTTGGCGAATGCGACATCGGGTACAGGGCCTGTAGCAAATACATACTAAGTTCATAGTATGAACACGCTCATAGAGACCTTCAGCACGGACTGTCCAAACAATACTGGAGTCTCACAATTCCGTCTACCAAAATCATCACTACTATCACTGCAACAATGGCTGCTATAGCTGACTCCCACTTTGGCAAGTTCCGTTACCTGACGAGAGGAACCAAGCCAACTCCCAGCAAAGAGGCATATTTGCTTCCACCGCTCTCCGAGTTTGGCGATCTCGTCACCTTACCTCTCACGGATTTGAAGCCGTCTCTTGATCTTGAAGAAAAATCTCCCTACAAGCTTTCCACCCATGGCTTCACCGCTCGACGCCACCACTCTGCCCTGCATGCCCCTCCGTATGATCGGGCGAGTTGGAACAACGAGAAGCTCCTTCGAGAGATATACTTTCCAGAGGTTCAATCTTTTGTACAGAACTTGACGGGATGTAAGAAGGCAGTAGTGTCCGCTGCCGTGGTACGGAACCAGCTCTACAGCGAGGGCGATACGTCGTCTGCTACACAAACGGAGGATACTGAACAGAGTTCAAAGAATGAGGAGACAGCGGAACTATTCCCACCTATTTTTGGGAACTCTGTCAAAGACGGTATATGTCCAGCTCCGAAAGTGCATCTAGACTGCACTCCAAAGGGAGCAAGGTGCCACATTCGCCAATACCATAGCGAGGTGGCTTCCGCTGCTGGGGATGTCATTGAAGCAGAGAATTCGCTGCTTAAGTCTGGTGTGAAATGGGATGATCTTAAGGATCACTATCAGAAAGAGAACATTGGTGAAGGGGTTCCTCGCTTTGCACTCTTTTCTATCTGGCGCCCTTTGAGGACCGTCCACCGCGATCCTCTGGCTTTGGCATCCGCTGCTTCATTTCCCGCATCTGACTACGTGCCTTCTGATCAGCGTGAGCCAAAGGACAACCGCATTCCTACCCATCTATCACGCATCATCGATCCCAACAACCCCAACGTGGATATTTCCACCAGGGATAATGAGAAAGATGAAGCGACTTACCTGACTGAGGGATATCTGGCTTATGCGCCGCAAGATAAAGAGAAGAGGTCTCATGACTGGCACTTTATATCGCAACAAGAGCCTTCGGATGTCTTGGTGATCCAGCTCTTCGATAATGAGATGGAGGCGCATGCGAGAGCGCTACTGGGAGACGGAAAGGGTGTGTCTGATCTGGGAGTTGGAGGGGCGGTCCATAGTGCTTTTGAGTTGGTTGGTCAGGACGAAACTGATGAGGCGAGAGAGAGTATTGAAGTCAGGGTCGCAGCCTTCTGGTGAAGTTTTAGATACAAGAGAATATTAAATAAACATTTGCTCTTACTTAGTGAGAAATTCGGTTCGATTTCCAAAGATGCTAATACTTTTACGAGCCCGTCATGGAAGGTTCTTTTCTGTCAGTGCCCGCGACCAATCTTATTGGCATTCGATGCTTGTCATCATCCATAATATTGGACCGATTGTTCACCAAGAAATTCGAAAAGGAAATTTACCACGTCCAGATCACGGCGGCTTATTGTTCTACAGCCCACAAATGCATGATGTCTCAACAGCAAGTATTTCTACATAAAATACCCTCAGCTCGACTTCACCCCAGCTGTCTTGACTCCAAATCTCTGTCCCAGAACCACGAACTGTGCAACAGTAATAATACGTCTCAGTGCTAATCCCTCCTGCTTATTGAAAGCCTTATCCAGCGCATCTTGCGCAGCGTTCCAGTCGACAAAACCCAGCTTCTCCACGTTCTCCTTGGTTACAAGCTCTGTTATCTTCCGGTGGAGTGGCCCACCTGGCCAGAATTTCCTCGGGCCCATGTATGCTTTCTTGCTCATGTTGTAGACCTCATCGGTCACATAAGGCTTCACAGCTTCGCGGAGAATATGTTTCTCGCGGTAAGACTTATCTTTTGCATTGTATCTCATCTTCAGGCTTGGGGGAATGTTGTTCACATATTCCGTGAGATGATGATCCAGGAAAGGACAACGGCTTTCGACTTGGTGAACCATGTCGATGTTATCTCCATTATACCTGAGGATGAAGTGCGGCATGAAGGTCTTGACAAACATGTACTGAGCAGTATGAACAGGATGCCAGCGTTTGAGGATGTTATCCCGAACACGGCCATCAAAGCCCTCAACTAGACTAGTCTCAGGTATGCTGTCGCCGTAGACCTTGGTCCACTCGGAGAATGGCAGACTGCCTACTCTGGCGATTGAACTGGTAACATGGCTGTGGTTTAGCATACGCTTCGTTGATACTGGCACATCAGAGGTGAAATCCCCGAAGATGCCATGTTTGGCTTGCTTGCTGGCAGTATAGAATGCTTCATCGCGTTCAGCGTTTGTCATGAGAGCTGGCCACGAATGGTCGGGTTCACTCAGTGAATCGGCGCGGAACGCATCGTAGCCGCCAAAATGCTCATCGGAACCTTCTCCTACAGGAATATTAGAACCCATCATTACAATGATGGTGGGAGACTACTAACCTGTGATAACAACCTTGATACCCTGGGAGTGCACCGCATCGGCCAGAGCTAAGCGGCCCATGCCGTTGAGATCTGGTAGAGGAACTTCACTATACCAAGTCGTGTCTTCGAAGCGGGCAGCGAGGGCCTCTTCATCCATTTTAACAAGATGAATGTCGACACCAAGCCAGTCTGCTGTCCGTCGAGCAATCGCTAGAATATGTAAGCAAGTAAAAGCACACAGGCATTATAAGTAAACCCACCGGACTCATCCGCACCACTATCCTCATCAAACTGGACAGTGTAGCACTTCATGTTGGACGGCACCGAATTGGTCTCGTTACCCAACTGAGTGCCCTGCTTCATGAGATGTGCGACCATTCCTGCGACGGATGAGGAGTCAATTCCGCCGCTGAGGTAGACAGCCACGGGCACGTCTGCTTTCAGGCGGATCTCTATAGCCTCTAGAAGACGCTGTCGAACGCCTTGCGTGATTTCCTCCTCTGTTCGTACATCTTTGGCGAACTGCAAAGCATTAACTCCGGACAGCGGCCGTGAAGAGATGAATGGTTTACCTTGTCTGGGTACTCTAGATCCCAGTATTGCTTCTGTTCCTCTTTCTCATTGGGACGACATATGAGGTAGTGACCAGGGAGAACCTGTTTGTTTTAGAAACGCTACCTAGATTCGGTGTTCCAGGATGTGACTTACTCTGTGCACGCCTTTGAAGAAAGTGGTTGAGTCAACTCTCCAGCTTTGATCTCTCAATGTTCTAACACACCATTCCGGCTGCACCCCAAAGGCTAGAAAAGACTTGATCTCGGTAGCCACGAGCAGCTTATTTTGGTGCACTGTGTAATACAGTGATTTGATGCCATATCGATCTCTGGCTGCAATGAGCTGCTGGCGGTTTGCATCCCAGAGAACGAAGGCGAATTCTCCCCTCAGATGGGAGATGAAGGAGAGGCCATAATGCTTGTAGAGAGCAATGACGATCTCACAGTCACTGTTTCCCACAAATTTGAACTCACTGGACAATTGAGCTTTGTAACGCTCGTAGTCATACAACTCGCCGTTCACCACGGCATGAATTCCATTTTCTTCATCATGGAAGGGCTGGTTTCCGCTCGGACTCAGATCAATGATGGACAAGCGAACATGGCCGAGACCTATGAGGATGGTCAACAAGTTTGCTCTCCGTAGGCTTAGGCGAATACTCACCAACTTGGCGGTCGTCACTAAGCCAACGACCACGAGCATCTGGTCCACGATGGGCAATGAGATCTAGGCTACCCTCCAGCTCAGCTGCCACATGCTTCGCTTCGCCGTTCACCACCGGCAAGGCGGACTCTCCAGGGTGGCTGAGAAAAGCACTGATTCCACACATGATTATCCAGGTTGTGATAGATAGTGGTGCAGCACAATGGGACGTGAAACAGAGGTCGAACTGATGTGTTCTTCACATTTCCTCCCACGCCAATTAACCGCCCCCGATATCGGGTCAGCGGTGATCTAGATTGGGCTAAGAGAAACTACGTTTCAACTCTACTCGTCGTTAGCATCGTCAGCTTGTGAGAGAGCAATATCACTGGATCCCCGGCCAAGCCGATGCAGGGAGAAACAAGCCTTCCTTGGCAGTAGAAAGTTTAAACCCCTGGTATATCCACCTGAACCAGCCCCCTACCCCACAATCTCATCTGCCGAGCTTTTAGTCCTCTGAATCGGGAAGTTGTCCAAATCCGATGCTCACTTGCGGGTGAATGTAAGCGCTTATGCTCAACCCCTGGTCGGACCGATGCGGCCCGCTCGGGAGGCGCCGCTGCTAAGATGCAGAATCGCGGCTCCGTACCGTAGTCTCTGAGGGCTTAGCACTGTGACGTAGGCGTGGTGAGGTTACATGGCATGTACCTGTAGATATCACCCCTGTTGCATCTTGCTGACTCGAGGAACACCGTGTCCCGGGACTGCGTTGTCATTCGACTTAATCTGGTTGACAACGCTGTAGGTGACATTAATGTGGTCCCTGTAAGTTTGATATTACTAGATAGACTGTAAGATTGAGTGTGGATACGACACAAGCTGTTGAACTTAGTTTAATGGGCTGTGTACGTAATATTCATAGCGCTATACTTGACCTGGCGTAAGTATATCTAATAATAATGTCCGATGCCTGTCATCGCGTATAGCTACCCGCGGAAGGATTATTCCCTTGTAAACTCTCGAAAATCGGGCATATGTAAACACTAGTCTCTCCGCTTACGAACGCATTCCTGACTTGATTTACGCGATTGGATGTATTACGAATTCAGCACAAATATGGCTCATTCGACGACCTAATCCTTTGAATGTTCCTGTAGCAATACTGAGACCTGATTCATCATATTCTGTACGCCCTTGACCATGGTACTGGTTACGGTTACAATTTAGACGTTTCACGGATGAAAGGAAACGAGGACTACTCAATACGCGAGCATGTTTCACGGAGGGAAGAGAGCAAGAAGCTTTCAATACGCAAGGATACAGCGTACACCTCTGAGACAGGGCAAAATATGCAACGTCAACTTTAACCACACTAAGAGGGCGTTCACTAGACACTCATCGTCGATTGGTGGAAGCTTTCGCACACCTTTCTATTTTTGAGCTCGAACTCTTGAGAGGTGTTTGCGTGATCGTGACTATCCCCACCAGATAACCACACGCCATTACACAAATCCTGTGGTTGTAGATCTAGAGATAAACAGTGTGGCAAATCTTGCATCACTGAGTCGTGAAGTCACCTAGATCCGGCCTCCGTCAAATCCTCACACGCGTTGTCGACCACTGAAGAGACCAAGGCGGACTGCTAGACTGGATAACCCAGATAACTTACAGGAATCAATCCGTAGATATAAACATTTATTCCACAATTTACAACCTGTATCTGTCAATAATCGTACCAACAGACTTTTACCCCTACTCACAATGGCTCCACCAGCTGTATCGCCGCTTGTCGTCCCACGCACTGATCTCCCTTTGGATTTTCCAGAGGCCGAGACACAGCTAGCTAAGGTGAATGCCCAGTGCACAAGCCTAAGTCACAAGGCTCTTACCAGCTGGCTGCACCATGAAGGCAAAAGTCAGCTGGACCTTCTTCAGGCCGCTTGGTGTCTTTGTCTTGGGAGTTATACCGGTTCTGAAGACGTGTGGTTTAGCAGTCTCAGCCCTAACAGGTAAGGTCCCGGGTAGGTAGCACTTTCGTGCCTTACTGACATTGCATAAAGCAGCTATTACTGCCATGTCTTACCGTCCAAGCCTGTGCGAAGCCTCTTCGACAGGAGGAATGTTGAATCAGTTGAAGAGATTAACGCGACATATTGGGGAGCCAATTCTGCTGTCTTCATCGAGGGTGAGAACGAGGAAGCTAGTGAAAACGTAAGTGATCTTTCTTCAGTGTTTTGATGCCCCTCACCTGACAGATAATCGACTTCACTGACACCACACTAGTTTACTATCTCTGCTTCCATACCCCAAAGGGCAAAGACTCATTATCCTGGTGTCGAGATACACTACAAGCCTTCGTTAATCTCACCAGACCTGGCTGGCATGATAGCAGCCACAGTCGTGAAAGCTTTTGAGGAGATAGTCTTCAATATTGACTCCACTGTTGGAGACCTTGACATATGCAGCGATGCAGATATTGAACGTCTTACCCAATGGAACCGCCCAATTAGTGATGAGCTTCTCTCATCACGTTCTATACACCATGTCATATCACACATGACTGCCACACAACCAGATTCCATTGCCGTGTCGGCCTGGGACGGAGAGTTTACATATCGCGACCTCAACCGTCTATCCTCAGGACTGGCAATATGGCTTCAGCAGCTGGGCGTTGGTCCAGAGGTATTTGTCTCCCTTGTGTTTGACAAGTCCAAATGGGCAGTTGTCGCACAGCTAGGTGTCTTGAAAGCCGGGGGTGCATATTTCTTCATCAATCCTTCTCATCCGATTGACTACACCCGCAAACTTGGCTCATCTGTCAGCCCCATAATAGCTGTGTGCTCACCAAGATACAGCTCACTTGCTGAAGAGTTAGCTTGTGAGGTTATCGCCATTGGAGATGAGGTTCGGGAGCTCTTAAACTCGATACCCGTGGATGATGATCCCCAACAACCATCAGTGGGGGGCAACACATCAGATGCGATGTATGTCACCTTTACTTCTGGTACGACAGGTTTGCCCAAGGGTATTGTTACAGAGCACAGCGCCTTCTACGCTATGGCCATGGCCAACGGGAAGGCTCTCAAGATAACCAGCACGACAAGGATGCTGCAGTTTGCCTCATATACATTTGACGTGAGCAATCGCGACACGCTTGTCACACTGATGTTTGGTGGCTGTGTTTGCATTCCTTCCGAAACAGATCGTCTCGATGACCTCGCTGGTTTCCTCAATCGCCGTTCTGTCAATACGGCGAGTCTTACGCCTTCAATGGCAAACACCTTGAACCCTGCTTCATGCTCGAGCCTTCAGAAGTTGGTACTAGGAGGTGAACCGATGACCGATAGTCACATTTCTATGTGGGCCAGCCACGTGAGGCTCTTCAATGCATACGGTGTAAGTGAGAGCACAGGTATAGCCGCGCTGTCAGAAATCAAACCAGGTTCTTCTCCAAGCAGCATCGGTTATGGATGCGGTTCGAATCTATGGGTTGTAGCCATCCACCAGCCCGACAAACTAGCACCTATTGGTGCACTTGGAGAGTTGGTCCTCGAGGGCCCTTCTGTTTCTCGTGGATACCTGGGCGATAAGGAACGCACCGACAAGCACTTTACATCAAGTCCCGCCTGGAAGCAGAGGCTTCATGAGCATTCACGCGACCAGCAAAGGAATAGCCGCGCGTTTCACACTGGTGATCTCGTACGGTATAACCTAGACGGGTCACTTCAACTGATGGGAAGACGAGATCACCAAGTCAAGGTCAACGGACAACGCCTCGAGCTGACGGCAGTTGAGCATCACATAGCGTCTTGTTCACAAGTAGCCAAGGAAGGGTTCTGCCACACTGCTGTCGTTGCTGTTAAGTCAGGGCAGAGTGATTCAACCAAGCTTATCGCCTTTCTGGGACTTGATACGTCCAGAGAGCCACTCGATGTTTCCCAACTGGTGACAGGGCAACTGCGGGATGTGGAAAAGTTGAGAGAAGCTATCAAGGGTTATCTACACGGCTGTCTTCCGAAGTACATGATTCCGAGCGAGTTCATCTTTCTCCAGCACATGCCACTCACCACATCAGGAAAACTCAACCGCCTTCTTCTACAGAACACAGCCACGCAGGCATTGGTGGATGCCATGAACCAGAATGACGAACTGGATGGGTTCCATCTCACAAATGGCCATGTAGCAACAACACTTAAGCAGAGGATTCTGATGCAGATCTGGTCCAAGCTTTTGGGCGTCGAGGAGAATCGTCTGTCACCCAAAGATTGCTTCTTTCGACGAGGAGGAGACTCCATGGCAGCCATCAAAATGGCAGCCAGTCTTCGTGAGGAAGGCTTCACCATATCCGTGTCGGATATCTTCAAGTCCACGGTTCTGTCTGACATGGCATCAGTGTTGATCAACAACGACGAGCATGTGTTGGCAACAACACCCGACCCCTTTTCACTGCTAGAAACGCCTCAGGAACTACTCCGAGAAATCAGTGAAGAAGTCAACCTGTCGATTGATGATATAGAGGATGTGTACCCTTGTACGCACATGCAGCAAGGGTTGATAGCCTTGACGGCTCAGGACTCACAGGCTTATATCGCGAGTTATACCTGGCCGCTTGCAGATGATGTTGATGTGCACAGATTCCAGGATGCATGGAATACGACATGGCTGAATAACCCGATTCTTCGATCTAGAGTCGTGCAAACAGCCCATGGTATCTTTCAAGTTGTGACAAAGACAGACATTCCTTGGACAGATGTCGCTAATGTCGCTGGTACATCGACTGAGATCGATATCAATCACGGCCCGCTGGTCAGGTTTTACATGTCCAAAGAGTCCTTCCGACTCGACATCCATCATTCTCTATTCGACGAGTGGTCACTCGGTTTGATCTTGACGCAAGTCGAGCGCGCATACTCAGGAGCAAAGCTGGAGATGCAGCCATTCAGCCCTTTCGTCCGCCATCTCCTGCACCAGAAAGATTCATCGGAGGAGAAATTCTGGCGTCAGGAGTTCTCACAAATTCAAGCGGAACATTTCCCAAGTACTTCCAAGCTTGGCCAGACAGCTGAAAAGGTCATTCTGGAGCATTTCTTGCACCTTGATGCCGAAGTGTCTACCAAGTATACCCTCTCTTCAATTTTGCGACTTGCGTGGGCGATAGTGCTTTGGCATCAGACGGGTAGCCACGATGTTGTCTTTGGTGCTACTGTCAGTGGTCGGAATGCGAACCTTGACGGGATTGATCGACTCAGTGGGCCGACCTTGGCGACGCTGCCTGTGCGTATCAAATTAACTACAGACAGACCTATCCATGAGAGTCTAGCCCAGGTTCAGAACCAATTTATCAACATGATGGCTCATGAACAAACTGGACTATCTCGCATCAAGCAATTTGGACAAGAGGCCGCTGAGGCATGTAACTTCCAGAATCTACTTGTTGTGCAGCCTCATGAGCAAACCACAGAGTCCATCATCTTCAAGACCCCAGTCGGGTCTAGTTCTGAAAACATGAAGGCCTTTGCTAGCTATCCGTTGGTGCTGACATGTCGGCCGGAGAAGAGCGGGGTTTCTATCAAGATGACATGTGATCGCGATATCATGACACCAGACGCGGGAGATAGTCTTCTTAGACAACTTTCGCAGGTTGCGCAGCAGCTTGTATCTTCTGAAGACATGCTTATTGGGGATGTTGATATGATGCCTCCCCAAGATATGGCCAGCTTGAAAGAATGGAACACTTCCCTTCCAAAATCTGTCGATACATGCATACACGAGCGTATTCAACAGCTATGTGCCATTCAACCTGACGCATTGGCAATTCACTCGGAGAATCTTGACCTGTCATATGCCCAGCTCGAAGCCTACTCAACCCGATTTGCACAGCACTTGATCAGCAGAGGGGTAAAGCAAGGAGACTTTGTACCAATTCTGTCAGAGAGGTCACCGTGGGCTCCGGTCTTGATGCTAGCAGTTCTGAATGTCGGCGCCGCCTTCGTTCTTCTGGATCTGTCGCATCCTATCCAGAGGTTGCGGACCATGTGCTCTATTGTCGAAGCCAAAACTCTTGTCTCTTTCAACGAACACGCCAACATCAGCGACAAGCTCTCGCTGCCTGTTATTACTTTTGACCCTGAGCTGTTCACAAAGGAAGTCAATGGCCAGTCTTGTAGGCCATTGTTGCCAACCTTGACTCAAAACATGGATGCCCCCGCGTGTGTGGTTTTCAGCTCAGGATCTACTGGAGTTCCCAAAGGCATTGTCCTCTCCCATAGTGCCATCGCCACAAGTGCGACTGTCATGCGTGAGCACGGGATGCTTGCTCCCGAAAGTCGCGTCTTCCACTTTGCATCGTTCGCATTCGACATTAGCATTGGAGAAATCCTGTTCACCCTCTCAGCTGGCGCATGTATATGCGTACCCCAGGAAGGAGAAAGACGAGACAACCCCGCAAAGGCGGCGGGAGATCTCAAGGTTACTTGGGCTCTTCTGACTCCTTCTGTCATCAACCTTTTTGATCCTGCTGATGTACCCACGTTGAAGATTTTTGGCTCTTGTGGTGAACCACTCACTACTCAGATCGTCGACATCTGGGCGGACAGACTGAGCCTATTTGCTATGTATGCACCAGCAGAATGTACAGTCATCTCGCATATTGGACGCATCTTTCCTGATACCCACTCCTCCAACATCGGCAGAAGCTTCGGGGCTTCGTCTTGGGTGGTCGATCCAGCAGACCACAACCGACTGGTACCCATTGGGACAGTTGGAGAATTGCTCGTCGAAGGGCCCGTGGTTGCATCTGGTTACCTCAATGACCAAAAGAGGACAGACCAGGTTTTCATCTCGAAGACCTCTTGGCTTGCTAAATTCCGTTCCAATTCTGGGAGGATGTACAAAACAGGTGACCTTGTCAGACAGACAACTGATGGCAGCTTGCAATTCCTCGGAAGAAAGGACGATCAGGTGAAATTGCACGGCCAAAGACTTGAGGTCGGTGAGGTTGCGCATTCTATCACGTCAGTGTGCACAGCTGTTAAAACCGCTGCTGTTGAGTGTATCAAGATCGCCGACCAGAATAATCGAGTGTCGTTGGTAGCGTTCCTTGCCCCTCAAAACGAAGGCGCCTGGGGACAGCAAGAAGTATCTGAGAATGGTTTCGACTTGATTGCCACACCCAACGATGATTTCTACTCAACCATTGCAAATCTACATGTGTCTTTGGCAGAGTTGCTTCCATCATACATGATACCGTCTTACTTCATCCCTCTCAGCTATGTACCCCTCAGCCTGTCTGGCAAAGTCAATCGACGATTTCTTCGAGAGCAGTCCACCATTCAATTAGCGATGAAACTACAGCTCTACCAACTGCGAGACAGGAGTCTTCCCTCAGAAGATGTTCCTATTACAGAACACGGTCGGGAGATCCAGAAGATCGTTGGTCAAGCACTCCATCTTGACCCAGAATCTATCCCTATCAACGCCAGTTTCTTCGGTCTTGGAGGAGACTCCATATCGGCTATGGTAGTCTCTACACTGGCTCGTCGAAGGGGCATAAACTTGACGGTGGCCGATATCTTTACGCATCAGACCCTGTCCAAGATTGCGCTAGTCTGCGCACCAGATAATGCAGCTACCAACAATGTAGCAAGCCTACCGAATGGTAATGGGTCGACTGGACCTGGCACTAGTGTTGACGAAACACCACATGAGAAGATCCCCAGTCACGTTCCTAGAGAGATTGCGGACAACATCTTGGAGGTTACTACAGCCACTGAGTTTCAGGTCATGACACTCTACAACTTCTACAACCGATACCTCTGGATTTCACTCCCAGATGATGTCGATGAAGAGCGACTACAAGCTGCTTGTGATCAACTCGTCCAGAAGCACTCCATCCTACGCACAGTCTTCTATACCAACGATGACAAATCGGTCGTACAGCTGACTTTACGCGAAGTGCCAGTAAATTTGGTTCATCACTCAAATATCGAGAGCTTGGAGGAACATTGTGCGGATGATTCTCTGATCACCAAAGCGCCCGTCAACGGCGAGCCAGGATTTCAGATACAGCTCTTGAAGCTGAGAGATTCGAGGACCTTCCTGGCCCTAAGATTGCCTCATGCCTTGTTTGATGGGATGTCACTGAGCACCATTTGCGATGACCTGAGTTCGGCATACAGTGGAAGCGTTATTCCACCTTGTGCGCAGTTCTCAGATCATGTCCAGCATGTGAAGGAGAAGACGACTCCCGATACCTACAAGATCTGGAAGGACGTGCTAGGTGGTACCCCGATGACAAACATGAGCGACAAGACCATCAATCGGGAGAGGATGGGTGAATCTAAGTGTGCAACATTCGACAAGGACATGTCATCAGCGAGAGTGGTGACTGCAAGAGCAGAGACTGAGCCAATCTCACCTCCCACCAACAGCACAATGGCGACACTGGTAAAGCTGGCGTGGGCCATTACACTATCTCGCTTATTCCCTTCTACTCAGTCAAATGATGCATCCGGTGAGGGCCTGAGCGATGTCGTTTTCGGCCAGGTTGTTCACGGTCGAAGTCTTGGAATCCCTCACGAAGATCGCATCATCGGCCCATGCCTCAACATCATCCCCGTGAGAGTTCATTTCCCCAAGCCAGCCGACAAGCACCAACTGCTCTCTCAAGTCCAGCAACAGCATATCCAAACCATGCCAGTTGAGAACCTTGGTCTTGGTGAAATCGCGCGTAACTGCACATCCTGGGAACCTGGCACCAAATTCGGCAGTTTCGTGAGATTCCAGAATTTCACAAATAATGACGATCCGACCTGTGACTTTGATGGACGGACCTGTGAGACGGGATTATTCAGTCTTCCGAATAAGCCGTCTAGTACGGCTAATGTGCTTGTTGTTCCTCGTGGGTCGAGTTTGAGCATTACGATGACTATTTCGAGTCAGGTGTTGGATGAGGAGTTGGCGGATTATGTGGTTGGGTACTTTAGCGATGTGATCGAAAGTCTTGCTAAAAAGGATATATGCGAGTATTTTGTATAATAGTTTCTGGGGTCTTTTATATCTATCATGCGACGAGGTACAAATGAACGGTTCGTTACGATTGTTACGCCCAGGGTATTGCACAAGCTTTTTTGTCTTGACTGACCTTAACCTCGTCATTTGGGAATTGCTACCAAATCTCGAGACCCCTACATTCTTGCTAGCCCTGCCACATTTGAGTTCGGGGTGTGAACCAAGGAAACTGTGTGGGATCAGCCTGTTCCTACGGTTCTTCGAGTGATAAAAGCTCCACAAGACGAAAATCGCGCAGGGGCTCATTGGCTTTGTCATGTCTAGTATTTAACTTAAATTCGTTGTATGCCCTTCATCTTCCAAATTTCTTCATACCAATCCACTTCACCATGTCACACCAAGAATTTCGTGTCGCTATCCTCCAAAACTTCATGCTTGAAGAAACCGGTGGTAGACCAATGGTCGATAGACTCTCGCATTTGATCCTCCAGTCGAAGCCCAATGCCGAAATCACTCTTCATGCTCCAATTCAAGGCGATGAGTTCCCTGACCTTAATAGTCATGATTTAATCATCCTCACTGGGGGCCCTTTCAATCTTTTACAAGAAGATAAACCATTCTGGGTGATTGGGACCTTGGATTTCATCAAGGCTGCCACTTCGGGACAGGCAAAGTCAAAGATTTTAGGGATTTGCTGGGGCCAGCAAGCAGTTGCTCTAGCTTTGGGCGGTTCCTTGGAGAAGTCGAAAAGAGGACATTGTGTAAGAGCTCTCTTGTGCAATAAAGTTGAGCAGAACTGACTGGTGAGACAGATTGGTGTTGAGAACATCACGTTGAACTCTGATGGTGCCCAATTCTTCAATGCCAAGTCCTTGGTATGTAACATTGGACTCCCATGGTTATCATTTGAGACTAACCTCTCAAGAACATACACAAGAACCACGAGATCGCGGTAGCTGATATTGGACCCCATCTCTCATGTCTGGCCCCGAATAACGAGGTACTATTATCCAAAGATAATCGCGTCCTTACATTCCAGGGCCATCCGGAGATGGATTCTGAGCTCTCTCGATTATTCGTGGCGACGGACGATGTATCCCCATTGCCTCGTCCCGAATTGTTAACAGACCTCAAGCCTATCGATGCACCACATGATGGCGAGGCAATCTTCGCGGCGGTCATGAGATGGGCGTCATAGAGCGTGGCTTTATAGGTAGCTCGCAATTTAAATCAAGAAGGGAGGTTGAAGCAGCGGAGTATGGCATGAAGGTTTATGTGCTATCTAAAAAGGACAATGATAGAACGCCGAGCTTGATGGCGTAACCATTCATAAGGGAGAGATCGGTGGACGTGTTGCCTAGTGATTTAATTAAAGATTTGGTCCGTTACCTAAACTCAAAGCCGCCATCAAGGAGAGACACTTTTGTAAAGACTAAAAAAGAACGATACCATGCCAGTCTCACCAAAAAGATGTTAACATATCTCCCGTCTTTGATCGAGGGTCAGGTCCAAGCAATGTTTTCAGTGTAAGCAGGGTATCATAATTTGATAGTTCCACTACAAATCCGTAGTACTCTGCTATGTAAAGGATTTCACTGTCGAACATTTCCTTGGCTTTATTTTTATCAGCCTTGTTACCTTTATGTGTGTTTTCTCACCTTCTTCAGCCTCTTATCCTAGGTTCTAGGGTAGTTATGTTACAAATGCAAGACAACTTCACTAGCGTAATCTAATATGTAGTTTGAAGTCTTTTTCTAGCACTGTTAAAGTTTAGACATTAAACAAGCACAAATCATCTGTAAAAGTTTGTACATTCGGTGTCATCAGTGCATTGTTTCTTACCACTTTTCAACAAGGCAAATTACTGTCAAGATTATGGGCGGTCTTTTAAGGGTCTTTTTTCACTATCGAAAATTAGCGAATTATTAAGCTGCTATTGGTAGAGGCGTGGTACCACATGATTTTGGATTTTCAAAGTGGATTTACACATGTAACGCACTTTCGGTACCTGGGGGGAAGTAAACGACTGGTATTCACCTTCGCAGAAAACTTGTTGACTTAATACTAATCTAATGTTTCATTCTATGGGCTGCTCTATTGTATACTGTTAGTATCTTAGATCTCAATGTTATTGTTGGGGATTGTCACAAGCTTAACAGATGTACAGTTTTAGCTAGGAACGGCTGTTATGGTGTACTCACAAGCGCTACGCTACTCATCAATAAGCGGGAACATTTTTGAACTATTAGCTCAAGACCCTTTTTCTATCGGGCGCTATCCCACAATGGACGTTTGGGGAAGGCTGAAAGGTAGCGTTACTCTGAGTCTGGAACCCCTAGATTTACACTATTTGAAAGCCACACTTTACTATCGTCAAATTCAACTCACCTAATCTTAGGGGTATCAACATTCGGCATGAGAATGCCATGGGAGTTTAGCGAGCTCAAAAAAACAGAGACCGCCCAGAAATCTGCAGGCTTTGTCCCGCGCCTTTTCTTGAACTGTTTATCCACCCTCGTGAGCGATCATCCTCACAGCCATTCGTTTGAGTTCAGTTAGAACCGACTTCACGTCTTCATCATGCGCTCAATTGTCGCTCTCGCCGCTTTAGCGCTTAGCGGCTCAATTGACCTGGCTGCAGCAAGCGCCTGCAAACCTCGTTCCTCACACCTCTCCTCTGCGACAAGCGAGCTCGTTCCTTCCGACACCACCTCTGCCGCAGCGGGCTCAGAGACTGGAGGTTCCATAACAATCAAGAGTGTCGTTGAAGGCGGTGGCTTCTCTGTCGTACCTCCAGAAGGTGGTGTTCCAGGTTTCACCGTCGAAGGCCAGGCAGAAATCCTCATCGGACCTGGGTACAAGGGAGATGGCAGCAAAGATGGCGGCTGTCTCTCAATGAAAGCCAACAATGATGAGAAAAAGCGAGATATTGGCGCTTACGCTGGTGTGTCTCAGGCTCTCGAGCAATTGAGTCTGACCAAGCCTTACACGGTTCGCTTCTTCTACTTGATCATCACAGCCCCGTCCCTCAACCTCTGCCAATTGACTGCTTCTCTTGGTGGCCAGAATTTCTTCCAGACATGGATCTTTAGTAGGGGCACTGCCATTCAATGGGGTATGGCTCTGGAGCAGGTCACCGCTGCGCAGAGCTCTGCAGCTTTGTCTATTTCTATGAACTGTCTTGTCGGTGGTACGGCTCAGATCTATGTTGACTCACTGTTCATGTCCAACCAAGTTACTCCTGCAACTATCAATGATCACCCTCTTGATCTTGGTGGTGGATCAGGGGACACTGGCCTTACTACATCGTCGCCTGTTTCTTCGCCAACTACCTCGAGCCTCCTTGAGACTACCTCCGCAGCTCCAGTTGTCTTGACTTCTGATGATTCTCACACCGTCGGTCATCAGACTACAGACGCTGAACCTACTGGCACTCTTACCCACGAGCCTGCCACTAGTGATGCTGGGGCCACTCGGAGTGAACAAGTCGGCACTGAGACAGACGCTGAGGCAACAAGTCAGCCATACTCCCAGACCATTTCTCGGGATGATACAGTGTCTAGCAGTCAGCTGGACACCCATACTGCTACCGACAGTCAACACGCCACTCCGACAGGCCCAGAGACAAGTGAGCCTACCATAGCGCAGACTGATTCAGCTGGTGCGGAGACCCAGGATCCTACTGCTACTGAGTCCAAGTCAACCGGCCCGGAAACCCAAACACACACCTCCCAAGAACATGAGCAAACAGGTTCAGCAGCACAGGATCCTCTCTCCACTGAATCTTACTCAGCCATCTCCGGCAAGCCCACTGCCACAGGAACTGAGTCAATTGGTGGCGAGACGAACACACCCTCAACAATCCCCTCCACATCCGCTGGCAGCTCCTCTCCCCGCGAGACCTCAACATTAAAGCCAGACGGTCCCGTCAGCCGTGTCTGCGCTAACGTTGGTCAGTCCAGCATTGAAGGTCGAGGATGCGGTATGCATCCTTACAACAGCGCCGGATCCTACACCAGGTTCACAGGCAGCAACTACGAGGTCGAAGACTGCGCGGCTCTGTGTCTCGCTGATACCAACTGCAAGTCCTTCGAGTGGAGCTACAACGGCGGTTGCCTCAACGAGTGCCGTCTCATTTCCTCCTCGCTGAGTGATGTCCCTGTAGGTAACACAGGCACGCAGTTCACTTCTTACGATCGAAGCTGTATCATCCCCAAACCCTGTTACAAATTTCCCGACGATGGCATCTGTATCAACAAGATGGCCGATACACCCAACCGTGGCTGTCTCCGTCGTCGAGGAACCCTCAAGTCATGTGCCAAGGAATTTGCCACTTTGACAGTACAACCCTGTGGCGGAGGCGACCAGTGCAGAGATATGTGTTCTATGTACCCCGACTGCCAATCCTTTTCCTACACTTCTTTGAAGCAGCAAGGGAACTGTAAGCTCTTCTCTGGTACCACGAACGAGATCACTGAGGAGGGCGGTTCGGAGTACTTCTCGGATATTGGCTGTTTTGCTTGTGGTAAGAACATGGGCTTTTCTACCTATGCTCTTACTACCAACGATGTTGTTGCCCTCCCCGATATGACATGTCGAGCTCCTACTAAGCAGGTGACTGATACCCCCACAACCTTGCAGACAAGGACGTCTCAGGCTGTGGAGCATACTACATCTCAAGTTGTAGAGGACACCACTTCTCAAGCTTCGGAGCACACTACCTCTGAATCAGCTACGACAAAGGAACAGCCGACCCCCACTGAGGCTTCACTAAGCTCTACATCCGGAGTGAAGATCTGCCCTTCATCCATCGCAGCCCCAGGACTTTGCAAAGCCAAGGCAAACCTCCCCACCCAAACAGTTTCCCTCCCTGGAATAATAGACCACTGGCCTCAAAGCGACAACGACGTCGAGCCAGCCGTCCAGCGAACCTGTAATGCCTTTGGCGACTTAAAAGGGGGCTGGTCTGGACAGACTCGTCAGTACAACCCCAGACAGAACACCATGGAGGACTGCGCTCTGTTATGTCGCCAGAATGGAAACTGCGAGGCTTTCGGTCTCGATAATGTCAGTGAGCCGGGCGTGACGACCTGTGCGTTGGTTCCGTATAAACTGGCTACAGAGGGTATCAATATCGGTGCTCCATACTCATTCATGTGGAGCGATCTTGACTGCTACGAGTGTGAGGAGTGCGTGGCTGAGTGAGGTTTTTATTTCGCTTTTAATTATGAGTTCTCAGAAGCATCCCTTAGTTACTTTAGTAGATGTTAGTATGCAGTTCTCTAACTATTCAAAAACTAGCAACATGTAAGAAATTGGTAAAGTCGCGCCGCAACATGCTGAACCATCCTTGTCTAAGAATTCATTCGTTCGCTTCTCCAAGATTAAATCTGTGCTTTTCATCCTTGTCGTCCTTTCTAAACGTCCTATGATACAATGTCAACGCCGCCTAAGACTCAAACACCAAGCTCGAGAGGCTCAAAGAGCCCCGACAAGCACCCCGCCAAGAGCCCTTCGAGAAGCTCTCGGGATACGTCGCCCAGTGTTGGCGATCCCAACATTCTATCAGCCTCGCACTGGCAGCAGCTCGCCGAGGTCAGTTCAATTGTTTCCGCCTTTTGAGTGTCAACCCGTTATTGCATGAGCGATATTAACTCTTCAAAAGGACGAGGGCGTGATCGAAGACGATGGCGATTCACTCACAGGCCAAAGTCTTTCATCTTCGACAGATTCGGTGACTTCTAGCATCTTTGAGTACCGCAAGCTACATGGACGCACGTTTCATCATGAGATTGGGAGTGCACAGTATTGGTAAGATTTCACATAACTCCGATAGTCTGGTCGGGCTGTTCTTCATTTAAATAAAGACTCATACGAACAGGGCGGCGAATGATGAGAGACAAAGCGAATTGCTCGATATGAAATAGGTCAACCAAGCTGAACTGTGCTGGTCCATGACTGATCTCAGTAGCCACCATTGTCTGACACTTGGAATTGGTGGACAACTACATCTTGCACCGCTCGATAAGCATAAGATTACCGTAAGCATACATACATTTCAATCTGTTTCGTAGAATATTCAGAGCTGATACTCTATCTCCCATAAAGAAAGTGATCGACATTGGGACGGGCACTGGTATGTACCATACGCTTTAGTCCGATTCGTCCTCACGCTACTGGCAACTGACTAGACCTCTTAATCAATGGGGATTTGGGCTTTGTATGTTTCACGTTGGCGCACTTGATAAACGTTGACAGAGATAGGGACTTTGCCGACGAGTATCCCAATGCAGAGGTTATCGGCACCGACATCTCGCCTATCGAGCCCTTTTGGGTTCCCCCGAATCTAAAGTTGTAAGTAAAAAACTATCACGTTGTGAATTCGAAACTACAAATAGAAATGGAAATCGCCCGGCCGCTTCTGTGCTCCCTAACACCGTCTGCTACAGTGAAATCGAAGATTGTACCCAGGAGTGGACATTCGCACCAAACTCTGCCGATCATATCCACATACGCTGGTTAATCGGCAGCATTCCCGACTGGAACCAGCTCTTCAGGGAGGCTTACAAAACTTGCAAACCGGGTGGCTGGGTTGAAAGTTTCGAGCCATCATCACCAGCGACGACGATACTGTAAAAGAGAGTTCTCCGTTGGGTCAGTGGGGTAAACTCTTTATCGAAGGCGCAAAGAAGTTCGGCATGAGTTTTACGGTTTTTGAAGAGGAGCTGCAGAGGAAGGCTATCGAGGCTGCAGGTTTTGTCGATATTCAGACACACGAGTTTAAGGTGAGTATTTCCTTATTTTCCTCCCCCTCGCTGGATAATAGCTAATTCGGAGTGACCATACTCCAATCGGCAATTGGCCTAAAGCCCGGGAGATGAAAGAATATGGGGAATTCGCTCGGCATGTGTTCCTCGTTGACACCGAAGGGGCTGTCGTTCTTGTGGCTAATACGATTGGCTGGTCGGAGTCTGAGATCCATGTCTACATTGCCCATGTTCGCAGGGAGGCGAAGTCAGGCGATCATCACGCCTACTACAAACAACGGGTTGTTTGGGGTCGGAAGCCCGAGGAGTAAAGTCGCTGGCGTCAATCACACGCGGACATGGCTTAGTCAATCAATGTTGGTCACTGGGTTGTTATACGGTATCTCAACTGATACGAGGGCCAACAACGGCATAAAGACGGAGTTGTTTGGAAGAGTTAATCCTGTGATATATCCATATTCTTACAGCCTGCGGCAATGCTTCACTTGTTAATGCTCGTTGTAACTTTACACAATAGGATCCGGACAAAAATATCAACTGAATGTTAGATATGAAGTTGCAAAGGTTAGGGTAAGATGCCGAAAGGATGCCGAAAAGATACCGATGTGTCGAGTATCTCGGGATGTGGATAAGTGATGTAACGACATGACTCTATACTCCGCAACACAAGCAACGCCGAGGATAGTCTAGCGGCAAGTAGATACGTAATATGACTGGCTGGGCTGATGTATCCACTGTAGCAAGCTAATCTATTCTGAGTTCAAAGCATCATTTAGGGACTTCTGATTTGTTGGAATGGATATGTGTACAGAGAATACGTTCCGCGAGAGCATTCTTTAATGGGTTTGTTCGAAATACAACACGACTCTTCAATCAAAGAATTTGAGATGAATGAAGTAAATACTTTCAAGGCAGATCTTGATCCGCTAACGTATGAGAAAATGGTTTATACGTCACATTGAGATCCAGGCCGGGCCGCACTTTGTAAAAGTCCGATGGCTGCAGCACCTTACCTCCACATCCCGAACCCCACTTCCCCACTTCCCCACATTATAAAAGATAATTACCAGGTGTGACAGAGATAATTATTATAAGAGCAGTGCAACGCTCTGGTCTTTTCCTTCTGGGTTCAGATATATCATTCTATTAAAGATGGCTCTAATCGAAAATCCTAGCTCCCTCTTAGTAGTCGGTCTTCTACTCGCCACAGCAGGTTATGGGCTAGTGACCGCGTTTCTTTCACCCCTTCGTCGCATACCAGGCCCTTGGTATACTCATTTCACCCATCTCATCCTCAAATGGCACGTTATCTCCGGAAACAGAGTCCACTATATACACTCCCTGCACCAGCGGTATGGCCCGATCGTCCGCGTTGCACCAGAGGAAATCGCCATCAGCGACCTTGAGGCTTTCTCCACAATACATAAAATAGGTGGTGGATTCCTCAAGTCTGCTTGGTATGACGGTATAACACCTGACCGTGAGCCTGGTATCTTCGTTATGCGGGATCCTCACCAGCACGCCGCTCGTCGACGGTTGTTTGCCCGTGCTTTCAGCGTTAGTTCACTACTGGCGAATTGGGAGACGGTGATTAGAGGAAAGACTGAGCTTGCTGTTCAAAAGATTAAGGAAGATTCGCAGAATGGTGGAGCTAATGTCTTTAAGTGGTGGACACTTATGGCTACGGATGTTATTGCTGAACTTTCCTTTGGAGAATCGTTCCGGATGCTGGAGCTTGGCAAGGTATGTTAGTACCTCCGCCGTTCATAGTATACACTAACAAAATGCAGCAAACGCCATATATCGACTCCATCCAAGCAAGTTTGCTGATGAGCGGCATCCGCAGCGAACTCTCGTGGATCTACCCCATTCTTCAATATCTTCCCTTCAAAGGCCTCAAGAAAATACTAAATGCCGATAGCGTGGTCCACGATCACGGTTCGGTAGCCGTTCGGAACATGCAAAGTGCTGGCGACGGGTTGAGCAAAGCGAACCTGTTCAGCCAAATGCTCGCCGAGGCAGATGGCCAGGAAAAGACGTCTCTTTCTACATCGAGTGTACAGGCAGAAGCAAGCAACCTGATCATCGCTGGATCAGACACAACTGCTGTTACGTTGACTTATCTTATCTGGGCTGTGCTCAAGAATCCCCAGCTTCAAACTGATTTGGAAAAAGAATTGTCAGAGCTGAGTGATGAATTGTCCTTCGATGAACTCAAAACTGCACCCCTGCTCAACAGTGTCATTGAAGAGACACTTCGTTTATACGGTGCAGCGCCTGGTGCAATTCCTCGCGTAGTGCCCGCCAAAGGTGCCTCTCTTTGTGGCCACTTCCTCCCTGGCGGTACTGTTGTTAGCACACAGGCTTTTACGATGCACCGCAACGAGGCGCTATTTGATGACGCTCAAAGGTATGGCCCTTAATCCCCACCCAGGTCTTTCACTAACAAGGCTCAAAGATTCAATGGCTATCGATTTATGGATAAGTCCAAGTTGACGAATACGCAAAAGACTGCCTTATCGCCTTTCGGTGCGGGCTCCAGAGTCTGCATTGGTTTACACTTGGCCTGGATGGAGCTACGCCTTGGTACTGCGCTATTCTTCCGTGAGTGTCGTGGCGCTAGATTGGGTACACAGATGACGGATGAGATGATGGAGATGGAGAACCACTTCTTGATTGCACCCAAGGCTCATACTTGTGTAGTCAAGACATAACTAGAAAGGGGCCATCAAACAGCAATGTTGACGTAGTATCCGTGCAAAGCTGTAGAGAATTATTGAAGAGTCAGTTCAATTTTATTAAATGATAGATCTTACTGTGGACTAATAAATTTTCTCATCTAAATGACTATTGGAGGATGTTATCAGATAGAGTGGTCCTTTCATCTTAGCAAAAGGTCCTCATATTGGATTGCGAGTTAGGCATCTATTGGGTATCATACCAATCAGGTATGTTCGATAGCGGAAACGAGGGATGAATTGCTCAAATCAGCCTGACAGTTCTAGAGTCGATTTAGCCGAAAAATTGTTAAAACCAATACCAATACGAAAACCGTCTTGAACGGTCCAGTGGTACCTAGTCCTATGACTCCTTGAAATCTAGAACTTTATGTAGGTCGCCCAACATATGGATAAGGCAAAGCGCCCCGACTTAGCTCCAGAATAAACCACGTTAATTGGATGGTGCGCGGTTTAGTACCGTGGCAAGCCTTATATGTGTACCAGATAGGAAAGCTGAGGGTTAGACCCCGCTGATGGTAATACAAAGCCCTGTCATGAGAGTAAGCGGACTCTACTATATTCAGGTAGTGACATTTTATTTGCACAAGTGCTGACCCTATGACTATTTATTCTCTATGATAACCAATAGCTTTGTTATCATTGTTCAAGCTGGAAAGATTATTCGTGGAAACATGTGATGATGACTTTTACAGCTACAATAAGTCGTCTATGATAGTAACCATGACACGGATAAAGCGGCATTCTTCGCAATGATAATAATTCTAATTATTGTATAAAATTGCTAAGACCTCTCCGTACGTTTCCGCTCTCTCACTCTCAGGATTAACAGACTTGCCAAGTACTTCAATCTTTACTTCCCTGAGAACTATCTTACATCACGTTCTAGTTAATACACCGACAATAACTCATCACCATGTTTGCCCTCACTACCCTCCTTACCCTCTTCTCAGCAACTCTCGTAGTTGCTACTCCTGTTACAAAAGAGGAAAAGTTCAGCGAGTGGCTTGGAGGAGAAGTTCTTAAGAAGTGCACCGCAGCAGGAGACTGCGAAGAGCAACTACTTAACAATCCTTACTGGGTACAGGCGAACAAACCTGGACACCAGAAGCGCGACTACGACTGCCACAACGCTGGTATGCATGTTGTTGTTACCAGTGGAAGCAGCTTCGTCAAATTTGGTTCTACGAACCCTTACGACCTGTTTCATCATGTTTACGACTTGTGTCATGAGGGTGGCTGCGACAGTGGCAGTGACTATTCTGTGAGCACCAAGTATACCACGGCATTGGGACTCTATTCCACAAATATCAAGGTTTCCTCGCAGGGTGTGTACTCCGGTTGGGATATACGTAATGCCCTAGCCGACGCCTTGGCCGACGCATCTTCAAAGAATCAAGTCTGGTCGAATGAGGTGTACTGCCCCAGTGGAGGCCGAGCTTGTTCTTTTGGGAGGGCCTGGCAGGGTTGGGCGCCCAACTTCCAGCAGTCAGCTCTTTACAATGGTTGTTCTCAGTATGGTTGGATGAATGCCAAGACGGATGGGCTTACTGGAGTGACTTCAAACGGAGCCTGTAAGGATATCTTGTCGAACCTTGGAGGTCTTGTGGGTGCTCAGGTTCCTTGGGCAGGTGCACTTATTCCCATTCTTGGTTGGTTTTGTAACTAGGGACGCTCTCTGTTCAAGGATGTTAATCCGCTTCCTGATTAGCCTGGCATATTAGTTATCAGTTGGAGGGGAAATGTTAGATCAAATTCTACAAGCATCATCCATGGATGACATGGCGGTACAGCATTTTAGAACTCTAGGTGATCGAAACAAAGTTGGTTGGTAAATGATTGAAGGGCCCTTTCAATTTATATGTACAAGTTTATCTATCTTACATCTTCTGTGTCACTCTGAGCGGAGACCAGAATTAGGTCGTTTTTTCAACCCCAGCTTAGACCGCCTCAGGGGATTCCTGCTCAGGCTTCTTCTCTCCATCCAGAGGCTTGTCCAGACCAAGGCGGGTGCGGGTGCTGTATGTAGCAATGCCGCCGTTGGAATCAACCTCGGTGATAAGCTCCTTGCGGCGGGTGTCGACAAGGAGTCGGATAAGATCAGGGCGCATGTAGTGACCGGCGAAGTCAGCGAGGACCTTGGTAAGGTGAGTCTCGTTCAGGTCGATGTCGACGAACAGAAGACCGTCGAAGTCCTTCTCGGGCTTGACAACGAGGCTGCCGTCAGGTCGGTAGATACGGGCGTGGCCGTTGTAGACAGAAGGATCGGTCTCGGGCTCGACACCCTCGGGAGTGTTGATCTTCAGACCCTCGACGGAGAGACGCTGGAAAGGAGCAAGAGTCCATGTTCCGGTCTCGATGGCGTACTCCGGAGTGACCAAGTCAGAGGCAGGATCAGCGTAGTTGGTGGCAGGGTCAGGGTAAACCTGGCGCTCCTTGCCGGGGTAGACAGGCCAGGCGGCAATGTGAACTTGCTCTCCAGCAGAGACGTTAAGGCACTTGAGGAAAGGGTTCATGTTCTCCCAGCAGTTAAGCTGACCGACGCGGCCAATGCTGGTCTCGCTGACAGACTTGAAGGTGTCACCGGAGCCGTCACCGTAGACAAGCTTCTCGACGTGAGTGGGCTTGATCTTGCGTCGGTGGTTAATGACGTTGCCATCAGGGGCGATGAGGACTTGAGAGAGGTAAAGAGTGGCGTGGTCGATCTCAGAGAAACCAAGAGAGACGTAGATCTGGTTGTCACGTGCAGCTCGGCGGATACGGCGCATCTCCTCGGAGTCGACAGCCATGGAGTTCTCACGGTAACGCTTCAGCATGGGGAGAGACTGCATGTAGGTGACCTTCCACATCCAGTAGGGGTAGCCAGGGATCCCTATGAAGTGTTAGATGTGTATGTTCGAGGAGTGAGATGGGAGACTTACAAACTTCGGGGAAGGCAACCAGCTTGCAGCCGGCCTGTCCAGCCTCGTTGATGAAGTCAATGGTCTTTCGGACACCACCCTCGAGATCGAACCACTAAGAACTATTAGTATGATGTCTTGGATATGTGTTTGTGTTCAAAACTTACTCCAGGCTCGGAGGTGACAGCGGCAGCCTTGTACTTGGTGATAGCCATGTTGAGATTGTTGGGTTTGTTGGGTGTAAATGTTTGTTGTTGTGATATTCTGATTGATGATGAGAATGAAAAAGAGAACACTGAGCGAGGACAGATGAAGTATTTATAACAGAACTCGAGGCCGGTGCATTGATGCAAAGAGACAGATATTGACTGTGCTCCAGTGTAGCAGTCCGAACCGCCGAACTCCTCCGACTTCTACGTCTTTCTTCATGATTGCTGCATCATGATGTATCACGTTTCATGAAAAAAGGTCCCTGTAGAATTGCAGCCGCATATCCCACCCCCATAGATATCCCCCATTGACCAATCACGGCAGCGAATGATAAACTCCAAAGATCTACCGGTCAAGGTCAACTACCGGCCACGCCATCTTGTTAGTCAGGACCATGATCTTTACCGTAAACGTCCGAGGCTGGTAGAGGGCGGCATGCGCGGGAAGATATCGCATGATAGCCCACATTTGCCGTTGGGACACCTAAGAGTTTGCGCCGCTGCGGCGTGATGCGGCCCGCAGATTGATAGTGAGGCGGCGCTGCGGCGGTGACTTATCCACCCACTTATAATGTAATTCAATATGATAGACCAAGTCAACGTCATGAAACTCGCTCACGCAGGAGATTTCCACTGAAGCACAGATAAACTGTTGAAATGCGAATACGTGCACTTTTTTTTTTTTTTGCGGGTTCAGAGACGAGAATCAATTCCGATACTGTCCGGATGTCGCCGTGACACGAGGACAGGCTGAAAAATGCCTGTATCAGAAAACAATCTGTCTTTAAAGAGGTGAGAACCACGAAATTCATGTGCACAGTTATTTTAGATACTTATCAAGCTCTTCTTGATAATATACTATAGATAATCGATAAGGGATATTCGCACGTTGTCGCCGCTTGTGGGAGGATACTAGTTTCAGCATGTTCAAAGTCAAAGTGTTTCCAGGCCTTTTCATGCATGTGATAGAGTAAATGCCGATGGTACACAGTGCTGATCGCGCGAGAGCGAGGTTAGATTCTCAGATACAAGCATTATGTTTCTGGGAACGCAAACTTCACTACAAGTATTGGTTTCCACGTCCGTCTTGTATCTGAGTGGCTTTTCTTGATCTCTTTCTCTGGCTAGCAAGGCCTTGCTTACTATGTAGAGAAGAGTCTTAGTGCGCTACATATCTGTGACTTACAGTAACTAACCTTCAATTAATTGATTGATTTTACAAACATCGTTCTAGATGCCTGATGTACTATCATGCAGGGTAGGTTACATGGAAGTGCAATGTTATCCGCTGTGCGCGGGACAAATTGGAGGACTCCATCAATAAACTCCGACGCGGCTCCGTACCTGGATGCTATAATAGTCCAGATAGCGCAGAGTCAACATTATCATCTGACCGTACAATTTTCCCTAGATGTTGTGTTTGTTTTTATGATGGACTGCCCGTGTTAATATTCTCGAACAACATCGAAATAAATGAACGTGTTGTTCCTATGAAGTAAATATGATACTTATACCTCATAGACATCCTTCATAACCAATATTTCCTCGAAGGGCGCTGATGTATCTAGCTCTTAAAATTCACACGCCGAAAAAGTGGGTGAGTTCGAAACACGTTTACATCTAGCCGGTCCATGCTTTACGGTGGCTGCGGAGGGAGCATACCGCCCAGTACATTTACTAATTTAGCCAAGACAAGGTCCAACTAGTGGAGAACCAATCCAGTATTTGTCACGTTTGTCTTTCGGAATCAGTTATATATAAGATCTAGGTTGGGACCTGTCCATATCAACATATGCTTCGAGACCCTCTGGTACAATGGAACGGTGTTTGATCTCATCAGGTGTTAGATATTGTCCATAGTGTGTTGTTAATCCCTTCCTTATGTCTTATCTTTTCAGAGCTCTCTTCGGCAACAGATGACCATCATGCTACAAGCAATCCAAGTGCATTCGATAGAGACGAATCAAATGGTTCACCTCACATTCCGTTGTGAAAGCCAGGTCATACTCCGAAAGGCTTTGGTCCACAATTTCCAAGTCAACAATCATAATCTTATCCCTGCCATTATCCGTCACAAGGTGGAAGTTATCAAGCTTAGTATCGTCATATGCAACTCCCATATTAGAGAGCGCCGTCAAAGCATCCGTGACAAGCTCTCGGAGATCCCTTTCGTCCAAAACAGCGCCTTCTAGCGTGGCAAGACAAGCTCCTCCAATGTTGGAGAGGATCAGTGCTTTCTTTCCCTCGTATTCTGAGCAGCCATAGTATCGAGGAATGGTGACGCCTTGTAGAGGTCGGAGATATTGATACGTTGCCTTCTCCCGCTCGAACTCTTCGTCCCAGCCATCTTTCGCTATTTTGAGGACGATACTCTCTGGGAGGCACCATTGGCGGAGACTTTCTCGAAACCAGTACGCACTGGCAGCTGGAAGATAAGAGAGTAATACGTGGAGGATCCGCTCAAACCATGTTTGTTGTCGCTGCAAAATCAACACGTTTGGGTGACTATTGTCAGAAGCAGTTCCTGTCGCTCTTACTATCCGGCCACCGAGGCATACTATATTCTCGGGCGTTGTAAGGTCAGTCTTGAAGGGTTTTGGTAGTTCACGAGGTACCGGATGCTCATAATGGCCACCCGGCTTTCCAGCCTGTCCATTTTGAGTCGTGGTAGGGAGAGTGACAGTGAATGGTTTTGAGGTTTGAGGTGGTCTCTATTTGTTGATTCACAAAAGCTGAGAGTAAAATGAGGCGAATGAAGCGAGTTTAGTGAGCCAAGTCCTGCGTCAGCGCTCGCTTAACACAGGCTGCTGATTGGGTTACTTATTATAGTCTCCACCGATCGTGTCCTCTCCGTCATGGTCCCTACATACTGATGTCTCAGAGTTTGAGGTGCCAAACAGCAATACAGTCGTCCTTTGACTTTACGGTTGGCGGTCTGCAGCCTCATCTAAGGAAATTGATTAACGGCGAGCCCGTTTAGCAATATCACGCGAGCGTATACACAGCAGACTCTTTTAGTATCACAAATTAAACAAATTATATTTACCAATTGGTTCTAGTAATAAGTTTTTTGAGTAGTAGCTACATTTATCATTTGGTTGTAGTTTTACAGGTTGGTTTGATTTCAAGATATTGCCACTTCGTAAACTTCTCGGGAGAGGGCATTATCTAACGTTGTTATGTGGGCATTAAGTTGTAATACATATCTTAGGTATAATGTTTAATAATTCGTTTAATGAACGTATTCGAATATTGTACTAATTTATTAAATAAGTAGCATTTCTTATTTCTAACCGTGATTTAATAATATATTAGTAACTCATATTGTTTTAAATAGTATTTAATAAACAGGGATTACAGAATTACTCTTCCCCAAATCTGGAAGGCTGGAGGTTTCCGTGGAGAAACGTGTGTAATAGCGAACTGTAAGATAAATTTCCACATCAAGAGGCTAGAGCTAACTTCTCATGGTAATAAATGCTTTAATTATCATGTGCAGTCGATGAGCTCAACAACGATTTTGCTACACAATATAGCACCCTACCAAAAAGACTTCTTCTATTAATCGTAGTTGAACCTTGGCTACCCTATAAGGCTTTCAAATCTAACTTGGGCACTAAAGCGGAAAAAGACTTTCCCCGTTTAGCACCGGAAGCGGAACTCCCGTCAAGCTAATTATGTAAACAGTCATAATTTGAAATGAGGCTTGAAAATTTCAACGCGTCTAGATCATTGCAAGACCAGGATATTTATATATCTCGCCGAGAACTTGAATGACGCTGTGCAATTCGTCGTCAAAGGGCCCGGATAGATATTCGTATTGAGGATGGAAAACAGTGAGCATGGAATGCGAACGACCAGTCAGGTCGAGCCAATGAGCATTTCGACGCTGAAGACTAGTATGGATTCGGCCGCAATCGGAGGAACACGTACCCGATGCCCAAGCTCTCTTGAAGACCCCTTGCTTATCAGCGGAAATATGAGATCCCGGATTTCGAAATCTGTTTCCCCGATGTGCCTGGCATGAGAACACCTATCATTTGTATCAATGCTCATCATTAAACTTCCGGATAATCGAAATCAGGGACCCGCGCTGCACATTACTGCACATCCACAGGAGTCAGTAGATCGGCAAACTAATGCAATTGGTAGGTTTCCACGGCACATTAGTTGGAATATGGCCAGGATGATACGCCGAAATCAGGGCCCCAGGTGGGTTTAGTACCGAAGTCTTGGTAACTACTCCGTAATTTACCGTCGATCAGTGGGAGAATGGGCGAGATCTTGGGATTTAAAGCGGGGGCTCGTATCGCCAGATGTCACTGGCTGAGCAAGATCTCCGCGAGGAGGTACTTACTGGTGCCCAATTGACTCGAGGGGCGACTAAGGAGGGACCTTTGCAGAATGGCAGGCTTCTAGAAAATACATCAAGTCGCCACCTTTACCAAGTTAATAAACAACCACACTCTAAGGGGTATTCCACCTCCACATGTCTCACAAAGATCTTGTCTCACAAAATCATACGAATCGCGTGGACAACCACAGATTCGCGAATGCGACAGCGAAAAAAGACGGGGACACCCGCACTGATCTCTTGTCTGGACCCGATTTGCATTACGCGTTTTTTGTTCCCGGGTGTCGGGACGATAAAGATCGCCAAAGCGCTGGGTCCGGGGCAGAGAACGGAAGTCAAAGCGTGAGCAGGGGTTCTCGAACTTGGTCGGCCGTCTACGCCTCCGAGAGACTAAGGCCTTTTCTCTCTTAGCTTAAACCTTGGTGTTTGGAAAGGCCGCGAGCTGGTGGAGGGGACGGCCACGTTTTCATGTGAGACGGGCGGAATGTTTTGAGAAGCAGCCCTACGCCATGAGATGTCAGACAGATGACCCTGTTGCTTTTTGCACTTCATTTCTTTCTTGTGTTATTTCCTTTGATTACCACGTTATTTGGTACGGCATCGCTGCAATGAGGCTTTGGTCGGCACACTAAACCTTCGTGGACTAGGCTGTTTTATGCCGAGTCATGACAGGATCCATACGCTTCACGCCTCAATTTTCCGCGACATTCGGGCTCAACACCAAGGGCGCCACGCTGTGCAGCGTAGTCATGATTGTTTCTCGGCGTCGTTCACTTGGGCTGACAGCATTTCCGATTTCTTCTATATTTCCATGGGAAAGAGGCATCAGGTAGGAGTTTTACGAATTGGCCAGTAATGTTAATTTAGGTTTCGTCATCCAAGGAAGGAAATTGGGTGATCCTCCAAATAACAAGGACTAACCCTTGCAGATTCCAACAATATGTCAGCAGAAATGGCATGTCTCCTCAATGTCATCTGCTGCAAGAAACACAAGGCATCTATCTTCAGCCTCAACCTGGAGTGATCTACATCAACTCGATATGCGATTATCCTTATCCCCCGTGAATCTTCGGTCGGGCCAAACCATTATCTACCATTCGGCTGCATCGGCATTCTGCCGTGGTACTGCTTAACAATACTCTATCCAGTTAGCACCACAATCTCTGAGGAAAGTTCCAGGGGTTCTGCAATTGACTCGTAAGGGTCTGTCACCAGAAGACCAACTCCGTGACCCAGCCGTTAGCGCCACGTTGGAGAAATTGTGGCGGTCCCTCCGTTCAATCCAACATGAACGGCGACAATAAAATATCATGTGTTCATTTCAGCTGAGTGCCGTAGCCAAGCCTTTCTCAATTATCTGTGTGTGTGTCTCTGACTCGAAATATTCAAACCGTTTGTCGCGAAACAGCGATAGATCTATGATCGACAACGTTGCGATTTGATCAGAAATGACTGATTCGTACCAAGACGCTAGCAATGGAGCCTCCGCGACACTCTACTGGTTCAGATTTCAGAAAGGGGCGCCCAGCCGACTACCCGCCATCTAGCCGGTTAGTTAATGCTACGCTCTTGGCGGGGAGGGGAACTTTATGACTCGGTCGAATTTGCACCGGTGATGCTCTAACTCAGGGGATTTGCGCGATGGTGACATTCTGGCGATGAGGTGACATGGATTGGGAAACCTGATCGCTGGACGGGAGATGTGAATTGCTGCATTGGTCATTTAGTCTTGTGGGAGAGCATGAAACGATCGACCTCAGCCTCATGGTTTGTGCATGCCGGCCTGAACGGCAGATCTTAAGGCCCAAGCTGGATGTAAACTTTACAAGGAGCCTTGTCGGTGCAGTCTCAATCATGCACGTGTACAGTCGGCTAAAAATACAATTGATCGTATTTCAATATTGTAACTTCATTTCCCGTTCATCGCAAACTACACTAAGTTAGTATTGGCTGTTTTGTACATACCATTTTGCCATCTTTACGGGCAGATTCATGCACTGCAGCTGTATCGCCATGATTCAGGGGCGCCTCCATAATAGAGTTTGCTAGAGGTTTGTCCACCTCGTCTGGTCTACCAGCTAGCAGCCTTGATTCATCTCACCAGCATGCAGACGACAAAAATACGAGCTAGGCCACCACACACCAAACTGCGAATCTCGGTGAAACACAGTCTTGTCTTTTTATGTCATCCGCCGAGCTGCTAGGCCCGCGGACCAACTTGGCGTTCCCTTAGCCTCCCTCTTAGCTGAGCGGCGCTCCTCCAACACAGGCTGACTAGATTCGAGTGGCACAAGCTTAGAGTCTCGCCCCCAATAACGATCGGCAGTTTGGACTAACCAAAAATCGAGTACTAAAAACACAGGGGGTCTGAGCTACGTAGCTAGACTGGGAAACCGTCTGGACTAGCTGTAATCTACCGACACTACTGTAGAGTTAGTCGTGCATGCATGGCTGCTGCAGATTCTGCAACACTAGGACGGGGTTTCCATGCATTCTTCCTGTTTAAATCTATAACCGTCTCCGCTGGATCTTCTTTTTTACTTTTCCTTGGATCTTCCCTTGCCGCATTCCACAAGCCACATTCCTTCAACAGCACCCTTCAACCCTTTTCTTGTTTTAACACGGTTGGGTCGAGAACCCCAACACAACCGGACGTCAAGATGGGCAGAGGATTTCTCGTCCCCGAGAATTACGTCGACGACCTTCCCAATGAAAACGACATGAACGTCGCCTCAATCGCCTGGGGCCTGTCCCTGGGCGTCCTGCTCTTCAATGTCGCCAAGGCTGTTCGACAGACGCGCTCGGCGTGGACCCGCAGGAAGAAGGTCACCAGTTATATCGCGCTGCTCTGGGCTGAGATCATTTCGAGTACTATCCTGGGAATCATGTGTTGGTTTTACCTCGAGGGGACTATTAAGCCCAGCATGCAGTTCTTTTTCTTTATCAGTAAGATGCGACAAACATCCAGTATATCGGCATAAGCTAATGTGGTGATAGTTGTGTGGTGGTCGACTCAAGTCCAGTGCCTCATCCAGATTATTATCAACCGAGTGTCTCTATTAATGGTGGTTCGATCTAACGGCACCAAACTCAAATGGCTCTGCTTCCTCATCCTATTGGCCATCAACATCAGTGTGTTTTGCATCTGGGTCCCCGCCCGACTTCAGATCAGCCAGAGCTACATCCATCTCAACGAGATCTGGGATCGATGCGAAAAGGTCATCTTCGCCCTCATGGATGCCGCGCTCAACGTCTACTTTATCTACATCGTCAAGCAGCGCCTGGTAGCCAACGGCCTCCAGAAGTACACTCGCCTTTATCAGATGAACATGTTCCTCTGCTGTTGCTCCATTGCCCTTGACATCCTTCTCATTGGCATGATGTCTCTTCCCAACGGCTTTGTGTAAGTGCACATCTTTGAAATATCTTCCACCCCTGCTAATTCAGTATAGCTACATTCAATTCCATCCTCTTGTCTATCTTCTCAAGCTTCAAATCGAGATGAACATGGCCGATCTCATCGGCAAAGTCGTCCGAGCCAGCAACAACGATCCTCACGGCCATGACTACAGCTCTCGATCACGAACAGGAACATCTCGACCCCACGGCACCCGATTTGGCCAGACCCTCGCCAGTGCACACCACCGCACACACATCGAGCTCGGTGAGGAGGACGAGTACGAGCTCCAGGAACGTGAGAAGATCGACGGTATCAAGAAGACTGTCGTGACCCAGGTTGTGCACACCGGTCAGCAGAAGCAGCAGACCGACGACAGTGATTCTACCATTGACGATCACAACAACGACAGAGCCGTGAGCGAGGCCAGCTCGACCAAGCATTTACATCAGCGCAAGTATAGCGTCGAATAAACCTCTTGATGGAAAGATTGCTCGATACCCCTATGGTGAAAGAGGAGAGATGGCCCTAGAACCAGAATATTTACTTAGATTTCTTTTAATGTGTAATGAAACAGCCAAAAGGCTTTTTGATCTTCACCAGCTTTGCACCTCCGATCTTATTTTGTGATTGAAGTTTATGGATATCAGACTGTGTATAATCCCATATCAACATTTTTTGTCAAGGTAATCAAACAAATACGTGCTATTTTGTAACAAGTTACACTCGTAATCCAATTACCCCGCAGCTTGACTGTCTGCCGTAATCATGTGGCGACTTCGGCGAAAGATTGGAGGTTCAAAGCTCCCCAAACTCTATTAAGAGTAAGACAGAGCGCGCTTAACTCCATGGATCGTTTTATATTAGGCAGCCACAAACTGGAAGCGCCTCAAATCTGCAGACCAGGGTCTTCTCTCCTTCATGACTCTCGGACCGCGCGTGTCGGATGCAATTCGACGCGATCATTAATCTTAGCAAAGCACTAGGGAACTTAGTCTGGTACCCGATCATGCAAGTCTGCCAATCATTTATCCTTGGATAAAACCTTGAGCGACACGTGACCTAGCATAGATGGCTGCTTTCACGGCACGGTGCTCCTTCTGATACATACAGCTTGCGAAGGGTCGATTTATTCTAGCTTCGTTGGCCCTTGTCCAGACAACACCAAAGGTCACTTGTTATTGACCAGAGCGTGCAAGGTCCTGTCCGACTGAAACATGCAGAAGCTCTTGCTGTAGCTGCTGATACCATACCCTTCTTTACGAGCTGCTCTGGAGCTGACAAGAATCGGTAAATCGAGACGCAACCTACGGGAACTGAGATGAGAGAGTTTGGTGAATCTGTAAAATGGGTGGGGAGCATGTTACACAGTCGTGAGTGCGTAACTACCCTGATTGCAGCTAATTTATGTCGCTCGTATGCTTTCTATATGAACCATCTAAATTAATTCAGATGGCTAACAGAAAAGTAACCACGTTTTCAGTAACTTGAATATAAAATACAATTTCTCGGTGACGTAGTAGATAAGAGAATGCCAGAGCCTTCTCATTAAATAATGACGATAGCTTTCTCCAAATGGCAAATTAGGCTCTTATCTAGATCCTTATCTTACCAGCCCGCATCGAATCCTTCATTGTAGCACCCCCCAAGCTGAACTGCAGTGCAAATCAACTAACCCCTCTGCTGATCCCTTATTTAAGATGATTTAACCATAACTCACAAATAGCTTCCCGTCTAAAAGATTGCAGCACGTCGCATTAGCATTACGGTAAGCTTTCTAGGATCTTTAAATGTTCCATAATAACTCTATACTTTAAAGCAGTAGCCGGCTCTACTATCTATTCGGCAATAAACCCTATTATTACTATAATACTATCTATTAGCTTAGGTGCTGCAGTATTATAGGGAAGTATTAAAGTATTTATTATCGGTTTCAAATATTTTATAAGTTGACCTTAGGATCCTAAGTTAGAAGTTAGGATGCCAATAGAGTGAATTCGAGTTATTTAATTACACCTGGTCTAATCTCCTTTTCTATAGATATTTTGCTCAAGGTTAGTGCATCAAGTTAAAACAATCAGGCTTTGCGAAGAAGTAAAATCCCTATAGAAGCCACCGACGCCATGCAGAGAGATATCGCACACCGGTAATGCAACTAGTTGACGCCTGCATGTCGATGAACTCGATACGATAATAGAAATGCCTACCCCGCCCGAGGAATTTGGTGGACAGCGAATGATGAATCGCGTTGAGAGCCTGATTGAGGTTACACATAAGTGTAGTGGAGACGGGGGAATAAAATCTATTCGAGTTTCAATCAGCTCATTGAGGCGGAGCTCATATTCTGCCTTTTCCCTTTCTATAAATAAAACAACATGGATGTAAATATAAGGAAACGAAAACGAAGCTACGTTGTAGCTGCATCAAAGTGCAGCCTGAGAGCGCTTACAAGTTTCACGCTGGGTACACTGCTTTCAGCCCCATACCATTATTTCCTAGGTACCTCGCAATTGGGAATCTTGGGGGTTCTATAAATACTGGACTTAACATCAGGTAATATTTCATCAATGTCCAAATACATCAAACTCATGAATCATGGCTCCTCCAGTATCTCAGGTCGCTTATGACCTGGTTGTGATTACATGTCTTGTTATATTAATCCCTGGTATGATCTGGGTCATTCTTGCTTCACCTATCATTACTCAAACAACACCGTCATTCATTGTAGCAGCCATCACAGCTATTGCTACCTTGTTCACCTCAGTTGTGAAAAGCCGAATTCAGCACGGTCTCATGCGACACCTCGAAGCACCGTTGCGAAGCATCAATAATGCACCAGAAGCTGAACAGCTCGTTCAAAGGCGCTTAATCGATCGAAAGTGGCGAGCGGTGCTTAGAATTGAAGGCTTCACAGAGACATGGCACACCCAGCATATATTCTTGGTATATTTACTCAGTGGTCTGTTGACAACAGCCCTGGTCACTACCTTCACTCCAACAGCTGGCACTCAGACCATTAATTATGAGCCTCTTGTGCCAGGTGCGACTTACCCATTTACTGACAACGGAACCTCCAACGCGTGCGCTGGAGTCATGAAAGGCCGCACCGTTCAAGGAACCTTTGGATGGGACACATCAAACGACACAATTTTCTTTTCTTCTTGGCTGAAGGATTGTCCATCTTCACGCGTCCTGGCGCATGTATCCAACATCAACAATCAAAATCCAGAAGAGTTTGCATACGTGCAGGCAGGAGTAGCAATCCACCGTACGGCAATGGGCGCATCAACAAATCTATTCCTCGGCACAGCATTCAAAAACCTAAACAAGCAATATGGGAAATTCTTAAAAACCACAACCCAGTGTGTTCCTGTCATGACTAAAAATCCAGTCACTTGTTATAAAGGAGGGGGTAAACTTGAACGAGTTCCTGGTCAAGACCGCGAACTACTCTTTACCGGGGATGGGTCTTTAAAGGGTCAAGCTCGACCGGTAGGAACTGCCAGAAACCTCTCCGTGAGTAGCGCTATGGTTAACTACCTGTGGCTTCTCCCTCTCCCGTCCGGTGCTGTCGGCACCTCAGTCGCCGTTTTCAGTGCTATGAATGACCCAAAGGCTGAAACTCGCTTCTATCAAGACTTGGCTCGTACAATTAACGACCCTGATAAAGACGCGGGGACAAGAGGATCAGAAACCTATGTGGTTACCTGTGACTACAACCCCCAAGACTCTTTCGAGTATCGACTGGTAACTCTCGATCTGCAGGCCGCTTCAGTCACCAGCAACTACACCAGTGCAGCCTACAGTCGTCTCTTAAAAGGAGGTCCATCACGCACACCTACCAATAAAACCGTCAGTAACCTTCACTTCGCTGCAGTTGGGACTTCAGCGTACAAAATGATCATGGAAGGTTTTGGTCTCGATGGATATTTTACCAGCGTCAAACGCATAGCTGGTACAGACCGGAAACCCCCGTACGCCTTTAATAACAGTCGCAATGGGCTAGAAGATACGCTGGGTGTTATTTCTGCCATCGCGGTGTCTACAATGGATCTTCTGGATGACGCCGTTGTAGCAAGTGCAGTTGAAGGAAAAGGAGGCAAGGCAGAGGCCACTATAGATGTGAAGCGGCTAGGTGGAAATCGTTATGTCCTCATTTTCATCATTCCCCCTGCTCTCAGCCTCTTGACATTGTTGTACTTCTTTGTCACAAGCTTTCAATCAGTTTGCCAGCTTGGTGGAGGTGTCACGGATGGAAAGCGGCCAAAGCGTTATGCGGCAGAGAGTATCAGGGAGATCATCACTCTTAGACAGCCTGCACAGGGAGAGATTCAACCTGTCGAACAACAGCCTTTGATGCGGCCACATGGAGTTTGATTTGGGTAGCAATATTGCTTACTTCCTTGCGTATTGTCTAATTTGTCATCCACTATAACCTAGAAATTAAACTCAGGCCTCCCAGCCTGAGCTCAGTACCTTCAAAGCGTCAGAACTCAGCTCTCAGAACGGAAGTAGATTTTGTTGAACTTGCGTTTCGTCTCCAAATATTGAGGCATTGCAGCGTCTCATTCGGCTGGCGTAGTAAGCAGACTCTAATTGGCTGCGGCACACCATACGCTATACGCTGGATACGCTTGGAGACTACTCCGTACTGTAAGCCTGGAATTACGCCAATAGTAGACTGCTTACATCCGCACTGATGCTGTCATTCGTCCTTGCCCTGTAAAATAGAATATACATGGTCAAAGATACAGCCGTTATCTGAGGCTGTGTTGTAGGCATTTTCGTATACGCATTATACGCAGCGCATCATCAATAACCCAATAGGTAGATGTGACGAAATATTCAAAATAATTTCATATAAAGGCCTGAGATAGTTTCATCCCCCTCAACATCTTTATCATCTCAGCACAATTCTCATCATAAGTGACCATTCTCCAACAGCTATCGTCATATAACATAAGATCTTCCAACCACCTTCACCGATTACTATCATGGGCCTTTTCAAAACAACAGACCTTCGCGAAGAGTGCGAAAAGAGTGCCCGTATTCTTAAAAGCTTCGCCGGTAAGTAAATTACATCCACTACCTTCAATTTTCTCACACACCATAGACAAGGGCAAGATCCCCTCAAATGTCATCAGCAACGCAAAAGGCCTAGCAATCTTCACCGGCTTCCGAGCAGGCATGTACTTTGCAGGCGCAGGCGGCTCCGGCGTTGTAATTGCCAGACTCCCCGATGGAACATGGTCTTCCCCGTCTGCCTTTTCCGTCCGCAGTGGCAGCGTCGGTCTTGTATATGGCATCGATGTGTACGACTGTATCTGTGTTCTTAACACCCAGGAAGCAGTCGATGCATACAAAAAGTCGGAAGTCAACCTTGGCGGCGCCGTCGCCCTGGCAGCTGGACCACTGGGTGGAACCGCCAATGTTGGTGAGGTGAAACCTGTGTGGACATACACCAAGTCTCGTGGAATCTACGGTGGCTTGACTGTGGATGGAACGGTTATCAAGGAGAAGCGGGACGTCAATGCAGAGTTCTATGGCGGTGAAATCTCTTCGGCTCAGATCCTTGATGGTCAAGCGCATGCTGGCTGGTCTCCTCGCATCCAAGAGCTGTTGGAGGTTGTCAAAGCGGCTGAGGGGAAGAACGCAGATAAGAGTATTCTGCAGGGTGTTAGTACGGAGCCTACTCCCGGAGATTTGACGGAGTAGTATGGCTGTATATCCCTATGAGATTATTAGACGTTGGTCTCAGGTGTTAGAGATATATTTGCGGCGGTATATATTATTATTTGTCAATTCGAATTTCGCTTGTGCCTTTACTTGGTTCAAGGGCGATTTTGAAAAATGTTACTCTTGCATAGAATTAAACATCTTTTCCGAAGCACGTATACATTATCCACATATGGGTGGGCATATTAACATATTATTCCGGCTGTGCGAACTGATTCTTCCCTCGTCCACTCATCCTTGTTATTGAATCTTTGTTAGGAACTCGCTGAGCTCGTTGCACAAGTCAGGGTATAGAGTTATTTGCCTGGCGATACTAGAGAGGTTAATAACTGCTTGCCTCAGCGGAACTGGTAACTCCCGTCTCCCGTATTGTCCAGACTCCTGTAGCGACCTTTTCAGTTCTCTGAAACTAATTACACACTTCACTAACAAGGGATCGGCCTGACCCGGGGCCATCACAGAGCTAGAGCCTTGCCACTGCTTCTGGACCATATTGCATAGCATGATAAAGCTGTCTGCTCTTTGTGTCGTTGGCTGGGCCATTGCAAGTGGAATCTCTATGACCGGCGTTCTGGTCCTCAATGGTACCAGGAACCGAGATGGCTGTGAAGAGACATTCTCAAGCCACATTGTGACCTGCGGAGGAAGGTCGAGAGTTGGGAGCGATATACCAAACTGGGAGCAGCGCCTCAGGCAATGGTTGACGTGGGTGAGCACGTGTTGGGGACTTTCATGTCTGCACATATCGTGAGTATCGTAGAATACCTGGAGAACCTCCCTTATATGATCTCGTTGAGCCTCCTGATTCGTGAGCAGTTGTGAGAATTCCAAAATCAATGGGTGGATGCTGAGACTCCCGGTCCGTCTTGAGCTTTGAGTGACGATTAACGAAACGCCTTGCAGCTTCTCAAGCCATTGAGATACCACTACGTATTCCGACCGAAGCACTGTGGTCTCGATCTGGGTATGAGCCGAGGGAAGACTCCGTCTCTTTCTCGTCATTTTGAGAAACGAGTCGATGTAGTCTTGATCTGTGCAAAGATACGGCAATAACTGGAATAATTTCACTGCCTTCTCAGAGTCCCTAGACCTTTTCAACTGTTCAAGTGATGAGCTGAAGGCGTCCCAAAGCGATATATCGTGCGGCGAAAATTCGAAAAACACTCGGCGCTCTGACATTGTCCCAGAGGTGAAGATTCTTACGAATTCTTCTACTGGACGGTTGAATGTGCCGAGGAAGTCCAGAAGGAAAGGGATAACATTTTGAGCTGCTAGAGGATGGCCAGCAATAATCTTGGCCAAAGGCTGGCAATCTTCAGCTGTGACCACCGTTGGCTGATAATGATCTAGACTCTTAGATAAAGACTTTAGTAAAGAGACAGTATCGCCTTCATCGAGAGGCTGTAGTCGAATGTCCTGAATATCCCGTCCAGTTCCGCGAAGTATGGAGTTTCTGGTTGACATGACAACATGCCATGCAGGAAATCTGAGTGCGGCCTGGATGCTTGCAGCATCAAAAATTTCCGCATCGTCCAGTACCAAGAGAGAATTCCTGTTACACTCTTCTCCCAGCCAGGAAACGAAAACTTGTATACGTTCCGCTACTGGGGTGCGTTGCCATTGCTCCGAGTTGACATCTCGGTTTTCGATCAAATCAAAGCCAATACTGCTACAGAGATCGGCCAGCGAGTCCTCGAGAGATTTGAATCTATCCGCTCTCAGGAAGAAAACGTTTCGCTGATATCTCTCTTTGGCAACGACGCGCATGAGCAATTCTGTTTTCCTGGAATGGTACAGTATTAGCGTCGATGAGAAAGTCCGAGCAGGAGGATTTGGTACTCATACCCTATGCCGGCAATCCCCTTTACTAATGTGAGCTTTTGACGAGTGGTATCGCTAGCTATTGTCGATTCGAGTTTACTCATCTCATCACTGCGGCCGACGAAGGGACTCTCGATAGAAAGACGATGCTGAATTTCACTCATTCCGCTGCCTTCCCACCAAGCTCCCCTGTGCGGTGGATATGCATGTGCAACAAATCGGGGATGCCCAAATCTCTGCGACACACTTTGGTTTAGTATTATTCTGTCTCTTTCCCTTTTCCTTCACAATTCTCATCTTTTTCACTGGATGGATATCCTACCCGATGTTCAATTACTGGCTGTTTGGTGGAACGTCCTATCACCTCGCCGTACACATCTCGCAACCCGCGACTGATGGTTATAAAAGCACCAAACTGCTTATCAAACTTGCAAATGGAGTTGTGATCGGCTTGCATAATCATCAATGCTGGATTTTCAGGGTCTAAGGATGCTGAGCCGTGAGTGACAACCTTGTGATGATTAGCATTAATTCTTATTGCAGTTTGAAGCACTTACATGTTGAAGCGTCCCTTTGATCTTCATCTTTCGTGCTTCAGCAAAGCATTTAAACGGAGGCCGTGGCTCAAGCTTTAGGAAAGCCTTCTTATCCCAAACTGATTCAGGATTAAAGGCTCTGAGGCTGTTCAATACATCTTGTCTCAGGCCAGACGTAACGGCGGCTACCGCCACCAAAAAGTCACCCCAGTCAGCCCTTGTCGTACCAGTATGAGGTGTCGCAAGGAACACACAACCGGTTGTCGAAAGGCTGATGCCTTTTACATTGGAGGTCGGTAATTGTGACATGGCCTAGTTCTCTCTCGTCAACTCTGGTATTGGCACCTTGTGATTGAAAATGCCTGGCTAACCTTTCTTGCCACCAGACCACCCAAAGAGTGGCACACTAATATCAAAGGGCGTGAACGTTCCTGTATATGCTCTTTAGCTTTTCGATAATTGATTCTGTCGTTCTGATGTTACCTTCTCAGATATTCTGACTTCGTCCAGACTCTGAAGTAACGTCTCCGCCCAGTTGTCTAGGGTCATCACGGTTTCTCGATTTGTCAGATCAGAATCGTAGCCAAATGTCATTACCCGGCTCTTCTCAAAATACTCTGAAGAGCTGAGATAGTCTCGTGGCCACATGGCACCTCCTTCTGCCGTCCATGTATCCATGGCGTTCCCGCCCAGTCCATGGACAGTACAAATACTATACAAGTGGTTAGTAGAACTCAGATACAACAATGGTTAGGTATAGTACTCCATCTCTACTTCATCACTACTATTGTGCTCATAAAGCACAGTAATGCCTTGAAAATTGCTAGTCAAGTCCCATCCCTGGCTTCGATGAGCTTTTGACTTTTCATGTCGAAGCAAAGCATCTGTTAGAGCACCCTTTGATCGTGCAGATATCGTGCCTATCTTTGAGCCATGTTGTTTAGCAATTGAGATATGCAGAATCTCATCAAACACGACCAAAGCGGCATCGTCCTCAGTGAGTGAGGTCGTTCGCGCCTCAGTGGATTGGCCTGGAAGTTTGGACACCCTTTTGCTTGAATACTTCTTGAGGAAAGATGTCAAAGACTTTTTCGGGCTGTTCGTAGTAAAAAGGCTTTTGACATAGGCGCTAAACTCGTCCCGCGAAACCGTGATAGGAATCGATGACACCCTCAGAGCATATTTACTATCCAAAGGCATTTTTCATCCAACGATAAAGGTTCGTAGGGTTGTTGAAGAAATAAGGAAATGTCTGTGAGGGGAGGGGAACCAGATGACTTCTGGTCTTGAGTGACTTGCTTTTTCCTTTGTAAGCAACTTCCAGAGCCTTATTCAGTACGTACTATCAGCACCCAAACCATGCAATAAGTACGTGTGTGGCTTTTCGGACCCAATCAATGTTAAAATGTCTCGTGGGGGCCTTGTGATTCCTGTAATATCTTGGCATGAGTCATTTTCAGCCCTGACACATGGCGTGATAGTAAATTCCATCCATCTCTACTGTCTTTCGCTTCCCTTCTGCTTGTGCAGCCTGCTCACCTCCCTACCGTCAAGGACGTGTAGAATCAATAATGGAATCACAAGGAGCGTCCGAAAAAGGATTGCTCAATCGTTTTTGTGCCTTTCACTCGCAGTTTCAAAGCCAAACGGTTCCTCTTGACCTCATCAAGCGGGCCTGCGAAAAGAAGGTATCTTGGTCGTCGTCCGGCTCACTTAAACAAATAGGCCCAGCGGACGCAGGAGTCCCGCAATTTCTTCGGACCTTCTGGGAGATTTGCCAGTATTCTCTGAACACAGATGATATTTTGTCAGGTTCTGGGTATCTCAAACTTGTGACAATAAATGGACTCCGATACATTGAGCTAGACGAGTCATATTCCACCTCAGCGAACACCGACGAGCACGATCAAGAACTTGCTGTTCAATGCGTCCAAACCTTTATCCATGCGTTTCCTTCTCGGAACGTGGAGATACTAGGCGAGGATATTGCCATTCGCCTTATGCCCCTGGCTACATCATTCCTACTGCCCTTACTGGCGTCAATTTCAACTGAGGATATCAAGATCTGGTTGTTACCAAAAAAGAAAGATAGGTAAGAGCCAAGTCGCTTCTTCGTGTCTGGTGATTCGGAGCTAAAATATTCCAATAAGAACTATGGACTATGTTATAAGCCTTTGTGATTGCTTGCAGCAGATCTTTCTATTGTTGGGGCGCGGAAACCCATCCATCCCCCTTGGCTTCCTCGACAAAATGTTCGATGCTCTCTTCGGTGATACAAGCCCGGATAGCGAAGGCAGCGATTCAACTTCCTCTATTATCGGAATTACTAAGGCGTCTATCACGTTGGATTCTGGGCAACTTGCGAATCTTGACTTGGGTATCTCTAATGGGAGAAATAATGCGTGGCTAGGGTCATTATTCACTCTAATACCAGGCACGCAAATGTGCGAAGAGCTTTTCAAGATGGCAGGAAAATGGAGGCCATTATCAATGTCTGTCCCCTCAGCGATGGAATACCTTGTTGCGGTTGAATTACTTCCTGAGGAGCAGCTGAACCGCATTTCAGTCCCGACTTCACTGAGCGGTGAGCTTGCAATCATAAAGGGACTTCTCCTCTCCAGAAAAGGTCTACATAAAGCAGCAATTCGAGTCTTGTTTGAAAACCTACCGATGACAATCACTACATATGGTCAGGCTTCTCTTGAGGTTGGTATCGTTACTGCAGAGTATGCGAACTGTTATAACATGTTGCGTCAAGAGAGCATTGCCAACCGAATTTCGACACACTTCCTTGCCCTAAGAACAAGCCAAGAGCTCCTCAATCGGCAGGACTGGTTCTTCCTGAGCCTTATTCAGATCGACTCACTGATCGGGACAGGGGAATACCAACAGGCCGATCTAGCTCTCCAGGGCGTCATGGCCAAGCCTTCAATACCAGCGTATATATTTGCTATGAGCTTCCTACGACTTTCCAAGATACGTAGGAGAACTGGTCGGAGCCTCAATTCGAAAGCGAGTCCTGGGGTCGCGTCTCATCTTCGAACTGGAATCGAACTGTTTGCACAAGTACCAACAATATTGCAACAGGAGATTCTTGAGGAGGTTGCTTGCGAGCTTGCTAACAAGCGGTACTTGGATCGAGAGACTCAGCAAGCCCTTAATACAGTAAACACTTATCTCAGTACCATGGTTATTGACACCACACCATCTCAGTCGAGGTATGAGAACACACAGTATAGTTTAAAGCAACGCATTTTACACGAATGGGATGCACTCGGAACATCATCGAAGGAGCGACATCAAGAAACAAACGTACATGGCCAGGATACCTTTCCACCAACTACCCTTTCTGACCTTTCTACATCGAATGGCAAAGGGGTTGGAAGATTGTTCATGGTTCCTCACCCGAGACATCCAAAGTTTGTTTCCAGAGACGAGGTTACCACAATCACCGAAATCCTGACAAGGCCCGAACGGCCTACTACATGCCTAGTCTACGGTGAAGTCGGCATAGGGAAGAGTTCCATCGCGACGGAAGTAGTTTACTCGTGCCACCAGAATTTCGATGCCGTAATATGGATAGAGTCGGGCTCACCAAGCGAAGTCAACTGCCGTCTATATTCGATCGCGACCGAACTTTGCATAGATGGCCTGACTGATAGTAGTGACGGGTATGTGAGGTCTCGGCAGTGCATGATCGAATGGTTGAGACATCCCTTGACGCGAAGCGAAACTGGTGTTAGACTATTTAAGTATCTAATTGTTTTTGACGGTTTCGGGAGTGAGCATGCTCTCAAGCCCTTCTGGCCAAGTGCCTCGACCCCTTGCTCGGTCCTTGTCACTGCCCGGAATAATTTCTCCCTTCCTCGCATTGGCAGGGTATACATCAACACACACGAGCTCAAAGTCAGGCCTCTCTCCTCTCGACAGGCGATTCAGCTCTTCAATTACTCCATGGGCTGGTGGGATGACGAACATGGAGAATCTCTCTTGCCAATCTCCGAAGACAATCCATTGGCTATCTTGAAAACTGTGGAATCTTTAAAGAGGATAAGATTTTCTGCCTGGCATATTGAAAATGCCTTCAAGGAATATTTGAAGTCATACTTGGATTGCGAAGATGTCAAATTTCAACTCAACCACAGCAAATCCCTCATCGTGTTATGGTTCGTCGATTTCGCGTCTCAGAAGGCGAAGGACTTGCTAGATGTCATTGCCTTTCTTCAAGAGAGTGGTACACCTAGAACGTTGCTATTGTCTTGTACATCGCCATCAAACACATCGAATGAGCTTGTAATGACGGTAGACGAATTTGAACTAGCACGGGACGAATTAATGGAATTCTCACTCATCTGGAAGAACCACGAAACAGATAGCCTAGCGACATCTTCCGCTATCGGATGTCTAATCCGAAATCAAATGTCACCGGACAGATTCGAATCCGTCTATGCCACGACACTGAGTCTATTACACTCGGTCTGGCTATGTACCTCTGACAACGCAACCCATGTGGACGACTTTGAAATGGAACACTCTGGGAGATGTTCAGTATTGTGGCCTCAGGTTCGAGAGCTCAAAGGCCGGTCTGAGGCAATTGTTGCGCCCAATGTATCACGAAATACATCTATTGATTGTATTCGAGTTCTGCTAGATATCACATGGTTTGTCCTCCCTGTTATTTGTAGTAGGACTATAATGTTAATTGTTCATAGGTGTGCCACCAGAAGCAGACAATATGAAGAGGCCGATGAATATCTTACTATGGCCTCGATTATCCTTTCTCGTTTAGGAGCAGTTTCGCTCTTACATAGTGAGATCTCGAAAGACCTCCAGCAAAGATATCACCTTGCGGTAATCGATCTCCGATGCCTGTTTTTTCATCACCAGGCATGGTTGTGTTTCAAAAGTGGTAAACTCGAAATGGGACCAGAGTTTTTCAATCAATGTCTCCGGTGGTTAGATGAGGGCTTTGAACTACGTGATAAAGGGAACTTGCAGGATACAGGTCATTCCCTCAGAGCTTCTGTACTCCAAGGGCTGGGAATGCTCAAGCTCCAGACTAAACAGGTGCAGGAAGCTGTTGAGCAGTATGCTTGTTGCCTAAGGATGATGGATCTATCTCCAGATTATTTCGGGCAAAGACGTCTCATCACTATTCACATACAAAAAGGATACGCCCATCTTATGAACAACCAGCCGAAGGAGGCGGAGGGCTCTTTTACACTCGCCTCCGACCTAGCTAAAACATCCAATCTCGAGGATGATACCTTATTCGATACCCGGAACTTCCCAATGTACGTGCTCCTGAAATCACGAAGCATGATGCTAACAGGTTTTAGTAAATTGCTATCATCTTATGGTCTTCTGAAATACGGTCTCACCCTCGCAAAGCTTAACCAACACGCTGTACACAAGTGTATCGAAATGGCTCTCGAGTTTCTTAACTTGTGCAGCTATGATGACCAGTTAAAGGGGGCCATTTATATAATAATGTCCTGCTGCAACGCTCGAAACGCACACTGGTATCTTGCTATGTAAACCACAATTATTCCTATCACTGTACTTCTTAGCATGCTAATAGCGAGGTAGGGAGTTTACCATCAGAGCAATAGAGATTTATGAGACGTATGGGAATCCACATTTTCATCAAGTCAGAGAATTTTTAGGGGAGAGTAAGGGGTATCTATCGATGAAAGATGGTTATTTATCGGTTATTAGAGCTCATGGGATTAGAGATGATAACAAGGTAGATGAATGTCTAATTGGGGACTGGGCGGAATATCTCATCTGGCACCAACAGCACCCCAGCAGTTGTTAGTTTTAGCTATGCACTGAAATCTGTTTAAGCATCAGTCTGCTGTTGATAGTCCGTCTATACATTAGTATTGTCGTTTTGTAATTCAGTTAGAACGAAATTCATGAGCACTACCTTTAAAAATATCCAGACGTCTCATTGTCATATATTAGCTTGCCCGAAGTTTGGTGGTCATGGCAAAGCTATGATTCGAACCTGGGGTAGTCAGTAGCACTGTGGTGATAAAATAACTTGTAACAGCTGGTGCACTGGAATGTGGACTTCGTGGTTTATGAGTTAACAAATATGTTCTATTAGAACGTGCATATGCTACACCAAAAAGGATTTACCGATAGAAATAGTTCAGTTGTACTATAATAAGTTCTTTTCTTAAGATTAGTAGTGTAAATATATATTGAAGCATTAAATAAAGGGTTAACAAGTATATAGCATTAACTATTTTATATAACCAGCATTAATTAAAGGCTAGTTCAAGGGACCTGTATATTGGTAGCTCGAGGACCACATCTTCATACCTCTATGTTGCAGACATTACCACCTCTCCACCACACGACTACGGAGGCCTGCGTTGGATGCAAGTTTCTCGGCATGGTACACTTGAATGGTGGTCGTCTCATTGTCATTCCATTGTGTGTTACACATCTACTACAGGACAGATTACGAACTTGGAAAGATAATTATGAAATAATAACTATACTAAGTAAAGACAAGATTTTATATAAGGCTTAGGAAGTTAAAATTAATAATAGTAACCTCCTTAATATTGCTACTATTATAACTTCCTTAGTTACTTAATTGCTACCTGTCTTAAAAAGGAATAATCTAGACTTATAAATAATAATATTTTTTAATTAATTTATAAAATAATAATAAAAAGGATAAAAATTATAGTATTACATATGAAGAAAAGTTAGGAAATGAATAACTTTAATATAAAACTAGGCATTAAAGCCTATTAAAGAGGAAATATAAAGTAAAAAAGAATTATATTTAATAAGTTAGTTATTATTTTATATTCAGTTAATAATAACGTTAAAGAGGCCTTTATAAACTCAGGTAATAATATATATTCCTTAATAAACTTCAAAAATAAGCTACCTTTAGGGTTGATCTATTAAAAAATCAGGAAAAATCAAACTCAATCTAAATTTCTAGACAATGTCCCCTATGGATTGCCGTAGCCTACTGGTTTGTTACATATTTCAGATAAGTAATACATTCCCCATAATTAAAGCCCCGCAGATTACCAACTCACAGTATAAATGCGTGGTAATGAACTCCTCTTCTGGTTTTTTTATTCCTTATCTTCAAATCAGTCTTCATTTATTAATATTCTCTAACTAAAGCCTCTGCCACTTGAAAGCATTGCTTCTTCGAGGTATTTATCCCCAGTAATTGCCTCAAAGCTCTGATATCCCGACATTCCAGATGAACACGAGTGTACAAGATACGAAGTTGGTGGAGCAGCTATTCCTGGATCTCCCTATAAGCGAAGTCCTCCATCCTACCGAGGGGACTCCTGTCTTCGAGCCCTGGGCAAGCTCATATGTGAATTCAATCCGCGAATCAAGATTTGGCGACGCAATCTGGGCCCGATATCAAATGCTTGGGCAGGTAGTTGATGGGTTGTGCAGAGGGATGAATATTATTGAGAGGATCACTGAAGATGCGATGGGCTACAAAAAATACTCATCCGAATTTTACGCTGAGGCCGTCGCTTTTTACAGGGTTAACAACAGCAGCTCCGACGGCCATCCTGAGGTAATTGATGTTATCTTGCGGGTCGACACCGAAGACCTTACTGGGAAGCATATCCCTGAGGGCGGCTGAAATCTTATTTACTTGGTCGCCTCGAGGAGAGGTCTGTTGGTTCTTCGCCTGGCTCTGAGTCATTTCTTCACGATGCGTTATCTGTGGGTTTGCATGTTGTGTTCGGCTAAGACGGCTTGCTCGGAACCCTCGGCGGTAGATCCCCTGACACTTCCAGAACTTTAATCCTAACTTTTCATCGTATCACTTTATTTATGATGTATCACTATCCCATAACCTCAAGTATCTTACAGAAGTGTGTCTAAAAAGAGCACGGACTTTACAGAGTACAGCCTTCGTATCGGAATTGAAAGAAAAACGAGCACTGAATGATCTTCATTTCCATAATTACATGGTATGAGGACACGATAGACAGCGAGGTCCCTTGTGCATACTGGCCGACTTGTATCCAGGTTGGGCCATGGTTCCAGGCCTAGACATGCCTGCACTGAGTGTTGGTCGATGCATAGCGAGGCCCAAGCACATTTCAGACTATCCAATCCTCATCAATGGGAGATGTTTCGACCTCCACTGGAGAGGAAGGGTAGATAAATAGCGCTCGGGGATAACTATTTTGGGCTAGTACATAACGAACCATCACAACCAACATGCATAATACGGCAAAGTCGGGAGAGAAACTTACCACCGGCTGAAAAACCTGAAAGAAGTCACGAAAGGAGTCCTGTAATCAGACATGATGTTTTTCCATAAAGACCGAATGGCTGGCTCCTAGCAATAATCAGAGTCCTCAGGGGAACAACTTCAAGACTCAGATTCACTGACTCCAACCTCCAACATGATCATCACTTCTATCTTCTTGTTCTCAACTTTGTTGATTTTCACAAGCGTTGCGAAGGTAGCCGCAAACCCAGATGAAACAAAACTACTTGAACAGCTCTTCCTTGATTTGACCATCGACGAGGTCGTCAATCGATCGAACGGATTGATAGTTAACGAGCCATGGGCTATTGAATATGTGACCGCTATCCGGGAGAAAAGATTTGGCGATGCCACCTGGGCACGACACCACGTTATCGGCGATATCCAGAATGGCACATTCTCTGAAGTGAACCAGACTATCTTTCAAGCAATCGAGAAAGATGCCATTGGGTATAGATCCTACTACCCTGAACAATACTCGGACGCTTTAGCTATTTACGCCAATATAAGTAATGCCGATACGCGCACCGATATTCTAAACCTCATATCAAATATCAAGGCTGAAACAGTCTCAGAAATGGAAAAACGCGTGACATACGGTATCAAGTGCAGCGCGGATCACCTCGCCTACAGATCGAGCTGCTATCGTCTTCTCGAACTTATGTCCCAGGCAAAGACAAATATCGGAGACACGAGAAGGGTATATACCTATATGTCGTGTCATCTGAGGGTCGGTCCATACGGTGGAGGAACCGGGGATATCACGTATCATACGGCTCATCTCGTGGCCCGTCTGATTGAAGAGCAATGTAGCCGATGCCCCGCACACTGCGAATCAATCAAGGTGTCCGGATTTTCACCGGGGAACTCTGGTCATCGTAAAGTCCGCCTTAGCAGTAAGGATGATGGCTGCTACTGAGGATTTATACCAAGACTAATGGGAGAATAAAAGTTTGAGACTGAGCTGCTTCTGCTTTAACATGTGTTTCAATCTATGTACCAACCATTCCCCATAGTGAGCCGCGCGATGTTAATGTAGTGAGCGCCATGATGAAGAGGAATGGCAACCATGTCTGAATCGTCAGGTAAAGTTAGTGAGGAGAGACGTGACATGATATTTAGAGTGGTGTGTTGTGCTCTTGAGGTTGGAGCGATTAGCACGTCTAGTGACGTAACGGATTAAGCCATTTTATGTAGACCGTAAGGGGTAAGCTTGATTACCTATGTAAGCGAGAATGGGTCAGGCTTGGCGAGGTTATGGCGATCAAGATAGATTTCAGAATAGGGATCAAGAAGCACAGACGTGGGTCATGCCGGGGTAGAAATTATGTATAGTATCAGGGAGAGGTTTGCTTATGTATATTTGGGAAGGTGATTTATTCTTTGTATGAACTTGGGTAAAGATGAATGGAGTGACTGAGATATTAGGTTTGTTATTTACGAAGCACGATGAGTGTTGAGAAGTTAGACAATCAGTTATGGTACGTTAAATTCAGTACCGTGAATCTTAATGCGACTTTGACGTGAGGCCAGGTGGTTTTGTGTTGCTGCGAGTGGTACTGACCTTGACCTTTCGTGCTGCTACGCTGTATCGAACTCCTCTTTAGCCGAACCCTGCAGAAGGAGATTGTCAAGCTTACAAAAAATTACATTTCCACTTATTCATTCGTGAAATCTCTTGATATTGGGATCCCACGCGGCTCTATTATAGCTACCCTGGAGAGCTTTATGGTTAACCTTAGTGGGGCTCCAGCCACAGCTTGGGGTGTAATCTAATCACGCCCTTGTTTTATACATAACTTCCCTCCGGTTGTCTTTAAAAGTTTTCTTCTGGCTGCCATTAACGTCATTAGAAAAGTACTCAGTAATCTTCCGAAGTGAGCAACCCGACTGACGTGAACTCTAACAAACTGCTCATTAACAGAAGACGTTTATCCATATTCCCCAACATATAAGGCTATATTTTACGAATAGTATGACGTTCTTGATACCCAATTTGAGGGGGAGGTTAACTCGGAACAGGTGTATTGCAGAGCGGAGGATGGTTCTTGACGGTGTCAACAAATCTTGTCAGCGCTTCGGCCTCATAAGAGTCCGCATCAATGTATTGGTCCTGGTTTGCATCAGCAGAACCACCGTTGAATGATACGAGCGATGGAGTTTCGGTGTTGTAGACAGTCCAACAGCGGAAAGATGCGCCAACTGTTGTCATGACATTTACAGATCTCAGATTGTTTGCTCTGATGCATCGTCTGGCCGCATCTAGCGCTTGAGACTCGACTTGCCTAACACTGGCAGAGAATATTCTAAGCTCAATGCAGAGCACAGTCGACAAAGTATCATCGCTTTCATCGTATCTATGCACCTCCGTCTCGACCCTTGTGAGGGATTCGTCTCGAGGCATGCCACACGTGACCGTGTAATTCTCTTCATGAAACGCTCTTCGCAACCAAGTTTGCCAGAATGGGGAGGGCTGAGACTCGATATTTTGAGCACCATCCTGGTAGAGTTTTCGAAGAAGACCAGTTGATGGCACGACACTCATGATGGGCGATGTTGAAGAAGCGAGGATGACTGCTATCGGGGATATGGGAGTCTTGAGTGGGTATGTGTAAAGTAGAACAGAATAGTTATAGTCTTAAGGAAGAGTTCTGGAAAAGAGCTCTTTGTAATGGGAGGTATGCTGTCAATTTGATGCATCGGCCTTAAAGTGGTGGGCTAATCTCTAAGTTATACCTGACTGAAGACGAGTCGTAAGCGCTCTGTTCAAGGTTGGTCTTATATGCCGCCCAGATAAAACATGGTCATATTGCAGTGATCACCTTCGATCACAAGAGGCCTGAGCTTTTGTTAGCCAATGATGTCGGCAAAATGTGGAGGTATTAGATGGTCAAGTGTAACAAATCGAGAATTGTGAGGCAAAAGTCAACTGTTGGCGCTTTCTTCTTACTGTGGAGAAATATCATTAGAATTTCCAAACTTTATCGTGTTGGCGGTTCGAGATCCCCTTATGATACTTCGCACCATTGAGCATCACGCCCTACATTAGTTGCTAACATGAACGTAGAATAGACTGGTTTATTCAACCCAATCGTCACAGTAAGCGCCGACATGGTGAGTATATCCGGACGTTCGATTTTAGGCGCGCGCTATGCTTCGTGGGGATGAACTTTAAATACATCGGCTAATTCCACTTTCAGAGAGCGTAGTGCCCAGGCAGAGCAAGTGTGGCCGCTGAAAACCGGGTCACTTACAACCAACAAGATCCCCATTTCGGTCCCATTTACCCGGCTAGATCGCGAATGATAATACTGATGATTCATGTTCATGGTGAAAGAATCCTGGCGTTAACGGACACAGCCTTCTTCCCTATTTGACCCTCGTAGTTATAGTATACATCAAGAGGCGCAAGAAGTGCTTCTCCCAAAAGCGCAGCTAATTATTTTACAACGTCGCCACTATTTGTCTTGTGTAGAAAGAAGATCTGGGATGGCGGCCAGTGTACTCTTGACTACGGTAACTATACTATTTAGAACGGAACAGGCAAGATAAGGCATATATCTGCGACAGGAAGGGTCAGGTTTTACACCCTCTAAGAGTAACTAGGATTATCTCGAAGGAAAAGTGGAATGATACTAACTGCACCGTTGACTGCGGTGATGAGGGGCAGCAGGATAAGAGAACTCGCAGGTTGTTGTTGTTATATTGTTTTACGCCGGGAAATTCCTACAAGAGAATAAAAGGCGCCTAGCTATGTATCTAAGAGTTATATAAAGATTAAAGCCTGTACTGTAATTCTAGAATTTATATCTAGAAGGTTATATAAGGGGTATATATTTTAGGTTACTGTCTAGGAGGTAATATTAATTCTAGATAGTATTAAATGCCTTTAGGTATAGTAATAGGTATATAGGGTAGGTTTTTTATTAAGTAGACCTACCTGGGGTAGATTTTTATAAAGAACTAGGTCTTACAAGCCAGTATTATATACTTAGTTTAATCCTTTCCTAACTTGTCGTTAATCTCTAACCGCCTGCCGAACCAGTTAGTAATCCGGTTAGCCTTATAGCAGTATAGTATATATACTGGCGACTTAACTTTACCGTAGGAGCACTTTAGGGGTATATTTACTATTTATATTAAGTCTAGTAGTACCTTTAAAAAAGAGATCTAGCTATCCTAATTAAACCTATAAAAATATTAATAATAGAGGTCCCTATATAGACCGAAAAGTAATAATATCTTAAATTTAATAAGGTTATATATTAGCTATAACTCTATTTCTTAATGGTATAAAAACCCCTATAAGGACTATTACTAGGGCCACTTTTCCCTCTTTATATTCTACTTTAATTAACCTACCTGTACTTATATAAAAAGAAGATTACGATTATTAAGTAACTATTAAGCCCGTAAGTTAACCTGACCGCTTTACTTATAATTAGATTAATAAAGCTAACCTTAATTACAGTTAATATATTAATTAATATACCTACCTTTATGCCCTTTTATAAGGACCTCTAGCTAGTTAATAATAGTAATATAGCTAGGGTATATAGAGGGGAATTTTAATATATTTAAGAGGTATTTTTTAAAGTAATAGCTAAAGATCTTAATATCTATAAAGAGTTAAGAGGCCTACTTAATAAGATTAATTAGCGGCATACTATTAAGGTAGGTATAAGGCCTATAAATTAGGAGGCTAAGGTTATATTTACTATTTTTAACTATATAGTCTTTTAAATACCTAGCCTCTTTACCTATAATAATAATTATAATAATAAAAATATATAACTTAAAAAAGAGATATTATTGTTTAACTATTTTAAAAGAAAGCTTAAATTATATAATATAACTAGGCCTTTAATAATAAAAAAGACTACCTTTCTTAATATATTAAATAAAGATAATATAAACCTAATAAAAGGTAGGTATAAAGAATAGTTAACAGACTTAATTATAATAGTAAATTCGGTTAAGGAATTTAATTAATAAACTATACTAAACTCTAGCTAGAGTTACTAAGTATAAAGAGATTATTAAAGTTAGAGTTATAGGAGGAAAATTCATATATATAAGATAGAGTTTTTTACTAAAGGTTAAAAAGTCCTTTAATTTAAGGGAAGAAATTACCGTAATTAATTAACCAAGATTACATAACCTAACAGCCCCTCCCTATAGTAACTAGATAAGATAAGAGGTAATCAATAGTAATTTAATAGTAATGCAACCGAGGTATATTTACTATAAGGCCAATAGATAAAACTATTAATATTCTTATTACTACTATATGTATTTATATTAAATTTCTACTTATTCTTTATAGAATGGTAGGTGTTTTGTCGTAGGGTAAAACCTACTTCATGTTCGCGTCTTCCGGAACCACGTCACACAAACCCAACACATTTCACCGTAATCAATACCAGCGCTCTCAATAAACCAACCGTATTACAATCAAGTCAAATAAAAGTAGTAATTTCGCAGTTTTAATCAAGTAAAACCTATAGTTTTATTTATTTAATTTAACTTAATTATTAGGCTATATTTATTCTGATTTAGAGAGGAATAGGGTAGTTATTCTCCTCTTTCTAGGACGAAAAAGAGACGTACCTAATCTCTTATCGCACTAATAGTTTTATCGATAAGATGAGTTTCACATCAAATCAAAAGTGATCTCTCTACATCAAATCAGAAGACCATCAAATTAAATTATTGAGAAATAGATTCGAAATTTGATTTGTTGGGAGCTAAGAGAATACAAGAACCACGTACCTAAGAGCCGGTGCGTTTACCCCATGCCTTACCTCGCAATCGGCCGCCGTTGCAAGAAGCGATGGTCCGGCGCACATTATTGATTCAACTGTAAGCCACCAAGATCAGCCCTGACCATTCTATTCCCGTTGGGGGTTATCAAGCCACTGTTTCCCCGTAATCTCCACTGCTGCAACCCGTCAGCCCGGTTAGCGAATGGCTGTCTTTCAGCGCCATGCTTTAAGCTTAAAGATTGCAACCATCGCGTCGTCGGTGTTTCGATTTAAGCATAACAAAGGAAAAACAAATTGAGGGGGAAAAACAGAACGGGAAAAAGGGGCGCAAAAAGTGTAATTGCAAGATTGACTCAATTCATGCTTAGGTGTTATTTACTAGAGAGCTGGTAACTACTGGGTCCAACGCCCAAGCCTCGCCTCATCCCCGTATTCCTGCAAAAGCTTGTCGGCTTGCCAAGCACGCGGGGCTTAGCAGCAAACCCCTGCGCAAGGACCGAGCACCTCCAGCTGACGTCTCTTGGTGCTCTTAGAACAGTGTAATAAGCAATACTCAGGTCAGATGTTGATTAGGGTGAGCTCACATGCAGGGTGAGAAGGACTGCACTGCCGAAGCTAATAGTTCGGATCGGATGTCGGTCCTTGAGGAGGGGAAAGAATCAACAATTGGGATTAGGGAGAACTCATTGATTTCTTTCCACTTACTGTTGCCTACTCGTGTATAGTCATTACTATGGCCATGCCATCAAGTCATGTGAGTCTCTCAAGATTGAGACCGCCGTTGGTTCTATTCTCAGTAACCAGAAATACCTGGTACAAAAAAAAACTCACAGCCGCCATGATAATTACCACGGAATGGTTGGCGGTCAGCAAACTAACACAAAGTACAATTCACTGAGGTCTGGATTCCAATAGTTGTGAAAAAGTAACGCCATAGCCTGGCTTTTTCCTCCAATGCTCAGCCCGACGTTCCGAACAATCCATTTCAGACCGACTTCTTAGATGGCTTGGCTTGATCAAGCTGACTTCAATCATTGGGAGCGTTGGTTCAACATGACTGTTCCAGCGCACAACACAAAGAAGCAAAGTCTCTGATTCAATCATTCTCAGCCGCAGCCAATAGGCTAAGAGCGTGGTGAGGATTTCTTTTTGCGACGCGAAATAGAGGGTGGTGGGGAAAACGCCACCTGTGACATTCCCTTTCATCACTCCCTTCTTAGCTCAAAGGGGTTGGGGCACGACGTTAGCAGTCATCGGCTCCTCGCAACGCCTTGACTTTCAGGGTCTGTGCTAACGTAGAAATTATCGAAAGAGGCGGTTTCGATGTCAATGGTAGCGGATCATGTCAACCTCCGCGGGTGAGCCTCCTGCGGGTACCTGGTGTGGAGATGTCATTCATGTCATGACTATTGTGCGCCACCGAGGAGCTGAGATGCAGCTCTCAGGAGTTTGTTGGTTGAATCTGGTACAGCTACAGTAATGTCGAGAGACTATAGCTCGGATGGGAGCATCCATCAGAGTCTAGATCATGAGTTATTGATTATTTAGATTAGATACACTGAAGAGAGAAAGAGGCGTTTGCTTATACCAACTTCATGTCGGATCTGTTAATGCTCTCAATGCAGACCAAATCCATTTATAAAGATTCTCAATATTCCTCTCCAAATTCACTTCATCAAGCACTCAAACAGCTTCTGCATTCTTTCAACTAATTCTCAAGACTCTCGAGTCTATCCATTCGTTCTTCTTTTTACTCTTAACTCGTTCCCGAGGCTTCAAGATGATCAAACCTTTGGCTCTCAACTTGCTATTGGCCCTTGGGTCAGTAGCTGCCGCCTCCCAGCCTCGCGCTGATGAAGGTGGCCTTTCTGCTCGCTACCCTGCTCCTGTCAACTGCGGCAACTTGGCCACACCTGATAGAGGAAGCTGCAAATGCACCGACAATGACGCTGTTCTCAACGCCGCCAAGACGGCTTGTAGCTGCAAGAGTGGCTTCAAGCAGGTCGGCAATGAATGTGTCAGGGACTGTGGCAGTGACGCTGAATGGAAGGGCTCATTCTTCACGGGCTACGAGTGCAAATGCAAGTCATCCTACCTCTCTTACACCGCTTCCACAAAGTCTTGCACCTGCAGCAAGTCTTACCAGGAGGATCGAGGGGGTAAATGCCAGGACATCTGCCCCGGCGCCGTTTACCACCCTTCCGGCGTCCCCGAGAAGTGCGTCTGCCCTCAAACATCCCGGAAGTTTGACTACACTGACAAGAAGTGTGTCAACAAATGCCCTGCCGATATTACCAACTTCAAGCCTTCCGACATCGAAGCCGGTTTCGTCTGCGAATGCAAGAGCCTCGACAAGAAGTTCGCCAACAACAATTGCAACACCCCCAAGTGCCCTGTCTCTGGTTCCAAGTTCAAGAGCGATGATGCCCAGGGCAAACCCATCTGTGAATGCGAGGACAAGTCCAAGAAGCTTGTTGATGACGCCTGTGTACTCAAGTGCCCCAAGAAGGACGAAACTTTCAGCAAAGATGGTGACAACGATCCTGTTTGCGTCAAGAAGTGTCCTGAGGAGGGTACTGAGTTTGATAGCGATGGCCCCAACGATAAGGCTATCTGCAAGTGTGTCAAGAACTCCGAAAAGCTCGGCTCTGACGGCAAATGCTCTCCCAAGTGCACCAAACCTGAAGAGAAGTGGACGGAAGACACCGCCGACGGCCCTGTCTGCAAGCCCAAATGCCCCGAGAAAGGTACCAGATTCGTGAAAGACGGCAACAAGGAGACCGACCCCGCCTTCTGTGAGTGTATCGAGGACTCTGAGAAGCTCAACTCCAACGGTCAGTGCGAACCCAAGTGCGAAAAGTCCGAGGAGAAGTGGACGGAAGATACCGCCGATGGCCCTGTCTGTAAGCCCAAGTGTCCCGAGGAAGGCACCGCCTTTGTCAAGGATGGCGACAAGAAGTCCGATCCTCCCGTCTGCAAGTGTATCGCCGATGAAGAGAAGCTCAACAAAGACGGCAAGTGTGTCCTCAAGTGTGATAAGCCAGAGGAGAAGTGGACCGAGGATGACAAAGACGGCCAGCCCATCTGTGTCAAGAAGTGTCCCAATTCCGACCAACAGTTTGTCAAGGATGGCGAGGCGAAGACTGACCCTCCTGTGTGCGAGTGTGTTGCCAAGTCCGAGAAGCTTGATAATGGTGATTGCAAACCCAAGTGCGTTAAGCCTTCAGAGAAGTGGACCAAGGACGACGATAACGGCGACGCTGTCTGTGTCAAGAAGTGCGACAAGGAGGATGAGAAGTGGGCTGGCGACAGCGAGGACAACGACAAGACCCCTATTTGCGAGCCAAAATGTCCCAAGACAGGTCAGAAGTGGGTCAGTGATGGTGAGAAGGAGGACGACGATCCTGTCTGTGGCTGTGTCAAGGACTCTGAGAAGCTTGACGGTGGTGAGTGTACGCCCAAGTGCCCTGTCGATCACACTGTCTTTGTCAAGGATGGTGAGGACGGCGAGCCTCCTGTCTGCGAGTGTGATGACGAGAAGAGCTATCTTACCAAGGACGGTTGCAAGCCCAAGTGCCCTAAAGACGCCACCTACAAGAAGGATGGAGACAACTGGACCTGCGAGTGCCCCAACACAGGCGAGGTCTTCACCAAGGCCACCTCCGACTCCGGCCCCAAGTGCGCCTGCAACAGTGACGAGAAGCACGTCAAGGATGGCAAGTGTGTCTCCAAGTGTCCAGCCGGAGCTACCTACCACGCCGAGACCAACGGCTACACCTGTGATTGCTCCACTGCCATCGCCGGCTCAGACTGGGACAAGGACAACAACTCGTGCGGCTGCCCTGCCAAGAACGCCGACACCGAGAAGCTCATCCTCAACGACGCCAAGGACAAGTGTGTTCTCGACTGCGGCTCCGAAGCCAAGCTGAGCACCAGCGGCGACAAGTGCGAGTGCAAGACCACCTACGGCACAAAGTTCGACAAGAACCTGCGCCAATGCCCCTGCGACGCGCCCGAGTTCAAACCCTCCAACGGCGTCTGCGTCCCCGACTGCGGCACCCAGGCTACACTGAACCGCGCCCGCACAGGCTGCGTCTGCAAGAAGAGCGGCCAGAAGTTCACCATGAGTGACAAGTCCTGCGCCTGCGACTCACCGCTTGTGTGGTCCGACGGGTGCTGCCACATGGCCTGCGGCAAGTATGCCAACTGGGACAAGAGCCGCAAGGAGTGCGTGTGCCAGAAGCGCGGCCAGCTGTTCGACGACGCCTCTGCCACCTGCGCGTGTCCCGGTAAGAAGATCTGGGACGGCAGCCAGTGCATCCCCGACTGCGGTAACTACGCTACCTGGAACGGACGCAACAAGGCATGTATTTGCGACAAAAAGGGCCAGATCTTCACACCCTCTACAAGTACCTGCGACTGTCCCGAGGGCGAGAAGTGGATCGGTAACAAGTGCACTGTCGACTGTGGTGATGAGGCGCAGCTGGATAGGAGGACTGGTAAGTGTGCTTGCTATAAGACGGGCCAGACGTTTGACAAGGTTACGCTTGGATGTGCGTGCCCTGCTTCTGCGCCTGAGTGGAGCAGCAGAGCCAAGAAGTGCTTCAAGCCCAAGGCTTAGATAGGAGGTGAATGGTGTAGTGTATCACGTGTTTGTATAATCTTCTTCTCTTGGTCAACTTACGGATACTGTTGGGGATTGCCCGAGGGTACTGTTCAGGGGCTTTTGTATTTGTATCTAGCATTTCCTACATAATCATACTTCTTTAGTCTTGACTTCCGATTCTGTCATCACGTGCCATATGTGCGATGGTATTGAATCACTTATTGAATGTACACACGCTCTCGTTTTCTCCATCTGCATGCTTGCATTTTTCCTATGAGCATTTAGGACTTGGACTAATCTCTGCTATTTTCCAATACCAATGTCAGATGAAAGTTGGACCGTGTCTAGATAGGCTTTCAGACTGACAAACATCATATTTATTCCACTGATTAGCAACCTCAGCGTGCAGATTCACAAGAGATCGTAAGTTTGTACCGTCAGTTCATCTTGATGACTCTGAATATAGCTTCGCATCTCAACCAACAAGATCTGGCCGTGTGGCCTAGGTATCAGCTATACCGTATACTACTAGTATAAACATACTTCCTTACTTAAATATTATTAGCTAGCCAGTCCATATTTATTGTAGTAGGTACGTATAGTAAACTTTACTTTGATTTCTATTCTATACTCTGTCAAGTCTTAGCTTCTTTCTTCTATAGTCCAGTTACTGTTCCAAGGATGCGGAAACTCAAAGCCCCTTTTTGCAAGTTCTTTCATGCAATATCCCATACCATCATCCACTAATATTAAGTCACTACTTTTACTTTGTAGGTACACCTCCCATGCTTCCTTTCTTTGCTCCCGACCTTTTAAAGGTTGCGTCCCAATGTCATCGCAGTAGTCAGTTGCGGGTAAGAATGCCTCATCAGAGCAGCCCCGCCACTTTTCTTCGCCACGAACGAGGACCATCTCAAATCGTTCGCTTTTCCCTTGAGGGGCTTGAGTAATTAGCGCCAAGCGCAGTCGATCCTGCACAAGCCGACCGAGCATAAGGTAGGCGGTGACAAAGTTCACAACAGCCACGGTGACATGGCTACTGAAGTTGTAAGCGTAAAGTCCCTTAGGACAGGGACAGAGTACGCTAGGAAAATCATCATCAAAGCTCAATATAAAGGGGTACTCCCAATTGTCTGTTGAAGACAGAGTGCTCCTGAATCGATCTAGTAGGTCTAAAACAACCTGCCAATCTGAAATCTTTTGGGTACATATAGTAAAAAGACATTGAATGACGAACCATGAATGCAGTAAGAGAGTTGCGTTTCTTACGTTAGCTCGAGCTTGGGAGGAAACACCCTGTCGCTCCTCACTATTTGTATTAGTCAGACGGGTTAGGATGTATCCGACCAAGTCCCAGCACCCCGGATCCGTTATTGCCCCTGAAGAACCGTCTACTGCTGCTCGAAGCAGAACAGGAATGGCATCAATGAGAGGGCCGATTGAAAATCCGTCTAGTATACCAGCAATAATAAAAAATCGAGGGGCTGTTTCCACGATTTGTTCAAGGAATTCCAATTCCAAGAGATTCGAAGGGGTTTTTGAACCCTGTGGGTAGTTATAATATGAGTGGGCGCAAAACAAGCCAGATTCCTGCCAATCCTTGAGTATTCGCAACATCCTATTTTCGGAGGATAAATCGCCCCATCTATCATAGTAGGTGATTTTCAAGGCTGCATGCAGTTGTATGGAGGTTTGATTGATCATCTTATAGATCATTTTGTCTGTCGTCATCCCAACGGTATACCACGGTGGCTCGAAGCATAGAAACCGACATTTGACAAGATGACCTCCGAGTAACCTGTCAACCTGCTCAACCGGGGACCAGTCGCATGTACTCAGACACTCGCGACCGAATTGTGTGTCTGTAATGAAGTCGAAAGCAGATCTGTGAATGAAGTCGATCCTCTTGGTGTCGTAAGGAATTAGGCGTGGATTTCCTTCAAAGTAATCAACGTCATCTGCGATTGGAGTCTTTGCTATCTCAAGTAATCCACGGCTAATCAATCGCAATCGATCTGCCACCCTTGCACATCTGGCCTGTAGGTCTTTTGCCTGGATGTCTCGGCCCGTGTCCAATATTGATGTTAGAGGCGCATCCTCCAGAGCCGTGGCCATAACAAGTAAGGAACGCATCGAATTGTGATCAGGTGACTTATATTTTACTTCCAAGTCAACTTCCATATCCTCGTCAAGCTTTTTGGCTGTAATAGCTAGGCTAAAGTAGCGAGAGGCATCGATTCTGTAGCTTGGTAGTTTGGCATCATCTCCTGGTCGCTCCCACATATCGATCAATAGGTCATTTAAATCTGCAGGAGTCTGTGCAAGTCGCTCCTCATATTCGTTATAACTTGCTGTCCCTGACCGTATTGCTCGATTGAGACTATCGAGAACTAAGACGACCCAGAGGAATACCCCGTTTGCTTTCTCCACAACTATTTTTAGAATGTGATGTCGGTAGGAAGAACTCAGCCCAGCTACTTCGAGTTTATTCTCCACAAAGTGGTAAATGTCGTGGTAAGTAAGCTGATGGATTCTCAAGCGGGGCCGACCGTCAAAAAATAAGCAGAAGGGATGTTCTTCCCTGCTCGACGCACACAGCTTGACATTGCTGAGCCATAGCAGGTCATGAATGACCTGAGTCTTTCTTTTATCACGCCATGATAAACTCTCCAACTCCTTTGCCTCATCCAGTCCGTCCAGGAAAATGCAAAAGGCGTCGCTTGAAGATTTGATTGCGTAACAGAGAGCCTCTCTTAGCTCATTGAGGTCCCAGTCTCCACGAGCTCGCTTTTCGGAAACATTCTCTTGATCTTCCCACAGCCGCCGAGCGAGATAAGGGTCCTTTTGGAGCACTTGATATAGAAGAGAGAGCATCATGCCTTCGATGTTCCTCTGTAACAGTTGGCCCGGCTTCCAAAAAAAGTGGGTGATGATATGTAATTTGCGGTCCGTCATCTGCATGTTGCGCTGCCAAACTTTGAGATGGTCCATTGTGAGGGAATTCAATGCGAGAAACTTCATGAGTGAGCTTTTTCCCGAGGCTGGTTTACCACTGATCCAGAATAGATTCAAATCTGACTCCAACCAAGCGGGAAAGCTGTTGATGTTTGGTGCATCTGTGGTAGGGGCAGACTCTGGTGTATCGTCCATAGTGATATCATCTTTTTCGTCTTCTTCGTCTTTCTCTTCGTTGTCTGTCTCTTCATCGCTAAGTGAATGACTTCGACCATCATAGCGCGTGTTCTTGAACACCCAAGAAAAGGTTCCTGGGTAGTTCTCAGATACCTGATTTCTGCGGCGATTCATGTCAGAGAATCTAAGGCTCTCGAGTAGTTGTTCATGGTGTTTCTCCAAATCTCTGCTCAGCTCACGTTGGGTCGAGTCTTGAAAACGTTGGGACATTGAGTCGCAAATACCCGAAATAGTGCCTTGCGTGGAAGTGAAGCCTCGATCCATGGCTTTACGTGTTTTTTCATGCTCTTGAGTAACTCGATCTCTTATCTCTAGTGAGGTAAGTAATAGCTCAGATAGCTTGGTACGACCATCAGCCAGCTGTGCGATGAATGATTGTAGATTCGTGTTGAGTTCATTAAATGCCTCGGTTGACTTGATTTCTGCAGCTTGAGACTGGTTGCATATGCGATGAAGAACGACACCGTGGAGAAGGCTTTCATATCTCTTCAGGTTTTCTTCAAGACTTCCGAGTTCCTTAGATTGCCAGAGAGATTTCAAAGTCTTCTTGGCCATTAGCATCTTCCCACGAAGTCCACGTTTAGATGCCTGATCAAGATGAAGCTCGACGAATTTGGATTGCAGCTTGTCCATAGAGTCATGGAGCTCTTGTCCAACTTTGACAATTTGTTGTTGGTCTGTGTTTAACGGCTGGACTTGGGCGGCTGCCGAAGCTGAGGCGTTCATTTGGTTGAAACAATCCTCCGCACTCTTGAGGTATGCCTCTAGTCTCGGGTCGGGAGATCGTCCATCACGAACTTGACAGTAGACTTGCAGGATATCTCGACCGAAAGTGACAATTTGTATCGCACTACACAATAAGCCCACTCCGGCTATTGCGGCCTCAGCTCCGGACATTGTGAAGTACCTATGTGATAGCGGTCTTAGATAAATCTTTGTATGTGGTTATGGCACCGAGCGTTGATGAATATTGAGAGCATAGACAGGTTGAAAGGCGAATTTGAAGGAAGATGCGGGGTCATGTCGAGATCAGGCTGCGGCTGAGCAAGGCAGACTTTTTGTTAAGAATACGCGTATGGTGCAGCATTCTGCAGCACCCGGCATGAGCAGGGGCACTCACCGCACAAAACACAGCCTCTTTTTATACCCGCAATAAAGGATCAAGAAGGAGAAGTATAGTCATCTACGCACAGGAGCCCCACTCATAGAAGATTGACTTGATCTAGTTAGTAAAATAGGCTCTATAATACTATATCATATTAGTAGTAAAGCTATAAACATATTAGATTCAATACAGAAAATTAGAAACCATTTTAATTAAGTATTCATTTGTATAAAGTTTGGTATTTCCTTCAAAAAAGAGATTGAGCTATCTTAATCAATTCCACACAAATATTAATAAAGGTCTCCACACAGACTGAAAAGCAACAATAACTCAAATTCAATAAGATTACCCACCGTACCAGCCACAGCGACGATATGTTGCAAGTCTCTCTCCATACTTCAGTCAACCCACCAGAAACAAGAAGTAGATCGCGACAAGCAACCTGCCAAGCCGGAAGTAGGCCTACCGGCTTAAGTATTTCTAACTATATACTCATAGAAAGCTGTATGTATATATGAAAACGTTAGTAGCACTGGAATCCATATAGCTAATTTCACGTTTAACCCCTTATTATATATATACCTGCTTAAATACAGTTTCCGCTGCCTTATCATAAATCTGAGGTATCCATAAAAACATGCCCAGAATTTTCCTGCAGTGATGCCAGTCTGTTACATGGAGCTTTGACAATACAAACACAATAGCCCCGTCATACCAATCTTGGGAAAAGTCCTCAAAAATACTGATGCTAGCGATAAACAAAGCCCAGATAACAACAAAGCTATGCTCCACAGATGTATTGGGTTGCAAACATGCTTGTAGATGTAATCGCAGGTGGGAGTCCAGCTCTGTATACAGATAGGACATGATTTTACCTCTTCCAGGAACTGTGAAAAGAATGCTCTTGATAAATGCGAGCATACACAGCCTCAGAAGCTCTGAGATAGATTGTGTCTCATACTTAAGTTGCAATAGTCGATAGGGGACAGATATGCTGACTAGTAAGAAGAGATCTGTAGGAACTGCTGTTTTCGTTGCAGCTGCCTCGTTAGCTACAATACTATAATACTTCAATTCTAACCACAGTACAGCAAGCTTGCTGTCGATAGGTGGTAGCATATCTATATTTCTTGGGTCGGCTTTGAAGAGACAGCTGGTGGCAGCTTGCAGTCCTTGAAAGGTCTGCTCATTGAGAAGCCTGGGGCTTCGACCGGTTACCATAGACATGCATATATCTATTCTAGCCAGTGTTAGTATTTTGCTTCTTTAAAAGGTGTCTGATGCTATTACCGTAGTGCTTTGAGCTCGGTCATAGTTGCAGCCTCAACGCGCGTTATCCCTCCACGCATCTTGAAGATCTGGCTCAGCCCTTCTAAATGTTTCACTGTGGCTTCTACATCTCCAACGAAAGATGCGGCTGAAGCAAGGTTGACAATGACAGCGATTACAGCCATAGCTGTAGCGTTGTGCACTTCATTGAGGGTTTGTTGCAGATGATAAAGTGTCATTCCAAGATGAAATCGCGTTAGGTTGCTAATGGGAACCTGGAGACAGAGTTCTTCGAAGGCTTGTGCAGTGTACAATATAGAATGTATTGCCGCTTTATGGGTGATGATGTCAGTCAAGGTAAATAGCTGTGCTTCGGACTCTTGGACAAGCTTCAAGTCAACAGCGTAAGTGCATGGTTTGGAAGTTGTCAATGCTACTGGTATCAGCTTCGAACAAGGTGGTAAGATAATTGCGAGGGACGGTAATAAAGGAGGAAATACATACATGGACTAATAGGGAAAAGGAAATATGACAGCTAGAATAAAGGGGAATAAAAGGAGCTGACTGGCTGGACTGACCTTGCTGCAGAAGTCTGATCATGTAAGGCTTCATCTCAAAGTCGTAACGGGCGAGTGAAAGTTCTGGGGCAATTTTGCCCTGGATAGATAATGCCGAACCATGTCGCTCATCCATATACGTCTCTTCAAAAGAGGATGTATCCACTTCTGACGATCTTCCAAGATCAAGCCTTGATGATGAACTCGGGCTGTCTGAACTAGGAAGATCCGTCGATGTGGCGGTATTATTACCCCTCTCCCATGCTCGTCTCCGTCTGTCAGCACGCGTATTTCTGCCAAGCATAGCATGGCTACGAATTACCCTACGCGTGATAGGATCAGGTCCATCTTTCGAAGTACTGACAATGAATATCATGCTGGATTTATGGGGCATTTTGCATCGTCAGAGTGATGTGAGAAGGCCTGACGAACGGGTGTGACTTAGGCTTAACAGGCCTGGGGACGGAAGGATGCCTCGTATCCACTAAGAAGTCTGATGTATGTTTGATACTATAAGGTAATTTACGTAATGATTGCCAGAAGGGGTTGGGTTGATGAAGGAACAAGTATTAACAGCAACAGAAGTAGTCTAGGATTCTTATGAGCACACGTGTATGCCGCCAAGGCCGTACTGATTTCCTAATCGATCTTAGCACTAGACACTACAAGGGTACAGATTTAGATTAGCGTTGTTTTAGGTACGGCACAACTTGTCTACACCAATCTTCTAAGCCTAATTTGGAAAATGGTAAGACTGCTAGTAACTTTTACAACAGAATTATTAGACTTCAAGTAAAAGATGTGCACAAATGCAAGAGCCAGGACGACTAATATAAAACTTATAACACAAGCCACTAATCCAATATGCTATGTTTCTCTCCATTCCTCTTTTCACAGTCAATCTATTGCCTTTCAATCCACCCAAATTCACCTCATATCATCATGTTTTCAGTGCTTTCCAACAACAAATCACTGCAATTCGACCCGAGCACAGATATACCCTCCCTGCAAGGGAAAACTCTCCTTATCACAGGGGGTACAGCTGGTCTTGGGAAGCAGTCCGTACTCGAATTTGCGCGCCATCAACCACAGCAAATATGGTTGACAGCTCGGAATACCAGAAAGGCTGAAGCCACAGTAGCCGAGATTAAGAAGGAAGTGCCCAATGCACCTATTAAGATTTTAGAGATGGATCTCTCCTCCTTCGCATCTATTAAAAAGGCGGCAGCAACAGTTCTTGCCATGTCCAATCGATTGGATATTCTCATGCTCAATGCAGGCACTATGTTTATCCCAAGTGGAGTCACTGCTGATGGCTTTGAGATTCAATTCGGTACAAATCACATGGGCCACGCACTTCTCACAAGGCTCTTGCTTCCGTTACTGGAAACAACAGCTCAGAACCCAAAGTCAGATGTACGCATCGTTTGCCTCGCCTCACATGGATATGTCTACTTAAAGAACAATGGTTTTGAGTTCGAGACTTTAAAGACTCGAGGAGAACAGAAAGGTTCGCTGCAGTGCTACTATCAGAGCAAACTCGCCAACATCCTCTGGACGAGAGAATTCGCAAAAAGGTACCCTGAGTTTACTGTATGTTCTATCCATCCAGGTCTTGTCCAAACAGACTTAGTGGAGAAGACGACTGGTATCTCGTGGTTCCTACGGTGCATCGCCAGATGGATGATGGTGACATCCATCGAGGAAGGTGTCAAGAATCAGCTGTGGGCTTCTGTTTCGCATGGTATTCAAAGCGGAGAATACTATGAACCGATTGGAAAAGCAGGCGTTACAACAGGTGACGCAAAGGACGATATTCTAGCAGAGGAATTATGGGAATGGACTGAGAAAGAGATTGACATAGCAACAAAGATGTAACAGTTAAAGCTTCTAGGGGGTACGCTAGTCCGTCCTTGTTGATGTTAGCAGGCAATATTAGGTAGGTACTGTACTAAACTGAAAGAAATATTAAAATGGGTTAGAAAATTAAAAGTTAAAGTCTTCAACATTAATTCTAATTAGATCTTTACTTAAAGTAATTCTAATCGAACTAGATTTCTTTTTATAGTATTATAATTAAGATCCATTTTGATATTAAATTTTCAAATATTATAGAATGTGGTTGGTTGGTTGGTTGGTTGGTTAGGGGGGTTAATCAGTCATGAGGTGACGGACATTATGCTCTGCCAGTGTTCAGGGAAGAACAAGATATGGTATGCGGCTGTGGTGAAAATCATGCAATTCATCCATAGTAATAAATCTGAAGCTTGACTCCCAACCAATAAGATCAGGCCGCGTGGCCTAATGGCTAAGGCGCTAGATTTCGGTTCACCGTTATCACATTCTCTAGAGATTCCAGGTTCGAATCCTGGCGTGGTCGATTGACTCCTCTGATTAACTTTTGCATTTTGCGGGTCCAATCACCTGGCATTCTTTTTACGCGGTAGGATTTGCTGATATTGTACTATTACTATATAGTTTGTGCGTGGCAGCTGTTATTTAGAAGTGAACATTTTCACGTCGTCAAGGGCTTGAGTGTATCGTATATCGTAATCAATTCAATTCATATTTCGCTAACCCATAACCATTTAACCATTGGCCGATCTTGACAATTCCATTTTTTCCACTAAGTAGTGAAAGGGTTGTAGGCAACACCCAGACGATCAGCATCAGCACGGATCGTCTTGTTCTTCCTCGTCAAGTGCCACTTGATAATAGCTGCCAGACAAATACCCAGACTCGCAAAAGCAATCTGCAGGATCATAGCCATAGTGTACCGGGGCTGATCCTTATCCGGGAAGAAGTAAGGCGAAATGACATTACCCAGATGGCCAAAGATGTTGACAATCGCGCCACCGGCTGCTCGCTTCTCTGGCGTCTGGCCCATGGTTGATACAGCCCAAGTGTATTGCAGGGTGTTGGCGGAGAAACATCCAGCTGCGTAGAGGAAGGTCATGGCGTATCGAACTGCGGCGTTGCCGGTTGAGACGGTGACGATGAAGCCGACTACGGAGCAACAAAGGGGGATGATGATATGGAGACCTCGTTCTTGGCGGCGATCCGAATCCCATGCGACGAAGAAGGTGCATATAGTTCCCAACACGTAGGGAGGGGCGGTCATCAGAAGGGAAGTGACTCTAGAGCCGAAGCCTGTAAAATGATTAGAGAGTGGTCATAAAAAATGCTGAAGGAGGATTCCACATACCTAGTCCATTGACAATCGTGGGGAAGAAGTTGTTGAACCCGTAAGAGGAGGTGATGAAGATGTTCATAAACAGGAACATGTATAGCTTGAGATCCGTAACAGCAAGCTTGAGTCCCTGGAAAACACTAGACTTCTCCGAGATCTCAACTCTATCATCGAGGATTCGCGCAGCAGCAAGCTTTCGCATATCCTCAGTCATGTATCGCACAGCACCACCGGTAGGAGAGTCCGGGTAGTTGGGCAGGACAAAGTAAGCAGTGATGGCAAAGAAACCACTACCAGCGCCCTCGAGGATAAAGAGCCACTGCCAACCTGCAAGACCCATAGGGCCATCGAGACCGGCAAAGACACCAGCTGCGATGAGGCCTGAGAAGGCTTGGGCGAGGACGAGACCGGAGTAGAGGAGGGCTACGCGGAGGGCGAATTCGCGACGGGTGTACCAGCAGGACATCAGAAAGACGGCCTAAGGGGGTTAGTGATGGTTGGAATGGGAGACGTGACAGGCTTACACCAGGGAAGAGAGGTGCCTCGACGATGCCGAGGACGAATTGAACAGCCCACAGACCACCGGCACTGGTGCAGACGACAGTCAAGGCTGAAATAGCTGACCAGATAAATGCAGCGACAGGAAGGAAGATAGAAGGTCTAACGCGGGTGATCAACATGTTGGAGGGCAATTGAGCACACATGTACCCAACAGTCAGAATAGCGACAGCAGTCTACCACCATTAGCCCAGAAAACCCCATGTTCATGGCATCAACATACCTGATAGTCTCCATCCTTGAGGTTAAGATCTTCATTGAACGTGTTAAGTCGAGCCTGAGCAATGTTCGTCCTGTTGAGGTAGTTGAACATGTAGAGGATCCACAGCTGGGGAAGCATCCACATGTCCAGCTTCCGCACGATCTTCTTCTCCAGTTCCGCGGCATTGGGTAGACCGAGAAGTTCGACGTGGTTCAGGTTGTGGGATATCTCTGCCTTGTCATTCTCGTACGAGGGGACATTGTTCAGAGGAGCGCCGGTCTCCTTGTGGTCCTCCACGGCTTCACCGGTTGGCTTGTCTGACATGATGGGCTTCTACCAGGTACAGGCCTAAAGGATAAAGAAGAGAGTAAAGGGACAGAACAGGTAAGATTTATCTGTCTACCAAACCATCCTCTAGGAGAGCCCTTCTTTATACCTGCTCGCTACCAACCTCGTCTAAGCAAACATGAAGTCAACTCCACCCTTCACAAACAGGAGACTGCGGGGAACCTCGGGGACCCTGGGAAACCTTACTCGCATTCTCAGAAAGAAATGGAGCATCTTTTCTTGTAACAGAAGGTGTGTAGGGTCTTGGCCGGGGAAGAGTTTGAAGCCAAGAAAAAGCCAAGAGCATGCCTTATAATGTGGGGTGAGATGGCGGAGATGTTCAAATTGACTGATGAGGACGGGGTCTGGATGGGGGGATTTGGAGTAACTCTCGCGTTTGGCGGCTACATTTAGTATTATGGTCATAGACGCTTTGTTCTTTTCAATCAGCGTCAAATATTAGACTACTCAGCCAGAGATATCGCAGCCGCGAACTCTTCTTCCACCATCTCGCACCCAACCCGCGTAAACTACCCAAGGGCCACCTTCGTCAACATGGCGTGACTTTTACCCCGGATAATATCTTGGCGAGTGATTTTCTCTTGTTTTTTCCCCAGATGAATAGCTCCCTCATCGGCGCCCACTTCAAATGCCGGTCTCACCAAGCCAAGGTCTTGGAGTTTGGGGTTTGCCTTCACCGTTCTCCAATAAGCATCGCGACAATTACCAAGGCTTGGGGAATGCATGCGGTCAGCCGTTTAAAGATCGGCTGGAAAAAAGTGGGAAACGTCATATACGACTCGCTGGGTTGTTCTAAAAATGCCTCTTTTTGCTCTTGGCGGGTTTCAGTGGTTGACTGTTCTCGCCAAGGGTTTATTTCCTTGGCTGTAGCATTGAAGGCTTGTAAGAAGACATTTGGGGTCTTGGCTGGAGAGTCATGATTCAGATACCTGGGTTGTAGCAGGGAGAAACGTGGGGTTGGGGTTCCCCAAATGTTGTTCTGCTCCACTGAATGTCTGGGGGAAGAGGAGAGAAGGACAGGTTGTGGGCGGTATGACGATTAAGCATAACATAAGGTGATTCTAAGCGAGATAGAGTAGGATTTGATACAATACTGTCGTGATTTGGGGTTAATCGGTGAGCAAAGACATGTTGTCAGAGCATTCGACTTGAGAGAAAGTACTCGCAGGTATCGGAATACACTGGTCTTGGCCTTTTGCTGGAAACTGCAACATTGGGCACATCTTTTAGTTGAAGCTTGGTTCAATGTGCACAATAAACGCGTTGAACACGATGTTTTCCCCAAGAGATTCCTCCACCAAGATCAATGTATCCCCACAAACCATTCCTTGATCTTAGGCGGACACACCGAAATACCACCCGGGTCAAACTGTTACGTTATCGTTCGCTTTTCACCAACAGCAACTGTTTATCACGGCCATGAAACCCGGCAGATACGGTATACTTGGCATCATACAAGCTCACTGCCAAGTCAACATGCTCGAGGAATAAATCGGAGCGCACATGCGGCCAAGGCTTCTATGCTTGGTTCCGTGGATTAGGGTAGGTTGTTATGATGCAGCGCGTGTAGGACCCCGGTAGCCGGAGTTGGGGCAATCCACTTTTCTCCGACGCGACGCGGAGACATCACCGAGATTATGAAGAGGAGACAAGAGCGGGGATCACACTGGTAGGAATGCTTATAGGAGAGGTTGGAGGATTCTGAATAAATGTCTTGTTTAATATGTTCTTTCTATTTCCCAGAAATCTCATCATAACTACCCCCAATACTATAAATGCCCTCATCTAATATGTGTTCTTCGTGGCCAACCCCCAGAAGTACGCCACCCACGCGCCAAGAATAAGAACAATAACAGCACAGAAATTCACCAGTCCCAACTTTCCATTCCTCTCAGCATGCCCCTCGCTCTCGAACTCAACCTTCTTGGCGGTGATCACGTGTCCGTTCTTGACTCTCTTCTTGCGACTCCACTGCAGATGTCCGATGAGGTCGCTCGCGAAACACAGTCCAAGCATTATGCCTGCTACAACGACTGAACCCGCTGCCATCGTGGCGTAGAGGACTGTGACGTTGTTGTAGCTGTTGTCGTCGCGGTCTTGGATCACACCGGCGATTAGGCTGACGATGATGGTCATGCTGTTGTTGATGGCGATCTTGATGGCGTAGCCTGATCCAAAGACTTCTTGGTACCACATACTCGTGCGGATACTGTCGATGATGACCGTGGGACCAAAAGAGCTGGCGACAGCATATATGCCGAAGCTGGCGGCTGTGCCGGATACACTTGGGCCCCAGGCTACCAGACACATAGACAAGAGCATGCCCAGAGCGCAGACGACCATAAGCGTGATTCGCTGTCCCATCATGTCGACGAAAACTCCAATCAAAGGCACGAAGAAGAATCCGAGGTACTGTGTCATGGAGGAATACCATCCTGCTTTGACAGCAGAGATCTTGAAGCGCTGCTCAGCCAACTCAGTGCTGTTGGAAGAAAAAACGCTAGCCGTCGATGTCTGGAAGAGAGAGAACAAGCAGATGAGCCAGAAGGACCAAGGAAGAGTAAGCATCTTCTTGATCTCGAACTTCTTGTTATTCTCCGTGAGTTTCTCTCCCGTCGCAGGATCTCTAGTACCCGCATATCGCTTCTCGCACCAGCGTGTGAACCACCAGAAGAACAGCGTCGCGACGTTAGTGAACAGGTTCATGAACACGGCCATCCAGTACGCCCAGCTGAAGTCGCCCAGGTTCTCCGAGATGACATTCGCGGTGGCCTTGCCGACGAAGGAGCCGATCTTGCCGATGCCCAGCTCAAAGGCCAGCGTGGAGGCGAAGCCGGACGAGGGGGGGAACCACGAGGAGAAGATCTTGTACTGGGCGACTTGGGTGGCGACGTCGCCTAGGGCCTGGATTATGACGCCGCCGATCATGAATTTGTAGTTGCGGATTGTAGTTGCGGCTGCGACGAGGATTGCGCCCAGGCTGAAGATGGCGTTGCCCCAGAGCATTGTGCCTGATATGTTAGTGTTACTGTGAGGATATGTGGTATGGGAGAACGTACTTGCGCCGCCGTATCGGTCAGTGAGAACACCGCTGACTAAGATCAGGGCTGTCTTGATGAAGTTCTCACTAGTATCGAGAATAGCATATTGGGTGTTTGTGATGTGAAGTTCCTATCATCAAGGTCAGCGAATGTCCAACTGCTGTAAACAAGTCAATTACCTTCTTCAGAGTACTCTTCAAAGCACCTGTAACACCACTACTCCAATGGCCACCGAAGCCAATCATGCTCACGATGACGACCGAGAGGATCTTCATGCTCAGGGGCACAGGCTTCTTGCCATGGTCCTCGCTGCCGTTGTCGGACTGATCAGACACGGTTGCCACGTTGGCGGTAGCTTTAGCTTCCTTTGAAGACTCCATCTTTAATACAAAGACAAAAGAGTGAATGAGAATGATAGAAGGAAAGTTATCAGATCGAAAGAATGGCCGTCAAAGGCCTTTATCAGATCAATTTCTGGTGGGTCTTGTCGGTAATTTGAACAAGGTTTTCAGAGGTCCACTTAAGATCCCCCACTTGGTTGCATGTTGACGCGAGCTGGAGAGGGTCTGTTAAGAAGTGTTTTGCTTTGCTGTACCGGTCTAAGCTAAAGGTCTGTTTGTACCACGAAGATCGACACGAATTAAATTAAAAGATCATATAAATATGTAATATTACTCCAATCACGTAGTATTCCAGTTCTTACTCTACCAGTCTCGATCTTCAGCTTCTATCATAGCCGTGCTTCTTGACGTGACTTTGACACCAGAATCTACTAACACATCTCAAGCCTTGGAATTCCCGCCCACTCGGCACGAACCACTTCAGCCGCCCAAAAACAGTTAGCTGATCCGAAACCGCCTGATATCGGAACCCTTTCTTTTCACAGTGAGAACCCAAGCCCCGCAGAAACAACCCTCCCGCCTGTCACATCGCCCCGTGAGAAAATATTCTGTTTATTATCTCTCACTGTGAAAAAAGATCAGCACCTCAAGATCCAGTCTTCAGATCATGGCCTGCTTATGTAGCAGTATCAATCAGCTGATTGATAACTTCGATCCGAACCAAGCCGCGGCTCTTGGCACCGGCTTGAACAAACACCTCGAGGCCATCCGGTCCGTTCTCGCCAGGAATAAAGTCCTCTCCAAAGAGGTGCGCTACCAGATCATTCCTAGCAACCAGCGCACTGCAAAGATCTTGTCTCTGCAGGCGCATGATTTTGGAAGGGTAAGGAAGTTGCACGATGCGTTTAAGGATGATACCAGGAGTTTCTGGACGGTGCCAGGCGATGCGCTGCATCAGGAGCTGCGACGGCGCGTTGCTTGCGCTACGATATTCTTGAGATCAAAGTTGGACGATAATGCGTGGATGTCGCAGGATGTATCAAATGTTATCCAAGCGCGTACCTTGTCGGAGCTGCGATATGCGGGCAACAAGTACATCAAGATCGCGAGGAGGCTTGGAGGAATTGGCTCTATTCTTTGGCTTCCTACAGAGGTTCCTGCATCGACGTGAGTATCAACCTTGAGTACGTTGATGAAGCTAATGCGGCCAGATATGAGAGGTACTTGAACATGGATGACAACGAAGCCTTCGATCATATTCAGAGTATTGGTGTCGATGCTCCCAATTTGGATACCTTTGTGCAACGTTTACTCTTGGAGCAACTTGACGGTAAGGCGTACATCCAAAAGTACGACCTCAACTGACCGATATGCAGACCCTTCACTTGTGCTCTCCCACCGGAACTTACTGCTAGAATACGGCGATTGCTTACTACCCTGCGAGCAAGGCCTTGTTCTTCTCCACGCCCTAGGCGGCAACGAAATCCCCACCGATCTCCTCAAAGCTGTTAAAATACCTATGAGACGTTGGTCAAGCGATGGTGAAGTAAGGGGGACTCCTGCAACCGACTTTGGATTCAGCTCTGATCTCATCGCCCTCTTGTCGAGTGACGATCAACTCTCCCTAGTTGCACAGCGCTCTGAGGTTATCCAGCACTCGTTGGAAGATGGGACACCCGTCTGGTCTATTCATCCGGACGCGCAGAAAGGCTTGTTTGATAGATTGTCCCCGCAGACAGTGGAGGATTGGGCGAATATCGCTCTGAGACTAGTGTGCTTTGCCTGTCCGCCTTGTTACGAAGGAAAAGTCAACTGGTAAGTTCAGCCAAGACAAAGTTCCGTCCTAAGCTAACAAACAGGCCATTGCCCATCAAGAAAGCCATCTGGAATCTTCTTGAAAAAGCAACAAGCAGTCGAAGAATCCCATCATCTCTGCGACCATGCGCCATCGAAGCCCTTCTCTTCTTTTGCGAGCGCGATCTCTTCTCCATGCGCCAAGCCGCAGTCGAACGAGCAAAAGCCCTTCTCCGGAAGAACATGTCGTATTACTTCCAAGCCTCAGTCACGCTGTTCGACAGCATAATATCTCGCATTGACGGGAAGTTTGAAAAGTCCGAAGCTATGATAGTCGAGTTTCTAGCTGCGGACAATGAAGGCGATACGCGTTCTGATAATGCTTTGCGAGGAAGGCTGCATATTTCTAACATTGAGAATAAAATCCACAGATATGAAAAGGATGTTGCGTCGACTATATACAACTGGAAAGGTATACACCCGCTGTCGACTTTTGAAATTGAAGTCACCCGCAGACTTCAAGGTGTGGCTGCCAAATATTTCCACTCCATCGGCGACTTCAAAACGACCAGGGCCTCGCTGGAACAACATCTCTGGCTTAACTCTACGATTCCAATACGGCAGAATACACGGTTACTTATCGTCACACGACTAGCGGAGATTCACTGCGAATTGCACGAATATGAGAAAGCTCTCCAAATCATTCAAGTCGAGCTTGACGGCATGACAGCTAGAATGGGCCGTCCGTTCCGGAGGATGATAATGGCTATGGCAGAGGGCTATATAGGACTCGGTCGCCTTGACGAAGCAACTTCCATTCTGCAGGAGCTTATGAGCGTTGAGCCGCCCGAGCTAGACGATCTGAACGACCAGGTTCTCCGGATGAGACGACTAATCCTCTCCGCGCGCATTCAGCACGAACGACTGAATTTCACCGAAGCTCTACAGTCTTGGCAAATCGCGGGACAAACAATGGAGACCTTGTCCATATTTAAAGCCAGACACGGCTGGACGGCGGCGATAATCCAGTTATCCATGGCTCATGCGCAGATAGCCCTGGGCCATAGCGAGAATGCACGACGGTCGTGGGATGCTGCTGTGGAAGTCTCTATGAAGGAGAGGTTTGAGTATGTGTTTCCGGTGCTTGCGACGACGTGGTTGCAGAAGATTGTAGGGGAGATATATCAGGCTAAGTGTTGGCCTTTGAGGGTTATGCTGCCTGGTGGGAAGTCGGATCTAACGTGGCTGTGAATTGGAAAGGCTGTTAATTGGTAGTTTTGCTTGTGTTTTCTTTTGTTTTTTTGTTTTTTTGCTTTAACCTTCAACTTTATCAAGCCCAGGCTTTCCAAATCTCTCAATGATATCAACAATAAAATAACCTCTTCCAAGGTCAAAACTCAATATGATCAGAACAATAGAAGTCACACACGGCAACTAAACTCTAATCAAATAAACACGTGTACTGGGAGGAATGCGTGTTCTGTTGGTCAGAGTTAAAGTCAAAGTCAAGGCAGCCTTCGGGCCGAGGAATTGAATCAGATCATGTGACCATCATCAAAATCCCACTGTGCCTACTTCCGTGATGCAACGCGCAATGTTATCAACAATATTATCAACTGGGGTTGCTTGTGTTATATTCTTTCCACTTTTATTCTGTCTCTAGAACGGAAATTATGAAACCGACCATAGAGTTACAAACGAGGCCTAACACTTTGTTCGTGACCTTCTAGGTTAAAGAATAATCATTAAAGGCTATTAATCTTGTCTTGGGTAGATATGATTTCCTGGGACAAATAAGGTTAGACTAGGACCGGAATAATAAAGTTGAAAGATCAAAATAGATGCACAAGACAGCTTAATATTGACATTTCCCTGATAGGCCTTACCCGGACGCTCGTAATGATGCACAGAGTGAATGTGGTCGTGAGCAGTAAATGGAATGTCTACGAACCGAGGTGGATACAGCCCGACGCGACTTGTGGCCTACGCGAGAACAAGAGAGAACATGCTCAAGCTTGTGATGCGAGACCTAGCATTGCAAGGGAAGAGAAGTTCAGACTTCAAAATACTAAACAGATGAAGCGCTGCATAATTTTCCGAGAATTTTAGAGATAGCTAATTTGTCTTCAAGCAAAATCTTCAACCGCTATAGTAATCCCCTAATATCTCCATGCATGTCCAATTCTTGGAGCCTGAAATCTGCCACGACTCATGCATAAGGTACCTACTTGCTGTAAATATCATAGCTACGCAATATTGACTGAGCAAGACCAGCATGCGTTCTCCCGAATCATATGCCGATATGCACTATCAGGGTTCAAGCTTGTTGGAGTTTAGGCATTGATTAGGCTTCAGTAGCGGCCAATTGAGTGAGAAATAGGACTGTATGGTCCCAGCATTGCGTAGCTGCGTTAAGTCATGAAACAGGTTACAATTGCTTGTTTTTGCAGTTTTCAATAGATAATAAAAGTCATCAAGGTAATCATCCAATGCCATCATGCCCCTACAGGTTTCTCAGCTCAACATGAAATGGCGCATCCCGGAATCCGTATGCGTCATCCTCGCATCGATATCTGACGGCAGGCATGTGAATAACAATCAAAACTCGCAATTTCAAGCTGCGCCGTGCTCAAATGCCTGGAAACGTGGCGCATTCTCTCGCGGGTGATTAGGCCAAACACGGCATATTTGAATCATCTGAGCAAAACACGTTTGTGCTTTTGTCGACCAGGTGACTAGACATCAGTTCAGCTTCGCAGTTGTGGCATTCACTATGACCATTGATAAAGCCAGATTCACATCGGTCAGACCGGTGTATGCTCACTATTGCGTAGCCTGCTTTGATAAGTCCGCTTTGGTCCTATTGTTTGCGGAACCTATTTCAAGCCCCGCTGCCAACATGCATGCGTTCAACCTCTTTATTAATTGACCAGGAGCACCCATGCTTGATTTACTTCATTCCACAACTGTGGAAAGTCCATTTTTCCGATTGGCTACCGTCAAAAAGTGGCTGCATCGCCCGCTTAGTCCCATCTTTATTATTGGTTGATCGTGCTATCCTGTGCAGCCTATTGGTATGCACACAGTTGTGCTGTGTCTTGACAATCAGGCTCCGAAATAAACTTCGCTGGAAAATACCTAATCATTTATAAGTCTAGTTGGAATTGATTAATTCATGCGCCGACCGTGAATATGTCAATTCTTACTATTTTTGTAAAGCGGCTCAAGGCCTTCTCCAAGATGTTTCTTTGCGGTTGTTGCCCTTTATCAATGCCAATTCGGCGACCGAAGCCCTCCTCTCAAAACCAGAGCAATAATGTGATGGCACAGTCAACCGTCAGCAAATTACCTGAAACGCTGAATTATCGCCACCTTGATCGTCCCTTAACCCTCTTAGGAGCCACCAGAGGAGTCAAACGGACCAGGGCTGACCAATGCCGATCTTATGTCGGCAGTCAACCCGATGCACTACTACACGGCTGTGTCACACCCCTATCTCCAAAATATGGGGCCAAATGTGAATCACCATCTTCAAGCGATCAGTCTGAAGGTGAAAGCATTGATCTTTGGGAACAGAGCCAGTTCCTGACTGATGTGCTTGAGGATCAGAGACACAAAATAAAGACACAAGCACTCGAGCTCTTTATGGAGTGGAGAGCAGAAACAAAATACATTGCACCGCGGGAGGATAGACTGCCCCCTCGAAAAAGGTGCAAAACATCATCTGGGCAGTCAATTTACACACAAGCAGAAGATGAAGTTGACATCAGCGATGAGGAGCTGGTAGTGGTTTCTCAACCCGCTCGCACAAAATTATTCCTTCATCTTGCTTGCCCCTTTCAGATCTTCGCGCCAGACGAATATCAAAAGTGTCTGCTCAAGGATGATCTGCAATCTATCGAAGAACTAAAAGAACACCTCTTTCGATGCCATTCACGCCCAATTCACTGCTTGATCTGCTACAGGACATTCGACACGCTGATCCAACGTGATGACCACGTATTGAGCGAAACGTGCCAGAAGCGCGATGTAGGTCCTTCATATGGTCTCAATGAGAGCCAAAAGTCAAAGTTGATTCGAGGAGACTCTTGGCACTTCGGTGAAAGGAGACGTTGGTATTGTATTTGGTCTGTCATTTTCCCTGGATCAAAGAACCCACCCTCTCCGTATCTGGATCGAGGCTTGGGATTGAGTATCTCCATGATGCGGGATTTCTGGGAGTTATATGGGTCTCAATGTGTCTCTGATTGTCTTGAGCACGAGGAGTTGACAGATGACCAGGGCGAGAGTGTTCAGCGTGTTTTGTACGAGCTAGCACTCGAGGATTTACTGGGTGAGATGATACAAGAGGACGATGATCTTGTCTTTCTGAATGAAGAGTAGGTCGACATAGAGAGCTCTATCAAGGAGGCTCATACTAGGCTATTTGCTTCGCAGCAAGTCTGGAATATATTAGCATGCCTTCTTGAAATCCACCATGCATCATGGACTCTTAGACTCGTCAACAGGATATTCCTATAGTGTTGTTTTCCACCTTCCCAGTCTCTTGCAAACCCAGATTTTGCTAACGTGAAACATATGGCACTCATCACAGAGGTGCAAAGCTGAAAGGCACTTCTAATCACCATGTTCAAGCAAGTTGGCCTTTAATAGTAGCTTCGGTTAATACGACACGTATTTTCATGAGAACTAAACCAAAATTCAATTTTAACTATCTATCCCACGCTGGAACTCTAAAGTAAAAGCAGACCGTTCTACCCATTAAAACTCCTCAATGTCATTTTCCCATGCGACCATACGAGCATCAACTCATGAGGCATCATATGGATTGCCAATTAATCATCAAACCATTACATGACTAGATCATAAATCATACCCCTGATTAGGGTCTTGATAGCCATTATTGCTCCGCCATGTATAGCCATTATCGTTCAAGCCATTATTCGTGGGAAAACCATTGCCTTCAAGAGAAGGGAAGCTAGACACATCAGCACCACTTTGGTAAGGCGCAGGGAACCCAGTGCCATCGAAGCCGCTGTCATTGATGTCATAAAGGGAAGAGTTGTTTATGGCTTGAGATGCTGGCGAGGCCTCTGATGCTACAGGTCCAGGCGCTGAGTAAAAAGGCACAAGAGGGCCTGTTTCAATATTCGCCGCCGGAGGTGACATCTGAGGGCTTGTGATATCAACGAAAGGAACACCATAGTAAGGCCTCGGTGTCTGGGCATTGGTTTGGGGGGCTGGCGGGGGAACGGTTTGGGGAACGACTCGAGGAGTGAGGGCAAAGGGTGCGGGGGCAGAAGGATTTTGGCACAGTTGATGCGATGATGGATAGGCTTGGGGAACGGCGAGAAAGGCAGAGGAGTCAAAGAAAGTGGGAGTGACAGCACCATTAAATGGCTGTTGTGATATCTGCTGCTGCTGGGGCATCTGCTGCTGCTGGGGCATCTGCTGCTGGGGAATCTGCTGCTGCTGGACCTCCAAACGGGTATCTGTGCTTGTCTGTGGTTCGGCCCCAGAAGACCCTGGGTAAATTCCATTCAAGGCCTGGTTTACGATCGCATCAATCTCGTCTTCAGTGAGAAAGAGGTGGGAAAGGCAATCATGGAGGACTCGGCGGATGATCTCTCCGCCCTGCGAGCGAGGAGCAAGTGTCTCAACTTCAACCTCTGGTAGAACAGCCAATGTCTCAACCACAGCCTCTTGACCAGGAAGAGCAAAATATGGTGATTTCGGGACAGGTTTGTTTGGAAAGCACACCTTCCACATAGCGTTCCACTTTTCAATGTCGCCAGACGCCTTGTTTCGCGCATCATTAAGTTCAACAAACTCTGCAGGTAGCAGCATCCCGGTCTGTTCAATCGCCGCTGGCTGAGGTGTTTGACATGGCAAATGCTGTCGGAGATTGGCCTCAGCGGTAGTGCCGGGAAATTCCATGCGACATTTTGGGCAGTAGAGAGCGACTTCTTCCTCAGCTTTAGCATTGCCTTCGAGTTCAAAGTTGTCTGCAGGTTCAGCGTTGTCCGCGTGCTCGGCGTTGGCAGTCTTCAGCTTGACGTCTCGCAGCAGATGGCATCGCCTAATGTGTAGGGAGACATCGCTCGGGCGTTTCGGCCGGACCCTACTACAGCAATCGTAGCGGACCGGATCGAACTTGTGGAAGGGACATGCGAAAGGGGGCTTTTTCTGGGGGCCATTGTGCGGGGGCGGGACCGGGTGCCTGTGGCCGCCGTTTCCCCCGCCATTTTTCTTCCCGCCTCCGCCTCCGCCTCCTCCCCCGCCTCCGCCTCCGTCTCCACCTCCACCATCACCTCCACCATCACCTCCACCATCACCTCCACCTCCACCTCCACCTCCAGTTTTTCGGGATCCTTGACCTTGTTTCTGTTTCTTCTCTTCGCTTCCTTGATTGGGGTTGTCTGCATGGCGTTTCTGGGTAGATCCATGGGTTTTGTGGCCATCATTGCTTTCTAGGTCCAACTCCAATTTGAGCCTCTGTGCAATTCTGTTCAGGAACCCGAAAATAGCTGGTTCAGAGTCGACTGTCACCACTTGGTGATCCCCGTCAATCCTAGGGTAACCGGTGTCGCTGTAAACCACCTCGCCATCACTAGACCTGTCACTGCTGTCCGATGGAGTTGAGGAGCTTCTTTTTGAGGATAGAGAAGTCTCCGAGTCATGCGGGAACTTTTGCTTGAAGAAATGCAACAGCCGTTTGAGTGACCTTCTGTGCGAGGCCAGTGATGCAAGGGGTTCCCGCCGAGGGGGTTTGTGGCGGCGGAACTTTGCATATAATGTGGTAGACATGATACAATGAGCGATTGGTTTCAAGGAGAATGAAAGTGACTTGAAAGTTCAATATGCTTTGTATGTGTGAAACTGAAAATAAAGAGAAGACAAAATGCGTGTGTTGACTGGATGGAGCCAAAAGTTTTGTTCAAAACGAACCGAATGGCTCCTGGAGCTCTAGAAGGAAAGCATCTCAGCTCGAAAGGCAGCTTTCGAGTACTTATTAAACAAGGCAATTGTCTGCCTGCTACACAATTGAGTAGTTGCGACAAGGCTGTTTTGTCGCTTGCACAATAAATCCGGCTCTGCAGTACACGTTCGCGCAGTTCGCCTGCGCGGGTGGTGTGGGAGCCACACAGCAGCATACAGACATTCCCCTGACTTGACGCGGAAGCGATAATTAAGCCGATCACTAATATTGAAGATTCCTGAGGTTTGCAAAGAGAAAAAGTGCTATTGTGATGCACGTGTTGATTGATACTTCAGCAATAACCTCACAAACAAATGCCTAGCATCAGCATTGAAGCAACGGTGAGAACATGAGATCCATGGTTGGACTTCAGAGAGACAATTCCGTTAGGCGTTTCTCCTACACAAATGCGTAGGCCTTCTACGCATATGTGGAAAAAGGCCTACGCATTTGTGAAAGCTGAAGACCCCCTGCAGGTGTTTAGCCCCATCCCCATCAACCTCATTCGCTGAGTTTCCCCATGGGGGAGTCGTAAGGCCAATGAGCAGGTCTGTAGGCCGCCACTTACAGTCTTTGTTTCGGTCAAACCTCTGGGCGTCTGCGTTGGTTCGCAATGGCGCAGTCCAGTCAAGTCCAGCATGGCGGTGCTGTTTATCGACTTTGCTCAAATGTGCGAACTACGATTCCACGGTCGTGAACAGTACTGTGGCTAGTCGCAATTGTGAGGATACGATGGACGCAGTCGTGGAAGATGAAGCGTCAAGCATATTATATATTTCTCTCTCAAGGTCCCGCAATCCAGTGACTTAAATAACTAGGTATCTATCTACACCGCGACCTATATCACAATGTCCGTTTCAATTGACACTTCAAAAAGGTTTGTCCATGGTCCGCATTTCAAATACTGTGCGCTAAAATTATGGTACCCGCAGCTTTTCAAACCAATTGCACACGAGTCAGCCATACAATGACCGTATGCAAGACTGACTGTTGGACCCAGGTCTTGACCTTCAGGGCAGACTGCTGACGGGCCGCAGCACAGCACAGCCACAAAGCCCTACACCATCCAAACAGAAGCCAACTAAGTCAACACTTAAGGCACATATTGAGGGACATTGGGACAGATGTTAGTCCTACAAGACTTGGATAAGGAGATAAGTCAAGCAGATATAGCTACGGCGTAGAGCCTAACTTGTTCAACGATGAAAATATGACCACATAAACCCGACCTTTTGTTACTTTGGAATATCAATACTTAATTTTAATTATATACTGCGATAAAATACATTGTAAAACAGATGATATCATGACAACTTTAATTTCATACGACTTAAGTAGTACCCAAGAAGGTCAATAAAGTTACTGAGGTCTTCGTAGCTCTTATCATACGTTTGCCTACAAGTTTTGCGCCAACTAAAGAGCCAGGTCTCGGCTATCTGCACATTGCGTCTTATTTGCTGTCGTACCCCCTCCGTGTGTATATATATGAATTATGGGCCTAGTAGGGCACCCTCGTCTGCCTTGTGACGTCGAGTCTTCCATTTTCAACCCTCCTGCTGCTTCGTTCTTGACTTCTAGTTTCCAAAATTTTCGAAAACTTCACAGCTTCTATCAAGGCTGAGGTATTGCAATACTCAAGCCTTTCGCTCATGCACAAACGAGAACTCAGTGAATCTATTAGGGACCAGCAAATGAATCTTGACCGCAAAGCTGGAAGTCTGGAGCCTAACGTGCCAAATATCTTCTCCAATGGGTATTCTAATGTTGGCAAGGTGGCTACTCCACCGGTTAAGAATAAAAGCTCGAGCTGGAATGGGCATTCGATGGCTTCCATGTCGGTATATCGAGAGCCGCGAAGGCGATCGACGATCCCATTGGCATGGAGTTCGCAAGCCCAAGAACCTATGTCTGGCACGGCATTACAGTCAAAGCAATCAAGTAAGAAATATCGATGTACCTCTTGCAATACAAGAAGGCTAATGGTTGCTCCACGTCTTGAAGGGTCTTCCTGGGCGGGTAAGATAGATTCTTCTAATTCCGAACTTCTGGGCTCTCAGGTGCATTGTGGCGATCTACATCGGGTCTCTTCAGTGGACAGCATGCTTTCCCTGCGGCTTCAAGCGTTCTCCGACGCGTCGAACCTGGACATGATTTTTGATACACAAACAAATCCTTCTCTGTTCCCATCTACCGAATGTCGGATGCAATCGCTTGATGGGCTGATGAAACAAGAATCGCCTCCTTCAGATAGGAAGAATGCATCTCCTTCGAAGAGGCCTGCTGGGGATAACAGAGCACCTCAGAAGAAGAGTCGCTCTACTCGAACATCGGAAAAGAAAGCTGAAGCAGACAGGGACTGTGGTCAGGATGAAGAAAGTAACGACGTCAACGGATGTGTCGAGTCATTTGCGTGTCCCTTTTACAGAAGGCACCCAGAACGTTATTTTAATTGTATCAGCCTCAAAATGCCTCGCATATCAGATGTCAAGCAGCACCTAAAGAGGCGCCACACGTCGAACTACTTTTGTCCGAGATGTTTTAAGGGATTTTCAGCGCTAAAACCCTTCCAAGAACATGTTCTGCAACAGGATTGCTCAATGGACCTCTCAGAAATCACTGACGGCGTCTCACTCACTACGCAAGATGCCCTTAAAGTCCGTTTCGAGAGGGGTTTGTCACCGAGAGGTCAATGGCACAAGATATGGAAGATATTGTTCGGAGATATCGATGATGACCAGAAGCCCTATCATGAAGGCGTTTTCAAAGAGATTACAGGAATAATACGGGGTATTTGGACAGAAGAGGGGCAGCATATCATTTCCAACGTGCAGAAAACTAGGGATATACCAGAGGATTGCGCTGATCAGCTATGCCCGGTAGTATTGGAACTACTGGCTCGAGTAGAGACTCGATTCGAACAAAAGGTTTTGGAAGGGAACTCAAAGGAGCACTCTAACAATGTCGGAAATACCTTGGAGAAACCCACAGTTGATACAAAATTAGGGCCTACTTACGGTCCGTCTCCAGGTATTCAGACCAATATTGCTCCTCACGATACTACATTGTCATCTTCTTATTCAGGAATGGCATCTGCTTTTTCTGAAGGCTTCGGCTCAGTCAAGAGAATGTGCGGTCTTTCTATGCCCTATGGATCACAGGATCAACAGGCTGAAATACCATATCCCGATTTCACTACAAGAGACTTGCCGTTCTCAAGCGATGGAGATAGTTGGTTAAATATCGAGCCACACAATGATATTTTGAAGGACCTTTTTGAGCCGGTCTATCTCGAAGGTGTGGGAGATTGGACGAACGTCGTGGACCTTACGCAAGACGATGAGATACTGGGAATGGAGGACTAGTAGGTCGCGTTTCTTCTCAAGCCGTTTCCCTACTCGTCCTCATGTATTCGGCCTTTCATACTGCCATATGGCTAGGACTGGGGCAATTCAATCATTACGACCAGAAGGGTTACCGTATCGGGGATTTGGACGGAGTTGTTGCAATTAACGAAGATGGGGACTTCCGGCTAAACGGATCTTGCCTTGAGCGAACACGGGTATCTTTCAAACGAAATGATGGAAAGGGTTGGATTCAGGATATATGTGAAGGCCAATATTATGGGCGTCAAAGAAGTCCCAAGAGGAAGAGTCGGATTTGGAGCATATGAAACTCCTGAAAGACACATCGATGGCTATGAGACACCTTAAAGAGAAGGTTCCAGCAAACGGATCAATCCCTCACTATACCTGTATCTTAACAGTCTGAAGAGATCATGAGGACAGCATAGCAGCTTATTTTCAACAATTATGTTCACTGTCTGACTTCAAAGCTATTCTATTGGCCTGAATGTTCCGCCATCCAACAAGGGACAATCGAGTTATTTCTAACCATGCCTTGAGATAACAGCAATATATTACAAGTCATAGTTCATAGCACAATATTCACATTGAGTCACATTTCAGCTTCGGTAGCTCGCGCGTTCTCCCTTCCTGTGGCAACCTTGGGGATTAAATACGCAATCAGCATGAATAGGAATGCATTCTACTGGGCGTTCGCGAACCCGGTACTGGTACATAACCCCCTCACTAGTTTTTCCAATGCGGTTGTTGTTCGAGATATAGCGGGAAAGTTTTCAGGCATGATTCGTATCACAGGAGACGCGATGTGTAGACCAGGAGAGCCCATTGAGCTTATTGCAATCTCACAAGGAACTGCAAAAGGCAAATACTTACGGAGTTGCTACGAGTAGAAGGTTCTGCGAAGGAGTGGTTACGCAGATCCGAGGCCGTTCCACGCCCTATATGATCGCGCTGGGCGATGGGTTGGTATTGAAGATGAGATTTCCCGGGATGGCCATAACTATCAAGTCATCACTGGAGAGGAGTATGAGGAGAGGCTGGAGCTGCTGGAGTATTTGGATGACCAAGAGTGCCAATTTTACAATGTTGTCTGGGTTCAAGGCGGAGAGAATAATGTAGCATATCGGGCTGGCTGCGGGCGTGTATTGGCGGAAGCTTGGGAGAAAAGTAATCAGGAAAATACAAGAATTATTTTAGGGCAGAGGGAAATCTTTCTATGTACCTACATAAACAGAATAGCACCAATAAATTAATTTTAAACGGCATCTTAGAGCTAATTTCGTGAAATACGGATTGACAGTCCACTGTCATAATATCGAGTCACCCCCCATCCATAGCAGCCCTATCCAGACCAAGACTAACATGCCTAAGTAACTTGCATAATACCTGTGATCGATTGTATCAAGCCGAACACAATGGCAAAGAATACAGCTGTAATTAATGCCCACCGAGTCCACCACAGAGCCTGATCTCGATCATCATACCATATCCTGCTGACACTCAAGTTACTTTGACTTTGAGAGACCTCGAGAATGTAGTCTAACTTCTGGTGCCAGACTGGGTAGTCGGTAGAGAATCTCGAGATTTCCCCTCTCCCGCTGTCTTTTAGGAGCTCTGATTGCCAGCACTTCGGGATTGTACCTCCAGTCAGCCAGTGATAGTAGTTTAGACCGTTGGGGCGAAGTCCTTCGCGATCTGGCGGAAAGAAAAGGAGGACTGATCGTCTTGTTTCTGTGACAAAATCCCGCCCAAAGAAGTCGCTAGTTCACAACTCAATTAGTATTGTTCTTAGCAAGAATTCCCAAGTTTTATGATTAACGTACAGAATGGCCGAATTCTCCATATACTTGAGGGCTTGACTATGGCGGAAGAGCAGGAGAACGCCGCCTTGGATCGTTAAGTGGTCCGTAATATAATCTGTCCACTCGATTCTCATTTCGGCCTTCTTCGACAGATCAATTACGTTGAACCACCTAGGGTATCGTTGCATGGCGCTTCCATCTCTAATTGATCGAGGATTTCTGAAATTCTGCACTATCTTACTGAGGCTTTCGTCCTGCAGTATTGCAAGCTCGCCGGGATAAACGTATACGTTGCTCTCGCAGAACTTGGTTCTGATCAATAGAAATGATCGGATTATCAGTATGATGGCTTTCCCGACAGATTCCCCTGGAATGGATACAAGATTCTCATTTTGGACCTCTTGAAGTATTTCAGTCCAGCTTTTTTCGGAATGCATGCAGAGAATGTTTCGAATGGTGAAAAAGTCATCGAAGGTTAACTTGAGCCCTTGTTTCGCCGCCGTCTTCCGTTCATCCTCAAGGAAATCGAAAAAGGATGAGAGCTCTCTAGAATTGTACTCTTTTTTCGTATCCCAAATCCTTGCTATGAACTCTTCTCTTTCATCGTCATCGAGTGCTCGCGAAGTGTCATTGAAGAAAACCGAATTCAAGTCTGAAGAAACATTCATGGTCACCTGATAGACGTTGGAATTTAGTTAGAATACTGTAATGTGAAATAGGTGTTGTAAGAGTAGTGACTGACTGCTGCCTAAAGATGAATGATGATGTTGGGTGAACAGGGTTGCTGAAACAATTGCTCCGCCATGCATGCATTTGAGGCCAGCCAATAAAGCCCGTTAGCCTGATAAGCCACACGCCCGGAATGCAAGAGAAAATACATAATATGACGTAATACACGCAAGCGTTTGGGCCAAATTTATTGATCCAAACACTGGGATCACGTCCCTTGAAACTCGAGTGTCTTAGTTCCCCGCACTGGACTCTCTTCCTCATCCTATAAATCTTTCTACGTTTGTAGCATTAAATCCTTTACACTAACTACTGTATCCTTTGAGTCATCTGATTATTATGATCTTCTCGAACCGAAAGAAACGTCCTCTATAAGCATCGACTAGCTCTCTATAACGTCACAGGTTTCAGCTGCTGTCAAAGCCTTCGACTGGGCGTTGGAAAAGATGCAAGGACTGACGACAAGCTCGCCTGAACCTTCATCGATCATATCGCGCTGGAAGCATCGTATCCTCAAAATCAACCCACTTCGTACAGAAGCTCTGTATGGCTACAAAGAGCGGGAAACGCCGACTGGGTTCAAGCCAGACCCACGAAGAAAAGCGTTCCATATAAAGTATGACAGGGATTCGTCATCTTTACAGCTTCAGCCTCTGTGTGATAACAACTGCTGTGACGTCGATGCCGAGTCAATCGACTTCAAAGACACAAGACGACATTTCAAGAATAATCCAAGGGAGAAAATATATGGGTGGCGCCTTACTGATAACGACCGATCCAAAAATGCATGGGAGAGTTGCAAAATGTTCTTATTAGACCAGGGGCAGTACGAACTCAATAGGTATAATCCCGGCGACCAGTCAAAAGATCAGACCAGATCCAGAGCTTTTATCTCTGGACCTCAACCACTCTGGGCCTTACGTGGCTTCTTCATTGGGCCTAACACTGACTGCTCCCCACCATACTTTACCATCCTGTGCTCCGGAGAAAACGAATCGAAATACTTGGTCGATGTAATAGACAAAGAGATCAGGGGGAAAGGTTTACGAGATTGGGGCGTAACCCGATTACCGTACGTCGAGATTTGCGAATACGGATCCCGGTCAGGCAGCCCTGAGAATGTCGATGACGCCGAGTCAACCAGTGAAATGAACGAAGTGGAAGTTCAAATCATCGATGGAGGCTTGTCGTCAACAATACCCAACGATGCGATGGCCTCGTCATGGAGGAATCGGCGGCATAGATGTGGCGTCAGATTCCAAGTCACTAGTGACTCAAACGTCATTGCGAATGGAACCATTGGTGGCCTTCTCAAGGTGGGAGGCAGACTATATGGTTTAACCGTTGCCCACGTCTTTCACCGCAGTGGCCAAAGTCAGCAAAACTATTCCACGAGTAGTTTTGATGACGAGAGTTCTACTAGTGTCCAGAATCAGTGGCACGAGCAAAGGAAAGAGAGCATGCTGCTGGACCGGGCGTTAGTTGAACTTCCAGGACTTGAGAAGCCGGATGATGATCCAGATACTTGGGACGATGTGAATCTGGTCCGGACTATGAACGGCGACTTTCGACCGGTTTGGACTACTATGGAAATGCCACGTAGTGGTGTATATGCTGTCTTGGCTACCCCTGGCTCTACTCATTGCCTTCGAGGTATTATTACTGGTGAAGAAGCTATCGTAAATATGCCAGGCTCACCAGCCCCGTATACCACTTGGGTACTACAGATGGAACAGCCTTGGCTGATACAAGCAGGAGATAGTGGCTCTTGGGCACTCGATGCTATTACTGGAGACCTTCTTGGGGTACTCATTGCTGGGTGCCCTGAGTTACATGAAGCATACATCATCCCTGCCTATCAAATACTTGGAGATATTGAAAAGGACCTAGGGCGACAGGTCCGGCTGCCACACTGTCATCGAACTCAGAAGCAAAACCAACATACTCTTACCGATCTGGAGAGGAGTGTCTTGGAAATTCAAAAGAAAATCGTGCAAGTCAACAGTGCAGCTGAAATGAAGAATATTGAGGGCCTCGCAGACGATTGGATTGAAAAAAGCCGCCGAATGCCAGACAATGAACCCAAGATGTCTTTCCAACCGAGGAACAAGGAGTCATACTGGATTAACCGCTATGGCGGGCGAATCCAACACGATATATTAGAATTGATGTCGACAATACGAGAATCTGAAGGAGTGGACTATCTGTCTCGGCGTGCTCATCTCATTTGGCCCTATCAAGATGCCCTCAGTCGTCCGCCGTTGGAGTGCTACAACTCGCTCAGCAAAATGTTCCGGGATCTGGGTCAAGAAAAGATCGTCGAGTATAAAATTGATCTTCGTATACTAAGAGGAATCTTGTGGGGGCATTTGGTATTGGGAGAACAAATATTCCGCCCATACATTAACCCAATTTCCACAGCTGGACATAACGCCTTCTGGGTCCTTGAAGAAGAACGGAAGGCTATAGACGACCCTGACTGTCCCAGACAGAAGGGATTAAAATTTCCCAGGGATAGGTACTATGCCGAAGAAGTTGTTGACATGTTACGACAGAACATGGAATATTTGATTTCGAATGAAAAGTGGCTCTACTCAGTAAGCCTTCCAGAAACAGTATCCTTTGGTGAGTAAAGTGTCTTCCATCAGTCTGCGACAAAACTCCTACTGATCGTTCTCTCATGTCTCAAGATCCGGGATTGTCTGACAATATCACACTGTTCGTTGCTGTGCTGCTAAGCGAGCAGAAGGATCAGGTGCTGGTTGTCGCTCAGCCAGCAGACTGTTCTCCGGAGGATTGTAAGATTGAAGATATAAGACTTCCTTATGTTCAAATAGACAAGGGAACAGACGAAGAAGGTAACTTGAAAATACTGTTGAAGGACTTGATTGGCCTTGGAGATGCCATACCTCTTCAAACTCAAAGGCTAGAGCTAAAGAGGATGAGTCCGAGTATCTGGTTGAAAGAACACAAACAATATGTTGACTTAGTTGTCATGGAAGCTATATTGTTGCAGAATGACCTAGAAAGGGCTCGGACTGGGTCTTGGGAAATGCCTGTTGTTGTTATGGGGAATGATGACGCTTGGCGCAAGCTGATAGAGCCATTTTCCTCGATTTTCTACGAGTCAAGCGCTCTATTCAACTAGATAGGCCACGCTATAATCAGAAAAGCTTTTTATAAAAATCAAGAACCTATTTTCAACTCTGACTTACGGGGTATCTCCTAATGTACAGAAGAACTATTAATCCTAATCTACCAATCTACCTAAACTAGCTGATCTAGCCAATCTAGTGAAGTACTATATTCCTTACTATATGAATTGGCCTATATCAGCTATTTGATTTCGAACTTAGAAGCACTATGTAATTAACTTGAGTTTCTTGTCTTACCTATTACCTCGAATGAACGCAGCAGCCGCCAGAAAACGATGCGTGCCGTTGGTTACAACTTGACCTTAGGGACCTGATATCCATAAGTCTCACCACCAGCACCACGCAGAAGCAAGTCCCGGGGTACATTCCACGGGTTCTTAGGGTTCTAAAGTCAAGTATAAACCGCTTAACCGACACAGAAGGCCAAAATTCTAGTACATCTATATGCAAAGGTAGGTAATTTATCTAAATGTAAGGTGAATATTAAACAGCACATTAATAAATACCGGTCTGTGTAAAGGCCTCTATTATTAATATTTCTATGGCTTTTACTGGGATAGCTAAATCTCTTTTTTTAAGGTACTACTAGACATCCTATTGGTAAGATTTAAAGAGGTATAAGTGTACTAAGAGATTAGAATAGCTATGAATAATAACCATATCTAAATATATTAGTAATGATTTATTAGGACAGCTAGGGACCTTTTAAAAAGTACTACTAGTTAGACTTTATACGAATGCACCTTTTAAAGGGTAATAATTAGGGTGACGTATAAATAATACAGGTATTATCAGTTTAACTAGATATATTATAAATAACAGTAAATAACATATTAACCGGTTTATGAAAGAACTTTTACTTTAAGATCTTCTTTACAAATTGGCTTAAAAACTTAAATTATATACTGTATTGAAATTACGACTACAATTAATTTTCCTTAATATACTTCTACTATTTAACCTATTTATTTCCTTTTAAGAGATAGTGTAAATAATATTACCGTAACCTCAATGAAATCTGCTGATAACATTAATATAAAGCTAGTATATACTATTATAAATGTTTAGACATATCTTTAACCAGATTATAAAATAAAAGCCAGTAAGAACTACTCAGCATCCTTATCTATTATAAGTACAATATAATACCTATTTCCCGATATTTAAATCCTCACATAGTTTTATTTATGTTTTGTTATAATTCCTTCAGGCAGCTTCATGCTAGATGCACATTTAGGGGCTGGATTGTTTAGATACGAGGAACGAATCTGGAGACTCTCCGATTTGCGCGACTGCGGTCAGGAAAAGGAGATTGTCGACCATTTCTTCTTCTGATGTCCACGATAGGGCGAGTAACGATAACATATGCGAAACATCAGCAGAGGAAATGGGCAACCTGTCGTTCTTTCAGGGACAAGACGGTAGATGATGGAAATAAGTGGAGGCCGGATCTGGGAGCGGTGCGACACATGATCAAGTTCGCAATAAGCGCATTCCGTTTGGACTCAACACGGAAATGATAGACACACTGGCAAGACAAATAATACAATAAAACTACTACTACACAGCCTCTCTATACAGAAGAGGCTTCAGCTGCTAGATTTGGGGTGCTAAACTTTTGGAGAAGTTAGCCTTTAAGCAGGCCTGTTGTGGGGACAAGCGAGATTGAGAAAGGGTGGCAGAAGGCAAAGAGTAAAGAAAGAGAGTGATGGTCTATGAAGATGGAAGCGAGGAAGACAAGCGTAACAGGATGCAACGTCACAGGCCCTTTATGGTGTATCCTCCCGGGCATGATAAATTCATTCATTCATTCTAAGTTAGGACTAGATCTATCAAAAGACCACGCTCAGCTGTCAAAACCAAGGTCTCGCGCATGAAGCTGCGATACCACCATGTTTATAATCTGCAGGGCCCCTATTGCTCTTTTTTTACGAATAAGACGGGTAGTCAATCAATTTAACGCGATGAAGAGACTTGAGACAATGTTTTTTCTTTTCCATCCCTCTTGGCCCAACTCAAATCCTCAGCGGAAATGCCAACGCTATGTCCTTTTTGACACGAGCAAATTCAGCTATCAAAGCCATCAGCCATGGGAGGGCTTCGTTAAATTGCTTGAACTACTGGTCACAGCGCGTGGCTCACGGTAATAGCCATAGCCCTAGCTTGTCAAGAGGTGGGTCAAGACCATGACATGCTTTCGGGAGCTAGCTTATCAGTCGTCCTGGTGATGCATACGTAACACACCGGAAACTAAGTATCCGGAGTTTGAGTGATAAAACCAACGTTATTATCTCTTTTCTCGCTTGGTATTTTGCAGGGATTTATCAAAGCCCCCCATAAATTGGCCCACAACAGAGCTTGGGTCTTCCGGTTCGTTGAACGCTTTCCGATTAGTGATGATGCCAATTTGAGAGTTGAATGATTGGTTAGCTAAACGATCTGGCGCCTGCGTCTGCTACCGTCTTCGGGGGAAAGGATGCATTTCCAGATAGCAACTCAGCTCTATAACTTTTTTTTGGATAAGTCATCCTCGCTAGTCGCGATCATTAGCGCCCACGGCCTGTATAGCACCGGTTTACCATTCTACCAAGCCCCTCGCTGACAAGAATAAAGGTTTTGAGTACAGGAAACAAGTCGAGTATTCGAGTTACAGCGTATCTCGAGTACAAGTAAAGACGACGAGTAGCGACGTCAAGAATTGAAGAAGACAAAAGAACGCAGGCTTTAAGAAGTGGCAAAACATGGTCGGGTGTGCTGTATGAATAACCGCCCGAGCATAACTAATAGCTAGGATGCTTCATGTTCCCTCAATCCCTCCTCCCATGATGTGCATTATCCTCATATGCGACATCATACGTCTGCTTGATCATGATGCCGTCTCGTCCTTGATCCTTGTTGGGGCTACCCCTAGCTGCGGGCTCTTTGATGATTTCTTCTTGGCTTTCCGACTTGTCTATGACAGTGGCGCCGATTTGCGTGATAGAATAAGGATCCCGTGGTTTCCTGGATGAGAATACGCTCATTTGATGGTGTTCATAACCTCCACTTCTCTTCCCGTCGCTGAGACCAGTACCGTCGCCGTAGTTGCCTTGCCAAAATTGACGTCTGAGGATAGGGTAGACCATAGGGGCTTGCCCGACGAAGATCGCGACAAAATCTTCGCGCATAGACCACATGGCCGAAACGCCCTGCTGGTTGAGCTAGAGAAGTCGTTAGAAACGAGTGTACCCTGGAAGAAGAAAGGTTGAGAAAAGAGTCTGCACGAACCGCGAAAATTAAGACAACGCGCAGGATAGCGGCCAGTATGCAAAAAATACCCAGGCTGAACAGAAGAATGAGACCGAGTTTTCGGATAATGCTAGCTCGCATTGAGAGAACGACCTAAATCAATTTGGTCAGATGGTACAAATGACAGGAGAGGAAGAGGCTTACGGGAATAGGGATAATAAGAATACACAGGTCGGTTACTATGTTGAGGATAAGTACTGTGTAGAATGTGGCTTTATTTTGTGGTGTACAGAGCCCTATTCATTGTGAGTATTGGTGACGGACTGGTAAAAATGAAGAATTTGTGACTTTGACGTACAGCCTGGGTCAGGATAAACCTGCCATAATTTGTGAAATGGACGACAAGTCAAAGTAAAGGTGAATATAACAGCAACAGCCGAAGCCAAGACAAACCCCATGACCGGTTGTATGAACTTCTCTACCCACAAACCTCTGACGACGCGCTTGTAGAAGAAGAGCATGTTCAACTTGAGACTCCATACAATTGCGGCGTAGCTGTAGAAACCGACAAGAAATATCTTGGACCCGTAGATCCATAGTTCTTGTTCTTTAAGCGGCATGGTTCTCCGTTGTTCTGAAGTTAGTAACGATGTGTGTTTGCCTTGCGCTTTCACAATGAAGACATGCGCAATGACGCATACGTTGGTGTATACCATCTATTGATCAGGTTAGATAAGATCAATCAGTCTTGCCTCGATCGCGACGAGCGACAGAAAAGCGAGGAGGATAGCGTACCCAGGTAAGCCAAACGAGGTAGTCATCAGCCCTATAGCCTTGAACCCCAACAAGCTTAGTCCTGACGAAGACCCTCGCACCAATCATTATGGTACCAACCGCATAGAGAGTCCATATCTCGGCGATATTTGGTGTGAAATCCATTATGGAGCGATAGCACGAAAACGGCCTGAAAAGGGAAAAGGTCAGTCAAGCATTTGACATCACCCAGGAGAGAACGGAAACAAACAAATAAATGTGAAAAAAATGTTCGCTAGAAAGGGGAAGGGTAGAATTGGTGGATTCATCCGTAAGCGAGTGAGTACATAGAATTGCTTTTTTCTATCCCACTTTACGAGGCTCACAAGGGTTGATTAAGCCAAGCTGTTTCGTACTCGCAAACGGGATTACCCCTCAGGTGAGTCAAGTCCCAGAGAAGATGGATCAACTGGCGATCTTGTGGCAATTGGTACAGGTTGTGGGAATAAGAAAAGAAAATATAAAACTAAGGGTGGTAATACTTGATACTACCATAACCGGTCCGCATTTACGGATAGATTGTTATCCATGAAAGGCTGTGGGGGTTGGGAAAGTAGTTTCCGCTAAAGATTTACTTGGCAGACCTCCTCTACGCTCCGTCGTATGGCCGGCAAGTCCACCTTGAAACGCTCTATCGAATCGGAGTGTGGATAGATGCCCAATAGCTGCTCAAGACCCGGTAACCAACCGGTTGCCAGAGAGCCCAGGGATAAATTCCACCTTTTAGAGTTTACAGCCCCTGTGAAATGTCGCTATCTGGTCGGATACTCATTCCGGACGTTACATCCGTCTACGGCACAGTTAAAGTATCCTTGCCAGCTAACGACTTGAGCCCTGCTAGTGGATGCATTTTTGGGACTATGTTTCTGTCATTCATGATAGCTTTCCACATTTCGTCCAGAAAAGCGGTGTCATCCTGTTCCGGTTATCAGTTTTCCGGACCATATCTATTTCAAGAAATCGAATTTAAAAGATAGGCAAGTCGTCAGTCTCAGGAGAAGCTGATCATCTAATCTGTTCATCCCTCCAGTGCCCCTTCCACCTATTATCTATCAACGCCGAAATATGTCCAAGCATACACTCAAAGTAGCGGTTACGCAGGCCGAGCCTCAGTGGCTGGACCTTGCTGCCAGCGTCAACAAAACCTGTGGCCTCATCAACGAGGCTGCAGAAAATGGCGCCAAGCTTGTTGCGTTTCCTGAATGCTGGATTCCTGGGTATCCAGGCTGGATCTGGTGAGTTCATTCTCAATCGCTTGGTTTTGATAGCCATTGCTGGGGATTAATACTGAACGACTTTTAATTCAGGCAAAGGCCCGTTGACCCAATCATCAATACAGAATATAATGAGAATTCGCTCAAGGTGGACTCAGCTGAGATGAGGGCTATCCAAGCTTGCGCAAAGTCGAACTCGGTAGCGATTTCTCTTGGATTCTCAGAGCGCACCGAGTCACACTCCCTTTACATTTCTCAGGTTATCATTACGCCTGAGGGCGAAATCGCTGCCCATCATCGGAAGCTTAAGCCAACACATATGGAGCGCACTATTTTTGGCGACGGCTCTGATAATGTCTTGAATACTGTCGCTGATATCGACTTTGGCGATGTTGGTGTGATCAAGGTTGGCAATCTTGCATGCTGGGAACATGCTCAGCCACTACTCAAGTACCATACCTACTCGCAGCATGAAAGCATTCACATTAGTGCATGGCCTCCCATGTAAGTGGTACGCCGTATTAAATATAGAAGAATACACAACTAATTGTTGTACCAGCGATCCTCACGGCGGAACTGAGGCCCCTGGCCTGTGGAGCATGAGTGCTGAAGGTACCGAGTGTATGAGTCAGATGTATGCCATGGAGGGTGGCTCGTATGTCCTACATTGTACGGCAGTTTGCAATCAACCAGGGATTGATAAGCTGAAGACGAAGGGAGGCTTGTTGTTCCAAGAACCTGGCGGCGGCCACAGTGCGGTGTATGGTCCCGATGGGAGGAGGTTGACAAAGCCTCTGGCTAGTGGCGACGCGACGGCTGAAGGAATCGTGTACACCGAGCTGGACTTGAAGGCCATAGTTACTAACAGATCTTTCCTTGACGTGGTTGGCCATTATAGTCGACCTGACCTCCTGTGGCTTGGGGTGGATAAGAAGCAAAAGAACATTGTGGTTTTAACGAAGGAGGCACAGGATAGCGCGTAAACCAGCCTACGATGTGTATAGATTCCTGACGAAACAGAATCAAAATTATGAAGCCCAAAAACCTTGACTGATAACATGACGTAGACCTCATCTTATTGATGGTTTTAACTCAATATATATTACATTAGTGCCATATGAAGATAGCGCAGATATCTGATAATCAACACAGAGCCAACCCTATATGCATAGCAGGCTACCCGAAGAGAGATGAGTATAGAGCTAAGAGAGAGTAGGAGGTGATCTACCTCCAACAGCAGCTAGAACTACATTATAAAAGAATGGTGTACTTGTATCAGACTCTTACACTTTCAAGAAACCCAAAGGGAATCGGGCAAGCAGCTGTTATTCGTATTTGATCTTCAATATAGAAGTCAGAGTACTGTTGATATTATCGAGAGATTTGGAAAGCCTGGGCTTGATAAAGTTGAAGATTAAAGCAAAAAGAAGAAAAATTAAAGTCAGAGAAATCCTTCCGGGTAGTATATGAAAATCATCCATCAATTCAAATTACCACCCATTCCTGGTTTTCGCCATGCATCAAAGCTGGCATTTCCTCCCCTTGTAGCTGCGTAATAGAAGTCAAAAGATTTTAAAGTACAGTAAAGCCTAGCTGAGTGATTCATATCCCTAGCCTGTAATAGCAAATAGATTCGTAGTACAGGTGCCATTTAGATCCACTGCCGCCCTGGCCTTACCTAGTTTCAAATACTTACTTATCTTTATATTAAGTTTTCTATACTTTAGGCTAGGCTATATGCTAAGAGCCCCAATAACCCTAATGAATATACCTATTAGTCTTACTCAAATACCTTTATATACTATTTATAACACTACTATTTTCTATTTACTGTTTATTTATAAGTCTTTAAAATATTTTATAATTTAGTTAGTCTTTATTAAGATATTTTTAATCCTGAGGATATATAAAGTACTTCTACGTACTATAGTAACTCTGACATTTTAGACAGGCGATAAAGATATAAGCATACTAAACCTAACTAAAAGGTCGCTGAGAAGTAGGGTTAAATAGAAGTTAAATAAGAATATATAAACATAACCAAACATAAATCTATACATTTAAATAACCTCTTTAGTTCTATACCATCTCCAATCGTAGAATCCAAGTCGTTAGTAACCCACCAGTATAAATATTCATACATGCGTCTAAAGCATCTAAGAAGCTATTTATAAGGTATTATAACTTGCATCTCGTTGCATTATCAGATTGTATCGTGAGTGCCTCCCTTGTGACTTGTACAGAATTGTGGCAGAGAGAAAGTCTTTCAGGACAACTTCTGATGAGCCAGCTGGGGATAGGAGTTTTGCTCAGCTTGACTGAGCCTAGTAGGGTCCCGGGTAAGAACAGTGTCCATAATTACTGCCACCTGAACGATGGCAAGGGTACAAGACATCGCCCCACAGAGCTGAGTAATAAGAGGGTGGTAGTTTGCCTGGATAGCATATATGGTAGGCAAAGCCGTGAGAACTTGAGATCCAGCGTAACAAAGTGGGAGAATGAAGGGGACCAGAAGGCTTTTCCACCCTTCGAGCCAGCTCCTGTATCGGTGTGTGACGGAGATGCCGACGAAGATGCTCGACACGTTGCAGAACGCCCACCAGCAAGGAAATAGGTTGAAGACTAGAGGCTGATGGCCATAATAGATATATATGCCGCCGTAGGTGAGCATGACTTCTTCGAGGATGATATCTAAGAGCCCTGAAAAAGCCAATAGAGCCCATAGGGTTCCAGTTTGAGGGTTACGCTGTAATGCGCCGAAAATGCCACAGCTTAGAACAGCGCCATAAGACCACCAAATAATGCCGACGTATATATCGAACTGACGCCCCAGTAGCGTAAACATAAGTTTTGAAGGGTCGTGCGATACAGTCCAGTAGACATTGGCCATGTAACAGTTCACTGCTTCAACTAGGACAAATGAAGCAGACCCAACTGTTAGAGCTACAGGCACCGTCGAGCCCCAACGTTGACTTTCCCGAAAGTTGATAATGACAAATATCAGAGATATTGCCGAAAGAATAATTGAGACAACCCGCACATGGTTTGCGTCTTGTGGAAAGTCGTCCTTGGGTGGAGGAACTGTCTGGTAAACAGGATCCAATGCCAAAGTAGTATAGACACTCTGAGCCTTTGAGCCTGCTATCAAGCCGAAGCTAAGCAGTAAAGAGAAGAGTTGTTTGGTGTACATCATGGAGATGGTGTAACGAGATTAATGACAGACGTTTAAAGAGGTAGATGGACAATGGTGAAATAATAGAATGGTAGAATGGAGGTTAATGTTATGAGAAATACAGGTACGACTACGACTAATAGCTGCTTTTATCTAACATTTCGCATTCGTTTTGGGTAGGTCGGAGCCGAAGCTAGCGTCACGAAATAACTCCGCGGGACAGACGAATTAAAAATCTTTCGCTGAGTAATTATACCCTATGGGCCTGATCGGTAAGCTCGGAGAGCAGAAAATGCCGGGATATCTTGTATAATTGAAGCCATTATACCTAATTCAACAACATTAATTAAAATCTTGCATCTTGTCAAACCTAATTGAGCAGTTATTCCAGATTTAAGATATACTGCGCTAAAACCCTCACTTAAGTAAGCTCATTTAGCGATTTTCCTAGCATTTTTCAAGCATTTCTCGAGCTTCTCTGGATAGCCCGGGTGAAAAAAGCCCCGAGTTACTTGGGGCAGAGATGCGAGTAAAAACACCCGCATTCATATGTACCTTCTATTTCATCCCCGGACTACAGCCCGAGCTTACCAATCAGGCCACATACCTAAGTCAAGTTAGCAGTTTCTTTTTCTCTATTTTCCCCTTGCCTTTTACATTCCGTCTCTTGGCATGCTTCTATGCACAGGTCTTCTTTAATTATTAGCTGTTGGCGTGTTTGTCAAGTAAGTCATCCATGAGACTCCCATGTAGTACATTATGCATTGAATACTCAAGTTCCTTTACTTATCATGTTTAAGTATGTAATCTATATTTGCTTTCTTCCAATCCCTACCAGCAAGCCCAAGCTAGATAAACATTCAGGGGCTGAATTGTATAGGTACTAGGAACGAATCCGGAGATTCATCTACCAGAACAGGTTCTTGGGCTTCATGCTGGTTAGAAGGCGGGTTTGACAGCATGCCCTCCAACCCTGGTATATCATCAGGCTTAACCTCAACTTCCTCCCATCCTGTCTCAATAGGTTTCACCAAATATGGAAAGTCACGCTTTGCATATGCTAAGGTAAATGCAGCGAACCGAGGATACTTGCAATCCGCTCCAAGGCCTGTATCAGTCATAGCACGGAACCAAACTTTACCCACGCCGTCTAGAGGAGGCTCCTCGGCTTCATCAGCCGCCACATAAAAGGCGTAGTTACCAATCCCGGAATTGTGATGAACCCCTCCATTGTCGTAGGGGAGGGTCTTGTAGTCATTGTAATTCATAGGCTGTCTTGGATTTGTCGAACTCGGATCCTTGAAAGAACGCAGGTAATGCGGAAACTTGTTGAAATGCTTGGCCTTTGTCGATGTGACGTCCCTAGCAACTGTAGGATCATGGCGAGTGTGGTTGTCTACTATCTTGCCGCCGCTGCCTGTCCAAAGAGATTTGACAATCTCTGGGTCCATACCTGAGAAACCGAAGAAGCCACCAGGGGGATCCCAAAGGCTTTCTCCAATCGTCCAAACACAGTCTTTGGCCTTTGTACCGGATGATTCCACGCTGTGCTTGTAAAGTAACCCAAAGACGTCGGCAAGGTGTTCAGATAATGCTCCAGGTTCGCCCGACCCATTCAAACCGCTTGTGCGTAGAATCACACCATGGGCAACTTCGTGCCCAATGACATCGCGAGCCATGTCAAATTCATCCCACAATGAAGGGTTGCCACTGCCAAGTATGACTCGTTTTCCTGTCCAGTGGGCGTTGGTGTAGTTATCTCCGTAGTTAATCGTAATGGCAATTGTGTGCCCTTCCTTCTCGAAAAGCCTGTGGCCGAATTCGAACTCGAAGAAAGAAAAGATTTGACGAACAATACTCTCAACATTTTGTCCACGCTGTCGATCCGTGTGGCCTCCTCGTCCCGAGAGCGCATTCTGGCCTGGCAGGACCTCTTGACCTTCAGCAGTATATACGAGAGTTTTCAAGCCGCCCCGATTGTCGTATAGTTTACCGTCGATGAGCTCGAACTGACGGGGCATTTCGATGGCGTTTAAGGGTTGTGATCTTTCAGCTCTGTCTAACTTGTAGTCTCCTTGGTCGACTATTGCGGGTTTCTTTTCTTTTCCGTATAGGGAGCTTCCTATTTCGATTGTCTCATGCATACATTTGCGAGTATTCTCATCCAGCCCATCGTCGTTGGCCAATTCAGAAAGAAGGTTGTGGGGGATAAAAGAGCACCAAGAAGACTCCATTTTGTCTCACTTCTTAACAGTTTGCGATCGGTGGATAAAAGAAGAAAGGGACGCGGGGAATCGGTAATGGAAAATAAAGTTAGGGCGGCTTAATTTATGTCGTCATTCGCGCCGAGCCGCTATGGGGGCGTCGGTCAGCCCGTGCGAGACATGCATGTAGAATGTCTCAATAACTCTGTGTTGTAGCAACACGACTGGCGCACATTAGACCTCCCATACGCCACAGTCAGCAGCTGAAAACCAGGCAAGAATTGTTTTGCCATTTAATTGGATTGTTTTTGAGGAGTCGGGATACTATTCCTCCGTCTGAAACAATCGCAACGACCAGGCTATGTCCATGATCAAGTAGAAAAGGCGCAAGAGCTCGCTCTACGTTTACTCACTATTTCAATCACCATTCACTTCACATTACTTAACCTGGCTTTGCACGATATTTTCACAACCCAATCCAGAAATGAGTGGTAATCGATATCCGTGCATCACCCAGAGGGATGACGAGCCAAGCTTGGTCGCTGATGTCAGCTCCGACCTTAATGTACCCTCCATCGTTCTCGGATATGACAGTATCATTCCCCGATGGAAGACCCCTACGATTCTCAAGTGGTATTTGAAGGAGGATTCATTCACATCCGAGGAGAGAGCCGAACTCGCTGCTGCGGCCCTCAACCAAGCTGCGGAGGAATGGGAAAACATCGACTTTGGTGTAACCGTCCGCCAGACTGAAAACGCCCAAGAGGCCAACTTCAACCTCGTGTATCGAAAGAACGCACGAAACAAGCCGACTGAGCTTGGTCTGGGCTTCTTTCCACATGATGCAGACCGTGATATTTTCATCTTCACTGTCGCCCTGCTGCCCGAGCGGCGCCACATGTTGAAGAATGTCTTCTTGCACGAGCTCGGCCATGTCTTTGGGCTTCGCCATGAATTTGGTCTAACCGAGAAAGCCGCTGCTGTGCAATTCATGACGAAAAATCCCTTGTCGGTGATGGAATACAACGAGGTGCCAACTATTCAGGAGACCGACAAGGAAGGCATTCGTGCCTTCTACAAGTTAGATGAGGGATTTGATATTGATGGAAGCCCGGTGACGAATTTCTCGCCAAAACTTCGAAGCACCAATCACACATGATTATGTGTTGTGCGCATGAACGTATTAGTGCCACATGAGGACTGTAGTCCAATTTGAGTACATGTTACCGAGATAAGGTTGGCTCCCTCAGCATAGGGATTTACTGGCGCCTAGAGACGTTCTGAATTCATACTTCGTGTATGATGATCTGACCAAGGTGGGATTAGCGAGTATTATGTGTCTGCTTCCTATTACATTGATTCGAGGTCGTCAGCTGTTCAGTTCAAACTGTTAGTCGATTTGGTGACGTGGGGGAGAGAATGGTGGTCATCAGTCTGGTGCATTGATCTCTTTCGGACAGGCGCCCTATATCTAGAATAAAATACTCATCTATAAGAACTAATTACAAGCAAATGCAACTTGGGCCTTTTTCCCTCCGTAGTATTTGCCATGATCCTTCGCACAAATCTGGGTATCATAGCATAAGTAAATAATCACTGCGCTAACGTGTCCGTCTGCTCAGCCTTCAAGTTCTTATCAGTGGTGTCCTCCCCCAGACCTACTTCCCATAGCTTATACCGACTAATAAGCTTGTGGAAGGAGATGTATCCAAGCATATGGGAATTTAATAGTTGTAGATATGGGTTTCTTCCGTTTAACACAAGCCGCACTAGAAGATAGAATGTTAGTCATGATCCTCTGAAAAGCACCTTTGCCGGATCTTGATACGCGACATGCTCTCGTCCCAACATGGAGTACATAAGAAAGCACTTACTGTTATGGGTCTTCTTCTTCACGTCATCGATGACATCCTCAAACACCGTTCGAGCGTCTTTATCCTCGTACCAGCCCGTGTTGTGGATGTAATTGTACTGTTCTCCAGCTACTTCCTCTTTCCAGAATCTACACAGCGTCAGTAATCTTCAGAAGCCAAACCACGGTTGAGTGACTCACGATAATATGTCATTAGTAAGACTATGCCACGCCGCAAGGTCCGGTATCGCCTCGACAAAAAGTGATATATCCGGGCACAACGCCTTTGGGAACGTGAACCACGCGAAAGCTTCTCCGACGCCATCTTTTTCGCGCAGGAACCAAGCCCATCTATGGCCGGCTTTGGTACGCTGGATATTACTAAACTCTTTTCGAGCTTCAAGGGCATTGGCGTTGAGGAAGTTAAGAGATGAAGAGACAATGAAACCAGCGACTTGGGGGTCCCAGTACTTGAACGATAGCTTTAGCAGGTCGGCCCATCCTTGCAAAATAGGGACAGGCTGCTTTTCGCCGGCGCAGAATCGTTCATGGAATTGCTGGAATTCGTCTAGATGGTTGGGGGCTTCGTCATCGAGGAGGAGACCGAGCCAGGAATAAATGCCAATGAAGGTTTGTACCTCAAATGGATGATCCGGGAAGCAGAGCTAGATATTACATGAGCATTCATGATAAATCACTGTCGAAAGATTACTGACCACTGGATATATGTATCCCATCTTGAAACACTTCCATGAGTGACTGCCTTCCTCGTAGGATATGCCTGTTTGATCTGCGTATGAGCGCATTGCCTTCCATAAAGAGTCATTTTCTGTAGTAGTCGGCGGTGTGTATCCGATCTCATTGGTAAAAGACGTGATCAAATGCTGTATGAAGGACCTGAGGTCTTGTTGGGTTGGTGGTGCTGCTTCATGATGTGTCTTTGGCTTTTCCGGTTTCGATCCCTGTAACCGAGATCTGAGTGTGCTCAATGGGGATCCCATGATGGAGGAAAATAATAAACAATCTGAGACCAATGCTAAACTAGAATGAGATTGAGCGGGACATTCCCATGGCCATGGGGTTGGTATATATATTTCCCCTCCCGGTAGCTCGGTTCTGAACAATCGCCAACTCAGGCCACAGACATCATGCAGCTAATTCTAACCCTGACATGAACTGCATTACTCCTCATTACCAGGGTGCACGGCTGGGTTATTCGGTGTCTCCCAGGATCTCTGCTCTCCACCTTGCAGGGTTGCAGTGCATGTAGACTATTGAATTATACTTGCCGATCTTGGCTGTTGGTTCATTGTCTGGGAATCGCGTGTGGAGTATGCATAATATGGCGTGAGCTGTGAAAATCAAGTTATCATCCCTCACATTGAAAAATCGTCGATATAATATTCCCGCTGAGCAGAGCGGTGATACACGCGATACCCGGTACAACGCCGCTGAAGAAACCCCTCCTTCGGCTAACTGTGCCTTTCAATTGCGGCAATTTACATCCTGTTCATCCGTTATGCACCTGCCTCTTCCCGACCCACCACTTTTGTTGGGATCAGCTCATGATTCGTGCACCGGGATAAAGGCTCAAGCCGAACGAACGAACGAACGCCAACGCATTGATATATAGTTTGAGTTCGGCCCAGCGCAGTCGGCCGCTGAAGACGAGACCTCAATTGGTACTTGGCGATGCGGGATTTAGTTACTCGGCAATAATTGATGTGGCGGAGAAGAAGGCGACGGTGGTTTTGGAAGATGGGATCTGGTGATCGATGGGCTGTGAACGGTGGTGAAGCTCCTAGATGGCTTGTGTAAATGTTTCCGAGATGTAATGCTGTAAAAGTCCGACCCGACGCTTCAGACCGCCCTGTCACGTAGGATTGTCATGACGTGTCGACTGTCAAGAGCTAGCTTGGTTTATCTGGTTACATGACAGGGTGTCACTATCTTCGCCGCAACGTTGGACAGGGGTTGAGTGGTCAAGTGACAGCAATAGTGTAAAAAGCACGTGAAGTTGGATTTATCAGTAAGCAACTGCCTGAGTCTGCAAATTGCGGTAAGAAACCATTGGAGAAATTGTTTCTTCTACTTCGCATCTATCAGGCCTCTATAACCTCCTTCCCATCCCCAGACACCAGCAGCCGTGGGATACTGTGTTTAAACACATTCTTAGAATCATATTTCCTCTTCAGGGCAGCAAGCGTCTCATAGTGATGACCGTAAACCTTCTTCAAATCCGCATCTTCATGAGAACCGAGGGAAATGTATGAGCCCTCCAAGACATTATCCGGGTCTTGTTCTTGGATCTCGGATTTGACCTGCGCTGCCCATTGCACCCGTCCTTTGGCGATAGACTCATCCGCGAGCACGGCGTAGATCTCGAGCATGTGGTGACGCGCTCGTGTGCCAAAAACTGATTTCTGTGTAGGCTCTTGGGCGGAGAGTAAGGTGTGGTATGAGAAGATCAGACTCCCGCCGGCTGCGTTATTGCAGTGCTTTGCAAGGACCGAAATTGTCTTGGCTGTTAGTTCCTTGACGTTGAGTGTGAAAACCCGACCATATGAGGGCCAAGTAACCATCTTCTCGTTATTCTCGAGGATTTCACCAAGGGTTATCTCCTGGGTCATTTCCATGACACAAGTTCCTGCTTCAACAAAGTTCTTGATCCAGGCACGTCCCTCCTCTTTATCCTCTCCATGCCAGTTGGCGATGACCCCGAAGACCACTCCTTGGCCGGGCATTTGCATAACCATTGGTTGAAGCTGGAGACAAACTGGGAGCTCATCGGCTGCTAGTAGCTTTTCGTAATGCTGTGTGTATGAAGTCAAGGCCTTTTCCAAATCACTTGATTCATAGATAATTGTCGAGGAAAGGATCTGGTTTGGTCAGAATAGGCCATAGTGAATGGTTGAGAAACGTACCTTTGGAACTGGATAAACCTTGATAGTGAGTTCGGTGATGATACCGAGTGATCCGCCGCCGCCTCTGATACCGACAAGGATTTCTTCATCGGCAGTCTGGACTTCCCCACTGGCATTGACGATCTTGGCACCGAGAATCTGATCAACTCCGAGGCCGTAGTGAGATGTTAAAGGCCCATAGCCGCCGAGGGTGCTCCATCCGACATATCCAACAGAGGCGATAGTTCCACTATAATTGTAAGTTTCAAGGCCAACCCAATTTCTTTACCGGTGACACTCACACTGGTGTAGCCAAACCGTCCTCGCCCAAAGTCTTAGCCAGCTGTCCTATGAGTATGCCACCACCGACTCTTGCGCTTTGCTTATCATCAGAAATGGCAACATAGTTGATGTCTCTCATGTCAATGACAAGAGCCCCGTCAACGAGCGTGCGGGAGGCACAATCATGACCTCCTGATCGAACACTAAACTCGACATGATTCTCAAGACAAAATTGAAAAACCGAAGCGACTTCATCGGCGTCTTGCGGCTTGACTACCCCAAGGGTTTCAACTGGCTTGTCAATGAAACACTGCTCCACCTGTTTATAGTTCGGTGCATCGGGCTGGTAAAGCTTCGCCTTTGTGTGACCTAGATGGCCCTTCAGCTTAACGAATAGATCGGATGTAGTGACGGCCATGATGAGGAGAGTTTGAAGGGGGAAAATGAAAAGGAAAATTGAGGATGACATTCGGACTCTTCGGAAACATTAAGTACTATGAGAACAATTGAGTAAGCAGCGGAGCGACGTGCGTTTCCGGGTTGGGTTGTACAATAGTGCTTACTGACTGGCCTAGTAAGGCTGTGTCACCTCGGTGATCGGAATCCACCCGCGTAAATAGGTAGATAAAGGACAGATATTCGGTGATTGGAACGTATGGCGTATAGTGTACGACAGTCAGGCCCGTTTAGTGGATTGGGAGTAAGCAATTGGGATGCGATACGCCCCCATGATAAGCTGGACAGACGAATTGAATGGCCCAGATGTGGATGGTAGTTGTGGGAACATGCACATAAGCCGCCTCAATCTCACGCGACGGAGATGACAAACTTTCATTTGAGATCCTATGAGATTCTGGATAGAATACTGGTGCCAAGGAGGGTAAAAGTCTCAGCTCTATTTTTGATACAAAAAAGAATAGTAGTATCAGCTAGCTAAATGAATTAATGATCCAGGTCTTCTTGCACTTTTCTTGTATAGGTACAACTACAGCTCTACCTGCGCCTGATAAATCAGATATTTCAATATACGAAAAGAGCTTCTCTGAACTCACTTTTAAAAGTGGATATAACTGCTTTGCCTGTTCAACATCAACACCAAGGCCTGTGCCACCCCGCTCATGCATGTTGGTTTGCGTTGCACAACCCTGGACGAGAGAAGAGATAACAAGACAGTCTTCTAAAATATTAGACATGGTTGGTTGTATTACGAGGAACATCAACTAATCTGCTCATTTCTTGCAGAAAAAGGCGTGATGAAAATCAGTGTTATGCTTATGGCCTCAAGGCCTTTCCTGCTCTGCCAGCCGCTCCGTCTCACAGAACGGTTCATTCAACTCAAGATGCGTGCCGGAGGCAAAGTGAATTAAGCGATAGGTGGGAAATTGATAAACCTACGATTCATGAACCAACTGGAACGATGAAAAACATGAATATGATATGATACATCAACTCTAGTCACCTGATTCCCAGCATTAAAACCTTAATATGTTCTTTCTCTTCCTCTGAACTCTTTCACCTCCTGTCCTCGAGTCTTGTTCTATTTGAGAATAATTCAGCATTAACAGCAATAGCTACTGTGACATCTCATCACATCGAAATGGGTTCTCACATGAGCCCGCACAGCCAGGCGCAGCTGGAGCCCGCTGGACCAGAAGTATGTTTTCGTGCAAAACCGATATGCCCTTGACTAACCAGACTTTTTTACTCTACAGGGTGGTATTTTAGAGGAAGACATCGACTCCTCGCTTGGGGATGACGCGTAAATGCCCTCTATTTGCGCCCTCCATAAATAGCGACTAAAATGAACCCAGGACAACTTCAACAGCCTCAATCTCCTCTAGCATTCTCGAGTACAGAAACTATCAAGGCCGGACCTTTCACAGCGACAAGTACAACACGGATCCTCTCACTCCGAATGACGAGCAGCAGAGAATATCAATTGATATCACGTAAGGAATTTGCTTGCTATGGATAGCGAGTTAATTTGCTAAAAGTCTAGACACCACTACCTTACGTTACTTCTGGACGGCAAACTCACGCTTGCCCCGATAAAAGAAGACATGGAGGTTTGTCATTTGACTTGGTGTGGCGATATTGAGTGGCTAATGATTTGCAGAAAGTGCTTGATGTAGGGACTGGGACTGGTAGGTCATCCGTTACATGCATCGGTGCAACATCTGGTTGACAAGTCAAATTTACAGGAATCTGGGCAATGTAAGACGACATCTTGAGTCCTTAGACACCTAACTCTGTCTGACCTTGCAGCGACTTCGCCGACGAACATCCAAACACCGAAGTCATCGGCACAGACCTCTCTCCAATCCAACCAAGCTGGGTCCCTCCAAACGTCAAATTCGAGATTGAAGACGCAACAAACACCTGGAGCTGGTCTGACAATACCTTCGATTTAGTCCACATGCGCTATCTTATCGGCTCAATCACTGACTGGGGCGCGCTCTTCAAAGAGGCTTTCCGATGCTGCAAGCCAGGCGGGTTTGTTGAGTCCGTGGAAGTGAACCCTATTTTCCTGAGTGATGATAATACTATTGCCAGTGACTCACCTATAAAGACATGGAATCAAGTTTGTGAAGAAGGCGGAAAGGCTTTTGGCCGGAGTTTGTGTGAGGTTTCGGACGATGTGCAGCTGCTTCATGCCGCTGGATTCGTGGATATTCAGGTCACTGATTTCAAGGTATGATGCTTGCAATCTCGTATGCATTCACTTCTGACGGGCCATAGGTTCCTGTTGGGGGATGGGCTAAGGACACCAAGTTACGACGCGTTGGTCAGTTTCTTCGCGCAACTATCGAGAACGACCTTGAAGGTAAGATATCCCACGTGTGCCATTAACTCGGGGGTTATAAATTCTATGACAAGGTGCTCACACTTACAGGTTACACCCTGATGACGTACCAGCATATTCTGGGTTGGCCAAAGAATGAATATGAGCTATTTTTAGTAAAGATGCGAAAGGCACTTCGAAATGGGAATATTCATGGTTATATGCGTAATCGGTTTATAACTGCTCGTAAACCACCGTCTGATTGACGGATGATTTAGTGAGACTTGAATGTACCCAGAAAGAGCGGGATGTACATGTTCTGCCACACGCAGCGAGAATAGTCTATCACGAGGTGGAATTTGTTTTTATCATGCAGATCAGCGTAATTTCACAATTGACAAGCTCACCGTCATCATCTGAACATTCAAGACAATTCATCGGAAAAAACATATTCCCTGCGTTTCCTGTGCTTACTCTTTCATGCTTACACCCCAGAAGAACCCAACCCCCAAAACCTCATTTCACTCTCATATCGTAGCAACATGGTTACTGGCCCTGGACGTCCCGGCAAAGCTTGCAGTATATGCAAAAAGCAAAAGGTATCCGATCTACCTACAGAAGATGGTGTAGTTACTAACTAGGTCTGCAGATACGTTGCTCGGGAGAGAGACCGAGCTGCAGGAGATGTGTCAGACTCAAAAATGCATGCTACTACGACAACAACGTTGTTCACGTTCGAGCACGAAAAGATAAAAGTAGAGCCACATCTCGAATCGATAGATCTGTTGTACCTCATTCACAGTCTTTGGCATCTGCACCTTCACTTGATGTAACCAACAATTTCTACCAAGGAGTTCCACCATCCTTAGTCCCCATTCTCATCGACCTATACTTCGAAAACGTCTACCAATCAGACCTCTTCCTGCACAAACCATCATTCTTACAGACACTCGCCAATCAGACTGTTCGACCGCATATATTTCTCAGCATATGCGCATGGGGAGCAAAGTAAGTAAATCCCTCAGTCAAGCATCAAAGACTAACAATCCAGTTTCTACCGCGATGACGCTGGTAAAGCTACACTAAAAGAAGCAGGCCTTATGACTGAATGGGCAAAGAAAGCTGGTACACTCGTGTTCCAAGAAGCCGAGGAGCTTCACGAGGATAATATTGTGACGTTCTGCAACCTTTCGTTGTTCTGGCACAGCCAAGGCTCTTGGAGGATAAGTTATCTGCACAAAGGTATACCCCCTACCAAGAAGTTTATATATACTTACTTTTTAGGGAATGCATGTCAGTTGCTTCACATCATCGGCATTGGCCCACAGACTTCCAGTCGTTGTTCAGTGTTGGAATCTGAGATTCATAGACGACGCTTTTGGGCCTGTTATTTGTTTCATTGCTTTAGTTCGGAAAGGTTATTTCGGTTCGAAGCGATTGCAGACTTTGGTAGTTTACCGCTGCCTTGGCCTGATAAGGACTTTGCAGCCGGATTCGCGCCGTCGAATGTGGCTACCATTGACAATGATGTGGGCACAGGTAGTGTTTTTGCTGAGTTGATACGCAGTCTCACTCTTTGGTAACTCCGAACCTCTCCCGACACGCTCATCGTGCTGATATTTACAGGTGCTCTGTTGTATCTGCTGTCAGATCAAATGAAGAACGCTTCACTTCCCGCCTTCAAGAGATCTACCAAGTCGAGAATGACATATCAACGTGGTGGCAGCGAGTCCCAAGCGATATAAAGATTGAAGTAACCAATGTGCCGATTATTAAGCAAAGAGAACTGCCGAAAATGCTCCTTGTTAATCTCGTGTATCACCAGTCTCTCTGTGCGTTACACTCGTCTATTGTACCACTTTTCTGCTGGTCAAAAGGTGATGGGACTTTCTCTTCCGCGAGACAGCTTTCTGCCCAAGTCGCATTCGAGCATAGCTGTGCCATCTCTAGCCTCATAAATTCTGTCCTGGCCACCGATTGCCCAATTAGTGCGATACCGCTGTTTGTTGCATATGCGGCGTACTCTAGTTGTGCTGTTCAAATTTCTTTTCTTTGGTGCTCGGAGGTGCAAATTAGAGAGAGCGCCCGCGCCAACGTCGAAGCAAATATCAACATGATACAGCAGATGTCATCGTATTGGAAGTTAGCTTCTCTTTTGGTAATACCCTCTTCATAAATGATGATCATATTGGAATATGCTAACCTGATTGTAGCAAGTTTATGCTCGGTGCCTTCACGATACACACAAACGCGATCCACCAATAATCTCCAATGAACCCAGGTATACAGATGGGTCTGTATTCTCTACTTTCAACGTGGATCTGCTAGCTGCAAAGTCGTCTATTTTGGAGTTTACTGGGATACTAAGATCCGGTGATAACGGATACGTTAAATCCGGGGAGGAGAGCCTTGATCTTTCATCGATCCAACCAGATAGTACGACATTATGTCAGAGCCCGAACCCTGTCGTCGATACGAAGCTTGAAACTCATACTATGGAGAACCGGCCTTTAGAAAGAACGCCGCATACTCCCCACACAAACATGGAACAGCAACAAGCCGTTGGTCAGCTTGATTCGGGTGGAAATGAATGGCCGACTTTGGACATCTTTGGTTCTCTTTTGGACGCAGATATTACAAGCTTTCTGTCAATGGGCGAGAATGTGGACTTCTCGTTCCTAAACACAGATATGACGTCTTGGGGTTTCGGTGATGAGATTCAAAAAGGCTAGCAATTCATCAGTGTCTAACAGCATCTGTTAGTTGAGCATGCTGGATCTCGTACAAGCTCACAAAGTTACATGTTGTATACTGGTCTCTACAAAGGCATAGTCAGGTAATTCGACCCAATTATTGATCTTCATTGCTCCTCATATGACAAATCATTAGAGTTTTGCTCGGGGTCTCGGACCACATCATATTAGCGTCGTCGAGGCATTCTCCGACCCGGCAAATAACATGATTGGCTCACGAGGTGGCGGATATTCAGTGGGACCGGTAAATGCCTCGGCTTGGGAGCCGCTAAACTCCATAATGACGATTTGAAGAAGCGGTATAAGAAGTGATTGACAGGACCTCCTTCACGAGTATTTCCTCTGTCAAACACCAACCTACTCAACTATTTGACATGCCTATTACCATTCACCACCTGCAAGTCTCCCAGTCAGAGCGCATCCCCTGGCTCTGCGAGGAACTCGGCATCGAATATGACCTAAAAACATACAAACGCTCTCCTCTACTCGCACCACCTGAGTTCAAAGCTCTTCATCCAGCGGGCGCAGCCCCCGTTATTCAAGATGGTGACGTCAAGCTTGCTGAAAGCTGTGCGTGTATCGAATACATCAGCCACAAATACGCCAACGGCAAGCTCTTCCTGGGCCCTGAAGACCCTGCCTACGCCGACTTTCTTTACTGGTGGCATTGGGTTGACGGAACACTCCACCCAGGCCTTGGACGAATCATGTTGGTCAACTCTGCGAAGCTGCCTGACGACAACCCCATCGCGCAGTTCGGCAGAGCGAGATACGGCCAGGCTCTCAAGATGCTGGATGAGCAGGTTAAGAACAATGAGTGGCTTGCTGGTAGCGAGTTCACTGCTGCTGATATCATGGTTCTTTTCCCTCTGACTACGATGCGGTACTTCTCACCGTACAGTCTGGCTGATTACCCGAATATTCTGAAGTATCTTGAAAGGATTGCTGGTAGAGAGGCGTATCAGAGGACGATGAAGAAGATTGATCCCGGCATGGAACTTGCGCTGGGTGCCAATCCTCCCAAGAGTCCTTTCAAGCTATAAGAAGCACCGGACTAAGAAGATGGATGATGAAGCTTAAAGACTACAACATGCGGAGAAGCTAAGACGCGAATATAAATCTTTATCTACACTCAATCAAGCACCAATACAAATTACATCTCACCTTAGGCGCCTAAGCAATCTACTCGGAGTCTGATTGGTGGGGTTCATTTATGGATGCTCACTACATGGAACGTTAATTGCTGACGGGATTCAAGCTAATTAGCCTCAGTCAGAAAGGACCAGGGAACGGGCATGTCAGCAGTAGCAGCTAATGTAAAGGATCCAAAGAGGCCTTCCTAATGTGTATAGAGGTGCTGGCAGTGATGGGGCACAGCCTTAGAATAGATTATAGGGCTGACAGACGCCGAAACAGGATAGTGCTGACCTAGAAACCAGGGTATATATTGCAACGAAGATCATCTTACCTCATGATATTTTCTGCGCATTCAACAACTACCCATCATGTCTTCAAACTCAGAATACCCCGTTGTCGCCATCGTCCAGGGTGCTTGGCACCGCGCAAGCCACTACAAAGCATTTGCCGACGCACTAACAAGCAAAGGCTTCACCGTCATCCAACCTGACAACGTCACAGCTGGAGATCCTGAGGAAATCAAGGGCAAGACTCATCTGGACGATGTTAAAGCTATCCACAAAGCTCTACAACCTTCCCTCGATGAAGGAAAGCGCATCATCCTGCTCTGCCATAGCTACGGTGGTATCCCAGGGTCTGCCGCTACGGAAGGCTACCAGGTCCATGAGCGGGAGAAGGGCCTGTCTGGTGGTATCTCACACGTCATATTCGTCACGGCGTTTGCGTTTCCTGTGAAGGGCCTTTCCCTTCTAGCAGCCATTGGAGGAACACATGCGCCCATCGTAGATAGAACTGTACGTCTTTCTTTACTACCCCCTCTGTGGCTACCAGCTAACCTGCAATGTAGGAGGATATCTGTTACCTGAACGATAAGACAAAGGATACTTTCTACCACGACACCACCCCCGAAATAGCTGACAAGGCAGTCAGCGACTGCGTCCCGCAAAGCACAGCCAGTCTTGAAACACCCTCGGAGTTTGTGGCAACTGATATCTCGGTGCCGAGGACATATGTTGTCTGTGAGATTGATCGTTGTATTCCGGTGCAGGGACAGTTGGCTATGGCGGGGGCAATGGGTGATGGTGTTAGTGTGGAGAGGATCAGTGCTGGACATGTTCCGTTTTTGAATGAGGAAGCTCTTCCGAAGATTGTTGAGATTGTTGAGAGAATTGCACAGTAACCTCAACGGTTGGTCGTGGTTGGTTTCAAGTTTCAGCAAGCTACATACTACAGTCGGAGTGGTACTTGGAGTATTACACTACAAAAATAACATCAAGGCAAAATTCTCGATCGAAATCCCAAATATACTCAGATTTTTAGTAGAGGACTTAACTATCCAAAACTGCTTCTCAAAAGGCTATGCCTCATCTTGACCAAATCACCTTCCTATGCACACCCTCTTTCATGCCGCAGCCAAGGCCTTCCCCAAAGCCTCAGGGTTACGAGGCGTAAACGTAGCCCTGTACCTGCGCGGCATGGCAACAAGACTCGTAGGATCCAAGCTACCACTAATAGGATGACAATCCACATCATCGTGCTTCTCAATCTTGACACTGTTGAGGAGTCTCATGTAGAGCAAGTACAGTTCTCGGTTTGCAAGGAGAGATCCTGCACACATGCGATATCCAACGCCGTATGTGAACAAGGGAGCTTCGGGTTGCTCGAACCATCTCTCGGGACGGAAGACTTCGGGGTCGGTCCATACTTGATCATCTGGTGGATGTTAATACGCGTTGAAGTGTAGATATGATAGTTTACTTACCCATATTGCATGCCCATGCATTCAGAAACACGACTGTTCCCTTAGGAATAGTAACACCCTCATAGACGATATCCCGAATAGAAGCTCGAGGCAGCGCCAGTCGAAGCACAGTATAATATCTCAACGACTCCTTGACCAAAGCAACGATATACTCGCACTTCTGATCATCGTTGACATCACACATGGGCTCCTTCTGGCTGAAGAATTTCGCAATCTCAGACACAGCCTTTTCTTGAATCTCGGGATGTTGGCTCAGATAAGCGACGAACCAAGCTACCAACGTCGTCACGGTATCCAAACCTCCGGAAAGCATGGTGAGACTGATGGATGTGAGCTCGTCTTTGTTTAGCTTGGCTTCCCTGTCCAGTATGACGTTGGCTTGAATGCATGGTTTGTATGTGCCGTTGGCGATTCTCTCGTCTAGACCGTTGTTCAAGTCGGTGAGATACTTATCACGTCTGTTGCGCATCTCTCGAGCCTTGGACGAATGAAGATTGAACGGGTTGAGACGAAGAATGGGGATGTAATCCTGGAGATTACCCGTCGTCGACCTGAAACGGCTGATTTCTTCCTCAACATGCGTGATCTCTGCGAATAAATTGTCTTTTTGACTCTTGAGTCGAACGCCCCAGTTGAGAGTCAAGGCGAGGGATAGAGATAGACGCTGGATCATAGGCATGGGGTCAACTGGTGATTTCCCACTGTTTCCATACTCCACGAGCTCTTTAATGAAATCTCTGGTTTCGACATCGAGATGCTCAACATAGGTGTTGACGGAGGGACGGTTGAGAGCTGAGGCTGCACCCTTGCGACGGCGTTTGAGAGAGTCACTGTATGGGGACGTGCCAATAGTAGTGCCCGCAGTATCAGAGAGAACCTGGATTGTCAGCGTTTTGTAAGTGTAATTGGAACCGGAGAAGTACCTTGTGAAATGTGTAGAATTCAGGCCGCGAACTCAACGCCTGGGCATTGGAACCAAAGATGGTCCTCGCCGCACTAGCAGAGTTGACCACAACGACAGGAATATTGCCTAGTTGGATCTGGTACACCTGTCCATATCTCTTGGCCCATGCGCGGTACTTTTCGGCAGCGTTAATGTGGATATCCCAGATGTTGCCGATCACCGGTAGTCCGGAGGGTCCTCTAAGGTTGCTAATTCTAGCATTGTGTCGAATGAGTTCATTGACGAGAACGTAGATCAAAGGACCAATCAGGAGTGTCACTAAAAGTGACTGGCCTTTGTTCTCACGGACCTGGTCGTTTAGCGATACGAGGAGGTTGGCGATCGTCATGATGGGGAATGAGGCTGGTATGTAATGAGAAATCGGTGAATAGCAATTGATTATCTCTATTCATATATACATTGATCACCTCTAACAAATTATTTCATTCCGATTACATACCCTCCACAAACCTAAATCCGTTTCTTTGCGGGGAAATTGACTTCGGAAACTCGGAACCATTCCGAGACCGCGTCTTTTTCAAGGCCTTCTATTCCACGCGTCCCCGAGCACCCTGCATCAGCATTGCTCGGAAATCAGCTCACCATGAGTAAACAGCCCACCCCAGAGAAAACGTCGGCTCCGAGGCCGAAGAAGCGGAATACCGCCGATAGTGAGAGCACTGATACTGCGTCTACGCGGTCAAAGAGGGGCAAATACACTTCGGTGGCATGGTGAGCTCCAGCCCGTGATGTACAATGACGACATGGGTTAATATCGGATAGCGATGATTGTAAGAAGAAGAAACTCAAGTGTATACCGTCGCAGGATAGTAGTTGCGAGAGGTGCATTGCTGGTGGTTTGGCGTGTACCTTTGCTACCAGCACTCAGACTGTGAAGGAAAAGCCAGAAGAGTAAGTATCCGCATACCTCAGCAGACCACGATTAACAATCGCAGGAACCAGAATATACAATCCCTTCACCATGAGCTATCACAACTACGACAACAGGTCTCCGATTTAGTCGGTGTAGTAAGAGAACTCAAAGATCAGACGCGAAATGCATCCGCTTCAACAGTATCACCGCAAACGCGAGACAACATCGTGACTCACTCACCAGCCAGTACTCGCGGAGAAATCCCAAGGGAACCTCAGTTCGTCGGCCCCACAAGATCAGCGTTTGGTATTCTCGTCAGCGAACGGTCTCTAAACAGGATGGGCGTGCCAAAGTTCGACTCCATGCCGCCAAGCGGTGCCCAATCACCTATAGAAGAACCTACCAATGGAGGACATATCACAGACCTGGATTTCTGGGATTGCTGTACTGACAGTGATGTCACAAAGCATCTTGTAAGCTTTCGAGAGGAAGTCGAGTCGGTGTATCCTTTTATAGACATAGGCGAGTATATCGCTCTGTCGAAAGAGATACTCCAGGCCATTCAAGGCAAGGGGCTCCCGGAAGGGTCTTCTTCTCTGCTGTGTAGCAATGATATAGCCCTTGCGAGAGTTGCAGTGGCTATAGGCATTCTGCTAGAAGACCCGAGTCGCATCGAGTTGAGTATCTCTTTGGTTGGTTCTGTTGAAACAACCGTGTCGAGCATCCTCAGTCCACAGGTTGATCTGAAAGAGGTACAACTACTCACAATGCTGGTAAGCTATTCACTCAGATAACGAGGCGCGACTGACAAGTCAGAGTATCTTCTACTTCCATGCCGGAGAGGACTTGTTGGCCTGGCGCACAATCGGTATAGCAGCCAGGGAAGCGCTAGAAATGGGTCTTCATCGAAAACGTAGTCTTTTGGATAACTTCAAAGACTCTGACTCTCGAAGACTAGCGACTCGTGTGTTTTGGTGTGTCTACGTACTTGATCGACGTTGGAGCTTTGGCACGAGTTTATCTTTTGCTCTGGTCGACAAGGATGTTGATCCGGAGTTACCCAAGCCTGTAAGTGTGAGTACCAAAGTAATTGACTTAGCTGACTTTATTAGGACGAGGAGTATCTATATCTCCAGTGTATGGTCGGCTACGGTCAACTGTGCTCCAAGATCTGGGAGGCTATACCACCTTTTGGATCTGCATCTCAAAGTATACCAGATGATACCGCTGCGGCATTGGATCTCAAAACGCAAGATTGGATGGAATCCATTCCCGCCCATCTCAGACTTCGTCATCCACGTCTAGGTCTTGCACCGCGTGCCCAGCCACGACTACCACATCGTTTACGCGCGCTGCTATATCTCCGAGGCAACTATGCTCGTATTCTGATCTACCGTCACAATTTGATGAGCACGGTGAGTATCGCTGCGAGCCCCCAGAATGCAAGGCTGGTAGTAGATATCGCACAGGATACAATCCAAGTCCTGGTGCATCTGCACGCCACGACAGATATCTACTCACGGCAGCAAAATGTGTTCAACTATTTCCTCCTCAGCGCTTTGGCAGTTCTATTTCTAGCGGTTTGCCACGCCCCGGATATTTTCGCGGGGCCCTGTCGGAAGACGTTTTCTGAAGGAGTGGAACTTGTCAGGGGTCTTTCGCGGCATAATATCGTAAGCAAAAGGCTTTGGAAGAGTATCCGCGGGATGATTCCTCGGATGAAGACGTTTGGGTTTTCGCATACAAATGGCGAGGAGTCTGATTTGCCCAGGGAGGGCGCAGACACCGGAGTTGAGGAAGGTCAAGTCACAGAGGTAACGGCTTTGGAACACACGGTGCCGATGCCAGATGTAGATGATGACTTTTCGTTTGGCGACATGATGCTGCCGGAGGATCTGGCTAGTTCTGTTCCGGATATGTTTCAGATGAGGAATGATCTACTGGATCTATTTGATGCATTTGGACAAGGACAGCAGTTTTTGAATCCCGTGCCGGGGACTTTTGGCGAAGATGATTGTTTGAGAGCTGCGGAGCAGGGGAAGGATATTTCCATGAGATTTCAAGGTTTAATATGAGGACCTTATCTCATGGTGCTGTATTAATCTAATCTTCTAAACTACACTTCGTTCTCAAAGTAAATCATAGCTACACCCTCATTCACACTCTTGGCAAACGTTCTCAATTCTAGATGAGCCTTGCATTCTGTGTCATAGAAGTTGAAGTCCTCCTGGGAATTGAAAGTCGAGATGGCGACGACTGTGAAGCCTTGTGCGCGCTGATCGGGCTTGGCTTTGCCAGCTTGGACAGAGGCGATATATGGTGCTCCGTCCTTTGAGGATGTCAAAAAGAATACAGACTGAGTGTCAGGATTGACTCACTTTGAGTGCTTTTTGAGGCATTTGCTTATAGAGGTCCAGAAGATGTTTCTGGTCTTCCTCTTTGGGGATTTTGAACAGGGTAACGCGCGTGACTGGTGACATGGTTGATTTTGTGATAGGGGATGGGGTGCAAGAGAGGTATGCAATGAACCAAGAATACGTCCATCATGACCAGGGATCAAAGTCTTATATTGACTGCTTCGGAATAGTGCTGGACCATTTGCGGGTGCTCCCAGAACCTTACGCCTTTCGATTTAGTGTTCGGAAACATGGTATGGTTCCGCGTCGGAAGATAAAGGCCGACTACCGTGTCAATTTGCCGTGCATCCCAGCCATCCAAATGCTCATGCAGTGTAACTCTACATTAGAGGAATACTTCCGTATGTTGGTCAGTCTCTAATCGTGCAAGAATCGACACATCGACATTGTGCCACTCTGAAGTGATGAATCTAGGTCATTGAGATACTCGGTATTTCGAGACTTCAAGAGTTGACTATAGTTTAGATTACAATGGTATTCATGTTTTACACATAGGGCCATTCATCTGTATAGAAGTTTTATGGCTATATCAGAACGTTTAGTTTATGCACATTCTTTCTCGCAAATCCTACTATCTTGGTTTGTCTTAAGTCTTTATCCTCTATGATATTTAATCACGCGAAACAGCAGCCAGGATAGTACCAGCACACTCTCCAAACCCGACAATACCATCGTCAGCAGACCTAGACCATCCCGTGATCGTAATAGTATCGCCATCTTGTATGAACTTGCGCTCTTCTCCGCCTTCCAACTGCACAACTTGCTTGCCACCCAGAGTCTGTTCCAAGAGACTACCCTGTGTCCCTGCCTCTAGACCGGAGATGGTTCCCGATCCTAGAAGATCTCCAGTGCGTAGGTTGCAACCCGAGATAGAGTGGTGGGCTATCATTTGTGGCCATGACCAGAGGAGGTTCTCGGAACTTGTCTTTGTTATTTTCGTGGTATCACCCTTAGCGGCTGGACGAAGATTAGCACTACACTTGTCTTGGTGGTTATGGAAGGAGGACTTACTCGTGAGTGATACCTCAAGGTTGATATCCAAAATCGGATCCTTTCGCTGCTCATCAAGGTACGCCTTTGGAGGCACATCATTGACCAAGCCCCGTGTTCGGAAACCCTCAAGTGCATCAGCTAGAACCACCCACGGACTAATGGTAGTCCCAAAGTTCTTCGCATTGAAAGGCCCCAGCGGTACATATTCCCACTGCTGAATATCCCGCGCACTCCAATCATTCATAAGCACATACCCAAAGATATGCTCCTCTGCGCTAGTAACAGGAACTGGAGAACCAAGTTCATTCCCCTTGCAGATAAACATGCCGAGCTCCAGTTCAATGTCCAATCGACCACAGGGCTGGAACACAGGCTCCTTGGCTTGAGGATTAGGGAGGACCTGGCCCCAAGGCCGACGGAGGGATGTGCCGGATACGACGACAGAACTGGCCCGGCTGTGATACGCGACTGGGAGATGGTTGTAGTTTGGCTGAAGGGCATTTGCAGCGCCGCGGAATAATGTCCCGACCGTATGGGCATGATTACGACCGGCGAAGAAATCGGTGTAATCACCAATACTAAGCGGGAGATGTGACTGGATATCCGCAAGTGGAATCAAGGCCTTGTTGCGTAAACTTTCATTGTCTTTGAGAAGCTCTGGGTAAGGAGTTTCTTGACGGAAGATATCTTGCAGATAGGCTCGAGTAGCGCGATGGACTGGTCTTCCAAGACTAGCAAAGTCATTGAGCGTGGTTTGAGAGAACACGCTTAGCTTGTCGGAGGGAAAATCATATAGTTTGGAGAAACCATCGTGTTGAGCGAATGCGGATAGATCGAGAACATGGTCCCCAATAGCTATAGCTGGGCGATGAGTTGACTCGTGTGATGTTGAGATGATACCGAAGGGGATATTGGCAAGTGAGAAGTGGCTCTTTGATGGGATTGGTAGCCAAGACGCCATACTGTAAGATTTCAGAGGTGAGGATATTGAGAATATGGTGATTTGATAACGGAGGGGGAGGAAAGGTTGCTTTTTAAATGATCTCAAAATACTGCATCGTTCATTAACAATTAACATTCTGGCATTGGTGAATACTAATAGTTGTTCAATAGATACCTTACTCGTCAATTGAATCCCGACATGGCGGGGTACTTCGGAAATCATGGAAGATTTCCGAGCTCTCCGCTGTGATCAGCGGATGGGATCGGCCCTCGGAAGCTGATCATGGTATCATGGAAGGATATTGTTACAGCATAATAAGTGAACAAATTCCAATCAGTAAATCCTTTCATTGATCATCCTGTAACCCTTCAGCATAATCTGGAATCTCAATTGTACAGGATACCGTCATTATGCCAGTTACAGACTTTTCCACGCCCGAGAAGTACACCTACCTCAACGGCTTTGACTCATACCATGAGTACGTTAACACTTCTCTCCTCGCCGAGCCCAATTGACTTCCCATAGATCAGAGGTAATTAAAGGTGCCTTGCCAATCGGAGCCAACTCCCCCCAGAAACCACCCTACGGCCTCTACGCCGAGAAGCTTTCCGGCACTGCCTTTACTGCCCCACGACATGAGAACCGGCAATCCTGGCTGTACCGTATCCTCCCGTCATCATCTCACTCCACGTATCAGCCCTTCAGCGATCCTTCAGAGCCGATCCTCAAGGCTAAGCTGAACTATGTTCCTCAGCAGCTCCGGTGGGATCCTTTTGACATCGATGAGACCATTGACTGGGTACGGGGCCTAAAGCTTGTCTCAGGTGCGGGCGATCCTACACTTAAGACAGGTCTAGGTATCTATATCTTCGCTGCGGGACGGGATATGGATGAATCGACTGCTATGTACTCTTCTGATGGTGAGATGCTCATTGTAGCTCAGCATGGGGCCTTGGATATCCAGACTGAGTTGGGTCGCCTTCTCGTCCGTCCTAACGAGATTGCTGTTATCCCTCGTGGTGTCAGATATCGCGTTACGCTTCCCGCTGGGCCGGTTCGAGGGTATATCCTTGAGCTGTACCAGGGGCATTTTACGTTGCCGGAGCTGGGACCTATTGGGTCGAATTGTCTGGCTAATGCTAGAGACTTTCAAGCTCCTGTTGCAGATTTCGAAGAGGATACTAATACCACTTGGACGATCTTGAATAAGTATAATAATGAGCTTTTTGTTGCTCAGCAGGGACATACGCCATTCGATGTAGTTGCTTGGCATGGAAAGTGAGTATCCCAATAGAGCTTTTGACTTCTAAGGCTAACTTATATGGCAGATGTGAGTCAACCTGCTGGTATACGACTTGATGGCAAAGGCCATGACTTATAGCTTTGCTAACTCTCTAGTCTACCCTTACAAATACGATCTAGGTCGCTTCTCAGTCATCGGCAGCATCTCCTTCGATCACCCGGACCCCTCAATCTTCACCGTCCTAACCGGCCCCTCGGACCATCCCGGCACCGCCGTCGCCGACTTCGTCATCTTCCCGCCGCGCTGGCTCGTCCAAGAAGACACATTCCGTCCCCCGTGGTACCACCGCAACACCATGTCGGAATTCATGGGTCTGATCTGCGGTCAATACGACGCCAAAACGGGCGGTGGCTTTCAGCCAGCTGGAGCGAGTCTGCATAATGTCATGTCGGCGCATGGACCAGATGCTGATGCTTTTGAGAGGGCGTCGAATGCTGAGTTGAAGCCCGTCAAGGTTGGGGAGGGAAGCATGGCGTTCATGTTTGAGAGTAGCTATATGCTGGGCATCACTGATTGGGGACTGGAGAAATGCTGTAAGGTGCAGCCAGATTATAACAAGCATAGCTGGTCTGAGCTGCAGGTGCATTTCAAGAGGCCGTCTTGAGCTGGGCTGCGGCGGAGATGATGTGGATCATTCGAACAGATTGAAAGGGAACCAAATCAAACTAACAGTGTAAATTGGTGTGAGTATCGGTTCAAAATGGAAGTAGGACGTCAGTTTTATTTCCACACAAAAAATGTTATCCGTTCTATTGTTTTGAAATCTGTTAAAAGATTCAGCCGGTTGCAAAAGTGATACACTTACTCGAGTACAAACTAAACCCAAGGCTCGTAGTCAAAATCCTGTTGACGTACAAGGCTATAAGTCGCTAAAAAGTGAATTAAGTATACCTCGGCTTCTTTCAGAAACGCTAGACGATTCTTTGCATCTACGGAGAATCATAGGACAACCAGATATATAGTATATGATAAGAGAGCGTAAATAGAGAGGTGCAGGGTAATGCTCAAATCCCACTGCTAGCAACTCGGATTCCGCGGATAAAACCACACGTTGCATAATTCATTTGTCGCAAATTTGGAACAGCATTTTCCCCGTAAAATTCCCCGAAAAAGCCTACTGATTACAAGACCATTGGTTCTTCCGTAACTTTACGAGCCTCCTTGATCTTGGTCCCTGACTATGGGCTAAACTACTTTAAGAAGGTCGATACGCAGAGTAGGTCGACACCTGAAGAACTAATCCTACTGAGAAGGTCAACGCATTTGGAAGGATGAGACGCTAAAGTTTCCACTGACGTTCTCTGACCTCCGCAAGCGTTATAGATAGCGTGGGCTGCATCAGTGATTTTGACGGATAAGAGCTGCCATCCATACAACCTTTCTTTCCCCAATTTCTCACTCTATCTAACTTATCTCGTATCTAACATTTTATCTCTTTATTATTTTCCCTTGTCCACTATCACACACCAGAGACAAGCATGGACCCTCACATTATTCTCACCAATGGTCGCTTTCCAGGCGAAGCTGCAGATGCCCACGACTGCATGGTTGTACAAGGGTCTAAGATCGCCTACGTAGGCTCAGAAAACGACAAGGCTGTCCAAAAAGCCAAATCTCAGGGCGCGCAGGTCCTGGATCTCAAAAACCGTGTTGTTCTACCCGGATTTATCGACAGCCATGTTCATCTTTTGTTCTTTGGCCTGTCACAACAGAAACTCGATCTTGGCGGGTGCAGGTCGCTAGAGGAGATTCGTCACAGAATATCGGGATTCGCAGCGCAGAACCCCAATTTATCTCAGATTCTGTGTCGCGGATGGCTTCAGTCTGCGACCGGGGGAATTGCCCTTGCTAGTGATATTGACGATCTTGACTCGCGGCCTATTTTCATCGATGCGAATGATCTTCATTCAGCTTGGTGTAATAGCCCTGCTTTGAAGCTGTTGCCCATTGACGAAATAAAGGCGACTTGCCCGGATCATATCACAGTCGATGAAAATGGAAATCCGACTGGTCTTCTTGCCGAGCAGGCTGTTACTGCATATATCTGGCCGTTCCTGATCCAGTCACTCTCCATAGATGAGAAATTAGCAGCGCTGGAGAGAGCCATTGATGCATATTCGGCTGAAGGCTATACCGGAGTCATTGATATGGCGATGGATAACATAGCTTGGGAAGCTCTCCAGCGCTTAAGAGAAACAAAAGGCATCAATCTTCACATCGCAGCACACTGGTTCGTACCATACGAGGCGGATGAAAAACTACGCGATGCACGGATCCAAGAAGCTGTAGATATGCACAACAAGTGGCATCCTTCAAAATCTCCAGAGTTCTGTATCGTGGGAGTCAAGCTTATTAGCGACGGCGTGGTGGATGGTTGCACAGCAGCTTTGTCATATCCCTACGGCGAGTCTACAGATCTTGTTCAGCCATTATGGCCTGGTGAGGATATGAACAGAACTCTCAGCCAGATCACAAAGGCTGGTATGCAATGCGCCATCCACGCCATCGGCGACGTGGCGGTGACACAGGCTATTGAGGCAATCGCAAGCACAAACAATCCCACCGCACGTCACAGGATAGAGCATCTAGAAATGGCCACCCCGGAAGATGCAAGGCGGCTAGGCAAACTGGGCATAACAGCTTCAGTGCAGCCCGTCCACAGCGATCCAGCCATTCTCGAGGGCTACTCGAAGCTCGTCAAACCTTCAGCATGGAAAGACGCATTCCCGTATAAAGAATGTCTCGACGGACACGCCAATGTCGCCATCGGCACTGATGCGCCCACCGCACGCCATCTACCGTTCCCCAATTTGTACAACGCCACGACGAGGAAGTCAGCCCTGGAACCGGAGAGAAAGACTGTTACGAATGGGAAGAGCGCGCTCACGCTCCCGCAGGCTATGAAGGCTGCTACGTACGGAGCGGCGTACTCGCGGTTTGCAGAGACTTGGACGGGGAGTTTGGTAGAGGGGTTGAGGGCGGATTTTATGATTCTTCCTGAGATGCCGGGCGTGGATGGCTTGTTGGATACGAAGGTTGATGAGACGTGGTTTGGGGGGAGGAGAGTGTACAAGAATGAGCAGAGTACTAGATTAGGTAGTTCCAGATTGTAGATTTAGGTCAAACTGTAGATTAGGTGTACGGAATTTGTAAAACAATCTTTCATAAAAATAGACTCAGCTTTGACGTATGAGACCTCAGACATCCACCCCGCATCATCCCATCATATAAGCTTTCTGCTATCTTTGACCGCTTCTGGACGTTATCAACGACCGGAAACCAGCTTCTTATCATGACACATCAATGAACTATGCCACGCTCAAGGAACGGATGCACGACATGCAAAAGACGCCATCGAAAATGCGACGAAACCAAACCGGCCTGTCTCGAGTGCCAGAAGCACAAGCTGCAATGCGACGGGTACGCCATCAAGCTACAGTGGGATGTCGGGGTTGCATCGCGAGGGAAACTTACCGGGGCAACGCTTCCTGTGCTTGTTGAAGGGGGTGGGAAGAAGAGACGCACGGAGCAGATTGAGATAGATGGCTCGGCTGGGGCTTTTGGACAGTTCCAGGCCACCTCACTGGACGGGCAGGGTGAGATGATAAATGCGGATTCGCCACTGGACGTCGGATCTTGCACAGGTGATAAAGAGCCCCAATGGCTGCAAAAGAGAAGTGATCGGGAAAAAGAGTTATTTGAACTATGTAAGCTGGCAAACCTACGGACTGTAACAAACTAACAAAGTAGTCTTCCAACGAACCGTCTTCTCGTTCTACTCCACCTCGACAGACGACTCATTCTGCGCTGAACTAGAACGTCTCGCTCTACAGAACGAACCGCTGTACCTCAGCTTGATAGCGACATGTTTGTATAATTCCAACCCCCGCAATCCATCACCGTTATTCCACGACTTGTGCGACCAGAGTCTGCGTCTCTTCCGGGAACAGCTGAGTGGGTATGACGGGACGTTGGATTCAGGGTTGATAAACGCAGGGACGTTTCTATGCACATTGCACGTAAGTTGGCATATCACCAATCATCTAAGAATGACTACTGAGGGCTGGTAGCTGTTCCAGGGCATCCCGTGGACTAATCATCTGAACCACATGATGTGGGTATACGGCCTCTTCCCCGGTGCCGAGAACGCACATCGCATCGCAGACATGGAGTACCGCTTCTGTCTCGAGGCGATGGCGATCATGGACATACCGACCTTTGTCAGGGGTCGCGACACGCCTTCGCTTGGAATATGGGGGTTTCTCAGGGCCGGCCAAGCAGCCACGCCAACAGGTCTAGTCGATGGAGTGGAGAGCGTGTCCGGAATACCACGAAGTCTACTGGATATCATCGCGCGTATCGGGAGTGTTTCTGCGGAGGAGGAATTCGCCGCTTGGCCGGGCCACGAGGGATCTGTTCCGCACTGTCATCTCTGGGAAGCCTTTCGCCTGGCAGGCATTTTACTGAATCGACGACAAAACCGCTCCCCAGCTGCATCGCCGACTAACGAGGTTATTCTATGTCGACTGGTAGCTACACTGGATGCTCTGTACGAAACGCGCCGTCGCGACGAGTACAGCCACATTCTCGCGACAAACAGCATCATGTACCCTTACACGGCAGCGCGTCTGGAAGTGTCAATCCTACGTGAGCGACCATCGTGGGTGCAGGGGCTGCGCAGATGCGGCGATCTCTGCGACGCATACCGCGACACGCCCAACGCGATCATCCTGGAGGAGATTCTGGACAGTGCGCTCAAGACTGGCGATAACGATGTTGACCTCGACAAACAAGCCCAGCTCCGAGGCGTTGAACTCTCCCTGTTCTGAAAGTAATGCTATGCTGGTTTAGGATGGTCGACACGCAGCCAATGGGAATGCATGAAGCTTATCTCAAGCTGGGGGTAGACCTCCTCGAAGAGTTCTAGTCTGGAGGGTTAGTTGGGGATTCTTTACCCCGCAGAATACCGATGCCAAGAAAAGATTTCTCCAGGGTTGGTGTGCCTGAAAAACATGGGGGATCACAACCGTTATCGGCCAGGCCGTTTGATGGACTCATTACTATATATCCTGGGACTCCTCAACGGTTGTGCTGTGAGTTATCCAGCACTACTTGTCTTCTCAAGACAAGCTCCTCAGTACTATTTCTGAACGTTGCCTTCTTTCCAACAAATAGTCACGATGGAAAGCGAGTTGAGCTTCCCACCGGGGACTTCCCGCCTTCTAAGTGAGTGACCCCATAATCATACACTCCTCTCTATATCTAACTATGGGTTTCAAGGCCACTCTGAAATTGTTCTCGTTCCAACACCCTCACAAGACCCCAACGATCCGCTGGTGAGTAACTCACTACGTCAAGTATCAGAGCAAGTCTGACGATATTAAAGAACTGGAGTAAACGGAGAAAAGCATGGAACTTCACCCTCGTCCTCGCCGTCACGGTCGCATTCTTCTCAGCGTACGTCCACCAACAATACTACACCCGTAACAATACTGATAGCCACCAGCATCGTCATGCAGGTCGTCCTCTGGCAGCAAATGATCGTCGACATGGACGTAACCTACGAAGAGCTCAACTACGGGGTGGCCTTCAACGCCGCCGGCCTAGCCCTCGGAAGTTTCCTCTTCATCCCCCTAGCGAGGAAATACGGCTCTCGACCATGCTATATCCTCTCCACTGGTCTTATGGCTGGCGTTTCCTGGTGGAGCGGCTATATGCATACTGTTGAAGAGATGTACATCACCAATTTCCTGTCAGGACTCGCCGGGTCCGTCAACGAGACTATTTCCGAGATCACGGTACGTCGACTAGACAGATGGGAATGGGCGAACGCTTACAAAGTGTAGATCGCGGATCTTTTCTTCGTGCATCAGCGCGGTACTGCCAACGGTCTTTACATCATCGCCGTCATGCTCGGCCAGTTCGTCTGCCCCTCCATTGTGGGCGTGCAAGCCGAAGCGCAGAATTGGCGATGGACGTACTACACCACCGGAATAGTCCTCAGTGTTCTTTTTCTGCTGTTTGTGCTTTTCTTCGAGGAGACAAAGTTCATTCCTGTGTCGATTGGCCAAACTAGGAATGACTGCTCCAGCCAAGGCACCACTGATGCTCCCAAGTGCAAGGATGGCTCTGCTGTCAAGGGACACATTCAGAACTCTGATCAAGGCTCTGAGGAGCTTCCTCCTAGACTTTCTTACAAACAGCGCATGCGTCTTATCACACGCACCGATGAACCGCTGTGGAGAAACTACCTCGTGCCGCTGAAGATGTTCCTCTTCCCACACGTCATCTTCTCAGCCATCCAAGTCGCCAGCTGCGTCGCCTTTCTCATCCTCCTCACCTCCACCATCTCGATGGTCTTCGCCGCACCGCCGTATAATTTCAACACAGCTGGCGTTGGACTGATGTCTCTGGGCCCTTTTGTCGGTAACATGTTCGGTAGCCTTTACGGTGGTCTTCTGGGTGATTGGGTGGTTGTGCGGTTGGCCAAGAGAAACAAGGGTATTTTCGAACCCGAGATGAGGCTGTATATCCTTCTCCTTCCGGCTTTGCTTATGGGCGCTGGGTTGATCCTTTTTGGTGTTTCTGCTGATAAGGTAAGTTGTCTTGTGCGTGAGTGAGAATTTGACTAATTATGATAGGGCTGGCATTGGATATACCCCAGCATTGGCGGTGCGCTTTTCGGCTTTGGAATGGCGTCTATGATTGATATATCATGCACGATTGTTATCGATATCTACCAAAGTGTAAGTTGACGCAGCACTACAGTTGACAAGATAATGCTAACAAATCGCTAGTTGACCGCCGAAGCTTTCATCGCCGTCACATTCATCCGCAACGTCCCCTGCATTGGTGTCCCATTCGGCATCGTCGGTTGGACCGAGTCCATTGGTGTGACAAAGCTTTACGTTATAAGTGGTTGTGTAGCCACGCTTGTGTGTCTGTTGTTCATTCCTTGTGCTATCTGGGGACGGCGTGTCCGACAGAATACGTGGCAGATGTTTGAGTCGGTGGTAGAGCTCAAGGGACAAACCAGACACTGAGTTGGTTAGTTTTGATGTATTTGTAGATAGCTTCAAAATTGTTCGTTTTCCATGCTTCGGCACTTATATGCCGTCATGCGAGCAACCCGCGTCATTGTCTTGAAACATCTTGTTGATCTTTAGTAGGCGTTTGTACCTCGTGCGCTGTAGAAACGATTTACCAAAGATAAATGAAGGTAGATTAATGTGGTCCTATCCAGTTCGCCTATTTTGAGAGCCTCACTCAGGTCTTCTGAATTTAAGCCGTACCATCAAGTAGACAGAGCCAGGTCTCATCTTGACGAAGATAACTTAAGTCAAGCTCAACTTCAACAACGACATTTCATTGTTACTCAAAGACTCATTGACATTCAATGTATAACAATTGCCGAGCAAATCATCTTCACTAGAAATTTGATATGACTTTATAATTCAAACTTTCAATTAGACTATCGAAGGCCATCTCAATGACGGCCACTAGTTGTAGCTAATTCCATGGCCCCAAGGAAGACCAAGGGGGTTCACAACGCGCACATCCCGCGATGTTCCATTACCCTGAAAGTCCCCCTTCTGGGTAGTAAAGTCCTCGATAACTCCCAAGTTCTTGATCCTTCCAAGCATAAGCTCAACAACACGGTATCCAGCGCCAGCAGTATATCCAGGAAGTTCGTGTCCAGCCAGTTGAACCTCGTAGTAGGTCAAACCACGCTCGTAACCCCAGTGGCCGACAATACCAGCCTCGCTGAGTCTGCCGCCGTTGTACTCGGGGTGGAACGGCACGTAGAACTCCTTGTCTTGGGGATACTTCTGGAATCCCTGCTTTCCGTGCCAGGTGGCGTTCTGCAGGGCGAAGAGTGTGCCGTTAGGAGGGAGAATGTAATCTAGGCGACCGACGCCGATGATGGTGTTGTTGGTGTGCTCGATCACACGGCGGAGGACGTTGGTCTGGGCTGGGGCGAGAGAGGTGTCGCTCTGGTTGGACTTGGGGTCGCCGAAGCCGAAGACGGGGTTGGGTGTGCACTGGTACCATGTCACGTCTGTAGGGGCATTGAGGGCCTTCTTGACGTCGGTACGGTTGAAGTAAACTTCAGCGCCCTTGGGGGAGTAGTCGCCCGAGTTGACAATGCCAAGCTGTCCGTAAAGATGAGGGCAGGTATCGGTGATGTGGTAGATGTTGAAGCAAGGGTTCTGATCAACAGCAGCGGCATAGGCATAATCAAAGATATCACAAGTGTAGTTGCTCTTAGGATCCGTATCGGCGTATGGATCAGGGAGAACAGGAAACTTGCCCTGAGGAGGAGGGAAAGTTCCGTACTTCTTGAGATACTTCTCATACCCACAGTGCTGATGCGTCCACCGCAGAGCATTCAAGTAGGTCTGGTTGAGGTTGAAGATATTCTGCCAGTACTCGATGTAGGGGAAGATGACAGCCTGCTGCTGAAGCGTGCCATCTCCGATAATGGGGTCGTTGATGGCGACTCCACCGAGCTTGTAGTAGTCGTCGTCGTTGGCAGTGATGAAGGCGTCGGCGATGTAGGGGACGTAGTAGCCGGCGTAGGACTCGCCGGTGATGTAGGTTGTGGCGCCCTTGAGTTCAAAAGTGTCGATGAAGTTCTTCCAGAAGCCGGTGAATTGGAGGCCGAGCTCGACTTCGTTGGTGATGTTGGGCTTGCCTTTGCTATAGCCTACACCAACGGGCTGTTCGATCCAGATGACGTTTGTTCTGGTCGTGTTAGTGCGTGTTGCTGGGTAAGCTTGGGAATTAGACTTACAGATTGGTCCAGCTGTAGGAGTTGGGGACGGGTGCAAGAGTTCCCTCTTGCCACAGGAAAGGGCCGTTCTCGGTCAAGAGACCGCTGAGAGAACTGCAGCCAGGACCTCCGTTCAACCTTGCAACGGTTAGTAAATATCAACACGAGAATCAAAGAAACTCACCAGATGACAACATCTTTACCAGCCTTGGGGTTGGTGCTAGGGAAGAACCAGAAGAACAACTCCCTCTCCTCCTTAGGGTTCTGAGAAATAGGCAACAATCCGGCGTAAGACTCGCCAACATCAAAGTCAACCTCAGGAATAGCAGATCCGTTTACGACAAACTTCTCCGACTTCTTGTTGAGGAACTTGTGCTTGCTCCTCTTGTTCAACACGGGATGCTCCGGGGCTACCGGCGTGCGCCTCTGCTCGTAGCCTCGGGGGTGAGGACGGTTGAAGGCGTTGATGGCACCCTGGTTGAAGGCGGCCTGGGACAGTGTCCCCAAGGCCAAAAGGCTGATCAGACTGAACCGCATTTTGGAATCACAGGACAGTAATGGTCATGCAGCAGTAAAAGCGGGCTGTTGGAGGCGGGTCTTGGCGCTTCTTATAGAAGAGCTCGCAAGTGCACTGCATCTCACTGCAGATAGCAATGTCACGGAGTGATAGGGTCTCCTTGCGTCATTCTGCTAGCTGATGTCACTGGACGGAACACGGCAATTGAAGATCCCAGCATTACACGTTTAGCAGGCATGAAAAGCGAACTCCCAGCTCGTCCGGTAAGAACGGCATCTCCCCCAGTCGCGGGAGCTTCCCCATAAGGGAACATCAACAAAACCTCATTGTGGGGAACAAAAGTTCCGCCTCGGTAACAAGATTCCAGGGCTCGGATAGAAGAACAATTGGAGGATCTTTTGGCAGACCTTCCTCTTCGGGCGAGCTTTCTCCAATTCTGTTTATGCGGTGCAACGCAGGGATTGGTGTCTTATCGCGGGCCCTTTTGTTCGCTTATTCCAACGCTACACTTGTTGCGGTGTGTAGTGTCGATCTTGCAGGGTTCCACGGCAGTTTTAGCCTCTCGTTTTAATGCTGCTCGCTGCTCTTTGGGATCTTTTTTATCTGAGGTTAGTCTTCAAGCCGTCATCCGTTCAAGCCGTTTTATTATAATCACGCTACAAAAGGACGAGGCGAGGTAAAGAGATCCCTGTGAGGTAGCGGGGCTTATCTGTGCTGTCGTGATTGTGTAGCAGTGTGGCCAAGTGGGTGCTCAATGGTCAATTGGCGATCTGTGTTGGTTGGTAGCAGATTGAGCGATCTGCATTGAATGTAAGCATAATGAAGGCAACGTGGTACAGCTGTTGAATTGACTTTAAATATGTAGTGCCATAAGACTGCTCTTGGTTAAAGTGAAAGCCACCCTTTTTAATCCAGCCGCATGCTCGTCATACAGATGCTGTCAAAAAACGCCATGATGCGGGATCACAGAAAAACGCCTCATCTTCATATCTACGGGCGCCACGCGTCGCAAGTCGCAGATAAACTTCCGTAGTGCGCGCTGTAGACTTCCAGAACAGCACACGTCAAGCAGGTGATTTCTAGCGAGTGACATTCCAACGGCACGTCTAATTTATCAACCTCTGACAAACGTGTCGTACCGTTTTACCCGTAATACTCTGTCGACGGCCGCTGCGGGAAGCGGCGTTACATGTTTATTGTTGTGTGACTTTGGGTTTATTACTGAGTTTAATGAGATTATGCCACTGCCGAAAGCCATGGCCAGCCTCCTATTTACCGTGGCCGAGATGCAGGGTTGTGATACGGCCCAATGCGCCACGCGGGGCAGGCAGCGCTTTACTGGTGTGCTCTAGTTGAGGTAGTACAACGATAGCAGACTTTAATATTTTGTGACGAATGGAAAAAGTCTCTGTAAGCCTAATATATTTGGATTTTCATGCCTCATGACTCGAGAATATTTATGAGATCGATAATAAATACTAAGGTTAGGCTGATAGCAACTAATAAAGTGAGTCAAACGAAAGACATTCGAAAACAATCTCACTGGAAGAATGAAGCTCAGGTATCTCAATAGTTCATTTCGCGGAATGTTTTTCATTGAGAATCACATGATGAATTAATCATGAAATATATTCTACCCTGAAGAGTCTGTAACTACTCATAACCGGCCCTACTTGCATCGACATCGCCGAGTACGAAAGCTTAAACGAGGCTACCCTGTAGTAAGTAGTTGAATTTATATACTTGTTGAATATCAAGTTCAAGAGGAATTTTATCCATAACCAAGAAGAAATCAAATGAATGCAGCGAAGTAGATTAGATGGGAATTATGGATTATGGAAAAGAGTACATGATTTGGTGGAGGCTGGGAATATGAATCGCCGGGATTTATATTGGGTGACATCAGTGAAGAGATACTACAAAATATCAGCAACATTTGTCCACTCATGATAAATCAAAGATATGTATCGAAGAGGCCACCATCTTCATACCCAACTATAGAATTAACGCGATCAAGATGGTGGAGATGATCCTAGCCGAGACCGTTCGCCCGGTATTCTCGATGGTAAGAAACTTTTCCACTGGAGCCGTCTGAACAGCACCGTGAGAAGAACATTATTACTTGTTCATTGGTAGGAATTATACATGTCAAGTTACAAACTCAGGTATTATGCTTTTACTTATACTCGAAGACCTAATACCTCGGCCAACTTTCTTCCATTAATAGCACGCAGCAGTGTACCCCCAGTCTCAATCACGCAATCTCTGCCTCGATAAGCATCTCATACTCCTGCGGATCAGGCCAAAACTCGACAATCCTAAGCCCAGCACTTGACAAAAGCTGCTCCCACTGACTCTTGGTGCGCTCCGAGGCAGAAAGCAGCGACATCATCTGCACATCCATGGTAGTCTGGCTGATACTGGCTCCAGTCGGCGGAACCACAATGTCGTAGATGAAGAGCTTGGAGTAGCCTTTGGTCATGGCATTCTTTGTGTGGGTGAGGATCTGGATGGCTTCGGAATTGGGCCAGTCGTGAAGAATGGCGTGCATGAAATAGGCACGACTTCCTAGGGGGAGTCAGTGGAGGTTGTAGGAGTTTTGTTGTGAAAGCTTACCTGTCACGGGTTGTGGTGTGAAAAAGTCGTGGATCTGAGGCCTGATCTTCTCATCCACTTTGACACGCTGGATAATCTCAGGAAGATCTTGTAAAACCAACGAACCCGCGGGAATATCTGGCTGAGCATGAAGAAAATGAGTGATATCAATACCGGTATTACCTCCTACATCGACAACAAGCTGCTTGCTCAGATCAGCCCCATCTACCAATTTGCTGGGTTTATAAATTTTAGTCCACGGCGTTTTCCAAGACGTCCAAGCTTCCATGTGTCCAGTGAAGGCTTCATAATACTCCGGGTTTTTCTGCAGTCGCCCGAAGAAGTTGAGTCCATCGGGGTCGCTTCCTGTGTAGTTGTTGTCTTCAGCGGCGGTGGGTTCTTGGTAGCTGATCTTGGCGAGATATCTTGGAAGATTTTGGCCGGCTGAGATATATTGATATGTACTGGGATGTTTAGTTGGGAAGTCCTCGGAAGCATGGTCACTTACGCTGCTTCGAGGGATGCTCGGACTTTCGTACTCTCGTCGCCAATTGCGTACGAGAATGGAGTCGGCTTGAATGTGTCTTGGGCTGTCTCCTCGACGACGTTGAAGGCTGCCAAGAGACGGAATAATCGTCCTGAATATCGTGAGCAAGGCTGGATGATACATCACACGTGCACATGGAATTAGAATAAGTCAGTGAAATAACTTACTCAACAGATTGGGCGCCACATCTCTCCCTGTCAATTTCACCAACTCATCAATAGTTTTCTTGCCACCTCCAATCGCAGTCCAAGCCTTCCAGATGCCCAAGTCAATGCACGTCTGGAGCGCAGCAAAAACAGCCGGCTGTTCGAAGCAGAATCCCCAGGCTCGCTCATACGGACTTTCAACTCTGGCTAGGAGTCGACGAGCTGCTGCGCGGACGCGAAGGCGCTCTACTTCATCGCCACTGAACTGATCAGTGTTCACTCCGTCAAGAGTGGCGATGATTTCGTTTGTTGATTGGCCTACTGAACCCATGTTGATATGATATGCAATGTAATGAGGAGAGGAAAAAGAAAGGAAAGCTGACGATGGATTTATGACTGCCCAGGCTAGTTATATTACTCTGTCTACTTCGCAAATGCCAATGTTACTTGCCTTATTCTGGTCTGCTCACCACCAATTGGTTTGTGATTCAATTGAGCAACATTTGCTGGCGCTGTTCTCCGCCAGGCCGAGAAAGCCCATGAGACGTTGAAGTAAATGACTTCTGACATATCAGCTAGACCGTGACATTGAAGGATCAAACGTGTGCCATTCTAGACTGAGTATTGCCATCGTTGGTCGCGTAACCCTGTGATGCATTTCCTATGTTACTCTGCATAGCAAACATGCATCCAATTCCTGCAGAGACGCGGCGTAGTTCATTAATGATCAAACAAAAAAGTGCGTTAGTCCCTAAATTGAACTCGATCTCCCAAGTCATTGGACGGAGAGAGTGTGAGCAATGTCTAGCCTTGTTGTCTCAGCAAGGATTCGGATTTATGCAGGGAATATCGTTCTACTAGCTCAGCCCACGAAACCGCCATCATGCAAACATTCGAATGATTGTGTTGCATTCTCTGAAGATGAGGTTAGATACAAGACAGGACATTGGATGGTAAGGCAATAATCCGGTCACGGATGAAGTCAATCAGCAGCTATTGGAGAGGTCGACGGAGAAGGTACCGTTAAATAGCTCCCACACGTCTATGGGTAAATATATCCGTACAAACGTAAGTGATAACTGACATGGGCCGTAGAATTGTCTAGTGCCTGCAGCGAACGTTTCTTCAACCGTTTCGGCCCGGTGCTGTGGCGTCCAAAGTATGTAACGCCGAGTTTTCACGACTGGTTTATTCCATACTCCGACCTTGCTTTTTATTAACATCGCCCCATTATCCTGTCTCGACCAGCTTCAGCTAAATCCATTGGCACTAGAGCATGCAGGTTGCGGGGAAGCGGATGTGCCCAAGAAGACATCCTGTTTTGCTAAGCCCCTCAAATCCATGAAGAACCCCCAGAGAAAGCCTTCTGTAAATATTTAAACATGCATCTCTTATAGGTCACCTAAACATGTTCTACAGGTGTGAATACCTCATAATCCGTGGACATACCACATGACTGGCAGGCTTACACAGTCTTTGCTGATCGTTCCTTGAGCGGATGAGTATCGACAATAAGAGCATTTCTTTTTCCACGCTTACATGCCGACTCAAGAATTTAATCACATCATTGTTCCATACTTGCATTCGTGAATTACCATCGCGTTCGGACTTTTTCGGAACAGAAAAAGCAAAAAGCTGTTGGTAAGAAACCCATACCCAACTGAATATCACTCGTCGTCTTCTCCAAGGATTGAACATGCGCTAACGGCCATTCTTTCTTCGACATTGTCTTTTGCGACAAGTTATAATTCATTGTCACAACGAGACGGACGAAGCCATTCTTGGAGACACATCTGTCGATCAGGGCTCATAGCTCTTACGCACAAGAATCATTACTAGGGACAGTCGTGTTTCTTGTGATAATAAAACAGAGCAGCCGTTCGCTTTCATCGCAACAACATTTGGTATAATATTGTGCAAACAAGTCAATCCTCCTGCATCTGAACAACCATGGAAAGCCACTATGGAGGCCTCGGCCCTATGCTCAACATCGTACTCTGGGTCCAAGTCGTCGTCTTTGCAGTCTTTGTCGGATTGAGACTGTACACCCGATCGCAGATTCTGCATTCTGTTGGCGCCGACGATTACCTCGTCCTCATTGCACTGGTACGTCTTTCCAACCCCCCAACACCCATTGCATCTGCTGACGGCTCTAGGTCTTCCAAATAATCTACTCCGCCTTCGTCACTGCTGGAACAAAATATGGTATCGGCCGCAAATTCGATGACATTGCTGACCCGGACGCATACTTTAAAGCCGTCGAGCTAGAGGTTTACAGCCAAGTAGCAGGAATAATGGTGATAGGCCTGGGCAAATGTGCCGTTGGAATATTCCTCCTCCGAATTGTACGGAATAAGTTCCAGAAAGGCTTCATATGGGCTTTTCTCGCTGGGACGGGATTCATCACGCTGTTTGCCAGTGTGGTTGTGGTCGTGCAGTGTGATCCTGTGGCGAGTACCTGGGATAAGAGGATTCCTGGGAAATGCTGGATTGACTTTTCAAAAGTTGGATTGACTGTTGGATGTGAGTATTCTGTCTTGTGGTGAGTGCCAGCTAATCTGTGAAGCCTGGTTTGTTGTCGCTGATTTCTGCTTTGCAATTCTCCCGTGGTTTGTGATCTGGGAGCTCAACATGAAGCGAAAAGAAAAGATCACCGTCGCATGTGGTCTCAGCCTTGGAATTTTGTAAGTTGGATTATTCCGTTTGCTATAGGATCTGACAATGGTAGTGCTGGAGTATGTGGGATTGTACGCACCGTTGCGCTTGATGGATTAAATGCTAGCGAGTATATCTGTAAGTGACCCTTGTCATTCTCATGATGATAATACATCCGTCTTGTTATTGGCCGTCTCATTCGGAGTCATTTTTACTAACCTCTGTAGACGACACGGTCGACATGCTCCTCTGGTCAGCCACGGAAAGTACCGTAACAATCATGTGCTCATCCATCCCCGTCCTCCGTCCACTATACGTCCGCTTCAGATATGGAAGCCAAGGCGAAAACTCCCGCGACAACTCATACAAGCTCCCCATGTACGGCAACCACAGCGGCCGGAAATACGGAAATGGGTCAGTACCCGGAACGGAAATAAACGGCGGACCGTCTCATCGGACTGTGGTCACGTATAATGTTAAAAACGAGAGCGACGAGAGTATACTGAGGGATACAAAGACGCAAAATGATATCAGCGGGATTAGAAGAACTGATGAAGTATCGATTAGCTATGGGCGGGCTTGATTACCGGGGTAGATTGTAGGTCTCACTTGGGCTAGCGGGTCTTATGCCTGCATTCGGAATAGACTGTGCTCGCGTGTTCAATTAGACCATCATAATTCAATTCCTTTTCTCTCATTTGCGCAGACCACAATAACGTCGCACTCCACTCACCTTACATCGCCTGCTCATGGACAGTAATCGCAAGCGTTCCAACGTCAGTTCGACCGCGGAGTCAGCGACACCGTCTTTACAACGGAACAAGCGTGCCAAATACGCGTCCGTAGCTTGGTAGGCGTGTTCGCGACCGTTATCTCGGATAATGACTGATGTGTTATAGCAATGAGTGTAAGAAGAGGAAGCTCAAGTGTGTGAGAGATGAGGGCGATGAAAAGTGCAAGAGATGTGCTGCTAATAATGCAGAATGCTTTTTCGCTATCGCTCCACCAAGGGAGAATAATGAGCATTCTGTGAGGCACTTTACTCAAGGGCCACAACCGGTCACATCGTCACCCGCACGAAATACCCTTCGTGAAAGTCAACCTCAAACAGACGTCACATCCTTAACACAGCAAATAAATGCACTGCAGAACCAAGTCAACGCACTATCAACAGCCCTGCAGGATGTCACTCAACGACTCCCACATATCAACGCCTCAACAGCGAAGTCTACACCTCAAGGCCACACATCAACCTACAGAGCGGACCCTCGGAACGCAACAAACGAACCGAGAGAGCCTCAATTTGTCGGTCCGACTAGATCAGCTTTTAGCTTCCAGATCGCTGAGAACTCGCTTAGTGGAATGGGCATTGGGGAGCGTCATGCGACGGCGACTACCACACCTGCAATGTCCCCAGCTGCAGATGGTCCTCTCGCCGAAACTCCATGTGCTTCGCCGGGTTTGGAGGATACAGATGTCCTGATGACTTTGGGTGCTGCAGAAATCCAACGATTGCTGGAGGTCTTCAACGAGGAAGTCCAGTCTATCTATCCATTTGTTGATGTCGCTCAGTTGTCTGAGAGAGTGGTCTCAGTTATAGAAAGTCCGGCAGAAAACACACTCAAAGACGTGCAAGCCATTAAACTGGCTGTCGCTACAGCAGCTGTGGTTGAAGCACAAGGTCCGACTAATATTAGCAAGAGACTCCTCGACGATGTTGAGCCTGTGATATGTCGCATTTCAGGCGAAGCGTTCATCGACCTCCAGGAACTGCAACTGATGATCATGCTGGTAAGTGTTTTCCCAACGATTTCCGAATTCAATTGACCATTATTTGTAGAGCATCTATTGGTTTCAGTGCGGAGAGGACTTGCTAGCCTGGAGAGCCATTGGCAATGCAGGCAGAGAAGCCCTCGAGGTTGGCCTACATCGTCGGACTTCCCTATTTGAGAACTTCAAGGATCATAAAGAGCGAGATTTGGCTATCAGATGTTTCTGGTGTGTTTACATTCTTGACAGGAGATGGAGTTACGGAACGAGTCTGCCATTTGGTATTTCTGATCGGGATATCGATCCCCAATTACCCGAACCAGTACGCCTTTCATCGTAACTTTTACAATGGCTTACAGAATTGCTAACCTTGTGCTAGGGCGATGAACACCATTATCTTCGCTGCATGGTCCGCTATGCCAAATTATGCTCCAAAGTCTGGGACGAGCTGCCGCTAGATTCATCTCCTCTATCAATACCAAAAGACAAGGTTGATTTCTTTGACTTCTTGACTCAGAAGTGGATTCATTCTATCCCAGAAGATCTGCAACTCATCTATCCACGACTCTCCCAGGCCCCTCGTCACCAGCCTCGAGTGCTACAGCGCATAAGAACCCTTTTGTATCTACGAGGAAATTACATACGGAATTTGGTTCTACGGCATCACGTCATGAGCATCGAGAACCTACGAGCCGATATGCAAGGCGCCCAGTTGGTCGTCGGCATTGCTCAAGACACAATTCAGGTGCTGGTCCACTTGAACGAGACCAGTGATATATACGTCCGACAGGTCCACACGTTTAACTATTTCCTCACTGGTGCTTTGGCGTCTATTCTGTTGGCGGTGTGTCATGCTCCGGATGTGTTTGCCGATCGCTGCAGACAGAGCTTTCAGGATGCTGTGCGCCTTCTCAAAAACAACTCTCAGCGGGGACACTTGAGTCGACGTCTATGGCGGTCTATTCGTGGAACGGTAAACCGTGCTTTATCGCTGGAGTCGCCTGTCGCAACCAATGAGGGTATAGCAAATGGCGCGCCCCAGGACGATGGCAGTACGGTTTCAAGACAGGCGGTCGTTGCCAGTGATGATCACACGAGTTGGTCGAGAAACGACATGGGTAACAGTCTTCATATGAATGACCCAGTTGCCGAAATGTTTGGTTTGGAAACGGACCTTCTCAACCTGTTCAGTGCCTTTGAGCAAGACAACATGATGAGAGTGGGACAAGTTAACGGGTTGCTTGATGAGCAACAGGATGGTCAATACGGGGTTGTTACACAGGATGATGTAAACCGGTTTAATGGGATCTTTTAAATTACTATCATAGATGTATCGACATTGTCAATCTGGAACTGATTCTCATTGAACATACACTCAACCCCCCACTACTCTTGAATACCATGAACAATATCGGAATCAACATTGGGAACCTCAAACTTGTACTTGCCACGGAAAACATAGTACAGAACCCCAGCAGTAAGCCAACCGGCCATCACGACAATGGAGTAGTTCATGTTCTGTGGCGTGACGGGCATAGAAGAGGGGAATGTGCTGAAGACAACAACGAGGGCAATCCATGCCAAACTAACAACATTTGCTATCGGACCTGCAACACGTCCTAGCTTGAAAGTTCCAAACCCATTGGCAGACAAGAGTCTCTTTCTGGCAAACAGCATTGCGATGATGGGTAAAGCGTAGCTGACATACATGCCGATGATTGCCATGGATAAGATAGCGTTGAAGGCGGTGGTATTGCCAAGGTAGATTAGACCAAGCAGCATTTGCAGAATTGTTACTACCACGACAGCATAGACTGGGATCTGAAAGCGTTTGTTGACTTTGCTGAGATGTTTGTCAAAAGGAGTTGATCTATCTCGCGCAAAAGCCCATAAGGTGCGGGAGGTAGAGGTGATTCCAGCAACAGTCGCCGCCGTGGCGATACAAATGATAATCAATGATAGAACGGTGGTGGCAGCCTTGCTCTTGGTAGTGTCAAGGAAGATCTGCATAAAGGGAAATCCTGTCGGTGTTTGTAGAAGGGCTTCGAGAGGACCGGTTGAGAAGAGGAGTACGACGACGTAGATGAGACCCATGAATCCGTTCACGGCGACACTGCCGACCATGGCGAGGGGCACGTTGCGACTAGCATGGGGCATCTCCTCTGCCAAATGGCATGCTGCATCGTATCTGTTGATGTGTTAGTCGACTATGGCTAATTGGTAGGTATAGATGTCTTACCCGAGGAAGGGATATACGGCACTCAACAGACCGACTAGCCAAGATACACCGTCATTTTCCCAGCCACTGTAACTCGTGACTTCTGTAAAGACGAATGAAGCAGAGTTCTTAGGTGACATGACACCGAGGACGATAACAATGGCAACGAAGCCGGTAATGTGGATGATTCCTGTATCAAGTCAGTGTGGATACATGGTCTAGAACAGAAGACTTACCAGACACAGTATTGGTGAATGGAAGGAATCTATGGCCCCAAATGTTAAGCACGAGTCCATAGACCAGGATAGCCCAGTAGAACAGCATTCCCTGCCATCTTTGCGGTATGTATGAAGAGTCGTTGACGATGACGAGGGCTTGTGCCTGGAGACCGGCTGAAAAGGCTGCTGACGATGTAAGGACTACCTGGCCACCGATACTGATCCAGCCTGTGAAGAAAGAAGCGGAGGAGCGGATCGAGGAGGGACTGAGGGCTGCGACCCAATGGTATTGTCCTAGAGAATTATCATCAGTGATTGCCGTGTAGATAGGAAAGGATGTAGCTAACCTCCGGCAGTGGGATAGATCGAAGCAATCTCTCCGAGAGAACTGGCGATACAAAGAGAACAAATCGCCGACAAGATACTGGTCCCCTTATTAGTAGAGTACGCGTTGGAAGGTGATGACTTACAAGTTGTATAGCAGACACGGCGCTCCTCCACTGATAAGAGCGGTTGCAATCACAGTTGACAAAGCTTCCCAGGTTGCCATAAGACAAACACACAAAGCACAAAGCGAGAATAGAGAATACTGTCGCTTCAGCTCCTGAGTATGACCCAGCTGCGCCAGACGCAACGCGTCTTCATTGGCAGCGGTATCATCCCCGGCAATACTACCAGTGTCTTTATCCATTGCGGGAAACTGGTTCTTTTCGACTTTGTTGAGAGACATTTTGAAGATTTGTATTTGGAGTCAATGGGTTGAAGTTTCGTCTCTAATAATGGGTTGCCCTGCCATATGAGGGAAAGGGATGGCGATAAGGATGGGACCGGCAATTCATACCAGCCCTTGCAGTGTGATAACAAATCTCCAGTGGACTCACGCGCTAGACAGGGGACGTATCTCAAAACGCGGGGAAGCATGGGATGGGCGAGTTAGTGAGATAAGGGGTTCCGTGTTCCGTGTTCCGAGATTACGTTCCGTCGCTGGGCTCGGAATGGCTTCTTCCGAGGGATGTAACGCGAGGTATTTTAGCCACGAGATCACTCACTCTTACACTCACTTTAGTCCACAGTTCACCCAAGACACTATTCTCCAGTGCCTATTGTCCATCCTTCTCATCATGGCCTTCCCACACCCCCTGTCGGCTCTCAGCAGCAGAGAGACCAATCTTGCACGAGACATTGTCAAGAGTGTCCACCCTGGTTCATTGCTTTACTTCCGACAATCCTACCTCTTCGAGCCCCCAAAGGCAGAAGTTCTCAAATTTCTTGAGCTCGAGCACTCTGGGGCTCTGCATACTACTTCTCCACGACCTGATCGCTGCGCACAGGTCTTCTACGATATTATCGGTGGAGATCAGAAGACGCAGTACTATGAGTCGGTGGTTGATCTTACCAAGAGGACGATTGTGGAGCAGGAGGTTGTTACACCTGAGCACCAAGCCAGTCTGACCATGTAAGTTGCTTCGACCCAATTCTTGAATATTTATTGACATCTCTAGGGCTGAGTTTGATGAGGTTGTTGAAGCTGTTGGTAAATCAGAACTTTTCAAGGAAAAGTTAAGCAAGATTAAGCTACCAGAGGGCTTCGAGCCTGTTATCGAGCCATGGCCCTACGGCGCGCCTGATCTCGCAGATGGTAACACGCGATACTTTCAAGCCCTGGTCTTTGCCCGCGACACACGCACTGGCCATCCCGACTCAAACTTCTACGCCTTCCCCGTCCCTCTGATTCCTGTAATGGACTATAGAACGAAACAGATCGTTCGAGTAGAGGAGCCAGCTACCGGAGGTAAAGGCGATAGTCTTACAGAGAAGACACATGCCCCTGGTCTTCTTGATCACTGTCAGCCTGCTGAGTATGTCCCTGAGCTTCTACCCGGTGGCACGAGGACGGATTTGAAGCCTTTGATGGTTGTTCAGCCGCAGGGGCCGAGTTTCTCTATCACAGAGGGGAATCTTATCCAGTGGCAGAAGTGGCGTATGAGGGTTACTTTTAATCCCAGGGAGGGAGCTGTTCTTCATGATATTCGGTATGATGGACGGCCGATTATGTACAGATTGAGTTTTAGCGATATGGTAAGTCGCTGCAATACTGTTGTTTGGGTCAAAACTAACATGGCATAGACCGTACCTTATGCTGATCCTAGAGCACCTTATCATCGCAAGCAGGCGTTTGACTTTGGTGATGGAGGTCTCGGCAACGCTGTCAACAACCTAACCCTCGGCTGTGATTGCCTGGGTGTCATCAAAGTATGTTCCTCCAGCTCCCATCTCAGAATAGAACTAACAATCATAGTACTTCGACGGTGTTCTCATCGACTCCGATGGTACCGCCCAAGACACAAAAAACGTCATCTGTCTTCACGAACAAGACAACGGTATTAACTGGAAACACACCGACTGGCGCACAGGCCGCGCTGTGGTAACTCGTCGTCGCGAATTGGTTATCCAGTTCATCATCACACTTGCGAACTATGAGTACATCTTCAACTACAAGTTCGACCAAGCTGCAGGCATCACTGTTGAAGCCAGAGCAACGGGTGTTGTATCTGTCGTCAACATCGACCCCGGAAAGACCAGTGACTGGGGAAATGTCGTCAGTCCTGGCGCGCTGGCACAGAACCATCAGCATGTTTTCTGCGTGCGCATGGATCCATCTATCGACGGCACAGAAAACACTGTCGTACAAGAGGAAAGCCTTCCACTGAGAATGGACCACAGAACAAACCCGAATGGAAACATGTACGAAGTCCGCCAAACACAAATCACCACCTCCCAAGGCGTCGACGCAGCACCATTTAACAACAGAGTCTTCAAAGTCCAGAACCTCTCCAAGCCTAACCCCATCACCGGCAAACCCGTCGGCTACAAGCTCACCCCGCCGCCAACGCAGCTCCTCCTCGCCGACCCCAACAGCACGCAGGCCAAGCGCGCGCTCTTCGCAAAGCACCACCTCTGGGTGACGAAATACAAGGACCACGAGCTCTACGCCGGCGGCCGCTACACGCTGCAGAGCAAGATCGAGGTTGGCGGTGTGAGCGACGCGGCGGCGAGGTGTGACGATGTGCTGAACCAGGATGTTGTGTTGTGGAGTGTGTTTGGGCTCACGCATAACCCGAGGATTGAGGACTGGCCGGTTATGCCAGTTGAGATGCTGCAGGTGCATTTTACACCGGTGGATTTCTTTACGGGTAATCCGGCGATTGATGTCCCTTCGGATAAGGATGTTGGATCGAGGTTGACTTCGGGGTGCTGCAAGGAGGGACCCAAATTGTAGATTACTGTTGTGCGTTATGAAGAATTAGATTTTGGATAATTTTATTGTATGGCGATGTTTAGAATTCGAATCATAAGCCTAGGCTTGAACTTGAACCAAATTGTTATCTCATGATTCGCGTTAGTAAGGCCGTCTCCAAACTTGTACTTGTCTATACATGGCGTCGGAAATCCACCTCCGACACCACGTGTCTAGGGACTCGCAGGACGACGGGTATAATGTGACGCTCGGAACTATATAGCCTCTCGGAAGTGAACGAAGTTGACGAATCAACGATCAGCATGACCTGTGAAGTGTATAGACTGGTAAGGATATGAAAGATGCCCAGTATTGTGGTATTTTCAATGCTGTACCTCCTTGACTCTCTATTCTTATTTCTGTTGTATTAAACATCATAGAATGACATTTGCAAATAATTGCAAGCTCATGCATCTAACTACTCCCTTCATTACTCGGCTCAGCAGCCTCTTTCCAAACATCCTTCACCAAGCTCCAAGTCGCAAATACGGCGAGCGGAGAGACAAGACTCTCCGGTAGTAATCCATTACGCAGACTCCAGTGAACAGACACCGATAGCCATGCCAAATTCTGGAGCATATCCTTCCTCCATCTAACCTTCCAATCATTCGTGGCAGGCTTTTCATTATCATGACGGGTGTGTAGTCCATCTAACAACAGACGACCAACCTCTACCATTGTGAAAGCAGTCCAAGACCGAATTGCAAAGAATGATAGTTTTTCTTGAGTCTTGGCGGATAGATTGGTAATTCCCTTTGATGATAAAAAGCTTGCAGCTTCACAAATGTGGAATGATGTGAGACAGAGTGTTTGAGAGACTTGGATGGCCACGTCTAAAGGTTTGATAGAGTCTGCTATCGATGCCCTTCTCGATATCTGAGTCTTGATCTGTCTTGCAGCCATCCACATATCCAACACACCCCATAGTCGATTCATCATCTGCCACTCATCCAGCATAGTTGTGAAGGCTATCGTATAATTCGCAGCCCGAGCGGTCGATGCAGCGATTGATTTCATCCGGGACCCGCAGAGTACCCTCTTCAAATGATTGATGTTCTTCACTTTGCTCAGATGTGAACTCAGTAACGTCAAGATGAAGGACAGCAATCGCATGGCCTCGCCAGAGAATAAAAGGACGACATCTCGACGATCGCGTGATTCGATAGTGCGGTGCAGATGTGACAGGAATTGTTCGACTTGTTTCTTTTTCAGAGTATATGAAAGCATTTCAGCCGCTGAATGAGCCAGGAGGCTATTGTAATCAAGGATTTGAAATTGGATGGTTGAGATATCGGTGGAGTAATGTGAAAGACAAGAGGTCGCCTTGGTGGGATGCAGTGTGGCTGCAGCCGTATCTCGGCTTACAAATGTTCAGCAAGATTAATAGATACAATGACAATCAACAAGATAGAGGGAAGTAGAGATAGCACATTTTGAAGATAGGCATGTAATGGAAATCTCTCGATTGCGGAACACCAACTATCTCGGGACTGTTCCGAGCGAGGTCATTCCGAGACTGAAGATAGCGATATACGCGTCTTACAGAAAACCGGGGTGCCTAGCCTTTTTAGCTCCCAGAACCGGTATCTTCGAAACACTAAGCACTCTCTCATTCTTTCCATAACGGGTGGTAGTATTTGAAGGCGTTCGAATATGTGTATCTAAGATGGGGCTATTCTATACTCACCAGACATGAGGGTAAATTCCACTAGGGCAGAATAGTCTCGTAACCGCAAATTGTTGATGGTGAATTTCAATATGGACATCAAATATTTAATCAAACTGCCGAGTTGAGTTAGACTGCTATTTAATTACCCCTTCAGCACATTGACCTTGATACACTTAACCTGCGTCCAATCATGCAATGCATCCTGTCCACCCTCCCTTCCAAACCCACTCTGCTTGACTCCTCCAAACGGAGTATTCGCATGAACAGCACCCCATGAGTTCACCGTCACAAGACCACACTCCACTTGTTCCGACACCCTAATTGCTCTACTGATATCATTTGTGAACACAGCAGCCGCCAGGCCGTATTCCGTATCGTTGGCTAGCTCAATGACTTCCTGCTCCGTCTTGAACTTGGCGATGCTCGCGACAGGGCCGAACACCTCTTCGCGCATGATGCTTGCTGAAGGTGAGACGTTGACGTATGCCGTGTTGGGCACGAAATGTCCCTTGGAGCTGGAATCGGTCTTGTCGGCGCCGCCATGCAGCACTTCTGTGCCTTCGTCTTTGGCTTTTGACAGGTAGGCCAAGACTCTGTCCTTCTGGGTAGAACTAATGATAGGTCCCTTTACAGTCTCCGGCAAGAGAGGATCTCCCATTACTGCATCCCTGGTTCGCTGCGAGAACTCAGTCACGAAGCGATCGTAAATATCCTCCTGGACGTAGATACGACTTCCAGCAGCGCAGATCTGTCCATTGTGCGCTGTGATGCCAAAGGTTGAGAACGCAAGGGCATTCTCCCAGTCAGCATCAGAAAAGATGATAGACGGGCCTTTGCCACCTAGTTCAAGGGTGACTTTCTTGAGGTTGGACTTGGCAGCGCTGATAAGAATTGCTCGTCCAGTGCCAACACTTCCAGTGAAGGAAAGCTTGCGGATCTCGGCATGGTCGGCAATGGCTTGGCCGGCTTCATTACCAAGACCACAGAGAATACTGACGACGCCAGGTGGGAAACCAGCTTCGACGATGAGTTGGGCTAGTCTTTGGCCGTAAAGAGGAGCAAGCTCTGGGGTTTTAATGATGAGGGTGTTACCAGCGGCCAAACAAGGCGCGATCTTCCAGGAGGTGATCATACTTGAGGTGCTATCAGTATACGGATCTTGGGGTAGTGTAGGATGCGTCACTTACAGAGGTGTATTCCAGGGAACAACAGCCGCACAAACACCAATAGGCTCTCTCTTGGTAAGGGCAATACCACTATCATACCCCATAGATTGTCCATCGAGTTTATCCGCCCAACCTGCGAAATAGCGAAGCGTCTCGGTGGCCTGGGCTACACTCAATCCCAGCGAGAGATTATACAGCAAGCCCGCGTCAACCGCTTCAATGGAAGCAAAGTCGCTGGCATTTTGCTCAATCAGATCGGCGAGTTTCAACAGCAGTTGTCTTCGCTCGGCCGGCGCGGTGGTCTTCCAGGTGGAAAAGGCTTTCTTGGAGGCAGCGACTGCGCGGTCGACGTCGGCTGCTTGCGCGGATGATACGTCGCCAATGGGGGTGCCGGTGCTGGGGTTTTCGATGGTAATGGTTTTGTTATCGGTTGCGGGCTCGAAGGTGTTGTTGATGAAGAGGCCGGTAGGCACTAGAAGTGTTAGTTGTGAGGTGGTGTTAGTGAGGTGAACATACAAGTGATCTTTCGGCCTTCAGCTCCGGTGATGGTAAGTTCCGCCATATTGAGAGTTGTGCTGAATTTTGGAATGATTCAAGTGCTCGGTAGTACAAGATCAGATAAATCAGGCCATATCGATTTTTAGGGACATGTCGTGATATAAATGCCGAGAACACATGCATTGCCTATGGAGTCTGATCAATGGAATCCTTCAATGGATCCTCGGAAATGCATCGTGGCATTCCGGAGCCGCGATCCCCGCTTGTGAGCCCACCCGAATTATGCTTGTATCACATAAGCCTTAATTTCTCTCAAAGAACGTCTTGGATGTTACAGGTAATTGCCGAGATCAAGGCTTATCTTCTCTAGGATGTTTACAGGATTCACGTCAAGTTGGAGCATTTAAGTAGTGAGAAATAATGTAAGATTTTCTCGAGGCTAAACTTGTTTGCTGGGGTAGCATTGCTATTATCCACCTGCGGCTGCACGGTTCTCGGGCGTATTGTGCATCACACCGACTTGGCTTACAGGCGGGGAAGTTGATAAACTACCTGACCAACAGTGAATGCATGCGGCTATGACTTCCGATTGGTACAATCTTAGCAGTAAAGTGGTGATTGCTCGGTTCCGCCATCATTCAATGTTGATCAAGGCTAACGCGTGGCCGTTGTATCCCCGCATGTACTTGTTGGTCCCCAAAAAAACACCGGCCGTATGTGACGATCTTGTTTGGATGATTCCAAATCCGTGATACAATCGATATCCATAGATGGTTAAGAATACCATTATAACTAGTCAGGAGTTTCTTAAAGGATAGCCAAGACAAGCTGGGGGATCGTGTGATGCCTCTGTGAGCAAGCTCCGCTGGTTCCGTCCGTCATTAACCATGCAGTAGAGGTCCTATCTCCGCACAGATAAACGTCTTGGATTCGGAATTCATCTCTGTTTCCGCCGAGCAGCGGGTGGTCGTCCTTTTGACAAATCTCTCTTCCGGATTTAGAACAAAAGTGTTGATAAACGTAAGAAATGAATTTAGGATAAAGATTGTAGAATACTCGAACGCATTCGAGACCTGAATTCAAGTTCTACAGCTCTGGAACTTAGTCCTTTGCCCCCAGGATACCCCCCGCCTCCTTCTTCACATCCCATGCATAGAAAAAGTCCATCACAGGTTTTGTAAAATTCATATCCGTCACAGAAAACAAGCCTTCACCCCATATGTCATCAGCACGCTGACGGAACTCACCCGCAACGCCTGGTTGTGCATCTGATAGCAGCTGAGTCACATGAATGCGTCGTTTCAAAATGTCATTGTACAACCCCAAACGCTCGGGGACTTGGGTCGCTTCTTGAACACTGGTGAACAAGGCTTCGAGAACGGCTGCTTCTTCGATTGCGAGGACTGCACCTTGAGCTGGGATCTTGTTAGTGGTAGTTGAGAAGGGGGGTTAAGAAAGTACCGTGATGTGGCTGCATGGGATGAGCAGCGTCGCCGATAATCACAGCCCTCCCTCGGGTGAACGTATCAAGAGGCTCCCGACGAAAGACCTTGTGCACAGAAAGACTCGACGTCAGTTCAAACAGCTTCGGTAACGACGGATGAAATCTCTCAACCATGGCAATAACATCATCAATATTCGTATCGGTGTTCCAATCTTCAGCGTGTTCATTATTCGGCTTGGTTTTGTGCATGAATGCAACATTGAGCATCTTCTGATCCCGACATGGATATGTAACTAGATATGTGCCAGTCGAGAGCTCGAAAGGTACCCAGAAACCTGGTTCTTGGTCTTTGAAGATGGATGCGAGATCTGCATCTTTCTTTGCTTCGTCGAACGGGATCAGACAGCGGTAGAATGAGAAGCCGGTTTCTTCGAGCTTTTCGTCCTTTTTTGTGATGTTGTTGACGAGTTTGGTCTGAAGTAGAATTAGATCTTTACGATGTGAGCTGCTACAATTGACTTACTCGAACACCATCAGCAATGACAATGAGATCTTTGTGGCATGTATCACCATTCGCCAAAACAACGGTCCCATCCTCACAATTTAGACTTGAAACTGCGTGCCCATTATTGATCACCACAGGCGTTCCCGGAAGATCACGAGATACAGCCATGTCTTTCAACGCAGTGTGAAGGTCTACGCGGTGGAAGAACATTAACGGTGCATTGTAGTCATCTTCAACCTGGCTGAAGTCCTGCACTATCAGATCCTCCAGGGTATACGGATTAACCATGCGCATCTGCTTGCTTTGCACGCCCCGTGCGGACTTGGGATCGAAACCGAAATCTTTGAGCACTCGCATGCCATTTGGCGTGATGGTGATGGCGGCACCGATTTCGTTCTCAAACTTGGATCTCTCAAAGATCTTATCACATTAGCATTGATCCCTGACTTAGATGGTAGAAGATACCTCAACTTGAGCTCCTGTACGACGGAGGGCGATGGCGGCGCTGAGACCACCGATGCCAGCGCCAACGATTCCGACTTTCAGAGACATGTTGAATAACGAGCGATTGAATAGTCGAAGATTTAGGAGGGATTTAAATCTCACGAGCAATGTTCAAAGGATTTGCCAGTAAGCACACCTGATCATCATTTGTTGGCTAATGTGAAACCCCGCCTCCTACGGGCATAAGGGTAATACGGAGATCGGCGCTCACTTCACAATCCTTCAAACCATGACAAAGACTCGTAACCTCCGAAGAACATGTTGGAATTATCAAGCATTCGTTTAGTTTCACAAGATATCCCAATTACTCAAGGCAAATAGTTGACTCAATTCCATTCTATATGGTTCATCTCAGAACTCAAATGACTACTATCAAAAACGCCGTCTCATAATTCTGGCCCAGCCAGTAAACTCCAACATCTAATCATACAAACCTCACCAGTACTCACTCAACGCGATGGAACGAAGTGTCCAACCCAGTCTGCTCACCGCCAACCTCGCTGAGATTTCGTCCAGACCAATCACAATCCCAAAAAGTCACTAACGCCCATAACTTGATGAAGCTGTGAGCATATCCAAACAGAATCTGACAAATAACCAACGGAAAATCAGATGGATGTCGAAGAAAATGTGGAATGATCTTGACCACTTTTGTCCAGAACATCCACATCAGCAAGAGCATTACTTCGGTAGGGCGTGTGCCTTCGGACTTTATCAATGAGGCGAGCAGAAGAGTGTCCCAGATGAGAGCGAAGTTGAACAATGCAGCCCAGTAGACCATGAAAGCGCTCCAGGGGTAGCGAGATACGAAGACAGGATCTCGGAGCATTACTGGGTTGCTGCGGACTGTTGTTCGGGCCCATCGCAGAAGTTGACCTCGGAATTTGGGGTACTCACCCAGTGTTGTCTCAATTGTTGCATCCTCTGTGTCTTGAAAGCAAATCAGCCAATGTTTCTTCATTGCCTCGCGGTTGAGGAAGTTGTCGTCGTCTGGACCAAGGCCTTGACCGCCGAACAATCCGAAACAGAATTTCTCATGACAAAAACGTTGGAGAAGATCGGCTCTGTTGAAAAATTCAGTTCGGTAAACAGCTGTGCGGCCTGAAATGACAAAGACTCCTCCATCAATAGCGTTCGACGCACGAAGCTCCCAGTTGTGACGCTGGAGATAGTTGCAGGCGATGAAGTTGACTATCGATGGCCAGGTCCATTCTCCAGGTGTGGTACGGCGAACACGCTTTTTGGTAGCTACCATGCCGACATTGCGGTCATCGAAAGGCGCAAGCACAGAGGGGATGAAATTAGCTGGCCAGAACACATGATCGTCAGCAAAGATGGTGATAGTTGTGGTGACGTGGGGCATGGCATGGATGATCTGGCGGCGTTTGCTCGGTTCAGAAAGAGCTGATACTGATATCTCCGTGTAAGGAGAATCAATGCTCAGTTTGTGAAGAACAGTCTGGCATTCTTCCCGGAGAGCATCACCGACGGTAACAACAAGGATGCAAGCAGGGTGATTGGCGAGGATACTCTCAACACACTCCCGGAAATCAGGACCATGGGGATCAATCGTTGGCAGAATCACCGTGACATCACGACGAGTAAACGCGGGATCAGCACTGATTTCTGAAGGTCGATAGATCCAGGACCCGACAACGTGGCCAAGGAGACGTTGGTAGCGGAGAATGAAAAGTGTACAAAATACCTGTGTCCAGACGTCGTTGCTGAAGAGCCAAGTGCATGAAAGTGTTGCTGCCAGGGGCACAATTAGGAGGATGGTTGGAAAGATGCGTGCCAAAGCGTGGGATTTGGCGGGCAGGGCGGTCGGCCAGGTGGTGAAAAGAGACATCTTACCTTCTGGTGAGCTGGATCGTGATACTCAAGTGATTTGTGCTGCTGGCACATCGGTGCAAGAGTTGTAGATTTATATCATTCTGGACGAGGTGAACTGAACATGGTTTGGCAGTGATTCATTGTTCGTGAATATGAACATTGATTCAAGGTCTTTGTCTTTATTGTTCGGCTAACGGATGAAGGTTTGTAGTCTTTGTTATGGTGTGAAAGGATCGTGAGAACAGTGTAAGTGTCGGGTGTTTTGACGAAAACGGAACATTCAGAGATTTACATGTCTGTGTTTGCTCGTGTGTGAATGTTTCTTGTTTCAACAGGCGATTGGGCATTGGTGCTTGTCGAGCCAATCAGACAAGTTGAGTTACATAGAACAATCCATCGACTAGGTAAAATATAATTGAACAAACCTGGAAGGTTCATTTCTTTTGTTGATATCATTGAGAGATTTGGAAAGCCTGGGCTTGATAAAGTTGAAGGTTAAAGCAAAAAAGAAAAAATATTAATGATGAAGCGTTGGTACTGAAATCTTAGCTTTATGATTCTAGAAGTATTAAAGTAAAAAGCATTATCAAAAAACATGTCATATCCCACTTCTAGGAATTTTGATGGGATTTTGATAGCGTGTCTGAAATGTTTGGACTTTACCTATTAATACCCTCCTTGTCGGGTCCGACGGCTCTTTTTAAAGAAATAGAAAGCCTATTGATAATTCTCCGCATCCTTATAAGTACTAGACTGTAGATTAATTCGTTCTAAGACATAACCTACCCATCAAGCACACTTTGTGTGATTCGAAGCAAAACCCGGCGATGTACAGATCTCTATGTCAAGTTCTAGACCGGAATGTCCTCGCTGTAGATGTAAGTGATGAGTTCGGTCTGACACCGCTATGGTGGGCTGTTGAGAGAGGACAAGAGGTCGTGGTGCGACTGCTAGCCATGGCCCGAGGCGGGTGAGTCTCGGTCTACAATCACGTTGGTCTCGGCCGAGGCGGCTCTCGCCGACGACTTCCTACTACTGTATGCAGGCGTAATGTTATTTGGGCGCCCAGCTTACAGGCCGCTTTGCCTTACTGATTGGATGGCGATAAACACATGGTTGGCCTCAAAATATGGCGGGCCAACAGTTGATATTTCCCCTCACTCGCTGATGCAGGCTGATAACATGCATTCTCAGAATGGAGGTGGGTTAACGGCGCCTAATATTTGCAACTCGAGTGATCTATTCCCGATTTAACTATACAAGATTACTTACTCGCTCATCATATCATCGCTTCATTCTGCCTTACCCCGCTCACTTTGGGCCTAGGCAGACTTCTCAGCGAGCGATGGTGATACAATATGACCAAGAACTCTCCGCGCAAACTATAGACTCACCAACTCCTCAAACATATTAAAGTCGAATATTCTTGAGGCTACATCCAGTTATCCATAACTAACAAAGTTTTTGAATGTTTAAAAGAGTAGGCCTTCCTCTTGGGGTTTACATAAAGTAGTCACTGGACTAACACGAATTATATTAGCTTCAAAATGACAAAATTTGCACTCAAGGCTGGACCAACACTCACGTCGCTCCAGCCGCATTCCTGCTCTTCTTGCCAGGAACTGTTGATAACAAAAGAGTCTTCCTTTGATAATCCCACAGCGCAGTTTCCTTACAAAAAGGTAGAGGAGAAAGCGTCGTTAGGTTGCATGCTCTTCCAGTCATTACAACGAAAGTTCGACGACTTGGCTAAGCCGTTTCTTCGAGAACGGAATCACCTGATCTTATATCCTCTTATCGACTCAGATAACTGGTTGGTAGGTTTACTGGCACGTTGGATGATCACGCAAGATTGTGTACAGGGCGAAGAGGATGCAGATATGCTGTGTCCATTTGCCTCAAAGGGTATGAAATTACACTCTCACAGATTGAATAAAGGCTCACATTATCCAATAGACCATCCTGCTTCTGAATTTGTTGATGCGACGCCTCTAAACCTGGACCCTGGATCAGCTAAAAGCTTTGACTGGATAGAGAAAACTTTCGCCGAATGTCAAAATAACCATTTGCAATGCAACAAAGTCATTCAAGAGAATCGACAAAGTTTTGCTATGCCAAAGCGACTACTTGATGTTGGCCACTCTAACGAACCTGTCTTGCACTTGTTCGAAACCAGCGATGATACCCAGAAAGCCTATGCCATCGCTAGCTATGCTTGGGGCAGTGGCCCTCAAGCTAAAGCCATTCAGCAAGCTCTGACAACTCGGGCAAATATAGGGTCTAGGATGTCTGATGGGTTGCAGCTCTCTATTCTGCCACGAACTATCCGAGACCTAGTGGAAGTCACGCGAAGAATCGGTCATCGATATCTTTGGCTGGATGCGTTTTGCATTGTTCAGGATGACCCGGATGAAACAAGGCATCTATTCATTACCATGGTCGACTTCTACAAACGAGCCGATATCCTGATCTCAGCTGCAAGTGCTTCACAGAGTGATGAGGAATTTCTTCACCCTCGGAGCATTGATCAATCTTACGGAAGCATTTTCGAATTACGTTATAAATGGAACTTTTCTGGTCACGAGAGTTAGGGCTCCTTGCTCTTCAGCGAAAACAATTTGGATTGTGCTTTGGATAACAATCCGCTGGATATGCGAATTTGGACTTTCCAAGAACACCTTGTATCTTCACGAGTGATTATTTTTGGAGCCCGGCAGATTAGGTGGAAGTGTAAAGAGTATGTTAATTTAGTCGACGGTGGTGCGTACTCATATAATAACCCCGAGTACCAAACTGAGGTTGCATTTTCGCCTTCTTCATATCCTACCGAAAGTCTTATGGAGAAGAACGGGAGGATTCAGGCCTGGCTGGAACTCATTGAACATTATTCAAGGCGCCAATTTACTCAGCCAAAGGATAGATTACCAGCTTTCTATGAAACAATGTCCCTTTTAGCACCCCTTCTGGAATGGAGAACGTCGGATTGTGTCAGAGGAATATGGAAATCTGATGCCAGTCGTCAACTTCTTTGGAGGAAAGAGAAGCCGCTACGTTTAGATGGTCTGGAACTGAGCCGATGCCGCGAGTATGGGCCGTCCTGGTCATGGGCCACGTTACCTGGAGAAGTTATCTATGAAACTGGCGCATGGCTCCGGAATCTTGGGGATACAGTGAACATCATCTCCCCGGAAAAGTACACTGAGAATCCAACCTGCCTCATCATAGAAGGCCACATCCAGGAAGCCTACTGGGAAGGGCAGTATTTCGATCCTGATAAACCTAACAGAGCAGACGAGAATACGCTACTGGTGCATGTAGCTTGGGACATCGAAATGGCATCACAATCAGTATTTCTGCTTGACCTAACACCTTCATGGAAATCTAATATGAACATGGGGCTGGTGTTAGTACAGGTGGAAGGGTACGAGGATCGTTTTGAAAGGCGCGGCCGTTTTGTACGTATTGAGGAGGGCTCGGCTGTGATGAATGAACAACTCAACGATGATCCGAACAACATACTGTACTCCGACCAAAAGAGCGTGTTTCAACAAGTATCAGTTATCTAGTTCATAATATACAGTTTTGTTTGACCTCTTGTAAAAATATCAAGCAAGGACCCATGACATGTCTGCGAATCTGAGCTACTAATGTTATCGGAATCACCGGCAAGATAATAATTACGAACACCTTTCTTTTGGCATGACCGGCCAGTTCTAGACGCTTTATCTGTTCTATTGAGCTTCGTAATTTGGTGCGGGGATTAGAGGAACTATTTGCAACTATTGGAGTCTAGACTGGGACCAGACCAAAAGAGGAGGTTTCAGCTCAATACCAAACCAAACTAAGCCAATCAGATTGGTTTTTGCCGCAGTGCAACGGGTCGTACCGTTCGTGTGGTAAACAATAATCGCTTCTCGTGTTGTTCAATTGCGACTTATCATGTTGAGTGGCCGCTGTTCACTGCTAGCGGTGAGTGAGTTTGCCGAGGGCCGCGTATTCACGAGATAACACTCAGCTATATATATAAAACAATGGCTGGCTTCTTTCTACTGTCCACAATATTTTAATTTTTCAATTCTGCCTCTCACGCGACACCATGGCTCAACCCCAACCTCGTACCTACGATAAAACCTACATCTCCAAGGCTACTCCAGCCTCCAAGCCAAAGAGGATCATTATTTGTTGTGATGGAACATGGCAATCCTCTACGACAATTGATCCCAAGAAAGGTTGCCCCTCCAATGTCACTCGTATTAGTCGTGTTCTAGCCAAAGCTGGCCTCGACCGCCAGGGGGATGAATGGCAGCAATTGGTATACTACGATGCCGGAGTTGGTACTGGCGATATTACTGGTGCCGAGGCTACGCGACAAGGTATTTTCATCACCTCAATGAGGAATTTACAATACTGAAATGTCTTTAGGCTCACAAGGTCTCGGACTCCTTGAGAATGTTCTTGAAGCATACAACTTCATTGTTTCCAACTTCAACAAGGGCGATGAGCTGTACTTCTTTGGCTTCTCTCGTGGTGCCTTCACTGTTCGTGCCGCAGCTGGTTTAGTGCAAGAAATTGGTATCGTCAAGTCTCACTTGATGACTTATTTTCTTGAGCATTACGGTAATTATATCCGTGGGGAGGACTTCAAGAAGACATTTGCCGAGAGTTCCCATTGGACCAAATTCCTGGCTCATAGCTCCTCTGCTGTTGCTTGTCCTGCCAAGGATACAGTGATCCAGGTCATCGGCGTATGGGATACTGTTGGTGCCCTTGGCATTCCAGATATGGGTCACTTGATCAACATCGATAATTCCTGGCTCCGCAAGGCCTACCAATTCCACAACACTGATATCAGTGCCAGTAAGTCGAGATCTCCTTTTTCAGGAATCATTCGCTAATCATATGCAGACGTAAAACATGCATACCATGCGCTTGCTCTCGACGAACGTCGTGGCCCCTTTACACCGTGTATGTGGTTTGTGAAACCAGGCAACGAGGAAACAAAACTGGTTCAGTGCTGGTTTCCAGGAGCTCACATCAACGTTGGAGGCGGTAGCTCAGACAATGCCCTCACAGACGAGCAAAAAGAGCAGGGCATCAAAGTCAAGGGTGATGGTGAGAGACTTTCCAGTGTCGCATACGCCTGGATGCTTGATCGCATCCTACCTCATTTGGCGCTCGACGAGGAAGCCCTTCAAATGCAACTCAACGAGATAGAGGCCATCATCAAAGCCCCTAGTGACCCCAAGTTAAAGGCTTGGGATGAAAACCAGATGGGGAAGATCGACGACAGCTACACCAAAGAGTATAAGACCATGGGTAGTGCCGTCATCCGCACACCAATGGAGTACATCAAAAAGGAGACTGGGTATACTGTTGAGCGTGTGCATCCGTCCGTGTACTTTCGACGGAAGTACCACGACGATTTGAACGAAGCATTGGTCAAGGAGAAGAAGAAGACGATACCAGTATATCAGCCACTGGCCATGGAGGGCTGGGAACGTATTTACGAGGAGCATGGTAAGTATGGCGTTGGAGAAAATGCTAGAGAACGAAAAGGCTGGCAGTGGAGAAAGTACAAGAAGAACATGTTTGGTAAAGTTGACAAGTCTGTTGTTGAGAAGTGGATGTGGGAGTTTGAGATTGGAAGCTTGCCTGATCAGACAAGCATTGAGAAATGGCTGATTGACAGGTCTTGGAACGTGCCGTCATACTTTGAGGGTGTTCAGAAAGGGTGGTAGATAGTTGGTGTTACACTGATTCTGCTAGCTGGTCCGGCTTCAAGGCTGATTGTATTGGGGAAAGGCGTCAATCATATATTATATAACTTTCCTTGGCTGAAATTGAGGTAGAACAATAGGGATATAATTATTATTTGAGTAACAGCATCTAATTAGAAGGTAAAAATCCTGTACTCACCTCATTGATGTCTTGATTTCTAATGTTTCCATTTTAGGTAGGTAGACGAACCAATTAAAGAGCTTGCTCGGCCCGAACCGACTAGCGCCGGGAGCGGATGCCGGAATAGCCAATCATAGTCCACCCTCCTCTTAAGCTTTTACTGACATCTCAAGGGTAACGGATTGTTCAGGACGGTGTTCAACTCCTGCCATTAATTTTGTTCATGGGCGCCGCATTTATGTTCAATGGTTTGTTGATGCCTAAATACGGCTTGGTATTCGTCTGGTACATTGGACGTAGTGAGCTTGCTCTTATCGGGAGCGCTCTGATGTGTAAGTGAACTAGTCTCTTAACGTCGCTGCACTGTTATAACCGACTATAGACAATGTTGGTGAAAGAAAATCAAATGGCAAGGTCTTTGGCTACAATAAACTCATTGAAGCGGGTGCGGGATGTTGTTTCGTCGCAGGCGTCGCCATCGTGCAGTCCCTGGTGCCCAGTCATGAAAATGCCATTGCAGTTGGTGCCGTGACAGTCTGTAAATGTTCCACCCAGTATACTGCCTCGATATCTAACTGGTCTTCGCTTTCAGCCCAGGATCATGGCATGGTGCTATCTCTCGCCATCCGCGGTAGCCTCTTCCACAACGTTGCTGTGGACAAAGTCGGCAACGCTCTTCCAGGTACCTCAGAAGCAGAAGTTGGCACCCTTATTGCCTGGACCAGCAGCGCCGCATACAGAGCTCTTTCTGATCATAATAAGGCTTTGGCCATTCCAGAGATTCCGAATGCCATGAAGAGAATCTGGGCGTCTTTCATGGCAGCCGCTGCATTTAGTTTCGTTTCTGCCTGTTCGTTATGGGTAAGTATTTGACTCGACTCACTTCATCTGGTAAACGGGGGCAGACATACCACAGAGATCTGACCTTAGCAGATGGCGGAGAATGGCCATGTCTATGGCCTGAGTAGCAACTGCGACAGCTCAAATATAAAGAGGTTCTATTAGATAAGTACAATTGTACGAAACTCCCCTTCTGGCCTTTCCTCAGGCTTTTTTCCGAGTGCCTCATTCTTGAAGGAAATAGTTCCTAGCCTTTGATAGTTCTCTCCACTGTTTACTTTTGCAACAATTAAACCCCCATAATAATCCTTACCACCGTCTTTCATTGTAGCTTTTGCAAGAATCAAGGCAAAAGTATCCACTCCCTCTAAACTCTTCACAATCCTTAGCACTTCCTGTGGACCATCTTCTGCACTCCAATCAAAATCAAACGTGGCGCGGGTACCCTTAAATGTCCCGTTTGCTGTCTTGACTTTTGGCTCCATACGAAAGAGGTACTCCATATGAGGATCCCAGCCTTCAGTTTCAATATAGAGGCGTTCCATGGGCGCTCGCATTTCGATGCTTGCGTTGGTAACCTCGCCGTAAGGATTTGCACCCTTCAGGTCCACGCTGATATTGAGCACCTTGGCTAAGATCCTGTGATCCGTATAGTGGTCTTGGGTGAGGAAGAGACCAGTTCTTCCATCCGTCGATGCCCACGACCAGGAAGGCGACCTGTACTCTTGAACTCTGCGTGGAAAGCCTTCCCATAGAAGTCCTTCGATAAGGTGTGAACGCCAAAGACCAGCCACATACTCATCATCAAGCAATCTTGCAAAAACGGTGGCAAGGCCAGAGATAGCTGGGAGCTTATCCGAGGCATATGTGAGCTTTCGCTCCCCATATAATGCGACAAGCTTTTGCCATGATCGGAGGATGTCTAACTTTTTGCTTGAAACTCTTCCGCTATTAACCCCATCTTCAAGTCTGTATTGTTCCGTTTCTTCGGACCTTTGTTCTAAGATCTTGACACTTTCGAACCGATCTTTAAGGAACAGACCATCTTCCCCTTGGAACCCTTCGTTACACTCGAAAAACAATTGTGTGGAGCCATACAACACTGTCCGGCTGGAGCCCACACGTTCCTGTAAACACCAGGCACGATCCGAGAGTGGCTCTTTCCGCATGAATATATAGTCGGGACAGTTAACTTCTTCATCAAGGGGGAGCGCAAATGCCAAAGCTTGCCCTCGTAGGTTATCGGATGTATGCTCAAGCTCGACATATTCCCTGGCCGGTCTCTCGCCAAAAAGACCCTGGGAGTTATCCTTAGCTCTCGAGGCACTGACTGTTAAATAAGCGTTGTGGTATATCGATAACATTCTGCTTGATTCCTGCTCCCAGTCCTTCTGGTCGTCTTGACATATGCAAATACTATCTACCCATAGATATCTTATTCCCAGGTGGCGTGTCAGTTGTATTGTATCTTGATGCGTTTTCGGCAGGTCAGATATCATAATTCGGCGCTTCCGATCCGCAAGTGTAGCTTTCTCAGTTATATATCCAGGGTTATCACCCCAACAATAGCTTCATAACAAATATTAGCCGTGGTGTTGCGATCATGTTGCTAGTAAAAAATACCTCAGGGATATATATTTGCCTCGATCATGTGCCGCAGTTTGGTAGAGTCTTACATGAGGACTGTTGTTGCTGACACCCACGTCGATTACGCGAGATGGCAACTGTGTCTCGCCAGGACTGCAACTAGGGTGCTCGTCGCACTCGATTACCCACTGCTGGACTCTTGACATTGCGGTCAAAGTCCCTCCGTGTTGCTCGACTGGTCGGCCGCGGATGGTCGACTCTAGCGGGTCACCTAATCACGTCAACACTAATTGAGACTCTTGAATGAAGTGAAAACCCTCACCGTCTCTCACACAAAATCCAATTGCCGCCACCACCGCTACTTCGTTCATCTCATCCGTCAAACTCATAACCCAAAATCCATCTCCTCCCTTCTCTCGCTTCATAATCCAAAACTCACACAATGGCACACCGTGAACATTCACAGGTGAGGGTTCTTGGCATCGTTCTACTTGCTTGAGGACCAAGCGGCAGAGATCACAGTTCGACATTGTTGCGGAAATCTGCAAGCCTTCCAGGCTTTGATGATACATATAGCCCCTACAGCCTTCAGGCCATTCATAACATATCTTCGCATATGGATGCTGCGATGTATCATACCAAAGGTCAGGTGGGACCGAAGGAAGTGTTTCCCAAGGGATGTTCTGGCAGAGACTGCACAATGGCATTTTTTAATAGTTGAGGTTGAGATTGATAGAATAGACTCTTGAGTCTAAGGAAAGCTGAATAACGCCCTAGTTATAGCCTTTAACCTGAAAGGATATGTAAAAGTTCGTCAGTCAAAGCACAGACTGTGCTAGTTAGGCACCTGAAAAAGAGATCAGGCACCAGTCTAATTAAGGATGACTAATAACTTGGTGCTGTCAGAAGAAGGATAGTTGTGGGGTTAGGCTGACATCACTCCATAAGTTCCTGGCTATGCTGTTACATCGCTCAGTACTTTTCCTTTCAGGTAAGATGCTATGAAACATAAGTGCCTCGAGATGGAGTTGCGGGCAAGGTAAAGCCAGAGACTCAAGGAGAGATTCGTATTTACTTGTAAAGATACTTAAGTAATTCGAACCAATTCAATGTTGTACCAAAGACGAACAAATTACCTAATTGGATGAGTGTTAAACAAAACTATTATAAAATATATACCGAAAGAAATAGAAAGTTTGTAACTATTAATTATTTATATATTTCTTAATCTAATTGGAAAAGGCATTTCAGTATTAGACTTGTATCTATTTGGCACCCTTAATCCTGGAAACAGCACAGATAGCATCTGCACTGCCTGAGGCTAACGGATTGGAAAGATGCGTGGTCAAGAGTTCGTTCTTCATCCCAGGCATACACTGGCCATGCCCATGCCCAGCATAGTTGGAATTCAGAAGTTGAATTTCGAACAGTGAAAGAAGAAGCAGATTGTAAAATACGGCGTGAATATCTTGTCATATGGCTATCTTTGTAGACGTCTAAAAAAGTCCAAAGAATCCCCGCTTCCCCTTCTTCTTCTCTGGGGGATATACCACAATCCTATCCAGATCCGCACCCTTGACACCCTTGCCATTCTTAAGACCACCAACAGTGATAGTGTTCTTACCCTTCTTGAGCGGAAGAAGCAGAGGCGTAGATAGAATGATACCCTTGTGAGTGTCCTTCTGGTACAGAGTGTGGACATTCTCCTTATCTCCGTTGACGACCACACTGCTGATGCGACGAATGGCCCAAGTTCCGTTGATGCGATCGGGTGAGCCCATTGGTTGGTCTCCGAAACCCATATCGTCGATGTCTAGATATCATGAGTTCATGTAGATTTGAAGAGATGGGGTTAGGCTTACTTTGGTGGTAGAAGGAGACCCATTGATCTGCGCCTTTTCCTTCGACTGTGAAGGTGGCGGTACTGTCGTTGCCGGAAATACCAGTTGCGATAACATGATCTGTTCCAAAGGTCTGCCAGTATCGTCAGTTTGAGGACAGTTCAATATGGTGGTTCAACTTACAGCTTCTTGGAGGTGGGCATTGCCAGCCAACTTGGCATTCTTGGAAGGGTACGTCTTTCCCTTGATGGGCTTCCATTCGCCAGTCTTACTGTTATTGAGTCAGTATCTCCAGATTCTTCCATGCAGATATATCAACTTACACATTCAAATCGTAAATATCGTGCCAAACAACTTCAAGGCTCTTGTTCTCCTCGTCAATCTCAATGGGAAGCCAAACGTTTCGGCTCTCCCAGATAGACGGCAAATCCCACTAGATCATGTTAGATACGTTCCAACGTGGGGCTATCAACGCACCTGATCGGCCATGTACAGGTAAGTGGTCTTCTTGGTGCCATTAATCCTCCAGGAGAAACCAGACTGGGTGCTGAAAGTACGAGTATACGCTGGGGCGACAAAGAAAGGCTGAGACCACGGTCCCTCCAATTTATCAGCTCTCATAGCCACGACATCTAACAGAGTCAGTATCAAACTCAAACCCAACATCGACACACATACTGTTAGGTCTGTAGCCAGTCTTGTGACTCATTAAAGTCCAGTAGCTCTTCTCGGTCTGGATAATGGTAGGTGCCTCGAAATCATACTTGTCAAACCGATGCGTCACCTTTTTGATATCAGTGAGGTTGCTGTTGAACTCGCTGACGTAGACATCGCGTCCTTCCACGCGATCGCCGTTGGAGTAGAGCGCGTAGGATCGACCGGACTTGTAGTCTGTGAAGGCGCCGAAGTCTTGCGACCAGTTTCCAAGGGGGGCGATGGCGTGATTGAACTTGTACGGTCCGGCGATGTCGTCCGAGGTGGCGAGGCCTTGTAGAAGAAGACTGTATTTTTTATCGTCGGCGTGCCACCACATCTGATTTGTTAGCAGGGGTCTCGAGGGTTGGTGAGATGGACGTACGTGGTATTTGCCTGTTTCCTCACTGTAGAGAACCTTGGGACGCTGAATGATGCTCTCAGGAGAAATATGTTCGTGACCCTTCTCAGGAGCTACAAATTGTTAGCCACCATTGGTCAATTTATCTGGAGGGTACATACTCAACGCTAAACCATGAGACTCCCAAGTCGCAAGGTCATCAGAGCTGTAAACCGAAACACCACCACCCTCCTCCTGCTCTTCAGTCTTGTGTTCACCGAACCAGTAAAACTTGCCACTGTCGCGATCGACGCATAGACCGCCTGCATGGGCATTGAACAAATTCCCTTCGGTGTCGTGCCATCGCGCACCGGGGACAATCCAACTAGCACTCGCAACGGCGGCAAATGCCAGGACAGAAAACAGAGTCATGATGGGTAATTGACAAATGAGCCTGGTGATCTACTACCTGCTAAATCGACGCTTTGTTTGTGTTTTATAGCTGGCTCGGTATATCTGCAGCCGAGCTTGTCAACGGGCGTCATACCTTGGATCGGCAGCATGCCCGTTGTGTCTGGGGATCGGGGTGGTGGTTGGGTGCTTAATGTGTCGATCCCCCGCTGATTTGGTAGACGCTTCAATCAAAAGGTTGCTTGGCATTGGTTTACCCCGGATAATTGTCAACCACCAATCAACCCCTGTTATTGGAGATTATGTTGGTTGGGGGGAGCAGATGGGGAAGCTCGGTCCGACGGGTGTATCATGAGTTTATTTGTGCCCAGATAATATATTATGAATGATGAAGCCAGATGTAGAAACTCGTGACTCTACAATCGTGTTTTCGGTGTTAGATCTAGGTCGAGGAATGAATGCACTTATGGATTGATACGCCTTTGGACCCTCATTCAAGTGGTCAATTGACTTCAAACACCTTTTCGTTGCCGTCCATATTTTCTGTCTCATCCATATACCAGCCCTCCGAAAATAATGATATGACCAGCGAGTCTAGTGCGAGAATTGTCCAATTTCACTCGATTCGTCTCGTTGTCGAACCCCGATTCACTCGGCCAATGAACCTTTCCAAAATCCACCGCCCCATCATATCTCCAACTTCATATTCTCGTTCGTTCGAAAGTCGATGGTCGAAAGACATCAAGACCTTGAAACAGTTAGCTCCTGTTCTGGTGGTTGACAACATGCGGCATACTTGATCATATCCGCTCCTGGAATCTCGTTCGGATGCCCACTTCTCAATACTGCGGTTCAGGCGTGCTCTGGACCCTATCGCAGCATTAGCATCCTATATTTAAACATCTGCTCGAATATGATGGACGTACCCTTGCTTCTCCTTCAGACGCTGCTCCTTACGCTCTTTTCTTCTGTCGTGATATTCCCAGCTTTCGCACGCGACGTAGGCAAGGATCCATACGGTGATGGACCTGCAGTAACCGAGACCGATGCAGCACATCTTGTAGACTGTGGGAGAAGGAAGTTCAAGTTTGTGAAAGCTGTGCATTGGCTTTTTGGAATTGAGTCTGTATTTATGTGCGGGCTATTTACAGTTTGATGCAGCCGAGAGCTTATTCAATTACTTTGCCTGGGACTGCGTCGTTATCAACATGTCGCAGAGCCTCAATTTACTTTCCTGATATTGCCGGTTGTGCCTCTTCCGCCATGAAAGGATCTTGCCAGGAAGTGAATTTTAAGCACTTCAGCTATAATTCTGATGTCAAGGATGCTTCAGTCTTAAATGGCACATCTTGGAATACCCTGGATGATGGCATCCTTGCAACAACTGCCACCGGCCTGATGGTGTCAGTAAACGACAAACAGGTACTCTGGAAGTGGTGATTTAAGTTTGACAAGATCAGGGTAATCCACGTACTCAATTCTGGTTATTTACTTTGAGTTTATTCGATAAATCTTAGGTGATGTCTGACTCAATCAAGCAAAGGTTGCCCAAGTCAATTCGTAACGACTCATCAAGGCAATTACAATGACAAGGACAATTTTTATTCGGGATCTCATAGCCAATGCACTATTTCTTAAAAGCCCCATTACTCATCTCATCCTCCAAATCATAATAAACCTGAAACTCACAGTAGCAAATCTCAGGATCACTCTCAACATCAAAGTTAAAGTTCGCCTCCTCCTCCTCAATCAAAACCTTGGGCAATCCATTCGCCGCCGCCGCCTCTGCAAGAAGCTGCACACGACAGCTGTTCTCCATGGACGTATACAGGAACGCAGCCTCGTCCACTGTCTGGCCAACCGTCAGGATCCCGTGGTTTCGTAGGATACAGCCTTTCCCCCGTGGTCCCATGGCCGCTGCGATCCGGTCGCCTTCTTCGCTGCCTATTACCACGCCGCCGTAGCTGTCGTAGACGCTGTGCGCGTCGCCGCGGAATTTACACACGTCTTGGGTCAGCATTTCGAGTCTTCGGCCAAATACGGACCATGCTTTTCCGTGGATGCTGTGTGAGTGGCAGATTGCGTGGACGTCGGGTCTGGCTTTGTGGATGGACGCGTGGATGAGAAAGCCAGCTGTGTTGGGAGGACGACTGCGATTACCACCAATGACCTCGCCGTCAAGGTTGACGAGTATCATGTCGCTGACCTTCAAAAGACCAAAGTGTCGTCCGAGGGGGTTCGTCCAGAAAGCATTTGGGTTTTCCGGGTCGCGCACCGAGATGTGGCCGCTCATGCCCTCGACGTAGCCCTCGCGGTACCAGTGGCGAAAGGCAGCAGCCATATGTTCGAGCTGCCATTGGCGCTGCGAGGCAAAGTCTGGGTGCTTGGGGATGCCTGCGAGGACGACGTCGCCGTGGGACATTGCCTGGAGGGGTGTTTTGTCTTTAAGTTCATGGCCGTGGGATGTGTGGGTTTCTTTGGGGTGGATGCTGATAGTGCCGCTTGTAGCGGTTTGGACGGTGGTGGTTGACATGTTGGTAAACAAAATAAGATTTGATTGAATCTACAGCACAAAGAGTTGGGTTTTGGTGTGATGCCAACGTCTGTTATAGGTTTCAAATACACCACTTATCATTGGAAGTGCGCCCTCTAAATACTGTTTAATAGTGTTGTATGTTAACTGCGGGGGCACGCCTTTCTCTGAGCAGCCAAAGCTTATAATAAGCGGGGCACGATCCTACAGTATTATTTCTCAACGTGAAAAATGTCAAACACAAGGCGTACGAATTGTAGCATCAATAGTGAGAGGGCGCTCTGTCCGCTTATTGAAAACAAGAAAGATGGTAAGGTGATTGGTAATGAGAAGTCAGGTAAATACGTAAGCACGATCCAAAATATCCTCGTTCTGAACTCATTCGGTTTGAACAGTTTACTCCTGCTTGTAAGCTAGTTATGGACGTTGAACGCAGCCCTATCATGAGTGCGATGGTGTCTTTTTATGTGCAGCGCGAGTACCGAACCTGTCCACTCTAAAAGTATTACCAATATAACTTCCGTTCGCCTTGTCTATTCCATCATTCATTCAGTGACTTCTTAAAGTTGCAGTTCAAGGAATGCTGCTCTACTTATCAAGCCTTTGATGAAGTCTACTCGTGGTATGACGGGTGAGCTCTTTATGACACGCGTCAAGGCAACTCGCAGTGGAGGGTGAGACAAAAAGAAATGGAAAAGCATACGTACCCGAGCATATGGGTTGTCTTTATTGTTGATATCATTGAGAGATTTGGATAGCCTGGGCTTGATAAAGTTGAAGGATAACAAAGCACAAAAGAAAAGTACCCGGGGATATACTAGCTCGGGATAATACTATCATGTGCCTAGTAACAAAGTACTAAGATATCCAGTGTACGAGTTACGCTCTCAGTTGAGAGCAATGGAAAGAATTACAAAAGAAATACACGTCACTGTTGTCGTAAGCACTGGGATGTGGTGACATTACCGAGGATGATGCCATTTTTCATTATTACTGCTGCCTACCAGATTCGATCTGTTGCGTAAGACAGCAAGTCGTGGTTTTCACTTTACTTGTCATACAACGCTTACAAGCTTTACTGAACAGGAAAGCTATGCGGAGATTATTGAGATCGAAATGCAGTGACTCACCCCTGGTTACGAACTTGGTTTGCGTCTCACTTGTTTTCAATTGCCAAGCCTATCCCCCGTACCCTGTCGATCACTATGGCTTTCGTTAGCATGTCCGGTAGAACAAACGCGCTAGCCAATCAGAAGAAAGAATTGAGCCTCGTCAGAGTGAGTCAACGAGATCTCTGACTGCATTTGAATTGAAAGTTGAAGCCAATTAAATGAGTTATCTAATGTCACATAATCACTTGTGCCACGACTAGACGTTGAATGCATTATTCAGTACCTATTTAACGATGACCCCTCGCATCTCGAACAATAGATCTCCAACCTTCTCATCTTCATCAACCCAACCCCTCACTGCCATATCATTCTTCCCTCCACCAATAATCATGGCCCAATCCACCACCAGCTCATCATTCGACAAGGATCTAGCCCAGGCAATCTGTGATCTTGAAGTCCCCAAACGATTAAAAATATCACCCGACGGCCAAAAGGTGCTCTACTCAACCTCTCTCCTCGCCTCTCAGCGCAAAGCAAAGAATGGCGTCTCGACACTATGGCTCGCTTCTAGCACAGAAGCGAACTCCTCGCGGAAATTGACATCAGGTCTTTTCAACGACACAAATCCAACATGGCATCCTAGCGGTGATCAATTGGCCTTTTTGTCCGACCGTGCGAAGCCGGGTGAGAGTTCTGCTATTTGGCTTATGCGTTTGGACGGTGGAGATGCGGTTTCCATCACGTCGACAGATAACGCTGAGGATATTGAGACGTTTGAGTTTTCACCCAGTGGAGAGACTATCGCATATGTGTCGCCCGATGAGAAGAGTCAGGACCGCAAGGATAAAGAGGAGAAGGAGGAGCCTGATCCTGAAGTTTGGGGTGAGCGATGGGAACATGCGAGGCTGCGACTTGTTGATGTGAAAAGTCACGAAAGCAAGGTGCTTGTCGGAGGTGATCAACACGTCGGCGAAATCGCATGGAGCCCAGACGGGAAATCTCTGGCCTTTTTCACCACCGAGAATCCTGACATCGAAGAGCCCTTCCTGACCGGCATGACTATATCCACCGTCAATGTTGAGAACGGTGAGATCGTGAAGTTGTGCACAGTCATCAACGAGCCGTATGACCTTACCTGGGCACCAGATGGCCAGATCTACTTCATCACGGGCACCCCCAGCGACAAAGACGCCGGAGGAAGATCAGTCTATAAAGTTGACCCGAAAGCCGCAGAGACTGATTTCGTCAAGGTTGCTTGCGGCGTGGACGATGATGCTGCAGACCTTACCGTTGTAGGCAGCAAACTTCTGGTAAACCGAGCCGTTAGGCTTGTCAATATCATCAGTGAGTTGGGTGGTGAGGATATCTTCAAAGAGGACGAAGAACTCTGGGTATGGGATATCTCCATAAATCCAGAGACCGGCAAGACAATCCTCGTGGCTGGTTTATCCGATGCCAACACACCTTACGACGTGTTCGTTGTGGAAGCAGGCAAGGATAGGATCAAACTCTCTAACCACGGCAAACCGGTTGAGGATCATTCTTTCGGTACATGCACCGTTCTTACTTGTCAATCTGCAGATGGAGAGGTCGAGCTGGACGGTCTCTACCTAACTCCCACCTCCAAGGCAGTTGACGGCAAACCTGCTGAACCACTTCCGACATTCGTTATAATTCATGGTGGACCCACGAGTCGTGACTGCGACAGTTTCGACGCAACTAGCTTCAACTGGGCGCCTTACATCCTCTCTCAGGGTTACGGCGTGCTTCTCCCTCAGTATCGAGGCTCAAGCGGCCGTGGCGAGAAGTTTGCCTCGTACAGCATGGGCGGACAAGGAAAATACGACTACGCCGATGTCATATCCATCACCGACAATGCCATCAAGGAAGGTTTTGCGGATTCCAAGAAGCTCATCGTTGGTGGCTGGAGTCAAGGTGGTTTGATAACCTACATCTGCAGCGTACGGAACGGTCTCCACGGTCTCGGATGGCGCTTCAATGCTTGCATCGCAGGAGCAGGTGTATGTGACATAGAAAGTCTTGTCATGACGTCTGATCTTGGCTCGACTTACGAGTGCGAACTAGCCGGTGGAGAGACGACCTGGACTCTTCCAAAGGAGGATACAACGCGCCGACAAGGAAGTGCACTGTGGGAGGTCTTCAGCGCGGTAGAGCATACTCGTCGAACAGGCGAGGCGGTGATTCCACCGATGCTGATTCTGCATGGTGAGGACGATGTGAGGTGTCCCTTTTCGCAGGCTGAGGGCTTTCGCCGTGCTTTGAGGACACATGGATTGCCGTGCGAGTTTGTGAAGTACCCAGGCGAGGGACATAGTATTGAGCAGCAGAGATTTTGGCTGGATATGCTTGAGAGGGTGGGGAGGTGGTGTGAGATGTATATCGATGGAGAGACCAAGTTGGCTATCAGATGAGGGCCTCTGGGTAGTATATGATATCTATCAATAACAAGCACAATTCTATGGTATAAATAAACGAGGGAGAAGGTTGCAATCTCGTGATGGATGAACTACAACTTGCTTCAGATTCACGGCGATCACCAACATGCCTAGTGAGAATGTAATTGGACAGCGCGTATATGTGGACATTCCATGTAAGCGTCAAAGCGATTTAGGCACCAAGCTACCTCTCAACAATTAATTACAAAAAGCGTCTTCCCCTCAGTGTCTGAGATCAGTCCAAAGCTGACAATTATATTGAATTCAAGAAATATCCTACACCTTTGAAGTCTATCACCATCATGGCCACTCAAAACACCGCCCCCTCTAAAACAATCCATGAATTCCTCCAACGCCACCCCGAGGTCAAAATCGGACCACAAGCCGAAGCCGAACTCGAAATCATCCACGACACAGGCGACACCTTCTGCGAAATAACCCAGATTTTCGAAAATACTATCCTACATCAAGACTATGACGGGGGTTCGCGCAAGCGTGTTTTTGCACTCGCTTTGGTGGATGATGCTCTGGCACTGGCGCGGTATAAGGAGGAAGCGGGAGATGAAGACGTTTCATGCGGATGTAAAGCTAGGGAGCAGGAAGGGCCTGAGCATTCTCTCCATGAAAGTATTGTTGTGGTAAAGGAGGCAGAATGTGAGGAACACAAGGAGTTGGATGAACCGAATCCGGATTGTTCTGCTTGTTGGCCTCTTCTAGGTGGAAGCAATTGCAAATGGTGATGCCATTGGGGGATAATTACCTAGATCATACATTGGCAAACCCAATAGTCTCATTCAAACATCGTAAAGCGCCATTGCTTATGTTAGTCGCTGTTCTTTCTTCCAGCCGCCCACTGCCCACGACGCATAACCTTCGTACAACCCCCGAATTCTGGTAGACAGCATAGCACAGCATATTCCACCATCTTTTCCGACTATTAAAAGAAATGATATTAAATTGAAATACTCTTTGTTCCTCTTAACCAGTTATTGTTAAAATCTAGAACTTGACAAATACCTGGTGCTGCCAGATGCCTTCATCTTTTAGCACACACCTTAGGAAACAACAGAGCAGCAAAGTGTCACTCATTTTTACACTTCCTTGTGGAACGTAAAACATAACCATGACTCATAAATTTACTTTTTTCTAGTCATAATCATTTCTGCCTGTGAAAACTCATTCATATTGAAAACTGGCCAGAATATGCTGAACAGCGCGACCATTGTCCTTTATCTGGCATTCCAGCGCTCCCACAATCCCTTATTCCCCTAAATAAACCCCAAAATCTCTTAAAACATGCTAAATTTAGCGCATTCACCCCCAGTCTAGAAGCAAAATTCGCCCGTCAAAGCTTCTAGCCTAACAGTGGGCCACGTGGGGACGTCCAGTGCTAATCAGCAACATCCAAGCAAAATTTTCATGATAGCTTCATATCGCCCCGGAGTTAGACCTATTAAGGTAGCGCGCCACCCACTGTTTCCACGTTCTAGGATAATTTTCCTCACCTTCTTTTTCTTCTTTTTCCATTCTTCTCCGCACGTTTACCGGACTTTCACGATATAAATATTTACCTTTCTTTACGAGGACCGATAAGATGAGCACCCTTGCGCTGCCTTCGAGCAGCTTACCGCCTTTGTTCACCCTGACTAAGCTCGCTGAAACAGACGTCTTTAACGCCTTGGGCTACTTGGCGGCTATTTACTGTCCGCTTTCGTTTCCGTTTTCGTTGCAGCTTGATAAGAAGCACTCGCTTGTTGAGCCGGTGGATTCTGGATATACTTCTGAGAATGAAGATGGCGACGGGGAGCAGACGCCCGCGACTATTCGCGCTGATCCATACGAAAAGACATTCACTGAGCGCTGGCTGACTGGATTTATCTCACGCGCCGAGAGTCTGTCGATATTCACTTCAGAAGAAACAAGCCAGCGCGCTCTTGATCAGGCTGCATACATTTTCGAATCTCTCTTCGCAGCCGCCTTGGACGAAGATGACCAAAATTCCCCTTTTATGAGACAGTTTTCTTTTGAGACATCCATTCCAGGACAGGAAAAGCAGCAGATTCAAGTCCAGCTCAACGATGGACTTGCTGGAACAAACGACACAGATTTCGAAGACGTCGGCCTCCAAAGTTGGGGTGCCTCCATTGTTTTCTCAGATATGATGTGTTCGACACCAAAGCGCTTTGGTCTCACGGATCTCTCATTAACCTCACACACCCGTATAATCGAGCTTGGTGCTGGCACAGGGCTCGTGAGTCTTGTCCTAGGAAAGTTGATTCCTGTACTGGGCATCAAAGACTCCAGGATCATTGCCACAGATTACCACCCCGCTGTTCTGGAGAATTTGCAATCCAACATTGCAATCAACTACCCAGAAGATGTTATCAAACCTGTCGAAACATATCCCCTGGATTGGGCAGACTTTTCACAAGACGCTCCCTTCGACGTTCCCGCCACGATGCTTTTTGCTACAGATGTAGTATACGCCCCCGAGCACGCCTGCTGGCTCCGCGATTGCGCCACGCAACTCCTATCAGATAATGGAGTATTCTGGCTCTTGGTTACAATAAGACCGAACGGCAAATTTGCCGGCATTGGCGATACTGTGGAGGCTGCTTTCACAGCGGCGGATCGACCTTGTGGCAGAACAGGACAACGACTTGATATTTTGCAGCGCGAGAAGCTGGATAAGCGTAGCGGTGTTGGACGAGGGGATGAGAGTCATTATGAACTTTTTAGAATTGGTTGGGCATAGATTTGGCGCATAGAAAGGCATAGATGAGAAGGCTTAGCAATGGTAATGCTATGGAAGAATAGATGGAAGATAGACTTCTTAGACTTAGACGACAGCATGATACATGACAATAGAATTACTAGATTACATGATAGAAAACTTGGTGCATATGTTTGGTCAGTCTTGTACAGCTTTCGACTCAAAGTAAGTAGCTGAGAACAATGTAGACGTGTGAATTGGACTACCAGGATTAAGATCAATTCTAGCGGAAATGACAATGCTGATGAACAAGGTATCTATCTCTATTACGTGAGAAAATAAAAGCTGGTAACCAATCTAAGCGCCCTATGCAAAAACCCACTCCCCAATAGTGTACGTATCGGAAGACGCATAGTTGGATAAGGTGGGTTCCAATGATTGAGTCCCAATATAATCAATGTCTTATACGTTCCGACCACTCTTCACCATGAGACTGGCCCTTCTTAAATCCAATGCATTCGACCACAGCCTGGCCTTCAACGACACAATGCAGATTAAACCTCCTGTTTCAGTCGTTAGCTCACATCCACATCAAAAGCGAGAAACTACTGACCTTCGCCTTGGCAGCGGCAGCGGCAGCGACCTTTCTCTTCTTCGCCAAAGTGTTGAAGTAGGTTCCCAGAAAGAACCCAACCATACTGAAAAACGGTGCCCAAAACTGAGGAGGCACAAAAGCCTTGGCGAATCCCAGCAGAACCGGGTACAAGGCGCAGTTGGCAGTGGTCATGGGCACAAGTCCACCTCGAACCGCCGCGCGGACTTGCTCGATGGTACGCGCTCCAGCGATGAGAGCCATGGATGCTAGATACACAGTGTTTTGGATAGGGAAGATCTGCGAATGTCAGCATCTGGTAGTCATCGTGGTGGAGAGGTTGGCATACAAATATGTAGGTTAGCAGAGTCTGCAAAAGCAAATTTCCCGCGCCTGTTCGGCCTGCAAATTTCTTCTGAAGCGTGCCGTTGAGAAGATGCGTTAAAGGCGCGCTCACAAAAGCACCGTAGAAAGCCATCTGAGGTACTCGCGACGTGAAAGTTGGACCGTGACCATCGCGTCCGTAGGCAAGCCAAGACGCTATGATTTCAGTCAAAGCCATCAAAGAGCCCGAGGTGTACATTTTTGTCTTGAGGGGCTTTATCTGGAGCTGTTTCACGTAGGCCTATGCGCGAGTTAGCACTATGTACACAGATAAGAAAAGGGGTACGTACAGTAAGGAGGGCTTTTGGCTCAAGGCCAGTTTTGCCGCTGTTTTTCGCTAAAGATGCCATCGTAGCTGGGTGTCTGTATATATTTCTAATGAAATTCGCGCGTCGTAGGTCAACGGACTGAGGTGAGACGTAGAGCGAGATGATGGGAAATGTGTCTTTGATTACGATGTTTGGAAATTAAAGATGCCTGAGGCATGGCGCTAGTAGATGAGCCGACTACATCAGCCGCCGGCCGCCTCGGTCCGAGCTAGCGGAGTACTCCGCTCTCCGGAATTTTATCAAGATGCTAGGCAGAGAGACAAATGGGGCTGCCTGGGTTCGGTCAGATATAAAAGGACGTGTAAATAAAATAAAACACAAGATTACATGTGCATTTCAGGCTTCAATTTTGATAGATATCACATAACATACAAAGCTGCAAGAACAAGTATTGATTGTGTATCTTCTACCTCCGAGGTAAGCTAATGCGGGGGTGGATCGAAATAATACCAGGGTCAATTTTAGGGCTCCTTCACTACAACGGTCGCCAGTTGGGGGGTCTTCGGCGCCGGGCTTGTATGGCTGGCGGCTTGTCCTCATAAATCATCCATCCAGTTAGCGGTCGAATACCAGTCAACACCGGCTCAGCAACTTGCTCGCCTTTGCTGGACAAGGCCTTCTCTTTGGCCGTATCGGCACCATTCATGGAGTCTGGAACTCCCTGTATACCGATAGACCCAGCCAACATTGTGCAAGCGTGCTCCTCCTCGCCTAGTTCTTTAACTTTGACCGGAACAGTGACAATCCCAGCTGGTATATCGCCTGTCTCAACTGTGATGTAAGTCTTCCAGTCACTGGTACCATTGTCTTTATAATACTGCGGATCCGTACGCCGACGGGCAACTCCTTTCTCGGACCAGTAACAGAATGCCGTGATCCAGCCTGTCACATTTCTAGAGCCCGACATGCGACGAACGTTAACGATGGAGTTCCAGAACGTTTTCAACTCTGGGTTGGCTGGCTCTGTGAAAGAGAGGATCATGCGTCGGAGAATAGGTCGCAACATCCCGGCAAATACACACGCCTCGGTGCCCATCTCTTCCAGTCTATCAAGACGCTTCAAGATCTCTTCGTAATCGCTGGCTTCTCCAAGGAGAGTTACAGAGGGGATGCCGCAGGCGCTCATACAAGTGTATGAAAAGTACTTTTGCATTGCCCCCATGAAGAGAACCGAGCCCACGACTCGATCTGTATCGGTGGTTGAAGTGAATGAAGGTAGAACCCAGTCACGGAGTTCTGGATCCTTGACATTCTTTGAGATCTCATCGGCCATGAGCTTTGCAAACACGTCATACTGGGAGTCTAAGGTTCCCCAAAGCTCCACGATGAGTTCCTTCTGACCTTCGTGACTAACAAAGTAGTCACGTAAATCTTCTGCATTGGCATTGATGTAGAAGCTTATCTGGCTGATGATGGCAAACCAGATGTCTTCAGGGCGGATGGTCAAATGATGATGGCTGCTGTAGGCATGGTAGGCTGCCCATACCAGTCCATTTGTGGAGGCTGAAAGGTGGTGCTCCTCTAGTTTGCCCTTAGTTGAGAATGAGCTTTGGAGGATCTTTTCACAGCGTCCGTAGTCGTGGGGGCTAGATCCCGCGAGGATAGCTGTAGCTGAGGCGCCCTTGAGACTGGGTTCCCAGGGTTCGGCTGGGTGGTCAACCACCGATATGGTGACGGGCATGATGGAGAACTTCGTGCTGATCAGATATTTGTTGATCTTGATTGAGGGAATACTGATTTGTAAGCTGCAAGGGGTTGACAACTGTGCCTGTTGTATGGAATAGGTTGGGGTATGAGAAAAGCAAAGTTTTATATGTACGGCTGCGTGACAGTACACGTGTTCATGTGGTTAAAGTTTAGTTGCCGTGTGGTCTATTGTGTTGATTGTATTGAGTTCCAACCTTGGAAGAGTTACTTTGAGGGTTGATAATATTGAGGGATTTAAGTTGCCTGGACTTGGTAAAGTTGATATTCAAGGAAAAGGATACCGATGTGTAGACCATCAGCTACTATATTTATATACTGTGTAAGTGTCGACTCAACTTCGGAGTGACTCGCGGTGTGTTAGTATGGCCAAGATCTTCATATTCAAAACTTACGATAGTTACACAACACTTTCCAGGCAGCAAGCCAGGCAACCAGAGGTAATCATTATAATATTATTTGCCTAGGTTATGGCGATATCCTATTTGGGGCTTCGTCCTACCTCGAAGCGGGGTTTCTGTCAGCTTTGGATTTTAGCCATTAGTGTCACTGGCTAACGTGACATCGTAGCGACGGCGCCGAGACCTCTCTACGTTACAGTGACGACTTAACTTGTCAGTTAAGTCATTCTCGTTCTTTTACCTCAGTGGCATAGGTGCCCGAAGCCAGCTGCAGGCTTGAGGCACTCTGTAGCCTACGCCCCTTTTAGTAATAAACTTATATAGAGCTATATTATATGAATCTTTATTAGTATATTATTTTTAACTATTTACATTACTAGATTATAATATAAAACAAAATATAAATCTTTTATAAAGATTAGTATTAAATAATAAGAAATCTCAATTTTGAGAAATTAAAGGAATAATAGAATCTTTCTTTATTTCAGGCTACTTTAAGAGAGATTTTTAAAGTAACTTAAATAACATAACACTTTAAAAAGGATATTTAGATTGTGTTTCTCAAAAAGGAACTTAAAGTCTACAGAATTAAATGTTAAATCTGTCTGAAATTAGTTACACTATAGTACATAAATCCTTATAGGCTCCTTTTTCGTCATTTTAAGCCCTAGCCGATTAGGGCCTAAATTTACAAGAAGTTTCTTATAACCACATCAGTTAGACACAACAGCAGCTTTATCATTCCATTAGAACTGATTGGGCCATGTTTGTAGCAGTGCATTAACGTAATGAGCACCCGATTAGCTATTGCCTCGAATTGAATTCGTTCAACTCTATTATACCTTAACTTTTCTTCAACTGTATTTACCGTTAGCGGAGTAGTATTATCTGACATGTGCTGATTCTCACCAACACATAACCCGTGGTATGAACGCAACGAATAACCGTAGCCTTGTTGGTTAGTTCATTCGCTCCGCCAAAGGTCAAGGGTTATATGTGAACTGGGTTTTTTCTCATACTAATTCGTCAAACCCCAACCTCTCCCCCGCTATGAAGCCAGGATATATGATATTTCTCATGTGCCATATTAACGTGGCCGTTGCTTCTCAAGTCTCTAGCCACTTCGTCCTCAGACTAAATGTCTATATGGAACACGAAAGACTCATTAACCTGCCTACATGACCAAAAGCCCCTTGGCTGGGACAACCGAACCAAAAACCATCGAAAACCCGGTCACGTGGCCGGATGCGTTATAACCTCCCCGCCGTACAATTGACCCATATCGGGGACAATGCAATGAGCATAGGCCAAGGGTCGGGAACACCAGAGATTAGTCGTTGATAGAATGTCATGTATCATTATTCCTTCAAGGATGCATAAATAAGAGGCTATCAAGTCTTCCAATCACTGTTCCACTTTGTACTTCTTACAACTTGTCATGACAAAGAAGGGTGACAATGGATCCAGTAGAGCAACGTTTCAGAACCAATTTAGCAAAGGCTTTACCCAATCTATCGATAGCCACGCAGGCCGTACACGCAGACGATGTCCTCAACAATGTGGACGACGTGGCGCCGCCAATCCACGTTGCCGCAACTTTCCGTTATCCACGAGCTCCGGACCTCATGCGGGAACACCACGAGAGACCTTCTTATCCGGTTCTAGATGTCGGGGAGCACTGCTATTCAAGACAATCCACGCCAGGGCTGTCGCGCCTTGAAGCCATCTTGTCTTCCATCTTAGGCCAACCCTGCATTGCCTACTCCTCTGGCCTTGCAGCATTTCATGCTTTGCTGATCATGCTGGGACCTAAGAAAGTCTCTATCGGCGCGGGATATCACGGATGCCATGGGACCCTGGAACTATATGCCCGTGCTTCTGGCACCGAGATACTCTCACTCGACTGCCCCGTTGACCAATTAGGACCCGGCGACTTGATTCATCTCGAGACACCCGTCAATCCGACCGGAAAAGCCTTTGACATTCAATATTATGCAGATCGTGCCCATTCCAGAGGTGCCTACCTTAGCGTAGACTCGACCTTTGCACCACCTCCACTCCAGGACGCATTCATCCAGGGTGCAGATATCGTCATGCACTCTGGAACAAAATACATCGGTGGCCACTCCGATCTCCTATGCGGCATTCTGGCTATTAAAAGTGGCAGCCCCGGCAACGAATGGCTCCAGCAACTCCATCGGGACAGACTGTACCTTGGATCCATCATTGCAGGTTTTGACAGCTGGCTTGCAACTAGGAGCATCCGCACTCTCGAGATGAGAGTTCTCAAGCAAAGCCAGTCGGCCCAGACTATCGTCAATACATTAAGGCTTGGCTTGGTGGGGACAACTCCCAGTGATAAAGAGGTCCAGATCATCCAGAAAGTGGTCAAAGAAATTCACCACGCCAGTCTGCAGGACGAAGCTAATACGGAAGGAAGCTGGCTACGAAAACAAATGCCCCGAGGATATGGACCCGTGTTTTCTCTGACACTTCACAAGGTGGAATATGCCCGGAACCTTCCGTCAAAGTTGACTCTCTTCCAACATGCAACTAGTCTCGGCGGTGTGGAAAGTTTGATTGAGTGGAGGACAATGACGGACTCGACGGTGACAAAGGACTTTTTGAGAATCAGTATTGGCGTAGAGGGTCCGGAAGATCTCTTGGCGGATCTACTTCGAGGTTTAGAAGCCGTCATGACTGAGGCTAGTTGAGACTCAAGTATAGCAAAGAACTTAACTTTAGTTGCTTATAGTGTTGTTTCTTGCAGTGATGATAGCTCAGGCCACGCTAAATCCCTGATCGTTTATGATTACTATGACGTTAAAAAAAACTAGAGATTTCCTACCTCCCATGTTCCAAAAAAGGGACCACCCGAATCTTGAAATTGAAAGAACGGATCATACGTCATATCTACAGACATAGGCCAAGAGGCATTGGGTGTATGCTCCATGGAACCTCCACCCCCCTCGGGAATAGAAGATTGGGCTGGAAGATGTGCTTGATACTCTTGGGATCCCTGCCCAGATCTTGTTCGCCGTCCTGACTGCGGAGGTAATGCCTGTCCATTTCCTAGGCTTACTTCAACAGTAGGACTGTGGAAATTATCTATCTCGACGACATCTTCCCCGTCATCCGTGTTGTCCTCTGGAAAAAGAGAGCTGCCATCGAAAAGACTTCTTGTATGGGGACAACTTGTCGTGCCCCTGTAAGCACCAGAGTTGTAAAGGAGTATATCCCACATCAAACGCGTGTTGATCGAGATGGTCCTCGGCGATGAGGCCTCTTGTTCCTCATCATCTACTGCAAAAGCCGCCCGGATCAAAGACTGGAGTCTTTCGTGCTGCCAAAGATTAACGTTCTGGTAATATGCAGATGTAATGGTCCTACTCACCAACCATCTACAACAAGGCCATAGCAAAGCCATCTCAGCCAAGAATGCGACACATTTCGCGAGTCTATCCAGCGCCGCCTCCCTGGTAGTCTTATCAGCCGCCCGGCAAAAGTAGATATGAATGGTGGCCGCGATCGCCGCACAATGACCAATGAATGGATCTGAGACGCGATATTCTTTATGAAGGACCATCTCGATGAGGCGTGCAACCCATGTGCTGTGGATAAAGGCAAGTTCTGAGGATGTTTTCCAGAACGTGTTTGGAACTCCCAATTGAGCCGACTGTTGCGGTCGTGATGAATACAGAAAGGGATGGTTTAGCATGTTGTGTATGGTGTGATATGCAAATTGCTGGTATACCCATGGGCTCCAATACCCTCGATTGCGTTGAAGGTGCCGGCTGTCTTGATCAGTAAATCGCGCGCTATCGAATCGGTGGCGGTCTGGGAATTTCGTCTCTGAGTCCATGAGGTAGGCGTTAATAACAGCGTATCCAGACTCGATTGACCAAGGAGGTGGTGCATTATTGGTCTGCTGAGCCCATTGCTTCACGTATGTGCGGACCTCTCCCCATAGTGTAGACGTCTGAATCATGTAGGCCCATGTTCCACTCTTCTTATCAGCACTGGTTGTTTCGTCTTGAGCTGATATGTCTTCGCGTGGAATGGCTGGGGGCATTTCATTGACGCTCTTCCGTGGGTCTGTATACGTCGCGATATATTGCGGTTTGGTAATATCTTGCAAGATGTCCGTCGTGAGGGATTGGTGTCCGTACATCTGCTGTAGCAAGTGCAGGCTCCAGAACACTCTTCTTCGGGTTTCTGCGCGCGGGCTAACGTCGTCAAGGGCGCAGATCTCAACATCAAGATTGGCACATTTCGAAAGTGTGACTGCTAAGCCCACGTGCAGATATGCCAGGGTTGTCATGTTGGCTATGTAGCATGTTCAGCACATACCTACAGCTAGGATAAGTAGAAGATTTACCTTGTATATTGGCCAGTGTCAGCATGCAGAGGTTCTGAATTGTGGTTATTGAAACCTTGCCCTCGCCTACCTGCTGCAAGATTCCCTCTCTTGCAGCCTGTGCATAGGTGTGACCCAATTCGTGCAAACGACCTTGGAAGAAAGGATGTTTTGAATGACAAGAAGCAAGGGCCAGTAGGGTCAAGAGTGTCCCTTCACTACAATCCTGAATGGAGGAAAAGTCTTCCTGATTGAATAACCATAAAGGCTGCTTGTGACAATATTGGAAGTACGCATTGATGACATCTTCCAGGACATCCTTGCCCGGCAATAAGCTGCTTCGGCCAGTTAGCCAAGACGATTCACTGGACAAATATGTCCCAACTTTCCCTACTTCCGGGGAGCTATCCATCTCAATGCTATGTGATAGCGATAGCTGCCAGTCCTCAGATTGGCCTGAGTTGGATGATATTCTTGTGGTAGAAGATTCCATGTCACTATTCGTCCTATCGAATTGATATTAGCGTCATCAGCCACATCCCAAAGAGAAAAGATGAGAAGGGTTGAGTGTACTCTTGCTTTTCCATCATGCGAATCTTTGCTTCGAGCTGGGCCAACCGTCTCTCCTAACAGCACCCACTGTGAGTAACATGACTTAATTATGCCCGACTACAAGCAGGCATACTGTTTCTGTTGAAGTGCTCCCATTTCGAGAAGCCGAGGCCAGAGGGTTTCCTCGGATTTCTGGGTATGTGCATGTTTTTGAAAGGCGAGTACAGCTTGAACAAGCCGGTCTCTCGCCCGGACATCGAGTTTTCTTCCTTCTGTTCATCTCTGGTCAGTATTGCAGAGCCAGAGCACCTGGCTACAGAGGGACTCACCGGCAGTTCTCGCATGCTTGGTGCAGACGCTTATGAGATCGAACGCCATACATGACGTCTATTTTATCAATTGGCAAGATAAATGCTTGCGAGAAATGAGGGGACTTGTCTAGGTACCAAGCTGGGTGATACCTTTATACATGGTCTTATCAAATGCGGGGATATACATTGGAGACTAACTTTATTAAGCGCGGGGTCGACGGTAGTATCGCTGTACGGTAACCGTTAGTTGGACGGGTGACTGTTGACTTGTATTTCTTAACTTATACCGTGGATAACGTATTGCCAAGTATGGCTAGGTCAAATATTCGTCCCGATGACATCGGAGGACAGGCTGCGTTTTACGAGGAACTGAGTACAGCGAACTTGAGTCATCAGAAGCATCTTAGCAATAGCGGCACCATTTATTAAGCTGAAAATACAAGATGATACTGGTTGCGTCAGCTAACATTGTACTCCTAATAATCTAAGCATTGTGAAACCAATGAGGTTGACGATATGTGCTGCTGACCCGGGAAGATAACGCTTTCATAGACCCACCATGTCGTTGCGACGTATAGTTCGTATCTTGAACGAAAAGATACTGCTGAATAGGAGATGGTTTGATGGATCGACAGGTATTTAATTATTTATTCTACACCCGGCCCTCACAACCGTAACAAACAAGCTTGCCTTAAGGTGCAGTCCATCCATCCCAAAACTCACCACTCCATATTAGCATTATCAGCCCCGCAAGCCAGTCCATCACAAAACTCATCATCCCCCTTTGTAACCTCCGAATTCGCTACATGTCGACGAGCTGGCCATATCCCTGCCATCAAATCCTGCTCCTTCCTACGGTGCTCAGTCAAAATCTGTCTAACCGTGTTCTGGAAGAAGATGGGCGCGCTCTCCAAGTCTGGATGCAGCTCTCCATTAGTGAAGATACCTGCTTCCAAGTTCTTCTGTACTGCATCACATAAATACTTGTCTTCCCCGAGAACTCGCTTGAAGAAGGAGTTGGTTTTCTCAAATTCTTCGTCAGTGGCATCTTTATGGCGATAGACTTCGTACTCCATTGAGCAACTGCCGACTGATGTTGGAACACATCGCATCATGTAGAAGAAATGTGGGCTATGTAAATGGATATTAGCTCTGTCTATTCTCCAAACACAACATTTGAGTGATAAACTTACGAAACAGTCATGCAGGAGTTGGGGAAATAGTAGGTGCTACTAATCTTGATATCGTCCTTTTCTGTTCCCTTCTTTGGCCGCGAAAAGTGCTGGATGTAGCCTGGCTTGGAGACGGTGTAGTAAAAGGTCAAGTCTGTTATCGCCTTGACATCTGGGTGTGCAACCTGGCAATGATAACATTCGTTGTAGTTGTCGGCAAGGGCTTTCCAGTTGTACTTGCCCGGCATGCCCCAGACGTGATCAAATTGATATTGAGAAAAGTCAAAATGTTTGAATCGTTCCTGCGAGTCAACACCCTCAAAGTCGTCGGTCCATTTCACTTCAGGTTCTGGAGACGCATCCAAGTTGACCCAGACGAATCCAATGGCATCGACATGGACATGGACAGGAAAGAGGCTATGGTTCTCCTTGTTGAAGTTCGGGACGGTGTCAAAGCGCGGCGCCTTGGCAAGTTTTCCGTTTATGCCGTAAGACCAGCCATGATACTTGCAGGAGAAGATCTTGGCGTTTCCCGCATCCTCTGTGACTACAGGGAACGCTCTGTGCCTACAGATGTTGTGGAAGCCATTGATGGTTTCTCCGTCCTTGTCCAGGCACAGCACGAAAGGGTAGCCAGCCTCCTCGAAACGTAGAAAGTCTCCGGGCTTGGTGAAGCGCAGTTTATGCGTCGTGAGAAGCCATCGCTTAGAGAAGATGGCGCGTCGCTCAAGCTGATACATTTCGTCGCGTCGATACCACGATGCGGGAAGGGCTCGCGGTCCTTCATCTGGCTTGCTGGACAGAATTGACTTTACATCTGCATTTCCACTGGTCATGGCCAGCACCGAACCGAGTTTAGAGAACATGGCGTTGACGTGAGATTGGTACTTGAGAGCCGGAAGTAGGTAGTAGATATCGTTTACAACAAACAATGATAGATGTAACTGAAAACCAGACATGAAGCTGTGATTGTTCTCTTGATTTAACTAACATTCCTCAATCACCTTCCCGTGGTCTATGAACGGGAAGCAACTCTCCGGCCTCCCCGAGCTTCTCCGCCACCGTCGTATCACTATCTTCAACGCCATATCTTTATTGCCAAATACCACTACATGAATTAGTTGGGGGGGAGCAACAACACCATACCTTTGTTCGGAGCATCCTATACTCTCCCCGCTCCGATCGGCCCCACTTCCGGGGAGGCCCCAGCGACACTCCCCGACCACGTGCCCACGTTATCAGTAACAGTTTAAACTACTAACGTACTACGTAGTAGTTCACCCCTCACTGGCCTTGATACAGATCCCCAAATCAGCTCTTTCTGATTCGTCGGGATCAAACAGGATGTGTATTCCTCGCTATCGGCTAGATAAGAAAGAGAAAGGCCAAAATGGGAACAAATGAGATGTACAAAATTAATAATAAAAGTCAGGTCAGGCTCCACGTTTTCAGTTGAGTTTCCACAATTTGGCCATCTCATTTACCCAGACCAAATTAGCCTTTACAAACACTATTTCCTTTCCGTACCTTGCCTGATCATGACAGAGAAATCTCCACAGTCAGAGAAGCTCTCTGATCGAGAGCACTATGCCGGCCTACGTACCAGTGGCGACAGGCCTGCTGATTCTATGAGTTGCGAGATCGAAACTGAGGATGACCAAATCTTCTCTCTGCGTGAGATCGACCCTGTACTTGATGCCAAGATGCGTCTCATCAATAAGGTCCAACGAGCTCCAATCCATGCATGAACCAAACTAATCCACCTACTGTGTAGACAATGGATGAGATCGGGTGGACAAACATGCACCTCAAGCTTTTTTTCCTCAATGGTTTCGGTTACGCTGCTGATTCTCTTATCCTTGCCCTTCAAGCTGTAACTGCCGGCCAGGCTGCTCTGGAGTTTCGTCCTGCCTTCTCTTATGGCCTCAATGTGGCTGTGTATACAGGAATGCTGGTCGGGGTGTTGTTCTGGGGACTAGGTAACCCACTATGCTCATTTTAGTTTTCTGACAAGAGTCTGACTTGCTACTAGGTGCGGATGTCATTGGTCGTCGTTATGCCTTCAACATTTCACTATTCTTATCTTCTGTATTTGCCATTGCGGCTGGTGCTGCGCCTAATTGGATTGCCCTTGCTACTTTCGTTGCTCTAGCTGCGTACGTTCCTCATCATCCATGCTGCAAACTTACTAAAACTATATCAACAGATTTGGTGCCGGCGGGAACCTCGTTCTCGATACTACCGTGTTCCTCGAGTTTCTCCCTGGCAACAAGCAATGGCTTATCACGCTGATGGCTTGCTGGTGGGGGCTCGCATATGTCATTGTTGCCGCCTTTTGCTGGCCAATCTACTCCAATCCCAAGTACATTTGCATGGACGCCGATACATGCACCAAAGATAACAACATGGTTAGTAAATGTACTTTAAACATCGTTTCTTTAGTGTTGAAACTAATCATGTCAAAGGGCTGGCGATATGTCTGGTACGGTAATGGGGCTCTCGTCTTTGTGTGCAGCATTTTACGAGTCACAGTAATCCGACTCAAGGAGACCCCCAAGTACCTTCTCGCCAAAGGCGACGATGCTGCGGTGGTAGCTATCTTCCAAGACATTGCAAAGGAATATCAACGACCATGTAGTCTCACCCTTGAGGCGCTAGAATCTATGGGGACCATCAACTCCACTTATGGCAAGTCTAGGTACAGCGTCGGCGAGTTCTGGGCACATATCCATGGATTGTTCGTGACAAGGAAGCTTGCCATCTCAACCGTTCTGATTTGGATATCATGGCTTCTAATTGGTAAGCAACCGCTACTTTGCATTGTGATCATGGAACTAACGTGTCCAGGCCTGGCATATCCACTGTTTTATGTGTTTCTTCCTGATTATCTTGCCAGTCGTGGTGCCCAAACCGGAGAATCAGGACCATATTATCAGTGGAGGAACTACATGCTCAGCAGTGTCACAGGAATCTTCGGGCCAGTAGCTGCTGGATTCATGTGCAATTCCAAGCTGCTTGGCCGCAAGTATACCATGGCAATTGGAGCCCTCGTCACGATGGCCTTCTTTTTCGCTTATACTGCTGTCAAGACTCCGGCCCAGAACGTTGCCTTGAGCTGTGTCATAGCTTTTACGTTGAACATCTACTATGGAACATGTGAGTCGCTGGTGTTTAGATAACAGGACCTCTACTGATCTGAATTCCTACCAGTATACGCCTACACTCCAGAGGTTTGTCAATCAGCAATAGGATTCCCTGTAGGTGCATGACTGACACAACGCAGGTACTACCATCAGCCCATCGCGCAACGGGTAATTGAATAGCTGTAGCAGGAAACCGAATCATGGGATTGGTATCCTCGTTTGTGGCAGCTTACGGTAACACTACAACATCTGTACCCATCTATGTATGCGCTGTGCTCTATGTTATCATGGTAGGTTCCTCCTGATGACAATCTCTGAGAAGGGCTACTAATTATGTACTAGGCTATTATAGCTGTTCTTCTACCTTTTGAGCCTTATGGGAAGCGATCTATGTAAGGAAGTGATCACATCATCCTGATTTCAGTGTTTGCTTTGGGTGTCTTCTTCTCTCAGGATGGTACTTGTGCTATCAGCTATAATTCTAAGTGCTCCTCTGTGGTACTTTTGATGCACAACCTGTCATTATCTAGTTGCTCTTTATGTTCTCTCGTGTTTAGTCTATTTTACAGTATTTTATTTATCCTCGTTACAGTAGGTACCATATTTACACAATGCAAACTAGTCTGCTTGGCTTTCTGTAAGTATAAGTAAAAAGTGTTTCCACTAACAAGTTAATTCCGCTTGATCGAGGTAAAGAGGCTACTAAAGGGGATTTTTACCCTCTCAATTGGCCGGAATGGTTTGAGGATCGATACGTTGACTAAACTTCAAGCGAGTTGCCATCAGAACAAGCGTAGCATCAGCACATCATGTCAATACCGAGAAACACATTTACTTTGTTATATAGCTAACGAATATAGATTTTGTACTGTGAGCTACATTCTGAAATGGCCATAGTTGTGCATATCATCTTAATGCTAGATCTTGCTTCGAATAGCTGATTGAATCGCTGGGATGACAAACTTGGAGAGATCCTCTGTTGTCTTTCCATCTATAGCCAGTTCCGCCATGACACGACCGATGACTGGTGCGAATTTGAAACCGTGAGCCGCCCCTAATGCAACCAAGATGTCGGGATACTCATCAAGCGCGCTGAGTATGAAATGCCGACCTGGGGTAATCGTATACTGGCAGGTAACCGTGCGAAGGATGTCAAGTTCCTCATCTTTGGATGTGAAATCCTTCATGAATGCGGCCAACTCATTCAACAGCTTCGGGGAATGGGTATAGGATCGTTCTTCAGGGCTCATGTGGTTGTTTGATACGTCGCGGCCAGCCTTGATGGTAGGTTCGCCAAAGGTCGGAAATCCGTAGAATGTCTTTCCGTCAACCACTCGAATCCACACAGGAAAGTGACTGGCATTGAATAAGCCGGGCTCTTTTGGCTTGAAGTAAGTTACTTGCTCTTGCATAACCTCAAGTGGGATTTGGGCACCCAGAGGAGCAAGCAGTTTGTTGGTCCAGGCGTCTGCAGCTAGAATGACCTTGCGAGCTTGGAAGTCGCCCTGCTTTGTTTTGACGATGACTCCTTTGTTGAGATCTTTCGTAATGGGGATAATTGCAGTCACTGGAGTATTTTCCTTCAAAATGGCTCCGTAAGCACGAGCAGCGAATTGCATCGCTATAACAGACTTGGCCGCGTGCGCAATACCAGTATCCGGGGTATACACGGCATTCTCGTCAGCACCAATATCCAATTTTGGCCATCGCATATTGACCTCTGTAGCGTTCAGCAGCTCGTAGGGTACGTTGTTGGCTTCGAGGCTCGCAGTGTAATCCGAGACCTTGACGCCAGATGACCAGGTGCGATCATTCGCAAGTACAACAATGCCACCTGTGACGGTCAAGAGCTTCAATCCGGCGTCTTTCTCCAGGTCGGCCCAGTCTTTGTAGGCGGCTTTGGCGAGCGAGACGTATTCTGGAGCATCGTATGCAGTGCGGACAATGCGAGACGTGTCGTGGGATGCGCCACGGACATGGCCGAACTCAAACTGTTCAAAGCCCACAACCTTTGCTCCTTTTCGCGCGGCTTGCCAGACTGCTGCGCTTCCAAGGGCACCGAGGCCTACGACGGCGATATCGAACTTTTCCATTGTGCTGTGTTTGTTGGGTTCTGTACTGGTACTGTAAACTCTGTGTTTGTTGTTGTTCTGTACTGTAAACTCTGTGATTTGATGTCATCACCTAAAGTTAACGATGAAGGAAAGCAAGTGATATTATATGCCTGTTATTTGATATTGCAGTGCATCACCCAGCCAGGAACGGTGGCCAAATGTGTGTACTGTGTAGTATGCGACAGCCCGACGGTCGGGGAGCATACTCCCCGACCGACTCCAACGGCTCGGCTGTCTATCACTAGACTCCGCGTTCGGTGGCGCCTAAATGGGACACGCTAGCCCGTCCTTTCTCCGCCTGTATTAGCTCGGAAACATTCGTGAGTGACCACCGATATGGTGACGGGCATAATGAAGGGCTTGGCATTGATAAGATATTTGTTATTTTGATTGAGGGAACCTGGAGTGCAGGCACCTTCCCTATAGGTGCAGGCTAGCAGGCTTTGTTATCACACAGTCCCATGCCACTTGATCATGCAACGATGCATACACAGTCAATAACGTTACGTCTATTCGTTTTTTCTACATGCTAGAAGCCCGCTCATTGCCAGAAACCTCCTGATGCAACCACTTCCTCCAATCATCATCCTTGAGAATGTGTCTAACCCTCCCCTCAAGCCACTCGGTATTCCCCCAGAATCCCCACGATGCTTGGAATCGACACCAATCAACAAGAGCACACTCCCAGTGTCGAACAAGTGTGTCCCAGCTGTAATCAAGGGGCTCTTTATCCGCTGGTCGACGGCTCAATAGGGTTTCATGGTACAAATATAGCAAAGCTTGTTCTCCATGGTCCATCTCCATCTCGTGCGGTATCGATGGGCGGTCTGTCAGCATGTCGAGCGGAACAGAGCATGTGAATAACTTGGCTAGATCGCAGACTCCAAAACCAAGTCCAACGTATTGAAAGTCAAAGAAGCAGACAGCCTCGCCTGACTCGGTGGTGAAGAGATTCTCGGACTTGACGTCGCCGTGGATGATTGTTTCGTAAGGACGGCCAGTGGGTGTGAGAAAGTCGGCTACCACTTCAGCAATTGACTTGTTCGATCCTTGGAAGGGAGAGCAGAATGCTTCTGACCATTCCGAGTTGGCGTCGACGGAAAGTGAGGCATACTCCTTTCGTCGTGTGGCGAGGTAGGTATAACCACCGTTCAACCAGAGCTTGCTTCCCGCAGAAGTGTTTGAATCCCGTCGTTTGAATTCTTCAAGGGGCGGTAGAAGATATTCATCGAGGTTCCCAGGCAGTGACTTCCACGAGCTGCTGTGGAACTTTGCCAACCACTCCAGCGCGGATTGAACCTGTCGGGGCCCTAAAACCGCTCGCTGCCCCCCTTCGACCGGGAACTTGACTCTCAAGTCGGTGAGAATGGTCGCCGTCAATCCCTTCAATTCGCTATCTCCATGTTTCGATTTCCAACTCGAAGTCAGACAATGCGCCACTGGTACATCGTCCTCCAACTGAGGGGCAATGTGCTCGTAGAAATACTGCTCCACATCGTAGCTCAGGATCTTGCGAAGATGTCCCTCATCTGTCGGACCTGGGGGTGGAGAGATGAGTTTGAGAATGAGGAAGAAGGTGTTGTTGGAGCCTTTTGCGTGAGCGAGGAGGCGAGCGGCTGCAGCTGCTTTGAGATCGGTTGGTTTTGCGGTAAGGGCGCAGATGTGGCCGTATCCAGCCCAGAGCGTTTGTAACTCTTTGAATGATGTTACTTGAAGGCCTAGAGGCTCCAGAAGGAGTTCAGCAACGCGCTTTGACTCATCTGCCATTTTGAAAGAATGAGGTTATTCTCAGTGGTCAGTGAGATGAATGTTGGATCCTTGATCATACGTCATTGAGGTAAGTGGGAATGGCGGGTCGGAAAATCATCTCGGATGTGGAGTACGGCCCATGGGGATTATGGATAGTTATGTCATTGTTCGTAAGGATGTAAAATCGAAGGATTCCTTGTAACAAACGCAGCCCCATCAAACAAGGTGAGACGATGAGAGTGTACCGAGATTACAGGGCTGAATAAGCTTATTTGTTCGACTCGGCTAAGGCGCGGCGGTGAGGATTGTGGCCTGCCATGTTGAGTTGAATGGGACACGATTATGGCAGTGCACGTGGGGTATTCACAAGTGCAAAAAGATCATAAAATCGTGAATAAACCCATTCACGCCACGGCACGCCATGTTTGTTAGGGCCATGCCAATCAGTGGTTGACTGAGACATCTGGACCAGCTTTAGATGTGCAGATCTGTCTGTCTCACAGTCTGGCAATCTGGCGGCCTCACAGCTCCCACCACCATGCACCGCAATAGAGGATCAATTCCTTCTTTGGAATACCACCTTCCCAGGGCAGTGACATAGCCCCGGCAGAGTGAGACGAAACAAGCTCAAGACTGGCGCCTGGAAAGGCTTCTTTCAACAGGTGTGAACAAGCCTAGTTCGCTTGAAAGGATCCCTGCAGCAAGGCTGAATTTAAAGCAAGGGTCTTCAAGTCAATCAAGGGCTGCATGGCTTTTTTATTGGTTGGTCTGCTTCGAAGGATGCTAATGACATGAATGTCTCGTCGAAGTAATTTCCCGACTTTTCACCCAGCGGCCTCAGCTACATGCTATAAGAACCTTGTTTGTCCTACATCAGACGAACCCCCAACATATACGACCAATACAGCTCCAACTCACATATCATCATGCGATCTACCGCTCTCAGTCTTCTAGCTCTGGTCCCATGCTTGGCTGAAGCAAAAAGCACAACCCATTACAGCACTGAAACCGTCTTCATACCACCACGCAAGACAGGAAGTGCCACAAACATTTACGCTTCTCTCATCACAGAAGATGCATCCAAGACAGAATATCTCCTCGCCTGTCAGACAAACTTCGGCAGTTCATATACATGCGATGGTGAATTCACTGGCGTTACGGTGACTTATGAGAAGTCAAGGATGGACGTTGCCTTTGATGTGACCTCTTATGGCTGCGGATTAGGCAAAGATAAAGCTGTTTGCGCTCTTCAGATTGAGACAGCTAAGGCCGAGACAACAACTCTTGCTTCGTCAGAGAGTTCGCTGTGGATGACGGCCATCACAGTCGTTGATGTCAAGAAGAGAAAGACTACGTCTACAAAGTCACATCTGCCTAAGGAAACGGGAACGAGTAACAGGCTTTGCAAACGCAAGGTTCATCATGGCAGTGGAGATTCAGATTCCTCCAGTGGTGGTAGTAGTGGCAGCAGTGGAGGCGATAAAAGTGGTGATAGTGACGCTCCTGATGATACCAGCAGCGATGGGGCAAGCAGTAGCAGCAAACCCAAGAAGAACGACGATGATGATTGCTCTGCTGGTTCTGTCGCCTCTTGGAGCTGGAGCGTCGTGGCTTTGGGTTTTGGTGGTTACTTGGGTTTGAACTTGGCCTAGAGCAACTATGTGGCTTTGTTGAAGCTGTTTGTTGTGACGGACACTTCTACACGTACTTATTACATGAATTGTTACCTTAGCGAGCGATCGAGGGAGGGTTAACCTAGCTTTTGCCAGAAATTTGAGATTCTTAGAGATGGGGCATGATCAATGTCATCGATTCCTCGCGAGTATTTGAAAATCTGTTGGCAGTATTTGTCTCCTAACCGGGACACTTAATCACAGCCTTCACTAGTTTCTTCGAGGACACAATTCTCTGTTGTAGAGCTTCTGAAATTTGTAATATGTTGCAGCAACTGCTCTATTCGACTTTGTTGTTCCCACTATTATTAACAATCTTGTGAGATTGACTTTGAATATACGTCTGGTAGTGTCGTTCCGATGTGTTGATGGCTTACTTAAAGATGCCACTCCAAGACTCACCACACCATTTGACTGGAATAATGTCTCAGGATATTCGTATCACCGGAGCTGCTGGCATATACCTATCACTCGGCTCTAAAATCGGTGCTATAAGGTCTCCAGAAGAGGATCTGTCATCGCCAATTTTCTCAAACAGGATCTGCCACCATCAGCAAGCACCATCTCTTTGCTACTGAAATTCGAGGACAGGGAGGATTCACCGCTTGGTCTTGGTTCCAATGTCTTGAAATTGGATCTCACAGATCTGCCAGTACTTGGTGATGCCCATATGTCAATACTATGGTTTTCCCTCAGCGGTCAAACGGACACCTGAGACGCTTCAGCCTATTGTAAATAAATACGGCCAATTCAATTGATCCAGGTCAGGTCTTACCTTGTATCAATGCTTTGGCACAACGACAATCCAATACTGAGAAGTCGATTCACTTCATTCATGTAACCTCTTCCGGGGTCGCCTTTTGATCCAACAGCAACAAATATGTTACTGAAGTTTCACAAACAATTCAGACCGTTTACATGCCAGATCTGAGTACTTCTCGTTAGCAAACTTCAACTCAACAAAAAGTAGTGAAGAGGGATGACTTTGCTCTTGCTCATGACCTAGATACTTGGGAGTTCAATCATCAGCAGCGGCGTTGACAACTCACCACAGATGAAGAAAACGAGTTTTTCTTGATATAAGTGAGATTTATTTTATTCCGCAACCCTTTGTAACTTATTCTCCGTCGTCGGATTTTCATGACAGCATTTGTCTACCTGCTAATCCATCATCTAGCCGAGCATCTCTCATCAAAATTGCTCACGTTTCCATCTCATATCTCTCACTTCCACGATGTCTTTTGCCGCCCAGTGATTGATAAAGAGGAATATGATTGGTTCCAAATCGATCGAAGCTCACGGGGTCTCAATACCATGCCTGTTCGGTAGCTCGGTCCTCAAAGGAGACTTGACAACACACTTCACACAGACACAAAAGGGGATATTATTACCTATTCCACCTGCAATCCGGTGGCTCCGAATTTCCCTAAATAGGTACGACTATGGTCCAATTGCGTTCGCCACCGTTCAGGAGATGGTCTGGTCGGTTTATCTACCGAGTACGCGGACAATAGTTACATGGCATTTCATTGCTGGGAGAACTAATCCTTAGTTCTGATTGGTGGATATTCTTGGAAAACAAACGGTCGGTAGTCGGCACTTACGGGGCCTCCCTTACCAGATACGACCATTTCGTCCGTTTTGGGGTTTCAGGTTGTAAATCAATTTCCGGGGCACGGTTGCTAAAGTCTATACTGATGTGTTATAAGTATCACCATCCGCCAAGATGTCTCTGGTGCTCTTCAGTTCCTCAACAATTCACTCATTCAACCCTATCATTCATTTACCATCTATCATCATGAAGTTCTTCGGTGTCGTCTCGGCTCTCCTGGCTGTGGCCTCTGCCACGCCTACCACTCCCTCCAAGACCCTCGACAAGCGTGCCACCACCTGGTGCGACTCTTTCGGCTCTGTCCAGACTGGTGGATACACCGTCTACCACAACAACTGGGGCCGTGGTGAGGCTACCTCTGGATCGCAGTGCACCACCTTCAACTCTTACAAGAGCGGTTCTTTCTCTTGGTCCACCAAATGGAGCTGGGCTGGCGGCAACATCCACGTCAAGTCCTACTCCAACGTTGCCCTCGAGAACATCAACAAGAAGGTCTCGGCCATCAAGTCCATCCCTACAAAGTGGACCTGGCGATACTCCGGTACCAACATGGTCTCTGATGTTTCTTACGATCTCTGGCTCGCTCCCTCTGTTGGCGCCAACAACAAGTACGAGATCATGATCTGGGTCGGTGTCTACGGCGGCGCTGGACCTATCTCCGACCACGGAGCTACCCCTCTTGCCACCCTCACCATCAACGGTGCTCAGTGGAAGCTCTTCCGAGGTCCCAACGGCGACACCACTGTGTACTCTTTCGTCGCTACCAAGAACCAGGGCAACTTCGAGGGCGATCTTCTTCCTTTCCTTACCTACCTCACCAAGAGCCAGGGCGTTCCCAGCAGCTACGTCGCCACCAGCTTCCAGGCCGGCACTGAGCCTTTCGTTGGTAAGTTTTGTCTTTTGCGGTTTTGTACAAAAGCTAATCTTTGCAGGTTCTGACTGCACTTTCTCCACCTCTGCCTACAGCCTCTCTGTCAACTAAAGCCTGCCGCGCTTCTAGTTTGGCATATTCTGACCGTATCATATATTTGCATTGTATATAGCCTGAGCTTGATCATTTCTCGCGTCTCTTGTCAAGGAACGTCCTGAATACCAGTACATTATCGTCAAATGTGGTAGTTGCGCAACCGGGTGAATGATCGTGAATGTTTTAATAATGCCTGTCTCATGCAATCACACTATCCGCTTTGTTTGTCTGATCCAAGTGCCTGTTTGCCCTTCAATCCCGATTTCCCCCCATGCCATTTCGATTTAAATAAGAAAGGTGTAATTATTCTTGTATTAAGAAAAATATTTCATATATTAGAGCTACTTCATATATCATACAGCTATTTTAGATATAATTTTTGTATACTTGTTAAATATAGACCCCCTTTTATAGTAGTTAATATATAGATATAGACCCAGGGTACATATCTATTTATTTAGTATAGAGAGAGGGGGTCTATATTTAAGATATACACTTAAAAATAAATAAAAATGCACATAATAATACCACTGTTTTATATGTAATTATCACTATTTTAAAAAGAATTATTAAAATAGTTATTATAAATAGACCCCCTTTATCTATACTAAATAAATAGATATGTACCCCGGGTCTATACCTATATATTAACTACTATAAAAGGGTGTTCATTTTGATAGATTTACTTAAAAATTAATAACAATATATATAATCATTTTTCTTTTAGTAAGGACATAATTATTTTAAATATTATTATTGAAACATTTGTTATCTACAAACTATATATTCTCTAAACTCAGTATATAAATGTAAAAATAATTCTTAAAATATAAAATAACTAATTATACATAATATACTGTTTTATAACTTAGTAAAATTCTCTTTCTCTATATTTATATGGTTTATTTATTGTATAAACCTATTCTTGGTAAATATTAATCTGTCCAAATTATAAGTGCCTTTTATTTCCAGAATGGCCTTTGCAAACAATCCGTTCACATGACCCGCAGGAAGGGCACAAAAAGCGGCAAGACATGGTGCACTGTTGTACAAGCAGTCTAGGGTGGTAATTCCATAGCTGTCAGCTCCTCAGGTTCCATGCATGCAGAAGAATTGTTGATTTAATTGATGGCTACATTCACCAAATATCATGAATTCCCTTATCAGTGGATTCTGAGAGACAGGTTGGGTAAACGGTGTTGGATAAATATTTCCAAGCTTTTACGTCACGCAATTAAAGTGGTCAAGTCTGACACCCCAAGAATGGAACCAGCTCCGTGAGAAAGATAATTCCGATCGCGGAATGGGGAACTGATGGATCAGATAAGATTAGACAAGATCGGTGCATGACTGGAACGGACGCCTGGGCAGAAAGTTGGAGGTCGATTGGCCAAGGAATGTATTCCTTGTTTGTCCGAAATGATGAGACCGAGATGATGAGACCAGCTTTGGCTCACGCAACGGTGGCTTGTCTTGCGGCACATTCTGTGCGGACAATCGATGGTTCTTGATGTCGTGCAGTGAAGACTGACCAGGTGGATTTATTGGCAATACACCAATGCTTCGTGATGATGAGTATTATCAGATCAGTAAAGTCACCTCTCTTTCAAACCCCAGTAATCTACAAAATTTGCTGTGATCCACCGATTGCCCCATCATTCCGGCTTTATCCTACTCAATGCGTTTCTTTTCCGGCTGCCCAAGGGTCCATCTCTGTAATAAATTCCTAATTTCCGCTCACATGTCACGAAAACACATTCTAGACTGTTTTCATCACGCTGCTGTGGAGTCTTTGACAAAACTCTTCCTCAGCTAGGGAGCCAAGCCTTGTGCTGAGACCCGACGATGTGGGATGATGGCCAGATGCAGAATCGCCTCCGCGAGACAGGAGATTAGATGGGGTTGCGTAGTTCAAGCCGAATGTTCCGCCGTGGGCCAAGATGGACGGTTGTGGCATGTTATCAATCAGTCCTATCAGTGCGTTGCCTGACAGGAAGATCTTCTTTAGAGAAAGTCAAATGTTCCCAGGTGGACCAAAGAGCGACGTTGCATGACCGAGGCGATGAATGATCCTGCAAAAGCTGAAAGAGTGGATTTGAGAAGATCAAAGACGATGTAACCGTTGATTCGATACAACCCCCGACTTGACGATCACTTCCTTTTGCGGTACCTACGAACGGAAGCTGATTGCATCGGCGAACCCGTCTGTGTTCCGATCCATTCGTCCCCAAGTCTAGGCAGCTGTTTAACCAGCCTGTAACCATGAAAAGATATGGGGGAGTTTGACTTTGGCATCGGCTCACTTCCTGATTGATTGACTAACGCCAAGACTCGCCAACTTTTTTTCTGACTGGCCGAGCTCGGCGAGTGAGGTTGGGATACGAGAGTTTGTTTTCTGGGAGAGTTTACAGCAGATACGACACGGTAAAGCGTTAAGCTTTATTGATGCTACAGATTGCAGTGAGAAATGCCTGAGTGAGACTGCTCAGGTGTAACAAATGCTCTCCAGGCTCTGCAGAACATCATCATCGCCATCCGCCACCTTCATCATCCCCGTCCCTGAAAGCGCTAATTATTAGCGCTCCAAAAGGTCGCATGATGCCCACTTCCACTTCCATCCTTCGGAGAGAAAAGTCTGCGTCGGCGTTTAACGGCACCTTTCTCTTTCTTTTTAAGTTATCTAATCAATCTGAGTGGATCTTTCATGCTCGTACTTTTAACCCGCAGTCCCCCCATCTAAACTGTCTACTATGAACCCTTTGTCTCCTCGCTGAGGTTTTACTAGAGCTGGTTTATTCGACAGCTTCATTCATCATGTCGCCTACCAAAGAGCAGGAGTCGATCAAGACCCCTGGGAATGACCACGGCCATGAAGTCCCCAGCTCAGCCGCCGAGGCCGTCAGGGATATCACGTCGCCTGGTGTGCAGCGCATCAAGGCCATGTCCGAGGTCATCACCTTTACAGACCGCATCTTCATCTTCTTTGGCGTCTTTTTAATCGCTTATGCCTACGGTCTTGACGGAACTGTTCGCTATGCTTATCAGCCCTCGGCGCTGAACGAGTTCAAGGAGCATTCGCTGCAGTCGTCGGTCAATACCCTCCGTGCGGTTATTGCGGCTGCTGCTCAGCCCACGGCGGGTAAGATCGCTGATGTCTTTGGTCGTGTCGAACTTATTTGCATTTCGGTGTTTTTCTACACCATCGGTACCGTCATTGAGGCTGCGTCGCAGAACCTCGATACCTACTCCGCTGGTGCGGTCATCTACCAGATCGGCTACACCATGATCCTGCTTCTCGTTGAGGTCATCATCGGAGATATCACCTCGGTCCGATCGCGTCTGTTCTTCAGTTACATCCCCGCTCTGCCCTTCATCATCAACACGTGGGTCAGCGGCGATGTCACAGAAGCTGTACTGGCTGCTACCACTTGGCGATGGGGAATCGGCATGTGGTGCATCATCTACCCCGTCTGCGCCCTGCCTCTCATCATCAGCCTCCTTGTTGTTGGTCGCCGCGCCAAGAAGCAAGGCCATCTCGTTGGATACCGATCTTCGTTCCAGCAGCTTGGTCTCAAGAGTTTCACCGTTGAGCTCTTCTGGCTGCTCGACATCATCGGTGTCATTCTCTTGATCGCCGTCTTTGCTCTGCTTCTCGTCCCTTTGACCATTGCCGGTGGTTTCGAGAGCAAGTGGTCCTCGCCCCAGGTCATTGCTCCTCTTGTCGTCGGCTTCGTCTGCATCCCCGTGTTCGTCGTCTGGGAACTCCGAGCTCCTCACCCCTTGGTTCCCTTCCACCACATGAAGGACCGCTCCGTCTGGGCCCCCATGGGTATCGCGTGCATGCTCAACTTCGCCTGGACAATGCAGGGCGATTACCTCTACACCGTCCTCCAGGTGTCCTTCAACTTCAGCATCAAGGCTTCCACCAGAGTGCAGTCCCTTTACTCCTTCGCCAGTGTCATCACCGGCACGATCCTCGGCCTCATCGTCTACAAGGTCCGCCGCTTCAAGGTTTTCATCGTCGCCGGCACATGCCTCTTCCTCGTCGCCTTCGGTCTGCTCATCCGCTACCGCGGCGACCCCAGCAACTCCAACCAGTCCGGTGTCATCGGCGCCCAGATCCTCCTCGGTATCGCGGGTGGTATGTTCCCGTACCCCGCGCAGGCTTCCCTCCAGGCCTATGTCACCCACGAGAGACTCGCCGTCATGACCGGTCTGTACCTCGCTCTGTACCAGGTGGGCTCGGCCTTTGGCAACGCCGTCTCCGGCGCCATCTGGACCCAGGTCCTCCCCGTGCGTCTCGCGCAAAGCTTCTCGGGCTTCGGGAACGACACCCTTGCCGTGTACACCTACTCGCAGCCTCTTTCCGCCATCCTTGACTTCCCCGTTGGATCCTCGGAGCGCGATGCCATGATCGACGCCTACAAGCACGTGCAGCGCCTGCTTACCATCACCGGTATCTGCCTGTGTATCCCTCTTATCGCTTTCTCTCTGTGCTTGCGTAACCCCAAGCTCACTGACCAGCAGAACTTGGTGGAGAACGAGAAGCCCGGCGAGGCTCCCGAGCGAAGTGCTAGTGCTTAAGCAAACCTACTTTGTATATAATGTTAATATCTGATATCATGTCATAATTGATCTAAGCCTGGGGCTCATTCATAACCTGCACTGTTCAGTCCGTGATTCGAATGGTGTGATTGTCAGGGATCAAAGATCGTTGCTTATGTGACATGACTCAATGCAACACGAATATGCATCAAATACCCTCCAATCATTCCTTTCAATTCCCTCCCGAAAGCCAAAACCTATTTATTCCGCGATCTGCAAGGTACAACTTAACCTTAAGTCTTGTCCAACCCACCAGCGCAAATCCAACGACACTCCAACCTATAGCCTCATCTCCAGACTCTCACATCTATTTTCTCCTGAGTTAATCTCCACGCGGCTAGTTGACGGACAACTCATTATCGTCCCGCATGTCACCTATGCATGCACAATCCCTGGCTCTGCATTGCGTTGCAGCCTCGCAACCAATGCCTCGCAAGGTTGAGACTCGGCCGCAGAATGGGCTGCCTCGTATCCCTTTTTTCTCAGCCGCATATGCATAGGCAAAAAGCAAAACAAACACAAAAACAAAAAACTCCGAGGATAACTGTTTCTGGTACAGCAGAAAGCCATTGTGACACGTGTTGATACGCGGATCATTCGAGAGTACGAACTGTCAGTTTTCCAGGAACAATTGACCTGCGAGCTGCTTTTTGCTTATTGGTGAGGGTATAGGAAATACTGGGATGAGGCTTGCTGGGTATTCGAAGGCCTCATTTTCTCTGCCAATGTATTCCTTTCGTAGCCGATCTTGATCTTTTTCATAACGCCATTTATGCCGTGGAACCCACACCATGCTGACTTGCGCCGCAATATTGCCTCAACTTTATGACAATGCGGTAAGAGTTTCAGGGCAATGGCGTTGATATGATAAGAGAGTGTATATAAGATGGGACTGCGACAGCCAGACTCCATCGTTCATCAAGTCTAGCGTTAATAGGCATCCGTTCGTTACAGTCATTCTTTTATACTGTCATTATGAAGGGCTCTTTGGCATTTCTTATCGCCTCTTTGGCTAGTTCTGCTGTTGCAAGTCCCAGTTGGCGCTCTCTGTTTGGTGTTGAGAAACGTCAGGCTGGACGATGCGGTACAGGCTTTGGAGGAGTCTGTGGGGCGAATGAATGCTGTTCTAGTGCTGGGTATGTGAGCAAGTCTCTCGAGCGTGTCATGATCTAATATGATGTTCAGATGGTGCGGAAATGGATATCTCTACTGCTCTGCTCCCTCGTGCCAGATCGAGTATGGTCCTGGCTGTGATGCTAATGTTCGACCTACTGGACCGGATACTACCAACATTGCTCGACCCAAAGTTGGCAGTATTCCTTATGGCCAGGCAATCTATCATTGCAGCCACAATGGCGACATTGCTTTGACGTATGATGACGGGCCGTACACCTACACGGAAGACCTTCTTGATCTTCTCAAGGTGAGCAACGCATGATACCTAAGACACTGTCATCTCTAACACTCGTAGCGATACAACGCCAGAGCTACCTTTTACATCACCGGTAGAAACCTCGGCAAAGGCGCTATCAATGACGCGGCTACACCATGGCCAAGTCTCATTCGCCGCATGATCAAAGACGGCCACCAAATTGCCAGCCATACTTGGTCTCATCAGCGTCTTACAACGCTCAGCCGCGCCAAGTTCTGGAACCAGATGATCTTTAACGAGATTGCCTTTTCCGACATCCTCGGTTACTTCCCCACGTACATGCGTCCCCCGTACTCAGCCAGCAATACCACCACGGATGCATGGCTGGGCGAGCTGGGCTACCACGTAACGTACTTCAACCTCGACACGGAGGGTTATCTGCATGATAGCCCAAACACCATCAGCACGTCAAAGGCAATCTGGGACAACACCGTAGAAGGTCGCAGTCCCAGCTCCAACACGTGGCTGCACATCGAGCACGACCCTGTCTACCAGAGCGTCTACAACCTCACAGAGTACATGCTCAAGTCGCTCACCCGCAACAAATTCTCCGCCGTGACAGTCGGCGAGTGTCTGCAGGATCCCAAGGCGAATTGGTACCGCCAGGTAAGCTCCAGCAGCCCATCGTCGGTGGTCAGCTCGGTGACCAGCTCAGCGACGTTCCCGGCCACGACCAACGGGCGGTGCGGCTCTGGACACGGCGGCGCCACGTGCAGAGGCGAACCAAACGGCGAGACGTGCTGCTCTCAGAACGGATGGTGCGGCTCCACGGACGGTCACTGCGGGAGGGGCTGTCAGCCTGTCTTCGGGACGTGCAGCGGCATGTCGGAGCCGGGTGTTCCGGAGCCGACGAGCAGCACGCGGGGCCGGTGTGGGGCCGCGTTCGGGGGCGCAAAGTGTTCCACGCCCGACCCGTGCTGCTCGCGAGCGAACTGGTGCGGCAGCTCGAGCGATCACTGTGGGACAGGGTGTCAAAGCGGGTTTGGAACCTGCACTTGAGGGCACGGGTGGGTTTTAGTGGGTGAAAAGGGTTGTGTAAAAATGAGGTCGTACTGTGAAGGATCGAAGGATTGTATCTGTGACGAGAAGGATCTTAAAACTCCATATAATTAATTCTTAGTTTCTAGTAGCCCCCGTTATTATCCAGGGATTTGTTTACTTGTGTGACTGGGATCAGCCTTTCTTCCGATGTCATAAACTGGTATAGTTCGAAAGGAAATGTAGAGAGTGAAAGTCGGGAATAAACTGCCGGCTTTACAGCGCGTCAGCTGGTGCGTTGGGGTTTAATTTCGGGCAATTAATTCAGGGGTAGAAGAGCAAGCCATTCAGCCACGAGTGTCATTGTTGTATTAGCGCGTTCTCATTTATGATCAATTACCACTGAGTCACTTCAACAGGCAGAGAGATCATTTACTACCAGATATCCAGGTTCTACTCATACTTTCGCGTATTGACCTTGTGAATTCATCCATGTCCTTGCTCGTCTCGATCGCCATGTTATCGCACAGCCCTCCCTGCCAATGCGTGCCAAGAGACGAGTCTAAGCACTATCGAAATACTATGACATGTTCCAAGCCTTCCTTTCCTCCACTTACTGTGGCTCTTCTGAACTGATCGCCCAAAAACAGGAAACCAAAACATTCCAAGCTGAGGCCTTTTTCAGGCTGTCACCCCCTGGACAGGTGCCTATAGGGCTGATCCACGTATTGGGTGAGGAAACATGGCAGAATGTGATGGCACAACTGGCGGGCGGGTAACTACGCTACGCTTTAAACCCCTGGGCTAAGACCTTGGTTTCTGGAGTTATTCTCCCTTGGGAATGGCGCTGGCGGTGAGTGGAAATAAAGGAGCCTACTAAATGATGGTGGCCACGAAGATCGGCCAAGCATATCCATAGCTTAGTCTAATGTAACATTTGGTGTAGTGAACTATTAAAGACCATCTCATTCCTCTTCCTGACTTTACACTCTCTATCCTTATTCAAGTTCACTCGTTTGACATCTCTCAAAATGCAGTCCATCATCCTCGCCTCTCTTCTCGCCTCGGCCGTCACGGCCAACAGCTTCATGGCCCATCCTCTCATGAAGCGCGACCTCCTGGCTCCTCGTGCCACCGACGCCGCCAGTCCCACTGACGCTGCCGGTCTCGTCGACGGCCTCAGCGGAGAGTGCCAGAGCGCCATCCTCGACGTCTACAAGACCCTCCCTACTCCTCCTCCCGCTGTCGTCTCCGACCTCATGGAAAACCCCCAGACCGACCCCTGCGACTTCACCGTCCCCTCTTCGCTGTCCAAGGACTACGCCAGCTACAGCTCCAAGATCGTCTCCTGGTACGGCGAGTACGAGGGTGAGATCTCCTCCGCCATCAAAGAGTGTCCCGAGCTGGCCCAGTATGCTTCTGCCCTTCCTGTCTGCGCGAGTGACGTTATCGGCAAGCCTTCTGAGGCTGCTGCTACTGCTACTGGCTCCGAGACCAAGAGTGTCGTTCCCATCATCGCCACCACTGCTGAGAAGCCTGTCAAGACCCCTGGTGCTGGAGAGTCTGCTGCTACCACTCCTACCTCTGGTGCTGGTCCTGTCGAGACCAACGGTGCTGCTCGTGAGGGTGCTTTCGTCTACGCCGCTGCTGCTGTTGCCGGTGTCGTCGTTGCTGCTCTGTAAGGAGTTGACGTTGAAGATTAGTTGGACTGCCATGGCTTTAAGTAGATGGCACTTTTAATACACAATACATCTCTTCTTGTCCACTCACTGTCACACTGAACTTGGCGTTAATAACCTTATCTGACCGTTTTATGTGTAACGCCACTACCAAGACGCATCAGCCATGTCTATAAACAGTCCAAGCGTAGGCTTGATTGCCAACCTTTGTTCTCAAATGCCTATGCTCATCCGTGTCACAAACAAACAGACACTTGTACAGTTCCCGTGATTCAGAGTACTGCCATATTGTTAATCAGAGACCTGGGATTAGCCACTGTCCACCAAATATGTGACACTAAACTGGACAAAGAACGTGAATATGTATCACAAGAACCTGGTTCAACAGTTGCTTTGTCTTGCTCATACATCTTATAAAGACCATCTGCTCCTTTAACTCCAACTCCAATTCCAGCATCCCAACGTACAGCCAATATGAACAGAAACACTCTTGCAGACAAGCTTGGCCACAGCCTCACTCGCGGCATCTTTTTCACAACTCGAAAATGGAAGACCATCATGCTAAGCTACATCTTCATCGCCACCGTCGGCAGTACACTTCTCTACCTACACAATCCCAACGGTTCGTTTCTCCTCGTCCTATATCTCAAGCTCTTGCTAACAGTCCTAGAACAGGAACCCTCTCATCTCACGACCCGAAGTTGGGGTGGGTTCGACGAACGCCCACTTACAAACAAGTGCTACCGTCAGGAACGTGTCGCGATGCTTCTGTCACTCTTCTTTGGAGGAGTCGGCGCTGATCAATACTACGCTCGACACTGGCCGCTTGCTGTGTTCAAGATGTTGACTCTAGGAGGGTTTGGGCTCTGGGCGCTTATTGATATGGTCTTGTGGATTGTTGGGGGTGTATATGGGACGCCTGGATGTCCTGGTGGAGGTTCGAATGGGTTATCTTAGGTGCTTCCGGCGATGGGATACAAGGACAATGATGGTCATTTGCAGAGATGATCAGGAGCCAGATGACTTACACGGTTGTACTGAAGACGCAGCTCTGTGGCACAGTAAGGTTTGGGTATAGCGCAATTCTAACTCAGCCTCAGACAACTCCAAATATCAGTCAAAACACTACCGCTCAACATAAACCCAATTTTCAAGGACTCAGGTCGGGGCTTACATTGCTACAAGCTACTATCAGCGAGTAGCATAACTAAATTTAAATTAGCATCACGACTTATGTTCTTAGCGATCTGCCGAATGAGCAGCACATTGACCAATTCGGAATAACCTCATCTGACCCAATTAGTCACTACACAAGCATACAAGCACATCAGTAACTGCCAATTCTTTTCATTATACTCATTGATGCCATGGCAACCCTGACGAAAAATGACCAAACCTTTTCTACACCAGCCATCTAAGCACCTTTGCTTGGAAAAACAATGTCCGCATCTACTCTTCATCCTCCTCCGAGTCATCATCTTCAGCCTCAGCTTCGGCTTCAGGTTCAGACTCGTCCTTCTGTCCATTAATGGCTTCTGTTGCGCCACCTTCCTTCTCAAGCTTCAGCCACTCATCCCACTCGGGGAAGAGCTCATCATCCTCGCCAGGCACACCGACCAGCTTAGCTACCCGACCCTTCTTGTTCTTCTCAAGATTCTCCTTCCACTGATGCACCACTGGCACAGTCAAGCTGGGCTGGTAAGTTTGAGAGAACATGACGGCCTCAGCAAGTCGGCCAGTGTCGATGAGGATCTTTGTGCAGGCCTCGATGTCGCCGAGAAGCCATTGGCATGAGAAAGCAACGTTGTGAGACCCAGCCGCTGAGGCTTGCGCGGCCAAAGCAGTCAAACCATCGCGGTCGCCTGTTGATGAGTGCAGAAGAAGCAGAGATCCAAGATCCTTGGCATGAGTGAAGCACTCAGCAGCAAGGGCAACATCCCAGGCTGATAGGGCAGCGTCACCAACAGTCTTCCACTTATGATCGGCATCGGCCTCACGAGCAAGCTCCAAAGCAATGGCAAGCTCGTTCAATGACAATGCAAGATCAAACTTGTGCTCGGGATCTGTTGCAACCTCCAACGCAAGCTCCTTATGTCCTTGGCCTTCCAAGAATCGCGCAATCTTGTTGAGTTGATCTTGAGGGATCGTTGGTAGCAACTCAGCAGCGGTCTCCATATCCTCTCGAAGAACAAGAGTCTGGTACTCAAGCACAGGGAGGGACAGACCGAAGGAGGTAACATTGACATCCTTATCGGCAAGGTAGATTCGTGAGTCGCGCTGAATGTAACCCAAAATGTACTGGGCCTTGTCGAAGTGGGAGATGGTGTAGGTTTGGTCGCCAACAAGGTAGTTGAGTCGGTTGGTGCTGTTGGTGTAAATGAAGCAGTCGCCAATCCATTCGCCAGTTCGCACACTTTTTGGTTAGCAAAACACACACAATTGAAAGGGGTACGTACGATTCGCTGATATCAGTGATAACCTCAAAGGCAGCCTCGACACCATCCTCCTCGACTTGTCCAGACTGAACGGCGTCGACATAATTCTCACGGGAGAATCGCAACACGTAATAGGTGTCCTCGCAGGCAATCGTCACCAGCTCTCCACTATCAGACCAGTAAACTTCCTTGGGCTCAACCTCGATTCTTCGAACAAGACCACCAGTGTTCCAGTCAAAGAAGGAGACACCTCCCTGGCCGGTAACACCGAGAAGGACACCACCGTGGAGTTTCTCAGCCTGGAAACCAACATCAAGACCACCGGGCTTCTCAATAAAGTTCTTGAAGATCTTAACGCTCATGGCTGACTCTCGGATAGCAAAGTCGTTGCTGTTCTCCTTGGAAGCCCAAACAAAGTCGAGTGCTGAACCGAAAGCCTTGTTTCGCCAGGCGAGGGCAGTGTAGATGATGTACTCGCCATCACCGCAGACAGCGACGAATCGACCGTTGGGGGAATGAATGAGTGTCTGGGGGTAGACTTCGCAAGTGCCGAGATCCTTGGTGGGAAGCGAGATCGGTTCGTTGTCCTTGATGGAGGCATCTATGAATGTTAGCGTGGTCTAGTAACCCTGGGTTGTACATACCTCCTCCCTTGATAATGGAAGAGACCACCTCATTGTGGCGGGCCCAGATGAGCTTGCCAGAGGTATCCATCGATACAGCAGGCTCCTCACGACCAAGCTTGACAACAACGGCACCATCGTCGAAACCAACAGCGACACCCTGCTTGCCCTTTTGATATGAGACACACCAGGCTCGCTCCAGGCTGTAGTTGAGCGATTGCTCGAATCGGTATGTGTTGGCGTGCCATATTCTTATCGTGCCATCCTCGGAACCAGAAATAATGACGGGCAATTCGGGGTGGTAGCAAGCAAACGAGACATTGTTGGTGTGGCCTTCGAGAGTGGCGATCAGGGACTTTGTGGTGTAATCCCAGATCTTGACGGTTCGGTCGTCCGAAGTGGTAAGGAGGTAGGGCTTGTCGGAATGAGGGTAGTAATCGACGTGGTTGACACCCTTGGTCTCGTGGGCCTCAAGGGTGAAGTTGGGAGTGGAAGATCCAAGACTCCAGATCTTGACAGTTCGGTCAAGACAGGCAGAAGCAAAGGTGTTTGTATCCTTTGGGTTGATGGCCAAGCCCATGACATAGTGACCATGGCCCTCGAAGACTTGCACACACTTCCATCCCTTCTCCCAATCCCAGAGCTTGATGGTCATGTCATCGGAGGCAGTCAGCACAAAGGGCTGTGTGGGGTGGACGGCAATCGCTCGAATGTAGTCGGGGTGCGCCTCGAAAGAGGTGATCTTCTCGGAAGTGTTGTAGTTGTAGACTCGTAGTTGGAAGTCATCGGAACCGCAGACAATCCAGTTTTTCCTGGCGATGAATCGACCGGCGCGAACAGGGACATCGGTGAGCTCAAAGGTCTTGACGATCTGTTGGGTTTCATGGGACCAGATGTAGACGTGGCCTATACTGTTAGCTTGGCCATGTCAAGCCAGCAACACAACATACCGCTGTAGAGGGTAGTAAGAATCCATGGCTCGTGAGGGTGAAAGTCAATGCCCTTGACTCGCTCACTGCGAGCATAGAGCTGGCGCTGTTGCGAAACGTGTCAGCTCAGATCGCAAGCTGGGAGTTTAAACTGCGGCAGAAGGATGCTCGCCATGAGCACCAGCATGATGCGGCAAGCGGGCGCACCCGAATAATGCAACAAACTAACCTTGACGTCTAACTTCATCTTGTCGTATGTCGTCTCGCGTTGCGCAGAGTTGAAGTTGCAAGCTGTCCAGCGAGGGCGGTGATATCGAGGTAGTGGGGTCAACGGCAGGAATCCCTGACAAAGGCTACCATGCGGGACGACAGGTCGCGAATAGTAACAGTGTTTGGGAAAACAGAAGAACAGTCAAACGCTATCGTCAATCGTGAGGTGATGCTTGGTTGACAATAGCTTGAGGCTTGAGCTCCCTGTATTCCAATTCGAGCTCCAAGATGTGTCCTGCGGCTCTTGCCAGGCTGGCCATGTGGTGTTGGCCTAATATGTCAGGCCCCACCTCCTTATCCCTTCTTATCGCAGGGTCCAGAAAAGGGGGGTTATAGGGTAAGTGAGCGTGGGAACATGTATCATGATGTCGGTATTCCTACACAGTGTTTTGAGCTTTGGGGAGTATTTGTATCTGATAATGTATGATTCTGGCATGATATCTCAATGTAATGACTGAATTCACATGATTTGTTGTGTTGAGAATGTAGTTCCAAGCTAAATGAGTAACAAACTGATACCCGTGAACAGGCCAACCAACTTCATCCAAGGTGTTTTCGGCTACACTCATAGCTGAAGCAGAAATCGATACTATTATCGATTTCCACAATTATTCACCCAGCCAAGCAATTCCTCGACACGCGTCTTCATTCGTACATCACGAAAAGTGTGGCTGTACGGAGGACAATGTCGTTAGTTGGTATCTACAGCCGCCATGTACACTATAATTGGGCTGTTAATCGGGCACCGCTTCAAACAGTACAAGTCCGCTTATCAGGAGTTGACTAGCTTGCCTTCGTCTCATTTACCCCTTATGTTGTATTTGCTGGATCTCGCTTTAACTGATCAACAAAGCTAGAGCCCGTGGTAGTGGCTTTAAGTCGACCTGACGGGACTGCTCCAGACCATCTCCACAGTTTGATGTCCTGTGTCGCAGACTGAGACACTGTGTTTCCAGCATTCAAACAGCACCAAAAACACCCTAGTCACAGTGCGGTCTACAACGGGAGATCCACATTTCAATTCCACCCAATGGGCCTTGGATGTCATGGTAATCCCCTTCTTCCATCCCCCGTATCTGGCTCGGCTCGTCTCGTCTTGGGCTCTTGTGCTTCGCCTCCTCCTCATACCTGAATCTCTTCCATCTTTGTTCAATTCGGACTCTCTTCAACTTCCTCTCTACTCGTCGGCGCGCAATCTTCTTTCGTCTTCTTCGGCTTGCGATTCTTCAACTCAAAAAGCGGCCGGTCCCTCTCCCATGCGGGGTTACAAATCATCCACTTGAATACTCGTCTGCCACGCCATCAGCCTTTTGCTTGATCAGTAGTTTGTCAGCGAGGCAGTGAATACTTACCCGTTGATTCTTGGCGAGTTGTGCAACTCTCGTCGACAGCGCGCTTCGAACAACAAATACCTCGTTGACAGTCGCAACCATGTCTTGGAAGCTTACCAAGAGTATGTTTACATTTCCAAGATCTGTCGCAACAACTGACATCTATCAGAGTTAAAGGAAACCCATCTGGGTCAGTCCTTGAGCCCCTTTTCCCGATCACCATCCACTTCTACCATTACCGACAAGGAGAAGGAAGCACAGGCCAGCGGCTCCGTTACTCCCACGACCGAAAATGCCATAGGTGAGCACATCATATTGGGATATTGGTCAGTGACTGACTTGAACAGCTGCTTCTGAGGCCATGACGCAGGCACCCGTTGTCAAGCCCCCAAAGCCCGGTATTCTCGTCGTTACCCTCCATGAAGGTTCAGGATTTTCCCTTCCCGAGCAGCACCGAAGTGCATTTGCCTCATCACACCAAGGATCAATGTCCTCTGGAAACAACATGTCCGGATCTGTTCGACCAGGCTCTTCACAACGTGTCGCTGGGTCTCTTGCTAATGGCAGCGGCCGACCACAATCGGCAGCAGGTGGGTTCAACGGTATCCCCACCAACCACGGCCGAATTTCTGGAAAGTACATGCCATATGCTCTCCTCGATTTCGACAAGGTCCAGGTCTTTGTCAACTCGGTGGACGGAAACCCCGAGAACCCTCTGTGGGCTGGCGGAAACACCCAGTACAAGTTCGATGTTTCAAGAGTGACAGAACTCGTCATTCACCTGTACATGCGCAACCCTACAGCGCCACCCGGATCTGGACGAAGCCAGGACATTTTCCTTGGTGTGGTCCGCATCAACCCCCGATTTGAAGAGAGACAGCAGTACGTGGAGGACCCCAAGGCCAGCAAGAAGGACCGTGAGAAGGCGGCTGCCGAGCACGCATCGCGCAGCGGTCACTCAGGTGCCGAATGGGTCGATGTGCAGTACGGAACCGGCAAGATCAAGGTTGGTGTCGAGTACGTCGAGACCCGCGCAGGCAAGCTCAAGATAGAGGACTTTGAGCTCCTCAAGGTCGTCGGCAAGGGCAGTTTCGGTAAGGTTATGCAGGTGCGCAAGAAGGACACGAACCGAATCTACGCTCTCAAGACAATCCGCAAGGCGCACATTATTTCACGATCCGAAGTTGCCCACACACTCGCCGAACGGTCTGTGCTGGCGCAGATCAACAACCCTTTCATTGTACCGCTCAAGTTCAGTTTCCAGTCACCAGAGAAGCTATACTTTGTCCTCGCCTTTGTCAACGGAGGTGAGCTGTTTCATCATTTGCAAAAGGAGCACCGATTCGACGTCAACCGATCCCGATTCTACACCGCCGAGCTTCTTTGTGCTTTGGAATGTCTTCACGGCTTCAGCGTCATCTACCGAGATCTTAAGCCCGAGAACATTCTCCTGGATTACCAGGGTCACATTGCTCTGTGTGATTTCGGTCTCTGCAAGCTTGACATGAAGGACGAGGACCGAACCAACACCTTCTGTGGTACTCCCGAGTACTTGGCCCCTGAGTTGTTGATGGGTCAAGGCTACAACAAGACCGTCGATTGGTGGACTCTTGGTGTTTTGCTGTACGAGATGTTGACAGGTCTCCCTCCTTTCTACGATGAGAATACCAACGAGATGTACCGCAAGATTCTATCAGAGCCTCTCCACTTTTCCGACGTGGTTCCTCCGGCTGCCAAGGATCTTCTTACCAAGCTGCTCAACCGTAACCCTGAGGAGCGATTGGGCGCAAACGGTTCTGCCGAGATCAAGGCGCACCCCTTCTTCCATGCTATTGACTGGCGGAAGCTACTACAGCGCAAGTACGAGCCTACATTCAAGCCCAGTGTGGTATGTACCCTACTCCTGTGAATTAAACACAACTGACATTTTAGGCCGATGCTCTGGACACCGCCAACTTTGACCCCGAATTCACATCCGAAGCACCTCAAGATTCCTACGTCGAGGGCCCTATGCTGTCACAGACCATGCAGAACCAGTTCCAAGGTTTCAGTTATAACCGTCCGATTGCTGGTCTTGGAGATGCTGGTGGTAGTGTCAAGGATCCTTCATTTGTTGGAAGCTTGACAGATAACCGATAAATCCAGCTCAACGGATAGACGGCGAGCAGGCTCGAGTCTCAATTGGCTCACGAGGCAGGATTTGAGTCTTGTCAAGAGCAAGGCGGTTGGAATGACACCAATGGAAGTGGAAACACATGTAGCCATGATAAGCACAACATAGGAGCAGAGGATGAATGTAGATAAGCCTTGCTTTGGCGCGTCGGAGTTTGATACACTCGTTTTTGCAGTTGCCAGTGTCATGTCACGAGGCCTTTTGAAGCTGATGTATTGTGATATGAGGGATAATGCTAAGGGGCCATGTACAAGACTTTTCTCGGCGAGATTGCCGAAAACATGGATGAAGCGTGTAGTCACCACGGTGTGTCAGACTAATATTCGGTACGCTACTGTAGCATAGTGGATTGCTGAATTCATTCCCGACTTTGTTGAACAAGGCTGGACTTTTCGGTGGTGAGACCGGAGGTGATGCGGGACAATTACGGCGAGTGCCCGGCTTAACCGGAAATCCTGGACCTAGACCTGGACCTGGATTGGGCGATGCGACGCGACCAAGATGACGCATGAGTTGATTATGGAGACATGACGAAAGCATAGGAAAGTTCAGTCAGCCATCACGATGATTTGTAAATTTGTTAGGCGAAAGGTGAAGCTATGGATACTCAGGGCAGATGGGGGTAGAAGAATAACTAACAGGTTAAAGAGCTGCTTTAGCTTGGAGCATGGTGTAGAGCAATGTTGTCATTGGAGGGGTTAATTTGAGCTTGAGCTTGAGAAGATTCAGCATCGATTATGGGTGGAACAATTGAACAAGACAAGTTAGAATTAAGTAAATAACATCACCTGATATCAACGGTCGATTTGAATTTTCCTAAAAGTCGTATCATGACAGCATCAATCAATCAACAGAGAGATAAGTTCAATGGAAGCTTCCATTTGGTGGGATGATGGATGATGCCCCCACCCCGCCCGCCGCCCTGCACCTTCCCCTCCCCCTCCATGAATTATGAGGACTTGGGAGCAGAAACATCCATAACACAACCTCATTCCCCTCCCACATCCTTCTTTTTGACCTGATATTTCCTCCAACCTAAGTTTCAATCTCCATCGATATCATCCAAAATGGCCCCCGCCAATACCCTCCCCGCCTGGTCTGATCTCCAGTCCCACCGCGACAGCGTTGGCAAGTCCTTCGTTCTCAAGGAGGCTTTCGCTTCTGATCCTCAGCGATTCGACCGTTTCACCCGCACCTTCAAGTCCGACGTCAGCTCCGACATTCTCTTCGATTTCTCAAAGAACTTCCTCACAGATGAGACTCTCGACCTTCTCGTCAAGCTCGCTGAGCAGGCTGGTGTCGAGAAGAAGCGCGATGCCATGTTTGCTGGTGAGAAGATCAACTTCACAGAGGACCGTGCCGTCTACCACACTGCTCTGCGAAACGTTGGTGGCTGGGACATGAAGGTTGACGGTGTTGATGTTATGAAGACACAGGGAGGCGTCAACGACGTTCTCCAGCACATGAAGGAGTTTTCCGAGCAGGTCCGCAGCGGAGAGTGGAAGGGATTCACTGGAAAGAAGCTCACCACCATCATCAACATCGGTATTGGTGGTTCTGATCTGTAAGTTATCCTGCTTCTTCCTCGAACCAACTAACACCCCTCAGCGGCCCTGTCATGGTCACCGAGGCCCTCAAGCACTACGGCGCCGACGACATGACCCTCCACTTCGTCTCCAACATTGACGGAACCCACATCGCCGAGGCCCTCAAGAACTCTGACCCCGAGACCACCCTCTTCCTGATCGCCTCCAAGACCTTCACCACCGCAGAGACCACCACCAACGCCAACACGGCCAAGACCTGGTTCCTCGAGAAGACCGACAACAAGGGCGAGATCGCCAAGCACTTTGTTGCTCTCTCCACCAACGAGGAGGAGGTTACCAAGTTTGGTATCGATAGCAAGAACATGTTTGGCTTTGAGAGCTGGGTCGGTGGCCGATACTCTGTCTGGAGTGCTATTGGTCTGAGCATTGCTCTCTACGTTGGCTTTGACAACTTCCACAAGTTCCTCAGCGGTGCTCACGCCATGGACAAGCACTTCCGTGAGACTCCCCTCAAGGAGAACATTCCTCTTCTTGGTGGTCTTCTGAGTGTTTGGTACTCTGACTTCTTCCAGGCCCAGACTCACCTGGTTGCTCCGTAAGTTTTATGTCCACAGGGTATGCAATTACTAACGATTGCCAGTTTCGACCAGTACCTCCACCGATTCCCTGCCTACCTCCAACAGCTTTCCATGGAGTCTAACGGAAAGAGCATCACCTCTGATGGTTCTTCTGCCAAGTACACCACTGGTAAGTCATCTGTTCTGCTTACATGACCAAACTAACGTATCAGGACCTATCCTTTTCGGAGAGCCTTGCACCAACGCTCAGCACTCCTTCTTCCAGCTTGTCCACCAGGGCACCAAGCTGATCCCCACCGACTTCATCCTCGCTGCCAAGTCTCACAACCCCGTCAGCGACAACCTCCACCAGAAGATGCTTGCTTCCAACTACTTTGCCCAAGCTGAGGCTCTCATGGTTGGCAAGACTGACGAGCAGGTCCGTGCCGAGGGTGCTCCTGAGGAGCTTGTCCCCCACAAGCGGTTCTTGGGTAACCGACCTACCACCTCTATCCTCGTCGGCGGCTCCATTGGCCCTGCCGAGTTGGGTGCTCTGATCGTCTACTACGAGCACCTCACCTTCACTGAGGGTGCTATCTGGGACATCAACAGCTTCGACCAGTGGGGTGTTGAGCTGGGTAAGAGTCTCGCCAAGAAGATTCTCAAGGAGCTTGATGAGGCAGGTAACGGTGAGGGTCACGATGCTTCTACTGGTGGCCTCATTGGTGCCTTCAAGAAGTATGGTAACTAAAAAGGAATAAGATGGTAATATTGCTAGCGAGTAGTACGATGTGATAATGATTAAAATAGCATAACGAGTTTGAACAAGTTTACAAATCCTCGGTCTGGGGGATGTTCTGGACCATCTGTTGTCGGATCCTGTCTACAAGAGGAGTGCATGTGAACACAAAGATGTACTTGTTAGTATTGTTGTGATCCGTGATCGCGTCTACTGTGGTCTTAGCAAATACCCAGATTACCTTCTATCTTCAGATTCCGGCTGCTTGAGTAACATCAACACAAGAGAAAACATGCATGTAGCGTGATTCTCAACAGGATTGCTGGCAATCGCAACACCTTGGCAGTCTCAGCCACGGTGACACGTGGGACACCACCGAGGTATATTCTAGACCTTGAGTCCATCTTAGATATATGTGGCTTCTCCATGTCTCCGACACAAGAGGCGCATTTCCATTTTGGGAGTGAGACAGGTGGTGAGACTGTAGGGTGAGGTTCGCATGGAGTATTGCGGGGGAATATGGGGAAGAGGGGAATGGCTACGGTGCTGTGATATTGCAGGAGGAAAGGTGCGGGAATTGTATGTTTATGAGGTATATACTCGCACGGCATAGCCATTGAGGGTGAGTGATATGTGAGACTTGTCACATCAATGCAGTTTGCATAATCGGTGGCTTCGCGGGGAAACCCCATGGAGAGGCATGGAGGGACATGGGTAAGATGAAAGGGTTTGGTGTTTGGCGGGGAAACGGAGGTTGGAAAGGCTTGCATGTGTTGAATTGGATTATGTGGTTTATATGTCGGATTAGATATCGATGACCGATGGACGAGAGTAAAGATGATGTTGACGAAAGCGCTGGACAGGAGACGATTCGGGTACGTCGGAGACTCCATTGTCAAATTTTCACTTTATTCAGTCGTCAAGCCTAAAAGTTCGTCATTATAGTCACGACAGCCAAGCAACGCAAAATGCAGCATTTGCAATAAGCCGCAGTTCTCGTGAAACTGGTCGCAAAAAACAAACCCCACTCACACTAGCTTTGGGCGTACAACAACTGCGATGCAACAAGACACGGAATAATTTAGGTGGTGTGAGTGGGGGAAGATGCTCTCTGACGTAAATGGTGCTGAGTGAGGCTTTTCACGATGCTCTCGTCCTGTTGCAGCTTGGAGGGATCGATGACGGTTGTTTTCTTGCTTTGGTACTACATCGGTCGGGAGAAGCTTGTCACGATCGGCTTGGTGGCTTGGACCCTTAGAGACGAGGACCCTGCGTGAAAAGTTGAGACAATTTTCGGCAATAGACGGTATCTAGATATCCAGTGGGAGAAACAATGGCTTGTGTTTTCGGAAGTTGTTGGGTTGAACATTCAGGCTGAATGAACCACCATCTACAATAATCGTGGTAAACCTTCTGCTAAGATTCAACGACAAGGACCCGCGGTAAGCGACCGAGGAGGGGAAAGGACTCTTACAAAGATAATGAAGCCATCACCAATCAGAACAAGGGCGCTAATGTTTGCTCGTTTCTGCCAAGGATGAACCGTTCTTGACCTTGACTCCACCAGTTTGCAGAGAGGGGATTCGCTGCAGCGTTATCTACGGAGGGAGGCTATGCTGGACGGAAACGGAGTGTGGTCGGGGTTGAGGGCCGGAAAACAATTGCACATGGGATACGGAAATGGACAATTTTGATCCGACGACAAATTACACTCATCCTTGATCTGAGGCAAGGATAAATGGAGGATAAATATTGAGGGAATTTCTCAGGACTCCTTATGGTAGACAGACAGTTGTGATTACGGTGGCAGAAACCATCACCCATCCGATTACCCTGAAAGGCCAGTGGAGGCTGAGGGGAAGTGATGATACGGACAAGGGGATGACCCTGAGTAGGATATGACGTAGCATGCGCCCGTATCTGAAGGATAGTAACACAACAACAAGCGATAAGATATGAGCAGTCGGCAGTGTTACTTGTGATATAACGCTGAGCACATGCTACTGCAATTGCCTAATGACAGTCCTATCATTTGCTCGCGAATTCCACGTGCTTGCATGAGATATGAGTTATAAATCATAGCAGTCCGCTTCCGTATGGCGAAATATGGACGTGACACCGTTAGCATTGCCGGATGTCTTCACATGCAGTTAATTGCATCTTCTGAGACAGGCGGTAAAGTGCATTAGCCTCATGTTCCTCGGGGGTTTCAACATCAGTCACTTTCTTCAATTGATCCCGCCGTGAGCGCCCGTTTGGTTCATTCTCCACACCCTCACCCGCTATTCGTGGGATTGCCCCTGCATGCGGCATTCATCGTGGGAAGGGTCATGGTGTCGTTGCTGAGACGAAAAGGGCTCATAGAATCTGCACGGATGGGAATGGCCGAGATACCGACGAGAGGCTACGTTTACGCGTCGGAAAACACGTGATGGGTTTTAATTATGGAGGTGAAATAGGGGGAGGGTATTAAAATGGGTTTATGAAATCATGAAATCGAGAGTCATCGTGAAAAATTGAAACATTGCATGTTGATTTGCAACGAACAAAAGAGGAGCACAAGTGATGTAACTTTCATTTTCTGCCCCAGACAATTCCACTTGTAAATTGTGGAAAACCTGGGGGTTACTCCAAAGGTTCCATTTGTTAAGTTGCACTGCGTTGAGGAGAAGGAAGAGAAAAAAAGACCCACGATGCAGTCGACGTCAGAGGTGGGATAGCACGAAAACGGTACAGTCAAAGATCCACTTGACGGAGAAGGATAGCGTGCCTGGAGATCGAGCATCATCTGGATGATTCCGAATCATGATTGGAGAGTGGAGAAGGTTTATTACAGGCCCGATAACAACACGTTGTGCAACGGATGTAGTCGTTGTTGTGAAATGTTGTTGAAATTAATGGTCCTACTCATGAAGAAACAAATCTCGCAAATCTTTATATCAAAAACACCCCGTGGTGTGACAAAGGGTCCTGCCTCAGCGAGCTTGGACTCTGCATGCTCTGTTTCTGTTCTGAGGTGAGGTTACAGTGGAGACACATCCCCTGCGAACTGCCCGTAAACACCCCTGTAGTGCCGGATATCCTCCGTTAAGCAACGTGCAACTGCATGTTCGCTTTAGGTTGTGTCTGCGCCTGTTGCTACGGCGTGTTAAACGGTGAGGCGGTATCCACATTTATGCCTCTTTTGTTGGTCAGCGTATTGGAGGCCTATTTTGTTTTCCTTTTGTTGTCGTTAAACTCAGATCCCTTATGGTTCTGTTTAAGCGTGTTGATGGATGGGATGATGGAGCGGGGCTGAGAATTTAAAGACTGCTGGACTGGGGTAGAAACGGGCTAGATAATGGATGTCTGTTGGGCCCGCCAAGACAAGAACACACTGAGGTCACTAAATAGGGACACAGACCTGGCTACAGGGCCGATGATGGCATGGCACAGCAGTCTCCACTGGCCTGGTCTTGACTCAGTGGGGACATGCCAGGTACTGCTACCCAAACAGTACGTACCATGATGGCATCTATGGATCCCCGTCCCGTCATCATCACGGTTACTCACTCCCGTACCTACCCTCCAACGAGAGGTGGCTTGTCGCTCTCGACATATAAACCTCGTCTTCCCCCCCTCAATACGGTCACCGTTTCATCATTCACTCTCATCTCAAACATCTATCTTACCTATTGCTTCTTTCATCTGAGGCTTCTTCACCTAAGACATCCATCTCACTTACACCTATAACTACCTACAACACATCCATCATGGGCAAGACAGCTGTTCACTTCGGCGCCGGCAATATCGGTATGTCTTATCTCCAAATCTGTGTAACCTCTCATGCTAACCTCATCAGGCCGTGGCTTCGTTGCCTGCTTCCTTCACAACTCTGGCTACGATGTCGTCTTTGCCGATGTCAACGACACCATTGTCAACCTCATCAACGAAACTCCCTCATACCGAGTCATCGAGGTCGGTTCTGAAGGCACCACCGAGAACACCATCACAAATTACAAGGCCATCAACTCACGAACACACGAGGAGGACTTGATTGAGCAGATCCGAACAGCAGATGTTGTTACATGCTCCGTTGGACCCAACATCCTCAAGTTCATCGCTCCCGTCATCGCAAAGGGTATCGACCGCCGATCAACAGAAGATGCTCCCCTGCACGTCATTGCTTGCGAGAACGCTATTGGTGCCACTGATACCCTTGCCGAGCACATCAAGGACCCCCGCAACACTGATCCCTCCCGCCTAGAGGACCACCACCTCCGAGCCCGATATGCCAACTCTGCTATCGACAGAATCGTTCCCGCCCAGGATGCCGATGCTGGTCTTGACGTGACACTCGAGAAGTTCTTCGAGTGGGTTGTTGACCGCACTCCTTTCCAGGATGTTGGCATCCCCGAGATCAAGGGTATCAACTGGGTTGACAACCTGGCTCCCTTCATCGAGCGCAAGCTCTTCACCGTCAACACTGGCCACGCCACAGCTGCTTACCACGGTTACAACCGAAGAAAGCGCACTGTCTACGACGCCCTCCAGGACAAGGAGATCATGAACGAGGTCCGCGGTGCTCTCATGGAGACCAAGAACCTGATCGTCGCCAAGCACGAGATCGACGAGGATGCCCAGGCTGCCTACGTTGAGAAGATCATCAAGCGAATTGGCAACCCCCATCTCGAGGATGCTGTCGAGCGTGTCGGCCGTGCTCCTCTCCGAAAGCTCTCCCGCAAGGAGCGATTCATCGGCCCCGCCGCCGAGCTTGCCGAGAACGATCAGCCCATCAAGTACCTCCTCGACGCCATTGAGATGTGCTTCCGCTTCCAGGAGGTCACCGACGACGACGAGTCCAAGGAGCTCGCCAAGATCATGTCCGAGAATGGTCCCGAGGATGTTGTCAAGCAGGTCTGCGGCATTCAAGACAACGAGAAGATCTTCCCTCAATTAGTCAACGTTGTCCAGCGCGTCCAGGCTGATAGCGCTGACGAATAAGCAATGGGATTAGACACGGTTTACGGATATGACATGGCGTTTTACGAGATATGATAATTGTTTTGGGTATGGCAGCATGGCGCAGGATTGGATAAAGCGTTCGATTGGGCGCGCTATGATTATAGATTGATTAGCACTGAATACATCGGTTGCTCACATTACCGCACTTGTGATTGGATGTGTATGATTGGTGATCTGAGTCATTGCTACATAATTTTCAACTGAGATGGTCGAATATGACAAATGCCTTAGTCAATATTGCCCAGTTGCGTGGTGTCAGGATGGACTAAGATTTGTCCCCTGCACTAGGATCGTATCTTGGGTCATTGACGGAGAATCGATCCCGTCGGACAAACAGCCTGTCTAACAGAAATCTTGTAAGTTAATGACGCTCGTTTCAGAGATAGAATGATATATCATGAGATACGAGCCTCGCTCAGCTACAGATTCGGCCCTTAGTCAAATCCACTATTAACGAAGCCTAACGTTCGGCCCGCTAACAAACAGGGATCTCGCGCATCAACCGTCCGATCGGTAGGCCCGTAATCTTATTTATATGGCATGATTGAGATTGCCTTGATATCTTGACGTGGGATTGTTTGTCGCCGAATATTCCTCCGACACCGCCTCAATCTGTCACACCATGGCCATATGGATCTTTCTGTGGCTGGGCTTGGCCACCGCCTCAATCACCGTCCAGGTCTCAAATGTCGAACCACTCCCGTTGAGGAACGAGGGCATCGCCACATCGGCAGAGGATCTATTTCGGAAGAGTTGTCCTGAGGAGGTCGCGTCGGAGAACCCGTATGTATCGCATCTCTTGGCGTCATCTTTCGACGATGAGGCCTTTTCCAAGGGCCATGTATTTCCCTCGTCGGATGGGCTTGTTAGGGGTGCGATAGAGGCGTGGGCGCAGCATCAGCATCTTGTTCTGAGGCCGGATGAGGTCTGGTTTGAGGTCCTCGCCCAGATGAACATCTTCATGAGCAGGCATGGGGAGAGTTTGAGGGGGCTGTTTGTTGAGCATGCTGCGAAGGAGACGATTGTCGTGGAGGGTTTTGGGTGGGAGGATGTTGTCGGGGCGTTCGGGGGAGAGATCCAGAAGCGTGTGAAGACGGAGTGGTTGTTGGATTGGATCATGCCGGGCTTTAGCACGTCGACCGAGAAAGATGAAGTCACAGCTACGGTTCTCATGATGGGTCTGATGCAGCATTTCTTCGAGTACGAGGGTATGTTGGTGTGTGGGATCCCAAGCGTCACGCTGCTCGGCGAACGAGAGGACTGGGTCAAGCTGATGGAGAAGCTGGACTATCTGAAGGAGTTTGGGGAGGAACCAGCCCAATTTGCGGTCAAGTTACGGCCCATCATGAAGAGGTTTGTGCAGACGTGGGATGAGCCAAAGAACGAGGAGGTGAAGGTGTTTTGGCAGCAGATTGTCCGGACGAGCAAGCAGTGGTCTTGCGGCGAGGGGGCGAATGAGTGGAGGGTTTCGGGGTGGATTACGGGGTTTTTGCATTGGGATAGGGATGGGAGGGTTAGGGGGGTTGAGGATGACTATGCTGATGATGATGAGGAGGAGGAGGAGGGAAAGAAAGAAGTGGAAGACACAGAGGTGAAAGAGAAAGATGCCGAAGTGATACAGATGGGTGTTGTGTCCAACGACTGGACTGTCACTATCGATGGAGTCGGATACATCCCTGAGTCTTTGGATAGCATGACCATTGGATATGCCAAAGCACCACTCAAGATGACCAACTATCCACATCCGGGAGTTGACACGCAGGCATATCTCCTCGCTGGAAACGTTGGCGTTGAGAGACACGACGTAGGTGGAAAGATCACAGCACAGCCAGTCAGCGGATGGTTCATCTACGCACCAGTCGACACGAATCACACGGTTGGTCCATGGATGGGGAACATGGGTGAATTGATGGATATAGCTGTTGGTGTTGAGAGTTGTGTGGGAACCGCCAAGAAGGAAGACGAAGTGAATGATCTTTAATACCGAGGGAAAGATAGTGTCAGAAGAGAAGAATAGATAGAAATAATAAGTAGGACATAGGCTGCTTTAGAAGGCTAGGTTTAGGCGTCTAAGTGATAGCCAGGGATATGCTTAAGTAACTTTCCTAGGATTTCTTATAGGGGCCTTAATAGTAAATAATATCTAAGGATAAGTCACTAAGTAAAGAGGAATAAGTTAGTAAATATAGTTAATATATAATATATCTTACTATAATAATTCTTTTTTTTAAAAAATAATACTAATTTAATTTATTTTTAATATTAACTTATTAAATAATTTATATAATTAGGTTTATTATCTTTATTCCAAGGTTATCTTAGTATTAAAATTATTTATAATATATAAATAAGTTATTCCCCAGTTAATAATATTATTAATAACATTACGCGTTACATCACGGAAGTAGGCACAGTAGGATTTTAATAAGGGTCACGTGATCTGATTTAATTCCTCGGCCCGAAGCCACCTTTGACTTTAGGCTGCCTTGACTTTGACTTTAACTCTAAATACGTATTCCTCTGAGTAATTATATCACCACAATTTATATTAACCTTCTACCTTTCTGCCCGTCCCAGCCCCTCAGCACCTTATATATAACTTCTCTTTACTTCATTCCTCCACTGGCCTCGATTACCTATTTAACCTGCTTTTCCAAGCGGTTACGCTAAACCATATAGTTAAGCTTCGACTTAAATACCTTAATAAAAAAGGTTTCGGTCTTAAAAACTAACCCTTTTAGAAGCCTTTTTTCTAGGCTTCTTAGGTTCTTAAGCTAATCTTTTATATACCTTAAACTTAATATTTTTATTTAATAAGATTTCTAACTTAATTATATATAAAAAAATACTAAAAGCTTATAGCTAAAGGTAATTAACTTAACTAAGCTATAGTTATTTTATTTACTATAAGAAGGTACTAACTAGCCTTAGAAGTCCTACCTTATTTTAATCTTAAGGTCTCTAACTATATAAATAAGTTATTTATACTTTTCCTTACTATAGTTATTAATTACCTTATAGATCTTATCGTAAATTAGGCTAAGATTTATATTACGGTAGGTATTTATTATTTAAATAGTAATACTTATTATAGTAACTATAAAAGAAATTAATAATATAAACTAAAGGGGGACTAAGGGTTAATTAACTAACTATAGCTATAAAGGTTAATTAACTAGTATATTTATAATATAAATTAGTTTAAGGGGTATAAAGGGGAAGCTAGTTTTTATATATATAGCTATATAAGTTATATAAATATTTATTTAATTAAAGTTTAGTTACTATATATAATATTTATTATCTTAATTATTAAGTTTTAACCTTAAAAGAGGTTACTTTTATTATTAATATTATTAAAAGTTTTAAAAAGCCTAAGCTTAATAAAGTTAAAGGTTAAAAAAAAAGAATAAAAAAAAATAAGTTATTAATATACTATATAATAATATTTATATAAATAAATAACTTAAATATACTTTTTACTAAGAAATTAAGACTTTAAATATATTATATTTAAAGTCTATTTTTATTAGTAAAAAGTATATTTAAGATAGATTAATATATTAAAAATAACTAAAATTATAAAGGTATTTATTATATATAAAAATAATATTTATAAACTATATAAGATACTAATTATATAGATACAAAAGTTAAATATACTTTTTACTAGTAAATTAAATTCTTAAATATATAGTATTTAAAGTCTATTTTTATTAGTAAAAAGTATATTTGAGATTAAAGTAATATATTAAAAATAGCTAAAATTATAAGAATATTTATTATATACATAAATACTACTTATAAACTATATAAAGTATTATTTATATAAATAAATATTTTAAACCTATTTTTTATTAATAAATTAGATCTTTAAACCTAGAAGGTTTAAAGTTTACTTTTATAAAGGAAAAATAGGTTTAAAATTAAATTAATATATTAAAAAAAGCTAAAACTATAGGGCTATTTTATTATATATATAAATAATACTTATAAGCTAAATAAAACATTATTTATATAAATAAATATCTTAAACCTATTTTTTATTAATAAATTAGAGTTTTAAACCTATAAGGTTTAAAGTTAACTTTTATAAGGGAAAACTAGGTTTAATATTAAAAAAGTAAAATTAAAAAAACTATACTTATAAGGTTACTCTATTATATAGATATTTAATAGTTATAAGCTATATAAAACTTTATATATATAAATAAATATTTTAAATTTACTTTTTACTAAGAAATTAAAAACTTAAACCTATTAAGTTAAAAGTCTAGTATATTTTATATATACTTATAATTAAAAATTAAGTTAAATATACTTATACTTTTAAAATTAATTTACTATATATAATAGTTATAAACTATATAGGAAAAATAGTAAGTATAACCTTAGCCTTTTAATTTATATACTATATACTTACTTTAATAGTATATTACTTCTTACTTTTATTAAATTAACTTTATACCTTTTTATAAGTATTAACCCTATTACTCATTTCTTTAAAAAAAAAAATACTTTCAATAGGTAAATTAATAGATTTAGCTATTAGTGTTAAGAGTTGTATAGAACTACTAAGAAGGAAGATAAAGTAAAAGATTTTAATGCTCCCTAGAGGGGAAGTATAGTAAGAAGCGAATGATAGAACAAGAATGGAATAAGAGATAAGTTATTTTGGTAAGCTGGGCTTCGGCGCTTTCCAGCCTTTACAGTAATATCCTAGAATATCTTTGAGTAACTTTCCTAGGATTCCCCAAGGGAAGTCGCAGCCATTTATAGTCTTTTGCCAGCCGTCAGTGTTAAAAAGGTAGTAAGCGCCTATGAAGCTAGCGTTAGTTATTACATTAGGGAATGTGGCTTTATAGTGTTGTTTGAAGGGATGTAGTAAGAAGATGTAGTGAGGGTGTCGGTGAAAAGTGTTAATGGATGGTGTGTGTGACTTACTATCTTTGCAGACACAGAGACGTGGGACGCAGTATCTATCTTTCTTCGAGATTGTACTAAACCTTGTCAGATAGTTGATTATAGGCAGGAGAAGATAGGACTGACTAGTGATAGTATCCGCTCGAGGCCTTGCCAGGAAGAGGTTTGAGAACAACAGGCTCAGGACGAGCAGCCATGACTAGGCCGATCGTGAAGAGGGATACTAGAATGAGCTTTATGGCGGGTGATATCTGGCGATAAGTGACTGAGTTGAGGGAAATGGGTTGACAGACATGGTTGATATATAAGGTCTTGCTGTGGTATGTCTTTCTGGTAGGTGATGTTAATTCGAGGTATTTTAGAAGAGTTTATTAAAACTCACGTAAAGCTTAGACTGTTTCCTTTAATGAATTTGTCTAAGCGAAAATGCTATATAAATAGATTCTTAGAATGAATGCTTAGGTAAGTTCTTTATCCACAGACAAACTTATAATAAGAATTAGATTTTAAAGTATAATTAAAATAGCCTTCTTTAATTCCTATTTAAAACTTAAGTAAAGAAGTTTTAAAAAGAATTGGCTTTTAAATATATTAGTATTAATAATGAAAGTAAAATATATTTAAAGTACTTCGTTATATAAGATATAATAGTAAGAGTAAATAAAGAAAAGGACTATATATAGAAGTATATTTTATTAATAAGTAAAATAATAATAAAGAATATTAATAAGTTAAAGTACTATTTAAGTTTATTATAAGTAGAATATAAAAATAAACCTTAAAGTATATATATTATAAGCTTTTTACTATTAAAGTTAAAGTTTTTATATAATATAGGTTTTTAAAAATTATAATATTATTTTTTAATTATAAAATAAAATTAATATTTATATTAAGTCTAATAGTACCTTTAAAAAAGAGATCTAGCTATTCTAATTAAATCTATAAAAATATTAATAATAAAGGTCTTTATATAGACTGAAAAGTAATGATATTTTAAATTTAATAAGATTACTTACTATATTAATTATAATTCTATTTCTTAATAATATAAAAACCCCTATATATATTATTAATAATATTACGTATTGCATTGCAGAAGTAGGTATAGTGGGATTTTAATTAGGGTCATGTAATCTAATTTAATACCTTGGCCCGAAGGTACCTTAACTTTAACTTTAACTCTAAATATATATTCCTCTAATATATTAACCTTCTACCTTTCTACCCCTTATTAATACCTTATATATAACTTCTATTACTATCCTTAATAGTTATATACTCTTAGTCTTAGGCTAAAACTAGGATAGTCTAGCTTTACTTCTTATTTTTAAAGATCTTAATTATATTATTAACCTACCTCTTTAAGCTATAATATTAATTTATATAGTAAGGCTTTAACTTAAATACCTTAATAAAAAAGATATTAGTCTTTAAGACTAGCCTTTTTATAAGCCTATTTTCTAGGCTTTTTAGGCTTTTAAGCTATATTTTTATATATTATATATTTAGTTTCTTTCTTTATATAAAAAAAAGTATTAAAAACCTATAGTTAAAGTTAATTAATATAATTAAGTAAAGATTATTCTATTTATTATAAAGAGGTAATAAAAAGCCTTTTATATCCTACTTTATATTAATTTTAAGGTCTTTAGCCTATTACTTAATTCCTATATATTTTATTTTATAATAGTTTTTTAATACTTTATTAATCTTTTTATATTTTAAGCTAAGGCTTATATTATAGTAAGTTTTTATTATTTTAATAATAATATTTATTATAGTAACTATAAAAAAGGTTAGTAATATAGACCGAAGGGGGTTAATTAATTAACTATAGCTATAAGGGTTAATTAACTAGTTTATAGTATAGATTAGGTTAAGGAGTATAAAGGGGAAGCTAGCTTTTATATATATAATTATATAATAATATATATATTTATTAAATTAAAGTTTAATTACTATATATAATATTTAATATCCTAATTATATTAAATGTTTAATATTAAAAAAGGTTATTTTTATTATTAATATTATTAAGAGATTTAAAAAGCCTAGGCTTAATAAAGTTAAAGGTTAAAGTAAAAAAAAAGAAAAAAACCTCTATAAAAACTACTAAGGTTACTTTTCCCTTTTTATACTTTACTTTAATTAACCTACCTATATCTATATAAAAAGAAGATTATAATAAGTAATTACTAAGCCTATAAATTAACCTAATTACTTTACTTATAATTAGGTTAATAAAGTTAACTTTAATTATAATTAATATATTAATTAATATACCTATCTTTATACCTACCTTCTATAAGAACCTCTAGCCAGTTAATAATAATAATATAACTAAGGTATATAAAAGGAAATTCTAATATAGTTAAAAGGTATTTCTTAAAGTAATAGCTAAGGATTTTAATACCTATAAAAAGCTAAAAGGCCTACTTAATAAGATTAACCGGCGGTATATTATTAAGGTAAGGTTAAGGTCTATAAATCAAAAGGCTAAGGTTATACTTACTATCTTTAGCTATATAGTCTTTTAAATACCTAGTCTCTTTATCTATAATAATAATTATAATAATAAAAATATATAACTTAAAAAGGAGATATTACTTTTTAACTATTTTAAAAGGAAACTTAAATTATATAATATAATTAGGCCTTTAATAATAAAAAAGACTACCTTTTTTAATATATTAAATAAAAATAATATAAACCTAATAAAAAGTAAGTATAAAAAATAGTTAATAGATTTAGTTATACTAATAGGTTTAATTAAAGAATTTAATTAATAAACTATATTAAACTCTAGTTAGAGTTATTAAGGGACTATAAAGAGATATAAAAGGAAAACTTATATATATAAAATAGAGTTTTTTATTAAAGATTAAAAAGTCCTAAAAGAATAAAATAAGTTACTTTAGTTATAAAAGAAAAAGCTATTATACTTAATTAACCGAGATTATATAACTTAATAGACCCTCCTTACAGTAAGTTAATAAAATATTAAAGGTAATTAATAGTAATTTAATAGTAATATAATTAAGTAAAATTAATATTATTATAGTTTATTTAGCTTTTAAGTAAATAATATTAATTACTTTTTTTAAAAGTTTAAGTTTAATTATATATAACTTAATAATTATATAGAATATAAATATATAGTTTTAAAAACATAGCCTTTATATAATATTATTTTTTAAAAGTTATAGTATTATTTTCCTAGTAATAAAGTAAAAATATAATCCTATTATAATTTATTTAATCTATTAGTAAAAGGAATTATAATTTTTAAGATATTCTAAAATTAATTATATATAGCTTAGTAATTATATAGAGTATATATATATATTTTTTTAAAATATAGTCTTTAAATAATATTAGTTTTTTATTATAAAATAAATAATAATATTATTATAATTTATTTAGTTTCTTAATATAATGTAAAGTAATTCTTTTTAAAAGAATCTTTAAACTTAATTATATATAGCTTAATAAATCTACTTTTATTTAATTATATTACTATTAAACTATATTTAATTGCCTTTACTACTTTAATATTTTATTAAATAGAAGATATAATAAAGTAAATACTCTTAATTACTTAATTAATATAATTTTACTTTTAATAGATATTTATAAGAGTTTATTAAAATATTAAAAGAAATAAAATAAAAAATAAGTATAGTCTTTATTATTTACTAATTCTTTAAGTTAAAAAATATATAATATCTAACCTTACTTATAGTTAAAAGCTTAAAGTTATCTTAAACTTATATACTATTAATAAAAGATAACTATATAAATATTCCCTAGATATTATCTTCACTATACTTTAAAAATAAAGAATAATAATATTAAAACTCTCGTGTGGTTTATATTGTCTTGTTTCATTAAGAACTCTACCTAAACAGCAAACCACTAACCTAAGGACCATAACGTTAGTCTCGGATCGGGCAAATAGTCAGATCACCAGTTAAGGACTTGACCTCTCTCAAGTCAAGTCAGAATCCGAATCAATAAGAGGAACGCTTAATTAGAGGGAAGAATAGCTTTTAGCATTGGCACCAGAATAATTCTCAATTAGCTTACTAGGTAGGTCGCGATAATCCATTCACCAAAGTACTTGAAGTATCTTGTGACATGAAGTTTGACAAAATTTATGCGCTCTTACATCAAATTTAGACTAAGTTTGTGCGGATTAAATTGCAACCCACCTGCTCACATATAACGAAATTTCACTCAATCGCCAATAGTGTATTGAGTCGCGCATAAACCGCGTAGGTCATATTCTAGTTACTAAGATTGTTTGAACCTTGTATGTGCTTTGACGTTACTTGGCATGAGTTGTTGGTGCGATATGCTTGCGACGATGTATCATTTAGTGGTCATGACATTGCGGAGTTACTCGGAGCTGCCTCGACTGAGGAGTCATGATGGCAGTTAATTAGTTAAATTAAGTGTAGTGAAAGCCTGAGAAAAGTGTGCCTTGTTTGAAGGCGAGTGCCACTAATGCAGCTTTATTCCAGATCATTCACAGCGATGGTCAGTGAGAGCAGGCCTGCTGTTTGCATCGGTTTGAAGATGACCACAGCAAAAATAAGCGCCAACGACATTTCCACAAGCTTTCGAGAGGCCGAGTGTCAATATGTCGATTCACGCTGTGGGGGCAATCGTTGCTCTTTCGGAGAGTGTTTGCGGCCCATCCCTGATGAGGTCTCGAATTCGTCGGTCTTCTTCCAGACGTCTCCTGTCATCTGCATATTCCACCAAGTGTCTTCCACCCAGATCCGATTGTTGGAGTAGACTATCATTCTGTTTTAGACCAGGCATTAGTTGAGTTTGTTGGAAGTGGTGAACGACATTACCTGAATCCCTTTGTGTCCACAACTCATTTCTCATGACTTCGCGCATACTGCTTTCTTACTCAGTCTCAGTGCTCAATAGTAATCAGGGATCGAATCAACATCATATCTACCGCTGTCAGCGCCATCCAGAACATCACCACAAGTGACCTACCCCTCGGGATACATGAGCCACTGCACCTTCACCCCATCAGCATCCTCATGCTCCTCCACCATGACCTGAACACTCGCACCCTCGAACACATGCGCTGAAAGCTCTAGCATCGAGGCAGTTACATTGTCGGCGAAGATGATGAAGACGAAACCCTGCTGGAGCTGGGAACGTGAGAGGTTGCGCCAGCCGGTGATGGGCGAGACGGGGCGTGGGAGATGGGGCATAATCCATAGGCTCATGAAACCAGCGGCGTAGAGTTTGCCGCGGACGAACCAGGGGGTTTGACGACGGCTGATGGAGGGAGGATGACGGCGGACGAGAGGAGGCATGGTGGTTGTCTGCTAGGCAGTGGTTCTGGTGTCGAGAGTGGTTTGAATCGGTTGGTAGAGTAGTGTGATAATACTAAAAAGGAAGTATTTTGGTTAGATCATTTAGTCTAAAGTAAAATATTATAAACTTAGCTAGATTAAACTGTATTATAATTTGAATGTCACGGAAGAAAATTTAGGTTAATAACACTCTTCTTTATACAATTATCTATTATAGTTCCTTAATATTCGTCCGTCATGTCTGATTGCCCTCAGAGCCCATTACTAGCCAGGTCTCGTCCAGGCATCCTCTTAACATCAAAACAAAGGCTTCTAACACGGCAAACTCCAGATTTAATCTCGCATATTCATGGAAAGTCTCTAGACTTCTCGTCACAACTATCTGATGGTTACTCGTCTAGTCGCGTTCGTATTTGTATTGATGTGCTCACTGTAGAGACATCTCACCCGGAGTGGTGACGAGAACCACTGGTCCAACTGGGAAAGTTCGGATACTGTACTCAAGAATGTCAGTGTTTGTTCAGGATATAGAGACGACAGCATAACTTACCAGTACCGTGTGAGGTCTTCGTCAAGAACGCTGTTACTTCAAAACCAAAGTCAAAGTGCCACCACGCATTTCATTCTTCTGTAGTTCCTTTCGTTGCTCTTCGACTCGGGCAGCTGTCTCCTGCCATCTAGGGTCGACCATCTTCATGCCTTCTTCACCAAGAATACCAGGAATGTCAGAGGTTTCAAGGTCGCGGCTTTGTATTTCATGACCAACAGTGTCGGTATCAGGTGCGTCTGTCCAGCAGATCAAGTTGCGATCAACGTGATCAATGACCTGCACCACCTCAGGCTCGTATCTCCGGATGGTGTAGGTTGTTTCAGCTCTCTCACAAACACCATCAATAGCGGTGGACTTGAGCCCAGAGTTTGAGAGCATCAAATCCTTGAAGTCGGACATGGTGTCCTGGCAGCTAATCCGTGCAACCCAGGTGTTGAGTCGACCAGGTACGCGGGCGCAGATATCTGTCTGCGGACCGGTCTTTCTTGGGTTGCTAACCACGAAGTTAGGTGCCAAGGAGAGAGCTGCAGACGGCAGGATACGTAGTTGACCGAACGAATGAGGCTGAGGACGGACTGGCTTTTCCAAGTCGTCGTCGCCGCCTTTATCGTTTTCGTCGTTGACAGAAGCTGAGGCTTGGGGGGGATCGGCTTGAGGAGCGTTGTTACGAGTGTTTCCAGCCTGCTCCTGAGTACTAGAATCTCGGCCAGAATTGCCACGACACGCTGTGGGCTTGTCCCTTTGATAGGGATGCATGTGAGCGGCGCGTTGTTTAGGGCGAGAGTACTTGGTCATGGTGACGATGGTCGGTGTTGTTTGGAGTTGTGAAGGTAAAGAGAGAGAAGAAGTTTCTGGAGCGGAAGATAAGTTTCTTTGGCGGAGAAGTTAGAGGGAGAAGTTGGGACGAAAACTGTAACCACTGATCTTTTGTACTGGCAAGCCAGTGGTGGCTCACTGCACTGTAAGCTCGTATATATTGGGAAGATATTAACTCTGTAGGCACTCATCTTCACTTCATTCAACATACGGCCACTTTCCAAATGCTGTATTTGCTACCGAAGGCTCCTTTACCAGTAATTGACTCAGACACTCAGAGGTCTGCTTGATACGGAAGGCTAGAAGACAACTTCCTTGCCTACCTAGGTCGATTGACAGCGAACTCCGAACATCTCGATCCCGTGGCGATTCTCGCTGCAGTTTCCTCAATAAATCCAGAGGTACACCCGATCCGTCTAGAAAGCCCTCTCAAGGACTTGGCAATTCATCACCGCCACTTGGATGCTGCATCAAGCAGAGAGCCTGAGATGGTAGACAGCAGATTGACTTTGATTGCCACCAAGAGACTTGAGGCCTATCAGGTTGTGAACGGTCCCAAGCAGCGTACACAATCTTCCGCCGAAATTTCCTGACGATCTCCCCCAACGAACTCCCCCGAAAAAGCCCACCTCGTGGTCTTGCAGCCAAAGTGAGATGAGAACTTGTTCATGGGACAGTATCATGGTAGCCTGGAACCCTCGTCGTTGACATGAGCCAGTCAGTGGTTTGCAACACCGCGTCTCTTCCAGCAGATGTTGGTCGGTAGTCCTAATGGATCGTAGTTGATCAATTTCCAGTAGTTTCGGTTGTGCAGCGCGGCTCTTGCATTACATGTACTTCTATAATTTATGGCTAAAAAGACAATCATGAAATATTGAGTCACTGTGGGTCTGTATTGAACATGAGAGGATCAGGAAATGGTAACGAATTGTGATGCTATTTATCTCGGGTGATAAGCTTTCTGATTGCATCTTAGTCCCACAGCCCTGGACCAGGCCCGATCTCCATTGGCATCCCTTTCGGGTCGTCCAAACCGTCCCTCAGAGTAACACCAATGGCCCCTGACCTTCCTTGACCTCGAAACCCAGAAGTCTTCCCAGAGTAGCAATCTTCTGGTGGCCAAAAAGAATGACCTCTCCTTCGCCGTTCTCGACCTTGTCGACATACTCCTTGCGGTGGGTGCAAAGGATGATGGATATTTCCGAACCGTATTCCCCACGCCATATCATGCTGATGTTCGACCAGCCTGGGGGGCTGAGGGAGAGAGCGAGGGTGACCAATTCGGAGGCCATGTCTTGAGTACTGACTCTCGCCAGCCAGACGTACTTGTCAGGTACTTTCCAGCAGATATCCATTTGGGGACCCTCCTGCGTAACGTTGCGAACAGAAAGAGTCTTCGGATGAGATAGGCCATATTCGTACGCAAAAGCTTTCTCGATGAGGTGCAAGTTCCTCAACTTTCCAGAGAAAGGGTTCGTCGCTGGGATCACAGGCTGGAGTCGAGATTGAGGCCGAGGTTGAAGTCGAGGTCGGGGTTGGAGTTTAGGTCGAGAAGCGTGACGGGTTTGGGAATCTCGGTCGTCAGCATTGTTCCGCGACTGAAGACGCTCGAAGTTGACCACGACAAACGAATCCCGGAGCACTGCGAAAACTGCCTTGTCAATTTTGACAGCTTTCTGGTTTTGTTCGCCGATGGCTTCATGGTGATCACCCAGGCCGTAATAATCCAGGCCGTCCTCATTCTGGTAGTGATGGTGATGATGATGGTGATGATGGACGCTCTTTCGAGGCATTTTGATGGATTTGATCGAGAGAGAGGCTCGGTTTTCGCTTTTGGTAATGGTGATGTTGTTGCTCGTGGATACGATCGTTAAGGTGTGAAGAGAGAAAGAAAAAACAGGCAAGCGAAGCGGGTTTGTTGTTTGTAAATATGCGTAATGAAAAAACTTGCTGTCGGCTCTTTGCACTGGCAAAACAAATAGAAATCACCTAGAAGCACTGCCAACAGCCTCCGCGAACGTCCATCTACCAACGCGCTATTACTAAGGGTAAAAATGAACGGCGATGTGCTGCCTCAGTATCCTAACTCAAACTCGTCAGCATTTCACAGCCCTGGAAGTCATCCATCACTGATATAAGGGCGACATACTCTTGAGACTCGGCGAAGATCCTCCCGCAATGAGTTTCGGCTCCGGTATTGGTGAGCATCTTGAAGTCGAAGTTCACCTCTTCGGTGACCAGTGAAACTCACAAGACCTGCTCCTGGCCGGCGCCCTCGTCCAGTCCCTGAGATAAGAGCAGCAACGACACCGGTTATGACGCCGGTAACGAGACTAACTCTTCCGCCACGGGTGAGATTGATACGACGAACGGGAGGTTGTTGGTGGCCACCGGTATGAGAACCTCGCATTGAAACTGGGCTAGATCTCGGGATGTGGTAGTTCTTTTGCTGTTTGTCGTGCTGTACCATCTTGATTTTATAAATATGTCACTCTTCTGGTTACTTTGGGTCTGTATCCTCCGTTAACTATCGATATGGAGGAAGTGAAAAGCTGGACTTGACGTTGGGTGAAGTGTGTAATGATGGTGTGGAATGAGGTCAAGCATTTTCATGCAGAGAAAGAAGGGAATGTATTTATACGTATTCATTAGAGTTTCCTTGAGATCCCAAAAGTAAATAAAATCGAGTATGAGGACATTATATTGAAGTTTCCTGCACTTGCTGGGCCGGACAGATCTCTTATGTCTGACTTCGCTTATGACTGAAAGCTTGATGCTATTTTGAACTTACGTGCTGCCCACAAGAAATGATCGTATGTATTCACAGTGAGTTTAACCATTAGCCAGTCTTTTAACTAAAAGTTTTGGCAATGAATAGATGAATACAATTAAAGTTCTCGTGTAGTTTGTACTGAGTTTGAGTCCAGCTTTTCCACAAACTCAAGCTTTAACAATAAAACCACCAACCCAAAAGACCAGAAAATTAACCGCAATAAAAAGAGCGCGCCAAAAAGGGTTCTCAGTCAAATCACAGATAATTTAATTATATCCAGACGCCGATAGTGTATCATATCGTGCATCATCTCGTAGATCACATATCGCGAGTGGCAATTTTCCCCAGCTTCCCACTCACCACGTGCAATTCTTGACGTCTTTTTAAACATCCCCAGACCCAGAAGCCTCCGCAATCTCCATCTCGTCAAGCTTAACGAAAAGAACCGGAGAGCTGGGGAGAGGGACCCTTTGTTTTTCGGCGAGAAGCTCGGTGAAAAGTCTCCCGCAACTGGGGAGGGGATCCACGAGGTTGATGGAGGGTAAACGAGCGTACATATTATGGAGAGCTTCAATGTAACAACACAGGGGTCACTTGGAAGCCTTGGGATTAACATTATTAATTATTCTTCTTGGCAGTGTTTGTAATGCTTCTCATTCACAGGATCGTATGAGAATAATTAATTATCCAGCGTCAACCGCAAATAAGCTTGGCGAAATCCACGCGCGATTCAATTTTCGCCAGTTATGGCCATGGTAAACCCTCACTATGCCCGCATAGACGCTCGGCTAACGCCCGTCTTGGCTCTTTTGCGCCGCTATCCGACTTGCCAAGAATGAAGTTGGAGGTTCAGGGCTGGGAGTGGAGAGCCAAGCCGGAGGGTAAATTTGGGGGTTGAACCGTCAGGATTAGATTGTGGTGGGGCATTTTTACAAAGGAATCAGACTGTGGTTTGGTCAGGCTGCAGCAAACGCTTGCTGCGGTAGATGCTCCAAGGGACTGATGGCCAAAAGCAGTAAACCGAGGATTGCGCATGGAATCTAGGTGTGAGCGAGATCGGCGGTAAGGTAGTGCCGAGGCACAGTGTAAGCCTGTATTGGAGGTGTTGGAGGTGTTGATTCTGTCATCAATAACTTGAGGCTGGTAAGTGTCAACCGTGGAATGGAAAGACGAGTAATTGAAATGAAACATCAAGAGGTAATCAATCATTATTGATGTTCACATTGTTTTATAAATTTTCTGAAAAATGATCAACAATTATGCATGCCAATGTTTTTCTTCGATCGCCAAGTCAATAGCCAGGTCCAAGTACGATTGAAACCCCTACAGAGGCTGAAGATCTCCCACTGGCCAAGAAAAATAGGTGAACTACATGCGTTTCCTTCAATGTTTCTACCATTGAATTAGATATGCCTGTAAGGTATTTGCAGAATTGTTAAAAGAAAATTGAGAGATGTATCTGAGGCGATACACAAACTTCAGAGTACTCCGTCATTAGACCCTTTGACCACTCTCCCCAAATAAAGGCGATATTCGGAGATACCGTTGGAATTGCTGTAGTTTGCGCGCCAATAACAATTGCCAGCGATGGTCCACTGAACTGTAATTGGTGGTACGCCCTGGAACAAGGCACTGGTATGTGTCAGGTTTTCGCTTCTCAAGAGAAAAACTCTTTAATTCTACGATGCTGTACTGCGTACTGTGCTTCATTATCACATCGCTCACTTTCCGACGCTAGACTACCTTGATTTCTCACGACAATCCCTCAGTAAATTAACAATTTGTCACTTCTATCCATCGTCTGCTCTTCGAAACACAAATTCCTGATTTCTTCCCCGTGGGCACTTGTGATAAACTGGACCCTCGCACCGCATTGAGGTTGTCGCCCGCTCCCTATGAGGAGGTGATCATCGATATAGTGGCTCTCGTACAATTCCCACTTCTCCTCCCCCGCGGTCCTGTTTTTTTCGCCAGTTTTTTAGGTGATGCAGACAAGAAGACCAGACCCTCTTCTCGCGTGGGTGAAAGAAATATCGGGGTTCAAGCTGCTGTTGATCGGCCGGCCGTGCACATTATGTGCAAACTACATGTGTACAGCTGCAAACCGAGGCTGGTATCAGATATTTTACGGTGATGCACATGCCGGCATCTTTTCCAGCCGCAACTAACACAATCACACCTGAGCCAATGACGTCTCTGCCGTTGCGAAAAACGAAAAAGTGATCGCCACGGCTGCAGAGTTACCCAACAGGGGTTCTTCCTTTGGTTGCAAGCAACTCACGTTTCATCCCGACCCTCCATCACCTAAAAAGAGGCTTCCTTCTCTGGCGCCTCTGCCGCTATCTCCTAGGTATTATTCCTTCTGCCGTAGAATTGATTGACGTCAGAGTTTCTTCTTTCAGTAACCCCGAGACCTTCTGGCGGGGCCGCTGCCCCGGGATCTTGCCAAGAACCGGAAGAGATCCTTACAGAGGGAGAGAATCGGTTGCCGGCACGGTGCGGAATGACGACACGCCTTTTCGGCCTTGTAAGGCCAACAGATTACAGCAGATTACAGTGACCTTACAGCGGCTTGAATACAGTGGATTGCAGTGGCTGTTGGATCACGACTCAGTGTCCATGTCTCAGTCTCCAATAATCCTTCGGCTCCGCTTGGATGGGGATGGAGATAGTGGCCCACGCATGTACCTAGGGACCCCGTGGGACCTTGTGTCCAACGTCCAACTTTGTTAACTTTGTTCCAGGATGATCGTCACTTCAACCGTGGAGACGACGTGGAGAAGAGTGCGTATAGTACATGCAGTTCGAGTAGAAGGGAGGGTACAGAGTTTTCTCACTCCCCCAGACGACGCTTGCAATTGTCAATATAAAGACCCCGTCATGTCTCTCTCATCGAAGGTCTTTCTCTCGTCACACGCGATTCTGCATACAGCTCCTGGGTGAGCTTTTGTTATCTTTGTTTTGTCGTCAGGCATAGCTGGTCTTGCTATTTCCTCCTCTCCCTCTTGTCCACGCAAAAACCGCCCATCATGCCTCCTCATTTCGCCGGCCTCACGGGCAAGAAATTGTCCCTGGCCATCTCGACCGTCGCGACGACTGGTTTCTTACTCTTTGGTTACGATCAGGGTGTCATGTCTGGAATTATCGACGCTGACCCCTTCCATGATTACTTCCCCGAGACAAAGAACAGCACCATGCAGGGTTTCGTCACGGCTATCTACGAGATTGGATGCTTGCTCGGTGCTATGTTCATTCTTTGGATCGGTGATCTGCTCGGTCGTCGAAGGGCTATGATTCTCGGTGGTTGGATTATGATCATCGGTGTCATCATCCAGATTACTGCTATGAAGGGTCACTCTGCTCTTGCCCAACTCATCATTGGTCGCACAATCACTGGTGTTGGTAACGGTATCAACACTTCGACCATCCCTACCTACCAGGCTGAATGTTCCACCACCACCAACCGAGGTCTCCTCATCTGTATCGAGGGTGGTATCATTGCCTTCGGTACCCTCATCGCCTACTGGATCGACTACGGCTGCTCTTACGGTCCCCAGGACCTTACATGGCGATTCCCCATTGCCTTCCAGGTTGTATTCGGTCTCATCCTCTGTGTTTCCATGGTCTGGCTTCCTGAGTCTCCTCGATGGCTTCTCACCCACGACCGCCACGAGGAAGCCGAGCGAGTCATCGCTGCTATCCGTGGCTACGAGATTGACAGCGACGAGACCCGCGCTGAGCGAGACCGTGTCGTCGACTCCATCCGCGCCTCTGGCTTCGCTGCCCAGAAGAGCACTCCCATCAAGGCTCTATTCACCGGTGGAAAGACACAGCACTTCCGTCGTATGCTTCTCGGCTCTGGTTCACAGTTCATGCAGCAGGTCGGAGGATGCAACGCTGTCATCTACTACTTCCCCATTCTCTGTACTGACATCTTTGGCGACAAGAACCTTGCTCTTCTGCTTGGTGGTGTCAACATGATTGTGTATGCCATCTTCGCTACCTCCTCCTGGTTCCTCATTGAGCGTGTCGGCCGTCGCAAGCTGCTCCTCATCGGTACCGCTGGTCAGATGCTTTCCATGTTCTTGACCATGGGTTTCCTGATCCCCGGTGGTAACGACCCTGGTACCAACTCTCCTCAGATCTCAAAGGGAGCCATCGCTGGTCTCTTCACCTACATTGCTTCATTCGGTGCTACCTGGTTGCCTCTCCCTTGGCTCTACCCCGCCGAGATCAACCCCCTCAAGACCCGTGGCAAGGCCAACGCTACATCCACCTGCACCAACTGGCTCTTCAACTTTGTCATTGTCATGATTGTCCCCATCATGATCGCCAACATTCACTGGGGTACCTACCTCTTCTTTGGTTTGGCCAACGCCACTTTCTTCCCCATCCTGTACTGGTTCTACCCCGAGGTAAGTTTCATCGTCCATTCCGCACTTGAACAGTATCTAACAGAATACAGACTGCCAACCGATCTCTCGAGGAAATCGACATCATCTTCGCCAAGGGCTTCGTCGAGAATATCTCCTATGTCCAGGCCGCCAAGGAGCTTCCCTTCCTCACTCACGAGGAGGTCCAGCGCGAGGCCATCCGTCTTGGTCTCGTCGACGAGGCTAGCCGTGGTGGAATGATGGAGAAGCCCAGCGAGGAGACCGGCACTGTCCGTGACGAGTCTGGCTTCAACTCTGAGAAGTCTTAGATGGCTTGACTCATTTTGACTTACGATATATTATACCATGTGGTTTCCGAGGAGGAAACCAGTTTTTATTTTGGATACCCTTGTTTAGACAGCGTCTTGCTACAAGACCAGCGTTAGAGTGCTCACTGGGCATTATAGAGTTATAGACTCAATAGAACTACCATAAGCATATTGTATCGTTCCTTTCAACATCGTGACTAGGATGCGTGTGATCTCCGCAGAAATTGGACATTCTCCAATTTACCTTCGATTAGGTGTGGCAAACCTGTTGGAACCCCATTTCTTCCCCGACTTATTCCCCATGAAGTTTTGGAGATTGCGATTACATAAAGATATGGAGACGTCATGTCGATCCCTTCCCTTCAGTTAGGCAACAGTTATTTAAATTGGAGAAGCAACAAAAGTCCGGAGAAGTCCTCCGCTTTTCTTCAGGCATGATCCCTTACCCCGAGAACAGACGTTATCCACTTGTTGGTTACCCTTGGAGCAGGGGTTTCTAGTCATGTCTATGCCTATAGAACGTTGCATTTCAACTCTAGACTCGTACATAGCAGGATTACGCGGGTATCCTCTTTTGGCAAGCCGAGAATGGGTTTCATTGCTTCAGTTAGGCGTTCAACGTCTACTGTACATCTTAGCTGTCTGAGTGAATCTTGTTGACGGTTCGTGATGGTATTAGGCTCGTCAATCAACCGTGTCGGCTTCAGGGTAGGTGACTCCCGACCAGATTGTGTAGAGACTATTACAAGCAACGTTACCCAGTGCATCAGCGAAGTTCAATTACAACAGCAAAATATTGATAATGAGAAGATGACAACTCCTTTTGCTATGCTTCATGTGTTTCTAAGAACCTTGTTGACGAGTGTCACCATGGTCACGGGCTCTCAAGGAGCCGTGTTAAGATTGACGCTACTACGAACATCATCTCACGGACTTTTATACTGATCTCGAACACGAAGAACCCATCGAGTTGCAGATATTTGGGCTGAAGTTATCGCGGACAGGTGGTGGATAGGGAAAATGTGACCTTGATGTTACTGCACGGATTGCCGCGTTTAGATGCAAGAAGGCGTTTGCTCTGTGAACTCACGCTACCAGAATGACGAAGTATCGGCGCTTGTACTTGTGGGAACAAACAAGCGAAGAAAATAAATACTTTGAAGCAGACATTCGGCTTGAGCAGCTGGCAGGCAGTGCTAGCTGGAGTGGTACTGGTGGTTTTGTCGTGTACACTGGCAAACAGCCAAGAATAACCAGCGGCTGCCAGTTCTCCTTGGAACTGCACTGAGAACAACAAGCTATGCATGAAGCAGATCTCAAATCATTGCCTACGAATTGCGTCCAACTTAACTACAACACCGCACAAACTACAACACCGAACCAAGAGCACACCTACGAGCACAAGCAACAACCACGTGTCGGAGATGAATGCCGAGAGAGGCACTCATCTAGCACATCAATTCTGAACCAGAATAACCATGGAGATGCTCGGGCGCCCTCAAACGCAGCAACCTGACGCTCCGTGCCAGAACACAAGACAGCACAACAGCCCAACGATGATTATCAACGACGACGACGACAACGAGATGAGATTTCAGGATGTGTCTGCAGTGCGAAAACGGCGAGGGAGACCTCCTGGCTCAAAGAATAAAAGTTCCAGGTTTGCACAACCCGCGAGCCGTCGACCACAAACTAGAACTTCGACACAATCTCATGAACTGGACGACCACCGGGTTACCGACATTGCTGATTTGATGGATGATGATTATGTCCCTCGTTCTCAGGACACGCCAACCGGTAATGTTCTCGACATTTCGCAACTAAGCCCCCAGGAAGCAGAACAGTACGGTGCATGGATACCAAGCGACAGGTTCGAAAGACAGGCTTGCCCTGAACTGAGTCGGGCATACCGCAAGGGAGTCTGCTTGTATACACAGCTGAACGAGACAATGGGTCCTTTCACCAAGAACAAAGCTGAGTCGAAGGGCTGTTCTACCACATCGCACCCTGGCTACCCGACAGAGGCAACGGATCCAATCCAAGAACAGGCGTTGAGTGCTGCTTGGGACAGCAGTTTGATCAGGGCGGCGATTGAGCGTTCATCAACTCATGCTAGCGAGCTATCTGCGGTATGGAAGGTGTCATTTCATCGCTTTGGTCTGGATCCTCTGTCGCTATTGTCAATGTATCACGACATCGAGTTCGAAAACGAAAACAATGAGAGCTTTTTGCACCAAGGCGAAATGAAACGAAACCCTCTGTGGACACACAACTTTTGCGAAAAGTTCAAGCGGATTATGGCACACCCAATGTTCAGCAGCACCAACACCCATTGCTTTATTCCCATCGCAATCAAATGGGCAATCATGTGCCGCACACACGACCAGCGTGGGTTCTCAGAAGAAGAACAGCGCATCCTCAACCACGTACAGTGTGGTGGTTTGGGCCACCCAACCGATGCCCAGCCGATATCAATGCGATTCTACGAGCATCAGACACAGCTGAAGCGCGATGGTCTCTTTATGACACCGCATGCAGAGCTTCTGTTGCGTATCATCGATCACACCGGCACACCCGAAAGATTCATTCCCAGCGGCATCGTGCAGGTCAGAACCCGGGATCTGGGTGTTGTGATCAATGCACTGGACAGCCTGAGTAGTCATGGCATGAACGTGACATGCGAGACACACTTTCAAGTCTATTGTGCCAGCCGAACATCACGAGGGTATCCATCTGGGGTTCAGGAGCTGCTTGAGGCCTACAAGCGGTCCTGGATGAGCCTGCAGAAGCGCATGTTACGTGAGGCTGAGCAAAACACTCGACAGAGCGAGCCAATCAATGCAGTGCTGGGACAACATCTGCGTACTTCTCAAGCCAGGAACGACATCTCGTCAGACAATAATGGTCACGTTGTTCAAGGCATGCTTGGTGGTCATGACAACTCAAACACAGGACTCGGCAGCGGAGAGACACCCGATGAAGCGAATCGGCCTAGTCTGGATTATCGTCACAGTCCTCACTCGGATCAGTCTCGATATTCATCACGAAACCGCCTGGCATCTGAAGAAGGTCAAGCTTCACAGCCAGAGATCATCGAGATTGGTTCGTCTGAGGATGAGTACGATGCACCGGGTTGTATGGACCATGAAGCAGAACATCCGAGTAGAGACTTTGGTCTGGGAGGCAACGATGGCCAAGATCTTGCGTTTTACAACACGGACGATATGACTATCGCTGGAAACGACAACCGGGAAGATCAACGCCCGGTGGCTGCCGCCACAGGTAACTTGTCCCGAAAACGCAAGAGAAACAGGAACAGCAGTCAACGTTACAGATGGAGAAAGAACAGAAACAACAACCGTGGTGGCCAGAATCGACACATGTCATCGGGTGTAAGAACCACGGGCAATGCACAGCGAGCTTGGAACCCTCGGGGTCAGTATAATGGTCCAGCCTTTGATCCCCCGACAGCTCCTAGAGTACGGAGAGAAAACACATCCTGGAGACGAGATTTGTGAAGAAGACTAGGGCTTCAAGTGGCATCATGCTGAGAGTCACTATCTCCAGATTTGAGGGCATAGAATTCCGGTAATCCTGTACGCCTTTGGAGGTTTAAGGTTCTGGAAAAGGCATACGTACTTTTGTCCGTTTGGAGTTCTGTTTAAGAATAGAAACATAGAGACAGAAAAGGTGAAAGTTTACTCAAATAGGATGTGTAGTAGTTGAATATATTTAAGCTCACCACTGCTGGTTCAACCATTGAAGTAAAACAAAGTCAAGAGACATCGTGAACTATGAACCTACACATCACCTGTTTGTCAATCCGCAAGACAGCAAATGGACAAATGCAAGCAGCTGGTGAAGTATTTAGGAATGCCTATAAAGACATCATTCTTTCCATCTGTATTGATATCGGCCTTTAACAGCTCACTCTGCACATCACGTTCATATAAATTCTCATAACAGCCTTGTCACTGCCAAACACTGCTGCGAACAAGTGAACAGTGCAAGGCCTGTGAATCAGAAGCAGGCACCTATTTCTGGATGCCTTATACTCCAGGTAGGCGAGAAGACGAGTTGATTTATTTGCAACCCGCTTAACTTGCTCTCCCATTTCTCTTCTTCACCTCTTCACCACATCGTCGAGCTCACCATGCCTTCTCAAGAAGAACCAAACGAAGATGAAACTGCCCTACAACATCTCAAAGTCAAAGGCCTCTATCCGAGAGGACCTTTCTCCCTGGAATTTCCTGGTCTCCAACCAACTTTGGCGCAAAGGCGCCAATACATGAGAGCCTTTTTCCAGTGGCATTTCTATTGTGCCGATCCTGAGGAACACGAGCGCAAACTGCGCGAACTTGCAGAGCTGAAGCTCGCCAACGTACTCATAGAGGATGGCATCATCAGTGTTTCGGCACCTGACTTTGAGTACGGCGTCGACGAAGAAGTTTGGGATTCGTGGTGTGAGTACAGATATTCTTCTTAAGTGAATCTGATGCTAATCATTCATATAGTTAAATACTGTCCCGAGGATTCATTGCCTCTCTGGCCATGGCCATGGCCCTTTCCCGACCCTCAAGACGATGACCCCGATTCCAGCAAATTCGCGGACCTGCTGGCCAAGTACAAAAGAGAAGGGACATTACTCCCACCGACCATGCAACCCACGAATTTCGAGGCTGTGGAAATTCTGTCGAGCAAGATTGTTGATCCCACTGACGAGTCTGGGCAAACGACAAATGCTGTCCAGAGCGCAAAACCAGTTGCTCCGAGCCCCTTGCCATCTACCACACCAGCTCGACCACCAGCCACGAAAGAGACAATACCTTTCACGAACCGATCTCGACATGATGACGATAGTGCCTCAACGAAAAAGCTTTGCATAGGGAGGGGTGTAAGAAACTCTTTGCAAGAAGCGACTGCCGCCAGAACGCCAGACGTCAAGCCCGTTGTGGACGCACCTGTCCTTGAGCCTCGACAAGCTCGGATGGCCGGAGGAGAGAAAGGATCATTCGCATCGACCATGACCGGGAAAACGAACGATGCTACTTCAGGTATAGAGTCCTCCTTTTTTGCGCCAGGAACGACAATTGCACGTGCCGTGGTTGCAGCTGCTCCTGCGAACATTTTGAATCCTGCTGCAATCCAGCCTTCTCCGGCGGTCCCAGCAGTAGCCACCGTGCGACTTTCAACGCGACCAGAGACTGAGCAGACGGGAAGCATGGATCTTTCGGAGATGGCAGACGCAATGCCACCAACCTCTGTCAAGGCTACACTGTTCGAAGGAAAGCTATTCCCCTGTCCTTGCACACCGCCCGATCTGGGCCTCAGAACGCTGCTGTGGGAAAACAACCTTCCTGGACTACAGCCGCCTTACCAAGAACCCTTCAAGCTGTCTCTCCCTGTCGACTTCGGCTTCTGGTCTCTTGTTTGGGGTCCAAATGGCAAGGATTGGTCCAGAATCCAGCGGGAGTTCGTCGATGATCGCGTATGTCTGGCATGGGGATACGAAGAACACTACGTGGGAACCACAAGGAAGGTCAATGGAACTTTGGAAGATCAGCACCTGCCCAATGTCATGCAATGGCTATCCGTGGGCCTCATGACCAAGGCCAGCCGGGACAAAGACGGCTTTTTCAAGACCATTACACTGCCGACCCAAAACTTGGCCATCAAGCTATGGGCTATCTTGAATAGGTGGATGGAGGAGTGTCTCTCTGGTCATTTGACCACGCTTCATGATTATCTCCAGCGTATCCAGAGGAGCGACATCAAAACAGGCAGGGTTGCCAAAGCAAGTACCACCTTGCCATCTAGCTTCGTAGCACGGCGGGCTTGGTTCACAAGTGAAAGAGATGCCGCGAAGCAAAACATCAATGCCATCCTCAACAGTGATCGTTCAGTATTTGGGAACGTCAAATCGCTCCTGGAGACCTGGGTCGATTCTTGCAAGGAAGGATTCGCCATGAGTCGCCACGAGCGCGTTGAATTGGCAGAAAATGTGTGGCTCTCCAGAGTAGTCAATCTCACCATCCGCGGAAGAATCATGGACTGGGCGGCTGATCTGAAGGAGAAGCCCCTTCTGTGAATACACGTTGAGTTTTTACTATCATATTATATGTAGCTTTTTTTAATTCAAGCACCCGATTGCTGAGACCGCCCTTATTGAGGAGTGCAGTGTGAATGTTTGTGACCATGAACTTACATGAATTTTGATAATTATCAGAACAGATTGAGTAAATTTATGAACTTGTATAGAATTTGATGATTTCCTATTAGAATAGGTTTAGTAAACTTATGTAGAGTTAGGAAAGTTTGTTACACGTCTGCCTGTTGCATCACTGCCTGTTATTAACCTGCCGAACAGACGGTGAATCATATTCCAACCCCAGGCCTCAGTCATCACTCAGCTTAAATATCTCACTCACCACACCCGATAATATATTTCCTTTTCCTCCATCTACATACCCAAAATGAACGAACCGAACAGGCCGCCAGGCCGCTCACGACGGCAACCATCGCCCGAAGAAGCGCCTTCGCCAGAGGAGGCGCCAATAACGATAACAAAGCGAGGACCCGGCCGACCGAGAAAGAATCCTGTGACCCAGACCGAAGGGAACCAAGGACAGCCCAAAAAGCGAGGTCGCCCACGAAAGGCTGTGCCGCCCGCTCAGAATCCGGATGAATCCCCAAGTCGAGACACAGTACGGAACCTACCCAAGAGACGAGGCCGCCCACGAAAGACTGCGCCCGATCCGCCCCCCGAGGATGACGAAGACTTCATCGACAACTATGAGCAGGTCGATGATGACGAAGAACTGAGTCAAGTTGATGAGGAACCAGAAACCCTTACTCGCAAGACCAGACGCAAGGAAAAGACCCGGCGCTCATCTCGTCGGGAGATATCGCTCAGAGATCAAGATGAAAAGTTACGATGCTTTAGAACGAGAAAAGAGAAGGCTAAAGGCCCCTGACTCGTTCATGACCAAAGAGGTCTATGAAGCACCCGGTAAGCCAGGCTACGCCGGCCCCGACCCTGCATTCGATGACCACTGGGACGCCAATGATAAAGCTAGATTTATCCAGACATATTGGCAGGGAACGCCACTGGAGTATATAACTTCTGGTCCCGACTTCATCAGTTACCCAAAAACACTTCTAGTGTTCAAGGCATCGTTGCATGTCTTCAAGATTGACCCCCTCACTCTTTTCACAATGGGGTTGAATGACATTGTATTTGACAGTGGCTCAAAGTCGACTAAAATGATTGAAGGTCATGTATACATGTACCCTTTCTGGTCCAAGATTTTCTGCGAGAGGCTGGCACGAATGATTTTCCACCCATTGTGGTATGGTCCTGAGCCCTGGGCCTTCATGCTATTTGCAATCAAATGGGCTACTATTTGCCGTACAAATGATCGACGCCCTCTACACCAAGACGAACTTTTGCTACTAGAGAAACTCTATTGCAAAATGGAGCAAGACCCAACGCTGAGTTATCCTGAGATCCATGCCAAGCAGCAGATGACAATAGCACTTCGAGGCGGGGTCTCGTCGCCACAAGCACAGCTTCTGTCCGAGATTGCGGCAACCGCAACCAGATCCGGCGAGTGTCCTTCGGATAAATACTACCACGTAGTACTAAACGACCTCAACAATGTCATCCACGGGCTCGGCACGTTACGGTTGACGTGGGAGCATGACTGCGAGTTTTTCTTCCAGTCGATCTCTGACAGTCTTGGCAGGGAACTGTACCCAACAAGCAGGCAAATGCCCGCTTTATATAAGAACTGCTATCTCAGCGTGGAGCGCAAAAAGCTTTATGACTTGAAAGTTCATGGGCATGACCTGGTGTATTTCGAGGAACACCATTTGCGAATGCCTAGCATGATACCACAGAAGCTTCATTCTTCGCCTGTCGAGGAAGAGCTGGAAGCAGAGGTTCAACCCGAACCATTACCACAAAGTTTTACACAGCCAGATGAAGACCCATTCAATGAAACTCCCCCTGAAGTTGCCCCTGAGGTTGCCGCCGAAGCTGCCTTAGAAGCTGCAGCCGTAGACGAGGACGTCAACATGGATTCGCATGATAACAACGCTCAAGTCTTGATACCATCGGACTACCAAGACTTCGTTGATTATGGCGGCAACTCAGACTTGGATCCTGGCGAGGAAGAACCAGCAGCTCATTTGAGTCCGATCCCTAAAGATACCATCGAACGAGATGAGACTCGACAAGAAAGCCCAGCCGCTTCTCCTGTGTTACATCCCATTGCCCAATTGAACCGAGTGTCACCAACGCTGACTGGCAGAGGGACCCCTGAGGAGCATCAAACAACGGAATTGCACAATCGACTTGAAACAAGTCCTGCGTCCTCCTCAAGCCAAGCTTTCTTTACTCGGCGGCGTCCATGTTCGATCTCGTTGGCCTCTCAGGGAACTCCCGTGGAAGACGGTGTTCCGAGAAGTATGGTCCGAAGCTTAACTCCCTCCGTGATGAATTCACAATATAGGACTCGAGATCGGCAATCAGAGGTGGAAAGACAGTCGAGATTCCCAAATGCTTACCTCAGTTTCATGGGGGACCGATCTCATGGAGAGAAGAACGTGAGCCCTGCTTTCATTCCGGAAGACATGTTTGAGCACCTCCGCAATCGTGACAAGCGGAAGTCCGATGGTGATAGTCCTAGGCCAACGAAAAAGATTCGCAAAGAGGAAGACCCTCTATACGGGGTGAAGCCTCCATTGACGGAGCCAGGTTCCACTATCACTGATATGCTCAGTAGTATTGATGAGGAGGGATCGCAGCCAGTGGAGTCGGGCCATGACTCCCCAGGGCAAATAATTTGGCCGTCGTACAGCGATGCTAGAATTAAAAATCCTCGGGACTTCTCCACATCAAAGAGCCCAAACAGAATCATGGGTGATCCATTACTGGATAGATTAGGTGCACGGAGATATGAATAGAAGTTTACCCAGTCCGCAATTATGAAAGTCTAAGCATAAAACCGTGACTGTGTAATTAAGTAGGCTTTATCTAATGATTCCAGTATCACTACAAACTAAATAACATGTGGTCTATATGATGTTGTTTGTATCAGGTAAGTTAGATAATTATTTGACAGGGGAAGGAAATGCACTATTTGCCCGATGACTGAGGCAGCACATCGTCGTTCATTTTTACCCTTAGCAATAGCGCGTTGGTAGATGGATGGAGATGATGTCTATTTGTATTACCAGTGCAAACAGTCGACAGCAAGGTTCTTCGTCACGCATGCTTATAAGTAACAAACACGGTTCTCCCTTCACACGTATCGATGAGTGAACATACTAAGCCGCATAAACTCGTTGTTACCTAGCCGCCTGACTGCTGCCCTCAGGCCGTCAAAGCCCCTCAAGTTCAAGCTCCGAATATCTGCTATTGGCCTTGAGGCTGGCCTTGCTCCTTGTCTTGCTGATTCGGACTTTTATCCAGATCTGGATCTTCACCTTCGGGACCAGCTTCTCCCTGGCCAGCTGCAGAATCTACCACATATGGCTATATCATAGGCATTCTCAGAATCTCACGATCAACTGGGCCGTGGTGTTCAAAGAAATAACCGGGCTCTCGAGAGCACTGGGCATAAACCAATATGAAGCGCTTATTCGGATTCTCGACGCTCCAGCCGCTCGTGACAATATGCGTCTCCGCTAGCATCAATCAAAGTTTTACCCACGACCTCGTGCCTCACATGAAGCATTTATAACCCGACGGACAGATATGAGGACGCTTGGAGCTTGGGAATGCAACAGGGTGTTTCCAACCCAGACGTTTCGAGCAAGATTGTTACCTTTGAGGGCTATTTACATGAGCGAGTGAGCACTAAGGTCGTTGGATGAAGGGAATGGCGATACCATAGATTTGTCAACAGCTCATTTTTGTTTGCATATCAGAGCTCACTGAACTTATTGCGAGCTTTGGTAGTGCCAGGCAGTGCTTATAAAATACAGTACACGGGAAATCCAGATCTCCCCGCACAGCATCCATAAGTCCCATTCCCTACAGCCATTGCTTTCTTCTCTACGTAACTTTCTTCTCTAATTGAGTATTAAATAAATGATGCGTCAAGAGAATTTGGTAATTCGAAAGGCCGATTATAAATTAATTTGGAGTAATGGACTCACTGTAACTGTTAATTGCTACTGTCAGCATGTCACGGTCTACGGTTCGACAACACAGGCATGGAGAAGCTTTTGGGTCACAGTAAGATGAAACGAAAAGTAATGTGGACGCTTAAACAGTCGAGTATGGTGTCAATTCTAGTACCTTGACTATCAAGGCTCTGCCCTGAATCAATCCATGATTTCCTGCTTTACTTGATATCCCGTTGACCTGGGTCCCCATAACGTGCCACGGCAGCTTGCCATGTGCGTGTGTTGGGGTCGACAGTAAACAGTTCGTTGTTGTCCATGTCGTAACGAAGTATGTTTTGTAGTCTCGAGTCTTTATGGTACCGCTGACTGAACTCTTTCGTCCATGGCAGTCCAGGAACCTCAGTATCTGGGTGAGCCTGCATATAGGAGTGCATAAGAGGATACCAGAACTTGCCGTGAAGTGCCGGACGGTTCGCTCTTTTGAACACCAACTCTCTCAGCTGGTCGAGCTTTTTGTCATCTCCTCGGGGAAATTCCCCGCAAGTCCATGTAGGGTGACTACCTGCATTGCAGATCGCACACCCGTGGATAAGGCCGTCTGATCGAGGCTTGTTGCAAGTAGCGACCACATGGGCCTTGCCTTTGCAGTTGCCACAGACATGCGTCTCGGCATTCACACCGCCTGGGTTGCCACTACGAAGTTTCTTTTGACGTCCAAGACCATCATCGCTGCTCTCATTTTCAGGTTTGACTTCTTGGGTTCCGTTGTTGGCACCCGCGAGAGTCGTCGTGCTCCTAGAGCTTTGGGGCGCCTGCTTACGCTTGCGCTTCCGCGAGTTCGAGTTCTTTGACTGCCCACCAGCATTATTCAAGAACTCAAGAAGTGGGTCGAGGCATCCTTGTTTGTTTTCAGCAAGGTCGGAAGACTTGGGAGTAAAGTCAGGACTGGGTGCCCGGATTGGCGGCCGGTTCTGCGCTTGCGGAACACGGACGGGAGGCATGTGTGGGCGGTTCTGCGCTTGCGGAACACGCACTGGAGGGTCCTGATAGGAATACCCTCTATCTCCGTACCGTGGGTACGGCTCAGGAATGAGGGGAGGAGGTTGGTTTCGTCCATATAATTGCCCAGGAGTGAGGGGAGGGGGCTGGCTGCCTGGGTATCCATACCCTGGGATTTGCCCAGGAGGGGGTGGGTTGCCTCTGTCTCCGTACCTTGGGTACTGTTCCATGGGGCGCTGGCCACCTGGATATCCGTACCCTGGCATTTGCTCAGGAGGATTCTGGCCACCTGGATATCCGTACCCTGGCATTTGCCCAGGAGGGTGCTGGTAGTCGTGATATCCGTACCTCGGCATTTGCTGAGGGGGCGGCTGGCGCCAATCTTGCGCAAGGTCTCCGTAGTAGGCCGCGAAGTTGTCTTCCCTGTGTTGGGGCAGTGGTTGTTGATAGTTGGAAAGGGAAGCTCGTTGGTCCCCTTGACGGCTGTCTCCATATCGGTTGACAGGTTCCAGTTCATCCTCAAAGCCAGCGAAAAAGCTTTCAACTTCCGCCGCGTTACCTTGGCCTCGCCTACCGCCGCGTCTGCGGCTCCTGCTCCTGCCGCGACCTCGACTGGAACCGGGCATTTGCCCACGGTCTTGGTCTCCGCCGCCGCCGCCACCTGCGGCACCAGTACCACCGCGATGCGGATAGTATTGAGACATCGTGTTGCTGTATCTCTGTTGTAAACGTGAATGCAGCTGGTGATGTTGAAGAGGGAGAAAGGAGACCGACAAGAAAAAAACAGAAGGGAGAAATAAATATGGGGTTGCGTGAGGTAGTGGTACTTGCCTGTTTGGCCGCGAAAGTAGGCCGTCACTTGTTGACAGTGCTGGCGGCTGTCAAGGACGGATCTAACTATAGTAAAGTAATATAATAGGTAAGTAATAAAGCACTTAAGGTATGAACTAAAGTTATTTATAATTACTTAAAATATATACTTAATACTCTATAAGTTATTATAAAGATAAGTATATTTATATAATATTTATTACTATTTTATAAATAGTTTATAAATATAAAATTCTACTTTATACTCTTTACTAAATATATAACATAATATTTTATATTCTTTATTTCGTTTGTAGAATGGTATTTTATACTCATTTTATAATAGCTTTTAATATAATACTTACAATTAAGTATAAATACTACTAATAAAATGTAAAAATTGTTTCTATAACTTAACCAACCAATTATATAGTTTGACAAGAGCAAATAGTTCTCAAGATACGTGAGATATGCTCTCCGTAGGTAGGTAGTGACGAGTGATTACAGTAAATCGCCTAAACTCATTGGTGCCTAGTTACCTGATTACCGCCTGCCATTGCAAGCGGTGCCCGACCCTGCCAAATGTTATTACCCCGATATGCAATGCAACAAGCTGTTCACAACAAAGGGCAACTCTCCCCCCCTAGTACACAATCACCCTACCACCCACACATCGGCCAGGTCCTAACAATGCCGAAAACATCGACCAAAAGCCCTCCCAGTCACTGGCGTCCAAGCCCTTATGGGGCCTTCTTTCCGAGCTCTCGCTGGCAGAGTTCCTCTTCCTTGCCTACTACTCCAACGGGCTCAACTGGGAACGACGAAAATCGCCCTCTTCTACCTGCCCAGCAGTCGCCCGCTCGACCCAAGGCCTTTCAGCTACCCCCTGTTGTCACGACTCCCTCCCTCGAAGCCCGTACCCAATGCACCAAAGTCCCTGTCATCGCCGGTGTCGATACGATCCCTCCGCCCCCAAACGGCCCCCAGGTCGTCAAACCCCCTCAAGTTCAAACTCCGAATGGACTCCCTGATCGACGATTCTTCGCGCGCGATTTTGCTCCCTACCTACCAAAGCCGATGCCAACCTCCAAACCTGAGATCAGACCTGAGCCCAAGCCCAATATCAAGCCGGAGATCAAACCCGACATGAAGCCCGACATGAAGCCCGAGATTAAACCCCGGGCAGACTTAACCATGGTCGACAGCATGGCTCTGCAAGCCGTCATCCGTCAAGGCTACGGCACCCAGCAACCTCCCGGGCTAGCCATCCACAGCAACAGCAGCGGCGGAGGCGTGCAGTTCAACGTCTTCACCAAAGTCCCCACCGTTTCGAAGACCATTGCTTTTAACGTCAAGAACGAAGAAGCTCTGGTCCAAGCCTACCGACACGTCAAGTCCATGAACCCATCTGCCGATGTTGGCGGCATCATGTTCTGTGTTGCCCCTAAAGGGGGCTCCTTCACCTCCACCCAGAATATTGACTGGAGTTCTTTAGCTGGCCGTCCCGATCACAGCGGCCACAACCACAACTCCTCCCGCCCTCATTCACAATACTATCGACCAAGCCCATGTGAGTTATCCATACTTTATCACCTTGATCGGTCTACGTGCTGACGTGACGAAGATGACCGACCCTGGACTCCCAGGTAAGGTATACGCATCCTTTGGGCTTGGAAATCTGGAGGGTACATGCAACAAAGGGGCTATGGGATACCATACCGCATGTATGTTGGTGGCATCATCAGGTATCAAGTCAAGATATTTGTGCAAATAGAGACCTATTCACTTGGGCTCTGCAACATGCTTCGCAATTTGTGTGATTGGATGCTTCAGTCGGTCCCTGTTCTAATTGCCAGAAAGTTTCCGAGGTGGATTCCGAGGTGGGGTTGCAAGGGGCTCCTGGTGCGGGAAACGTTGATAAAACCTCCGACTGGATGAGCTTAATTCAATGTCTCCCGGCCATCAGCGGGAGCCTCATCTGCATAGTTAGTCAGCTCAATACACCGCGACAAAAACAATCGTTTTGATATGTTCAATTTGGTCTGATATCACTTTTTTTCGCCAGCCCCAATTTCAGCACAAGTGGCAAGTTTCTCAAGTCGGACGCCAAGGATGTGGTCATTAGCGATGCGCGACGCCGTGTGATAATTGACTCGAGAATAATACATGTCACGGTGACGGTTGAATGTTCGGAATCTGAGAGAAAAAAAAGAGCAGATCAGCTGGGCGCATCAATTCCCCGACCCTCCCAACGTGGAGATGTTCTCCCTGCAAAGATTCGGAGACAAGGTCGACCACCCACGTCGAATGAGAGTTCTGGGCGAGCAGCTCGGTAGGTTCTTCCTCGCAATGACACAACTCTCCCCTTGGAATGGTTTTTTCGAAGAGAATGATGGACTGCGCTGAGGGCAACCAGATTTTGAGCCGGTACACAAATCTGCTTGGGGTATTGAAGACTTGCGATGTTGAGACCGACAAAGAAAATGACGAATTCGGTTTCCTGGAACCCCCCATCGTGGCTTCTCAGTGGGACGAGATATGCTTGTCGCTGTTGGAAGCATATGCTTACCAGATATGTATTGTTACCCTGACGGGCAAGTCCTTGACGATTACAGATCTTCTATCGCAAATGCGGTTAACGCCATGTTTTCAATATCTCTGGACAATCCCATGGAGGGTCCTTGTGGTACGCGAAGGGGGCGAGGTTTTTGGTGTCCATATACGAGCGCACCGAGATCCAAATGGCGACACCACGAAGGGGGACTTCACATACATCCCTAGAAGGGTTATATCACTGTGGAGTGGGCGGAAGATTCGCAGTATTAGACGACGACATCGCAAGTGGATCAATATAGATGAGGTACTGGATAATGCCTTAACTACTGACTAGAAATAAATTATACTGCTGCGTCAAAGCCTCGCATCTTCCCCTTTCCTGTAACACATAGCATTGAGATTCGGTAGTTGGCTGGATCAAATGAGAAACTCCAGTGCAAATTCCCAGCCTCGATACCTCAGTCATCCTGACTTCTCACCCTGAACCTCAGTCTGTTGAGTATCTGGAATGGGAGCATTGGGGTTGAAAATCTGGAATTTGTTGACCACACCGTCCATGATAGCCTTGACCATGAAGTTGCAATCCACACCACGGGCCGGGCAATCAGAAATTCCAGGGCACAAGGCTTTGGATGCAGACATGCCCTTTTCAACAGCCTCGTGAATGCAGTAGTAAATACCATTGTTCGCGCTGTAGAGCAATGCATACAAGCTCTTCTTTTCTTCAACATTGGCTGCAATACGAGAGATCTGTGCAAGCACGTCGTCTGTGAGATGGCTGTCTTGCACAAATTTCGAGATCAGGAGTCCTTCGTTGTCGAATCTGTTTGCCATTTCTGCCTCCCGGCGTTGTTTGCGCTTTTCTGCCCTGGACAGTTTGTGTGGCTTGCACGAATTCATATTGCTTCGAACAATATTGAGATCTTGAATTGCCTTTTTCCCGTCAAGTTGTAGTTGACTGATCGTGGCATTCTTATTGCTGATTTCGTTTTTTAGCTGTTTAATTGTCTTGAACTGTTCAGCAGCTTCAGTTGTGAGCCTGTTGATTGCGTTGCTCTTCAGAGTGCTTTGATCCTTAAGCCTCTGATTCAAGATCGCCTCAGGCCTGATGTCATCAAGTTCCTTTCGAAGCTGTGTGGTCAGAGTCCCAGTCGCAAAAGACAGTTGAGCTTGGAGCCCTGCGACTTCAGTCTTCAGACCATCACACTCAGATTGTAGGCAGGAAACGGTTTGCTGGGAGTCCAGTAATCTTCTTTTGAGGTCCGCATTTTCGTCTTGAAGTTCCCATTCGCGACTTGAGCCTGAACGTACGACGACGCGTCGCAAACCGGGATTGCCCGGCGTTACAGCACGGGTAGGGGGGATGTAGTCGGCTGGGGCAATGGTAGTGGCATACGGATGCCATCCTGACCTCGGATTAGTATAAAGTAGCATATCGGAAGCTTTGGCAATCACTTACGAGACTCTTCGCCGTAGTCGTCACGGCCGCAAGATTGCTGCCCGTCACCGTAGGATCCGGGATAATGTGAAGACATGATTTGTTTGTTGCAAAGGCTTTGTCTTTTGCTCTCGGTGGGTGATTGTAGGAGTTGAAAGGGAGGCTGCACCTCTAGCGGGGAAGGTGAAGAGGTGGGAAGGCACGAGCTGCAACGGATAGATTTTGTATCTGCTACACTAATTTTAGGCAATTGTAGACTACCTACCTACCTCATGATGCCTTGAATCACAGAACAACCTTTCATGTACCTGTGTGGAAAGCTGAAGAGGCTTCCCAACCAATAACGAGTTCATAGTGATTTATTCCTTGAAGATGACATGAAGCATAACTACCTATGAAAGCTTTATCCATTTATAACATTACGGCAAGCTTCGATGCCAATTCTTTTCCGGACCTCATCCGAATACAGCCCGTCTTGTTGATGACTTCACTCATCTACCGTAGATCCAGCACTACTTCGTTTCCATCCCAGCCAGAGTCAGGCCTCATAATAATCTCATGAATGCTCGCTCAATCATTTCTGCGCTGCATTTCTTCGAATGTCGAGGCGAAGATGTCGTAGCCAAACTTATTGTCGCCACTCCTGATAATGATACCACATCCCTGTCCATGAGCCGGACAGACACGACGGAATGTGAAACCGATAGCTCTTTGACCGTTCTCGCAAACATCTCGGAAGCAGAACCACTGTCTTGGCTCAGCGAAAGATGCAAATTCTTCTAGATGTGCTCGACGCTTTCGTTTCTCGGCGGCTGGGCCTGGCTCATGGGCACCGGAAAGATCATCAAAAAGCTTGTCCTATGCGCAAATGAAACTTATGGTGACACGGGCTATACCAGGACTAGCCTGAAGTTTGTTAAGAAATTCGACGGCTTTACTTCGTGATTGAACTCTTTCTTGACCAGAAATGACGCCATGTCGCCTTTTCGCATTGTGTTCGTTGGGCGAGCTTTTCACCTCCTCTTTGCTGCTGTCTGTACGTTGGCCTGATGTCTGCCGTGAATATGCCTGTCTCTTATGCATTTGTTGAGGATTGGGCGCCCGTTGTGTGGTCAACAGCTCTTCTCCTGACTGCTGTACCATTGGTGCCGCGTTATCCCACTCTTCGCTCTGAGCCTGCGCAACTTGAAGCCGAAGTTGATCGTTTTCTTTCTTGAGCTCGTCGTTCTGAGTAACAATGACCTCCTGCGCGCCTTCCAAGCGAGAGATAATCCGTTGGGCCTGATACAAATGTTGCTGAAGGTCTTCGAACTTAGTTTTGACCCTTGTCTATAGAGGGTTATATATGGTCAGTGATTTGTGTAGTTAGGAAGGCATGTTACTGCTGTGTAAAGACCAACCATGGTTGCATTCATGCCTTGCGGGACCGTGGCCGATGAGCCATCAGCGTCATTTCCGTAAATGCTAGACATTTTCACGTCGCCTCTGAAGTCGTTTGTGTATGTGATGTCGTTATTTTCTGATGATGAAGGTGTAGAAAGTTGTGGAACATTCGTGACGGAAAGCCAAGATGCATCAGTACACAACCGGGCAGGTATGATACGCTGACAGGAAGCTGCTTGGTCACTCCTTCTTCCCGATAGGATCCGAGCACAGAACACATGCTCATATTTTAATTAGGATATATAAAAAGGAATTTTAATATAATTAAAAAACAATTTTTAAAATAATAATTAAAAGTCTTAATATTTATAAAAAATTAAAAGACTTATTTAATAATATTAATTAATAATATATTATTAAAGTAAGTATAAAGTTTATAAATTAAAAGGCTAAGGTTATACTTATTTCTTTTAATTATATTATTTTATTAGTATTTAGCCTTTTTATTTATAATAATAATTATAATAATAAAAATATATAATTTAAAAAAGAAATATTATTTTTTAACTATTTTAAAAGGAAATTTAAATTATATAATATTCTTTTTTTAATTTTAACTTTTAACTTTATTAAGCCTAGGCTTTCTAAGTCTCTTAATAATATTAATAATAAAATAACCTCTTTTAAGGTTAAAAACTTAATATAATTAATATAATAAAAGTTATATATAATAACTAAACTCTAATTAACTAAATATATATATTATAATTTATATAGCTATATATATAAAAGCTAACTTCCTTTATATCCTTAACTTAATCTATACTATAAGCTAGTTAATTAACCCTTATAGCTACCTAGTAAAGGTTAGAATTAAAAAGTAAAGCTTAAGCTAAATTATATATAATTAGTTAATTAACCTCTAGTCCCTTACCTTTCGGTTTATATTACTAACCTTTTTTATAGCTATTATTATAATAAATATTACTATTTAAGTAATAAATATTTACTATAATATAAACCTTACTTTAATCTATAAGATTATTTAAAAAGCTATTAATAATTATTATAATAGGTAAAAACTTAACCTTTTTAAAAATAAAACTAGAGATTTTTAATTTAATTTAAAATAAGACTTTAATAATTATTTTATATTACCTTTTTATAATAAGTAAGATAATTATAACTTAATTAAATTAATTACCTTTAATTATAAGCTTTTAATATTTTATAATTTAAGGCTTAATAAGGAAAATTATACCTAAAAGTATATATTAAGTTAAATATAAAAAATAAAGAAATAGCTTAAATATTTAAAAAGCCTAGAAAATAGGCTTATAAAAAGGCTAGTTTTTAAGATTAATAGCTTTTTTATTAAGGTATTTAAGTTAAAGCCTTACTATATAGTTTAGTATAATAACTTAAAGAGGTAGGTTATAGAGGTAATTAAGGTCTTTAAGAATAATCTATAAAGAGAAGTTATATATAAGGTATTAAAGGGCTATTAAAGGAATATATATTCTATTAATTAGAGTTAAAGTTAAAGTTAAGGTAGCCTAATATTAAAAGTAGCTTTAGGCCGAGGAATTAAATTAGATTATATAACCCTTATTAAAATCTTATTATACTTACTTTTATGATATAATATATAATATTATTATTATATAAGGGTATTAATTAAGACCCTTTATATATTAATATGAAAGGTAGCTTAAATATATTATATCTAAACTAGTTAATCTTTTAGTTTATTACTATAATAGATACCTTCCTTTATAACGTTATAATTATTTAGATATAATATAGGTCTTTTACTATATAAAGGTTTTATATTTAACCCCTAGTTTTTCTTTTATTAAGAAAGGGTTTTTTCCCGATTAGTATTTATAGTCTTATTATTATAATAGGTTATATTAGGCTTATAAGGGACTTTAGTTACCTTAGGGGTTAATATTAATTATATTATACTTTTAGTATTTAATATAGATATTAAGTTGCTAAGCTATTAGGTATGGGATATTAAAGGTTATAAGGTTAAACAGGCCTAGTTATAATTTAAGACGTATTATTAATAAAGGGGGGATAATTATAAGGGTATTAATTAAGACCTTTTATATATTAATATAAAAGGTAGCTTAGATATATTATATCTAAACTGGTTAATCTTTTAGTTTATTACCGTAATAGGTACCTTCCCTTATAGTATTATATATTAATATTATTAACTAGGGAAATTATATAATATAATTAGGCTTTGTTTATTTTTTAACTTTTAATTTTATTAAGCCTAGGCTTTTTAAATCTTTTAATAATATTAATAATAAAATAACCTTTTTTAAAGTTAAAAACTTAATATAATTAGTATAATAAAAATTACATATAATAACTAAACTTTAATTAAGTAAATATATATAATTTATATAGTTATATATATAAAAACTAGCTTTTTTTATATTCTTAACTTAATCTATATTATAAATATATTAATTAATTAATTATTATAGCTATAATTAATTCATTAACCTTTAGTCCCTTTTTAATTTATATTACTAACCTTTTTATAGTTATTATTATAATAAATATCTAAATAATAAATACTTATTATAATATAAATCTTACTTTAATCTATAAGATTATTTAAAAAGTTATTACTAATTATTATAATAAATGAAACCTTAACCTTTTTAAAAATAAAACTAGAGATTTTTAATTTAGTTTAAAATAAGATTTTAATAGTTATTTTATATTACTTTTTTATAATAAGTAAAATAATTATAACTTAATTAAATTAATTACCTTTAGTTATAAGCTTTTAATACTTTATAGATTAAGGCTTAGTAAAGGAAATTATATTTAAAAGTATATATTAAGTTAAATATAAAAAGTAAATAAATAACTTAAATACCTAAAAAGCCTAGAAAATAGGTTTATAAAAAGGCTAGTCCTTAAGATTAATAGCTTTTTTATTAAGGTCTTTGAATTAAAATATATAACTTAATATAATAACTTAAAAAGGTAGGTTATAAAGGTAATTAAGGCTTTTAAAAAATAGTTTATAAAGAGAAGTTATATATAAGGTATTAAAGGGCTAAGGTAAAAAGGTAAAAGGTTAAAATATATTAAAGGAATATATATTTAGAGTTAAAGTTAAAGTTAAGATAGCCTAAAGTTAGAGGTAGTTTTAAACTAAGGAATTAAATTAGATTATATAATCTTTATTAAAATCTTACCATACCTACTTTTATAATATAATATATAATATTATTAATAATATATAATTAGGCCTTTAATAATATAAATAATTACCTTTTTAAAATAAAGATTATAACTAGGTTATTAGGTAACCGCTAAGCCTATAAATTAACCTAACTATTATAACTAGATTAATAAAGCTAACCTTAATTATAGTTAAGATATTAATTAATACCCTAACCTTTATACTTACTGCCTTTTATAAAGACCTTTAGCTAGTTAATAATAATAATATAATTAGGGCCTATAAAGAGGAATTTTAATATAGTTAAAAGGTATTTATTAAAGTAATAAATAATAATCCTAAGGCCTATAATAAGTTATAAAACCTATTTAATAAGATTAAATAGTAATATACTATTCAGGTAGGTATAAGGCCTATTAATTAAAAGGCTAAGGTTATACTTACTATTTTTAATTATAAAGTCTTTTAATTATATAACCTATTTATTATTAATAATAATTATTTATATAAAAAGGTATAGTTTATAATAAAGATATTACTTTTCAATTATTTTAAAAGGAAGCTTAAATTATATAATATAATTAAGCCCTTAATAATAGAAAAGATTATCTTTTTTAATATATTAAATAAAAATAATATAAATTTAATAAGAGGTAGGTATAAAAAATAGTTAATAAACTTAATTATAATAGTAAATTTAGTTAAGGAATTTAATTAAAGACTATAAAGAGACTATTAAAGTTAAAGTTATAAAAGGAAAATTTATATATATAAGATAGAGTTTTTTACCGAAGGTTAAAAAGTCCTTCGGTTTAAGGAAAGAAGCTACCGTAATTAATTAACCGAAATTATATAACCTAATAACCCCTCCTTATAGTAACTAGATAAGATAAGAGGTAACTAATAGTAATTTAATAGTAATATAACCGAGGCTTAATTCATATTAATATAAATTAAACCTTTATAATTTATATTATATAACTATATATATAAAAACTAGCTTCCTTTTTATACCCTTTAAACTAATCTATATTATAAACTAGTTAATTAACCTTTATAATTATAATTAATTAAATAACCTTTAGTCCCCTTTTAGTATATATTACTAATGTCTTTTATAGTTACTATAATAAATATCTAAATAATAAAACCTACTATAATATAAATCTTAGCCTAATCTATAATAAGATCTATAAGGTAATTAATAACTATGATAAGAAAAAGTATAAATAATTTATTTATATAATTAAAGACCTTAAGATTATAATAAAATAGGATTTCTAAGGCTAGTTAATATCTTTTTATAGTAAATAAAATAACTATAACTTAGTTAAGTTAATTACCTTTAGTTATAAGCTTTTAATATTCTTTTATATATAGTTAAGTTAGAAATCTTATTAAATAAAAATATTAAGTTTAAGGTATATAAAAAATTAACTTAAAAGCCTAAGAAACTTTAAAAAAAGGCTTATAAAAAGGTTAATTTTTAAGATTAAAGCCTTTTTTATTAAGGTATTTAAGTTAAAGTTTAACTATATAATTTAATATAATTACTTAAAAGAGTAAGTTAAATAGGTAATTAAGACCAGTAAAGATATAAAGTAAAGAGAAGTTATATATAAGGTATTAAAGGGCTAGGACAGGTAGAAATAGAGGTAAAAGGTTAAAATATATTACTTCGAAGAATATATATTTAAAGTTAAAGTTAAAGTTAAAGTAGCCTTTAGGCCGAGGAATTAAATTAGAGTATATAACCCTTATTAAAATCCTATTATACCATAATATAGTTTATTATATATATATAACGTATTTAATAAGTATACATTGCATCTAAGTATGCATCGCACTGCACTATATAGCTAAAAATAGCTTACCCTATAGTAAATAAAATCTTAGATAAAATAGCTAAAAATATAAAGAAAGTATTCTATATAATAGTATAGCTTAATATATATAGAAATATTTTTTAAGGATTTTTTACTATTTTATATTAAGTAGAAAACCTTGAAATACAGTATAAATTACAGTGTAAATATACTTTAATATTTCTAGCTATATAGGATTTTAATAGAATTATTTAAAATGTATTTATAGCTTATATTATCACTTATATATGAGGTATTAAGTATATAGCTATTTCAAGCTTATTTTCGATTTTTAGTAGACTTTTTAAAAGCTAGATTTAAGGTGTATAGGGTAATGCGACGTATACTTATCTGCGACGCATACTTATCACACACGTTATATAATATTAAATACTTTTAAAAATATTTTAATATTCTAATTAAAGAATATTTAATATTATAAAAAATAATATTTATTATAATTAAAAACTAAAAGTTATAAATATTTATAAGTATATATGAAACTTAATTATTATATTAATTTTCTTATTATATAAATAACTTATTTTTTAATTTTATATAATAATAAAAAAATCTTTTAAACCTTATTTTATTATTTTTATAAAAAGTAATTCTTTTAGGCTTAATTAAATAAGTTTTAAAAAGAATTTTCTTTTAAATTATAATAATTATAAATAAGAATCTTTTTTTATAAAATAGTTATTAATAAAGTTATTATAATAATGAAGAAAAAATATAAAATATAAAATTAAGTAATTATTAGAACCTAAATATTAATATAGTATAAAGTTATTATAGCCCTGTTTTCCTATAATATAAATATAGTATTCTTTTTACTAGACTAATTATATCTAAATTGAAGATATCTTGTCTCCTTATCCATTATAACCATAACAAGCATGCACTGCATATTGCTATGTGCTTTGCAACCACCATTACTTGTGGTAACCTCAATGTTGCTTTTACTCCCTCTATGAGAGACTTCTTCAAAGCAAAACCATTTATCCAAGGTTCCATTATGAAGGAAACTGCGGAACCTTTGGAAGTACTTCTCTGAGCCTAGGTAACTGGCAAAGGTTGTCATCATCTGCAGGTCAAAGTGGGCATCATTCACGACATGGAAATAATTGGCTCGAGATGCCAGGCTGTCCATACCACGGGCGAATAAGGTGCGCGACCCAATGGGCTCAGGAGAGCTCTCGCGTCGCCGTTTACGTGGACCATCTGGTGGTGGTTCGCGCTGGGCGAGGGATTTCTCTCTCTCTTCGAGGTTCTTCTCTCTGGCCGAAAGCCGTTCTTCCCTCTCATCAACCGTTTCTCTCATCAAGTCGGATTCCGACTTGATTTGACAGAGTTCAAGTTCTTGACTGATGATTTGATCATTTGCCCGATCCAAGGCTCCCTGCAACTCGCTCAAGGCATTTCTTGAATGGACCAGGTCTTCTTCTTTCTTAGCGACCGCACGCTTTTCATTGTCCAGGGACTCTTGCGCTGCCTTCAAACTTTCGTTCAGAGTCTCGAGGTCCCGTATGGCATCGCCCTCTTTCCTTTTCGCGTCCCTGTTGACTGCTTCGAAGCTTTCACCCCTCTGTTTGTACATCTCGATATTGAAGTCTTCGGCACTGCTGTGATATGCTTTGTCAATACTCTGCATCAGTGTCGCACACAGTTCCTCTTGGCCCCGCTGACCATGAAGTTTCGCGACAACGGCGTCAAGCTCTCCAATTCGAAGTTCTTGTTCCTGGCGCAATAGTTTACTGGAGTTCAGTTCAGACTTCAGATCGTCAATGTCCTGCTCCAGTTTCTCGGCTTCCTTGTCAAGGGCTTCGCGAGTAAAAGTGCCGTCTATAGTCTCTCGTTGAAGAACTGCCTTGTCGTCTTTTAAGATTTCGACTTCAGCCAGGAGATTCTCGATTTCCGTATCGCGCTTCTTAATCTCTTCATTAAGGTGACGTTTGCATTCGTCCCACTCTTCATGTTTCATGTCGAAATTGCAAGCCTCTAACATGTTTTCGTTATTGGCAGCTTCCAACTTTTCCTCCAAAACTCGCACTTGTTCTTCGAGACGCTTCTGCTCTTCGTCATATCTCGTGTTGCCATTGGCTTCACGCTTCTCGATCTCGGTCTTCTCAAGCTTCGATGCGTCAAGCTCCTTTTGCAAGTTCAGCAACTCCTGGGCATACTTTTGAGTCTCTTGTATCAACTCCTTAGCCACGGAATCAATTCTGCTATTGATCGACCCAGCGGCATTGTCAACCTTTTGAACCAAGTTGCCGACTCCCCGGTTGGTGGACTCGCATGTCTCAGAAAGTTCACCATGCTTTTGGGTTATGTGGCCAATGCCAGCCCCTGTATTCTTCTCTACGCGACTCATCGTTCGGCCGAGGTTGGGAAGCTCAGTTCCATGAGCATCAACCCTAGCGAGGATCCTTTGGGTCATAATCGCTGCTCTGTCGACTTTGTCACATATGGTCACTAAGGTCTCTTGTTGCGCAGTATGCGACAACGAGTCTTGCAACTTGGCAAACGATTCCTTTGACATGTCCTGATGCTGTTTAGCATTGGCGGAAACTTCGTTGAGCACCTCTCTTTGTGCAACATTTGACATTCTGTCTTTAATCCCCTCCACATGCTTGGTCAGAGACTCGTTTCTTCGCCTTGCCTCGTCGAAATATCGACTAACAGTATCATTTGTTGCGATATTTGGCATGTCTCTCTTGATGCCATCAACACTGTTCTGCAAGGCTCTGACATCCTGCGTGACTGTACGAAACATCTTGCCGCCTTCTTCAGCATACGACTGGAGGAGGTTCCTGATCCCAGTCAACTTCCTTTTGAGGAGTTCATTACTCGCCAGGTCGTCGAGTGCCTGCTGAAAATCAGCTATGGCCTCCTGTGTGCGATTGGCCAATTCATTGAGGCTATCCAGCTTGGCGAACTTCTCGTCCAGCTGTCTGTTCGCATCTTTTTGCCATTTGGCACAATCTCCGTCATAAGCGAGTTGCATCTCTTCGACCATTCTTCGAACCTCTCCAAGGAGATTTTTCATCGGCACTTTTTGAGGGTCAACGGTGAGGGCCACAAGGCCCAGCAACTGGTCGAGTTCTTTCACGAACCGCTCGTCCATTGTGAATGATGTATAGGTAGGTACCTAGTGTTGAAGTTTTAGTTTGAGTTATTAAGGTTAGTAGTTAACTTGGCACCCACCCGTATGGATGACTTGCGCTTCTTGAGAAGGTAGGCAGGTACGCTGCATGGAAATCCACAGTCACGTGTCCACCTTGGAACTCAACAATACCGTATTCTACAGTGTATTATAAATTGTGAGACTCATATCAAAAGTACCGTAATCGTGTGATAAAACATTTCCTCATGTATTGGAACCTCTGAAGGGTCGTTTGGTGAACTGGTGTTGTCATTCAGATGATGCATCGTGACTTGCACCTTTCTCGCGGCGCTCCTGCCCTGTAGATAGCCAACTCGCTGAGGGGTCAAGTCTCGGACAAGCAGTGTAGAATTTGATTGTCAGTTCAACTCTACACATATCGAAGAGCCATGACTTCCAATCAAACGGCAGAAATGCCCATGCCGGGCGGTGAAACGCAATTGCGGCTCCTGAGAGTGATGGACAACAACAACCCGATCTACCAGATCTGCCAAGAGCTTCCACTTCTCGCCAAAGAGCTGAGAAAAGAGAAGGATGCAGCCATCTCCACGTCAAGAATGTGCGAAGACCTTGAAAAGGACAATCTACATGGCTGGCCCATGGTGGTATTGCTGCTGAGCATGTCTCAAAGCGCGATCAAGTCCATCATAGGTGGAACCGTGGCATTCGACGCCAACAAGTCTGACTGCTGGTACGACCAGCCATCTAGCGGCATCAAAGGAGCCGGTATATATGTCATTGGTCTGGCTCGCAAGAATTCCGGCGGCAAGTTTTTGAACGGAGCAGAGCTCCGTGATTTGATCAATGGGCTAGAGCAGTACATCCGTGGTGCCAAAGTCATCAATTCCTCCAGTAATGTTGGACTCAGTGCTCAACAGCTCGAAGACAAGAAATGGACCATGAAGGTGGATGGTATTTACCGTCAGGCAGGCGATCCAACTGACGGCTCAGTGGCTCAATTCATCAAGAAGAATGGTGAAAAGTCCATCCAAGAGCTTGTCACCAGTTTCAAGAGACGAGTCACCAATCTCGACACCACAAATACCGTGCGTCAGATCCAGAGCCCACTATATGTAGGATGCTCAATTGATCTGAACACACGAGTAAACAATTATTACCGCAATCTCAGGGATACGAACAAGCCCCTATGCCTCACCGTCAGTGTTCTTGAGGCGCTGAACTTGAAGATGGATATCATCATCAAGATCGCCCTTCGCACATGGAAGGACGAACAGCTGCCACTTGCTGAACGACTCGTGACAACTCTGGCAAGATCTCTAGTTCATCAGACCGGTTTCAATGCCACCCAAGCTGGGGCGAACTCAACCAGCCCGACAAGGTCTGTGTTAAGCCTTGGTTGGAGGGCAGTCAACATAAAGGGATTTCTCACCTCTAACTCCAATGAAATGGAAGTTGAGATGGACAAGAGAGAATTATTTTTGGACAAACTCCAAGAACTAAACCAGAAGCTTGAGCTTGTACGAGGCACCTTAGATGAGTGTGACGAGCTACAAAGTGGTTTACAAGAGACAGGCCTAATGCAACCAAGCCAGATCCTAGCCAGGCTATACCAATCTAAGGTTGAAATGGAGGAAAAGCAGAAAAGGTTAAAAAAGGAGGAAAAATATGTACTTAGGTTTATAGAGTTTTATAAGCAATTAAAGAGATAATAGAAAGGTTAATAATACTATTCTATTTTTAAGTATTATATTTTAATTATATTATAAAATAAAATAAATTATAATAAGATTATTACTTTTAATTATAATTATATAAAAGATATTATAAGTTTTAAATAAACCATATTATATATAATTACTAAATTATATAAAATATTTAAAAATAAATTTTAAAAATTATAATACTTTTTATTATAGAAAAGAATTAAATTATAATAGGGTTATAATTTTAATTTATTATTATATAAAAGATATTATAATTTTAAAAAAACTATATTATAATAAAATAAATTCTTAATAATATCTATTTACTTTATATATAATTACATAACTATATATAACTTTTTTAAATAGACTTTAAAAATTATAATACCTTTTATTAAAGAAAAAAGTAAAATTATAAGGGGGTTCTAATTTTAATTTATTACTATATAAAAGGTATTATAATTTTAAAAAAAACTATATTATATATGAATTAAATTCTTAATAATATATTTTTAATTTATATATAATTACTAAGCTATTTATAGCTTTTCAAAGTAAAATTTAAAGATTATAATACCTTTTATTAAAAAGAAAAGTAAAATTATAATAAGGTTATAATTTTAATTTATTTATATAAAGCATAATAGTACCTTTAAAAAAGAGATCTAGCTATCTTAATTAAATCTATAAAAATATTAATAATAAAGGTCTCTATATAGACCGCTAAGTAATAATATCTTAAATTTAATAAATTACCTATTATATTAATTATAACTTTATTTCTTAATAATTTAAAAGCCCCTATAAAAATTACTAAGGTTACTTTTCCCTTTTTATACTTTACTTTAATTAACCTATATCTATATAAAAAAATTATAATAAATAACCTATTAAAAACTCTTACTTACCTAAAAATAAACCTATTAAAAGCAAATTAATAAAACTAACCTTAATTATAATTAAGAAATTAATTATAATTAAAGCCCTTACTTACCTAAGCCTATAAATAAGACTAGACTTTTATAATAAGTTATAACTTAATAATAAAACTATAATTAATATATTAAAAGCTTTTATTATTAATAAAGATATTAAAAAGCTATAAAAAAAGGCTAGTAAGTTATTAAAAATTAAATAAAATATTAAAATTAATAAAAAGGTATTAACCCTTATTATTTTTAACTATAAGGTCTTAAAGAGCCTAGGCCTTTTTTATAGTTAGTATTACTAACTTAAAAAGAAAATATATTTACTTAAAAAATAAAAATAAAAATAAAGGCCTTAAAGGTAAAAAGAAAGACTTCTTTAATATTATAAAAATAGGCTATAAGATATAGATTATATAACTAATTAACTAGGCTATATTAATTAATATAGCCCTTTAAGGGTTATAAAAAGATTATTAAAGTTAGAATTATAAAAGGAAAATTTATATATATAAAATAAAGTTTTCTATCAAAGGTTAAAAAGTCCTAAAAGGATAAATTAAATTACTTTAATCTAAGGGAAGAAACTACTATAACTAATTAATTAAGATTATATAACCTAATAGACCTTCCCTATAGTAACTAGATAAGATAAGTAAGGTAATTAATAGTAATTTAATAGTAATATAACTAAGTAATTTTAATTTATTACTTTATAAAAGGTATTATAATTTAAAAAAAAACTATATTATAAATATATAATATTATTAATAATTATATAAAAAATATATATATAGGGTTAGCTTACTATATATATATATAGTAATTATAAACCTTAGAGAATATTATTTATATAAGTAAATATGTTTAATATAATTTTATTAAAAAATTAAAAGGTTTTTATTTAGCTTTCCTTTTCACTTTCTTATAAATACCTTTTTTCCCCCTATTCTATTCTTTTCTTAGCTCTTTAATAGGAAGTGAAAGCTCTTAGCAGATCTAGTAGATCGCGTTGTTATTGTTCATTACTCTTAGAAGTCATAACCAACATGCCTGCACTCCAGGGGGGCCTCCTCAAGCAGAGGGCAACCCAATCCCTTGCCTATAGCTCCAGAAGCGATATTGCGATAGCTTTACTTTTACGTAAAGCCAGAAAGTACACCTTCTTAACTCCAAGGTCCAATGCAAGGTAGCGCCGGCCCTACTCACCACCAGTTGAGCCCCAGGTGAGTTACAATTTAATCCGCAAACTAAACGAGGATGGCAGAAAGATAGTCTAAGTTTGACATAAGAGACACATACATTTAACACAAGAGACGCATAAACTTTGTCAATATTCAGCGTTGGCGGGTCAAGGCTATGGGGATTGTGCAGCTACCTGATGGCACAGCTATACCTGAGTCAATGGCAAACGAGATACACTATGCAAGGAGAAGGCAACCCGGTGTTAACGCAATAGGCCCACCTACCAGCGACTTCAATCGCCGAGCACCCATAAACAATCTCACTCGCCAAGCACAACTACCAAGAATAAAAGGAAGCAGACAGAGGATAGTAACAAGACGACTCAAAAGCGCCAGCCCAAATCCAGCACGCACAAGCGCGTTGTGATAAGGTGGTGCTTTACGTGCTTTGGTGTGCGGATTATATTCCGACCCGCCCGGCCCCTCCACCGCCGCTCCATTTGTTTACCATCAGCCTTATTTACACTCCGCCTTTTCAGGTGGTACCAGCATGTCTACCGAGAAACTACATAAACGCCTGGCTCGACCGAATCTTGATCACGACACAAACATGTCACCATGGCTGCGGTTCAGCCTCCTCGTACACGATCCGCCCGTTTAGTGGCTGGCTTTACAAACAAATCTGCTCAACAGGCACCTTCGCCAGCTCCCCAGGTCCACCATGGACCTCCTGCTTTATCGATTTTTTTGACCAATTTGAACCTTCTTGACCTCGACCAACATGAGGACTGGCCCGACATCCGTGCCGAAACATTTGCGACTGGCGGTTCAAGTGCGCAGGGCCTGAAGAAGAGGGTACAATGCGTGGAATGGGCTCTCTTCCACCTCTTTGCGCTATGGGACCCCGAGGAAACAAAAAAGGTAAGACAGCAGCTCGAAGATGAGAACCAGACTAACAATCGCAGAAACTGAAACCCTTCTTTCCTCCTATCGATCAGAGTCAATCGGTCAATCTGCGAGCCGCCCTTCTACGAGCTCTCGACCAGGCCAAGAAAAATGGAGTGCTTGGGAGAGATGCCGTTATACGAAAGACCATGCTTGACGAATGCAGGGGCGAAAGACTCGAAGAGGTTCTTGCAGCATTTTCTTCTGCTGTACTCAAACACATTATTGCTCAGGAGGTATCGACCAGTGAGCCTAAAGCTCTCGCGCTTGGGCTTGCACTAGAGGATCGAGGATATAAGAGCGACAACACAGATCTCAACACCATGGTTTTAGCGCACAAGGTGGCCATTAGTCGGATACTCAACAGTAAGGTGGCTGCTAGCTCGCGGTTTCACGACTTCTCCGACCTGTTGACAGTCAAGGAGAAGGGCATTGCGAGGAGAAAGGAAGCACTCCAGGCTTTAGAGGGCGGCAAGACAATCTCCGAAGATGCCAGGCGGGAGATGTGGCGAACACTTCGAAACAACTGGTCTGGAAACGAGCGCTGGATGGAAACGCTGCTCTACGGCGATGCCAGTGTGAAGAAAGACGGACTTCTAGGGATGCCCTTCGATCGCGTTTGGCGAAGAGTCCAGCAAGGCCGACTTGACGAGTTCGAAGAACACGGCAGTGGTTTGCTAGAGCAATTGAACACACGAGTTCGCGTACAGAAGGAACGACTTCAAAAGTGGCAGAGCTTCCGCAACGAGCTATCCGTCGACCAGCCGAAGCCATCGCCATCAAAGGTCAAGCAGAGACAGAAGGAAAACGGCATTGATTTTGGGTTCGGCGCGCACGAAGCATTGCAACTCGGAAGAGTCAGCCCTAGGAAGGCGACATTCGGGAAACCAAAGCTCATTGAGGAGTACGATGACCTCGTTAGTACTTTGGAACAGGAGTTGCAGAGCACAAAGCCACAAAAGTCTTCGGCTCTGGACTTTTTGCAGCGTCCTTTCTCTCATAATCCTCCGGCAATCAACGTACCTGCTCCTGAACCAGAACAGGAGGAAGAAGTCATCAGTGAATTGGAGGACGAGGATGGGCTTCCTGAATCTCCGATCAAGTCTTTCAAGTCAAAGCTCGACTTGTCGAAAAGATTCCCCGTCCGACCTAAGCTCGCTCATACTAGCGACTCTTTCGCCTCTATTTCCTCGAGCACCAGAAGTCTGCGCAAGCCGTCTGAGGATGAAGCTCGTATCCTTCGCGCCTCATCAGTTGAAAGGACGAGCTCTCCTGAGCCTGAAGATGAACCCGCCGCGGCACCTCCACGACCTGAATATGACGTCTCGCCTCAGCTCACACCCCAGCTATCACCTCAGCCGTCTCCCCCGCCATCTCCTCTGCCTCTACAAGAATCCCCGGAGTTGATGCCTGCAGAGCCCCCTGGTACTCAAGAAATGGCAGATCAAATTCTTGAGTCTATGAATATGGCCTCGCCATCTCCTGTCAAGCGATCACGACCTAGACCTCGACATACACTCTCACTCGCCGAACGAACTCGTTTGACCATGGCCCGTGAATCATTCGACTTTCCTGATAACGAAGTCCTTGACTTGTCACCACCAACATCCGCAGAACCTGTTTCCGCAGAGGATCCTACTCAATCGGTTGACGAAGAATTCGATCTCATTGCCAGGACAAAGAAGAGCATGGCTGGTTTCGACAAGGCGAGAAAGAAGGCTCAGATGGAAAGGCGGCGCTCATTGCGAAAGCCAAAGGCACCAACCAAGAAGGAGGATGACTACTTTCCCAAGGTTGACGAAGAGACGACAATCTGCACAGATGACCTCATGGCGCAGGAGGATATGGAGGCTGTGTTTAGATCACGACCAAAGATCAAGGCCAGTCCACTACCAAGTCCAACTCGAGATTGGTCAGACGACGAGTATATGTAGCCACGATAATGAATTCTTTAATCATACTTTACATGCTCACATCTATTGTACAATGATGCTTTACCAGTATTTCACTAAACATCTACCATCCCTGCTTCTTAAGCTCCATAACTCTGCTTACGGTCGCCTTGAAACCATGCTTGAATCGTGATCGCCATCTCTGACTTCTAAGTCTCTTCTTCTTAAGACCCTTTCGCTCGTGGAACTTTTGACTGTGGAACTTGTTCTTGACCTGATCATCTCGCACCATTCTGTTGAGGACACGGAGAGCAACCATGGGCGTAGGCCCGCTTGTCTTGGTTATTCTGTCCTTGACAAAAACTGTGCGGCCGGTGACGGGCTTGGCACGGATCTGAGGACGAGTCACGGGGTCCGAGGCTGTATCGGAGAATGTGCTGGCCCTTGAGGCGATGATGGAAGCAATATCGAGTGTGAATGGTTTGGTCGCATCGTAGTTGTGTCCACTGGGCTTAGATTCGGTGGAGGTAGTGCCGGCAGGAGGGGGAGGAGGAACACTGCCGATAAGAGGGTTGGCTCGTGGTTGATTGGGATCAACGGGATTGATATCAGCGGGAGTAGCATCGGCAAGAGGGCTTGGTCGAGATTGTTGAGCAGGGTCAACAACATATGGGCTCGAACGAGCTTGAGGAGCTACAGCTGGAGGTGCCGCCTCTTGTGTACCGATCTTGGGACCGGCTCGGAAGGCGAGAGATGTCGTAAATGACCTCTTGGCGAGGCATACTGAAGGTGTAGCTACTCTGAACAGCATTGCGCTGCCAGTTCGGAATGAGGCCCTGGAAATATCAGCTTCTGAATTGCCCACACATTCATATTGAGCTCACATCTTGCGACAATCTCCAACGTAATCGCCAATTGGCTGTCGTCAATTCAGCTGTTAATCGACATCCGATGAAGCAGAAAAGTCGCGATGTGTCGGAAAAATGTAGGGGCGATAAGGCGGAAATGTGGATCACCTGTCGGCCCCACCTTGAAACATCTTCAGCCTCGCGGATGCCTCAACACGCTTGCGCATCAAGAAGTTTTGCGCGAAACATAATTCTGATATCATTGAGAATTTTGAACTTGACACAGTCACAATTGAAAGCTTTACGCGACCCTAACCAGACAGAACTTACAGCGCTCAACGCGGCGCGCCAATATGGCATATAATCCCTATGGCAGTATGTTTCCCTTGGATCAACATGAGCAAGCTAACAGTTGCAGACAATCCTTATGGCGCACCTCCAGCTTATGGAGGTTACCCCGGATCCAACAATGCCCCCCCAGGAATGGCTCCTCCACCTGGTCTAGGTGCGCTCACTTGACGATATCTTCATTACCTATCTAACGTGTTGCAGGACCTCCTCCAGGCATGTCTTCTGCTCCGGGAATGGCACCCCCAGGTGTCCAGCAGTCTAGCGCCCAACAAGCTAATCGTCCAAGCGGCCTTCCACACAACTTCCAAGCGCCTGCAAACATGCCGAACATCAACTTCAACGCCCCCGTGATCCGACTCGGTACGTCTCAGGGCAAGCCTGGTCCCGCATCGAGCGGTCGTGATATGTCTGGTCCCAGCGGTGGACGACCTGGACTGGGAATGGACCGAGGAATGGACCGAGACCGAGGTGCAAGGGAAGTGCCCCAAGTGCTTGTTCCCCCTACGAACGAAGAGAAGCTGCGGACGATCTTTATACATCAGATTCCCGATGGTGTTGGCGGTGACGATGGCGTCCAACGATTGTTGGGAGCTGTTGGAAAACTGCGCAAGTGGGATTCAGCAACCAGTGTAACAGATGACCACAAGGGCACCAAGTTTGGTTTTGCTCTATTTGAGGATCCCTGGTCGCTTTCCACCGCGGTGAAGCTACTCAACGAACAGCAAATCGAGGTTCCCGTCAAGCGACAGCAGGTTTCCGCCGATAGACCCAAGGACGATAAATTTGAGGGAATCGAAAAGACCAAGCTTCAAGTCACGGTCGATGAGAGCTCACTAAAATACATCGAATCTTACGAGGAGAGTCAGGATGGTTCTATCGGAACGGACAAGGTCGAAGCAGCCAGAGCGTCGTTAAAGGATGTTATCTACGATTTGTTCTACCCCACAACCAACACAGCAGCTCAGGATGTTACTATGGGCAATACCGAGTCTGGGGAGAACGTCGAGGTGGTGAACATTCCTCTCGCACAAGACGATGAACTTGCAGATATCCCCGCCGAGATGCGAGAAGTCGTTGCACAGGAAATTGCTGCTTTCCGAGAGCGCAGTACTCAACGGGATCTTGAACGACTACGAAAGGAGGAAGAAATGGAGGAGATGGAACGACGACGAAACGGACCATCTCGGCCATCGCGACTTGATTCACCACCAGCCACAAACAACATCCCCTTGGGCCCAAGAGGCAGTATCGCGAATGCGCCATCAGGACCTAAGGGCCAGAATGGTCAAAATCGCGTCGCCTTCGTAAACGGAGGTATCTCCAACACAGATCTTTCCATTCATCAGGAAGACGACGACACAGACGCTAGCGATGGAGAGCTTTACCGACGATACAAATCCAAGAAGGATGAAGATGACGACAAGGCATACCTCGAGGCTGAGCGCAAGTGGAGCAACCGAGAGCGATCAAGACAGGCAGCGATAGACCGAGAGCGCGAGCGTGAACGCCAGGACGCAGAGTCATTTGAACGAAGAAAGGAGGAGCAGCTCGAGAGAGAAAAGGCATGGGATGATGAGAAAGAAGCAAGTCGCAAGGCACACCCTTACTATCGCGATCACAGCAACTGGGCTCGCAAGAGAGCAGCGGACCGAGCAGAAGAGGAATCACGAGACGAAGCCGACAGGAGAGCTGAGCATGATGAACAGCGTCGCGAGAAGGCTCAGATGGAACGTGCACGCGGTATGGCCGACTCGTTCCTTGATAAGCAAGCCGAAGAGATGGAGGAGCGAGAAACACCCGTCGCTGCACCACAGCCGTTCAAGCTGTCCCTCGGAGCCGCAGCTCAGAAGGCTCAGGCATCCAGGGCAGCTCCCCAACGGCGCACCATCGCAGAGGTGGAGGGTCTTTTGGACGATGAAGAGGTCGATACTTCTACTAAGCGTCAATTGGTCCCTATTCAATTCGATCCTTCATCTGCTACAGCACACATGACAGACGAGGAGATCTCGCAGGCTGTGCGATCCCTTGCGCAGGAGATCCCCTCGGACAAGGATGGTCTTTGGGGATGGACTGTCAAGTGGGATTATATGGATGATGCTGTCGTGAAGGACAAGCTACGACCATTTGTCGAGAAGAAGATTGTTGAGTATCTCGGTGTCCAAGAGGAAATGCTTGTCGAGGCAGTGGAGGAGCATCTTCGTGCTCACGGCACAGCAGCCGCTCTGGCGGAAGAACTAGAAGGAGTACGTTTCCCTCTCATAAATTATGATTATTGCTAACATTTCAGGCACTCGACGACGAAGCAGAGGATCTTGTCAAGAAGCTCTGGCGTATGGTCATCTTCTTCACCGAAAGCGAGAAGCGAGGACTACCAGCGTGATGGAGGAGTAAGCGGCTGAAAACTGTATCATTAACTAAACCGGGACTTAATACCATTGCAATACAAAAGGTGAGAGGCGTTTGAGAGCTGTGGGAATAAATAATTCATCCTTTAATCCTTGGTCATTGTTCACTGTGAGGGGGTGGGCGGGATCGTCTGGGGTATTTCCACGTTGAGATGAGCTTCCGAGGTGCCGAGGTTCCCCACACGAGCTTACCGGATAGTTGGAGCTGTCATTAATACAAGAGCTCATGGTTTCTTGATCTGTCCTTGAACATAGCCAATTAATATTCAAGTCATCATGTCAAAGTCACTCGCGCCCCCAGATGTTCCCAACACTGTCCTCTCGTATCCCCATCCTCATATCCTCTTGGTTACTCTTAATCGGCCAGACCAACTCAATGCGCTACAGCGACAAATGAGCTTTGAGCTCGATCGTCTCTGGAGATGGTACGATAACGAACCTACACTACGATGTGCTATCATTACAGGTACCGGACGAGCGTTCTGCGCCGGTGCGGATTTGAAAGAGTGGAATGTCAAAAATGCGGAAAGCAGTACAGCCAAGGTGGATAAATGGGCAGACAACGGATTTGGAGGATTGAGCAACAGACGTGGAAAGAAACCCATCATCGCAGCAGTCAATGGACTTTGTCTTGGTGGCGGAATGGAGATGATACTCAACCTGGATATGGTCATTGCGAGTGAGACAGCCAAGTTCGGTCTTCCAGAAGTCAAGCGTGGTGTTGTCGCTATCGCAGGCGCTCTGCCGCGTCTCATCCGCATTGTTGGACGTCAACGCGCATCCGAGGTGGCACTTCTAGGACGCATGTATACTGCACAGCAATTCCTCGACTGGGGCATTGTGAACAAGGTGGTCAAGTTGGACGACGTTGTTCAAGAAGCCTTGCGATGGGCGATTGAAATGTCTAACGTTTCGCCCGACTCGATCATTGTCTCTCGCGAGGGGCTGCTGGGTGGCTGGGAAGCTGAAAATCCCAAGGACAGCACGAACGGGATTGAGAAGGGAATTTATCAGAGTATTGAAGGCGGTGAGAACATGAAGGAGGGTGTTTTGAGTTTTGTCGAGAAGAGAAGTCCTGTGTGGAAGAACAGCAAGCTATGAAGCAAGCTATTGGTACTGTTAATCGTTGGTAAGAGCAATTGATAGTGGTGTGGTAAATACTCAATTCTTGTCTGCCACCAACGTCGATGGCTTGTTTTGTCTTACCGTCCAATTATTATTGATAAAACGTCGGTACTTTGGGCGACTTAAAGGTACCTTTACCATCTCCAGGGACGGCCCTCAATAGCGGCTGATAGCTTCCGCGGTGGGCTTCAGATCGAAGCTCCAATTGGTACCCGCTCAGACTTCCCGGTCCAAGACGTGAGGGAGGCTGATCGACATCCCAGACTCGTGTAGCCACAGCTTAATGATCGCCACGACAATATCCTAAAAAGGGTTCTCAGCTTGACGCAGGCAATAAATGTGCAATAGCTGAAAACGCAATTCGACAGCTATCGGCACTTGATGACGATCAGCATGTTGTAGTTGGTGAATAATGCCCCCAAGCAAGGATTATTACTCAATAGAGTGGAACGGCAAGCTCTGTTTTGGTTCGACGATACTATCTTGCTGAACTCCTCAATGTTTTTGGGGCTGAGATTGTACGCCAGTTAGACACGGGCGGCCCCTCTGGTAGGGCCGTAGATCATTGAATTGTCAGCCGAAACACCCACAACCTGTTCACTGGCGCCGCCATCTAAGATAGTCTTACCAGCTTGGGCCTGCTGCATCTCGCTCTTGCAGCACGGCAGAGTGTCTTGGAGAACTCCCTACACCGGAGTGAAATAGTCATCATGAGGGTGTACCACGCTGGTCGATTCGACCCGAATTTAGTATCTGATGGTAGCTCGGTGTGAATGAGACAGCCAAGCCCAAGTCATCAATAAGAAGGCTGTCCCCAACTGCCATGTCGACCTGATTGTGACCTGTGATGCCACAGATCTCCGACCGTGCTGCCTCAAGCTGAGTTGCGCAACAATGGATTACAGTCACCTTATGCCCAATTCTCTGAACGGGTCTGTTAAAGACCCCCCATCATCTCGAGATTTCCAGAGCAGGCCACCAACCCCCGCAATGGGTCCTGTAATCGCAGACCCTGATCGCAAACCTCGGAAGCTTGTTCTCTGTTTCGATGGAACTGGAAATAAGTTCCACGGAGACGATAGCGACAGCAACATTCTCAAGATCTTTCGAATGCTGGATCGCCAAGCAAGTGACCAGTATCACTACTACCAACGTAAGTCTTCCCTTGAGACCCTCTTCTTGACTAACACAATCAGCTGGTATTGGCACCTATGTCATCTCTGGGTCGCTCACACATAGCGGTGTTCGAGCTCGGTTCCGCTCTTGGTACCAGAAAGCCAAAGACTCGGCAGTTGGCTCCTCGTTCGATCAGCATGTCGTAGGAGGCTACCGATTCCTCATGCGATTCTATAACCCTGGCGATGAGATTTACATGTTCGGTTTCAGTCGAGGAGCATATATCGCACGCTTTCTAGCTGAAATGCTCGACTATATCGGACTCTTATCGCACGGTAATGAAGAGATGGTCAAATTTGCTTGGAAGGCATTCGCCCAATGGCAAGGCCGTGAACAAATCCCAGAAGACGAGGAAGATTGTGACAAACCGCCAAACAAAGAGACCGAGGCAGCGAAGAATAAGAGAGACGAAATGTTCAAGTTCATGAAAGGTTTCCGAGAGACATTCTCTCGCCCTGTTGGTCGCATTCGGTTTCTTGGACTGTTCGATACCGTCAATTCGGTACCCAAGTTTGAGACAGCTTGGATGCAACGCAGCAAGTTTCCGTATACTGCACGAAGCAGCGCTAGGGTGATTCGTCATGCCGTCAGTATCGATGAAAGACGAGCCAAGTTTCGCCAAGATCTTATGTATCAAGATCGGCCAAAGCAAAAGGAGGGTAAACATCATCTTCACAAGGCTGTTGACGACATACGCGATGACATACGCGAGGGACTTCACGGGCATGAAGAGCGAGGAAGAAAGAGCAACAACCTTTCTCCTAATGATAAGAGAGGCAGAAAGAAGGGAAATGCATTCGCACCTTACCGCCCTCGCTCTAGGTCGTGTCTGAAAACGAGTGGGGGCGATGCGGAAACCATGTCAAATGTCTCCGGTATCGAACTTTCCGAACTCAACAATATCGATGATGACACAGCCCAAGATATTGACGAGGTGTGGTTTTCTGGAGGCCATGCTGATGTTGGTGGAGGTTGGGAGATCCATGAAGGGAGTAAAAGCACCAGTCACATCCCACTTGCGTGGATCGTGAGAGAGGCGCAGAAAGCTGGTCTTCCGTTTGATGATGAGAAAGTTGCAGAAATGGGATGCTGTGTTGCCCATGACTGGCAAGATGCAACAGGAAGGCCTCCTATTCCTAATCTCCGAGTATCAAGTGGTAGTGGGGTAGGCCATGCACCAGACATGCCGATGGACGAGAAGACAAGAGATCCCAAAGACGACTTCCATGGGGTTATGCATGGCGCATGCACTGCGAAGATTCATGACTCCTTAGAATATGGGCAAGGTCTCGGTGCTATTGCCGTCACAGCTTGGAAGATCATGGAATACCTGCCTTTCCGTAGGATGGATCTTCAGACCGACGGATCATGGAAGCCTATCCGATGGCCCCTCCCAGGTGGTGAAGTTCGCGATATACCTCATACTATCCGGGTTCACGGAAGCGTCATCCGTCGTATGAAAATTGATGATCAATATCGTCCAGGAAATTTAATCATTGGAGGTGGTGGTCGGGGTGTTAGAAAGGCCTCCGCGATGCACGGTATCGGTGATTGGGAATGTGTAGCTGATCATGGTGATCCGGTTGGTGAAATTTGGACAAGAAAGAAGAAAGACGACAGATTCCGAGATTAGTCGCAGTAAATAGTAGTGGATGATCAAATTCATGAAATTAATATTTTATTTGTTGATTTGTAACTAAGGTTGAGGTTGAGATTGATGGCAAGTTGACGTCACGTGCAGCGAACTCCTTAATTGAGGGCCACGACATCAAAACTTCCAACAGCGCCATCGATCAATGCGCTGATACAACACAGCCATCAATCCATCGCCATGCCTCTCGTTCTTTTTCTTGGCGTTCTTGAGAATGGCATTCCCGAACCCGTCCGCCAACACGGCCGCACGATAATCTACACCATCCTCATCTCCACATTCCTCTTCCTCCTCAAGATCTGGACATCCGGTCGCACGAATCCCACCCAGCAACCCCTCCATGGAAAGGTCGTTATGATGACGGGCGGAACGTCCGGGATAGGTGCTCAGGCAGCTGTCGGACTCGCCAAGCAAGGTGCGCAGCTGGTTCTGCTCACCCAGGTACATCCGACGGATCCGTTTCTCGTCGAGTACATCCAGGATCTTCGACAGAAAACGAACAACCATATGATCTATACCGAACAAGTCGACTTGTCCAGCTTCTACAGTATCCGAACATTTGCGACGAAGTGGATCGACAATGCGCCGCCCCGACGATTAGACATGATCATTCTTTGCGCCGGAGCCTTGACACCCCCTGGTGGAAAGAGAAGAGAGACAGATGAAGGCATTGAGGAGACGTGGATGGTGAATTTCTTAGCCAACTTCCACTTGCTTGGTATTCTAAGCCCTGCCCTTCGAGCCCAGCCCATCGACCGAGATGTTCGGGTCATTATCCCTACTTGCTCCTCTTACATCGCATCTCCATCGCTGAAGGACCCTGTATCCAAGGCCAATTGGACTCCCAGCACCGCATATGCTCGCAGCAAACTCGCTCTGAACGTTTTTGGTCAGGCTTTCCAGAAACATCTTGATTCCTACGACCGACCTGACAAGGCACCAAACAACACACGAGTAGTCTTTGTAGACCCTGGTCTTGCCCGAACTCCGAGCACCCGTCGGTGGTTGACAAGGGGCAGTCTCTGGGGACTTGCCGCCTATCTCACCGGCTACATCATACCCTGGTTCCTTCTCAAGTCACCTCACATGGCTGCTCAATCTATCCTCTATGCGGCCATGGACAATGAATTCGCCCGAGGTTCTGGTGGAAAGCTCATTAAAGAATGTATGGAAGTGGACTTTGCGCGAAAGGAGGTCAAGGACGATGAAGTCGCCAAGAAGCTGTGGGAGGAGAGCGATACTTTAATTGAGAAGGTCGAGAAGATCCAGGCCAAAAAGCGGGCCGCTCAAAAGGCTTCTGATGAGAAAAAGGCAAAGGAGGAGACAAAGAAGGAGAAGGATGCAGAGGTTGAAGAGCTGCTGGAGGCCATCAAGAAGGGCAAGGAACAGCAGAAGAAGACCGCTGGAAAGAAGGGCAAAAAATAGTCACGACGTATATGAACATAGACAAGCATAGACGGAGTTCGGGTTAATGAGTCCGACGGTATACGGGCGTGTTTGAATCAGATGTGCATATTGTATCCAACGGATGAAAATTTTATCTGTATCACCAACTCCGTCGCTTCCCGTGTCCGTGTGCGAAGATGCATATATACTTCCAATTCCTCCACATACTTCTTTTCCTTCAGATCCCTTTCATGTCTGGCGATCACCAAGAAAGTCAAACGGTCCCGTGAACAGCAGGCTCTCCATTCCAACATCGACATCAATATCCGCCAGCAGATTCGTCATCCAGGAGTCCTCTACTTCGCCCGTTATATGTACAGTAGGCACCAAACTAGCCTCCTGAAAAGATGACGGTGTAAGTCCCATATCTGTTGTCGTAAAAGGATTTGACGGTGATGTTTCGGTGGATGCGAATAGACTTCCAATCTCAGGCGACTCGACAGGGGCGCAACGGTCGAGATACCATCTTTCGATATGGCGTGCTCTTCGTGCAAGACCATGGTATGGGTCTGTTTCGCCATCACTTGTTTCCTGTCCGGAAGCGGCTTCCATCCGTAACACGATTTGACGAAGAGTGTGAGGCATGTCGAGAATACGGCGGAGATGACCTGCAGTTTGTGCGTTCTCGGGCTGCGCTGCTACAAGATCGAGGCGTACGGCTAGTGAAACTGCGCAGTATAACATGATCCAGCCAATATTGGGCATTGTGTCTTCTTCGCCTTGGGGAAGTAAGAGGATCACGCTGATAAGAGACTTGGCAGCCGACATGCTCTGCGATAGCCAGTCTAGTAGACGGTTTTGGTCTGTGCCTTGTTGTAAACTCTGGAAGCCACTAGGGCCATATGAGACGCCATCTGGTGAAGGTTGGCAGATGAGGAGATCGAGGACATGTAGTTGTAGTAAGATTGTGGCTATATGTGTAAGCAGAGATCATGTACTAAAGTAGAGTAGCACTTACGGCTCTCACTGAGAGGAAATGGCAATGATGATTTTGTCGTAGTATATCGTTCTCTGATCCTATGAAGTTCGGCCGGGAGTCGATCCTGTCTCGATCCACGCATCGCGCCTGTGGCTTCAATGACGGCATCGTCAACTTCTTCAGTGAGCTTTTGAAGGTAAATTATGTACGGGAGATGCCTGTCAAAAGGGGAGGTGCCTCCTGATAGGAGCTTATGGCAGCATTCGAGGATGAAAGGTGAGTATCTAAAGTGATGTGACTTTTGCAGCAACACTGCAGAACTATGACGGGTAAGCTGTTGATCAAGAAATTTTGAGTGTTCAGTACCTTGAAGAGAGATAATATGTCCCGGCTAAAGCTCTCATCTCATCATGGGTCATGTCCCCAGCGCCTTGCTTGGTCTCCCTGTTCAGCGCCCATAGTGATGCTACCCGTGGTCGATCGAGTCTCATGTCTGATATGATACTAGCTGCAAGTGATAAATGTTGAGTATACTTCATTGTTCCGTGATGAAAATGCGCCCTACGTTGTTAGCGGTGAAAATGCGAAGCCGGCAGTTACATACCACGCCAGATGCACCAATAGCCCTTGCAACATGTCGAGACTTGCAAAAGGCCCTTTTATCATTCTAACGACCACAATTTCATTGAAAAGTCTTCCTAGCTCTTGCTGAAGTCTTAGATCCTCATGTGAAGCTGCTGCGAGTACGGCTACACACAACGCTGGCTTGTCTTGAACCAGCCCCTGGATGGGGACATTTTCTGGAACAACGACAAAAGGGAAATGAGGCGACATTCGTATCCTAAAGATATCGAGAAGATCTTGTCCCTTCTCAAATGACAGTAGCCCCCGGGCAAATGGGTTCTGGGGCGCATCCGTGTCAATGCTGCTGGGCGTGTTGGTGAAGGTTGGTGAACTGTCTGTGAAATTGGCTGGACCGGCGTTGGCAGATGTGAGAGAGGGTGACCTCGATCTTGAAGGGCTGGCAGCTTCAAGATTTCGAGAAGGTCTATTTTGGTCAGTCGGTTGAAACAAAGTGAGTGTTCTCATCTTACCCTGGCCTCAAGGTTTTGCGCCGTCGCGAAGGATTAAAGACGCATGTCTTGTTCAAGCGCAAACACCTGTCGCATTTCCCCGACTCCTGAGACTTTTCACATCGGATCTTGGCATGGAAACACGTCTGGCATGTCTTCAGCAAAGGGATACTCTCGGATCGTGAAGCCATTGTAAGTGTTGTTTCCCTGTAGCTAATGTTGAGACGCGATTCGGATGGCTTGGCTTGAATCAATTAAACTTGTCAAATCCACGGTGGGGAAATCGCTCTCATTTAGATCCACGACTCAGGATCTTTAGCTTGTCCTTTTCATCATGTCACTGTGAGATGACCTCAAAAAGGCGGACCCTGTAGTTAGTCGTCCTCTCTTGCGTGGCTTTTCTTCCCGTGCCCGTAGGCGAAAGCGATCGCCAGAAATGAGTTTGTTGTCGTCGACGAGCGGACTTGAAGCTGAATCGTGGCTGTGAACGTTTAAGGCTCAGTGCATCGGACTCGGGCTGGTGAGATTGTTTAGGCCTCTGATTTCAGGGCATCTGCAGCTAGTTTCTGCCCCTAGGGCTGTTCTGATGTGGTCATGTTGATGTTTGATTGGGTCATGCCCCTGGGCTTAGCAGGGATTATATAGAATGTCACTGGCAACGGACTGTGGCTCAGATTCTCCAGGTTTTCCCAAGTCCGTGTCCGTTCCCACATGGCATTTCATTTGCAAATTTGCCGCTCTTATTATTAGATGATGCAGATAAATCGTAATCCAGGAACAGAGGCAAATTGTGTGTCTCCACTTCAGCTTAACGTTTGTTGCTTGTTTGAAGCTTGTTTTTATTAAACAGCCTTGTAGGGCGCATTCGGCATTGGCATCAAGTACCGTGAGACCATCCAGGCCTGCTCGGACAATTTTACTTCGGCCCAATGACGCATTTCTCGACTAATTACGTCTCATATCTTGTCGTTGTGTAAGATTGACTATAGATACTTGTTTGTGGTTTCTTCTCTCAAATCTTTTCAGCTTTCATCGGTGGTGTCGATACACGGACTTCAATTGATGGACTTATCAGATGTGCTTACAAGAATACCCTTATTCTTATTCTTAGTCAGACAAGGTTCTCATCCTTTCCGTTCTTCATCTGGCATGGATTACTTTCAATTTGATCCCATCAAATCGATGAGATGGTTCTCAGTTGTTGTGTGAAATCCTCTCTTTCGGGAATCTGACCAAAGCATGCTCAAACGGATGAGACGCTGACATTCATAATCGATACGCCGCAGTCAACGGTTTCCAACGGGAAAAGGACGTAGCTTTCCACAGGTCTTCGGGTATAAATGGTTAAGGTTAAGGTTATTTCCAGATGTGATATGTAACGGTTATCATGTCTTTATTCCCTTTCTATTCCCGCTTTAATTGTTTAATCGTTCCATCAGAAGCAAAAGTGAGGAGACGAGTATGGGAAATTCTTCACTCATCACATTAACGAGATTCTCAGCCGCTAATCTCATATCTCCGGGTGCACCAGAGCCTGACTTCGCTCCATTATCCGCCTTGGTTATGAATCTTGCAGCCAAACTTTTCATGCAGACACCAATACCAACAATAGAACTTCTCCCAAAAGCCTAACCGTTAATTCTGCTGATTGTTTGTGTTTTTCTCGGTTTCATGGCTATTCGGAAGATGTATTACAAACTCCTTCGCCAAAGCCCAGTGTTGAGGCTCCGTCGACACATCTGTTTATAGCCACTTGACAGATTGGAGTTATCGACAAACTATGTTAATACTGGCAATTGTTCAGGAAACTGTGAAAGTGAAACGAATTGACCATCTTTTATCCAACTTGTGTTGTGCTGTATTGCGAGGTAGTCTCGAAGAATCACTCCGGGATCCTCGTGCATCGTACTCAATTGGGGTTGCACTTTGCTGCATGTTGGCTCTACAATCACTCGCATGACCTATAAAGTGAGCCATTTCATCAGCATCTAAACAGCCAACCAACGAGATCGAAGCAACAAGCCACCTTTTCTCTTAGCGTCTTTCAAGCTGAAATATGGCGGTGGGTGGTGACACTCCGAGAGCCTGATGCGTATCTAAACCCGGCCCGTTGCGCTGTCCATAGCCCCTCTGCCAATCGCGATGATGCGCATCAGGTTTGAATACGGGTGTCACGCATGTAGGTATCCCCCGCATTGTTTTGAGCCGCAGATTGCTTGGGAGGGTGAATATCTAGCATCCCGCCCGACTAAGGTCTACGCCCGATACCATCTCCAAAACCAACACCCAAGGCAGAATTTCTCCCCTCGAGGCAGATAAATACGCCCAAGGCGAACAATACGATAAATCGTATCTGCCTAGACTACCGAGAGACGCAAGACGTTCGATCTCACCAAAACCTAACCGCTTTCGCCATGGAGCACCATTCCATCCTGGCCTACAGGCTGAGGCGCGACCGTGTGCAGACATATCTTCGCGACAAATTCAATGACCAGCATATTGAGGTTCAGGTACATCCATCTTCTGTCTGCCTAGCTTGGCGATGCTTTGTTTGTGTTCTTTGAGTTTGAGGCTCACATGGGCTCTAGATTTCGGGAAATGAGTTTGTCTTCTATTTGGTACGACGTCTGACGGAAGTGAGTGCTGTTGTTTTTCTACTTTTTGCACCTTGTGATATCGCTTCATCAAATGATACAACAGCTAACAGCAAGGGAGGATGAGGAAGAAGAGATCGACGAGTTACGTGAATAGGACTAGCTATATACGATTTATGTCGGGTTTTATACTTAACTACTATACTCATTGCGCGTACAAACATTTTCTGACGCAAACACTTCCTCTACTCGTTAACTCAAATCCAGGCTATGATTGCGTATGACCTACCACCTTGAGACACTACACAGCCTCTCCGTTTGTCCTTTGATCTGCAACCCTCATTGTGCTCCCTCCGTTTCTGTCTTTCCTACTACTTTCTGATTTTGACATTCCGCCCAAGTAAAGCCCAAATATTCCACTGAACTGAACAGCCTATCGGCTATGCGCTTTAGTGGAAATCAACAACACTTGGGAGGTTATAATGAGCTCGCGTCGGCAAAGCCGGTTATCGGATCTCTAGTTTCCAAGCGTCTCGCCCGTTTATCTCTGATCAAATCATGTCCCATCAATCCATCTCCACATCTACAACAAGCCCATCCGCAACAGGGGGTGATCTTGGTAGCTTATGTGCATCGGCACAGAACTATCCTCTCAATTTTCGCGGACGTATTAGTGCAAGGGTACGACAAGCTGAAGCTGATACTTGGAACAGAGAGGCATCTCGGATATTCGTTTCAAAGGCTGGGAATGTTGCGCTCAGTGTTCTTGAAACATGCGCTTGTGCCACTCAGTGCAGCTGCAAGTCTCTGTGCAAGGGGATCAAAACTCAGGATGACCTCGTCAATCATTTACAGCAGAAGAAAAGAAATCCAAAGATAAGATATATGTGAGTACTTAATTTCACGAATTATGTATTCTCAGTACTAACTCGACCAGTTCCATCCAGTCTCAATCTTCAAAGAGCCGCCTCAAATGTCCTGTCACCATGTTCAAACATCTTTGCGCATTTCAACAGATCCCACCTGCGTTCTTGTCATGCCTCTATTCCTTCCGAACCTCACTCTCACTATACGAGTGGTGCAATCTTCCCCTCTTCTCCGACAATAACACACTACTTTCCAGAAATGAACATACCCTTCCTGTTCAACAACTCGGGCGCTCAGGGCGCGAAATCAGATTCTCATTTGTTCTCCGGTCCGTTGAGAAGTCCAACTCAATCACAACAAAAACCTCTCCATCCTGGGCAATTCGTCAACTCGCCGTTTACCACTCCTTTGATGTTGTTAGTGGACAAGCATTCTGGTTGACCTGCAAAGGAAACTCCGTGAATGAGGACCAATTCAAAGATGCCTTGACTGAGGACGAATTCCTACACTCAACTAATCTACAAACTGTCCCCGAGATGTTTTCAGCTTCCGTTGACATGCTGGCCCTGATACTTGACTGGTGCGACGACGATTGGCGATACTACATTAATGAGATCGTTGACGAGGTCAGTAAGAAAGCCGGCAAGGCTCGAACCGTTGCTATTACGGATAAGCCCGATTTTGAAAAGATTAAAAGACTAGTCACCGGGTTTCAAGATCTTCCAACTAATTCGCTATCTCGTGCGCCAACATTGGAATCTGGCATTGGACTACGGAACTTAGCGAGAGCGGTATCTTTCAATCGCCCAAGGCAGACCCAGGGTAGTCCTCTTCGGTTTGAGGACGATATTGAGAAGCTCGAGACACTCAAGATATTCTCATTTGACGAGCTTCAAACGCTACAGGCTTCTCTTGAGAAGATCCAAGAGGCTCTTCTAATTTTGAAGCTTAACAACCAGGTCATCATGCAGATCCGAGAACACTATCAGAGCTTAATGAACCAATATCGTATTCCTGAGATGGAATATATTCAAGCACACTGCAAAAATACCGTTCTTCAGTACTGTCGTCGTTCCAGAGACGTGGAAGCCAATATTACAGCTCGACAAGAACAGTTGACTTCGCTGCTACTACTCGTCAAGGAGAGCAAAGACATGGTAAGCTCAACCGCAGTGTGTGCGCTTCAACAACTAATGGCTTTAGTATAATGGGATTCTTCAGTACAAGAGTTTCCAGATTAACAAGATCTACGCCGAGAGCGCTCAGCTATCGGCGCGAAAGATGGAAGATATTGCCGACAGGACCAAACAAGAAACAACTTCAATGCATTTCATCGCTCTCATCACTATGATCTTCCTCCCTGGAACATTTGTTGCGGTCAGTAATTCTCATCTCTCCCTGTTCTTCTAGCGCTAAAGGTATCTTCAGTCCTTTTTCCAGAGTGGTATACTTGAGTGGCCTCCATTGAGTCCCAGCGAGCCGTGGACGCTCAACGGAAAGATATTCGGTCTCTTTATTGGCATCTCCGTCGCTCTCACTCTTTTCATAATTCTTATTTGGATGTACATGAGACGGCAGCCTAAGATAGTGGCTTGAGACATTTCGTCATAACGGGGTTAGATGTGGAATAACAGTGCAAGCTTCTGTGTTTTCTCAATGTACTTTACTTTGTAATTCAGCCAACTTTTGTTCAGACTATATCTACCTAGTAGCTAGCAGTTGCTGCCTAAATGTCACAGTCTAGACGGTGCCCTAGTAAGTGCAGTGTGTGCGTGGAGTGATATTTAATATCGAGGCTGTGCATATAAGACATCTCACATTGCTTGCCTAAGGGTCGACCTACCAAGTACGGTAATCTTTTCCTTTGTGATGCGGCTGAGAGATTCACTCTCTAAGCTGCGACTGACGTAGCGAATATCAGTGTTAATGCGAAAAAGCAACAGGTTAGCATTTGTACCTGCAGGTCAAGGGGAGCTTCACACTATACAGTAACCGCTTTAGTCCTATCCGTACAAAAGGCAAACTTGTTGAGGGCTCGGGAGACGTCACATCTGTCTTGTAAGCTGCCTTGATGGGGTATATGCAGGTTGGTCGAACACTTTTGGATGAGGCTGTACTGAAGGCGAACCACTAGGCGCATCATCTTTCTCCAGTGGTAGGCCATCAGCGCCCGAATCACATATATACTTAACAAATAGCCGCACACACCTGAAACACAATGTGCTTCCTTCTTCATCTCTATTAGTTCATACTTATTGTGCTTGTTACACCACGTCAATAACGTTCGCTATTTTATCGTTAGATAAGTACCAGACTCCTCTTCATCTACCTTAGTAGGCTGGTATGGCCTCCCCGAGCGCTCGTGCCTCACAAGGCTCTCCTACCCATAATGAACGCCATGAAGATTTCATTGAGTTTGTGAGGCAGAACTCACAGATGGGGTTGGACGGCCACAACAAGAAGGAACCCTTCATCAGTCCTGCCGAGACCGAAGCTTGGTGGAGACAACGCGGCGAGAATCGTATTCCCCGTGCACTCGAACGTTCTATCCAGGCACGACCTTCCACTATTCTCACGGGCTACATCATCATATTCTCAATCCTCGTCTACATTCGACGAACTTGTTTAATACCTACCTTTATACGCCATGGTTTCCAAGATAAACAGCTGCCCATCCTCGACCCCGCCTGTTTCGGAGAGGATCCCACGCAGATTGCCATGATGCGCGAGTTCTACGACAGCCAGTGGAGATTCTGTCCTGTCATTTTCTCGAATAGCTCACCAATGGACCAGAGAAACATCCATGTACGGCAGATACTACCTATCAGGTCTGAGACGATAATAGGAAGCAAAGCACAAAACTCCAAGTCACTGATTCGAGTGATCACTCTGTATGATGGATGCTACGACACATCATGGAGTCCTACAGTATGTTGCAGCCCAACTACATCGAGTTCTTTCTCTTAATTTGTATAGGGCGTCGTCGTTTTCAAAGAATACCGCAAACAGGGTTTCCGAAGATCATGGACTCAAGAGTTCAACGCATTCGTCTCGATCGATTCCTGCGAACATATCGTACAGTATCTTGGCTCGTTCGAACAGAACAATCGGTACATCATCATCCTCGAGCATGCAAGTGGCGGCAGTCTACTACATTTGTTCAACCAGGACGTTCGGCCTACTACACCCGAGCAACGCATGCACTTCTGGAGAGGCCTGATGGGCCTTACAAAGGCCATCAACACGATACAGAACCTTGGTGGAGGACCGGGTGACCAAAGAACAGGATTGTAAGTTTCTTGTTATCTCACCATATCGAAGCCCAAAGCTAACATCTACAGTGCCCATCGAGACATCAATCCAGCTAATATTCTAGTCTTTCCCGGCGAGGGAGGGATGTTTTCTCCTGGTTTCAAGATGAAACTTGCCGATTTCGATACTGCCATACCGATTCATCGTATCGGTGACAAACCTTTTACGTACCAGGACAATGACGGAAACAGGACTTACTGTAGCCTATCCCAAATGACCCATGCTAGAAGCCCGGTTGCTAACAATCGTACTAACAGGCGCTCCCGAAGCCTCCCGGATTTATAAGGAGCAAGAGAGAGACTTGAAGCAAGTCCACGTCGCCTCTGATATATGGTCTCTTGGGTGTGTCGTCAGCGAGTCCATCGTCTGGGTCTCCGGCGGGATGGCTGCGCTTGAGAGAGCTGTCATCGACCGCAATACTGAGATCAAGAAATGTTACCCGACCATGGTTGGCAGTGGTTTCGAACAAGGCTTTCACAACTGCTCTGTGCTACTGTGCTGCGTCTTCAATGCACACAGAACAGCACTTGAAAACTTGCAGGGCGTATCTTCCTTGTCGGAAGGTGTGTCCAGGCTGGTAGAACTTGGGATGCTCGTGTCCATCGAGAAGCGGAACGATCCAATAGTTCTCTGGAACAACTTTGATAGCTTGTACAACCAGTTATCGGCTGGCACTTTACAAAGCCCAGTTGCGGGTGAGTTCGCAACAGACACCATATATTGCGACCAACCCACTGAGAATCCTACGCAATACGGCAACTTGCAAGCTCCAGGCTCAAGTTCTTTGACTTATCCCCCAGTCAATATCAATGGATACGGGAATATGATGCCGAAACGGATTCCACGTACCCCTACGATACAAACGGATCCCATTCTCAACAATTGGGATGAGAATCATCACTCCCCTCTGAGTACTGGAAGACCGACTTCCAAGCAGTGGACACCTCAGAGTCCTCATGGTTTCAGTACTTCTCTGCATCAAGCCATCGAGGCGCACTCTGACGAAAACCGCTTCCCTCAGCAAAACCCAAGAATCCATGCAACCGTTAACGGCGCACAATCCTCTATACCACACAGGTATTCTGTCAACTCGACAGTTGGTCAGAATGGCTTTCATTCCCCTATATCTGCACAGGTAACGCCATTGGAAAGAGCCGCTTCGAGTTTCCTCAGCCCATCACCCATGCCTACCAGGCCAACGAGTATGTACGGGACTACGACTGTGGATGATGCTTTCCGCCATCGTCGGAACAACGGGAGAAGAGAGACTCTAGACGGGTATACCAAGTTCCGTCAGCGCATTGCACCCCGGCATTTCATCATCCTGATAGACGACTCCGAGTCAATGCGAATCATGTTTCGCGAGGTCCTCAAGGTTGTCGAGATTTTGGTATGGCTCGTCAAGGATTTCGACTCACTGGGTGTAGACATTCGCTTCGCATCCAATCCAATCAAGCGACATACAAGGACTTTTCCGAGACCTTCCACCGACAGGCTCATGGCCTCTGTTCGCCAATGGTTCGAAAGAAACGAAGCTGACAAATACTGCAATATGAAATACTTGCTTAACAAAATATTTGCAGACGATAAAATAGTGAGCCCCAGATATCCGACCAGTGTCTTAGTTTTGACGGATGGGGTTTGGGAGGGTGGCCCCATCCAAGATATTGGTGCTGAGACGAGCATATCACAGGTCATTAAGCAGATGGATGATAAGGGGGTGAGTGACACAGACTTCACATTCCAATTTGTGAGATTCGGTAATGATCCCGACGGCCTTGCTCGACTAAAGTATCTCGATGATGAGGCTGTATTTGAGAGCAGCAAGGGTCATAATCGTCAAGTGTAAGTCGATGCTCTTTCTACCATGATATTGTACTAATTTTCTCTAGTGATATCGTCGACTCGAAGCCCTCAACCGCCAATGTATGGTCAATCCTCACTGGAGCGGTCAGTCCGCATTGCGATCATGACGACGAGACGTGAGTCCGCTTCCTCGAGAAGGTATCGGTGTTTGCGGCGTTCGATTTGGTTAGGTTGGTAGGCTCCTGGATTTATAGGCGTTTGGGACATTATTTTGGCAAACGGGTTGAATAGCGACATCAGGAAAGGCAGCTATTTAGAAAGAATACCCATTAAGCGAAACTCTGGCAGCAAGTTTATAGGGAATTTGATGTACGGTATCATGGTGGAATGAGTTATGAGTCAGGCTATACTCCTACGGCCCTAGCGCAAGCAGAAGACGCCTTGGTTTGCCATTCTTGGCCGATAGAGAATCTGGGATTGGTTGAAAGTTTGGCCAAGCTTTGGTAGAAACGTTGTTACCCTAGGCCTCCCCATCGACAGATCTTGATCAAAAGCAATTGATGGACGGGAAATGCGAAACTGAATTGCCTTTTTCTTATAGACGCTGGACAATTCTCATGTTTCAAGGTGATGAAATAACACAAGTAAGTTACCAATGAGATATCGCTCGCGTGTGAGGCCAAACCAGCCAACACAACCGTTGACTTTTCGTATTAACATCATTTCACAGGTCTAAAACAGTATTAATCTTTCTCCCTTTGGCCCAGCATTACATGTACTCCAACATTTAGATATGACAAGAAATGGCCTGGCAAACTGACTCGCATGCATGAGCGATTATTAAATCATGGGTAATTCGTACATTAAACTGGTACATGTTATTTCTTGAACTCATGAGTAATATTGACTCTGTTTCGTGTGACCCTGTTCAATCTCTACCTCTTCTGAGTTCATTGCAATGACAGCCATGAATTGGGATAGAGGGACAGAGTACGGCGTATTTGGTTATTGTAACCTAAATCGTATGTTGATTACATTGACGCTACATGTTTTGAATCAATCACTTTAATGAACACCTCCAGAGTATTCTGTAGACCCTGTTTCATCCTCCGATTCCGGGGGCGGGCCGCTAACCCACAAACAATCAAGCGCCACGAGCTACCCTTCACCTCTCAAGCTCCCCTCCAAACTTGAATCCCTCCACCATCATCCTTCCCACCAACACCACCACCTCCATCATGGCGTCCTACATCGACAACTCCCTCTCAGAGGCCCAGCCCGCTCCTGAACTTCTTGGTGAGGTTAAGAAGCCCAAGAAGAAAAAGGTGCTGCTTATGGGAAAATCCGGCTCCGGAAAGTCGAGTATGAGGAGCATCATCTTTAGCAACTACATTGCCCGCGACACACGAAGATTGTGAGTTGGCTCCCTCCCGCCATGCCGACAGTCAGAGCTAACTATTCGCAGAGGCGCAACTATTGATATCGATCTTTCGCACGTCAAGTTCCTCGGAAACCTCACCCTCAACCTCTGGGACTGCGGTGGTCAAGAGGCCTTTATGGAAAACTACCTGTCGCAGCAGCGCGTCCACGTCTTCTCCAACGTCGGTGTCCTCATCTACGTCTTCGACATCGAGTCGCGCGACGTCGACCGTGATCTCGCTACCTACGTTTCCATCCTCTCGGCCCTGCTACAATACTCGCCCGCGGCAAAGATCTACATCCTCATTCATAAGATGGACCTTGTCGTCCCTACGGCTCGCGAGTCCGTGTACGATGAGCGCATTCGTGTTGTTCGACAAAAGACTTTCGAATATGGAAATTCCGTCGGTATTGCTGCGTCATCGATTGAGCTTACACCATTCGCGACCTCTATCTGGGACCAGAGCCTGTACAAAGCCTGGGCGTCGATTATTCACGATCTCGTCCCCAACCTCGCTGTTATCGAACGCAACCTTGCCAATCTAGGACTCGCCATTGAAGCAGAAGAGCTTCTCCTCTTCGAACGCACATCCTTTCTCGCCGTATCATCGTGGACATCATCAGAAGGCCAGCGCAACCCTACTGAGGACCGCCTAGAACGCATGTCCAACATCATGAAGCACTTTAAGCAAAGCATTTCACGGTTCACAGGCACACCCCGCAACGCCGAGCAATTTATTCGCATGGAGCACAAAGCTGGTAACCGATTTAGTTTGTTTATCCTCAAGTTCACCACAAACACCTATCTCATGGTTGTACTTCCACCTGGAGAAGCTCGTTTCAATGCTGCGATGCTCAATTGTCAGATTGCTATTGAGCACTTCAGATTCCTCGATGGACCATCAATCCAACCCGCCAACGCGACCGCTACGGCTGCTTCGTAATGCAATGCTATATGAGAAAAATACTGGAGTTGTCGCGGCGCAGGTTTTGTTATTTAGGCGTTAGGTGTTGAGATACCACTCAAAGAGTAATGAGCGATTCAAGATTCAAAGAGTGAGATGTACCGAGACGCAAGCATGAGCTCGCACTGCAATTTTAGCCTGCGTGATTTCTATTTATGACCTATCTATCAGTCATGCTGGCATCCTGGATGCACCAGTTGGCCAGTCGAAAACCATATCCTCAACGCCAATCAATACATGTAACTCAAGTCCACTTTACAACAGCTGTGCCTCCCTTTTTGAACTCGGACATTTCTCCAAGGACAAGGCTGCGATCGGTATGATCCTTGTTGGGGAATGTCGTGGAGAGAACCCATGGTCTAGTTCTGGTGTCTGTTGACGCGCCCTGCACGAAACCGTAGACATCGTCGATAGTGTGGGTTGTGTTAAAACGAGCCGGGAGACGGGTGCCATCAGGCATCTGGATTCTGATCATGATAGTCGGTTGCGAGTCGTCGACGGAGGGAGCGCTGGATGACGATGGCGCTGCAGCAGGCGCAGCAGTAGAACTTGAGCCCTCTGAAACGCCAGGTACAACGGCCCCAAGTCGATTGCCAGAGCCGCCAAAAGGCTTGTATTGCTTCGGCTGAGGTTGGTATGGTGTTTCGTGCTGATGAAGCTTGACGTCGATGGGTTGATCATGCTGCACATTCATGAGGTGAAGAGGAGCACGACCAGATCGAATCAATGCAAGGTCAGCCTGGTTGGCAGGGTCGTCGAATCGGCGGAGATCTCCATCATCAATGCTGAAGCCGTCCTGCCAGATGTGAAGGACTCGCTCTTGGGATTCAGCGTTGCTGGGGCGGGCTGGGCCGAGGGGATCGGGGATGGCACGGCTTTCGACACCATCACCACCAAGTGTTTGTCCGGTTCCACGGAAGCGGCTGGGCTCCGACGGTCCAGCCTCGCTTTCGGTTTCAGGGCGCGCAGCATTTCTAAACCTGTTAGCTGGTGTCCTCCTTCATAATATTGTCCACTTACGCTCGTGCCTTGGCGAGAATGTCACTAATGATTTTCTTGGGGCCGCCCTCTTGATTCGGATCTTGAACAGCCAGGCCTGACTTTTCACCACCTGCAAACAGGTTGCCTCTACCATCGTCGTCTTCACCATCGAAATCATCATCGTCATCATCGCCATGGTCATGTTGGTGGGATGAGCTACCAATAGATCCTAAAGTAGCGATTCCCTTCTTCTTTTGCTGTGATGCAGCAGGCTTGCGAGCTGCTTGGGCACTACTGCGAGCAGATTCTGGGGCAGGTCGACCATCGAGGGTCCGAGGACCAGTATAGTTGTCGGGAGCGGGCGCTGCAGCCGGAGCTGGTGCTGTCGATGTATCGCGACTATCCTCTTCGGCATCGCGAAACCAAGCGTTGCTTGCCTCTGCAAGATCCCAGTTGTGTGCTTCAAGATACTGTCTGGCCTTGGGTGTGTTAGCTTGGTAGATTCTATAAGTTGAGAATTACGAACCTCTTCAGGGCTTGCGCCGCTCAGGCCGGCAAACTCCACGACCTGGTCTTCGTGGTCTGCCATGATGATGAATGAGGCGGGGTATCGATGTGTAGATCAGGGTCTAAGTGCAATGGAGGGGAAGCAGTCCGTAGATAACAGGGAATTTATGAAAAGGCAGAACGACAAGTAATTGCCAATGTGTATGATGAGTTTGTTGATAAAAGTGAAAGCAGGCAGGCAGCTTGCTCGTCACCTCAACTAAGCAGAAGCTCTAGGTGGCGGTGGGCTCCTTCACCCCACCTTCCTTACCAGTGACACAAGCGCCCCACCCCAGCTGCAGCCTTCCAATTACGTAAGGATCTGGGGGAGTCGCGACGGTTGGGAGAGCCGAGATCGTCAACATCCTCCATGCAGTACCTAAACCAAGACGACAACTGCGACAACCCAAGCTTCAAGCGAGTCAAGTACTCTTTATTAAGCTTATCCGCATTACCAACTACCACCATCGAATATTACAATGTCCGACGAACACAATCATCTCGCCGAATCCGGCATCACTTTGCACTCCGACAGCGAACTATACTCTGCCGGCGAGGACCTACCGTCACCTCCTTCGTCAAACTCTCCCGTTATCCTCTACAAGCCTCCTACGGTGTGGTCGTTGATACGTGGGGCGGCCATCAACCTTCTACTACCATTTGTCAATGGCATGATGCTTGGTTTCGGAGAGCTGTTTGCTCATGAAGCTGCGTTTAGACTTGGATGGGGCGGTACCAAGGTATGCTTAACTGCACACTCAATGCGAATAAGGTTATGTGATTTTTTCTAACAATTTCAGGTCTTCCCTCTGACCCGAAGAAGGACTCATCCTATTGGACCTGGCATTGAGCTTCGAGAAAGGCACCACATTCCTCGCCCTTCGCTGGACGATATTGCGAGTATGGAGTGAAAAGCCATCAAGAGCCATCGGGAAATCCAACACATCTGACGAGAGGGTGCAGCATCGCTCCCATTATGACTCGGTCGTCTCCTCGCCCCATCTATTGGCATTGCATACGAAAGAGCAGGGCGGATGAATGCGTATCATGTTAAATAATTTGAGAATCTACCATTAGACAGGAACATGGATTGTGGCGTTTCGTTGCATCGGCGGTTCAAATGTAAATATCGCGCATTCGAACGCATCGACTTTAATTACAACCAAGCTCGATCATTCGTTCACTCAACTCTAATCACTGCTATCGACTCGTCACAGCCTGAGGCCGATGACAAGGTCACCCGGAGGTCATCGGCGACGGACTTCGCAAACCCGACATTTACCCGCCGGTGCCGGAAAACCTCCAAAAAATTCCCAGCAACACCATCACTCTCATCCGACCATCCCACTTTATCACCGCCGCAATGCTTCCCAGCCGAGGAATTGTGCGCTCTCTGCCCTCGGGCGTTCTCCAGAGGCCACTCTGTGGTCAATCCGTATGTCGCGCCTAGCCAATCATTCGATTTTCTAAAGCTTACGATTTATAGATTTCGTCAAGAACTCTTGGCCGAAAACTCGGAGATGCTCGACAATTCGGTACAACGTTAAAGAGCGCTCGTACACCTCTTTCGGCTGGAGCTAGGGTCGGACTTAGGAATATTGCTGCGCCTGTTGTTCTGGGAGGTTTATCTTCCTCAAGGACACTCTCCATCTGGGGTTACAACATCTATGGAAAGAAAAAGACCGAAGAGCCTGTCGCTGAAGCCATCACAACAACACCCGAGGCACCCACTCCTCCCGAGACCATCAATCCCACGCCTGTCATCAACGATGCGCCCGCTATTCCCGACGAAGCTGTCACACAAGTGGCACAGACCGCTGACCCTTCCTCAGTGACCCCCTCCGATTTCGATCTTGCCACAATCGCCGACCTCGCCAATCCCAACATTCTCAACCTGCCCGAAAACATCGGCTTCCTACGAGAAATTGGCCTTGACTATGGTTGGGGTCCTACATCAGTCATGCAATGGGTGCTCGAGCACATCCACGTTTACACTGGCCTTGGCTGGGGTAGCTCCATTATCGTAACAGCCCTGCTACTACGTGCCGTCATGTTCTACCCCCAGGTGCGCAGTGTTAAGTTCAGCGCCGGCATGAACCAGGTGAAGCAAGACCCTCAGGGTATGGAGGCTATCGAGATGATCAAGAAGGGTTATCAAACCCAGGATCGTGAGATGATGCAAAAGGGACAGTTCCTTCAAAAGATGGTTCGTGAAAAGTACAATGCCTCGATGACGGGTATGATTTGGCCTTTTGTGCAAATTCCGTTCAGTTTCGGTCTGTTCCGAATCATCAACGGCATGACGCATATTCCTGTGCCCTCTCTGGAAGACGCTGGCTTCCTCTGGTTCCATGACCTTACGGTCGCTGATCCTTTCTATCTTCTCCCTGCCATGGGTACTGGCTTCTTGGTCACTTCACTACTGGTAAGTTATTCGGCCTTATTCCAGACGTTTCTAACTTTTTAAGCTCAACTCCAAGTACCAACCCGCCGCTCAAAAGGCCATGATGAAGAAGATGATGTACGTAATGGGCGGTGTCACATTCATCTTCACAAGTTATCTTGCTGCTGGTGTCAACATCATGATGGTTTCCACCGGAGCAGCTGCTCTTGCAACCTCGGCCATTCTCAACAACGAGGCTGTCCGTCGTGTTCTTGACCTGCCCGTCCTCAAGGTTGAGCAGCCCGCTTACAAACCCCCTCGCGTGTCCCAAGCCAAGGGTATCGAAGGACTCCGTGAGCGACTCACTGAGAACCTCGGTGAGATGAAGAAGGGTGTTTCCGATCAAATCGGCACCATGACCAACCAGTACAGCGGTACTGCGGAAGAGCGAGCGCAGAAGGCGCGCAAGGAGCAGATGCGCAAGCTTGAGGACATGCGCCGAAAGCTGGAGCGTGAAGAGTTTGAGAAGAAGTACAAGCGATAAGCAAATGTATCAACAAACTGTAAATATAGTAACGTGAACTGCTCCATTGGATCAGGACTGTATAATTAGCATTGGGAGCGAATGATAAAGCGGGGATACAGGAGCTTTGCATAGCTGACAGGCGCTGGATAAGATAAAAAGAAAGTATCTACCATGTATCTATCGATGTAATAGAACAAGACCATCCCAATTGATAACGACGAATGAAACGAAGATGAAACAATTAAGCGTAAACGCCTTTAACGACTTGTGTCTCAATTATAAACTAGGCAGACTGCCAAGGTCCTTTTCCGCCCGCAGCTCTTTTGCCCTTGTAATAAACCCCGATTGCCTTCACGGCCATCCTCTGGTAATGGATAATTTAAAAATGCTGATGCTTTCGAAGAGAGTAACTTGAAGCTCAGTCTCGGCCCCCGCTCCCTTCTCTATACCCAGTGTATCTCGCGTTCCGTCATATTGATTCAGTAATACATCCAAGAAGGGCATTCGAAGCCTTAGAATACAGTGCCATCGCTCTCAATAAGGATCGGGGGCTCCTTTGTATTAGGTCTGTTGATCTCGGCAATCTCACGTCCACCCTGGTTCGTGTTAGTGTAATCTTTGTTATAGGGCAGGGAATGACTTACCCGCCAGCTTCCAGCCTCTAGAAGTTGCGCCAAGGTGAGCTCGTTTCCACCCAACTCGTTCTTTAGCGCCTTGTTAACCTCGACGCATAGCATATCGAGGAAACCGACTGTGCAACCTCTCCACTCAACGATGACATCGTCGCTAGGCTCAAACATGGGTGCTACCTCCACACCCTTGGCGCCTGTCCGTTGCACCCATTCATTGTAGTTTTGAAGACCTCTCTCCAAATCGTCCTTCTTCACGTTCATGACACCCATATCGACAAAGAGACCACCATTTCGGTACTCGGGCAGACCAGTGAGTAACTCAGTTCCTGCAAAGTGCATCTTGAGGAGCTGTTGCATAGGCTGCATGAGCGAGTAAGTGAGCCACTGGGTGAGCTTGTGGAATGGCAGAATAGACTCCCAAGCCGCGGCGTTGGAGCTGTTGGGGAAAGCGGAAACCTTGGGTGATGCGCCGGGTTGAGGCATAGACTGACAAGGCCAGGCATCACCAAGAGTGACGCCGTTGATTGCGGTTCGGTTCGTAGGCCAGATAGGAGCAAGGCCGGTCATTAAAACGTTCCACAGCACGGGTAGGGGGACGATGAGCATGGATGATGCCTGTGTTGAGGGATGTCCGAGAAGATGATCTAAAAGGTTAGCTTTGTAAAACTGGGATTCAAAGTAACTTACCGATTAAGCAACCAGGACGGCCCTCATAACCCCAGTAATCATCCTTGGCTTCCAAAGCGTCTCCGAGACGGAGCAGTAGATCAGTGCGGCCTTGCATGCCAGTCATCTCATTGCCTGGTTTTGATTGAAGACCAGCTGAGAGCTTCTCTACGGTAATGGTCTTGAGACCATCCTTGTCGACTTGGAATTTGTTGTTGGGGTTTCCAGAGAACAATCCCTGCCTTCATTAGCATTTTGTAATGCGATAGAACCGCTGTACTCACGCTCTTGAACATCTCCAAGCTAGCAACTGCGATACCCTCCGATCTCTTGTACACGCGACCATTCTCGTTGCTCTTGTAGGTCCAGCTAGTTCCAGCACCGGCGTCAAGAAGTACACTGACGAGGAAAAGGTCGACCAAACGTCGGCAGCGCTCTGTGTTGTCGACATTGGTAGGCCAGGTAGATAGTAGCTGGGCAATACGGTCGCGACCACCGACAGCAAAGTGCTGATATCTGCCATGGCTGGGAATGCTAAGAAAGGGGGCATCGTAGTCTCGCTACAAGTCTGTTAGCGACAACATGGACACCACTCCAGGACGCGAGCTTACCTTGATAATTCCAGTAACAAAAGTAACCACATCAGGAAACTTGCTCATATCCACATCGAAATGCTTCAGCTCATTGCGCAGTGCTTTGTCGGTTACAATCTTGCTTCGCTCCCTTACAGCACCAAGACTTCGCAAGTAACCAGCAGGGTCGAGCTGAGGGTCCGGAGGTCGAGGAAGGTCGATCTTTGGTAGTTTGACGGGAGACATTGGGCCACCGGCGGATGTGCTAGTAGCTGATGTTCGATTGAGAGGGTTGCGAGCGTTACCGGCAGGCGATCGCAAGCTCGACGATGAGTTTACGCTCACATTGGACTGAGAGGTGTTGATGGCCTGGTCGCTCTTTGGCGTCTTGTCTTTGCGAGAAAACAAACCCATATTGACGGGCTTTGCGGAAAATCCGGTTACTCAATTGTTGTACAGATACCAGGAATTACCAGATGTTTGTTGTAGATTTTGATCTGAGCTGATAGAGACCAGACAAGAAAGTAGAGGCTTCGGGGAGGTGGGGCCTCTAAGCACGAGTTGGACTGGAGGGGAAGGGTCCGTGGGCGCGCGAGCAGAGACGGAAGAGGATGTGAGAGGGACGAGCGTCGTGCGTCGTGGGTACGTCGAGGATCGGAACGAAGCGAGAAATGGTTCGACTGCGCTGGATGCGCTGCGCGGTTGTTGGCCTGGTATCTTTAATGCAAGGGATAGTAACAATTGATTTCTGACAGCTCCTGTATCAGCGTCTCTGAGCTTCTGCAGAAGCAAAATTATTAACACAGAAACAATAGATAAGAGGGAAGGGGATGGGGGTAGGCAGACGGGGCGCGGCGCTTTTGAGGAACCCAAGAGCCAAACTAAGAAATCAACTTGACTGAACTGAACTGACTGACTGACCAGGGAGGCCTAGGCATCTCGGAACAGATGAGCAGAGCACTGAAGTGTATCCACAATAGTACGAAGTCCTACCCTGACAGGTAGAAGACGAGAGACTGAGAAAAGAAGAGGCGTCAGGGGGAGACCCTCGACTCCTCTGCGGGGGTTCGGGGCTTGGGGGCTTGGAGCTAGACCCAGCAGCGGCCCAGGCAAAGAACAGCCTACCAGAGTTGGAGGCGCCCGAGCGTCGTTCGGGGCCCCTGAGTCCGTCGGCGATCGCGCCAGGGAGCAGGGGATCCGCAGGGATGGTGGAGGATGCTGTTGCACCAGGCACTGGGGCACCTACTGGCGGGTGGTTTTGGTGACTGATTGCGCTGCGCTTGTTAGATTCGACACCTATTAAGCTTGTCTAGTTTGCTCTGGGGCCTCACGAGTCAAAAGGGTTCGGTGTGTTTTTCTAGCTGCTTGAACCGCTTTGTGATCTTTTACGGGTTATTGGCCGAGCCGCAAGCATTCGTACAAGGTTATTATTGACATCTGGACTGCAGGAGACAAAATGTAGGTTCTCCTATGAAGAGGTTCTGTTCATATGTCGATATTTTATGAATCGCATAAATATTCTCAGCGGTGGCATCTAGCAATTTATGATGCAATGGCGTTTCTTGTAGAATAAGGCTGATTCGGGTTTGGCTTGAGGAAGTGAGGATAGTGAACGCTTGTTGTTGTACGCCGTGTTGATGCTAACTGACAGCCTTGCTGAAAAGCCAAAATCAGCTAGACAGACTATTGGAGACGGTTCAGTTTGATTGACGGCGAGTGAGGACGGAAATGAGATGGACGCAGCGAGTCATGGCAGGTTTGCGACAGCCTTCTAAGCGCTTGGTACATTGTACATAAGAGAGACGGCGATGTTAGCGGGTGCCGGACTGGCCAAGCTCAAGCACTAACACAGCCAACTTGACAATTGAGAAGAATTGCCCGGCCGGCAGCTTTAGCAAGTCGAATTATTAGGATTGTACCCGCGGAGAAGGATCGACACGAAGCGAGACAACCAAGGTGCAGTGTGCGACGATGCTGATTTCTTCTTAGCAGACACAAGAGACAAGAGACTGGAATTTCCATTAGAATCGCGTCGTTCTCAGACGAGATAAACTCACTCCACAATGAAGTGATGGCAGAAAAAAAAAGATTCCTTCCTGGGCCAGGCCGTAGTCCGGAAAGTGGGAGCTAAGTGTGCGATAAAGGACGCCAATCGAACGGAATGTTAGGCGAAAAGAGGAAAGTGTCTTTAGAAGAAAAGAAAACGAAATGAATAACTGGACCGGACTGGCAAGGACTGGGAAGTGACTGACCAAGCAGAGCGGGATAGACATAAGGCGCCAAGAAAAATGAGTATTGAATGTTGAAGGTGGAAAAAGCAAAACAAGGCTATAGAAATGAGGTGAGGTGATGGTGTCAGTTGGAAATAGTGGTGTTGAGGCAGTAGCCACCCAAGCAAACCTCCTTCCAACACATTGTGATATACCATAATGAGCCATGGAGCAAACAGTCAATGTTTGTTGCCTTCATATCACGAGTTAACAGAACCAACATCAACAATTAATATTCAACTTGCTTGTTCCTCAACCCCCACTTCAATCTTACAGCGCATGCTGGCAACGGGACGGAACCGCACGTGGCAATCAGAGACAAGACGGGCCGTAGCTATCGAAGCTTGAACAAATGAGACATGCGTGTATGTGTGCATAATTGCACCTAATAAATAGTGATATCTCTATGTGCTACAGGATGAACCAAGTGTCTGGTTTTACAATAATGAGCATAAATTACTACGTTGTACGGATATCTCTGCCAAGAAAGAGGCAGGTCGGGAGGAATGAGACGTGATACTGACTCGTACAAGATCCTATGATAGCCCTAGTCATTCATGATTATATTGTACTCTGTTTAACCAAACCACCATCACCTCAGCGTATGCAGTGTTCCATAAACATCACCTAGAATTCGAGTCAGCCTCAATACCACCCACACTGCTACACAAGCTTTTGCCTGCTGCCCGCTGCCCGCTGTCCGCTGTCCGCTGTCCGCAAGTCCGCTGTCAAGCCCTGTTATGCCATGCAAATCCGCCAGGCACCATCACCGTCCGAATCCTTGTGTCATGTTCGCCCTGTCCTGGGGGTCAGATCCCTGTCCTAGAGGAATGGTCAAGTACGAGGTTGTGTAATTATCCGCGCGTGTACGGAGTATATATTGATGCATTACTCGATAGCTTCCACCGAACTTCAATGGCAAACGGTACACCAATTTCATGATAACGTACAGACGTGTAGTACATGGCTGACTCGAGTGTCATAATTAAGATCCTTCTCAACGATCCACTAGCTCTTGTCGATCCCGTCTTCACCCTCGCTGATCTACCATGCATGGACCATCCGAGTGACAACCACGGGTCATTATTCGCTCTGTCTAATACAAATAGCTTGCGGTCGGCCTGCCTCTTTCGCCTTACTACAAAGTCAGAAAAGTCCCAAAGGAACGCCGGAACGACTAGTAGTGGCTACAGGAATAAGACCAGAAGGACAATTTGCCTGGTAAATCACCCGGAACTAGCAGACAAGTCAGGGGTAAAACCTAAGCTGCGCTGGGCCTGTCTCTGTTACCCTCGCCTTGGGTTGCTCATAACGGCTTCTCTTCCATCAAGCTTCTGCTGACTCTCCCTATTAAGTGTCTCCGGTCATCATTGGTCGCCCAAGGCCAATAGCGCGGTCATTAAGAGTCTGTGCGTGGTGGTCTTTTAATGTTGTGCATCGTCAATCCGCGCCTCACCCGCACGCACGAGCAACGATGTTCACTTGGTGACGTTACAAGCTTCGGCACAGCACAACAACTTTATTCCAGAGCTAATTCACAGCATAACCGATGTCATGATATGCTTCTATTACGCAAACTTTTCCCTCTTTCCACAGAAATCATGGGCCACCATCGTCGATCTCGTTACCAATCTTCACCAGTACCCACCACTCTGGCCACGCAGACAAAAGAACCTCTTCTCTTCACAAGAGGATAAATGCGCTTGGTACCAAGACGGGCTCCGACCCTTGAAATTATCGGCCCGGATCGTCTTCCCCCGGCGGACCCAAGCCATATTGGGGCTTCACCGGGGCCTGTCCGCAACTGTTCCGAATTCTTGATCCTTGTCGTTGTTCCTGGCTAAGCGGAACTCTCATGACAAGAGTCAAGGAAGATCATTGGTACCGGCAACGAGATTAGGGGATGTTGGATGGAAGCCCGGGAGAAGGGCTCGCGAATGTGATGGCTTGACTGGATGTGCCGTCTTTTGCATTCCAGACGCGGATACGGATACTTCTAACGACCCGGCTAACTCAACGTCGACAAAGGAAAATTCGTCAATTGGCGTCTGCTATGGCGCTAGTAAAAATAAAAAATAAAAAGAGCAATGTTCTTGGCGAAGCACTCAATCTTGCATATCCAAGACTAACGTTGACTCGGGTGAGCGGGTGCACAGTCTCTACAGATACTTGGCTGATATTATCCCAAAACTCTGCAGATTCGTATGGGACGGATAGTTGTATCCATACTCCGCACTCCGTAACACTTCGCTTGCAGCATCTGCGTTGTTTTTACTGACCATCGTAAGTAATTTACCAGCTTTCATAAATACCATGTCTCCCAATAAAAGCCCCTGTCGCCGGATTGCTTCCCCGACTACCCAAGGCTCGGGTTCGTTATATTACATTGCGCTTCGCTAGACACAAGCCTTTTGATCCCACATGGCAACCTTCCCTTTCGTCCTCTGCAAACTCTCATTCAGCCTGGTATCTGGTGTCCTTTTGTGGCGTCGGCCTTTCTGTATTAGGTTCAGCTAAGCTCGTCCTAGATACAAATCCGCGTCTGTGTCATGCCCCGGGCTGCGGACGGTTTTGTCTTGCATGACTCTTGCGCTCGTTATCAGACTTGGGCTTTGTGAGTTGATGCAGCCTTGTTGGAATAGGATGCAATACGAGACGAGTTGGGGCTGCAGGATTGAATCAGGTATGGGGAAAGTCGTAGGAAATACAGATATCCGTACAGTTACAATAATTAATTATCAGGGTTCATGAGAGAGTCATTTTACCCCTGTCATTCCCACGTTGTGCCATACTTTGGGGATTTCGTGTGCCGCACAACTGCATTTGACCCCTTGCTTCCATGGCCCATTTCTCATGCCATGTGGAAGCCCGTCCGAATACCCATCACGCTGTAATGCCAGATTAGGAATTCAGAATGCACGCCCGTTATGATGTCTTCCAACGACTTTCAGGCAAACTGACGAACATGGCTATCCCGGCCGTTTCAGCCATGGCCAGAAACAGACCTTCCCTCCGATGATCCGTCCAACATTCCTCGCTTCATTGCATTGTGACCACAGAACCGGTAACCTAGACTGTTCTGGTCAATTAAACTTCTTACTACGTTTCAGAATACGGATTGTCCTGACTAACGGAGAATTTCTAGAAGGATGCATCATACTACAGGTGAAGGTTGGCTAGCGGTTTCGGCTTGAGAATGACCATCCTGATGTCGACACAGGCCATGGAATGATTTCTAGATGTTGTAGAGATCGAAGCTTATCTGTTTCCGGGGACTGTTGGTACCAGCGTGATGTGTGTGCCCTGAGAGTTGCGTCGAGATCTAGTCTGTAGATGAAGATGCATCACGATAAGATTCCTACGCTAGGGCTGGAGATGGGATGAAACTCTTAGGCTGTATTTTCTAACTGTGCCACGACGATTTGGAACATACTATCTACGTAGTTGTGCGGTGTATGCCAGTAGACATGAGGCGGTCATATCCATGAGTGGAAGGCCCAACGTCATAATGCTCAATGTGTTTATCTCAAATTGGGATTTGGTTAGCAATACTAATACAAAACTGGCAAGGGCGATATGCCTAGCAATGCGAATTTGACAGGCTGTTTGCCCAGATCCTGAGTGCCCGGGTAGGGTTCATGTAAGAGATCTCGAAGTTGAGATACAACCACAAATAATAAGGAAATGAGAAAACATTAGACATGTTCGAGTAAAAGAGGTCTCCCCGGTTGTTGTAATCTTTTCTCTTTTATTTATCTTTCGTAAACTTTTGCGCCTGCTTACAACGCAATGCTGGAGTGCATGTGTTTAATGGGACACCACAAATGGTCCGTCGTGCAGTGAGTGGATGAACTAAAGTCCCGACAGCTTCATCTCTTCTGTATTTTATTTGAGACTATAGATTAAAGTCAACTCTTTTTAATGTACTTAATCTCAGGATAAGACTATGTATGGAATAATGTAATTGTTATGTTGGCTCGTTGTCGGAAGTATTGCACGAGACTGTACGTAGTAATTACTTGACCATATATCGCGGTGCAGTATGCATGATGGGGGATTAATGTATAACCAATGAAAGTGCCATCTAAACCGCTGGGCGCACTTAAGTTGCATTCTCTTCAGCTCTCGGTACATCCTGTTGGTTGGACGAATGTCAGCCCTTGAAAGGCAGACTGCCAGCACAGCCTGGTGAGTATCTTGCCTTCTGATCAAACCCCGCCCGACCTTTCCTCACACTCCAGTCACACGTTTAAACCATTTGCAAACCTTGTCATTACAACTATTCACTCGCATCATCTTCGCGATGTCAGGTCTCGAAATTCTTGGGGCTGTTGCGAGCTCTATCGCTCTAGCCCAAGCGGTCAAAGGGACACTCAAGGCTGTCGACTTCTTGCGGCAGAACTCCAAGATGACGAAGGGGTGCAACAAGTTAAGGAAGGAGGCAAGCTATCACAATTCATCTCCTGGGTAATTCGTCTAATTCAGTAACAGATTCTCATGATTGAATACTTCATTCTACAGGCCAAGGAGCAGACCGACCTGATGATGCCAGCGCAACGGCTCGTTGGAACAATAGCAGAACATCCACTAGTCTCATTCACAACACAGGAACTCGAGGAGATATTGGAAGAACTGTCTGAAATTGTGGAAAAATACTCGTGTTCTACCAAGCTCCATGATCCAAAGCGCTATACAAATAAGGTGAAGTGGTTCTCTGAGGCTAGTAAGATCGAAGAGCTTCACCAAAGAGCACAGGCTACAAAATCCAACCTTCACATGGCTATCACATTTCGAGTTTCTTCTATGGTGGACAGAGGGAATGTGCGACAAGAAGTGTAAGTTTCTCTGGAGTTTCTCGTCACATGCTTACACAGACAAAAGGCTCTTTCACCGCGTCACCCAGCAGTTGACATACTGCACACAAGAAACCCGTAACGCGGTTCAAAGCCTACCTCAAACACCTAAAGAACCTCGTCAAATAATGGAACGTGTCGCTGACATGTCGAGTCTACCATTGAAACATACTGGTAGAGATGGTGTTGTCGCTATCGAAGAAGAGAGCCTCATAAGCGTGAGGGCAATTCGACCCCTTGGTTCGCGACCATGTGGAACTTGCCACAAAAGTCGACTAAAGCACAGCGGTACATGGCCAAGTTCCCTGTTGGGATCATGGCTCGTCAAATACAAAGATACTCCAACTTCTTGCCAAGGGACGTGCGGATCCAACTCTGGTGTTGAGTTCGAGTATCATCTCCCAAAGTGGCTCTGGTCTGGTATCCTTTCATTTGAAGCATACCGTGGGCAGGCCATTAATTTCGCCCTGCGCCCTGCAAGGGATCTTCCCGTCTCAGATTGGCAGACTATCAAGTACCCTCATTTGTTGCAAACTCGTCTTAGTGAAGGATACGTGTATTTCCCAGACGACACTGTTGGGTCAGGTAAAGGCTTGTTGGCCGTAAGAAAATTGAGTTTCTGCCAAAGTAACAATAGCTCATATGACTTACAGTTAGCAGTGGCATCTTATAGTCCAGAAAGTATTGAGATTCTTTTGAAGCTGTGGGAGAATATCCTACCATGTCAGGGACTGCCAAGGTTCGTTCATATTGGGCAAGGTTGCATCTAACTTTGCTGATGCTGGGCAGACAGACCGGTCACTATATCGAGAAATGCGGATCGCAATCTGGGAGCAGGTTGAACACAGCGATAGGCAAAGTAATGGCGTTTGTCAACGACTGGGACGATGTGGGCTTGACCAAACTTCACATAGCCGCAACGAATGGTGATGTGATGTCAGCACTACGAGAGGAACCATGGGCGATTGAACAGTTTGACGAAGAAGGCAAGTCTCCCCTTCACTCTGCAGTACTTAACAACAACCTCAAGGGACTCGAGCAACTAATACAAGCCGGGGCTGATATCAACCACCGAGATGCTTTTGGTTGTACTCCTCTGATGGCCAGCACATTCAGTGGGTACGAATTGATAGCACAGAAGTTACTGGAGTACCAGGAGTGTCGAATTTGGATTGATAAAGTCAGTGACGAAGGTCAGACTGCGCTGCACTATGCTATAGAAAGACCTTGCTCCAAATGTGTCTGGTTATTACTCGATGCTGGAGCGTCTACGTCAAAGCTCACCAGCAACAATGAAACTTGTCTGCATGTCCTTGCAGGCTCTTATGATTCGAGTCCGCAGGCAACTGTTGAGATATTCTATCATCTTCGAACTCGGGGATTTAACTTGGAAGCGAGGGATAGACATGGGGCAACACCAATCTTGAATGCGATATGGAGCGGAAACGTCACCGTGTTCAACACTCTTATCAGTGCTGGCGCGTCATTGAACGTCAGCAATTCAAGTCGCCAAAATATTCTTTGGGCAGCTGCACGTACCGATGACTACAGAATCATCGACCACCTTGCAAAGCAAAACCTGGAGAACATCGATCCCCAACTGTTAGATCTCACACTCAGAACGACTGCTCTTGGGAGCTTATATTGGTTCCTGGCAGAACCTTACCAAATAATAGTCGATGGACGTCCAAGCCCTGATGATCAACAAGCTTTCATCGGACTCTATTTCAAGTTATTAATCCGAGATTTGAAGCGTCTTATGTCAACTCTGAAGGAGGTTTGTTCTGCCACGGCAGAAAAGGACGCTGGTGCTACAACAGCTCTACTTGATATACTTATCAAGAAGAATGAGACCAGTTTTAGACATGAACAAGCTGGTTGGTATAGGGGCCTGCAGGTTTATGTCAAGGACGGCAAGTGGGATCAATTGGTAGAGGCTGTAAATGAGGAGTATGATGAGACATCTGAAAAGCTTTGGCGGGCGCACCTTGCAAGAGGAAAGACAATTTGGGAGCCCGAGATGCGTGAATTTTTCCACGTTCAAGGATTGAGTTAACTCAGTTGATTTAATAGCACAAAGTAAGTATATGTATCACATTGATCCTATAAATGTTATGTTGCTAAATCATTCGTAACCACCCAGTGAACAACTGTTTTCAAACTCATCTCTTTTCAGAGAAATCCACTGGTCTTGGCTGATCATCCTCCCCTTGACCATAAAGCACATCATCGGACAAGTCTTCGATTTTCAGGAAAGTTTTACGGCCCTTGACAACCCAAAAAATCAGGGCGATAATCAGCATGATTCCAAACACAGCAATAGCGAAATTCATATCCGCTATGGCCGGGTTAGGCGATCCTGGGAAGAAGAAGAACACAGTCGTGATGACAGTATATACGATGGAAATAATGTTCAGCGCTGGTCCAAATCTGCCCAAGCCGAATTCTCCTCCAGAAGGCAACTTGTCCCGGCCAACGGCTATCAACACGGCGATGGGGATCGCGTATGAAATTGTCAGAGCAATGGTGCTTACGCTCAAGATGGCTGAAAGAGTGGTACTTGAGAAGAGGTACAGGAGGCCAATGATATTGATAATCGCTCCCTGGAGAATCAAAGATCGTGCAGGGACTTGCCAGTAGGGATCAACGTGGGAGAAATAGTCTCCGTAGGGAAGACCCCGATCACGGGCAAAACTCCAGGTAAGTCTCGAAGCCGATGTGACAATCGAGATGCCCTGGCCAAAACCGTTGAATGTGAATAGGGCGATCAGAACAGCAGCCCCCTTGAGACCGACGATGTTCTGGACGAGTTCGATAAAGGGGAAGCCTGAGGGAGGATCTAGCGTTGTAGTGAGGTCTTGGATGCAGTATAGGCAAGCTACCAGGAACATAAAACCTGAGATAGCACCCATGACAATAGCCATGACCATAGTTCTGGGAGCGTTTCGTCGAGGTGCCGGGATCTCTTCAACCATGTGGATGACAGAGTCGTAAGCAGTCAAAGCATATGCAGCTTGAACAAGCCCCAGAAACCAAACCACACCATCACTCCAGCCTGTTTCGTTGATCCAAGCTCCAAACACGAATTTGGCCGGTTGATATTCGAGATCTGCTTTCGTTCCGACTAGGATGGGAAGGGCGAGACAAAAGACGACAAAGAGTCCGACAAATCCAACGGCGACGAAGTTGTTGAAATAGGGGAGAAACTTTTCTGAGCGGCATCCAACGTAGTTAACAAAGGTGAACAGGATGTTGATTCCTGTGTAAACTAGGAAGAGAACCCAGCCATTATTCATTCCTGTCCACTCGGGGTCGAACATAAGTTTCATGGATAGAACGAACTCGGCCATGAAAGCGACCTGTGAGGCGGAAAGGCACCACCATCCGATGACACTGATAAAAGCTGTGATGTAGCTCATAAACCGTCCAGTTGCCGTCTTCCATAGCTTTCCCACCCAGAACGCTTGTCCAAGCGCTGTTGGCATGGCAGAGCACATCTCGCCAAGCGACATGGCGATGGCGACGTTGCATAGTGTGACAAGAACAAGTCCCCATAGACAAGTCACTGGTCCGCCATTCTGAATTCCGGTGGCGAGACTCTGGGCGCAGACAGCCCAGGTGCCCAGAATACAAAAGGCGAGAGACAGCATGCTCAGCATGCTGAATTTACGGGAGAGACCCTCGGTATGGCCGAGAGCTGCGAGGTCGAGGGCATCGCGTTCTGCCTGGTTCATTGGTGCTGCTTTTTCCATGGTACGCCAGAGCTTGAGTCGATGGTCGGTTGAGAGAGTAGAAAGGCTTTTAGCATTCTCTGGCAGATATGAAACCAAGTAATAATTGGAATTGGTATATGATTGATGGTGATGTGTATGTGGTCCATTGAAGAGATGTCGACCTTCTTATATCTGTGTCACTTATCTTTACCCCAGATATCGAGCTGCACAAGGGTGCTCGCATCTCGGTGCGCTAGTGTAGCCCTCCGCATTCTCAATGATTGCAAAGTATAGGCTATTTACAGTATAGCGCTGTCGGTTGGAGGTTCCGATTACAGGATAGATCGGGGTAACGGTTGGCCTAGGCGCAAATCAGGTAGGGGTTGTTATCTTGGACGCGAGTTTGCTTCATGCATTGGAGGAGCTGATAAGGATTGTCTATCATGGGAGTCCACATGTTCGTATAAGCCCAGGTATAATGGCTGTTATATTTAGGTAAGGGCTAGATCGTATGAACTAATATTGTACATATCAATTTGTTCCAGAACATTTCTATCCTCCATCTGGCTCACTCATTATTGCTGGGATTTGGCAGCTCATTGTGATACGCATGGATATCACAATGAACTCAAAAACTATCGCAATCTATTTACCCCATGGGGAAGATCTCGTGTTGATCAGAAGAAACAATCCATCACGTAACAAATTCGTGGTTACGTTGAAATGACTGCTTAAAACAAAGAGGGTGGACGTTAAAATTGGAGTTTGGGGTTGAATCAGATTTACAGGGGTCAGCGGGTTGTCAGAAGCCCAATCAACAGCTGGCGCATCCACTTGCATCAAGATGGTGCTTAAACTAATTAGGAAACTTCGGGCGACAGCAGATAAGACGGTATCACAAGCGGTACGAGTATAATTGTTTGATTCTTTTGTTATAAGCCCTCAGTTCAGGGTTGAACTGATACCCCCATCTCGATTTGCTTCTGACAATCTGTTTAACTGCTGCACTTTTGGATCTGGGAGATTAGTCTTGGTTGAATTCGCACGAGACACGGCGGGACTTACTAGACATAGTACACGGCCCCCTTCCTCCGCTCTCTTCCACGTACGCTCGACGCGACATTCTTTTACTATCTTGAGTAGACATCATCCTGATCCCATCGACTCTCAGCTTAAGCAATGAGGTCGGCAACGTTCATGGGCATCTCATCGATCTGGGTAGAGTAGTACACTAAAAAGTCAGTTTCGTTATGATGCACCTTCATTAGGGGACTTACACTCAATGTCTCTCAGAATGCGCACATCTTCGGTAGTAACAAAGTTGATAGCAACACCCTTGCGACCGAATCGACCGCTACGACCAATACGATGGATGTAGTTCTCACGGTTGCTGGGCAGGTCATAGTTGATAACCAAACTGACTTGCTGCACATCAATACCACGAGCCCATACGTCAGTCGAGATGAGCACTCGGCTGTTACCCTGGCGGAAATCTTGCATAATGCTGTCACGCTCCTTTTGGGGCATATCACCATGCATGCTGCTGACGGTGAAGTTCGCCTCGCGCATCTTGTCTGTGAGCCAGTCGACCTTGCGGCGGGTGTTACAGAAGATGACAGCTTGCGTGATGGTGAGGGTATCGTAGAGATCGCATAGGGTGTCAAACTTCCAGTCCTCCTTCTCGACGGCGATAAAGTACTGCTTGAGACCTTCGAGGGTCAACTCGTCACGCTTGACAAGAATGCGAACGGGATCGGTCATGAACTTGGTGGTCATGTCGAGGACATCGTACGGGAGAGTAGCGCTGACAACCACGACCTGGGTGGCAGGGGGGAGGTATCGGTAAACATCGTAGATCTGCTCTCTGAATCCCTTGTTGAGGAGCTCATCGGCCTCATCGAGGACCAACATCTTGATGTGTCTGGTGCGCAAGTGTCGTCGTCGAATCATGTCTGCTACTCGGCCTGGCGTGCCGGAGACGATGTGCTGGCCGTAGTCGAGCTTGCGGATGTCCTCTCCAACGTTGGTTCCACCGATACAAGCATGGCATTGAACGTTCATGTAGTCACCTAGGGCCATAACAACGGACTGGATTTGTGTGGCCAACTCTCGTGTCGGTGACAGAACCAGAGCCTGTGTCTCTCGAACTGCGGTATCGATGACTTGCAGCATGCTGATCGAGAAAGTAGCCGTCTTTCCGGTACCGGATTGGGCTTGGGCAATGGTGTCGCGACCCTTGCAGACCTGGACGATGGCTCGAGATTGAACAGCGGAAGGTGACTCGTATCCGTAGGCGTAGATTCCGCGAAGGAGGTTCTCTGTATATTGTTAGCTAGATCATGAGACACAGGCTGCGACATACCCTTCAACGACATAGACTCGAATGTGGGATGGACCGTAACCTCCTTGGAGGTGGAAAATTCCATCCTCTCATCGGCCTTGCGGTCAATTCCTCCTGCGCCTTCAGCCATGATTGCGTCTATTGTTGATGAAAAATTGTGGAAAGAACAAAATGACGTTGTCGCGAGGAAGTTTGGGGTTTTCTGGGGTCAAAGTTTTGGCCTTGAACTTTTAGAGCAAAGATGTAGCACGCGCAGCGCCGGCTATACTTCGGTGCGACGATGCGCGCCTGAACGCCACTGAAACTCGCGACCAGAAGATCCGCAATTTTTTGAGCATCAAGCTCATCTTGACATTCATCAATCACCCACCAGCTGTGAATTGTCATTTTCACCCATTGATACCCTTTAGTGATTTGTATCGCAAGAGTCACCAAAATGCTCGTTCTCGAAGAACAGCGCTACATCCATGAGGATCTAGAGCGTCTTGAACAAGGTATTGCTGATCGCATTCGCGACGAGCCTAGACATGTGAGTAGCTCCAAATGTTTGATAAATCACCTGCTAACTGTTCAGATCCGTGATCGCCTCAACAGGGACCATGAGATTTCTCAACTACTAGATCAGATCCAAATTCAGTCAAGCAATCTTCTCGATATCTACAAAGACGAAAACGGTGTCCGGGCACAAGAGATTCAACAAATCGGTACCGGAGACCCATTCGAGCAGTTCTACAAGCAGCTCAAAGAAGTCCGTGATCACCACGAAAGATACCCCGGCGAGCAGGCAGAGAACTCGGAGCAGCGATACAAGATCAGGAGACCAGATGGGGAGCCGCTACCATCCATCGTGGACTCCTTGTTCTCCGGAGAAGAGGCCTATGGACGATTCTTCGATCTAAACACTTCTCACGAGTCATACCTGAACCTGCCTAATGTCAGACGACTCACATATCTCCAATACCTCGAGACTTTCGACAACTTCGCCCCTGGACATGGCGGCGTCACGCGACCCCACAAGTTGACAGATCAGTACTTCAAGTACGTCGGTCAGCTAGCAGACTATCTCGAGAGCTTCATGCGACGAACACGACCACTGGAAAATGTGGACAAGGTTCTTACGTCCTTCGACGACGAGTTCGAGACGGCGTGGGAGAAGGGCGAGATTCAGGGTTGGGAGAAAGATGCGGCATCAACAAATGCCACCGCGCAGACCAGCACACCAGATGCAGTGTGGTGTGAGGATTGCCAAAAGGAGTTCAAGAATGAGAACGTCTACAAGAACCATCTCACAGGGCGAAAACATGTCAAGGCGGCAGAGCAGAGGAAACAACGCCAGGAGGAGGACTCGGCCCCCGGTGATGGCACCTTGAATGGGAACGTTTCAGCGATACGACTAAAAGAGCGCGCGGTAGCAGACCGAGAATACAGGGTCAAGCGACTGGCTAGCGCAATGAGTACCGAGCGCAGCGATACCAAGGTCAACGTGGAGCGCAAGCAGGGTATGACCGAGCGAGAGCGCGCGCAAGAGTTGGAGAACCTCTTCAACGCCGACGATACACCTCAAGAGATGCAAGAGGACGGCGAAGGCGAGGACGAAGATGGCGAGGAGCGAATCTACAACCCTCTCAAACTTCCTCTTGCCTGGGACGGCAAGCCTATTCCCTTTTGGCTGTACCGTCTTCACGGCCTGGGTGTAGAGTTTCCCTGCGAGATCTGCGGAAACTTTGTGTACATGGGCCGACGCGCATTCGACAAGCACTTCAACGAAGCGCGACACATCTACGGTCTCAAGTGTCTGGGCATTACCAACACAACGCTGTTCAGAGATATCATTGGTATCGAAGAGGCCCTTCAGCTGTGGGATAAGATTCAGAAGGAGAAGAAGAGAACCCGCGTTGACGAGGGAAGTGTAGTACAGATGGAGGATGGAGAGGGCAATGTCATGCCTGAAAAGGTGTACTATGATTTGCAGAAGCAGGGTTTGTTGTAGGCTATATCTATTTTGGTGCAAACGGGTAGACTATGTACACATGAATTTCTTGGGAATTCATAAGCTTAATACGATCACGATGGAATAGTCTCACATTACTCGTATGAAATGATGGCGATACCTAGCGTAAAGGGGCTAAAAGACATCATGACTTGATTAGTCATGGCTTTTTCATCGCCCCTCCAACACATGCTCACATCTAATAAACATAACCAATTTTCAATACCCATCTCAGATATGTCGCAGCTTGTAAGACCTATACCAGCTCTCTACGCGGTCTACGTGCTCCGTTCAACTAAGCGCCATGCATCGATATACGTAGGCTCGACGCCTCATCCCCCTAGGCGTCTGAACCAGCACAATGGTGTGGCTCGTGGAGGTGCTGTCCGAACGGCAAAAGACTCGTTACGGCCTTGGGAGATGATCATTGTAGTAACTGGGTTCCCAAGCTCTATTGCGGCTCTTAAGTTTGAGTGAGTCGAGGTTGCAAAGTGTATATCTCTTGCTGACTGAGTTTTACAGATGGGCTTTGAACAACCCTCATTTGACAACGCATATTTCATCGGAGGAACGGATAACTGCCAGAGCTCCTAGAAAAAAAGGCCAAAGAAAGCCCCGAAAGCCTATTCACAGCCTCAAATCTGTTGTTTCCAATCTTCACTTGCTTCTCGGAGTCCCAGCTTTTGCACGCTGGCCACTTACCCTGAACTTCTTTGCCGATGTGTCCAAGAAGGCTTGGGACAGCAGACTCAAATCTATCAACGCAACACCACGAGAGGGTATCAAGATCACCACAGATTTTTCACCAGAAGGAGACTCCGCCGAACCCTGGGGTATTCATGCACTACCTCTTGATTATGCACTCCTAAAACCCTATGTTGAGAAAGCACAGAACATCGTTTCATTCGAACGGGAGGAAGACTGTGTGCATTGTCATCAAGCATTGGAGTCAGGCAAAGGACTACAGCCAATGTGTCCTCACAACGGATGTGAAGCCATGGGTCATATCGACTGCTGGAGCAAACATGCACTTCAAGGTGAAGATAAGGGTGCACTGCTACCACTTTCATGCACATGTCCCAGCTGTGGTGGTAAAATAAACTGGAGTGACATGATGAAGGAGTTGACTCTTCGTTTGAGAGGGCCAAAGGAGGTTGCAAAATTAATGAAAAAGCCACGTCGCACAAAGAAGATGATAGCGGCTGAAGCTCAGGCTGAAGAAGATGTATAAATATCGGCTTGGTCTGGCGTTGTTTTAGGCGTTGGCTGGAAGATACCCGCTTTGGCTGTTTGTTAGACGGTAGATTGCCATTGAGCTACCGCCATTTCATGTTGTGGATGTTAGTTTTCATCAATTGAACGAGGATATGATTTTATTGAACTCCTCCCTCGCGACCAGAGTTGGTGATTTGTGCTTTCCGAGCCGAACCATGATATTGATGACCTGAAACTAGGCCACCATGAGTACAATCTTATCACCTCTACGGATACCTTCACAGATGTTTCTGGATGATTGAGACAATATCAGATTATATCTCATATAAGAGACGGGCTGTGATAGTGATGCGGATTTGACTGCGAGTTGTAACTTGTAACCCGCTTGCCCCGGGTTCCCCATGTCATGAGTTTGCTGACCAGGACCCTGGTGTTTTGAGCTGAACGTCATCTGCTCGTGATTGGCTGGGTAGCGACCACTTATTAACTGACCCCTGTTCATTGAAAGTTCAATATCAGATTGGAATTTTCTGGGCCCGCATTTTGACTGTAGCCGTCAGACTTTTTAGGGGCCATCGAGCGGGACAAAACAAAGGCGGCCACACTGGACAAGGAATATGATGATGCCAGTCAGCGCGTGACTGGTCTCAATGTCACCATGCTCTGCCGCATTCGGATACCTCCTTCTCCATGACGACGTGGCCGTATGATAATCAATTGGTGACTGTCAGACTGCGATACTCCGTACTTGACTGCACACTGAGCTTCCAGTTGTTGTCAGATCACAATATTGTTGCTCAATAACGATGCGACATGTGCCTCACAAGGCTGGAGGCATCCTCCCTGGAGCTTGCAGGCATTGACGCGAAAGTTTATGTTTTGGGTTTGACGGAAATAAGCTCGAGAGCGATATGCCGCCGACGAAAAACATGACAGATGAACCCCCAACTTCCCCAAAATTTGATATCTCCCAGCCTTTGTCTCGGATCTGTTGCTTTTGTGGACGTGAACGATGTGCTTCTCGGTAATGGGGGCACCGGCCGGATGTCGTCGCTAGTGGGTCCGCCACATGAGTTTTCGGGTCCCTGTATCAGGACGGTGCTTTTCAAGGCTGCGACGACCAACAAAGCATTGATTTGGAGTGTAAAACATTGCTTGGAAAGCAGATATTGAGTAAAGATAAACCCTTCGCTTGGTGAAAATTCACAAGTCATTGTCGTTTAAAAAGACTCCCACAACCATTGTATTTAGTGGTCCGAACCCACCGGGCCTTGCTCCGTACAGTGAGTGACTTTGAGGGCGGCGGATACTTTGTACCTGGCGCCAGGCAAGTGCTAGATAGAGGTACCTGCCCGCTGCCATCCATTCTGGCACGCACTTACCACCCAGGACGTCAGAAATCTTGGCCGCCTTGATTCAGATGACAGAAATACTTGAGCAACATACCCCACACCCAACCAGAGATTTACCTAACTCTTTTTATCTTGTAAGCCGGACGGTCAACTCTTTTGACACCCTAGCCAGGAGCCTCCTGCCACACCCTTCCCTTGAGACCCTCGCTACCTCGTCCCTTGTCCCTTCTCGTTCCCTTTGTGTGCAAAAGGTACAAGACGCTCGCGCCTCCAAGATCTAGGATTCCCTCGACCCATCCACCTTCCCAACTTCTGTTCCCACTCACACCCTCACCCTCACCCTCCGCTCCTTCTTTACTCTCGGTTCTTCCTTTCGGCATCAACCGTCACGCCCCGAGTTGAATTGTCGGACTTTCAACTATAACCACAAGCATCGATTGCGATTGGTTTTAGCTCGAGGTTCACGATATATTGATTAGGATTTGCACATCCAATATTATTATATAGATATCTTGATCGTGAGTAACCTGTTCTGCGTGTTAGTTGATATGGATCCTCATGCTCCCTCTTGATAACGTTCTTTCAACGTATAACATGAAATTAACTTACAGTCAGGTCTCGGATCTCCCGACGATACCACCGTGTATTCCTGCTCCTGTCACCATTTCATACAGCCTGGTTCTCGTCGCGTTAGAGACCCTGTAGTCTGCGATGCTTTGGGTTTGTTGATGATACGGCCTGCCCGAGTATGAAGTCGACGCACGCCGCGCAATCGTAACGCCCGATCGATACCTCGAATACGTTCATCTCAATTAGTCGCTAATATCGCATTCAACGCTACCCGCTTTCACTATGGTTTCAGTACCGACAGTCGGTATCGTAGTCCCTACGATCTCCAACGGCACGAATGCAAGTTCTCGAAGCTCACCCAGTGCCACCGCTGGCGTCTCTTCAAAACCGAAGCCCTTAGTGAACTCCAACGGCTACCATCCGATCAACCCACAGACACCCCTCAGCTCGCTCACGAGTGCTCCTCTGGACCTGACCTCGGTCGAACGTCGTGGACAGCCCACAGCAGCAAGGGAAACAAAACCAAAACAGAGTCGCCCCCATGACTTGAAGGAGGCACCCACATATCGCCCGACCGAGGAAGAATGGCGGGATCCCTTCGAATATTTACGAAAAATCAGCCCCGAGGCGAAGAACTTTGGCATCTGCAAGATTATTCCACCGGATTCATGGAATCCCGAATTTGCCATTGATACCGAGGTACGACAATTTAGCGCATTCCCAGCGCGTTCTCCAGGCTATCTGAAATGCGCGATAGCTTGTCTGGTGCCTCGTGCTAATTGTTTAGAAATTCCATTTTAGGACTCGAAAACAAGAGCTGAACTCCGTGGAAGGGAGTACGTGTTTCACCCTCTTCTGACCACTTTGGAAATCCAACTCACACATCGCAGGTACACGTGCTAACCTAACATATCTTGATGGCCTTTCAAAATTCCACAAACAACACGGCACCAATCTTCATCGATTACCATATGTGGACAAAAAACCACTTGACCTTTATCGACTGAAGAAAGCAGTTGAGTCAAGGGGTGGCTTTGAAAATGTTTGCAAACATAAAAAATGGGCAGAGATTGGGAGGGATTTGGGGTACAGCGGCAAGATTATGTCCTCACTATCGACCTCGCTCAAAAATTCCTTCCAGCGATGGCTCTGTCCGTATGAGGAATACCTCCGCCTAGCGAAGCCTGGTGTTCATCAGCAGCTGGAGCAGGAGTATGGCGGGCCGTTGACCCCAAGCCCTGCGCAAACCCCAGTCAAACGATCGAATGTCAATACACCTCTCAGCGTTAGGGGTGACTCTCCAGCGCGCAATGCCTCGGATGCTCTTCAAGCTAGTATAAGCGGATTGAAGATTGAAAGAGATCGCGACACTCCAATGAGTGATGCTCCGCCCCATCCTTCACAAGCACCTACATCTGGTGGATTTACTGCAGTCAACTCAGGAGGCTTTACCCCGATGAATTCTGGCTTCACAAGCGCGAATCGCAATGCGACGAGTGAGCCGAAAAGCTTCACTCCCGATCCCAAACGATTTGACAGTCCCACTTCTTCAGCAAAGAACACACCAGACAATCGGGCATCAGCTCTGAAGGCCACAGCATTGAAGCGACAGTTAAGCTACGAAAGTTTGTCCGACTCGGCGAAGAAGGACAATGACAAAGAAGACTCTGAGGCGGCAAACAGCCGTCGCAGCAAGCGACTAAAAAAAGGCAAGTCATGGTCACTAAAACTCTCTTCTTTGTCGTCAATCCTTATTGTCGCAAATGCAGAGCATTTTCCCTTTCCGATGGTGCATATGAGAGGCAGGGATTTAGCTGAGATGCCCGATCCTGTTTTATCATTGGCTACATGACCTTAGACTAACACTTTACAGATGCTGTCCCCACTGTGGCTGGATCGCACATGACGCCATTCCGTCCTTCGGTGCCAAGAATTCCACGAGAAGAGCCACCACCACCGGGCGAGGTAAGTCGAAATGTGCATCTAGAGGTCGCGATACTAACTTATACAGAAATGCGAATCCTGTGGACAAGGCGATGATGCTGGTTCTCTACTCGTTTGCGAATCCTGCGACCATTCCTACCATCCAGCATGCCTTGACCCACCATTGAAACGAAAGCCAGATACTGAGTGGAACTGCGCACGATGTCTCGTTGGAGACGGTCAGTTCGGTTTCGAGGAGGGAGGGCTTTACTCTCTTAGACAGTTCCAGAAAAAGGCGAACGACTTCAAGCAGGGTTACTTTGAGAAGAAGATGCCCTTTGATCAAGAACTGAACTGTCATCGACCTGTCACCGAAGAAGACGTGGAGACAGAGTTCTGGAGATTGGTTGCCGACCTCGAGGAAACGGTTGAAGTTGAGTACGGAGCTGACATCCATTGTACTACTCACGGCTCTGGATTTCCAACGGTTGAAAGGCACCCCAGCAATCCATATGCCACTGATCCCTGGAATCTCAATGTTCTCCCTTTCCATCCCGAGAGTCTGTTCAGACATATCAAGTCCGATATTTCTGGCATGACAGTCCCTTGGGTATATGTCGGCATGATCTTTTCCACGTTCTGCTGGCACAATGAGGACCACTACGCTTACTCTGCCAACTACCAGCACCTCGGTGCAACCAAGACGTGGTACGGTATCCCAGGCGAGGACGCGGAAAAGTTCGAAAATGCCATGAAGGAAGCTGTGCCTGAACTTTTTGAGACGCAACCAGATCTCCTGTTTCAACTGGTCACACTCTTGACCCCTGAGCAGTTGAAGAAAGCAGGCGTTCGTGTGTACGCTCTCGACCAAAGAGCCGGGCAGCTTGTCATCACCTTCCCTCAAGCATACCACGCTGGTTTCAATCATGGATTCAACTTCAACGAGGCTGTCAACTTCGCTCCTCATGACTGGGAACCTTATGGACTTGCTGGTGTTGAACGACTGCAGATGTTTCGAAGACAACCTTGCTTCTCACACGACGAGCTATTATGGACCGCTGCAGAAAGTGCAGCAACAGGTCTCACAATTCAAACCGCAAAATGGCTAGCACCCGCTTTGGATAGGATACACAAACGGGAGGCGGCGCAGAGGCAAGCACTTGTCGCGAAACATCTGGATGTGGCATCGCATAAGTGCCAATTCGTCGGAGGCGAGGACACATGTTCTTTGACAGTCACGATAGAAGACGAGGATGTCCAGGACGAGGACGAGCAATGTTGCAGTTACTGCAAGGCTTTCTCGTATCTGTCGCGCTTCAAATGTACGCAGTCGGGCAAAGTTCTTTGCCTAGTCCACGCAGGGTATCATGCTTGCTGTGACATGCCTGAGGAAGCACGATTTCAAGGCCACGGACACGTTCTCTACTATCGGAAAGCGGATGATGACATGGCTGCGATATACCAGAAAGTGATGGAGAAGGCACAGACTCCTGATTTGTGGGAGGAAAAGTACGAGAAACTTCTTGACGAAGAAGCTAAACCGTCTCTCAAATCACTGCGTGCGACACTTCACGAGGGTGAGCGTATTCCTTACAACCTCCCTTCGCTACCTATCCTGCAAGAGTTCGTCAATCGATGCAATGATTGGGTGGAGGAGGCAACAAACTACACTGTCAGGAAGCAGCAGAATCGACGCAAGAATGAGAAAGCATGGCAATCAAGCTCGCGAAAGTCGATCGGTGGCTCTGAACAAGACCAAAAGGAAAGAGAGTCCCGGAACGTTTCCAACATCTATCGGCTTCTGGAGGAAGCTGAGCATATCGGTTTCGATTGCCCGGAGATTCTGCAGCTTCAAGAGCGTGCCGAAGCAATTAAGCAGTTCCAGACGAATGCCGCACAAGCTTTGAAGAACGCATCCACCTTGACAACCGACATGATCAAGGAACTTCTCGAAGAAGGGCGCGGCTTCAATGTGGACACCCCGGAGGTTGATCAGTTGTCCAAAGTTTTGGAGCAATCATGCTGGAACCAAAAGGCACGCGGCAATCGAGGAGTGTATATGACCCTTAAAGAGGTTCAGGACCTTATCGAAGAGGGCAATAGGCTTGAAATTCCTCCTTACAACGACCACTTGACCTACTACCGAGAGCAGATGATGGCTGGACAGCAATGGGAGAAGAAAGCCAAGGAACTCATTGTTGCTGAGTTTGTTCACTACCCTCAGCTCGAAGCCCTTTCGAATCAAGTGCAGATCAACGCACTTCCTGTGTCGCAGGAGACCCTGAACGCCGTTGACCAAATACTTCACAAACAGCGCGAAGCCCACCGTCAGATACTCGACATAACAGAGCGTTGTCGCAACCCTGACTTCCGCCAAAGACCAAAATACTCCGAGGTTGTGGAGATTCAGAAGAAGCTAGAGGATCTCAACTCAAAGCCTCAGGGAACCATTGACCTCGAGAATGAACGAAAACGTCACGAGGACTGGATGCGTAAAGGCAAGAAACTCTTCGGAAAATCGAACGCACCGCTCCATATCCTGAAAAGTCATTTGGAGTATGTTTTAGAGCGCAACATGGACTGTTTCGACATTGAGCACGACACGCCTAGAATGCCAGGGGAGCCAGTTTCTAGAGAAGTCAGCCCGGAGCCGGGTTCTAGCAAGTGGGAAGACAGTCGGTCTCGGCAAGTTTTCTGCATCTGCAGGAAAGTCGAGGCGGGAATGATGATTGAATGTGAGATGTGCCACGAATGGTAAGTTGGCTCGCACGAAATGTTGTATAATTCTGACCTTGCCAGGTATCACTACAAATGCCTCAAAATTGCCCGTGGTAAGGTAAAGGAAGACGACAAGTATACCTGTCCAATTTGCGACTGGCGGATGAAGATTCCTAGAGACGCATCGCGTCCTAAACTTGAGGAATTGCTGTCACTCGCGGAAGAGATGACGACACTACCTTTCCAACCTGAGGAAGAGGAGATCCTTTCCAAGATTATTGAAAACGCGCAAAACTTCCGACACCACATCGCCCGTTACTGCAACCCATTGTTGTCTACGGAAGCAGAAGCAGAGACGCAGAGGTTCTATCTGCGCAAAATCGAAGGTGCTGAAGTCCTATTGACACATGAAACAAATTTCTTCCGTCAGGAGTTACATAAATGGTGCCCTGTGGCCCCCGAAGCCCCGCCAATTCAAGAACAATCACGGAGCACAAGAAAACCTCGTCCGACAAAGCTTCAGAAGATGTTGGTCGAGTATGGCGTCGACAACCCCGACGATCTTCCTGAACACGCAAAGGGCAAGGCGAACAGTTTGCGCCGTAAAGCAGCCAATGCAGAAGCCGCGGCGGCAGCAGCAACGCATTCTAACCCGGGAGGTCTCCCGACAGGCTTGGCAACTGGGTATGGATCGAGTTATTACCCCCGAATGGGCGAAGGCAGCCCTACCAGTCATGGACATTCAGATCGTCGAGAGTCTCAGTCCTCAGGCCATTCCAGGGCTAACTCAATCAATCTTGGTAACGGTTACCATTCCGGACCATTGGGTGCTGGTGGCCCGCAGTTGATTGTTGATCACTCATCGATGTCTTTGGAGGAGAGGCTTCTGCAGGGCCAAGAGGATGGCATTAACTTCCATACCGACGCTGAACAAAACAAGGCTTTGGAAATCCTATCAAGAACCGAACTGGGCAGAAAGCAAGCCGAGAAGATGTGGGGTCCAAATGTCTGGAGCACTGGACATGGCTCTTTGGGCGAGAGACGCATGTCTAACCCAATAGACGACGATATGATGAAGCAAGACGAGGTTCACGTGGACCAAATGTTCAAGGAGATGACGAACCAGGATGAAGAAGACGATAAGAGAAACGATGTGGGGAGAGATATCACCATGACCACAGCTTCACTGGAGAATGAGAGAAATGGTATGGATGCATTACTAGATGGGGAATAGTTTTATATGGGGTTGCTATTGACGGAGGGCGTTCTCATTCGGCTTAAAAATACCAGAGGGAAATGGAGTCATAGGTCAATGCAATTGAGTGTTTCTTAATAGGGTCTTTAGTATGTACGAGATGCGCCGTCCGTGTCCAATCGGTACTGTATAAGATAGTCGTAAACATTTACTCTTCATACTCTTCAGATGATTCAAGTGAAACAAAGCTACACAAGCTCAACTACAGCAAATTTGATTTGTTTCAATTGTAGAAAGTTCTTTTTTCTCCAGGGCGTTGAGCCCGGACGTCTAATGGGACAATGGCTAATAAACGCTCTACCCGCCTGTTTTCCAAGATATTTGATGACAACTTAGACCCGAAAATGTTGAAGAAATGGCCTTTTCTTTGTGTGTCCCAAAACCTCCCTGCGAAGGAGAAAATCTGCCCCCGAACCATAAACGCCGAAAATGCAGATGAAATAATAAAAGGTGATGGTACTCTGTGGGTGGTTATCCAATGAACAGCCCCCTTCCTATACATGGTGAATGCTTCTTCATAGGCTTATAAGTTTTTCCATCATAAGCATGTTGAAGGATTGCTTCGGACCGGAGTCCCAACCTTTTACCGGTTGTATTTATCGGTTGATACCGATGAGATTGAGGAATTCGTTGCGAGTCTTGGACTTGCGCTCGAAGCAGCCGAGGACGCAGCTGGTGATTGTGCTAGTGGTTGTCTTTTCGACACCGCGCATCACCATGCACAAGTGGCTCGATTCCATGACGACGGCAACACCCTGGGGCTTGAGGATTTCCATAATGGCATGAGCGACTTCTTTGGTCAGACGTTCCTGGATTTGCAGGCGACGGGCGAACATCTCGGCGATTCGGGGAAGCTTGGAAAGGCCGATGACGGTTTCGTTAGGGATGTAACCGATGGACATCTACGGGGGAAAAGGTTAGCTGACGCTGAGAGAATGCGATGTTGGGCGCATGTACCTTGCCAGTGAAGGGTACGAGATGATGCTCGCAGAGGGACTGAGCTTTGTTAGCAGTGTTTGCGATTAAGAGTTCTGGTACTTACGAAAACCTCAATGTCCTTGACAATAACCATCTCACTGTGTCCTTCTCTGAACAAAGCATTATTGACAATGTCTTGCGCGTTGACCTGGTATCCCTTCGTCAGGAATAGAAGCGCCTTTGCGTAACGCGAAGGTGTGTCAAGTAGACCCTCGCGATCAGGATCCTCGCCGATGCACTCAAGCAGAGTGCGCACAGCACCTCGCATGCGATCCAATCGCTCAGCCTGCTGCTCTTCCGTCTCCTCTCGGCGCTCTCGGGTTCCGCGACCTAAAATCATGTCAGCAGGTGTTGCGATTGCATGTTGGAGGTAGCTTACTAGGTCGGCTGAGACCATCGAAATCAATGACAGGGCTGGGAGATCGGTGCTTCACAATTGCGCCCTCCTCTGGGACAGCAGATGCGCGGCGCTTCTTGGGGAGAGGCTCATCGCGGGGGTCTCGCGAAGCTTTAGCCAAGCTGTTGCGACGCTGAGCGAGAGCATTGTGCTTTGCGCCATTGACAGTTGGGACGGTGCTGGCGCTGGCCTCTTCGTTCTTTCTCTTCTTCTCCTTGCGCTCACGGCGTTTTCTACGACGGTGTGAATCGTCACTGCTGGTAGAAGAGCCCGAGATGCTCGCGACGTCCTGCGATCTTTTCTTGCCGTCTTCGGAGGGGCTCATGGTGGCGAGCTATAAAGATTGTGTTGGTAGGATTGTGTGAGCTCTGACTAGAGGAGGAATTGAAGATGGAAATGATGTATTGAGACAAGAAGAATGATGCTTTCCAAAGTATATGTAGGAAGCAACAAGAAAACGGGCGATAACTGACGAGAATCAGCGCGGGCACCTGCTTCGAGTCAGGGTCCAAATATCCAATGGCCGGATCGGAGAGCCGAAAAATATGAGGGGCCACGGGATTCGCGGGGATGGACGACACTTTCGCCCAGTGGAATTATTTTGCACGCGAAGATGCTTTATCTTATCAGGTGCCAAGGTTTAACGTCAATTGCGGCGTGTCTCTTGTCTCATTTGCACGCGTGGGATATAAACGGGCGGGGCGCCGTGGATCCGATCATGTGAATGTGCACGTGACTGGACAATGTATCCGTCACGTCCCCGATCGGAAGAGAAACGCGTGCCGGATCATCCTCCGAAAGCCGTGAATAGCATCTCCAAGTGCGACTGCGAAGCACCGATATCGAATACGTACCTTTGGCGAATCCCTTACAGCTCAAGCACTTGTTTCCAACCCCCGGCTGTGCATACACGTATCCAAGGACCGACTCGTATCATTGTCACCCTACGATTTACCACAACACCATCTCGACTCAGCATCCCGTCGCATCCGTATCTCGAAGTTGCATCTCCAACTCGACACCTGCAACTATGGCTTCTCCGCCCTACGCTACCTCGCCATCGGGCATGTCGCCGCCTTATCCGTCACCCGCCCAGATTCCCAATAAGAAACGCCAATCTACCCTCGACGTCAGCGCACCACCGAACAAACGACGCAAGCCATCGAACATATCCCAAGCAGCCGTCGCAGCAGCTGCTGCCAACCACCCTCTTCGTCAGACTTCATTTCCTCCCGAAGCTCGCTCACCTTATCCACGCTCTCCCTCTGTGGATGCCCAGTCTCATGTGAGCGGCAGTGCCGTCAGCACCACTGCCAGCGGCGCGCCTAAAAAGAAGCGAGGCCGTAAGGCAAAGAATGCAAAGCAGGATGATGCCAGTGATCAGACGCCCAGTCTTGTCGGAGGACGTGCCCCAACCGCCGTCAGTGGCCAAGGCGGCGAAAAGGAGGACGATGATGAAGATGACGAGAAGGCAGAGATGGCCTTGGTGGACGTTGTAGCGAGAACACAGGAGCAGAAGCAGGAGGAGATCCGATTACGTGCCATGCTTGTCGAGGCCTTCGATACACAACAGTACAACCGATACGAGCTCTGGCGTGCAGCTAAGCTTGCCGATAGCGTCGTCAAACGAGTATGCATCTCTATATTGGCAAAGACTTGATACTAACACTCACAGGTTGTCAACGCAACAGTCTCTCAGTCCGTACCTCAAAATGTCAGCACCGCTGTCAAAGCCGTTGCCAAGCTCTTTGCCGGCGAAATCATCGAGGCAGCCCGCAATGTTCAGGGCGAATGGATCAATGCAGGAGAGAAGCAAAGCGAATTGCCGACGCCACCCCCATCAACAAATGACGACCCTGCTGTAGCTGAGGAGGAGATTGATCTCAAGCGCGGCCCTTTGCGACCCGACCATCTGCGCGAGGCCTGGCGTCGCTACAGACTGTCTGGAGAAAGTCGAGGTGTGGGAGTGCAGCAGCTCTGGCATGCACAGCAGGGTGACGGTGTTGAGCGATTCTCTACCCGCAATGGAAAGCGACTTTTCAAGTAAACTACGACATGAGAAGTGGAAATACGAGACAACGCCAAGACATGGAAAACGGTCGTAGCACAAATGTCATAGGTGGGAGGGAGATGAGATGAGGATTCTTTCAAGCGTAATAATGATACCCCAAACCCTGAATCAGGAATAGATAAGGACCACATAGTTCATGAATTAAGAATTTGCATTACCAGGTGTTGAACTAATCTGGAACAAAATTCGACGTTACCTCAAATTTGCCCAGTTGGCCGATGAGCTGATGTGAATAAAATCCACGTGGTCGATTCGGGACTTTTGAAGATCGTATACCAACCAAGTTAAGGCTTACACGGCATGATTTAACCGCACAAAGTTACGCAGGCACCATGCCACTTACGGAGTAATGTAGCCCAAATACGCTTGCGCGAATGACAATCAACCAGCTTGGAGCTAATTTTTATGCTTCAGAGTTGAATCCTCTAGCCGCTCTATACCCGGCCAAGAACTGCAAGGACTGCCGAGGCGTGTGGGGATAGTCATAAAGTGGTAGTCCTACTGGAGATGCCATATATCCAGGCTGTGGTTGTAGGCGCTTGTTTATTCACAGCAAGCAATCTCCGTGGGGTATCAGAGTTCCCACATCCACGTAATCCTGTATCGAGTGAAACCACCGTAATTGTTGGCGACACGGTCATACAAGTTGTCCTTGGCCGTCGTAATGCCCTATGAGACTTGCCAAGCGGGACCGCAGGTGCATCTAGGAAAAGTCGGCACGCACACAGCCACCTTGTGCAAGTAATGAAATAAAGGCAGACTTGTCGATTGGAGCCAAGTCTTGGCTGCTGAGGTCTCGACTCTTGACCTTGACGATAGTGGGTTCTGCTGCTTGGTCTGATAAGTGGAAGCTCTTGTAAAGCTTCCTTGGCTGATAATCCGATACAGCATGCGCGCCTCGATTCCGTTAAAGGCCAAGAATTTTGATGATGTTATACTGACGGCCGGGAAACTTTGAGAGACTGTCTTGACGAAGGGCAAGCCATCAGTGACAACTTGACCAAGCAGGAAGTTGTATTTGTGGACTTGGCAAATCAGGGCCTAGACTCATCGATTGATATGTCTGTGCCTGAGCTCACCGACCCTAGACATAGCGGTCTTTGCTCCAAGCGGATTGGTCTCAATTCTCCTTAGACCATCCCCTATGGCCCTTCATCAGCCCAAACATCAACATTGCAGCTTGGCCGGCTATAAGAAGCCGAGAGGCTGGCTTGGCAGTCGGCTGGCCCGAGAAGCCGTGGCGCAGCAGCTGCCAGGCCAGCAATGCGTTGAGAAATATGGGGCCTCTAGGCGTCTGGGCATCCCGCAATCAGAGATACCTTTCGCTGGAAGATTCGGACGTTATTCAAGGGAGGTTAGGGTAGAAAATTCGACAAATGTATCCACAAACGACTGGCCCGTTGGCAACGTGTTGTAGCTGGTAGTTTTGAACTGTTTGCAATAAGTTGCGCAGGATGGTCGTTGATCATCGGCAATCGTAGCGTACGCTAATAACTGTCAGCCGCGTTAGTCTCCTCATTGTTCCTCAAAGATAGAGACCAATAACGTAAGAGTTCGTAATGCAAGAAGTTGTGATAGGGTTGACATGGTTGAAGATTGGTTTAAACATCGCTGACACTAGCGTTTCTTGACATCGGCTGGATCTGCACCGTCCAGGACATGGATCCTTGCCAAGAACTGGGTGCTCGGCCATCAACGCGCGTCCTGCTTGGCATGTCAAAAGGTGACCTTCATCAAGAAGAGCTCAAGTCTCATATGGACTGGCTTTCGCCATCATTGACGTAGCGTAGACTTTTGATCGGCATCCAGATGAGCTGTGCTTGCCAACATGACAGGAGGAAATGTGAGTTCATAACCCCAAGTCGCGGACCTTTGTCACCGATTCACCCTGCAATAAGTTACTTTGTCTGACACATAGCCCTGTAGAAGGAGGGCTCGACCAATCCATCAGCAGTCCGAATTCGTGACAACCAACGACGGTCCCGTGCACGACACAAGGAGTATGTCGAAGGCTTGCAGAAGAAGCTCCAAGATTATGAGCGTCGAGGTGTCGAGGCGACTTTGGAGATGCAACAAGCAGCTCGAAATGTTGCCATTGAAAACTCGCGACTGAAGGTTTTGCTAGGTTACCATGGCATCACTAATGATGACATCGAAAAGTTTTTGCAAAGCTTTCCAGATCAACCAGCTTCAGATGCCGCAAAGGCAACCATCTCACAGTCAACCACAGGCCAACCACTTGCCGCAACCGCACCGAAGATGCCTCTCCCACCTCTGTCCGGGGCGCCATCAGCTGATTCTCCGAGGTCAACGTTACCTGCTCCGCAGATTGTGCAAAAGAACGGCACGAGTACTCGAGATGTCGTGGATGCGGTTGTAGGGATCAAGAGAGACTCTCGAAAAGCTGGATTACCACATGGACCAAAACTCCCCTTACCGATTGAACAGGGGCAGCCACTATTACAACCTCGACCCCAGCCGCCCGTACTGCCAGCCCTGCCAGCTCTCGTCCTCGGCCAGGGCAGGCCAGAACGTAACCCTCTCGATAAATTGTCGGTTCTCGCAACAGCGAGTGTATACCAAGAGCCCGACACAAAGAAACATCGTCGTTCACATTCCAACGCCGATAGCCTTCGTGTCCCTAGCCCTTCGACACTGGGGCAGAGTTCGCCGGCCTCCTCCCACACAACTCCCAGTCGACTGAGTTCGACGTCTCCATGAAGCCAGAAGTACGGGTATCTTTCGCACCCGTACGTTCGACACCAAGGCGCATACTCGACACATCCAACCGAAAAGCTCCGGCTGCCAAGGTTGATAGGAAGAGCGGCGATAGATCCCCGGGTGGATATCAGTAAAGCGATGAGAGCGTAGAGTTGATCGATCAACACTGTTACCAGATAGCTTTGTGTTTGTCATGGTATGCATGGCCAGAGACTGCGACGAAGTGAACCGGCTGACAGAGGATACAACTTTCAGATGACGACCGACGCAAGACACTGAAGAGGATGTTTGAAGTTTAGGCCGATACTTCATGGGGAATCGGCCCAACCAAAAGGATGGCAGGGTGTTATAAGGTTGTGAATCTGCAACTGCCAATATCGCTGCAACCTCATGGCGAGATGGTCTTTTCGATACGACGAGTTGGACCATTCAGAATCGCTCGCAAAAGGGCAAGCTCAAGCGGCAATCCGAGGCCCGAGATCAAGAAAACGAAATGATCATGGTCACACCAGTAGACAGGTCGGATCTAAGGAGTGCATCTTCCAAAAAGAGGGTTTGAATCTTGTATGAAAGAACACTCCGGCGATGGGGTAGAGTTATAAGTTGATGGTCCTGGACTTGCAAACCTGGGAGGCCGCCCAGTGGAGATGTAAGATTGCAAGCCAGGCCAACTCCAAGAAGGCGGGGAACATGCCTTAGCCGGGAGTCGGAGGGCGTATCTGAAGCCAAGAAATCCGTCGTCGGAAACCCCAGCCTGGCGGACTGTCGAGACGAGCTGCAAGAGATGCAGATAAGAACAAGTAGCCATAACGTATTAATGAATTTTCTGAGAACATTCCGAGTGCTCGATGAGAACAATACTGGCTTAAAGAACTTTCTTTTCATCTCCTCATAAACGATTCTTGGCATCAGTGACAGTCAAGTCTTCATAGGCCGAGAGAACCGGGATCCATTGTTTATCCACAACGATGTCATGTCGACCCATTGAACTGCAAGGTTTGTAGGAGGGAAGTGATAAGATTGATACTCTCAGTCAAGGAGACAGACTGTCGTCGTGAGGTTTGCCGAGGGTCGCGAATCTTATACGCGTACCGTAGGATTCGAAGGAAAAGTCAAAGATGGCATGAGAGAACAAAGCGGCCTTGAAGTATGTTATTGCCAGAAGCTGTCAAGGGCGGGGCTAAACGCTTTGTGACCGTCGTTGCAGTTGAATAAAGACAATGGGCACACCGCCTGTATAATCGAGGTTGAAGGATCTGGAGGAATGTTGGGCAGAAAGAATTGGGTATGAATAAACAGGCAGGATATACAATGCGAGGAGGTTGAAGGAAAGAGCGGAAAGTGGGGAGGCGCTTGTCTTCATGGGGTTGTGGTAACAGGAAGGTGCACTCTTCAACTGAAGCAAGGCCAATCATAGAAGCAAAGATTCACTGCCTCACTTACGGAGCACGGAGATAACGGTCGTGAAGTGTCATAGCTTTCATTCTTTCGAAAGCCCCAGGCTCATGGTGAGCGCGGTGCCAATCAAATATAGCAAGTGACATACTTCCCCCCTCAATCGTGCAGCAGATTCAGGCATGTCAGGTACCGGAAAGTGGATGCCGAGCCGTCCCTACCACCGTAACGATCGTCATCTGCTGCATTGACCAGGATGCGAGAAACCGTGGGTGAGATGCTGAGAATTGATTGGTTGAAGTTTATATTCGGACACAAATAAGCTTAATCGTCTCAAGGTGTGGCTTCGGTCCACCATCCGGGTGCTCAACGCTGGAGGCTTCCTGGAGTCGATTTCATTCGTGGTGATTTCGATAGGCATTGGCATATTCTTCTGATAGAGTCCATCTCTTGTTGATATTCGGAAGTCTTGGGAACCGAGATCAGGAAGGATGAGGGCCCCATTGTCCCAGTGCCCACCTTATTCGACCCTCCCTCATGTTTATTGCAGCGTGTGTGGTGTAGAAAGAAGGTGTTTGGACAGAAAACCAAATAGCAAACAAACCAAAGCATTTATTGCAATCCATGCGCGGGAATGCTCGATGTTTAAATGCAGCCAAGGGCTCGGATGGCCGCGCGGCCTCGCCAACATTTTGGTCCCATAATTGGTGGTGGCAGTGCACCCTTTTTAACGTCACCCGAGTACGCACCATCGATAATTCGCAAGCCTAATTCGATTTCTGCAATCAGTTTTCGGATAGAAGGTTTTTGTCATCATGGCAGCAAATTTTGGAACATCAGCTGCAGCCAAGAAACTGGGCTGAGACCGAGACCAAGATTTGACCAAGCCTACCTACTTAGCAGCATAGCTGATGTTGCTTTTTGTGAGAATGGCCGACTTCGGTGTAATCCCATGATTTCTTGCAGAAACAAGCGTCAAGTCAACTGATGATATGAATAGAAAAAGTGGCATCGATTCACTTGGACCTATAAGATCATGGGACGCTTGCTGTTTGTTTTATTGAAAGCGTTCAAGCTTGGTATGGCGGTTTACTGTGTCATATGATACACATAAGCTACTAGGTAATACTACAGCGAGATCAAGGACACCTTGTCAAAGTTGGTACTCAGTGGCACAGATGTGCTCACTATATCTATCAGCTGTTTGTCTTGTTTTATGACAATCGAGTTGCTTTGCGCAACTAGAATTGCTGCAAATCACTTAAGAAAGTAGTTACATAACGAAAGCGTCCCATAGAATGCCTGAAGAGCGAAGCCCAGATCCATCTCCAGTCTGGCCAAGAGATGGAGCTATTATTGAAAGATCTTTTGGCTTGCCTGGAGGAGGACAGCCCCCAAGCGGAGTCCGTCCCGTTCGCCCATTCCAAGTATACGATCCGACTACAGAAGAAGAAGAACGGTTGTGGCATATCTATGAGTCCATTCACCCATTAACTCGCTGCGCCAACTATCACCGAGAAGGACATACTTTCGCACAGTCTTCATTCCCAGATCAGATGGATTGGTGTACGGTTGTGTTGTCTGCAAAACGATACGGCATGATACGGTGAGTTGTCGGTTTCTCCCTCCTGACGATAATGGACTTATCGACGTCCTCGTCCATGACAGGGCGAACATTCCACCGTTGTCCACGGTTGCATGGTACCGGATCTAAAGGATCTATGTAAACAAAAGCCCCGATATCCCGGTCGAGGAAGCATTCCCATGAATCACCACATTTGGTCAAGAAACCCTACGCGATACCAACCTAGGGATCCAAGAGAGGAACGTATTGATGACATTTGATCGATACCAATATGTCCTGTGTCCAAATAGCTTATAGTCTATATTTATAGGCTTAATAGACACTGACTTTTCGATATTGTCGTTGCTCCTAAGGCACTTTTCAAATAGCAAACAACGCCAAGGTCAGAGATTTTTCCAAGTTGTATCACGCACATATCGATGTGAAGACTGATTTAGAGGTTTGATCGCGCATTTACTTCAGTGCTTGAACGCTAAGAAGGTGACTATCGTAAGGAAACGGTGTGACTTGTGTCGGAAGACAATGCTTCCTATGCTACTATAGCAGCAGTCTTGTAATTGAGTCATTTGCGTCAACGGGCTACTGAGATAGAAAATGCAACTAAGCCAAGTGAAGTTTTCCAAACACACATCGCCTTTGAAGCTTGTGACAGCTCGATTACCGAAATGTGTGATATGATTATACATACCAAGTCGCAAGCCAGTATGATGAATTACTGTAAGTCGGAAGGTAAATAACTGGGCAATCTGACATCAAATATGCTCACACAAAGTGTAAGCATAATAATCTCAAGGCAAATATGCCATCCGGTTCTTTGCTCTGGCTTCAGTTTGCATCGTTTTCATAGTCCGCGTCTAGGATTTGGTGACGCCAGTTGTTTGCATACCGGTAGCAAACAATTTCAGGGGTCGGAATTCTCGTTCACCCATTTCCCAGCAAACACCAGACAGACACTCATCGCATAATGAGTCTTGGTCAAATACGGCCGCCCCGACCAAACGGAGGACATGAAGTCATATATGGGCCTTAACTGAATGGGGCCCCTTCTTCATTGAGTCGAGTAGTAGGAGAGCAACCCTAAGCCTAGTGAAAGGTGGTATGTGGTGCTAGGTTTTGTCGTTGCCGTTCACCAAGCCTTTGTACATTAAACTCCCATCTCCGACTTCGGCTACATCATTTAGGCTACTGCAATATACTGAATTCATCATCGAAGTGGAGTATCGCATTCTTCACTTTTATGTTGGTTGTTCTAAGGGGAGTCACGTGCTCCACTCAAACACTGTGACTGCGCTGACCCTCTCGCAACTCGAGAGAAACAAAATATAATCAGAACCGCTTGAATAGCACTCGCTGTGGCACGAAACATCTGCACGCACGGCGCTCCGAACGTCCACGCCACACCCTAAATGCAATGGCGCGTGATCCGGACTGGATGTCTATGACAAAGACTCACAAGCTCAAGCCTGTCACAAGATCGATGCAAAGGGCAAGAAAAAGTGGTCGTAGTGAATGGCTACAAATGAAAGACGGATCCGCGGATCAGAACCGAGGTTCAACCTACCTCGAGAAAGCTGAGTCTAATGATGAGCTCACTGATCAGGAGTTCAAATACAGGTCGAGAAACTCCAGAGACACTGCAACACCTGCTCACCGTGGTCAGTCATCCAAATAGGATCAGGATGGCCATTTCCACGTCGAAGTAGCGGCTGCCGGTATCCAGGCTAGCCTTGGCGATTTCGCGACGAAGAAGCAGTTTGATGAACTATCGCAGAAGGTCGACTCTATCACCAGACGCATGAACACCACAGCACTCAGAGAACAAGACAGCGCCAGAAGCAACGAAAAGATTAAACGTCTCGAGAATGTGGTTGTTCATCTCCAAACCGAGTTCTCCCGTCTTCAACGCCAGATACATTGCGAGCAGCGAGCTGGCAATCTGCTGGAGAGCAGCGACGATAAGCAGCCAGCCGGAACACGCAGCTCTCAGAAGACCTCGAAACTTGATCCATGCCGGGAAGAATGCGAATCTCGCGAAGTGGTAAAGCGCCAGTCTGAGAAAGAAAAGGCCGATGACCTTTGCTTGATAAGCACGCTACGCCTAGAGCTGAAAGAGAAGCAGAAAGCAGCAGATGAAGAAAGGGAAGAATCCGAACGAAAGGACCTTAAGATCGACTTGCTCCGAGACCATATCCTGAAACAATCTCAAGAGTTGCGAAAGAAGGCCGAGATTATTCAACAGAGCCGAGAGCGATGTGAAGAACTTGAGACTATCTTGCAAACAGCTCAACAGCAATCCGTGCAAGAAGCCTTTGGAGACGATCAGATCAAGGGTGTTCACGCTACAATTACCAAAGTGAAGCATGTTAGGGATGAACATGAGCCATCACGCAAGAGGTGCCGACCCAACTCACCTCTACCTGATGAGGAGGAGAATATATTCGATCGGCACTTGGGCGACCTGGCCATCAGGGCTGGGTACTTCACTGTACTTAACGACGGAAATTTCGATCTAAACATGGCCGCATCATTTGTCTCCTACATTGGACATGATGGAAACCACAGTCAACTGCGCAGCTTTTTCGACCATGCCATCCGGGACCGCTGGTTCTGCCTAGATGATGTTGCGGGCAGGGGAAAATCTGCACTTGGCTTGGATATCAGGAAATGCAGCCAGCATGGTAATTTTCGGTGCATACTGGTTATGGTAACGACAATCGACTCCGTGAGACACATTCGCTTCACATACGAAGGGCCAGAAGCAGCAGACTTTTGAAGCACCTGCGATTGTGCAGCCACATTTCGATGGGCTTTACATCATCGATTAGCTGTACACATATAGCCAGACCTTTTCGGAACGTATATTTGCTAGAAGCCTAAGGCAACATTTGGTGCCCAATCGCTTGCGTGCGGACAGACATACATTCAGACAAGGCGATCGGGGTTCTCAGCATAGACGAGAAGGTCGCAGCATTGCTGGGTTGCAACTTGTTCAACTTTTGGGTCAGTATCTAGAAGTACAATGGGCTCTAGACCAGGGGTGAAGAATCTACAGGGAATCGAGTATTAAACACGATAGACTGGGTTAAATCCAAGTTTATTCACTCATACATTTAAAACACAAACACTACGACGCGTTCAGTGAATCTGCTAGATCGTATATGAAAAGGTCGCCAGGCAGAACTACACTCAGTGTAGTCACACAAATTCAAGAATCTCATCTGACGCTTCTTTTGTAATTATGTATAACTGCGTCCATGTGTTCAATCTGAACATTGTTGACTCCAGGGCCAACAATATTTCACTCATTGTACTGTAGGGTATGTCACGACCCGGCTTTTGTAATATAAATGAGCCTAAGAAGGTGTAGTAAAAAGCAATAGGCTTTTATTGACACTAAAATAACGGCATCGGAAGTTCAAATCTCTTGAAGACGTTGTCCATCATTGTTTGAGCCATTTAGTTATGCATTGGGAGTGAGAAGGTTAGCATCTTCACAGCATTGAAATCACGCATCATCCCAAGAGGCTTAGGCAGTATGAGATTCCAATCACTTTCCCTTTAATACTCGGGATTGTTTAGGTAGTACTCTTCTATGCGCGGATTATTGCAAGCCACATGCCATTGTCCTTTTGTTTACCGTTATAAACGAGTCCGGACCTTTCTCCACTTCCGCCCGGGTCGGCGCCGGCTGTTGATCCGATTACGGCAGTTCGCGATAGCAACCCCGGACAACACCTGCATATCGCTCGAAAGTAGTGACCGAGTCTTCTCTTAAAGTTTAAAAAACCACAACGGCTCGGGCCGTTGGCTCAAAGCACACAAACGTCCTGAGCGTGCCTGCATGAAAAGGCACATCGTCCAGGGGCTACTGACCACTGAGCTGCGAACGTGGAAATGATGGATGCCAGAGGTTGTCTTGTGCCCTCGCTGATTAGCTCCGTTGATCGGCACGTGGATGGCTCGATGCTGGTGACCTGGGGGTTTCAAACGTTCATGCGAGGCTGGTGAGGAGGGCAACACAGACGCTGATTGGTGGACGTGAGCTAGGGGCAACCTTCGGTTCACGAGGATGTATTGGACGGCGCATGATTAGAGGAAACTGATATTGGAATGGATTAATGCGAAAGGGGATATATAGTTTCGAGACTCCTTTTGAGATCTCCCCTTGTTGCTCGCACATCCTTTCCCTCAGCATCTCAATCATCATGAAGTCCTTCGTTTCTGTCGCTATCCTGCCTCTCGCGGTCCAGGCCGTGAGAATCGTACAGTCCAACGATGATGGCTGGGCTGAGTCGTATGTCCGCACTTTCAACGACGCCTTGAACAGCGCGGGCTACGATGTCGTCCTCTCAGCTCCTGCAGAGAACAAGTCAGGCAGCAGTAAGTTGAATGTACAATCACCGCGTTTAAAGCTAACATCATCCAGGCTCTCGGGATGAAAAGCCCAAAGACCGCACCTCGGCTTGCCAGTACAACAGCTGTCCCGCTAACAGCGGCCCTGTTGGATCTGATCCCAAGCGTCCTGATCTCAACTGGGTCAACTCTTTCCCTGTTACCTCAATGAAATACGGCATCGACACCTTTGGTCCCAGTCTGTGGAATGGCGCTGCTCCTGAGCTTGCCGTTGCTGGTCCTAATGTCGGTAGCAACCTCTGGCTTCAAGTCCCCTTCTCTGGTACCGTCGGCGCTGCTTGCTATGCCGCTCACGATGTTGGTATTCCAGCCATTGCTTTCTCTGGAGCTTCTGATGGAAACACAGCTTTCAACACCAACCCCGTCCCTCAGCGCAGCTTGGTCTACGCCGAGCTCGCCACCAGCCTCGTCAAGAAGGTTATCGACTCTGGAAAGCCTTACCTGCCCAAGGACGTCTATCTCAACGTCAACTTCCCCAAGGTTGAGGGCAAATGCACTGATGCGTCCCAGTTCAAGTGGGTGCTGACACGCATCAACACTGGTCTGCTGTCTGAGCGTGATACTGAGTGGTGTGGTGATGATCGTCTTCCCACCGAGACTGAGATTGCTCTTAAGGGTGGATGTTATGCTTCTATTAGTGTTGGAGATGCTAGCGACAAGACCACTGCCGATGCTGCTCAGCAGAAGGTTGTTCTGAACAAGCTCAAGGACATTCTTGTCTGTGTTGATTAGATTAGCATCTGGATGTAGATATATTCGCCTCGTAAATAGTTGATTACAGTATTATTAATTGATTCAACTCCATTCATTCAATTCAGTCTCATAAAAGACTACCCAAATAATGATTGATCCCTCCACTCCTAATTCTCGGTCCTGCTTATCGATAAGAAGTGGCGCCTAACATCCCAGGCCCACTTCAAACGTTGGTGCAACCTCTACTTTTTGCGCCATCTCCAATATCACGATCAAGGGCCGGTCCGCCAGACTCTCAATCTCGACGTAATATGGCGCCAATCGACCGTTGCTTGGCCTCAATGGCCAGGCTGTCCCTCCTCCAGACTTCTCGACCGGCCATTCCCACGATACCGAAATTCCTCGCCCCGGCCGCCGCTCAACAAGTTCGACAAGCCTCAGTAGTCCGTATCAAGAAGACGACAAAGAAGAAGAAGGCACTCCCTAAGGACTTTAAGCGACATAACTTGAACAAGAGGGAATTTCCTCAATACTCGTTATGTGAGGCTATGAGGTTAGTCCCGATGGGAGCCCCAGACCATCAAGTTCAGCAGGAGTTTAACATCCCACAGAGTCCTCCGCGCCGTCGAGGTCGGCCAGCCCCCCGCTTCGATCAAATACGAAATACACATCAACCTCAAGACCGCCCGTAATGGCCCTGTCATCAAGAACAGTGTTCGACTACCCCACCCCGTCCAGAGCGATTGGCAAATCGCCGTCATCTGCCCCGAGGGCAGCGAGATCGCCCGTGAAGCCACTGCTGCAGGTGCCGTAGCTGTCGGTCAGGAAACTCTTTTCGAAGCTATCAAGAAGGAGCAAATCAACTTTGACCGTCTCATTTGCCACGAGGCCAGCGAATCTGCCATGAACAAGGCCGGTCTCGGCAAGATCCTTGGCCCCAAGGGTCTTATGCCCAGCAAGCGTATGCGAACAATCGTCCCCGATGTTGTCAAGTCCATGCGAGACTCTGCTGGTGCTGCCGACTACCGTGAGAGACAGGGTGTTATCCGCCTGGCTATTGGACAGCTGGGTTACTCGCCTGACCAGCTCAAGAACAACATCAGGGTGTTGCTGAGCAAGGTCAAGGCGGAGTGTGCAGAGATCTCAGAGGAGGTGCACAAAGAGGTCCACGAGGTTATTCTCAGCACAACTAACGGACCGGGCGTCAGCTTAAATGGAAAGTTGAAGGACGCCGAGGAGCAGATTACCCCCGAGGCATTGTCAAGCATCATGTAAAAATAGCTTTTTGAGCTTGTATAATTGTATCATATGTCATATTATCGAATAGACCTTGTGAGCGGTCGTGGGTATCATTGGGTTTCATTTATAGTGATATCTCAGCCGCCTCGGAGTGCCTTGACAGCCTCCGATTGTGCATCCAGCACTCTGTATATGGCGAGACATTTGAGAACTCTGTCCTGGCCTTGCACGCCGGCTTTCTTGGCCTCTTTTAGAGCGTTGCCCAAGTCCAGCAGCAACGTGTTTCTGCAACGTGTCAAGCGTTCCTCCATCTTAATCACAAAAGGTGTGTCAGGGTTCAGAGATTCGAGAAGCTTTGTGATACGGCTACATTCTTGAGCCGAAGCAAGCAACCTCGTCAATGAACTTCCATAGCTTCCGTCCTCTTCTTCGTCCTCGCTTTCTTCGTCCCAATCTTGATCGGCTGGCAAGCTATCAAGGGAAAGCCTCTCTTCTAAAGCGGCGAGACGCTCGGATAGCTCCATCAACTTTCGACCCTGCTCGATAGCTGATCGCACGCCACGTAGCTCTCCATTGAGGGTGTTTGTTTCCTCTTTGCGCTCAGAGACCTTTGTTTTAACCTCTTCGACAGCTCTCCGGAAGCCTAGCAGAGAAACCTTGACATCCTCCACCTTGTCATCGCCGCCACGAAGTTCGCTGCCTAGGGAAAGAAATGCAGTATAGTTTGAGTTGACGAGCTCGAGAAGCTCAGAGCTGATGGCAGCGCTTCGGTCACGCAGATCTGACCGAAGGTCCTCGAGTGTTTGGTGACGATGTGGTAAAGCAGATAGGTAGGCGGCGGGTTGAAAGTCTTCAGCGAGGAAGTCGGCGCGAGGGAGGGCCTCAGGGAAAGGCAGGGGAGCATCATCGTCGACGGAGGAGGAGTCGGAGCCGGAGAGGGTGAAGGCAGATACGCCGAGGCCGGCCATGGAATTGGAGAGAGGGTCCGGCGCAGCGGCCATTGTGGGTGGTATCGTTAACGTGGTGTAGACTGTAAGTGTCTAGATATGCATAGCACTAAAGGTGAGGTGGCACGGATTGGTGGAGGAGCTCTAGGTGGCGGAACAGGTGGTTTTCGGCGGCACTAGCCTTGTAAGGGTCTGGCTATCTTATCGATAGACCTGGATCTGTGGAATTACAGTCAGATCTCTCATGTCAAAGGCAAGTGTAGTAAATTGGAGAATAAGGCGGTTTTTAAATTCAACGTTTTCTATTATGTGAATTGAATTGCTATTTTGCCTTTCTACAGAATAGACTCTTCTACATAGGTATCTAACGAGGTGGGTCAAAGTTGATGAGAGTTTGGTGCAACACGAACACGAGCTTGGCAGCAACAAACTCCAGAATCAACTTTTTCGGTCAACATGTTGGACCCCTACTATTGCTCACGACCTTGGTTGGTATTCTCAATATTCCGCTTGTCAAGATCACACCATATGGGATTTCAAGTTCCGGAGACAACATCTTTTTGATTGGCCATCGAGAGCTGTTTCTGATCTAGACCTGCTCCGCCGAATAGTCAAACTGCTCAGCTTAGTGGATATGGTAACACTAAAAGCCAGGGTCGAACGCCCATGTGGCAAGCGGAAGCAAAAATGCTTAGAACGGAGTCGGAGAAGCGGATATTTATTACATCTATTGAGCCGAGTTGAAGCTTAGGTTACCAAGAATGTGTTCAGAGTTAAAATGTGATATTGTTAGCTACATATCCATCTGATACGAGGTCATATTAGATATAGTCTCGGTCTCCCACACAATCACTCGTCAGAAAGACTTGAAGGTCATGTGGCCGGCCTTCAAACTCCGGAACAACATAAATTGCCCATTAGAATGGCCGCCTATGATCGTTTTCTTCGAGAAATAGTTGTGTTAACAAACCATCTTGGAACAGTTACCAACTGGGAGCGAAATCGGAGAGAACCATGTGATCGGCACGAACTGATCTTGACCGGATCTTATCTGATGGTTACGGGATCACGGATTCGCTATTGCAACTCCGACTTATGCCGTCCTACTCCAGGTAAGACCGAGCCTCGGACAACTTAGCAAGGTGAAGCCCCATGTTTTGAAGGGGCTTCGGCGGAGAAAATCCATTTAACAAACAACACCTATTGGAGATCATCCTGATGATCCTACCTTCTGTTGTATCATGACGAGAATGCGAACATCCTGCGACGTCACGGTAACTGCCGTGGAGAAGATCGCCAAATGTGAACAATTCCCTGCTGATTAAATGCCCGAGTTGAGAATTGTGTTTGGACAACTTGTTCAGAGGGTTCACAATTGGTTACGTACGGGTGGGGAGTCACGACATTGGAGCCTTGGAGGTCAAGGCGCTGCGGAGCCACCAACTTATGACTGATTGGAGTCCATTGATGAAACTTGAAGCCTAGAAAATGTCTGGCCATAGAATCAGATTACGTGAAAATTTGCTCTTTAACTCGGCCACAATCTGATAAACCCTCATCTCTGGGGTCGCCCACATGCAAACGGTTGCCTGGCGTGTCATGGTTCGTGCCTGGCGCATTCGCGGCAAAGAAACTTTTATCAATCAAATCTTATCAATCTGATCAGACCCACTATCGTCTCCTGGAATCGGACCATTGGTTTCCCAACCGTCGGTTGCGGTCGGGGCACAAAAGTAGCGACACCCCGCGATTAATTTCCAGCTTTGCTACCCTTTCTCCCCTCATTTATTGTGCTGTCGTTGCTGATCTAAATCCCTGGCAACTTCCTTGTGTATACGCGAATGGGTTCGTACACGCGTTATCAATCTGACTCCCTGGCTGCCAGTCATATCAATCAACCGAGACTAAAGCCGAGATCGTACCGAGCTGTCAAATCACAGCTGCGTCAGCTACTTATCCAAACAATCTTATCAATCTATCGAGTAGTCACACCAATCCCCAACTACCACTGACGAAACGTTCTCGTTCAGCCTCATATAAACAATAACGAAGTAATCACGGCAATTGCATCGATTGCGTTTGACTGTTGAGATTTATTGTTCGGAACTCCGACCCGATTTGGCCCAACCGACCGACCGATAGAGACCGAACTCGCCACAACCACACAACATCTATTACCAGTCGACTTCATCATGTCAGGACCATCTCCTCGACAGTCGGTTGAATCTCCTGGGGCTGGATCTCCTGCTGCTGCACTTGCACCTACTGGAATCAAGAATCGTGCTATCTCGGTCGCACCAGGACCTGTCTCACCAGCCACAACCGGTCCCCACAGCCACAGAACGCCACTCTCCATCAAGCCGAGTGGGCAGCCACCTCCACCCACACAACCTCAGCAGCGAACTGCTCTTCCCTCCATCAACAAGATGTCCATGTCGTCCGTAATCAGCCCCAGTCCGGCTCCCCCGGAGCCTCCTAAGGTGTCCATGACTTCTAAAGAATGGGTGATTCCTCCAAGGCCCAAGCCTGGCAGGAAGCCTGCTACCGATACACCACCCACTAAGCGCAAGGCTCAAAACCGCGCAGCTCAAAGGGCTTTCAGAGAGAGGAGGGCTGCTCGGGTTGGAGAACTCGAGGAACAACTTGATCAGCAACGTGAGGTTCAAGAAAAACATGAGTCAGAACTCAAGGACAAGATCCACGAACTTGAACTTGATGTCCAGTCCTTCCGGTCTCGATGCTTGCTACTTGAAAACATGCTTGACCGCGAGAGACAGGATCGTATCCGGGTTGAAACAGAAGCTGAGACTCTTAAACGTCGACTTGATGAAGGAGTATTTAACTCGAACTTCCAATCCCGAAGCATGAGTTCTCAGCACCCTTTTGAGGGACTTCACAGTCCTACCAGCCAACCACCAAGACACAGTCTTCCCGACGGAAGACCCGATCGTCAATCAGGCCACTCCTTTTCCATCTCACAGATCATTTCCCCTCCAGAGACACTCGACATAAACCCGCATGATACCGAGACTACCATTACCTGTGGCAACTGTTCTCCCAATGGACCTTGTGCCTGTGCTGAAGAGGTGATGAATTCCGCCGTCAACGGCTGTGGCAAGTGCACTCTCACCTCGAACTGTCAATGTCTTGACGATGCAGCTGAGGCTTTGAATCAATCTCAGGCCCTCAAGCGTCCCGTCTCACCGTCAGCAGATGTATCTTATGAGAAGAGGCATCGCTCTAGTTCTGGCCAAGATGCTGTGGAGACTGACTATACAGCTATGTTCTCCCGCAAGGCTACACAGGAAGCTTTCTCTACTCCTTCTCAACTACCCTCCATGGATTCCATGCCATTCAGAGATGGATGCGGCTTCTGTAGCGAGGGTACATACTGTGCCTGCGCCGATGCTGCGCTGGCAACTCCTGCTATGACTCCCAACGATACCCTTCCTCCCATCTCTCAACAGGTCCAGACCCCTCCTCCTGAAGAAAATGATCTCCCTATGCTTGCTATGGAGATGACCGCCGATGGAGCCGTGAAGCTCCCCCGCCGTACACAGAATAAACCCGCAGAGCGTCGAGGTTGTGGCCCTAACGGACCTGGCTCTTGCGCTCAATGTCAAGCCGATCCTAAGTCTGGACTCTTTTGTCGTCTTATGGCCGCCAACTTTAACCGCAAAGACGGTAGTTCTGGTTGCTGTGGTGGCAAGGGTGCTGGTGGCGGCTGCTGCAAGTCCCAGCCCAAACAGCCTCAGCAACCGGAGAAGATCAACCTCCCAAGCCTGCCCAGTCTAGGCTTGAGCTGTGCCGAGGCATACCAAACACTATCCAGCCATCGCAACTTTTCCAAGGCTGCGGATGATATTGGCTCTTGGCTACCCAAACTCAAGGCAACTCCGAGACCTGGTACTCGACCAGCACCCCCTGGTGCAATGATGCCTATCGAGGTTGAAGCAGCGAGTATAATGAGTGTCTTGAAGGATTTTGATGTTCGGTTTGGAAGAGGAATTTAATGGGATTCCAAACCGTTAAAATGGTTGTAATTGAGTACATGATAAAAATTGGCGGTTTAGCAAGCACATAAGCTCTCGCAGGAGAAGCGCGGTATGCCTCATGGCATTGGGTTGGGTTGGTTGGAGCGTTGATATTATACCCTTATTAGGTGAAGATGTCACTTCACTTGTATGCATCTATGAATTTATGCGTCTATCAAGCTGTTCCATGTTTGTGATGTGAGACATGTGCCGGCGGATGCATTCAACATTGACATGACATGGTTCTAGAAGCAACGCTTGCGCAATGCACATTCAGCCAGTCGGAGGAGTTGACGAATCATGAGTGACAGGATGAACTTGTAAGCTGTTGAAGGTTGTCCTGGAAGGGTGCTTCGAACTAGTCATGAAGAAATGGCGTCCAGATAGAGAGGCAGAGCATCACCAAGGCAATCATAGTGACCGACATGTAAGTTCAACTCGGCCATGTGCGGGATTACAGCACACCACGGGCGCGCCTGTCAACCTCTGTTGGTCTGATCACGCGCTGACGTGCATGACAAAAAGGCGGCCTCGGGTGAAAAAGACATAGATACTGGGGTAAAGCCGGGGCTATGTGCGGTCGAAGTCGTCGTGAACTGTTGGGAAAAATGCGGTGGATAATTGATGGTGGAGCAGTAGCCAGCGCACAACCGGTAACAGGACAATGGGAGTAGGACAAATATGCTATTCTATGAAAGACGAATGAGGATAGTTGCATTGGAGTGGCGGATTAGGAGTCAGAGAGTCAGAACCAGCTGAGAATAGTCGATATCCGACCGAATACGGCTGCATAACTGGCTCGGAGTGTTAACAAGTCGGTCTGTCTAACAAATATGAATGGCTGGGGCCTCTCGGTGAGCTTTCAGCGCAGAATTGGGCTGGCAACCATTGATTGGAAGACGATGCATGTGGAGGTCGGCGGATGATTGGTGTTCTGGGGGTACTGGGGGGGTTTATGGATGCCGATGCGTTGGCACACACAACCCAGTTGCTGTAGAGTTGCAGCAGCTGTTGTCTTTGCCTCGCATAGAGGGAACTGGCGTGGTGCGATGAGATTGGCTGATGATGTGGATGGGGGGGAGGGGGTTTGATACATTGTGTGATGCTGATGCTTGTTAAGAACATGATTGGAATTGTTAAGGATGAGGTATATTATTGGAAAAGAGCATGTTGCGATGTTTCTATCACATGTGAAGTATTGACAGTGTCATGTTTGTTTCGAATGTGTGTATCGTGAGTGGTATAACACTATAAGTGGACGAAACAATATGTTGTAGACCCTGGTCGTTAAATACTGGATGTGGGCATTACCGCCAGCACAAAAGAAAAAAGTCAATCCGAACACGGGGACATGCAGATATTTGTTTTGTTTTCCCTGAATTGCTTGTTTCGTTTCCTTCGCTTGGTCGTCTCGCTTGTCCTCGTGCTCATAATTGTCTGGCTGACATTCTTAAATATAGATGATTTTGCTGGCTGATGGGAATGCAATGACAACTCAGAGCTTCAAGTTGCACGAAGCAGGAAGCACTTATACAATTCCTGGAATAAGATATCCCCTTTGAGCTGAAAAAGTCAATTAGATGTTGACGACAGGTAACAATTCACATTCCAATCTGCAGGTCATCACTGTCCTACCCATTGTATCATCATACTTGAATGCCTCGAGTGGAACAATGCATCCACTCCTCAACCACAACGACGGGACAGAACAGGTCTTCTCGATAGGGCAAAGGTAGAGGCTCTTTTTCAGGCCCACACTGTAGTTCACCGATCACTTCAACCCGCCAAGAGAGCATGAGAGCTCCCGGACAACTCAACTTCGACTGAGCCTTGTATGTTACTTGATCCGACTCATATTTGTAGCGCTTGCCAACGCACAACTCCCCTGTGACCCGGCCCGACCTTGGAGCCAGGAGCCAGGGCAGGCCAGGCGCTGGATGACACGTGCGAATCGCACAGGGCTTCAGGTACCGACCCATAAAAGAGCCGCTGACCCAATTGTGTTTCAAGCTCACCCGCATTGCCGTGCTACAACGGGCTTAGTGGGGTAAATGGCCCGCTGCCAGCTCCGGACACTGGAGGCACTGGGGGGCACTGCTGTCCCCACTATCGCATCGTACCGCCTGTTCCCGCCCGTTATAGCGAGGTAGGGATAGGGTGCGATACTTCTACCCCATCATATTGGATCCTATCCTTATCCCAGCCCGATCTCGTTGTCCAAAGGCTGTCAGTTCCTGTCTGTGGTCTGTACAGTATCTTCGTCTGCGTCTGCGCCTGCGCCTACGTCTGTGCCTATATGCAGTCGGAGTAACCGACAGGTGCCAGTTGTGAGGCCCCTTTGCCGTTTCTGTTATTGCAGTATCATAATATCAGTCCGTCTATTCCCACGATACCTGACTTCCCCCCACCTCCCACTTCAACTCTCATCTCTTACCTCCCACGTCTTCCCTCTTCTCTCCTCTCTTCTCCTCCCATAGACTTCTCGCTCCCTCGTTGCTCGTGTTCTTGTCTTGCATTATTTTGGGCAAAATCCGACGTGCAACTGCAACTTGTGATACGACTCTAGTCCTTCATACGCTAGAACACTTCGGAACGCGCCATCATCTTCCAACCTCGCGCGCCTTGTCACTCCTTACTGGGTCCGATCTTTGCTGGCAGGTCTAGCACCCCTCTCGAATCCTCGTACAACGATCTATATTGCGACCTGCTTCCGCCTGCATTTACTCAAACCACATATCTTCATAAGCCAGTGAGAGGCGCCTCATCGAGAGCTTGCCACAGCTGCGCTCCTGCGACGCAGAGTTCACCGAGCTCAGAATGGTTTCTATGCAGCGATCTTTGTCTTCACCCGTCCGCATCCATTCTGCTCCCAGTACGTTTCCGACGTTGCCATTCAGCATCTTTGTCAGAACCTGGCTCTGATTACTGTCTGGCTCCGTATGTCTCCGAGTTATGCTGATTTGACTGGCACAGCTGTGTCCACCGGTGTGCAAGATTCGGGTTCGCCCCCTCCATCTGTCGATATACTTGTGCAACCACCTCGATCTCGACGACGACGCTCTCCCAGCCCCAGCCCAACCCGCGAGTCCAAACAAATACCGCGGCACCTTGACGACAAAGACCGTCGGGGTCATGCTCACCAACACTCGCCAGTCATGTCCTCTCGGAAGCCAATCGTGGCACAGCCAAATATGCCCGGCCAATCTTCAACAAGAAACAGTCCCCGAGTTTCAGCTCTAAAACCTAGTGATAACGAGTCCGACAACGGATCTTCACCATTCAAGCCACTATTACAAGATGTTTCGCAATACTCAAATCCACATCTTTCGCCAGAATCAGAAAGTACAACCCTCGAAGAGCTGGCTCACTTAGTGCGACTGTCCAAGTACCAGGAGCGCAAGCGCGCGAATAACCGGCTGCGTCTGCAGAGGAATCTAGTTTCGACCGCTCTCAGCGCCCGTCTGACCCGCTGTGGAGAAATAGCCCATCGTAATTTGGTCGACAGTTTTCGTCGTGACGACAAGGAGAGCTTTGCTGCCTTGCACAGCGCCATCCATGATGTTCGTAACAGCTGCGACGAGCTTCGCCGCTATGCTCTTCTCGATCCCGAGATGGAGGGTCTCGCCAATGCTGGCCTTGGATCCTCGGAAAGTTTGGATACTCCCACTAACTCGGCAGCTCTTGGTCCTCTCAAATCAATAACACCTTTTCTGCACGACATTTCTGCCTCTGCTCGCGATACCTTTTTGGACTTTCTCACACAGCTCCGTACAAACCCGGACTACCTGGCCACTCGTATATGTTCCCTATCAAGTTCCGAGTTGAACTCATTCTTGACTTATCACAAAGGTTTGGAGCCCGTGGAATCTGTCCTCCCTTTTCATGGCCGTTCTGGAGGAAGATCTCACGCAAGCGCGTCCGGAAAAAACAACACTGCTGTGGATATAGAGAGACTGTTGTCTTTTCAACGTCACGACCCTCTCTCCATACTCATTCACACATGTTTTGCCAATTCTGCTGGGCCTGATAGTTCCGAGGATCAACGTCGAACCGAGATATGGGCCACTGCTTTGGCACGCCTGATCTCGGAGCCCAAATCCACTGGCGAGCACTTTCTCATTTCCGTTCTGAATATCTGGACAGCAATGCGTGACTGGTCTGGTAAATCCAATATGGAATGGTATCTGATGAAGATTCTCGAGGACGGAGCCTTTTTGCTGGACCGGGCCGAGGATCAGCATGGTACCCGATTCAACTTGTCCGATTGGAACCATTCAGATGAAGTTGCAGCCAAGGAGTTTTACGAGAGGGCAGTCAACCAACTGTTTGAGCTCGTGGACGACGAAGATGCCACTGGAATACCTGAAGGACTTTTGGAACTTGGAAATGCCATCCTGAAGAAGCTTGACCACAAGTATGTCGAAAATACCTCCCGATGGTTGGTTTGGAGATGCCTTTTCTTCGTTTTCCTTTTGGGCGTCATTATCCACCCAGAGTCTTATGGAATGCTGGCCGAGTACCACATCACTCCTTATGCCCGTGAAAAGATTCTGAAAAAGGTAGCCATGAAGGCTCATGAGTATGTCTCCAGCATGTGGAGCGGTAAACCTTCAGCGACCTGCGTTCCAGTGGAGGTACCTCCAAAGATCAAAGGCCATGTGGAAAGCATCCTCGCCCGTTTCCAAGGATCCCGATCCAAGGTACCGGCTGCCAAGCTGCTCCCAGCAAGGTCCATTACGTCCCTGAGAGAAACCAAGGAGGTCCACCCCTATTTGGTTATTAGCCCAGCTGATCTAGCGACTTTGGTGAATGCCATGTTCCCCGAAAGAAGACCACACTCAGCTTCGGGCAGCTTTAGGTCAGGACCAGCATCCATTTCTGGCATGTCTTCCATCTCACAGCCCATCTCCATGTCAAACCCAAGGAACAACAATTTTGACACTGTATCCATCATCAGCACCAGCGCTTCTTCAGTGTTTAGTGACTCAACCACCAGAGATGGGTACCTAGATGATCAAGTATCAGTGACACCTCAGCGGTATTCGCCACCAGCAATGGACTCGGAGCTACAAAGGCGTCTAAACAAATATGAAGACGACGGCTATCGACTGCGCCTGGCACTCCATGAAATGACACAGAATCTAGGTTCTGATATCGTCCGTGGTACATGCCACCCTTGCGCCGAGAGATGGCTTGTGCTCTTTATATCGTCTGATGGCAAGAGTCTATCCACAAGCATGACATTTGACCCGGACGAGGAGATGGATGACGAAGAGAACTCATCTAGTACTGACACTGATGAGGAAGATGCTTCTGATGGACCCGAGCTCGACAAGGACTATCATCAACTCCGTGATTCAATCCTCAGGTTGGTAGAGGATTATGAGATCCCACGTAGCCTTGAGCCTGAAAACAGCCGAACGCAACTTAGTAACCGTGCCTCGGGTCTGAAGAGGTACAAGTCCAAGACTAAGATCATCACGACTGAACGTTCGATGGCCAGCCGCAATCCCTACAGAAAGCAGATTGGAAAGGATTTTAACGAAAAGAGAGAAGCGTCTATCCCTGAGGTGGATACCAAGGATGACAAGCCAGAAGCTGTTCTCATTACAATGCTCAAGGCGGCTTCAGCACAATCCAAAGCACTTGCTGACTTTGTTTCATCTCATCAATACTGGAAGACGCTCAACCAACTCAACGCTCTCGCATCTCCTTCACTCAGGAACAATGGGTTTGCGGTGCTCATCAATATCTTCTCCCGTGGCCCAAGAGACTCAATTCGCCGATCTGCTTCTGCCATCGAGGAGTATGATGCTTGGCTTGTTTGGCTCAAGCAGAGTCAAGAGCGTCACGAAGGCATCATTGACCGCATGATGAGACGCGTACGGGCTGTGCGTGATAAGATGTGGTATGTGACGGATGTGCGCAACTCAAAAGAGTATGCCCATAGCCGTGATATTTGCCAAGCACTCAAGACTATGGGCATGCCTCGACGCTGGGACTCTTTCCAACGATCTCGTGCCCACATGGCTAGAGGACCAAGTTCATCGTATCTCTACCGCACTGAGTCCCAGATCATGGATCTGTTGGCAGCTTCCGAAGAGCAAGGAGGACCAAACAAGTTGAGCGATGACCCTGCTGAGGCGACTGCAGCGTGGCTTCAGAACCGTGGCATCGAAAACTTCTGCATGGGTGAAGAGCGGATTCACCGATTCTGTTACGAGGTGGACAAGTGTATCTCAAGATTAGTCGGTGAAACTATTCGAGAGGCACCAGTGTTGTGGTCAAGTGAGTTGTACAAGCGCGATAAGCTTGGATATGACCGCGCCAGAGCTAGAGAAAAGGAACTCTCTTGGAATGGGGATGATTCTGGAAGCATCATCAGCGAGCAAGATCGCAAGTTCAGCCCTACGTCGAGCAGACCAAACTCCCTTGCTAGAGATCTCAGATCGCTTTCAATGCACAACCCCAGCCAGCAGTCTCTCGACTCGGTTCGACAGAGCATGCCACGAGCTAGCTCGGCTCTTTCAGATATTCTTGATGGACAAGAGTATTTCGATCGAGCTTCGCCAGCACATACGAACGATTCGGCCAGTACCTTCTGGTCTCCGTTCCAGCCAGTCATGTCTCCCAGTTCAGGAGCTTCTCGGGCATACTCTCCTACAACGAGTTTGACGAATATCTCTACAACCTTCTCTCATCCCAACCAGGGTACCGCAGCTTCTACCTCAACCTTCTCGACAGGACGTCCTGGTACATCGGCATCATCGAACGAGACAGTTTTCCAACACCAGCGGGTAGATGACGAGAAGACTCGCTTCCTGAACGAGCTGAGACAGTCCCTTACCAGTCTGTTGTTGTCAGACCTTGGCAATCAAGTATTTGCTCGAGGCTCTGAAACAGATGCTTGGTTCGACAAACTTGGACAAGAATGCATTGATCGCAAAGATGCTCTTGACCGACGGGCGCGACGTCGATCTGAGATCAAAGAGAAGCGAAGTTCAGGACGACCAAGGGTTATCGAAAAGAAGAAGAGCTTTGGCAACTTACGAGGTGCTGGTGAGCCAAGCGATCGGGCATCGGAAACCTCAGAAAGCCTTCCTTTGGGTTCGACTGAGGGAACGGGTACCAATGAGTCTACCCCACGTCTATCCGCGGCCAAAGAAGACAAGGATAAGACAGAGTTTCCTTTCAAGAAAGCATACCAGCGACTGCTCAACATGTTTTGCGTACACCCCAACCCTTACGCGAAGCTCAATGCTCTTTACGAGCTGGAGAACCTGATTGTAGCGGCACTGCAGTCAAGCGGACAGAAGAGGCCGCGATGGAACCGATCCGACGCCGGATCAAGTGTGGTGACAGAGCATAATACCAATGCTCGACCTACACCTCTGGAGGGAACAATTGATAATGTCAGAGAACGTCGATCGCAAGCACTTCAGTCTCAGCTTCAGACACCCTTCTTTGGTCCACGACAAGCTAGCTCGGAGACAAGATCAATCATGTCAGGAGGAAATGTCAACACTGATATCATTACCAAAGAGCTGCAAGCTCTTTTCCGGGAGGCGTCAATCCGACCAAAGACGATCTTCCGAGACCTGCAATTTATTGCATCTTTTGTTCCACCGTCGGTATTGGATAAACAGGAACGCGGTAAAGCATTCTGGAACACTGCCCTGGCAGCTCTGAAACTCAAGTCAGAAGTATGCCGTACAATGGTAGAGATGGCGGATGAAGTGGTTGCAGCACATGCGCATGTGCGTAAGCCAAGCGAGAATACGTTAACCGACGTGCCTCAATCTACAACAGGCACACCACCGCCGCCTTCTACAACTTACAAGCTGGAAGATGCGGGCAAGATGTGGACAATAACGGCGAAGGAAGGATTTCCCACAGCGCAGCGCGAACTTGCGCTGTTCTACCTTTCCAACCCGGAATACGTTGAGCGAACAACGCTACCTCTTTCCAAGCCACGCGAGGTGTTTAAGCAGACCGTGATGGACAAATATGGCCGTCTGGGCAATGGAGGAGGCCGCACTGGATTTTCGAGCGGAGGAGGCGATGGCAAGGAGAGTGATGTGAGAAGCGACCCCGGGCTGATGTGTGTTGCGGTTCACTGGATGGAAGCGGCTGAGCACGGAGGCGACGAGCTGGCGACGAGCTTCCTGCGACAGAATGAGTTTATGGGGGGTCGCTAAGTTCCCGGCACTGATAGTATTATACCCACATGTTTTGATGTTTGGCGCTTGGGCGCCTATAAGATTTATATGGATGCTTTATAGAGGAGGAAGATATTTGGATATGTATGGATGCATGTGATATGTAGATGATGATTTGGAAAGCATTGGATGCACAGGTTTTGCTATACAAGATACCATGTACTGTACTGGTGTTGAATCTGGTAGAAGAGCGATGTTTTATGATAATTTATTCATATGCCTACAACTTGGACATGCTTTGTGCCGTGAATGATTGACTTATACAGTGCTATACTTGGAAGCTAGTGTGACAGAGGTTGAGTGCGCTGGTTTCAGTGGATCGCTGGCGGTTATAGCGCGTGGTTGCTTCTTACCTCGGACCTCAACGTCATTGTCGTCAAATAATCTTCTCACCTCATCATAACATCCCATCAACAGAAACACGCACGCAAAAGTTGACAACTGAATTACATTGAATACAGATATATACTCCTTCGAACTACTGCTACTGTAAGTTTACTTTTTGCAAGCTTCTATGGTTGTACGTGGAGATGATTGGCTGACTGAATAGACCTTTATCAATCCATCCTCAGGTGGAGCGACTGCCTGTTTGCTGCCTGCTGTACGGATACCAACCGTGATTTACGGAGTACAGCACCAGTCATTCCATCTCTTGTTTTCATATCACCCTTATAAGCCCGTCACTGTGCAAGTTCTCGAATAAAAGAGGTTCAATTCTTTCTGCTCGATCGGCTTTTCTTTTCCTTTCAATCGATTTCAACACCACCAATCGACATGACCGACTCAGACACCGCCATGGTTGATATCAGCACTCCTTTGTTAGCTGTGCCTTCATCCTCTCCCTTCCAGAAGGTCCCTCTCGAGGTTCTTTTGCGCATCACCTACTTTCTCACTACTCCCGAACTTGGCAATGTCCGCTTGACATGCCGCTCCATTGAGCAATCTCTCTACACTACCTTTACCAATGAGTTCTTCACCCGCAAACAGTTTATGATCTCAGAGACAAGTCTACAGGCTTTGATTGACATTTCAAAGAGTCGCCTTAGCTGCCATCTTCGCAAAGTTCACTTTGGCCTTGATCGTTTTGCTCATGCCCTCCAGGTTCATGGCCACAATGCTCGGACCGCGAGACAGACGGAGCTCTACAATGGACAGTTCACGTTGCTGAGTACAGGGTATCACCGAAACATGCTTGTAGAAGCGTTCAAGAATCTCGAGAACCTCGAAGATGTTGTCATTCGTGACTTCAATTCTAGACGACGCACCCGTGATGGTCCTCATAAGCAGTGGACAAGTTACGGATCAACTACAGCTCTGCAGGAGACTGGATCTCGACCTGGTCTCAAGAGCGGCATGGCCTGGGGTCCAGACCCGTCAACTGCATACGGTAGCACTGTTTTCAGCTCTGTTCTTTTCGCCCTTGGGGAGGCCAACGCGAGACCAAAGGGGATCGAGCACATGTCGCGATCAGGCAATCATCTGCGTGACTGTGCGTTCAATATTCCTTCCTACATGAAATCATCAGTCATTCCTGTTTTGGAGAACCTTGAGAAGTTGCACATCGATATTGATCTGCTTGGAGGCACCGACTTCTCCGGCGCTGGCAGTGCTGGCCACTCATCGACTGCTGATATGATGCTTCGCAGTTTCCTACTCAAGCTGAAAGATATCAAGCACCTGCGCATCAACGAGACCCAGACTAGTGTTACTGGTCCCGCTATGCTCCTTGGGTGGCTTGGGCGCGATAATGCATCGTCCACGGCATCTCCCACCAACTCGGGACAAACTCCTACGCCAGGATCCCCTGTTGCACCCTCTGAGCCGTCACCCGAATACTACCAACTTGAAGAACTCAATCTTGGCATGATGCACGTGGAAGCTCCGCAACTGTTGGCGGTAGTCCAAAAGTTTTCACGTACGCTTGAGAGGCTGGAACTACACAAAATCACCCTCCGCCGACGTCTACCGGATGGCCATTCAGGTGCTTACCCCAAGATTAGCTTCTGGGCTAAATTCCTGGAAAAGCTTAAGGACACCCCCGACCTCAACCTCCATCACATCAAAATCAGCACACCGCAGCAGCAATGGGTCCCACGGCCGTTGCGCTCTGATGTCCTGTTTGGAGATGGGAATGTTGCTTGTCAATACACGGGGCCCGACTGGAAGCACTTTGTCGGACACGAGATGATACCCAAGGTGTCTGTGAAATGGCCGAACGAGGAGACCCTAAGAGATGACGATGACGAGGATGATTCTGATGACGGTATTTGGGACCTATATGCGCTTGATCTATAAGAAGCGCTGGGTTTTGCTAACGAGATACGATACAGATGTTTCTGACGACGATGGAGATGAAGATGGAAACCATGATTAGTGTTGGCATCGCTGGGAAAGGAGTTGATTGGCGGATGAGCTTGCGGAATGTGTTGGCTTGTATTGATATGGGGAGTTTCGCTGGGTCAATATGTGTGTATGAAAAGACGTTATGTTTATGAGGCGATGAGATAGTGATTCGTCTCGCGGATAGTCAATGGAATTGTAATGTATGGAGACATCATCAAAGTCAATCCCTTTCAACAAAAAATGGATAGCCACATCTCCTGTGTCGCTCCGGATCGCATAGCAATGGACGTTGCATCTACAGTGCCGAGGCCGTCCCACCTGAACTTCCAGGCCGACCCATCACTCCCCATTGATTTCAGGCAGCAATTCCCACTTGACGGGTTCAATTTAAGTCACCTGACGTCGCGCCAGGATCGTGCCTGGAATTTGGGTCTTATGGCGTGTTGGTGCCTAGAAACGCGCCTGGGCTCGTAGATTAATCGGAATTGCGGGTTCAAGAGGTGACAGAATAAACCGACATATACCACGAACTGAAGAGTCCAAGTTGACAAAGAACGTGTAACCAGACTCTCGCTAGTAGTGCATAGCTAAAAGAACTTCAATTCGTGAAAGGGATGAATATGAAGGGAGAGTTCAATTAATCTCTTTTTGACAATACTTCTTTTCTTTCAATCCGTCTCATAAAAGCCATCAATAGCACTTCCAATTCTTCTCTTTTTTGTCCACCTTGTAAAGCAGTCAAAGGATCGCTGGGAAGTGGGGGGGTTCAGCCTAGATGCCTGTGGTACCTTCCCATTCAGCTGAACGCCATACCATCTACGCTTGAGCCCATGGTGACCTAAAAATGGGAAGGAACCGACCACATCTTTAAATATCCCAATTTCCCTCTTTCTCATTCTCACTTCTTCTCCTTAACATCATCCCTCTTCTTTACCTCTCAACCACTCAATTTCGGTTCGTTTGCACCTCGTGAGACGCATCTAGTGCTATTGGCGAAAGCAAGGATCACTAAGACTCGGCGATTGCTCAATTCGGTCAGCTCTTGTTGACACCAAAGTTGTTGGGTATGACACGCTCAGCTCAGCCCCTGACCAACTTTGTCCCACTGCTAACATTTCTTTAAGTTGAGCCTGTTCCTCAATTGAGACCAACGTTTGACCTCCCACACTCATCTCACATTTGTATCACAAAGCCCATCAATACTTACACCCTCCAAAATGCCCCCCACCAGAAGACGGGCCGCCAACCCCCCGGCAGCTGATCCACCTCTGGACGGCTGCGCGATTGCTGTCAGCGGCAAGTTTGAGGAAATCGGCCACAGCCATTCTTCGCTTGAAGCTCTCATTCGCAAACATGGCGGAACGCTTACCAGAAGTGTCACAAAGGCCACGACCCATGTTGTGTCCACTGACCATGACTTCAATTCAAACAGCAGCAAAGTCACGGCTGCTCGTACAAAAGGCATTCCTATTTTGGACCCGTCCTGGCTCATTGACACCGATGACAAGGGTGCTAAGCTGAACGCGGATGACTACAGCTGGTCTTCTGCTTCCAAGAGCAACGGCACTGCTAAGACTACCGCCAACGACAAGTCCAAGAAGCGGTCTCCCCCAACTGTTGACGACGATGAAGAGGATAGCCAGCCGAGAGCCAAGCGCGCAAGAAGCACTAGCGTTGCTCCCCAGTCCAAGGCCAAGCCCAAAACTACTAAGAAGGGCACAAAAGCAAAGACTGCTGTAAAGGACGAATCTGAGGTGGAAGAGGAAGATGAGCCCAAAACCAAGGCTAAACCCAAGGCTGCTGCCAAAAAGGGTGCCAAGAGCAAGGCCGCCGTTAAGGACGAGCCTGAAGAGGCCCCTGAAGAGGAGAAGGTCGTCGCTGAAGGCCAGTTCATGAAGAGAAAGGATGTCGTCATTCCCCTTGACGAGCATTGCACTCTTCCCACATACCAGGTTTATGTCGATCCTGACACTGGCCTCATTTATGACGCTTCACTGAACCAGGCCAACTCCTCTGCCAACAACAACAAATTCTATCGCATCCAGGTGCTCAAAGATCCCAAGTCCGCAACTTTCAAGACGTGGACTCGATGGGGCCGCGTTGGCGAAATGGGCCAAAAGGCTGTTCTCGGCGGCGGAAACCTTGATGATGCCATCAAGCAGTTCCAGAAGAAGTTCAAGGACAAGTCAGGTCTCGCTTGGGATAACCGCACGGACAACCCCAAGCCTGGCAAATATGCTTTTGTCGAGCGCAGTTACAATCCCGATTCTGACGACGATGATGATGAGGATGACAAGAAGGCTGTCAAAAAGGAGGATGGCGAGGAAGAGGACAAGGCACCCCCTCCTGAATGCACTCTAGAGAAGCCCGTCAAGGAGCTGATGGAACTCATCTTCAATCAGAGTTACTTCCAACAGGCAATGACCTCTCTCAACTATGATGCTAATAAGCTACCCTTGGGCAAATTAAGCAAGACAACCATTACTCGTGGTTTTCAGCAACTCAAGGACCTTGCTGCTTTGATGGACAACCCCAACCTTGCCTCGTCCAAGTACGACCTGTCTGTAGCTGCTGCTACTGAGCACCTTTCCAACACCTACTATTCCTTCATCCCTCACGATTTTGGCCGAGGCCGACCACCCATTATCCGTGACAACGACTCGCTCAAGAAAGAAATAGAGCTTCTTGAGAGCTTGTCGGATATGAAGGACGCAGCCGACATCATGAAGATTGATCGCAAGTCGAGAGATACTGTCCATCCTCTTGATCGCCAATTCCAGGGTCTCGGCCTTGAGGAGATGACTCCTCTCGACCACAACAGCACCGAGTTCAGCCACCTCAAGGACTATCTCGTTGAGTCTCGCGGTTCTACTCACAACGTAAACTACGAGGTCAAGGACATCTTCCGCATTGAGCGTGAGGGTGAGTTCAAGCGATTCGACAACTCCGAGTTTTCCAAGATCTCGTCTGACCGTCGCCTTCTGTGGCATGGATCTCGAGTGACAAACTACGGTGGTATTCTTAGTCAGGGCCTTCGCATCGCCCCTCCAGAGGCTCCTGTGTCTGGTTATATGTTTGGCAAGGGTATCTATTTGGCCGATATGTCCTCCAAATCAGCCGGCTACTGCTGCTCCTACAATTCCGGGGGCGAGGCCTTGCTTCTCCTTTGTGAAGCTGAACTTGGAGACCCCTGCCAAAAGCTCACGCAGGCTAGCTATAACGCAGGTAGCGATGCAAAGAAGCAAGGCATGCACAGTACATGGGGTCAAGGAAGAACGGGACCCAGCAAGTGGATCGACGCTGGTGTTGTACACGAGAGTCTCAAGGGTATCAAAATAGTAAGCTCTTCATCTTATGCATCCATACGTATCGCTTTTGTTCACACACTAACACCCACATAGCCCGACCCCAATGTCAAGCCTGGCAATACCAATGTCCAAAACGCATCATTGTACTACAACGAATTCATCTGCTACGATGTTGCCCAAGTCAAGTTGCGTTACTTGCTCCGTGTCAAGGTCTAGTAAATTGTGCGTTAATAATATTTGCGCTACGCTGCGAACTATTGTAAACAATATGGATTTTATGCTGAGCTTTCATAACTGCATCTGGCTCTGGCTCGGTACGATATCGATCGAATGATGTCGTGCATTTGTTGAGCAACCATGTACAATGTACGAGATTTGTAATTGATTTGCTGGACAGTATGGAGGTTTCTGTGTCGGCGCACTGGTTGTGTATTTATTACAGCCATTGGGAGTGGGAAATGGCCGAAGTCCCCGTAGATGATTGAGGAGACAGCCCGGGCGAGGAAAACGGCGTTCATTAGGCAGATAGGGTTTGATTTATATGCTGACTTCCTATCGCGTGTATTTGCTGCAAAGTGAAGAATAAGTTATACACATGAAAACACTATCTAGAGCATTTGCGCCTCGTTGTATCGTAAAGGGTATCGTCCATAAGTGTCCGCTGGCTTTGTACTATATCCCACCTCTTGAAAACAGATACACACTCTCGCTATATAACATTTTAAAATTTTTGAGGTCTCCATTCGCTCTTCTTTTCACAATGTTGAAGGTGTGTCCAATTGGGTGGGCAGAATTGTCCTTGCTGGCAGCTCATGGCCAGAACGAATAGTTGAGTCGTGTGTGGACATTTGCTCGACTGCTTACTTATCAACCGGTAGCTGGTGAATCTTGCAAGCTCCATCATGTCTTTCTATTTCGTCAATCGTAGTTTATCAACTGCGGCATTGATGTGTCTGCTGTGTCGTTTTGAGATTGGGTTTGCCGTAGTCGATTCGTGCATTGCCCAAGCTGACAAATCTGGTACAGCATGCTCGGTATTGCGAGTATGCCTCGATGTGAGCCGCTCGCAAATCATTCCTGAAGGCCTATTCAGGCCATCAGGGGGATATCCGGGGCGCCGGCGCATTTATGATCGCCTCATGTGCTAGGCATGTGTCGTTGTAGGTGGATGGCTCTGAAGAATGGGGAGGCTCATGGAGCATCTGGACCCAACTTCTAGCCGCATCTAAAGTTCATCAGACTCCAACACCTCCATGGAGAGCATCCATGCTTAACCAATCGTTGTTGGGCATCCACAGGTTTTGGTCAAGTCCCATCCCATACTCTAATCCATTATCTGCACCCAAGCCATCCGCACCCCCGTCGTAAGCATTGTTGATCTCCGAAATTCCAAAGTCTTGTCGTGTAACTATTTCTGGAACACTCACACTCGGTTTTGTAGGGACTTGAACTTCGGTGGTTGGGTGCGGCAAATCTGGCGAGACTTGACTTTCGGGCACCCAAGGGTCAGCGACGAGCGAAGGTGGGAATGTTGAATCGGTCATGGCAGACATTGAGACAGGAGTCATTGGAACAAACTGCGTAGGGTCATTCATGCCATTGTCATCCATAAGGCCGTGTTGACGCAGGGTTTGGGAATATCCATTGTCGAGAGAAAGTCGACCATGAGGATCTGGGGTTCCTGAAGGCACGCGGATGGCGATCCCGTGAGATATCAGCCTCTCCAAATCAACTTGAATGCCCTCTGCTGTCTTTCCTGCGCAGCAAGATTTGATTGTTGACAAACAGATCTTGGCCCGCTCCATAACGGCATCCAGGTTGAGATCGTATTTTGGACCATTGGTATGGTATGCGTAGGTCAACACGCGAGCGCATTGATACGCACAAATAGCCATGTCCAGGTCGGTAACGGGCTTAGCGTTGAGCTTGTGCATGGAGGAAAATATGTTGGCCATCGACATGGCATGTTGAACACACTGCTGTTGACAATGCTCAACAAATCCATCGTCAAGAGTGGCCAGGATTGCACGAGGAAGAGCCTCGCGAAGACCGCCGAGTGCAAGACGATATAGATCGATCTGACACTGATGCCACCAAACGTGGATCATGATAAAAATGCAGATTCGAGGGGAATAGGCCCGGAGTCTCAGTGAGGTTTCTGAGAATTGGAAAGAGGCGGGTAGGTGTGTCGCGAAGTCGCTGAGATCTTTTTGAAGTCCCCAGATGCCGGTTTGAAGTTCGTCAGGTTTGGTAGTGCGAGTTAGCATTACACGACGAGAAAACTCCATGATACGTCGTCTCATATGCTGTATTCGAACATGAAGAGCTAAACTTCCGACGTCTTCAGCCTGGGGGTTGCGTGACTTGTCTGGGTCATGAATAAGTCTTTCGGTTGGTTGTGGAAGGTCAAATTCAAAGTTGCGCTCGTTGCATGGCAATCCTACATGGATTTTATCAGCACTCCACAGAGAGTAGTCACGATATCCGCCTGAGACACCCGAGTCGATACAGTAGAGTGCCCACATGAGCCGACGTCGAGACTCTTGAGCAAGGAAACAAAGATTTGGAGCTTCGTGATTCAAACGTAAAGCTGCAGCATATCGTGATGCTATACTCAACAGCATAAAAGCGTTTGGAGATTTCTTGGACAGGATACGATGCTTGATAATTAGGACAAGCGCTTGCACTTTGATGGTTGAAGGCCGTGTGTAATCAGCGAAAATGAGACCCTCAGCATCGTCGATACACCTTTCACCGTACTCCTTCATGCCAGGACCCATATCCGTAAGGTACGATGTTATGCCAACCAGGGCCAGCAACAAAGCCTTCTCAACCTTGCCCGTATTGTATCGTCCTTCAAGAGATGCTCGGTGTAGAAATGAGAACATAGGAATATGATGGACATGATTGAAGAACTTATTGAAAGTTCGGCCTATTAGAGCGTCGAAAGACTCGTCTGGGAAGGGACTACAACTGTGTTAGCCATGGGAGCTTCAACTACGTAATGAACATACATTTCTGGTGCAAACCCTTGGGGCGTTGCGGTGCTGGCCGGGTCGGTCAATCCAGGGTCGCTGTCATTATGACCATCCTCTCGATCGCCCTCTTGGCTTTGTGGGCTGCGGCCTTCTCCTCTCAAAGCAATGCGCGCCCTCTTGCTTGGTCTGTAAACACAGTCAATGCCTTGGGAGCGGCAGCGATCGCATGCGGGCACATGGCCGGAACATCGGGCCTTTCGACTATGGCAGCTGATGCAAGCTTGTCGAACCCGGCGGCGCGGTAGAGCGCCAGATAAAGCACCTGTGTCGCCATCGTCGTAGGAGCAGGGAAAGCCTAGTCGCTCACAGTTGGAGCAGATGTCGCGGGCACCATTGCATCGTACCTTGCGAGCGCGACAAGTGGTACAGGTCAAGGAGGACTTTTTAGGTTTGCGATCGGGTGAGTTGGCGTGGGAGGCGGGTTGAGAAGGGTTCACGGGTTGCTGAGACACGACCGGGGTAGAGGAAGCTGTGGCTGAGACGGGAAGAGGAGAGTCGAGGGAGTGAATGAGGTTATTCGGATGGTCGCCTGCGGCGGAGGCGAGATCCATGGCGACGTCGGTAGTTCAAGGTGCATGGAGGGACCCAAAAGCTGGGGATCATGAATATCAGCTAAGCAGCAGTTTTTAAGAGCAATTCACCAAGACCAACGTCGACATCGACGGGGGCCGCAAGGCGGAGAAACGATTTGTTTGAGTTGAGTTCTTGGTTCGTTTTAATTAAGAGAATTTGTAGTGATGAAGATGATGTTTAGTGAATGGTGGGTGGGAGTCAGAAGGCGGGCAAGTACAGAGTAGTGGAGGCGAGATAAGGAAGGAGCACTGGGGCCCTGGGGTTCTGGGCTCTAAGTTAGGGAGCCTTAGCCTCTCTGGATACTACGTAGGCAGGTGCTGTAGGTTGGTGGGAAAGCGGGACCGGAAGGAGCATGGAAGAAGATGGTGGGTGTACGGTGAGTAAGATCGGCGTCGATATAGTGGACGACAGCAATTGACTTTGACGTTATTTCCAGAATTGATACCAAACTTATATTTAAGAGGTTATTAGTACATACTTATAGTTTACCACGTTATTATAAGATTTCTTCATTGTTTTACCATTGCATTCTGTACCGTAAGCGTTCTTTAAATCAACCAACACCCTGACTAGCCGATGGAAAACTCATGGAACGACGTTGTGCGGAGCGGATTTGGCCCACAACGCTTGGCAAACAAAACCTGTGCTCATGTCTCACTGGTCGATGATCACACAAAGGTCACCGCCAATGTTTATCAGGGGAAAGTCTTTGTCAGTCAGTTTGTCTTGTGTTTTTAGATATGATGTGTTTATTGACCGAGACGAGACGAGCTCTTTCCAGGCCATGCATGGTCATTATCGCGAGTCAGTCAAGCTATGGCAAAGCCTAAGCAACAAGATTGGGCCGCGCAACGAGATCACCGACCACCCGATCGATCCATTAAGCTGACTTCGTAAGGACGCCTTCTCAAGTTCCCCGCAACACATATCCCACCATCATGGCCAGCTGCAACTTCTACCGAAGAGCATTGCCAAGTTCCCACAACGAACAACTCTATCGCAAACACTTCCTGACTGCAACAAGGCAAAAAAGGAAAACCTGGGGATACCAATGAGAGCGAGAATGGACCGAGAAGCGACGCCTCAGTCCCGCTCGAGCACATCGATCCCGGCGCGTGGGCTTGAACTTTGAAAAGGTCTCCGCATAGACTAGGATATTGACCGGGATTAAAAGTCAAGGTTTGGACGCCGTTGACCGACACCAAATTTGGGACAAGAACCGTTCGAGACTAGTTGCTGCTATTCATGCTGGGGTGCGTATCTTTTGCAATTGCTTGATTGAGTCAAGGGCATCTCCCCTGTAAAATCTGAGAGATACTCACAAGACCAATCGGTCAAGGATGCCGACGGTCCGAAGTGAGCTGATCAAAATCGCGCGACCAACCGAAGAAAAAATACAGACAGCTCTTTTTCAGTTTAGCGTTTTTATTAGTGGATTAGTGGGCATGCAGGATGACGCTTGATAGGTAGCTGCGTCATTTAGCCGACGGCCGCTCCGACTCCCGGAATATCATCGTTTCATCCCCCGTCTTGAACTTGGGCATTTCCCGCACATAACTAAGCAGCCAAGTGGAAGCTGAAGCATAATGAGGCATCAGAAATAGAGGAATATGATATGATAAAACACAGTCTACGTGCTTACTCTTGTTACATTCGTGTCACATATTTAATCAACTTTTAATGGCGTTAATCTCGCTGATATGTATCAATTCCTGGCAGCAACTCAACTAACTGATCCATGTTAGCTTATTGCCGTTACCAACTCCTCTGTTCAACGTCAATCACTCGTGTAAACACAGATTATGAAAACTCCGGGCACTAGCCATAGCTTGCGGAAGCTCCTACGTGTTTCCCCGCAGCTTGTGATCTATTTGATCGTCTAAGCTAGCTGCTCGGCCAATGGTGTCGTGTATGGTCTGATTTGCCTAACATTCATTTCTAGCCTCTAGCTAGTCTGTCTCTATTATGGATCAATCCATTTTTCAAGGGCATAGTACAAGCTACAGGGCTGTGATGTGCTACGCTGGGTGATGTTTCTTACTTGGCCATGATTACTTTGAGAAAACTTCCCATGCTGCCACTAATATCAACGATTTTAACCATTTCTAATACATGTACTGTTCATCAACATCCTCCAGATACCCTATCAAATCCTGCGTCCCAGGCGTACCACACGCCCACGCATTCAAATCCAGCCCACCGCCATACGCTGGCTCAGGTGGAGGTTCGGGTGCCGCATCACGGCTGTCATCTACAAAATCGGACTGTCGAAGAAGGCTGTGTATGGCGAGGCGCTGACGGTTGTAGGCATCCTTGGAAAGCTTTGATGAAGAAGCTTGATCGGCTGTGGTGACTGCGCCGGGATCTGAAGATTCGAGCCACTGTTTGTGCTGCTGTATAACTCTCTCAAGCTCTTGTCGCTAATGCTAAGTCAGTTCCCGTCCGAATGAATTGGTCAAGGTTGTTTTACCATTGATTTGAGCTGTGCTGAAAAGTCAAAGTATCGGGTAATAACATCGAGACACGACTGGGCTTTGCTAATAGCTGTCTGCATCAGTAGGCCTGTGTTGTTTCCACCAGTGTATGCCCCAAACAACAGAAGCCTAGCACTGTGATATGCACAAATAGCTGCGTCAAACTCCAACGTATCCTTTTCGTCCTTGTGCTTTACGAAAGCTGACAAAATATTCACAATCTCCTCGGCATGTGAAATGCATTTTTCTTTCATCGACGCCTTTTCAGACACAGATATGCATTCGATAGATGCGTGGGGTGTCGACTCGGGGTATTCTGTCAGAAACATGCGGTATATATCGCAGTGACACTGATGCCAACTCATGTGCTGATGCATGTTAGATAAGCCGGTTGCAGGGTAATGAAACTAACCATTATCACATATTGAGGTGACAAATAAGCGTTTCCCCGACTTGAGAGCGGGTATTGGTCGTGAGGTGCAAGTTTAGTCTTGAGGCGAAGAAGATCGTTCTGAAATCGCTCCATCGACGAGAAAACCTCAGAAATATTAATTTCCTTCAGTGATATGCGTCGATTAAGTCTTATTATAGCACGTCTGATGGAAGATAACCGCACGAACGCAGCACGAGAACCCAGAACCTCAGGCTCCAGCCCCTTTCCTGGTTGCAAGTATCCTGTAGCGACATGTCGCTCTTGGTAAAAGTCTTCATCTTCGCAGGGTAGTTGGAGGTAGATAACGTCAGGGTCGAATAGCTCAAACTCTTTCAGACCAACACAAAAGCTATCCTCCAGCAGATACAACGACCAAAAAGTCCGCCTTCGGACCTCTTGGGCGACAGGGCTTAACTTGGAATGCTCATAGTTAAGCCGCAAAGCTGCAGCCCACCTTGCCGCGAGACCAGCCATTATGAATGCCCTGGGGAATTGTCCCACAGCAGCTCGATAGCGTATGAGAAGAAGAGAAGCCTGGATCTTGAATATGGACGGATGTTCAAGACGTTCGAGTATGAGGCGTTCAGCTTCTTGAGCCCAGTCATCACGGTCATATTGATAGTCATCAAAGTGGATTGCCGTGATGGAGCATATTGCGAGCTCGAGAGCATGGTCAATTGACTTATCGCGACATCTTTGGATAACTGTGGCTTGGTGAAGGAAGCTGTATGATGGAAGGGGGTATAGGCGGTCAAAGTATAGACTAACAAGTCCAATGACCAGCTCATCCGAAAGCGAAGGCGTATATTGATCAACTGTTGAACTGAGAATGTTGGATTGAGAGCTAGAAGCTATACTTGATCGTTGTATTTCAGGCGAAACAGTAGTTCGAGAAGCCGATGCAGAAGCCGAGTCATCTCGAGATGACGATGCCTCAGTAGGTGACGACCCAGCTTTTGAGGCGTATGTGCACTGCTTGTTCCTCCGCTGGCAGTTGGTACATTGGGGCGTATCACCAGAACAGCGAACTTTCATGGCCCGACATTCATGACACGCCTTTGTACCGCGACACTTTGGCGGGATACGAGGCGCATACTGGCCACCGGAACCGTCTTGCTCGAAGGAGCACTGGAAGCTTAATCGTTCACAGGTGCGGCAGCGAGGGACTGTGCCATCACATCGGACCTTCGGGGAGTCAACACTGGCCGAGTACCGGGGAGAGGTTCAACGTTAACGCTGTATTGTGTGCATACCTTACGAACTCGACATTGAACACAAGCGGCCTTCATTTAGGGCATTCGAGTGGTTGTTTCTATCAGCGAGCATTCCAGTGCAGAGCGTTGCAGGTTTCTGCTTGCCTAGGCCACCACTAATGTTGGTTTAATGCGCAACAAATAGTATCAGCCCTTCCAATGCCACTTCTCAAATGTCAAGTAATAATGGATGTAAGAGGCAAATGTTCGGTTCTCTACTTGTACACATCATACAGATATTGCCTTGGCTCACAGCCTTGAGCAACTACGAGTCCCTCCGATACAGAGAATCGCCTTGAGCACGCAATTGTGCGTAGAAAAGATGGCTTTTTGGTTTGACTTGAGCATTTGAGTATCCAATAAACTTTGTCGATACTCCCCGTCACATCACTTCGCCCTGCGATGGCGTGCGGGGTCTCCGCAAAATAGATCCAATCATGACAATTGCAGACCGATACGCGCATATTCGCTTCTTATCTCGGTTGATGAACTCCCCGACATTGCTGGAATCTAGCATACCTATGTAAGAGTTCTTAATTGATGACTTGATTAAACTATAAATTAAACACTACAAGGGCTATAAGCTTGAGCAAATAGTGGCAGAACACCCAAACCATATCATCTCCTAAATCCAGTAGTTCCATGCTCAATACACATTCTCTCCCCCGTAGGCGTGTGAATAGGACCATAAGTCCAGCTTCCCCCAAGCCCTTGCACAGCATCCTTACGTTTCTTGGCACTCATAGCCGCAACACCCTCAAGACCTCTCACCCACGGCGCATCAGCTACATACCAAAGCGCTCCAGCTAGACTGCGAGGATCCACAGGCAAATCTGGCCATTTGACAAGTAGACTGCACAGCATGGCAATGACCATTACGAGCAGAATGCCAATGCTGAGACGGGAGCAATACTCGTGGGCTTCGCTTGTTTGAGTAAGGCTGTATGGGACGTTGGCGAGTAAGATCGGTAGGAATTGGGCGAGGAGGGTGGTGAAGGCTGTGAAGAAGAGGAGAGGATCTCGTATTCTTAGGGCAACGAATAGACCCGACACGGCGTTTGTTGCGGGTGTGACGAGAACTGATCGAGTAGGCACTTGAGGGTCTTCAGCCATCCGTCGGAAAGGAGTGATAACAGCAACGCCTAGAAGTGTTAATGTTAATTGTAATTGAAGCAGAGCCCATGTCACTTACTGGTAAAGAGAAACTCCATGCAAAAGACGACAATAACACCGAGAGCAGAGCACACAAAGCGCACACCGAATTCTTGGCTCTCCATGACCTTCTTCATGTTCTTGGGCAAGTCGCTAAAGGTATCAACAAAGTGATAGTAGCTGATAAAGCCAAGCAGGCAAATTAAGAATACTAAGAACGTGAATCGGTACCAGAAACTCAGAGCCATGAAAGTTTGAGGGGCTCGACGGCGTGTTTGTGGTCGATAGGCCATACCTTCACTATACGGCACGTTCACATTGCCATAAGCGGTCGAAATATCGCGATCAACATCTCCGCATACAACAACGCCATACTCGTCTCTTCCCTCTTGATTACGGAACCACCCCACAGAGAACCTCTTCTCCGTGACGGCATTTTTGAGGTTCTTCCAGTCGTTGGAGGCCATAGGTCGAATCTCGGGGTTGCGAGCAACAAGAGCTGCAGTATTGGCCGCGCACCAGGGGTTAGCAAAGACTCCAGTGCGCCAGTGACGGCTGATAACGCTGAGTGTGAAAACGAGGAGGATTGCAATGGCGCCTAGGAGACCGACGAGGGCATAGGCAGCTTTGTTGGAGACACCGAGTTCAAGAGCACAGCCGTCGATGGCGCCTTTGCTGCAACGGCCGTAGATTTTAAGACCGATGGCTTCACTGGACAAAGGCGCTACGAGACTTGAAGACCATAGAGCTAGGGACGTCAGGAAGGGAAGAGGCTGGTTGTTGAAGAGAAGCTTAAACGGGAGGTAGATGCTCATCCAGCCATCGAAGCTGAGTAGCAAAGCTTCACGCCCTAAAGCACCGCCTTGTCTTGTAAGTGCAGCAAACGGCTGATACTGCTGCGCTGCCTGGTTCAAGGCGCGTATTGCCATAGCTAGAAGAACAGCGACGATAGGCGGAAGGAACTTTCCGATAAAGTACCCGGATTGTGTGAGCGTATGTGTCGTGGCTTCAACAACGATGCGTGTATCACCAGTAGGCTTGGAGACATCGGTGATGATGACTTGCGTTGGCGGCATGGTTGTCACACGTGTTGTGCCTACTGGCGTTGTCACCGAGGTCACAACCTGTCCATCCGCGAGTGTCTGAACCATTGTGACTGGCGGCGGCGCATCGACGATTGTTTTGACAGTGGCTGCGACTTGGCTCGTTCGAATCTTTGTAACAGCAGGCTTAGCAACCTTTCCGTCCGAGCCAATAGTGAGGACAGAGTAAAGCGTCGTTGTCCCAACAGAGGCATACACGACTGGGGTTCCTGTACGTGTGGTCTCCTTGACCGTTGTGCGGACCACGCCGCTTTCTACGACGGTGATACTCGTTATTGTCGCTCCAGACGCTACAACGGTCGAATATTGGGGCTCGTAAGTAGCACTTTCGTCCGAAGCCAACGAAGGAGCTGGGAGTTCTGTGACATAGGTTGATGCCGCTTCGGTGATCACTTCTGTGACAGTGACCTGTCCCGTCTCGGTGAGGGTCTCGGTAACGTCTCCGACTTCGACTGAGCCTGGCTTGGTGACCATTGTTGTGAAGACTTCCTCGACGAGTGCTGTTGTCAAAGTCTCGCCCTCGCCAACATCAGTTGCGGTGGCTGGGGAATCATCTGCAGGTTCAGGCTCAGAAGTCCCTGTCTCTTTGGCGCCAGTATCGGCTCCTGTTTCGGGCTGGGCTTCAGTGGCAGCTGTTGCACTTGGCTGGGAAGGTTCGCTAGCAACATCCTGTCTCTTCATGAAGTACAGGTCTTCGTTCGCACTTCCAAATGATCGGTTTTGGAGAGTTGCGGTGGTGTCCGAACCGTCCAGAGTGCGTGTGGCGTATATGATCAAGCCCATCAGACCTAGGAGTACAAGAATGAGGGCGCTGATGAAGGGCCAGCTTAGGGGGATGGGACGATAATCAGGTCTCTCTCGTTTTCTCTTCTCTTGTGATCCTGCGTCAGTCTCGATAGGATATACTTCCTGTGCTGCGACAGGCTTGTATTCGTAGGTGTTTTGTTGCTGCCAGCCATTTCCATGCTGCCCACCATCTGCCTCGACGGGATAGGCCTCCTGTGCTATCACTGGTTCGTACTCATAGGCGTTCTGCTGCGGCTGCTGTTGTTGTTGCTGCCATGTTTGGTTTTGTAAATATGGAGGTTGATACATCTTGTCAACGGTAGGGCTTCAAGGCTTGTGTATCCTCACCGGGACTGGTTCGAAGCGAGGACAAGTCTATATAAGCTACCACCAGACGCAACGCCAACAGCCGGCTTCTCCACTCTCCGAGTGCCATGGCTGTGTTAGTCCATGCGCAGGGGCAGCATGGCTGGTTTTCGCTTCACCAGCTGTCATTAGCAAGCTTCTATTGGCGAGCCTCAACAGTTGAAAGACTCTAAACGCAAAAGACAGGTGTGGCGTCTCCCTTGAAAACCGGGATTGCAGAATGCGGCGTCGCTATTGATGGTTTGGCGGGTGGTCATTGGGTCAAAGAACCGAATGGTGCGTAGGGCTGAGGTTAGACAGACCCGATTGAGAAATGCCAAGCTCGAGCTGAAGTTTTAGACCGTCTAGACCATTTAAGCTTAACGATGCTGCATTTTTAGGGTTTGCAGATTTACTTTGAGCAAGATGTCATGTGTTAATACTTGACAGGGCGGTACAAGAACTTCAATATCAGCCAAGTTCAGGTAATATTAACAGAGAGTATAGTCCATCACAATTCATATGCTCAAGATTATACTTGTAGACATATGAAGAATATCACAAACAATTATGGGCTTCTCTTCACCCCTAGATGAGTGACATACAGGGGGGTTCATTTCCACTAGTCTACTCTGTAGGTAAATTCGGCAATTGGATGCCTCCAAGCCAGACAGCAGTTAGCCTTGCACTATTTCCGCATTCCAAGTTTAGTTTCAGTTTTAGTAAAATATTGAATTAACTTTATTATGACAAGGCAGATTTAAAAACGCCTCTTGTCCAAATTCCCAGTCCCAGTTCCCGGTGATAACAAACGCCATATTATCCCCCTCAAGCCATTACTCCAATTCCATAATAAACATCTACCAGCCAAGAACGTTGAAGAGACTTGTTCTAGGGTCAGGAACAGAACCGTTGAACGTCTTTGCCCGTGCAGACTCGCTCTTGTTGGTGTTGTACTGGCTGAAGGAGCGGTCGAATTTGCGGGATGTGGTCATGAGTTGATTGCGAACGTAGCCGCCAACAACAGAAATGCTTCCAACGACGAGAAGGACTGGAAGGACCCTGAAAATTGTTAGTTGTGGAGGCTGCAACGGTTGGAGAGTTGAGGCTTACTTGGGGGCAGCAGTAGTCTTGATCATGGGAGCGGCCATTTTGAATGAATTGATGTGATTGGTTGGGTGTAAGTCGAAGTGACTGAACAGCTGATGAAGATGTAGATTGTGGTGGTGAGAAGATCTCAGTGGTTGTTATTGATGTTTAATGGTGATGATGATGGGGATCGAGAATTAAGAGCGTTTGTCTTGACATTATATATTCTTGCCTTGAAGCTCATCGCGTCGAGCTCCGAATACTTCGGAATATCCGTCGCATGTTGATAATCTGACCTGACTTTAGGTGCTGTTTTTGGTGGTGCCATAGAATGATCCAGCCCCAGCTGACACTCGTAACCCTGTCGGGCCATGCCGGGGGCCGTACCATGGCACTGGGAATCAACATCTCATTCTGGAAGTTTAAACATGGAAAGGAATTGGTCAATTCCAACATTGAGCGTAAAATTAATTATAGATTTTATTAACGTTATTAAGAATTGTCCTTTACATTGATACTCGGTCCTATCGACAACATGGGAGTGAGTGCTTCAACTACAGGGGTTAAAGCACTATAAACACATCGAAAAATCACCAAGTATTTATTAAAATAAATTCATTAAATCAATCATTCTTCAAATCTGAATGCGATATACTCCATTAGATATTCTGCCCCCGGTTGTGTCCGTAAAGTCGACTGTTACTGATGGCATCTCCAAATCTGGCGTCTCTGATAAAATCATCCGATGGCCTGACCCGGCGTCTACCGAGAAACACCTACAGTCGCTGAGCTAGTCCGTAATTGGCACGTCTGTTACAGTGCAGGCTATCCCCGAAGTGTTTATCTGCAGGTTAGTGAACTATCCCAGTACAAGCATGAACAGGTTAGCTTAGGCTGGATGGCATATCTGAGACCCTTGCCAAGCTCTACCTATGGTGGTAAACCTCTCTGGTCAAAACGACAACTACAAGTTGGAGGCCCTTGAGCGATGCTTTACTTAGGTACGAGCTAGAAAGCTCACATCTTACAAATACATTCTCGCCGTTTCTGCACCTTTTTTATTTGTTTATGACCAGCACATTCATTCACTGGCACGTTTAGCAATGAGCAATAAAAGACACAGTACAATACAACACAGGCCCTGGAAGGTATTTTCTCTCTTGTGGTACTACTACTTTTCATCCATCGGATACTTTGCACGATTGCAACCAAGGTTAACAAAAAAAGGTGAAATTTTATCTTCTGCGTTGCGGGGAAGAATAAGCCACCAGAAGTCTGGCAAAACTAATGATGGCTGGTCTGATCTGCTGCATTGTGAAAGGATAATTCCTTTCTCAAAAATTCCTTTTGAGCTCATGGCTTTTTTTTGTATGAGGTAGCTGGCTTTGGTGACGAATTATACGGATGAGCGATTTCCCATCCGACACAAGGCTGTCTGTCAGATGTACTCTCTTAACCGTGAACTCAAAATGGTAAGGATGCCAAGGATTTCACTCACATCCGTATCGTTTTATATGAGAATTCCAATTACCGCGCGCTTATGCATTTCCTAGAGTGCACAAGCGTATCTGATGAACAATCCGTACGGGCGCGTAGAGCACAGCGACCCGGACCTTACCATATACATCCGCAAATTCAGCGCAAGCGAAGGTACTATGGCCTTTTGCGGAAAGTCGGCCAAGTCTCTTTGGCACCTCGCGGGTTGCCATATTGAGGGTGAAAGTTCAATCGAACTTTTTTTCTTCAGGCGGCTGGCTGGCTCGGCTGTCAGGGGTTCTAGCAATAGCCTATTAGATAGACTCGTTGGTCGAGGGGTGAATAGATATCACATTCATGACCATGTCGACTCCGTAGCAGTACCCATCATCGAGCCTATGTTGGCTAATGATCATCTCGAGACAAGTGTGGCACAGGGACTTAAACGCGGTCTCCGTTTCTGCGACCTTAGAGTCACAAGCAAGCGCTTGCGCACTCTGACCTAATGACTGTGCCGAACCTTAAAGCAAACCACGGGCACTATTTTTTGTGGTGTAAACAGAATCTAGGACGTGTTTCCTATGTATAAATGCCTGGGGCCGTCCCATCGTTTTATACCGTGAATCAAATTCAGTCCTTATATAGTCGCATCCTTTTGAGACATTAAAGATGGCAAGATATTTTGGTCAGACTTCGCCAAATGAGTTGAAAGAGCTTGAACGCAATGCAAATAGAGCAACTTCAGAGCAGTTGGCCAAGGCTGCCTCCTACCTCGAATATGCATTCTCTGGTCAGTTTTACTCCTGGTTTGGAGGCTGGGCGCTCAGGCTTCGAGGGTCCCGTCGGGAAACCAGGGATCTGGATTTGCTGGTTTTGGCGCGTGATGTTCGCGACATCCGGGTAACCCTTGCCCCTTATGACTGGTATGTATTATCTTTCCAATTTAAATCCGTCGTCTTTAACCTTATCCTAGGGCCATATTGTCATATTATGAGATGACAGGCAGTATCCAGGAAAGAATGTTTGTGGACATTGGCCAAGATGGACAACTTGTTGGTGTTGATATTGTACTCTCAGGTGCGTATGACTGAAGGGTTTAGTCTCTATCAAAATGATGTAAGATGCTGACTGGCGGAATCATGTAGGCCGGCTTGACACACCAGTTTTGAATGAGGAAGAGTCATCTGAACTGATCACGCCCAGCTTCTCGACTCCCCAAGGTGAACAAGTGCCTGTTATTTGCCTACCCTGGCAAGTTGAAGGAAAGCTTAAAACTTGGATGGCAAGGAAAAAGGAATCAGACTTCCAAGATCTTGCATTTCTACTTCAGAAATACGAAAGTAGTATCAAGGGTTGGAGTGAGTATCTCCCACAACAGGGGCGACGAGAGTTTTATGATGTGTATAAAGTATTTATGGATGACAAATCCAAACAAAAGGTCATGAAGAGAACCCTGGGCCTTTGATAGGATTTTCCAAACATTGGGCGATTGTATTAGAGAATGCAAGCAGGCAGTAGTTATCTATAGAAAGATCTGGGATATGATTATCTAACGTTAAATATACTTCAACGCAAGCCCTATACAACTATAAAGATAAGATCATAGTTAATGTTCAAAATGGGATCGGGATTCAGATAACATAGCTCAGAGGATTGAGACCACCCATTTGCTATGTGGTATATTCATCTTCGCCAACTATCAACCTTAATAATCATCAGAGAGAATAGTCCACGGGTCCGGATCGCCTATGATACGGTATTGCGTGATGTAGACATGATCCGGCTTTGTCCAATCCAGCCTATCTTTCTTGGTCCGCACCTTAGACTGCCACATCTCCCTCCTACTTTTCGGCGCATCCCAGGCGAAAGGTGACCAATGAGCAAATTTGCCGTTCTCAAATTCACATCCACGTTTATTTATATCTTTGGCCCACTCCACATCATTAAACCCTTCGAGTTGGAGGTTTTCTTCTCCCCATTCTTCCGGTAGGTCAGTGCCGTCGACCACATCACAAAGTTGCAACTCGTTACGAGTATCCAAGCAGCTTTGGATAAAGACGCTTAGCTTAGGATAAGGTAGCCCTCTGAGGCTGCGTGTGATATTCGAGGGCTCGCAAACTATGTGGACATCTTGCGCAGGTACCAGGATGAAGTAGAAGTTGGTGCCTTTGCCTTTGAAACGATGATATGTATGTAAAAGGGACATGCTTGGCTCGGGCCAAGGTTCTACTAAAGAGTAGTTGGCCGAGTGTGGTTCTGATTGTAATAGCTGCGCAGCTTTACCGATGAGTTCTGTCGGAATAGCGATTTCCCAGTCCTGGTAAATCGGTGCCCAAGAGTCAGCGACCCATTGATTGGCAATGAAGGGTTAAGAAGTTAGAAGACACTCACCGGACGCAGCCTGGCAGCGCCATAGAATATAAGCGCAGATATCCCCACAAGGCAACATGGAATATCAGATGCCTCAAGGATTCGAGTGACCGTAAGAGCATCGTCTGTACCACGACCGCCATTAGAAGCTGGCTCTTCATCTCCTAACTTCCATGTCATTTTGGAGGGATCGGGACGGGCAGGGGGAGGGGCAGGAGGCACCCCGGATTTACGACGCGGAACAAACATGACGTTGATATGTAAGATGAGGTTTAGATTGCCAGAATAAAGTGTTGATGACGGGGTAAAGAAGGGCCAGACTTGAGTGGAAGTAATCTCATGAATAGCTGAGCTTGGTAGACCCCGCTTTATTATGTTAGGTAGTGTCTACTCCGCACAACACCCTGGAACTTATGGCCCCACAGTTACCGGTACCTGTACGGTATAATGATGACGGTCGGCAATGAAGTATTCGGAGCCTCATGTCGAGTAGTGTAGCCAATTTTATCGTGGTCTAATCAATCGTGAGTTGAATATGATCCGCAGATAATCACGTCTCACTGGTAATTCCTGTTAGTGAGAGTCATTCAGAAACGGGGTTCGAGCCGCTTTTGTTGATAGGGAAGCGATGATGAGATATTCATCGTCTAGAGGTATGAACAACAATTTGCATTCGGGAGCCATTGTAGCTTGAGGTCTCTCAATTGAAAATTGCAATGAATGTCTATCTATGTGTATTTTAATTGGAAAAAATACTACTAATGCTACAATTGTATTATTGCAATATATCCTATCATAGTCATCAAATAACATCCCAACCAAACGTTACGATCACCTTCGCAACGCCTCGAGCCAAAAACGGCGATTTAACAACAATGACATCCAATAATCGTCAGTCCCTCTTTATCCCTGGAACTTTCTAACGCGGGGGAGTGGAAGTTTCCAAAAATACGCAACTAGCTGGTGTAAAGTAAGAACCGTCAGACGTCATCGTCATCGCCTCATCATTTCATCCAGTCCTTAAGTCATTGATCTCAAACCGTTCTCTTTTAAATATCTACACAGAAAACACTGGATATTGTTCTTTTCTACTGCAGTATACGCTACATCAATCAATTGATAAGAAACATCACATAATTATGGCGCCGATGCGAGCTATTCTTCGTCCCGTGGTTCGCATGTCGCTCGTGCGTCCGCAGATTCGTTTAAAGGGCACCAATCCGTCGCATGTTCAACCAGATGGTAATCTCGGTGGTCCAGGAGGACAACAGCCTGCGCCTTCAAGCCCAGGCGGTCCAGAGGCCCTCAAACGAAGCTGGTATGTCGAATTACACTCCCATTCCTATTACTCATAGCTAACAAAGTCAGGATGCCCATTGCAGCCGCCGCTGGTGTACTCGCTGGGGGTGTTTGGATCATGCTACCTTCAAGAGGGAGATCACCTGAGCAAATCTAGCTGCCAATTCAGTTTAGGTTATGAATCATAGGAGCGAAGTGGTAAAAGGATCGAATTGTATCATAACGGGGGCTTTTAGCCCAGAGTATCAAATTGTCTTGTCTATCAGTGTTCAGCCATGATATGTACATTAATATCATCATCAAAAAGTAAACGCCTCCAGTAATCGGAATCCCGCTTCCACATCACTTGTGCTCTTTGGTCTCATCCACCTTCTTTTGCAACAAATAATCACCTCCAAACACCGCCTTATACACTCCCTTTAATCCTTTTATAGGCCACCCTGTCGTTGCAGTTGACTTCATGAGCTTCTCGTCACCCTCAATATCAACCTTGACTTTGTCGTATACATTCGGTAGATACGACGCTCCGTACTTTGCTCTCAGCGCATCATACGACTCCCTGTTGTAATGTGACCAAAACTCATCCTCTGTGTAGTACGCTTGTGCGTAAAGCCACTTCTTTCCTCCACATTCTTGCACCTTCTGCTCCAACTCGCGATTCTTTCGAATAGCATCGCGACGATTTCCCGACAGAGGCCCCCAGATGCCAAAGTTGAGTAGATCCGACGTCCCAGACTTTGCAAACTCCGCGTGCAGACCGTGGCCTGAGTTTGGATCCTCGCGACGGACGCGTAGCGGACATAGCCAGAGAGGATAGATGTGGAATTGCTTGTCTAGCCAGTTCTGAAACTCAGGTACGCTCTTGTATGGCACGCCAACGTCTTGCACCATGTAGTAGTCAAACATATTGCTTTTATGGCCTGCAGAGTACATGACGCGCGCTCGGAGGAGGGGGTCCAGAATATATCGTGTGATGCGGTTGAACGGTGTGACAAAGTAGTCAAATGCGTACTTTGCAACCCAGAACCCGCCTCTGTCGTAACGGAAGAGATAGTCTTTTAGCGGGATGTAGTCGGCCACGCATGTTACTGAACCCATCCGTAGACCATCTCGTACCTTTTCCACATGGAGGTAAAACCACTTATCCTTGCGTCGATTCAAATGTCTTATTGTTGCGCTTATTGGGACCTCATCCACAAGCCGTCCAGCGCATATCACACTGGTGTCTTTTGAGTAGACGATGCCATCCACAAAGTCGTTTTCCCATCTCTTGCACTCCTCTTTGATGATCTTGACCGATTCAGAAGGGCCTCTTGCAAGTCTGTACTTGAGCTCAACAAACTCCTTTGCTTCTTTGAGCTGAACCTCGAGTAATGTGACGACGCCGAGGGTTCCGAATGCCGAGGCAGCTCCCCAGAACAAATCCTGCTGATCCGTCTTTGAAGCCCTTGTAACAGTTCCATCCGCAAGAATAATCTCGATCCAGTTGACAGTCGCATCGAATGCGCCGTATCGAAAAGAGCTGCTTTCTCCCGATGTGCCCGAAAACCCACCTCCAACGGTAATAGCCGGAAACTCCATCACGACGAGTGGAACAAGCCCATGCTGCAGCGTCGCATCGACGAGGACCTCCATTGAAACATTTGGCTCGACAAGAACGGTTTTTGCGTCTTTGTTCACCTCGAGAACATTGCTGAGCTTGCTCGTATCGACAGTATTGTCAACACGGCGATTTGAGTGTCGTGTGCTGTTAGTCGACCCATGGTATAATCGGAAAGGCTCCTGGCGGGCGTGGAAGTGCTTGACTCTGTCAGCAACGCCGGCGACGATAGTTTTATGCGCTTCCATCATGACATGGATCGCAGAATTGAAGAATGAGTTTTGTCAAGTCAAAGAAAACAAAAACAAGAACAGAAACACTTGGCATGAGTCGTACAATTCTTTCAGCGTGGTATCGTTTCGGAAATAGCAAGGAATGATCCACAATTCCTGTTTGCTTACCCCCAAGAGTTTTTATATTTTCGTCTGAGCAGACCAAGCCATGACGCTGATCCCGACATATCCGAGCATCACGTTGGTCTCGAATCATGCATGGACAATTGCGCTCTGGCTCTGGCTGGAGTTTCGGCTTCGGCTTACTATAGTATTACTCCGTAAGTACTAGCGAGTTGCGATCTGAGCGCGCCACGTCAAACACGTCAGCCCTGCTTTGACCCTATCTACAAGTATTTTGTCCTAGCGTAGCCGATCTCAATATGACGTTTGAGGTTTCATTGGCTCAGCTCAAGATGCATGAATATCTTTATTTTGCTTGTGATTGGCACACGATTCAAAACAAGCATGGTCCACCTTGGCTCTGAGCCTGGGGTGATTGCCTTAGTCAAAAGCCAAGATTTGGAAAAGATAGGTAAACAGGCTCATGGCTGATTGTATTCTTAATAAACTAATCAAGGGAAGCTATAGTCTTTAGTCCTGCCGCGTCTTCTTGGGCGACATGGATAACGGGGATATGCTTTCCTCATCATCCTCATCTTCCTTCTTCGGCCGTCGGGGCACATTCACGCTGCCATTCCCGTCTTCCTTCTTCGGCAACGGAAACAAATCACGTTCACCATTCTCGTCTATCTCACCATCCTCCCCTAGTTGCCAATCCTCCTCTCGTGGCTCGGTCCAGTAGGTTACCATAGTTGACAACACAGGCTTTCGTTGTCTGTCCTTGAAAACAGGCGTCGGGGTTTCTCCCTAAAGCCTCGACAACACCTCATGGTGCTCCTCTTCCCTTTCATCGAAGTCGTCCGATACATCAAAACCATCTGGTATTTCCACTTCTGGCAACCCTCGCAGTGTTCCGCAGCGCATATAAATCATCGGGTTCTTCCATTCGATACGAGCTCCAATGGTCCACTTGTCGAGATATTCTTGGGTGATGCAAACTCGGCAATTTGCTGGTATCCATCCGTCAGACTGTAGTTGCCAGCCGATTGGCATTTTGGCTGATTTGTTTTTGGCCTGCTTTGCAGAATGACTGAGTAGGTCGTGGCCACAGTCGTGAATAATCCGATGTGGGCATGGCTTGGTATTATATCCAGCAGTTTCGTTTTGGCATGGTCCGTTGAAAGGACAAATAGGAGATGCCCCTGGGTCCTCCTTATATGCCTTGGTGAGCGCTTCAAAGCAAGATTCGCCTAGAACGTGGCCGCAGGGAAATAACACAGGGCCGTGAGACTCAATGGGGTCAGGAACCCCAAGTTGCTGGCAAGGTTCGCGACAGAATGAACAACGATAGCGAATGCAGGCAAGCAGTAATATTTGTGTATTACGGCGGTCGTTGCTGCGGAATCTGAAGGCGACGAACCTCATCCATCTAACGCAGTTGGTCCAGGAGGCCTGATTGGGGAGTCCGAGATTGAGCAGTTTGAGACTGTCGAAATACATGTCGCTCATGTGAGGGAATAGCGATCGTAAGGTAAGCATGTCATCGCTGCGTGTATTCCCTTGGTCGGCCATTTAGATGGGTTGATGGCGTATTATTCTGTGCTCTATACCCATGTCTGTGATGCTAATTTGATGATGTTGTTGAAAGTCAGTTGACGCTGAATTGTTGTTGTTGTTGTTCTATTGGGACAAGAGTGCCTTCCATCGTGTACCTTCTTAATTCACTGGTAGATGGCAGTTGCCTTGGGCTTCCCATATTAGAAGATGCCTTCCGAACATCACAGTCTACATGCCGTGTCTATGCCACCAGGTCAGATCGATGGTATTGATTAATACCTATTCCTATTAAGGTAATGTCTGCCAAGTTTTCAATATTTACTCCAATTACATCATGAAACCCTTTAGCTAAAGACCTTCTCGTTCCTTCTCTGAGGCACATCATTACGGTTCATCTGATTCTCATCTCTTCGTTTGGGCAACTCCCCTGGTGCCATGTTCGTTTGATCCAAAGCATGCCCAACCCAGGTGTACCTCAACCAACACATAGGCTTGCATGCTATAAACGCATCTTTCTGGTCTTCATCTCTGTAAAATAGGGCCAGAAACACCTGGGCCACGAACACAGCTGTGTTCCCTGCGCACCGTGACAAGTTCCCAAACCGAGTGTCTTCAAAGCGAATTCCCAGACTCTCCAGTACATACTCGAAGGACATTGGGAGATTCTTGAATCGAGACTGAAGTCGACTATCTCTCTGGAGGTCCCATGTCTGAACATAGGACTCTCTCAACCATTCCAAACCTAGTCTGCTGAGTGTGTCTTCCACAGGCACCGAGTTGAATGTGATAAAGATAAGTTTTCGAAACGTTCCCTTCCCAATCTCATCCTTCAATCGGTTCATCTTCCTCAATGCCGCAAAAAGACGATACAATCTGTATGCAAGCTCATTTGCTTTAACCAGTTTCGACCTCCCAAAGGCAAACAAGAATTGCTGCGGTTGACCTGATTCGTGTTGGTGGTCTTTGTACTCCTCCACGATATAATGAAGGGGAGTCATGAGTTTGAACCAAGCTGATCCACGATCTCCAGGTATAACATCCTTGCCTCGGCCATGCAGAACATCCCTCATATCCATATACGCAACCCCAGCCTCGGTGACTGGGTGGCATCGATAGGGTATTCCAGGCGGTGATCCACCACATTTGGCAAGGTGAAGACGTTCAAATGCTAGCGCAACAAGAATACAGTCAGTTGCTGGTATTTTTGAGAACTGAGTGCCCTGAGGGTCCAGTGTAGGCAGGACGCTTTCTATGTTGTCTGGGGGTGTTGTATAAAGTGCCTTATTGTGAACGAAAGAGAGCTGGTTCGTGTCTTTACCAGAGAGGAAAGTCGCATTAGATAAAACATCATTCTCTTGACTTGAGGTCGACATTGTCAGAGCAAATTGGTATGGCCAGAACTCTATCAAAAAGTAGAACACGGAGAGGGCAATTGACTCGCAACCACAATGCCTCGAGTTCACGGATAAATTATATATAGCAAGTTTTCCTTATTTATATACGCCGAATCATCCATGATCACTTTATATTGATGTAAGTGATTAGATGTAAGAAGGTCTGTGAGTAAATATCTCCTCACAACAGTTTGCCAGTGATCCGTGCCCACGTTTGTAGTCGATCTCCGATGTCAGACAAACAAGAGCGAAAGCCCAAGCCGCGATCATGGCAGAGCACCGGTAATGACATGCTAAAGAAGATATTCTCCCGCATTCAACGGTCTCATCTGCCGAACTAAGACACATCAGACCAACATATTTGAGCTGCATATCTAGGCATGCGAGTAGTTGACGCTGATCTAAGGCAAGAGCAGTCCTTCATTGAGTCTGCTTCTATTTCATAAGTCTATACGAATTAAACGGCAAATGAGGGTATTGCAACAGGGCAAATATTAATCAGACATATAATTTTGACTTCTAACAAAATTCCCAAACCACATCTCTGAAGAACCGATCATATGTCAAATCCTTCGGATCGTAGCTCACAGCTTTGGCATGGCTGTCAAATACGACCCTCCCAACTTGAGCATATCAACAGCCTCCTTGACCATCTCATCAACAATCTCCCCTGCCGGCTGTATCTTGGTAATAGCCCCCGCAACCTGCCCCATGATATGCGGAATGTCGAAATCGTTCTCCTGCTCAAAGTCGTGCTCCATCGGGACAACGCCCCGGTCACACAACTCCTTGATCTTGTCAGGTTGCTCGTGCCACTTCTTGATATACTCATTCGTCTTCATCCTCAACGGGCGTCCAGAGATAACAAGCGTTCGCTGCGTGTCGTCGTATCCACACGCCACAACCTCGTTCTTGTGCTCCTCGCTGCAGCTTGCTTCCACCGAGGCGACAAACCGCGTGCCAACCCACACGCCTGCTGCGCCCTGCATCAGTGAACTCGCGAGACTACGGCCAGAGGAAATACCTCCGGCTGCAAGGACTAGCGCGGGCAGGCCTTTGAGGAGGGGAGGGTAAAATTTTGAAGCAATGTCTGCGACTGCAGGGATGAGAATCGAGTTTGCTACGTCTCCTGTGTGACCGCCTCCTTCGCCGCCTTGAGCGCAGACCATGTCTACTCCAAGCTCGAGGGCTTTCGTCTAGGATCATGTCAGTGAATAGTCAACGCAGTACTTTGTATGAACTTACTGCATGCTTAGGATGGCCAACCATGTTCATCACCAGGATTCCCTTGTCGTGAAACCTCTTAATCACCTCGGGTGGTGGAACGCCTACTGCACTGACAAACAACTTGGCGCCGCTATCAATGATGATGTCCACCAGCTCATCCAACTTTCCGCCTGTGTAATCATGGTTTGTCTTGCGTGCGTTGCCGCCGATTTGAGGAAGTGCGAGGTCGACTCCGAATGGTAGGTCAGGTCGTGAGAAGTTATCCTTCATCTCAGCGAGGATCTCTCGGAGTTGATTGGGTGTGTACTGGAAGCCACCGATTATACCGAGACCGCCGGCATTAGATACAGCTGCTGCAAGGCGACCGCCTGATACCCTAGCCATACCGGCCAGGACTATGGGGTGCTTGATCCCTAGAAGGGACGTAAGTGGTGTTGTAATGGGGCCTGGTGCCGTCATGATTGTGATATTATGTGTGATAGATATGATAAGTCAATGTTAATAAAGTGGAATATATGGCAAGGCAAGTTTTGTATACAATTGAACAGTCGGGTCAATGAATATGTATGGTTAATTCGCCCCCAGTCTCGTCTATCAACCGTGTGGGGTTCGGCTCTTTAAACATCACGAACTGATCGACAAGTTTGCGGGGGAGTTTCAATCGTGTCCGAGGCATTTCCGTATTGGGTTACCAGTTCGCATAACCATGTGCCTGCACTATAAGATGCATTGCCGAGAAATAGTGCAATTCCGGTTCATTAATGCTTAACGCTGCATCTAGACTTATCCTTCATACCCAATACACGTATCATCGCTGGCTCAAATCCCATACTTGGCTCGGGTTGGTATCATACGTAAAGTCATATGTGACAGTCGCTGCCATCACTATTCTCATTAGTATTACGGAGTGCAGCAAATCAAGTCGTACGTTGCGTCTCCTCCATAATTTGTTATCATTGGAAGTGTGGTAAACGTGCTGGAACGAAATCCGTCTTCTCTGGTGACTCCGTGCCACCGGGTGGTTGTGGACTCTTTGCGCGTTGTGACTCGCCTCGCTTCGGTAGTGATTTATCGTCAACCTCTTCGACCTCTTCCACTTCTTCCACATGTTGGCAGGCGGCCTTGGAGGGCGAAGCTTCATAAACATCATCATCTGCCACCTCTGGTTTTGTGTCCAAGAACCGTGGTTTCTTCGGTGTGAGGCCTTTTTCCGCTGCAAGCTGTGCTGCCGCACGTTTCTTTCTTTCAACATCATCATCCTCTGCTTTCTGTAGCAGGTACTCCTCTCGTTCCAGATCGTGCAGGGTTGGCGTATCCTCAACATCTGACGTAGCAGAAAGAGAGTTGGGTCGGTTCTCCATTCGGTAGTCGTCCCTGGAAGAAACTGAGCCTAACGTCGTTCGTGACACCGTCCTTGATCCTGCCAGTCCGCTTGCTGGTCTTTTACCCTTGCTGCTTGTCCTTCCACTTCTTCCACTTCTATCATCTTTCCTGACCATATCATATGTCACTTCGTCATCGAGTGGTATTGCATCTTCTTCACCTTCGCCGTCACTTGGAAATAAATCCCCTCGCGATCGATATGAGTCTGATGTGTCGCCTGAACCTGTCGTCCCACTACGCTTTCTAGGCGCTGGTAGCTCAAAGTCGGATCCGTCATCAGAATGCAGTAATGGTTCGTTCTCTCCGTCGCCGTGTCGTTGTGGATGGTCCTGTAGATCTGCCGCACTAGGTTTGTATCGTAGAGTACCGCCCACTTTCCATGGTAACTTGCTGAGGAATCCAATCGGTTGTGTACTGGGAATTACGGTCGGGTCGTCGTCGATACTTGGCTTTCGTCGTCTGTCTCGAGTTCCATAGCTCATACCGCGTTTCTTGCGCGGTTGTTCTGTCTCTCCACCGTTATGCTTTCGTTGACTGCCGGTCCCTGCCAGCAGTCTATCCCAATCCTCGTTGCCCCATGCTCCAAACAAGCCGCTCTGCTCTTCCTCATACCAGTCATCGTAAAAGTCGAAGCTGTACTCGGCCCTACCATGTGACAGTTCCCGTTCTCTGCGCCTTCGTATACGGTCTTCTGGATCGCCTAGACAAACAGTCGTGCACTGTTCAAAAGAGTGCGCGATGGAGGAGAAACACGGGGTGATATAATTATGCTGAAAAGTCCAGATTCCTGCTGCTGCATTTTCAGTGATAGTCTCGGTGTCGTGCGTGATCTGGTTCCAGCGTTGGCGAAGTCGGGGGTCCTCGAGGAATGCCATTGTCTAGATGGTGTATATGACGTCGCAAAACATGGAAGCGCCAAAATCGCAAAGGTGTTTTAGATGGTGCAAGAGGGTTTGGAGAGCGAATGGTTGATCTTGGTAATTACTTTGAATTAATCAGTAGACATGATCGCAGAGGTGATGATTTGGCGATCAGCGGCCAAGCACAGTATCGTGAATTGAGGCTATGGCAGGAGTTCAAAAGTCGACTGCTATTGTAAAGTAAGATAGCGGTTGGTTGTGGCACGTGCAGCCGTGTGAGACGATTGACACCTGAACTTGTTGGGTGGTTGGTTGAGTGGAGGTACTTGAAACGTGCGTGTTTGATGGCTGGCGAAGAAGTACCGGGATCCACTGGGCTTGAGATGAATGATGTATGACTTCAATGTTGATAAATTGATGGGACCATCAAGGGAGTTTAAGTTTACACTCTACTTCAAGTTGGTGTCTTACACGTAGATCTGCGTGGAATGTGTGCGAGTGAAACCAATAGATAATTGTATTGAAGAGGAAAACAGCAGTGCTTGGCTCTAGTATCATGCAATCAAAAAAAAAAAAAAAACCCCAGAATAACTAGCGATGATAACGACCAGTTTTAGTCCTTCAAACTCTCTACTTTCTTGGAATGCGCATGTTCGCCAGTATCCTATCGATCAATTCCTCCTTGGTGGCCTTTGGGTCAGGGTGGAGGTTTCTCTGTGAATGCTTAGCCTACGTCAACAGTTGTCTCACGATCTCACTTACCTTGTCCAGCCATAGTCGACATTCTTCCCTAGACCATGTCTTAGGATCACCCGCGGGATCTGCTAGAGGAGGAAACACTCCTTGGCCATCGTTTCCCCAGATAGTGTATGCTGCTGCCATGGAGACGACGCCTCCAAAGACTGTGAGTCTCAGTTAGTAAGTGGCTTACCCTGCAGATGAGAAGTACTAACAGAGGACGACGTTCTGGGAGGCAGTCAGTGGTGTTCCATCATATAGCATCAAGCATGTTTAAATCATAAGTATGCATCTCCCTTTTCTTACCTTGGATTTCATAAGATTATCGAGTTGGGTAGGCATTGTTGATGTTATCGTAAGATTTGCTTAACAAGCTAATTTGTGGCAAATTGGTTGTAATAGCACCAAGTATCGTATAGTTCAGAAAGATATCAAGAAGGAGTTAAAACAGCCAAGTGAGTATAAATACACTGTCAGCACCTTAAAACAGTCAACTCTGTCTTCTATCACATTGAAAGGTGGCCGCTTGATCAAATATGTTGCTGCCTCTCATGCCTGCGCGCCTCCGTCTGCGCCACGTATCGCCACGCCACACCTCGGTGGATCGGCCACCAACTCTCCCGAATCGATACTGTCAAGTCTACCGCCTAGCTACATGGTCCGTGCATTTTTGAAGCGCCCCCGCGAAAAGCAGCGCACAAAAATGCCTAATTCCTCAAAATCAATCGAAATCGCAAACCCGACAAGTTCCCCTGTTCAACCCATTCCACCTTGAACTACCGCCAAGATGCCTCAGGAGGTCGCTGATATCAAGAAGGTACGGAGAATGAATTGCTGCAATGCAGAGATGTTGAAATGCTGACTTGAATTCACAGTTCATCGAGATCTGCCGTCGGAAGGACGCTTCCTGTACGTTTTTACGATAAAACTTTGAAGTGCGAAACACCATTCGATTCTAACAATCTCCAATAGCCGCGCGGATCAAGAAGAGCACCTCGACCAAGGACATCAAGTTCAAGGTCCGCTGCCAGAAGCACCTCTACACCCTGGTGCTCAAGGACACCGACAAGGCCGAGAAGCTTAAGCAGAGCCTCCCCCCCAGTATGCTCTCTCCGACGACATTCTCGATTGAACGAAATTTACTGACATTCTTTTGCGCCAGACCTGCAGCTCACCGACGTCTCCAAGAAGACCAAGAAGTCTAACTAAGAAGGTTGTTGAATAACGGGTTACTCTGGGTGTGGGAAGATTCACATGCACAAATGGGCGTCTCGGGATACCTTGCATTTCATGTGCTCTGAAAGGAGGATACTCGGATGAAGTCCAAAAAATAAAAGAACGATTCGAGTCACAACTTATTATTTCGGAATGTGTGGTGAACGTCGTGAGCGCGCTAATGCAAAAGAGGCTTCTGTTCGAAGCGGGAGACTTTGGTGTCTTCCATCCTCACCACAATGCTGGACTCAATCGCATCCCCAAAGCTTTGAGATGCGATAATTACCAATTCTTCAGATTCCTCTTTCTCGACTCCATCCTGCCCATATCCTTCGACCTGGTTCTGTGGAGGAATTGGTCTCGATAAGACGATATTCTTTTTCAAGAGACTCTTTCTCTTCAGGCTTCACTGATATTCTCCAGACCTTTACCGGCCCTTTGGCGAGGACATCTCCTCGGAATTCATTTTCGCCAGCAGGAAACAGGTGGTACAGGTCCACGGCATCATTTCCCTCCTTAATCAATGCCTTAATGTCGTCCATTACATAGGCGTTCTCATGGCTCTGGATCCATTCTTTATGCCCCTCCACAGACTCCCATGGTGCTGTTAGGAGCAAGTGCGGCGACTCATCCTCGCTGATCCAGCAGTCGGTCGTATAATCGTAAGGTTTTCCTTCAAGGAGTTGTGGTTGGTGTTCGCGAATCCATAGTGCTTGAATTTGCTGGCAATCCTTGAGGAGAGCGCGGAGCCTTTGAGCATCGTACCCAGGCCTAAGTTGCATGAAGGCGTTTTCAATGACACCAGCCATGGTGTAATATTAGTGTTGATATTGGTGTATGTTTATATGATGGTGATGAAACCACGAAGGGATATTAAATATCAATGTGTTGATCAGGCATCTTCGACTGACGCGAGCGGGGATTCTTTTGATGATGTGTAGTCGATGCCTAAGCTACAGGACCAACTTTGGTAACCAATGAAGAAAACGGTGGCAACAAAGAACAGTTGATCCTCATCTCAAATGCATGCTATTCTTTGCCTGGATTCCCGCCCTCTAGAAACTTGAAAAATGTCAAGGTATTCCCATCAGGGTCCTGTATAGCAAACTGTCGATACCCCCACGGCTTATCTTCAATCTCCTCTTTGATAGCATGCTTTCTCTGCACCTTGATAACCTTGTACAGCATGTCTAGCTGCTCGGTTCCTAAAGCGATGTATGCTGAACCGGGGTTGGCAATACGACCATCAGGTTTGAAGAAGTAGAGATTGGCCGCAGCTTTTTCGCCAGCAAAGATAGAGCAAAATGTGTACTGGGAGGGAGGTCCGTCTTCAGGCTTGACACCACCCAAGTCAAAACCGAGAAAGTCAACATAGAATTCGATAGTCCGCTGTATCGACTGTGATTCAAAAGTTGGGATAATCTTCCACGCGGAGGCAATCGGTGCTGACATGGCTGGCTGGTGTCCCTAATTTCTGATGGTTGTGTAGGTATTCGTATAGAGATGCGAATACGAAAAGTGCTTCGAGATGCAACAATCGAGAACACCTCTGCATTGTCCAGTAGCAGGTCAACAGAGTGCAGTACTGTACGGATACGGGCACACCAATGAGGGTATCACTGCATGGATGCATCGGTATATTTTCCCGCTGTAGTCATGATTTAGCTGCGTCTTGCAACGATTTCAAAAGTTACTTCGGTAAATATTTTCTAGGCCTGGGGGAAATAAGACTTCAGACGTGAGAAATCAAGTAGATGTAGAACTGCAATCGGCTTTAAGAAATAATCAAAAAGTTTTTCAATATTAGACCAAGGCTTAGTGATTATTTTAATATTAATTTAAAAGCGAAATAATCTTATTTAAATAATCTTCTTTTATATAAAGTCGTCTCAGTTTTCGTCCCGCGTCTGATGTTTTATTTCACCTTGAGGCTGGGGTTGCCTCTGCCTCTGCCGTGATTACGTGCTGCGGCTTGGAGTCTCAGAACCTGATTCATAAAAGCTTCCTTGACCAACCGGAGCGTATGGAAACAGACAAAGTCTCGTTGGCGCATCAATAACCAGCTGAGCGGGATAGAACGCGGGGTCATACGCCTGGGTACCTATGTTTTAGTAGTTGGGTTGTTAGCATCATGTTGTATTGTCTTGATTGTCATCGTCATCTATCACGCGGCCGCAAGTGCCGATTTCTATCAAGTTGTCCTCCCCAGCTTACAGCTGTTTAATCGTCTCTAATCCTCGAACTTGCATCCAACCCGGGACTCGCCGTTGCCCTTGTCAAAACTCGATCCATATTGACTTGTTTGTTCGATATTCCACTCCCGGTTGCTGCATCTATAAATCGCCGAAGACCGGGAATAAAGAGACGACCTGAAGTGTAAGTCGCTGTGGTGGGCTGAGTCTCCAGAAAAGTCCAAGCCATAACTTTTTAGTGGCAGACCGCTAGTTGAGTTCTTCCAATTGGCGGCCTATTATTACACATTCAACCCAGCAGCGGAGGATAGTTGGTGTTGTACTTGTCTCGAGCAACATTTGTCTTGTACGCAGACTCATTTATCCATCACGAAGTTATCACGCAGAGGCATATGTTAACCACTATGTATAGCGACTAACTTAGTAGATTGCAACCCAAGCCCCCTAGCCCCGTCTTGACAAGGCTGTTCCACCTGGTCTTGTCTGATCGTTGGAGGCCCTTGATAAAGCCTGCAGGTTGCTGCACCATCGAGGCACTCACGTCCAGATCTTTGCCTAATCTGGACAACGGCGTTTCTTTACATCACTCGCTCCTGCACACATTACGCACTTGTGTTGATAAGTCCAACAAGTGAGGTGTGTGTCAAAAGGCAGGTACAGTGATCAGGGACAAAGACCCGTCCCAAGGAAACTGCGGGGGGTCTCAATTGCAAATTACGCCAATAATTCTGTTCAGTTGTGTTCTGGACTGGCAACTAACGCTCCTCTGTGACACTACAATTCCTATTTCTGAACCCATTCATGCTCGAGTCTACCTACCTAACATTAGCTTGCATTTATTGTCGGGCGTGCAAGTCCCGTTGTTGTCCATTGGCTTTTGACTTTCCCAGGCGTGCCAACTTATTTTAACTTATTACACCCCCGCTCTCGAATTTAAAGGACGGCCACCCCCTGACGATGGGTAGTAACCAGAAGGGCAACCTCTAATTTACCAGCCCGGCCAACTTCTCTTCCTTCTAATTCTCTTCTTTGCATTGGCTCCTGACCAGCATTGCTTCTTTCCGTTTCATCTACGATCCTTAATCACTATTTACCTTCGACGACACGTCAATTCAGACGAAACAACACCGCACAGACACCATCGACAGGGTGCATCGACCACGTATTTGGACCACGACTCAACACTACATCAACACGCGCGACCTCAAATACGTCCTTATGCCGTCCTTGACCCCAGCCATGGTTAACGGGCTCACCATTAACCATGCCAATGGCAACGGCAATGGCCATTCCCATATCTCAGATTCAGGCTCGGAAACGTCTGGTGCCTCCAGCAATGGCAGTGCCAATCGTCGCATTAAATTGAGCCGCAAAATGTCCAGTCCCATGGCACCTCCTTTCATGGTATCAGCACCCGGAAAGGTCATTGTTTTTGGTGAACACTCTGTTGTTCATGGCAAGGTATGTCAGGTTCGGCTTGTTGTCGATCGTATGCTTACATCGCCTTTGGCGCATAGGCAGCCATCGCCGCAGCCATCTCGCTGCGATCCTACCTCCACGTTACCACGCTTTCCAAGTCAAAACGTACCGTCTCTCTTCAATTCGCCGATATCGGTCTTGTTCACACCTGGAATATCGACGACCTACCATGGAACGCTTTCCAACACCCGGACAAGAAGAAGTCATATTATTCTCTCGTGACAGAGCTCGACCCTGACCTCGTCGCTGCGATCCACCCACATATCGAAGTCGTCTCCCCCGACCACCCAGAGGATATTCGAAGAGTACATCACAGCTCAGTTTCAGCTTTCCTCTATCTCTTCTTATCGCTAGGATCGCCATACTTCCCTCCATGCCTTTATACTCTGCGCTCGACGATACCAATTGGTGCTGGTTTGGGAAGCAGCGCTTCAGTTTCAGTATGCCTTGCATCCGCTCTTCTTCTACAACTGCGAACGCTATCTGGTCCTCACCCCGATCAACCCGCAGACGAGGCGCGACTCCAAGTGGAAAGAATCAACAGATGGGCGTTTGTGTCAGAAATGTGTATTCATGGAAACCCTTCAGGTGTGGACAATACCGTTGCGACACAGGGTAAGGCTGTGGTGTTCCAACGAACAGACTACACCAAACCACCGGCAGTTCGACCATTGTGGGATTTCCCCGAGCTACCTTTGTTGCTGGTAGACACTCGACAGTCCAAATCCACCGCACACGAGGTCGCCAAGGTTGCGAAGTTGAAACAAACACACCCTAAGCTTGTAGGCACCATTCTTGATGCTATGGATAAGGTTACCGATGCTGCTTCCGAACTCATTCAGGACGCGGCTTTTGATAAGGATTCAGAATCGGATCTGAGCAAGCTTGGTGAGCTTATGACTATCAACCACGGATTACTTGTATCACTGGGCGTTTCCCATCCTCGTCTGGAAAGAGTCCGAGAACTGGTCGATCACGAAGGCATCGGGTGGACAAAGTTGACGGGTGCTGGTGGTGGTGGATGCTCCATCACACTTTTACGACCTGATATTGACGCGGAGAAATTGCAGAAGCTTGAAGGACAACTCGAAGCCGAAAACTACGCCAAGTTCGAGACTACTCTTGGAGGTGACGGCATCGGTGTTCTTTGGCCAGCTGTTCTGAAGAATGGCACAGAAGAAGATGACGAGGGTGGAATGGAGATAGATCGTGAGAAGTTCCTCGAAGCAGAGGGCACCGAAGGTGTTGAGAAGTTGGTGGGAGTTCATGGCGATACTGGAGAAAGAGAGGGATGGAAGTTCTGGCGAGTTGAAACCCGGTAAGAAATACTAATAAAAACAGGATATGCTGAACCTGTTAAGCATTTACTCAGTGTACTACTACGGTTATAAGCCATGCGACGTCGCCATGACCAAGGGAATCTAGAAAAGCGGTTGGAAAGGATACGCTTGGTTTGGAGTTACATGCGGTCGCTTTAGGGTATATATATGGGTTTAATCTAGTAATGCGATATGTTCTTTCTGTTTACATTTACTGCCGTCTGATATTCTGTCATTTATTAGACCCAGACGAAATGAAATGAAATGTTTAAGGCTTCAGTATCAAGTCAGATTACATGACAATCATTCTACCACATCGACTATTCCTTTGAGCCCTCGCCGCCCTTCAGCAGCGCTACTCTATACTTCCAATATCCCTCTCGCACAGGATCCCACTTCTCACCTAGACGTCGCAGACAAAGCTCAGCCTTCTCCTTGTCACCTTCTTCATCGTACAATTTGGCCAAGAAATCAAGCGCGTGAGAGCTTCGCACTTCCTCTGCCTCATCACCAAGTGCGCTAACAAAGCCTTCGGCAAAGTCCTTGAGGGAGGACAGAGGCCGAGAACCCTTGGCCAGTACCGCAAAGAGATAGTTCCATGGAGACTGGTTCTGTGGTGCGAGACTGATCTTTTCTTTGGAGTAGTTGATCTCACGATCAAGCGTTTCGGCTGGAACGCGAGGGTCTGCTTCTGTAGGCCCTGAACTAGGCGTGGAGGCTGTTGGGTCTGAAAAGACCAGGTAGAAGCGGTGCGACCAGGCTGAGTTGTTTCGCACATCTTCCTCAATGTGGTTCTGCGTAGAGAGAAGCTCGCTCATAGTCCACATGGACAGCTTGGAGACGAGATACTGGCGATACGACCAAACATGATAGTTCTTGGCATCCTCTTCCAACATAGTGGTGATAAACTGGGTCTCCGATCGAGCAAGCTTACGCACTGTCTGACTATCCTCCTCAATCAGAGGGTAGTAGTAATCCATGAGGAGTTGTCGATGGTTCCAAATTTGGTAGTTCTTCAGATTCGCCAGTGCCACCTCGTTCAACCAGTTGATCTCATCGGGAATGCTGAGCTTGAGAACAGAAATAATCTTGAAGCGGAACAGCCAGACGGTGTAGTGTGCTGGGTTCATGGAGATGACGTGCTCAGTGAGACGTAGACTTCGTGGGGAGCACTCATCTGCTGCCATCACAGCGCGGAGGTAGGAGACGGCTAATATGCTTCTCAGTCAGTCACTCCTTTAGGCTCTGTGGGCAACGACGGACGTACCCTCGGCATAGTCGTCCGGGTAGGCAATCTGCGCGAGGGCGCCCTCGGGTTCGTTCTGCGGAATGGGAATGACATCGTCCCATTCGGGGTCCTGTGCCAGAGAACCCGTGATCTCGCCGTACAAATCCCTCTTGAGCGCAGCCATGGCTTTTCTCCTCGTCTTTTCGGCGTTGATCTCCTCGGTGGATACTTCGTTCTGCAGTTCTCGCTTCTTGAGGAACTGGCGGTGTTGGATTTGCAGCGATGTGAGCTTGGAGTGCTTAAGTGTGCGCTGTTCAAGCTCGTCGGGTGAGTAGGTACCGATATCCCTGCCGGAGCGGTCTTTTCCCCAGGCGTAGTCGCGAGGGAGTCTGCGGATGGGAAGGCCTTCTTTGGTAACGAACTTCCAGAACTCGCGCTCTGTTTTGTTGGCGAAAGGCACGCGGCGGTTAACAACGGGATGGATGAGGTGAACGTGTGCGTATGTCTTCTTCTCAGCGGGAGTCAGAGACGAGAGACCAACTTGCTGACGGCGTTTCTCGACGGGATTTGTCTGGAAGAAGTGCTGCTGCGAGCGTTGGGCGATGGTGTCTGGGGGAGATTCTGGAGCAGCTATGTAATGTCAGACAGAAGAAGATATAGATATAGGCAGTTGATGACTTACCTTTTGGCTCGGGATTTGGGGCCTTGGAGCTGGCTTTTGGCTTGGGTGGCATTGTCGAGGGTTAGCAGAGCTGGAGGTTGTGATGGATGGTGGGGTTTGTCACTTGGTACATTTTTGCTGTATGGAGATGGGTGCAGGGGACATGTTACCCCGCCAAAGTGAAGCTATTGTTCTCGAAGCCATATTAGAGAACAATACAGAGCACGTTCATGGCATCGAGTCACGGATATTGGGCAAACATGTTTGGGGGTGTATTTAACGCCGAGTGGGTTGTTGGCTGCTGACTGTCTATATAACTCCTGGTGTTTAGATGAAAGCATAATCGCTTGAAAGCCGTCCTATTGTCATGGTATCCCGCTCCCCATTATCTGCCAATAGCCTAAGGAAGCTCCGTCGCTTTCGCGCTTGGTATTTGGGTTGAGCGTTCGTTGGCTTTCTCCGAGCAGTATGGTCTGCACTCTATGCCTTCTTGACACGGGGCTTTTTGGCTGAATTGGCCTTGGTGTTGTCCTCGGCCAAAGCACTCTTAGATTTTCCAAAGCTTTTCTCGAACGCCGTTTCGGTTCTGGTCATGGGTATCTCTTCGTCCGTCGCCCAGCTCTACAAGGCGCGGAAGTTCTGAGACATGACGAGCCACTTCTTGACGCCCTTGGGTGGGAGTTTCACCATTGATTCCCAGTTGGGAACCAGCACAAAGGTCTCGTTGAACATCTTTTGTGGCGCCTCTCTGCCCTTGCCGTATTGTACCCTGCCCATGACAGTCACGAGGATGGACATCTTGTCGCCGGTTCGTTCCCTCTTGGCGTTGTCGAAGATATTCTCGGGAGCGCCCATGGTGAAACACGGGTTGAGGACGTGGGCGTCGAATGATTCGATCTCGTAATGTGCGTCTTTGCCTTGGGCTTCGAGGAGTTTGTTGTAGTCGGCGGGTGTGGGGACAACGGCACCGTTGATGGAGATATCTGCTGAGATAGGATATCGCGAGGAAGCGTTAATATAGAAGGGTAGAAGGTCCGTTTGTCGATTGAGAGCCTGATAGTAATGAGTGGTAAACGTTTCAGCAGCTGAGACTTTGTTAGCTGTGGGGTCTTCGCGACGCTGCAGACTACTTACCGTCGCTCGAGGCTTGCACCTCGGTGCTGGTGTTTGGCAGCGTCATGTTGGTGTTGGAATGTGTATGATATTTTTAAGATGAGATTTGGGTGAAGATGGAAAGAAGCGTAAAATGTGTTTTGGAGAAGATGAGTTTGGCGCAAAAGTAAATAGTCGGGCGCAAGCAAAACTTGAAAAGAAGCCTACGATGATGAAAATGGACAGTTATCGGAAGATTGCATTCGCACAGTGAATCATGCTGCTTATCGCATATTGAAGCTCCCGCGCGTCTGGCAGCTGCATGAGCCAGATCTCCGCATTCTGCCTTCAAGTTTAGAAATTGTCAAGACTTTATGAGCTCGAAATTGCTATGAGGGCATTCAAGCTTCAATCGCTGCAAGGCTTGCGCCAAGTGCAGTCAAGATTGCCTCATCAAGCTAGTTGGCTTCGTCCAGGATGTCGAGTTTATCAAGCGCCCACCTCGCGATGGAGTAGCTCGAACAGCTCGCAGGGCAGTGGGAAGCCATACTATGTGACTACGCCCATTTTCTACGTCAACGCTGGTGGGTTCTGCTTATTTGTTGGGTTGATAATTGCTAATTGGTGCAGCTCCCCATGTTGGCCATCTTTATACCATGGTCTTAGCCGATGTGCTTAAGCGATGGCAGAAAATCAATGGCAAGGAAGCATATCTTTGCACAGGTACCGATGAACATGGCATGAAGATTCAACAAGCTGCTCTGAAGGAGGGAATGCCACCCAAGGAGTTTTGCGATGACAACTCCAACAAGTTCAAGGGTCTGGCTGAACACTCTCACATCTCCCACGACTTCTTCATCCGAACTACCGACCAAGACCACAAAGATGTTGTGCAGGAGTTTTGGCAGCTTCTGAAAGCTCGTGCGCCCGAAGGATTGGGCTTATACAAAGGAAAGCATGACGGCTGGTACTGTGTTAGCGATGAGTGCTTCTATCCCGAGGACCTTGTCCAGCCTGGCGTCGTGCCGCAGACAGGTCGCAAGATCATGATCAGCAAGGAGTCGGGCAACGAAGTCGAGTGGGTCACAGAAGAGACCTGGTTCTTCCCCTTGTCCAAGTACAAGGAGAAGCTACTCAAATTCTATGATGAGAACCCTGATTGGATTCAACCAGTTACCCGTATGAATGAAGTACGGAATTGGGTTGAAAATCACCTGGAGGATCTCTCAGTTACTCGCCCGGCGTCAAGACTAACCTGGGGAATCTCAGACCCTGACGAACCTGGCAACACCATTTATGTTTGGGTTGATGCCCTTGTCAACTATCTGACCAAGGCTGGATTTGGTTCCAAGTGGCACGTTGGCGATCCCGACACAGGTATCTGGCCGGCAGATGTCCATGTTATTGGCAAGGACATCATCCGCTTCCACGCAATCTACTGGCCTGCTCTCCTCATGGCTGCTGGCCTTCCCCTACCGAAGAAGATTCTCTGTCATAACCACTGGACCATGTCCAATCGAAAGATGTCCAAGTCCCTCGGAAATGTCGTCAATCCATTCTCTGCCCTACAGCGATGGAACGTCGATCCCCTCCGGTACTTCCTCATGAGAAACGGCAGCTTCAAAGGAGACATGAGCTATGCTAACGAAACCATCATGGCTATCTACGAAAAGGAGCTACAAGCTAACATTGGAAACTTGTTCAGCCGCATAGCTCGCAGCAAGGTTAGCAACTGGTCAACCCAACAGTCACTCGAGGCTGCCCGAAGGGGCGATTTCGACAACATTGCTAGCTTTGTGCCTCAGAGATCCGATGAGCCGGACCAGACTGACTTTCTGGGTCTCGAGTCAACCTTGGACCGCGCTCCTGATGAGATCCGACAAGACATGGATGAAACCAACCTCAGCAATGCTCTACAAGGCATCTTCAGACTTCTTCAAAATGTGCATACCCTAATCTGTTTTCTATATGACTTACTGACGTCTCTAGACCAACCGCTTCATCACTGATACCGCGCCCTGGAATATCGCGAAGGAGACAGACCCAGATGCACAAGTCCGTCTCGATTGGGTCATCTACCGATGCGCCGAGGCACTACGCATCGCAGGCATCTTCCTACAGCCCGTCATGCCTTCAAGAGCTGCTGAGCTGCTGGATGGCCTAGGCGTTAAACAAGAGAGGCGTACAGTCGACTACGCTTGTAAAAATGCTGATCTTGAATATGGCGCGAAGCCTGTTCCCAAGGAAGGCTGGGTACCCAACGCTTTCCAGTCTCTGTTTCCACCCGTTGCGGGTATTGAGCTGCCAGATGAGGAGGCCGTAATTGATACCGACAATTCAAAAGAGCGCCAGTCCGGGGCCCCGAAAACAAAAAGGATGAAGAATCGATTGGGTCGTGTGGTGCAATCCTTGACTAACAAGGCCCAACCCTATGGAGTTGACAACGTCACTAAGAGCTCGACAAGATAAAGGAATGAGTGAAGAAAAGTATGTAGAGTACGTACGATATTATATATGAAAGCGCTTTCATGATGTGTTTAATTTGTATGTGGCTGCTATATGCTTTTCAGGTGCCCCATCTTGGGCTCGAATTTTCACCAATCGTGTTAGAATGTGAATATTGACCTTACAACTCACATCCAACAACTCGAAGATGAAGATCAACCAGAACACAGGTAGTCGCTCAAATTCTCGTGTATTTTATTATCACGGCTAATAGAGATCAGCGATCTCAACGAGCCGGGCTTTGCTCGTCCCATACGAAGCACACCATGTGCGGCAATATCATACATGGATGCAAGATCCAGTGAGTTCTCATTACCACCAGCGAACGTGTAAAGATACTCATGTGGCCTAGGATATCCAGGAAGCTACAGCATCAGAGCCCATGACGCTGGAGGAGGAATATGAGAACCAACAATCCTGGCGCACATCATCTGACAAGCTCACTTTCATCGTTTGTGCACCTCTCACCCAAGATGTATCACTCATTAAAGCCGGCACCGCTGATGCAGACGCTCTCATGCGCGGCGATATCAACTTCTTCCTATACCCGTTCGAAGCTGATGACGAAGATGAACCTGCCGACACACAGGGCTGGGTCACAGGCGAAGTAGACGTCATGATTGCTTCGCCCTCGCATCGTGGTCAAGGTCTGGGCCGAGCTGCAGTGTGCGCATTGCTAGTATATCTTCAGAAGCATATAGATGAGATACTTGCCGAGTATGGAGCACAGGAATTGAAGGGCTTGATGGTTAAGATTAAGGAGGGGAATAAAAGCAGCAGAGCTCTGTTTGAGAAGTTGGGGTTTGTGCAGAAGGGAGAGGCGAATTACTTTGGAGAGATCTTGATGACTATGGGGTGGGAGGGGGTATTGGAGAGGGAGTGGTGGAAGGGGGCGGAGGAGGAGTTTAAAGAGGTTAGGTATGAGTTGGAAGGTCAGTGAGGGCATTGGAGATGCTAGATGGTTCTGATATCTGTTTATTGTTTGTGATTTAAGGTGTAGGTAGGATGAATCGCCTTTGAGTGAACTCGGTATCTTGCCTGGTTACTTCGCATATCCTTTACTGGGGTTCAGCCTATCCAGCAATGGTTCTATAAGCGAACAATTTAGCTGCTATCTCGTATAGTTTCCGCTTCAATTGACCACTACTTTATGATGTGCTTCATTAACCACGGCCATGATGATTTAGGCAATGACTAAAACACATTCTATCTCATCTGACAATAGCACCCCCATTAACTTAACAGGCCTCCACCTACAATTAACAACTCCGGGAGACAAACCAGGGCCACTCTCTTTGGTGGGTTTATGAATGCATTAAAGCATTACCAAGCATCACTTCGTAGCTTATATATCCTTGCGCATGTTGATATATGGGTCTTGTGCCAAACCATCTTTTCTTATCAACCTTACTCAACGCCACATCACACTACAAGTCATATCATCGAACCATACCACATTTTCGTAGGCGGGATTACACGTTCACATGCATCATGGATCTGCAATGAGGGGTTCTTCAGCCGTAAACACACTCACCGGTTGGACTTCTCCGCTTTCTCGACTTCTCCGCGGATAATGTATTGCTGAACGAGTGGTTTATTGGTCCAATGGGTTCAACTTATCAGATGCCAAGACCAAAGGCGGAATTAGAGTTAGCGTTGTGTTAAGCATAAATACAAGCATCGTCCCCGAGTTCCATCGGAACATCGGCTCTCATCAGTTGATTCATACAAATATTGCTGTTTCAATATGTACTCCAAGGTCCTCTCTGGTGTCTCACTAAGCTTGCTAATGAGCAATGCTGCGGGCGAAGTCATTCATGGAGCTGTAGTTTTCTCCAGACATGGTGATCGTTCGTTGATCAAGTCAATTTGACGATATCCTCACTTACTTACAAGCACAGGAACCACCAAATGGTACGGCGCTCAATCCCTCACCAGTCTCGGCGCAGAGCAAAACTTCCAAGTCGGAAGCGACTACCGCGATCGTTACCTCGCATCTGACTCTGAATATCGTATCTTGGGTATCTCGGAGGATGAATATAAACCCTCTCAGATCTTCGCTAGTTCTCCTGACCAGGGCATTCTTATGAACACAGCCACGGCCTTTCTTCAAGGCTTTTACCCTCCTCTCGCTGATCTCGACCCGGAGATTGCTTCGCAGACTCTTAACAATGGATCAGAGAGTCAAGCTCCTCTCGACGGTTATCAGTATGTTCGCCTTCACACTGTTGGTGATAACTCACCCGACACTATCTGGATCAAAGGCGACGATGCCTGCCCTAAATACGTCACGGCCTCAAAGTCCTTCATGAAGAGCGACGAGTTCATCCAGCGTGAAGAAGAGACGAGAGAGTTTTATCAGCAGTTCTACGATGTTCTTTCTGAGGGAGTTTACAACCTCAAGCCAGAGAACATGACGTACCGCAACGCCTACAACATCTTTGATCTCGTCAATGTTGCCCGTATTCATAACAGCACTTCTCCAGCTCGCAACGTCTCAGATGAAGATCTCCTGCAACTCCGCACACTCGCCGACTCATCAGAATTGGGCCAGAACTGGAACGAGTCCGATCCTGCTCGGGCCATCGGCGCAGAGACTCTCTCTGGTGCCATCCTCAACCAACTAAACCAAACGGTGACCTCCAAGGGAAACCTCAAATTCTCACTGTTTGCTGGGAGCTATGACACCTTCATGGCATTCTTTGGACTTTCAGGACTCCTCAAAGAATCTTCCGACTTCCACGGTCTACCAGACTATGCATCAACTATGGCATTTGAGCTCTTCACCGATGATAACACGGATGAGTTTCCCTCAAACCCAGAGGCAGACCTCCGAGTACGTTGGCTCTTCCGCAACAGCACAGCCGGAGACCTAAAACCCTTTCCTCTCTTCGGAAGCGGCCAAGAATCTTTGTCTTGGTCGAAGTTTGTTACTGAGATCAAGGAGCGTGCTATCACCGATGTGGGAGACTGGTGCTCCAAGTGTGGTTCCGACGAGGACTTTTGTGCTGCGTATAAGGACGATGATGAGACTGTCAGAGGTAATAATGAAGATAAAGATGACAAGGGTAGCATGTCCAATGCTGTTGCGGGTGTTATTGGTGCTATGGTGACTCTTGGTGTTGTTGCACTTGTGGGAGCAGCTGCTTTTGTGCTGATGCGACGACGTAAGACAACTCGACGTGTTGAGGAGAAGGGTAGTGTTCGCAGTGGAAGCACTGATGGAAACGCGGCCAAGGTCTAGACTCGAGAATAGCCGAATTCAATAAGAGTAGAAATCGTATATCTATTTTCCTTCAAGCAACTAGTCAACAACGATCATACTATATATACTAGCAGTCTCTATCCAGATTCGCCGTCTGTCGTGTCGCCCTGTCGACGATATCGAGTGCGCCACGCAGCTTCCCAATATCCTGCTCCAATTCTTTGCGTCTCCTGGCTGTGTTCTCGTTCTCTCCACCAACGATCTTCATTTCGTCCTCCGAGAGACCTAGGATACGGTTTGTGTTGAGTCCCCGAACAGGGCCATCTTCAGCAGTGACGAATGCTTGGATGACGTGCATGTTGATGTTGCGGATAAAGGCGTCCAAGGAGATCTAAAGCGAAATTAGTAGGTGCGTATGAAGAATTGATGGGGTACCGTACCTTGTAGTATACTTTGAGGACGTCATGTACATCAATAACCATGTTATTCTGCATACTTGGGTGGATGGAGCTGAAGCAAGCTGTGAGATCACAGTCTGGGCCTGTGTAAGAGCTGATAAACGCCTCGAAGAATCTGAATTTTCGCCAATCAAAAATCTCATCCCCAAAGCGAGACCCCGTCGATTGCAGCCTTGTAGGGTTTGTCTCCATTTCGCACTGCGACTTGCACCTCTCGTCTGCCTTGGCCTTCGATTCGTTGAAGGATGCTGACAGAAGAGAGCCTAGCTCTTGTGACATGACTGCTGTCTCACCCTCAGATGGGCAGACAGAGTTGAGTATGGAATTTGTGCAGCTGCTGACCGTTGATGCAACTCGGTGGAGATGGCACCGTGCGATGGCGCCCCATTTCTTGACCTGCTCTCGATACATATCTGGATAGATGTCCGGGTTGATGACGCCGTCAAGCTGAGAGACCTGGTAGGTAGAGAGCCGCTCATCTATCGTTTGCAAAAGGTTGTCCGTCTCATGAACCTTTGACAGACCGGGAAATGCCTTTGCAAGGGAAGCATCGACTTTTGCCTTGGAAGGACGCCGTGCACGAGGAGGTAAGCGTTTGCCTTCAATAGTTGCCTGTGCTTGAAGCACGGTACGTTCCTCAATCAATACTTTAGGATCAACGTCCGCATCTTCGAACTCCCACGTGCCGCCATGAATTCTCATGAACTGATCAAACTCCGAATTCAAGCGACTGACTTCTCTGCAAATCTCCATACTAGGATGAAGAAATCCAGGACGGTCGAGAGCCATCTGCGTCTTCTCTTCGTATTTACGAACATTTCCAACCACGAACTGCTGTCTTGCAGCATGGCTCGAGCGAGGTTCTCCAAGCATGACTTTCTCCCGCATTCTCTCTTCGAGATTATGCTGGATAGTGCTACGAAGGACTGGGAAGCAATCTCGAATCTTTGAACTCAGCAGAGTGCCAAGATAGGACTTAGCAGCGCTTGATCCCAGGCGGCTTTGGGAAACCGAATTCCAGGGGGCTTTGCTGAATAGCTTCTTTTCTGCAGCGCTGAGGTCGAAAGATGCAGGATCCTTGTCTGCACGGTTTCGAACCAGAAACCAGCCATTTCGAAGACACCCGAGACTGTGATCAGAGCTGCCGGTAGCAATCGAAACGATCTGTTGGTGTGTTAGCGACACAAATAAACCAACGAATACGACATACTTACCCTCTTTGCTGCTTCAGGCTCATGCTGTACCATATCGCATTTGGTAAAGACGCCGACAAAGCGGTCTTGTTTGATGGGTTTCTTAGCCAATCTCAAGATCTCCTGTCGGTCAAAGTCTGTGGGTGCATCAATAACGCAGCTTTTGACTGTTAGCAATCAAGCAGAGTATCAGGCCACAACCTAACTCACATGACAATATTGTCTTCGTTGTTCATATACTCCCTGACCATACTCTCTACTTTAGCTTGGTCGGCCTCGTTGACCATGGAAGCCATCTGAAATGTTCCAGGGAGATCAAGAATGCTGAAGTAAGAGCGGTTTGGGCCCGACAATTCAATCTTGAGAACCTCTGCAACAAAGTTCTTTCTATCATCACCTAAGCCTGTCCGAAGGCCCATAAACTCAGAAGAGATCTGCCAGCGTTAGTTAAAACTCATAAACCTATCAAGACTTCATGGGGTACCTCGTCTATGACTTTAGCAAACCTCTCCTTGGTGAGAATCTTGCCACTGCATTCGTAGTTCTTGATGTTGTCAGAGGCAGGATCCAGACCAGGGACATTGACTTCAGCAGGATCGATTGTGATGCGGAACGAATCATGGCTGTCTGGTTCAGTACGTCGAGAGACGATGCGTGTAGGGAAGCGAGTGCAGCATCCGCTGTCGACGGGGAATGGAATTCCAGTCAGGCTCTGCAAAAGAGACGACTTTCCAGAAGATTGGCCTCCAACAATCACAAGCTATTGGGTGTTACTAAGATTACATTCTCCTCTATTGTTAATGGGTACATACCTGAGGAATGTTCAGGTCCCCGGCACCAAATGACTGCAACGCATCAATCGCATTGAACAGTATCCGGTTATGCTGGTTATCAAAAGGATCTTCTGGCATGATATTCTGCTGCTTTTCGTCATGTGTGTGAGGACTCTTGGGAGTAGCCGGTTCGACTGTCACGGCTGGAAGAGTTGGTTTAGCCAGTGCTGGAGCGGAATCATTAAACACATCCCCAATACCAGAGTCAGCAGGTGACTTTCCAAAAAGCATGCTAGGACTATCTTCTGATGAAGAGAGGCCATCGGAATGCTTGAGGGGTGTTCGAGGTGGAGTATACGGGTTCATAATAGGAACATCAACTGGACCAGCCATGATGAATAGTGAATAGGAAAAGTGATAGTAAGGAAAGAGAGTTGAAAATGGGTATCTTGAGATTGACTTGAAATTAAGAAGCTGATGGTTTTCTATCAATGTCGGCTGGATCTCGCCTTACTTTATACCTCGTTATATCCCTTGACCGTCCCATCGTGATGATAGTTCGGCCTGTTGTTGAGGTCAAGCTGAAGAACCAACAATGCAGGTCCGCACGGTACGGGATCGTTTCGTCCTGTCACTACGCGCCGTCGTCGTGTTTTCTCCACTTGGAGTCAAGGGTTTGTCTTCAGCTCGAAGGATTCCCTCGCTGTCTTGAGACTTCTGGCGAGGGTTCTTGTGAGGCAGAACTAACTTGACCAGTAACAGACGGTTTGTTGGCCAATAGTGGTGGAGGTTTGGTTGAGTACTAGGTGCAGATACTCAAAATCGTGATGACCAAAATAGTTTATAGACACGATAAAGTTCAGGTGAGGTCTTGAAGGAGTTGACCAGCATATTTGAAACGGCCAAAAGTGGTGTTATTGGACGCTGACATATGCTGTTGGTTGCTGCAATCACTTTGCGGCTGACTGCAGGGGTTGAGCAGATAGCTCAGAAGTTGAAAAAGAAAACCCGAACAGTTGTAGATATCAGCTCTCTCCTGTTATGTCGTATTGAGAATTCATTGTTATGCTGTGCTAGGTCAGCTAAATTATATGTCTTGTTTGCGGGACTTGTACTATGTTGAGGCTTCCGTAAGTTGTGCAACAGCATCAATTCCACAACATGCACAACGGCATTGCGAGTATTCCGCAGACTATATTGATCATGGCCACATCTTATGGCCTAATTAAGCGCCCTCGAGATAGCGCAATGATCTTGTTCGAAATAAATCCTTGGAGGTCGTCTTTTCGGCCAAAAGAGAGACATGTCGACCAACAACCGACAACAGCGGCTGAACGAGTAAAGCAGCCAATAGAAGTAGGCTTGTAGAGGTTATGGACTTTAATAGTCTGAGATGTGCGGAAAAGGTAACCTGAACTACTGTCGTGCCCGTTTCATGACGAAGTCGGCACAAACACATTGAGGTTTCAATCAGGTCGTGCAGATTATATTGAATAATATACAAGCAAAAGTGAAGGAAGGTGAGGTGAAGCCGTGTAAGTAAAAGGAAAGATACAGATATAGGGTAGGCAGCCCCACCCGCGTACAGCGGCCTCAATTCCGAGCTTAGCCCAAAATTTCAACATGTCCAACATCGCCAACTTCTACCGCACATTGCATCAACGCATCGTCAGTCGCAGCCTCTCCAGCTCTGCGCACTCTACGGCAATGAACACAATGTTTTCATCAATCACGCGCCTCGCGCGCCCGGTTCTGACCAAGTCGCTGGCTCAATCGCCCAGGTACGCCCACCACAGCGCCCCTATCGAACTATCACTGACCTCATTAGGACATTCACAACCCTCGTCCCTCTACGCCCTTCGTTGACTCCTCTGAACGGTGCCATACGAAGAACCGCTCTCCCGTTGAGCTTCACTCCCACCACAGCCGCCTCGGCCGATATCGTGCCCTCGAGTGCCATCTCAGCACACCCCGCTCTGGGCGATATGCAAATCCGCTGCGGACCCCGAAATACCATGAACGGACACACTAGGCTGGTGCAGAAGCGCAGACATGGATTCCTCTGCCGCAAGCGAAGCAAGACGGGCAGGAAGATTCTCCTCAGGAGGAAGGTAAAGGGCCGAAGGCACATTGCTCAATAAGCTCGAGTATTCCGAGGCATTGAGGAGACTGGACAGCATGCGTCAACGAAGTAAGAGTCAATCGTGTACGATACGAGAGGGATAGCGATGAGAGGTTTGGGTACATGCACAGCTCAGCCACCCCCGTGCAATACAAACCTGTACAAAGAAATACCAAGAAACAAAAGATCTCGGGCCACGCCCTTCGGTGTAGTGCCGGACTTGCATATCACAACTGAAGTTTAAGCAGGGTATATATCATACACTTCTTACAAAGACCCAGTTCGAGACTTTACGTGAAGACTATTCTCACAGCACGACACGCCTCGTCGACGTCGTGCTTGAAGAAGGCTGGTTGGCCAATTGCTACGCGGGGAGTATCAAGATTGACGCACCTGACTCCGGAGGGGATTCTCAAACGAGAAGGACTACGACTCTGCAAATGTGTATGCGGTACTAGCCTGGTCTCACCGGAACTAGTCAACACCATCACGATGTGCGGAATAGCCCAAACCCCGCATCGAAATGACAATCAATTATCACAGGCTTTCTTGTCAGGCACAAAAGGTGCATTGAGCTTCCATATTCCTCGGCTCCTTTCCTGTAGTGTGCTTACCTGCAGGTTATGAGTGTGCCGACCATCAGGTACGAACTACGAAGTAAGCATGGAGAAGACTAGTGATGTCTGGATGATTTGGAGATGTGTTCTGATGTGGGGGATACTATAACGAGTGCGGGAAATTGAGTATAATGTATGCCATCTGATAAATCATTAATACCTCTATAAGAAGGCAAATATTCATACAATTATGAGTACCTGGACACGAAGCTATATGATCAATCGCTATTATGTCTTCTGGCCTCAGCCTCTGTTACAGAGAAGATGACGACAATAGTAGCGTCGAGAGATGCGCTTACGCCGGCCCGACCTGCATCAAGAGAATGAGATGGTGTGCAGATTGACGAAATAGGGAGGTGTCAAGACATGTCACTTGCAGCTGAAAACGGTTTGTAAGACTGAACTGATTAATGTCGGGCATAATGCAATCGACGTAAAAGATTGCCTATATTGTAAAGTGTATGTCAGTGTAACATAATTATCAGTCATATGCAGTGTCCCAAAAAAGCAAAGAATTGAATGCCGCATTGAGAGCGGTAAAATTAGGCTCAGTTGTTACTGGGTTATTCCCCAGATATCGGCACTTCGTCCAGATCTGTACGAATTAAATCGATCAAAAGCAGGTTTTATTACATGCCCCAGCGCAGACTGCATCTGACAAAAAGTCCCTTTTCAGCCAAAAGCACCCCTGCAATTCATCCCCCCACAAACCCAACATGCAGGTTCTAGTTGCTGGCGGTCAAAGGCGAGTAAAAGGATCCTGGGGTTTAGTTAAAGTCTGAGCAGAATTGCACCGAAAAGGCCGCAGCATGTCTCGGGGTTGACTCCCCCGTTGATTAATGATAGTCACTGATGGAGGGAACGTTCTGTGAAAGATGGTTGGTCAGAAGCTGGTTTATATCCGTCAGTAACTAGTAGCTTGGGCGGTAAAGTCCAATGAATAGCTGAGCTTGGTGTACTATAATTGGTGTACTCGTCACAGTGACACCCAAAGCTATAGTCAACCAACCACTTTTTACAACTGACTGAATCACACGACTCCGTTCGTTTTTCGCCTTCTACTCCCTCATTGTCTTCTTTTTTCCGAGAGCATAGACCATAGGAAAAGCCCGACATTCCCAACAGTTTGAACGGCCCCGGCAGTCAATCCACTCTCAAGGACCATAATAGACCCTAAAATACCCCTGTCGCCCACCTTCATCACCACCCTCACGTGGTCCGAGATCGTCGTTGCCCGTATTGGAAGCTCATCCGGGCCCAACGGTAAACGGGCCAAGGAAAAACCACCCAGAGAGTCTCTAGGAGGGAGTATGTTGCTGGGATCATGGAGCCAAGAATGCGGGGTGATGACTAGAGAACGGACCACGAGGGATTGGATTAGTTAGACTGTCGGAAGAGACAGAGACCTTCATTTCGTTTTTTTCTTCCTTTGCGGGACCCGCGGGCGGGTAATAGACCGACTATGTGATTTTGCTATGTGCCAAGATGGATGGGGACAAATGTGATGGGACGGGTTGAGCTGGTGGTGGGCGGGTATTGTGATGGGATGGGAGCTGAAGAAAAAGACATATATAAGGCATCGCCCTCCTCACGATGTGAATACTCATGACTTGAGATATCAGGGCCAGCTTCAATCTTGACTATCCTTTCTTGGAGGGAGTTCCATCTCATTGTACGGATATATATCGTCTTATCACATATACTCATCCCTACCCCTGTCCTGTCCGCCAACATGCTTCTTCTATCACTCCTCTCAGCTGTCACCCTCGCGGTAGCCAGTCCTGTAGCTCTCGAAGACTACGCCAATTCTCTTGAAGACAGAGGTAAATAACGTCTTCCCTCTCCCATACATACTATATACTTACAAAGTCTTCAGCCGTTGGTGTCACCTCTACAGACTTCAGCAACTTCAAGTTCTACATCCAGCATGGCGCCGCAGCATACTGTAACTCCGACACCACAGCCGGAGCAAAGATCACCTGCTCCAACAACGGCTGTCCAACGATTCAGTCCAACGGCGTGACCGTCGTGGCATCCTTCATGTAAGCCTCACCCTCCACAAGCACGCCCGACTTCCACTTACACGGCTTCACAGTGGCTCCAAGACTGGCATCGGCGGCTACGTCGCGACAGACAGTGCCCGCAAAGAAATCGTCGTCTCGATCCGTGGCAGCAGCAACATCCGCAACTGGCTTACAAACCTCGACTTTGACCAGGACGACTGCAGTCTCACCTCCGGCTGCGGTGTACACTCTGGCTTCCAGAACGCCTGGGCCGAGATCTCTGCGCAAGCAACCGCTGCTGTAGCGAAAGCCCGCAAGGCGAACCCTACCTTCAAGGTTATTTCCACAGGTCACTCCCTGGGCGGTGCTGTGGCCACACTTGCTGCCGCGAACCTTCGAGTCGGCGGTACACCAGTGGATATCTACACCTACGGCGCTCCTCGAGTAGGAAATGCACAGCTTTCTGCTTTCATCTCGAACCAGGCTGGCGGAGAATATCGCATTACACACGCGAAGGACCCCGTGCCTCGTCTCCCCCCTCTGATCTTTGGATACAGACACACATCCCCCGAGTTCTGGCTGTCCACCGGTAACGGCGACACGGTTGACTACACCATCAACGACGTCAAGGTTTGTGAGGGTGCCGCCAACCTCATGTGCAACGGTGGAACGCTGGGCCTCGACATCGCGGCTCATCTGCACTACTTCCAAGCAACTGATGCTTGCAACGCCGGTGGCTTGTCATGGAGACGTTACAGGAGTGCCAAGCGTGAGAGCATCGAGGAGAGGGCTACTATGTCGGATGCAGAGCTGGAGAAGAAGCTCAACTCTTATGTTGCCATGGACAAGGAGTATGTCAAGACTCACCAGAACCGCACATAAGGGCATGATACGAGTAAAAAGATGGCATGATTATCACGAACAAGTCGAGAGTACATATATCATGTAAACAGTATATAAAATCAGCATGTTGAATTGTTAATGCTCACTTATCATAAATCCATCGTTACCATACGCCATGCAATGATGCTGCCTGCTATTGACACAAATGCCGTGATCAGTCAAGTTTCACAAATTCCAAACACCAAATCGCTGCTCGCTTTTTGGTTCAATCAATAGCCAGTTCCCTCAACGACCATGCCCTGCGCGTTAGGTACACCGACGAGAATGACACCGCGAGGTACGCGGACACTCTTCACCTTCATACATCCAAAAACATTGACCTCTCGAATGTTTGGACAAGCTCGGAAGATGGACCCCAGAATGAAATCAGTCACCTCTTCACAGAAGCTGATCTCGGCCTTCTTCAGTTCAGGATAAACAGCGCCCTGGTGAAACACCTCCTCGAAAGCCTCGCGTGAGATGTGTCGGCATGCATGAATGTTGAGATGTCGGAGCTTATGGCCTGAATGAACCATCAACGCCTTGAAACCTTTGCTACAGAGTCCAATGTTGTCAGGGTTCTCTCGAGGCTTGCTCGCATCAATCTGCCGACACTTCTGAAGATCTACGAAATGTAGGGGAGGATTGGCCCAGTTGGCAAACAGATCGACAAATCCATCATCAGTCATGTTCTCACTATCTGTAATTCGGAGCTTGGTAAGAGAGCGACAATGATCATGAATGGCTCGTAGTACTCCATCGTCAACCTCAGGGACGATCTTCAAAGATAGTGTCTGAAGTTTAGCACCGATACTCGAAACGACCTTGATATAAGCGTCGGATCGTGTCGTATGTACCAGTTGAAGTCCGAGATGCTCTAGCCCTGCCAATTCTGCAATAGTCTTGACACCGTCGTTGGTAAGCTTCTGGTTGTGTTCAACTTTGAGCCGCTTCAGATTGGGGCAGTGGTCTCTCAGAGCGGCTATGCTCTCATCGCCGAAATGATTATCGGTGTAGGAGACTTGAAGACCCTTCAACGTCTGACCCTTGGCTTGCATAAATTCATGCCACTTATCCTCGCTCAAGAGGTTCGCCCCATGGAGGTAAAATGTTTCGAGGGCAGTATCGCGGGACAGAAGATAGTCCATGACCTCATCTTTGAACTGAATACCACATCGGATCTTGAGATGTCGTAGCTTAGGGGCAGTTTGAAAGATAGAGAAGTAGTCTTGTTCACCAAGCTTTGCACCGTCGTAGATATGCAATGTCTCCGTGCCTGGCTGAACGAAAAGCGGTAAAGTTTCTGGGTTGAGAAGTCGACGCTTAGAGAACATGCGCGCAATCTTGTCGACTAGGTGATCAGGAAGGTCGCCGAGACTGTCAGCCAAGTCGACGTTCTTAGACAGGGTCTGTACACAAAGAGTAGCCAAACTCTTAGTACCAACGTCACCATCGAGAATTCGACTTTGGATGGCACGGCGTCTGCCAACACCACCCACGCCACCAGGCTGCTTCTTGGGTTTCTTCTTTATCGCACCCTGTCGCTCTTTGGCTACCTCCCTTCCACAAGGGCTGCAGAGAAGTCCGCCGTCAGGACCCGCGACGGAGTAGGGTGTGACAGTGAAACGTTTGTCGCAAATTTCACAGTTTTCCATCTGACCAGGCATAGGACCAGATGACTGTTCCATAAGTGCACGCGCAATTTCATCGTCGGATTCTTCGGTATTCTTCTTGCGCTTCTTGAAAGCCTTGCTTTCCTTGATCTTTGAAAGTTTCTTCTCTTCATCTCGTCTGCGCTTGACAGCAGCTGCATCCTGATCATTGCCACCAGAGCGTCGCCCGGATCTGGCACCTGCTGCAGAAGACTCGCCGTTGCCGTTCTCATCCTCAGCTTCTTCTTCGGTTGCAGCTGCTCTACGACGAGCATCGGCTGTTGAGCGAATCTGGGCAGCAGAGATATTGTGCGACTGTGACAAGTTTAGTATACGGTTTCTCAAGACTCAAGTGTAGACGTACAGCGAGGAAGTCCGTCAAAGCTGATTGACTATTAATAATGTTAGTATGGTATCTGGTTGGTTCTGAATATCACTTACGGTCCATAAACAGCACGAGTAGGTCGGTTTGGTTGATTCTGGTTGCCATTTTGACCATTTTGACCGGTTTGGCTATTCTGCCCTTGAGCATTCTGGTTACTGCTCCTTGCCCGCGCCCTAGGAACATGATAAGCTTATCGCCGCTCTGTATTCAGAAGAGAAACCTACATGATAAAGAGAGATGAGAGTCGCAGGAAAAGAATGTATTTGCGCAGGAAAAGGTTCTCAGAGCTTTGGCGACTACAATGAATTCCCAAACAACAAAAGGGATGGGAAAATCAAGCTTGAAAAGGAGTCGGCGCAAAAAACCAATTCACAGCGACTCGGTCAAGCGCAGTGGCGTTCCCGCTGTCGCCTTCCTCCGCGAGATTGACACCGTGTCACGTGACCCGATCGACTGATAAGTGGGCTCTTTTGGTGGCAAATCGAGGATTCAGGCACGATGCACCCCAATCAGATCGACAATCGGCCCCCCTGCCCCTGACACGTGCCTTCGCGTAGAGGGGTGCTCTTCCCCCGACACTGTGAACCGTGAATTGGAGTCTTAGGACGGGAAAGAACGCCCCCGAAAAAAGGAGCTGGTGGCGATTTGTCGTTAACTTCTATCTTACTTTTTCTTCTCTGTCTTTATTTTCTTTGTCCATCTGTTGTGGTGATTTTCATCCCATTGACATTATTCTTGTCAATAACGATCGTTTCTTTGTTCAGTTGTCAGTTTGTCGTTGCCTGCAGTGAATCTTTTGTACCTGTTCACGGTCACCTACCATCACTGCATTTACAACTGTGCATTAGTGGGCAGCACACAAGCAGGGATTCAAAGTGCCGCCCTTCGCCTTCCGCCAGGCTCCTGTTCTGAGCTCACTCTCATCTGCAAGAAAAAAACCGTCGAGAGTCTAGTCATCCTTCTTTCTTTACTGCACTCTGTTGTTATACACTTGGGAGACTTTCGTTACAGGCGACAACAAAGGCCCTGTCGCGAGTAACAGCTAAACACCCCCCTGCCCGTCTGACATCATGCCTCGAGGTCGCCCTTCGATTCGGGGAACTCCCAGCGCTGCTTCTGTAGCTGATGGTGAGTGTTCTGTTACACAAATGTATTGATGGTATTGACAAATTCTAGCTTCTCGAGAGACATCAACTGCATCTGTGCGAGTGACTCGCTCAGCCTTGACTAGAAGTCAGGCTCACTCATCCGCATCAACTCCTACTTCGGGTGCTCCCTCTACCTCAAGGCCGAGAGGGCGTCCGCGGAAAAGTGTTGCTGAGGCAGATGTATCCCATATCGCCCAGTCTCCTATCCCGGATATTGCACCTCCTACTAAACGACGTGGCCGACCAAGCAAGGCGAATGTAGTAGAAAGCGAGTCGGTGTCATCAGTGCCCACTCCCCAGGACCCAGACTCTGGAAGTGATTATTCAACCCCTGCCTCTAGTAAAGTGCCGACTCCGGCAGCTTTTGACCATGGAAAGTCCGGCGTATCCTTCGAAGTTCAACTTCCAGCAGCTTCTGCCTCACGACTTCCAGACCGTGAGCGAGGTCTGCGCAATAGCGTGTGGGCAATGAACACAAGGAAGGGGAAGTCAACTAAGATGGAAGACTCGGACGACGATGAACTTATGGACGATTCGCGAGATGCCCAGGTTGCTCGCCGTCTACATAAGGAGGAACTTGACCAAGCATCGATCGCTGCGTCACCGTCACTTCCCTTACGCCGGAGTGGTAGACCTTCTTTGACTTCTGGTCTCCCTTCCACTACCCATCCTACTCAAGCTTTTGTTAAGCGTGAACGAGCGTTGACTGATTCCTCTGCCAAGCGAGGACGCCCGTTGAAGAAGCAGAGGGTCATAGCTGATTCAGATGACGAAGACATCGACATGGATGCCGAGATTGCAGCAGCTGAGGCGCTTGACCTGGATGAAGATCTTTCGGAATTGAGCTCATATGAGGAAGAATCCCTTGCAGACGACGATGCTAGTGACGAAGAAGTTGCATACGCCTCTAGTGATGATGATGCCCCGTTGGCGAGATCACGAAAATCGGCTGGAAAGCTGCCAGCACGCGCTCAGGTGCGTTCATCTCGTGGAAATGATGCCACAACTACATTAGCGACGACTTTCGATTCAGCAACTGCATTAGGAAAAAGCGCGTCCGCTGATGAACTCGACGCTATGGAGAACGCCATGGGGGATGCTGATTTCACCGACTTTGCCAACGATGATTCCGTCAACGACCTTGGTACTAGTGATACCGAGGATGGTGTTGGTGGCAATGGTGCCGATATGGCAGCTATCTCTCAAAGCCGACGGGCTTTTCGACGACAGGGTAGAAGCAAACGCATTATTAGGGAACGAGAGCGTTTGGAAAAGAACCACCCCGAGATCATAACCATGTGGACCACTCTAGAGAACATGCCGGTGCTCAAGGCTGGTAAGGCACCACAGCCACAAACTATCTCACGCCAACTCAAGGGATTTCAACTTGAAGGCCTCGCTTGGATGATAGAGATGGAAAAGACAGAGTGGAAGGGCGGCTTGCTCGGTGATGAAATGGGCCTGGGAAAAACCATCCAGGCCGTGTCTCTTATCATGTCAGACTACCCCGCCAAACAACCAACATTGGTTCTTGTGCCACCAGTTGCATTGATGCAATGGCAGCAGGAGATCAAGTCATATACCGATGGCACCTTGAAGACCTTTGTTTACCATGGCACTAATCAAAAGACTAAAGGTATCACTGCGAGAGAGCTCAAGAAGTTCGATGTGATTATGATGTCGTACAACAGCCTCGAGTCAATCTATCGGAAGCAGGAAAAGGGATTCAAGCGCAAAGATGGTATCTACAAGGAGAAGAGTGTTATCCACTCGATTGAATTCCATCGAATCATTCTGGATGAAGCACACTGTATCAAAACACGCACCACCATGACCGCCAAAGCATGCTTCGCTCTCAAGACCGGCTTTCGATGGTGCCTTTCCGGCACACCTCTTCAGAATCGAATCGGAGAGTTTTTCTCTTTGATTCGCTTTCTCAACATCCGACCTTTCGCATCTTACCTCTGTAAGCAATGTCCTTGCTCGACGCTTGAATGGTCTATGGACGAGAATAGTCGCTGTTCCGGCTGTAAGCACGCTGGTATGCAGCATGTTTCTGTTTTCAACCAGGAGCTTCTCAACCCCATCCAGAAGTTTGGTAACCGTGGTCCTGGCCATCAGGCCTTCAAAAAGTTGCGACTGATGACTGACCGCATCATGTTGCGTCGTCTCAAGAAGGATCATACCAATTCTATGGAGCTTCCAGTCAAGGAAATCTACGTTGATCGACAGTTCTTTGGAGAAGAAGAGAATGATTTTGCCAACAGTATCATGACCAGTGGCCAGCGCAAGTTTGACACTTACGTCGCCCAGGGTGTCCTTCTGAACAACTACGCCAACATCTTTGGTCTCATCATGCAGATGAGACAAGTGGCAGATCATCCTGACTTGCTTCTCAAAAAGCATGCTGAAGGAGGACAGAACGTGCTTGTCTGTTGCATTTGTGATGAGCCAGCTGAGGACACAGTGCGCAGCAGGTGCAAACATGACTTTTGCAGAGCCTGTGTCGGTAGCTACGTCCGTTCGACTGATGAGCCTGATTGCCCCCGTTGTCATATTCCCCTGTCGATTGATCTTGAGCAGCCAGAGATTGAACAAGACGAAAACCTTGTCAAGAAGAACTCAATTATCAACCGAATCAAGATGGAAAACTGGACTTCATCGTCAAAGATCGAACTACTTGTCCACGAGCTACACAAGCTACGCTCAGACAATGCCTCACACAAATCGATCATCTTTTCACAGTTCACCACTATGCTGCAGCTCATTGAGTGGCGCCTTCGCCGAGCCGGTATCACTACAGTGATGCTTGACGGCAGCATGACCCCTGCCCAGCGTCAGGCTTCGATCGAGCATTTCATGACCAATGTGAACGTTGAATGTTTCTTGGTGTCCCTCAAGGCCGGTGGTGTGGCACTAAATCTCACTGAAGCTTCTCGAGTCTTCATTGTTGATCCGTAAGTTTGTTAAAAGTTGGTTCTCGGTCAATAACTAACGATTGTATAGATGGTGGAACCCAGCTGCCGAATGGCAGTCAGCCGATCGATGCCATCGTATCGGACAGACTCGGCCTTGCACAATCACTCGTTTGTGCATTGAAGATTCAGTTGAGAGCAGAATGGTGTTGATTCAAGAGAAGAAAACCAACATGATTAACTCTACAGTCAACGCAGACGACAAAGCGATGGACTCTCTCAGCCCTGAGGACATGCAATTCCTCTTCCGTGGTTCTTAATAGACCAAAAATATCTCGAAATCGTTGTGATCTACCATTTTGTTATGGTGGAGCGCGTACGAGAGTTGATGTTTCTTTTGTTATTATTTGCGGTCAACTCCATTTCCCCATTACTCACGGGTAGGACTCTGTAAACTGGAATTCTGACCACTGCATACACATACTGGGCACAGATATGGAGTACAAATTCGGGAGTTGGGAGCTGACACAATGAGGATTACTTTAGCGAAGCGGCGCGAGTCTATTTTGGCATTCTCAAGGGTCGCATGTATGTACAGTATTAGTTCCATGAGTGAAGAAATGCCCCCGAGATGCCTTTTTTACAATGTGATTTGTGCTCGGTGCCGGTTTGATGTCATATATAGGATACATGCGTCGCAAAAAAAAGGGGTTCACCAAGCTAAGAGTTATGGGACGAAAATTGTCTTGAATTGATGTATAAGTCTATCTAGCTCATCTGATTTTCTTTCCTTTTTCTTTATCCGTCAAGACTTCATCTTGAACGCAAAGACCGTCAAGGATCTCCAAAACATATGCACAAAAGGATTCTCCAGAGAGAATACGAAAGAAACATGTCTCGCTATCGATTCAAGCGTAGCAAGAGGTCTGGCCCTGTGGACATCACAGACCAAGGAGGGCCTTGGCACCAGGCTCACTGCAGATGTAAATGACATCGTGAGCGTTGGAGAAGCCGTTGAACTGAGTGGCAGAGCACTTTGTGTAGGCACCCATGTCCTCAAAGTACAGCCAGTCGCCGACATCGAGAATCGAGTCGAAGCGAGTGCTCTCAGTGATGCGATCGATGCCATCACAGGTGGGACCCCAGATGGAATACTCAAAACCTTCACCCTCAGGAGTGGGATGAGCGGCGGACGTCTCGAAAAGGGTCTTTCCGGAGGCGCGGAGTACCTTGGCAATGGGCTGCTGATGGTCAAACATGATGTTTGAGAAGTTGCCATAGACGCCATCATTGACGTAGAGCATGTAGCCCTTGCCATCGAGAGTGGGGTCCTCGACGGTACGGCGAGCGATGATGTTGCAGGCGATGGTGAAGGCCGTGGCAACATAGTAGCGACCAGGCTCGGCAATGATCTCCACGTTGCTGTGTGGCGGGAAGAATTCGTCGAGAGCGCCACGGAGGACGGTAGCCATTGCCTCAAAAGTGTCGCCACAGAAGCCACCACCAACGTCGAGGGTGCGCATGGCGAAGCCAAAATCGCGGGCCTGCTGGAAGACGGTGTGGGCGTCGCGAACGGCCTTGAAAAAGGCGAGAGGGTCGGAGGCACCAGAGCCAACGTGGAAACTGACGCCAACAACGTTGAGGCCGAGGTTCTTGGCCAGGGCGAGGAGACCCTCAGTGGTGTCCATGGCAGCACCAAACTTCATGCTGAAGCGGCACAGCGACTCGCTGTCGTCGGTCATGATGCGGAGGAAGAGCTCGGCTCCCGGATAGAGCTTTGCGATCTTGTAGAGCTCGTCGGCATTGTCAAAGGTCATCTGCTTGACGCCCACAGACTTGACGTATCGGACGTACGAGTTAGTCTTACAGGGTTGGGCGTAGATGATACGGTCGGGGCTGAGGCCTGCGGACAGGACCTGCTCAATCTCGGTCTTGGAGGCACAATCGAAACCGGTGCCGAGCTCAGAAAGAAGCTTGATGATCTGAGCATCGGGGTTGCACTTGACGGCTGGCGTATTGGTTAGCTATGTAAGGGTAAGGGTCGCACAAAGTGGAGTGCTCACCATAGAAGGGCCGGACTCGAGGGAGATTCTTCTTCCAGCGGAGATGCTGGCGGTAGACCTCGCCCAGGTCAGCAACGAAGAAGGTATCTTCGTCGCCAGGCTCACACATCTCATGATCAATGGCTTCCACACGCTCGTGGAGAGCCTGACCGATGAGTTGTTTTGGGTTAATCAGGCCATGTTGCTCAAGAGGTCCCTGAAGAAGGGGTTTCTTTAATGCGACATGAGGATGATTGACATTGTGGTTGTAAGTATCGAGGACAGCCGTTGCCATAACCATATCCCAAACAGTTGCGGGGGTTGTTTTGGGAATTGAAGAGAGAGTGAGTCCGTGGACTGACTGCAAGAACTCGTGTAGAGTAGTTGTAGTTGTAGTGATTGGAGCTTAACCGGGTGGTTGTAGCTAGTGTTAAGGTGGTCGTGAGCGGTAGCAGACAGATCCCTCAACGGACTGGCGAGGCCTCCTCGACTCTTCCTCGGCAAGAGGAAGAACCTCTAAGTACCTCCTATGCGGCAGCTGGTGGGTGTCGAAGAACGACGGGGGTGGATAATCGGGTTGGGGAGTGCCCAAGACGGAGAGATCGAGTAGTTTATCGTCGAGCAATAGCAGTAGGAGGGGGGATCGCGTTGATGATGTGGGAGGGCTTGCAAAGGCTGAAATCTTTGTCACTGACGAAGCTCACGGCCGGAGGAGCCGTGGTGAAAGCGGTGCCTTTAGAAGACCAAAGGCGGGTCGAGTTGAGGAAAAGATGAGCAGCTGGGAAGTGCTCAAGAAGTGCAGCTTGTTGTGACAACGTGTTGGTAGCGGTTGCGGTTGCAGTTGCAGTTACAGGGTGAAAGAATTGTCGTGATAACTTGACAAGTTGTCAAAGGAAGAGTCGGAGCGAGGAGGAGGTGACGGGGGGAGACGGGGGCCTTTTTATTTAGTCCTAGCTTGCTAAAGAAGGTCAACGCGATTGACGATGGGGATAAGCTTCCAAGTCTGGGTTAATTCGACTTGGAGACTTGGAGTGGTTGGTCGACAAGGGGAAGAATTGTGGAGGTTTGCCGTGCAGGACGCAAGTCGCAGGTCCAGGTCGGTCGAAGGTTGAGAGAAATTTTTACCCTCCACTGTGACGTTGACAAGAGGGGCAGTGCCTATCCGTAACTGTAAAGTATAGTAACTTACAGGGGGTAATGGAGAGGTTCATAGCGGCCTGACTGCTTATGGATTGTATAAGATACTTGCAGCTACTATGTAAATACGACTTGCAAATAGTGTTAAAGACTTTTGTTAACATGTCCTCCTATGGCCTGACCTCGTAAATATCCTGCATCTGCAACTGGCGGTGATGAACCAGACTCCAGTCACCAATGCATCTCGATTCTACACAGCTACTACATCCTCCTACAGGCCCCAAACCCCGCGCTAAACCCAAAACCCCAACCCCAAGGCGCGGCAGAATATCCCATTGGTGAAGTCGTTTTTCTAGTGGCGCTCACACACTTCCAGAGTCTCGGGAAGTATAAGAAAGAAGGTCAAACGAGACATCCATGCGGTATAAAAAAAAACTGTTGCCGGATGTAGTGTATCGGTACACGCAAAAACAAACCGTGCATGTGCATTTCCCTGTAGAGAAGCTCCCCATGCCCATGCCAATGCCCCAGCCCGCGGACCTTTTTTGGTTCGTGCTGCAAGGTATTGGAACCTGACCGACAGTCATAGTCACAGTCACAGACCGGCTGTTGTAAGCGTCATGCCGATTCTTGGAATGTCGCATAATTATCCAAGGTATTTAGCATGAGAAAGACCCGGTAATTCCCTCAGTAAACAAAAAACAAGCCCGGGCCTTCTGCTAGGAATAAGCTCCAGCTTTACGCGGTCAGGCACCATCGACGTTGTAACGCCTGGAATAGCATTTGATCGTCATTGTTTTTTCCTGTCGAAGCGCCGAAGCCACCAATTGATCGCCCGTTACAAATGCCTCCCTTTTGTTACAGTTGCAACCGTTTGAAGTATCGCCCAGTATCCGTATAATTCCCGGCTTGTCTAAACCAATACCATCACGGACAGCAAGTCATTTTATAGAACCCTTTTATTAAGAAGAGCAATAAATTAGTGTTTGTTGCACTTGATTTGTTATCCAGAGATTCAACCATTAGGAATAAATCATTTCAAATTTATGTTAAAACAAGTGCCTCGTACTTCGTCTATTATTAACAAATCGGCTTATTTCCCGAATACTCGCTAGACGGATCACACAAAGTCCAACAAACACGGTCCCTTTGTGACCACAATATCTACCGTGGTACATGTACTCTGCTCTTTAGTCCAGTAAATCCATCGCTCAAGGATTCCGGCTCTGATAGAACGAGTTACCGCCTCTACTGTCCTCAGCCGTCGACTCAAATCCCTGCATCTACCTATCTGCTAAGTCAAATGCCAATCCTAGAACCACATCGTACTTGGTGCTTGCGCTCCGCAGCCTCGAGGGTTCTACAGCAGAGACCAAGATGAAAGGTAGCCTACAGGAACCAAAAGTAAACAGCAAGGAAGTGAAAGGGGCTTTGTATGATATTGCGTTGCTCTGTGATCTCTATGCCATCGAATAGGTAAAGAGATGTATCGTATCTGAACGCGTAACAAGAGGACGAGATCCTCGTTCAACGAGGATGGAAAATTCCGCTGCGAGGCAACGTTTGAGGAGGGTCATTTATTCTTTGTTCATCTGTGTAATTTACACTTCATCGTACATGCCATCATACAATTGCAGCTGCTTGGATGCTAACCAAGTAAGTTGCCGTCTCCAACTCTAAGATCGTCATTAGCTCTTTAATCATGTTCCTTTACTCGGCGCCCTTGACGTCCATTTCACGGATCTGCCACTCGCCATCAACCCAGGACTGCTTCTCTCCAAGGAAGGCAACTCTGCCTGCGCCCTTGGCCATTCCATCGACGAGGTAGCGCTGTGCCACCTCTCGGACTTGGTCCATGGTAACATCCAGAAGCTGCTCGCGCTTCTTCTGCTTCATCTCTTCAGTAATACCCGAAAGGAATCGGCCCATGCCCTCCTGGTTCACAGACTTGGGCGCGTCAACTCCTTGGAATACAGAGATCTTAGCCTCCTCCAGATCACGGTCAGACCACTTCTTGTCGACGGCCCATTGACCAGCGTTACGCATAATACCCAGAGTGTTTTGAGGATTGGGGTCACGGTAAGAGTAAAAACCGAAAAGGCCGTCGAGGCTTCGGGAGTAAGCACCTCCACCGTACGCACCGCCCTTCTCACGAATCTCATGGTGAAGGTGCTTGTGGGTAAGAAGTTGCGACAGAATCTGAAGAGGTGCTCCCTCTGCTGCCGTGTAAGATGTGGTTGGTAGTGACAACCCACCATAGTAGACTTGGTAAGGTAGAGGATAGAAAGACTTGCTATCCTTGGGAAGCTGTCGTGGAGAGGGGTTCTTCATGTTGAGTGGATCGCGAGAAAGGTTGCCAACAAAGTTCTGCAACGAAGCACCGTTGGCTGCGACACTCTCCGAGCCGCAGGTGATAGCGGTGCGAATGTTTCCACCGGCAAGAGCAAGACCCTGAATCTGCTTCAGCTTGGAAATGACATCCTGGAGCTTATCCGACTCAGGTCGGCTAGCCAGCGAAGTCACCAGTTGCACCTGTGAGAGACCAGATACTTGCTGTCGAAGCCATGCGGAACGACTAAGACCAGACTCAGCACTGCCCATTGCATACCGATGTCCAGTTGAGGCAATATCATTGACAACGCCATCAGCAGACGCCTGGAGCAGCTGTCGAATCCTAAGAGCCGCCTCAGGACTATCGAAGTCGGTTCCCAAGACGAGTTTCTGAATGATATCAAACATGACGGGGACGTTGTTGTCCAATGCCATACCGGTAAAGATAATGCCCTCACTTGCGGCCTGGAAATCGGCAGGTGAGGGTGTACAGTGGTAGCCGACTGAAACGCCGCCGGTCTTGAGCTTGATTAAGTCTTCGAGCTGCTCCATGTTCATATCCTTCGTTCCGAGACGCATGATGCTGTCGGTGAACAACGGGATCAATTCGCGCAGCTCATCGGGCAAGTTCTCCAATGTGTTGATGGCACGGAAGTATGTCAAACCATTGGTGGGAGCTTCATGCCACTGAATCTTGGTTCCGTTGGCGTTTTCATCCCTGACCACTACAGGCTCCTGGCTTCGGGGAATGTCCTTAACATGGACAGTGGGTAGGCACGCAAGATCTTCAGTGTTCGTCTTGTTCTGCTCGGCCAAAAGTTCCTGTTCCTGCTTCTCGAAATGCTGTCGAGCCTTCTCCTCACTGCCAGCCTCCTTGATCGCGGCTTGGATTCTGGTTGAAAGTCGCTCCTGTTCCTCTTTCACCAAGTCCTCGCCGTAGGTCGTTGAAGGAGCCATAGTAAATGTAAGAGTGTTATCGTTAAGCAGATACTTGTCGATAAGACCTTCTAGGTAGTTGCCCTCGGCCATCTTGGCTTGGAAACCATTGATGGTATCGTTCCAAGCCAACGAGTCAAAGGGGTCGACACCGTTAAACCACTTTGGCTTTAATCGGTTCAGCATGGAGAATCCGAAGTTAGCTGTCTTGTGCTTGAGAGATAGCTCAAGCTGGTGCAGTGAGCCGTCAATCTTGGTCTTGTCAAATCCCTTCTCCCGAGCCTCCCGAAGAATTTGCTGGACCTTCTCCTTTAGCTTAGGCACATCAGCCTCTTGAACACCGGTGAGGCCAATGGAGAAAATTCCCTTCTTGGCGGAACTATCATATCCAGCATTAGGACTCCAATCAGCGCCCATGCCAGCCTCAACAAGACCACGGTACAGGGGTGAACCATAGCCGTCCATCAAAAGAGTGGAAAGAAGCGCGAGTGAGAAGGACTCGAGAACGTCGGTGGTATCACCCATAATCCATGACACCGAAGTCTTGAACTGACGATCTGGGTCGACGAGAGGATCAAGGGGTCCGTAGAGGGTAACCTCCTGGGGGCCATTTAGGGTCACAGGTGCGTGGATCTGCCTGTCGCCTTGAATCTTCTCGAAAGCTTTGAGCTGGGCATCCACCTGCTTCAAGTGATCAACCAGCGGCATATCACCATAGGTGAAGACCTTGGCGTTGCTGGGGTGGTAGTGTTCGGCGTGGAACTTCTGGAGCTGCTCGTACGTGAGGTCGGTAATCTTCTGAGGGTCGCCACCAGAGTTGTTGATATCTGGGAAGATATGATCGTGGAACCGAATGTAGTATAGGTATCCGGCATCCGACATCTGGCCCTTCATCTCATTATAAACCACGCCCTTGAACACCAACTTCTTGCCTGCCTCATCCTCGGCGAGAGGGTTCTCTGGACCAATTCGCCATCCCTCCTGGGTAAAGTCGGACTTCTTGAGCAACGGGTGTAATGTTGAATCCAGATAAACGGACATGAGATTCTTGAAATCCTGCTCATTGGTTGTCGCAAAGGGGTAGAACGTATGGTCTGAGGCCGTGAAAGCGTTCATAAAGTTTGATAGCGTCCGTGGGAGCATCTTGAAGAATGGATCGCGAATGGGATATCTACGTCGCGTTAGCTACCCAACTCCAGGCCCATGTCGAGAGGTCGCCTCCTACTTCTCGCTTCCACATAGTGTTGTGTGCTCCAGAATATGGGGGATACCCGTATCGTCCGGAGGGTTCGTCTTGAAGCCGATCGAAAAGACATTGTTGCTGTCGTCACGGGCAATGTGAAGGTAATCGGCTCCTGTCTTGTCATGTTGAAGATGCAAAGCCGTCAACTCAAGCTCTGGAACATGCTTGGATCGCACGAGGGTAAAGCCGTGCAGCTTCTCGCCAGGCTTTGGAAACTGAGATAGCTCCGTCACGGCCTTTCGAGCGCCGGCAGCAGCGTTGCGCAGCATTGTGGTCGAGTGCATTTGCAAGGAGAAATAAAAAGAATAATAATACAATGAACAAAAACCCAACGAACCCAAGCCAAGTAGTATACAACTGGGAAGATGAAGAACTATATAGCAAAGGGGCTAGTTAATGTCGTTAAAGAATAAACGGGGATTTTGATGCATGTAATGACGCCCGGAACGCTTCGCCCCGAAGAAAAAGTGAAAGTGGAGGGTTTGCTTTGTAACCCCAGCACTATCCTCATGGAAAAGCCGGGTGCCAGCCCACGTCAGTCGCCAAGCATCCATGCCGTAATTGTGGGTGGCTAGTGGACACCATTCAGTGAACGACCGCTGCGGGATAGCGTAAAGCCCCCCAAATTCCCATTAGCTTCAGTTGACGCACTATCTGAAATGTAGTACGTGGCGCCCATAAACTGCTAGCTCCCTAGCAACTGCCAACAGAGTTACCACAAAGGTCTATGGCAAAACCTATCCATGCGTCCAAGTCTCCATGAGCCCTCCATCCTGTCACATCCTAGCGACTGTTTGTATTCTTCAACGACCAACAAGACCTGGCTTCTACGTTGTGCACCTTCAGACTTATCATAGGTCGCACTGCTGTCGTTGCTCAGCGTCTAACCATTGCTATCATCCCACGCACAAAGCCCCTCGAGGTACGAAGATATTGCCTCCTCAACCACTCAACGTGCCTGCGCTGCAAGAGTATTGCTTGGTGGACAATTCTTGCGTGAGCTCAACTAACGACACCTTCTCGTACCTCAGTTGATATCGAATATCAATTTCGACATCATTTGCTCAGTATTACGATTTCGACCCGTCCCAAATCTGGTGACAAGTAATCCCACCTTCGAATTACGACCACATCATCCCGCTTCGATGCACTCGGCGTTTCCTATCTCGTGACCCCCGCACAAACGATTGTCGTCCACTGCCTTGGCTCTCATCGTTGCTTAGTCGGCGATGCCAGCCAGCCAGTTGGACGCTCCTCTAGCCAACGGGCACGACAGCCACACACATCCATCACCAACTAAGAAACCAAAAGGAAAGAAAGCCATGGATAACAACGAGGCGACGCGCCTGCTCCACGCGCGGATATCCCAGCTGGAGCAGGATGCTGCGGGAGAGAAGGACCAAGAGCTGGAGATTGGTGCGTCATGCCCTCGTCGTTCGCAAACGGCAAACCCCATGGATGCGGAACCATATATGCTGATACGTGGGCGGTACAGAACGTGAAGTTAAGAGGGCGAACCGTGATCTGCTACAACAAGTCTCTAAGATGGATAACATGCAGAAAATCGATCACCTCACCAAACGGTCCAGCGAACTTTTAGCAGATATGCGACGACTAGAGCGAGAAAACCAGAAGAATAAGCGACGTGGAGACAATTTACAGAAAGAGAGAGATGCCAGCCGTACGGAACTTAGCAAGACTGTCGGGCTTAAAGAGAAGTTGGAGAAGCTATGTCGCGAACTCCAACGGGACAACAACAAGATGAAGGTTGGTTGCGAAGGCGTAGGCGCGAGGGGAATTCCACTGACACATCGACAATAGAACGAGAACAAGGAACTTCAGACAACCCAAAAGCGTAATAACACCCATTGGGACGAGAAGTACGCTACTCTATTATCGAAGCTCGAAGGGTATCAGGAAGAAAAAGATACTCCGAAGAAGCAGGTAGTAGATATGGAAGTCGACGAGCTGTAAGGCTATCCCAATGCCACTCGAAAGCCCAACCACTAATCTGTTGTCGACAGTTTCCGAGTCCGTTTCAAGACCTTTATCGAACAATACGAGTTACGAGAGTTGCATTTCCATTCTCTAATGCGGACCAAGGAGCTCGAGGTCCAGTACCATATGGCGCGATACGAACGAGAAAAGAAGAACGCAGAAGGAGAGTCGACCAAAGCCCGACACCTCCAAGCGCAAGTCCAAGCTTTTACCAAGACGGAAACTGAGCTCAGAAATCAGCTCAATGTCTACGTGGATAAGTTCAAGCAGGTGGGTGGATTCAAACATGGTAGTTCGGCATGTTGACTAATGGCACAGCAGGTGGAGGATACCCTGAACAATAGCAACGACTTATTCCTGTCGTTCCGCAAGGAAATGGAGGACATGTCGAAGAAGGGCAAGCGTTTAGAGAAGGAGAACGAAGCCTTGAAGCGCCAGAAGGAGGCGGCTTCCGCTAACATCATCAAAATGGCGGAAGATCGACAGGACTGCAAGAAGAAGCAAGAAGAGGCCGAAAAGAAGACCGCGAAGCTCAGGAGCATCATCCAACAAATGCAGGAACAAGGCCGCAAGATACCATCCGGTATGGCCAACACTGTCGAGAGCTGTTATTCTGATAGCCACGGTGGTAACGAGGGAGACGAAAGTAACTACTCCGAAGAAGATGGTGACGAGGAAGAGCTTAGTGAGTTCGACGACGACACCGAGGAGGAACCACAAGGCAACGATCAAGGAACGCCAGTAGCATATGGCCCCGAACGTCCTCCTCAACCAGTTGCTTCGGCCGCGACAAACGGGCACTAGGCCACTCGGAAGGAACCTAACTATAGCCGCATCCAGAGAAGAGATATTCCAGCGTCGCATCAGCAAGCGTCTTGTTTTTAATACGGCCGGTGTTGATGAGGAATCATGTCCCAAGGATTTTACTTCGGGCATGGCACGAGAGGGATTGACCAGCTTTTTGAAGACGTGGTTGATTATATCACGTACTGAACAAGCATATGGATCTCGACTAGTTGGCTAGCCGATTGGGTTACTTACCAGAGATGCTTTTTGTTCCTGTCTGCTGTTGCGTGTAAGATGTATTGTCGTAGCTTGAGTATTATTCAAGCATTGATGTCCTCATTCTTCTCCGACGATGAATAAACGATGTGAGACATGTGTGATTTTGAGATTTGCACCAATTGAATTTGATAATACACGGCAATTGAAGTCAAATAAATGGACGTCAAGTTCAGCATCTGAACTGTACTACTGAAACGCATAGTACATTATTCGTAATTATCGAATTCCCAAAGCCGTATTGTTGCATCGGGATGTCGGGGAATATCACCGCCGGCGTGCGTTAGGCCAGATCTACTGTACCTGTCCATCCCACTTTGACAAGCCGCGCAACGGGGGTTCACACCTAGCTTCGCTTTTACATCAACAACCCCAGGTTTACGGTTCTCATCAACAGCACCGCAACCATGGATTTCCTTCAGGTAAGTCAATCTCGAGCGTGTGTTCAGATGCGCCCAAGATAACCGCATTATCAATTAAACACTGCCCCTTGAGCAATGGATGCTAACAACTCTTACAGCGCCTCGCGCGCTTCCTCGATCGCCCGCTCTTCCCATGGAAGAAGCTCATCATGGGCTTTTCAGTCGGCCAATATCTCTTCGAATCGTTCCTCACCCTCCGTCAATACCGTGTTCTCCAGAAAACCAGCCCTCCCGCCGTCCTCTCCAAGGAAGTCTCCCAGGAAGTCTTTGACAAGTCGCAGGCCTACGGTCGCGCCAAGGCAAAGTTTGAAATCGTCAATGGTCTATACTCTCAGGTTCAAAATATCGCATTCATGCACTTCGATGTTCTCCCCAAGCTCTGGTCCTGGACTGGTCATCTCCTGTTGAAGTGGGCTCCTGCGCGCTTCACTGGCGAGATTAGCCATACTATCGTCTTCGTCTTGACCTTCGCCGTTATTAGCCAGCTTCTTCGTCTTCCATCTTCCCTGTATCAGACATTTGTCCTTGAGGAGAAATTCGGATTCAACAAGCAGACGCCTAAGCTCTTCATTACCGATCTTGTCAAGACCCAGGCTCTCACCTTCATCCTTGCGCCACCTTTCCTCGCTGGTTTCCTCAAGATCATCCAGAAGACTGGCAACCAGTTCTTCTACTACCTGTGGCTCTTCGTGATCGCTCTCCAGGTTTTCATGATCACCATTTACCCTGTTGCCATTCTGCCCCTGTTCAACAAGCTGTCTCCTCTCGAAGATGGTGAGCTCAAGACGAAGGTCGAGGCTCTCGCTGCAAGCCTCAAGTTCCCCCTCCACGAGCTTTACGTCATTGATGGAAGCAAGCGAAGCGCCCACTCCAACGCCTATTTCTTCGGTCTCCCCTGGAAGAAGCACATTGTTATCTACGATACTCTTATCGAGAAGAGCGAGCCTGAGGAGGTTGTTGCTGTTCTCGCTCACGAGTTGGGTCACTGGAAGCTTGGTCACACTACCAGCCTCTTCGGTATCTCTCAGGTAAGCACAAGAAACATATCTGAAATAGGCTTCAGAACTAACTCGACTATCTAGGCTCACTCCTTCTACATCTTCATGCTCTTCTCTGTCTTTATCAACAATCACTCCCTCTACTCTTCTTTCGGTTTCCTCAAGGAGCACCCCATCATTGTCGGATTCATCCTTTTCTCTGATGCCCTCGCCCCCATGGATCTTGTCATCAACTTGCTTATGCACATCGTCAGCCGCAAGTTCGAGTTCCAGGCCGATGCTTTTGCCAAGAAGCTCGGTTACCCTGAGCAGCTCGCCCGCTCTCTCCTCAAGCTCCAGATCCAGAACCTTAGCACCATGGACGCCGACTGGATGTACGCCAGCTACCACTTCTCTCACCCTCACCTGTCTGAGCGCCTCAACGCCCTTGGCTGGAAGGGTTCTGAGGGTGTCACAGAGGGTGTTACCGACAAGTCTCTTGAGAACGAGAAGGAAGGTGTTGCCAAGGCCAGTGGACGCGACGAGCTGTAAAGCTTTAAAGAAAAACACAATATTAGATGAAAAATGAGATTCTTCATTAGGCCTTAATCCAAAATGTGTTAGAATAGGAAAGGCCAGAAGAGCTGGGCATCTAGAAAGGGATTGGCCACTCCTTAGACATCACATAGATTCCAGACTCATGTACAATATAAACTGATTTTTTGCATCACATTTATCTATGGCATTGCTACCGATATGCTCTTGCTGAACCCAGAGTCTACCTAGTGCCATTTTCTTTTTCTAAGTTTACTCAACTAGTCATCAGATTCGTCAGAGTCGTAGGAGCCCTCCGAACCTTCGACCTCCTCGTCCTCCTCGGACGATTCTTCCTCCTTACCCTCCTCGGGCTTCAGGCCGTAGTCGTCGTGGAAGTAGCTGAGCTCGTGTGTTTGTACCTTGTAGCCCATACCCTTGAATGCCGTCTCCATGCCCTATACAAAGTTAGTGATGATCAAAACGATACAGGGCGACAACGAACCTCTTGCATGATCTTGGCAGCAGTGATGACAATATTGCTCTTGCCTGGTTCGAAGCATGGCAAGATAGTCTCGCGAAGAGCAGTCTTGATCTCGTCAATGGTGACAGCGCGCACACGTCGGAGCACCTCCTTGTCCCAGTCTTTGGGCAGGCCGCGCACAACACCTTGAACAAAGTTCTGCTGGGCAGCGCTAGGCATTGTAGATTGTTCATCTGCGAACATGACGACAATCTGGCTGATGGTGCCCTCGAGCAGATGGTGATCGATCTCAACCTCGCCATTGGCGATCTTGCTGATAGCCTCCTTGGAGGCCTTGACGGCCTTATAGGCATCGGGCGACCGGTATACGTGGTACGAGATAATTCCTGAGTTAATATCACGAGAAAAGTAGACGCCGTAAGCGTATCCAGCACCTCGGACAGCATTCCAGAGAGGACCCTCGGCGGCTTCAAGGTAGCCAATAGCAACCATGATGGAGGCAAGGCGAGGGTCGGTAAAGGAAGCCAAACCTTGAGCAGTTGAGACTGAGTAGGAGCTTTCGAGAGTAGTCATCGGGACAATGACAGCACCGACTGATCCAGGGTTGCGACCTTCGTCGTTAAGCAAGCTGACGGGCTTAGGGATATCAATCATGTTCTCGGCTACGGTCAGAGACTGGGAAAGCTTGTCCCATGTAGTCAGGGGGTCAGGAAGTGTAGCAAGGTTAGCCGTAACTAGAAAACGAAGGTTTTGGAAGGTAAAGAGCGAGTCCCGGACAGTGTTGAACCAGCCGACAACCTTCTCGGGCTCCTTCTCAAGAAGCTTCTTGAGTCTCTTCAAGTACACGGCGCGAACGAGCACTCGCTTAGCAACAGCCAGCGAAGACTTTTCCATGTGGATAGCAGCATTAACCTCACTAGCCATGGACTTGCCATCACGTTTAGACTCGGGTATGTCGGCCAATGCCTTGGTAACACTAGCTCTGAGACGCTGAGGATCGAAGATGGAGTCAAACATCATGGTACGGATCCACTCGACAGCCGCGGCGTATTTTTCAGGCTCAACCTGGAACTGAATCATGATACCATCAGGGTCACTCAGGTAGCGAGCGGAGTTGAGGGAGTAGCTGATTGTGTCTCTCTCGAGCTCCATAACAACCTGCTCAAACCCGACCTGCTTCCCGTCTCGCATGATGTGTGTGTTGAAGAAATTGTCGCTGAAGGTGGGCATCAGGGGCTTGAGCTCGTTAGGAATTTGAGAAGTGCCGATGTGGATGGTGATGTGAACAAAGTTGGTGGGAACATCCTCGAACTGGATGAACAGAGGAAGCTTGCCTTGAGTTGTGTTGTCGATAAGCTTCTGTGCAGAACCATGGCCCAAACCAACTGCACGAGCATGTCCCGAACGAGCAGTATCAGACTCAATGAAGTGAATGGATTCGGTACCCGGAACACTCCAACGATCAACAACTGAGGCAGGGATGGGTTCGTCATTCTTCTTCTTAGCCTCTTCAACACGCTTGGCGAGCTTTTCGAGACCCTCAGCACCGAGATCTTCCTTACGCTTGGCAATACGGGCTTCTTCATCCTTCTTCATCCTGGTGGCCAACTCATGGGAAGGCTTGCCGAGAATAGAAATGTGAGGAGCATCAGCCATCCATTTGCTAAGGAAATCTCGCCACTGCTTATCTGTCCACTCTTCCAAAACATCATATTCGTCCAAGTTCTGCAGTTCTCTGAGAGTAGAACCGTCCCGCTTGCCGAAGAGGTAGTCAGTGATAATGTTGGTGGCGTAGAACGACTCGGAGGTCTCGGCATGATACTTGACCTGGCGCTTTTCACGGCGGATACACTCTCTCATGTAGTCCATATCCATAGGCTTCGAGGCAACCTCCTTGAGCAGTTCAAATAGACGCTTCTCAACAAACTCGAGCTTCTCGGTAGCAACACCTGTTGGCTGCAACCAGATGACCGAATCAGGTCGAGGGTCCATCCAGTAAGAGACAGAACTGGCGAGTTCCTCCTTTTCAACAATAACATTTTCCAAAATCGAAACGGATGAACCACAAAGGTAGGTAAGGAGCACGTTGAGTGCAGATGAGTCAATCAGATTGTTGCAGTTAGGGCCAAAGAACCCAACAAGAATCTCGCCGACTGTCTCGTCCTCCTCTGGAAATTCAGCGGTAACGATCTTTGTCTCGTTGATCTTAGGGGGCTGAGCAGAGTCAATCCAAGGCCTAGTGGGAGTTAGTCAGTTAAAGCGTATATAGATATTGAGTGGCTAACCTCTTAAATGGGGTATCAAGAGAAGGGATGTCATCCTTGATAGATTCTTCAAATTCTTCGAGGATTTGGAGAAGCTCATCCTGGTTGACCTCTCCAACGAGAACCAAGCATAGATTTCGTGGTTGGTACATGTCACGATGGAACTGGCGGATGCGCTCAGGGGTAAGAACTCGGAGGGCATCGGTCATGCCGCCAGTCTCATAGCGGAAACCCACGTTCTCAGGATAGAGGAGACGACGGGCCTTTAGGTCCATAATCTCAGAGCTGCGGAATTGCACGGCTTGCATCTCAGAGTAGACAACGCCAGCATCGTTGCCTTCCCCATCGATATGCCAAACTTCGGTCACAATGCCTTCATCTGTAATGGTAGGCAAGATAACATGCTCGAGATAGACAGGAAGAATTTGAGCGAAACCATCCCAGCCAGCGGTTTCAAGGGTATAAGCCGTGTGGTCCGTAGCGGTCCAGGCATTTGTGTGGGAGTAAGCTCGCGAGGAGAGCTTATCAAGGAGGCCCTTGTACTGGTAGCTCTTGGAACCCATGAAGATGAGATGCTCAAGAGTATGGGGAGCACCTGAGTCATCAAAGATCTCAGTGGCTAGGGTGAAGTAACCATTGAGTTTGGGACCCTTGCGGTCAGCGACGATCACCTGCATACCACTGCGGTCCGAGACATATTGAGTGATAGTACAAGGAGCATAGTCCGTCTTGAAGCTTTGAAGCTTTCGGAATTGCGATTTTGTTGTTTCTGGCGACATCTTGAAGTGTTTGAGGCCTGTAAGGCTCCAAAGAGAACTTGTCAAGTTAGCGGATTGTTATATCTATGAAGAAGGCAAGAAAAGGGTAAAAAGGCAAGCGTGTATGTAATAATAACATGCGGTGATTAAGTGTTGAGTGAGACAGCGGTAAGAAAATAGCGTTTCATAAGTGCAGTTGGATGTGAGGACTCTTGTTAAAGGTGACTAGGTGTTGAGAAAACGAGATGAGTGTGGGAGTAACTCGACAACAAACAGATCGAAGGCAGACTGACTCAATGCTTGTAGCTGCTAAGGAAACATTTGATACAGTCAGATAAATGACGATACTTAACAGGGCAACTGCCACTGCAGCAAGATATCGTGAACGTGGTTGTTGAGGTGACATCACGACTAAAAGACGTCTCGTCTGTCGTCGATAGTCTCAGAGTGAATAAAAGAAGAGGCTTGCAGCAGTTCAAAGTTTGTGACTCAAAATCCGCTCGCTAAAAGAAAAAGAACAACGGTTTCAAGAAGCTTCTTGCAGGTGAATGGACAAAGTCATACTGATATAAGACTTCTCATGTAGAGTTGTTACACAGCAAGAAAGAGCAAAAAGACCCCGCCATGAGCGACCACTGAGGAAGAGGAAGAAAAGAAGAGAGAAAGACAGGGCAAACAAGGCAGACAAGGCAGACAAGGCAGAAACCCACCAAAATTACGTGACACGCGACGCAGCTGGACAAGAAGATGCTACTTTACTCGCCTTCAAAGATTGTTGCGTAAGTACCGTAAGGTCAGGCTGTAGGTTGCTGCGAGTAAGAGAATGACGAGGAAGAGGGGTCCAATCAATCCAGTGAGAACAGGCCTGTCGTGAAAATTTACCCCGCTATCAAGGCAGCTTGGTGTAATCAATAGGTATCTCTCATCAATACAGCACTCGATGAGATGAATATGGGACAATATCAAGAGACTGGAGAGTTGAAGGGGAAATAGAGGACATGATATAAATGTTTATAAGCAAACATACTACCTCCTACAGCCACCGTTTGTACCTTCCTTATGCTCTTTGATTCTTGCATCGACCTATCAAGTGATAAGTTACTCGATACCTCCACTACCTGAGCATCTATCCGGGTATAACCTCCCCAATGCAGCACAAGTACAAGCCAAATAGCTATCTAACGTTCTCAGCCATGGCAGGCACGGTCCCTCAAATGCATCGCCTTCCCATTCATGACCACAAGAACAATGCAACCCAAGAATGCGCACTCGCCAAACAATAGTTAAAGATGGCTTGTGCTTGGCATTGATTGGCTACACAGCCGCTAAGCGCACTGGCCAACGTTCAGCCACTTGGGAAGGTGAAGGTGGCAGGTGCAGGGGAAGCTGTGGTGCTGTCATGACGGAGTGCAAACTGCCAACTTGTGGCTGATCTACTCTTCCGCAACTTGTAGCTTGCGACAAACACCAACAGCTCATGACGATACATGCAACGAAACATGCGACTATTGATATTTAATCTCAACTTCTGACCGAAAACACCCGCCTTTCTCGAAGTACCGAGTGGAACACGATACGAGTTAAAGCAACACATACGGACGGAGTAGTTCCACACTAAAACCTACGATACACGTATAGCTTCACCTGCCGTCACTCCATTTCTGACGACAAATTGCCCGGTCTTTTCAACATGGCCGCCACGACAGAGCAAGCGCCGCAGCAGCTCAGCGATGCCATCGTTGCTTTCTCTCTTGAAGGTCGCTTCCCTGAGGATGTCTCTGCCCTCCCTCCTGTTTCCGAAACCGATTTACAGCCTGCGATCCAGGCTCTGGCCAATGCCAAGAAAGAGCTGGAGGTAACTCAATTCCTTACAAATCAAAGACGAAAGCTGTGATGCTCATAACGCCCGTAGACCGAGCTACATACCATCAACCAAGAAACCAAACAAGATGTAGATTCATGGGTACGGAATTCAAAGACCTTACAAGAGGACATCTTCCGTTCAAAAGCAATGGCCAATGAGATTGAACGGCAATCTGAGGCCCCTGATGTATCTGGCGAGGCCATTCAAGACGCAGAGGAGAAAACAGAATTCCTGAACCGGGAAGTGCAGTATAGCCAGCAGCTACATGGTGCATTGCAAGGCATTAAGCGTGTCAATCGGCTCTTGAGTGAAGTGGAAGCTGCGAAGAATGAGCGTCGCATTCTGGATTCTTTACGGCTACTCGAGAGTATATCACCACTTTTCCCCCACCCACCAGCATAGTACTAACGTTGGCTAGGATCGTGGGAAGCGATTGATCAGGTTGGTGTCAGTAAGACTTGCCGGGTAATGAAGCTTTTGAATATCAGAAGTTTCGAACTCAAATCTGCTGTTCACGAAGTCTTCGACCATATTTGGAAAACTTTAATTCACGCAGACATCGAAACTCGCCAATTTGCCGTGTATGACGTTGTAAAAGGTAACAACACTGTATCGTGAATGACTACTGTAGCTAATAGGTTTCAGATGAACAGATGAGCCTCGCCGATGCAGTGATCGGTCTTCAAGCTTACAAAGAGGTTGATGAGCGTATGGAGCAGCTGTGGCGGAACGTGGATGCTGCGATCATATCTCCCCGGATGGACGTCAGGAACAGCACTTTCCCCAAGATACAAGCAGATGGAGAAATCCTTAAACTGTCAGGGGAAACAACAAAATCTGTTGACGCTCTCCTCACTGATTTGGAAACAGCCTTCGCCTTCCTCGCTCAAAAACTTCCCTCCGGTCTCTTGCCTTCACTCGGCAACTTCATGATGACTGACGTAATACCTAAACTTATCAGAGAATGGTTAGACGTCGCAGTACCTTCATCATTAAAAGAGATGGATAACTTTCAGGCCATGATCAAGAGAGCGAAGGTGTTCTGCGAGTCGCTCACTCAGTACGGATACACAGGTTTTGCGGATCTACAGGATTGGGTTGACAACGCACCATCAATATGGTTGGGGAAGTGCCGGGAGACAACTCTTGATTCTGTTCGATCGAAGTTACTCAGTGGAATTGGCGAACCCAAACAGGTTGAGAAGGTTGAGAAACAGATGGTATCCATCGCGGAGGGTAAAGAGATCACAAAGACCCCAGGTGGCGCTGCAGCAACAAGTGAAACCGCTGACTGGGGTGCCGATTGGGGCGATGCATGGGAGCAAGACAACGACCAACCCAAAGACCAGAGCAAACCTATAACGGCTGGTCCTGATTCGACTAAGGCCGATGAGGATGACGGGGCAGATGCATGGGGATGGGACGAGGAAGATACCACTTCTGAAGTCAAAGACAACAAACAGGCTCCAAAGGATGATGAAGATGATAGTGCTGCTGCTTGGGGCTGGGGAGACGAGGATGGGACCCAAGAACCAAAGCAACCGACAACAACCAAGAGCAAGAACCCTAAGGCTCAAAGTGAGACTCGAGAGCTTGTCCTGAGAGAAACATATAGTATCTCGTCCATGCCGGAGCCTGTCCTTGAGCTAATATACGCCATTCTCGAGGATGGTGCTGCCTTAACAAGAGACGACGTCGAATATGCACCTGTTGCAGCTACAGCACCTGGTTTATTCGGCTTACCAACATTTGCATTGGCTTTGTTTAGAGCTATTTCACCCTATTACTACTCCCTCAGCGAGGGTGGCAATATGTAAGAGCATAATTGAGGCCCGTAGTTAACCACTTGCTGACTCCGAAACAGGTACTTATATAACGATGCTATGTATCTAGCAGAGAAGCTCTCCGAGTTTGCTGATGGCTGGAAGAAGCGCGAAGAACTGACACCTCGAGCTCGAAACATGCTGCGACTTGATAACGATATCAAGAGTCTGCAAAGTTTCGCCAATCGTAGCTACGCTAACGAAATGAACATTCAAAAGACTATCCTCCGTGATTTCTTGGGTGGAGCTCAAAGCTTGATGCAACAAGATGAGATGGAGTCCTGTGTAGAGCTCGCCACCGTCCGCATCCGCTCAATGGCTTCTGTCTGGAAACCTATCTTGGCTCGCTCAGTCTGGACTCAAGCTCTGGGTTCACTTGCTGATGCTCTGTCAACCAAGCTCATCACGGACGTTCTCGAGATGCCATCTATCGGCCAGGACGAGGCCTACAACATTGCGAAACTCATTGCTACGGCTACCGAGCTCGATGATCTCTTCTTACCCAGCGCCCTGACAGGTACTGCCAGTACAGGAGACGAGGTTCCTCAAACAGCTCAGTACGCACCCAGCTGGTTGCGTCTCAAGTACCTGAGTGAGGTGCTCCAAAGCAACCTTAACGAGGTGCGCTACCTGTGGTTTGAAAGCGAGCTGAGTTTGTACTTTGCTGCGTCGGAGGTTATCGACCTTATTGAGGCTAGTTTCGAGGCAAATCCAAGGACGAGGGATACCATTCGTGAGATCCAGTCCAAGCCTACGCCTCTAGCTGTATGATGAGCGAAGTTTGCATAGGCAGGTTCGGGTTCTGTGAGGTAGGTTTTTTGGCGATAGACAGCATTCTTAACGCTTTAGAATTGATGAATCTCTGTTGGATTAAGAAAAATTTCGGTCACGGTGCCGTTCACCTCAGAATCAATGAGACGTTGTATATGATTGTTTGGTCGCATTTTTCTTACATGAACGATCTACAATCGTAATCTAACGCACCTATATTCACTTAACTTCGCGTCACAGCTCATGGGTACCATGCTGAGACTCATTTTACGATGTACGAGATCACTCTAGAGGTGTTGTCGCTTTACGAAGAGTCTGTCCTGGCGGTATTCTCTTGGTTGAGTGCTTACCCTATACCTCAAACCCTCCAAAAGTCTGAAAGTTGAACAGAGTCAAAATAAGACAATTCTATGCCTGAAGAAGCGTTACGATACTACAAAGCAGAAACTGATTCACCATTATAATCCCTGAGCTGTCTATTCAGGGAGATTCGACATCATCAAACAAACAAGGTGGTATAGGCTCGTGTCCTTGGCCTCGACTTATGACCGTCTGTCATGACCGACCTCAACACAACGTGTCACAACCCACAGAGTCATCTCCACCATTCTCACATTGTATCACTCAATGTACAAATCGGTCGAGTTTTCATCGTACCATTATTGAGCTGACAGATCAGAAATATACAGCAAGGCAACCAAATTGGATTGCACAGCATGAGGCAGCTGCCGAGACGTCGCGACGTCATGTCCTTGGCCGTCTTGGCTGCTTCGTCCTGTAACGGGGTATCTCTCCGCCGGTATGACGACTATGCGCGCGCAAGGGGCCAAAGTAGCTGCAGACATCTCCAAGACAAGACCTCGGCCGGCACAAGTGGAAATTGACTATGGCACAGCATCTGTATAATGCTTCATCGGAGAGAAGCTCATGCGAGCCTCTGACCGTAGATTACAGACGGGTACTCGCAGGGGGCGATTGCGCATGTTAACCAAGGTATTCCCTGTATCTGTGCTGCCTTGTGCCTTGTGCCAGCACATTCACCGACGAGGCAAAGTCCAACCATCGGGTGAGATGTCGGTGATGAGTCAATTCATGCTATATGTTCTGTACAGTGTTGGTTGCTGTCTGTCGGTCTCGATAACGAGGGCTTGTGTGTATAATTGATACTCGGCAAGCATGAAATGAAACAAGCAGCACGGCCACATCCAACAGCCATGAATAGTATCCGCTGCAACCGCTGCCGAGTCCTATCAAACAAAGCAAAGGTCGCAAGCTGGACCACGCAATAGAGGCATAATATGGCAACAAGATGTCAGCAAGCCGGTTGGTCCAAACGAATTCTCGAGCATGAGCATCAAACAATGCCGCACAGATCCCAATGGATTCAAGGCAGATTCCCGAGAGGCTCAAGTTTATGCCTGCTGGTGCTGATGCTGGGCATACTCGAGTGTCAGAGTCGGACCCCTCAAGAGTCCCCTTCCATCTCCCTCAAAGCACCACTAGGGCGGGCTTAGATGAGAAGGGCCTGAGCTCCTGCTCATGGGTCTCCCACTCTCTCTAGATGCTTTCCAGAACCTCCGGGGGCGCTATCCGGGCCATAGCTTCGATCAAGTCTTGTCTGTTGTTCCGGCATCCCCGTATGAGTCGGGATTATCCATGAAGTCCAACATGGAACTATGGATGGCAAATCTGCGCATCCTTCCTGAATGACCTTGATTGAGTAGCTCGTTTGTTGTCGTGGATGGCCCCCAAGTCGTGTACTGAGCCACGACCAAAATAGATGTACATCCGCTGTCATCCATCGTTTTATGTACCTAACAAGGTCCATCCCCGCACTAGGACCAGCTTCTCGGAACCAAATTCGCTGTTTCATATCTCTTAGGTACAGTAGTAAGGGGAACCCTACCTCTCATTATGCTCCGGCCTTCCAACTTCCAAAGAAGAACCTCCCATGTCCATGTCCTGAGAAAACTAAAAAAATATTGGACCTTGACGAGGGAAACGTGACCAGACGAACATGCGAGTGATGGTGCTGCCCCGGTATTGTAAGCATGGGAGATTAACTTAATGTGTTTGAAACGTCCTGGGCTGTCAGAGAGAGAATGCACAGCAAGTACCGAATCCTCTCGGTTACTAGGTAATTGGTCTTCGCACGACAGATAGGGGTTAATGTTGCGCTATGCGACTCGCAGGATCAGCTGCAAATCTGTGCAATTAAGTCCGTTAGGCGGATGTGTCTGTCAATCCGAAACCGAGCCTATAGACTACTGCGTTAGAGTACACTAGACTAACTTAGTCTTGGTTGGACCGTTGAAGATTCTCCAAACTAGTCCTCGATACAGTATCAGATGGCATTAGCAATTGACGTGGCATGCCAGCACAGTCAGAAATGACCATCATATCGGCCTCTGATGGTCAGGCTGAATGAATAATCACAGAGTGCCAGAGAGTAACAGCATGTGCGCGATTGCATCATCAGACGTGGTGACTGATCATTTCAAATGCTGCCGAGGAATGTCGGCGATAACTCATATGCACCTCGTTGAAGGGAGACAAATAGAGAGGTAGACTCAGCTGACAGATTGTCAAATTGATATCATTTCTCTTCGCACAATGTGAGAGCTGAGTGCTACCGTGGATGGTGATATCCAGTCAGCACCGCCAGCCTCAACGCCGTGGCTCTCCTCTCATGTACATCATTTGGTCTCATGAGCCGTCAAAAGCGACACCCTCCAGCCACTCGAGGCTCATGCAGGCTTGTTAGTTGACTGATATCAACCACAATCGGCCCTCCGCCGCCATGCACCACCATGTGCACGGCGCCGGCCACGGCCTTCCGATCTCGTCTTTGCCCGTCGTGCTGCACAGTCTGCACAGTCTGCACCTCACCAGGAACGGGTATGCGAGGTGCTGGCGTCGCAAACGCTCTCACAGTTCAGTTCGAACTGATGCTCCAAAAGTAGGGTGACACATGCGCCCACAAAGTGATCAGTCACTAATGTAAGACGACCCATGGGGCCGGCCCGAGCCAGGACTAGTGATTTCATACACAACCTTTAGTAAGGAACCAGACATAACTGGCTGGGCATGGCTCACACATGGCAGCATTCATCGATGACCTTTTTGCCAACACAACCACCTCTTCAATTTCTCCAGCAAATGAGACGAGGCAGCAGCAGCGGCAGCGGCAGCGGCCAGAGGGGTACCCCCAAATTGTTGTCCCGTCTCAAGGGGCTCTGGGTTGCACTCGTCAGCCTGCGTACAGCACATAGCCAGCTGACCAGACGACTGGATAACATATTTCTCATCTGTGCCACAAGTGCCCAGACCATGGTGTAGGTGAGGTGAGATCGACAAGGCTGAAGGACGCAAGAACGTCCAAATGAGGGTTTGATAGTGGAGTAAATACTTGCCAACACACAATGGCTGTGCAAGAGACACGGCTATTCATGGAAATAAGTCAGTTCTAATGTTAGGCTTTGAGGCTGGTTGAAATGCCATGGCATCGGATTCAACTACATCCGTTACCAAGTATGCATGAACCAGCCCAGCCAGTGATCTTGAGCGGCACGATACACAGCCAAGAATGTCAGACGGTACGGTAAGTGACCAATGTTGCATATGGCTAAAAGACCGGTTGACAATGACACCTTGCCCTGCGGTTGTTCAATCTTCCCCATTGGCGTTATAGTGAGGTGAGGTTTTCTGTACCCTTCATGTGACGCAATATGGTTGACTAGTCATTACCGCAATGCCCTGCAATGTACAGATACAGCACATAACTGTGCATGGCAAGCCCATGGATGTATCGGGGCTGCTGTCGGGTATGGGAAGATTTCCGCCAAAGGTTGATAGGAGTCCTTTCAATGAAAACAATCAAACCGCCTACCTGTACCAAGAAATTAAGCACAAGTAAATCATCAACCACTGGTGCTTATAGACTCGTTTTACAGCATCCGTCTGGAAGAGTAACAATCAAGGCCGTCAAAGGATGACTTTGTCATCCTTGTCAGGGATCTCAGTCAGGGATCCTATAGAAGGATTCTAGAAGGCTGAGCATCGAAACGAATAGCAGGCCAACACCCCCAACAACCCTAAGGATGTGAGGTAGGGGTTCTTAGTACCTGGGTGCGCGCCAGGTAAGAGTATAACCACTAAGGAGTGGCTCTTGTGTACTCCGCAGTCCTCAAGTAATTTACCTATCTTTGCGAACAGAAACGATGCAATCATCTCCAATCGTAAACGTACTGGAGAAAGCACTTTCAACAGTTTCAATATGGGCGAGACAGTTGCAGGCGGGTGTCGTTTCAGCAGCATATTGTCTAGGAGCATCGTTTCGAAACCAAATCGCCAAGACTCATAATGCCTGCCGCCGCACTCCACTGATTTCCAGGTACAGTAGATCCCCTACGTAGTACAGCCATAGCGTCTGTTAGCCCAAGCCTCCAGGTCGTGTAAAGAATAAGCCAACATTTGCGCATTCGTGATGGTCATGGGTCAAAGACTAAGCAGTCTGCATCTCGACGTAACATGAAGGTCCCCAGTAATACAATATTGAGTTTAGGCTTGAACCATCAAGTTCCCAGCCCCGTTGATGCCATCAACGCTAACTAACACTGTCGCCTCAGATGTTGCTTTGATGCTTCGGGTATCAGTTCCGTGAAACCAGATTGACCACTCATTTTGATAGCCAGGAATTATTGTCGAATGTCATCTTGTCGAAACGAGTATTGGAATTAACTACCCATACGGTACAAGATGCGCTGTAGATAGACTACTGATCCCCAACAACGAGGCTACAACCCTATCTCTGACCCCTTGCTGCGCATCAATGTTGTGCAGCAGCAGGCCCAAGCGTGATGGTGTCAACAAAAGATCAAAGGGGTGTCCTGTGTGAAATTGGTCGCCATCTGGCCCTCTGCATATTATTCCCTCCTCCCGGGTGAGTTGGCCGGCTGTTTGATCCGTTGAGATGGGTATGCGCCATGCCCTCAGGCTGGCCTGTCACCCGTGCTTTGATGTCGAGGCGGAAGTTGTCGAAGCAGGTTCACTATGAGTATGCCGCAGGAGACTTTTCAGCAAACTTTTCTTTCCCATCAGATCGGGACAACTGAAGGCGCAGATCCCGGCCGTTGTGGCTAGTTCTGGACCCTGCTGTAACAGGAATTCGCCGAGGTTGTCAGTAGGATTCAAAAGTTGAGGGTCTAGTTAGAGGTTCAAGCTTCATTTCGCATAGCAAGGGTACGAGCTGTCTCGAGTCATCGCAGAAACTCAGTACGCCGCCTATGCCCCGAGCGTCCAATGTGCTCATCTATAATTGAAGAGACCAACGGCACTCAATGTGGTTGCGCCGCATGTGAAGACTAGAGGATCGTATGTATGGCCAAGCTTGGTGTGTTGCGTTGATGGTCAACCATGGTGATACAAGCAATCCCTGAGATATGCTCGGTTGATACCCGTAATCACAAACACATCCAGTATAGATTGTCTGACGAATGTAACAACGGCTTGTACTGTAACCTGCAAGCTCTTCGTTGCAATAACAAGTGGCTTTTGTTCGAATATCTGCACCTCAATAGGAAGGCCGAAGCAGATAGATTTATCACAGATTAGTGGCTCAGATGCACGTTGTCGACCTTTTACCCAATCCCAATCCATATGCGGCATTGGATGCAGCGGCAGGCGCGCAATGAGCGGGCACTCCCGTGAAATGAATTCCACCATGCGGTTTTTACCAAACCAATCGACAGCGTTGACTGTTTTGGCTCGTCCCATCGCGAGCTTCTCTTCGTGGCCTTTGGTGTGGGATATGGTCGTCTAAGGGGTGCCAACTCTGTCGAGCTAAAACAAGACTAATGCAGCTTCTATGTTCTGCCACGATTGACTATTTTTGAAATTGCCTCGTATGCGTGGTGCTAAAGAGTTCTACCTGAGTTGGTCTTTTGGATTGATTGGATTGTCACTCAATTTGTCACTGGTCATAGCTTCGTTTACGACCCTGCCCACAAGCGGGATGCAACTTCAAGCTTGCTTAGTCTGCGTAGGGTATGCTTCCAGCAGGTTGTAGCATATCTTGACAACGGCAATTCCACCAGAACGACAATGGTAACCCGCCTCGCGTGGATAATTGGATCTCCAGCCACAAAGACTTGGGAGTTTCGCGTACTGTATCTTGTTTCCAGTGGTGGGCTTCCGTAACATGGCAGATAGACGCGAGCCAATGCAATGGTCTCACGCTGTGCCACTTCTCGCTGGCATAGCATTGCATAGGTCGCCTGCAGAACATCAGGTGCTCAGTCGCAATGACGCGATAGGATGCAGTGCTGAGATTAAACATTTGCTTCGTGCCTTGGGCCGCCAGAGCAAGGTGATTGTGACGCAGCCAGTGTAATTAATTACCCTAGGCAAGATATTCAAGGTCTCGCAGCTCTGGCTCGACACAGAGGCTGGTGGCATAATGCAGATGCTTGCTTCGCTGTGGTTGGCTGCCATCCCACAAAGGGGTTTATACTTTGACATGCCGCTTGGGGAAGTGCACGTGGATGCTGTCCGTATAACAGTGGAAATTGTGAGGGTGTGTCACAGAAGTCTTGGAACGGAATAATCGGCATTCTTTGTTGCGTTGTGTAAGAACACACTCGTAAAATAGCCGTGCCATTGCCCAGATAGGCCTAATACGACGGGCAGCACGACCGCTCGGCAGGCCATTGAGGCTTGGCGTCTGCTACGTTATCTGTAGCCATGGGCAATCAAGGACCAAGAGAAATAGCAGCGGTATGGCGAGTTGAATACGAGATCCATATCGGCTACAGGATAACTGAAAGCAGAGGGACATGGAAATGCCTCATGCAAATTCATTGCCCGAATACATGCGCGTGATAGCATCAACGGTACATTACATCGCTTGAGTATGCAAGGACCCTGGCCAGACCACATCTAATGGAATCATGGCCGAGAAGGTCGAGATGCTGCCCCCCATTTGGCTTGAAGATGACCTGTGCGTTGAGACGCCATAGGCGGCTGCTGTGTTGCTTGGGAGTTCTAAAGGCTCGTTGCAATATACATGAAGTCGTTCCTGTATCTTCTGTATAATATGGTGTAATTTGCAGCTAATAAGCCACGCTAGGAGACGGATTTCATTAATCCTGGTCAATACTTTAGAGCTTCGAGAATTCCATCACCAACCCGACAGTGAGTAAGCATGCAACGTGGCTGCTCTTGCAGGTCTGGAAGTTCCAGCGTTTGTGCTCCGTACTCCGTATTTGATGTCGCTTTGTGCCCCCGCGTCTTTCACGAGATTCCCTACGTCACCTGGCAATCGCGTCATATCACCTTTTCGGTCACCTTAATTCTCCCGTTTGGCAATTGTTTCTTTGGTTGTCCGTTTTTCAACTAGGCCAATGATGAACTTTGTGAGTCTTAGACTCTTAGGAACATATTTAGTCCTAGGTTCGTATGTGCCGTGCAATTCTCGATCGAATATCCCGTAGCTCGGTACCCATAAAGAAGGCACGCTGATCATGAGCGCTGACACATACGCAAGGCTGACTGATACCGCAAAGTCGTTCCCGAGACACTTTTAAGAACTCAGTCCAGGGGCTCAGGGCCAAAGCTGTTCTGGTTGCCTGCTTACTAGCAGATGGCAGCCCCATGTCTCACAGCCAGGCCCATTACAGTAAGATCCTAGGGGCCAGATGTCCACAGTTGAAGGTGCAACCGATTGGACGAGATACCAGGCAACCGACGTCATTATCCTTCCCCACGTAATGCAACGAGCCCTTGACGAATTACCAGCGAATCAGAGTTCCGTTGGCGGTTATGGCTGGCCCAGCACACCGGTGCTGTTTCAACACCCTATCCTGCCTTTCACCAAGTAACGAGATGCAGGAGCCGCCCAAGAGTACCCTATCATCAACGCAGATAGGAACGAGTACCGGCACACCGCATGTGATAAGACGACGTCGTAATGGCTCGTTATATTGGCCTTTGTCCTCTGGGGCCTGGAATGGATACCTCGTGACCATCAGAAACCGCGCCTGGCTGTCAAGAAATGTCGGTGTATGTCAAGTCTAAGACGAAATACCCTTCATGGTTCGTGGCTCGGGACAGAGACCCGCTATTGGATCTCTGAAGACTCGAAGGGTCCGAACGGCAAGGGGCAAGTAATAATACCTACTGTGCTCCGTAAGATTTTGGTGGTAGATTGGCCACTAACCTGGTCAACCAAGGGGCCATTTGCAGTAGAACAACAACTCCATCTTCCACCATGTGTATGATAACGGATTGAACTGGAATAAATGGAACATTGTAATTCCACTGCAGGCAGTTGAGCGTACGGCTTAACGCCCGACAAGGCTGCAGGACGTATTGCCGAATATTCATGATAAGAAAGCGGGGAGATGGCGCCGTCAAAGATGGATGAGCGGACAGCCAGGAACGGGCAGCATGCATTCTCCGTAACCTACGGCCGAGATAGCTGTGAGATCCCCACAAGGGACATGCTGCCCGCACTAAACGGTCTCTTTCTATACCCACACCCCCTACATGGTCTCCAAGACGGACCGGGGCCCTCGTCTTCCCCTGTTCGTAGCTTGAGCCCTGACCTAAAATTGGCGGGAGTCGGCGCCAAAGGATCGACGAGATGATGATCTCATTCCGTTGTTGGCCATCCAGGCGATTGTTTCAAGATGTCTCTTGCCAGGCATGAGCATAATTACCAAATCATATGGCGTGTTGGGAAGATGTCCCACAGAAATTAGCGGAATGTGGGAAAGGCACCTTGAGTCCAGGAACTGGTATCCTGGGGCATTCAGCCTCTAATGTCTCGGGCTCTGTCACCAGTCATGACGCTCTTCAACCCTTCCCCTGGGACGAAGAGCACGATTGGCTTCATCTCCACATGACCTTCCCTGACCGACGTCTCATTCATTTTGGCATTTCGTGTCTGAGGACGTTTGTAGGACGCCATCAATGCCATATGCTCTGATTGTGCTTGATCCGAAGAGATGAGGCACAATATGAAGAAGGTACGGGGAAGCAGGAGACGAGCCGATGGCCTCAAAGAAAGAAGAACTTGGACCGCCAACTTAGGTGAAGCGCTGAATGACCAACAACATGATGCTATCGTCAGCGAGTGACACTATTATATCGTTGGACAATTATTGACAAGCGCCAAAGGTACTACTGCCACGTCACCCAGATAGCAAGTTTGTTGACGACTGAATGATAGACATATGAATGGGGTTTGGGTGACCTCGAATTTTCTTGGTTCGACCTTGCAAACGGAGGTCAGCCGAAATCATGTCTGGAATTACCGTCCTGCATGCCATATCGAGTGAACCCTGTCCCCCCTTAACCGAGTATTTGGGCCGCCCACGGTGGCTGCGTGGCACTCTGCACTGGTGAATTTGTGACCCAACATGCCATGCAGCCTTGCCCCTCAGCCGCACACAGGCGAGAGTACAGTAATCTGGTCGCTTTGCTGAAGATCAGGATGTGCCATCCTCTAGCGAGAGTAGGGCAGGGTTAACAAACGACGGTTTGCCGGGGAGAGTCGAGTAGGATGTCCCGGTGCTCGTGACAGTGGATACAGCAAAAAAGGACGAGGACCCTAATAAAGTTACGAGCACGAGGAGCCGCAGCCGCGGGCGCTGGAGTCGTGGTTGACAGACATCTGGCGTCTAGTTGCTGCGGGTGAGGCTAACGGTCTTCTCAAACGAGCTGCTTGGGGGTCCCTGTCGAGTATGAGATTAAACGATCGCAGATGAGGTAAGCACAAATCCGTGTTGGTACACTGCTACGCCACCACTCGACGACACTGTATAGAAAAATGTCAATGTGTTTGCTCCAGTATAGTGGGTACATCCCTTGATGGATGAGATTACCTCGAGCTGCTAAAGAGGAGCGATGTGATGCTGACATGAAGTGAAGCATGAGGAAGCAGGGAGGATTCATCATGGTATTGTTAGTGCCATCTGGCTATGCATTGCGCATTGCGCATTGTCAATTGTTGTTAACTGCACGATCCTGACTGACGCTGGTAACTTCCATGTCAGTGACAGAGAGGTAATCAAGATGGAAGTTCGGCAAGTTCTTTCCTCCCGCCAAGCAAAGATGACCAGGCACTGCAGGCAGGTCCTATCCTATACCTAAGCCTTTAAGTTAACTTAAAAACTCCGGAATAGCTGCCTGCGCCCTGCCTACACTATATCTTTAACCGGGCTCTATTAGGTATAACTCGGAGGATTTGATGGATGATAGGATGTTGTGGTTAATTAAAGAACAGACCGGTCAGGTCTTTGCATGCTCGGTATATTCTGAGGCCCAAGGCAACAGAAGTCTTTCAGATACGTACCTTGATCTCAAAATGACGAGACTGCCACAGGCCAGCTTTATCAGATCACGAATTCAATGTCGGCTGTTAGTCGATCTAAATCATCGATGCCCTCGTTTCAAATCTTTCGGCTCTGCTGCCCCGTTCGAGGGGTCAATTTCCCTCCGCTCGGGTCAAGTTTAGCTGGAGTTAAAATGGACATTAGCACTCCACACATCGTGTCAGACTGAGGTCATGGCCATGAGGAGGCTCAAATGTCGGGCCAGCCGCCAACCCAGTGCAGCAAAGCTCGACACAGTCGCAGCGTAAACACAGCGCAACGGTACGGAGGCGGAGGCTACGCTGCTGAGGCGTAACGCGGAGCTGGATCGACGAAGCCGCTGTCTAGATATTCTCACCAGCCCCTAACGCAGCATTTTGAATCCTTGGGGGACTTTTGCTGGGTTTTCCATGATTAAACGCAGACACTTGCGCATGTGGCCATCATGCGACCTGTAATTAAATCCGTGGCATACAGGTCGAGACTGTCGAGTCATCGCCTATATACGCTGTGAGACAAAGCTGCAGAGGTACCACGTTTCGATATCTCAACTACAGCGAGTATCCGCAGTAATTGATTGGCAGCTCTGCTGCTTTGACCTCAAACTTCGTGAGGCACATGGTAGCCATGTGTCGAGGCCAGAGATTGAGGTACTATACGCGTATGAGCAGGCGTTGGAACCTCCCTGGGTCTTAGCCCGCGAGCTGGCCAGCGTTTGCTCCCCTGTCATGGAATTGTTCTTTTTCTACGACTACAGAGGGTGGGCAAAAGCTCCGACAACTTCTTCTCTTCTGGGCTTATCATAAGATAACATAAATTATAATGAACTCTCTATAAAATGATCTGATTGTTATATATTTTATACATGTCTATGATTATACGTATTCCTAGTTAAGTCTTATCGAACTTTTGCAAGGGACTGTATCCATCCAAACCTGAATAGCCACGGCCAGCGGTTCCGCGACCCGGGTGCTGTCAATGACTGCTTGTATCTTGTATCCGTAAAATCGTCCCAAGTTTGCTGGTCTTGGCCCGAGAGGTACTAGTCGACTCTGCTCTCTTTTTTTCTGTCCGCTGCCAGGCTTGTGAGCCGGCTCTTTGACTTTTTCTTTTTCCCTTTCTTTCCCTTTCTCTCCCTTTTAGGTTGCCTCGTGATCAAAATTTCAGAGGGTCTTACACAACGAGGGACAAACAAAAATGCTAGATTTGTGCGAAGGGTGCAGCAAGGAGCCGACAAAGACATAACAATAAAAACCAGAAACTGCTAAATAAACAAACAGACTAGCAACTCAACATGGTGGTTGCTTAATCACTTAGTGAGGGTGCAACCAAGCTTACCTTAGCCCGAAGCCAAAGTTTAGAAAAGATTAAAATAAAAAAACTCTCGTGAAGACAAAAACAGGCCAACCCGAATCCAACCCATAGGCTTTTTCACTATCCGGCCCCTCTTGCCCTGGCCGTAACCGGACTGGGTACTCAAGCTTACATCGTGATCACTGATTGCTCAACCGCTGTCGTTGTTAAAGAAGAAACTGGGTTGGTGTTTGGTAAAACTCTACCACATACCAAGGTGACGATGGTGCTAATGATGCCAAGGATGCGTAAGACGAGTTTATGCATCGTCATTCTTAGCTGGGTGCTCATCATAAATCAATTGGAGTACAAACATCCAGACCGATTGCACATGTTTATCAGGCCACATCGTCTATGTGTAACTCGTGCTGTCTTCATCTCCGTGTTAGACAGGTTATGTTAGTCAGGAACGAGAGGAACGGATTTGCATCTCGCCTCCTTGAATCGCTCTGGTATGGCCGAGAAATTGGATATGTACTGGCGCGACTCGTTCTGATTGATCAGTTTTCCAGTGAAGGTGTGCAGCTCAGACCTCTCGGGTCTGGCGGCGCCCATCTCTATCTCTCCTGTAGCGCGCCGGCTCTCCCTTGGAACGATATCCTGGATCAGCATGAGTCTTTCATCCGATGCTTCGGGGTAGTGGAATTTTCGAGAGCAGATCCTAGAAGTTCCATCCTGGAGTTGAAGGATGGGTTGGAAGTCCCGAGGCAATCAATCACCATCGTCGAGGATGAAGTCGTAATCGCTATAGCAAGCATGATGATTTATGATGATGATATTTATGGCGTCTTTCTCCACCCTGGATGGTTGGCCGTTAGCTCAAGACCCAAGTGCTGTTCTGTTGGTACGGCGCATTGCCGTACTCCGAACAAACGGACACACTGGCAGTGGATGACTCCGCAGATTGCGATTATTCTGTCAACCCTCCGTGGATAGGGCCAGAGAGGGCCGAAAAAGGAGGGCTAGAAGGACAAGTGAAAGAAAACGGTGTGAGCTACGAAGTACAGATGGCGCTCATCTGGCGACTGAGCCCCGAGTCTCGCACACAAGCATAAACTCTCAAAGGAACAGCCCAAGGCCCCGAAGCCCCAGGCCCCAAAAACCCACTGCCGAGCGCTAATGGATAGTTGGGCGCACTAAAATTACAGCACAACGGTTTCCGGATCCCGTATTGTTAATTCAGTAATGAGGATGAGCATGCGAGAGACGAGAGGATCGAGCTAGGCTCCATCGTTATTTTCCCACGTTCCGCACATATTGAATCTCGAATTGCTCTCCCTCGCAAGTATGGTCTGGTAGTTTCCAAGAAGTTCGTTTACTGAGACTCACACCGCCAAGCTCTATTCCGACACCTCTGTTATTCACTTTGCGACTTGCGACCTTCGACTCATCCTTTCTGCTTGGTAGGCTAACTAGTCTCGAGGTGACGGGAAGACAGGGTAAGCTAACCAGAGGTAAGCAAGCATCCATCCAGTCCAGTCCAACCCATTGCTATGCAACTTGACCTATCCCTATGTACATTGACGGTTGCTCTTTGGGACTGGAGCCTTGGCCTCTGATGTTTCTGAGTCTAGCTTTGTTGCCAACCTCCGTGTAACCGTCTACAAGCTTGCCAACTGGTATGACTCTCTTCCCCATTTCTCTTAGCCCTGTCTTTCCAATTGCTTGGTGACTCTGCCCGTTCGCCCTGTTCTAAAGACCGAGGCATACATACAGCATGTAGACAAATAGAAAGGCGAGGAGGCTCACCGTATCTGGTTGTGTATGTAGGATATAGTCAATAGTGCGACACGGCACGTATGTCGGTCAATCTCTATTCAAGACAATATCCTTTAACGACATTGGTTTTTGGTCATGTGCACTTTTCGGGTATCGAAACAGCTGGGTAGCTTCGGAAGATTCCATCAAAGTTAATAAAGGTTTGAGTTGCGTTGAGTTGAGTTGAGTTTGAAGTGGTGCATTAGACGGCTACTCTCACTCTCTGCAAAACCCGACTCTGTCTCCCTTGTATCGAGCAAGTTTGAGTCCTCCTCACCTAAAGTTGGACTTTTCCATCTGCATGAAAAGCCCAGAGCCCAGGAAGCCAGCACTTTTTTGCTCGCACACACCTTCAGGGCCCAACCATTTGCCTCCCCCTTGACCTTGAAGCACCCCACTCTATCAAGTTGCAACGGATGAAAATCATACACCCCTCCCCCCCTGATCACCTCCCCAGTCTCTCCAGTATCCACCCCGGTCAAACTGTCGTCCACAGTGAAAAAAAGACGTGGGAGGAAAAAATAATTATAAAAAAGGGCTGTAGGGAGAGAAAGATACGTACCCCAGTCTCCAAGTAACTGTCGGTTCCCAGCGTTGGGAAATCCCCGGCTTGTTGTATGTACATTGAGCCCCCCAGTCGCTCAATCCCAGTTTGCATCAGTGAATCAAATCGATCAAATCAATGCCTGGGCGGGCATCCTCATCACCCTGCCTGGCAGCGAATTGAAGTGAAGTGAGGAGATCAGGAGTGAGGTACCCGTAGGCAATAGGCACCTCAGGTGTAGATACAGTATGGTACATCTGTGACAGGCACAAGCACGGGCACAGGCACAGGTACTGACTGAGACCCTGGTGTAGGATATTGATGTTTCTGTTAGGACTAAACTGAACACACAGACACTCGAACGACTCGACACAGCGCAGGCCCTGGCTTGCTGGCCTAGGTACTATCCTTACAGTGCTGTACAACGTACAGTACAGCGCAGCGCTGGCTACAGCATCCATGGATTGCAGCGCACCCGACTGCACTGACACTGACACACCTAGCCAGCAGCAGATCAGCTCGTGTCAAGTGTCAAGTATCAAGTAGAGACACTCCAAATAAAGGAAAAAAACACCTACCTTAGGTACTCTTGGCTGTGGTAGGCCCCTCCGCCATAATTTCCCGGCCCCCAGCCCAAGAGTCCCTTAAGCCCAACCGCCCAGGCCCGAGTGCACCGCCGCATACAAGACTCTTCCATTGCCCGTCCCTTCCATCTGTTCTCTGATCTAGCTCTCTTGACGTTAGCTTTTTTTTACTTTTACCAAGTCTCGCCCGCTCCAACGCGCGCCAGAAAAGTACGCCATCATACTTTGAAGCGTTCTCCCTTGCTACTCTGCTAGAGAGAATTGCCCTTCTTGTCCCTTCCTCTACTTTTTTTTTAAACCTTCTGCTTCCCGGGCTATCGTACAACCACTGCTCCAAGCTACTGTACCTTCCAACCTACTACTTATTACTACTTGGACTCCCCCCTTTTCCACCTCGACTACCTTTTCTACCCCTCCCGCTCCACCACCAACTTTCCCATTGACAACCTAACTTTACTCTCTGCCTTTCTCACTTCTTGCCTGCCATAACAATTCGTTTCTTCAAAGAAACCTCGGACAGCCTACACGAGACAGACGAATTCTCTTGTCACTCAGCATTACTCTGTTTGTTCCACTTCACGCTCGACAACAAAGTGCAAACCAATTGCAATTCGCCGATCAACTTGCGACAACCTACAATTCCGACACTGTCGCGTTCCATTTTCCATTGACATTGGGTGACTCAGCCGTCTCGACTTTCGCAACCTCGAACCTCGGACTCCCTCTTGGACTTTTTACCCAAAAGCCTGCGGGTTCTCGGAATTGATAGCATCTTGTCATTCGAATTGCGCCTGTTCGATTCATCTAGATCGACGTCTTGTTGGAATCGGCATCTTCGGACTAATCGCACCCACGCAAGAAAGAACCCAGCGCAGGACGTTGTTGGTGTTGACATTCATACTGCTACATCGCCCACGCTACTACCTACGAACGTGTCTGTAGTTTGAGCTACCCCAACCCGTGGTTGTTCGACGGACACTTCATCTCATTCATCACCTGGACCAGCTGCTCTGCGCTGAGCTGCAGCTCTCGGCCTGCCAAAGACGAACGCCCTGTTTTTGTTTGATCCAGCGACCCCAAAGCGGCCCAAAAAGAGCCACCTGCATATCCCGCCCTCTGCCAGCTCACCACGCTGCTGCGAACTTGGCACATCATCACGCCTCGGATCGACCTTGTCAAGACCTACCTAGTCACCCGCGTGCTGCTCAACCTCACTGTCTTCCCGTTGTCCACTCAGCAATACCTTAGGCTACCTCCGTCCCTGCATCTGCATTCATTACGTGCGGTTGACACTGCCCTGGTCTCTGACATCCTTCCTACCCGACACTGGCTGCACCCCAGGTTGACAGCTGCTCCACGAGGGATCGGCTTCCGCAGCCTCTTCCCCGCAATTTGCGTCTCTTATTGTTCACCCCCAGGCCAAACGTCCCGCCATGGCTCCCCATTCTGACTGAGCTTTTATATACGTCGATGCAACCTACGAATGCGACTTCTCCTCATATAGTGTAGCCACTACTCTCAGCACAACCATGTCTTTCAACTTTGACTCCGATTCAAAATCCACATTAACAACTCACAACCTATCTACAATGTCCTCATTAACACGCTCTCAACTTGGTCAGGTCCAGACATCCTTTCCATCACAAACACAACCAGTCCCCATTCCTATGTCAGCTATCAGTGCTTCATCAGGAGCCTCAAACTCACAACAAGGCTCGCCACTCATGTCTCCTGACACTGCTGTTCTGACAACATACTCCTCCGTCCAGCCCTCGCCTGAACCAATTCGAGGTCGGGAGGAGGAGGTTTTCCCTTCCAGCTTCCAGTTGCCCGAATCTGTGTTATCCCGGAAGACAAGCACAAACTCTCTTAGTTACAATGCCATGTCAGAAGTGGCCAACACCAGCAAAGGAGGTCTCATCCGCCGATTCTCAAACCGAGCACAACGGTTTGCAGGCAGAAGAAGACCATCATCTAACGCCCCTACGAGCCGAGATGGAAGTGTCGGCCCAAGTATCCTCAGACGCCGCAGTGACAGCAATGCTACAGCACCCCAAGAGAACAGCGCTTTAACAGACACTGATGAGGAACCCGAATTCATTCCCGACGACTCCATCTCTATGGTTGGCCTTGACGCTGCTGCCTACACATCATCCGCCAACAGTACTCATGGCTCGATCAGCGCAAGTGCTGGAGCAATGGCTGGCCCAGTGCTCCCGGCTGAGCTTCGCAACGGATGTCCGGTAAGGAAGGTTTCAAGGAAGAGCCGACCGAAGAGAATCAACCTTGTTTACGAGACCGAATCCAACAAGCTATCATGGGATCCAACTCGGCCTCAGAAGTCCATCCACGTGGATGAGATCAGGGAGATTCGAACTGGCTCCGATATTCAACAATATGTTATTGATTACCAGATGACCGACAACGTAAACTACTATATCCAAACTTGGTTCACCATTATTTACACAGTTCCCGAGACCTCGAAGGCACGATTTCTTCACATTGTCACCGACAACAACAAGAGCCTATGCCTATGGACGGAGTTCTTGGACGCTATGTTGAGATATCGACAGGAACTTATGACCTCGCTAATGGCATTCAACGAGCGTGCCATTGCCCAGTACTGGCGGACAGAGATGGCCAAGGAATTTGGTGACCAGGTCCGAAGTACTGAGCAGGAAGAGATGAACATCGCCGGCGTCAAGCGTGTGTGCCAGAACCTCCACATCTACAGCTCGCAAGCGACACTCGAAGTCAACTTCCACCTATCCGATTCTCGACGACGACAAAAGTTAAACTTCAGGGAGTTTAAGGACTTTGTGCGGCGCATGAAGCAAAGGAATGATGTGCAACGAATCATCCGTAGCTTCGCTGCCAACCCCGAGTTTGGTCTCACTCTGACAGAATTTCTAACCTTTCTACGCGACGTTCAGGGTGAGGATGTTGACTCTAACCTGGTTGCCTGGGAGAAGCTGTTCTCCAGAATGTGCCGTCAGTATCGGAGCGACGAGGTTGATGCATCAGAAACCGCCGAGATTATGTCCGAAGCCGCTTTTGTTGGCTTTTTGACGTCAGAAGATAACGAAGTGATCAAGCCCGAGCCTGAAAACATTGTCCTGGACCGCCCCATGAACGAGTACTTCATCTCAAGCTCACATAACACTTACCTCCTTGGCCGCCAGGTTGCTGGTCAGTCTAGCGTCGAGGGCTACATCTCGGCCCTCGTTCGTGGTTGCCGATGTGTAGAGGTTGATTGCTGGGACGGTTACAACGGTCAGCCTGAAGTTAACCATGGTCGCACTATGACGACCTCGATCAGCTTCAAGGAGGTCATGACCACTATCAACAAATACGCATTCGTTAAATCCAAGTTCCCTCTCTGGATTTCTCTTGAAGTTCACTGCAGTCCAACCCAGCAAGCCACCATGGTCGAGATCATCAAGGAGTGCTTTGGTGTCCGATTGGTCACTGAGACTCTGGAGGCGTTCCCAGACAAGCTTCCCACCCCTTCTGAACTTATGGAGCGTGTTCTTATCAAGGTTAAGAAGCCACAAATCAAGGAGGAGCCAATCGCCACCGGCAACGACTTCCGAGGCCGACGCCGGGGTAACAGCCTCAATTCGCCCATGATGCGACCTTCTGCTGCCGACACCGCTGCTATGATGCCTTCTCAGTCTCTTCCCCAGAGCCCTATGTTGACACCAAGCCACTCATCTCGAAGATTGGTCAGTAAGACTCGTGTCAACACTATCACTGAGGGCCAGGTTCAGGGTACGATGAGCAGCAGCACCAGCGATAACGAAAGTGTGTGTGAACCACCCGCCAAGAAGACCCCCAACAAGACGACCAAGGTCCTTGGTGAATTGGGTGTCTACTGCGCTGGTGTCAAATTCTCAGGCTTTGATACTGTCGATGCGAAGCAATACAACCACATCTTCTCTTTCATGGAGTCGAGCTTTGCTAAGCACTCTCGTGCCAAAGAGCAGAAGATGGCCTTGGATATCCACAACATGCGCTACATGATGCGTGTCTACCCTGACCGAACTCGCATTACCTCCAACAACTTCGACCCTCTTGTTTACTGGCGTCGCGGTGTCCAGATGGCTGCTCTTAACTGGCAGACCTTCGACCTCGGGATGCAGCTCAACCGTGCTATGTTTGACGGAGGCAAGGACTCTTCCGGCTATGTTCTCAAGCCTGCCGAGCTTCGAGACATCCAGGTCCTCCCCTACAACTCCGACATTGCCGAGGGCAAGAAGGAGCGCAGCGTGGTATCATTCAGCATCGATGTCATCTCTGCTCAGCAGCTCATGCGACCTGCCAACCTTCCCGCGAACAAGTCCATGGACCCCTATGTTGAGATTGAAATCTTCCATTCGAACGACAAGCGCGATAAGATGGATACCGATTCCCACATGACGATGGAGCACGACTCGCCTCTGAAGGTTCAGACAGAGGTCATCCGCGAGAACGGCTTTAACCCCATGTTCGACAAGCAGTTCAAGTTCAAGGTCACCACCAAGCACCCCGACCTGATCTTTGTTCGCTGGTCTGTTAAGCTCTCCAATGACGGCGAGAGCTACAACGAGCGCCCAGCCGTCGCCACCTATACCGCTAAACTCACCAACCTCAAGCAGGGTTACCGTACCCTCCCACTCCTCAACCACGCTGGCGACCAATACCTGTTCTCTAAGCTCTTTTGCAAGATCAATGTCGATTCGGTCGAGAAGATGTTGATCGATGCCCCTCGCCGTACCCAGGAAGGAAACAAGCTCAACCGACTGGGCGGCAAGGTCTTTGGTCGTATCAACACCAGCCCTAAAAGTACTATCGAAAAGTCTAGCTCAGAGAAGACGAGCTTTGACAGTTATTGAACACCCACTGAGAAATATTTATCTCACCTGTACGAACATCTTTTCAATATTCTTGGACATAATTTTACAATTTGATTCTCGATTCAATCGATATCGAGCCTGACGAAGCTGGATCTGGACACTTCTTTACTCTGATATCGACAAGGATCTAGGGCGATGGACCTCCGAAGCTATCTTCATCAATTTGTCACAGATTCTTATTCCACGATCCCAGGAGGATCCTGGCGCGACATGCGATGGGATTGAAGGCAGCCGTGACATGAAGAAGGCCGGAGCCATCACCCTTTCTCTTACTTTCTTTTATCTCTACTTCAAGAATGGGTTGAAGCGTTTGAATTACCCCCGACAGTACCCTTAGGTGCAACGACGATTTCCTTTGTTCAAAAACCGGCGCATGAAAAAAACACTTAAAGAAGGATAAATACCCCCTTGAACGTGGATGGTGTTGGATATTACTGGGATTCTGTGTTTATATTTTTACTACGGCACGGAAGCCGCTTCTATGGTCGAGGGACGGATGGGAATGAAAAGGAGTCTGCATACAACACGCTTGGCCGTGTTTTGGGAGCGTCAGGGAATAGCATTGCACAGGGAAACCGGATTCACGTATTATAGATCGGCACAAGGCAAGGAAGCCAAACAGTTGGGAAACATGTCTATTCTGCTGAAAGCACTTTATTCTTGGCTCACATCTCATCTCTCTTTGACTCTCTGTTAACACTCTCCTCTACTTCACCCGATGTCATATCTAATGTCACCTGGCGCAGAAGACGAGAGATGATGACGACCAAGCTAAGAGCAGCTGGAGCTACGGGTACATGGGGAATTGGGCTAGTGGAAAGAAGACGGGGGAATCCCTCTCATGGAAGCTTCTGGGATGGAACAACAGAATCGACAGGGGGAAATCATGATATACACATACCGGTGGCTCACGCTACAACAACCAAACAAACGGGCCACCCCGCAATCCGGGGATAGGTAACGGACCCTTTCCCCCTTTTCGGGAGGTTTTCTTTTGGCCTTGGCTTTCAAGGGAGTCTCAAGGCCGAGAAAGAAAAGGGATAATGAGAAATGAACTATTTTACTCAACAAATATGAAAATCTTAGTGATGTCAAGTGACTACGCACAACCTAGTATCGTCATTCAAACTATTCGTATTCCTTCGTCTAACCCCTGTTTCATAATATCAGATAACAGCACTAATTTCCACAACTTGCCTATGCCTATCTCCTGTGACGAAACAACCTCATCCCATCTTTGACGGTTCCTCACTAACGCCCGCTAACGAATTCGTCTCGTTCCCCCGCAGGGTCCCCCCCTCTCGACGGTGATCAGCACGATCGTCGCTGAGGGGTGTGTGCGCCGTTGAGAGTGAGGTCCGGGTGCTGGAATGAGGCTATCTAGAGGGGTCTGTGGAGGTGGAAGATACTACATAGTACGGCGTAGTTGTATCTACAATAGGTAAGCTCTGTCAGTGGGGAAATGGACGTGGTTGAAGGATGTTGTACTCCGTAATCACCCCGCTTAGATGGTGTCGTCTCAAAGTAGAGCACGCTACTGCATCATCCACTTACTCTCACAAGTAGCGATTATAAGAGTCATGATGAGCGAAGACATGCAACCAGCGATACATCCCCTTGTTCTTGACAAGGTTCCACATGGAGATGCTTGCCATTCAGCCCTTGGTCTCGCCAGAGATGCACTATCTACTCCCATCTTGAATCATTCTCTGCGTGTTTATCTCCTCGCTCGATTCATTGCAGAGAGAGAAGACTCCCCTTTTGTGTCTGAGCACCGGATATCACTTCTATTCGTGGCAGCCGTTCATCACGATATGGGTGCGAGTCATCTCTACAACGGTGCCCAGCGCTTCGAAATCTGCTCGGCAGACTGTGCGAAGGCTCATCTCGTCGAACATGGCTATTCCGAGGCTGAAGCTCACCAAGTCTGGACGGCTATTGCGGTGCATACATCACCCGGCATAGCAGAGCGTATCGACCCCCTGTCTCGTCTGATACGACTCGCTGTGCGATCGGACTTTGGCTCGGAGGAATACAGAAAAAGCATGGGCGTGGACGGGTACTACAGGGAAATAGAAGAGCTTCTACCAAGGCTAGATGCAGAAAAAGCCCTCAGTGACGCAGTGGTTAAGCAGGCCAGCAAGATTCCTCGCATTGATAGTCTCACCTGGCCCAGCGATGCAAAGTTCCCTGCTGCGAGCTGGCCTGGGATTCTGCTACGGGCACATGCCGAGAACCCAGACCACGAGGGAGTGAACCCTGCCTTCTAGCAAGCCACCAGATTGGGTTGACAGATGTGAGAAGATCTGAAGACTGCATAAAGTTGGCAGATGGACACGCGATTGGCGGTGTAATCACATAACTGGGGTTGACATGGGCTGGTTGACGATGATCAAGGGGTGTTGGTATTGAAGATCAGCAACGTGGATGATCGCAACTCGGCAGTTGAAACAAAATACATGAGTCACGGTCAATAACTTCCAGACGATATACATCAGTGGATGAGTATGATCAGAAACGTTGAGTAGTATTGTAAATCAGATTCCTACGCGCCACCCCTCTGAATGCGTAACAATGATAGAATTATAACAAATGTGTACCAAGAAGAAGAATACAAAAATATGGAGCCAGAAAGTAAAAAGAATAGGACAAAAACTCCACATCTCATCTCATGACAAGAAACGTTAAACGTCGAAGACTCTCGTTCATTTCATTCGCTTACAAAAACATAAACCCAGAACACGCTCTAGTCAACGCCCTCATCTGTAAACTTAGGAGTCCCTGAACGGCTGAGGTTGCTGGGACTGCTCTGAGAACTTCCCTTACGGAGCATACCACTTGCACCACCACGGCCCCAGTTACCGTTGGTAACAACCTCGAGGGCGCGGGCTTCAGCGTCGTCACGACGTTGAGCATTGGATGTGAAGTTTGAGCTGAGCTTGCCAGCGCCTGCTGCCTCGGGGTTGTTGGCATCGAGGAAACCCTCATCATCGCTGTCCAGGTCTGCTAATTCATCTTCTACCGTGCGACCGCGGGGACTGAGACGATCCATAGGCACATCTTGTGTGGCATCGGCATAGAGGTTTGGGTCTCGGCCGAGGACTCGATCAGCCTTACTCATCGACTTTGGTCCTGCAAGCTTTGGACCGGGAGTGAAGTGTCGTCCTGCACCTGTTGGTCGCTCTGGAATGTCCGGAATATCATCTGGCGATCCCCAGCCAGCGTTGACCTCACGAAGTCGCTGCTGTTCTCGCTCAGCTCGAAGTCGGTCACGAGCTTCAAGCCACCTGCTACTTGCTTCCCAGGTCCAGCCATCTCCTGTAGTGTTGGAGACAGGGAAGAACCATAGCACGGGGGTAGGACCAAAGAGATGAGTCAAGTTGCGCTTCCAGCCAAGGTCGAAAACATTGGGGAGCTTTTCCGAGTCTTGTTCGTCGAGATATTCTTCATAGCGCTTTTGCCGTTGTTCCCGCTCTCGCTGGGCGTAAGACATTTGAACGGGATGAGAGCCATCGGTGGGATATGATCGAGGTGAAGGTTCCATTCGTCGCTCCTCACCCTCCTCGGGACGGGTAATTCCAGGTAGGGCGTTTGTGTGAAAGTCGACAAAGTGACGCGCAGCCTCTGGTACTCCGTTCTCAGGGTCGTGGGCAGAGTTGTACGTTTTGCGTAGTGGCGAAAGGTAGCGAGTCTTCTCGAGACACTCAATCGTAGTCTGTCCGCAACGAGCCAGATGAATATGCCATCCTGTGAAGCAGCCTACCACGAGGCCGATAATTCCACTGATGACGCTTAACATTATGAAGTTGACAGGTAGGAAAGTTTCGATGTATTCCTGGTCATCCAACGCTTCGTACCAAACCCATGATCCACTCACAGCGAATGCCCAGAAGCAAAAAAGGGTCGTATAGATCAGGAAGAGAAGAAACGCCTTGTGGTTGCGCAAACCGATACAGGTTGCCAACCAGGGACAGTGGTGATCCATCTTGAGCACGCATCGTCGACATGTTGAGCAGTGGTGGGCGCGGTCAGGCTTACGAGCTTGACACTTTTTGCAGAACCGGAATTCTCCATTGCTCTTGACTGTAAAGGAACTCGCTTGGGGGGTGTTTTGTGTTGGGAGGAGGCCGTAGCCCATATCGTTCGTCGTCGAGCCGGGAGGTGTAAAGACGGCAGTGGTATAGCACCAGTTGAGCATGAGAAAGAGCGCAACGCCTACCATCGAAGAACCGTTGCCTATGAAGCCGTTATATGTTAAACACAAACCCTTTAGACTTTCGCCATGACTTAGACGTACCTATCCAGCTGCTCTTCCGGCTAACGTTGCCAATACTGACTACCACCCAGACAGCCCATGATGTCAATCCGTACACAAACACCAGGGGAAAGTATGTCGCAAAAGTACAGCATCCACGCTCGATCTTGCGCGCCCATCTTCGAGCCGTCGCCATTGCGCTCGCTTGTATGCTGGTCTTTGTAATATTGGAACCAATTCAGATAACGTCCTGCTGATCGCTCGCTCGATAATCGTTGAAATTGTTTATTGGAACCGTCCCGTCATGTCTAGCGAAACACAGGGGTTATCGTTTAGTCGATCTTGAGATGAAGCCGTTGTCAATAGCGGATGCCAGGGAAAGGCCCAAGAGAGAAACCGACGGGGAGTGATCAGAGCGCCTCGTGCTACCGCCGTTCTGCCTCGTAGCCTCGTCTCGTCAAGCGCGACACACAAAATCGGCAATCGAGTATAATATCGGTAAAGGCAAAAAAGAAGCTGGTGAATTGTACAGAGATTAATTACGGGAGTTACGTCTATCCATGAATTAGTTAAAGTGAAGCTTAGGTCATCAGGGGCCAGACGGTTCCACTTTTAGTGGCTCCGCTCCGCTCTTAGGTCTAAATTTACAACTCCGCCTCAACAACGCGTAAACTCACTGTACATCCGCCCGCTGTAAGTCAATGTTTGACACTTGAGGAGGATACTTGTCATTTCGACCCGTCAATGGGGTTTTCTTATGAGATTGTCAGATGAAGCATGCCAAGGTCAAAAGAACTCTTCAATTTCCATCCCTATCAATGGCTATCTAGGGCCTGTGTACGAATAGGCCAGTGCAGTCTGTCTGCAACCTATTTAAGTCTATGCCGCTCCGAGCTGGCCACTCAAATCCACTCCATCTGAAGTTCAACAATCAATTAGGCAACATTTACCACTGGACATCATCGAATGAGTTCCCTCCAGGTGTCTTAGGGTTGGCCTTGGGTTTCTCCTGGTGAGGTTTGAAATCCTTGGACATCTCGAACTTGACAGTTCCATCGTCGTGACCCTTGTCAGCCACGTCAACCATGCCAGCCAGTAGCTGATTCATGTAGGGCCTGTAGGTATCCGTCTCCCGGATACGGCACTTGCTTCCGTTGGACTCAACGTGCTGAGTGATGGAGGCCAGAGATCCAAATGTATTGAGGCAGTAGGGGCAGCGATACTTGGTCTCGGAGTGATACTCAGATTTAAGATGGGCAAGCAGTCCCTTGCCTGCCTTGAAGGTCTTGCCACATCTGCCAATAGGACAGTTGAACTTGTCGGTGTAGGTACAATAGTAACGGCCCACATTGAAGTTTGGATGATCAGGGCTATGCTCGCTCAAGAGATCATGGGCAGCTCGAGCATTGGGAGCGGTAGCCTGCTGGAGCTGCTGCTGAGTCGGGCGCTGAGCCGCAGGAGTGTTTGGGAACAAATTCTTTCCCTTGTTCCAGTCATTTTCGTTTTCTTTGGTGTTGCCCTTGCTGGCCAGTTGTGCATCAGAACCGGGAGCACCGAGTTGAGGGAACTGCTTCTGCTCAAGTGAAAAGGGGCTGGCTTCGTTCTGGACGCCCCAAGTGCTGCTAGTAGCATTGGCTGACGGCATGTAGTTTTTGAAGTCGGACTTGACCGGCTCGTTGGTGGCCAGCTGAAAAGACTGGGAGAACCCCATATTCTGCTCACGGAGTTCCTCAATCTTCTTGCTGCTCAAAGATGGACACTCTTTCTGAACGTGAGATATGAGGCCTCCAACACGGAAGAAAGGGCCCTTCTTGCATCCAGGGCAATACAGATTCTGAGCGGTAGGATGATCCTAGGCGTAAGTTAGCAGAGGATCGTACTCAGAAGAGGTACTGTGGACAAACCCGCTGAAGGTGGATGGCGTGTGCCTCTTTGGTTTCGAAGTCTGCACTGCAAATCTTGCAGTGAATATGATTCTCCTTGCCTGCGTCACTCATCTTTCCTTTGTGGTTATGGAGTAATTCCCAGGACTTGAATGTTCTGTTGCACGGCTCGCACCAGAAAGTGCCGTCGAACAGCGTTCCGGACGGCATCTTAAATACTTGGCTGGCCGAGTTTGCTGTGGTACAAGGTTGTTGTTAATGCAGGGGAAGGTAAAAATCGTCGTGTATGCAATGAGCAGATGAGCACGGGAGGATGCAGATGTGAGGAAACAGGGTTGGAGTTGTTGTTTGTTGAATGCGCTTGGTGAAGGTGATCGCCAGTGACGGAAGGTGGCAGGTGGCAGATGAAGGATGAATCAGGGAAGAGGAAAGCAGGTAGGCGAGCTTTATCAACAAACAGAAGAGAGTGTTAAGTAAAACAATAAGAAAACATTAGAAGTGAGCGATTCACTGTTGAGTTTCCAGGATATGTTGCTAGGGCTTTTGGCCACAAAGAAAGAATGCAAACGACACGAGGAAGAAAAGTCAATACACCAGAACGATTATTCGATGCATGTTGAGAAAAGATGGTAAGCAAAACCGAGAGACGTACACAAACCTTGTTGCAAAGGCATCTTGTCGTTAACAGGTCAGCCTGGTCTTCTTTCTCACATTATTAACCTTAGACAGATAAAGGCGACTGCAGCTTTCAAAGCGCTTCCGATATCCATAGGCTGATCATCCATACATCATCTCCCTGTCTACCTCGTCAGCCTGCCCGCCTGTATCCTCGTCTTCTCCTGATTCATCCTCATCGGAATCCTCGTTGCCAGATCCCATCTCCTCCAACAGCCTAGCCTCTTCCTCCTGTAAATCAACTGCTGCCACCGCCTCCTCAGCCGCCGCCCGTTTCGCCCCTGCATTCGGATCTCGAACACGCACGCTGTAGCCTTTATGCTTGTTCTTCTTTGTCGGTTGTCGTCCTCGCAACGTTGTAAGCTCTTCGTCTGTGAGCCGTAAGTTTGGAAGCGGAAGGTGAAATGTCGCTTGATTGGATCGCATAGGTGTTTGGTCTCCTGCTTGTAAGGTCATGGAGAAATCTTCACGCGTGAGATGTCGGTCAAACTGGATAGCCACGAGCTTTGTTTTCATGATGGCTTTCACCTTGGCCCACAATCCACCATGATACCATCCGCTGCTGGGATCCCATTCAGGACGAATAGCGGCGTTTTCGAGAAGCTCTTTAAGCAGTGGGTCTGTAATATCGCACACCTGCCACACTTTGCCGTCGGTGTGAAAGGTTTCGCCGTCAAAGACGTGACTTTCCGAGAGTTCCTCCAGGAATTCTTTCAGGGGCCCCATTTGAACCTTGCGTAGTGACTTCCATGTTTGGCCATGTTGGGCACGCTTCTGTTTAGGAAGCTTAAACATGAGGGTTTGGTAAGTTCGGTATTTGGGATCAGTTCGTGGATCGATACCATATGGCACTACTCCATCTCTCCATGGCCCACCCTTGAACTGATACGCTGCGTAATTAAGATATTTTTTGAGTTCGTTCCAGTTTTTCAGCTTGCCTCCTAGGTGGTTGAGCAAAGACCGTCTTGTCCAGACTGGACGCTCTTCAAATGCAGCCTCGAGCTCAGCCATGATCTCCACCATTCGGGGGTCAGTCATATCAGGTTCGAGTTGAGGACCGGCTGGTGCAGGGTCCTCGGCGCCGATAAAGTAGCCGACTTGCTTCACAGCCGTGGTATTGACTGTGCCTCCATCTTCAGTAGCGCGAACGTAAGGGTTTTGTGAGTATTGGTAGTTGAATGGTATGCTCATGTGCGTAAAGATAGGTGGCGGGAGAATATCAACATCAGGACCTTTGTCAGTACCGGGGAGAAACTTAAACTCCTTCATCTTGTCGACTGAGAACTATTAGCATCTCTAAAAGAGCTTGGGGCAGGATATTTACCATCACCAGGAAGAACTTGGTCCACATATCGCTGCGCAAAAGAGGATTTGGTCATATCCCAGTAAAAGTCTGAAAGTCCGCGGAAGCGATGTGTGTTCCGAATGATGCCAACCGCCTCGACATGATAATCGTCAACATTATCTTCGAGCTTCCGACGTAGTACTTTAGGATCGTCCAGGCGAGCATAGGATGCGACCCCCTCGTTCATGGGTGGTTGGTCCTCGGCGCCAGTAACTTCAACATCTCCTTCCCAAGGCCCATTGGTTCCTCGTTTACGCTTACGTCCTGTTCGTTTTGGAACAGTGACTTTAAGCACCACATCATGACTGCGAGCATTGTGAGACATGATGGGCTTGCAGAACGGGTTCTCTGGTGTGAGGTAGAATGGGATCGAATTTCGACCGGCATCCATGACCTTCAATTGCGTTAGCAAGATTGACAGAGTGACTATATTGCGATGGATATTTACGTGTTGCAGGTTTGGAACTCGCCCGAACGCCTTGACGGCGCGGTCGACATTCTCAACCACAGCAGGGATCTCCACAGCACCGACGATACGGGTAGGGACTGTGTATCGAGAAGCTGAATCTGTATTGATAGGTTCATCATTCCTTTCTTCGTGCCCGTTCTCAATCAGAGTATCGTCAAGGCTTTCGTAGCCATTTTCATCAGATGAATCCTCGTCCATTTTCAGTCCTTCACTTGTGTTGTAATTGATGGACCAGGGTGAGATTTTGCGCGGCAAGTCAAAATGGCAAAAGTACTTTTAGTTACTGCTGTCGTTCAGGTGTAAGTTGTTTTGCAGCTGTGAACTGTGGTGGAAAAGCAAACACTCTACAGAAGTCGGAAAGTACACTCGAGCTAACTTTATCCGGTAAGAAGACTGTGTATCCTCGATTCTGCACCTGAAAATAGCAACCAATGAGTAGAAAAGTTGAATACTGTGGATCTGCTGCTGGAAATGTTCAGAAGAATGGAGCTGACTTGGAAAATGAGGCTCTCGTCGAGTTGTCGCCAATCGATCCACGATGATGATAGCTTGACGTGATTCTCGCCGTGCCCGTGCTATTGTTATCTATCACTGTGGCTTTTCCGGCAAGTCTGGCACTGTACGCAGTGTGAACAATTAGGCTACTTGTACAGTGTTGTCTCATAGTCTTACACGGCTAGTCGTGGCTGAACTAGAATGTATGGCCCGTGCTTTGAGCTGGATATCATCTCCATCAACGGTGTAAGGTCAGCACAGGTGATATAGTGGGTGATCTAGAGTACGGTAATAAAATACCATTAAGTCCCTATCTTGGAGTTTGAGAGACAGGGAGGCCATGGCTTTGGGTGGTATTATTGTTCTCACTGCGTCCCTTACAATGCTTATCTAGACGGAATAACACCAGGGTCAGAGTCAATTGATCACGGACCTTGGCGTGTTGTATCCGTGAAGGCGTAGACTAGGCTGACAAGTACAAAAAAGAATCAATCTTTTCATCACCTAATAATATCTCGAATGGGAAATGGTATGTTTTCCATGTCGGAGTGAACAATCCCATCCCAAGCTCGTTCTTACACACAGCCTAGTACAGTTCAGCCGCGTGACTGTCACAACTTCCACCTGGTGGTACTCTTCTCCCTTGCCGTCCACCATCTTGGCAAGATCATTGCTTTAGATGTTATCCACATCTGGCGAAGTTGAAGTGAAGCCTGCCAATCAAGGAATACAACCGGCACACATCTAGACCAGAAAAGATACCAAGATCAGGCGCATAAAAGCCATGCTATTCTAGATTATATGACCCGCATTTACCACAAAAGACACCAACTCTCCTGAGCGTTAGGGTGAATCCAGGAGGGGCACATCCCCCTAATGCGCTATTGCAGGGACTCTAGCCAGTTTCACCGCCCGTTCTCAGCGCTCCTCCCAGCCAGGGTCGGTCAGTCCAATGGAGCTCAGCCAGTTAGCATCACTCAAGTCATTCAGGTCAGGCACGCTCAAGGGACTGGAGGACCTGTTAGTGAAAGGGTGTGGCTACCGCGGAAACGCTAACAGCTAGCGATAGACTCGAACACCCAACCTGACCTCCCCTCTCCAATAATCGAGCAGCATTCCCTCCAACTGGAGCTTCCCCCCCGCAAAACACAACCTACCTACCTCTCTCTTCGCCAGCGCCCAACCACGACTACCACTACCTACGTCCTACGACAAGTTTCCCATCTCGCAAACGACGACAACGAGGCTCGATTCTGAAGCCGCCGTGAGCATCTCAACCACGCCGCGTCCTTTGGTATTTCCTTCTTCTTTCACCTGGCGACCTTTGATCTTACTTTGTTTTTTCTCCTACAAAAAAGACAACAGCAACAGCACCACCACAAGCATCAGCAGAGCAACAAGCCGAGCCCCCGTTCCAGTTCCCAACCCGCGCCAGTGCCCAGGAACCTGCACCGCACTGCAACTCAATTGCACCGCACCATTACCCACCATCGCCCAACACCTCCCAAAGATCTTCGGCCCTGGCTGGTTCAGTGCTTCATCGTCCTCTTCCTGCATGGGATCAATCGTCGCATTACGTCCTCCCGAGTAGTCTTTTACCACAAAACCAGCTGTCATCTTAGCCCCTTCAGCTTGGTCCATCCAGCCTCGAGCCTCAACTCCACCTCCTGCTCTTGCTCGCGGTCTTTCGTCCGGCTCCCGACAGCATTTCAGCACCACAGCACCACAGCGCTTCTGCTAGGCTGGCCCCCTCGTCTCACCTAGAAATCGTTTTCTTAACAGCCGTTATCAACGCCACTCATCGTTACGACGCTTCGATTCATTGACACTGTCGCTTGCGCAGCAGCTGCCATTCCCTCGACGTCCCTTTGCCCCTGACGTCGTTGCCCCGGTGCCCCACTGCCTCATACAGTTGAGCAGCGGGCGTCTTCAACCGCCCCTCCACACGACACGCTGTTGCCCGACAAGATGAAGCGCTTCAGTCAGAGAGTTGTAGGCCCTCCCTTCTACCCCATCCTCTCTTATAGCAGCGTGGCTAACATGACACCACTAGCTCTCGCGTGGGAAAGATTCAAGCAAGTCTTCTAAGAAGAACAAGGATTCTAAGGATGGTACCGCGTCTCCCTCATCAAAGGATTCCAACCAGTCACCCGTGCTCACGCCCTCATCCTCCACGTCGACCCTGAACGACCCTCGAAACAAAACACAGCCTCAAAACACTGCTGGCCATGGAAGCGATCACGGTGGCGCTTCCCAGCCCTCCAATTTGTCCAATGTAACTCAGGCCGGTAACAACGCTGATCAGTTTGCGTCTGGAGATTCCTCAAGCCCCAACGGCAACTCCAGACTGCCTCCAACTGTTGTCATCAGCCCAACACCTGGTGTATGTCCATGTTTCTTAAGGTCCTGTCAGTTCGGAGTTTCAGGCTAATCATAATCACCATACAGCATGTCCCTCCCCCGGGCGCCGCCGAGACGATGCCACACGACTTGGCTCCTCCCAAAGCTGGACAGAAGTCGCTCTTGATCCATCGAGGTATAGATAACCGTGATGCGATTCCCGAGGGACTTCGGACCCCAAAAAGACAGCATTCTTCGCGATTCGACATCTCCGCCCACCGCGAGCTCGAAAAATTGCCCGGTTTCCATGAAGTCCCTCCTAACCGACGACAAGAACTCTTCATGCAGAAGATCGACCAATGCAACGTGATTTTCGACTTTAACGACGCGAGTGGTGACATGAAGTCAAAGGAGATCAAGAGACTTGCTCTGCACGAGCTACTGGATTATGTCGCCAACAACCGACAAGTCATTACAGAACCCATGTACCCCAAGGTTGTCGACATGTTTGCCAAGAATCTGTTCCGTCCGATCCCACCTCCAATGAACCCTCAGGGTGAAGCTTTCGACCCTGAAGAGGATGAGCCTGTTCTTGAGGTCGCTTGGCCACATATCCAGGTCGTTTATGAGTTCTTCCTGCGCTTCATTGAGAGCCAGGATTTCAACACCAACATCGCCAAGGCATACATCGACCACAGCTTTGTCCTCCAGCTTCTTGAGCTTTTCGACTCTGAGGACCCCCGCGAGCGAGACTTCTTGAAGACTACCCTTCATCGCATCTACGGAAAGTTTCTCAACCTCCGATCCTTTATCCGACGATCCATCAACAACGTCTTCTTCCAATTCACCTATGAAACCGAGCGATTTAACGGTATTGCCGAGTTGCTTGAGATTCTTGGCTCTATAATCAACGGATTTGCCCTTCCCCTCAAGGAGGAGCACAAGATTTTCTTGACCCGTGTGCTATTGCCCCTGCATAAGCCCAAGAGCCTGAGCATGTACCACCCTCAGCTTGCCTATTGCATTGTGCAATTTCTTGAGAAGGATGCATCTCTCACTGAGGATGTAAGTTTTTTTTTACTATTTGAATATCATATGCTAATCGTCATAGGTGGTCCTTGGACTACTCCGTTACTGGCCGAAGGTCAACAGCACAAAGGAAGTCATGTTCCTCAACGAAGTCGAAGACATCTTTGAGGTCATGGATCCTGCAGAATTCGCAAAGGTTCAGGAGCCCCTGTTCCACCAGCTGGCCAAGTCTGTCGCTAGCCCTCACTTCCAAGTGGCTGAGCGTGCCTTGTACTTCTGGAACAATGAATATTTCTGCAATCTTGTCAGCGATAACGTTGAAATCATTCTCCCCATCATGTTTGCTCCTCTCTACGAGAATTCAAAGGGCCATTGGAACAGGTATGATCTGCGCCCCCTTTTTGAAACATTCACTAACTGGATCAGGACGATCCATGGTATGGTATATAATGCCATGAAACTCTTTATGGAGATTAACCCGCAGTTGTTTGACGACTGCTCGCATGAATACACGGAACAGCAGAACAGCGCGGCAGCACGCGAGGCCCTCCGAGAGCGCAAATGGGCGGCTCTCAGCGAGAAGGCAAATCAACAGAGGGAAAGCAACGGCGCAGCTAAGGCATTGTCCTCGCAAACCCAAGTCAACCCTCTGCCGCGTGTAGACGAAATCGATCCTGTCACCGAGGACAATCAAAAGCGCCTTGATTCGCTTAATTTGCAAGACGGCCGACCCAACCACGAGCGAGAGAACTCTGTGTCATCTGCACAATAGCCGGTAATCCCTGTCCAAAATCTGTCGATTCATCGAGCTTGGATAGAAAAGCACAGATTCCTTTTCGAGATCAAAGCATAAAGAAGGAAGGCGGTGGATTCGGATTGACGTTCATTGCTATATAGTCGTGTTTGGCGGTGGTGTTATGATTATAAGAAGGGATTGGATTTTCGCGGTTCAATAATGGACGAAAGAACATGCGTACTCGATATACAGTCACAGTCACTTTGTTAGGTTGGAAATGGCTGGTGCGGACACCATCGCTTTACCACCATATGACCTTTCAACCTTCTTTCTTGGGTTTCGCCTCAGCTAAACCACATTCGGGGGGTTCTCTGGGGACAGGAAAATACGTGCTGATGATATTACAATGCCATCGAGTTCTTCTCGTTTGCCAATTGCACACTGAAGATGACGTGCGAGTGGGTGCTATACTATCCTCTCCGCTGTGGTAAATGATGGGAATTGGGCATTAAAAACGTGGACGACTACGCTTCTCATGTAACTCTTTGGGGCGATTCTTAACTTTGTTTGTTTTTTATTCTTTCTTTTTCTACCTCTTCTGGTCTTTCTTCTACTCCCCGCAACATGGAACAGGGCGCATAGAGGAGCTGTAGGGTTTCTTCGCTGGTCCTGGTCTTAGTTGTGTTTTTGTGTGTGTTTTGCTGAGTGTGTAAAGAAGGGAAATGGGGGTTGAGGGTCTGCTTGGTTTTATGTAGACGATGAATGAGCAAGACTCAAAGAAAAGTCATTACTGTCAAATAAGTGCATATGTTGAATTATGGACGAATACAGTGAATGATGATTGGTGGATTTTATTAATCTATAGCGCACCAAGTCTACGGTTCACAGCTGCTTACACCAAGTAGCCTTACCAGCCTCGTCCTCGATCATAACCACCCCTTCCTCTACCACGGAACCCATTTCCTCTCCCCCTTCCTTGATATCCATTCTGCGGAGGTGGTGGAGGTGGAGGAGCATTCCACCCGCCCATCATCTGCCCCATCATAGCAGGATTGGGCGGGAACCAGTTCTGTGCCATATGTGGAGGAGGCGGCGGTGGTGGCCAGGGGCCCTGATAGCCAACTGGTGGAGGCGGAATCAGAGGAAAGTTTCCTAGTGGAGGCATTGGAGGGAACTGATTTGGCGGTAGCTGCTGAGGAATTGGAGGTAGTCGATTTGGACGATCTTGAGGGTCTCGGTCGTGGGGACGCTGAGGTGAGCGAGATGGTGATCTGCTGTAAGACCGTCTTCGTGAAGGGCTGTATGGCTGACCACGGCTTCGGCTTCGACTGCGACTCCGGCTATAACTAGCACTACGTCGTCGGTCGACACTCCGATCACGGCTACCATTGTAGGACCGGCTCCGACTGCGGGAGAGACTTCGTCCTCTGGAGTCTCTTGAAACTCGTGGTCTTTTAAGTGCTGGCCGAGAACTTCGTGATCGATCGCGCGAATAGCTGCGTGATCTAGAACGCGATCGTCCTCGATCTCCTTCTTTGCCATCTTTCTTTTTTCTCTGCTTCATCTTTTCGCAAAACTGGCGAGACCAGCCATAGTACGTCTCACCACCAATAATCTCGCCCGTTATCTCGTCCATGATGACTCGTTCTCCTAGCTCGTTGAGGTCGCTGGTAGGATCATCGTTCCACTTTTGCTCCTTAGAAAACATGCGCTCTACATCGCCCAGCAGGTCTTGCACAGCTTTAACAAGAACCTTGTCCGCGGGACCGGGGGCAAGTTGAATAGGTCGAATTTGGTCGGGGAACATCGGCTTGGTTGAGTTTGGCGTCAAGTGAGGAAGCCATGTCGTCGCAGGAAGATCGTACCACGGTACTGATTGATCACCGTGGAATGAAGGTAGAGAGAAGGGCGCATCCTTCGCGAGTTTGAACGAAGGATTGGAGACTTGCGTTTCTTCGGCGGATTGAGGTGCGACTCCGCTGGCGAGGGCCTCTTCAAGCTTGGTTATCACCTCCGAGGTGAAGTATAGCTGCTCGTCCCATAGGCGAATAAGATCTGCGACCTTTTTCTTGTGCTTCGGGCAGTTGTCAAAGGCAGCGGCGCTTGCGATCAGTCCAGGCAATACGTTGTCCCAAGCTGTCGCAAACATGATATTGCCGTTTCTGGTGACAACATGATACAGCACATCATTGACAACGTATATAAGGTGCAGTCTCCGTCGTTTGAGACTAGGTCGGGAGCCATCGTCCTGCAGATTCTTGGACAAGACGCCCAAGTATTTTGCAAGGGCAGCGGTGCGCGCCGTAGAGGGCGCAACATTATCGAGGATCCATGCCTTGCATTTCTGTTCGACCAAAAAAAGCACGCAAAATTTAGTGACTTCTGCTTGGGTACAGAGGGAAGAGCTTTTCAAGCGATGGAGCAGACCTGGACGTTGGGGCGCGAGCACTGGGCGAGGGCGTTTGTGAGGAGCAGGAAGAAGGCTTCGACTACGGGACGACTGAGAGACGTAGGATCGGCGCGGAAGAGCGTGGCAGAAAGTGTGGCTTTTGCGATGGCCAGCTCTGGCGTAGCCATGTTGGCGGGTTTGTACTTTGAGAGGTTACTACAAAGATGGACAAATCTTGAGTGGTTCAAGTTGTGTTATTGAAGCTACAGTGGATCTGGAGCAGGCTCATGCTGTAGTTGGTACGGAGGCGGCTAATTACCGGCCGATCTAATCAGCACGTGCAGGTGCTTAATACACAGGATGACGCTCGTTGATGACCTGGGAATAGCGTCACTTGGATGCATCAGTAGCTAACTTCAGGAAATGATGAATTCGTATGGTATATACTTAAAATGTTCGATATACAGCTCAAGTCCTGTCCCAAACTTTCTTTGCCATAGTATGGTGTGCGGACCTTATTGCAAACCATGCAGTCAGCAATACAGCACAGGTGCGATTCTTTCCGTACCAGAGTTGCAAGCGAGGTCGGGACTAGGTCCTGGTCTCCACTCCAACCGGTCTTGTCCGCATGTTGCGTTGAACTGATGTCGATTAAGACAATTTGTATGATTTGACAATTGGGACAGGAGCCTATTCAATGTGAAGTTGCCAATCAATCTGACCCTTCATGCCTTCCTTTTCCTTGTAATATTTCATAAAATAATGATGCGTTATAGTTGTTGTACATAGCTTCAATCATGAGCTAGCTTCTCTCGTAGAAATGTGTATCTTCCACCACCAGTTTAAGAGAACCGATCTCCCTTTGGACTCCGGTAGACCTGGTTGCTTTCGTATTTGCCCTTCTCGCCAACTCTTTGGGCCTCGGTCGCCGGCGCATGTCGTGTAGGAGCAGGGTCGTTGCTGGCTTCTTGACTAGGAGAGCCAGTACTATCGGTGCGGGCAGGGCTTCCGACGCCCTCTGTGTACTCCATGTTCTCGATCATCTGTCTCTTCTTACGGTGCGCCTCCATCTTGGCTACTCGGTCGGCGTTGATCTGCTGCTTAGCGAAGTAGTAGGCACCGCCACCAGCTAAGATAAGGTCAATTCGAGTTCTGCAGAGGCAACAAGGAGAGAATGGATAAGGGACAGTTCCGTACCGACACAAAGAGAGCCCCAGCCCAGCCTGAATTGTTAAGAGCATGGTCAGCTTTGAAGTTCAAGAAATCGGAGGAGCGGAAACCGGAGGCGCAAAAGTACGAACCAGAATGATTTAACCTGTAACAGTCAGTACAAGCGTCACATTGATCGGGGTTGTCTTGTAGGAAACTTACAGTGTTCATTTTGACAATAATTGACAGTTCACGGCAATGATGAAATTTTTAAGAGCGAAAATTGGACACAGAGTTGAGAGGAGGCAAGGTTGTGTCAAGGTGTAAGTGGAATGGCCTGACATGATGGATCTCTCGGTCCAGGCCTTGTCGCTTAGAAGTTCGAACCCTCCCCTCTCGTCATCCTCTGGAGCACCTAGAAAATGATGGGTACGTACCGTTGGGGAAGCTTCTTTTTCAAAGATTGACCATCTCCCGCCGCTAGAACAGTTTCACGTTGGGGCGTTACGGCAACCACACACTGCCGTTAGAGAGGTCACAGGTGCAGCTTCTACAGGGGTCATTGCTGGCACGCGTCGAGTTACAATTCCATGTAAAAGTTCCGATAATGGAATAGCATGGTGTTATCAAGATGTTGCATTTACTCTGAAAAGACTATATGCGTCGAATAATACGCTCGTCAAGTTCATGACCTCTAGAAGTACGTATTTAATAGGGTCTAGGGAGAATCTATCAATAAGTCTATATAAAATGAGATGAAAGGAGAAGGTAGGAGTTCGTTGAACATTGATTTATATTGTGACTCCCAGTGTCGAGGTTTCATGGTAATAAATACAAAACTTTGGCTCTTGTGCTCTGAACGATGTTGTTATACGACAAAGCATTCAGCCATTCAGAAAACGAGATTAATTCACAGTCTCAAGTATATTTCGGGTCAAATTTGGTAACTCACGAAGATAGAACTTGAGTTCCAAATCGTTATCACTTCCCTCCTCTCTGCTGTTATTATTTCCATTGCTACTACTCCGTAAGCTACCTAATTTAATACCATTATCTTTTGACCGCGTGGACAAGTTGAGCTTCAATGCTTTCTCCGCTGTCGCACCCCTGTATCATTTAGTGGAGACCCACCCTAGTAGCTTCACTGTGCACCAACCATGAAACGAGAGCAAATGCACCGTGAGGTCTGCACCCAAAACACATGTCTCTACAGTGCTAAGATGAACCTTACGCGCACCCGCTTATGACATAAGGGTGGCTCAGTCTCAGCTCGAAATTGTGAGAGACCACGCAAGACAACTCGCAACAAGATCGACATCGAGGCCACGAGGAGAATAGGGGACCTCTAAAGAGAAAAAAATAAGACACTTTTCTCAAATACCTCTTCCACTTTTTTTTGCAATCATTTGGACCACGATATCGACGAGACGACACTATTCGAGCTGTACTACCGCCCCTGTCATTAACACCATCTACCCGCTCTTTCATCGAATCCCAACCGTTGTCACTGCCCAGCGCCGACTTTTGGGAGCTTCAACTTACCTTCAACAATCTAACGTTTCTATTTACAGCGTACCGCAAATTTGATCGATTCTACTCCTTGATCTCCTGCGCCGGATCTTGACTTCAAATTTCGCCCTGTTGATGCCTTGATGAGCGAGACTGCTGGGCGTGGGTGTAGCGGGTAGATTTACCCTCGACCCTCGTCGAGGAAGCATTTGTTCCCGTCATGGAGTCTGCCAATGGAGAAGGGCCTGACGGCTCTTCACTAGTATGTTAAAAATTTCCCTCAGACTCGGTCATTGCTAATGGTTCTACAGAAGCCTGTGTCGTCCTTACGAGCGCGGTTCGAAAACATAGGAACCTCGCCCAATTCAAACGTCAGCAAACCTGTCGATGTTTCACCCCCTACTGTTCCTACTGCCACCAAGCCACCCTCACGACCTATATCTCCAGCTCCCAAACCGAACCGACTTCGCGATTTCAAGCCAGGGCAAGAACTTCCACCACCAAGTCCTTCAGTTCCAACTGTGCCTGCGAGACCAAAGCCCAAACCCGCGGCGCTGTCTGTCAACCAAGATGCCCCTCCCCCACCGACAACCGCACGACCACTCCCGACCCCGAAACCACAACTATCTCAGCTGCAACAAACACCAGCATCGGCATCGCTTCCTGCTGTGACAGTTCTTCCTCCCCAGTCCCCTCCAAAAAATCGAATCTCAGCACTGGCCGTTGGAGATCAACCCCCGTTCGTGAACCCAGATGCTGTCGCAACGCCCTCGACTCCGACTGGCGGAGGTCGATCATTTAAGATACCAAGTCGATCACTGAATACTTCGCCATCTGCCAGTGCTTCTAGATCTCCACGACCTGGCGGCTCGCGACCGCCGTCACCGCCTCCGCCCAGACGCTCTGGGGAGCTGAGCCGACCTCGTGAACCGAAAGTTGCTCCTCCACCACCGGCGCCTCGCAATGAAAAGGCACTGATTCCCGCACCCAAGCTTGGGGCAATATCTGCGGCAGCAGTGACTCACAAAAGCAGTATCTCACTAGAAAATTCACCGTTTAACAGCCCTCCAAGCAGCTTGGGATCAGGAGGGGAGACTCCCCCAAGACTACCAACAAGACCAAGGCCACAGTCACATATTGAGCAATCCAGCAGACCGAGGTCCGTGGTTGTTGGATTTGATCCCCCGCCTGTTCATCCTTCTGTCACGACTATGAGGAAAGATCGTGAAGAGGCCAATGGACTGTCGAGAGGTCACATCACTCCTCAGATAACCGGCGAGCCTCGACCAGCACTTCCTGCTAGACCTGGGAACTTTGATATCCCACCTAGGCCCCCTCCTCTAAACAATAACAATAACAGCATGCCACCTCCCCCACGACCACATAGACCAGCTGTGACGACCGCAATTAAGGCTGTTGACCCTCCACCTACCGCTACACCACCAAAACGAGTCGTTTCGACCCCTACGACACAACAACCTCAACAGCAGCTAGCAGCTCCTACACGAACCCACGGCAGGTCTATGACGATAGATAGAGCATCTGACCGAACACCTGCCGAATTTCGGATTGCCCCGACAGCCATCGCCACACCCGCAATTGCCGCCACGGGACCACCGAAGTCAATTCAGTCCACTCCAGTCGTTGCCGCAAGAATTACACCAAAAACCGAGGCTATTCACCATGTTACCACATATCCAGAGGCCGCAAACACCAATCGTCGACCACCATTCAGCAAGCATGGAACTTATGAGATTTCCACCAAGTATGATGCGCGGAGCTTTGACGTTTGCGGCGAATGGATCTGTGCCAGCGGTTACATGACAAGAGTTTGGAGTCTGATAGATGGTGAGCAATGCATGAGCTTGCAACATACTGAAGGAGTCAAGGCGACAGCGGTAAGTTTCAAGCCTGCTGCTGATCCGCGGGAGGAGGGTAAGAGGATATGGATTGGTACCAATACCGGAGATCTCATGGAAGTCGAAGTCGCGACTCATGGCATAACGCAGAGCAGACCGAATGTCCATGGTCGGTACGAGGTAATAAAGATATGCCGACATTGGAACGAAATCTGGACGTTGGACGAATCAGGAGCACTTCTTGTGTGGGGGCCTGATGAGACGGCCGTTGCGAATATATCAGGAAACCCGACTCAGAGTTACAGGGTCCCAAAGGGACACACTCATTCCATGGTTATTGGAGACCAATTTTGGCATGCGACGGGCAAGGAAATCCGCGTCTTTGCACCAACAGTCGATGGACGAACCCAGTTCCAGGTGCTTGTTCGTCCATTGATCGCAGACAATGCTGGTGAAGTCACTTCTGGTACTCTTGTCAAGTCACACCCAGACATGGCTTTCTTTGGCCATGTTGACGGTAAGGTGACAATTTACAACACAAAGGATTATTCGTGCGTGACGATGCTGAATATTAGCACGTGGAAGATCAATGCATTGGCAAGTGCAGGCAACTATGTATGGGCGGCATATAATACTGGCAAGATATGTGTCTACGATGTGGAGGAGGCGCCATGGGTCATTCTCAAGGAATGGCAAGGGCATGAGAATCCAGTTATGAACATGGCTGCCGATCCTTCAAGCTCATACTTTCTGGACCGGCAGCAAGTTCTCTCGTTGGGAGCCGATAACAAGATCAAGATATGGGATGGCCTACTTGAGGACGACTTCCTTGAAGACTCGATGAAATCGAAAGACACTCAGTATTGCGATTTCGACGAGATACGGGCTCTCTTCTTCACCTGGAACGCCGGCGCATCAACACCCTCAAGTCTGCGACATTCTGGCGGAGATGCAACATTCTTCCAGGATCTTGTTCAGTCGAGTGGCTCACCGGATATTCTTGTATTTGGATTCCAAGAACTAGTGGATCTAGAGGACAAGAAGTTGACGGCTAAGCGATTCCTCAAACCCAAGAAGAAGGAAGCCGGGACGGACCAAGAACGAATGAGCCATCAATACCGCGACTGGCGTGACTTTTTGATGAAAACACTCGACGACTATATGCCAGCGGACGACCTATACCACCTTCTCCATACCGCACCTATGGTAGGGTTATTTACTTGCGTCTTCGTCAAATCACACCTGCGAGACAGAATCAAGGGACTCCAGGGCGCTGAGGTCAAGCGAGGTATGGGCGGTCTACATGGCAACAAGGGCTGTGTAGCGGTCCGCTTTCGAGTTGATGATACGTCTATCTGCCTTGTCAATTGTCATCTTGCTGCCGGGCAGTCGCAAGCAAACGCACGACATAACGATGTTGCTGCTATTTTGGAAGCTAATTTGTTCGCCGTTGAACGCGATTTGTCCGCTCGTATCGATAGCTTTGTAGGTGGAGGCGATGGAAGTTTGATCATGGATCATGAGCTGTGTGTTATCAATGGCGATCTGAACTACCGAATCGACACCATGTCTCGCGATACCGTTGTGGCGGCGGTCAACCAGAACAACCTTGGCAAGCTCCTTGAACGAGATCAACTTTTGGTGGCACGCCGACGCAATCCAGCCTTCAAGCTTCGAGCGTTTGAGGAAATGCCTATCACGTTTGCGCCAACTTACAAGTACGATGTGGGCACTGATAACTACGACACTAGCGAGAAGAGACGAAGTCCTGCCTGGTGCGATCGACTGTTATATAGAGGTCGAGGTCGTGTTGAGCAATTTGACTACAGACGTCATGAGGTTCGAGTGAGCGATCATCGTCCTGTGACTGGAAGCTTTAACCTCTGGGTTAAGAAAGTCGATCCAAGGGGCAGAGCAACGGCATGGATGGAGAGTCAGCAAAGTTTTGAGGATATGCGTGAGAAGGAAACCTCCGAGGATAAGTGAGTGAAGAATGCGATCCTTGACCATGGTATTAAATTAACAAAATGGCAGACTTTTCTTCCTGAGGGATACCTGCGGATTCGACGAAGAGACAAGCAAGAGGCTTATTAAAGAGAAGTCTGTGAGGCGCGACAACCGCAGCCCTGTTCGCACTTAGCTGCCTATCGAATATTTAGACGGCATTATCGGCTTGACTCAGAAGCACAGCAAGGTATGAGAGACGCATGAATGAGTTGGATTGATGATTTTATCGGAATGAAAACCAGGGCTTGGGCCATTTTGAAAGACATCCGGGTGTGATAGCAAGTATCACGAATAGCGGCGTGCAAGCCATAGACTACTTCTTTTTCACCACATTTCTTGTTGATTAGGTACTTTAGACATTGACGTGGACACATGAGAGGACTGTGGGCATGTATGATAGACGTTTGGTCATCCAAATGAAGGGTGCTGCAGAGCAATATAGTAGGAAAAGTGTGGAGAAGAGAGAAGGGAAGTGAGAAAGAATACAAATGGTTGCTGTGACCGGTGAGGTATCAAGTCTATGGACAAATAGTGGTTGAAGCAAGATGTAGTACTCATATAAAGAGATTTTCTTGCCAACCGCAGCCCAAGTCAAATAGTTAGGTAGAGAACATTTGCAGGATAAGTTCGAATTGCTGATATATGTTTTGGACAAGTGTAGGGTAGGGCTAGCCGAAAAGTACAGTATCCTCCGACCTCAGTATCAATCTCATGGAGGTATTTCTCCTGTTCTGTCGTAAAATTACTCCGTAGTTAGTACATGTCTCATATACAGAATACGATTACGAGCTTTAGACCAGCCGCATGTCAAAATGCATGGAGGCTGACATGCATTGTCAGCTCTGCACCATGGAAGTCAAGAATCTACCAGGACCGCCGTGGATCCCCTAGAATATTAGGTACTGGCCCCTGGAATTGCAGAGCCCGGAAGCCGATCCCGGGAGCCAATTCGTTAACGGGACAAGCTGTGATTGGATATATCGGAGTGCGGCTTGCAGTTGAGCCCGTTGCCAAGTCGCCTAGATTGTGAAGGAACAATGTCAATCATTTATCTTCTCCTGTTGAGTTGAAGGGTCCAAACTTGCATTTCTGTTTCTCTTTTTGGTGTCCAATTGCTCGTTCAAGAGAAGAGGTATCGAAAGTGACTTGGTATCTTTTTACAGGCTCTTTTGGGGGTTCTTGTTACACCAGATCTAACCCTATCAGCCTTCGATTAATCACCCAGGCTGAGTGAGCGGTGAGCCTCATCAATCTTTCGTCACTTATCAGCTCCAAAAGTCTTCAACTCAAGAAGATTCTTGAAAAAATGGCGAGCTCAGCAGAAAACACCGCTGGTCCTAGAAAGACACCCATTGCCAGCCCGGGACCTAACAGTCAACCTCCACCAAGGCCAGAGTTGACAGACGAGCAAAAGACAAAGTACGAGGCTCTCCTGGAGCAAGTCAAGGGCTTCGCCGAGATTCAATGCGAGAAGCAGGCCGATAAGGAGGACAAGGAAGACAAGTCAGGCCCTATCACCGACCACGAGCGCTCATGGCTCACTCGTGAGTGTCTGCTTCGTTATCTGCGTGCCACAAAGTGGACTGTCGACGACTCGGCCAAGAGACTCAAGGCTACCCTCGCGTGGCGTCGCGAGTATGGTCTTGAGGGCTTCACACCCGAGTACATCTCCCCTGAGCAGGAGACGGGCAAGCAGATGATTGTTGGCTTTGATCGTCAGGGCCGGCCGTGTCAGTACCTTAACCCGGCGAGGCAAAACACTGACACCAGTCCTCGCCAGCTGCACCACTTGTTCTACATGGTTGAGCGGGTGACGGATCTCATGCCGCCCGGCGTGGAGATGCTGAGCCTCATGATCAACTTCAAGCCTAGCAAGGAGCGCAAGAACACGAGCGTGCCTGTGGGTGTCGCCAGGGAGGTGTTGCATATTCTGCAGAACCACTACCCGGAGAGACTGGGCAAGGCTCTCATCATCAACGGTATGTGTCTCCGAGTCCCTCCATAGCTACAAAAGAAAACTGACAAGTTCTAGTACCCTGGATCGTGTGGGGCTTCTTCAAGATCATCACGCCCTTCATCGACCCCGTGACACGCGAGAAGCTCAAGTTCAACGAGGACATGAAGCAGTACGTTCCCCCGGAGCAGCTGTGGAGCATGGACTGGGGTGGTGAGATGGACTTTGAGTACGACCACGAGACGTACTGGCCCGCACTCAATGAGCTGTGCCGAAAGAAGCGCGAGGAGAAGTTCAGCCGCTGGGAAGCTGCGGGCAAGGAGATTGGTGAGAGCGAGGACTATCTCACTGGTGGGACGGACGTCAGCGCCAAGGGCTTCAAGTTTGGAGGTGAGAAGGATGCTGTTCAGGATGTGGAGGAGAAGTTGGCGGCTACCAAGCTGGAGGAGCAGCCTGTTGCGGCGTAAGGGTGGAATGCGAGGTTCGGGCGCTTTAGTGTCCTAGCTGGGCACGAAAGAGGATATCACGAGTTACTACTAATAGTGGCTTGTTGCAAAATGATAGATGCTACGATAGGTACACCAGATGGCACCAATCAATGCTACGATAATCTTCCGGCCGAGTCGGACAAAACTTGTCTGTAGACTGTCCATGACCGAGGAGTGAGCCGGGGTAACTGATAGTGTAATATTATATACGTAGTATATCCGGTACAACAGAGCCGCATTGGAGTGTATACTGGGGGTAACTTATCCACGATATGTGATATGATGAGACAACAATGCATACCACCCAAACATAAACATGCAGGCTGCTAAAGACACTAAAGGAAACCCGAGATAGATCATTTGATCAATGCAGTCTATGCCCTTTTAGCCTTTCAACCCCCTCTTTTCTCTCATCCTGGGACCTGCAGTATGGTATGCATGACACAAGGCTGAATGGGCATGTAAGCCGTCGCATTTAGCATCAAAAGTGAATACATTCTACGCAGTGCTGACCGTTTTGGTTGATAGTGAAAGACAAGTTCCCAAAACAAAAAGAGGCCCGTCAGCAAGGCAGCCTAACGTCCCTTGGGTAGACCAGCATTCGACTGTTTAAACCTGTTATGTGTGGTCTTTCTGCCTGTTGGCTCATGGTGAATAAAGAGTTAACCACTCACAATTATCCACACACACTCACTCGCACACACACTCAAAGATACCTACCTAGGTAGGCAACGACTACGCAATCATGCAACAGCAGCAAATCATTAGAAGAAAAGAAAAAACTCCACTTTTTTCTTCTTTTCTCTCTCTTTCGATACTTCTTTTTGCAGCTGCTTCTATCCGCGTGTGTCCCGTGTTGCCTGAGATCCAGTAGCCAAGACTTTGTTTGACTCACATTTGGCTGTGGGTGTGTACCGCGTCATTGGTTGACGATATGCTGGGTTTGTTACACTACGTACTGCGTACGGATACTGCAACGTCTATTCAGATAATTCAATCACGCATATTCACGAAAACAAAAAGACGCACGCTTTCTCTAGTTCAGGCAGACTGCGTGTGCGTATGTGTGTATGTGTGTGTGTATGTGCATATGGTGCAGTAAAAGTACCTATAGTGCAGGCAGTGCATATGTGGTAACTAGCTCTTAGAGACGTGTGTTGTGGCAACAAATGGATGACCAACCCAACATGAACTAACTAATCCAGATTCCTATAAATAGGGAAATTCGAGACTGCATATTCATCCCCTTCAAAGTGCACCGTAAGGCGTTCTCTCAAACTCATAGCCTGATCTCTGCCCCCCAACCACAGATCAAGCTCTAAAGTCGTAAGCTTATAAGACGAGGCCTCAAGGACGTCGTGTGACGCTGCCAACGCAGTCTTGCATTAAGCTCGTCGGAGCAGAAACCGCCTGCGCTTGGCCAATTCCTTGTTGGTAGTCCCATAAACACTCCTAGTAGTGGCAGGGCTCCATATCATCAAGACCCAACATATCAGTAATAACTATCACCATCTTCACTCGTTATGGATCTCTCAAAAATGAGCAAGATGGCTTGGCCTCCGTTCCTCCGAGCCATGAACACTACATCGCAGCCCCTCAACTCAACTGCAGCTTTCCCCGGCATCATGGACACATTCCTTGTTTCTGCTGGTCAGGCATCGCCACTCCTTCAACTATTCCTATTCGTCTACCGCTTTGTCGGTGCGCAGCTGGGCCTTGATCCATCCTTGCTACTGACCCTCCTTGGCTGCCTCTGGGGTCTGTCCAAGCTGTTCGACCAAGTATATGCTGCGGTGGATAACTTCATCAGCAGCTACTTTAGATGCACCATGTACGTTAGTGAGAACGACCAGATCTACTCTACGCTTATGCAGTTCCTCTCGGAGCAGCAGGATATCGCTACTAATCGGCACCTTACTGCTCAAACTGTCTTTAAGAGTGCTTGGGATGAGGAGGAGGAGCAGGCGAATGCTTTGACCACGACTAGTGTGGGAGATGACGAAGACTCACCCAAGTATCTTAACTTTGCCAGCGATGCAGCCAGATGTGTAAGTCCATTCCATATATGAGTACTCGTATAACGTCACTGACACACTATCAAGAATCCACGTTATGTTCCCGCTATGGGCACCACAGGGTTCTGGCACGACCGGACATACTTCCGAGTCAACAGAAAGAGAGAGTCCCTGCAAAGTACCAGTGGCTGGGGAGGTACTAAGGATGTTGAAGAACTAAGAATCTCTTGCTTTGGAAGATCGATAGGTGGGTTCATGCCAATCAGATACACTGAAACTTACCTGACTAACCACTGCAAAGACCCGATCAAGCAACTTCTTGCAGATGCTAAAACATCCTATTTTCTTGACAACAGTCACAAGACCACTATTTACCGCCCTAGAATCAAGGAAAGCCGTCGTGATACCTGGAGTATGTGGCAGCAAGTCGCTCGGCGACCAATCAGACCAATGCGGACTGTCATTCTTGAGCACGAAGAGAAGCATGATGTTTTGAGAGACATCAACGAGTATTTGCACCCCGGTACCCCCAAGTGGTACGCTTCTCGCGGTATCCCCCTTCGTCGGGGCTATCTCTTCCACGGCCCACCCGGCACTGGCAAGACCAGTTTCTCATTCGCTCTCGCTGGTGTTTTCGGCATTGATATCTACGTTATTAGTCTGCAGGATCCTACCGTCAGCGAAGAGGATCTTGCTGTTTTGTTCACTAGACTTCCCCGTCGCTGTGTGGTTCTTCTGGAAGACATTGATACAGCTGGTCTACGTCGACCCAATGGAGATGAGGATGACGAGGAGAGTGAAGAAGGTTCGGAAGAGAAGGCGGAAGATACCAAAAAGACGGACCAAACAGCCAAGAAAGACAAGAAGAAGAGCAAGTCCAAAAAGAGTAAGGACAGTGACAGCGACTCAGAAAGTTCCGAGGAAGACAAAAAGAGCCACAGGAAGAAGAGAAGACGAGGCGGACGAAACAGGGAGAATACGAACAACAGAGGTACTAATAATATCTTGGCCATGGAAAGTATTTCGCTCTCTGGACTCCTCAACGCCATCGACGGCGTAGCTTCACACGAAGGACGCATTCTCATCATGACGACCAACAAGCCCGAGTCACTCGACGAAGCTCTCATCCGCCCAGGACGCGTCGACGTGCAGGTTGGTTTCAAGAACGCCACAGGCGAGCAAGCAACAGAGCTCTTCTACCGAATGTACGAGTTCTCGGGAACCAAGCCTGTTCCCATGTCCAAGATCAGGACCCCGGCACCCAAAGCGCAGAACGGGAGCATCCACAGTCTCGTAGATGATATAGGCAAAGAGACGAGTCTGTCGAGTGATGCGCTGAAGGAGATCTCGCGGGAGTTTGGGCAGCTTATCCCAGAGGGCATGTTCTCGCCGGCGGAGATTCAGGGGTTCTTGCTCAAGCGTAAGAAGAGCCCGCGAAAGGCGCTGGAAGATGCTGCGGTGTGGATTGAGGCAACAGTGAAGCAAAAGGAGCTCAAGTCTAAGGTTGTGACTGTTCAGTAATGGCTGGGTGGTGCGAGGCAGTTGACATATTTGGTATTGCATAAGGAGAGAGATGATCGCATAACATGCTGTATCTTATTACGATTGATGATGCATCAGATAGTTAGTACTGAAAATTGATAATTTGTCATGAATCAACCATATCTTGCTGTTTGATATAATGTTCAAATTTTGATTTGTTGATGGTCTGTGGCTGTGTGAGTTAGTCTACAGAGTAAGTTATCAGTGTATGGAATGTTGTTAAGGTGAGCTCTCGGTGAAGCTCGGTCAGCAGCTCCCGTCTCCACACCTGTCACTGGAGTCTACCTCATCTCCAGACAAGCCCACGTTTACACGTGCGACAATCAACCTCTAATCGCATCAACACGCTTAATTCCGCCACCTAACGAGACCATAAAGAGACATCCGAAACATAATAGTAGCTGCAGAAGCTACAGAATGAACCAGCGACAGCGATACAGCCCATCATGAGCAACCTCCAACCCCCCACTGGCGCGGCGTCCACGACCACCCCCAGCAGTAACAAAGACGGCCTGCGATTTCCCAGCAATGGAAAGACCATCTACCACCGCCCTCTCAACAGAACCAAAACTGCTGAGCTGAGCCAGGCGAGCTTCGCGTATCTGTTCGGGGAGATGGTGACCTATGCGCAGAGGCGGGTCAAGGGCATTCAGGAGCTAGAACAGCGGTACGTTGTGAATTGCGAACATTCCCTTTGGTGGAAGTAGGAAGCTAAACGATTGCGTAGACTTAACCTCCAGGGCCACTCTATCGGTCTCAAACTTCTCGACCTCCTCCTCTTCCGCGAACCAGCCCGCACGCAGACCCGGCCGTTGAGCATCATCGCGCTACTCCATTTTATAAAGCAGAACATTTGGCAGCACCTCTTCGGCCGCCAAGCAGACCGGCTCGAGAAGTCTGCCAACCCCGAAACACCGGACGAGTACATGATTATCGACAACGAGCCCCTTGTGAACCAGTACATCAGCGTGCCGAAGGAGATGAGCCAGCTCAACTGCGCGGCGTTTGTGGCGGGTGTGGTAGAGGGTGTCTGCGACGGAGCTGATTTCCCTGCCAAGGTGACGGCGCATACGGTTGCCGAAGGAGATATGTGGCCAGGAAAGACGGTCTTCTTGGTCAAGTTCAGATCGGAGGTCTTGGAAAGGGAGGGTTTCTTGGGGAAGAATTAGGTGATGAGGATGGAGTTTTGGAGTTTTTACGATTGGGCTGGGTTTGATAGAGGTACGGATCTATCGTCTTTATGTGGCAATAAGATATCTTGCCATTGACTACTTAATATTGAACCTTGTAGCGATTCATGCGGCATTGCTCCTATGAATGATGCTGTTCCCCAACGCCTTGCTCAAGAGACATATAACCACCGAAAACACAATCTACCGTGGCAGAGCACGGCCAGTACCCTGCGGCTTTCCACCAGTTCCGATACTCGGCCCCTTATTCATGAGCCCCGAGAGACCAAGATCCTTCCACGCAGGCTCCTTTGACTTTTGCGTAGCGCGTTGAATACCAAACGCAGCGTGCTGATCAGGAACGACATCGTCTTCGTCCTCAGGATTGATGGGCTGGTGCACGGCGGGCACATAGATCTCATCATCTGGGAGCCTGTCCTTGCAAAAGTCCTCGAAGAGGTCTGCGTCGCGTGAGCGGTGCATGTGGATGAAAGTGAAGGAGGAGTCTTTGTTCTGCGGACGTTAGCTGGAGTTGGGAATGGCTTCAGAAGAAAAGTTACCATTTTTGTAAGGTTTATGGGAGGAAATGAAGACTGAGGTTATCTTGATTTGTCTCAAGCTTTGTTTGTTGACGTCGGGATCGTTTCCACAGCGGGTGACGGAAGGCGGGGTGTGGGGCCGTTTTCCATGTGCTAAGGTGCCTAAGTTAGCTGAAGTTGAGTACGGCAGTTGACAAACCTTGAGGTATTGGGGTTTGAATGATATGGATGAACTAAATACGAAGTAGCTATATTATGTAGAGATAGTTCTATTTTCAACGTGGCTGTTTCTCAAGTCCTGACACCATTATCGAAGTCTGAGGCTGTACTCGGTATATGCAGTCCATTCATTTGTAAGGCCGGAACACTGTACAAATGTTCATGCGTGGCGGGGGTCAATCTTCGTTGCTTTTCCCACCATTATCGTTTTCGTGCCTGTTCTCGCCCCTGAATCTTACTTGGTGACCTACTCTCCTCATTTCCAGAACAGAATTAGACTCTTCTTCATCTTTACTGTTACTCTTCTTTTGTTCTTGGCACCTCTCAATCGCTCAACATGGCGGTATCAGACCCCGCGTCGCAGCCTTCAACTGCACCAAAACTACCCCTCGATGTCCTCTACAACATCGGCCTTATCCTGGCCGAGACGCCTCTTGAGGAGGCAAAGGCATTCGTGGACAGCGACTACCAACCATATTTGATGCCAGGGCAAACATGGGACGGCGTTGGGACCAATCCGTTGCACAAATTCACTTATCTCTCCAAAACAACCAAAGCCCTTCTGGAGCCTCTGCTTTATCGACATCTCATACTCTACAGGGCCCAAGATGTCACAAACTTCTTCATCACTCTCGTCAAGAGACCGGAGATCCGTCAGCATGTTCAGGATATATCTGCTTTCCCTGATATGACGGGCCCTATGGCCCGGAAGCTGTATTTGCCCGCTTGTAAGAAGATCTGGGCCGCGCGATGTCTATCTGACAAGCCAGCCTTGATGCGTCTTCTCGACAGGGCTGGTCTTCAAAAGCTTGCTTGGTCGGCCTGTATGTTGGAAAGGACAAAACAGCGATTCATGTTTTCTCCTGATTTCAAGCACGACGGTATTCTAGAGCTCATGTTTGCTGGCATTCTCTTCTTGACGCCAAATGTCACGGAATTTCGCTGGCGGGATCAGAATACCAACCCAAAGGCCTTCATACTGGATCGTATTATGAGCGAAACCGTCGATGCAGGCGTTCCTCTCATGCCAAAGTTGAAGGTCCTGAACACTGAAAAGGCGGCGTTCGAATTCAGCAAACAAGCTCAGTTCTTCACCCCTCACATCGGTCTGTGGGACAATCTACATACACTACATCTTAACGACATAGACCTGGATGTGGAGTTCATAGAGATGCTTGCCGCGGGTGAGTTCAAAGAAAACCTCCCGGTCAAAGAGCTATATATCTCCTGTGTATCAGGCTCGGAGGTCCCATTTAGCCTGCGTTCATTCCCGCCGGATTTCGAGTTTTCGTCAACTCTGCTCCTGAATGACGAAGAACCTGATCTAGACAAGGCGAAATTTCAGGCCTTCCCCAACCTGACCTTGCTAGACGTTTGTTTTGTCCATCACGTTCAACGCCTCCGTACTGGGTCGCCCACCTTGAGGTCATTCCTCCATGCCGTTGGCTGTCCAGAGCGTATATATCTTACAGGCCATACCCTCCCGATAAATGCGTTTCGTACGGGCGTTATACACTCGAAGCTCAAGTATCTCAAGGTTCGCGAGTTCCAGCCAGATTCTCCAGCGAGGACGGCCGAACGGGATGTCCTTGTTGCGGGTGTAAATACATTCTGGCAAGAACAATGCCAATTCATACCGAACCTGTGCGAGATCGACTGGGATCATTACAAGTTCAAGAGAGAGGATCTAGAGGGTGAGGAAAGGGCTGTTTGGGGGGTTGTTGGGGAGGACGAGTGGGAAGATGAGTCCGGGGATGGCTCAGATGATGATGATTTTATTATTGAAGAGGACGAAGACGACCTTTACTTTATGGAGACCGAGCAGGGCCCGTGGGATCATGACCCGCAGGGTATTATGAGTCATTACTTCGACGACTAATTGCTGTATATGGATTACTGACTCCTTTGGTTAAGTAGATTTCATTTCCCTATATCAATACACTTGAGTTCTAATGCTGCACGAGATCTGAGCTGTGCTAGAGTATTCCCGATGTTAATCTGGGAACCAGATACCCCCCTAATTTACAGAGAGTTTGTGCAGACTTTGGACAACTAGTATTGTATAGCCTCTTTAAATGTAGGTGCACTTTGGGCCTGATACTTCCAATCCCCAACCGAACGAAACCGTCGCATAGCCTTTAGCAAATAGTCTGTACCACCCTCATCCCAGTCCTCGCACTCCGTACGATGATCTAAGAGACACCCACCCCTATTCTCTCACTGCTGCGCATTAGGGCCGATCAAGTTGAACTCTAGTAGGAGCTCGGCCATCTCCTCTGGAGTAGGCACGCCGCCGATTGCACCAAGCAAGATCTGAGTTGGGACATCCATATCGCTTTCCAGAGTTGCTTCAACCCCTTCATCAGCTTTGAATCTTTCGTAGTCAAAGTATCCCGAGGCTCCATGATCCATCATTGTGTTCTTGCACTGACAAGAAAGAAGCAAGCTGTTAGAAGCCTCATTGGTCTGATACTTGGCCAGGGGTTGCCATGGTAAATTGATGGGATGATCTTCAGGAAGTACGAATTCGTTGGCAAGTCGGTCTTCTTCCTTGATGCCGTTGAAGCCAGCCTTTTCGAGCATCTCGAGGTCCCAGAAGACATAGCCCCAGGTCAGAGCTTGGGGTGGGACGAACTCATTTACGGCATTGGGGTCTTGGGGGCTCAGGAAGAGACTGTAATGACTCAAAACCGCCCAAGCACTCTCAGGGCCACGGTCAGGATCCTTGATGAAGGGTGTTCGAATGATAAAGTCCGGGACAGACATGTTTGCCCATTTTCCGGGTTCGCCTTCTTTATCATGGATCACGCAAGAGAGTTGCTCGTCAGTGCCAGGAAAGGGGGGTCTGGTTGGAAGGCGCGGATTCCAGTCGATGGGCGGTTTGATTGTGTCCATCAACTTCGCTCGGAGGCTTCGAGAACCCGCAGTCATGAAGTCGTACAGGAACGGGATGCCTTGGGCTACGAGACTCATGCTTCCTGGGCACATGGGATGGCTGATGTAGTAAGGCAGTTGCGCGCCCAGCACGATATCATGCTCGATAAAGGTATTGAAAGCTGAACATGTGCTGTTAGAACATTTTTAAGGCGCCAAATGGTAAAGGGAAAAGAAAACCTACTAGGTGCGATCTCCGTGATCAAAAGTCCACAGATACTGCTCATCTGCTCGATTTCGACAGCAGAGTATTGGCAGTGAAAAGCTTTGATGATTCGATGCTCTTCAAGCTCCTTCAGGCAGTGAATCCAGTGTGCCTCCTTCAGCTCACTATCCACAACCTCTCGATTCTCGCCATCGTTGTCGTGACAAAACGTAGCAATCATGGTCTGCAGGAGCTTCACAAACGCATCCAAGCGGTACAGGGCGCGCTGGAAGCGGGCGCGAACAGAAGGGGTGATAGAAAAAGCACCTTTGGTCTTGACAACAGGATGGTTACGCATGAGAGAAGTTGGAATGCGATGGGCGAAATACTCGATGCTCTTGTGAAGACGCCACATTTCCTTGACTTGGTCGAAGGTGAGATACTGGTTATGAATAGCATCTCGTTCTTCGCTTGAGTACACACGGTAGACGGCTTTTACGCCTGCTTTGGCGCCCATCCACGCCTTTTTCTTCAGGTTGAATGTGGTGATTACTTCCCGATAGACGCTCTCGTCCATGGTGTTGAAGAGGATGCATGATGCGATGTAGGCCTGACTATTCTTGTAGGCGTTGTATAGCTTTGAGCATGACAGCATAGCGGCTCGAATGGAGGCTTTGTTGGGGAGGAAAGATAGCATGTGGGAGATCACCTCGATGGGCATGTTATCAAGTGCGAGTTGATTCTCCTTCATATTTAAGACTTTCGTGATCTTCTTTGGAATGTTGGACTGCTCTTCCAGAGCGGATGGCTCTGAGGGGTCTTCCATCGTGAAGTGTCGTGACGATATAGGAGTGAAGGTGGAAGAAAGTTGTTGTTGTTGAGTAGAGAAAAGGGAACGGTGACCCAAGTGGGAGTTTTTTGTTTGTTTTGCTGAGAATCTATGTTATGATGCGGGTGGTGGGTTTGCCAGTTGCATGCCACTGTTTGCCAGTGCCTACTCACAGAGTCCATAATATTCAGGCAAGCGCTTGCTTATAGGCAGTTTAGCGAAGGGTACTTGAAGACATAGTTAGTGTATGTTTGCAAGATCTACAGCTATTTGTCCAATGTATTGTGCCGATATCAAGGACACTTACTTGCTTGTTTGTCTTTGTGTAACATCTTATGATAATGTTAGATCATTAGTTATGTGTCACCACAATGTTACAAAAGGAGTTAGGTAAGATTGAGATGGCTTGAAATACTATTTATCTGAGTTGATTATGATTTATTGAAAGTGATTGCGATCTTGGCGGACAATGAATTTGGTTTATTATGCTATCTTTACTCGTCCGGCCTTTGTTTCTATGACTTCGTTGAAGGTGTAACCTGAAAGCTTTTTCCAACGAACGCTATCAACAACTCGATCAATCTGTTCATCTTCCAAGACCAGATAAAGAAATACCCTTAAAAGGCATGTTCTGGCTCCCAGTGACGCTCTGTAATCCAAGCAGTCCAAGATTCGTTACCCGGCTTGAGCATGGTGCGTTGGTTCGAAGGACCACAGAGAGCCTTGAATCCCCAATGACCAACCTCATAGAACTCATTTCCCTCCATGACAAGATAGAAGGAATCGTGGCCGACCTTGATAGTGATAGAGCAGGTGCCCCAGTGCCATTCTCGGGACTCTCCCTTCTTGATCGGTTCCCATCCATGCTTCGGTGTCTTTCCAAGAACAGATAGAAGTTTTTCGCAGTCGAACTTCTTCATGCCGGTGGCCTTGAAGTCATGGAATTAGAGGAGAGTCAATGGTATGTGAGTTGGGAATAACGTACCTCCTTACCACACTCCCAGTAATAGGTGCTTGATTTGTACGACGGATCTGCACCCGTTCCTCCGTGGGATAGGAAACTCGCAGTAGCAAGCGATACGCAAAAGAGGATTGCCAAGAAGAAGCGCATTGCCAATAGTGTTAAGCAAACTATTGCTCCAAAATACAAAATGTGACGGCAAGAGTTGACTGTAGTTGGAAACCACTGGTTGGGATGAAAGATCTCGCTTTTAAAACGATCATTGTGATTTTATATTTATTACTGGCACCAATTCACTTGCAATGATATTCTATACTCAGATCCATATCTTACTCGACACTTGCTAACAGGTGTCGGGCAGTGGCGTGAAGCACTGGCGAGTAAGTGACGGCAGAAGAGTAGATATGGCGAGTAGCCGACAAGAAAAGCTACTGGTTTCCACATACCTAGATGCCTATCCTTATTGTTCTTATTCTCTGTCTCTCTCACAGGGGTCAATCTCGTTGCAGCTGATGCTGTCCATAGCACATCCATGCGTTGAAGACACGACTTGCTGATCCCGCGATTGTGTTAAACATGAATCCATAGCCATTCGTTAGCGAAGTGATACAATTTTCATTATATTTTTGTGAGTTATTAGGCCAGAGAATAGATATTGAACCGAGAGGAAAAAAAAAGCCTTGGTAAATCTTTATCAAGTATGTTGCTACAATAGAGTCATTGATGTGAATTACTTCTCACAACATGATGTTGATAGATGCCTACCCTAAGTGTTCCCTGCCAGCACGGATCAAAGAAGGACCGACCCAATAGGCAGGCGCGACAATGATGCTCAGCGTGGTGACAGCTTGGATGTCATAGCGGGGCACACCTCGATTGGTAGCTCCGATCTTCTTCCGCCTGCCTAGAGGTGAATGAAGCTCGATTCCTCCAATCTGCTATATACAAATTGGCACTCAATAACATTCATGTTGAGGCGAGACTGTTCATCTTTATGATTTGTACCAAAAACGCACTTCCTGACCTTACATTTGCCTTTGCAGCACCCCGACTATCCGTTACCCCGCGCTTATGATCTGAAGCCATCACAGCTCTCACACCATCGTGAAGCTCGCCCACAATGGCTTCTAATCAGATCGTTGCCTCGCCGCAGGCGGTGATGCACCAGGTTTCAAGACTTAGCGATAATGACCCGGACTTCCGTTTCATGGCTTTGAACGATTTGCTGCAACTCATCACCCACGCCAAATCCGACTTCTTGCACCACGACTACAATATTGCAGCTCGTACTGTCGATAGCATCATCAAAACTCTCGACGACCAGAATGGCGAGGTCCAGAACCTTGCAGTCAAATGGTAGGTTGAAGACAGCTGATGTCCCACAGATTGCTGACTTGTCTAGCCTTGGTCCTTTCGTGAGCAAGATCCCTACCCCCGTTATCGCACCCATGATCGAGAAACTCTCGTCATTGAAGCTCAAGAACTCCGTGGACAATTCCGTACCTTCCTTGGCGCTACGAAACGTCATCATCGCTCTCCCTCGACCCGTCCCAGGACTCCCGCCAACCTCAGATGTGCAGGAATCGTATAGTGCCATTAGCCGTGTGCTGATTCCCCGCCTTATCGGCCCCGGCCCCAAGACACAAGTTCCCAGGAACTCAAAGATTGCTCTTCCTCCTGTACCTGAAGGACTTCTACAGAATGAAAGCGATCTAAATGCCGAAGCAGTCGACGTGCTTATCGAGGTCGTTCGATGCTTCGGACCTATGCTTGCCCAAGTTGAGGTGGAGGCCATGCAAGCAGTCGTCATTCAACTGCTGGAAAGCGAGAAGGGGACATCGGTGGTCAAGAAGAGGGCTGTTGTAGCTATCTCCATGCTCGCGGTTTATTTGTCCGATGAACATCTGGAGGAAGTGGTGAAACGAATTACCGCTGGCCTGTCCAAACAAACCAGCCCAGTCACAAGAAGACTGTACATTTCTATTCTCGGCAGCATGGCACGATCGATTCCTTCCCGATTTGGACCTCACCTGTCCGAGACTGCCCCTCTGGTTCTTCAAGCAGTCAGTGAAACGGAACTAGAGGAACATCTTGAGGCGCTTAGTGATGGTGATGATCTTGGTCAAGACTTTAACGAGGTTCGCGAGGCTGCTCTGGTAGCCCTTGAGTCTTTCTTGGCATCATGCCCTCAAGAGATGCGCCCTTTCACGGATCCTACAATAGACGCTTGCCTTCGATTCATCAAATACGACCCTAACTACAACGTCGATGATGAAGACGAGGATATGGAAGACGAAGAAGAGGAAGAGGAAATGGATGACGACGATGAATTCGATGCTGATGATGGCTTCGAAGATGATGACGATGATGCCAGCTGGAAGGTTCGACGATGCGCCGCAAAGACCATCTACACGCTTATCTCAACTCGCGGAAGTGGTGACCTTCTTGAGAATGGTGTTCTCTACAACCTGACAGCACCTCTGCTTATCAAGCGTATTTCTGAGCGAGAGGAGAATGTTCGCTTAGAGATTATCTCAGCACTTTCTCTCTTGGTTCGCAAGACAGGTGAAGGGATTCACACAGTCGACCTTTCCCTCGAGGACTTTGAGGGAGAGTCTGAATCACGCATCCCCATCAGCCGAAAGCGAAGGCGCCAGAGTAGTGGTGGCGGCTCTACAGCATCTCAATTCATGTCAGGTACTGGTCTTGTTTCGCCTGTGCTAGAGAAGGTCCCTCTCAGTGGCCCTCGAGCCGACTTGGCTCGCCTGACACCATCTATTGTCAAGGCTATCACTAAACAACTCAAGGGAAAAACCATTCCTACCAAACAAGCAGTCATCAGTCTTCTCGACGACATAGTGTCGGTTCAGCATGGCGGACTGGCTGAATACTTCGATCAGGTTATTGGCCCTATCATTGAGGCCATCCAGGCCAGTGGATCTGCTCCTGTGTCGTCCCATCTATCTTCTCACGCCGGTTCTTCAGCGACACCAAGCACTCTAAGGATTACTGCTCTAGGGGTGGTCAGTGATATCGCAAAGACTCATTCATCTACTATTCTACAACCATATCTTACCAAGATTGTCGACGGTGTCACCTCTGCAGCCAACAACCGGTTTTATAAGATTTCTAGTGAGGCTATTCGCACGGTTGAAGAGCTGGTCAAGGCCATCACCCCACCCCGATCTCGCAACGCTGCCTCTAAGTATAAGGCAGAGCTGGAAAAGCTTTACACTGTCATCTTGGACAGATCTTCAGCCCAGGATGCGGATGCTGAGGTTCGACAACGGGCTATTCATGCTCTGGGTGTTCTAATCTCGCGAACTTCGACTTCTGATGGTCCTTCTCTACTCTTTGATGACAAGACGAGGCCGCTTAAGGCCGCATTGGATGTCCTTCAGGACAGATTGAAGAATGAGACTACCAGACTAGCTGCTGTTCGTGCCGTGGAGAATGTTGCCCGCTATGCCAAGGCTCCTGGCCAGCTAGAACGACAATGGATTCAGGATGTTGCTTTGGAGTTATCTGCGCAGTTGCGAAAGGCGAATCGTTCTCTGCGTGGTTCCAGCATTATTGCTCTCCAAAACCTTGTCCTGTCGCCTGCTACTAAGGGTCAGCTCGAATCGGAAACGATTCAAGGGATTGTGGCGGAGTTGATACCCATCATTACAGCTGGGGACACGCATCTCCTTGGACCGACCTTGATCATACTTTCCAAACTGGTCCCAGAACATCCGGAGTTAGTGGTGACTGAGGATTTGATTGCTGCATTCTCACAGCTTCTCAAGCAGCACTTTGCCGGCATAGTCCTTGAGCCGCTTCTCGATCTTGTCAGCAGTATCGGCCAGCATGGGGCGGGTCAAGGACTCATGCAGGGGCTTCTCAAGGATGTCAGTGTCGCCGGCGATCCCCCAGTTGTTGGTAAAGTCATCGGAACTCTGCTTGTCACTGGAGGCGAGTCGGTGGGGGTCAAGCTGGATAGCTTTATTACAGAGCTATACACAAGCGCCAAGAGTAACGATGAAGCTCGAGTCAGTCTTGCTCTGGCTGTTCTGGGAGAAGCTGGAAAGAGACTCGGAACAAACTCGACCCTCAAGCCTGATCTTTTCCTGGATCAATTCCACGACGAGCCCGACAAGGTATCACTATCTGCTGCCGTTGCTCTTGGCCAGGCCGGTTCGGGCAACGTCCCTGAGTTCCTACCCATCATTATGAAAAACATGCAAAAGGGCGGCAACATCCAGTATCTGCTCATTCAATCAATCAAGGAAATCCTTCAATCCATCTCAGCACAGTCCACTGACCTGCGAAAGTACGCCACCACTATTTGGGATGAGCTGCTGAAGGCTTCGGACAATGCTGACAACAAGGTTGTCTGCGCTGAATGTGTGGGACGCCTTGTTACTCTCGACCCTAACGTTTTCATTCCCCGTCTGCAGGTCCGTATATACACAATATCACTTTGGAAATTTATCGACTAACTGTTCTAGGCCCTTCTGAAGGATGAGTCTCTCGGCATCCGAGGCATGGCTGTCCAGGCTGTCCGCTACACCCTTCCCGAGAGTGACGAGGTTTTGGATGGCATGCTGCGAGATGTTCTCATTCAAATGCTGTTGACTATGCTTCAAGACGCCGACATGGACATTCGCCGATTGGCAATGACCACCCTCACTACAGCTGCTCGAACTAAGCCGGACCTCATCCACCCACACCTGGGTGAGCTGATGCCATTCGTACTGCAAGAGTCGGTCATCAAGAAGGAGCTCATCCGAGAAGTCATGATGGGACCGTTCAAGCATACCGTGGATGATGGCCTTGAAGTCCGAAAGGTATGTCAATCACGGAGTTACTATTGATCATCCACTAACTCGCAACAGAGTGCGTACGAGACACTGTATGCCTTGATGGAGACTGCTTTCAGTCGCATCAACAACATCGACTTTTACGATCGTGTCGTGGCGGGTCTCAAGGACGACAACGATATTCGCCAGCTGTGCAATCTTATGGTGACCAAGTTGATCTCGATTGACCCTGATGAGACAACTCGCCGCCTGAACTCAATCGCTGAGGCTTATCGCTCTGTTCTCTCGGTCAAGCTGAAAGATAATGCCGTGAAGCAGGACCTCGAGAAGCAAGAAGAAGCCAACAAGAGTATTCTAAGAGTCACTGTATTACTGGGCGAGAAGATGAAGGCCACAACAGGTAATGCTGGAGCGGCTACTAGCAATGCTGGTGCCGCCAGTACCTGGACAGGATACTGGGAGTGGGTGAACAAGGAATTCGAGAAGCAGTTGAAGACACTTAGAGAGGAGAACAGCAAACTGCAGACCCGAATGGTTTAGCATACGATCGGAGTCGGTATGCAAGCTCCAGTCGAGGATTCTGCTATGGATATTGATGGTTAAACAGTAGAAGGCAAACTGTGAAGCAAAGCATTGATAGCAGTTGCGTCATGATGAAGCATTTGTGTTCATGGGGATAATATAAACCTGTTACCAAATTGTCTTGCTTGGCTAGACACTGTTATAACAACTGAGATGGATACAATGGTTTTATTATAGTCTCAGCATTGGTGTCAATAAAGCTGATCTTAGCTTTCATTTACAGCTTCAGCCTGAAACTTGGTTTGGCGAGCAATCCAAGATGTCTGTCGGTTGATGGGATATGTATTGATTGGCGAAGGAAGTTGGCGATTGGATCTTTAAATGCAAGCTAGCCAATTAGGTTGATTGGCGAGTCTTGATTGACTCCAGGGATATGGTGTAAGTGCTAATTATCACTATTGTAGAACTCTCAACGTGATGTCGATCATTGTGTTACTAGCTACCAATATGACATTTGATAGAAATCTTGATCTACCATGGTAGCTATACTGCATGATCTAAAAGACATTGATCTCGCCATGATAGTACTTGATACGGGGTACTGACTGGGAGGTATATTGAGATCGACAGCACATTCAGCATAGGTCGAGGGTTTCTGAGCCTCACAGTCCCTATGAGCTTGCATGATCTTACGTGAAGGATCATGGATGAGAGGAACCCACGCAGGCTATCAAGGCCTTCATCATTTCTTTCTTGTACAGCCGTACCATTGTTCATCAATTCAGTGACATTCCCATACTATAACCATTTACCGAGTTATCACTATGACTTGCTATCAGTGCCATGATGGGGATCCTGAGGCTTCAAGTGAACATGCACAAACCCTTCTCGTTTAAGCGGCCAAAGGCCTCATTCCTTCGCCTGAGGAGGCAGGTAAAAAGGAAGCAAGCAAGGCCCTTGCAGGAGTAAACATCACAGAAGAGACGAACTCTAGCCTCGTTCTTGGTGTTGATAATGAAGGACCTGAATTGAACATCACCGAATGGTTCGCCTAGGGCGTTGACTCTCACTAACCTGGGGCAATAATCTCTCTGTCCTCGGGCATAGCCCTCCCATTTCACTCGCAGGTCGCCTATACCTAACCGAGCTCAAGGGAGAGGACTCGAGTTGCACAACGTGGGTGGCGATGGATTGAGGCGCGTATGAGCTTTGGGATTGGATGAGATGCAGTTTAGGAGCGAGGAGGGCAAAGCGGTGGAGGTGCAAATGATTGCTTTTAGAACTAAGTACTCTGGAGAGGATTGAATGAGTTAATATGCGAAGAAGGGCTAAGAGAAATACGTCACAAGCATGTTTCGTCACTGTAAGGTACCTAAGTGCAACGGAAGCCCAAATAAACGAAAGCTGAGGTGAAGATGAGGCAAGTCCGCATTCAAGATGCGCCTAAAAAAATACAGTCAAGCCCTGACAATACCTACCCAGGTGCCTTAAGCAGTAAACGAATCTTCAGTGAGGAAGAAGGAATGCGGGATAGCAGCTCTGCAGAGCGACTCCGACCGGTTAGACACAGCTTAATGGAAGGCTACAAAAGGCGGGAGCATCTATGAGGGTAAATCGTTGTGTTATTCATTGTTTTATTCATATTCATAGGGTATCGAGCATTGCGAGCTATCAACTCTGAGTATTGAGCTCCCAAGCATAAATCATTTTACAGTCATCCATCACTGATGTCTTGAGCTATAGCTGACTAGACCTCGTCCTTGGTATTCTTCCTCTGGTCCAGCTCAACTTGTTCAACACTGGCAGTCTCAATATCCTTCTTCTGGTGGCGATCGTCTTCATCATGGACACCGGCAACAGCATGCTCGAAAGAACGACCACGCTTCTCAGGGCCAAGCATGGTGGTAAAGATGATGCCGAGAACAATGATAGCGGTAGCAACACCCATGACAGGGCCGTAGGCCTCGACCTTGTCACCGTTTCCGAGGGTGATGAATGTCTTTTCTGCAACGGCGTTGACGATCTGGGCCGAGGGGGATGAGATCATGTTGCCGATCTGGTAAGTTACACCAGGGAACGAAGATCGGAAGGCGGGAGGGGACAGCTCGTTGAGATGGATGGGAATAACACCCCAGGCACCTTGGACGAAGAACTTAATTATGTGTTAGCGATGTTGTGATTCAGCAGAATGAACGTGAACAAACCTGGAGGAAGAAACCAGAAACACTGAGAGCACGCTCGCCCTCAGGCATGATCCAAGCAGGGATGATAAAGCCGGACATGAGGGCCGACACGCAGATAGCTCGGCGACGGCCAACAAACTGACTCAAGTATCCAATGATGGTTCCACCAACACAAGCACCAGTCTTCATGAGGATAGAGGCACGAGAAGCGGCCGAGTTGTTGAGCTCCTTCTGCTCGAGCATGAAGGTGGTGTATGAGTCTTGGGATGTGTGGGAGTAGTAGTTGAACCATGTCATGAGGATACAGCAGTAGATGCACATCTTCCACTCAGCGAGAAGCATCTTCTTGCAGTCTTGCCAGAAAGCACCGGGAGTAGAAGATTTCTTGCCCTTGGCGCGGGCTTCGAGGAATTGCTGCGACTCGGGGAAAAACATGCGGACAATACCGACGGCGATAGAGATACCGGCTATTCCTTATTAGTACGGGTTAAAGTTGAGTATTGGGAAGTAGAAACATACCAGCAATCCAAAAGACAGTCTTCCAACTCTCAGTGCTACCTCCAACGCCAAGATTGGCACATGCAGCCAAGACGTAGCCGAAAGAGTAACCTTGTTGCAGGATACCCGACATCAAGCCTCGAGCGTTGGAGCTAAAACGCTGTTAGCACGGAAATACTAACGACTCCAAACTTGGCAGCGCGATGCCAAGGGCGAGGAAGTTTGGGGTAAGACAGGGACAAACTTACGGACACTGCTCGAGAGCCATAGCGATGGCGTTGCCGTAGACACCGCCCATAAACAGACCAAAGAGACTTCGCACGGCGAGGAATTGCTGGAAGGTGGAGCTGTAGATGGTGGCGATTTGGAGGATACCCAGGATGATCATGTTGAAGACCATGGGCCACTTGCGGCCCCATTTGTCACCAGCGAGACCAAACATGGCTGCACCGACAGAGCGGAGGAGTAGAGTGAGGGTGATGGCTGTGGTGATGGAGGTCTTGCTGGTGTCATAGTAGAGGGACAGCTTCTTGGTCTGAATAGACAGAGCGTGGAAGTCAAAGGCATCAGCGGTCCAGGCGCAGAAGCCGACGAGGAAGAATACCCAGTCCTTGCCCGACAACTGAGCCATGAGCGTGATGGGGTTCTGGATAGGGTCTGGGTCTCGCCATTCTGTCGTCTCCTCGCCATGCTCGTTGGTGATTACAACGCGCTGCCTCCAGACCAAGAGGTCACCGAGGGCCTGCTTGGCTGTGGGAATGACGCCCTTGACCACGGGGCCACCAGACTCGCCTGCGGATGGTTGCTTAACCATTGTAAAGATACTCGATAAGAATATGGTGAACTATGAGTACCAGACAAAAGAGGTGAGAGGAGGTCTGTGAGGGTTGAGAAAAGTCAACAGCTGAGGGGAAGGAGAAGAGGGATCCTTATACGTCGATGGCACTGTCTATGACAACCGCACATCACCGCAACACGAGCACGCTTTCTACTTGTTATCTCCGATTCAAGTGCCACGATCCCACCCTTCCCCCCATGGCCATGCAGTGTCATGCAATAACGGTCGCACCAACAATACCCCAGGGTCACAGCAGACGTGGAGATGGAGCCCACGAGTTTGGGGAAAACAGAAGCATGGGACAAGTCGAGCAGCGGATCATGCCCGTTAACAGACATACTGACACACTTGATACCCACCCTTGGTCATGATTATTGTTTCCCCGCAGTGTAGAGAATACGGGGGAGGGTAATGGGGATTATCATTTGTCAAAAACGGGTGGGAATGGAGAGAGACAGAGAAAAAAGGATTGTAAATGGCTGGGTCGGTATGTGGGGGAGGAGAAATATGTCGGATTTGCTGTGACTGTGAGCGAGACGAGGGTGGCATACGACTGTGAACGAGGGTTTACGTCAATAGATCAAGAGGTTTCGTTCGGTCATATTTCTCTTAATGGTGTAATACAATTCATCTCATGCCCAAGCTGAAAAAGCACGATGACGCTGTGGTTCCCATTCAAGCAGTTGAACACCTCCCATTGAAAGCTCTTGGAGGTTGGTATACGGTAAAACACAATTGGTCAGAACCCAAAAGCCACCAGCTCATTAAAAAGAAGGTGAGCATGTGCGGAGAGCCCGAGCTAGAACGAGCAAGGGAAAGACACACAAAGAGAAGGGGAAATCGGCAAACCGGCACAAAAGAGACACTGTCGTGTGAGTCTGTGAGAGAGCAGAGCCCACTGTAACTGCCGATCGCACAGCGCTAAACCCCGGGGAAATTTACGCTTATCCAAGTTTAACGTTAGGGTTTTAAGGCTCTCTGTTAAGCTTACACTGACGAAAAACGGGGCATGTCACCCTCGTTTATTTTCACTGCGGAGGGACTGTGGTCACTCAGTGATGGACAGAAGTGTTCTCGACTTCCCCGCTTATACTGTCGCTGTGACGAGGAAAAAAAATACATAATTAAATGGAGATGGAGAATGGGAATGCCAAGTTTGGAGCACGCTTGGGGGAAACACGGCAGTCTATGGGTTAATCCCCCGTAGTCTCACCTTGGCGTTGGGGGTTAGGTTGGCACGTTGGCGGACATGTTTCTGGTTACATACGAACAAAAACAAGGGTATTTTGGAGTCGTTGCAACACAAAGTTCTGCAAGACGAATAATCCCTCGTTGGCCCATGCGTACATACAGTAATACTGCAGCAGAAAAAAAGAAGAAAAGCTGAGTGGTCGGGGTCCTTGGGGAAATTGATCACCGGCATTTCTGTTCACTTGCACGGGATGACCTCACTAAAATCCTTCAGTCCTGGTGTGGCTGACTCGGGAAATAGTCGCCTTGGCGCCGAGGGGCCTTTTTTTGTTTGTTTCCAGATGGGGTAAGCCGTGTCGCTGTGTGGCCGACTTCATGGTGAGATGATGTGATAATTGATCTATTGCTATACATGTTGTGCAACGGGTTACACAAGTAGCATGGCATGAGATGGAAGTGTCACAGTGAGAGATATAAGATGACTTTTAGGGTTTTACCAAAGCGCACGCATCTGGTATCTCTGGCTGACATGTCCGAGCGGCTAGGATCCAATGTCTCACTCTCTCAGTTGGAGCCTTGGAGGATCTCACCTCGAATCGCGTAGCTTGCATGCATCCTTCACATCTCGCACGGCTCATAACGTCCGGGATCCCAACCAGGCTACAAACGATCCGCAATCCGACATATCTAGGGAAATGTCGGGGAAGACATGTAGTATTGTGAGATAACCCCAGATGCGTTTGTTGGGGGTCCTGGGGTCCTGGGGTTGAGAATTGTTGTTTTGCAATGTAACCATTGGACGCTCCGCAAACAACCCCGGGCATGGTCGAGAAGCAGCTCGTACGATATCTCCAAATATGCCTCCACTTGCGAGGAGACTCTTGAGAGCAGATGGGTGACGATTCAACCGGAACTTAGAGTAATAATGCTGTCTTCAATAGATCTGGGGTCTAAATTAAGAGAATAGCTTAATCGCCATTTATAAATAAAGTCTTTTCACACATTTCTCCCCAGATTCTCCTACCTCTAAAACATCAGTGATGCAGTAATTTGTATGAAGCCAGCTCCAGGGAATTATCGGAAACACAATGTAACAGCACCCAAGTACAACCTCAAAGGTCCAGACTCAAGAGGGGCCGGCGCCGGGGACACAGACACCATCTCTTATCACAAGGGTCTTCAATAGGCGCCCGCACCGGATTCAATTGCCTTTTAAGAAGTCAGCTAGTGTTTCGAGAATATTTCCCAATTATACCTTGCAATGCTTCTCCACGCGCTTGCCAACCTTGTTCTCCAACTCTTGTGGCAACGTCCGCATTGCTCACCCCCGGAATGCTTTCGTCGTTTTGTCAATACCCTATAGGAATGTCTGTTTTCTTTTTCTTCGGATCATTTCGGGATATGCTAGCCAGATTACGAGCGACCTATGATAAGAGTAGTTGCGCTCATGGATGGGGAGATTTGTTGTTTGCAGAGTGTTACCTAGTTCAATGTTCCAATGGGTTCCGCAAGCCCGGGATCTTGTCACACATAGCCGTGGAACCCCAGAGTCTAGATCTAACATCCTGTTGAACAAGGGTCTCTTGGGTTCCTTGACCCTGTATAACATGCCATGTTGTCTAAATCCCCAGAGTTTGACTGCGCGAATGACCCGATGTCAGATGAAGCTGAAATAGATCTTTCGTTATCTGCCTATAATAGAAAGACGTCGCTGGGGCCGAGATTTTGGGTGTGCAGATTTGCGATACAGCGTTCATAGTCGGACGAGAAAGTATCTGGTGTTGTGATTTTGTGAAGTCTTTATAGTGCAGAGTGGCGCATCAGCTGAGACGGTACTACCATCTCCTTTTAGGTCAGGAAAGGTTTAAGAGAGGGATAGACTGTTCTTGCCCCAGGTATTGTTTATACAGCTTGTGAGTCTAAATCATAAGCCCAGAGATGTTTCTGTCGCCCGTCGCGTGTCTGGCGTCTTTGATACTGGTAAAGCATGTGAGTCTTCCTAGAGGGCGGTACTCCACACTATGCTGTCAGATTCCAAATACCATTTGCTATGATCAACACCGTTGTTTCATGACCTGTGGAGTGATGCCGTAGATGACTGATTCTGTTAATGATGTCTAAGTAGTTGTAGACAAGTAGAAAAGGATATTTGAGGGCGTATAGGAACTAGGGCAAGTGATAGTCTTGTAGGTGGTAGGTTAAGTAATTTACTATATGTAAACTAATAATGAACTAAAAGACTCCAATATAGATCTAATATATTCCTCATGGGAAAAGGATTGAAGCTTATTCGTGTAGTATAAGATTTCAAACATTTATCGCTGTCCTCTCCATTTCATCAAACTCATGCTACTATCAGCTTCACATAAACTATACTACTTTACATAACTTAACCTCCATACTTCCATTAAACTCCTTTTATATGACCATCTACAAAGTAGAACTCATAAAGACCCTGCCTTGTGCCAAGCCTTTGTTACAGCAATTCCCACCTACCGAATTATTCAACCAACCCAATTGATTGCTTGATATATTTGATTAACTCCTCTCAATTGGTTCAGACAATAAGATCATATGTGATATAACGTCAAGGGTAATTCTATATTCAATAAGACATGCGCGGGCTGACAGCATCCACGTCTGTTCTCATGTTCTATAGGATGCTTTAGTTAACTCCCTTGTTTGAGTCATGGATCCATGGCGCCGGCGTAAATTTGACTCAAGTCAATAGAGTATGATGCTAGCCTCTGTACTGAAGACAGTAAAGATGTTTCATAGAGGTGTGTAGAAAACATTACTTGAATCACAATTAGGAACCAAATTTCTAGCATTAATAGGTAGCGCCAAACTAAAAAGGGCTTTGACACAAGGATGCAAGGATCGCTGACCGTCTGGAAGATCTTCAGTGCTGCATTCTCATGGAAATCATCCCTCTAATTCTTTCCACTATATGAACACCGACATAAGATATCAAAGTGACAAAGACTACTTCTCAAGCTGAGGCTTTGCTCTAAGATCTAATCTATTTTGGGCCTCATGTCGCGCTACCCTTGTAAGCAAAGCCTGACAGTTTTGTACCGACCAATCAGACAGAGCGCAGGATAGAACCAAAAAGAGTAAGGTCAATGTCGCCTCGAGTTTCGGTATAAGCTTCGACACGCGATTGGTTCAATACAGATCGCTGGGCATCTAAGCCACTGAGATGAAGTTCACGTCAGGCGAAACATGACGTTTGATGCCTGCCAATGCCTTCAGCTGAAGGAAGATCATCCGCTATGTCTTGGCTTTGGCTGTCAATGACATGATCAAAACGTGTAGTGTTAGCTATATAAATACAGTCTCGTTCTGCTTCGTTTTGTCATGGTTTGATATCATCAACCGCCATCATGGTTTCCTTTCCTCTTCTTGCAACCGCTCTCTACGCGGGAACGACACTCGCCAAACCCCATTCCAAAGTTTCGCATAACCCAACCGCTACCATACACAACGGTATCATAATCGGTACTACCACCTCCCTCCCCGATTCCAAAACCATCGTCAAGAAATTCCTCGGCATCCCCTTCGCGGAAAAGCCTGTACGCTTTAGCCCCCCAGAGCCAGCCAAACCATGGGGCTCGCCATATGATGCCACCGAGTACAAGCCCGCTTGTATCATGAAATTCAACTATCCCGAGGTGAAACGTAACCAAACAATCAAGACCTTTGCTACACCTGGGCCGCCGGCGGGAACAAGTGAGGATTGTTTGAATCTTAATATCTATACGCCTTCTGGTGCAAAGGCTGGTTCAAAACCTGTGGCTTTTTGGATTCATGGAGGAAGCTTCAGTCATGGATCTGGATCGCTGCCTTATTATGACGGGTCTAAGATGGCGGGATACGAGGATCTTGTCGTCGTTACTATCAACTACCGGACCAACATCTTTGGTTTTCCCGAGACATATGATTTTCCAAAAGGGGAGTGGAATCTTGGGTAAGTGCGCGTCTCGTATATCAGCCATTCTTCTCTGACCAATAACTTGCCAGATTCCTCGACCAACGTCTAGCCTTGAGCTGGGTCCAAGATAATATCGCCGCATTCGGAGGCGATCCTAAAAAGGTCACAATCTTTGGAGAAAGCGCCGGTTCAGGAAGCGTTGAAGGTCTCATCACCGCTCCTCCCGATCCTCTTCCTTTCCGTGCCGCAATCTTGCAATCCGGCTCCGCCAACACAAACATCACACCCACCGGCTCATGGACCAAGACTACCAAAATTGCAGGCTGTGATACCGGCAACTTCGACGAGATCCTTGAGTGCATGCGCCTTGTTCCAGCTGATAAGCTCAAGGATCTTGTTGAAAGAGCTATGCTCAACTTTCAGCCCCTCAGCGACAATGGAATCACTCTTGCAAACTTCCCCCGCGATATACGACTCAAGTCCAAAAAGGAGCCCGAAACCATGGCTCGCGTTCCTGTTCTCTTAGGTTCGACGGCCGATGAAGCCCGCCTGCAGGATTTCATGAACGTCACAATTGACCAAGCTCTTCGGTCTTGGATACCCGATATCAGCGCTTCACAAGTTACAACCCTTAAATTCCTCTATCCAATTGGATCACCTGGTATCAGCAATGATTTCGACCAAGTAACCAAGATAGTCACCGAGCTCGCTATGCAATGTCCCACTCGATACATCGCCGAAGACTTTACCGATGCAGACATCAAGACATGGCGCTTTATCTACAACGCGAGCTTTCCCAACACCGAGATCTTCAAGGGCAGCGGCGCATATCACTCCTCCGAAATCCAAACCCTCTTTGGCACATTCCCTGAGAAGGGAGCTACAGAGTTCCAGGAGAAACTGAGTAGAGAGATGCAGAAGGCTTGGGGCAAGTTTATCAGAGATCCCGCACAGGGCCCTGGATGGGAACCGGTGCCTAAGATTGGTATCTTTGGAGATGGTGTGGCACCTGGTACTGATGATAAGACGAAGAAGACTCTCAAGGTTTTGGATGAGAATGTTGTTGAGCCGCGGTGTTTGCTGTTTGGAGGATTGTGGAAGAAAGGCAAGACAGAGGAGTGATGTGGCATATGTTTGATGGACGACATTCAATTCTGCAGAAGTTACTTTAAAGTCTACGCAAGAGTGGATGAAGTCTTGGAGCTTCTATCGCAATAATTTTGTATTAATTCATTATATAAACTGCAAGCTCATTTCTATAAGATCATACAGCCATCCTACCTCAGACCACAGTCGTTCATGTTCTCTTCCCCATCCATCAACATGCTCGCCATAACCGTATCCAGTCAATGTTCTTCAGTATATCCAAGCGAATCCTTATTAATAGCTCAAACTCTAGCCATATCACCCTCTGAATCGAAATGTCTCTGATATACTAGTGACTGAATCTCTGGCTCTTCCACACGATATCTATCCGGGGCAAGAGCGAGCATTACCCAAATGCTTTGTGATAGCAAAGTGAAACTTGTGGGTCCTCAGCTTTGTTCTCGGTTTTGATCCATATTTTGAAACTCTCCCAACAGCTGTGCCTAGGACTGCATCACCTGCCGATAATATGTTGTGTGCGCATCGGAGACGGTAAATGTACTATCTGGTGTCTCTCAAATAGAACGAGACTTCACATATCGCCTCAGCCTCCACGCTGAGAATTGTGTGACATGTTACTGTCTAAACTATCCGTACAAGCAGGAATAAACCCCAAGACTAAGAATCCGCCCCCGGATCTGGTCAGGCACATGCTACCCATCCTTGTCTCACCACCGCATCCGGAACCCAAAATCACCATTCCACCAAGTACGACATTTGCCATGCTTCATCTGGCGAAATATAAGCGAAGAAACGGCATTTAGTTGGTGTTCCCTCGGCGACCGAATTTTGCTATGGAGATGACTCAAGAGCTGGAAGAGCTTTGGTGATATAAGAGGTAGGCACCTGGGTCTGGGCAAGAATTGGGCAAGACCCCCATATCTCGATCCTTCTCAGAAGGTTTTTGATAATTGCGCAGTCCATTACATCATAGCAATTATCATTCACTGCGGGTAAGTGACACCGGAAAGGAAAGAACAAACATTCGCCATCCACTTCTTCATATCCAGCTGCTGCGATCCTGAGGAATCTTCATCTATCATCTCACTGCAAACAGAAAAACAAGATGCTATCATCAATGATCATCATCTTCCTTTCATCATTATGCTTCGGAAAAGAAATCTCCAAAGCCCGTCACGTCGAAGCAGGCCCCATCATAAATGACTTCCTGTGGTCTTCTTTCACCGAGAAAACAGGTCTTGATCCACTCGACTACCTATCTCCCCCTTCTGACGACACATCCGAGACAATCGCCTGCACTGAGGTAAGATTCTTTTGCCACCTGAGACATGGAACATGTAACTGACAAAACAATCAGACTCCCGGTCCCGACAGACTCGCTTGCCCAGGCGCCATAGCCACATGGTTCACCTTGGTCGACGGAGAGCAGCATATCAACATAACTTCTGGCCAATGCCGCTCAGTCATAGACGGGACATGCAGAACCGTTGCATGTGCCCCGAGAGGAAACATCAGCGTTGACCGTGAGGAGGTTACGGGACACATGTGGTATCCTCTGACAATGCGATGTGTGCTTAGTGGAAGTGGGGGAATATGGCAAAACAACGGATCGACATTGGTTGTTGAGATGGGATACGCGGGTGAAGAGTAAATCAGGTTCTATTCGTACGCGTACAAAGTCTAACGGTGGTATCCTTATACAGTATATCTAACAAAAATCCTATCCTTGCGCCAAAGAGGTATCTCAAACAATTCCGCCCTGTAAAAAGATCAATCGCTCCCATAATCCGTTGTTTTGTTTTCTCTAAGCAGCAGTCGCGCTCACAGCTCCCGTGATGGTAGGAGGTGCCCCGGAGACCTCCTCGCTTGGGTCAAGTTCACCCTTCATCTCCTCCTGGCCATCCTCGACCTTCTTCTGAGTTGTCTTTCTATCACCAGTGTCACCGAGACCAATGACATCGACCCAACGCCAGAATTCGACAGGGTTGTTGCCGCTCTTGTCGAAAATGGCTTGATCATCGTTGATACCGTCCTTGCATGAATCGCCTTTTTCTGCGTTGAACTTTTCGAGCTTATCGAATGATGTGCCGTCAACGAGGTCACCGGCGAACGTGCGGCCAACGGGCACGTTGTTTTCACGGAGCATCTGCAGCTGGGCGCGAAGGTTCAGTCGGAGGGCTCGTTCAGGCTGCTCTGCTTTGAAAATCTTCTGTGTCAACCATGGGAACAGGATTCCAAAGTCGGATTGGTTCAAGTGCGCCGAGTTAATGACGTAGTAGAAGCTTGGCTCTGCCATTTTGATACCGCTTGGGCGCTCGAACAACTGCGGAGTGACGACCTTTGCGGTGGGATCGGGACTCAACACACGTGCCTTGAGGTTAAGGTGATCTCTCCACTTGAAGAAGTGTTCGGATTCGACGGCCAAGATCGCCTTGCCGCCAGGGGCAGAAGCCTTGTCGGCGTATACAGGCAGAGGCAAGTTGAACAGAGGTACAGAGTTGGGGGCCATTAAGGGCATACACCACATGTCAAGCAACATGGTGAGTGTCTTTTCAGTGATCTGGTTTCGGATATCACTGCCCTCAGCAGGAGCGAAGATGGGCTTTTCCATAGCAGCCACTTCAGGAACACCAGCGTAGTATGTGCTTTTGAGTAACTGAGTCGTGGTTGCTGCTCCAAAACTATGACCAGCAAATATGATACTGCCGGGCTCGTGTATGTTGCATTGGTTGACGAATTGGTCGAGACTTGGTGTAGAGCGGTTCAAGTTCGTTAGTGGACTGCCACGATCTACAGCAAGCATCGCTTGATGGATAAGACCGAGCTCCCAGCATCGAATTCGGAGTTGTGCTTCGCGGGCTTGATAGACCTCGGGAGAGACGTCGTGCGAAATCTTTTCGTAGGGAATCTGGATTCGACTGTTCGAGGTGATGGTTCCGTTTTGCGTCTCTGGCACGCGGATGAAGCTTGCGACAGCACTGCCGTCACGGTGCTCAGGACAAATGACAACAATGCCGTGAGAAGCGAGTGAGCCTGCGACGTAGGAATACGAGTTTCGGCATCCTCCCAATCCATGAGAGAAGATCATTGTCGGCCATCGCTTGTTCTCGGTAGAGGATTCGAGGAGTTTCGCATTCTTATGGGCGGGTATCGTGGTGTAGTGAAGATGTCGGGGGAGAAAACTGCGAAAGACGTCAGCTTGGCTTCACAGCGCAACAATCAGGGGACTTACGAGAGGAACTCGGCCAACATGGGACCAATACCAAGGAATTTCGTGTAGGCTACCAAGTGTTGTCGCTGAGGATTCGGCAACCAGCTAATGCGCTTCTCGTTCGATTCGGCAACAGCTGGGTAGAACATGCGGTACTGGACGGTATGGATCTTGTCGGTGCCTTCAGGGGCAGCGCTGGGCGCTTCTAGTTCGGAGACGGGGATCTCTACATCGACGGTGCCGACTTTGTAAGGTCCTGTATATTCGGGAAACGCGGGAATCGGGCTTAGGCGTGAGAGGTAAGACATCTTGGAGGCGTTCATGGTGTTGGTGTTGCGACAATGCGCCGAGATGCTGAGTGAAGGACGAAGCGTTCGTTGAAGAAATGAAAGATAAAACAGTCGCCAGAACTCAGGAGTAGTATGTAATAGATTGACCTCGGGCTATGGCTTGTACGACAGGAGAAACTGGACAAAAAAGGCCGTCGGCGTTTCTTTGCGCAACGATAGAATCTAATGTGGCTGTTTCTGTTTGGTCTGGAAACTCCGGTGACGTTACGCGGACGCTAAGACGGGGTATTCACATGCAAAAAGATGACAAACTCGTTCGCTAGAAATCTCCCTTGACAGCAATCAATTAAGGAGAGAGAGAAAAGAAGCAGGGGGCAATCCAGACAATAAATAAATCACAGCAGAAAAAGTTTCATATCGTCAGCATCATGCAAAAGGGGTAAGTCACGCGACAAAAGCTTGCAAAGTTGGAATTGTCTGGTCTATTCCTCTTCGGTGACCGAATGTGAAATGCTAAAATGCAGGTGTCTTGTGCACAGTTACCGCGCTCGAGAAAGATCGTCGATAAAAAGAGTAACGACGTCATGGAGAAAGAGAAAAAAAAAAAGGTCCATAGCCACATACGCCACGATAATGCGGACCTCATGCCGAGGCTTTATAGAAGCTCCCGGAGGTTCCGGTGTTTTTTACGGAGGAGATATTTTTGGTATGTCTTTGATTCTTGGCGTTTTCTAGTCTAATCGCCGCAGCCCATACAAATTGATCGTCAGGTTCAACGCCTTCTCGGCCGAGTCGACGTCGGGCCTCCCGTGATAATGAAACATATCGTGTTGGATTGACTTCTTTTGAGTATATGCTTGAAAATGGCAATCATCGTAACTTCATAAAAGCCCTCTAGGTCTTTCCTGTGATGGCATCCAAGCTCTTCCGAATTCCCTTCGTAGATCCTCGTAAAGGACTCCGTTGAACATGTCCGTGATTCTTCATCTCGCGCTCCCTCCACGGTCCGCACTCCTTACAGAACTCATGCCCGCACTCGTAATAATCCCATCTCCACGGCTTCACATCATGCTTACAGACATGGCCTGCGTTAGGGCCCTTTCTGCATTTGCAGCACGCCCATCCCTTGACCATACTCTCGAGATATGTGCACCCGGCGTTTCCGCAGTGTCGTAGCGATCGCACCACGGTGAAGTCGATGCTGCCGCAGGGGCACTCTGAACTATTGTTTATTTCTTGGCGTGTCGTGCAGTTGATATATCGTCGCTTTTCTTCGTGCCCGCAGGCAAAATGGATCCATTCGCAGGTACACATCTTGTATCATGTCGCCAGGACGGATGTAAATGTTGTTGAAGATGTAGAAGTTCTGATCCGACGCAGCCGATGTTTGTATCCATTAACTATTAATGCATTTTCCCGTTCAGTGACACAAAGCGCCGCAGTGATCAACATATCTTATTTTTCTAAGCGAATTCCTTGGATCTGGGCTGCGTCATGGCCCGTTTTCCAGCCTTTGCATCACGTTCCATGTACGTCTCCACAGACGATCCGAAAGGCCACTCAAACTCATCCTGGCCTTTTGTCTGGAAGCCAAGCTTCTCGTAGATGGGCTTTCCCTTTGGTGTAGCCTCCAGAAAGCACGGAAGGCTTTCGGCGTCCGCACGCTCGACGCCCCAGCGCAGAAGCAGACCTCCTGCTCCCTTGCCCTGCCAGTCTGCGTGTGTGCAGATAACCTCAAGATGATAATGCGGTCTGTCGCCCATAAACCTCCGATGGCCTTCTGTCATGGTGCCGAAGAACTCAACGGCAAGATCGCCATTCGATGGCCAAGCCTCGGCTGGTGGGACATCTTGGATCGGCGCGCCGGGGAGATTCCACTTTGCCATGGAGACAACCTGCTCATCCTTTGAGTCCGGGGAAGTCTTGTGTGTGACGACGAGTAATTCGCATTTGTGGTCGGCCATGTCTTCCGAGAAGTTATTTTGGAAGAAACGATCCGCGGCCTCAATATCGGCGTTGAAGACACGGCTTCCGATGACGGTATCACCAAATGCCGAGTGGTAGACCTTGCACATCCCGGGGATGTCCTCAGGAACTGCTGGTCGTAGCTGAAGAGGCATATTTGCTGATTTCGAGACGGCCTGATATGAGCAAGAGTGGCACACAATATTGGATATTCAGGTACAGAGTGAAGATGACATGATTCGCGAAAAGTCGCATCCTCTTGAGGGTTATTTATCATCCAGCATCCCCACAGGCGAGTCCAAGGTGGGAAGCCGAGCAAGCTACCCTGGTCCCATATGAGAGATTCGTCATATACTCAATACGATCAGCTGTGTTGAACAGAGGCCATATGGAAGCCGTGGAGGGAAACTACATGATGGTATTTTGTTTGTCTTAGGGGGACAAATGCCACAATTAGAGATTCGTGAAACTTCGCTGATGTGGTCGGCCTAAGCTGTCAAGGTTGGACTTCAGCTGCCCCGCACACGCCCTTCACATTGAAAGCAACACATGATATTGACATTGCCTAATAGACTTGGCGTATAAATATCATCGAAGCTTTTGCAGGTTAGAGAAATAGCTCACTACCATTCATGTCGAATATTTCTCACAACCAGTGTCACAATGTCTAACGAGCTCGCTAAGCAATTCAAGGCCCTGCACAAGCCTTCATCACCCATCGTTCTCCCCAATGTATGGGACGTGGCTTCATTCAATACGGTTACATCGCTCAACACAGAGAGCTCTAAGCCCGTCAAAGCTCTAGCTACAGCTTCCTGGGCTATTGCTGCGACATATGGTGTCCAAGATGAGGAGCTCACCCTAGAGCAGAACCTGGAGGCCATTAGCAAGATTGCACCACTGGCCAAAGCTGCTGGCATTCCACTCTCGGCAGATCTACAGGATGGCTATGGGTCACAGATCGAATCTATTGTAAAGCGAGCTGTTGAGCTCGGTGTCATAGGCGCCAATATCGAGGACAGAACTCTTGAAGGGACTTTCTACCCTGTGGCCGAACAGGTTCAGCGTCTCAAATCAGCCTTGAAGGCAGCCTCAGATGCAGGTTGTCCAGACTTTGTCATCAACGCCCGATGCGATATATTCTTCGCCGCTACCCTCCCCGAAGCCGACGAGCTCAACGAGGCAATCACACGTGGCAAGGCGTACCTCGAGGCCGGAGCCACAACCGTCTTTTACTGGGGCGGGTCGAAGCGCGGGCTGCGGACGGCGTGGGTCGAGACTTTGGTGAGGGAGCTCAACGGGAGGGTTTCGGTCAAGTTGGCGCATGGAAAGGAGGATGCGCTGTCGACGCGGGCCTTGGCAGATATTGGTGTTGCGAGGATCAGTGTTGGGCCGAGTTTGTTTCTTCTGGCACAGGAGGCCGCTAAACAAGCAGCTGAGAGGATTCTTTCTGGTGGGAATTTGTAGATAGATGCCTGGGTCTGCATTCCAATCAATTTCTGTGTACCTCGTAGCTCAGCAGCTGCCTGCAATAGCGTGAATTGGGTTCCATGTGGGTAGTTTTCCTGTAGTTTTCCTAGACCTTGGATCAGCGAAACCGTAGAACTCCCTGACGACTCTCTGGGTCTCAATCCAAAGTTCCAAACGAAGCCTTTACATTGCACATTCAAAACCTCTATCGTTACCTATGGTTATGAGGCAGTGCTTGATGCCTGCAGTTTACTGTGAGTTAGTGGAGGCCAGCCGCCTAAGCTAAGCCCTGTGGGGTTGTCTGCCTGGCCCTATCGTGCCTGGATCTAGATCCTAGTTATTGCTAGGGCTGTGCATGCTTCAAATGGTCGCCGATCTGGCCTATCAGACGTTGTATTCCGTCTTATGCCTGTAGTTTCAACAGTGAATATTCGCTGTAGCTATTCACAGCTGCTCGGCGATCATTCTATTGTGGGTCTAGGCAATGCCGTGTGAGTAACATGCCGTCGTGCCTAAATCTTTGTGGAGGCCGTCTCCAAAGTGTCCTCATGGCTGTATAAAGACTCAGGCTGAGACTTGCATCGACACTATCATAACCACCATCATCTTCTCTCACGCCTCTTTGCTTCTTCATCTCATCATCTCAAGTTGTCTTTCATCATAAATACTATTCATCCACAACATACTACACACACCACACAGCGTCATGTCTACCGACGCAATGGAGTCGAACAAGAGCAGCAGCGGCGACGAGTCTGTCGTCGTTGTTACACCTGCCGACACCGAGTCTCAGAAGGAGACCACATCAGCAACACAAACAGAAGAGACCAAGGCAGAAGACACCAAGACAGAGGAAACACCAGAGAAAGCAGATGACGCAAAGTCAGACTCAGAAGAGGAGAAGAAGGAAAAGATCATGGTCGGCTCCCTCGCCGAGACAAAAGACCTCTACGCCAAATATGACAAGAACGGTGATCGTTCATGGTCAGACAAGCTTCCCGATGATCTCGAGGAGGCAGCAGAGAATGAAGAGACACAAAAGTATGCCGTCATCGTCCGCAAGAGGAAGCCCAAGGATGCCGACTCCAACAAGCCTCTCGAGATTGACAGTCTAGTCGTCCAATCTCCCTACCTCAAGCGCGTGCTCTCAAAGGTCTTTAAGGATTATCCCGGTATCATCACAGAGGTTTCTCGCCTCAAGTTTCACGCTCCTTTTGAGTGCTTCGTTCACCGATGGGATGAGTTCACCGCAGCGAAGGATGATACCGCCCACGACGACATCACCCGTGAGCATGTCACGCTGTTGCATAAGATCATGAGAGAGGAACTGGGCGATATCATCCAGCTTCGCGGTGACTATTTCAAGAACCGAGCTGTTGCTTTCGACCACGTCTGGACATTGTTCCCTCCTGGATGTACTGTCTTGGGTTCACTCAAGGGAAAGCCTGTTGCCGTCCGCTTTGACTCAGGCCATTACGCAAAAACTCAATGTGGCATGGCCTATATCCTGAGCTGCAAGTGCGTTGACTGGGACGGTAAGAGCATGGGCTGGCTTTCCGTCGACATGCCCATCAGAGCCTTCCCCGGCACAGTTCCCTTCTCTCAACTATCCTGCTACCCTCTCGAGTACCACCCCCAGCCCGAAGTCGCCCGAAACTTACTGCGCGAGCGTGGCCGCAGGTTCGAGGAACTCGCGGACTACTGCTACAAGGCTTATAGCGGCACTGCCGTTTGGTACGTCAGCTCCGAAAAGTCACGAAAAGAGACTGTCAACTCGCGCATTGTCATCGACGGAGCGAACTGGGAGAAGTGCAACCCCGATCACCTTGTCTATATCGAATACTTTAACAATGATGTCACGGTCGTGGACCCTGATGATGACGATGTCGTTGATAAGAGCAAGCGGGCTCCACTGACGGAGGAGCAGCTCATCATGACCTCCCCCATCGTGCGAGGCTATGCTCTCAAGAACAAGCGATGGATGGAGTTTTACATCGACGACGTGACCGAGGTCAAGTTCAACGACAAGGCCTTCGACTCCCTCGTTCTTCCTGAGGACCAGAAGGAGCTTATCCTCGCTTTCGCCCAGAGCCAGGTCAAGTACAAGGATGTCTTCGACGATATCATCTCTGGCAAGGGTAAGGGTATCATCATGCTCTTGTCCGGTGGGCCTGGTATCGGTAAGACGTTGACTGCTGAGTCAGTGGCTGAGGAGATGAAGGTGCCTCTGTATATCATGAGCGCCGGTGATCTAGGCGCTGATGCATTCGACATCGAGGAGAACCTTGGCCGTATTCTCGAAATGGTGGCCAACTGGAACGCCGTGCTCCTTCTCGACGAATGTGACGTCTTCCTCGAGGCTCGCTCGGCCCATGACATCCAGCGCAACCGCATCGTGTCCATCTTCCTTCGCATGCTAGAGTACTACGAGGGAATCCTCTTCCTGACTACCAACCGCGTCAAGGATATGGACCAAGCTTTCCAGAGCCGAATCCACATGTCGCTGGAGTACCCTGCCCTCGACAAGTCCGCCCGGGAGTCTGTGTGGCGAGGATTCCTGAGCCGCGCCATCAGCCTCGATGCCAAGATGGAGGGTGGTGCAGCGCATGAGATCAACGACGAGGAGATCACTTCTTTGGCTGGTCTGGAGCTGAATGGTCGACAGATCAAGAATGTGCTCAAGACAGCCAACCTTTTGGCTTGCCACAAGGGGGAGAAATTGGCGTTCAAGCATCTGCGCATTGTTTTGAGGGTGGAGGGACATTCATTGTAAAGCGCTTGAGAATTGGAGTTTGTTGAAATTAGTCCAGCGATAGTAAGATGTCACATCAGAAGATAGAAATGAATATTATGAAGATCAAACACATGAGAGCTATCTTACAAATCCTGAAATCGATACAGTCTTTTGTCTATATGATCAATTCTAGTCTTCTAGATAGCCTCGACCAGCCCTAAAGCCCAAAATCCCGACCTATACCGCTGCTGTATTTGCCGTTTTCCATACACCGACTCCAATATTGACATTTTTTGTTTGGACAAAAGATAATAGAATAAAAAAGGAAGAAATAGTTCGAGAATGATTAGACACCCATTCTATCGGTGGCGAACTTCTTTCAAGTTCCTCTTGGTCGCAATTAATTGGATCTCACGAGCCAATTCAATAATACATTCTCCTGGTGGTAATCTCCACGCCAATACTCCTTGAACCTCAGCATTCCAGTCCAAAGGCTCACCCGTGCACAAGTCCTGGAAGATAAGGTGGACGATATTCTCAAACTGCCGGAAGTATTGAGAAGGGAAGGTATCTCGATATCTGGCCAATATATTCGCGATCAGTCTCACTTGGTCGTTGGATAAGTGAGCCACGCCATCGGCCCTCTTTTGGAGGAATTTACCCATGTACTTGACGGCGCTGGCGTTTGGATTGAAGCAATGTATATCGGAGCAGCCCACCCGAGAATCTTGGTGGTCCCTGGTGCATGTTGTGAACTCCGTGTTGATGCCTAGTTCCGGAATAGGCCGCTTGTTGCACCTTGCCCAAAGCGTACATGTGCGAGGTGCCTCACACCAGCATCCATTGGGACGTCTTTGAGGCCAGACATGGACGTGGTAGCGCTGGGTGGCCGATTCGTGAGGCGGTGCGTGGCCTTCTCTCTTCCGTTGTAGGAGGTGATGAATACCCTCTGTGATGTCCCTGCAGAGAAGAGATCGGCTGAACCTTTCGGTCGCCATCCCACGCGTTGTCATCGAAGGAGCGGGCATGATGGAGTTTAGGAAGATGTGTATAGGAGGGAAGTAGAGAAGAAATAGTGTATGGTTTGGGGTTAGGAGAAGGAAATTGACCGGAATGGGAGGTGCGGACTCTTTTATAGACAGCCTGAAGGACATTTCGATTTAACAAACTGTATGAGAGTTTTATGAGGAGTCAGTTATACTCTAGCAAGAATATGTCCTTAAAGAATTCTTTTAGACGCTGTTACGATCGTACAAAGGACTGGCTTGGAATTAGTGAGGCTGCCGAAAGTCTACCCGGATACAAATTTGGAACGGTGAGCCTTGGAAGAAGGTTTGCTATAGTGACTTTGAATAAAGGAAGGCAGATTAAATACTACGTAGAATGTTTTGATGGTGTCAACAGAATCCAGTGCTTTGAAGAATAATCTAAGTCAAAATGCGAGCTCTCGACCACACCAACAATCACGAACACCACACACAACTTGGGTCTACAAATTCTCTACACATTTATATGAATAGAGCAATGTTAAATTACTTAAAAAGCTATATAAATGAGGTTCTGCTATCTTCTGTCCAGGCTGCTTTATTACTCATCCAGGCGAAGCAAAGGTAAACTTTAGACAAAGAACCACAGAAGACGAAGAGAAGTCTTGCTTGTTGTTTTGAGATTATCTTCTTCAAGAGAGTCAAATTTGTCTCTGCCCTCACGGTTATCTGGCAGGACAGTTACCAGACTGAGGTTGTCAGACTATAGACGTTGAACCATGAACCAATAGCATGGCGCCATAGCAGCCGAATATATTGTGCTCAACGACCCCGCCTCAGCTTTATCAGCAAGTTAAACTCCAACAGCAAATTAAAACTTCCATAACTCTACGCAAGAGAGTTCTTTTAATACCTCAGAAATATCTGCCGTACAAAACTTGTACAACGCGTGAAAATGGCAGAGTTTCAGCCCAAAAGCATCCTCATTTTCGGAGCAACAGGCACTATTGGCCGATACATCACCAACGCCATCGTCAATGCTCAGCCAGGGTTCGACCAAGTCGCCATCTTCACTTCTGAGAACACAGTGTCTAATAAACCGGATTTTATCAATGACCTCAAATCCAAGAACGTCAAAATCGTCATAGGAGACGTCAGCAACGAGGATGACGTAAAGAAGGCATACCAAGGCGTTGACACTGTCATCAGCGCTGTGGGAAGAAACGTCATCGAGAAGCAAATCGACCTTTTCAGAATCGCTGCTCAATCTGGTTCTGTGAAGTGGTTCTTCCCGTCTGAGTATGGCACAGATATCGAGTATGGTCCTGAGAGCGCCAATGAGAAGCCTCACCAGCTTAAGCTCAAGGTGCGCAAGTACATCCGGGAAAATGCAAATGGCCTCAAGCATACCTTTTTGGTTACTGGTCCATATATTGATATGTACTTTACCCTTTCACCTGAGGTTGTTGAGGCTGGAGGATTCGATCATGAAAACAAAAAAGCAGTTTTGATTGATAATGGCGAAGGCAAGATCGGCTTCACCACCATGCCCGAGTAAGTTCCGATAACCAGTATAGAGTTGGTAATGTCTTATCTGACTTTCTCCAGTGTTGGCAAAGCTGTAGTAGCAGCGCTCCGCCACCCAGCAGAGTCATTCAACAAAGCCCTCAAAGTCCAATCCTTTGTCGTCACTCCCAAGCAGATCCTCAAAGAGTTTGAAAAACAAACCGGAGGTGAACCATGGAATGTTTCAAGCTACACGCTCGACGAGTTGAAGGAGGCTGAGAAGAAAGGATGGGCTGAAGGGAACCCAAAGGCTGTTTCATATACACTTCGAAGAATCTGGTCTGAGGGAGGTACACTGTACGAAAAGACGGATAACGAGAGTATTGGACTCAAGGATGAGGATCTGGAGACTCTTGAGGATTCGGTGAGAAGAGGGCTTACAACTGGTTACTGATTGGTTAGTTGTATAAGGTAGTATCCGGTTAGATGGGAGCCATATGGTAACCTTTATATAAGTAGACCTTAGTATGCCAGTATCGCTTTCTCACTCGTAATGAAGATGATAGGTTCACGGATACAAATTCATGTAACGACAACTGGACTATAGTAAAAATTCTTACTTTGACTGTCCCAAATGCCACAAATACAAGTCCCTTCCGCCCTCCAACATCAAGATACAAGCAATGAGAAGGTGAAAATCCGCACAGGATAAAAGACCGCTTTGGTGTTGCACTTTGAGTAACCAATTTCATTTCTCGTCATATCTCGATAAACGTCCTTGTCCAAAACGCTTCACGCCCCCTGTCCCCGGAGATAATAATTTGGCCCACGAGGCCATGTCCACTCAAGATCGGCCAGAGGGTTACGAGGAATCCAGTCAGGCATGTATTCACCCCATCCCCAGTAATTGCCAGCTCCCATTGGATGATCCGCGCACTTACGGATCTGCGAGGGGTCGACACCTTCAGGTAGATCGCTGGGATCCCAGGTCATAGCACCCAGACGACCGCATTCCTTTTCGGCGCCGGGCCATTGATCAGCCAAGGCCGTTGCGCTGAGAGCGGCTGTGAGGAGGATTTGGACCTTCATTTGGATTGGCCTGTGCTGTATTAGCTTGTGTCCTGAGGACGTCAAGAGGAACTCACTCAGAAGGTATTTAGTAGTGGCGATGAAATAGTTAAGCTGATTGATAGTTTACGGTTATAGTGGGTGGGAATCATACTTATTTAATAGCGGTAAACAACCCTCTACGTGTCTTGTCCTAACGTGGCACTTTGCCCAGTCGGCGAAAAACTCCCCGCTGGCTGTCAGAAATTGGTTATTGCTTACGCGGGTTTCTGATCCTTCGCTCAGGCTAGACCTGAGCTGGTTCAACACCGTAGACTCACCTAGGTTTCGGCTAAATGGAAACATCACAGAACTAGGGTTGCCAAGGACGTTATCTGTCCTTTCAATGAATAGCCTCGCTTTTGCCTCGCAGTGAAATTGGAAAGGATCTGTGTAACAAGGGACTTTTGTCAGAATTCTTTTATTCGAATGTCAGTTCAGGGGATGTATTAGTATTAAGCGAAAGAAATCGTGTCATGGTCCGAGGACATGGATCAACTGCGCCTCAAAAGACGGCGCATGCATTCTTCCCCTGCATCAAAGACAAACAGAGAAGGAAATGGTTGGGTGCAGTACGTGTATCAGAATCCAGAGACGGGATAGTTTGAACTACTAGCCAGTCATAAGTTGGCTGACAGAAGCATATTGCACGTCGATTTAAGGCTGATGGAACGTTGACAGGGGTCGTTGGATTTGAGATATCTGCCCAAGGACATGGAACTACCTAAATGAGATATAATTAGTTGAAGACAAGTATGATTGTAGTAGAATCTGATGATACGTAAGCTAGTATCGATCTGATGTATCTGTCACGAGTTCATCGTAAATGCAAATAAATCCCGTATAATTCGTGAAGAACCTTACGTCTACTTCTTAACCAGCGTTACATATTAAGGCTATTTCCACGCAACTGAAACCTTGGTAGGATATATCATGTCAGGAACAACAGAAAGGGCTTATACTATGCTTGGCAATTAGTACTTGGTCTCACCCAAACGAACAAGATATGCAAAATCAAAACCGGCAGAGTAGTTTCAACCTTAGCTACATGGCTTCCTCCCACGAGCAAGAAATAGTTGTTGTGTCCCACCAACTTCCCCCGGGACTTGCGACGGCGCCGAGGTCCATTTGTATGACCAGTCCTCAAGCCCAGCTTTCTCATACGCCCCCTTGATATCGTTCTCTGCAAAACCCATTCTGCTCAAACTTCCATTGGAGATATCCATCGCTCTTATGCCATTCTGGAGGCTACTTTGATTAGATTGGGCAACCCAATCAACGATAAGCAAGATACCTCCCGGTCGGAGTCTTTTGGAGAGTTGTAAGATCATGTTCTCGTAGTTTTCAATATGATGCAGAGCCATACACATAACAACTAAATCAAAGTTGAAAAACGCAGCTGTGTCTAGTTCCACAGAAGGCGTTAGTTCAGGGTCGATAAGGTCGCCCTGCACAGCTTGCATTTTCGTCGGTGTATATCCCGCTTTCAAAGCCATGGTGTTGTACTGCTCTACCATGCCAGATGATATATCCATGCCTCTAACTGTAGACATGAAAGGTGCAAGTGCCTAAGCGAGTCAGCGATCTGTTCAAGATTTCGAGGGCCAGAGCTGGTCTCACGCGTGATGCTACACCATTGCCGCAAGCATAATCTAGCATCTTTGTAGGTTTTGAAGCGGGCGGCTTGATACCAATCCAGTCTATGTTTAGGCGAAGTTCTTTTGATATTTGGTTGCATAGTTCAATAATCCGTGGCCACTGAAACGTCCCGGGAGGAACTCTACTACACACGAATTAGCAACCAAGGACATACATATCAGTAAGTAAAAGAGGGAAGTACTTGTAATGTGATTTGTTCTGTTCTCCCATCGATCTTGGGACATCGTGAGACGGACCATGGTGGTGGTGGTGCGTATGGTACTGCAGATGATGATGGTGGTGATGACAATGGGGGACATCCTCGATGGCTTCGTGTTCCATCGTTTCAGTTGAGTATATCAGGCTTTCAGTCACTTATATATACAATAGATAACTCTCTAGAGGGAACGATTGTAGAAAAAGGGTTCGTGAATGAATTTGGAATGCTACCCAGGTAAGAAGAAAAGGGTCAGTAGGCGAGAACCCTGATGGCCTCTGACATCAGGCTGTCAAAATCCACAATGCATGAACATTAAACGCAGTTAATTGATGGGATTCTGAAATGAGATTTATGATCAAATAATTTCTTCTTTGTTATACTTAATCTTAGACTAGAGCTTTATGGTGAGTGCTTTTTGTTTTCCATTCCTTGGACCTCGATATATCAAGACTTGGTGTAAGGATATGAAAGGGTATTCTAAAGTGCTGCCTGAGAGAAAAAGAAGTGTATTTAAAATACCATAAACTATTTATGAGTATCCAGCCCTTTGATAAACATTTTTTCAACACGCAGGCTCGTCTCAAAATGCGGTCTAGCAACTGGCTCAGCAATATGTCGCTAATGATCAATGCTCGCAGAAATTCCATTCCATCCGCTGAAACGTTGACTCCTCCGCATCCTTGAACGAAGTCCTCTCCTTCATCAAATCCAAACGCATCTCCTTCGCCTTATCCAGATTCATCGGCCACTCCATAGAATCAGTCACCTGTTCCACAATCTCAGGCGGCAAAATGCCCCTCCCAGAATCCAGCCCAGACTGATCAGTCCACCAGTGCTTCTGCTGCGGCGGGACATTGGAAGTGCTGATGACTGGAATCGCTGGGTCCACGAGGAACAGCGCGAGGATCTTTCTGTGGCCTGGCTTTGTGGGATCTTGCAGCTGGAATCGTGATACTTGATGCTGAAGGACATTGGGGAAGAAGAGTGCTCTGTTGGGCTTGGTGTGGACGGAACCAATGTCCTGAAAGATACTCCCTTGAAGATCGATGGCGAATGTGCGCTCAATGGGTTCGTGTCTGTTCTGTTCGTAGGAGAGCTCAGCGGCTAGGTCCTCTTTATCAGCGCATGTACGGAAGTCAAGGGTGCAATCTGTGATGTTCTCGCTGTCGTAGTAATAGAGAGCAGTGCTGACAATGTGTTCGTTCAAAAGTCCCTCGGTATGCCATGAACCACCGTTGTACATGAACCGTTTGGGTGTGAGGTGGATGTTGGCCAACTTGACGATGACCTGGATTTGTTTCTTTCCATCGAAGAACCATGCTGATTTGATATCTGATGCCTCGATTCTTACGTGATTCTCTGCACTTGGGTCGGCGTCAGGAAGTTTGACGGAATGTGTCGATGCAAACCAAGCTTCGTCAAGTTCTCTCCGCTTCGCGTTCGTTTTGTAGTCCTCGACCTTCTCATCTGCAATCTGGTCCTGAAGTTCACCGTCATCGTCATCACTGTCTTCTCCCTCCTCCTCGAGCACTGCGCCCCAGTAATCGACGTCGTACCTAGGCTCCTCGTCCTCGCCAATTGGACGTCTCCATGGCGCGCATCCATGGCAATCGTTGATGTCACAAAATTCAGGACATGGACATTCTTCGTACTCTGCCTCGTCTGTGGAGAGTCTCTGGACCGAAAAGTCCTTCTCCCAGTTGTATATGGTATCCCACGCCGGCAGAGACTTTTTGATGAATTGCTCGATGATAGGATATAGATGAGCGTGTTCTCGTGGATGGAGGTTGTTGATGTAGCTTGCGATCTTGACATCCCCTGTAGAAGGATTGAGGTCCACATCGCATGGCAGCCATTGAAACTTGTTGGAAAGGACAACTGTGCTGGTCTCGCAGAAGCCTCCTCGACCAGTAACATGCAAAGTCTCCCCACTGCCGGGCGCTCGTAGGATATCTCCGGTACCACATGAGTCAAGCGCGTTATCAAGGTTGATAACACGATCTCGAAGTACTCTCGAATGTCCGTACATCAACGGCCAGAGCGAAGGATGGACGAGGTCTAGGACTTGGTTTTTACTGTAAGGATGCCAGTCCTTGGACTCTGGTGGGACATTTTCCAACGGGACGATGGCTTCCTTCAGAGTTTGAGCCAGCTCAGGTGTCAGGATGCTATCGGACTTGATAACGCAGGTAGTAAAGTCGTACACTGGCATCAAGCGCGTTTGTTCATACAAGTCTGCTTTCTTTCGCAGCTCGCTGATACACTGTGGATGTAAGCATCTGAGCATAAATAGTGACGATGAGAGCTTTTCAAACTTACAGCATCGGCCATGGCTGGCGTGAAATCAGCATACTCTCGATACAACTTCCAGTCCATTGCCAATGCTTCTTGCTTCCACTTGTTGGCAATGTCAGAATCTCTGACCTTGAGCCACCAATCTGGCTTGTCGGATAGAGTGTCCACGAGCTTGAGCATACAACTCTCACGGATGAGGAGGGTAGCAGCTCGCCAACCATTTTCATAGTTGTGCTCCATGAACAATAGAGGGAACCGGCTCCCCTCCTTGGGCATGTGGCCAAGTTGCAACCCTAGACCGGGCTTTCGTACCACGTATTTATGCTGCTTGTTCTGTTGAGAATAGTCCGTCAGTAAACATTGGTAGGATTTGAGACTAGCGGAAACTGAATGATACCTCATGATGAGTTTGGTTGTCATATATGCATTTGGCTCTCTTTGTCAGCAGATGAATCTCTGAAGCTGAGAACATGTGGAGGTCCAGGTTGTTGGTCCCGGTGATCCAATGCTTGGCCTTAAGTCCTGATGGGTTATTAGGCCCAACCCATTCGTTAAAGGCGTCCAATTGTGCTTGGGTGAGCTTGGACACTGCTTGGCTTTTCGACAACTCCTCCTCTTCATCTGGGTCAAGGGATAAGAGCTCTAAATCTGGTATGGAATCCATAGTGAGGTGCTCAAGTAAGTAGAGAACAACTGATGAACGTTTACTTTGACGATGTTTCTCTGCCGATACTTATATGTCGTCGCCGTGAGTCCCACCAAGGTGTAATTGGCGTAAAAGGTTCGGTAGCTGCCTAACATTCTAATTGGAAAGTACCGAGATCGGATGCTTTGCCCAGGCATTAGTGGGAATAAGCTCCATTAGCGCGGACATGCCCTTGTTAACTACGAATTTCCCCATCAGGGGACTCTACATTAATCAATCTTTTACCTTTTCTTGAAGACCCGATGGTTAGGCTGGACAGGACTTAGGCTACAGCTGCGTACAAGCTCTGGTCATGAGGTAACAGAAGATAGATATATCAAGTTCTCCATTAAAGATTAAGATGTAGAGTGTATCATGATTCGAAGAATTTCAATAAGGCTTGAATGAGATTCAATTGGAAACATGAAGACATAATGGAAATCACATAATATTTTCAAGCTAGATAATGTTAAAGATGAGGGATACACACCTACGCAGTTAGGTCCGAGAAGGTCAGTTCAAAAACATAGAGTGTTTGACGAACCTACAGCCTCTAGGGTCCATTATGGGGCTATTTGGTTCAATATTCTGGTCTGTTTTGTCTGTCATTTACGGCATGTGCCTTTGTTCAAACAAAACACAAGGGACAAGTCCTGTGCCAAGTATGAATACGCTTAAGGATAGACTCTTGACAAGGAAACCCCCCTGCACTTCAAGTTCATCTGTAATTGTTAGCTCCAGATAGTTGTAACAAAACATGTATTCAATTAGGTGTTTTGTATATCATGATCGCTAGGACTAACGAACAAAGCCATCACCCAACACTCAACCGATCTTACTACAGGGTCGTTGTTCCGTTTGAACAATAAGCATATTTCTTGTACAACGAACAATGCTATGCAATGGGAATTAGATGATGCTAAGACCATGTATTTAACATGCGAAAAGAGATTTAGATCTTACACTTTTAATCATTGCCCTCCACATCCCGCTTCTCCTTCTGCTTCTCACTTTATATATATATATACACCACAGTCCAATCAAGCAGCCTCTCACCATGTGTCGCCTCGTCGAACTTGAGTATGCCTGTTCCACCGACGAGACTCCCCATCGTCTACGCACCGAGGCAGTTTTCCAATGCAACGACCCTTTTGGTTGTCTGGCAGAGGAGATTGTATTGCGCAAACCTGGATCAGAGGCTGACCTTGCCGCAGCAAAAACCCAAGAGAAGGAATTTACTATCATGAAAATCGGCGGTGATTGCAACGAGTGCGCCGAGAGAAAGACCAATATCTTGGCAAATGAGGAGCGAATTTTCCAGGAGATGAAGGGGGAGATACAAGAGATAGAGAAACAGTTGGAACGTCCTTGTCGCAAGACTCTGCGACGATCTAAGCGTATGTGTCGGTCCGAGGAAAGCATTTCACTGTACAAGTTACGCGAGCCTAGGGCTACATACAAGCCAGAAGCCACCTGTTCTTCAGGATCTTGCACAAGACCTGTCCATGTCGCTCACGATGGTCGTCAAGGTATGTTTTGTGAGAAGCACACGTGCTCTGCTGTCAACTTGGGTTGTCTTCTGGATGTGTCTACCCCTCGAAACAGTTCTCAATACTCCATCTACTGCCCTTTGCATGCTTGCAGCAGACTTGGCTGTGGCTTGAAGATTGCAGACCAGGATACTGTCTTCTGCAAGAGGCACGACTGGCAGTTCGAGGTTGCCACATGTACTCAGTGGTATGCACGACAGGGTGGTGGGTATGGCCAGGCACCGTTTGGTATTTTGGACTCTCACATGCACAGAGTTTAGAAAGAAGTTGGGATTTTGATATGATCGCGGACGGATGGATGCATCTGACAGGTTCAGGGTCTAGACTGGGTTATTGGTTTTCATGCTCACTGTGAGATATACTAAACTAGATCAACTTTGTAAGTTTGTCGAGTTTTCAAGATGAATAAATGGTTCAGGGCTTTTTCTTTATAAAACAGATGGAAATTCACTAAAGAACGTACGAGCTATTGCTTGTGAATATATATGCATGTAAACTTGGATATCTCTTAGTAAAAGTGTCTTGTGCACCCATTGTTGTTGGCCAAGGCTGACAAGCTTCAGTGTTCCCATTCAAGGTGTAATAATTTAAACACACGAAACTTTTGAATAGAAGTACTCAATCTTTTACCCTCCAACACAAGGCTGATCTCGTGATAATCATATTGTACTTCGACTGTGTTCCGTCATGGATAGGCTGACTCTAGGAGCCAATTCTCAAGCCCTGGTAAAGATACGTTGTTTGAAAATGCTTTCATTGTTCTCATATATATCCCTAAACTCCCAGTTCCTTTTCCAGAGTTCCCAGCCTCACAATTCCCACCAAGTAGATCCTATCCACCCAGTCCATTTTCAGATTCCATTTTCACTTCCAAGCCCTTTATGAAGTCTCCTTCTTCTCCTCACTCTTCTCGCCGTCCTCAATCTCAACCGTCTCAACAGCAGCACTCAGTCCACCCTCTTCCTGGTTCTCATCCTCCATCTTCTTCGCAGTCGAGAGGAAGTACTCTGCCACTTCGTTCTTGTGGTTGAAGTAGGCGAGATCAAGAGGAACGTAGTTCTGCTCGTTTGCCAGCGCGGGAGAAGCGCCTTGCTCGAGGAGCAGCTTGATGACGTCGAGGTGACCGCCTAGGGCTGCCCAGTGCATACCGGTGTTTCCAGCCTCGTTTGACTCGTCTAGGAAAGCTTGCTTCTGTTCCTTTGGTCGGTTGTCAAAGTACTGGATGAGTTGTCTGACGATTTCTGCAGGGTGTTAGTTTGATATTACCAGACAAAACAAAACTCAGAATCTCAAGCCTATAATTTCCATAAAACTCTAGATCATCTAATTTGCGTGAACATACCTAGATGGCCGTTTCCTGTCGCCATGTGCAAACATGTAGATTTGTTGGAGGCATCCTGGGCAGCCGCAACAATCTCAGCAGGGCTGGCGTTCTCTCGCTCAGTAAGAATCTTGATAGCCTCGGTCAGATCCTCCTGCTCTCCAGCTCGGGAAAAGTAAATGAGATCATCGATCTCGTCTTCTGTGAGTTTAGGTGCCATGATGATGCGCTTGGTGATGTTTTCATGCCAGAAATGTAAAATTTTGTAAAGATGAGGGGACTGTGTGGGTTAGTACCCCGCTATTTTCGCACAGTATGGGGATGGGTCAGTGCAGGGTAGGCAGCTTGGTTTATTAGATAGTACCTATGAAAATAGCATAGGTTTATTAGGTAACTAGATAACCTATAGGATAACCTAAAGCTACCTAAATAAGTAAAAAAAAAAGTAATTAATAAATTAAAGAGAATTACCTATAAATAAAGAATTTCTTTTTATTAATTATTTTAAACTTATTATTAATAATATTCTTTACCTTTCTTACTAATCCTTACTATATTTTTTTTATAACTTATTACCTTATCTTTAATTAATAGATTATAAACCTAGCTTTTATATAATTAATATAATAATATAATTACTAGCTTTTAAAGTTATTTATTAATTTCTATTTTATAATAATATTAATTATAATTTAAGGTTATTATTATATCTTTTTTAATAAATAAAGAAAAGCTTTTTAGCCTAAGTAATAATAATAGTAAAGGAAAGAATATTAATAATATTCTTATTAACCTAAATAAATAAAAAATTAAAGATATATATAATCTTAAGGATTTAAAACTTTACTTACTATATAAATAGTTCTTAAAAGGATATAAATAATAACTAGCTTAAAAGTAATATATTACTATCTTTATTATTATAGTTAGTATATAAAAAGGTATTAACTTTTTATTATAAAAAGAAAGTTACTTTCTTACCTAAATATAAACTATAGTTATAGATTTTATAATTAACTTTTTATTATTATTTATAAATAGAAATAATACTTAAAAGGTATTTATTAAATAATTTAATAGTATTACTATATAAAATAAGGTTAATATTTAATTTAATTTCCTTACCTTAAAACTTAAAAAGGTTAAAAATATAATAAGTTATATTAATAAGTTCTGCCTTTTTATATTAAAATATATTATTATTAAAGGAAATATTTTTATTATAATACTTTAAGAAATATTTATTTTAAATATAAAAAATATATATAATAACTAGGTTATTTATATATAGTTTATATAGAAAATAATTATATTAAATATATTAATAATTACCTTTTAAAATAATATTATTAATAAGTTAAATTAACTTTAATAATAAAAAAAAGGAAGAAAAATAATAAACCTAATATAAAAAAAAAATTTAATAATACCTTAATAAATACTTAGTTTAATAATAATATATAATAATTATAATAATAATAATCTTAATAACCTTAATAAAGGTAATATTAAAAAAAAGACTTTTTAAAATATATTTATTACTTATATAAATAAAAAGGCTATATTAAGTATTAATACCTAAAGGAAAATAAAGGTAATTTTAATAAAAAGTTAGTAAACTACCTTTATAATAGGAATAAATCTGATTATAATTATATTACCTTAATCGGTAATAATAATAATACCTAGTAAAAGAATATCTTTACTTATTAATTAGGAAAAAATATAATTAATATTATTATAATAGTTTATAATTACTTAATATAATTAAAGATAAAGGTTATAAAGGTTATTTTAAGATTAGTTAATAATATTAAGGTATATAATTAAATTATATTTATTAAAAAGGAAGATAATAATAAGTTATATAATACCTTACTTTAAAATAAAGCTATTTTTAATACTAATTTAGATTATATAACCGGTAATTTATAATATTATAATTTTATAATTTATAGTTATTTTATAAAATTAATACTATATTATAAGAAAGACTATTAACTATAGGATTTAAAAAGTAATCTTTATATTATTAATAATAAAAAGTAATATTATAATAATAAATATATTAAACTTAATAAGACTATTCTAATTATAATTAGAGGAGGGGTTATATACCTTACTGTAGTTAAAAATATATCTATTACTATTTATAATAGGAATTTAAATACTATAATCTTCTTTATATATACCGTTTTAATTAAAGAATTTCCTTTTAATATCTTTAGTGGTAAAAGATTATACCTTAATAAAGAATATATTAATAAAAATAATATTTATAATAAAAATAGTAAAGTCTTTATTATTATTAATATAAAATCTTATGGTTTTATATTTTAAATTATTAAAAAAGTTATTAAAAGTTAAGTATAGAAAAAAGTAATATTAATAACCTATAAAATATAATAAATTAAGTTATAATATAAAAAACTTATTTATAATAACTATAAAATAGTTAATTAAATATTAAAAGTAATAACTAAAGATATTATTTCTATATAATTAGTTAAGTTATTTTATAATTTTTATAAACTTATTAAAAGTATAAAATATATTTTAAAAAAACTAAAAAAAAGATTATTAAAGTCTTTATAATTAATATATTTTAATCTATATAAATTTAAATTATTATTACTAAAGGGCTATTATATTATACTTTTAGTAAGTAATAATAAGTCTAGATAAAAAAAGATTTAATTACTTTACTATAAAGGAGAAATATTAACTATAATTAAGTTATTTAAGAATAAGTAAATAAAGATAATAAAAAAAGTAATACCTAAGGAATTATAATTTAATAAAGAAAAAGAATTTATTAATTTCTATACTAAATATAAATATATAACTACCGGTATATATATTATTATAAGTTTTTTTTATAACTATAAATAAAATAGCCTTATTAAATAATTATATTATATAATATTAAAGAAAGTTTATATTATAATAATTAAAGTTAATATCCCTTTTAAGTTTTAAGGGGAGATATTTTTTATAACTATATATATACTTAATATTATAGTATTAATAATATTAAATTTAAAAATACTATATAAAATTCTCTATAATAACTATATTTTTAATAATAATTAATTAGATATTTTATATTTATATATACTTAATTATAAGGCCTTTATTTATATTAAACTAGAGAAAAGGGTAAAGTTAGAAAAGACTATTACCTACGGTTAGGAAGGTATCCTTATTAAATACTAAGGTAATTACCTCTATAAGATTTATAATTTAAAGAAAAAAAAAGTAATTATAATTTTATATATTATATTTTATAAAAAAGTTTCCTTTTTTATTAATTATAATATTATTAAATTATAACCTTTTAGTATATTTAAATTAAAAAACTTACCTAAAGAATTTAAAATCTAAGAGATTAATTATAAACCGGAAAATAAAGTTATTATAATATATATATAAAAATATATTAATTTAATAAATATAACTATAGCTTTTATATAAAATAATAGCCCTCTTTAAAGAAAAGGATATTATATTAAGATTAAGTTACTATTTAATAGTAACTATATTAATTTTATACCTAAATCCTTTATTCCCTAAGGAAAAAAACTAATTATAATAAAATAGGTATTAAAATATAAAAAAAATAAAAAAGGAAATATTAAATAATAAAAAGGTAGGATTATTATATATAGATTTAAATAATATAAAGGTATTAATTATATTAAGACCTTTATATTAATTATAAGATTTACCTCTTAGAAAATAATCCTTACTTTCTTTATATAATATAATTAAAAAATTACTTAAGTTAATATTATTATTACTTATTTATAAAAAAACCTAAATAAAGAGATTTATATAAAATTATTTAACTTTCTTAATAACTTTTTTTATAATCCTTACTTTTATTATTATATAAAAAAGTATAATTATATTAATAATTATATTATCCTCCTTAGCTAAGTAATTTATAGCCTAAAGTAAAATAGTTATTAATAGTAAAAGAAATTATATAAAGAAATAAAAAAAATTAATATAAAGTAATTAAAGTTTAATACTATTATATATCTAAATTAAGTATATAGAATTATTACCTTATTATATATTAATAACCTTTTTATAAATATACTTAATAATAAAATAATTATTATTTATTATAATAAATTAAGTAATAATCTTAAGATTAAAAGAATAGGTTTTCCTTAATTATTCCTTAATATTATTCTTTAAGATAATAATAATAGTATTATATTATATTAAAATAAATATATAAAGGGAATCCTTAATATATTTAATATAATATACTATAACTTAATAAATATATTAATAAAACTAAATAGCTATTAAGAAGTAATACTTAAGAAAATAATAATAACCTTATTATAAATAAAAAAAAGATATACCTTATTAATTAGTAAAGTTAATTATTTAATTATATAAACTTAACTAAATTTAATATTTATTAATAGCCTATAGGTAAGACTTTTATCTAACTTAATAAAGATATAATTTACCTATATAAAATAATTTCTATATTATATATAAAAAAGCTACTTTCTTAATATTAAATATATTAAATCCTTATTAAAGGTATAAAAAAAATATAATAATCCTTATAGTTTATATACTTACTATAATTTTAACTATATTATAAATCTTAATACTTTTAAGTTAGTTATAAAATATATATTTATTATAAATAGTAGTATTATTTTTTAATTAAATAAAAGGTAATTTATAGTAATTAAATTAATAGCTAAAATAGAATATTATACCTTATTAATAGCTATAAATAAAGCTATTTAGATTTATACTTTTTTAAAGAAACTTAATAAGCCTTTTATAAATCCTATAGTAATTTATAATAATAATAAAAGTATAAAAAAACTTATATATAATCTAGAATATTATAATAAAATAAAATATATTAAAATATATTATTACTTTATATAAAAAATAATTAATAATAACCTTATTAAGGTAATATATATACTTAATATAGGTAATATAATAAATAGCTTTATAAAGCTATTAATTAAAGTAAAATATTAAGAATTTATAAAACTTATTAAAATAAATAATTTATAATACCTTTATATTAAGAAAAAAAAGTCCTTTAGTTAATAAGGAAATATTAAATAGTATCTATAAAAATAATATAGATTTATTAGGTAATTAAATAATCTATAAAATAACCTAAAACTACCTAAATAAATAAAAAAGGAAATAGTTAGTAAATTAAAGGGAATTACCTATAAATAAAGAATTCCTTCCTATTAGTTATCTTAGACTTATTATTAATAATATTCCTTACCTTTCTTACTAATCCCTACCGTATTTTCTTCTATAACTTACCGCCCTGCCTTTAACCAATATGGTTAATCACGGTCCGTTATTAACGATAACAGATCTATGGTACTAACAAGTTATAATAATGGCATTATTGTGCATAGTAAGAGAATAAAGGGAGCTTATTTAAGCCGTATCTGACCAAGACTCAGATCGAGTCACTTATGAGTGCCTCACCAATCTCGCCATCAAGCCATGAAAACAAATCCCCAGACTCATCGAGCCATTCTATTTCTGCCTTCACCCCAAGTGTTAGCATCAACTGCAGCTCTCTTCTCATCTCCGACACTTCAACATCATTCCCGGAGATGTTCTCCATCTTCTTGAGGGTCGAGATTGCTGCAGCCCTTTCCCTTGCGCTCAAGTATGAGACGGGATCTCGACACGATGTTGATGTTATGGATACTCGTGAAGATTGGCTGACAGAGTCGGAGCTGATGGGCAAAGCGCCAGTGTAATCACGAAAGAGATGATTTGACTTGACTCCGAGCCACTGCAACGTTTGTGTACTGATGCCAGTTTCGTGACTGAGTCTCTCGGATCCGTATCGGTAGCATCGCAGGATCTTGACACCGTCAGGGTCGTAGTCGAATAGTCCTAGAATTGGCAACTGGGGGTGTCTCATATGGACGAAGTTTAGAAAGGCTCGAGTAGTCAAGTCAGGATATCCTTTGGCCTGCTTCAGTGAGCTTATGTTTTTAATAACGTTGGTGGTGAGTATGTACAGTGATAAGCACACCAGGGCCGGACAAAGAAGTTCTCCAGAATTGGGAAGAACAGAGGGATCGAAAGACAGCCTAAAGTTGTTAGATTTACCACGGTGAATGGTTGGAAAGCCTCACGTCCTTTTCCACGACCAGAACCTAATTGATATCGTGGATGTCGACGCCAGAGATTGACTGACTGGTCGGAATGGCAACTCCCTACATCCCTCAGCACCAAGTCAATGGTAAAATATAAAAGGCTTACCATGTCCCCGGAGCAAGGGTCCAGAGAACTCCCATCGTTGAGTCGTATGATCAATGGCCCGGCAAGGACGCCCTTTGATGCTGCCACCTGTTACAGTTAATAGAGGCACTGGAGTGCATATATGACAAGGCGCACAATGTTCAAGTTTCCGCGACTGACACCCATGTTGAATGCAATGTCGTCCACAAGATCATCCACTTGGCTTTGCTTATCGAACAAATTCTGGTGTTGGTAGAAAATGTGGCTGCATGAGAGCATCAGTATCCCTCCTGCATCCGAGCCAAGCACCAACGAACCGCTTGGTCAACACTGTACCAGATACCAAAGCATCATGGGACAGCTGGAGAATGACTAGAATGCGCGCTGTAACAGGTCAGCCAAGCAGCATGCAGCAATCGCATGATCCTACCAAACTTGACCGATTCCTGTAAGTTGCGGCCAGGGTAACGAATCATCTCTGGTTGTGCACTTGTAGAACGGCGAGATCTCCGAGAAGTATGCGCAATTGCTAGCTCTTCGCCCGTATGCAGGGCGTCAACGATGTGCATGAGAATGTTCTCAATGCGAGCCACAACGCTCCCAACGCTGGCATTGCTTGTCGTATTCGTATCAGCACGCTCGTTTCCTGGTGCCTCTAATGCGATGTTGACTCCCCGATAGGTTAGTTCTGGTGTAGCATTTTCTTGAGAAAGATTCTCGTCTTCATCCATATTTTCTTGAAGCTGAGAGACCAATTGACTGCGCTAATGTTTTTGTAAAGCCAGTTCAAGACGTTGTCCGAATACGCCGTTGCAATTTGATGATGTTTGCTTGGGGTTTGTCCAATCCCGTGTATGAATTGATTTTCAGGGGCTTGACCGCTAGGCAGGGACAGCGTCAGGGGAAGCAGGCCAGCGCCGGCAGGTGCCACCGGTGTCCGCGGGCTTTCCATTAGTGTAAATCGTTCTACTCCGGTCCCGGGTTAGTCTCATTAAATAAACTATGGATGTGCTTCTCATTAACTACCGGGGATTCATTCAATATCACCCCACTACTCTTTTCCAATTGACCCCTTGAAAGTTATGTTTTTGCGTCTTCAGACTTCTCCAAAAGATGGTCGCAAACAATAGTGGACGTGAAGTTAGCGCTGTAAAGTCGCGTAAGCGCGCTGCTGACTCTGACTCCGAATCAGAACCGCTGCTAAAGCAGGGTCAACCATTCCCCAAGCAGCCGCGTATCGATTCACAGTTGGACCAGACAAGATGGAGGCTCAAGGACGACGACAGCCGCCACACGTGGCACTACCTCGAGGATGACGATGCTGCAAGGGAATGGCCGCAGAGCTATGCTGAGAAATGGTACTTGAACTTGCCTACGGTACGCTCACCTTTATTGGTCCTCCTGTTGGAATCGCAATTAACATGATGTGTTGTAGGATCTCCCCGACCTTCCCAAGCCTGATAACCCACTGGCGGCTGCCGCGAATGGCCTCGAATTCTTCGAAAAGCTTCAACTTCCCAGTGGCCATTGGGGTTGCGAATATGGAGGCCCAATGTTCCTCCTCCCCAGTCTCGTTATCACCTGGTACGTCACCAGAACACCGATATCTTCAGCGAAAGCGACTGCGATCTACAACTACCTCTCTGCACGAGCCCATCCTGAGGATGGCGGCTGGGGCCTGCATATTGAAGGAGAGAGCAGCGTCTTTGGTACTCTCATGAACTATGTGGCCCTTCGACTTGTTGGCGTGGACCCCGAGGACCCTGTGTTGGTCAGGGCTCGAGGAACCCTTCACAAGATGGGAGGGGCATTATATGCCCCTCATTGGGCTAAATTCTGGATGGCTGTTCTCGGTGTCATGAGCTGGGATGTAGTCAATCCTGTACCACCTGAGATTTGGCTTCTCCCTGATTGGGTAGCCTTTGCGCCCTGGCGATGGTGGATTCACATCCGAATGGTGTTCCTCCCAATGGGCTGGCTATATTCGAAGCGATGGAGTTGCCCAGAGACGGACGTTACTCGATCATTGAAGAAGGAAGTGTTCATTGAAGACTACGCCAAGATCAATTGGACGAGCCACCGCAACAGTATCGGCGTCGTCGATAACTACCATCCCAAGTCATGGCTGCTTAACGTGGCAAATTGGTTAATTGTCAACATCTGGAACCCTTATCTACGACCTAATGTCCTGAAAGAGAAGGCCGAGGCTTGGTCCAGTAAGCAAGTCGATATGGAGGATGCTAACACAGACTATGCTTGCTTAGCACCTGTCAATGCTACCATGAATACAGTCTTGTGCTATGCTCGTGACGGACCTGACAACTATGGCGTCAAGAGACACATTGAGAGGCTTGAGGAGTACATATGGGTCAAGGACGAGGGTATGCTTGTGAACGGTACCAATGGTGTTCAATGCTGGGATACAGCATTCTTAATCCAAGCAGTCTTCGAGGCTGGTCTCCACAACGACGAAAAGTATAAGCCGATGTTGATGAAGTCCCTCCATTACCTGGAGCGACAGCAAATCAGGGAAGACTGTGTCGACCAAGAAGTATGCTACCGTCAACCTCGGAAAGGTGGTTGGCCATTCAGCAACAGGGATCAAGGATACGGTGTCAGCGATTGTATCTCAGAGGCATTGAAAGCCATTATTCTTCTACAGAAGGTTGGAGGTCTTCCTGAGGTTCTCGAAGATCGGAGAATATTCGACGCCGTCGATACCCTCCTTTTGTATCAGAATGAGAATGGCGGTATGTCATCGTACGAGAAGCGACGTGGAGGCGAGTGGCTTGAGATGCTCAATGCTGCTGAGGTGTTCGGTCGCATCATGATCGAGTATGACTACCCCGAATGCACAACAGCTTGCGTCACCGCTCTATCCTTGTTCAACGAGCACTGGCCAGATTACCGCAGCAAAGAAGTCAAAACTGTCATTCGTACAGCCGCCGAATGGATTAAATCTGACCAACGGCCCGATGGTAGCTGGTATGGTAGTTGGGGTATCTGCTTTACGTATGCGGGCATGTTCGCTCTCGAGAGCATGAAGCATATTGGTCAGACATACTCGACAGGCGAGAACTCAAGACGTGGCTGTGATTTCTTCATTTCTAAGCAAAGAGCTGATGGTGGTTGGTCGGAAAGCTACAAGGTATGACATCTGGGGAGACGACTCTGAACTTTATTAACACTTACAGGCCTGCGAAACTATGACATATGTCGAGCACCCTTCAGGATCCCTTGTTGTCCAGACAGCGTGGGCCCTTATCGGGTTGATGGAAGCAGAATACCCTCACGTGGAACCCCTGAGGAGGGGTATTCAGTTTATCATGGACCGTCAACAGGCCAACGGAGAGTGGCTTCAGGAGGCGATCGAAGGCGTCTTCAACAAATCGTGCATGATATCATACCCCAACTACAAGTTTACTTTTACGATCAAAGCCCTAGGAATGTTTGCAAAGAGATTCCCCGAGGAAAAGCTTGTGCCCAGCTGGGCTGTGGGAGCAAATGGATCCGCAGCTAATACTGTCAAGGCGAGTGGTGCTTGAACAGCCGGGTTGAAGGTAAAGGGGGCGAATTCCGATGCTATCTCGGCTGATAGGATAAAGGTTAATGATGTTGAGGAACTCTAGATCATACATGCTGCATGAGCAACGACAGATATGGATGTATAGGAGCCAAGTAGTCGTAATCACCAATTTACAGAGTTCATTGAGCATATCATGGCTTACACATGACAGTCTCTCCATTTCGAACTCTATTGATGACTCCTCGATGTTGAAGTATAAGTAGCCGCTATATTCCCTAGATCGACCTTTTCCGTTCACCACCCTCAACTCGATCGTCACCAAACATCGGGATCCTTCAAACACACTCTTGTTTCTACTTTTATGCTTCTTCTCCCCCCGAAGCCAATAATCATCATGGAAAAGAAAACCCTCGGTCTCATCATCGGAATCAGCGCCCTGTCTGTCGTAGGTGGTGCCCTGACAATCTACCACTGCTGCATCAAGAAGAAGCCCGACGACGGACACAGCCCGTTCTACCCAGGCACCCCAACTCCAGGTACTCCCGCCGGCTCTACCTCTGCCAGCCCCAGACCCTCTCTGACCGTCTTGGAACCAAAGCCTTGGGAACCAAAGTCATGCGAGCCAGTGGCCTAGAGGCAAGATGGCGAGACTCAGCAAAACCGGATCATTGGTCTTCATCGGTATAGTCGGTGGTATCATGATCATCATGTTTCTCTACGCCGTCTACAGAGCTACGCGCAGGCCAATAGACAGAAGCAGGCCTCATTGCTAAGTTCTCCTGTCTTGACCGAACTTCTATCTTTCTTGTTCTTGGAACACCGTCGACAACCTTTGGGTATCTAATTTGTGAGGTGGATCACTGAGGGTTATGGTTAACGATGATTTGAGGAGGAAAGAGGGGAATTGGGAGGGAAGGAGAATTGTATGTCGTTTGGGTGAGAGGCTTGATGATGGAAGGAAAGTTCGTTAGTATTGTTGCAGAGTTGGAAGTCGGGAATTGGTGGAGGTGGAAGAGGTACCTGGTAATTGAGGATGGCAGTCTGAAAGAAGCCTACACTGGTGGAAGAGCAGACCCGCTTGGCGTTGATGGAAGGAACTGGTAGCTAACTTGGTTGCAAGTGCCTGAAGACTCCCTATGATTCTATTCGACAAGTTAGGCTTGGATAGGTTGGCGTTGGCGTTGGCGAATACAAATGCTTTGCTCCTCATGTTTGACGTACTTACACTGGCTTGACTGGACGTGATGGTGAAAGTTATACCAACTTTATACTGCAGCCGGCAAATACCAAACGAGCACGTGGGACTACCAGATGCTTCATAAAGAGTAAATTTCCAGAGAAAGACCAATACCAACACAGACTATCTCTATTCGTTACTTTACTTAAGAGTCATTGGTATAAGTTTTGTGGCTAAACCAGGACAAACCTCATACACCAATGCTGGCTGCTTCTTCGGCCTTGTCGGTATGGATGGAACAGTCATACCAAAGCCAACAAGCTCTGTGGGCCTTTCGTTGTCATTTTTCGGCCCTTTCTATAGCAAGAATTGCAATTTGTCTCAAAGTTCATCTTTTAGCTTCTCATACTGTAAATCATGAGCCATGAGCCATGAGCCATTGACAGGAGCTGCATCATGCCCCACCAAAAGCTTCCAGAACCAACCATTTCCAAATCGGGACCTGTAGCTTCCCACTCCCACTCGCAACTGCTGCCTTGTCTGCTGCACCAACTTAAACATCTCCAAGTGCTCTTCACTCTCGCAATTCTCTCTTCTCCATAACATCGTACTCCACACATACGAACTTCCATCATGTCGCATATCACATTGGCCCAACAAGGCCTCGCTGCCGCCGAAGCGCGCAACTGGGACGAAGCCATAGAGAAGCTCTCAGTTGCCCTCGAGACCTCTCAGAACCCTCTCTGGCTCATCAACCGATCGAAAGCCCTCATCCACCACAAGAAATTCCAAGAGGCCCTCGACGATGCCAACCTCGCATGGCACACTGCGTACGAGCGCAATAAGCGACCGCTCCTCATTGATGCCCAGTACCGTCGTGCTGTCGCCTACTTCCGTCTCGGGCAATATGCCAACGCCGATGCCTGTTGTATCTACGCCATGCGCTTAGTCAAGGGCTTACCTGCCGTAGAGAAACAAGATCCCGCCAGATTGCACACAGACGAGAATGGTTTCTACAAGGTGACGCTGAAAGATGCGCACGAGGAATCCGCTACCGATCCAATCAACCAGCCAAAGGGTGGCGCACTTGCAGTTGGAAGCAATGATGTTCCAAATGCCAAAGACTGGCGCATTGCAAGCACCCTGAGAATGCAAATTCTTTATGCCATGGATAAGCTTCCCGAAGACGACCCGGCACGCAAGCTTACTACAGCTGTGAAGCCCGAACGTAAGGATCTATCGGACCTGGGCACCAAGAAGAATGAGCCTGCCAAAGAGCCAGCCCTTTCTGCAACTCAATCTGCTCCTAAACCAGTCGTTCCAGCCGATACCCCTCTGCGGATACAGGAATTTCAGAACGATGCCAACATGACAGTGTCCATCTTTTCTAAGGGTGTTAACAAGGAGAAGCTTCAAGTTCAATTTACGCCATCTTCTGTCTATCTTGACTCTGTCATTTTGCCCAGTGGGGAGGAGAAGCCTTTCGCAATGAGCTTCTGGGGCCAAATCGACACAGATGCCTCCACATGCAGAGTCACGCCTAACAAGGTTGAGCTGAATCTCAAGAAGGCTACTCCTGGAAAGTGGAAGCAGCTCAAGAGCGAAGACACTGGGGCAGCCCCCAATACTGAGACTGATGAGTATGTAACCCAAGCATTCACAGCAACGACCCATACTGACCGTTATTCTAGAAAGCTCAAGGTCCTGAAAGAGGCTCGCCAGAAAGCTATGGATGCAGCAGACGCCTCGACAAAGGCAGTGCCTGCTGAGGAGAAGCCTACGCCATCCTCCGAAGACAAAGGGAAAGCCCCTGCCGCGCCCCAAGACTCTTCCAAACCAGCTGTCTCATACCCTTCATCTTCTCGTACCGGTCCCAAGGATTGGGACAAGGTTGGCGACGATATCGACTCCGACGAGGAGAAGGATGTCAATGTGTTTTTCAAGAAACTCTTCAAGGGCGCTACACCCGAGCAGCAGCGAGCTATGATGAAGAGCTTCACTGAAAGCAACGGTACTAGCCTGAGCACAGACTGGAGCGATGTCAAGGACCGAAAGGTAGAGACCGTCCCTCCTGAGGGCGTCGAGGCCAAGAAGTGGTAGACGTGTGTTTTCGCAGGATCAAGAGTGATGACTGAAGAGGGATGATTCATGACCCATGATGTTTAATTAGGTTGGGTTCGTTTAGGCGTATCGGAATGTTAATCCGGAAAAGTACTTAGTATTTCAGACTTCAGTTAAACCAATTGAAGCAATTCATGAACATTTGTTCTCGCTATGCTATGCATGTTTCTATGTCTAAGCTTGTCAACAGTTTAATACTTCATAATCTCTCTCTCCCAACTCCACAGCCCCCTTTCTCCTCAAGCCAGCAACCATATCACCAACTTGTCCCTCAACCTTACCAAACCACTTCGACGCCCTCAACTCCTCATCCTCCTTCTCGCGACTCCATTCTTTACCAGCGCGATACTCCGCAGCCAGCTCTTCAGGGACATGAAGCACGCGACTCACTAGATCCTCTCTTGCGATATACGCTCCCCTCAACCATCTCGACCCACCGCCAACATCAAACTGATTCCGTCCATGCATGACCCGCATGTTGTCGAAAAGCACACACTCTCCCGGCTTCATCTTTATCTCGAACATGGCATCGGGGTCGTTGATTAAACCGTCGAACAGTTGGGTCGGTTCAAGCCACGCTCGGGCGTCTACGGCGGGAACCTGGAATTGATTCTGGAACGGCGGACTCCAGTACACCGCCGCCAGGTTTCCATCTTTCCCGACGTCGAAGAGCGATCGCTGCTGGCGGTAGAAGTACCCATGTTTCTCATAATGATACGGGATCTTCACGCGCGCAAGATTCTTCACTGTCGGTGAATTCTGCAGCCAGAGCAATTTCCCTGCGAATAACCCATCGCTGAAAAGCGATTCTCCGCCATTGCACGAGTTCTCCATGCAGTGAAGCAGCTGGATCGCGGGCGGACTCTCAAGATACAGAAGGTCTTGATGGAGTCCCAGATACCCGCTTGTGTATGCTACATTTTCTGCGTCTGGCTTTGCTCGAACGTCGAAGGTACGGCCGTAGAAGGTCTCTTTGATGTTGGCGATGCGTGTGGTGATGTCCACAATCGAGTTCTCGTCTTGCGGCACGTTCTTCAGAAAGACGAGGCCGAGGTTAGATAAATCAAGAAGTGTGTGCCAGAATGCGTCTGAGCCTTTCATGAATTCGTGGTAGTCAATCTTGCGAACGCGGGTCTGAATGGTTGCCCTGTCCCAGAACGTGCGACCTGTTTTAGGATACACGGCGTCTTGTCGAGGATACGGCATCTTTTCTACAGGTGAGTGACCAAGGGCTTTGTCGATTGTTGACCAGGGAAGAATCATCTCGTGATCTTTGTACATATCGTTCTTGAACGAGATGCCCACTCCATCTGAAGCACTGCGGATGCTATCGATAGCGACATCCGAGGGAATAGCCGTCGTGGCAAAGCTCTTTTGTCCAGAAGCCGGGTCGACACAAGTCGTGCATGTACAGCTATCTCGAAGAACAACAGCATCGAGTCTCGTCCAACCGCCATGTTTCTCATCTTGGACATGAATGAAGCGATCACCGCCGGAGATGGAGATGTTGTTATCGCTGGATTTGAGAGTATTTGTTGGCTCAAAGATAGGTGGTGTCTTGAAGCTCTTTGTTGTGAGACTCCGTCGTTGAGTGGGACATTGTGCGTTTTGAAGTCTGGGGTTTGTTCTTTGAGCACTTGCTCGAGACGTTGAGATTCCACGAGGAATTACTCTGCAGCTTTGAGCTGCCAGTCGACGAGGAAACATAGCTTGTAAGTATCTTGGCCGCCTTCGGTCCGAGGTACACTAGGATTCGGGAAACCAAGAGCAAGGCAGCAAACGAGTGATGGTTACAAGATGAGAACAAGGCAGAGCTACTTTTACTTAAATATCATATTCTCTCTACAAGATTGACCACAGCCATCTTACCTCGGCCAAAAGGGAAACATCGCTTCATGTGGGGTTTCTCGGCTCAAACCCCGCGTTACTGGAGCTGGGCCCAGTGATAGCTTCAGTCAGAAGCAAAAATGGGCTCATGAGGTGATGCAGCATGGTCATGACACGGGATTTGCAGTTTCACAGTTCACACGTATGTAATAATTGATAGGATATTGCTCATGTTGTTCATATTCTTGCCTCAGTGAGGTCTTGATTCAGGTTCATAATACATGTCTGTTCTGTAAAGGAATCACAAACGCCTTGTCGCCTGTTGTACATTCAAGAGCAGATTTCCACCAACATACGTAAAATTCGTTAATCAGCGATGCGTCCAAGTCTGGACCCATCATCCTCTGTTGCGGTTGCTCGACCATCGTTTGACCATCACCTCTCTGACCTTGTATAGCTTCAAGGCCTCAGCGACTCCTTGTTCCAGAGCCATCCCGAATTTCGCAGGTGGAGGTACATCCACATACACGAGGACAAGACTCTTGGTGACGTGTGAAAGGACACGCACTGTTCCATGAAGCCACTGCCAAGTCTTTTGAGGGTTCTGTTTTCCAGCCTCTTTCCAAAGAGTATCAGAGTAGGATGGAACAACAATCAGTCCAAACTCGGCGTGGTCAAATACAGGTCCTCGGGTATACAGTAGCCAGTCGACACCAAACTTGATACCTCCACGAGGTACCCAGCCCAGTGACCGGAAATGATGATATACTGCGTAGTGAACGAGGAAGTTGTCATCAGGTTGTAGAGCAGGGTCTTCAGGCTCGACTCGGGGAGGGAAGTAAGAGTTCTGTCGGAAAAGTTTCAAGAGCTCCAAGGATGATAACCGAGAACCCGAAGCAGGATCGGTAACAGTCAAAGCACCCAGACCAAAGCTCAGGAAGAAAGCTTCCTCTGGCATGAGTTGAAGATGCTCCATATTCTTCAGTACCGGTTTGGTAGTAGTCTGCACCAAAGTCTCGTCTTTACGTTCAGGAAGGGCCACAGGTGAAACAGCACGGTTTTCGTCCACTCCATTCGGCTTGGCGTTGGAGAACGATCGCTTGGGACTCGGTGGGTCACCGAAGTGAAACGTGGTCGATTCGACAGTTGGTGAGAAGCGAACGCTCTTGCGGCGCTTCTTGGGCTTCGTGGCATCCTCTTCGTCTGAAGAGTTGGATGAAGAGCTTACAGCGACAGAACCCGCGTCGTTCGCGATGACCCCGTTGGATTGCTCAACACTGGATTCAGTGACGGTGCCGTTGATAAGGGTATCCACTGATAAACCAAGCGCCGAGAGGTGAACACCAGAAATTCCCAGTCCATCCAAACCGGTCTCAGTATCCTCAGCAGCGTCCTCTTTAGCGGCTTCTGTCGCCGAATTGGGCAGTGCTAGAAGCGCGGCAGGGCTCACTGGCGATTCGTAGATGGGTTGAGAAACCGGAAGGTTGACTGGCTTGATAGGCTTTGGCTGGATAATGGTTGCCACCGAGTTAGGCAAGGCCAATAGCGCAGCAGGACTGACCGGGGACTCGTAGGTTGGCAGAGCAGCTGAAAGTGAGACTGGCTTGATAGATCTGGGCTCAGCGATGTCCTTCGACTCTTGAGCGCGCAATTCTCTTTCCTTAGCCACAAAGGCTTTGACTTGTCGTGCCTTGGTTTCTCGCGCCTTCGCTTCTTCAGCTTCCTTAAGTCTGGTTTCCCGAATAGCCTCCTGCTCTAGACGTGCTCGCTCCCACTTGGCGCGCATACGTTCTTCACGTCGTTGCACAGTCATTATCTCGCTGACGTGTGCGTCAGCCAGTCCTTGGCGGACTTGTTCACGCTTGAGCCAATTCGGCTCACTACGACTAAGGCTACCCTTTCCATAGAAGCCTTGCTCCCAGAGGGCTCGGGTAGCGACATCATCTGTGATGTGCACGGATGATGTAGCGGCGGACCATACTCCATTATGCACAACCGAAGGTTCCGCCTTGGGCGGGGACCATAGTTGGCCTAACCACGCATACGCGACATGGAAGAAGGATATGGGGTTGTTCGGATAAAAGGCCGGCAGAGGGAATGTGCGGATCGGCGCCGGGAGGGCGTAGATCTGATGTAAGTTAGGCCCTCGCTGCTGGGACTGCCGTGGACCGGCGGAATCCGTGGTAGGCGGGGCACCAACGGGTTCTGTATTTGATGATTGAGTCTCAGCCATTTCTCGCCGGGGTCATCTTGGTCTTGACGACAAATGTCAGTTGGAATCTCTTGGAAAGGGAGATAAACAAAAGACAAAAGTGTAACGTTGCTCAGATACCGTTGTAGTCTATAATCAGAGCTTCATGGGAGACCAAATGAATGGATTCTCTCGGCATCTTGATATGGTGTCATCACCGCAACGTGACGAAGCTCTAGAGGGAGGCCTCTAGGGGTTGAAGCAAGCAGACGCGCTGCAATGCGATTGTTTCTCTAGGAGAAACATGATAAGGGACAAGAAAGAGAGAAAAGACCTACCTGTCTAGGACGTGACCCAGGCACGATGCTGGCTGGGAATTGATCCTCGCGGCCATTCACAGCAACACACTGCTCAACCTCGAAGGGTGAACAATGTCAATTGCTCAAGTGCGAAGCTCGACCGAGTTGGTTGAAGCTTCCACGGGAGCTTTGAGAGATTTTGTTGTGTTTTTGTGAGGATGATGACAGAGAAGAGAGAATGGAGCAGAAAAGTCGAGGTTTTCTGGAATTGGAGCTCCCCACTTTGATGCCTCGTGCGCAAGGCCAACATCGTCCAGCTTCCCCACTTGCCATGTTGGGTGCGTTCCATCTGATACGAAGCACGTCCACGATAAGACCAAACGTTAAAGTGAAACACCTTTTGTTAACAATAGAATTAGGATGTCTTCGCTCAAATTTACACATGAACTAAGGAATAAATGCTCTAGATCTTCAAAAACTCTTTGATTCGAGTGCTCATAAAATCCGCATCCCCCTTCGGCCCAAATCCACCGCCGGCGAGATGTCCCCATACAGACTCCAAGACTGCAAGCTCCCCATTCTTCAGATATCTTACCTCTTCTTCGCTATCTTCAGGTGGGAAGAAGTTGTCAGTATTGGCTGGAAAGATCAAGCATTTTGCCTTGATCCGTCCCAACGCCTTCCCTAGATCGCCCTCATCCTCAGGATGCAAAACTGTGATATCTCCTTGCTGCCATGTCCACAGCATAGCAAGAAGATCGTTGGCGTCGTGTCCATCAGTCCAGAATGACTGTAGGTAATCATCTAACCTCTTGAAACCCGTCTGCTTCCAAGCCTCCTGGCGAAACCAGCCATTGCTGAGTGCCCGCGCCGCCTGAACCCTTTTAAAAGCCTCGACACCATTCTTGGCCGGCTTCTTGTAGTACCCATCGTGAAAGTCATGGGCTGTGACAAGGGCATAACGTGGCCCTTCCAAAGACATCCAGTTACTCCAACTCGTGCGTGCACTCGTCGACAGTCCAATCATGTTCTCCACGAAGTCAGGATACATGCTGGCCATGTAATACGCTTGCTGGCCGCCCATGCTGTAACCAATGTACGCGAACAGTTTGGAAATACCAAGCTCTTCCGTACAAAAGGCGTACTGGAGGTGAATGTTGTCCTCGTAAGTTGTCTTGGGGAATCTAGGTCCATCAAAAGGAGCTGGTTGATTGGAGGGGGATGATGACTCTCCGCCGCCCAAGAGTCCTACAGCAATGATGAAGGACTTTTCAGGCGATATAACCGCGTCGTTGCCAGTATACAGGAATGGTGTTGTCGTCTCAATTGATCCTAGGAAGGCTGAAGACATAAGGATAGCAGGGTTAGATGGTGAGCCATAAGTTCTGTAGGCCAATTTTGCTGGAAAGCTCTCCCCAGCTAATTCGGAATGGGACGAGAGTGTTATCTCTTTGTGAAAGTAATTTGTTGCAGCCATGGTATTAATATTACTGCTTGTTTGTGTTGCTAGTTCAACGAGTCTACTTGACTGAAATGGCGAGGCATCTTTTATCTTTCATCATAGAGGTGATCCCTCACTCTCGTTCATTACAAATACTTGGTTTGTAAAGCATGAACTGCATTACCCATTAAGCTAACACTACAGAGTATAGCCTGATTACAGAGCATAGAGTGACGACATGAGGCGACCCGACTCTATTATCGTTCCTGTCTAATTGGGCACTCGGGTTAATTATCATCGAACAATTTAAAGCTCGATTATGCAAGAGTGGCCTGTTTTTAATAAGCTAGATCTAAATAGTTCGTTGATCCTAGCCAGATAACTGATGTACCGTTTGTTGTCAGGGTGTATGTAGGGCGTGGTTTACCGCATGCAGTGTCGACCAGGGATCACTTCGAAGTTGCGGGCAGAGTAACTTAAGCCCTTAAAGTATGAAGGTTTCTACATGCTTGTTACTACAAGGTGGCACAGTCAGGTTCTCCAGACAATACCAGACAAGGGCAGCCATCATTGCTCGCAAGGCAATCAATACATGCAATTCATTAACAGCAATCCCTCCCTCAAGCATGCAGAGCCACATGTCAATATGGTTAAGGCTCTCAATTCCAGGCTACTCATCAATTGAACTAGCATAGCGACTCAAGAATATACACAAAGATATTGCCAGTTGAGAATATTGTTGATGATCAACCATTAGCTGCCACATGGATATTACCTTCGTAATACAATAACCCATTCTTTCCTAAAGACTACCTACATATTTAGGGAATCCCTTTATATCCTGAGGCGAATGCATCCCAACAACCTGTGCCGCGCCCTCAATCGGCTTCGACCAAGCAACCCTCCTCTCGATAAACTGCTCCACCTGCGGCCTCAACTTAGTCTCAGCCAAAGAGAGATCATCCACGGTACCAGTGCGCAGGATCGTCAGTCCAGGAAATCGTGCACCGCGGCGATACATGAGAGTGCCGCAGGTCTTGCAGAAGTAGTTGGTCATGGTCGCATTGGCGCGAATGGTCTTCTCTTCGCTGAACGTCGCGAGGTTATCCTCACCACGGGTATGTTTGAGGTATGAGTCTTTCACTGTGATGTTGGACTGGTAAAAGGCTGAGCCGATTTTGCGACAGTCGGTGCAATGACACACATGACGGTTCAGTAGACCTGGTTTCTTGAGAGGCTACTCGCGGGTTCTGTCAGAAGTCTGTAGATTACGGCTGTGATGACTCGAGTATAGGTAACTTACAAGGACCAGTTGCACAGATCCGCAGAAGCATGTCGCAGTGGCTTCATCGTCAGTTGACCAGCCATCATGAGAAAGATGGACCACTGGAAAGCCATTGTCATCAAAGGAAGCCATGGCTATGAGTTTATGTAGCTAACAGTGTTGGATGGGCTTATAAGTTTGAAGTAGAGATTGGGGTTTTTAAAAGTGCTGAACAACTCCGATATGAGATGTGTGATTTCTTTATGGATCAATCGCCTGGGCCACTGCCTGTTTTATTACGAGACCATTGCCCGTTGCTGATACTCCCGTTCCGTTTCTGACAGGTAATTCTCCCGGATTGTGTAAGCACAAGTTCACTAAACAAGAAAGGATTGAGGCGGTATACCCCAAATGTGAGAGGAGATCAACCTTCCGTGGAAGTTGCTTATCAACAATGCTTTTTCTGAATGAGATCACATAATTGAGAAGACCGGATAACTTTATAGCCGACCCGATAGCTGTGCCATTGCCTCCCCGGATGCACCCTGCACTACTACAGTAAGGTAAAGTGGTAAGCAAGTTTCTGATGTTCTTGCAGGTCATTCAGGATGCAGCGCAAGATACAAGGGAGGGCAGGCACAGTTGGTCAAAACAGGCTACCCTGAAGCTTGACACTAGGTACCTTCAAATCTGGGTGATCAGTCACAGTCACTCTATTCGTATTGACCTCACTGGTATTTTTTAATTAGATCCCGTGTGCATTGATTGTAAGATAAATTTCTTACTTGAGAAAAACACTCGAGGTTGGAACGACTCGACATGACTGTGATGAGACCCAACCCCGCCCTAGAAACGGGTTATACTTACACACTGTTAGGGACGACATTGTTCAAGCGGCAACTGTTTGTTGGATTAAGGATTTTAGACATGAAGAAGTTTAGACGGCAAACAATTACGTGCAAAAGCTCTGATAATCAGGCAACTCGAGATGTGCCCAGTTCCCCTTCATAGGACATGAAACCTAGAGGGGTCAGGAGTCTTACAAAGACCTTTAAGACAAGGCTTGGGAGTCTTTATTGAAGCCAGACAAGACATCAAAGATATTAACTGTCGCAACTTCTGCACCTCCATTATAGCTCGTCAACCTCATAGCGTTAGAGGTGAAGTGTTAATGGCAGTGAGTTCTTGGGTGGATCTCTGGCAACCAATCTCAACAGCTTAATATGACGCCCTGCCAAGCTACTGGCCAAGCCTCAGTTATAACTGGCTTTGAAAGCCATATCATGAAAGCTGTCATGACCAGCACCAAGTCACTATGCTATTTCATCATGAGCAGGGGGAAAACAATAATTTCTCAAAAATTCATCAAAGTCTCCAATTCCGAGACATTCAATGGCGATCTACACATTGCTCAATGTCTTCAACCTCCTTAGTCAGTAGTCTCTAGCGGGGCTTCCCAGCCCATTTCCATGGAAGTTTCCTCCACCTGGCATGGATGTCAGTTAAGGTAACATCTCACTTTAATTACCAGCCCTCCTTTGGCACAAGCAAGCTAAAGTCAGCAACTCGAGGGCAACGGGCACACCCCGTGGCTCATTCACACTTCTTTCCATCTCTCTTTCGAAATGGATTTGTGGATAGAGCTTCTCGCTTCCGCCTTTTTGATCCTCGCTGGTGTTGTCGTCCTGGTGGTAGCTATCGGTGTGCGGGCGCTGTAAGTTTTCCACCAAAATGTCGCCTGGCAACTCTCCCCTAACTAATGGCCACAAGCTTTCGCAACTTCAACCGTCGCCCTGATCCGCCAGTGTCCTCCAATCTTGGGCAGAATGCACCGCACGTTACGATAATTCGACCCGTCAAGGGCGTTGAGCCCCGGCTTTACGATTGCATCGCTGCGTCTTTTCGACAGGATTACCCCCAGGACAAGATCTCCATCCGACTGTGTCTCGAAGATGATTCCGATCCAGCATTTCCGATCCTCCAGAAGGTTATCGACGATTTCCCCGCGATCGATGCGCGTATTATGCTCGAGAAGGAGGACTACGCCCTAGGCGACACAGTCAACATGGGACCCAATCCCAAGATCCGCAACCTCAGCCGAGCGTACCGAGAAGCTAAGGGAGATATCATATGGATTGTGGACTGCAACGTTTGGATGGCTAAAGGAGTTTTGGGCCGCATGGTTGATAAGCTTATGGGCTACAAGGTGGGTGGTGGCTCCAAGCCATGCAAGTTTGTCCACCAATTGCCCATTGTTGTTGACCTGATCGACTACTCTACACCGCTTGCAGCAGATGGCCAGGCTCTTCTAGCTGCGTCTTCTGAGGAAGTCCATACTTCCGATCTGGTTGGCGAGGATGCGCATGATGACCCTCAGGTCATGTCTCAAGGCGGCGGGCGCCTTGACGAGATGTTTATGGCGACCGCGCATGCCAAGTTCTACAGCGCCATCAACACGGTTGGCGTAGCGCCCTGCGCGGTTGGTAAAAGCAACATGTTCCGCAAATCACACCTCGATCACGCGACCGACGCTGTATTGAACCCCAAGATACCCCAGGACAAGAACCTCCCTACCGGCGTGGACTACTTCTCGCACAACATTTGCGAAGACCATCTTATCGGTGACCTTCTCTGGCAGACCGATTTCCCCGGTCATAGAAAACATGGGCTGGTCTGGGGAGATATTGCTGTCCAGCCTATGTCGGGCATGTCTGTCAAGGCTTATGCGGCAAGACGGTGTCGATGGCTCAGAGCTAGGAAGTATACAGTCCTCTCAGCGACGATTCTCGAGCCCTTTACTGAGTGTTTCTTGTTTGCTACCTACTTTTCCTTTTCAATCACAACTTTACCGTTCTTCAGTGCAAACTGGGGCATCCCCAAAACCTGGAGCGCTATGGCCATTGCATGGTTTGTAACAGCGACTCTCTGGATGCTTGTGGACTTTTTTGGTTTCCGACGTCTACACTCTGGTGTCACTATGGAGATTGACGAGCACACGCCTTGTTTCGCCAAGGGCTTTATGACACGAGGAGGAATCAAGAGCCGAAAGTTTCTAGAATTCCTGGCTGCCTGGATCGGCCGTGAGGCTCTTGCTTTACCGGTCTGGGCATACGCTGTTATCTGTGGTAACACGGTCAACTGGCGAGGAAGATTATTTTACATACATTGGGACACGACGGTCGAGGCTGTCGATGCTCAGGACGAACGAAGTCGCGAGGTGCGGACTCCAGAGCTTGAACGAGGAAACTCACATAACAAGCATAGAGTTGACTGAATGAGCAGATGGATGGCTAATGACATGACATGCATGAGGTGGATGTACAACATGTTAGAGATGTGGATAATAATGTGTAACGACAGAACTTATGGCCTAAAAGTTGGAATGATAGATAGCATAGCAGAGGTATAAAGTATAGATATTAATTTATGGTTTTATTCACTTATTTCATGTTCTGCCTGTTATCAGATGTGAAAGTTGAGTCACTTGGCTCTAAAGCTGCTCGGAAACCCCGACAAAAAACTGTTATGACTGTCAAAATTGGTTCCTACAGTGTACACTCCATTAACTACCTCTAAGGTAGCAGTCGCTCACGAGTCTTCACCGCAGGCAAGTTCCGAATGCAGCACGTGATTGGACGAGTTCCCCCACAGTGGGCAGTCCCGCCTCCCGCAGGAGCACACCCCCCATTAGCATTTTCCCACGATGCGGTGGTTTCTGGGTTATGCGAAGCGCAACTCAACCCTTTCAACTGCCAAAATCCCTATATTTCAAGTTCCAAAGTGAGTACCGCAATCCGCAATTCTACTACTCTTTCGGTCTAATCTCTGGCTGTAGACGCTCCTTCACAATGGCTTCTCCTTCGGACCGTCGACCCATCGTTATCTCAGGCCCCAGCGGTGTCGGAAAGGGTACGCTGATCAACATGCTCTTCAACCGACACCCCGATACCTTCACTCTGTCTGTGTCGCATACCACACGAAACCCCCGTAACGGCGAGCGCGACGGCGTGGAATACCACTTTGTCACCAAGGATGCTTTCCGGGAGCTGGTCGGCCAGGATGGCTTCGTTGAGCAGTAAGTCAATCGCACACTAGGCATGCGCATACACTGACTTCTGTTTCTCTACAGCGCCCAGTTCGGAAGCAACCTATATGGAACAAGCAAGGCGACTATCGAGGAGCAGACCGCTAAGGGCAAGGTAGTCGTCCTGGACATCGAGATGGAGGGTGTCAAGCAAGTCAAGGCCTCTACCATCGACGCGCGCTACGTCTTTGTCTCGCCCCCTGATACTGAGGAGCTCGAGAAACGACTCCGTGGCCGCGGCACTGAAACTGAGGAGAGCATCCAGCAGCGCCTCACCCGTGCGCAGGACGAGCTTGCATGGGCGCGATCGGCCGAGTTCGATAAGATCCTTGTCAACGATGATCTGGAGAAGACATACCAGGAATTGGACGCTTTTGTTTACACTGAGAAGAGTAACTAGGACGAGGGGTATACAGTTTTTTTTATTTTAAAAGCATAGATGAGAAGCATGATAGACCTATAATGATCAACGAGTATACCTAGGTTATGAGAGTCTCTTGCCACAGAGTGAAATTCGTGATCGTGGTGTTCTTTAAGGCTTGATTGTCCTTTGGTTACAAGCTTTGTGAATGGCCAGATTTGCGTGAAAAACAAAATCTTAGTGTTCGTTCAGGTGTCGTTTGAGAGTACGGTTCAGAACATGGACCTGAATGTGTACCTATCTTCTTTGCAAAATCCCCTTTGAGAGTCTTACTGCCTGATTTATTCTCGTGATAGAATGATCAGCAGGTCCTTGGCTTGTACTAAAAGATGAAGCGCCTCAAGATGCCGCAGAACAGGTGATCAGGCCTTCGCCATGTAGCACGTAATCTGGATGAAGGAAAAGTCGACCTACAAGCAGCACTCTATAGTATAAACCATCATTCAACACAAAACTCTGTTGCTTCCAATACATGTTGTCGGGATGCTTGTAATGGTTTCGCAGTTGATATACAAAAAAGGGGCCCGAGAATTCCTTCGAGTGCCTGTTACTTATTGCCATGCAATATGGACGATCACTCAACCCTCCTCCCATGGTGACTGAACCTATTACTATACGTCAACCTATGCTACTATCTCAGCTGGTTTGTTTGTATTGCGACCACTTTCTATATTTCTTGCCTATTGAGCACCCCTTCTCGGACAATCGTGGTCAAAGCCAAACAGTCGATGTTGAATTCCAACGAGTTTACATGTGTCAGTGTCTGTAAGGAAACCCATAAGCCACGACCTCCCCAATAACAAGAAAACTCAACGGGCTGTTCAATGACTCATCGTTGTCATCGTTGATTCGCTGCGTGAAAATGATGGCATATTATTTAATTTGTAGAAAACGCGACGTGTTCTTTCTTGCTGTGCTGTATAGACAATGGAAAGATTGTAAAAGCTCCCTATATGATGATGCGGATATCAAACCTGTTCTTTCTGATATAAGAAGCATATAGAAGTGACTGGAATCGCACTCGGACAATAAACGAGATAGAGAAAGCCTATTCAAACTATAATGAAAATTCAAGGCTCGAGGGTCTGATTGGTGTTGATGTGTATGGTGTCGTGGCAGCCGTGAGGATAGACGTTTTTGCCAGGAGATGACACGTTAAACAAAATGAATCCCTTGGTATGCCACGAAACAAGGTTAGAGGACATGTTAGTATGATGATAAGAACCTGTAAGTGCTGTCTTGGAAGAGCATGCTTCATGAGGAGAGGGTTAAACCCTACCGAAGACTTACAGAGTTCTCTTCTTGTTCTGTTTTTTCTTTTCTTTTTCCTTTCCTTTCCTTTACTTTCTTTTTTCAAAAAGAAAAAAAGAACTATAGAAGTAAGGGAAAGGAAAGTCGACTAGTACCTAGCTCTCAAATACTTCACTCTAGAGAGTGAGACGATGCAGGTGAACTGGAGGTTAGCGAGGTTGATCGAGTTGGAAATAGGAGTTGTGAAAAGGGGGTGATGGATATTAGTAGCTGGGAAGTTTATCAACACACAAAAGTTTATTACAATCCGTCTGGAATACTCTCGCTATTTCTATCACCTTCTATGGTAAGACTTAATTCAATTTTAGTTGAGATCTTGCTAGGCGTGGCCTGAAGCATTGGCTGCCATGCAACCAGCATTGATACTCTGATAACTACACCCCCTACCAACCACCCCATCTTGAAGGTATTTTGATGTCCTTAATATTTATATACCTTAAAGTCTGCCCAATGAAAATTACGTATCGAACGTAGGAAGACTCCAGAATATCACGAGCAGTCTAAACACTGGTACATAAGACTTTCTGCGTCAAACTATAATATAATCATACCTGCGTTACTCTGTTAGTCAGAATATTGAACTCTATCCATTGTGTCTATATAAGACCGTCGTGTGTCCTTCCTAGATCAGTTTCATCTTTCCCCCTTTCATCTACATTCACCATCATCTCTGTTCACAACAACCACTTGAACTTTAAATTCTTCCAAAGCCTTTCCATTCTTCTTCTTCTTCTTCTTCCACTACACTCTTATTTCCCATCATACACAATGTACAGCAAAGCTCATACTTCTTTCCGGGGTCAAGAAGACTATCACACAGATAGCTCTTCTGTCGGCTTCAGCACTGAGTGTGAACTTTCTTGGAGAACAGGTCATCGTCAGCAGACGAAGAACTTGGGCATTTACAAAAGAATGCACCCTAGCCAACAGAACTACTCACCGCCCTCTTACAACAATCAACGATCACGCCTAGGTGATCGTTCACAGAGGCAACGATTCACCCCTCGGAAGCTCTCGTGGAATGAATTCTTGACTCTTTATCTTCGTATAAAGAATCAATTCAAACCCTCATCTTCCACATCTCCTTCTAGACCATCATCATCATCATCCTCTTCTTCTTGTGATCCTATCACTTCAGAAAGCGATAGTGGGATCAGTATTGCAGCCAGTACCAGCGTACCATGGCGCAATAACAAAGTACCATCCCTTTCTCGACCATCATCATCATCCTCTTTCTCCTCTATTACCACAGGACGCGATAGTGGCATGAGTATTGCAACAAATGCCAACATCCCATGGTGCAACACCAACATGCCGCAAAAGAGCATCGAGAACAGAGTCCCAGTGGACAAAGCGTACCCATCTCTTCGAACACAGAATCTCATTCTATCTAGAATGCAGAACATTCTTGAGTACGCTTGCTTTCGCTTTGCGGAAAGATTCATGCCAGACATTCTTCAAAGCACTGGCTGGACTTGTCCAGAAGCAGGCGAACTTAGCATCTGGATTTACCATTTCTACGAGAAAGGCAAATCCCTACAGCTACAAGACATGAGCCGCCTCCGAGGAAGCCAGATCTCCCTCTCTGTACTCCTCAATTCAGTCAAGGAGATCCGCCATGACGCTGTCCACCGAAACCCTCTGGACACGAAGTACTTTTCACTCCAGATGAGCCACGCTGTCGCCTTCTGTCAGGTTCTCGGAGTTTCTGAGGCCCTGGATAAGCTTCAGTCTATTCAGCTCTGTGCGGAAACCCAGATTCGAAAACTCGGCATTATTACGGAAGTCAATATCAAGTTCGGTGACGTGTCAGCACAAGGAGGACTTGATGTTCAGAGCCAAACTATTGAAGAGACTCATAAGACATTTGAGAACCGACGAGTAGCAGCTTGCAACATATTGGACAGGCTACTCCTGGACCCAAAGACCATTGATTTCAGCCCACAAGAAGAAGCACCCACTCTCGAGCCAATAGCTACCATGACTGCCACAGACATTACTCCTATCACCGAAGTGGCACCGAAAGAGAGACAGGAGTTGTCAGAAGTAGCTTCGAAGTTCTTCTTCGACTCGATCCTCATGATGACCTTCTTCATCAATGGACTTGTTGATGTATCGGCAAGCGGTCGCAGCGGCATGGAAAAGACTGGCATGAAAGTACTCAAAGCCGTCTTTCTCTGTACCATTTACAGCCTGTCGCTATTTATCTTCATTCGATTGGTTGCAGAAATATCCAACGATTTGTTGGAGTATTGGATGTCTCATATGGGTCAGTGGGTTGGACTTTGCATCAGTGTGTATGCACTTTGTCTTTGGATGACATCCTAGACGGGGAAATACGTGGAGTTCTGCTTTTCTTTCTCTCTTTCTTTCTGGGTTGAGCAGGTCGAGGCATTTTGAGTTTATCATGGATAATGAATTGGTCATGAATTATGAGACTGTCATGAATTACGAGATTGTTATGAATTATGAGACTGTTATGAATTATGAGATTGTTATGAATTATGAGATTGTAACGACAGTTGCATATGACAAATAAGATTGCTTTTTATATAACAAAGGATTGTACTCTACATCACCCGTCTCTGTATCACCACACGTACATCTTTGACTGGCTTCTTAACTCCAGTTCCAGGAATCATGGCAGGCAACGTCCACTCTCCACCCGTGGGACTTATATCCCAGAGACTAATAACAGCTGATCCAAGAGAAACTATCTCCTTCTCCGCAAAAGTACGTCCCTTGCACATAGCAGCTCCGATACCCCAGGGCTTCAATTTTCCGTATTTTGCAGTTGACTTTCCTGTCTCAGGATCTGTCTCGAGGAAGCGGTCGGGAACAAAAGTGTCGGGATCTTCGTATAATGATGGATCCTTGTTCCTCAAAGCGTGAGGAACGGAAATGTAAGTTCCTTGGTTGAGGTCATGTGTTACGTTTCCATCGTTGACGCTGACTGGCTGAGCAACATAGCGAATCGAAGTAGGTTCGTTGACTAATCGATATGTCTCGAAGATACAAGCCTTGAAAAGCTGACACTTACGGAACAAGCTTGGGAAGTCCATCGATAGAATCTCTGGTCCATCACCGTCGGACAACTTGATATAGGACGAAATCTCTTCTCTGATCCGCTCGACCAAGCCGGGGGTCGAATAAACATAGAGCAAAAACCAAAAGAGAACAGGTTGGGTATTGGCGTTGAGGCCCCAGAAAGTACCAAGATCTGCAGCAGCGCGTTCAGGAAATGACCAGTCATCTCGACTGTATAAACTGTTTCTCTCGCGTAGCATAGTGCTGACATCTGATAAATCGGCACCAAAGTCGATAGGTTCTCCTTTTCGTTCTTGTTCCACCCGGCGGAAGATACCTTCAAGACTATCGATGATTCTAGCTCTCGCCTTGAGACCGTCCTGCATCATCGTGAACGGCGCCCATGAGGGAACACCAACCATCAATAGAGGGAATAGCTCGTTATCAAAGACCCAGAAGTCATCGAGAATCTGAGGGTTGCGATCGAGTAAATCTTGACCGTAGATGACAGGAATAGACATGCAAGCTCCAAAATCACGGAATAAGCTCTGCATGTTTGCTTCCACCTTTCCAGGGCTATCAGATGTCTGAGGTTGAATCACTTTGATACCAGCAGAGAGTTCCCATCTAGCCATGTGTTCAATGTCGGATGAGAATGAAACAAGCGATGCACCGCGCTCGGCAACACGGGACCTTTCAACCGCGGCTGTAGACGCAGCATCGTTGAGGAATGTACGCTCCAGAGGAGGAACAAGGTCCTTGGCAGTTTTATCAAACTTATTTTGTAGGTCTAGAGAATCAATACTGCCGAAGACAAGTATGCAGAGCGAATATTGTGCTGGGCCGGAGGTGAAAATTTGATGAGACTGGGTCATCAAGCGATCAACGCCCGGTAATTCGGCGAGGATTTGATGTCCTGAAGTGACGCCGAAAAGAGAGCCTCCATAACGGCTTATAGCCGAGCTATCCGTCTGGTGAGTTAAGTTCCATACTCAAGAAGTGTTACATACAGGATACGTCGACCGATACCATCTCCGCTGAGGACGTAACCAGCAATAGCAAGCTCAATTGGTGCGTAAGCTGGCAAGGCTCTAAATCGATAATTTTTTGACCTCAGAAAGACCTTGTTAAAAGCATAAACAACCAGGATTGCAGAGAGGAATTTGTATGCCACAGGCATAGACTGAAACGTCGCCGAGGCGCTTCCATACAACGAAGACAAGTCCATTGAAACCGCAATAGCTGAGAAATGAGGGAAAGCTTACATTGAAAGACATTGGGAGAGCTAGAGACTTATGAGAACTTAGTGGAGATTAACTCAATCCTACTCCATATGATTTGATCTTGATCCCTACTAGCTCTTTGGCGGGCATCAGATTTTAGCTCGTCTGTGAGGGATTCGCTTGCGGACTAGGTATCTCGGGCTCCTCATCCTAGACCTTTTTAGAGGTGACTGTGTCCAGAATACTTGTCCTGCGAACACGAGAGACGTCGGTCTACACTAGCCATGCTTCAAGTTTCTGGGAGTACTTCTACAGTAGAAATCAACGGAATAGGTACCTTTCTTAGCAGTTGAGTCAGTACTCTGTACGCTAGGAAGAAATATCCCATATGACGTACCAAGGAAACTAAACGAACACGAGGATCTACAAAGGGGACCTGTCACATATCTTCACACGGATGTACGCCACTGAAGTACTTCAGAAATTGACAGCCTTATTTAAGTATTCAGAGAGGCATCAGATACAATCAGTTCAAAGCCTGGAACATGTCTAAGTGCCTATCTAGCCTTTTAAAGCAGTAGACGAAAGCCACATGCACCTAACGAGGGTGTGATGACTTAGACTATAGATAACCAACGAACCTTGATATCCCCTCACTTAACTCATCATAGACCTCAACATATCTTGCCAAATCTCATGACCATGGCTACTGACTCTACTACACGAACCCTTCAGGTCTTTGGCCTAACCTCAAGCCTTCTTCTCGCCGGTGTCAACCTCGGCTCCTCCCACCTCACAGTCCCTCTACTCTACCCCCAGCCCAACGCCGTCAGCACACCCTTCTTCAAAGACTTCTACACCCGCGGGGCTCTAACACTTGTGCCTCTTGCAATCTTCTCAGGTGCATCATCAGGAATAGTCGCCTATCTGGTGCCTGCTCAACGAACTCTCTGGATCGTTGCCGCTGCGGCTACAATGTCTCAGCTGCCCTGGACCGGGCTTGTGATGATGCCTACGAATAATCGACTTAACGACATCGGTGTTAGTAGTGTTGAGCAGGAGAAGGCGAGTCAGGACGAAGTAGTGGGTTTGTTGAAGAAATGGCGATGGATGAACATTGTCAGGGGGCTTTTGGCATTAACCGGAGGCTTGTCTGCTGTTCTGGCCCTTCAGAGTGAGTGAGTAGGGGATTATGTTGGTGATCGTTTCTAATTGTACCTAATACGTCGATGTGAAACTAATATCACGAGTTTGGATCTTGGGTCTTGAGTAAGTCTTGTGCAGTCGTATCACTGTGGTATATTGCAAAGTCCAAAACGCCTCTCTATGCATGATATGATATCTTATGCAGTCAGATATCCCCAAAACCAACCAAATATGGGGGAGTGGTGGGTACCAGTGATTCACTGCATTTTTAACCCACCCTCGATCAAGTCCAGCATCTCCATTCAAGGAGCAAAGTTGAAAGCCTCCGCCGAATCGAGAGACAAGAATGCCTCCATATTCATTGTTCCAAAATCAATGTCCCAGCCAACATCAGCAGCTGTGAAATCTGCCAGATCTTCCGATCCAGCACCCGCAGGTGAAGCACCATTCATTTGGCCGGTGACGTCAAAGCCAAACGGCATCGAAGGGAACGTAAACGCTGGCTCGTTGCCCATGCCATTTACTAAAGATCCAGGTGCTGGTGAGCCTGGATATTTTTGATGCGGGGGCTGCGAATGTTGTCTGCTTTGATTTGCTGGTTCTTTGAGTTCAAAGCCGGCCGACCGGACCATTTGCTCGATTGAGGCAATCGTTATCGGCAGTTGGCCCGGGTTTGCCCCGGCTGTTCCCATCATGGAACGGAGAGTTCGGAGACCAGAGTGAATCCAGGGCAAATTTCGATGGGCAGTTTTCTTTTCTTGAAGCATGTCAAAGGCTAGGGCATAGCACGCTCCTTCGATGAAGAAGCCATGATACTTGATATCCTGCTAGCTGTCAGTGTGATTTTCAAGTGTAGGGCAGATTACATACATGGCAGAGAACGTTGGTGGCGCAGGAGCCTGTCAAGAATCCAACTGAATTTCTCGCTGCCTCCAGACAATACTCGCAGGCGCTATCAAGCCACGGAGGAGGCATCTGAACATCTTCGGCTCCAGCAGTTGCCTGGTCGCGATTTAATTTGGCTCGAAGTATCAAGAACGGGCGAAAGGTTAATAGTAACGTGTGGTGGTATACTATCCGAGTCAGTTGAAATCGATGATGGGAAACGGATAGGGCTTACTAGTAGAAACCATAGCTTGACAAACTCCAAGCTCTCCAGTACTAGGATCGCCGACAAGCCCGAACTTCATATCCTTAAGTTGCTGCTCCGCAAACTGGTGGAGCTCACGACGGATTTCGACAGCTGCGTTCCAGACTGGTAATAATGAATCGTGACGTGGGCTGTATATGCGCTTGACACATATATTCATAATCCGTGATAAAGTAACTAAAGATTTGAGCAATTTTTGGTCCTTGGGCAACGGGATGATTTGGCCAGGATCAGGAATGGAGCTCGGTCTGCCCAGCACAAAACAGTGCCATCTATATCGTGTCAGCAGTTTTCAACCTCTCACGTGTCTGACACTTACGTTTCCCAGAAGAATAAACTCCAGAAAATGATTCTCCGTTGATCTGCGTTTTGTTCTGTGTATCCTGGGCGTGTCAATCCATCCTTATGTAAGCCAGCAGCCACAGCCTTTCTGCATGCGGTGCCAACATGTAAGAAACCTGAATTTGGTCTTGCTCTTTCGGATTGAAAGTGACCGTTTGGGAGTATGAGCTTTTATGAAGTTTTTGTTGGAGGGGAGAGTGACTTATCATCAAGAGATGTATTTGAACCACCTGCATATTCACAACCTCATCCAGTTTAGCGGCACCTTGTTTGGTTTTCTGAAAAAGAAACTCAGCGATGGCCTCTTCACCTGTCATGGAAGCCCCCAGTCCTACTGCCAGCATTATAATGATGGTCTCGGGCTCGTCATAATCAAAGATGCCAGGTGGTTGAAAAAGTGCGTCCAAGCGACGGCGGTAGTCATCTTTACTCATCACAGGCAGGCAGTGCCAATAGGTCAAGAGATATCTCTCAAGTAATCGATGGGCTGTTTGTGGGTTGATGAGCATGGCTGAGCAATCATCCGGAAGTGACGTCGGCCGTTGGTTGTCGGCCAAATCTCCGAAGAATAATCTGCGATGATTGAAAAGGTCTAGACCCTGGCCACCTTCTTCGACAATTCCAGAACGCGACGGGGGGTCATTTGGGCAAATCCCTGCTATTTGGTGATAGATGGAGTTGAGGAGAGCGAAATTTGATGAGGGACCATAGTAAAGCTGGAGGAAGCATGATGGTGATGCGCGATGTGTCGCAGCGACGCTATTATGCGTTAAACTGCGCTCGCTGTCCATGACTGAGCCGGCGGGTCCTATAGAGGCGGCATCGTCGCCGCTTGGCGTGGGCGGCACAGTTCCTTCGTCGGATGGCTCTAAAGAGGTGCTCTCCATGGCGTCGTGAGACATGATGGTCTCATAAGCAGCGGTCCGCGGCTTGACCTTTCGCGTCCGATTTCGGGCCTTTTCGCGATATACGCAGCTGAGATTTCTCATTCTGCAATTCTGGCAGGGCGTCTCGCCGTTGCACTTGATCTTCTTGGCGCGACATTCTTGGCAGGCCTTTGAGATTCTCCATTTCGTCGCGTTCATTGTCCAGTTGGCCGCTGGGGTCTGGGGCTTGATGAGCTAAAGTTAGGTAATTAGATATTGAATATTCGATGCTCGGCCTGTAGGCTGCAGGGCATGGAGTGATTAACTTAGTTTGTCTCGACGCTAGCGAGAATTCGCTTTCATTAGCTGCATAAAGCTTAATCTTTTTGGTACATATTTTGCCGAGTACGGGGCTCTATAAGACCGTTGCAGCATGCATTCTGCAGGTTGTGTCAGGGTCAGGTCAGGGATATAAAGTGGTCCCATCCAAAAAGAAAATTATGTATTTCTAAGGATATTGCTTTACTACGTAGTATCTACGGAGTAGTAACTTAGGCCTCCAATGCTTGGGCCTCTTATTTCCAGTTATTCTTGATAACATCGGCAATAACTCCATGGTCTTCGTCCTGCTTAAGACCGCTGACCACAACAATAGCAACAATTCCCTCAACCCCCTGAACGCGAATAGGGATAGCTCCGCCATGAATCGCGTAGTCCCCTTTGTTTGAGTCAGCGATGGCATACTTGGCAGCAAATGCTACTTCATCTCCCTTCAACTTGTTGTGCATGAACCACGTGCTGGACCCGAATCTGAGGACGGTGTTTCTCTTGCGACGAACCCATTGCTCGTTGTCAGGTGCCGTGCCGGGTCCAGTAACGGTCTGGAAGATGACCTGGGAGGTGTTTGCGAGAGCAATTGAAATTACTGTCGGCTTGCCTTCAGTAGCGAACGGGTAAAGGCGGGCATAGAGAAGATTGCCAAGTGCAAAGGCATCTTCTGTGGTGAATGATGCCAAAGTGAATGAGTCACTGTCGGCCTTGAGCTCTTCCAGCTGTGGCGCTCTATTAGTGATTGTCTTTTGTACAGTCGATATCACTTACGTCAGAAGGTGGCTTTGGGATTGCTGTTGCCGATGGGTTCTGGATAGCTTCCTGAACCTTTTGCAGCGCAGCACCAGCTTCGGTCTGTCGAGTCCAAACTTTTGTTGCCATTGTGATTGATTTTGCTAAAATTGAGATGGTGAATCTGTAAATGACATCGACATGTGGTCGGTCAGCAACAACTTCAATGGTGGATATATATGCGCACTACGTAATTCGGCTGGACCTTCACCTCATGTGGAGAACGCGCAGTAGAAACGCCGAGAATTCCACACCAAGACTTGTCACAACCCACAAAGACATGCCTCTGGCTATTTATACGTTCACCTCAATTGGCTCTGCTTTCATCTTTATCTAACTCAGCCTCTTATTTTTGACCTTTACGTAGAGGGTACAACGCACATGAGATTTGATCGAAATCTTTTATCATGTGAATAGCGAGCACCTACCTTCTACTGGTGTTACCAGAATTCGATTTTGATATTAGCATAATAAAGATATCGTATAATTCCGCAAGACTAGTGCGAATTTACCCCCAAGTCGATGCATAGCGTTAGTAATCTACACATGAAAGGTACTATGTGAGCATGTTTATCTGTCGTAAAGCACCACACCTCCAGGCTATTTCGTAAAAGAAATAGAGAAATACGACCGTACTCTACTCAGTATATATATATAGGTTAATAATTCCCAGTTTAACTCTTATCACCACAAGTGAACAGCTATTGGAAATGTATATGAAGATTTTGAGAAGTCTTGTAGTTGAAAATACAAGATTGTGTAATTTCCACACTACTAATCCTCTTTAGTTGAAATTCCTTGGGGCGTTGGCCAAGCTGGGAATACCACTATCGAAAAGTTGCAGAGCATACTGCGTACAATTTCGAGCCATCCAAGGCATTCAGAAAGTGGAATTCTCCGTCGAATTTCCGATACCTTGGTACATCAACTAAAGCGTATAGGTATATCCTGAACTTTATATGCGGTAATGTAGCAGAGTACCGAGCACGTTATCGATGGTAAAAAATGTACATCGATTAGTTATTCGAACTTTTGGAGCGGAAACCTATCATGGAGCAAATCCTCTACCTCACTAAGCAAGCAAAGGAGTTAACAGACAGGAAAAAGCTGCACCCAATTACCCAAGGCTGACATGCCAGATCAGAACAAAAGTGCCATGAAGCTATCAGATCTGTTTCAGCTGGGGGGTTACCTGCTGCCTCTTTATGGCCCAACCTTCAAGTGCAAGAACTGTAGTTGGGACAGCAAGGGACAGGATCGAAAAAAACAACTTCTTTGGTATTCTTAATTCTAGGAATACAGCAGGTATTTTAGGCGATGAGTTCATCGCCGTGGTAAAAGCATGTTCGCCGCGCAGTGCGGATAGTAGGGACATGTTGGAGTCGTCTGGAGGTGGAACAATCGTGAGAGCCTGGCTTCGATGGTGACCTAGAGAGTTATACCTATCTACGTTGGGTCTATGGTACAGTGACAGCTTAACTCAAAATTTCCATTGATTTGGTTCTCTCATGGATGCTTAAGAACAAATTTATTTCCAACACAGGTCTCATGGTGAATGTTAGTCAACAGTGTAAGAAACTTGTGCAAGAAACACAATTGACGGTGTGTCTTGGACCCCATCCTCACTATAACTGTTATATTGATCTGTGAGGCTTGATAAATAAAATGGCTGATAGGAGTACTACCCATTTACGCTTCGTCCAATTCCTTCGCGATGACGCTGGTTGGGAGCTCTGGGGAGAAGCTCCAGGGTAGTCCGAACTCAGAAACAACCAACTGAAACCAGCACGAACCTATCTTGATCAATCACAAGTCAACTCACAAGCGATGTGACCAGAAGGGTCTAGACACCCTAGTCGAGCAGTCGCTCTCCCGAGCAAGCGTCTTTGTCGTGCAACCCGATGTTAACCTTGAAATTATCACAAGCATCCGCCTCCCACTCCCCTCTCTCTCTTGTCAAAGCTTGGTTTGTTAGTGCAGCTAGCCGTGACGTAACACCGCGGCCCAGCCCGGCCCCGTCGTACGTAGTAAAAAATAGAGAAAAATAAGAGAAAAAGCCGCCCCTGATCTTCTCCAACGAGGATCAAATCAGGGACTCCGCAAGGATCTCGATCTGGACCTCGCATTGAGTTTGGAGGGGAGCGACGTGATTGGTCAATTGGGGGAGCTCGTCTCACTGTTTTACGTGGGGAACGCCATCGTCTCCCCGCAATGTCCGCATATGAGCGTCATTGACGTCACGTTTCCGGAGCTTTGTTCCTGGAGGAACGAGGAACCTGAAGCTACCAATTTTCTTTTGTTCGCATCGTGATGGTATGGATACGTCATTCCTTAGGTAAACCAATTGACATGTATTCACTTTTTACTCTCAAAATGCCATCTTAAGCTTTTCTCCTCTCCTCATCATCACTCTTCTACTCTCTTCTCTTTACCACATTCTACAGCATCTCTTGTCCCCAGTCTCACTTCTTATTCTCCCAAATAACCTCACAAATTAATTCGACATAATGCTTTCCGCTCGCCCCGTCATCCGATCAACAGTGCCTCGTGCCGCACGCGCTACTCGTGCTCCCCGTCGCCAGATTCGCTTCCAATCCACATCCACAGCTTCCTCAGCCTCAAGCAGCACACACCTCGCAGCTGGCATCGCTGGTGGTTTTGTCGGCTCCGCCATCTTCTACGGCATCTACTCCTACACACCCGCTGGCCGCGCTGCCTCAAATATCAACAAGGCTGCTAAGGAGGCCTATCAAAAGTATGACGCTGCTGCAAAGAAGCTCCAGCAGAAGGCCCCCGATGCCGACCAGGCTGTGAACTACATCAAGGAGTTTGCATACTCATACGTTGGCTGGATCCCTGGTGGCCGCTCTTACGTTGATGCTGCCTTCCAAGACTGGGAGAAGGTCCGCGAGAACAACAAGGATGAGGCCGACAAGCTCGTCAACGATGCCTACAAGCAGTTCCAGGACCTTTCCAAGTCAGGTCTAAGCATCGAGACCGCCACCAAGGCCTACGATGTTATCACAGACCTCGCTCAGAAGGTCGCTAGCCTTGCTGGCGATGCTCTCGGCGACATCATTGACAACCACCCTCAAGTCAAGGAGAAGCTCGGCGGTAGCGTCGACCAGCTTAAGGACCTCGGCGAGCAGTACGGCCCCGAGGCCAAGAAGCAGGTTGACGAGACCTGGAAGCAGGTCAAGGACATCTTCGCCAGTGGCTTCAGTGCCACCAGCATCCAGAAGGCCCGCAAGCTGATCGAGGAGAAGGTCGAGCAGATCAAGAAGCTCGGCGACAAGGCCTGGCAGAAGGGTCTGGAGGAGGCCAAGCCCTACCTCGACAAGAACCCCAAGGTCAAGGAGCTTCTCGAGAAGAACGCCGACGCACTCAAGCAGGGCAACGCCGCCGAGGTCTTCAAGCGTGCCAAGTCCGCCGTCGAATCTGGTGATCTAGGTGACCTGGAGAAGTACGTCAAGGACGCTGCTGAGAAGGCCAAGTCCAAGGGTTCTGAGCTCACCGGCGGCTGGGTCGACCTTGACAAGTACATCAAGCAGATCCCCAACGGTGGAGAGGTCATGGAGAAGCTCCAGCAGCTGAGCAAGGTTGCCGACGAGCACAAGGAGGAGGGCGAGAAGCTGTTCAAGGAGACCGTTGAGGAGCTACGACAAGTGTTGGAGAAGAAGTCCGAGAAGGCAGAGGAGATTGCCGGCTCGGCCAAGAAGGAGGCCTCGAAGGAGGCCTCCAAATAAAGGCACAGAACTGTATTCTAGTTTTAAAAATTCCCTAATGATATCCTCTAATACTTTATGAAAAGTTAAGACATATTCTCTCACATCTTACTACCTTAATCTATTTGTCCTGGTTGATAGTGACCGCACGCTCCTTGTTGATCGTGACTTGTGTGAAATGCTGTGCTGGGTGCGTCCCGCAGTGACCTTAGGTATATATTGCAAGCCAATTGGGATGACCCGTCCCTTGAATAATCCAGCCTATCAAACTGGTTCACAGTTTGATTGCACGCTGCCTACTCATATTATTCCTGTCCATAGCTCTTCTAAACTTCATCTGCTCACGCCAAGTACTTCATGCCACAATCATCCGACTCTCTCGGAGATCAAGGACTGTACTTCAACCCCTTTCGGCTTATCCGCCGTCCATTAAGGAAGTAATACTGCAAATTGGCAATGACTGCCATCACGAGACCAACCGAAGCAAGGGCCATAATTGCTGTCCATCCAGTCTTGTACAAAGGCGCATCGTGTTCTTGGAAGAGCTGGCTTCCAATGATACCAGACGTGTTGGCTGCCATGATGAGGATAGCCATGGTGATGGATCTTTCTCCGGCAGAACCAGCGTTGAGAGCCATCCATGACCCATTTAGGGGATCTATATTAGGCATTAGAAAAGTATTATGCTGAGATTTGTTTGGCGAATAACTTACGCCATTGCCATCCGGTAGCATGTGTCAATGTTAAAAGAGCAAACCGTGCACGTCCATTGGGAGAAAACACCATAACTCGATCAGCAATCTATGAGTACCTAATTAGCATTGTAGCAACCTTCAACTTACGAGGCACAAACTCACAGTAAATACCCAAAATAGGAATATGCCTAACGCCACGAGGGGACCTCGCATCTGAAGCTTGTCACTGTATCAAGTTAGCTCATGCCTTTCCGAGCAAACAGTTGTGATATATACCCCAAGTAGCCCCATATCAAGTTGGTAACAACGAAAGCCCATGATCCGATCGAAACAAGCGCGTTGGACTTGAGTCGCTCGTAGCCAAATGACCTGACGAGACTTGGCGAGTAAGAGCTCATTGTGGTAGCAGGCGCAAGAGCGGCAATGGTGAGGAGGATGTGAGGAATAAGTTTCCAGTTTGTGATCTACCAAGATTAGATATATATTAACGAACAGCTCTGGTGAATCTACACACCACGTTTCTGAACTCTTCTTTAGTAACGGTTGGCTTGACGTGGATCTTTGTCGGATCATCCGCAAGGATTCTTTTGGTGAGGATGTGTCTCTCCCTTTCGGTAAAGACGCCGTATTTGAAGATAGAGACGGGGTTGAAGGGACTGTCAGGGAAGAATAGGATGAAAAGTATCCCAACAAGGATGGTGAATATGCCCTCGATCTAGCATCGTTAGAGACTCTGTAGTGTAAGAGCAGTATTGTGAGGACCTACAATGAAGAGCCATTGCCATCCACCAAGTCCCCCGATCCCTCTCATATGTAAACTAATCGCATAAGTCAATAGAACGGATCAGCAGAAATGGTGTGAACTTACATCCCGTAGGCAATTAGACCTGTACAAGCACTTGCAATTCCATTGCCGAGGAAGTAGATAGCGAATCGCTTGCTCGTCTCATCACGTTTATACCATCGTGTAATTGTGTAGAGACCTGCAGGAATGAATCCAGCTTCACACAGGCTATTTGCAGTATCAGAATACTATTAGGTACAGAGGATATGTTTGTGCATACCCAAGAAGAAGTCGAGTAGAAAGAAACGCACCGAGGCCTTTCTGGAAGGCCTGGAATGTAGCAACAAGACCCCTGTAAGGTATTAGACAACATCGAGTTGCGGTGATATGTTATAGTCACCATGCGATAATCTGAGAACCTATCCATCTCGCCGGTCCGAGGCGGTAAAGAATGAAGTTACTGGGTATCTACCCTCATTAGCAATATCCATCGCCTAGTATACAATAGATTTACTTCAAGAAGTACAATACCCGCTGATAAAAGCTGCTGACCAACGTTGAACTGACCCTGTGTAATTCCAACATCCGATAGGAAGAAATCTGTAAGAGCATTCCCACTAGAATAATGTTAGACTGTGTAGATAGGCGAGTCGACTGTAGGATCGTACATATTTCCTCGATCAAGTTGAAGAGCAAAAAAGCCCAGGACTAGCAGCGGCATGATAGTAAAGTCCATTCTATCAAGAGATCAGTTAACTAAGAAAGTAGAATTATCGTGTAGGTGACTTACTTTCGGACGAGTTTTGCCTCCTCTTCTGTAGTCCAGTCAATCTCGACATGCTCTAGATCACTGTTACTGCCATCTTGGCTACCAACAGCAGCCTCGTCAAATGTCTTTTCCATATTAGACTACTAGTAACAGCTTAAGCAAGTAAAACTTGAATTTCTACAGCAAAAACCAAATGCTAGAATTCATGGGACCGCTGTCCTTTTTGTCCCCCCGAAAAACCGCATCCCACGCGACGACCCGATATTCTCCTTTGCCATGAATGCTCCTCTTATCCCCACTGAACTTCGATAAAGATCTGCTGTAGGTAATATTTGACCGTGTCGACGATTGATGTCTCGTTTTCGCTGGTTCTTTAAGGGTTTTGAGGTGGGATAGTGGAGTTACATGCCATCTATCGTGTGTGTCACGCAATCGGCTAATTTCACCTGGCGACTTGGTTTCTCAGGAGTTGTTGATTGCCTAGATTGTCAATTAGAATGGCTAAAATATCGCTGAACCCATTTCATTCAACGACATGTTCAATTTAGTACATATGGCTTCGATTGTGAGTGACTTCAGAGTAGTGTGCAATTCTAGGATGGCTTACATGAAAACTGCATCTTGACAAAAGTCATGATAAATTACTGAGAGTAAGTTAGTTCATACACAGGATAAGTTCATGCATGCTAACCCACCAAACCTTCCGGGTTTATAGGCCGATGTGACCTGCTCAATGCTAGGATGATATCACGACATTGAGTTGTTGTGGCTCAAGCTCAGAATATAGTACTATACTAACCTTTCTTATATCAACTCAGGACATCGAAAATCTCATTTCGATCCGCTAAATACATCATGTAAGAGGGCTCGGCATGCACAACCAAATGTTCAAACGCTTTTATTTTCTACCCCAAACTCCTCCTTCTAGATCCTAGATAGGTTACACACGTCGCCACAACTAATCAATGTCTACAATAGTCCCTTGGCCTTGAGATCATCGTGTGCCTTCTTCTGTCGGTCCCATTGCTTCTTCAAGCCCTTCAGCTGGCTCTTGGGCACATCACTTCCATCCTTCATCTTAGTAGGAAGTCCTTGCTCATCCCAAGCGCTATATCTCTCATCACCCTTGAATAAATCTTCAGGCCTTACCTTGGCCTTTTCGCGAGCCTCTTGATCGGCTTTCTCCCGGGCGAGTCGCGCCTCCTCCTTCTTTTTCGCCTTTTCAGCAGCTTGAGCGACCTTCTCCTCGCGCGCAGCAATCAGCTCGGCAGCGGGAATGAACTTGATCAAGGAGGCTTGGCCATCGGGTCTGTCATCCAGGTAAACACCAAGATTTGTGAGGTCTTCGTCACGAATGCGATCAGTCAATGCGAGAATAGCCTTCTTCGTTTCAGGTGTCTGGTTTCCAACAATGCGACGTAGCTCGTCACGAAGCTTGGAGACAGCCCGCAAGTAAGGCATGGACAGTTCCTCAGGGTCGCGAGAGCCACCTGATGAGATCGACTCAAACTCAGCTGCAGGGTCTTGCTCAAGCAATGAAGAAATGTCTCCACTCTCAAGAGATAAACCAGAAACATCTGACTTGACCTTGGAAAACGCATCAGCGTAGGGCTGCACAGCTGTCTTGGGCTCGACATCCGAAGCGATCACTGTCGCCCAGCCAAGACCTTCATATGGAGGCGAAGAATTAGAATCAAGACCAAAGATTCCAACGATCTTGGTGATCCATCGGGCAATAGACTCAAGAGCCTGAAGGTCAGCATCCTTGTTATCCCTCAAGTGAACATTGGCAGTGTTGACTAGCTTGAGGATGACAGACATGGCCTTTGGTGTATCGAATGAGTTGGTCATGGCAGCCTCAAAGTCCTGCTTGGCTTGTTCCAGCTCAGCCATGAGACCCTCACTTGCCTTGCCATCCGCACTCAAAGACAGGGACTTGACTCCATGTGAGATTCCAGCCTCGGCAAGCAATGCCTTGACATTGATGAAGAAGTTCTATCCTTTGTTAGCTAAGGTTAAATACGAGCTGAGTCACACTTACGCTGACAGTTGACTCCCAGTTGTCAGCCTGCAATCGCATGTCAGGTGAGATTTCGACACCGTCATTCCATCGGCCCATGAGGAAGACAATTCGCATGCCTCTGGATGAGTAGGTTGTAGCAAGCGCATCCTGGATTGTCTGAAAGTTCTTGAGCGACTTTGACATCTTGGAGCCAGAGATTGACAAGTGACCCATATGGAGGAAATAGTTGACCCATGTGTGTTCGCCCTTACCATGCTCGCAGAAGTAAGCTTCGCTCTGTGCCAGCTCATTGTCATGATGAGGGAATGCAAGATCGATACCACCGGAGTGAATATCCATGTTAGGTCCCAGAACAGATCCCGCCATCACTGAGCATCTTGAAACCCATTTGATTAGCTCAGTCTCCAATCGATTAGCTGATTAATACGTACTCAATATGCCATCCAGGACGGCCATCTCCCCAGGGGCTAGGCCAGAAAGGCTCACCAGCCTTTGACTTTTTCCACAAAGCGAAGTCACCAGGGTTTTTCTTTCCACTAAGGCCCTTGGATAGGGATCCCTCGCCCTCTTCTTGGAGGGACTTGTCATTTCGGTTGTCGGGACGCAGTCGTGCGTAAGTATTTCCGGCCTTCTCGAAAGCGGATATGTCGAAGTAGACAGATCCATCAGCTTCGTACGCGAATCCCTTGTCGACGATTGTCTTGACGAAGTCGGCAATCTGGGGAACGTATTCGGTAACACGAGTAATAACGTCAGGTCGGAGCACGTTTAGCGCATCCATATCGTCCATAAATAGCTTCTCCATGCTCTGAGTCAGATCTGTGAACATGGTCTGATCCCGGGTATCAATGGTTTCCTTGTAAAGTGCGTCGAGGTAGGGAAGTAGAATCTCGTCGGTTCCGGGGAAGATCTCGCCTGAGGCAATGGCTTCAGCTGCAGAGGACATGTTGCTAAGGTGCATCTTGACCTTGGCCTCGTCGTCTCCAGGCTTGCCCTCACCAGAGATTGTGCCACCTCCAAGAACATGTCCGTATCCTGCCTCTCGTCGTTGGGCATAGTTAGTCGTATTGACATCCTCTCCATCCTTAAGTAAAAGAGGCAAGCTACTCTTAGCGTATGCTTGGAAAGCAGAGAGCGCGAGTTCGCGAAGTTCGTCCTTTGAATAGTTCTTGTTCTTTTCGAGTTCGAGCAATCGTTGTCGTCGTGCCTTGATAATGATCTGTCGAGGTTTAGACAAGGTCGCATAGTGTCCAACATAGTTTTAACCATACCTTGTCGTCAATGTCGGTAATGTTCATGACAAAGTTGACCTCGAAGCCAAAATAGTGCATCAAAATTCGGCGAATGATGTCTGTCGAGACATAGTTGCGAGCATGGCCCAAGTGACTCTTGTCGTACACAGTCGGACCACAAGCGTACCAGGAAACCTTACCCTTCTCAATGGGAATAAAAGGTACTGGAGCGCCCGGCTTCAGAGAGTTGTAGAGCTTTAGCGACTCCATCTTGCTCGTATTGGAGCTGGATAGAGACGAGTTCAGTCGATGGAGGGGTCTCAGTCGAGTTGAGAATGAAGTGGGGGTTAGGATTTTAGATCGAATAGGAAGACGTTGTCGAAAGAGATTCATCCAGACGCAGAAGAGCAGGCCGAATGGAAAGAGAGAAAAAGGAGATAGGAGAGAGGAAGGGTATCGCAGGAGGGAAAAGGAGGTTTATATGCAGGGTAATTGGGAAAGACCCTTAGAGAACAAGTGACTACAACGAACGAGGCTTGAGTCACAGTCGAGTTAAAGGGAGAGAAGGCGCCATCGATCAATTCAAAGACACTTCCATTTTCTGACCTGCCCTGAGCTACAGGGGAGCTACAGGGACCTGACGCCTGACGCCCCCGCGATGACTCCCGTCCCCAATAGCCTGGTCAATAGTCACATCTTTAGCACAAGGTTGTGGATGCCCCTCACTAAGATCTTTAGTGGAGCCAACGCTAAACGTTCAGCCTCGCGCCGCAAGTTTGGAAATATTTTCCTGCCTCGTCCGCGCAAATCTAGTCTTTACCAAACATCAATTCGATCTTGAGAGTCGCTTGGGCGCGCAATCGCATCAATGTTTGAACCTTCGCCATTCCTGGAGCCAAATGCCACCACTTCAACAGGCGATTTGGCAATTGTTCTTCTCTCCCGAGATAATCTTCAACCCGTCACTCTTGAACAGTCAACTGGCGCAGTTGATGGCTACCTCGAAGGCGTAACGCTAAATACGCGATTCGGTTCTTTCCCTCACTCGACTCTTCTCGACATCCCTTGGGGATCTCAAGTGCGCGCATCCAATGTAGACACTGGCTCAAGAGGACGAAAGCGCCGACACGAGGCTACAGACGAAGAAACACCAACAACGACTGGTCCAGACGACGAGGGCACAGATGTAGTTTCCAAGCCTGCAAAGAAAGCTGTTGCTGCAGCCAGTGGTTTCATTCATATTCTCCGACCGACTCCCGAACTCTGGACGAGCAGTTTGCCTCATCGAACTCAGGTCGTCTACACACCCGACTACAGTTACATCCTTCAGAGGATACGAGCCGTCCCTGGCACACGCATCATCGAAGCAGGAGCAGGCAGTGGCAGTTTTACTCATGCCTCTGCGCGGGCTGTATACAATGGGTACCCGAAGGACGAGATTGAGCAGAGAGGAAAGGTTTTCAGTTTCGAGTACCACGAGCCCCGATACAACAAAATGCAAGAAGAGATCCACGAGCATAAGTTGGATGGCATTGTACAACTGACACATCGTGATGTTTACGGTGAGGGTTTCAATGTGGATGGCAAATCTCCTCGTGCTAGCTCTGTCTTTCTTGACCTACCTGCCCCTTGGGAGGCACTTCACCACCTCTCCCGACAAAAACCAGCGAAGTTGACGAAGGGAGACGAGGATGCTGAGACATCCGAATGGGTCTCGCCTCTCGACCCCAAGAGGAGTGTTCACATTTGTACCTTTTCTCCCTGCATAGAGCAAGTCACACGAACGATCGAGGAGCTTAGACTACTAGGCTGGACAGATATCGACATGGTGGAAATTTCTGCTCGAAGGATCAACACTGTACGTGAGCGAGTCGGAGCGAATCTCCCTGCCGAAAGGGGCACTGTTCAGACACCAGCAGATGTGAAGGAAGCCATGAAAAGGCTCAAGGAGATCAACCGAAAGACCAAAGAATTTCACAAGGTGCATGTCAAGTCGACAAATGGTGATGACGACTCTTCAGCAATGGATGTCGATACCCCGGCATCAAACTCCTCCAAGCCCAACACCAATGGAAAGGATGTTGAGGACGACAGCAAACCATGGATGAGTGGAAGACTCTACCACAGACCTGAGACGGACCTCAAAACTCACACATCATATCTCACCTTTGCTGTTCTCCCTCGAGAGTGGACCGAGGAGGATGAAGCAGCAGCTTGGGCAAAGTGGCCCTGCGGAAAGGAGGGTGGAGTGATTGGGAGCCTCAACAGGCAGGCTCGCAAGCAGCAGACACGGGAGAAGTTGGCAGCAAACAAAAACAAGAAGCAGAAGCAAGAAAGTGATACCCAGAGAGAGGGAGAGGCCGAGGTGGCCGCAGAGATGCAATAATAAGACGATTCGCTTATCAGCGGGTTGTAAGTTCAACACACCAAGTTGTCTAAGCCGATCTACACTCCAACCGACCAGTTGTGTGATTGCACTCTTGTCAATCAGCATTGTGACTTGTTTTATCACCTTACTATGACATTCATTTCCTCAATCACAAAATATTTCATGCCTGAATCATCTTCATTGGCACATCGTCCTCAACTGTTCCTCCGTGGTTCGAAGCGCCGCACGCGACAGGCAGCTGACAAGGCGGCCTTGGGCTGAGGCCATGCTCTTTTTGCCAAATCAGGTACCTCGCAGCTTTAGCCAGAAAGCAGTCTCTCAATTGGCAGATGCAGTGACACCTGTTCAACGCTCATAGCTTTCACAAACACGCCTTTTTCAATTCCTGGCCAACTATGTGAATTATTTGCTCACCTTGTACCCAATCAGGGGCTCATTGACCATGCTTTGACGACCCACGGGTTCCTGAAGACACGAGAGGTCGCCTTTTGTGTTTCTGCTGCATGCGGGCTTCCTTTCGGCACCCAGCGGAAGAGTGAGGCTGTCGGGCAATGAGATGCGTTGGGACGATATGCGAACCTCGAGTCTGCGACCTGATTCAGTCGCTCTTTGCCTGAGGAGACGTTCCGGGATTATATCTGTTCGATGCTTCCGTGCCCACGTGTATTTCGTTTTGATCTAAATTGTTAACCGACCGACGCATGTTGAGATGACGAGCAACAGAAGACCCGCGCAGGGGATGCAACAACAAGCCATTGCGTCGAAGCCAATTGAACCATACCTCGGAGGCTCTGGATGGTCGGAATGGGCCCTCCACAATTCTGGGCTATACTACTATCGAGCTCGTTATGTCTCATATGAAGACATCTCAACAATACCACCTACGGGCAGAAACTCGATTGTTCCAAATATCCAAGGCGGATACATTCACTATGAGTCCATGACCGTTAGTGAAGCTTTGAGCCACAGCGCCCCCAATCAGGTCCCAGAGCTCTCAACATGTTCTACTGCAACAACACCAACAAACAGTGACCCGGCGGCCCCGTCACAAGGATACGCGCAGCCGAATAATCAACTGGTTCTTTCAACGGCGTATCCCAAACTTGGCATGGAGATGAGCGGCGCGTTGCAATCAGAAGAAGAGGCCATGGAAACAGTAGTGGTGATATCGAGTTCTAATACAGTCAAGCGAGTATCGACTACATCAAAGAGACAGAAGGACAAGAAGAAGCATGGGAAGAAGTTGGACGTGGATAAGAGGAAGCAAATCAGTAATAAAGCGAAAGTGGACAAGTGGTTAGATGCTTTAGGATAGCGTGTTGGTTTCTATATCGGTCGGATGGCAGTATTCAGGGCTGACCGAGGCGTCATTTGAGAACAAGGTGTTTGTTTGATGAAAGGATATCTTAATTCACATACTTCTTTATAAAGTCGAGGCTCAGGCTACTTACCAACTATACAAGATGCACGCACTGTGTATCGCAATGTTGAGATCCACATCCACACAGTGCCACTCAGTCATCGGCCCGGATCAACTCTTCTCCACCTCGCCCATCCGTCCCTCACCACCAAGCCTCGCCAATTTTCACGATATACCAAGCTCCAGCTCAGCCTCGGCCTTGTCTACACGCGACAGCACGATAACCACATACAACCGCAATCATGACTTCCACAATCGGTATCCCCATCAAGCTCCTGAACGAGGCGCAGGTCCGTACTCTCTCATTAGATACTCTGGATTGAGCAACGGAAAGCTAACATGCGCTGCAGGGCCACATCGTTACCCTCGAAATCACCTCTGGCCAGACCTACCGTGGCAAGCTCCTCGACGGTACGTTCTCCCTGTTATTCTCTTGCTTGCTTCATATGTTACTGGGAGAAATTTAGACTAACATAACACAGCTGAGGATAACATGAACGTCCAACTCAAGGACATCACCGTCACCGCCCGCGATGGTCGCGTCTCGCATCTCGATCAAGTCTACATCCGTGGCTCCCACGTGCGCTTCTTCATTGTCCCCGACATGCTTCGCAACGCCCCCATGTTCCGCAGCCGCAACGTCCGCGGTCGTGGTGTCGGTCTTGCCAGAGGTCGCGCGACCGTTAGCCGAGCGCGTGCAGGCGGACGAGGAGGACGATAGAGGGGCCCCCAAAAAGACAATAATAGAGAATATTGCGTGTTTGGCGTTCAGGCTTTTTGGATTTGACTTACAACCGGGGGTGCTTTTATCGCACATGGTAAAGAAAAGAACATGATCATGGTTGTGGAACAGGCTTCGGTGTGATACCAGTCTAGATGAGGGAGGTTGGGAGACTCGGCGAGGAATGCATGACCTCGCGATATATGGTTGTGTTTTTGGAGATTGACTAGATCACAAAAAGAAGGCGTCTGTTACGCCTGGTATCTCGTCACCATCTAATGGCCCATGTGCTTTTCACTTCCTTTTAATGTACAGAATGCCCCCTTTTATTTCATGCGTCCAAGAGCTTCCTGAGCCTTGGCCACGAGTTCCCGAACCTCGTTGAGCTCATCACCTTTTTGGTCTACTACTGGTTGCTCTTGTTGCTTCTCCTTGGTGAGTACCTCTGAGACGCTATCCTCGACACCCCGAAGAGCCTTGCGGCCTTCTTCGCGAACTTCACCCTCCCAGAATGTTCGCGCTGCATCCCACTTCTTCTGTAGCCTGCTGGAACTCCACACTATGCCGAGTGCTGCTACGGCGCCGGCTTCGTAGATGGTTGAGGAGAATTGGGAAACATATAGAAGAGCAGCGAGGGATGTTGTGAGTCCAGAAGTGCCTAGAGATTGGATGACAAGTCGTTGAGCCAAAGCCTGCAGCGCAGGGATAGTCTCGTTTTGGAGATATTTTCGTGTAAAGGCGATGTGACCAGGCCACTTTGGTAGCGCTGAGCGAGCGTTGACTGGGGTCAGAGATTTTAGGTCTCCAGAGCCAAGTTGCTTCAATTCAGGCTTTGCGCCGTAGTTATTATTAACGGAGATGGGTTGGGGGTATTGTTGGTCAGCTTTAGCAGCTTGCGCAATTTGTCCAGCCAAGTAAACAAGTTCGCGCTCTGCGGTTGGCAAGAAACGTTGGTTCAGCATCTCATTTGTGAGCATAGCAACATCGTCCACCCTCCAGAACAATTGCCACCATCCCAGCTTACGCCATCTTTGGCCTGTGAAAGCCAGGTCAAGCTCATCTTGGAGCTCTGTATGTGCTTGCTGTGACCAGTTGTCCACCGCCTGGACCAGGACTGGGGAGATGGCAGGTTCTTGTGCAGTAGGCGTCGCTTGGTAGGCCTGTCTGATTTCACGACGGTTTTCTTGGTCACATCTCGCCAAAACGTTGTTCAGCAGAGAGACAATCAACCCTCGTACCGCAGGTTTGGTGGCTTCGTTAGAAGAGGTGATACCTGACTTGAGCCATGTGGTCAAAGCAGGAAAGTTGCTGTTAAACCAAAGTCGCTCATACTCAATCGCATTGCGAGAACTCTCTCGAAAAACTGACACACTCTTCGCAGCAACGGACATATCAACGGTTGCGAATGGTGCGTCAACTTGCTTCGGGTCAACTCCTTTCAGATCGACCACTTTCAACACAGACTCCTCTCCTTCAAGAACAGGCACTGCTGTAACATCAACAGCTCCCTTGAAACCATCGCCGACGAGAATGGCCTTGTGAACGGGAGTGGTCACTGGCGTCACTCGATCCTCAGCCGATGGAATGCCGACCTTGGGAACAAGAACAGCTTCTTCCACTTCGACAGCTCGTGTCTGTTCATCTCTGGCAAATTCCGGGAGATGAGTCTCCATGAAGAGAAGCTCTAGGTTGAGGTTGTTCCACTCGGCAGAAGATACATTGATCTCGCTAAGCAGAGTCGTCTTGGTCACAGTAATAGTACTCTGCTGCTCTGCGGTAGACCTTACTCGAACAATAAGAGGGTTCTTTGGGTCATGGTCCCTCAATTGGCGCTCCCATTCCTGCTCATCCTGCAGCGGATCTGTCACGAGCAACCTCAACACATTCTTGGCAGTTTGGCCCGCACTCGAGCCAGGTGCCAGTCCCAGAATCGCAACCCTCACAGCTTCCTGGCCTGGTATTTGCCGCAGGCCTTGAACTGCCAATTGCAGTCTTGAAAGATTCACCAGCGACGGTGCGAGTTTCTGGATGTCGAGGAGATGCTGCTCAAGCTCGGTGCGGGGGTTTGGCGGGTGCGTAGACGAAGACGTAGACGAAGACGTAGACGCAGACGCAGACGCAGACGCAGACGCAGACGCAGACGCAGACGCAGACGCAGACGTCGAAGTGAAGCGTTTTGCGAGGGCATCGCGACGGGTCCGTATACGCGGGCGAGATGCTGTGACGCAGCAAAAAGGACATATCGAGGCGCCGTGAGCGTTGGGCTTCGGTATCAAAACCCCGAGCTTGCCTGCGCGAGGCAGACGGGCTCTCGGTGAAGCCATTTCCGTTTTGCGAAAATGATTGGTGATGAGAGATTCCCCAGCCTGGGATCTGTAGTGTATGGAGTGCACTGTACAGTACGTAGTGCCTTAAAGTCCTAGGGTGCGCGGGATGCCTCAAACAGGGAAACTCCGTGGCGGCAAAGGGTCGGCAAATCACGGAACATGTCAGGCTCTTGACTCAGAAGCCAACCAACTTCCATCAGCCTTACAACCTTGGGAAAGCCACTGTCGATCACTTGTGGTTCTTAACTTCTTTTCTTCTAACTTGGGGAAAAGTGACGATATTGCTCCAATTTTATTGAGTTTTTAACTACGCATGCCTGTGATTGTGAATCCTACTGCAGTGCTCGATTCATGATTTTTTCTTGCCTGATGGGAGGTTGCATGGTTTATGAAGAGTCTTGTCCCGCCCCAAGCGCCGGATTACCTCTTACGTCTTTGGACATATTTATCAAGTTCTTTGAATGAATGAATAAAACTTATTTTACCTTTAAGACGCTTGTACCATATCAAGTGAACATTTCTAGTCCTGCTCTTACTCAACGTTTAGTTGGTTATATATGCACCATTCAGGCCATCATCTGATATCTGTAAACATCATCTGATGAGTGCTGAGTGACTCAAAAGGGCTCCCTAATCACTCCTATATCTACCCCAACTCGACAATGGCCGCCGTGCTAGAATACAACCAAGCTTCACTCAACTACCAGAGTGAAATGACAGACATCAAAGACGCCATAAGGGAAGCCTTCCCTAAGACAACAGAGCTTATACGTTTGCTTGAACAAACAAAACATATTCGCTCTGATGTTGCTTTACAACAAAAGATCGTCTCAGATCTTGAGTCGCAATTAGCGGACTCCAACCGAGAACTCGATGGCTTGGATCGCAAGCGCTTGGCGGACTTGGAGTCACATAAGAAATATCGCGATGGTTCTATGATGAGGTTTCTCTACAAGGCCAGCGGTAAAGAGAACTCGTTTGCAGGACAAGCTGAGAGGGAAGAGCAAAATTACCACAACACGCTTCAACAAGCGCATCTGGCTTCGGAACACAACTCAACTGTGAGAGCCAAACTGGAACAGGAGCTCAAGACAAAAAATGAACTCGACCAACACATGCAGGGCTACCTTGGCCTTCAAAAACAACTCGAGGATATCTACGATGATATTTTTACTGGCCCGACACCGGAATTCCCCGAGGAGGATACAAAGGAGATTGAGAGCGACGAGGCTTTGTCTGCATATGTTGCTACAAAAACCGCGCTCAAATTACACCAGAAAGCACTAGACCTCCTTGAAAAAGCAACATCCACCATGACAGCTGGGCTTCAACAGGTGGACAAGGCTCTTCAGTCGGGAGACATGAACCAACTCCGAGCTTTGAACCAGGGAAGAGAGCTTGTGCAGCAGAGCAAAACGACGGTTGACCAGCTGGTGAAGCTAGGCGCAGACGTGATCGAGCTCCCTCCAGAGGCCAACCCACGTACTATGGAGGTTACGTCCAATTTAGGCGATACGTGGGGAAAGGTCGATATCACTGGTGGACGCCAGGAAGTAGCGCGCTGTACGGCTGCTCTAAGCCATGCTCTGAGTCAAGCAAAGGAGAAGAAATACTACCTGACGAAAGAGTTGAGGAGGAAAGAGGAGGAGATGGAAGAGGCGAGAACAGAGTTGCAAAGAGTCAGGAGGGGCATCTTCGAGAAGGTGATGGGTAACGATATGGTCAAAGGTTCATAGACTGGGTCATAGAACATCTAGAGCGAAGGCATAACTCGGATCTCGGTTGATAGAGGGTCTTCAAAGCCCACAATTAGATTTGATTAAACATCTTCAACGACCAAGTTACCGTGTGAAAGCAACGACTCTGATTCGTCTTCTCGGCAACGTTCGCTTATTTCTTTTGACAGCTCAGTGACACAATGCCAAGAACGGGCCACGACCTTCAACATCAGCACGGACACTTTGCTTAATAAAGTAAAGACTACGGATAAACAATTATTCAACCCTTTGCATGTGAAAACTGCCAGTTAAATGATGCGATTCTGGCCCTAGCGGAAGCCTACCCCAAACGGGAAACCAAATCGTGAGACCCTTCAATTCTTGTTAAGTAAATTATTTTCCATAGACCCTTGGGGATACAATCTGGTGCAGTTGGCGTCTGTTTTTCGGGGTTGCTATACCAATTCTAGGGAATAGCTGAAAAACGATGATTCATGACTTTCAGCTAGCACCAGGGGTTCACCGTTTGACATCCGCTCCTGCGTAAAGCTAAAGAAGCTTAATAGCGAATAACCAAAATGCGTTCCTCGTTTAAAGGGTCTCTTGGAAGGATTTAAAGATTTAAAGATCCAACGCTTTTGTGTTGCACTGAAGACATCCTCGTGGTCATCAAGTATTAGCTTTGACTTTCACATATCTTCATCATGAGCGATAGTGCACAAGGTACCTCGGGGGGTGCGTAAACTTACACTCAACGTTCACTTACACGCATGAACTCTCATACTAACAACATTCGCAGGAGAACGGCCTATCAAAGGCTACGTTGACCCAAACTTCCCCAATCCCAACGGTGAATGGGATGTTGCTGTCATCATCTACGGTTATACGCCCGCCTTTTCTCTGGCCGTGTTCGCAGCTGCTTGGTTCGCACTCTTCTTGGTTATTCACCTCTTCCAGACGATTCGCTACCGCAGCTGGTATTTCATCACGTTCCCCATTGGTCTTCTATTCGAGATCGTTGGCTACGTTGCCCGTTCGCTCTCGGCCAAGAAGGATCCGTACCATCTGCTGTACTTCATCCTTAACTACTTCTTCATCGTCACGGCCCCTGTGTTCCTTGCTGCCGGCGTGTACACAATCCTCTCGGCTTTGATCCCTCGTCTTGGGCGTCGATACTCGTTCTTGCCGCCAAAGTTCATTCTGTGGTTTTTTATCACGTCTGATGTTATCGCTACGGTTGTTCAGATCACGGGTGCAGCTCTCATTGGCGTGAGACAGTCGAACCGTGATGATCCAACTGATGCCAACAACATCCTCCTTGGAGGACTAGCCTACCAGGTCTTCTCCCTTAGTATCTTTGTCGTCCTCACAGCATCGTTCCTCTTCCGTGCTCGAAGGGAGGTTAGTTCACGGGGCAAGAAACTTAGCCTGTTTTGTGTCGCTTTTGCAGTAGCTACCATCATGATCTACCTGCGAACATGCTTCCGTCTGGCAGAGACGGCTGAAGGCCTCGGAGGAAATTTGTCTTCGAACGAGATTTACTTTGCTTGTCTTGAGTTCGCTCCTGTGGCGCTGGCTGTGTTGCTCTTCGCTATTTGGCATCCTGGAAGATGTGTGGGCAAGAAAGTGAGAGTGACCGATTTGGAAAAGGAACACACTCGGGTCCAAGACTTTTAATTTGAATGAAACATACTTCCCGTTGTAATAGGTAGTTTAAGTAGTTTATAATTAACAACAGCCCAGCATAATAATAATTGCACATCGCCAATTATCCCTCATCGTATTGAGTGAGCCCTGTAGCTGTCAACTTCAGCGGCGGCATACCCGCTACGCCTAAACGTATAGCTCCACCAAAGCTTACAACTCAATACCAAACTCCCAACCTTGCCAGCCACCAGCTCATCCTCCATCACCAACAACTTCAACTGGCAAAACACATAATGCCTCCTCTACCTCCCTCAGCAAACCCTTTGCCTCGTCTAATCACATACTATCAAACCCACCATGACTCCTCGGGAAACCTCATATCTCCCCTCCCCCTCATCACGCAGCCCGGCATCGCTATCACTCACGTCATTGTCGCCGCCATCCATATAAACGATGATCCTCAAAAGATCACCTTGAACGACTATCATCCCTCCCATCCTATCTTCCAGACAATGTGGGCTGAGTTGCGTATTCTGCAGGCCTCAGGAGTTAAGGTCATGGGTATGCTGGGCGGTGCTTGTAAAGGCAGCTATGTGCGCCTTGACGCCGACCAGGAGACCTTTGATCGTTTCTACGGACCAGTGAGAGATATGATTCGAGAGAGAGGTCTAGATGGTTTGGATCTAGATGTTGAAGAGGAGATGTCATTGGGAGGCATCGTGCGGTTGATAGACCGTCTACGTAGCGACTTTGGGCCTACATTCCTCATCACCCTTGCACCTGTTGCCATGTCTCTTCTCGACTTCAAAAAGAATCTTAGTGGGTTTGACTACGAAGCTCTTGAAGTGATGCGTGGTCGCGATATTGCATGGTACAACACGCAATTCTACTGCGGCTGGGGTGACTGCAGTAATCCCTTCATGTACGATATGATGGTCCGCAAGGGCTGGCCGCCGGAGAAGATCGTAATTGGACTTGTCACCAATTCTGAGAACGGAAGTGGTTACGTGCCGATGAACCCACTCAGTATGGTTCTCGCGACATTACGAGGACGGTATGGCTCTTTTGGAGGCATTATGGGCTGGGAGTACTTTAACAGTTTACCCGGAGGCAAGGACCGGCCGTGGGAGTGGGCGAGGGAAATGACCAAGATGCTGAGGGGACACATCCTACCACAGCAAACACAGCCAACTCAAACAGCACCACCGCCAGCGGTACAAAGTACTTCGAAACCGAACGTGGATGAGGTTGATCCAGACGCCCCCACTGGAAAAGATGTATCAGTACCCAAGCAGTTTGACTATTACTCAGATGGGTCTGATGACTAGGTATATATATAACAACACTTAGTACAAAACATATACATGTGTCTCGACGCAGCCTTTACTGGGTGTTGCGGACGCCAAAAGGGCATGAGGCTGTGCGGAAACAAGAAGATATTTATATAGTGAATTTAGGAATTTCGTCTCACTACGTGGTTTACTTGTTTTGTCTACTGTTCATTTGAACTTATACTATCAATATCATCCATATAAAACAACAAGAGACTATGCTGTCAAATCTTGTTGCTTTTGGACTTCTCTAATTTCGAGTCTGAGTCAAACACTAGCAATTTCATTGGAAACCGCTCATCAGGTGGAGAAAGGCCAATACTCAAGGTGATTCAGTGAATATTATCATCTTGAGTCGTGACAGAGTACTGTAAAGACATTGAATTATATGACGAGCAGAAAAGAAAGCAATGTAACATGAATCACCAAAATTTCTCGTTCGTTTTCATCCCTCATGATCTACACGATCCATCATAAACATGCAACACCTACGCCACCAATAGAGATAACACAAATTCACACATCTCCGTCTTAAACACAGGCCATCCATGGGCTGCATTGAGCCTGGACATTGTAGCTATTGAAAAGAGGGAAAGTTCCCTTGATCGCTGCCAGAATAGGGTCAAAGAACTGTTTGTTGAACTTTGTAGGGTCACAAGTCGAGCATGGGCCAGTAAAGAAGTTGTCGTAGGTTGTGTTGTAACTGAGATAACCAACAACGTCTTGATGAGCGACGTCAATAGCCTGGAAACTAAAAGCCTCAGGCATAACGATCCAATGCTCCGAAGTGGCGTTGCGCTTTCCTGGTACGACTGGGCTCTGGTTGAAGAAAGTGCTGTTCATGCCAAGGTCATGGAGAGCCTTGATCAGAATCAGAGTCAGATGGGAGTCTGAATCAACCTGGATACCAGCACAGTCGATGTTGATGGTGTACCCATCCCCCTTAACAGGTTGGCCCACGCACTTCCCGGACTTTCGATCCCAGGAGAACTTCTCGATAAAGGCTTGCCAAGTGTTGGGCCAGTTGATGAAGCGTGGGCTGACAAGGGTGGACACAAATAGCTTTCCAGCGTTGGGGTCGATAGGAGGACTTGGGTTGCCACCAGTAGAGGTAGGTGTCGCGGGTGGTTGTGAGATGAAAGTGGTAGCAGGAGGGGCAGAGGAGGTCAGCAGGGTAGAAGTGGGAGAACCCATGCCGCTAGGACGAGCAGGAGGTGCATTATCGCGGTTGCAGACAAAGGCAGTCAAGCAAACAGCATCGGGGTTGACCGTCTTGTTGAGAGCAGCACTAACAGGACGGCCACGGTAAGCCCAGCAGTTGAGCTGTTGGCCACCCTCCTTTGTGGTAACAGCATATCCAGCTTTGAAGCCGTCGGGCATGCTATCTTCGATGAAGGCTGACCAAACAACGCCGTTGGAAAGCTTGACAGTAGTTCCCTGGCGAGTCCAGGGGTACCGTCCGTTGCTGTAAGGGACTTCGACGGCCAGATTGGGTGCAGCGGGAAACTTGGAGGTGTCTTGAGGCCACTGGATATCTTGATACCAGTTCACCTGGCGAGAAGTAGACCATTTGGGGTGATCTTTGTTGTCACCAATGCCACAGTCTGCAAGGATGAGGTCTTCGTTGGGGTACTGGATCTGGGCATGGACAGTTGCCAGAAAGACGCCAACGGCTGTCAACTTGGTAGCGATCATCTTGTTGATGATGCAGTGGGTTTAGTTTTGAGAATTGGGTGTGATGGGCAGTAAGTGTGGACTGACTTGATCAATTGTGACGGTGAACGAAAGATCAGAGGTGACTGAGAGAGTGTGTTTGAAGATGAGAGGATGAAAAGCAGAAGAGGGGGGAGAGGATCAGTAAGGAGATTTAGGACACTCTTGAAAGAGGTGAAGAAACAGCAAGAGCTCCTTCTCTTCTTGCCTTGAGGCTCCATTCTGGATGTTTCGTTGGGGAATATTGAGGTCATCACACTGTATTTTAGGCAGGAGCCAGCACTCTCCTCACTTGATGGTTTACTGAACAGGCAGGAACACAGCAAAGAATGACCCATCTGGACCGCACCACCTTCCTAGCTATAACTCTACTCAATCCCAGGCAGTTGGCCTCGTGTCATCTTAAAACTGTTGGGACACTGATGGCGTGAGAAGATTGGATTCAAAGGAAAGAATGGACAAGGGCAAGTGCAGGTGCAGAACAACAATAGCTTCACTTTGCGTGCGGGAGGCATACCCGGTCTGGAGAATATCTTTGGTCTATATTCTCAACAGGCCTTAGAGTTCAATACTTGTTCATTGGGTTGTTGTGTTGTGCAAGCCTTTCGTGATGTAGGTAGTTGGTAACAAGTCTATCATCGCTGTACTGGCACACTCCCATCATCTTATGATGGTAGTCATTTGACAGTAATATCTGATGCTTTGTGAAAAGTGCTTGGCCCCCTTGATTTGGAAAATTTCCGTCACCAGAATTCTAACATTGTCCAGTCAATTCCCACTTGTTTAGTTCAGTGTTCTAGATTTAACGATGTGCAATTGTGTTGTTTCGTGATTAGCACTAATAGATAATGACATGAGATGTAGGCTAGAACCGAATAAACAGCTTGTCTTAATGGAAACTCATTATCTCTTGAAGAAGCCCTGGATTTCGATCTGACGGAGCATAATATAAACACCTTATGATAGCTACTTCGGTGTCGAATAGACTAATGGGACGTCATTGACCTTTCAAGCTAGCTACCCTGAACACTTCGGAACGCGGCCAAGTCAATCCGTCAGCAGCTCCACCTCCAGCTACAAGGTCGACTTCTTCAACTGCCTAGATCTACCTCAGCAACTTTAATCTTATACGTCAAGCTTGCTCACCGAAGTCTCAATATGCGTCGTAACCCAATAGCCTTCAATCGGCGTCCTAGCCTCCATATTCGAACCCCACGTCTCAACCCCGCGTGTACTCGCGCCGAGTCAAGCCAAGCATCCCGCATCGACCGCATCACATCCAAGCTTCCCCGTCGGTTACAGAAATACACCAGCCGTTTACGCAATGCGCCTGTCTCGCATGTCGTCTCATTTCTGATCTTGCACGAGATCACAGCCATTGTCCCTGTGCTGGGACTATTTGGTTTTTTTCACTACACAAATTACGTACCTGTAGACTACGTAACAGGTCATTTTGGAAGCTATGTGGAAGATGGTGTTAGCAGGTTTGGGAGATATTTCAAACGAAAAGGCTGGTTTGGGTTTGACAAGAACGATGAAGGCGAGACAGCCTCAAGTATAGCTACGACACATCCCGACTCCAAAGCCGAAGATGCAGTCGAGCGTTGGCAGAGTGGAGATGGACGATACAAAGTGCTTATGGAAGTTGCTCTTGCATACGCAATTACCAAAGCTTTACTGCCAGTCCGTATCATTGGCAGTGTCTGGGCTACACCGTGGTTTGCTGGTGTACTTATGAGAGCCAAAGGAGCATTCACGCGCAAATCTTAATCTCTCATGACAATGTGAACATAAAGGTTTCGAGAATATTTTCTTGTCATGATTTTGTTATACCCACAGAGATGAAGTCATCCCACTTGTATGTGCTTTTTTCCATTCCGTCATTCAGGGCGTCACATCATTGACAATTTAAGCCTTCTCGTAAACCCAGTTGAACTGGGCGGACTTCCAGGAGACAACCTCACCCTCCTTGAACCAGAGAGCAATCTCCTTCTGGGCGTTCTCGACGGAGTCGGAACCGTGGCAGACGTTGCGGCCGACGTCGATGGCGAAGTCGCCACGGATGGTGCCGGGGGAAGAGGCAAGGGGGTTGGTGGCACCGAGGATGGCTGGATATCGTTAGAAACAGTATTTAGATGTTGGACAGTATTTGACTTACATCGGCCAGTCTTGACGGCGTCACGGCCCTCCCAGACCATGGCGCAGATGGGGCCAGAGTTCATGTACTCAATGAGACCAGCGAAGAAAGGCTTGCCAGCGAGATCAGCGTCTACAAGAATGTTAGAACCAATTGATGTTGGGGCGGATCGTTATGGTGACGAACAGTGCTTCTCGAGGTGCTCCTTGCCGGGGGTGATGAGCTTGATGGCGGAAAGCTTGAAGCTATTTAAGGTTAACTTTTGTATCCGTAAACGTCTAGGAAGCTACTCACCCACGGTTCTCGAAACGAGAGATGATGGGACCAACGAGTCCACGCTGTAGGAGCCATGTTAGCTCTTGTCGTCGAGTAAATCGTATTATCAAGATCTGTTTACCTGGACACCGTCGGGCTTGATAGCGATGAAGCTATAAAAACATTAGCACGAATATCAACACAGGACAGCAGCAACCCTGATGGGCTCGAGCTTGATGGCGGGGTAGCTTACGTCTGCTCGGAGGAGGACATTTTGGCGATATTCTTGTCTGGTATGACTTGAGATGAAGGAACAGAGTAAGAGGTAGAGGCAGAGGCGAGATTGACTGGAGGGGAAAGGCTTGAAGAAGGCGGTGAAAAGAGGATATAAATGGCAAGGAGGGCGAAGAGCAGAGCAAAAAATCGCGGGGCCAGATTTTCCGCTGTTCTCCGTGCCTGTGCCTGTTGCTTCTCGTTGCTGGCGGGGTCTTTTCGCTGGCGGGGCTCCTCAGCCATGATGAGCTGGCGTTGAGGGGTCTTGGGGTGCGAGATCCGGGGAGTTCACACGGACACGTGACTAGATTAGTTGTCGAGATGACACTTCTAGGAGTGTCGAGGTTGAATTGTATAATGGGGTTCTGTACAGAGTAGAGAGAATATTATGACAAAGCTACACAATTAATTAATACTCAATTCGGTTCTGCTAATTAAAGTCTTAAGATTTAAGCCTAGAAAAGAACGTTGGTTCTGTACTCACAATGGACAAGATTTGTAGACAAGTGTAACAAGCTGAAGCTCCAGTACTGCTCAGTGGAAAGTACAGTGCATGCAACGACAAAGCCAATGGCAAAACAAAAAGTGCTCCAGGAATGCAAGAACTGAAGAATTGGTTCGTCGAGGTCTAGTCTTCTATCGAAGCGTGCCCCGCCATTTGGGTATCCGCTCCCCTGCGTCTAGCACCAGTCCCAATCGAGAGTGGAGTTTCACAGGGGAGCTAAGGGACAGCTTGACTTCGACATCACCAAAGCTGAGGTTATCCCAGCACGAACCAAAACAATCCATCTTTTATTTTTTACCCACTGCGAGCTTCTACGGGTAGATATAGACCACGAAACTCAAAATTTACTGTTGATGTTTGTTTGATTGGTCAGAATCTTTGCACATCCATCTGTTTGACCTCCTTGTAAGGTCCGGTTCTTGACCGTCTAAACATCATGAGGTCAAGTATGGCGTCGTCCTTTTGCTGGACGGCGCTGCTTTTGCTTTTAGGCACTTTGGCCTGCCTTTTACAATCGGCTGGTACGATCTTTTCAACATAGCGGTCATCTCATTTACTCACAATTGCTTCAGCTGCTGTCAAAGAGAAGGACTTCAAGAAATGCGACCAATCTGGCTTCTGTAAACGAAACCGCGCCTACGCCGACAATGCCGTTACCCAAGGTTCGAGCTGGAAAGCACCATACGAGATATCGGCCGACTCGGCATCATTTGAGAATGGAAAGCTAAATGCCATGGTTGTCAAGACCACCAACGCCAATGGAGACACCGTCCGCCTGCCCCTTACCATCTCATTCCTCAAGTCTGGTGCCGCTCGAGTCACTATGGACGAAGAGAAGCGACGCAACAAGGATGTCATCTTGCGAGATGACAGCCCTGTTCGTAAGGAACGATATAACGAGGCTGATGATTGGGTCCTTATCGGCGGTCTGGATCTTGACAAGGAAGCGCAACTTGCATTTCAAGACAAGACCCAAATCAACGTCAAGTTTGGACCCGACTCCAAGCAGGAGGCAGTTATCAAGTTTTCACCTTTCGAGATCGACTTCCGACGCGACGGCAACTCACATGTGAAGTTCAACCACCGAGGTTGGCTTAACATGGAGCACTGGAGGCCCAAGATCGAGAATAAGGAGGGCGAGGAAGCCGCTGAGGACGAGAGTACATGGTGGGACGAGTCGTTTGGTGGAAACACTGACACCAAGCCCCGTGGTCCCGAAAGTGTGGCTATGGATATCACTTTCCATGGATATGAGCATGTATTCGGAATTCCTGAGCACACTGGCCCATTATCCCTGAAGCAAACGCGCGGTGGAGAGGGCAACTACGCCGAGCCCTACCGCATGTACAACGCCGACGTGTTTGAATACATTCTCGATAGCCCCATGACACTTTATGGATCTATCCCTTTCATGCAGGCGCATCGTAAGGGTTCGTCTGTTGGCGTCTTCTGGCTGAACGTTGCCGAGACATGGGTTGATATTACCAAGGAAAAGAACAGTGCAGACCCTCTGAGCCTCGGCGTTGGTAGCAAGACAAGCACACACACTCACTGGATCTCTGAGTCTGGTCTTCTGGATGTTTTCGTCCTCCTTGGCCCTACTCCCTCTGACCTTACCAAGACCTATGGAGAGTTGACTGGCTACACTGCTATGCCTCAAGAATTTGCCATTGCTTACCACCAGTGCCGATGGAACTATATCTCCAGCGACGATGTCAGGAATGTTGATCGCAACATGGATAAGTACAAGATTCCGTACGATGTCATTTGGCTGGACCTTGAGTATACCGATGACCGAAAGTATTTCACTTGGGAGCCTCACTCTTTCCCCGACCCTATCGACATGGGCCAGCACCTTGATGATCATGGCCGACAGCTAGTTGTTCTTCTTGACCCCCACATTAAGAAGACCGACGGCTATAAGGCCTCGGAGGAGATGGTTGCTCAGGACCTCGCCGTTCACGACAAGGAACAGAAACTCTATGAAGGATGGTGCTGGCCTGGAGCGTCGAACTGGATTGACTGCTTCAACCCCAAGGCGATCGAATGGTGGAAGAAGATGCTCAAGTTTGACAGCTTCAAGGGAACCATGTACAACACCTGGATGTGGAACGACATGAGTGAGCCTTCGGTTTTCAATGGACCTGAGGTGACGATGCCCAAGGACAACATTCACCATGGAGGTTGGGAGCATCGTGATGTTCACAACCTGAACGGCTTAACCTTCCAGAATGCCACCTTCCAGGCTCTTCTCCACCGCGAGAAGGGCGAGCTTCGACGCCCCTTTATTCTGACCCGAGCCTTTTACGCCGGATCGCAGAAGCTCGGTGCTATGTGGACAGGAGACAACCAGGCTGATTGGGGACATCTGGCAGCTTCTATCCCCATGACACTGAATCAGGGAATCTCTGGCTTCCCCTTTGCCGGTGCTGACGTTGGAGGTTTCTTTGGCAACCCCGAGAAAGACCTGCTTGTCCGCTGGTACCAGACTGGTGTGTGGTATCCCTTTTTCCGAGCACACGCGCATATCGATGCTCGACGTCGTGAGCCTTACCTCTTGGGAGAGCCTTACACCCAGATCTCGACTGCCGCTATTCGACTCCGATACTCTCTGCTGCCTGCCTGGTACACTGCCTTCTACAACGCAGCACAGGACGGAAGCCCAATTATCCGACCTATGTTCTGGACTCACCCGTCTGAAGAAGCTGGTTTTGCTCTCGAGGATCAGTTCTTTGTTGGCTCAACTGGTCTCTTGGTGAAGCCCGTTACAGAGCAGGGCAAGGAGTCTGTAGACATTTGGATTCCTGATGACGAGGTCTACTACGATTACTTTACCTACAATGTTCAAAAGACAAGCAAGGGTAAGTATCTCATAGTGAGTGCACCCCTGGAGAAGATTCCAGTCTTGATGCGAGGAGGACACATTTTCCCGCGACGAGATATTCCCCGACGATCAAGTGCTCTCATGCGTTTCGATGATTATACCCTTGTTGTCTCTGCTACCAAGACTGGCGCTGCCGAGGGCGAGCTGTATGTGGATGACGGTGACTCTTTTGATTACGAGAAGGGCCAGTACATTCATCGCAAGTTCACACTCAGCGGAAACACCTTGACTTCTCTTGAAGCTGAAGGCCGGGATGCCAAGTCGACCAAGCCCGGCGAGTGGCTCAAGGCCATGGACAGTGTCCATGTCGACAAGATCATTATCGTCGGCGCACCCAAGGTGTGGGATCAGAAGGAGGTGCAAGTTGAATCCGAAGGCCGCACATGGACGGCCAAGGTTCAATATCATGCGGCCGAGGGTAGTCGTGCAGCCTTTGCGGTTGTGGGCCGAGTTGGAGCCAAAATCGGCGAGGACTGGAGCATTAAGCTTGCTTGAAAAGTAGACCATTTAGTTTGACTAGAGGTGGAGAGAAGCTAAGAATAGATACAATCTTTGGACATAAAGTTGAAACCATGGCCGAGTGGTGCGCGGCAGCATCCGCAAGAGTTGCGACTGTACTGTGACTTTGTAGGGGAGTTTGTGAAGAGCAAATTGCAGATGGGGTAAGTATCGACAGTGATGGCGCGTCTGCGGAAATAGCACTTCGTGCCGCAAAGGGTGAGTGGAGAGATTAATCAACAAAAGGCCAGGGTTGAAAATAAGCATGATTAGAGAGTTTATGAAATGAAATGTCTAAAACAGTCGAGTACAGCACCAGTGACGTCGGCCTAGTTTAGGAAGCGGAAGCAATGAGCTCATGAGCACCGTCATATCATGACAAGACAACATGAGAGAGGAGGGCTATTAATCGTATACGCAAGAGGCAGCACGACATCTGCATGTACTAGAGCTGAGAACGTGCACCTGAAATCCCCACTGGAGCTGGGCCAGATAAATGGAGATTTGCTCGCTTGAAGATGCTCTGAAATTGGAAAATGATTTGTGATATTATCTCCTCCATACAACAGGATGAACTGGAGTAATGTAACCTCCCGCTGAGGATATTAAGCTTGTTGTGTTTTATTTAGCGATTCGATATGATGATCTGAGAATCGCGAGTATCAAGGAGCACGTCCGATTATTCGAGACGGATGGTTCGGGTGTACCAAGCCCGAGACTTGGTGGCTTGGAGTAAAGATCGACGATGACAGTTGTCGATTGACGCACGTTTCTTTCACATGCATATCCATCCTATCTTAGCTACAAGATTGGACGGATGGAATCTTCATATCACCCTATATTATGTATCAAGTGTATATAGGTAAACGTATAGAAGTGTAGCTTCTTAGCAAGAAAGGATTGTGTGTGTATCTCCTACTACTGAAATAGCATAGGTTAAGTCATTTTATGATGTTCCAAGATTTAGAAATCGAAACCCCAGGTTCACATTGAAATAGACGGTGTGCCGTGTATACATAAGCATTACAGCCCTTGCTTGATCGCAAAAAGGCCCCAACAAGGTCTGTATCGACGATTGACTCAGTGGAGCAGACTTGCCACTGATGGAGGTACTATCCTAGCGAATGAGATCTTGGGAAATTCTGAGTCCGCGATGTTGAGAAATAGGAGAGAATTGAATTTAGAGAAACTGATAAGGTAAATTTGGTTGTTTCAGATGAACTCCCATGGCATGTTAAAGATTAAAGCTGGACCTTTCAGTCTTCCATCGACCTTGTCCGAAGACAGGGGGCAATCATGATATGAATATCTGCGGGCGTTAGGAAAACGAAAGCTTTAATCAACGCGCCAGGATTGGTCCAAGCAATTAAAACCCCCTGAGCTTGAGCTTTGATCACCAAAGGGTGGTTGGTACGGAGTTTGATGGGTCTTGTTTTCCTTTGAGGCTCAGAGGCTGTTTAAATCCGCGGATGCGTGGACATATGGAGGTATGTGGGAGAGTCTTGGCCGATCAAGCAGATGCCCTATGCTTTGTCGGCAATGCGGAAGCAGGTAGGCAGGCAGGAAGATGAATCGCCTAAAGGCTGGGCAGAGGATTTTAAGTGGCAGTCTAAGGGTCCTACATTGTGCAGTTTCACAGGTAGTGCAATCTGAGGCTCTTTTTTGTTTGGGCGTCTTGAAACTGTTCCTACAGTGAATGGCCCCCCACGCTGTCGCGGGAAGCAGGGCAGCACAGTACCTGGCGTTAAGCCACTCACAGACTTGGGTGTGGTAGGAATGCAGGGGAGACACACACTCAGAAGCTTCCAATGCAGGCTCGAGAAGGACTTTCTCAACGGAAACGGGAAACGACGGATGGAAAGGGAAGAAAAAAAAAGATTTTAATTATCCGCCACCGCCCTATTATCCACTAACAAAACATCCATCATGGAGTGGTCATCGCCATCATGGTGGCAGCCATGAGGATGGAAATACGAGATGGCGAAATGGGTTTAATACTTACGGAGTAGAGATCGATTTAACCAAAATAAAAAAGAGTGCTGACAACAGATTGCCTCATTTGCACTTGCATTTGCATTTCTACACAAGGATATCATCCACATCGCATCTCGGTCGTTTTCTTGGGTGTGACGTCAGCTCTTTTCAACAACCCTGCGATCGAGTGTATCCTTTTTTTTCACTCTCTTTAGCTTGCGCAAGCTGCAGAAACCCCCCTGGCCAATATGTGCGGCCGTCTGTTGTCTCGGGTTGTTAGCGAAAGTGCGTCAGATCGACCCTTTTTTATTCTTTTTCACTGCTTGTTGCAGATGCAGATGCAAGAACTTGTCCCTGATTTCCCATGAGGCCTGAACAACGCAGTCATGATCGACATGGACTTTTGTCTAAACAAGAACAGGCTATTTCGCCCAGAGAGGATCTCCCTCTAAACCTAACCAGGTAAAACAAAACATGTTGGGAACTGGGAAATGGGCGTGCAGCTCCCAAGACGTGCTGGCGCCGCATGTCACTGACTGTCGTGTTGATGGTCCCGGCGGCATCCTCGGGCTTTCCATGTTGGGACGTTCCAGCGGTTCCACGGGTGACACCAGACGCCAGACGCCAGACACCATCATCGGTGCTTTTTAACTAACGTCAATGCTTGACTCCCGGGGCGGGCGGCGCTGGCTGGCGCATTACTCGGGTGGCTTGCCTGACCCTGAGTCCGGTGGTTCCACCACAGACCCGGCCTTTGACCCTTATCGCTCACTAAGAAGCGGTAGCTGATGGGTGTGCGTGTGAGTGTGTGTGGATATGGATGTTTCTATCTTGGTGGTGGTGAAGGGGAAAATGGCAATATTGGGTGTATGATGGAATGTCAAAGAGAAAAACTCGAAACTCAAGCATACTCACTACGTAGAGTTAAAGAACTGCCCACCTAAAATAACACAAACGGATAAAAATACCCAGCACTGTGGATAGTTGAATTCCACCTTCATTGTATCCCCCAATTCTTCACTCCCTGCCTCATGGGTCCGGCCAAGCAAGTTTATCTGAACTGACCCATTCTTCCTCCATCTTGTTCTTGGCTGCTGGTCGATCTCTTAAAGCTCAACAGCATCCCCGTCCCTCACCCACAGGGTTTTGCAACAAAGTTCCCCCAGATTCTCTGGTACTTTATCTTTTTTACCCTTTTCCCTATTCCTTTTTCCTTTTGTCAAAAATCACATCTCTCCTGTTTTATCAAGTGGGAGACAAACGGCCTGTTCTGGGTGACGACATCATAACACCCTAAACACCAAGGAAATATCCCTACGCGTATACAAACGCCTACTCCTCGCCTCACCAAGCGAGAATCCATCTGTTTGATCGATGACATCGAAGATCATCGGCTGATCGATCCACTTCCTGACTTTTTTTCATTTTTACGTTAATTGTCTGTCTTTCATTTTATCCCACATCGCCGACAGGACCTCTCATCGATATCTCATCACTCGCTCTGAACACGACTGAGTCGAGCTCTCATCAATCTTTGCTGGACATCGATACTATTCCCTGCTTATATCCCTTGTCTGATATCCTCGACACAGCCTCGTGTCGTGGTCATCACCAACAGAGGCCATCATGACTCCCGATCAACCGCCTCACGGCTTCGAGGAGAAGGAGTTGACAGACTTCAACCTCAGACAACCACCTCCATCAAGAAACGTCTCACACCTCACCGCATCGCAGGAGTCGCCATCATTGCGAGCAGAATCACCCCAGCCTGCGCCCCAGAAGCACCCGGCGCCATCACTCGACACATTTCCCACGCTCCAAGCTCCCGTTGAGACAAATGACTCCATGTCAATTCGATCGCCCGTTGGCCAGCGCGCGGAGGCTAGCAGACTTGACGATGACATCGAGCTTCTGCGGATCGAGCGTGCTGTCTCTGCTGACGTCCATGACAATGCCAGTCAGATGAGGAGGCGTGCTCAGAATTTTGAGCCCGAGGATGCTTTCAACGCGCCCATTCCTCAAGAAACTTTCCACAATGAGAGGAAAGTAGACCCCGATGCTTCTTTGTTGAAATTCTGGGTGTTCCTCTCCAAGTTCCCTCGATTCGTCCGATATATCCTCTACGTGATTCCCGGCGCTGTTCTCCTTCTTATCCCAGTCTTGCTGGGTAAGTTCGTGCTCAATTCCGAGGGCAAGCGACGAGATGTGAACGGCGTTGATCTCATGTGGTTTGGTATTTGGCTCGAGATCGTCTGGGGAGTCCTCTGGGTTTCTCGCATGATAACAAGTATCCTGCCCCCGACCTTCAAACTTATTGCAAAGCTACTTGGATCTACCAATGCCAAGAAGTGGAAGGACATCGGATATCAGCTTGATCTTCATACGGCCGTCTTCCTCTGGTTTCTGGCCATCCTCATCTCTTTCGAGCCGACGATGACAAACCACAACTTCCGAGACCGCAAACCGAACTGGGTCAATATCATGAACAAAGTCATCATTGCCCTGTTCACTCTGGCGGCTCTCAACTTTGTCGAAAAGATTCTTATCCAGTGGATCGCCTTTACTTTCCACACACGAACCTACGCAACTCGAATCGACAACAACAAGGCCGACATTGGCCAGCTTGTTCACCTTTACGAGCATGCCAAAATGCACAACGAAAAGACCGACTATTTCTTCCAGCGCCACAGCAACTCCGTCAGCGGCGCGCAAACCCCGATGCAGGCACTCCAGGACAACGCGCGCCAAGCTTTGAACAAGGTCGGCTACGTTGCTGGTCGGGTCGGAAACGATCTGATCGGTCGTAAGATTGATAGCAAGCACCCTCGCAGGGTTGTCACCGAACTTCTGAAGACGATGAGTACGGCTCATACACTGGCTCGTCTTATCTACCGCTGTGCCATTAGAGAGGGCCAAGATTTGGTCTATCAGGAGGACATGGAAAGGATCTTTGGCAGCGAAGAGGAGGCTGAGGCTGCCTTTATGATGTTTGACAAAGACATGAACGGTGATATCTCGATTGACGAATTCGAAGCTGTGTGCAACGAAATCCATCTCGAAAAGAAGGCCATCGCCGCATCTCTCAAGGATCTTGACTCGGTGATTAAGAAGCTCGACAAGGTCTTTGTGTTCATCATCATCATCATCTGCATCATCGTCTTCATCTCGATTCTCTCTGGCTCAGCTGCCGCCGCCCTCGGTTCCGCTGGTACTGTCGTTCTGGGTCTCGCATGGGTTCTCCAAGCCACGGCTCAGGAATTCCTCCAGTCCATCATCTTCGTCTTTGTCAAGCACCCCTTCGATGTCGGCGACCGTGTGACTGTTTACGGATCTACCGGTGACCTCATGATGGGCGACGACTACTATGTGACTGAGATTTCCCTCCTCTACACCGAGTTTAAGAAGATGCAAGGCCACATCGTGCAGGCTCCTAACTCGCTACTCAACAACCTCTTCATTCTCAATCAGCGACGATCGAACGGGTTGGCAGACGTCCTTCCTCTGGTGATGCGCTTCGGAACTCCCCAGCCTATGATCGATGAGCTCAAGGCCCGAATGACGGACTTTTGCCTGGCCAACAAGCGCGATTACGCGCCTCGCATCATTACTGAGATGACCAAGATTGACGATGTTCGATCGTGCACCATGAACATGATCTTCTTCCACAAGACCAACTTCCAGAACGAACTGCTGCGTCTCAACCGCCACAACAAGTTTGTTACAGAGCTGATGACACAGATGGTCAACGTTGGCATCCAGTCACCATTCCGCATCGAGCCTGGTGGCAGCCGAGAGCACCCCATGTTCTGGTCTGGTATGCAGCCTCCTCCTGCCTACGGCAAGGGAGCCGACCACAGCGGCGTTGAGCTTCATGACAAGCCTGCTCCCGTCGACAAGTCCATGTACTCCGAGGGTCCTCCTCTCAGCCACGTTCCGTCGAATTTTAGCCGTCGCGGCGGGGATCGAATAGGTTCTATCGACAACATGACGGACTTCCAGGACGTGTTTGAGAACAGACGGGAGAACATTCATGCGCAACGACTCGCCTCCATCCGAGAGAAGGAGCGTGGTTCGCGCGCGGAAGAGGAACAGGAGCGACGATCGATGGCCAGCTCTACAGGCATGGATCGCGTTACTTCGACTGAGAGTCGTCCCCGTGTGTTCAACCGTGTGAGAACAGGGTCTAAGAGCCGGCGTCCTGGCGACATCGTCTAAGGCGGTGCTTATGATGATTATGAAAAATAAACCAGCATTATAGAGACCCAGATTGGCATATCTGGGAAGGTGCATAATTTTCTTTTCTTTTCTTTATTGCTCTTTAGAAAGCACGTAGAGTGCTACGGTGGTTAGTTGAGCATATTGGATATGTCATAGTATATATATAGACGACAACGATATCCAATAAGACTTGATACCATGACTTATCAATGGCAAAAAATGAAGAGTCAACTCACCACATCATGGAAGCAAGTGTCATCTGCTTGAACCTGTCATGATGAGTTGGGTAACTTGGGTTGAAGTGATTACAGGGATAACCCTTGGGCTGTAGGAGTGATGTAATGTTTGACGTTGAGAGATGGAATACCTGAAACTCTTCGATACCTATTTATGATTGCGATATGCATAAGATATCAATTGAGATTCCTATCACTCACATCATCTGAGGTATACCATCGAGCCTTTCTCTCTGTCTCTTATTCTGAATTGCATGCGCTACCGATTCTCAGGAGAAATGCAGCAACCCCTCAATCAAGGCTGGTCTAGGCTGGCCTAAGCTGACTTCTGACACTGAATCCTAGTCCTAGGAACCAAAACCATGGAGGTAATTAGAGCTGTTAGCGTAATTAAAGGGTCCCCCAAGTCCGCCTTACGAGCCCTATATCCAATAGCGCAAGGTCAATCCGATAGCTTAGTCGGCTAAAGTGGAGAGCAATGCTCAGCTCCCGTGCATGGGATCATGGCTAGGTTAGGCTGGGCATTTTGAAGGTTGAAGGTTGAAACCTTTGGGCCTTGTTTAACAATGTAAGGAATGCGCACAGAGACATTTGTATATCTGCAATGTCCTTTTCATTATCACCAATAAACTAATGCCCACAAACATCATTCATCACATCATTGATGCCCTGTTGTGCCTCCTTTGTGCTTCCAAAGCCATCGCTGCCTGAGGTCCTCTACACCCAATGGTTAGCCGCTGCGTAGTTCAGCTGAAGCTCGCCCTTGACACCCCCGGCCACATCTCCAAAGAAGCCTCGTTTTCGTTGCAAAGCCGAAGCCGAAGCCGGAATCACGCTCAAGCAATGATGCCCATCGTCCCGGCGCAATAATATCGACCTCTCTCTAGGTGCAACCGAAGCGATAGAACCATGTCAGGCCTTCCAGAGGGCTGGGACGCCGACTACGATGGGCGACGCTGGTTCTACAAGTACAAGCCCACGGGACACATCCAGTACCATTTCCCAAAGGAGGGCGACGAGTTTCCCGACTTTGTCGACACCTTTTCGCCCGTTCCTGATCTTGCGCCGGAGGAACGTCTAGCATCGCAGCATCAGGTTCGGCGACAGACAAGCACGACAAAGACATCTGCGAAGCTGAGCCCGAAAAAGGACGATGGGGGTTATGGTATGTCTGCCACGGCGCGGCCGGTGAGCATGACATGGGACGGCGCTCTTGAAGAAGAGGAGCCGGCAGTGTTCCAGCCCGAGAACTTCATGTATCTCGGGCCCGGCACGTATAACGATGTGAGTCCCCTGGCAGAGGAGGAAGAGGAAGCTGCTAGGAGGGTTGTTGCGGGGGGCATTGAAGGGAGAGTTGACTTGAGCCCTTCGAAAGGCGTGAGCCCACTCAACAGTGAGAGAACGACGCCTGCTCAGGGGACGACACACGCGGGACCGATTAATGGAGAGCCAGTTGTGGTGCCGTCTACAGTTATCGAGGAGATTCACGAAATGCCTGGCATTGAGCCGCCTCCAGTACACGACCCGGTAGGCTTCATTGCTGAGATGCCGACATATGATACAGCTCAAGCACGTATCGAAACGCACCCTCCACCTATCGAGATGGCTGATAACACGATCTTGGCACCCATCGAGACAGCGGTTCCAATGGTGGCTGAGTTACCGGAGCGAACAAGTCCTACCGACAAGAAGAAAAACGAACCAGAGCTTGCGCCCGGGTCGTTAAGAAATTATGGTGCACAGATGCAGCCATTGCGAATTACCAAGCCTGTAGAGGACTCGCCCGGGTTCCAAACATATAAGCATGAGGGGCGTGCGGAAATACCTCCTAACCCAGCACCTCTACGACGTGCGACATTTCAACCTGGGGAGCCATTGGCGAATTCAAGTCCTATTCGACCTCCTGATAGGGGCCATGCTGGCACGCCGAATGTGCTTTCGCCGCCTCAAGTGCCACCTAAACGTCCTCTGGATGAGCATGAGCCTTCTCAGCCTCAGCTGCCTCCGAAACACCATTTTGATCGGCCCTCTCAGTCAAACTCACCACCAGGTATTATCAGCAATGGGTCTTCGGCACAGGGACAACAGCCTGGACTAAGTAATATGCCTTCTGTCTTGAAGCCAGCGCGTGGGAAAGCTCCTGGAGAGCAGCCTGCAAAACCACCGCAGGGCCATAGCTATGTGCCACCCGTACAAGGAAAACACCCCCCGTCTATGACTCCGGCCCCGCAGACTCAACAGCAACGCCCTGAAGAGCCGAGGATGGGTGTTCAGAGAGTCAACACCGTGCCAGATTCACTACCCTCCCAAAGACCCCTGTCTACGATTCAAACTGGGCAAAGACTGCCGCCAAGTACAATGAATCAGCAACATCTGCCAAAACGGCCAGCCAGTGTGATGCCTGATATGATGGGAGGACAACCTCCAGGACAGATGCAAAGTGGTTACAATTCTAACGTGAATCTGCCTTATCGAGGTCCTGTTGACAACATACCACCGAAAGGCCTTCCTCGATCCGCGACAGCAGGACCTACAACACCGTTTCCACCATATCCAGTGGACAACCTGCCTTATCCTGACGACGAACCGATTTATCGTAGAGAAAATCCTCCATATCCAGAAGAGCCTTTCGTACAGCAGCCGATGCCACCACGTCAAAATTTTATAGAGACTTCCTTTCCATCTACCAACAATCGACGACACTCATCGTATAGCTCTGCGATCGTCTCACCAGATTCTCGGCACGGGAGCATGTCTTTTCCTTTGGAAACACCGTCGCCGATGGAGCAAAGTCGCCGCGCATCTTCCAATTCAGTCACTAATCCCAATTACACTCCTTCTCCTGTCTCTCATAACTCCCAGTCGGTTTCAAGCTTTTCCCCAACTCCCCCTTCCGCTCCAACCAACCAACATCAACAGAGTTCCTACTTCACTATGCAAGATGTTGAAGGTCAAGGACATAATGTCGCTGCTCGAGATGTGTTGCGCAAACAGTCCTTCAGTAGAGGCGCAGATGCACGACGGAGCTCTGTTGGGGCAGATCCTGCTTCTGCTCAGCGCGGATCTCCTTTGTCGCAGCAGATATCACAGGGTTACAATACACCAGCACAGGGCCTACCACGTCAGCAACAACCGCGAGGGATATCTCAAGGCAACACCGCGCCGCAGAATCAACCCCCTGTTATACCTACGCCGCCACCTCAAGGACAGCAGGGTTTAGGCCGAATTGAAGAATACGAAGAAGCCACGAGTGCAAACATCAGTCGTTCTTCGACTATAAGTATGCCGCCTGAGATGAGGAGAGGTTCGATGGTTTCCTCCGCGCAACCAAGTCCAGTAGGAAGTCGACGAGCCAGTTGGCAAGCTGAAAGTCCGAAGAATACTTCGCCTAGCCAGTCACAGATGCAGCAAGGCCAGATTCCTCAGGGCTACACAGGCCAGATTATGCCTCATGGGCAAGCTCCCGGTGTTGCTATGCCAGTTCAAAATGCGAAGCAGTTGCAAAGAAAGCCTTCTCAGGGGCACGCGCCCCAACCGCAACTTCAGAACCAGCAAATGCCCGTTCGTGACGCAAGAATACCTCAAGGGATGCCTGTACAGCGAGGTCCTGGGCCAGGACAACTCAATCAAGGCAAAATGCCACCGACCCAAGCTCAAGGTCAAGTACCTCACCCTGGTCAGACCGCGCAAAGCCAGAATGTTCCTCCTGGACCTGCACCTCAGGGATTTGCCCCTAAGCCTGTGCCAACGAGACTACAGAAGCGATCTTCCTATGGCCCGCCCAGTCCAGCAGTGCAAAATCCTCCTCCAAACCAGTTTCCACAAGGACCTATGCCTCCCCAGATGCGCCAAAACCCGATGGCACAGCAAGGCCCAGCGCCGGGCCAAATGCCTCCACTTGGGCATCCACAAACTCTACAAATGCCTCCTGGACAGACACCCAACGGACGAGTGCAGCCGCAAGTCCAAATTCCTCAAGACGATCAAGGTTGGCAACCCATCCCACAGCCTACGATGCCTCAGAGTTCCCGGCTAGTCTCCATGCAGCCTCAGTCCCAGAGCGCTGGAGCAAAGGAAGGGAAAGAAGGAAAGAAGTGGCTCAAGTGGTTGAAGGGCGGTTCCAAATCTGTCTCGCATAGTCCGACTACACCAGTGATTTCGTCGCCTATATCACCAGTTGTTGGGCGCCCAAGCTGGGGAGGCGGTGAGTATTCGCAGCAAGCTGTGTGGCAGCCTGGACAACCTACCGCTGGTGCAATGCAGGCAGGCTTTCAAGGGAATATGGCACCTCGGCCTTTACAGATACCCCCTCAGCCTATGCAGATGCCACAGCCTGGGCAAGCATTTTCTCCGTCGGGTCAAGCGCCTTCTCAATATAGCCAAATGGGTTTCCAGTCTGGTCAACCACTTCCCCAGGCCAATCGACTACCTCCTCAACCCAACCAAATGCCTGCGCAGTCAGGACAGTTGCCTCATGTCAACCAGTTACCTCCACAGGCAGGTCGGATGCCTCCTCAAGCTATTCAACAACTTCCACAGGGGCAAGTTCCTCCTCAAACAGGGTACCTACCTCAGAAAAGACAATCACAGCCTCAACAGGCACAACTGCCCCCTCAACAGGAATCTAGGCCACCACAGGTCAATCACATGGCTCCAAGAACTAGCCAAGTTCCTCCATCTGGTCCGTTGCCGGTAACTCAACATCAGCCTCAACCATATCCAGGGGCGGTACATTCTGTAGCAGGACCTTCGACCATGAAACCCGCAAATTTACCTTCTAATGTGCCAGAACCTTCCATGGCACCTCCTGTGAGGGTGGAGCCTAGTAACGTCCCTCGTCAAGAGCCTGCCCGGCAACCCTCCCCGGCCGAGCCTCAACAGTTACAACAAGGACCTGTACCTCAGGTTAGAGCTCCTCCTCCTCAGCCGCCTCAGACATCTGCGTCAAACACACTACAACCGCAGCCAAATATCCAGAGAAGTGCATCGCCATCACAACCTGCAGTGAGCCCGAGTCTTTCTGATGTGGCTGCCTCCTCAATAAGCCGCATGTCTTCTTGCAGAAGAGACAGCTTCTCTGACGCTGGCTCAATCACGACTATTGAAGTGGCTCAGGCCCAACCACAGCCTGTATTAAAGCCTTCCATTGTTCAGGTACACAGAAGATCGACAGACTTACAGAGCATGTCTCAAAAGGGTCTGCCGTTCAATGGCTCGCAGTCAAGCTCAGATGTTACTCCAAGAATTTCTGCCGAAAATGCTCGTGCTAAAATAGAACCAATACCGCCAACTTCGAAGTTCCAACAGCAGCAGCCTGCAAGGCCTGAGCAAACGTCACAGTTCAGTGCTCCTGCGAATATTACCACCACTGCACCTTTGTCCTTCAGTTCCAACGCCGCTCCCAAATTTGTTCAGCCTAATACTCAGAACCAACATGAGAACAAAGAACAGCCTCCTATTATCTCCAACCAACGAAACAACAACGAGGCCAAGGCCACACCAAGTGTACAACCTGCCAAGCCAGCCCCCGTCCAAGACAAGTGGGCTAAAAAGCCTGTGGTCGATTATTCTGGTGGAGATTGGGGAGACGATGACGACTGGGACTATTAATGCTGGATTTATTGTATATACGATTTCACATTTATCAAGCGACCATATAGCGGAGTTATCATATAATGTCAAAAGTTCAAATTGTATAGGGAGGGAGGGATCGAATTATAAATACCTACCATGTATGAAAACTTACCTGATGACCAAATCAGTAACACTCGGGCTTGTGCTAGTTTGTCACAAAATTCTCTAATTCATCCAGATCCATCGCCGGGCCAGAAGGCATGGTGATGGCACGGTCAAGATGTCGAGACAACAAATCGTCTTCAGTCAGTGTCATGGTCAATTTGTACAGCGGAATCCTCTGCGTGGTTTGGCATTTCTGCAAAACCAGAAAATGCCGAGTCACTCACTTCAAATCCGCGGCATACCATCTTGGTAGGTCAAGGCCCAGAGAGTCCTGCATCTAGAAGGCATCTCTTGAGGCTTTGGTAGCAAACCATCAGAGTAGAACAAACGGCGCCCATTTTTACTAGAAGACAGGTTAGTGGGAGATCAATCAACAGAAACAAGTTACAATCAAAGAATGCTGTTTACAGTGAGTTGAAGGAAACTGTTTGAAGCGATCCATCGATGGCTCATACAGCAAGTTCTTGTGGTAAGTATGCGTATAAGTGGTCGTTGTTCGGGGTTGAAATGGTTTGAACCTCGTTCAGAAAGAGGATAGGGACATGAACAGCAGTATTTGTTCGCATTTAAAGAAGATCTTATCTTTGAATCCATCTATCTTCTCGTGTCAAATCCATGTTCCATTATCTGCAAAACTTTACTCTTAGTATCACTACAACAGCTCAAGAGTCGATTGATAGCTGTCAACTTTTCCATGTTTCTCAGCAGGGACTGCCCTATCTCACACTCATGTACGGATTGCACACCTTTCATTGTTCGAGATTCCTGACAGAATATTTGGATTGTGTTGACAGACATTTGTTAATCTCAGAGTCATGAGACGATGTTAGCAATGAGGCAAGAGGCTAGAATCACAGTGGTATAGCTAATTAAGATCGAAATCAGCATCAATGACGTATGTTAGAGCTTATGGTTCCTAGTAGCGACAGTAACTCAAGCTTTTTAGTTCATATTGACCTCTGAGAGAGGATGAAAAGGTGATACGCCTGTCTTTGCTCGTCATGGACAACCCACCCTAGACTTGAATCACCCACAAGTTGCAACCAACCTCAATTAACCAGCTAGATGACAATCAAAACACAGCCTTGAACTTCAAAACCTAGTCCTACGAGCGATGACAAATGAACAGATAATCTAATATCATATCAATTGCAGCATAAGCTCTTTCATTGTCTTAGGATACATGATGGCACTTTGCTGAGAACGATTTGATGAAAATGAGTTATCAGAATCTAAATATACGTCGAATCTCAATTATGGGAAGAGTTACATGTGTAAGGATTGATCTTCATAAGAGAGTCTAGTGACGGCAAAGTTGACGGACACTGAGCTTGTGGTCTACTCTATGCCTTGGGTTTTATCGATATAGGTTGTAACTACACCCATGCTTTTCATCAAATAACATCCGGTGTGGTGTATCGGTTAGCATACCGCGTTTTCAGTAATATTCTAGAGCCGCGGCGAGCGGGGTTCGATTCCCCGCACCGGAGTTTCTTTTTCCATTTTTTGGCAATTAATTCAATACCATATTGACACTCTTCATCATAGGCTTGCTGCTGTCATTTTTTTGGTGTTTATGTCGAGAGAACACATGTGGGGGGCGCATACCAGCCATAGATAGTCACCCTACTCAGGTGTTCGTACAGACGCAGGTATTACAGTCATGTCTTCCATTTATACTTGCCTTGTCAACATTCAGATAAGGGTGAGCACACCTTCAAAATATATGCCTATATCTGCTATCTTCTACCTATCCAATGAATTACACCCTTACAACCTCAGCCCCCTATAAATGAATACATCTTATTACTCCAACAGTGAGTGAGATCCATGATTCCTTGACATGTTCCCGAAAAGGCAAAACGCCGTCGAGGTCAAAATACGGGGCAGTCCGTATCCCGGGGTCTCCACCCGCCGCTCCGTCGCCTTCCCTCCACCTCGTCCGAAACGCAAGCAGCTGAGTTGCATTCGAACAAATAAGCGTTGCATAGTCTAAGCTTCCACGATATTTTTTACCTTGTAACATAGCATAACATATACACATACTATCTTCCAATTCTTTCGAATTCTTGTTATACTTCTATCCCCGTGCTCCCCGCATCATGGCGCAATCTACCGCCCACCGCCGTCTGCTCCAGGAGTATCGCGCGCTCACCAATAACCCGCCCGAGGGCATCACTGCTGGCCCCATCTCCGAAGATGATCTTCTTCACTGGGAGTGCCTTATCCAAGGCCCCGAGGGCACTCCTTTCGAGGGCGGTGTCTTTCCCGCTGAGCTCAAGTTCCCCAAGGACTATCCGCTTGCCCCGCCATCCATGAGGTTCCTCGCTGACGTGTGGCACCCAAACGGTTTGTCACTTCTACGAGTCTCTCATGGCATCCTTCTACTAACCTATTGCTAGTGTATCCTAGCGGCCTTGTCTGCATTTCTATCCTTCATCCTCCTGGTGACGACCCCAACCACTACGAGCACGCGTCCGAGCGATGGTCGCCTATCCAGTCTGTCGAGAAGATCCTCATCTCTGTCATGAGCATGCTCGCCGAGCCCAACGATGAATCCCCCGCAAACGTCGAGGCCGCCAAGATGTGGCGCGAGCGTCGCACCGAGTACGAGAACAAGGTCCGCGATGGTGTCCGAAGGATGCTGGGTCTATAACATTACCCATCATAAAATACGCAAGCAAGTGGTAAGGAGTATCGGCGCACATCATTTCGGCGTGACATGGCATAGCATGGTGTTTGGCGGCGGTATGACCGCCTAGATAGACATTCATAAACTCGTCCTTCTCAACTAAGTCGCTTCTATCGTGAACGCTCTACAAACTCCAATGGTTCATGCTCATATGTAAACTCAATCATAGCCCGTTATCCGCCTTGAACTTATCCCAACTCTCGTTCAGAGTGCTAAACACCAAACCTGCTATCAGTCTCACCTCGGTACTTGCATCTTGAGGGAGCTATACCATATTAGCGTGACATTATCGAATGATGCGAATGCTTACCTTATCAGGATGTGTCTTTGCGATTGCCTTCATGTACGAGATCTTGACCTTGTTGTTCATAACCAACTCATGCAAGCCCACCTTCTTCCAGCCGCTGTTCTCCCACAGTACGGTATCAAGACTGGCAATGAGCGCACGAATATTGTCACGCTTTCCGTCCCGCCAGGCAGATACCTTGGCATCGACCTTCTCAGAAAGCACAAATTTCTCGTCGTCCTCTTTGGCTGCAGCTTCGTTCGCCTCACGGAGACGACCGACAGCCTCAGAACTCTTCGAAGGCCCGAGACTAGCTGTCGCCGAAGGTCTTGGTCGAGGTTTGGCTGCTGGTTTAGGTGCTGGCTTGGGCTTGGGTGCCAGTGTGTTCTGACATCGCTGTCGGCCTTTGATGGCATTTGACCCACCAACACCACTCTCAACACAGAGCTGCCAGACCGCGCTGGCATCGGCCCATTTCTCCATCTGTTCAAGAGCCTCGGCTTTCCTGCTCAAGGCCTTACCATAAAGGTCTTTTAGGTCTCGGTTCTCATCGACTCCACTCTCATTCTTCACAGACACCACTTCACCTTGTCCATTGCTAGGTCCAATAAGTTTAAGTGCAGTATCAGCGTCGTCAACAGCTTGTTTTGGCTCTCCAGTTTTCAAAGCGGTTAGGGCACGGTTACAAAGGAGGAGAATGGCGAGAGGATGCATTTGTGGGACGGCCGATAGTGAGGACGAGTACGAAGAGTGAGCAGCGGCATAGTCACCTCTCTTAAAATGAGCTGTGCCTTGAAGTCGGTGCTGTGTCGAGGTCTGCAGGGCAACAGGACTAATCGAAGGAATGTCCCGAGCTGGTCGTGGCGAGGGCCTCGAGACAGGGGGTGAAGGCCGCTTGGCCTGTGTAGTTGGCCTTGGCGAAGGCTGGGCCGATCTTGAAGGTAGAGACTGAGAAGGTCTGACCTCCTTAGAGTTAAAGAGCAGATCAGGTTCCGGCTCAGCTGGCTTAGGTGCAGGTGCCGGTGAAGTGGCTTGTGAGGGAGTTTTGTTTCGTCTGTTGGGACTCCTGTAAGTTGAGAAACTGTCATCATCTGCTGCCAATCGATTAAGTCGTGATTTTGAGTCAAAAGCCGACGTCGGTGGCGGTGCTTGCTGCTGCCATCGAGGAACAGGGCTGGCACGACTCCCAGCAGAGTGAGCAGGTGACTGCCCTCTGGGTGGTTGGGAGGTAGTTCTCTGTTCAGGCCTACTGTTAGTACGACGAGGTTGAGGACGGCCACCGTCGAGCATCATGGCCTCGTCTGTAGCATCTGCTCGAGCCTTTCCTGTTCCTTGTGCCCTGGATTGCTGCTGTGCTTCCCGCATCCACTTAGGCTGGCTTGGGTCGCCTTCTTGTTGGAAATCAGCAACTGCCTGCTGCACCTTCTTCTGGCCGGTCTTCCAAAGCGAGTTGGCTGTCTTAAATAAACTGGTGCCAACAGCAGCAGCCGTCTTGGTCAAGTCCTGTTCTCCTGCGGCTGGGGATCTGCTGTCGCCCCTTGGAGGTCGACTGGCAGGTCTACTAGAGCTAGCAGATGAGGTCTTTCCTTGCGCCTGCTCCTTGGATTTCCTGTGTGCTTCATCTAGAAGCCAATTTACTGCAGCTTGTGCATTATAACCCTCGCCGCTCTCGACCAGAGCACGGCGAGCATCATCAGCTGAGAATCCATAATCTACAAGCTGCGCCACGGCCCTGTCAAAAGGATCCTTGTTGACTCGAGGCTGTCGTTCAGTAAATTGCTCACGTGCTTGAGGAACCGACTCGTCAGATGAGCTTGAGTCCTCCTCTTCAATAGGCTTTCCAGGTTCCGGGCGGGGTTGTGTTGTTTCTTGTTTACGTCGCACCTCATCAACTGGACGAGCAAGATCTCCCAAGAAGTCGTCATCGTCAACTTGTTGAATGGGCGCAGCAGGAGCGGCGGCAGGTTTCATCTCGTTCAAGCCAAATGGATCATCATCCTCAACTCCGAATCCACCTCCGTTTGTTCCAGTTCCATTAGATGACCAGGCGCTTGGATCATTCAAGTTGATCGGTGGCGCTGTGGGAGCTGCACTCGCTGGGGTCGATCGGTGGGACTCGGGAGGGGGATAGTGGCTCGCGTTATCGACCTTTGTGTCTTTATGGAAGGCAGCAAAGAGGTCATCGTCGTCGGCCTTTGGCGTCTTCGAGACTGGAGGTGGCTGCAAAGCAGGGCTCGTGGATGCCCCTCTACTACCAAGTGTATCCCAGAACTGGCCATTACCAAACTGTGCCTCCTGCTGCTTCCTCCTCTCCTCATCCTTCTGGCGCTTCTCAGCCTCAAGTTGCGCTTGTCGCTCTGCCAAACTCAGATTCTGCTTTGACTTTGCCTGTCCAAAATTCATCAAATTGCTGAAACTATCCTGCGAAGGTTTCGCCAGTGCTGGCTTCGGAGCCAAGGGACCAGAACCCTGGGTGGACAGAGGCGTATTGCGTCCAGAACCCAGCGGGGATGGTGTTGGTCGCATTGAGGCAAAGGCCGAGTTCATAACTGGCGGCTTCGGGTGCCCGCCCGTGGGCTTAGAGGACCAATCGAGGCCGGAGAGGTCGTCCATCGTGAGAAAAGAGCTGGTCTGTTATCGGAAATAGTCAATCATAGTACGAGTACGGAGGAGTGAGTTGTTGTCTGTTGTCGCAACTGTGAGATGCGACCCTAGCCAGGGGCCGCATTCGGGTGTGGGGTTGTGTGGCTGTGTGATGTGGCTTACTTATCACATGATTGTACACAGATAAGAGGTTGAGGGAGGGTATGGACATTGCTCCATGATTTGAGTATGGGCAGGGCAAACTGAGTCATTTGGCAGTCTCTCTTCTCGAACTTTAAATGACATGACAATTTTTGGCAACCCTCGTATCTGTAAAATGTTAGTAGGGTAAGATTCACAGGCAAAGACAGCCGTATCTGTCAACCACAGTGATCATGTCTAATATGAAAAATATTGGCGTTCTTTTACATATGGTGCTCTTACTATCAGTAGTATTAGTACGGAGTAGGTGTTAACATTCAGTGAATGCTGTCGAATTAACATGTCAAGACGTGATATCACGAAATGATTCCTGCTGTGATAAAGTACAACAGCAGCCGGCTTGCACAAGTTTGGTATTGAACTCTCCTACATTTGTGTGTTCCACTATTTAGTTGTCTGAATTGTATCGACAGTGTACTTGATTGCTGATACCATGTGTCAACGGGCACTTCTTCGATTCCTATTCATGCCACTGATTGATTGAGTCTACCCTATACGTCTGATAGTCCGATATGAACCCAACTTGATGCCTTCTGACAAACAGGCAACCTAAGTCTGCACCGCAGGGTCGTAGATTGCAATAACGATCGAGGGTAGTCACAGTCTGTGCCGCGACGCATAAGGTCAATGCCCACGTGTCATCCCAATTGCTCATTTCCCGAGAAACGAATAAACGTCGGTCCGCACAGTTGCTTGAGCCTCTCCCCCAAGATAAGTGATATATCTGAAATTTCATCATTTACGATCGAGCCCAGCTATATCGGCTCCCGATTGTGATTCGTGGTGATTCGTGATGAAACAAGGTGCGTGCTCTTCAAACGCATATACCTCGCGCCTGTTGGTCATTGATGGTCCATTACTGTAATTAGAAGTTTTGATATTGCAAGAGTTATAGTACCAGCCAATACAAGAACAGATGAGAAATTATACGAGAGTTCTGGATTGTTCGTATTGCCGCAAACCACATATGGCACTAATACAATGCGACAAACACGAGCTTTGCGGTAAATGAGAAACGTGGTTGTGTGACGCGCGGGAGAACAGTCTCAGTAAAGCAAGCGTTAAGAACCCAATACGTATACGTACGTGTAGACGTAACTGCAATGTCGATTCGATAGCTGCGTCATTTGGGCAGCTAAATCATGGCAAGGGAGATTAAGTAAACCATACTCTGACAGATCTGCGCTGAAGCGTGGAGAAGCAAGAGAAGTCAAGGGACTAATCTAGGGACGACCGAGACTCTTACTTTCTGGCATGAGCATGCAGAGATCCAAGCGCAGTGATCGGAATCTCTCAGATGTCCATCATTAATTCCAAGGACTCAAGAAAGCCAAGCTTCTCACGAAATTATGTCGGCCTTTATTTCACTGATAATTGCATGGATCTCCTTTTCTGTCTAACCCCAGATTGAGGTCATGCCGCCGCTAGACCACCGACGCCACTCTCGATCATGATAGGGGGGGGCTTGGTGACAGTGAGGGACAAGCGGTTCGTGATTGGTCAATAGTGCAAGTGAAACCCGTTTCAGGCATCTTAGCCTTGACCAATTATGCCAACCCCTGAGTATATCTGTTATGCAAGTCCATCAAATGTTTTGAAAAGCAACGAGCTGAAACTCTTTCAGAAACACATTAATAGGGATTAAGGAAACAGAGAAGATGGGGATGGGCAATTGGGCCCTGAAGATCTGCCCATCATTACAAAAGCAAACTCAGGAGGTTTTGTTCATAGCCACTTAGAGACCAGTAGAACTCCCCTTGTTTCTCCCTTTGTGTCTGAAGCTTGGACCTTGGCTTGGCTCCCGTCACAGCAAATGGACCAGCCACTCTCAAACAATAAACCAGAGCAGAAGTCTGAGGCATCGATCTAACCGTGAAAGAACACTTCCTCCTAGCCTTCTGGCTAGTGCGATAAGATGTTGTGCAAAGGAGATTTGGCCATTCTATGTAATGTTATGCAAGCAGGCTGTTGTGCGCGTGGTGGAGTATACGCGACTCTACCTGGCGTTGGAATCCAATCAATGCTCGGCTGGTGCCAACTATTTCATAACGAATAGTGAAGATCTGTAGATTCCAATCTGGAAAGCCGACTATCCGCAGTGATTGACAGGAGAAATGATGGAAGCCCAGGCCTTCTGGCGCCGTTTGCAATGTGACCCAATGCTCTGTACGTACGTTGATTCGGTAAATCCGCTGCCGAGACGTCCCCGTATCCACGAACCACGACAGCTTGGAGATCTCTATTCATTCCGTCATGTGCCTGGTACCTGCATTTATCGCGTGCCTCTCGTCCTCAGCACAGGTATTCGTGACATGCTATTCGCCCCTACCGGCGCTTGCAACCTCCAAGATCGTCCAATGGCCCCCAGGCTGCCAGGAACAACTGGATGGCTACCCTGGTAGAACTGGTGCGGTATCACCACTTTAATACCCCTGTGGGTTGAGGTTGACCCTTGGAACCGTTGCAATTTTGCCTGCGACACTGCCAAACGACTCCCCCTCACAGAGTCAATGGTCCGGCCTGACTTCATTGCCAAGAGGAAATGGTCCAGAACCCAGCACTTAGCAATAGCCTTTGTCTGCTAATGCGCGTCTGCGGCATGATGATCTAGCGGCGTGTGCTTTCGCTTCGTTGATCACCCTTTCCAGTCATTCCCCATTCTCCATCTTTCCATCCGTACTCTTTGTTGCTGTTCCTTTTCGATTCGATTTTGTCTGCTTTTATTCTCTCATCATCTCCATTCATTCTTTAGAAGTTCGGGCTGGCTCTGCTTCACACTCATTAACTCTCTTTTTCGTCTCTTTTCGACGACCTGTTTCTACGCTCCTTTCTGGTCTTGGCCACTAACAACATTCCTTACGATTCTGCCCGTTCGAGTTCATTCATTTTCACTAAAAAAAACACTTCTGATTACTGGGCTGTGACTACTATCTATATCTCGACATCTGAGGATACACTACTTTACACAGCAAGCATTACTCGCTATACTCGGGAAGATCGCGTCCATCACAATAGCCATTCTACAGTAGCCTTTCTCGTCGAATCCTGTTGAACCGTTGATCGACGAGCCGTTATAAGAAATCAGTGGGCTGATATAGACTCCAACGGGTTTCCAAAGTTTATCAACGAGGCTTGCCAACCGCCAGTATTGAAAACGGCTCTTCTTTTAAATTGACGACCTCATTGCTCGTCACTGCCGAGACTCGTCTGGTTCAGTTAAATTGAATTTCTGCCAGGAAACTTCCCGAGCCATCAACCACTTTACACTGAGACATATCAACCGATTGTACGGGTGTTGACGTCGGCAACCCGGAACCGGCACCATTGGACAGAGCATTCTTACGCCGTTCAGTACAGCAAAAGGACCCCGTGGCTCAATCCGGAAGCGTGGCAGTGACCTCGACGTTGAAATCTGAACCACGCGTTGGAATTCTGAGTCTCAGATCCTTAGCGGGGCTGGCCAGAGTATTCGCAAGAGTGTGCGACCTGCTAAAGAGCAATAAAGGCATCCCCAGCCATTGCAGCTTTTGATTCCAATATTTCCCCTTTGACCCCTTCGTTTCTTTTTGGATCAATATTTGATCGAAAAGAGGATTTCTCAAGGGTTACAAAGACTTCGACATCGACTTGATTGAAACTCCACAATACTACGACGGTAAGTACAACTTCACTTACACTCATACCTCACTTTACCTTGATTGGAACTCGACTATCGCCACTCGAAATTGAGGCTTGATATTCTGAAACGCATGCAACGTTAATCGAACTTGAAAAACAAACTCAGAGATTTTATTTATGGTCAATTCATGCGTTGGCAGCCGTTCTATGAGCAGCCACCCGTTGCTAGTTGGGTCCTCAATAGGACCCTCCTTCCGATTCATGCTACAACTACAACGCACCTGCATTTTCTGTTCGAACTACCGTTGCTTGCACCTTCCTACCATGATATTGACTCCTCTACATAACGAACACCCTCTTTTATCATCATCACCATTCTAACATCTCTCGTTTAGTTGCCTTTTTGCATCGTCCATTCCTTCAGCAATCGCCTTCCAAGGCAAAAGCTCTAAAGCCTGAATAGGCAAATATCATCAACATGATGCTCAAATCAGCTATCGCCCTTTCCGCGGGCTTCATCAGCAGTGCCCATGCCTTCTGGCGTATGGAATGCCCCGGCCGCGTGGGATTGGCACGTATCGATCCCATCATCGACCCTGGCACGGTCTCGAAGCATGCCCACTCCATCCACGGCTCCTCAGGTGAGTTCTAGATCCTGATGAGGTTTGCATTATGATGCGTCGTAATCACGACCAGCGGATGCAACAGCTTCGTATGAATATAGTTAACAATGCGCAGGCTTCGCCGAAACTGTTACATCCCAACAACTTCTAGATGCCGACTGTACATCGTGCCGAGTAACACAAGACAAGTCTTCTTACTGGCACCCTGCTTTGTATTTCGAAGATGCCGATACCAAGAAATTTGAAGTCGTTGACCAAGTAGGCGGCATGTTAGCGTAAGTTATCTCCAATGTCTTCCTGAGCATCTGTGGCCTTGCTAGTTGTAGATATTTGATACTAACATTCCCAAGTTACTACCTGCTATTTGGAGACAACATAACCGCTTTCCCCCCTGACTTCAGAATGTTGTCCGGCTCAAACGAACGAAGAACCTACGGTATGGGTGATCCTAGCAAGCCAGACCCGGAGAAGTCTGTGTGGCAAGCTCTTGGCCAGACCTCGCAGAAGGACCTGGCTCAACGTGCGCTCGGCTTCAACTGTCTCAATTACCAAAAAGCCCCTGAGGGTACCCTCTACCGTCATTACATGCCTGACAAGGAATACCTGGACGCAAACTGTAAGGATGGTATTCGTCTGGAGATCATGTTCCCTTCTTGCTGGAAAGGTGGCGATGCTGTGGACAGCGACAATCATAAGGACCATGTCGCTTTCCCAGATCTTGTTATGACAGGTACCTGCCCTCAGGATTATCCTGTCAGACTGCCTAGTCTCATGTATGAGGTGATCTGGAACACTGCTGCTTTCTCCGATCGCAACGGTCGATTTGTTTTTGCCAACGGCGACACTACCGGTATGTATAAGCTTACGCCTCAGCCGTTTCATTGCTAACTTCATTACCAGGATACGGTTATCATGCGGATTTCATTACAGGCTGGGAGGAAGAGTTCCTTCAGGATGCCATCGAAACCTGCACCAACGAATCTGGAAGGATCGAGGACTGCCCTCTCTTCGACGTTGTCAGCGAAACAGAGGCCAAAACATGTGAGATGAAGATGCCCAAGGTGTTGGCCAACGAGGATTGCAAGGGCCCTATGAAAGCGCTGCCTGGCAGCAACGGAGACTCTTATGGAGATGATTCCGACGTCGAGAAGCCCGACCCCACTGGCATCAAGGTAGCCCCAACGTTGTCCTACTCTCCTGGTGACAGGCCAGAGAACTCCGCCTCGCCTCTTCCAGGGCAAGTCTTCAAGGTGTCGTCGGCTTATCAGGCCCCGGCTCCTGGCCCAAGCTCCAAGACCTCTAGTGTCGTGGCAGCTATTCCATCTATCGAATCCAAGCCTTCGGTTCCTGTGGTACTGGCACCCGTCCCTACCATTGAGGCTGTCCCCGATGCCGACTTGGGCGTAGCTGCACTCAAGGAGACCACAACCGCTGGTGAACCAAGCGTTCCTTCCGCACCTACAACCACACCGGCACCTGAGCTTGTGCCTGTAACAGACACCAAGAGCTTTTACAGCACACAGTACGTCACAAACGGCAACCTTGTGAGCAAGATCCTCTGGGAAGAAGAGGTGGTCTACGTGACCGATCTTCAAGAGGAGACGGTGATCGTTACTGTTACATCAACCGCTGTTGTTGGACCTTCGGCTGCCCCGGCTGCTCAAGCAGCACCCGCCGTACCAGCAGCACTCGAAGCACCGGCGGCTGAAGCAGCTCAAGCGGCGCCGGCTGTCCCAGTCGTTCCAGTCGCACCAGCTGCGCCTGCAGTACCAGCGGCAGGCCCACCAAGACGGAGACGTCGCGGTGCCCACCTGCATGGTCACAGACGCCCACATTTCTAAGCATTTAAGAAAGAAGATTATAAGAAAAGAAGGTGGAAAAGAAAGACAAAAAAATTTCCTTCTATTGTCTGGCTGGTCCCAGGTGTTCGTATGATTTGCATGGTTGGCGGGAGCATTTGGGTGCAAGGGTTTTTTCTTCATAGGAGGACAATTATAACCCAAGACTTGGGGACATGTAAGCTTAAGGAGAAACTACCTGATACAAATACAGGAATGATGAATGATCACAAACCGTGCCGTCCCATGCTCTAGAGAAATTGCCCTGGTGATTGCGTATTTATGAGTCTCAGTCGTAAGATAAGTGATAACCCATATATTTTCCGTGTTTCGAACTGAGCTGTAACAGTCAAGTGGCTTCTCATACTCACTCACAAGAATAGACCGATTAGATGATGATTTAACGGCGGTTGTTTCGTGTTTTCCAGAGCCAAGTTCTTGTACTTGATGCTGTAGTGTCGCGAAGCTCGTCTTGTGGTTTGCTGGGTCTGGAATGGGTTACGCCTAGCAACACATTCCTCATGATATTGAACTGAGACTCTCGAAATAACCTCAGCACAGCTGCCAATACTGAACTCCAGAAATTAAGATGAAAGTGGGCGTTTTCCCGCTCAAGGGATTCTCCTTCATTTGGCGTCCGCCATATCTCCTGTTGTCTGTCCTCTTCAAGCCTCATCTACTGAACCTCTTTATTCTCGATACTCATGAAGAAACTGCTGTTGGCTGATGACTTTTGAGGTTCAGCTACGGCAGTGTTAACAACAATGGTCCCTTCTCTCGTGGACAGAGCCGTGCGTGGAGCTGGCGGACTTGGTTTGGGATGGATTCTCGCCTTTTCCATCGGTGGTGCAATTCTCTTTTTTGCTGCGATCGGTTTCTTTCTCATATGGTGTGTCAAGTCTCGAGCCAGAAAGGATTCAACAACAGTATATCAAGTGTCCGAAAATATCGAAGACCATCGACGATCAATCTTTACAAAACGACTCGTCAAGCGCAAACACGCCATGGCGAGATCTGTTAGTCGACTATCACTCTCACTACCGCCAGTGCTCCCACCCCTTCCAACATACAACAGCTTCACCTTTTTTGGTGGAAATGGAAAGAAAGGCCGGTCGAATAGTTGGGTCGAGGAAGACAAGTTCCATGGGCCAAGGGTTAGCAGGAGTCGTCGCGATAGTCTGTTCAGCAGGGATGGATGGCTCGGAAGAGCACCGACAATCCCAACTCTTATGACAGATGACGAGTTAGAAAAGGCACAGGAGAGTCAAGAGCTTGATCACGACATCAGTGTGCACAAGCGACAAAGCCTGGAACGGAGTAAGACCGCTCCTGATCTGCCTCTGCAGCAGGAACATATACAAACCAGTCCTGTGCGAGCCCCATCAAGGGCTCGTGTACGGGCTTCGGTGACAGATACGGACCTCCGCGATATCCTTCGAAGTACAGAACAGCGACTTCGAGAGGGGTCAAGTCGATCTCCCAGCAAGAACTCTCGAAGTTCGCCAACAAAACGATCACCACATAAGATCTCATCGCTGAGAAGCACACCACGCAAGAACTCGCCTGCAAAGACACCCCACAGCCACAAGACCATGTCTTCGGAAGATTCAACCAACACAACTGGAACAGTACGCATCTCACGTGTGCAGCCAAGCCCAACCAAGAGATTTACTATCCATGCGATACCCATGACTGCTCAAAGTCGCCAACTCTCTGCTGGTTCTATCGGCAGCGCTGCCAACAGCTTGATAGCTGAGGCTACGCAGGAGCTCGTGCTGCCAGGAGGACTATCCAGCCCGAGTCGCCTAAGGGGAAGACAGTGGGAGCCACAGGAGCATACGAGTCCGCAAAAGCAGAACCCTCCAAAGACAACTACTAAGGAGGATAGTCCTGATAGACGAGCGTCCCAAGACAGCGAAGCATCGAGTTCGCTCTCGACATTGTACAGCGCCAATGAATCCGAGGAAAAGGATCAGCCTGACCCTTTCGTCGAGAAGAGGATCCCCGGAGTTCAGAGCTCAGAGAGTAGAGGGTCGTTGTTTGGACCACGGGTATCGCACAAACGGGGTAGGAATCTGAGTATATCTATCCCAGGCGGACAGAGCATCTTCAACACACAAGGACAACTTAGGCCTTCGTTTGTGAGTACACAAGCGGTTGGAGGACCTCCTATCTCTACGTACCTGCAACCACCACCGGAACGATTCCAGCGTAACGATAGCTACCATGCTCGCGATAAGGAGGGAATCGCTCTGGCATTCCCTGTTAGCAACTCATACACCAGCATCTTGACGCCCTCTGTGACCACCGATGGGGACAGCACTTTATCTCTCGGTAATCTGATGAGCGAGAGTCCCAAGCCTGAGGTTCCTGACCGTATAAGGCCGTTGCGTCAGGAGAATAGGCACAGCGTGGCGACAGAACCAAGTCCATCGACAATGAACTCTTCACCTTTTGACGAGCAAGACATGCTATCGCTCTTGTTGGGCACGGCACCGAAACGAGCACTGCCTGAACCACCAAAGCATATCGCTCAAGTAGATCACATTGCCATGCCAAAGCCAGTTTCGCCAATGCCGAGACAGGAATTCTCACAAAATTTGCGACAGATGTCGTCGGCAGCAAACACTATATATCGTGACGAGCTTCCAGTGGACGATCCTAGTGCAATCTCTACAGGATCACCGCTCCGACGTTCACTTTCACGCTCTAAGAAGGATATGCCACACCTCACTCCACCGGCGATGGCAAGCTTGGGATCCCTCGGGAACTCCATCATGGAACTTAGGAGGATGAACAGCATGGTTAGTTCTTACAGCGCCAACTCTCTGGCGTCTTCAGTCAACGAGCCCGACTCACCGACGCTGCCTATGTTGAACCTGACGAGCAGCTTCTCGCGAAGGGGCGCAAACCCTGCGACTCCCAGAACGAGCACTTCTGGTCGTCAAAACTACCTCAACCTTGCAAGTCCCAACAAGAGCGCCTCGGGATCAGCTGTGCCGCCTATGCCAACGCGACCACTCCCGCAAAGTCGCAGCGGTCGCTCGAACTTGGGTGTCGAGATTCGTGAAGATGACATCGATGTAGGAAAAGAGAACCAGGAACCGTTGTCGCTGTCAAGCGGGCTACGAGAGACGCGCAGGAGCGTGAACCAGGGATGGGATACTCGCGACTCGAGCAGAGGGTCGAGCAAGACCAAACTTGGAACTGTGAGCGAGCTTGTTGCTGAGAATAAGCGTGAGAGCAAAAGAATGAGTGCCGAGTCGACGGGTTTATATGACAAGGATGGGTTTCTGAGAAGCTCGCCTATTGCAGCCGCGCGAGAGACGAAGGGGCGAAGTCTACGCATGTAGAAGATAGTCTCTTTTTCGTTTTCACTATCTTGGATTTCTGTTCTTTTCTTTGTCAATCACCCAGCACGTTCTGTATTGCCAGCAAGTTGATGTACTTATTTCTTTGGGGGATTGGGACTTTTCATCAGGCTTTCTTTGGAGAGGATCAGGATTGGAGATGTTGGAATGGTTTTTGAGGGCTTTAGGTAGCTTAGCTTAGAAGCTCGTCGGATATATATACCCTTCGGACGTAATCTTAATAGAAAAATCGTAGTTATAGGAATGATGTTCCCACCGGGTTGCATAACTTCTTGGCTTGGATTGGGTTATCTCTTGAAACTCATAATGCATTGACTTTGTACTGTCATTTTATACCGAAACGCCCTGCCATGTCTTCCTGAGAGATATCTTCATCACTCCACCCGCGCTCGCTTGCTATCAGGATCATCAGGTGTTTGATCCTCAGCTGTACCGGTTCCCTCGGCCTCCTCTCGATCTCGTACCCTGCCAGCACCCTCGCCCAACTCTTCATCTTGGCCCTCGGCGCCTTTGCCAATCCAATTGCCCTCCTCGTCGAAATACTCGTGAACATTATCCGCTGTGATCCAGCCGCCGCTACCCGGCATGGGCGGTGGTAGTCCGCCATTACTTGCTCCACGCATGACCCCTGTGAAACCCTCAATGGCCTGATGCTCTTCGCTGCCCTCAAAAACGATACGGTCGTACTCGTCCTCGCTCTCGTCACCATCGTTAGGGTCAGCGTGGAGGTCGGAGCAGTTGGCCATGGCGTCGTATAGTTGCTTGGCGGCGCTGGGCTCGGAGTCTGATTTAGGTGGGATGATGGTGAGATCCACCGTGTTGAAGTCATCGTCGTCGGCGCCGCCGTTAGAGAATTCAAGCTGCATCCACACGGCTTGAGTGCGCTCTGCGTCTGTCTCGGGGCCGATCTTCTTGATTGCGTGGATGGATATCGACGGGTAAGGAATTGAAACGCCAGCTTCGACTTTGTTACTGAAGATAGTCAAGACCCTGTACAACATTAGTCAAAGTCAAGATAGAGATCATGGTAATGCTTACTCGGAGTTGACAAAAACATCCACCGTTTGTTCCACGAGCTCCTCGGCATCACCGTTAATGCTATCGCCTTCAGGAGCACTTGGCTTCTCGCTCGCATCGGCAGGAAATAGAGCTAGAGTACCGCAGAGCGCCTTGGGGATCCATGCTTTTGCGCCCTCGATGTGGTAGTGAAGAACAGGCTTCCCGCTAACAAAACTTTCAGGCGTTGTAGACTGGTATTCAGCCAAGGGCGTAAAGTCAGCTTCCTTGGGCGGTGTGCGGATCGTCGTGGGCAACATGATGAATTAGTTCCTGGTATAAGAGCTTGGGTTTGTTTGGAGTGGAGGGGTTCACCAGGCAGCTGAAGAAAATGTCCAGTCATGAGGCAGGGGAGCTTTATCGGACTGCTGCTTATCGATAAGGATGCTTATCGCTGCCTCAGTGGTTGGGTAGGACGGGCGCGTCGCATTTCCATTGAATCTTGACTGACTTATAAATGATCATTCAGTGAAACACGAATTCCTTTCTATTTAGTCACATCATCTTGAAGCAGCTGCATCGAACGAGAGTATTTCCGGACAAAAAATCTCTGTCGCCTTGATAGCATTGCTGGTTATAGCTGAAGGGTTCATTATAGACCGCCTATCATGCACGATAATAAACGTATGCTCACTGAGACGCATTACACGGTATCTGGCTAACCTCGTATTAGGATCTCATCCTCTTCTGGAACAAGTGCCTCTCACAGTCTCACCATTTGTGTCTCTTCCAACAGCGACAACGCTCTCATACAACTACAAGACCATGCCTTCCAACATCCCCCCCTCATCTCTGGGCATCGAGGCAGCATCAGACAACCCCGCAAGTCAGGCCAAACCCAAATACGTGGTATCCAGCTCCGGTCACGCAGCGCATCCCGAGGACATCATGGCCTCGTGCCGCGCACTGAAAGCTTACGTGACTAAGATGCAGGAGGACGCAGAGCGTGAGCTGAGGGAATTTGACGAGAGGATCAAGGCGCGCGAACTCGCCGAGAAGAGGAGGGTGGCTCCAGGGTGGCTCGATAGTGAGATGCACATCTTGGAGCCTGAGAAGAGTACCCCGGTGCAACAGCATGGTGTTGGAAGCGTGCCGGAACCTCAGGAGGGTCAAAGTGGACCGAGTGCGAATGCGACAGAAGACCAAGGTGCTGAGTTAGACCGGGTGTTTGGTGGAATGGCTTTGAAATAGAGCATTCTGAGTGGGTTTTACGATTTCATGATCCATAGGCGTAGGGCGCAATTCTCACAGGGCTATACATTGGGTTGAATACGTTCCGATGTCTGCTTCTCCGTTTCGCAATAGCGAACACCTCAACACATCACTTGACGGACATCTGGATAAGTAGCTGCAACTACAAAGTGAGCGAGTGCGCCGAAAACAATTTGGTATTGTCTGCTATGGCGGCCAAAGAACTATACTACACGTCTAACAAATATTCGACCTCTCACATATCTCATACACGGCAGGCAAAGATCCCTATCTAATTTCTCTTTGAGGAAACAGCCAAGATCTTGTCAGCGGCGTGTGCAGCAGCAACCATGATGATAGCCTGAGTATTTCCAGTTGGAACCTCAGGGTGCATGCTGCCATCAACAACAAACAAGTTCTTAGTTCCCCAGACCCGAGTATCGGGTCCCACAACACTCTTACCATCATTCTTGGCTCCCATGTTGGCAGATCCGAGATGATGGTTGCCACTATACGAAACCTCGAGAATCGAGTCCGCAGTGACATTGCTCGGCACAGTCAAAATGCTGCCAGGCTGGCGTGCGTAGCTGAGAAGCTCACCGACAAAGGTCTTGAGAGCTGCGCGGTCGCCCTCGGTGTTGAGGAATGGCGTCCGAGTGATGTTGGTGTTGCCATCAGGAGTGATCTCGAGGGTGCCATGAGATGTGAGACCGTGAGTGAGATAGACCTTGGCCGAGATAGTGTTGTTCTCAGGGGCGTTGACGGTGCCCTGGACGTAGCGAGTCACGCCATCACTGCCTTCGACGCTCTTCCAGAAGTTGAGACGTTGAGCCGACTGGGAAAGAAGGCCGCTTCCTTCGGCAAACAGCTCAACTGTTTCGTCGTTGGGATCAGTGAAGGCCGTGCTGGGTAGAGCTTGGAGTTTGTCTCTAGTCTGGAAATCCACGACGACGATGGGGTGATCTTTGAGGCGCTGGCCAACTGGAAGATCGATCCATTGAGAAGCAGGAGGGAGCTTGACTTTGGTGGAGCCAGACTGGACGATACGAATCTGATCCTTGGGCCCGATGCCAGAGTTGAAGAGGATTCGTGGTGTTGAATGGGTGCCAGATGAGAGAATTACTGAGCCACCTTTGTTCAGCTTGATGATCTCACGAGAGCCATCCTCGTGCTCAACTTCAACACCGGTAATCATAGGACCCTTCCGAACAGCGCGGATGACTTTGGCATGCAGTTGGAGGGTGAAGTTTTCGAGGGCCTCTGCATCCGGGAGAATGTCCCGAACGGGGCCGCCTCGAAGTCCATTGCTGATCTGGTTTGTGTGAGCGCTGCTTAACTGATGTAGTAGGTCGGACTTACTAGCCAAGGAGGATGTGTGAAGATCTTGTCCTTCGCCTCAACGTCTTCAAGAGCATTAACCTCGCCCCAGCCGTTGCTCTCCAGGAACTCGGACATGACCTCAAAGGCGCCATCATCGTGCCGCTTGCCATCAGCAGAAGGAAGAATGCTTCCAGGCATACGCTTGAAAACACTCTTGGCAGCATCAGAAACCCCGTCCTTCCACTGCCATCCCTTAGGCCAGCCCTCAAAGTCAGCAGCTCGGGGCTTGACAAACATGAGCGCGTTCAACATGGTAGAGCCTCCAAGCAAACAGCCCGCAGAAGCAGCAATGTCTGTGCACCACTGGATTGTCGGCGAAATGTCTGTGTAGTATGCCATTCCTGGCACGTCATACGCAGTGACACTCTTGTTCCATTTCATCAAGTCATCGCGATTGCCTGTTGAGTAGTATGACGGACCGCCTCTCTCAACGAGAAGAACCTTGTGTCCAGCAACGGCGAGTTTCTCCGCGACGACGAGTCCTGAAGCTCCGGCTCCAGCAACGATGTAATCGTAAGTGGTTTTGCGAGTGGTAGTGTTCTCAGCAGCAGAAACAAGGCCCAGCAACGCCGAGCCGACGACAGTGGTGAGCTTCATTTTGATAACCAACAGAGACAAATATGAAGATGGAGATAAAGAAGCCTGGAGAAAGGGTCTTCAGGACTCACCGATGCCCTTTTTATTCCCATCTTTAGCCAAAATCTCTTGTAAAAGATTAGATGAGATTGATAAACTCCCCACATATTGCTGCTGGATCCAGTATAAGTGCCGAGTCGGGGTGGGTAGCTTGTGGATATGAGCGCCATTAAGCTTGTTCTGAAGGCATGAGAAGATGATGATCGGCATGTATTCTAAGGCTAGGGCTAGCAGTGTTTGCATAGCATGGTTGAGTTTTTAATGTCCCAATATGATGAGATACGGTGTGAGGGTACTTTTGTCGAGATTGAATTGGGCGAGGTGAAGGTGAAGCGTCTCTAAGTGAAATGCAGGACACTACGAGCCTTTCAATATCAGAACTGAGTCAAGGGAGGTATCGTATCAGGCTGCTAAGTCCGTGGATTCTACCAAGAGCTACATAAACTTTACATAAAACGATACGTCAACATGGTCCTTGTGGGGGCAGTGCTTGCTCGTCTGTTTATCCTTGAACCCTAGGTCATGATACTTCACACTACTTTGATCTGATAAGATCTTGGGTAAACATTCTTCCATGAATTATTCTGAGGAAGCAAGCCGGGCAGGGACGGGGGTTAAGTACGAAACCTTGAGAAAATCACAGGCTGCCATGGACAGAATCATCTGAACGATTCCATGCATCCCTGGCACAAACTGGAAAAAACTGAGATTTCCTCCGATCACGGCCGTTTTCTGCCAAGACATGAACCATCACGGCCGGTTCGGCGAGTCATCTAATGGTGGGGGCCTGTATATTATCTTCAGACGAAGCAGTCTTTTCTCAAGCAGAATATTGAACAGTGGGAACAAAGCAATGGAGTCGGGTTTTGATCTCGACATGAACGATCTATAAATGTTAGCTTGGGAAGAGACAAGTACATTGACAATGTCAATGACACAAAGTTTTGCGTGCTCAAATACTTGCCCTTGTCAAACATGTGGTTAATTAAACATCCTTTGGCTTTGCGTAGAAATGGTACACGGATTTTGCAGACAAAGGCAGAGGTGAAAGCGGTACACCAATCAAACAGACTACCTACCTACTCAGGATATCATTTACGTCTTGTCAGTGAAGATATAACCGACAAGCCGTCTGTAACCTCACTTTGCGGATGCGCATTTGCTTTTGCTGGCCCCTATTGAAAAGTCTTGAACCTCTGCTTTTACTGCAACACCACAGTGCATCTATGGCTTGATAGTATTTCATGAACTATAAGGTTTGCTAAAAACATAGCAATGTTTGAGGATATGTGTGCTTGTTCTTGGTATATAAAACAGCAGAGAAACTATCTTACTTGTAGCAACACATAGCAACTTCGCTCGATTGACGGACTCGTGAGAATCACAATGAGAAATCCCACCATAAGACGGGTACGAAATGACCCAAGCTTGAGGTATCTCTAGGTTGTATGTAAGATATTTCAATTTGCTTAGGTCTGGTATATTGGCAGTGACAGGCAGTGGCAGGAAGTGATTCAGCGCCCTCAAAGCTGCCTTCCCTATCTCACAAGGCAGCCTCACCTTATGTGGCCTTGATTCATCTCATTCATTCCTATTATATGCATCTATTTTTACTTCTCACATTGTTATTCTTAACACAACCACATCATCAGCCTTGGTGGATACCAGCGCGGATGCTCCATTGTATAGACAATACTGCATACCTTACCTACCATTAATTCAATATGTTCAGACCGGACAAAGAGGGCAAGCATGGGCTGAGCCCACAATCAGACGACCCAAACTCCAAGCGAGGCAAGGCTCTATATCTTGTTGAGTCGCCCGGAGGAACTTTGAGAGAGTCAGATCCTTCTGCAATTCATCAACACAGTCTCGCTGCCATGAACGACTCAAGCTCTAAGCCGTCAGGGGCTAAAGTCCCTCAGCTCAATGATCCAGGCCCAGAGATATATGGAACTGATGCCAGAGTACATTCTCTGTCTACCTCGGAACCACCAATTGCTGCCTTTGGACCACCTCTGGCTGCCCGTGGACCGTCTAATACTGCCTTTGGGCCACCTGTTGCTGCTCGTGGACCACCCATTTCCGCCTTTAGACCTCCTATTGCTACCCGTGGACATTTTTCTGCTGCTCCTGATCCTTCTTTTGCTGGAAGTTCGAGTCGTCCTGCTTTTCCTGGCCCCCAGAACAGTCAAAGCGGGAATCAACAGCAAGCCAGTGAAGAACAGTACCCTCCAAAATTCGCTTGTCGCACAAATATCAATCAAGATCTCTCGCAGGAGCACCTCAGTACTCTCTCCGTCGCAGAGAAAGTTCGAAAAGGTATTGCCATGGGTTTGGCCAACACCTTGCCATATGAAAACGCCCCCCCAGGCACTAAACTACCCATGAATTGCATGACAGTGGGAGACATGATGAAACGAATGGACACGGCGTATCACATGTCCCCTGCACTCTCTTCTTTTCACTCTGAGGGAGATCCCAACGGAGCGGACATGATCAACAAGGAACTGCCCTTCGATGGGTATGCGCCACTTGCGCGGTTCGCTGCTCACCAAAACCGAATGCAGCATATGCAATCCAGAATACCTCACCTGTGAGTCTACTCGTGCGATGAAAAGCGTTGACACTCAGCTGATAGTTTGTTCAGGGCTGTTACTAGCGCGAGGCTTCGAGTAGTTACTGAAACTGGCAACATGCATCGCTGGTCCCCCATTGAGCTGTCCGAGTATTCTCCGGAGCTCGTGATGCGTATTGAGCCCTTGTATGACCATGCTTCGATCCAAGCTTCGCTTCAAGCCAACGGCACCTTGGGACCACCAAGTCTCACATCCTGGCTTGGATGGGCCCGCCGTCGCTTTGGTTACAAGAAACTTGAGCTTGAGTCTCTCATTTTCGTACACGACAAGGAGAAAGACATGTCGATGAAACAAAGTCTATCAGTCGCCCCAAAGAAGTTACAACCTTCCACTAACAAGGATACTTTCGAAGGGTCGTCCACTAATGAGGATACCTCTGGAGGATCATCCACTAATGATGAAATCGACGTTCTTGAGCTTGACGACCTGAAAGGTAGCATCACTGTATATGAGTTAACTGTGTTGTAAGTTCACTTTTAGGTTCAAAAGACCAATGAACTAACTGTTGTTCTTCAGGGCCCATGGGACTACCCAACAAGCACACAGCTGGACATGGTTCGAGATTGTCAAGCCACTACTTGACCTTGAGGGCCCCGCGCCAGAGGGTTTAAGCACCATACCCAACGCTGTCCTCACGTTTGTCATGCCGACGGCCTCTATTGAGAAAGTCACAGAGGAGTAGGATCCACCTTTGCCTGTTCATCAAGACAAGAGCCACGAGTCAACCAAACCGAGCAAGCCTGTGAAGCTCGAAGACTTGGTACGACTCAAGGTGGATGCTTATAATGAGAACGCTGGTCGCCAACTCAAACTTGGCTGGAGGTTTACCAGAAACGGCATCCCGACCTTTGTAACCACACCCAAGCCACCGATTATGCAAGAGCAAGGTTTCCCCCCAGATTTCTTCTATATCGATGCTGCCCCTCGTTATTCTGACGACAGACAATGGTGGCGTACTGTCCGCGACCAAGCTATCAACGACCGAGGCCAATGGCAACATGTCCAAGCTCTCATGTCGTCCAATGTCTGCCTTGCCGACATCTGTTCGAAGAAAGGTGCCAAATGGGTCAAGGTCAAGCCCGAAGCGCAGAGAAGCATTTTTGAAAGAAACTTGATGCCTGATTCGGGTTCCGGGTCACGTCGAGCCAAGACAACCCATGGAGCATCTAGACTGCGCAACCAAGTTCAGTAAAATCGAGAATGATTGACGGGCATACTTCGATATCAATCAACACTCAGGGATCATCCATGATTGCCTGTTCTGGGTGCTGATGTGAGACACTGGCGGACATCATTGCCAAATATCGATGGAAATAGGAAGGTGGTTGAGCCTTCTGGCATTTTAGGGAACTATTGGAAGGATGAATACCTCGATCTCGTTCGAGGAAGGATTGGTGGTCGGTTGCTATTATATACTTATTAGCTTACGGATGCAGGACATCATGAGGTTTACATGGCTTACATTGGTTGGTGTAGCGGTTTGCTGAGCGAGAGTCAATTCACATTGCTATTTCGCATTACTTCTTTTTCTTCCCTTTAGCCTTTTCCTCCTTCTTATCCCCGATCATACCGGCCCTTGCAAAGGCATCACTAGCCACGGCAGTGATTAATCTGAACCTTTTGGACCCCAGGGGAGCACCGCCGTACCAGCGTGTGACCACTACCATCGAATCCCATAGTTCCATTGACTGCATCAGCTGCAGCAACCGGGATCCGGCTCCCGACTCACCATCGTCATTAAACTGCTGATGCTCAATGCCTTCAGCTCTTACACGCCACGCCGTAATGTTGTGCGTTGCATTGCGTATACGTTTGTCCGACTCGAGCAGAGACTCGACATACGAACTGGCCTGTGAGGGACATGTTACAGGGGCAACGTGCGCTATAAATTCCGTGATGCGTTTTGAGGCCGTCCAAGATGGGGGCTGTGATGGTTTAGACAGGATGGATTGGACTGCTCTCTTGGCGGACATTGCGCATTGGGCTAAAGTAGAGAGTTTACCAAGACAAGGAAATCGATTTTGTGTTTCAGTGTCTTGGTTTGATGTATTGGTGTATTATAGTGCAACTGAAATGTTCGAGAAGCTTGATGGAGCAGGGGAGCTCCAAGTGAAGAGGCTTAACATGATTGGCCAGACTCACTTTCCAGGAGATTCTTTAACTGGTCATGAGCTACTCAAAACTGTACCTTGGAGTCAAGAGCTACCTCAGCATGAGGGGTCCAAAATAAAACAAGAAATTGTATTTGTAAACTTAGACTTATATTCCAATGAACTCAATTGAGTAAAACGATAACTTAGAACTCCAAGCATCAAACTCGTGAGCAGCAGACTATTATCATACACAATCTATAATTTACAGAAAGATTCTTCAAGTCCGTAGTTGCTGTTGATCATTTCTCAACCCCAATGCTAACTAGGTGTAGGCAAATATCAGGCGGGGCGGGTTAATATCAAGGCCGAGAAGGCGGAAGCATGGGAGCCTCCCCGCCAAAAATCATCCATATCCACATCCACCACTGAACTTTTCTGGATGTGCGCGCCCCTCAACAACTGTTCTTTTAGCCTTTCTGCCCCTCCGACACCGACAGCCTAGCACCTTCACCTTTTCCAACCGACGCCCAAAGACATCTCTGTTGCTGCCGAGATATAATCAGAAGTTACAAGACGATAAAAGGCAAAAACACACTCGCCCAACATGCAGGCTCCGGTGGTGGTTATGAGTAAGTCTCTATCTCTCTGCCTCGCTGAATTATAAAACCCCCACACTAGGCGGCGAACCCCTGGGCCTCGACCTCGAGAGGGGAGCTTCCGTTATGTTTTCCAATCCGTCCTTGAGGCTGACCGAGATGTTACAGACACCAACAGCGGTGAGAGGCAGACCGGCCGGAAAGCTCAGCTGTCAAATATTGCCGCTGCCAAAACGTATGCCATTGTTCCTGTCCTCGAGTCGCGTGCCCGATCCTAACCACCGATGCCAGTGTTGCCGATATTATTCGATCATGCCTTGGTCCCAAGGCTATGCTAAAGATGTTGCTCGACCCCATGGGCGGTATTGTCCTTACAAACGATGGCCATGCTATCCTTCGAGAAATCGAGGTCTCCCACCCTGCCGCGAAGAGCATGATTGAGCTTAGCCGGACGCAAGACGAAGAAGTTGGCGATGGTACCACAACTGTCATTATCTTGGGTAAGAGGACCTCGCTATACTACAACGTCTGATGGACATATCGCTAATATTCCGTAGCTGGTGAGATTCTCGCACAAGCTCTTCCCCAGCTCGACCGTAACATCCATCCTGTCGTCATCATTTCCGCCTTCAAGCGAGCTCTCAAGGACGCTCTTGAGATCATCGAGGAAATCTCTACGCCGATCGATGTCAACGACGATAAGGCCATGTACCAGCTCATCGCTTCTTCAATCGGCACCAAGTTTGTTGCTCGCTGGATGGACCAGATGTGCGACCTTGCCCTCAAGGCAGTCCGTACTGTGACATGGGAGGCTGGCAACGGCAAGACTGAGGTCGACATCAAGCGATATGCCAGAGTGGAGAAGGTTCCCGGCGGCGAGATTGAGGACAGCAGGGTCCTTGACGGTCTGATGCTCAACAAGGATATCACACATCCCAAGATGCGCCGGCGCATTGAGAACCCCCGAATTGTTCTCCTCGATTGTCCCCTCGAGTACAAGAAGGGCGAGTCCCAAACCAACATTGAGATTACCAAGGAGGACGACTGGAACCGAATTCTGCAGATCGAAGAGGAGCAGGTTAAGGCTTTGTGCGATGCCATTGCTGCTGTCAAGCCCGACCTTGTCATCACCGAGAAGGGAGTGTCTGGTATGTGCCGATTCGAATTTTGTTAAGAGTAGCAGTTTACTAATTTTGTCACAGATCTTGCCCAGCACTACTTCTTGAAGAACAACATCACAGCTCTGCGCCGAGTGCGAAAGACCGACAACAACAGAATAGCCCGCGCCACCGGTGCTACTATCATTAACCGAGTAGAGGACATCCAAGACTCCGACGTCGGCACCCGATGTGGCCTGTTCGAGATTGAGAAGATTGGAGACGAATACTTCACATTCCTTACCAAGTGCAAGGACCCCAAGGCCTGCACAGTCCTTCTCCGTGGTCCATCCAAGGATGTCCTCAACGAGATTGAGCGAAACCTTCAGGATGCCATGGGTGTCGCACGAAACGTTATGTTCTCCCCTAAATTATCGCCAGGTGGTGGTGCTACAGAGATGGCCGTGTCCGTGAGATTGGGTCAACTCGCCAAGAGCATTGAGGGTGTGCAGCAGTGGCCCTACAAGGCTGTGGCGGATGCCCTCGAGGTCATCCCCCGAACCCTGGTGCAGAACGCTGGCAAGAGCCCTGTCCGTGTGTTGACAGATCTCCGAGCCAAGCAGGCTGAGGGTAAGAACACCTGGGGTGTCAACGGTGACACAGGTGCTATCGCAGATATGAAGGAGTACGGAGTTTGGGAGCCTCAAGCTATCAAGCTCCAGAGCATCAAGACCGCCATTGAGGTAAGTTATCCTTGGCACAGTTCTCCTGTTCGCAGCTACGTAACAAAATACTGACAATTTCACTAGTCCGCTTGCCTTTTGCTCCGAGTTGACGATATCTGCAGTGCCAAGAAGGCAGGGCAGCTTGGCGTCTCTGGTGGCGGTGACGAGTAGAGGACGCATGAATGTACGTGGATGAAGACATGAGAGTGTGGACATATTGCTGGAGTGATTGCGGGAGACAAAGTCAGGAGGCAGGCGTGCAATTCGGGCTGCTTATACGAATGTCTGTTTGGTTGGACTGGTCATACCCCTTTGTACTAGCCGAAAGAGCAAAATAGACGAGGCAAATAAGGAAAAAGATAAAGACAAAAAGGAGAGTTGGGGCAGAGCATGATAAAGCCCCAAAGATTCTTCTCAAGATGAAAGAAATGGGTATCATATAAATTACCTGATTGATGAATTACTGTCGCTTCTACTTGTGAGACTCTTGTGAGTCGTTCCTCCTGCTGCGGTCTAGACCTTGAACCCCGATTATGACGTAGCGTTCTCCCTTCCCTTGACCCCTCGGTACATATATGCTCGAACCTTTTTGTTGCTATTATTCTTTTACTTCTTAGCCTGCTTAGTCGTCTTCATCGTGAATGACTAGACCTGCAGGTTGCGCAGAAGGTGCTGATTCCGAGTCATCGTTACCAGACTGGTTTATAGTTTGAGTATCATCAGCAGAGTTCTTATTATCGTCCCCTGTATGTGAAGAGCTGTTTGTGACGGTTCTCAGCTGCGTCGCATTGGGCTTCTTGTCAGTCGCTCCAGCAGAACCCTTGCCCTTCTTGCTTTGGCGAGCCTTCAACTTCTCCCTCTTCTCGCGGTTCTTGCGCGTACGCTCCTCATCTCTGCGGTCGCGCTCACTTTTCTCCTTGCTAAACTCCTCAACGTCCTTTTCCCGCCGGAGATCCTCGTCCATGCTGCGAAGGCGCTCATACTCGCGCCGTCGGCTGGCTTTATAGACGTGGAACTCGCCCGAGCCTGCACCGGCGCTGGAACCTTGGACGTTGGTGACGATTTCCGGGGGAGCGGAGCGGAATGCGGCACCGACGGCGCCGGAGGTGGAGGACTCGGGGATACGGATGTTCTGGTCGGGCTTTGCGAAGAGGGCATCTACCGAGGCGGCTTGCGCTGAGAGGGGGGTAAGAGCGCGCTTCTTTGTTGGACGGTGGGAGCGAGGATCGGCCGAAGTTGGCACGGATTCGGGGCCGGGAGCGGACATCGTCAAGCAAGCTCCAAGGATGGAAGAGAGGAGAAAAGAGAGTGAGTCAATGGGCTTGTTGTGCCTGATCTAAGATGAGAAAATGGGCTGAGCGACGCGTGAGAATGAGATGTCTAGCGGGCGCGCGTAGATAGCCTAAATAGGCAGAGGATCGTCGGGTGAATTGGAAAATGCGTCGAGGTGATATCGACTGAGACGGAGGACCTCTAAGGATCAATGAGGCGGTCAGATGTTGGGTTGACACGTGAAAAAAAGAATGATGGCACGGCAGATGAATGTGTTTTGACAGGATAAAGAGATGGTCTAGGATCTGATGAGGGTGGCGTAATTCAGGTGCTGGGGCTAAGAATTAGCCTATGCAGCCACTGGAAGAAAAAAGTTGACGACACAGATAGACCAGCTCCATAGTGGAAACAGACTTAGATATCTCCAAGGGTAAGATGGTGATTCTAACGGCTTAGTTGTATCCGATGTGAACCAGTGGAACGGCTGAGATAGAAAAGATACTTCTTAAAGGTAATTGCGTTTGAACTGCAGTTTAAGCATGAGTTTGTCGCAGAAAGTCCAAACTTCTTTTCTTGACTGTTTCGTCCCCCTCCAAGATGAGGTGGATGCCGTTTGATAAGCGCGCGGCAGTTCAAAGTTCCAGATACAAGAGTGAGAGGTGCAGATACACAAGCCGCGTCAGCCATTCGCAAGAGGAAAGCTTCATGATGAACATGTGATTAAGCATGATCAATCAGGCAATCATCTGTCGTTCAGATGCATATAAAAACTGCAAGTGCGACGAGAAAGGGAAAACGATTGACAGAGCTGTAGGTATTAGGTCGTTTATGGATTTAGCCAGAGTGTGTGAGTCGCAATCGGCGGCTGTGGGCGCTTCTGTTGTAGATCATATCACTACGCCGTAGCTGTCATTGCTCAAGTGATGAGATGGGTGCATTCGGATGGGCGGGCAGTGCCGAGAACAGGGCCAAGAGATCTAGTGCATGGTAATTATCCGTACGAACCAACATAAGCAAACACCACGAGATAAATCATGAGCATAGACGACGGGAGGTCCGATGAAAAACAAGAAAGAGAAAAGACGCAGGAGAAAGAACAAGTCGCGGAAAACGCATGCAAGAGAGCGGCATGGATATGGGATATGGCCATGGCTAGCTGTCGTGATGATAATCGTATCGTCTTGTCGCCTGAATTACTCAATCTGGCCCTGCAGATCTCCAGGATTGGCCAACCATTCACCCATCCCCTCTTTTATACTTGGTAGATTGCCAGATTCTCAGCATCTTTTGACAAGGGGAGCCCAAGCAAGCACGCAAGGACCAAGCAAAGTTCCAAGGGGACGGGAACGGGAACGACGGGGGTTCTCTTGAAGCGGGATGTGAAATCATATGATCATGGGAGATGCGGTATCAACGGATGTTGTCTCCCGCCATAGAGAGGGACGAGCAGATACAACACGGACGTCAAACACCGAATCGTATCAGTGCTCGGCTTTTGCATCGCCAGATAGACTAGACCCGCCTAGTTGGTCTCCAGTCTCTAAGTTTCCAACTTTAGCAGGGAACCGTTTGCGGGACCTTTTACCTTTTTCTAGTAGATCGTGCCATGGGGAGAACGATGACCTTTTTTTACCCCTTGTGCCTTGTGCGCAAGCAGGGATTTGTTAAAGATTTGGTTGAGGCTAGACTAGGTAGTTCATCGTCCAAGAACTCATTGTGGGCTGTTTTTGTGGTTTATGTGTGATGGCAGATATCAGGGCGTTAGCAACGGTCAACCGCTATTGGACAATCAACGTGTGCTTGGAGGGCTGAAGATGGACGACTAAGAAGCTGTTTTTCTGCTTTGGTCGACAGATGGCGGGGGGCGGCTCCGGCCTCAGGAGGTATCGAAAGGTAGCTCCAGGGGACAGTTCTAGCGGTTGAAAGGGCTAAGAGGGCTAAAAGGTACATGGCACACCCTACCTAAATCTGGGCTGAGTTGGTGGTGGGGGGGCTCTACCATATCCCGGCATTTCGGCGGGGCGGTTTTTCTTTTCGGAAACATGGTTGCACGCCAACACGCACTTGCCCTCGCTCTGATGCTTCAGGTCAGGATGTCTCGTGAGCCAACGAGAGGCGACAATTATGAGTGTGAGCCTTACCAAAAAAACACTAAAAAAAGACGTTGCGTTGTGTGCTTCATCTTTATTTAGTCCTATTTCTCCCCCTTCCTCCTCCGCCTCCTACTCTCTGCTTCTTCTACTGCACTTTCCATTATCTTCTCTATTATTTATAATTGGTGACTCTGACCTATCCGAGCTTACCAATTATAAGCCTAACTCTAGTAGTTTACCTACCCTCCCACCTTACTCCGCCATATTCTATCCCGTCCCGTGCTTTCTCGGAACGTCACCGTGAACCTAAACCAACACAGTCAACCTCAACTTGACAACTCCTCTAAACGTACACGATTATTTTTAAATCGTCTACTTCGATATTGAGCCCATTTATTACCCCAGTGACTACCCCTCAACATCATATATCAGAACATCATGACCAAGCCAAGATTGATCATCCTAGTTCGTCACGGCCAGTCTGAAGGCAACAGTACGTTTTTCCATACAGCAAACCTCTCGCAGCTTCAATTGCTTGCTCCTCTTTTTTATAAAAACTCGCCTACTAACAGACACAAAGAGAACCGCGAAATCCACCAGACCGTTCCCGATCACAGAGTGAAGCTTACACCAGAAGGCTGGAACCAAGCCCATGATGCTGGACGCCGTCTCCGCAGTCTTCTTCGCCCTGACGACACCCTCCAGTTCTTTACTTCGCCATACCGCCGAACACGAGAAACCACAGAAGGAATTCTTGAGAGCTTAACCTCTGATGATGCCTCACCATCGCCGTTCCGCCGAGCTAACATCAAGGTGTACGAAGAACCCCGGTTACGTGAGCAGGATTTCGGCAACTTCCAACCATGCAGTGCTGAGATGGAGCGCATGTGGCAGGAACGAGCTGACTACGGCCACTTCTTCTACCGCATACCCAACGGCGAGAGCGCTGCCGATGCCTACGATCGGGTTAGCGGCTTTAACGAGAGTCTGTGGCGACAGTTTGGCGAAGACGATTTCCCTAGTGTCTGCGTGTTAGGTACATGACCACTGGCCATTTTTGTTTTCCCTCTTTGCTAACATATGTGCTAGTGACCCATGGGCTCATGTCCCGTGTCTTTCTCATGAAATGGTACCATTTCACTGTCGAATATTTCGAAGATCTCCGAAACATCAACCACTGCGAGTTCCTCATTATGCGAAAGCAAGAGAACCAGAAATACCTTCTCGAAAACAAACTACGAACATGGTCAGACTTACGGCGAGAACGCAAAGACAAGGACAAAGAGGACAAGGATAAGGATAAGGACTGTTCTAAACTCCCACGTACCAAGACTTTCGTTGTCACACGGAAGTGGGGTGGATGTCCCAATGGCTGTGATCACAGCCGCCACTACGCTAAGCGTGAGGATTTGGAGATTATGCGCAAGCAGGATCACGAAAACGGAGGCCCAGAACCTTACGGTGCGGGTACGTGCCCGGATGAAATCATCACAATCACCAACCGGAAGCAGAAGCCAAAACAACTCGAATGCCTTGCCAGCAAGAGTCAGAGCGCCACTCTTGATGCTGATGACGACGGTCCTGAGATCGACATCTCTTCAAACCATGAGAGCAAGTCTGTTTCTGACCTCAACGACACCCCTTCGGTCATCTCGTCCAGTGAATACATCCAGTCACCCTACTTGCACATTGGCCGCGATGGGGGCGGTACCTATTCAGGCCACACCTCTGCTGCTGAGACTGACAACGAATCGTCAGAGGATGAAAACATAAGCTTACACCGTATCGCCTCCCTCAATGCTCATGTTAACAAGACTACTGGCGAAAAAAGCGTCAAAGCTCCATACAGCCATAAGCCCCTCCTCAAAGCCGGCCCTGAGCATTTAGCATACACGAGCGATAAGGATAGCCCGGATGAATATGCTCGAACTAACCGTCTTGGCGATGCTTCCACGGATTCTTCCTGCAACGGTGACGGTGATCATGAGGATTTGGACCATGCTGAACAGCATGACCGTAGCATTCGTGGCAGCGTGTACTGATGAACGCTCGGATGGTTTGACTTTATTCACTCTCACCTTCTTACGATTTGGTTTTCATGGGAAATAGCGGATACCAGCCTGCGGGCGCGGAGCAACTTATTTTGATGATATTCACACTTTTTACTTTAATGACGCATGACTTTGGAACGGGCTACGGAAAAGCAATGGATAGAATGACCAACTATGCTGGCATGGTTTCGAATTAAACTTTTTAGCTATATAGGAGGTCTTGATAGCGTTTGTTGTGGTAGCATCGTTACCACATAATACATACACACATATTCCTCCTCAATTATACTATTTCGAAACATCGAGACATATAACTCATCCATGTTTCAATACTAATCGTTTCTTAATCTATGGACACATTACATCAGAACCGCAGACGATAAGAATCTCATTCCGCCATATCTCACCAAAGACCTCATAAACAGACGAAGATTCCACCAAGCTAGGCCATGGGCGTATCTACATCTCCAGAGTACCAGTGCTCGGTCCAGGACATCTCCTTACAGTATTTATATAGGCACACATCTGCAGTGTATCGTTATTTTAACTAATTTCTTTATTTTGATCGATTCATGAGTATTATATAACACCATGTTGAAAAATGCACTGCCGTCATCTCTTTCTCCGCGGCATCTAAGTATAAGTGAATATTCATCAAGGTTGGACAGATTCAACCCGCCCACCTTCAACCCCATTGCCATGCATAAACCCCTTCCATCACTAGAAATTTATCGAGAAGAAAGCAAGAACAAAAATGTATACCCCCATCGCCCCATTGCACCTTGCATTCGTCTGCCAAGTCGTCTTATGTTGAGCATGTTGAATAGACAGTGATAGCAAAACAACTAAAACGATGCAAACAAAACTCCAGTAACACCATATCCAGTCTTCGATTCCTCCCAGGACCGCTCCCCTCGAGCCCAACTACTTGAGAAGACGCAAAATAGAAACAAAGACTCCGGGTCATGCCACCAGCGCGAATAAGGTGATTAGAAACCCCCTGTAACCCATGCAGGGTCACCAGAGCGACGGGCAATGCCCCATCATATGCAGAATATAGTTTCCCAACCAAGGCAGGGAACACATGTTTGGTATAAGGAATCAGGTAGGCCAGAAATGAAGCATTTCAACAAAGTAAGGCAATGAGCAGGAACCTTAAGACCTCTCTCTACTGTACAGTCGCTGCTAACTCGAGCCCAGTGGTAGGAGATAGAGGTACAAGTTAAGGAGATCTTTTCCCTGTCTAAAACAGAAGCTGCCGTAATATCATTATGTATGAAGCGGATGAGTCGTGAGCCGCCATAGAGTGCCAAAAAGGCAAACCAAGAGAGAGGGGGGTTGCGAGAAGCTTTAAACGCTTTCAAAAAGGAGTGGTTAGACATTGATCAGAAGAACTTGGACATAGCTCTACTGAGATCGATGAAGTCGACTGGTTTCGTGACGTAATCGCTAAATCCCGCCGCCACACACTTGTCCTGAACGTCTGACATAACGTTGGCTGAAAGGGCAATGATGGGCATCTGGGGGTAATGGTTGGTAGTTTCCCATTGTCTGATCTCACGACACGCCTGGTAGCCATCTTTACGAGGCATATGAAGATCACACTAAAGGCAGATACGTTAGTAATTGCGGAAGATTCGACAGGCCCAAGAGCTCTCTATGATCAACATACCAGGATAAGCGAATAGTGCTTGTGTGGCTTGGACAAAACCATGTTGGTACACTCAGCGCCATCGACGGCGATCTCGACATCGACACCGATCTTCTTGAGATACTTCATCAGAACCTTCTGGTTAACAGGGTTGTCCTCAACCAGAAGCACCATATAGCCCTTGTTGCCCATGCGCCGTTCAATCTCCTGGTAGCTAGCCTTCTGATTCTCGACCATTTGCTGCGCTGTAGAGCGATTCCGATCTATGCTAAGATCGCGCATCTTGTTTGGATCGAAGATGACAGCGAACCGCGATGGTTTCACAGGTTTGTAAATGAAAGTCACCAGGTTGTCCGAAAGGAGTTGCTCATACTTGGTGTTAGCCGCCAGCTTGATGACCGCTTGTCGTTGTACGGAGTCGGACAAAACAAGAATGGTTGTCTTGTCTATCGTCTGGGATCTGGTAATGTCATCCATGAGTCCAATTATCGCTTCGGCCGCTGGAAGATTGATGACAATATGAGTAAACTTGATGGGATCCTCGCCTCCAATTAACGTTTGCGCCTCCTCAACGCTCGCCAAAGCCGTGATCTGGTGGGGAACATCCTTTGGCAAAGTCATCTCAATGTGCTGAGTGGTGGCTTCGCGACTATGGAACTGGGGACAAATGATGAGAATCGAATACATGGGTGGCCGGAAATCCTCTGGTGATCCAGTACCAGGTAAGAGGTGAGTGCCAGGAGAGCTGCGTCCTGAGGGCATCTCCAACTTCATCTGGGAAAGGTCTTGCCCACTAGCCTTTGCTGCTTCGCTAAAGCGGGCCAGACCTCCAGTTACTGATGTGGCGGATGATCGGTCGGTGATGTGCGACTTGGCTGAACGAACAGATGGATTCGAGCTACCAACAGAAATACCCCCAGGCGACGTGAACTCTGATATTGCACCTCCTGGGCTAGCATTTTCGACATTGCGCAGGTGTCTTGGCGGAGGAAGAGGCTTGATGGTGCTGGGAACATTGTCCATCATCTCTGGCCTTGGTGTGAAAGCACTAGTAGGTGGAGGGCTGTCAGGCAAATTAGGGTGGTCGTCGGTTGTAGGGAGACCGAATCGTGCTGTAAATGTAAAGGTAGAACCTTTACCCGGTGTTGCTCTACCAGTCATGCTACCGCCATGCAGCTCAGCCAGTTGCCGAGAGATAACGAGCCCTAAACCACTCCCGCCGTGCTGGCGCGTGCTGCTTCCGTCGATCTGACTAAATGGCTTGAAAATCAAGTCAGCCTCCTCTTTCGAGAATCCGCGGCCCGTATCGGTGACGGAAAACTCGAGCATGATCTCATTCTCATCCACATGCGAACCCTCTGCAACGTACACACGGCACCGACTGAAGACCTCGCCTTCAGAAGTAAACTTGATGGCGTTGCCAGTGACATTAAGCAGAACTTGACGAATTCGCACCTTGTCACCCTTGACCCAAGCAGGCACATCAGCCTCCACGAGATAATTCAGCTCCAGTCGCTTAGCAATCGCCATTGTCGAAACAAGTTCGTTGACATCTTCAATAATGGATCTGGTATGGAACCATTCGTACTTCAGTTTCATCATACCAGCATCGACCTTAGATAGATCGAGAATGTCGTTGATAATCATGATCAAACTGTTGGCACTTGTTTGTATTGTGTTGGTATAGTCGAGCTGCTCTTCGTTCAAAGTAGTATCCTGGAGGAAGCTGACCATGCCAGATATTCCAATTAGAGGGGTACGGATCTCGTGCGACATGTTGCTAAGGAATCTTCCTTTGGATTCCATGGCTTCTTTAAGCTTGGTTTCGAGAAGCTTGTGGTCGTTGATATCCGTTGCAGATCCAAAGTAGGAGCTAGCACCGCTGCCGAAATCAATAGTGTCAATCTCGACACATCGAATCAGATGCCAGCGATATTCTCCTGTTTTAGAAAGTAACCGAACCTCAGTCGTGTATGAAACTCGGCCAGCGCTATCAGTCGCAACCTTGATGACACCTTTTCGAGCGAGTTCGGTAAGGTCAGCAGCAGGCCATTCATATGCTGAGCTACTACCGGAGCTATCGTTTCTAGACAGTGATTGCTGTGTGTTACGTAGAGGCGAGCCTTGGGGTGTACGAGACTTGGGTGGCTGTATCGTACTGGTTGATGCTGCTTCGGATAGTGTGGATCCCTGTCGATAGAATTTGGTTTGTCCTTCGCGCCGTTGCGCGCTGGGTGTTGAAGGCTGCGTCGAGGGGATGCGGCACTTAGCAAGATCATCCGGATGTACGTAGTCCATGAAGCCTAGTCCAAGTGAGTCCAAGAAACTTTGGCCAGTATAAGATAACCACTGTTCGTTGGCGAAGGTGATTCCTTCATCTTCTGTGGCCGTGAAAATGATTTGTGGAATGAGATTAGCAAGTAATCGATGTTTGGCTTCCGAAGCCTCGATCTCCTCTTGCCGGGCTGCTTTGAGCTCAGCGATATGCTGGTCGTGAATGTCCATGTACGATCCAAGGAATTGCATAATAACTCCCCTCTTATCCTTCGATGCAACAGCCCTTGCATAAAACCATCGGTATGCACCATCAAATCGCTTGATCCGGACTGTTCTCGAAAATTGCTCGCCTGTTCGAATTGAATGGCCCCATGCTTTTAAGTAATCGTCTCGATCATCATGGTGAAGGCTTCCCCATGGATCTGCAGCAAGGTCTGTTGCTGTTTGGCCTCGATACGAGAGGTAACGACTGTTGACCCAGACAATCTCTCCGGTTTGTGGAAGTGCAACAAACACATGCGCAGGTAGGGAATCTAAAATCAGTCCCTTTAGCCTGTCGGAAGGCGGTGGCATATCAACGGCCGTGGTAGTTAGTGAACCACTTCGAGAGGGAGCAGAAACAGGGGTCGGTCGAGCCGAAAGGGTAGAGCTAGGCGGAAGAGATTGAAATGTCGAAGCAAAATCTGCTCCATAAGAATGAAGCATGCTATGCACTTGACGAGCGCCATGCCCAGCCTTGGAAGTGTCAGCCGAGCTTTCAGCTGCATTATCATGGTTCGTAGAATCCAGAGCATCTATACTGACATCTGGAGCATCTGTTTGTGTCGACTTCTTGGCCAAGCCAGTGGTCGATTCATCGGAAGAAGTGCGAACTGTCTTGCCGTCTGCAGACAGGCTTGTGTCCGAACCTTCCGGTGCAACAGAAGGACCGCTAAGGCGTGGATTCCGCTTCTCGGCTGGAGAAGAATCTTTCGAGCTTGTTCTAAGTCGTGGGTTGCTTGTACCGCCGAAGGTCTCGTGTCGGGAAGGCATTGGTCTTTGCCTAGAAGTGAAGTACCCTTCTCCCGAGGTCGTCGCTGCCGGACTTGAAGTTGGTGGTTGCCGCTTGTCGGAAATAAAGCCACCAGATCCCTGGTCCCATCCTGGTGTTCCTAGTGGAGAGCCAGTAGCACTCTTCGAAACACCCGAGTAATCGCTAGGGCTTGTCATACTACCAGCTAAAGACTGGTGAGGAACAACGTCATCGGCTGTAAGATAAGCCAAATGTTCTAGAGGACGGCCGTCGTGTGCAACAGCTCCAAACCCGGTCGTCTGGGGCCTTTTTCTTTGCAATCCTGCAAGTTCGGTCTCGAGATTACTGTAGTGTCGGCATAAGGAGAATGTCGTGGCCATGTGGGGAGCCAGGTGCTCGAGGGAGTGCTTCAAGTTAGATGGATAAGGGATAATCGGACTCAGGATAGAGAGAATAGCGATAGGTGCTGGCTTGTCTTTTTTGAAACTGTCTGGTGTGTTGCGGCCACCGTCATCACCAGATGCAGGGAAGCTCTCGCTCTTGGCTCGGGAGTGAGACCTTTGCTCCATTACAGTACTGTCAAGTTTGAATGTTCGGGTAGGTTTGGAGAGCAGGACGTGGGAGAGGGGGATGTGAAGAACAGTCCAAGAGTTGTCAACACCGATAGCTTCGGGGGGTCGCATTCCGGTATAATCGTCTGTGCCAGTATCTGGGTTGAACGAATCTTCGTCCACCATGGCGTCTGTAAAAAACGGGTTTTCTTTGGGGTCGGCTCGCAGAGCGGGTGATGGGGCTGGAGATTGTGACCAAGGTGATGGCGGCGCTTGCTCAAATTCTTCGTACTTGGGAGTTCGAGGCCGGGGCATATCCTCCTCCAACCGACCATCTAAACGCGATGCTATGGTCTTTGCTCTATCGGCAGCTGAATGGGTCTTGCTTCGTGTCGGTAGACGAGAAGAACTAGCTGAATTAAACATCGACGATAGTTTCGAAAACGAGTCTGAGCGTGGTTTGATAAAGCTTCTAGGCGTGTTTGAGGAAGATTCCTGGGCAGTAGATTTTGACTTCTTTGAAGGATCAGAAGGAGCTTCGTCAGCAAGATAAGGATATGATCTTGTTAGTGCGATGGCCCTTCCACGTTCCAATACTCGCATAACTCCGCTGTGGTCAATAAGAGGGTCGGCCTCATAATCAAGAGCCTGCAGTACTGGCAGGACCCGGCCCTGGCTTTCTCTGTCTCCCATGAGCGGCGCTTCCCAGCTTGGAATCTGTTGTTCAATGGCATCGTGTTCATCGAGTGATGACTTGTTCAGTTTGCCAAATTCAGCATAAGCCTCCCTGGAGGCACGTCCTACGGGATAATTACTCTGGCTTCTGGCTAAATATGCAGGTCGACGGGTCTGGGCGTTGGGCTGGTTCTGGGCTCTCTCTCTGTTCTCTTCGTACGCCGTGAATGAATGCCGGCTATATAAGCCAGGCCGGGCAGAATTGGCGTGCAGACTGTCATCAGGAACAGATGGTGTTGTGTTAGACCCAGAGCCAGCTTTGTCGTAGTCGCTAGTGCTTAAGCCAATACTGCTAGACTGCTTTGCAGCCATATACCCGAGACTGAGATCGTCCTCCTTATGCTGGTTGAAAGTGGCCTTTTGGCCCCAAGGAACGTTTTCGATGTCTGTTGAGTCAGCTGGAACAGCAAGTGTTACCCGTTCGGCTTTGTACACATCTCTCATAATTTGGACAACATTTGACCACCAAGCATCTAAGCCAGGCTCAGCCGCAAGCATTAGAGAGAGGTCATACAGGCTAGGGTTAGGAAAATCGAGGTTTTCGGGATGTGGCGACATAGCGGACGGGTTGAAGGTGAAGTTGGACGCTGGAGTCGAAGTGCTTGAAAGGACTTTGTCCTGAGCACCCATGCTCAAGACATCGAAAGAACCATAGCTGAAGGATCGAGGAGCACCTGTTGGGGAGAGTGTGGTGAAGGGTCTGTGAAGATATGAAGGCACGAAAGCAGGAGGCACCATGCGTGGGAAAGGATAGGATGGAGTGCCTGCAATAGGCCCTGGAGTAGGAACGCCTCGAACTGTGGCATTCGATTCGGTTGAAGTCGTCGTGAGAGCTGAGGTTTGGAGCGGTGAACTTGAAACGCCCTCTTCGGGGATAGGAGACACCCGATTCTTTTCATTTGGGCTTGCCATCAAACTTCTGGCTGACATTTCACGGCGTTCGAGATCGCGCGCAAGCTTTTCTCGATATTCGTTAAGCTGCTTCTGCGAGGCAATCTGAGCAGGGGAAACAGTGGCACCAAAACCTGCGCGCCGAAAGCTCAATGCATCTGTTCCAGCAGGGGCAGTCGATGTTTCTGCAAAGCTACCCGATTCCTTGACTACGGAAGCAGCGCTCTCGTCGGTTAAGTCTCCTATCATGTTGTTGTGGGCGCGGGGCTGCTTGGATTGAGCATCAAGGGGCGAGGATGGAGGGTGGTTCGGGTGGCGATCCGTCGTCATTGCGTCACGCGCGGTTGGTGTCGCAGTCGCATTTAAAGTCGAGTTTGGTAATTTCGATTCCGGCATCACACGTCCATTTCTAGCAGCATTCGCAGGCAGCTTTTCAACATGAGAAAAATTCGTCAAGACGGGCGATGAAGACGGCCGAATCGGGTGTTGACGCGATGGTGGCGGAGTTGATAATATGTCGTCGCCAACCGGCGAGGTGGCTCTTTGCATGCCTCACTAGGGGAACGGGTCGTGGAAAGAATAACTGCCAAATCCTTCTCGCCGGCAGGAGGAGTGGTGTTTTGAGGTCGATCCGCGATTCAAGGATTATACCAAACTCAGCCGTGGTGGTGGAGGGGGGATAGAGGTAGAAGCTTTGTTCCCTCTAACCCCAAGCCAACAGTAGCAGCACGACTACAGCAGTGATAATCTAGTCCGTAACGAACCCAGCACCAGTTGATCAACGAACAAGGTGTCGGGGGTTAACGACCGGTAGGTAACGAGATAAGTTGGGCCCAGGATCGAAGGGTGAGGCCCGTATCCGTAGTGGTTCTAACAACGGGGCAACAAGCAGCGCAACGCAACGCAACGCAGGATGTTTGAGTGTGCGAAATTGGGGGTTCAACCACACACCGGTACTTTGCAGTGAGGTGTGCCTCTCTACTCTCCGTCTGTCTGGAGAGTGAAAAGGTAGCGGTGGCAGCGGTGGTAGAGAGGTGGGTTGAACTGAATTGGATTGGACTGATCCGGCCGGGTTAGTGAGAGAGACTGGAGACTCAAAATGAGGACTTTGAGACCCGACTTTGAAGGTGGGCAAAGTTGGCGTTTGGCTTGTCGTCTTGGAGTAGGTATAGAAAAGTATAGTGCTGCGTCTCCACAGTGGTGCTCACACCCATCTAGTGGGGGATAGTACTTGACTAGTACTGGGCAAGCCCCATGATGCTGGCGCACAGGACGGGGTAGGTAAATTCAACCCTGCACGTAATGACGTAGGGAATAGGACCCTCAGGGAAAGCGAATCCCAGTCGGTACGTACGTACCAAGTTGGGCAGGTACGTATCGTGTCGACCTGACAAACTGACAGTTAAAAAAGAAGGCTTCCAACTCTTCTACATGCCTTCTTTCTCATAACCACGAATCTCTCTCTTCACACGACCGCTCCTTACTCCCCTCCCCCTAATCATCTCGCAGTGTTATCCGTGCAGTATGTGCACAGATGTGAGCAGTGATGACGGTCTTTCTAATAATACATAAGCAACATCAAATCAATAACATCCATGCATTCAGGGGATTGGCTGGTCGGTGCTCATGCTCTGCTCCTCAGCGAGCTGCGCAGATTAGATTGAGAAGCCAATAGCTGCAAAAGTGGGTGTTGGCGGCTGGTGCATCACTATCGTCATCGTCTGCGCTCCCTGGTAATCAGCCAAGCATCAACCCCCCAGCCGGCCACTCTACCACTGTGTTACCTCCACTGGGGGCAGCTTGTATTGGTTACAGGAACGACCACATCATCCGCCCTACGCCGGGTTGCATCCAATGGCTGCCAGGCACGCTGTATGGACACAACCTTTCTGGACAAACGATACGCCAACGTTGATCAAGAGGGCAGCCATGGCTGGAACTAACCCAGTTTCTGGGTCTGTGGTCCTCCAAACCCATGGAAATCTGAAAATCTAGGGGGAAAGCCTCCGTTACAGCCACCACCACTATTTCATACTGTAGGTACTTCGTACTGTACCCCAAGTTCGGACCCCAGTAACAGATGGACGAATAACTCTTCATCCGGAGCCGAATCCAGAGCGCTAACTACTAACCTGATTGATGTTCCTGGCCAAGTCAATCAGGTATCCTGTTATTACAATCAATACCGCAGTCACCTACTGTCATTGTCCTAGGAAATAGAAATAGTCCTCAACTTCTTCCTTTCGAGGATCCGAAGTACATTTCTTCACGACTTCCCAATGTCGCCATCGCAGAACGAACAGCGCTTGAGCCACCATCAAGTCCTGTTATCGGCTATTATGGTCTTTCCCCAGGTACCATCTCATTCTCCCTCGAGATCGGCGATCTTCGATAAATTGTCTTGCCCTGAAAGAAACAGGCATTTTTTACAGGAGCCACGCAAACAAGACAAGGACACGGACTCTCGGGACAATAATAAGACTCTCCATTAACAATCCTATACCAGCAACATCTGCTTCGATGATTTAGTGATTGCTCAATCCTTGCCCCTTCAAAGCACTTGTTCGAGTCTCATACAATCTTTTTAGGCGCGTCAACTACTAAAATGACCAAACCAATAATTGTCTAACTAACAACCCATCAAAACTCGACTGGTACCGTCCATCTCCCCTACTCGCTCCGCGGACGCCAAGCAAATGAATACAACCACAATCACACACGATGCTCGGTTGACATCACCATGGCTTTCAGGGCTCCTTCCATACCCGATACCTTGTGTTACTATTCGCGGAAGCAACGCGGTTCACCAGATATGCAAATTGGGTTTTCCTTGTCTCCAGGGGTTGACCTAGCTAATTCGGGGCTTGCAAACCTTACAAGTCAAGACAAACCTTTGAGCCTCGTTTTCATTCATTATCAAAATATCGCAATTTGACCGGATTCCAGGTGCCTTGGGTCACACGGAGAGGACCTATTTCACCAGTGGGGATTTTCCGTGGGTTCAGCCCTCAATTTCAAATTTCCGTGTTTCCTTATTAGGACCAGCGTCCTAACCTGCCACGCGGGCTTGTGGGTTGATGGAATGCAGCCAACCAAACAAGAGAAACATGCGGAGCTCTGCTACGTGCATGGGTCTTTTTATTCACATACCATACAACTAAGAATAATTCCAGCCTGTGTTGCTAATGCAGGCCATTTGGGATGTAACCCAAAGAAACAGGTGGAAAAGATCAATCCAGTCTTGGTTTCTCTGAAGGCATCCAAAAGGTTAGAACTAGGACACACTCGTTCAACTTAAGACACATATTATCGAAAATAGGCAGACCTCCCATGACAGGTTTTGTTCCCTACTATTGATACGCTTTGTGCGCTTCCTCATGAGCCATGGGCCCATGGCTGCCATGCAAGTAGTGCAGTGGGCTCAACCAGAATCCGAGATATGATAAACTGATCCTCTACTAATTTATAGCAAAACCCAGTTACGCAGAGTGATAAGACTATTGTTCCACGACAATCTTAGTTACTGTTGTAGCGACAACACTTGCTGGCAGGTTTACAGCTGTCCTTTTGTTTATTGAAATCTGCTGCGTGTCTCAGACTCTCGTGCGTTCAACAGCGCTTGAAGGCTGAAGCAGCCGTTAGTTTGAGACTGGAGGGGCTTTACATGACGTCTGTGTGCTCAGCACTTCTCGTGACGTCAAGCAGAGCGCCACGAAAGAGTCAACCAATCCCACTTTGTGGGGGTAATTAACCATGCACGCCCATATTCATGCCTGGGAACAATGTGTCCAACCTCCGAGTTGTAGCTACGGATCTGATAGAAGGGAATTCAAAGAATCGTCTGCCAATGCGATGTGAGAGACGAGTTTGCCATATCGGCCGCACAACGAGTTATCTCTACCTCACATCACATTGTGCAAAATCTCCACCGTTGATGCACAGGGATTGTCTACCGTTGAACTTGTTTTGATCCTTAATTGGGTCCAGGAACCTGGATTTTGCTTTTGACCGCATCCCACTTGTGCTGCAACTTTATTATCGCGGCCGCAACTCCAACACCAGCCGTTTAAAAAGCTACAGTTTACTTGCTTTTGGTATCTCCAAAAGTGATTTCACTTCTCAGTCATCGCTGGATGAGCTGATTCGGATTGCAGCAATTTCTATGCGCCAGGCGAGCAGTCACGATGGTATTGTAATCATGGTGGTGGATTGGAAATCATGGTGCTATCACACACAGTTGTATCAACCGAGCCTAGTTGGTCATAACGACACGGTGGCCCAGGAGCGCTGGCTTCCTTCTCCTTTGTGAGCAAAGCTTTGATTCACCAGTGCAATAACAGGTCGATTTGATGAGTCGGTGAATCAGTCCTGTTGACCACGCAGCACAGTATTGTGAGCCAAAGCGGATAGTGTCAAGACTTGTGCGGCACTTTGTCTTCTTCGCCAGCTGTCAAGGTCACAAGGACTGACTGATCGATGCAAGTCCAACCTGAATCGGGAATTATTCTAGAAGCTCAATCCAGCACACTGAATATCTTAACCTATCTTGGTTTGTCATAGGCAGCTAGCTACCCTAGTTGGATACGTGCCATGCGGATGCGAACGCCATGACCGTTCCCTCCGACAAACCGGTCCTTGCGTATTGATGAATGTGGGTTATCGACTGACTTTGGGGGAATTTAGGTTCCTAGACATGAAAAACCTGCCATATACGCATGGATAGGAAAAGCATGGCTGCCTTGCTCAGTCCTTTAAGCGAGGACCGATATCACCGATCTAAGCTTTCGCCTCGTTTTTCACCATGACAGGCCTTGCAAAAGCGCTTTTCGCATCTCTTCACAGGGCTTTGGAAGCCATATGGATGATTTGGCATCCAGGGATTTACCCTTCTCATTATTAAATCCTGTGCTTCACCCTTCAACCCGCAATGGGTGCGATCACGCCGTCGAGAAATTAACACTTGTGATAAGAGCAAGTTTTGGTGGGATATCACCTTTGAATTTGTTTGTTTGTAATAGAAGCTGCTGCGCTTGAGCTGTGAACTGATTCAGCACTTGGGTAAGAATATCGTATCGTAACTGCATGTACTTTCCGAGCCTTGGGCTTAAGATCAAAAGCAACAAAACAAACATGGCTCCTTATAGCATGGACATTCGGGTCTTTGATCATGTTGCATCATGTGTTTGCATATGGAAGCAGGAAATCATTATTCTTGGTAAATATAGCATTTTATTATTATTAAACCATTCACAAACCCAATTAAGACACTTCTATATATTATTAGTTAGAGGCAGGGCGGTAAGTTATAGAAGAAGATACGGTAAGGATTA